CTATATAGAGTATAAGAGTAATAGGAAGGTATTAAAAGTAATAAAATAAAGTACTTATTTCTTAATATTTTAAAGGTTATTATATTATTATTTATATTACCTAGTTAAGTTACTAGCATGATATAGGTGACTTAAATATTACTGTTCTCCTGATTACCCTTAGTTACTGGGCATGTGGTTCGGCATGTGGTTCGGCATGTGGTTGCATGTCACGTGGTCGCCGTGACAATAGTAAAGACTAATATCTAGTTAAATAAAAAGAATAGCTAATATATAAGAATACTTAGTAATTAGTAAAAAATTTAAAAAATATATAAGATATCTTAAATAAATTCTATTAAATAAATAAAATATAAGTAAAGTACTAGTAAAATATTATAAATAAATAAAATATAAAAATAATAAGTTAATTAAATAAGAAATTAAAAAAATTATAAAAATATATTAATAATACTATCTTTCTTCTTTTTCTTACTAAATTTTAAGATTTAATAAGGGTATACTATAGATATTAAGAAATTTTAAATAATTTAATTTTATTATATAAAAATAGAAATAATAAATACCTATATTATAATATTAGTAAATCCCTAATTATTATAATTATTCTAAATCTCTTTATTACTATTCTCTAATTCTATTATACTACCCCTAACATACTATATATTAAGTAGGTAAAATAAATTATAATTAATAGATTAAAATAACCTCTCTAACTAGTCCTTAGTCTTAAAATAATAAATAAAAATCTAAATAGTATAAATCTAGTAAGTATAAGCTATTATACCTGCTACCTTACTAGATATTACCTAGATCTTATTAAGACTAGCATGTATAGATAGGATAATAAAGAAATATTTTTTATATAAGTAAGTATAATAAATATATTATTATTCTAGATTTAAGTATATATAAAAATAAACTTTTATAAGATTATTATTTATATATTACTAAAACTTAATATAATATAGATAATATAGTATCTATATAATAATAAATAAGCTATTAGGAGTAACTAGAATAGCTAGAATAATTAGAGCTATAATAATAGTAAGAATAACTAGAGCTAGTATAATAATAAGAGCTAGTATAATAATAGAAGCTAGTATAATAATAGGAGCTAGTATAATAATAATAGCTAGAGTAGCTAGAGTTATTATAATAAAAGAAGTATAGGAGGAGATAATAAAAGTTACTATAATATTAGAAGTAATTATAAAAAATAAGAGAGATATAATTTTACTAGATAATAAAATAATAATAGTAAAAATTATAAGAAATATACTAGTAATAATAGAAATTATAGGTATTATAATTAATATAAGTATAAAGAGGTTTATTATAAGAGCCTATAAATAGTTAATATAATAAATCTATATTACTAGAATAAAGATACTTATAAAAAAAAAATAATAGTAATTAAATAGGCTCTCTTCTATAAGAATATAATTAGTATAATATTTAAAAAAAAATATTTAAAAAAAGCTATAAAATTTATAATATAAATTAGCTATTATTATAATATTTAAATAATAATAATCTACTTAAAATAATATATTAATTTATTAGAAGGGTCTTTTTAGAATATAAATTAGATTAAGAAATATATATATAGAGAAGTATTCCCCTATAATATTTATACTATAATAATATTTTTACTTATTACTAGTATATCTAGTAAATTATTTACTTTTATCTATTATTTTATTTAAAATAAAATATAATATTATTTATATTTTATTTAATAAAGTATAATTAATAAAAATAATATTATATATATTATTATTATCTCTAGTATTAAATAAAAAAGTAGGTTATATTATACTAACTAGGACTAGCTCCCCCTAGATAAGGTACTAAGCTAGATTAGGTATAATATATATAGTATATAGATATACTATTAAGAGAAAAAAAAATAATTATTATAATAATTATATAATATATAACTATATATTAAATTATATATTAAACTATATATTAAGTAATTAAAAATAATTAAAAAAATAATAATATTTAAGTTATTTATACTATACTAGTAACTTAATTAGATAATATAAATAGTAATATAATAACCCCCTAAAGTATTAAGAAGTAAGTATTTTATTTTATTACTTCTAATACCTTTCTACTACCCTTGTACTCCATGTAGCTTTACTTCCTTTACCAACACTACCCATACCCAAGCACCTCGCCAGCGAGACGCTTACACCAAGTTAAAAACTACTTATTATTTAAAGAATTTATAAAGATAGAGTAGGACTATCTAGCTAGTTATAAAATAATAAAAATATAGATAAAGATAGATAGACTTAAGTATATAAAAATATTAGAATATAAATAAATATATATATATAAAAATAATTAAAATAGTAACTTAATTAAATATAAAGCATGTCTAGTAATAAAAGAAGATTAATAAGAAGATTTAATAAAAAACTTATATATTATAACTCTAATAGTAAGATTTCTTTAAACCTTTCTAGTAATAGTAGCCTAATTTAATCTAGAATTAAAGTAATATAATATTATAAATATATTTATTAATATAAATAATAATAAGGAAATATATATAAAAATACCTTCTAAATATTAAAAATTAAGTAAAGTATTAAAATTAAAGAAAATATTATATAAATTTAAATAATTTCCTTACTTATAGTAGATAACTTTCTAAAAGATCTTAAAGTTACTAGAATATAAATCTATTTTATATAAACTATATTATATTACTAGAGATAAGATTCTAATATTCTTTTATATAGATAATATTATATTTACTTATTATTAAAAATTATTAATATAAATATAGGCCACTATACAAGAGCTTTAGGACTAATTTAAGATAATAGAAGGAAATAATCTATAATAGTTTCTAGAAATAGAGATTACCTAGGATAGAGAGAATAGGCTTATCTAGCTAGATTAATTAATATATATTAATAAGATTACTAATCTAGTAAATAGAAAAAAAAGTCTAGATACTACTCTTATATTAGTAAAAATAGTACCCTAGAGAGATTAAAATAAAGTATTTTATCTATATACTTAATAATATTAATAGAAGATAGGATCTATAATATATATAATAATTATAATATAATTAGATATTATATTTATAATATTCTAGCTATTCTAGTATCTTATAAATTCTAGTAAAAAATACTATATTAAAGTAGATTAATACTTATAATATTTAAAAAGAATAAATAAATTTATTCTATAACTTAAAGATTTAAATAATTACCTATTATATAGTAATATCTTATTTATAGATAATTAGGACTAGAAAAGCTTATAGGGGTATATTATAAAGTTATTTAAAGATATAATAGGGTAGAAAGCTAGTAAGTAAGTAATTATAATAATCTTAATAACTAAAGTAGAATTATTAATATTATTATATATAATAAAGAAAGGAATCTTTATTAAGTATCTATTAAATAAAATCTAGATAGAGTTAGAGAATCTAATTATTAATATTTAATATAATAATATATAAATTATCTAATTAGTAAATAAGGAAATTAATTACTTAAATATAAGGCTATATTATATAGATATTTATAATTACTAGATTAGATAAGAAATTTAGAAAGGAAGAATAAAAGTATTATATTATTTTATTATTAAAATAATTATAGATAGATTAATTAAAATACTACCTTACTAAAGTTTTAAGGTATTTATAAAGGATTTAAGAATAATAAAAAGATTAAAATTAATAAATAATCTACTATTAAATATAATTTAAACCTATTTAGAATAAGAATAATATCTTAAATTATATAATTATAGGTTTAAACTAGATAAAATCTTTTAAATCTAAGAGGGTGTATTAAATTAAAGAGATATCCTATAATATACTTAATAAGTAAAGGGGGGGGGTTAAAACCCTATATTAAGACCTTAGGCAAGCACATAACCCCCTAATATATATACACATCAACACATCTAATCACCTGCCTCCATTGAGCTACCCCTAGGATCATAATAAATCCGACACTTCTTTATGGTGGTGCTGGTTGCATTCACTGAGTGCAGCACTCCAACATTTTATCTTAATTATTTATTTTTATTCCTATATTTAAACTATATTACTCCTAATTTTATTATAGCTTTTTAAGCTATATTCTTATCTTAACCTAATCTTTACCTATTATACCTATATGCAGATAGCCTGAATATACACCCTGCTGTTAGCTGCACCTACTGCCAGCCTGCCCCCTGTGACAATTTAAGCTATATTACTTCTGATCCTATTATAGCTCTTTGAGCTATGTCCTGTCTATTACCTGATACCTACTATTCTGCTGTTCTGTCTGGTTAGCTCCTAGTCAATGAATATCTGAATCTGATTCTGCACCCTGACATAGAGCTTAGTCTAAAAAAAAGAATATTATTATAATATAATTATATACTTATCTAGTTAAAATTCTACTCTAATTATCTATTTCTATTCTTATATTTAAACTATATTACTTCTAATCCTATTATAGCTCTTCAAGCTATGTCCTTATCCTAACCTGACCCCTACCTGTTGGACCTGTACGCAGGTAGCCTGAATATATACCTACTGTTAGCTACACCTACTGCCAGCCTGCCCGCCGTGACATTAGGCAAGCATACAACCCCCCAAAACATAGACACATCTATTCATCCGATCACCTGCTTCCATTGAGCTACCCCTAGGATCATTATATATCCGACAACTGTAGTGATCCAATCAATAACTTACTTCAACAGAATAGAGGTAGAGTAGCAAGGTATGGAGTAGTCTCAGATAGTAATCCAAATCAACAACTCACTTCAATAAAGCAAATAGCAACACATGACACACATGACCACTCTGTGTATTTAGGCCACCATTTCTTTCTAGACCTTCATGCTTCTTCCAAGCATCTCTCCATCTCCATCTCTCTATCTCCTATCATTAGACCTAATGCAATTCATTTTGGTTGACTTTCTACTGTCATAATTTGACAACCTCTCATCAGATTATTCTAAAAGCCCCTACAGGATCTGGTCTGAGCAAAGTTAATACTACTAGCAACTAGTTACTCTCCAAACAAACATTAATAAGGGTAAAGCTACAGTGAACCCAAGCAACTTCATACGTCCGAAAACACCCGACGGCCAGGATCTGTATTTTCTCGACTGCGGCGAGGGTATGTGTCCGGATTTCGCTCCCGATGTTGTTCATTGCCAGTCACAATCATTGATGATCGGACCGACTCAGGAAGCAAAAAGCCCCCTTTAACAGCGATTATCGGTTTGATGCCGGTCAACGGATTGGTGTAAGAAAGACACCACACTTCAAAGTTCTGGAACAAGATTGCCTTACTAGACTCGTCCGTAGGCCTTCCAAGGCAAAGCACGGATCCAGACCATCCCTGCGCCGGGGTAGAAGGTTCAGTTGTCTTCCATAAAAGGGAAGCATTCTGTGAGTGTGTAGTATGATCCCATAGATACTGTGCCCCTACAACTGTTGCATCACGTATTGCATTCGGATCAATCGTTCCCTCAAGGCTTTTCCATCTTCCAACCAAGGTATGCATTCGGACTGCGTAAACTCGAGAGCCGGCGAGCGCGGCAGAGTAATCCGCCCACCCTAACACGACTGGATAGCCAGGCGGGCTCACGAGTAGAGGAAGGTCCTTATCCGTGATAAGGCTGATATCGTGTTTATAACCCATGGGATATGGAAGAATTGGGCTAGGTTTATCAAATGTTTCTGTAATCCTGCCAATCTAGAGGAATAAGTTAGCGCCTTTAGTAATAAAAATAGAAAAGCAATAGAAGAAACTTTACCCTCTTCTTCACATTTGTAAGCCAAACCTCTTTTCCGATTGGGGAGTTACCAAGATTTCGGACGACTCCTATTGCACAGGTTTCCGATTGAGGCGGTGGACGGAAGAACTGTTGGAGAGCACTTTTAGTCCTCAAGTACCAGTCACCAAGAATATTTACCACACGAGACCCTTGAGGATGTCTCACAAAGCCATGGGTGACCGTTGTGATCGCCTCTTTCCCATCTGTCATCCGAATTCTCAGACCTAAGCAGCCTAGGCCATGAATATTGTTAGGCTGATCTGAGACTTCCATGCCAGACACGACGGTGTCCGCACTAGCTTCCAGCCGAAGCTCATCGTAGATCGTCCGTAAGCCACCAATTTCTATCACCCCGTAGTGTTTGTAGGCATCTTGTATGTCAGAGGGAGATTTAAATAGAATGATGATGAAACCAGTAACCAGAACACGGGCCCCTATGGCGGTAGGGAATAGCTCGCGAAGACTATCAAGCTGCTCATAGGACAAGAGCTTTCGGGGATTAATTCCATCCTTAAAGAGGAATTCCTCTTTCCAAGGTGACCGGACTATTATTGTCGACGAAATGAGATGTGTTGGTTCTCCAGGGTAATAATGGATTGGTCTCCCTCCTGCTTCAATGTCTGAACACTTTTCCTGCACAAGCCAGACTTCAGGGCCATACTGCGGATGTGAAACGTGGACTTGAGCATGGTCTCGCAAAGCTGGATGATGTGTCCGAACTAGCGGTTCAGTCTCCGGTGTAATCTCTGTAGTATGAAAAGCGCGGATCCTGGCTAATTCTAGGGGCCCCCATTTTTGTGAATCTGATTCTGTCTGTAGTCAGCGACTCGAGTACACCACAAACCGCGTAATGGAAAAGTCAAAGTCAACTCACTAGGGATACGCCTGGTAGAAAATAACTGGTAATTAGGAGAAAAGCCGAGGTCAGTGTTGAGGACAGGTAGGGTATTGTAGCGAATCGGTGACCCAAGTCTGCGGCGCTTTCCTTCCATGATGTAAATTAGAGATGCCAGAAAAAGTTGCGAGTCCGAATGAAAGAACCCCGACGAGACAAAGAGAAAGAAGTCAGGAGTCTTGAGGATGAGGTGTTAGACTAAGAGGGCAAGGTTTAGAGCTGTTGAGAGGTAGGTAGGATGAGGGATAAGCAATGTGGAAGGTACATCTGCAAGCATAATAACGTCATCCACGGGACACCTACCCCCATTACAAAATTCCAAATCAGGATCTCTCAACCAAATAATTAATTCTAATATAGCGCGATTTTTACATGAATTGATCTTGTGCCCAATCTCCCCACTCCTGCGTGGCTGATCCTGCTGAATAGGCTTGATAAGGTAGTGAACTATTTCTATTCATGCTCAACATGATAATGATGGCCGTGACAAGATATATACATGATAAAGGGGAGAATACAATAGGAAGTCCATAATAACAGTCCATGGATTGTTCCTCGATGTAACACACAGCCGAGGAGCTATCAAAGATCAAGACACGGCCTATTCTCTGCCTGTCTCCGCTTTGTCGCGCAGTTCGGCCGTGCACCAGTCCCATGCGGCGGTACTGATAAGACAGCCTTCGGGTCCTTCTGTCGCATCTCGGAACCACTGCGCGAGCTGGGTCTCATCCGAATCCAGTATCGCACGATCCCACCCAGCCTGCTCCGTGATGTGTTGCATAAGTCGGAGCATAGCCATCTCGCGCTTGGTTAACAGAGGTGCGTGGCGATATTCAACCAACCCATGGGCAAAGCTGGCCTCCAGGGGAGTTCAAAATCCAGGGGAACGGATCCGAATCCAGGGACCTGCAGCGGACCGTCACCGGCGTTGGTAAGCATTGCCATCGTAAAGTGAGTTTAGGTCGAGTAGTTGATTCTCATTTGGAGGCTTGAGGAGGGGTCCCAAAGGTAATTAAATGTCAAATTTTGGATACCACTAGCAACTGCTTTAACTACTTCAAGATCAGGAGAATCAGAACTTTATCCCTGAATAGTAGATTACTAGTCATTGTACTAAGCGATCCATTCGACATTAAATAATGTAGTTAATGTGCTAGCCCTGATCACTAGTTGAGAATAGGTTAGCTCTATGTATCGATGGGGCTCAAGTCCCTTATATACTTCCAGATTAGGGTGTAATAATCACCGTCACTCATTCTGGGAGCACTTTGGTCACCCTCGACGGAGAGTCAATCTCCAGTGGGTGTTCCAGCACCCTAGGAATTGAAAACTGGAATGCTTGGGTGGGCAGTCAATCTCGGTTGAACCGAGCTCGATCGCCGACCAAGTCTGCATTGAGGGTTGGGGTAAGGGAAACTTTGCCGGGTGGTGTGAATTCACTTGTAGCCTAGGATACTGTCCAGCGGGCGCCTGCGTGTGTTCAAAGATGGGACCTCAGCCTATGATGCCCAAAGCCACAGGGACTCAAGGATATCCCACTACAGGTAAGAGTGCTAGCTATAGCGGCCTGTGCTCCTTTGCCTGTAACTACAGGAATTGCATCGAGGGTGTCTGTGGCACTGCTGAGGTCCCACTCACCGTGCCCACCATGTCACCGTTCACTCTGGAGACCTGCACCGCTGGCTCCGGGCCAGGCGCCTTGGCCAGCCTGTGCAGTTACAGCTGCAATGTGGGATACTGCCCTATTCACAACCGCACCTGCACAGCCACCGGCCCCCTGAATGTCCCAGCGGCCGCCAACACGAGCATCAACGGCCTGTCTACCATCGGCGCTAATAGTGGCCTCTGCCATTTCGCCTGCGAGTGGGGTTACTGTCCGGGTCCTACCTATGTCGACAACGCGAACATTACAGCTCGCTGTGCGGATGATGATGGATCTGACCCCGCGTGCGCCGAGTCTGAGGTCTGCGACTTCACCCGGATCTTCCCCGCGCTAGATGTGCTGGCGGCCGCGGTGAATACACGCGAGCCCGCATGCGTGGATTTCTACACATTGGACGGACTGGCGACGGTGCTGTAGCAGACGCTGATCAACTACACCGAGATTACCAGTAGCTACGACACCAAATTCGACGACTACGTTCAACACGTTAAGGAGATCATTCCCGAACAGTTAACTAAGTTTATAAGCAGCGACGCCCCTTATGGCCCAGGGAACCAGTTCTTCCAGTGCACCTACAGCTACAATAGTGGGGATTCAAGTACGGGCTCGTGCCCCGGGGATATTGGCATCGACTCGGGGACCTTTACGGTCTACTACGATCTGGTGGATGCAGAATGGGTTCTACAGCAACCTATCCGCGGGGTACGGCATCGATCGGGACTGGGTGCGCTTCGGGACCAGCACGCTTGACGAACCGTGTATACCTCCCAGGTATAAGATAGGATGTATGGCGCTCCACCGCGTGTATGCTGGATTCCCCGTCAAGGCGCCTGATAGCGTCATCATGGTGGCCAACCCGAAAGAGATTATAACCCAGGCACTGCCCAACCTGCAGAACCTCACAGCAACCATCTCCACGGCGAAGATCGACCTCGCGCTGGGGTCGTGGCTCGGCACCACAGACGATGTTGTGCAGTCGCTGTCCATGGCGGTCTTCCTGCTGAGCCAGGCGGTGGCCAACATGCAGGCGGTGGTCGCCATCACCAACTCGTACGAGGCAGCCAAGAAAAAACAGATGATTAACAAGATCCTGATAGGGGTGCTCCTGCTCGTCCCGTTTCTGGGTGAGTTGGACGCCGTGGCGGATACCTTGGTAGGCCTGGCTAGGATTATTAGGATGATTGGGGATGCAGGGGTCGGCGCTACCACCATCTATAACATCGTGCAAGACCCTAAGATGGTCCCCCTGACTATTATGGAAACCCTCTTAGCAAGTGGCATGCGCGATCAGGATAGTTTCTCCACTATGGGCGCGGCAAGAAGGGCCATGAGCAAGAATGATATGGCGGAACTAGGCTCGGAGATTAAAGCATTGGACGACCAGTTCCAGGGTATTGTTTCTAAGTGTCTGCCCAAATAATCCCTAAGTATGGATACAGATATCTAGACCATTGAAGTCACGTACTAATCTTTTCTACCTTTATTGTGTCAGTCAGTCCGTTTCTCATAATCTACTATATAATTAAAAGTCTTGCTGTATTGTAGGTGAGAGTAGGGTTTGTCTATCCCCCGGCTCCCATCCATATAGTCCCACCGGGATGATTGATTTATCCCATAACATAATATGCTAAATATTATATTAAGCGATATTAGAATTACTAGTTCTATATATCTAGTAAATTCAATCTACTAGAAATCATATATGTAGTTACAGACCTAACCTGATCATCTATTGTCCAGGAAGTACGGTTAGGGTTTAGGGTTTACAGACCTGGTACTCTATATAGTAATCGATTTTCTTTATTCCCTGCTTTAAGAGCTTTGACTTATGGGTCCTAAGTAGTTAGTAAGTAAAGATTATCTTTTCCAGGCCGAGGAATTAAACCTTTATTTCTGAACAATAACTATCTATGGTCCTGCATGTTTCTGTCAGTTCTATCATAGCTAACCTGAGTGATGCTTCTAATACTAAAAGCTTCCCTGTCCGCACATATCAAGACTCCAGAACTCGGATCAGGTGCTACTCCACTGGCTATTTAGAGAGGAACCAGCAGTATGTGACGCCATGCCAGATGCAACAAGTATAACCTGATTTATTCTATAGAGTCATCTTACCAGCCAATACAGATACCAAACCAAGATGGCTACAATGCTACCCGCATATCACTCGCCCTAACTTGTCCACTCTCTGTATCGTAGTAGCAAGAATTTAGCAGGCCTATTAGCTACGCGGGACGGGTTGAAATTCCAGGAAAAGAGAGGCGGACAGCAAAACAACTAACGTGAAATTATGATTTGATAGAGAACCCATGCTACAGGTGCGGATGTTTGTGGCGAGTAATTTATTCTTCTTATTACCCTATTCTGAACCCCTATTGGATCATGACATAGGGCATACAGCAACCCCGGGCTGCGCTGGCTTGTAACTATTGACTGAACTAATTTAGCTCTGTTCGCGGCTGCATGACTCGGGATAGAGGCTGGCTGGGTTGATTTCGAAGAATTACTTGTATTATAGCATTTAACCCTTCTTCTACTTCCTCTTGTTCTTCTTCTGTTTCTCGTCCTTCTATTTTTTGTCCTTCTTCTGCTTTCGTTTCAATTTTCGTGCTCCGCTGCTTGCCAGCTATTTGATCAAATTGATTGCCATGGATGTAAAATGCACAATCATTCCCGCCCCAGGCAATCAGCCGGATGTGAAATCTGACGCTCTCCGCGTGTTTGAAGTGCTCCGCGCTGGGGGAGTAGCCCTTATTCCCACGGAAGTCGGGTATGGTCTCATGGCCTCATCGACCGAAGCCATCCAAAAAGCGTTCGCGGCAAAAAAACGTCGACCGGGCCACGCGCAAGGCATCATTGGATCATACCAATTGCATCAGCAGCTGCATGTGCTCCCCGACGAGAAAATGGACATGATCCGCGTGCTGCATCAGGACCTCGATCTCCCATTTGGGATCGTCGCGCCATTTCGATCGGAGCATCCGATCCTTCAACAGCTCACGCCTGCCACGTTGGCCAACACCACGAAAAATGAAACCCTGGGGATATACATCGGTGGGAGTTCGCTGTTGATTGAGTTGGGTCGGCTGAATGATGAGGCGGGTCAGTTGATGCTTGGGTCGAGTGCCAATTTGACAGGGACAGGGCAGAAGTTCCGCGTCGAGGATATCGATCCGGAGATCAAGGAGGCCGCCGACATTATTGTGGATTATGGGCTCCAAAGATATCACATCTACGGTGGACGTCCTTCTTCAATCATTGACTTTGAAAATATGAAGGTCCTTCGGGTGGGTTCTTCGTATGAGCTATTGAGGGAGCGCATGAGCAAGTATTGGGGCGTCGACTTGCCGGAGGACCCCATGTTTAATGTCTCTGAATCGGAAAAGAAGGAGAAGGAAGAAAAGACCGAACCTCCAAAACAGGAACAGCAGGAGGTGAGACACGATCAGCCGATACCTACAACGGTGGAAAAGAAACAAGGCTATTGGCGACGGTTGGCGGCCAAATTGCAGAAGAGCTGAAGCTCCGATACCCTAACAGATGGAACAAGTGGGCCATATTTGTAAATACTTGGGCATTAGCATTGCAGCATAGTGGTATTTAAATGAATTTGTCAATTTACAGGCTATAAATTCTTTCTTTACTGCTAGTTGATTCCCTTTGGTCGTCAGGGCGTTGGTGTTGATGGCCACAACCAGTTTCAAACACATTTCCTGTCCGGCCACGTAGTAATTGAGTCAGTTGACGCATGTCTGCAACCTGCTCCAGTCCAAGTACCAGATTCTCAATTGCGGCTTGCCGCTCTTGGTCGATAACATCCCTTGTTATGCGGCGCCATTTATCGAGAATATCCTCCTCCGACAGAGGGGCCTTGTTACCGCGCGGCGCTGCAACGAACTCGATCAGGGTCTTTGGCTCCCCCGTTTGATCCCATAGCTCCACGTGGATTCGCTGCTGCCAGATTGTATCTACATCCTCATCGAAGGCCTGGTTGTGCACATATTGAATCTTCCTCATGAGAGTCTATACATCATCCCGCTCTAATTGGGCCGGCTGCACTTCTCCTTCTAGCAGCTGCATGGCAGCCGCGTATATGCAACTCATCTGGGCCCCAGTAACTGTTAAAGGTTGCTTTGGCTCCCAGCCCCCCTTTTTAAAGGCCGGTTCTGACAGCTCGACAGTGACCCGGCGAATCCTATTTGCCACCAACTTTGCGGGATACTTTATCTGCAGCAAGCTGATGCCGTCAATAGTTCTATGGGTTGCCGCCATCGACGCATATGGTTTAACAATAATCTGATCAAGCTCCCAAATGGAACTGAGCCCCTGCACTACACGGTCGGCCCGATACGCGAGATTTCGTCCACTTCCTGCACCAAAGGTACTGAGGAAGCCCCCATAAGGCCGCTCTAAAACCTGTTTGATACCAGAATACCCACTCCGGGCCATAAACGCGGCGAACAGACCATTCCGAACTGCAAAGCCATGCTGCATCCGCTTGACAGAACTTTTGTATTGAGCCGATATCAACCCCCCTGCCTGGGTGCACGCGATCCCAATAGCATTCTCAATCAAGGGGGCAGGAAGCCAGAGGAGTTTTGTTGCTGCCGCCGCAGAGGCAGCAGGGCCAAAGATTGCTCCAGAGTGCCATCCGCGAGACAGAACATTGATGCCGTAAATTCTAAGGCCGACTCGTGGGCCCGTTTCGTAGCCCATAATAGCCGCAAGAAGGAATTCGGCCCCGGTTATTGGAATGGTATTTGTGGATGATGCGGATACATGGCAGAACTCAAGCGCGGCCAGCATGGTTGGGAGTACAATAGCATTAGAATAGATTGGGGCTTCTTGATGGTAATCATCCAGTTTGAATCCTTGAATAAACGTGCTGTTGAGAAGTGCCGCTGCCAGCAGTCCAGTTTTCTGTTATTATTATCATTATTATTATTGTGATTTAGGAAGAAGAAAAAGAATATATGCCTTTTCCCATCCGACTATATTATAACTTCCTTCACCCTCCATCGAAAGAACTCCCTTCACAGCATCCTTAGACCAGGGTAGATGTGCTCCGATCAGGGCACAGGTAAGTCCGTCCAGAATCAAATACTTGCATCTTTGCACTTTTTCCGGTGGGATATCAGACAGAGACAAGCCAGAAATCCAATCACACAGCTTTGGGGTTACCAATGGGGGAGAATCAGTCATGGTGGTTTTAACCAAGTAAGGTGCCTTGTCTAGTAGTTGATTGATTGCATTGCAAAAAGAGAGCGAGGGAAAGCGGAAGGAAAATGGATGTGTTTAGGTGGTTAGCCAATATATATCCAGAATATATTAATTTAGCCAACGCAAGTTAATACCAATAATAATTGTGTGTTTATGTATTGTAATAAATGGTAAATCTAAATTAATACACCATAAAACCCAGTTTTAGTTCCCTGACTAGCAGCATATTTAGAGGGCGATGTATTCCTCCTATAAACTGCATGTTGCCTTCTGCCGCACGAACAACCCCATAAACTCTTCTACGGGCATCTCATCGTGATTCACAGCGGCAATAATCCGGTCTACCTCTGCGGGAGTAAACATGAAGGCCATATTGCGGCGGAATTTCTCTACTACCTGTGGCAAGGTTTCGTCTCTCCGATGATGACCAACGGGGAATTCAACGACAACTTCGTCAAGAACTTCCCCGCTGTTCAACTCTACTGTGACTGCATTTGCAACGCTCCGATATGCGGGGTCGTAGTAGTCGGCAGTGAATCTTGCATCCTCGGTGACGGTCATCTTCCCCCGGAGGGTTTCAACTCGGGGATCCTTAGCCCACGGAGAATCATCCAGGTAGTCTGCAGTGTCGATGACTGAACCCTTGAGCAAGGTGACTGCGACCATGTATTGCAGACAATGATCACGGTCGGCATTGTTTCGTAACGGACCGGTCTTGTCAATAATGATCACGGCGGGTTTCTGGGTTCGAATCTTGATAGTACGGATATCCCGTTCGGCTACTAGCTGGCGACATTGGAGCATCGTGGCAACCTGGACGGCCGCCTCGACAGCGGAGATTCCATGTCCCTCCGCCGTGATGACCTTGAATAGCACGGTTTCCATCACTCGAGTGCCATAGGGGAAAGCTTGGATGACATCCTTTCCGCCGTATAGAGCGTGACTGAAGCCCCATCTCGGCGCCGTGAGAGCAGAGGGTGCTCCCAGAGCGGCCCTCCCGGTCCAAGTCGAAGTACTGGGGTCGAAATGGCCGCCTTTTTTGGTAAGGAACGCCAGGTGCACGGCTCGCATGCAAGCGTCGCCAGCAGCCCAACCCTTGCGGGGTCCTGCGTTGGGTGCCTGTCTATAGATCCGGAGCGGATGGCCATCGATCCATGCATGGGACACAGCAGCCAGGGCTGCCGACTCGGGCAGACCCAGAAGCCAAGCGGTTACCGCAGTCGAGGCTACCTTGACTAGGATCACATGGTCTATCCCATGTTCATTGAAAGCGTTTCGCTGTTGCAGAACTCCCTGGATCTCATAGGCTTTGATCTGCGCTTCGAGGACAGTGCGCAGGGTTGGTCTAATTTAGTCATGATACTCAGCATGAACCGAGATTCGCAATTAATGCCAGAGGGGAAATTTACCTGGCATGTCCTTTGGCATGCTGCTGAGATAACCAGTCCGCCACACTGAGGATCGCACCGAGATTATCGGAGGGATGACCCCATTCCGCACCCGCATAGGCATCATTGTGGTCGAGATATCTGATCATAGCACCGAGGTCGAACGCACCCTTCAGAGGATCGACAACGTAGGCGGTGCCTGGGATACGAACGCCCTCTGGGACCACCGTCCCTGGCACGACCGGTCCCACGAGGTGTCTGCAGTCGGGACTGAGATGGAGCGTTTCAATGGCGCAACCCAGCGCGTCCAGTAACGCTACTCGGGCTCTTTGATAAACCTTCTCATCTGTGATTGGCTTGTGGTAGACATAATTGACAATATCTCGTAAGATAGGATCAAACTCTGCGTGTTCGTTCGGCATTGCACCTGGTTGCTTTCTGACTTCTCGTCTTTCGATAAAGTTAGTACGGAGTAGTGATCCGTATAGAGGTATTAATCCCAACTTTCCAGGAGGCCCACCAGTAATTTATGAACTATTAAAACGCTAGTAATATCCACGTGTCCAGCATGTTACTCCCTGACTCGTATGCTTGTGAAGGGTCTGGATTAGGGACTGACAACTACAAGATCTTTTGGTCCACTAAATGAGGGCATCCAGGCGGTACACAAATGGTTACGCTTCGAGGTGGCCTGAGTTGGCACTTGCTAATTCGTCCCAGCAGAGCATTCAACCTAGGCTAATGATCAATAGATGCCCAGTTAATGCTCCCTTAACGCAAATTAGGGTTTTTAGGCACAACTACTAGAGACGATTCAGCAGCGCTAACGCTTCAGACAGAGACAGGCGCAGCTGAATTTCAGCCCGCCTAATCCCCTGCGCTTCGGCATGTAATTAACCTACGAATCCGGCAAAAAAGACAGTGACTACTAACCAATTAAAACTTCCCGTAAGTCTGTCGGATGGCTCGAGAACCACCCCTGTCCAACAGAGATCCAAAGTTCCAGACCGCTGGAACGCCTCCTGGGGCAGCCAAAGACGTAAGAAAGGAAATGGTTCGAGTTCTCGATATAGACTGGGTAAGCCTAGGCGAGGGAACCTGAGCAAAAGACTCCCAACGACCGAAGTTGATTGCCCCCGACTCTTAAAATCAATCCCCAGTCGTTGGAGTGCCATTAGGTCTTCAATCCAACAAGTTCCATTCTATAAACAAACACAATGTCGGACAGGAGTAGGGACAGTGCCGCTGGCGAAGAAAGGGCGCCAATAGACAAGCTTACTGTGGTTGATAGCCGCACCTCTTTGTCCTACGACATCCCAATTATCAACAATGCCGTCAAGGCTACGGATTTCAGGAGGATATCGGCCCAAGAACCCACTGCAAGCCCTCTTGAACGGGGGGCAGCAGGGTTAAAGATTTTGGATCCTGGGTTCCAGAATACCGCCGTCGCCGAGTCCTCAATTACCTACATGTTAGTATCTGAAAATGCCCGCTCTGATTCACCTCCTCCCCTATCCGGTTCCAAATTAATGTTGCAAGCATACTAACCAGCCTATAACCAGAGACGGAGTGAAGGGAACAATCCAGTACCGGAACTATATGCTGGATGAACTGATCGAAAAACATGACTTCGATGATGTATCCTTTTTACTCGTGTGGAACCATCTACCGTCAAGGGAAAAGAAGCTTGATTATCGTACAAAACTTGCCGGTAGGATGAATCCACCACAGTCCGTGGCCGATACCGTGAAATGTTTCCCGTAAGAGTGTCTAGTACTGCATTGCTGTTTCTGCACCATCTTTGAGTTCGCGACCACTGCTGGATGGTGTTCAGATGAAGAAACACATACACCACCTGCAACTGATTACTGATGCATTTTGCTCATCGTTAGACGCAATGCCCCATACCACTTGATATTCGTGGCCGGCTTAACGGCCTGGGCTGCGACGAACCCAACCACGATCCCCATTTACATGGGTAAAGAGCTTTATCTGGGCAAAATGGATGCCGTTGATGAAGGCGTTCTTCGCACGATGGCCGCCTCCATCGGCTTAACAGCCCTAATTTACTGCCATTACGAAGGGCGGGAGATCAGCCCCTCCGACCCGAATGCCTCATTGGCAGAGAATATTCTCCTGATGATGGGAGTCGTCGACCAAACAACCAAGTTGCCTGATCCCAAAATGGTGCGCATCTTGAATAGTCTTTGGATTGTGTACGGAGACCATGAGATGACGAACTCAACTGCAGCGAGTCTCCATGTTGGGTCTGGGCTAGCCGATCCCATGAGCTGCGTCAGTGCCGCTGCGTGTTCGCTCTCTGGCCCTCTGCATGGGGGAGCAATTGATCTCGCATACAAGGCCTTTGAGCGCATCGGCAAGAAGGAGAATGTGCCGCAGGCGATAGAAGATGTTAAAGCAAAAAAGTTCCGGCTTTCAGGCTATGGGCACCGGATCTACAAAACAGTCGATCCTCGTGTCAAACACCTGAAGAAGGCACTGGAAGAATTATCAGGCAACATTGCTGGGAATTCCCACTTGTCCGTCGCGTTGGAGATTGACCGAATTGCTTCCCAAGACCCTTACTTCTCTTCTCGAAACTTGAACACCAATGCCGATCTCTACGGATGCTTTGTGTTTTCTGCCATGTAAGTTTGACTTGACCCCCTTTTCGGCTCTTTAATCGACGTGTAACATGGCTCACGCATACATGCGCAGGGGGTTTAAACCCGAGATTGTGACGGCCCTGATGCTGGGGGGGCGAGTAAGCGGTGTTTTAGCTCATTGGCGTGAACAGATGGGTAAGCGTTATTCTTTGCACGGCCTTCTTTTATTTTCCATGTATGGGTTCCTATACTAACAGTGTGAAAAGGGAAACCTACCACTCTATGGCGGCCGCTCCAAATTTTCACAGGCGAAAGGGCCAAGTTGTGATTAGTCCTTGACAATGCCCGCGGACACCTACCATATACGTAACTTAGCTATATTTGATAATATATAATGAGAGAAAATTCGACTATGGCGTAAGGGTGGTTAAAACGGCTACTCTTATTAGATGTAGGAATGTATGGACTGTGTTGCTGAAGCTTTGATGGTCCGTATTGTAGGTTGGACATTGGATATAGGAATTGCGGAAAGCGGGAGAATGAGAATGGAGACGTCATAGCAATGAATCAGCCCTGATAAACTGAGAAATAAACACCTACTTGCCTTTGCAGGGTAATATATGTGGACGCAGATTCTCAAGATCTTGTATAGACGCTACCCACACAAGATCATGTTAGAATCGGTTGATGAACGGGCTTTGGATGCCGGTGAAGTAGATCATGAGCGCAGTATCGAGGTGCTGAAGAAGATGGGTAAGGACGAAGAAGGGTTTACGTCGTTGGAGGATAGCCTTGTCAAAGCTCTAGATGCTATTCTGGGGAATCAGCCCAAGAATGTGCCCAAGACGCGGATAGATCTTTATTACGAGTCCCCCGCTAGAGACTTAACTGACTAGATACTCGTCATGTATCTTATGGTCCAAGCCCTAGCTATCAATAATCGATATTGAAAATTTATACGAGGATATGTCTTGAATGTGACGTGGTCTTTACCATTAGGGCCTGTAATGCAGTGACAACTTTACCAATGCGATCCGAGCGATTCATAATATTATTTGGAGTAGGACTGTCTATTCGAGACTCCTCAAGTCCTCCTTCAAAAAAGTACATATCCCATCGACGAATGTCGATTCCGACTCTACAGGGACTCCCAATGCTCCGGGTTGCCACACGACGGAAATAACGAGGTTACCACCCTTGACACTAACAGCACTCAGCATCAACGGTGCACCCGTTGCGTCGACAGGCCGCGAAAAGATCATCTTTGTGATATTGCACTGGGCACCGCTTGCGGGGTCCTGAGATTCGGCAGCATTGAAAGCTCCCAGGTTACTGAGCTCGTAGGAACAATCTCTGTGTTTACCCATCTTGGCTGCAGTCCAGTTTCTGATGCTGGGTACATATCGCAGTAATCCCACCGGCTGGTCCTGGAGCGTTACCGCGCAGTCCGCCAGCTTCTCGGTTAAAGACCGCGCACAATGCCAGGCATCGTCGGACCAGGGAGACGCCCAATCATCTGCCCGCCAATGAGATTCATAACATGCGTTGGTAAAAAACCCCATATCGTCATCCGATATGCCGAAAGCACGCCTCATGTTGACTGCTGTCCCCGAAACGAAATTCCCAGCCTCGCTATTCGGAATCGCCCTGCTTAACGCTCGTACGATCGACTGGTGGATGGTCGCAGTAAGCCGAGCCCCATTTTTCCTTGCCACCTGCAGCACCTTCTCAACTTCGGGGCCTGGGATTTCGATCAATTTAAGGCAGCTGTGGAAGGATTCGGGCTCAAAAAACATCTTGACCCCGGTCCATGTGGCGGAATTGACGGCACTGGCAGTCGCGCGCAGTCCCAGGGCTTCCGTAACGAAGGGGGGCAGAAGAACGGCGACCAGTGGCCTAAGTAGAAACCGCCATGAGATGGGCAGATTCTTCGCCGTGTCAAAAGGAGCCGGGAAGTCGGCGACCGGAGTGGCCAGCGTTGAGCAATCCTCTTCGATGCGATCAAAGATCCCGTCTCTGAACGTGCGATGGAATGCAAGTGCAATTATGCCATCCCCCAGGGCGTGTGACAATGAAAACGCAATGAAGCAGCGCGTCCGTTCGCTACCTTGCAGTGTCGACGACGATAAAGGAAGAACGACGATTCTCCAGGGTGGAATCGACGCCGGCCAAGGCCGGTCCAGGATTGAAGGGAGTAGCCTCTCTATTTGCGCCATTTCATCGCCGTCGTCTGCCTTAGTGGATGCCAGTGCGCTGTTGTCACCCCCTGCCACGATAGAAATATGGTTTTCGAGGTTCATTGTCGGCACCCGTTCGAAGAACGCGGCATCGGTATGCATGTCTTGCACGATCACGCTCAACGACGGATGCTTCTCAATGCATCTTTTGGCGGCACCGAAGAAGGATCTACTCAATCTAACATCAATAGCCGACCCAGAGAACTCATAAACTGCCCCGATAACGAGTGCGTTGTAGAAACCGCAGTACTCTCGGCTAATCACACGCTGTTCGTTCGGGCCTGCTGCTGGTCAACGATTGAGCGCCAGGAAGCTTGCCCGATTCGTTACTTACTAGCAAACCTCATCTTGATGACCGTCTTCCTTTTTTCATATATCGTTCGTGCCCAGTGTCCAAAATGCGCTCAAGATCGCGAAAAACTTGTCTTGAGAGGCATTTCCGGGGGTAGGATGGAAAGCATATAAATAGTTGAAAAGGGATTGTCGATACTGTTGCGCAATGTCCACTCCGCTCAAAATCCGAAGCTATGTATACATAACTCCGTACTAAACCATGCTTGGTAGAAAGTCTGCGGTCCGTGAATTAATAAGACCGGGGATATCTTGCTCCTTCTGGCAAGGTGTGCGGACTCCAGTAGGCGTCGTGCTTTTGATTCGTTCCGTAGTCCCTCGAATTTAGATAGTTACTGTAGTTGGCTGGACCTCTGTGCGGTCGTTGTTCGTCCCCATTCGCGCTAAGCCCGCACAACAAATCTGGATCTGACTGGCGACGAGAATGCTTGTTCTGTGAAATCAATTCCGTCTATGGCTCTCAAATGAGTCAAGCTCCTAGGCCATGTCTCATAGCTCAGTGGCCAGTCCCGGTTTGTTGGATGGCCCACCCAATCCCACCACCAGCCTCTCAAAGCAGGAAACAAGATTATCCACGGGAGCCTGTGAGCGGTGTCATAGGTACAAGGAGAAATGCAGCTTCCGGACGGGGCAAGAAGCATGCTCCAGGTGCAAGGCGCTGGGCCAGCAGTGCCATCCGAGGCCGAGGAAACGTATGGGGCGCCGCCCTGTAGCCCAGAAGCTGCCCTACGGTACGACCTCCGTCATGCAGCTGGTCGAGGACAGCCAGAGCCACTCAGTAAACCCGATCTCTGGGGGCAAGTTCATCAGCGATAATGTAACCCTAACCAGCCTAACTGGGCATCCCCATAGACGCTGCCGCAGATCAGATGTGAGGATCCCGTACCCAAACACGGCGGCTCCGGTCGATGCTACAGCGCGGACTGGCTTGCACTACGGCCCCCCAAGTTTCCACGCTCTCCGGCTACCTCTCCAGGGCTCGTGGCAGGTCCACCAGCTAATCGACACCGCAGAGGGCTTTTTTCAAGTTCACCGCACCTTCATGCTCGGTCGAAGTTTCGTCGACGGGTTTCAGTCCGTGGTGCGGCGACTGTTCGCGCGCTCTCCGCAGGTTCTCACTGATGCGTATTCCGTGGCCTTCAGACTGATGAGCGCCCGGCATGCAACGTTCCCAAGCCTGGATGGTGATGACCTGGCGATCGGAGCTCGCTGTCTCCGGTCACTCATGGCGGAATCCTCATCCATCAAGCACCCGGAGGATGCTGCGGTAATAATTTTGCTCGGGCAAGCTTTGCTCGTCTACAACACCTTGATACCATCCCCAACCACCCAGGTGATCACACGCGGGACATTGCTGAGTGTCAAGCATTGGTACTCGGCTCTGGTGAAGCGGCCCTACCTGGACGCCGTGACTCTAACTCCCGTCCTCGTAGACACAGTTGAGTGCCTGGTTCGGAGAGATATGCCGGTGGTCCGGCTTCCGACCCCAGATCGCTGCATTATAGACCGGTTTTTGGGCGTTTGCTCGTCGCTGCTTCCGCTTCTCTATGACCTGTGCGAGCGGAGCTACCAGGCCAAAACCAACGGATTTCAGGAACACTCATCGCCTTCGAATCCTGACCGGCATGACACATATTCGGATATCGAACGCAAGATACGCGACTGGGCACCGGAACTACCACCGTGTTTCTTTACCACATTCTCGGCATTAGAGGTCAGTGTCATGCTGGCACAGGCCCGGTCCTACCGCCTCGCGACGTTGCTGGTTATCCACCGTCTGCGCTTTCCGCTTGGGGTCAATGATCGTGTCGGCCAATACTATGCGGGCGACATATTAAGAGAGCTTTCTATCCTAAAGACATGGCCATCGGATGAGGCAACCGGTCTTGGCCTGGATTTTCCGCTGTTGGTAGCCACGCTGGAGATGCCGGGGCCGGGCATGGACATCTATAAAGCCTTCGAGCCACTTAGGTTTCGCCAGCAACACTCTGAAATGATTCTGGATTTTATCAGGTTCGTAACGGCAGCACGGGACACCGGATACACTGGACTGTGGTTTGATTTGTTACAAGACCAGTTGCAGGGAGTTACGATAACTTAGATGTAGGCGGAGAATTTGCTCAATCCAGGATTAACCAGGCGCTGGAGATAATGATACCCAGAAGAATATGACAATATTGGGTAGTATAGATGAATAAGATGTGTAATCCGCCAGGCCTCCGCTGTGGTTGCCGAGCTCTAAGCAAAAATGATATGGACCTGAGATGCGTTCCAGTCTTCCTTCGACACACACTGATTCATCGTCTATCATGTGGACAAAGGCATTCACTAGGAGTTTCCATTCTATCCCTATTTCTTACACGATCCTCCCAGGAACCTTCAAACGGTCATCGTTAAGAAATCTCAACAATATCTTGACTAGCATTCCACACGTTTAGACTGCATAATCCGTTTTAGCCAGGTTTTCTTTGATACAATGGCAGCATGAATAAGTGGCACATCCGGGTTATCCATCCCATCAAATAAGTGGAAGGCACCTGGCCAGACGTGCAATTCGCAGGTTGAACCGCAACGCCACATATTCATGGCATATAGGACAGCGGGATCCCGGAACACCTCACATTCTGCAGCGTCGATATAGGTTGTTGGGAGATTTGACAGATCGCCTGCTCGGGATGGGGACTGATATGGTGTAACCCGGTCGGTACCGCGGTCCTCCCCAAGGACATGGGCCCACGCCATGCGATTCGAAAGGCCACACCACGGACTTCCGTATTCGAACTGCTGGTCTGATACACTTTCACATCGATCATCCAGCATGGGGGACAAGAGCATCTGACCCTTAATGGGGATTGTCGGGCACTCTCTGTCCCGGGCCATGAGGCATATCACTGCTGCCAGGGCTGCACCACCCGACACGCCCCAGACCACAATGCCGGCCGGGTCAATACCCAAGTTCGCAGCGTTCTCAGATGTCCAGACCAGTCCGGAGTAGCAATCCTCCGCTGGTCCGGGCGCGCGAGTCTCTGGCGCAAGGCGATACTCCACGGACACAACAACACACTCAATGCCCCCGAGGAGATCCCACAGCTCGGTGACGGCAGTGAAACGGTCCCCGGCGATCATGCCGCCACCGTGGATGTGGTATAAGGCCGGCAGCATAGCGGTGGTTGGTTCCTTGGGTGCGAATACCGACAGAATAACACTATTACCATGAGGACCGGGAACAGAATGCTCCGTGTGGTTGAGGTGTGGCGCGTTTTCGACCACAGTGTCGGCATTGTAGACAAATGCCTTCTCGTCATCTCCACCGGCCGATACGCCGCGCATGAAGTCGAGACTCACCTCTTCGGGGAGCAGGCATGAATCGATGATGGGTGCGAGTGTGGGATCAATGACTGGCCGTGGGATCTTGATCCGAGGATCGAGCTGTGCGGCCTCGGAGTAAAAGAAAGGATAGGTCTCCGGTCCTTTAGTCATTTTGAAGTGATATTACCGGCTGCGAAGAGGAGAAATTATGAACTGCAGTATGCTTTTGATTGAAAACAGTAGATATTCTGTGCTTGGAATTGACATGTTATGTGGTACGTACCATTTTCTGCGGGTGAGTGGGCATTAAATATGGGCAGATGAGGGGGGAGAGACCGTTAAGGATCAGAACAAAGAGCTTATTTAGTACATTTTTCATTGGTTATTACCTTTTGAAGGATGGATCCCAGTGACTGACTAATTAACAGACGAGAATAAGAGCTAATATTTAGAATGACTGGTGTATTTGAAGTTGTGTAGCCCACAGAATCAGTCGACTGCTTCCAATATATAGTACTCGGCAAAAGGTCTGCCACCAAGCTGGAGCCTAAAATGGATATTCTTAGATATTATGCTCATACTAGGTCTGGTACGTTCTGTACTTCTACATCAACTAAGCATAGATATAGATCTCTATATATGATGTTGCTTCATACCCGGGTTTGCACTATGAGTGGTTGCTCTACATCCCAAAGTTGTCCATATAACCATGCTAAGAGCAATGGGTTCCTAGTCTATTGTCTCTGTAATGTTGCAAGATCCATGCTATGTCTGGGAAGTTTGGGCTACAGCCTATATGCAACCCCAGTTACGGCCTTTTAATACTTCTCAAAGTATTTCTTGACGCCTTGAATGACGTGTTCCATAACATCTTCCGTCAGGACACCGTCTTGCCAGCTGAAACCTATCGCCATGGCTCCATTACCACCAGTGGCTACACTGACAGTAACTGCGGCTCCGGTGGCAATAGAGCTCCGGCTAATGAGCACTTTTTCTACCTCCCAGAGAGGAGTATCCTCGTTGGCCTTACGAATAGTGGGAGATGAGAAGACTCCAACATTCGTCACTTCAAAAGCTGCGTCGCGAGGCTTTCCGAACATGGAAACTAAGGCTGCAGAGATATCTGGGATGGTTTCGAAGACTGCAACCGATGTGTAAGGCTCTCCAGAGGGCGAGACATTAGAGAGGTAGTCATTTATCGATTTCGAAGCTTTCTCGGCCCCAGACCAGATATCTGTCGAACCAGGATTCGGGAAGTTCTGCTCGGGCCGCGTGAACTGTACCCTAGTCGCATCGAAGTACGTTCCAATCGCGTCATTTACAACTCCACGCGGTAGCTTGAGCCATGGTCGTAAGCTGACCGGGATAATGCAGGTGAGGGCCTCCACGGTCGGTGGAAGGATTCCAAACAAGACTGTGGCAACGATAGACGAGAGTGCAGAGGTTACTGATAGGTTCTTCTCTTTACATTCTTGAAAGAACGCCTTCGAGACGCTCGGGGACAGACAAATAGATGCCCAGCGGGAAGTACAAGGCGCATCTATGGAGTTACCCGTCCACTCCTGGAGGTTCGTTGCGGGAGGAGAGGGTGGACTTGGGTTGATGGGGAGAGGATGCAATTGTCCAAGGGGTGGGAGAAGCGAAGTGTCCTCACTCGGCACAACAGTTTCCTCTGCCTTGAAATCAGCCAATGGAGAGGCGGAAGCCGCCTCTAGAGCATTACGGAACGCATTGTGGAAAGCTAGACCAGAGACACCATCACCAATGGCATGGTGGTAGATGAAGGAAGCCGTAAACTCCGTCCCCAATCCAGGATTTTGTAGAATAATCAGGCGCCAAAACGGCAAAGTACCGTATTCGGACTTGAAGTTCGTGTTGTGCTGGTCCTCGAGGATTGAGTCAAGTTCTTTGTCGTCTCCATTGCCAGCTGTCGCTAAAGGCTGGGATCTTTTGAGGAAGGTAATACTTCGATTGAGGTCCACAGAAGGAAGAGAGGCAAAATAAGTGTCCGGAGCGCCTTCATTCACAGGAATGGCAGATAGGATGCGATGCTTGCGAATCACATCTCCTGTCGCGGCGAATATGAGATCACGCAGGTTGGAGATAGAGCGAAGCTTGGAATCGGACCCCGTCAGTCTGTAGTGAGCTGAGAGCCCGACATTGTTGAAGAGACCCATGTGATGGCAGGATGCTGAGACTTGCTCGAGCTTGCCTGTGGTAATGCATTAGACAGTGGCCAGACGTCCTTGATAGGCGGGGACATACCTAATGGCCGCAACTTTGCGAGCTGTTGGATGTATGCCATCTTCCAAATTTGTCATTAGTTGTTGGTTTCTGAGAATATTACGGAGCACTCTTGGGCTGGAGTTGCGTAATATAAGCTGAGCTGAACTTGATGTCGCTTGAACTCGGGGTCAGCAATATCTGAGAGATGTTTGTATACGGTACCTTCACTCTTATTATTGCCGGTGAACCCTGGCTAGATCGGCCTTAAGTCGGGGGATCTATGCGCAATCCCAGGCCCTCACCTTTCTATATAGCATCGGGACTACGTACCCTGGTCTATATCTGGTCTTACACATGCTGACCACTGCTGATAACTGCCTCAAATGTGCTCTTTGCTCGTGCATACTCGTGGGGGCGAAATCATCTTGATACGAGTGGTATGAATCACGCCGAGTCATCATGTACGTTCTTCATCTTGATGACTTGCAATGAAACCTCCGAGCTCCATAGCGTTCGGGGGCCCTGTTCCACACGCAAAATATTGCGGCTTCTTTCGGCAAGACGCTCCGGTTCTCGTATTCGGAGGCTTATGTCACTGGATGAGGCTTTGGGGTTATTAAAAAGGTTATGCTCTTTACCTGCGCATCTAGTAAATATCAACACCAGCGGGCTTTTCTTTTTTCTGGTCTAGTTGCACATCTGTAGTATCACAGGACTTGTCATTCCGTCTGCATCTGCATATTATTGTTGTGCTTTACAACCTATCCCCTTTATCATCAAAAAACATGCATCAAGACGCCGGATCACAGCCGGGAACTGCCTCAGAACAGTGGCTCATGATTCCGGATAGGGTGTCTGAAAAGGTCACCACCACACATGAGAACCCCCAAGATGGCCCCCGCGTCGGTGGTGCTGGCCCGAGCAATGACAACTCCTCATCCAAGGCCCTGGAACCCAATGAGGAGGTCAGGAAGACCTCTCGTCTCATCCTGGACATCATCTTCGATTATGCACTGAACAAATTCGACGATTCTAGGGATCGCCTGGAAGCGGGTGCGGATCACTTCCTGTCGATCATCGACCCGTTCGTTGCGGTGGGAAAGCGGGTCGAGGCTTGTCTCCCGGCATTCCCGTTCAAATCAGCGAACAAAGTATACAAGGTCCTCGGTAAGCTGCCCGATAAGGCTGAAGAGCTGGCACTGGACCGGTTGAATACGATGTGCACCCGGATAAGGGAAGTATATCCGCCTGGCGCTCAAGTCACCATCATCTCCGATGGTATTACATATAATGGTACGTTTATGGTCCCGGAGTTCGAGCCTACTGGACGCGCTTCAACCAGAAGCCTGGGTTAATGCAGTCGAGCCGGCGTGTGCCATTAGATTTGTTATGTATATCGGACCAAGACACTTGGGCTTACGGAGAGGCGCTCCGTAAGATGGCCACCAAGAAGAAGTTTCACTGGATCGGTTTCTCTAGAATAAGAGACCTGCTTGATTTCCCTCTGCCGGAAAAGCTAAGTGAGATTAGCTACGTCGCTAATTGTACTACGTTTCGCCGACTGCTCCTCAATAAGTATGGACGGGATGATCTCAATATCGACCACGAGATTAGCTCGAATCCCGATACGAAACTGACCTACCTCGGGTACAAGAGATTTTTGGAGTCGGATTTGAAGCACATCTTCCCCCGGGGGGCCGACCGGAGTGCCCATAGCTATAAGCGGGACTGCAAGTATCTTGCTAAGCAAATGCTCATCAGAGGATATGTGCGTGAATGGACGATCCACTCTAGATGAGCGAGGTCTCTGACATTGATTCTCGACAGGCTTTTGCAGGCGCGGTCAAGAACGCCTTTCCCAACCATTTGCGACTTTCTATTCATGAATCGGTGGGCAGTACTAAGGTCTCGATATGTCTCCTCAACACCAGAACCGGGTTTACGACTCCATGGCACTGCAGCGTTGCTCAAATCGCAGATGGAGAGTGGATCAGTGCTCCCATGGGTGAGTTCGGCAAGGACAACAATCTGGAGCTGGTGTACGAGGATGGCCGGCCTAGCTACTTCAAGGAGAAGCCACAGGAAGGGCACGCACTCGGCACCAGCGAGACCACAGCAACCTACCTCCAACAGGCCCGACTTGTGAGCGCGAGTGAGTATCTCAATGGAGCATCAACACCCAGCATAGCCTCATCCGCTGTAGCGTCGGCCAGCAATTCCACCACGCTCTCACCCCGTATGACCGTGGGCACCAGCAGAGCCACTACACCGGGGACACAGTCGCCTCTCAGCTTAGCATCGAATGGTCCGGATCTCACCGCGGAGGACAAGTTGAGCAAGTTAAGCAGTGCTCCATCCCCAGAGCTGGCTGATGGAGCTGCTTCGATACCATATGGTAAAAGACTGATCCCACAAATAATGGACAGTTTGGCCGCTGCCGAGCCGGGGCGTATTGTTTTCTCCATGACGACACTGTCTGGAGACTCACCTGAATTCAGGCCCATTTCTGCACGCGCCTTCACCCAGGCTGTGGACAAAACCGCTTGGTGGCTTCAGAATCAGGTTGGAAAGCCCAACTCAATTCAGCCTCTAGGCTACATTGGACCGCGTAAGTTGCATGCCGGACCGTTTTTTAAAAGTCCCAGGCACTGACTTGATTATTTACATAGATGATCTGCGACATGTTTTGCTGACCTATGCATGCGTCAAGGCTGGATATGCGGTAAGTTCAATCACCCCCCCGGGGATGAATATTTGCAACTAGCTGACAAGGACTTTCCTCCATGTAGGCATTGTTCCTCTCGCCAAAGAATAATACGGAGGGGGCACTTGCAGTCCTCGAGGCGACAGCTTGTAATATCTGGGTCAATGCTGGCGAGGTGTCCCCGGCCCCTTTGGTCAAGGAAATCCTGCAGAAACGGGCCATGAACGTTTTGCAGCTCCCTCTGCTCGACGAGCTTCTGGATGCCGCGTCCACCGAGCCTTTTCCATATACCAAAACGTTTGACGAGGCTATCAATGATCCATTCTGCTTTTTACATACCTCTGGGACCACTGGAGTGCCCAAGCCTATTCCTTGGTCTCACGGACTCATCGGCACCATGGATGCGGTGCGGCTGCTGCCACCGGTGGGCAACGATAACGATTTGCTGCCGTGGACATCTGATTGGAAGTCGGGCAATAAGATCTACTCATCATTCCCCATGAGTCACGTATGTATAACTGTTATTGATATTCCCGTAAGGTCATAGATGGATCGAACCTTGTGAGCTGACTACTCGAATGATAGGGTGCTGGTATTATTATGGATATTCTCATGCCCGCCCTCTTTGAGCTCCACTGCGTGCTGGGGCCGGTGGGCGTCCTACCCAATGTCAATCTGGTGGAAACTCTTGCAGAGTATGCGAAGATCGATATCTGGAGCATGGTGCCGTCTCTTGTTGATGAGCTGGGTGAAACGCCTGGAGTGTTGTCAAAGCTCAAGTCGTCCAAATTCATCTGTGCATCTGGCGGCCCCGTCAGCCCGGTGAGTGCTGGCAAGGTGAACGAGGTCATCAGGGTACTGAACTTGACGGGCACAACGGAGGGCCTGTTTATTGGGAACCTTATAACACCAAGAGAGGACTGGTTTTGGTTTTGCTTCCACCCCTACTCCGGCTTCGAATTCAAGGAAATCGAAGCCGACACCTACGAACATTGGGTGCATCGCAACGAGCACTGGCCCCTATTCCAGGGAATATTTCACACGTTCCCGGATAAGCAATCAATTAACTTCAAAGACTTGTATATGAAGCACCCCACCAAGCCGAATTTGTGGGCCTTCAAAGGACGAAGCGACGATCTTGTCGTGCTGTCTAACGGGTACAAGATATCGCCCCTGGAGACTGAAGCTTTTGTCACCACGCACCCTGCCATCAAGGGATGCCTTGTTTTCGGTACTGGGAAACCCCAGGCCGGCTTGCTGGTGGAGTTGAAGGATCCATCGCATAAGACCGATGAGCTTCTCGACAGCATTTGGGAAACAGTCCAGAAGGCGAATTCCATGTCTCGACACAAGAACCAGCTTCTGAGGGACTTTGTCACCTTTGCAGAGCCCGATAAACCATTTTTCCGCACGGATAAAGGCACTGTAAAACGAGCCGCAACCCTGAAGCTTTACACCGACTACATTGAGCGTTTTTATAGCTCGCGTAGCGACGATCTTGTTGGCAGCTTCACTATCGACATGAGCTCCACCGAATCAATCCAGGACAACATCCACAAGATCCTCGTGCCTTTACTCCCTGAACCTCAGGATGTCGGGCTGGACATGGACCTGTTTGCTCTCGGACTGGACTCTCTGGGTGTCTTTGCGGCTATCAAGACGATCCGAGCAGCTACGGGGCTAGGTGATCGGATTGCTCCTCGCCATGTCTATGGTCATCCCACAATTTCCGGTCTCTCTTCCACCGTCGAGCTTCTGTTGGCTGAGATGACAAGCGCCAGTGAAGCCGCCTCATCGGACCAGCCCGCCGCCGACGACGAGCTGGCTAACATGAAGACCATGATTACCCAGCACAAGGCGCGGCAATCATTTCGCTTGAATGCGTTCGACTATGTTAACCCTAACCATGGGATGGGCTTGGTCTTATACCTCCCACTGCGTGAAGGAGTTAAATACGAGCAAGTGTTTTCCAATCTACAGGAGGGTCTCAACCGGACATTTGATCTCATTCCCGCTCTCGGTGGCAAGATGATGAACTGCTCAGAGCAGGAGATCGGCTACACCAAGGGAGATCTCTGTGTCACCATTCCTCCGCGGTCTAGGGCCAACTCTGCCCACAATCGCCTGGTCTACAAAGACCTCTCTAGCGTTCTCCCGTCATTCGACAAGTTACGCGACGCAGGCTTCGCGCCGTCTGCCTTCAAGGACAGTCTTGTCCTACGGGATGACCCATTCCCCAAGATGCCCGCCCTTATCTTGGTCGGACAGGCCAACTTCGTCCAAGGTGGCTGTCTAATCGCCGTTGACCTGAACCACTGCTGCCTCGATGGCCTCGGCGCCATGGTCGCTCTCAAAGCCTGGGCTGAAAACTGCAGATATTTGCAGGGGGACCAGGCAGCAACATGCGACTGGTATGATCCCGAGAGCTTCAACCACAGCTTGCCAGAGATCATTCATGAGCAAGAAGGTTGGACCCAACCACTTCAGGAGGTTGATCCTGGGACATGGGGCTTTCTGCCATTCTTCCCCCCCGAGAATGAGAGCCAGACCACTACAATCCATGGTGAGTCTCGCCGTTCCAAAAATCTTTCGAATGAAGGGGCCCTTCCTCCTCGACCTATTTTCCCGCTTCATTCTGTCTGGCCACTGCCTCGCGCCGAAAGGTGCCTAAAGACAACCTTATTCCTCATCCCGCCCGACAAGCTGGAGAAGATGAAGCAGGACGTGATCGCCGACCCCGCGGCCAAGGGGGTCATCAAATCTATCAGTGATATTGTACAAGCTTTCTTCTGGCGCGCCGCCATCAGGGCACGATATCGCGTGGCCACCGAGATCAGAAAGCAGACTTTCGGACCTGAGGAGATGTCTATTCTAGAGCTCCCCACCGATGGCCGCCCATATTTTTCCTCCCTATTACCATCGACTTACATGGGCAGCCTGCTCATCTTGAATCGCTCCAGCATGCCTATCGAGACGCTCTGTTCTCCTAAAACAACCATTGGAGAAGTTGCGTTCCTACTTCGTCAGTCTACTACGCGCATTACTCCATCACTCGTGCATGACGCGTTCACGATTCTGCAGTCACTTCCGGACCACAGCCGATTCTCGACCGCCAACATGGGCCTCGAACATATGCACGCTATGATCTCCAATATGATGCTATTCCCAAGCGGCGAGATCTGCTTTGGAGACAAGTTCTTCGCCAACGGAGGCTCCCCGGAGTCTATGCGGCCGCAACTCGAGCGGGGGAACGGCCGTTTCCGCTTCCTGGTCATCTTCCCCATAAAGAAGGATGGCGGTGTTGAGCTTGTCTTGGGCACGCACCCGGAGGAGTTGGACATGTTCCAGTCGGATGAGGAGTTTACCAAGTATGCGGATCTTGTAGACTATTGTTACTAAAGTCAGGGGACTATGTAGTGTATACGTAGTGTAAGTAGACTTTTCAGGCTTCAAAACTATATTCCTTGGTGTATTCCATGCTTCCACTCTCGGTATGCCCTTGGACAAGGCTGTACTATCACATAAACCCTTCCAGAGCTCGGCAGAACTACGGTAAAAGACATGCACTTTTCACAATATCAAGTGTAGGGCCCCTGCTCTCTTACTCCATGCAGCCATCTTGACTCAACCCTCCATATAGCGGCAGTTCCTATCTACCACGGCTGATATTATGGGGGATATTGGAACCTTGCGAGGCCGTACCCACTCTGAGCGAGTTTTTTAGAATGCGCAAATTATTGCGCGGCTAATGCACCAGGAAAGTTGTATTCTTTCTCGGGTAAATTGCCTATGACCCATATCCCATTCGAAAAAGGGTACTATTCTCAGCTCTAACATCTTTATGGCAGAGCTATATTCGGTAAGATCTAGGGTTATTCCGAGATTTATAATGACGCTTATCCTAGAAGTATTGCTGCAATAAGAGCTTTACTAGGTACATGTTTATGCTGTCAGATCCGAGATTAACCAGGACTATAAATAACTCTCCATACGGGCGTAATCCACATTACCTAAAAGATGACCGAAATTGACTCATGTGAATGTAGATATATGAGCTAAAGATAATAAGAACAAGGAATAGACTGGGTTTTGAGTCCTACGGTGGCTGATATGATATAGGACCGGGATCGTGGGAAGTAATCTCGGATATAGAATGTCCATACTACGGTTACTATTAAATATGTGGTTGGCTACCAACGTACTAATTCATTTATCCCGTAGTTTGCTTGCATTCTCACCTCATACGATTCTCAATCGACTTCTTTGCCTACAGCTGTATTCCACCGAGACTGGGTAGACCATGGCCTCGCTGGACTCCTCTCACATCGGCGCCCAATCCACCCCATACATTTCCCAGCCTGACGACGAGGACTGGGACTGGTTCAGTGATGACCGCAACCATAATGAACCTACTAATGTTGTCTTGGATGACGATGACGAGTCTGCCCCGGCTTGGGAACCTCAGCTCGGCGTCCAGGATATCGAAGCTGTGACTGTTGCCTGGACCACTGGGGCTTTGGGCTTCGTCTACATCATCATTTGGCTCACTTATTTTGCTGAGGGTATTCTGTCAGCTACGACAGGTATCTTGGCCCCCTATGTGACATCCGATTTTGCCCTGCACTCGCTCACACCCACCGTCGGCATCCTGAGCAGTGTCATCGGCGGGGTCACCAACCTCACTCTTGCCAAAGTCCTGGATGTGTTTGGCCGTCCACAGGGATACCTCTTCTGCATCCTGCTTGCGACGATCGGATTAGGTATGATGACTGTGTGCAATAGTGTCCAGGCCTATGCCGCCGCCCAGGTGTTGCAGACCGTCGGGAATAACGGCATCCTATACAGTCTGGCCGTCTTTGTCGCCGACACTTCTTCGCTGCGCAGCCGGGGCCTAATGCAGGCCGTCGTCAGTTCTCCGAATCTGATTACATGCTGGTTGGCCGGCCCAATATCCTCGAGGTTTTTGAACGGACCTGGCTGGCGGTGGGCGTTTGGCATGTTTACGATTCTTGTGCCGGCCATTACCCTCCCACTCTTTAACACCCTCTTGAGGAATTACCTGCAGGCCCGGAAATTGGGTCTTGTTCCGAAGACTAACGGTGACGCCGATCTGACGGCCAGCGAGTCCCTTCTCTACTATTGTCGGCAGTTTGATGCAGTGGGTCTCGTTCTGCTCTCCACTGGCGTTGCCCTCTTTCTCCTGCCATTTAATGTATATGCCCTACCAGGGTGGAACTTGCCGCTGGCAATTGGAATCCTGATTACTGGGAGCATGCTCATTAGCGGTTTTGTGATGTGGGAAAGACGTTATGCAGCCATCACCTTCATACCGTATTCTCTCCTTCTCGACCGTACGGTTTTGGGCTCTTGTCTTCTCGCCGCTACGCTCTTTACCAGCTTCTGGTGCTGGAACAGCTTCTTTGGGTCGTACCTTCAGGTTGTAAATGGCCTTAGCGTCGAGAGTGCTAGCTACGTCGTGCAGCTGTATACTGTCTGCTCGGTCGTCTGCTCCATTGCTGTGGGGGCCCTGATCCACTATGCTGGGCGCTTCAAGCCTGTCTGCCTCTACGTCGGAATTCCGCTAAGCGGCGTGGGATCTGGTCTGATGATGTGCTTTTCCAAGATGGAAAGCAGCGTTGGCTATATCATCATGTGCCAGGTTTTCATTTCCATCGCTGCCGGCATCATAATGGTCTGCGACGAAGTCGCAATCCTTGCCGCTGCTTCGGATCATCATGCCGCAGTCTGTCTAGCGGTACTGGGGATGTTCAGCAATATTGGCAGTGCGATTGGGCTGACCGTGGCCTCTGCTATTTGGCAGGAGGTCTTTCCTAAGAGTCTTATGCAGTACCTCCCTCCTGCAGAACTTGCAAATCTGCGCGAAATATATGCTAACCTCTCAACCCAACTTTCATACTCACTCGGGTCCGAGACTCGGATTGCCATTCAGCATGCCTACGCGGACGCCCAGATGAGGATGCTGGCCGTGGGAACCACAGTTTGGATAGCAGGTTTCATGGGAGTCATCATTTGGCGAGACATCAATGTGATCGGTCTCCAGCAAAATAAAGGGCATGTTTGATAATTGAATCTAGACCTCTGGTTCTAGCAGATTATCCTCTACCTAGGTATATATATATATATATATATATATGTAGGTCAAGAGCCACGACACTCACGAATAATCCGAGGTGCCATTGAGGGCCAATAGCCCTATATACACGATCATTCCAAGTCGACTTTTGGTAGTCGGATTATGCACCTGTATGCTCTTTATCAAGGAACAAAATCAAAGCATTCATAGGCTTGTCCTCTTTATTTAAACCCTAATCATCCTGTTCGGTAGGTAACTATTTATTGGGCCTCAAGTGCTATACCTGACTAAGCCCTGAACCGCGTCTCCTTAACGAACGAACGAACGAATGAACGAACGGACGGACGAACGAGAGCCAGCTTGGATTCGCATGGATTCCGCCTGGATTCTCGACATTGACTGCAGGCTACGTTTGAGATCCGTGTATCTCCCGTCGAGGGGTTTGTCCATTTGCCATCATGGCCCTTTCCCCCGTAGCAGATCCTCTCAGAGTCTTCCCCCCTGAGCTTGTCCTTCGCGTCCTGGACTTCGTGCCCGTCTCTTCTCTGGCGTCTCTTACTCTGGTTTCAACCGCCTGGCACCGGTTTATTGACGTCACCCACCAAGACGCCATCTACTCGTCCGTATCCAAAACTGCCCAACCCCCCGGAAGTGGTCGATCGCTGGCCTTTCTGTCTGAGAGCACAAGCTTCTCCAAGTGGTATGGGGAGGATACGGCGTCATGGAAGGAGCTGTGCAAGCGACAGACCTTGCTCGCCCGCAACTGGGCCCAGCCACGCCCGTCCACTGGGGAGTCGCTGTTGCAGGTCGGCCATGACCCCGTCTGGCGGTTCCGCCCGGACTTCAAGCGGCGATTCTTCGTTTCTACATCGCACGCTGGGGGATTGAATGTCACGGATATGGATACCGGTCGCATCCTGTGGCGATTGCCCTCGACCCTGGATACTGATCATGAGCATGCAGTTCGCCCGTATGCCCATTTGGAGTATCAGGATGGCATCGCTGTGTTTGACCGGGATGGAGATGCCGTCGAGGTTTGGCAGGCGGATTTGGAGGGTGCCAACCGGGGGCAGTTTGGACGCATCGCCGTCTTAGATCACACTTGCCAGACCCGAGGTTTTCAGCTGTCATATTGGACGCTTTGTGTCGTCTCCAGTGAAGGACAGGGGTTCGTATATGATATGACGCAGCGACCGCCCAAATTGACCACGCATATGGAGATCGCGCACGATGCCGTCGGCCATCTGGACCAAGGCCCCGAGATAGTTGTCTACTCTATGGGTCCGCAAGGGTACCACGTTCATGACAAGGCGTCCGGTTCACTGCTGGGCGTGTTGCAGCCGTCCCATTGCACCGAGAAGTATCACATCCGCCCACCTCCCGCCAGCTCCTCGTACGCGACCGCGACGGTGGCAGGGGCTGCACTATACGGGCCACGACATCCGGTCTTCCCCCCCAGATCACACTGTAGAGACCGTTTGGTGCCAATCAAGGTCTCCACAGGCCCTCTACCGACACCGACCGGCCTTGAACATGCCTGGCCTGGCGAAAACGAATGGGGAGCGGGTATGCTGGACAACGACTTATTTGTAGGATTTTCCCGCGCTGGTCATGTATTCGTGTGCTCAGACTGGCGGAGGGCTCTCCGCGATCCAGCTAGTCTCGCAGCAACCAGCGCGATTATCGAATGCGAATCGGATGGGTCTAATTTCGACCTGGGGGGCTGGCTGTCGGTGCGAAATGGGCGGTTGATGTTCGAGATCCAAGACCGTATCTACGTCGTCGCCCTGGATGAGAATAACAGCGTCCAGGAAGTTAATCATCCTGTACGCGCTTCATACTCCTTGCTTACGGGCTCTGCACCGCAGCTCAGTGTGCCGGTCAGTTTCATGTCGTTATATGACGATGCAATTATGACTACCTACACGGTATGTACTACCACCTCCCGCTGATTACACAGACAAAACGGTAGAAAATTCCTTACCCTGAACCGTGCAGACCCTCGGCCGGCGGCAATCTCTTTTCGACCAACCTGGGGACATCCCCGAACGGGAAGACGAGCTCGTTGCTGGTATCTTCCCGACTGTGCTCATTCGGATTGTCAGCTTGGCCCCGGATCTATCCCATTGCACAACATCCCAAGGATTGGCTACCGATGCAGCGCAGAGTCCGACCGGAAGAGGCCCGTGGGACCCCGGGCAGCAATCCTTACCCGCAACGGATATCCGACGCCACAGCGAGAGGATCTGGCAATCGCTGGATATCTTGGGAGACGAGCTTGAGGAAGAGGAAGTAGACGAGATCTCGGAATATCTTGACGACCAGGGGTATGATGGCCCCTAGGGCCGATGACGATAATATCAAACAATTCTATCTATCCGGACGGGCAGCATCGATCCAAAGTTTCCAGACTACCAACATTCCCCGTAGCAGCGACTTATAGACAGTTTTTGTATGTACACAAAACAAACCTTAAACCCTCGCTTTATCACACATAATTCGGATGTCCTCTCCCACGGGCGTCATCGTTGCAGTCATCGGCCGAGTCAGAAGTGCTCTGCAGGCGAAGCACCTCTATGGGATGGGAAGCTTGATGTAAAAACATCCTGACCTGGCCTTTTCCGAGTAAGAGCCGTGGCAAAACACCTCATCCACCTTTCATTCAAGTGGTACCACCCGTTGCAGGCCCAATTGCTTTCGCTTGTTAGAGCCGCTCCGTTGAGTGGGCTAACCTATCATCTCCCAATGAACTTCAAGGGGGAGAGGACTACACCAGGGATTCACCGGATGTTCATGGATTATAGTTCTTAAGCTGAGTATATTGGCCCTGTACAACTGCGGAAGCTCATGGCTGTCGCTGCTTGCGAAAAGCTTGAGTTGCCCTGCTGGTGGAGAAGGCGGATAACGTGGAGAGCCATCCTGATCCTACTGGCAGGAGATCCTGAAGGATTTGGAGTAAGGGATGAATGTATTCCAGGGCACCAATGATTTAGCTGTGCAACCGAGCTTTCGCGCTATGGTTGATTAGTTCCTGCTATCCAACAAATCCATTGAAGTCTCAACGTCACATCTTAGCAATCATCAAAAGTGGCATTAAGACACGTGCAAACAAAATTTATCCTGATACGATATCATTGCAGCTTACTCCGTATGATGGCAGCCTAGATCGCTGCGTGGGGCACAGGGGAATGGGATTCGATCCCACTATGACAGGAAGCTATACATATATCACGGTTGAAAAAATTCGATAACCCGGCACAAGAACGACTGCTATCCATACCTCCCCCCAACATGGCATCTTCGTTGCTTCTGGCGTTCAGCCTGACGGCTATTGGATATGCCGCCGGCTCTCCCCAACATCCCTGGAAGGACCCCTTTTTTGGATGTCAGGGCCACCTCACTAAACCAGAGCAGCTCCATTTCAATTACGCCGGCGATCGCGGTATGATTGTGAGTTGGAATACCCCGGAAAAGCTTTCGTTCCCTACGGTGAGATATGGCCGAGGCCCGGAGTTGGATCATATTGCATTCTCGGAGGTCTCCGTTACTTATCCTACCTCGACGACCTACAGCAACCATGTTTTGATCAAACATCTTGAACCAGACACCCACTATGAATTTGCCGTCCACTGTGCCGACGAGAAAGAACGTCACCAGTTCAAAACGAGTCTACCTGCTGGTAACTCTAGACCGTTTGCGTTTGCGTTCTTTGGTGACCTGGGGACGATGGGCCCCTTAGGGTTGACCACATACGGACAGAAAGCAGCTCTGAAGCCGGGGGAGATAAACACAATGCAGTCGCTGCGAGAATTTAAGGATCAGTTTGAGTTCGTCTGGCAGGGTAAGCTGTCTGTCTGACTGGAATCGTGTAGCGTAAGATACTGACCCAGCTTAGATGGTGACCTCGCCTACGCTGATGACTGGCTCACTGAGGAGATCAACGGCTTTCTTCCCAATATGACCATTGAAGATGGAACCACTCTCTATGAGGATATCCTGAACACGTTTTACGACGAGATGGCCGGGAATGTGACGATGGATCGCCCATACATGGTTGGCCCTGGTATGTGACTTGATGGCGTATAGGACGCACCATCTCTAATACGGTAAAATCAGGCAACCACGAGGCGAATTGCGATAACGGTGGCAAAAAGGATAAAGCGACTGGCGTGAAATATACGGAGAGCATCTGCGTTGAAGGTCAAACCAATTTCACTGGCTTCCGCAACCACTTTCGGATGCCGTCGGAGCAGTCGGGGGGTCTGGAGAACTTCTGGTACTCCTGGGACTACGGCATGGTTCATTTTATCCAATTCAACACGGAGACCGATGTAAGCTCCATGTTAGAGAATCCGGTTCAAAAGCAGTCTTCTAACAAAAACCGATGCATAGTTCCCCGATGCACCCGACCTCCCAGGTGGAAGTGCGGCCGAGAACGCTGGCCCCTTTGCTCCCAACGGTACACAGCTGAAATGGCTGAAGGACGACCTTGCCGCTGTCGACCGCAAGAAGACTCCCTGGGTGATTGTAGCCGGTCACCGACCCTGGTATGTCGATGGTAGCAAATGTGATAGTTGTCAGGCAGCCTTCGAACCCCTATTGCTAGAATATGGGGTGGATATTGCGCTTTTTGGCCACAAGCATTTTTACGAACGGTTTACCCCTATTGCAAATGGAGAGCCGGACCCTAACGGTCTTGATAATCCTTCTGCTCCATGGTATCTGGTTAGTGGTGCAGCGGGTCATTATGCTGGTTTGGGGACGTTGGACCTACCGTTGGCAAACTATACAGACAAGGCTATTGACACGGTGTACGGATGGAGTCGATTTACCGTACACAATTGCACCCATATCACACAGGACTTCATTGGTAAGTTGCCCTGGGGGCTGGCATTGGAATAACCTAACAGGCTGTGACTAACTCTTGTGTGCCAAAAAAACTATAGCCAGTGCTAACGGTACCGTTTTGGATTCGGCTACGCTTTATAAGAACCATAATGGATGCGGCGGCCATGAGCATCATCATCATCACTAAACAACACGGGGTATTCCATGTTTTGCTGCTCTTACAGACATCCGAATTATATCAAACAGGGTGAGCTCTTCAGATTCACTGATGAAGCGTTCATCTGGTCGTCGTTCTCTTGGGATAAGCCTCGCCAGGTCAAATAGTTAGTATGGGGAAACACGTAAGGACCGGTGTCAAAGATCTCTCTTAGTTAAGGCTGTTCTAGCTGGTATCAAGGTAGGGAGTGGGGAGAAAGCAGTCTGTAAATTGCATACACTGTTCACATTATTTAACCTCATCCCGGTCTTAATTACTATCTAATACAATAACTTCCGACTCTGCCTCCCCTATGCTCTCCACATTTAGTACATCCCCCGCGTTCACACCGGTGATAAAGGCGCCATCCCCTTCCTCCAATATCGCATCCTCCCGATAATCCAGGCGAACCTTTGCCTTCCCATTCTTCGTCATGGGTAGGTGGACGTACACATTCCGTTTCTTCGTCTGGGTGACAGCATTATTCCCGGCCCCAACTGTCCATGCAAACTTCTGCGTTGGCTCAATAATACCCGCCGCCATCACAAAGTCCGCGTGGATCGGAATCGTCTCCGGAATCCGGGGGAGCGCGGCATCTTCCTCTGCGGCCGTTGCATCCGGCCCAGCTGCCAGAGGCGATAGAATGGGAACAAAGGCCTTGCGTTTGGCAGCCTCGTCGAACGAGCGGGTGTGATACTGCGGTTTCAACCCGTATTTCCAGGGAACGGCCCATATCTGCAGAAAGTGGACGGGTTTGTCGGACTCGTTTTGTTCGGAGTGCGCAATGCCTGTGCCGCCAGTGGTAAATTGCACATCGCCTCGTCTCATCCGATAAAACTGCTTGCCCTGGGCCCCCTCGGCGCCTTTCCGCACCATGCTATCGCGATGGGTGAGCTCCCCGCCCAGGATATAACTGAAGATCTCAGCATCGCGGTGAGGATGGGTGGGAAATCCATTCCGTGCAGCAACGCGATCCTCGTTCAGCACGCGCAGGCTACCGAACTGTGTGAACTGATGATCATAGTAGCTGGCAAAGCTGAAGGTATGGAAAGTCTTCAGCCACCCGCCATGCTCGGCGTACCCACGCTCTTTAGAGCGCCGGGCGACAATCTTAGCGTGGGAAAGAGGTTTGGACATTATTGCGGGCCTTGGTTGAGATATACTGATAGAGGTGAAGAGGAAAATCGTAGAGCAACAGCACCACCCTATCTATATATACATTCCATATCTGTCAAAAGTGGATGACGGCAAATTAGTCAAGAATTTGTAAGAACCCGCAGCAGCGTTCTGGAAGGCTCGTTAGTGACATCACGGATTCCAGCATTTGTCAAATATTAGCAAGCCCATGGAAGGTCCTTTGGTTGGAGGATTTCAACCCCCTGACAAGATATGAAAGAAGTTTCTAGTATGCATCTGGGTTGGAGTGCGTAGTCTTTACGTTCGCTATATGCCCGAGCAGCAGTTCAGGGTCATGACTATTCAATTCCCTACTTGCCATGAGTTACGATTGATATTCCAAGTTACGTCTAAGGCCCCTAACACTGATCTTGCTGCTCTTCGTCTACTCGCTGGCGGGACAGCTGTTTCGCAGTGATCTTTCCCACCCACTCGCCGATGTCCCGCATTAGCTCCTCCTTGATTCCATCCGGCTCGGCATGCAGTTGGTGAAAGCCGCCCTCAAACGATTTCCACGTCTTTGCATCCGGTTCTTGCGGATCATGGGGAGCTAGTCTATCGTAGAGTCGTTTCGAAATGGTGTGGGAGGTGATCGAGTCTTGGGACCCATGCGCCCAAAAGACAGGGCACGGGAGTCGCGATGCGAGATGGGAGGGAGTGGGCCGGTCGGATTCAGAGAGGTTGGTCAAGTCAGTTTCACGCTGGAGTCTGGAATCAAATTCTCTTCGTCAGCCGGGGAAGGGGCGGGCTAGTAGAGTCGGCAGCATAACTTACAGGTCCTTTAACCCCTCGAGAGTGCCAGTATTGTGGCACAGAGGGTCAGTCCGGTACATCTCCTGGACGCCCTGGTTTCGGCTCACAAACTTCACGTTCAGCGTTTGGGTGAATTTAAATTTGGGCCAAACCCGCGCTACCATCTTGCCAGCCTCGACTGTAAACCAACTCGGCCGACTGGCATCATCTAACCCGATGTAAGGAGCGTCCAAAATCCAACCCGCAATGGGCGGACGCTGTCCGCGGCTCAATTCAGGACTGGTGGACAGCAGGTAGAATGCAGACTCCTGGCCGCCCATGCTATGGCCCATGATAAAGAGTGGAGTGCGCTCGATATCCGGAATGCACGAGGCAATATGCAGCAGCGCTTCGTTGATTTCAAGCAGAATCTGTCGGGTTCGACCAATATCACCGCGTTGATCGTTCGTTTTCACCGATTTCCCCCAACCGCGTCGGTCCCAGGCGTGCACCTGAATGGGATAGGTGGAAACGAGGAGCGAAAAGAAGTCATCATAATGATCACAGCGATCGCTAAAGCCGTGCAGAAAGGCTACATGCGACTGGGGAGGTTGCTCTGGCTAGAGACAGTGGTGAACCGATCAGTTTCCTTGACATGACTCCTGGCACAGGGAGCCCCAGGGGCGTCCGACTGTTCTGTCCGGGCTTCACTTGTTACTCACTTCCCACACTCGCGAATATAATTCAGTGCCATCACTCAGCTTAAAACTGCTACTCGTGCTCCTGACCATGGTGTTTACAAGTTAAACGAGAGTCGATAGCGAGGGGGGAGGCGTGATAATATTGGGATGAGTTGGACGTGAGAAAAGCGGTGGACAAATTTACGGGAAGTTCCCCGAAATGAAGGGGATAAAAAGGACCTCGGCATAAGAAAAACTCGTAGCCTAACTGGATTTAGCTGAACATATTCCCGTACGCAGTCTCCGTGCTCCCCGTAAGGGCTTCCACAACAGTCCCGCTGAGGGCAAATCCCTAGAGATGCATCTTCCCCATTCCAGTTCCTCCCGGTAGAGAGACTAAAGGTACACCCGCTGGGTCAAGTCATATTTACCGCCAACAGACAGCTGGGGGACCTGAGAGTACCGGGATTGTAGTAGGGCTCGTGTGTTCTGTAGCACCTGTGCATCTCGATCAGTAACTCACCCCCGAACCATGTGGGCATAGGATAAGTAAGGGCTTGCTCGGTACCTGGATATAGCTCAGGTGAGGATTGCTCCTCAAGCTCCGGATAAATGCCCACGACATAGCCCCTAGCTTTCGGTCAGCGGCTGGAGGGTACTCAGTGTCGGGGGTTTGACGACTACACTCACCGGTCGCAAGGCCCTGGAAACTAGTATCTGCAGAGGTCTGGTCGTCCGCGCAGCCGCTAAACATCCATACGTCCTTTCCCTCGTTTCGCCAGTCTTCCGTGAAGTTCTCGTCGGCGAGTCCGTTCTCATCCGATGGCGCTGGCGGGTGTTGAAGTTGGGAGAAAAACGAGTGCGCTTCACCAAGAAAAGACTCAACATCGCGGAATTTTTCAACTGAGAATCCGCCGTGCAAAAGATGTGAAGCTTCGCGGACCAGAGAGATCCCTTCCCTCACATTGTTCATCAGGTTTACCCGGCCGTCCGCGTCTGGGCGGAAAACATAGGGCAGCTCTACCGCAGAGCCTGAATGACAGCAGTCAAAGAGGATGGTAAGTCTGCAGCGAGGGTTCAGGGGGGAAACAATGGCTTTATGAAGCTTCCGCGCGTTTAGTTTTATGGAAGTCCGAGAGTCAGGGGAGCGCAGGCAAAAGACATACAGTGTCGCTGGTAATCTGTCCGTTGCGCTCAAAATCCACGGGACAGATAGTGTCATCAAGCCTATATTCTATTCTATTAGCCCCCTGGCAGAGTTCCCGCATGCCCATGGGGGACTGGAGACACACCCATACTCTCGATCCCCGTCAGGGTTTTTGATTTGACCTACATGCCCCGTCAGTGCCGGACGACGATCAAGTCCCAATTCAACATACTGCCATGACCTGAATAGGAGAGCCACAACGAATCGCCTGCATTGTTACACGAGACCAACCACCTGAAGGCCGCCATCAGATTGGCCCCCGTGGGATAGAACGGGGTCCCTTGATTCTCCGGGACATCGGTCAACATAACCATGCTCCGTGGATCTGGGGAAAATCCACAGTCTTGAACGAGGTATTCGCCGATGTTCCTGGCATCATTAACGCATCCATTCAATTGGTGCTTTGACCCAACATAATTGATGCCGATCAAAAGGGCCTTTTTACGAGGCATGGTCGGATACATCGGAGGGGCTTATGCCAGCTCGGGGCAAAAGGGAGGGCTTGAGGACTATGAGGATGCGGAAATGTAGCTGCCTAAAGCTTGAAATATTGACATCCACGATATCCACAATGCGGCACGGATCCCGAACTACTTTGCGGCTTATTGTTATATGAAAACTTTACCAGAGGAAGGAGGCGCAATCAACAGCTGCTGTATAGACGAGAATAGCGCAATGAATTGTCTTCGGATCAGCGCCACGTTTTCCAGTGAAAGCTCTTCAATGAATTCGTCCGAAACTAAAGCAGTCATGACTGACAGCTGGGAACAACTGACTATAAATAGCCGATGGCTGAACCGGCAACAAGCATGGGTGTCCGGTGGGATCCGAAGTAGTCAACTTCAAGAGGCCAATCTGTATATGGCGCAGGATGTACTATGACAACTTTACCGTTCAGCTAACAAGGTGTCTAGACAACCATTTCGTCCTGGTATAGTATTGTCGTTGGTTGCTCAACATACTATATGTCAACGGAAGTTGAGGACTGCATGGGCATTACTTATGAAACTACTTGGAGGTCAAGCTATGATTGTTCAATATATCTTCTAGGCCCAACGTGTGAGTGCTTGTGATCGGGGGACCTGGATGATGCGGCAAGCTAGTCATTAATGACCCCCTCAGCCAGGGTCGGTATCGCACCGTATAATAGGTATATCTATATACAAACCGATGCTAAGTCAAGTCATCAAGTAACGGCTTTGGCGCAACCCGGCCGTGTTACCCGGTCTCCCCGATCTACCGGTCACCCTAGGTAAACCCTACCTACCTCGAATCGAATAGCCATGAGGACATCCGAGAATCTCAGTCGTATAACCCGGGTTTCGATCTGTTTCTCACAGGCTCAAGCCATTGGAACGCAGAAAGACCTTCACATTTAACAAGACTGAGCTGTATATCTACATTCATATGACCTAATAGTCATGGCGGGACTGAAAAAAAAAAAAAAAAAAACAGCACATAAGACACAGTGTCAAACATTACGCCATCCTCTTTGGCATAAAACTAATAAATAGCCGTCTGGATCTTGAATAGTCACCCCCCATTTCTCCCAGTACTCATTACTGTGTTGCACCCGTCTCCCTCCTGCGTTTATCAACCGCTCTACCACTAACGGATCAATCGGGCCGTCCATATAGATGACCAATAAATCTTCTTCGGTTGGTGAGGGCAGTATATCATCATCCGTGCAGAGCACAAGCTCTAGATGCCAGGCAGCATCAGACCAGCCGAGCATCAGCAGTTGATGACCACCCTCCACTTCATGAGCCGGTCCACTGCGCCACAGGACCTTGAGGCCGAGGCCAGCAACAAAAAAGTGCTCGATTGAGGCGAAATCCTTTGATGGTCGCGCTATACGAATGTGTGAGGAGGATGTCGGGACAGATCCCGTACCAGGGACCGAGGATATTGTTGAAGTCTCCGGCTCCGGATGAGAGGCCATTTTTGTGGTAGGATCTGGGTGATACTGAAGACTCCCTGCTCTTTTCTCTCTAGGGTATACTCTCGACTATTTTAAGCCAGTTTCTTTATGCTTATATTCCAGGACTCGTCATGAATCCGGTCTGGAAGCGACCACTGACTAATGGGACATTTGTCATCTTGCAGGACCTAGTTAACTAGTTAGTCAAATATGAGTCTCGAATCATGGAACCATTACTTGATCCCGGAAGAGCTATACCACTGGGGTAGACCTAATGATACTTGCAATGGTTTTATTCGAAGAGCCATGATGAAAGTGCATGTAATGGCCACCAATAGGAATATATGTACCAGAGAGCACCACAGAACGTAATACCTGCCCTCGCGATAGAAGCCTGATCTAAAAGCCCAATTTGGCAGTCTGACATCCATTCGCACACTTTATACCTTTTGACGACCCTATGCGTCAGAGTGCTATCAATCGCCTGCACTCTGCTGCTGCCTAGCTCCTGCACCACTTGGCCTGGGGTGAATCCCATTAACCACTGCCTGTTTCCAGAACAGCTACAATGATGGACAAGAGGACCGTGATCCAACCCTTCAGCCCCCAGAGAGCAAGAGGGAGGTATTTTTCCATTTCTGGAGCAGGCAGATGCGTTCACGTCGTTACACCCTCTCCACCATGGCCCCTCCTTTCGTGTACAATAGGTCAAATATGCGGTTGCACAATTAGTAGGGGACTATCCACCTTTCCCCGTTTATCTTCGCAGCCATTCCTGATGAAGCATAGGGTGCGCATACCGACTTTACAAGCGTCTCTGACCAATCATAGCCATTTTCCCGCAATTTGAAGCGGTGATGCCGCACGCGATGTAGTGCAGTTGAAAAATCCAGTAGTAGTGGAGTTATCGTTCTCACGACAGGTAAAGAGAAGCGAGAGTAGGCGAATGGCAGTGGACACAAGGCCCCAATCATCAATTTTTACATTGCCCATGTATGGGAAGCGTTTGGAAGAAAAGAGATCGACTTCGGAGATATGTATAGGGATGGAAGATATGGCAGGTATTGAAGTCCACCCTGGGGCAGGATCATTCATTACCTTTACTCGCGCTCCCAATGGATTCTTAATCCTTCAGTGACTATGCCTAAAGTCATTCCTACCATCACCGGCCGGCCCTCGCTCTCATTATCCTTGCAGAGTTACACGCAGACAAAAGTCGTCTAGCTAAAGGATGTCACTTTTACGGTTGCCCTCCGAACTTTTGCTCTTGGTGTGTGCGTTGCTCGAGGCGGAAAGTAACATAAATGCTCTTTCTCAAGTCAACCGCCAACTTCACTTTCTCGCTAATCCATACCTTTACCGCCACAACTTGAAGAAGTCGGGAGGTTCGGCGCTGCTATGGGCTGCGAGACATGGAAATGAAGCCACGGCCAGAATATGTATCCATGAGGGCTTTGAGATTGATACTGTAGATTCCTCGGGATCAACGGCATTGTCGTGGGCTGTGCGGGAGGGGCATGAGACGATTGTCGAGCTCCTAATGAAAACTGGAGAGATTGATATCAATCTGAAAGATTCCAGCGAGGGTCGAACCCCCTTATCCCTCGCTGCTGAGACCGGACACGAGGCTATCGTGAAGTTGTTACTCGACACAAATCTAGCCGATGTGAACTCACGAGACTTTATTCTTGCAACGCCTCTGTCATATGCTGCAGAGTCGGGACATGAAGAGGTGGTCAAGCTTCTCCTTCAGGCTCAGCTTGTGGAAATAGACCCAAAAGACTCTACGGGATCAACCCCTCTATCTTGGGCCGCGGAAAACGGACACGATGCAGTCGTCAGCCTTTTACTCGACACCGGACAGGTTGATGTGAATTCAAAGGACTCAAGGGGCTCAACACCCCTCTCTCGGGCTGCCGAAAACGGATCTGACACTGCTGTAAAGTTGTTGATTAAGGCCGCAAAGGTGAACGTGAATGAAAAGGACTTTAGTGGCCGAACACCACTGTCTCGGGCCGCAGAGAATGGCGATGAAAATATCGTTCAATTATTGCTTGAAGCTGAAAAGGTTGATATCGATGCCAAAGACTCCGGGGGATTGACCCCGCTATCCTGGGCTTCAAAACAGGGACATCCTTCTGTAGTGAAACTCCTGCTCGAAACAGCACAGGTGGACATTGACGCACAAGACCTCATGGGCCAAACAGCTTTGTTTCACGCAGTGGTGAATGGGCATGAGATGGTAAAGGACGTCTTGCTAGGTTCTGGGGAAACATATCACTGAATTTACCATTCCTGTACTATTACTTATGCATATACTTTCATACAATCCTCGCATGGTGCTACTAGTAAAAATCTAAAGTATTGAGAGACATTCGTGCCAGCAAGATGCTGTAAGTGAAAAAAAAGATTAGTTATATTGTTTATAACCAGCATGTGGGGGGGATCATTCATGTAAGAGCAGTTACTACCCGGAGATTACTGAGTGAGCACTAAATATGAAGGAACTATCTTCTCATGCATACCAATACCTACTTTATAGCATGATATTGGCTGGTTTTAATACCATGGGCTTAAAAGTCTCCCCCACCCTTCAGTGATGGCCAAAGAGCTTCCTTCGTCCCTACCCTACCTCTGTCAGCTAGGCACCAATGAAGGGGGGGGGATATTCCCAACAACAGACCGTCTCATGAGCCAAATGCCATCCTGCATAGCGGTCAACATAGCCAAAGTGATTTCCCCGAGGGCCGGTGCTCCACATGGTCAAGCCGCGGTTCACACCCGGACGTCAGAGTTATATAGCTGCTCGTGCTAACGCTCCGTGATCGTGCTGCGGAGTTGACAAGGGACCGAGACCGAAGACGCCAGAAAGACAGGCACTGGACGAATCCCGAGCAGACAGTGCTGGGCAAATCCACTTACCATGGCGAACATGAAGAATACTCGTACGGAAGGAATCCAAGGGATAGTGGCAGCGGAGTATTGGTGGAGAAAAGTCCTTTCACAGTAACTCTGAAACGTGCCCACGCCTTAACAGGAAACCTGTGAGCGCCATAGCCGATAACAAGCAAGGTCAGCGAGTCATACTGCAAAAGATCGTACATCATCATACCCCTAAAACCCCTCGCCATGCCGTAACGCCTCCATCAGATGCTGGATTATCGTGGTTGCCGACGACATCTTCTCCAGGGAGAGCTTATCACTGAGCCTATTCTCGGAGCTGCTCTTAGAACCTCCATCTAGCCCCGTGTTCGGACTTTCGTTTACTTGAATGGATTTGGCGGTGTCCATATTCCACCGGAGTCTATTCTGTTTACATTTGGCCTCAATGGATGCCGAGAGGACAGCCTTTTTATAAAAGGGGATCAGCAACGGCCATACCGAGCAAGATCCCGGCCTTGGTCGTTGAATTCTTCAGGACAAAGCAAACTCGAACGCCCACAGGGAAAGGGTTTGTTTGGAACTCCGATGACATATGGGTTCAAGGCTATACGGATTTCTAGTGATATTGTCCAATCTTCGGGGACTTGAGATAACGCGTTATGTTGTGTAAGAAACGAGCGATTACTGATGTTTAAAAGTCTATGCCATGTTATTAAATGATGAGAGGTCGTCAAACTATGATGGTAGAAAGTTGACTGAAATGAATTCAATTTAGGTCTAACTAGGAAATAGAGAGATGCTTGGAGGAAGTATAGAGATCTAGAAGGAAACAGTGGCCTTAAATATATAAAGTAGTTATGTGTTACTATCTTCTTCTTTATAGTGATACTGCTTTATAGTAGTGCTAATTATATTTATTAAGTATAGTACTCTAATATACCCCCTTTAGCAATATGTCTATTATATAAAGCTATTTAGAGTCTATTTTTAACCTGCTAAAATCTAATTTCTTAATAAATTTATTAAATTTTGTAATTAGTAGTATCTTAGTTAGTCTATTAGTAATATTATCCTCTCTACTAACTATTTATAGTTAAATTCTACTATTTTTAATTATTTCTTTAATAAAAAAGTAGTAAATATCTATTTAGTAGAGTATAGATATATAATTTAGCTTCTTTATTAAAGTAATAATATTTATAGAATTAATATATAAAAGTATAGTACCTTTTATAGACTTTTCTAGTCTAATAGTTATATATAATTTTTATAATTATATAGCTAGCTTTATTATTATATTTTATATAATAAATTTAGTAATAATTAAACTTAAAATAATTAGTAATTACTTTACTAATTTTTATATAATTAATATTCTAAATATAAAAAATATAAAGCCTTTTATTAATTTCTTATCTTTATAATCTATATAGGAGGCATTAATATATATATATAATAGATTATCTAAATAATTTAAGACTATTATATAATCTAAGATCTTCTTTAAATATTAGAAAACTTATTTAACTATATTATAATTTAACTTACTAAGATTATAATTTCTCTATAATAATTATATTATTATATATTAAATATCTAGTTAGGTCTAAATAATAATCTAATTTAATAATCTAGTTAGTTTCTAGTAGTAGATAATATTATCTTTATCTATAGAGATATATATAGTATCTAGAATAATACTACTAGTATTTAGTATCTCTCTAGTTAATTTCTATCCTAGAATTATTAGTATATAACATGGCTAAAGACTATAAAAATTCTATTTATAAAGTATCTTTTAAATATATATATATTAAAATATTAATATTAGATTACTAAGTAGTCTATAAATATTATATCTTAAGAATTATATAAGTTTACCTAATTACTTTAATTTAAAATATTTTTCTAGCTTATCTATAAATTATTAAATATTTACTTTATTAGGGCCAGCAACTATTATATTATTAATATAGATAATAAGTATTAGCTATTAATTTAGATTATAATAAAAATATAGGTCTTTATTAATTATCTTTATACTAATTTTTACTAGAATATTATAAAATTCCTTATACTAAAGAAATACTAACTATTATAATCTATATAGGGTTTAGAATAGTAGATATACTATATTATCTTACTTATTAAAACTAGTTAGTTAGTATATATAGATCTTTTAATCCTTAATTATTATATTAAGATAGGTAGTTACTATATTAAATTATACTTATTTTAAATTAAAATAAGTAACTATACTTAAAAATAGCTTTATTAAAGTATTTACTATTATTAGGGAGTAGACTTAATTAAAGTCTATACCTAATTTTTAGAAGTTTCTATATATAACCTATCTTATATAGAATTATAATATATTATTATTTATATTTAACTTTAAGTTATATACCTATTTTCCTAGTAAGACCTTTATATCTTTTAGTAATAGTATAAATTTATAAGTCTAAATAACTTTAAGTTTACTAATTTAACTTTATATTACTTGTATCTAGTAATCCTTTTATAGTAACTTTATTACTTAAGTATAGGTCTATAGGATTCTGACTTTATAAGTCTTTATAGACTTAATCTCTAGTATAAAACTACTAGGATCTAGTAATACTATAATAATTATATTAGGTAATTCTCCTAGCTTTAGATAAGATTCTAGTAGATAAGGTATTTCTAGAAGTATTTTTAGAGATAATATAGACTAGAATTAAGATTATTATTTCTATTTTACCTTCTCTTCCTATAGTTACTTTGCCTGCTTATCTTTAAAGTAAATACTTTAGTATTAACCCTTTATAAATCTTAAAGATCTTTATAAAGTAGTAATACTACTACTAGTATTATTACTAACAGGATTCTATACCTTTACTAGGTTAATTATTTCTATATTCCTAATATTAAATTTAACCTACTTTCTAGTCTTTAAATACTTTCTTTTTAATATATCTAGAGTTATTAGAGTATAGTTATCTTTAAAAAGTTCTAAAATTAGTAAGACCTCCCTATATTAGGTAAATAACTCTAGAAACCTTTATATTAGTTATAATATTAGTATCTTTTTAAAAATAGGTTAACTAGTATATAGATTATCTATAGTAAAATAGTTAATTATTTCTTTATATCTACCCTGCCTAGATTATTCCTCTATACTAGATCTTACTATCTCCTCTATATTCTTACTAATTACTTGATTATTTTACCTGGTAATAATTTTAAAAATAGCTCTGGAGGCAGGCCCAGAGGCAGGTATCTACTCTAATATAATAAGCTCGGTAGTCTTGGAGATAGCCCTAGGGGCAGCCCCAGAGGCAGGTGGCCACTCTAGTATAATGAGTTTAATACCTGCCTCTAGGTTAGATAGACTTAGTTTAGATAGGGCTAGATTAGGTATTAATATTTAAATTCTTCCTATAATAACCTTATTATTATTTACTAATAATAAAGTTTAGGAAATAATATTATTTTAAGATATATTATTATAGGTTATTCTTCCCCTTTTAATATTAATAGGTATAGTTACTCTAGATAGATTATTATTATTTAGTTTTAATTTATTAGGAAGTCATGATTATATTTTATTTATTTTATTAATATTACCTTTATTAAATATTATATTCCTTAACTAAATTATTTTCCCTATATCTAGATACTATATCTTATAGATATAATCTTTATTATATCTAATTAATTAACTAATTTTTACTCTAGATAATATTTTTATACTTTTAACTCTATTCTTATATAGGATATTTATAAATACCTTATATCCTTATATATAAATATATTATAGATTAATATCTCTAATTAGGATATTTAATTCTTTATAAAAAAATTATATAAGTAGCTTTCCTTTATTATTACCTTTCCTAACCAATCTATTTAAAATATAGACTACTATATTTATACTATATAGTCATATAATTAGCTCTATTTTTACTTATATATATATTATGCGGGCAGTCTAGATCATATAGCTACTAAACTATTTAATAGCGCCATTTTCCTTAGGGGTTTATGGTAGTATTGGTTCATATATAGTACCAAAATCCTTGCTTTACCTAGCATACTTATTAAATTTAGGAGTAGAGTTAAATCTAACCCTTCTAATATAAATACTAGTTATATTTAGCTAATTATTATATATTTCCTTTAATACTTTTAAAGATTTACTTTTTACCTTTAAATATTATATAAAAAGGTATCTAGAATAATTATCTAAAACTAGTAGAATATACCTAATACTATTTCTTCTAATTAATTTGATTTTTTAGAGATCTATATATATGAATTGCAATAATTTTATTATATATAATTATGGTTTTTAGAATATCTTTTTCTTTAATTTTAATAATTAATATACTTTATAATATAGTTTAGTATTCTAATTAATAGCAGGCAAGTTATTAGTAACTAAGTTATTACTTTTATTATAAAGTATTACTTTATTATACTTTAATTATTTGATAGATAGATAACCTAATTATTGATATAATAAGTCTATTAATATAGTGGGTATGATTACTGCCTTATTTAGAACTAAAAATAGGATATTATTATCTAAGACAGTATATTTAATTACCTTATCTATTACTATCTTATAAATATATTAATTTTTTAAGTTAAAATAGATTCCTAATTCTACCTTTATTCTTTCTACTAGTATTAGGTTATATAATATATTTAGATTCTAAAGATATTCTATTTAGTATAATATTAAAGTATTATTATCTAATTTAAATTAAATTATTACTTTTTTATAACCTTAGGGATATACTACCTTACTATTAGAGGTAATAAAATCATAATTCTTGAAGCTATTTAAATCTTTAATTAAATTATTAAAGAGATCATGATTATTATATATTATATAGCCTGCTCTGGAGTTATATAGCTACCTATTCCTAAAAGTAGTTAATATTAAAGCTATTAGTATATTAACTCTAGATAGTATAAAATTATTAGTATCTAGAATAGTATTAGCTTATATAACTAGGGTAATAGCTTAGTTTTAGATTAAATTATTCTTATTCTTTAACTTATATAGCTTAAAATATTAAAATATTAAAATTAGTCTCTATCCTTCCTTCTACTTATTAATTACTAAATATAAATAATTCTTAGTATTATGTTTTTCCTTCTTATAAAATAGGTATAGTATTCCAGGTTTCCTAAATTATTTTAATTAATAATTAATATAGCTAGTAACTATCATATTCTATAATAGTATATATTTCTACTATTACTACTACTTCCTTCTATTATTTATTATTAGTTAAGAATTTAGTATATTTATAGCTAGTATTATAGTATTAAATATAATATTAAATAATAAATTTTCCTAAACCTTATCCTTTACTATATTATATATAGTATAAAAATACTTCTATATAGTTATTTTAATAGGATTATTACTTAAATTATTTAAGATTAAATCTATAAAACTTATATTATTTCTTTTAAATTCCTAAAATATTATAGTAATTACTTAATAGAGTATAATAATTATTTTTAATTTATTAGAAATATTTATTTTCTAGATAAAGTCTAATATAAATTTATTAATAATTATATAATTTTTATATTTAATCTTAATAATTTCTCTTTATATCTAATATATATATCTTTAATTATTACTAATAACTATTCTTTATAACTTCTATATAAAATTATCTATAAAAATATATAGAATAGTATTTATTAATAGTTTCTTTATTAGTTTCTTACTTATTAAATATAATATCTAACTAGCTATTATTTATAAAAGAAGTTCCTATAATTTATATTTAGAATTATTAAATTATAGTCTAGAAATATTACTTTTAAGAAGCTTATTTATCTTATAAAGCCTTAGCTCTATTTATATAAATAAAGCCTAGATTTTGAATTTTAAATTATTTTCTAATACTATTATTAGGCTCAAGTTAAATATACTATTCTTTAGCTTTATTGCTTGATTTCAGCCATCAGTAAACAGGGTAGTAGCCATTAAAGGTAAGTGTAGTAAGTTAGGGATATTAGGATATCTACTAGGAGTAGGTTTAGTTACTATTTTTAGTCAAATTATGGAGATTTTCCACATACTATCGCCTAGGTAGAGTAACATAATAGCAGTATAGGTAGTATAACATAATAGTAATAGGTAATATTTCTACCAGGATCTTTTTCCAATCAGGGAGCAGATTTCTAGTATAGAGGTATAATAAGAGTTTTTAGAGGTCTATAAAGTATAAAATAGAACCTTAAGAAGGGCTTATAACCTGATAAGAGATCATCAAACTATAATAGTAGAAAGTTAACTGAAATGAATTTAATTTGGGTCTAACTAGGAAATAGAGAGATGCTTGGAGGAAGCATGAAGATCTAGAAGGAAACAGTAGCCTTAAATACACAAAGTAGTCACGTGTCGCTATCTTCTTCTTTATGGTGATGCTGCTTTATGGTGGTGCTGATTGCATTCACTGAGTGCAGCACTCCAACATTAAATCATTGTATTCGTTGATCAGATTGTCTTATAGGGGCAGAACCCTTTTTTCAAACGAGACACTGGACAAGATACCCAGTCCACTTTCAGGCCGCCTTTTCGCTGTTAGAATTTTCTACAGAGATCTCGTGCACCGCGAGCCTCTGTTCCCTCCATCGAGGTCCAAATTTTATTACCAGCACTAACAACGGGGCAGTGGACAGCATGACTAGCGCGATGAAGGTGAAGCACCAGCCCCTTCCCATCGCACTCAACATGGGGTCAATGAGAGCAGTTGCCCCAGCACCTAGCAAACAGCGGACGAAGTTATTGGATGCCGTTGCGACAGCGGCATTCGTAGGATAGAGGTCCACGAGCAGGGTACCGACTGTGTTGAAAGCTCCGGTCAATGTTAAGCCCATGAAGAAAAGAATGGTGGTAGGGGCAGCAAGGTGAACGGCAAAATTCAGACACCAGCCAAAGGCAATCACCGTAAAGCTGGCTATGGTCAGGAGAGGTAGGGCAATCTGCAAACGGGCCTTTTCGATAGGAAACCCTTTCAGGTTACGAGATCGAGTCTCAAGGAGAGAAAAGCCTAATGGCTTCGCTAGGCGACGGTAATTCCGATCCAGTAGTTTCCCACTGACGATTGAAGCTACTGTCGCTCCCAATCCAAACGGGATATAGCATAGCCCGATCTGAAGGTCATCTAGGCCATAGAGCTCCTTATAGATAGACGGGATAGATGCGCTGACATCGTAGAAGCCCGCAAAGAGAAGAGCATTGGAGAGAAGAATTATTCCTGTATCCCTTTGGAACACGATAGAGAGCGTTTTCACGGGATTGGGGAACTTGAGCTTGGGACGAAGGGCATTCTCCTGCGGTGGTAGCTTCCGCGTCCTCAACCAACTGACGATCGATAGATTCCAGGCCGGGGGAGGAATTGATCCATCACCTACGATTGCGCGGGCGGTTTCGGGAAAGAACAAGATGAATTGAACCAGAAAGGCCGCTGCAAAGATAATCAGGAACCAGAAAATTGCACGCCATCCGAGATATTGAGACAGAAGACCGCCGATAATGGGCCCCAGGGCAGGGCCTAGCAATGAGCCTGCAGTCACAAAGCCCATATAAGACCCACGCTCTGCCGCAATAGCGATATCAGCTACCACGCCTGATGACAGGGCTATTGTAGTGCTACTGCCGGCACTCTGCAGACATCTAAGAACAAAGAGGGCGGCAAAATCATCTTGCAATGCGAGGCCAATATTGGCGGCGATATAGATAATAAAGCACACAAGATAAGCTGGCCGGCGACCAGCTTTATCGGCAAAGTCACCGACAAACATGGGAGATAATCCTTGGAATATCTGTCAGGTTGGACTGGTCAGTCTTTCAATCAGCCACGCGAGTCGTTGGCATTGATATTGGTTACCATATAGCTTGTGAGGGTCAGATTAATTAGCGAGCTTGACACATTTAGGTCGTGGGCCAGGCTGTTCAACGCTGGGAAATAGATCTGCGATGATACCGGTGAGAAAAAGCCCGCCCATGATGCCGAGAAGACAATGTATCTTTTCTGTGACTTGGTGAAGACGGAATACGGCGTATGTGAGTCTCTTGTCGTACTGGGTACTAAAGCTCGCTGGTTGGCGCTGCTGCCCTTACTCGGTTCTTCTTCGTCTACCACTGTTGATGCCATCCTTGCTTATGGTCTGCAGTTTCAGCTTCAGTTTCCTAGGAATGGAATTATCACCATCCCGCAAGATGATGTTGTCTAATTTCTCAGAACAGTATACGATTTGATAATATGTGCCACTCCAACTCTATGCAAGGGAGGGCGCAACAATTCAAGATACACACTAATTAAATGAATGGGTAGGGTTAAAGGAAAGAAAAAGGCAAAGAGAGAGAGAGAGGGGAGAAAAAAAAAAAAAAAAAAAAAGGACCGACACAGGAATGGGGATACGACGATAGCCGACAAAATTCAGATTATCAACCGAGGGGATGCCGAAGTAGAGTGGGGAAATGCAAGCTCAAGAGACCATGGCAGACGGCGCCTCGATCCTGATCTGATATACAGAGTATTCAAAGCCCAAGCTTGCATCCTTAAGCGGGATTGGTATTCCCGTCATTATCCGGACAGAATCAACCACTCACAATGGCATCCATGCATAAGGGCCCGGCCCACACTACGCTAGCATTCCAGAATTCTTGCGGATCAGGTCCCGTTTACTTTCCGTTGATTGATTTGCTAAAGCTTTCTCGTTCTCACTAGATGCTGTACGGAGCCAATCTTAAAGACCAGTTCCTCCGGGATGGAGAATCAAATCAGCTAAACGAGACAAATGGGCTTCCTGCTTGAGGGTATTGTTGATAAGGTATGTCTTAATAAGGGCAGGAGATGTGCATGGATTAAATAATAGAAATGTTAGCTACCTACGAGGTGATTTAGAGATCTTTATATGTGATCCATGGCTATACATGCCACAGCCTTTACAGGAATGATTGTTTCCAGAAGACAACATGAAGCAAGCATAACAAACAAAAACAAAAGAACTCCACTCTGGTGCCTTTAGCTTCTCCCTAAATGGTGGAGTCCCCAGTGAAGAAATCTGCTGTCTTGCGAATAACGGACTTCTTGATTAGGGCTTCAGGATCTCCCACATAGATGCGGCGGGAGCTGTCGAGGTCAATGTCCTGGGCCTTGATCCACAAGGGGCCTCGGAAGTAGATCTTAGCGATAATATACAGCACAAGGATAGCCACAATGGAAATATAGTTTGCGAAAAAGGTTTCAGCGCTGCTCTTTTCATGGAGAGGCCAGACAGCAAGATAGAACTCGTTAATAATGAGAAGGAAGCACCAGAAGAGGCCGTAGATGGAGCCCCAGGGCCAGGTCCAGGTTTTCCAGGGAAGGTCCTGCGCGTCGCGTCCTTGTGCTTTCCAAGCAGCTCGGAAGCGGATGTGACACACGAAAATCATGGCCCAGACGTACAATGTGCAGAGGGAGGTGAGATTGGAGAACCATCCGAACACGGTCGAGCCGGAGTTGCTGACGTTAAGATAGCACAAGCCACCGCCGATTAAGAACGTAAGAGCAATGGCGGCAGGCGGCCGTCCATGCTTATCACACTTGGCAAAGATTTTGGGTGCCATACCAATACCAGCAAGGCCAACGAGAGTACGTGTTCCAGCATAAGCTTGAGCGTTACCACAAGAGAAAACGCTGATAAAGATGATGGCGTTCATGGCGTGGGCAAGACCGGGGATCTGGGCGTTACGGAAAGCAATGACGAACGGACTCGCATTGATACCCTCGCCTCCGAATAGGTTCGGGTCCTTGGGGGAGACTGTGATGCTCACCATGAGGGAACCGATGATATAGAACAGACTTAGACGGAGCCAGATGGCGTTCACTGCCTTCGGGACTGCCTTACGCGGGTTCTTGGCCTCGGCCGCAACAACACCTCCCAACTCACAGCCACTCATAGCAAAGATACAGGTACCCATGACGGAGAGGAATCCCTTGAACCCATTGGTGAAAGGCATCGAATTCCAGTATTCAAACCCGGTTTTCTGGTGGTTGGGCGCACCCCCAGCGCTGATGACAATACAGCAGACGATGACGATAAAGATCCAGAAAAGCTTCACAATTGACATGAGGGCTTCAGCTTCACCAAAGACGAGGACAGCGCAGACGTTAATCAGGAAAATAAGCACGAGGAAGATCGAGAGCCAGGCAGCAGTCGGGACTTTGTCCTGATCGTCCCAGAACCGCAGCACGGTGACGATACCTTGCAGTTCGTTGGCGAGCGTGATTGCAGCAGAAAACCAATAGGCCCATCCCACAGTGAAAGCAGGCGCCGCATCAATAAACTTGCGGGTCCACTGGGGGAATGCAGAGGGAACAGGGTACAAGACAGCGAGCTCTCCGACGGCCTGGTTGAGCACCCAAGCGATGGAACCAGCGAGCAGATATCCAAGGAAGATGGCAACAGGACCACCATTGGTCAGCGAGGTACCTGAACCAAGCCAGAGACCCATTCCAATAGATGAACCGACCGAGAACAAGAGCAAGTGGCGCGTCTCCAGCGAGCGAATCAAGCCCGAATCAGCGCCATGATCGCGCATCTCACAGCCATAGCCCATCTCGCCCACGTCGGCGGGTATTGCTTGGGGCGGAGAGGCATCCCCTTCCACTTTTTCCGATGACATTGTGAACAGTGACGAGAGAGATTTCTCTGAGGAACTGTACGCCTAGATGGACTCCCTGAGGGAAAAAGAGGACAGAGCGTAAGAGCCAGGGGAATAGATGAGGAACTGGGTCTGATTTTAATCTCGTGCTGCACCAACTATATACTATATGACAATTTGATAAGACCAAAAAATCGCCCGATTCCACCAGTAAGTGACGCCAGAAAATACGGCCTCGGACGGCAACAATGCCCTGGGCGCCGTCTAGTCAGTGTAGTGTGCCCACTCCTACCTACTCTTCCCCTACTCCTGCCCATTCTCCAGCGGTGGCTTGTCAGGCGATAGGCCCGTATCTACCATTACAGTCCCCGGGGCGATTTCTCAACCAATAGCTGACCCAAGGGAGACAGTCCGGCAGCGTCATTGCGCGTGATAAGCCATGTAAAATTTGCCCGGGTGGTTAATGTGGCGATAGGGGTGGCTTTTCCCCAATCTTTTGCCTGGAGTCTTTGGCGTTAGGATCGATTAACCTTCGTTCTGGAAGGGTGACGCGTATTCCGATTCCGATTCCACCAGGATCTAATGGCTGAGTGATACCTCATTATCCGTGGAAAAGCAGGCATACCTAGATCCGAGTAGGATCACAACCCCTTCACCCGGAGAGATGCAGGAAGGATGAGCCAGAGGGGGCCCTCTTTCAGTTTCACAAACCAGAACTTCGCGCTTGCAGGTGTGCCAAGTCTACAAACTTAATGTCATGGTTTTTCCTCTGGGTTCTTAGCCGGTTCTTAGGCTGCTTGACAGATAAAGGAATAAAAGCAAACATACCTGAGTATGCCTTTGCCAATCGGGCCAGATGTGCAGCGGCACCCCTTTATATTCGCTTATCTGTATCCTCGTCGTAGCAAATCATTCTTTCGGACCAGCCGTGTAAGAGTTGACAAGCGTCTTCCAGTCTCGGCCAATCTGGGCATGAGAGGAGAAGCTTCCAAGAGTTCTCGGCAGCAGCTAATAAGCTCACCAGGCCGGTAACTGGACCGTATCACAGAGCCTACTCCATATATATGTAGTAGCGAGGTTATCATCCAGGACTGTTTGGGGGGGGGGGGGGGGGGGGAGCAATGCGAGTCCATGCATCACAACGCGCTAGTCAAGTCGCGGAATGGCCGATGATAACAGATCCAGTACTATCTATGTGTGCTGAAACTGCAGCCACGGCGGAGTAATGCGTTCTATGAGGGCTTTCCTGTCTAGTGCATTGTTTGCATGAGGCAGGGATTATAGTCAGCTTCGGTTGTTTCCATGATGTGGCTGAGAAGGGATGCTAGGTTGTTCTGGGCGACTAAGGTTTTCTGTAGGTGTTGGGAATCTTACTTAGGGTCGAGCCAGCCAGGCATACATACACATATCAAGAGGCAGGGGTTCACAGGCTTTGTAGCTTCAGCTGGCTTGGTGGTGTGATATGGGAGAGAAAAGATAACATATCACGAATCAACTTGGGGGGTAGTTGCCAACCTCATTCAGAGAGAAGAATGAAAAAAAAAAATAGAAACATGGGGGCAATTAAACAATATTCTTTATCTATAGGCTAGACCCAATGCTACTTGGATCTATCAAGAACATGCGATGGTGGAATCCATGCATAGACTCTGGTAATTCTGCGTATGCCTTCAGTGGCAACAGACCTAGACCATAATGATGCAAAAAGTAAGAGTTGGATTGAACTTGTCTATATCATAATATCCAGGTCCCTGGGGAACAATAAAAAGTAATATACAGTCAATGTACAGCACGGCTTTCTTAGTCTATACCTCCCCTCTCTTATCATTGCTCATCTCGCGCATGATAGCCCTAGACTCCTCGGTATCAAGACCCCCTTCGGTTTCTGTTACATGGGTCCTTTCTTCCCCCCGTTTTTCCAGACTGGTTGATTGGCTATTGGGTTCCCCTTTTCCTTTAATACTCTTCCACTCTACCCCGGCTGCACCTAGAATGGCACACGCGCTGATAGCAGCGGCGACCACAAAGATCTGAGTTAGTGCGTAGTTGTAAGCGTTGATCACCGTGCTAAGTTCGCTTGGTGGTACAACATTGCGTAGGTTGGTTGCACCGCTGTTGACGATTGTGTTGGCATCTAGACCGGCGACATCCGACAACCGGTCTACGAGCTTGCTAGAGAGCAGATTCTGATCGACAGAAAGGAAGATGGAGCCGCCGATCTGCTGCATGAAAAACATGAGAGCCATCCCAGTGGGGACATCCACGCGAGATAGAACGCTCTGAGCCGCGAGAGTGGACGTTTGGAATCCGCACCCTACCCCAAGCCCAAAAAGCACCTGGTAGCCAATCCAGTAGCTGTGATTCGACGTTGGGGAAAGGGTCGACAGCAGACCTGCGCCTGTAGAGCACAGTACAGGGGAAACGAGCATGGCTGGAACGTAGTATCCGATCCGTTGGGTCACGGCGGCGGACAGAATGCTCATTAAAACCAACGCAATCACCATGGGAATTGTGCTGAGGCCGGCGGTCATTGCCGAGTCACCCTTGACGACCTGGAACCAGATATTGAGGTAGTAGACGATTGACATCATGGCCCCCATTGCGAGAAAAATAAACACCATGGAGCCCATAATTGAACGGTTCAAGACAACCCGGCTCGGGGCCACCGCGGTCGCTGGAGTGAGGGTCTCAAAGACTATGAAAGCCACAAGAAGCACCGCGAATGTAGCAAGAAGCCCGATAATCTTGGGTGCTGACCAGGCGTATGTAGTCCCCCCCCATTCCAGCGCGAGAATGAGGCAGACTATAGAAGGAACGAAAAGGATGACTCCGACTGGGTCTAGACGCTTAAGTTGAGCCGTGAATCCTGGCATCTCCCGCTTGGGGTTATCCAGATGGAGGAAAAGAAGGATCCCAAATAGCGTGAAGCCGCCAATGGGCAGGTTAAGATAGAAACACCATCGCCAAGTCCTGCATGCGTGAGTTCAACATTGCCCCCTATAGTGTATATTTTATACTTACACGTTGTCAGTAAATAATCCACCGATGATGGGGCCTAGGATTGATGATATCCCAAAGGCCACGCCGAAGAAGGACGTGAACATCGGGCGCTTGCGAAGGGGAACAATCCCCAGGATAATCATCATACCTCCAGACTGGATACCGGAAGCTCCAAGACCAGCAATAGCGCGTCCGACAATAAAGGAAGTTGAACTCGGCGCGGCTCCACAGAGGGCAGATCCCGCCTCAAAGATCACAATCGACGTGACAAAGCACCATTTGGTGGAGTAGAGCTGGTAGAGTCTACCAGAGATCGGGGTAAATGAGGCCCCCGTGAGCAAATAGGCACTGCCATACCAACCAATATCATTGATCGAGTGGAATTCGTCACTGATATGTATTAGCAACCTAGTGACATCCACCTTACACTACCGAAAAGCATGCGAAGTACCTGATACGGGGAATGGCCGTTGCGATGATAGTTCTATCCTATGGGTACGTCAGCGAATTGCAGCATCATCAACCACCAAAGTTGACCTACCAGAGCAATCAGGAAGATCGACAAGTAGACCCCTAAAATAATCGTCCAGAACTTTGGTGATTTGAGCTGATAGTTCCTCTCAGCATCTGCGTATTCGTTCTCTCCGTCAACTCGCTTAGACTCTGCTGGGGCCGACATTGTTAGTGTAATGTGTACACAAGCAGGTAAAAAAAAAAAAAAAAATAAGGATCTGGCTAACCGGACTACTCCTGAATCTGTACCGGATCCATTTTTATATATAATCATAAAAATCCGGATAGACTACCTCGACTTCACGAGAATCGGGGGCTCCCAAGCAACTTGCAATATATTCGGCGGACGCCAGAAAAGCCCGGATGCGCTGAGTCATCGGTATCTTTCGGACGTTAGAAACCCCCGGCTTTTCGACAGGAAGCAGGAAGGCAGCAGGGGATAACATTTTGTGGCCTGCTGTCGAAGAAGCGGATTGTTTGCGGCCCTGGAATGGACCATGTCTGCCCTCCAACCTGAGCCACAGCAGCAGCATACGCAGGCTGCTCGGTCACCGCGTGTCCTGGCGTGTATTCTCTGCCAACAGCGAAAGGTCAAATGTAATCGCAAGTTCCCCTGCACAAACTGTGTCAAGTCGAAGGCGCAGTGTGTACCAGCCGATCAGGTCCCCCGGCGCCGAAAACGCAGATTTCCAGAGAAGGAGCTGCTTGATCGACTGCGCCAGTATGAGACTCTGTTGCGCCAGAATGATATCCAGTTTGAGCCGCTCCACAAAGACCCGACCGGGGATAATGAGCCCCCGAATGCTCGGGTTGGCGCTGCCATAGCTGACGCGCAACCCGATAATGAGGGAGAAACGGACTGGTCGTCTCCCTTCGCTGCAACTGTCCAGGAGGACCGGCGCTACGAGGCCAAGTATGTGTGTGCCCAATGTAGATTGGGCAGTACTGCTCACATTCTTTAGGAACTTTTGGAATATAATCAAGCAGACGGTGGGTTTTAAGTGACCTCTTCATCCTCCTACAGTTGACCCCATACTTACGCGCTAACAGTCCCCCGAGAGCGACAACAGCGATTTCTCGTCTGACGAGATAGATGAAAAGACCGTGAAAAGCGCCTGGGACCAAGTCTATGGAAACAATGACCCTCTGTTTGGTTCCCGGAAGACAGCTGTCGATTTGTCGGCCCTGCACCCGCAGCCTGCTCAGATCTTCCGCCTGTGGCAGATATATCTAGACAATGTAAACCCGCTGCTGAAAGTCACCCATACTCCCACCCTTCAAGGTCAGATCATTGAGGCGATCAGTAACCAGGGGGAGATTAAATCCACACTTGAGACTCTTATGTTTAGCATCTATTGTGTGTCCATCCTGAGCATCAGCCCCGAGGATTGCGATATGCTTCTGGGGACGCCCAAACAGGAGCTTCTGAGCAAATACCAGTTTGCCTGCCAGCAAGCATTAATAAACTGCGGATTTTTACGCTCGGACAATCGCGACTGTCTGGTTGCATTTTTCCTCTACCTTGTAAGTCCAGTTGGCCACTTTTGTGGTACCGTTCTCAGCTGACAATTTCTAGGTCTCGATACGCCCTGCGACTGATCCTCGCTCTTTGGCATCCATGCTGGGAATTGCGATGCGTATGGCGCATCGCATGGGCTTACACAGTGAGGCAAGCTGCGCCAGATACCCTCCCCTTGAGGCGGAGATGCGCCGAAGGCTTTGGTGGTCTCTGGTTATATTTGACAACCGTATCGGAGAGATGGTTGATTACAGAAACACTTCGCTTACCCCCCTCTGGGACTGTAGAATTCCTCTTAATGTCAATGACTTTGACCTCCGACCAGAGATGAAAGAGAGTCCAGTGGCTCAAGCCCAGTCGACGGAGGCACTTTTTGTTGTCCTTCGAAGTGCAATGGGAGACTTTGTGCGCCAATCTCCCTCCCATCTTGACTTCTCCTGTCCTGCTATGAAGCCCCTGGCAAGGGGTTCCCAACAGAATCCTGCATCGGATACCGGTGACCTCGGCAGTTTGGAGGCAACGTTGGAGGATACATATCTTCAGTTCTGCAATCCTGAAATTCCACTGCATCTGATCTCAATCTGGATGACGCGCGGATATCTCGCAAAATGCCGCCTTGTTGAGTACTACTCCAGGCATTCGAGCGGGCCACAGACAGAAGAACATCGTGACATGGCCATTTCACATGCAATCCGTACACTGGAGTGTGACATAAATATCATGTCTTCGCCCCTTACCAAAGGATACCAATGGCTACTCCACTTCCACTTCCCTTTCCCAGCATTCATTCATATTCTTCATGACTTGAGACGACGTCCTCTAAGCAAATATGCGGAGTATGCCTGGGACATTATGAGTGAGGTTTTTGCGATTCGGGCCATGGTTCTACGCCTATCTCCCAACCTCTTCTTCAAAACGTTCAAAAGGCTTGTGCTGCTGGGTTGGGAGGCCCGTGAAACTGCGCTGATACAACTAGGAAAGTCACCCGTACCGCCGACAATCGTGACGGCCGTTATGGAGAAGGCAGCTCAGCATGCAGCGAATTCTGACCCTGACACGACGGTCGCTGGTACAAATATGGACAATACTGGGCCTGTGGGATCAACACCGATAGACTATGCTGCCACTAGTTTCCCTGGCGGAGAAGACATTTGTGCTGGGGTAGATCCGTGGATGTCCCTCAGCATGGCTGAATTAGCGCCTGGGAATGTTGAGGGGGACCAGGAAGATTGGTTTGCGATGAATTGGACCGTTTAGCTGCTTCTGATCTCACACTTTGCGGGCATGGGCATGGTAGAAACCTTTGGTATATCACTAAAGCAGGGAAATAAATCAAGAGTATTGTGATAACAGCCCCCGCCCCCTGATACTGATGCATGCTCTACTAACAACTGCTTCAGCCAGGCCGATGTGATGCTGTATATTGTTCTGGTCTACAGATATCGTTCTAGTGGTATTATATCTTAGCTGGAGAGGCATTGAAATTGGGGATTTGGCTTCCAAGAGTAGATATTTTCCACCGCTGTGATTGACGTCCTAATCCTAGTGGCCTGATGGCATCATTTTACATATCTGTTCGTCTGCTCTAGCTGCTTACGCGGAGGGATTCGCTCGTTTATCGTCAATCATATTAATCTATACTTCATAATATGGTTAGCCATATTCAGCTCCAAATCATATATCTAATCCTGTCTAGCGGGATCCTGCGCGGGCTTATTCAAGAGGAAGCCATCGATCTCCTCCATGACCTCAGGGGTCAACTTAGGCAGCAACTTCAAGCTCTGCACATTGTCGACAATCTGCTCTGGCCGGGAGGCACCCGTGATAACAGAAGTGACGTTCTCATTCTTCAAGCACCAAGCCAGAGCAAGCTGCGATAGCTTAACGTCAAGTTTATCGGCGAGTGTCTGTCCAGATTGGTTAACGGGTGCCAATGAATCAATCGACACGGGGGTTCCCTATTTCCCGTACCTGTAAACCATTGATCTTCTGGATGTTCTCGGCCCACTGCTTGTTCTCCCAGTCGGCCCGGACACTGTTAGCAAACTTATCGTTGCTTTCGGCGAAGCGCGAACCCGCCGGAGGCTGTGTGGTGGCGTTGTTGTATTTGCCGCTGAGAAGGCCCATCTTCATCGGGGAGAAAGTTGTCAGACCAATTTTGCACCGAGAGTACAGCCGTTGGTATTGGCCTTCGACCTTCTCCCGGTCCAACATGTTATAGAGGGGCTGTTCGACAATAGGAGCAATCAGTCCGAGCGACTTAGCGATGCCACATGCTTCCATGATCTCATCGGCCGACCACTCGGAAGTTCCCCAGTAAAACGCCCAGCCCTTTTCAATCACATAGTTAAAGGCCCGCACAGTCTCCTCCATTGGGGTCAGTCTATCAGGCCGGTGGGCGTAGATAATATCGACGTATTCAAGCTGGAGTCTCTTCAGCGAAGCCTGCGTGCCTTCGATGATGTGCTTCCGTGAAAGGCCGTGGTTGTTGATGAGGATTTCTCCGTTGGCAAGGCCCCAGTTAAGCTAGGAGGATTCTTCGTCATTTCGAATTCCTCGTGAAATAGTAAACCACCGGGGCGTTAGACGAACCTTGGTGGTGATAACGAGATCGCTGCGACTCCATCCGAACCTCTTGATCGCTTGGCCCATTACGATTTCAGATTGTCCTCCCGCATAGCTTAGATTTGTTTTAGCAGGAGATGGGAGACGCGGAAAAATAGCAGAACTATCTTACCTTTCCGCAGTGTCAAAGAAGTTAATTCCGCAGTCATAGGCCTGCTTCATGCATTGGAATGTGACCTCTGTATCCCAGTCAGTGCATTATCAAAACGAGGCAGGCAACCCCCATACCGTTGTCAACATGGCCACCGAAACTAGGAAAAGTTAGCCCTTGTAATGTTCCAAATTAACTAATAGGAGTCACCCACGTTAGCCATCCTCCTAGCCCGAGCGCAGAGACATGCAGTCCCGAATCGCCTACTCGACGGTAGAGCATATCTTTATTCTTGTTGGGCCACGCCATTGTGTCTCGACTTTGACTGCTATCGATTTCCTCGAAAGAACTTGATTCAATCTTTTTCAAAAGAATGAGAGCAGTGTTCGACAAGGTGCAACATCGGGGGGGGACTTTCGAGTATTTTAATCAGGAGCTGCACCCCCGACCGGAATCAGTTCGAAATGCTAGCCTGCAACACTATTGGCCAGGGTGGGCGGGATCGATTGCAATTTACTCCATTTAGAGGGATTAACGGGGACCCATTCTGTAAAATGGTCTGTTTCTCGGTGAAATACTCGGAGGGTCCTGTGGTTTCTGAGTAGCAGGAGTCATAAAAGTCGGCGGCCAACTCAACTCGCCCGACTGAAAGCAACAGATGGAAGTTTCGAATAGAATATCCCCCTCTCCTCCCTGCTCTGAAAGTAAAAAGATGTTTGTTCAGACAGATATATATAGCTTAAGATCTCCCCCCCCCCCCCGCGTTTCTTCGGGGTCCTTCCGGTGGCCAAGGCACCAACTACCTCCCTCCATATCCCGTGGTGTGAAGGAACCCTATATGTCAGTTAAGAGCAACGACTTTCCCTTTCCCCTTAATAGCTTAACATACACAATCCATTTGCCTTGCAGTTTTCCACTGCATCAGTAGTTAATGTTAAGCACCAAAGAAACCTCGAGCCCTTTGTTTTTTTTTCCTTCTTCGGAACTCCTCTGATTCTAGGCCCAATACGGAGTACTTACTATATGGTGGGTCTTGTGATGGCGTCTTTTCCCCCGCGCGGCACGCCATCTGAATGGACAGTGGCGCCTCTTGCCCAGAGACTACTTGAATCCTTTGGTGCTCATGCTTTGATCGGGATGACGTGGGAAAAGTCGCGTGGTTGTAGCCGTGTACCCCGCAAGAATTCGGGGAAGAAGCTGATCGCAACCCGCAGCCGGGGATAATTCTTTCCCAGTGCTCAGGCCAGTGTCACTATCCTGTTGGAATTGCGACGCGACGTATATTGGGCCACGATTCTCCCACAGACGAAGCTATCAGGATGCCCTCAAATTCTGCGATCACAAAAAAGGCCTGTGATGGGTGTAAAGTGCGCAAGATCCGTTGCGGTGGTGGACAGCCGTGCCACTCGTGTATAAATGCCCGAGTAAAGTGCACCTACCTCCGGGCTCACCAGCGTCGAGGGCCTCAAAAGCTGCGCCCGATGACCAAATTTCTCATTGAACAGGCGCAAGGGACCGGGTCAACCCATTCTGCTCAGATGGCGGGAGATGCAGGAGATGATGATGTCCGGTCGACGCAATCCGAAAGGTATCCGATAGATTTGTATTCCAAAGGAAAGCCCCAAGTGCTTAGGCTGGGCGGTGCTGACTTCGTCACCCGTGGGTTCTTAGGTCCCGGATTCCAGTAAATGTGCTGGCCTCCCCGTTGTATATTTACCACGCGCACATGTACCCAGTTTGGCCGATCGTCGACGTCGAAAATATCCTGTTTACGCTACAACAAGATGGCGACAACCAAGACTATGAGACCTATGCACTCGCAGCCGCCGTCGCAGCAGGAACCATCGCCCAGTTAAGACTTGGGGAAGATTGCCTGGCGGATCAATTAGTCTCGGCGGATACCTTTGCGCAAGAGTGTATGAAGGCCAGGAGATTCTGCGACTATCGATCTAGAGTGAATCTGAATAATGTGCGAACCGCGTTTTTCTTGCATGTATACTATGAGAATATGGAATCTGGGGGCAGTGAGTCCCTGCTGTATCTGAGAGAGGCTATCTCACTCGCTCAAATGATGTATCTGCATCGAGAAGCGTCGTACGCAGCGTATGCGCCGGAGGAGCAACAGATTCGTCGTCGCGTATTATGGTTGTTATATATCACAGAGCGGTAAGACACCCTTTTGTTTTCTCCCACACCATCCCTATATACAGATCTAAATAGTCTCGAGCAGTGGAGTTTGTATTCTTCATAAACTCCCCATTGTTCTTAAAACCGATATCGCAACCCCCCAACTCGACGCAAGTGCCGATCCCCAAGTTCTACCCGCATTCCTCAAACTGCTTGCCTTATTTACCATGTTCGAGCAATCTAGAATGTTTGAGATACTTGAAGACCATCACCTGGGAACGCAGTCGGCCCAAGCCGCGGTCAACAGTCTTGACGCGCGCTTTGTCGACCTATTACATGGTGGGCTTAGAGATGGGTCGCCCATTTCCGAGCATATTTCAGACGTTCAAAGGGCAGACTTATGTGTCACATGGCACTGGATGCGCATTCTTCTATGGAAAGCGCTGTCCAAGCAGAGCGTGACAGGCCAGCTTTCGGCTCAGTCCCCTGTATCACCGTTCTTCCCCGTCCTGGTGGCGAAGGAACTACTCAATATAGTATCACAATTACCCAGAACAGCTCTTGAGGCTCACGGACTAGGCATGGTATGATATTTATGTTGGGATCCTGACGTGCATAGCAATCAATACTAACGCTTGATGGCAGGAGATGAAGCTCTATGAGGTTGCGAACTCGCTAGCCGATGCAGTCATCAGCCTGGCAGTGCTTCCACAAAGCGGAGTCTGGGATACGGAAAGCCCCCCCAGCAGTATTCTCACTAAAATGCATTCCATGCTTTGCTCGCTCCGAGGGGGAGGGAAGAAAAACTTAGCTGAGGTATTGTATAAGAAAATGGCAGAAGTCCACTACACCAATGGTCCAGCCCTCTCACCCACAGTTCATGACGCATCTCGACCAATCGCACCCAAACACCTAACGGCGGCCATCGAAAGCGCCTCAAATTCGGGAGCGAAGACAACAGTGGCTGACGTGAATCTGGTGTCGAGGAGCAATACAATCCGAGCAACAGATCTGGACGAACGACCCGCAACCCAATGCCCCGAAAATGACCATGTGCATGATGATGATGATGATGATGCTAATGCTAACAAAATGGAGGAACAGGAGTTCAGCAATTACTCCCCACCTTCATGGAAAGATATGATTTTCTCCGACTTCTTAGATGCAGAATTCCGCCCCGAAAGACCGCATTCTTTCTGTACTTATGACCAATTTCCTGCTACGTTAGGCCAACCATGGCTAGATTCCAACGCAAGGGATCCCCCATTTAACCTATCCCTTTTCTCACCATCGCTACCTGTGGGTTCCGTTGATATGCTACTGGAAGATTTCATAGCCCAGGACACGGCCACCCGTTTTCCGGGTGAAACCGACATGCTGGTGCCGAATTCTTTGGCAGATCAACCGTCACCTAAACAGACTACTATCCTGATATAATGTTGAAAAGACGAACCCAAAAAGAATCCCCTTTCTGATCCTGAAATGTCATATATAATCAAGAGGCTACATTTTACCTGATGATGGGAGGGAATGTATTTATCGAATTCATGAATTGTTGTCATATTCAATGCTTTTCATTATACCAGTCCCTGCGTGATCAATATTTAAAGCGGAAATCCAGACGTTTGTTTCCCTCCTTTTCGCGCTCTGCAAGATCTGATTGATACACCATGCGTTCCTCTTGAGACATGGCTTCCCATTTGCGTTCCTTCTGGCGGTTTAGGTGTCGCAAAAGCTCTCGCTGAATCACGAAAACTACAATCGCAAGGGCACAGACAGAAATCAGAACTTTGTTCCCCCGGTAGTAGTACGGCGCGTCGTCACTGCGGTAGATTTCTATCTAGTGTTAGCCCAAAAAAAATGCGTTCGCAGGTAAATGGCAACTCCATCGAAATGGGGGATTGAGGAGAAAGACTCACGAGAAGATATCACAGCTCCAACCTGGACAATGACATTATATGTGGCAGCCGTGATCGCTCGCTTCTTTACGTCAAAAGTATTTTCAGAGATCCATGCCGAAACAATAGGATGGAAATAAGGATATCCCGATATTAAGGTAGTAATGGCGAACCGGGGCCAGTTATATCCCTGGGCAGGAATGGCGAGCAATGCAGCCAACAACGGCAGCGACCAAAATTCACCAAACAGGCAGTGGAATGTGCGCTCCTCGAAATATTCACTGCTCTTTGATAGAGCAATCATCAGGATGATTTGAAGTACAGCAGATGGGATAGATAGCATGTTGGAATCGAAAGTCGAGAAGCCGAGCCGTTTGAGTGTGAGGGAAAGGTATGCCTGGACCGGAGTCTGAGGAATATAGGCAATCAGGCCGATCAAGTATAGCCCCCACATAGATTTGTCGCTCCAGGCGTCAATGACATCTCGAACTGTGGCGGCTTCGTGGATGCCGGTGAGGCCTTTGGATGGATCGTCGCGAAGAAGCCGCTGAGAAGGTTAGTTGCAAGGAGCATTGTTCCAAGGGGTGGAGACTATTTACGTTGACCATAATGACCTCCTCCCGTTCTGAGTACCATGCCCGGGGATATATGATACTTTTGGTGTTCGTCGGGGAACTGGGGAGGTAGAGGAAGCCCTGGATTGAATTGTTAGAGAGCTTGCAGGATCGGTACATAACGCGCTGGGGAATTTCTTACAATCAAGCCGATGACAAAGGTGATAAGTCCATCAAGGAGGAAGAGCCAGAACCAGCCGGGCTTTCCCCGGACGCCTCTCATCTCGAGGATTCCAGCCGCAAGAAGAGAAGAAACGATACGCGCAACCTGGTCATATTAGTTGTCTCGCTCAGAGGACGGGGCTGCGGATCCCGCTTACATTTAATGTTGACCAAAGAAAGGCCAGTCGCACAGAGAGCTCCCTGGTTTTGTAGAAGTAGGTTGCGAACAAGATAGTTCCAGGGATAAATCCGCCCTCGAAGGCCCCGATCAGCGCACGCGTCACGTAGAATGAATTACGTCCGGATATCCAGGCTTGGGTCCATGAGACCAAACTCCACCCAAGCATCATCAGGGGCAAGACCCTTCTGAATCCAAAGCGTTTGATGAGAAGCTGTACCGGGAATTCGGCAGCTAGAAAACAGACAAGTTGGATAGTTGTACCCTATAGGAAATCGACATTAGTGCTGTGTCCTGATCCCATGCTGTGAGTAAGGGAGGACCGGCCCTTCCTTACATTGTTATAGTCGTTGGTGGTCAAGCCGAGGTCATTCAAAAAATTGTCCGTTAAGGCATTGGACAGATTTCCCCGGTCAAGCTGGAGGCCAAAAAACTTGTGGGGAGTTAGAATCTTCGTTTCCCAGGTCGTCTCGTGGAGACTCGAGTAATTCCAATGTACTTGGATATCGTTTAGCGACGTACCATGAGACAAATCACTGTCAGCAGCATGAAGTCTGTCTTCCAGACCACTCTTATCTCCTCTCTGGCTGTCCATGACGCCGTGGGATCAAACCGATGATATCCTTCATAAGACTCACTGGGAGGAGTCACTCGGGCCAGATGCTCCTGTCCAACATCAATCGATGACTTTGAGGACTGACTATCCTCCCCTCCCTTCATAGTTATGGAACTGCTGGAAACCCGCTCAATATCCGTCATTGCAGCCTTTGGAGGATGTGATGGATGGAGAAGAAATTGGGGGGGGGGAAGCAAAAATGCAGACGGAAGATTTAAATACGAATGTCAAGACATAGCAACTGCAGAAACACGTATTTTTTTTTGTTATTTTTTCTTTGTTTTGTTTTGGTTTTATTTTATTTTATTTTATTTTTTTCATGTAGTTATTCGCACTCTCACCGTCAAGTCTCAGCCAAACAGCCCCGAGGGTCGAGATGCATCGGCCAAACGCGGACTAGGGCTACCTACATATTACACCAGAGAGATCCCCGAGCACACCATCCGCGCGTTTCCAGGTGTCATTTTCCCACTTGAATGGTCCATTGTTTCTCCATCTTTTCGGGTATATTCTAGCGTCCGATGGAGTAAAAGTAACAACGTGGGGAATATGCAACACTCAACTCATGACCACTCTCTCATTCTCGGCAACCAAACTTTAACAGTGTAGTGCAGGGTAGTAAAGTCCGGGGTAGCCTTTCCTGTTGAGAAACATAGTGGGAATAGAACAGACAATCATGGTGAAGAATCGTCTCAAGTGTATGAAGGATCCGAAACTACCCCATGTTCCTTTGTCCCGCCTTGGGAAATGCGTGCGGTGCCTTGCTTCGACCTCCGAGAATTTCGCCGATGTCCCACCGACCAGAAACCCGAATGCGCTGGTCTGACGACTGACAAAGCGGATACTAGGGAAAGGACGACACTGGAGGCGTTGGCTGCACGAACCCATGACAGGTGGGTGGGACCGGCGATGGCATCATGCTCTTCATGTTTTCTCATTCTCTCCTTGGTGGAGAGGGCACGGCAGCAGGCATCTTTACGAGGTAGTCCCAGCCGACGACGACGAGGTATATATGAATGACGCGATCCCAACCCGGTCAGATCTTATTATAACATTAACATTATCAGTCTTGTGCGAGATACCACTTGATCGATCACCGTGTTCCTTCGCATCGCATACACCACCCGTTATTACCTTGAGAGATTTTAATCATGCCGACTATCGTTGAGTCACTGCCCTCGGCCATCCGAGGTGGGCACGAAGAAGCTCGCCCACAAATCACACAACCTCTGGAGTATTCGGGGGGTCTTGACTCCTATACTTCCAATGATATCACCCCAGTCATTGGCAGAGAATATGTGGGCCTTCAGGTCGCGGAGATTCTCCAATCCAAAAACTGTGACCAGATCATTAAAGACCTGGCGGTAACCAGTATGTATAATCAGAACTCGAGATTTTCCGTGAACTGTGTCCCACTGACATATCTAGTCTCAACTCGTGGAGTGGTTTTTCTGCGAAACCAGGATGTGACCCCCGAGCAGATGCGCCAATTTGGGGAGAAACTGACCCTTCTCGCCGGCTGTGTATGCCCCTGAATCCCACGCTTTTGGCGAATCTCGGTTGGTTCTAACGATGTAATACAGCCACAATCGTCGGGACTTCATGTGCATCCCCTGACAGAGGAAGGAAGTGAACTAGGGGACCAGATCAGTGTCATCAGCAGTGAAAAGCAAAAGACAGGAGGCGGACTCACCCATCAGCTGAGCGACACCAGCCGATTTGCCTCTGTGGGCTGGCACACAGACATCAGTTTCGAGCGGGTGCCTTCGGACTATGCTATGCTCAAAATCCATACTCTCCCTGTGACCGGAGGAGATACGCTTTGGGCATCTGGATATGAAATCTATGATCGATTGTCGCCCGCGATGGCTACCTTCCTAGAGGGATTGACTGCGACTCACGATGCCAACTTTTTCCACGAGGAAGCACGGAGACTTGGAAATCCATTACGCAAAGGAATTCGGGGATCCCCGCTCAATGTTGGTGAAGACCTCACGGCGGTTCACCCCGTCATCAGAACAAACCGTACGTTTATTCGGAGCTCTCCTCGAATCTCCTTGCACTTTCTCAAGCCACTAACGATGTTATAGCCGTGACTGGATGGAAGTCAGTCTATGTGAACAAAGGTTTCACCAAGCGCATTAATGGTGTCACCAAAGACGAGTCTGATATGTTGCTTCAGTATCTTTTCAATGTAAGCTGGCCTGAGCTATGCGTTTGACCCATCCCCCGCTAATAAAACACAGCTGGTTACGCACAATCACGATGCTCAAGTGAGATTCAAATGGAGAGAAAACGACATGGCAGTCTGGGACAACCGATCTACTTGGCACTGTGCCACCTATGACTATGCAGAAGCCCGCGCCGGTGATCGGGTTTGTAGTCTTGGTGAAGCTCCTTACTTCGATGCTCAGTCCAAGTCGAGAAGACAAGCCCTGCAGGGGATTTAAGCCAGCCCCATGTATTTATTGATTTATGAGTAATTGCAATTGCAGGAACCATCCAGATGTATCTATTGTACTGAATGCAATGCTTTAGGGCTTTCTACAAGAATCCTTAATGCACCCTGAGCAACCGTAGCCCATGATGTCGGTCGTCTACAACGCCGCGAAATGCATTTTGACCATTTTAGACAAGGCGATTGTTCCTTGCTTAAAGGGTTCAAACGCTTTTTCTTGACGGGGCTTTCCATCCTAGTGATGAATACCGGAGATTGCAAGGTAGCCTGTAGTAGGATGTCACAAGTATCCAGAAAGTATCGTTGTAGTGGCAGTAGCAGCAGCAGTATTCCTACACGTTTCAACCTATCTAGTCTACAGATTGGCTATTCCAGGCAGGGGGGTTTGACCAGACTGCTGCCCTACTGCCTCCCTGAACATTGGAAAGCACGCAAAGCACACAAACCAACCTAAGAAAAGCAAAGGATGGAGCCCAAAACACAAAACAGATATTTAATGGCTTGATCCGCAGCTAGGTCACCGGTGATGTCGGGGATCTATATCGATCATGATATCTGGGAAATATATATATATCCATGTAGTGTATATCTGTAACTGGTATGGACTCAGTGCTCGGTGCACATCTTACTCCGTCTTCTTCTATCACGATCTGTTTCTAAGCTATCTGAAGTGTCCTCCCCTTCCGATAGCTGCTCTTGGTCTGCTTGGGCGTACCTGAATTGCCCAGGAGTCCCGTACGTAACATGACATCCGCCGCCAGTGTGGTGGCTGTCTTTGTGTTCGAGATGAGATGTTGGAGGTCCTCTGCCCCTTCTTTTCGGTATACTGCGGGGCATTCCATTATCCAGAATTCATATACTTCAGGAGCTAGGTTGATAGAGAGTTTCCCTTACGGCCGCACGCAATAACCTTTTAAGTCTGTATAGGCCATTAAGGTTATTATGTGGCATACTAACCCTTGGCCCCTATTAAACCACCGTTTATACGATCTCCCTTGGGGCTCATGAACTACACTTTTGGTCTCCTAATTATGAGTCTATAGCCGTATTCACAAAAGATGGCGAATGGATATAGAAGGAAGGAATGCGCGATGATGTTTTCATTTCGACAGCTTCAGCCTAACGCTGGCCGTAATATGCCCTAACAGTACAGGCTGCCACGGAAGCACGTCTCGTGGGGCGGATCCGATTGCCTTGCTGAAGGTACTTAAAGTGCAGACATCGTCTTCAACAGTTCAGCCTACTAGAGCTCAAGATGATTGTGGTCCCACACAGCGCTCTGAATGATAGGTCGGGGAGGTGAATCCGTCGGCGTTGGGAGTCGCCAGAATGAATGAGACTAGTTGCAAGCTGCCGCTTGGGGAGTTACACTTTTAGATATCCAGGCGCCTGGAATTTATACGCTTAGCTCACTCGTGTTCCATGGTTTCTTGTTTATGTTAGGGTGGTTTCTTCTTCGTTCGAAATTGTCTGGGATATACAGAAACCCTAGTGAACATAGTATGGAGCTCGAAAAGACAATCATAATCGCCAGTATATAACTCGCAGAGAAAGCTTTTGGATGTGAAATACACCAGAAGGTGAATGGTTACTGCGAATCTCTTTGTAATTGATCCGTCGACGCAGGCGCAATCAACGTCTGTAATGCAAGATATTGGCCGTATAGTTCTAACATGCATATCAGTTCGCATTGCCCTACCCTGGGTAGTGCTCAATCCCGAGATCCACAGCAGCAATATCAGTAGAATACATTAGTGAGTTTGAGATTTATAAAAGATTGAAGTCGGCTCACCTAAATTGCGCCTGTTTCCCCGGGGTCCTCCACAGTGTAAGATTAAAAGTGGACATCATGAAGTGACTGTCGTTAGGAGACAAGATTCTTTTGGATGAGGACTCAACCCCGATGCCAAATGCTCTAGCCCATGGCAAAGGTCCTTTCTAGTCAGTTTCGATCCAGCTAGGGTGTTACTAGATAGCATTAGGAAAATAAAGGCGATATGAGAAAGAAGAAGGGTCTAAATCGAAATCTCATTTTCAAGATCTCAACCGTTTCAGATCAAGAGGCACTTACTCTGAGAAGGCCGATGCTTACAATGATCAGCTCACCATATTGCATCTCATCTATCTCTCTAGTTGTAGCGCTTCGTTGGGTGAAAGCTGCAGCCCAAACTGCGCAAACTGGTGCGCATCATCAGGAAAAATGGGCCTGGGACACACCGGCGTAATTGACTCCTTCAATGTTGGCTTTGGAGTCACTGGATATCCAGTTCTGAAGCAGTCTTGAAGCAGTCTTGAAGCAGGACTCAGACTTGTTTCGGTGTTAAAACGAGGATTCGAGAAAATCGGATCTCGTCCCGTAGGCTAATGGCATGGGTGTCTGTTACCTGCCCTAACACCAGTTTAAGGTCCATGAAACGCGATAGACTTTTACATTATACCGCTATTGGACAGTCTGGACAGAAATGGGAGGTTGGTCATACTTAATAATCATATGAATTATCTTGACATCTCCCGATCATCCCACCGTCTTGAACAACACGTTACCTCTCCGGGAAAGAGAACGGAGAATCCTTGTAGGTACATATACCGTATTAGGGTTGGTTAATGAGCGCCCTGGATCCGTGAATCATGATCAGCTACAGAGTAGAAAGCGGTATCACGGATCTTGCTTCTCTGCCAATCCACGTTCTCTATCCTTGATTAATGTGGGGATACAATTTGGCGATCGCACCTCCCGGCCTGTTCGAGCCCCGGCTTGCAGAGGTATCCCTATTTGCCACATTCGTGCTGACATGAAGGCCATGCCATGCGGCTATGACAAGGACCACACGCGTGTCTAGTACAACGGCTTTGTTGATCTAATAATGGTGGTGGATTGGACCAGCCCTATATACACCATTCCTTCCCATGCTTTCTTCCGATGAGATCGAATACTGTCGCAAATTTCTGACGTGTCACCAAACCCACCAAACCCAAAGTCATATCTTTGTTTGAACCTCTAAAAAACAAAAAAAAAAAAACAGACACGATCGTTTTGCCGGGGTTACGGACCGGCATATTCTTAGGCGATGAAGAGCAGCATCCCCGCCGACACCTGGGAGGCCAAGCGCGTTCTGATTACCAAGTTGTACAAAGAGGAAGAATGGCCTCTTAAGCAGGTCATCAAAGTAATCCAGACTCCAGACTTTCACCCCAGGTAAGCCAAAGAAGAATCCATCCCTATTTCACGTTGTGGTTGGTTATCGAACGAGACTCGGCTAACCAACTAGTTCAGTGAAACACAACTCCGGGCCCGCCTGAAGAAATGGCAAGTTACGAAGCCTTCTCGCAAGAAATACTCTTGCCATAGACGGAGCTCTAAAGAACCCAAGTCTCGCTCTACTCAACAAAGACACTCGGTGGAAGAATCGCAGAGACCCGCGTTGGCCTATGGAGCCTGCAGCAATACGCCACACAGTTCAGCGTCCACCAGCTGTACGCCTGGTAACCACTATTGGGAACACGACTTTCCTCCCTCAGAACAGCGAAGGCATCCCCTTGTTCCGTCAATTCCCCCGACGGATCTGTCCAGTTCTCCAAGCAGTCCCCCGACACATACGCAAAACTACGGTCAGATGGATTCGTTCACAAGCATCTCCGATATTTCCACGTTAAGGACACCAACAGTGGGGTTGGGAACAGAGACCATGGATAAACTATCATTTTCGCAAACTACGAACAGCTTCACCTCCCCCAGTGGGGACACGACAGGTACGACTTACCAATCCCAGGATTCTGCCTCACCGAGGTCCGGGGAACCCAGCACACCCATAGCACAAATCCACGGTCTCCTGGATGGCGAGCCAGAGACGTCTCCTGTGTTCTCCGCCACCCATGGAACCCTTGGCTACCCAGGGTGGTTAATGGGGTGTGGCCTCAGATACCCGGATCCACTCGCGCAATATCAGGCTGGCATTGCCCTATGCAGAAATGCGCTTCCCTGGCTAGAGCTCGAGGCCCGCCAAAGAATACAATCCCAGGACAATGCCTATCTCCTCTGTGAACAGCAGACCCCTGTTGTGGAGTCAATGCATCCTCGCATGTGGATCTCCAACTCCCACGATATACTGCCAAATGAGGATAGGCACCAGCCCTATCTTTTCTGATTTACCATACCCACTTCTCTCTTGCACGGAGGAGAATAATGATAACTTTCCGGCCAACTATTCTTAGTCATGTCATAGTAATTTTATTTGCAAGCTTTAATACCATATGACCGACTTTTAATTAAGGACTCCCTTGTTTCTTCTTGTGTGATACTCCATTTGGAAATTCCAGTAACGTCGCGAAACTTCTAACTCTTCCACGAGTATGTATCAAGGTCACGAAGGGAAACTAGACCTTCGTCGCCCGTTTCCTATTATATTTCCAATCATGGTTTGACTTCACTAGGCCCCCTCTCAAGGCCACCAATTGGAGGATTGTAAACCGCCTACGGGGTACAATCCGCTAATTTCCCCGGCAGTCACGGATCACTCCACCTAGGCCCAAGGGAGATAAAGATGTACGATATAATCCCAACAAACTTGTTGCCAAATTCCGAATGTCTCACACGTGGTCGAGATGGTGCCGGCTTACATCTGTGTGCTTATGTGCTGCTTGTACTCCGGAGCTATTTGGAAAAGCTCCTTTGCCAAACGTCAAAAGTCCCTGGTTTCGTGAGTGACAAATGCCGCAGTTTGGCGATAACTAAACGGTAAACCCGGTGCTTGAGCAGGAGACTAATGAGCCGCTTCGGCCGAGTCAATTAACCTTTGGCCAATTTCAACCCGGAAACGAGGGACGCTGCCCAAGCTAATTCGGGGAGAAGGAAGGAAGGTTCCAGTAGTCTAGTGCTGGTCCTGGAGCTTGACAAACTTGCTTCTTCCGTACCCATCGTGCCATATTCTACCAGTTGCTAAAGAGGATCCAGCTACATACATACATCCATCCATCCATGCAGTGATCCCCCTCCCCGTGAGTAAGGGGTAAGCGCTAACATCGGGGGGAGGGAGTCATTTGGTTCCGACAACATTAGCGTGCAATTCTACAACCGGCTTCGTCGAGTGGAACATCAACTACGGAGTCAAGTCGCCTCATAACATATGCGGAATGTCCCCTAGCTTTGGTGGTGAGTTTACGTGGGGGATTCTCCGATGTGAGAGTACAAGGACATTCTTCGATAGTTACTCGTAAGATGTATGAGCAAGGTAATGAATGAAGAGAGGAAAGTCTGGGTTGTTGAATCAAAAGGAGCAGAAAGAAGACCTATTCTATTATATAAAAGTTGAATCTATTAACTAGATTAAGTCTACTTACTCTATATACCTATCACTCCACCTGTAGTTATAACTGGAGAAGGCGGCAGGTCCCTGAGTCAGGCAACACCAATTCCGGAATAGACAATGCTAATCCACAGAAAGATACACAATTTATTATCGACAAACTGCTTATCTCTTCTGAGCTGCAGGTCTGGACCTCTGGTAATGGTTTTGTCTACCGGGGGGGGGCCCCCAGGGTTTATCCACAATGATCTCGAGGCGTAACTTCACGATCAGTGGAAAACAGGGATTTTCTCAATGCATTACCAGGGTCTTTTTTTTCTGTTCTTTTTGTTTTTTTTTTTTTTTTTTTCTTTCTTCAAAGCCTCAGCAAGGCTCCAGACGGTCACTGCCTGAGCGATACCCATCAACTCCGTAAAGTATCGCAATTTCTTGGGCAGATGATGAGAGACTATCTATCCCAACTTGATTCAACCAAAAACACGGTATGCGAGTCAGTGGTGAAGCGGTCATTGGATTGATTCCGGATGACCCATACATGCTGCTGTCCCATGTGGCTCACACCTGCCATTCGAGCAGCTGAAGACCGCCAACAGAATCAGCGCTTTAAGCCGGGAATACAGGTCCAGCTTCCCCGTGGAACTCAATTCCGAACCCGGATGAGCGGTCAATGTCTCTCTTTTCAGGGGGAGGAGACTGTTTGGGTTTACGCTTGTGGATACCGGCCTGGCGGTGATGGATCCCGGGGGAGGACAACTTCAGAGATTAGAGAGGACCATGATTGCGCGGACCCAGAAGGCAGATCACTCATCGTAGACGTCCCGCCTTTTTTGCACATCACCGAGGAGTGTGCTCTATTTTGCAAAGCCTGAAGGAGTTGACGATGTTGGACTTGCCACCAAGATACGGAGTACTCCGTATCAATTAGGACCCAACCCCGAATGTAATATGCAGTTACCTATGCGGGTCTGATTCATCAAATCTACAGAGATGTCTCACAAACAATAGGGGCTAGCTCACTAGCCGAAATAGGAAATTGAAAAGAAAAAACGACGGAGACTGAACTATGACCGATGGGCCGCTGACGACTAACAGTAATTCTGGCGCTGGAACAGGATGCTGGCGGTATCTGCAGAGTAAGAATATCCATATCTAAGGGTCGACAAGGGGGTCTTCGGGCTGTTCCTGTGACCAGACACCAGGCCTGGAATGCAGCAGCATGAATCACCCCGATCCTGGTAGGGTTACTGCAAGCGTTTCGATAGTTCGTGGACCTTGGGCTATGGTCTGTCTCTGGCTTCGTCGTGGCTGGCGCTGGCACCTACCTAACCATTAGATTATGCGACCATCTGCGCTTTCTCGTATGAGGCGGAATCTGTTGGTGTTATTGTGGTATTTTTACACCATTGGAATATCTCTTCTCTATGTACCTGGCAACAATGTCTTTGGGAAAGTCTCAATGGTTCGCCTCTAAACCACTTCAAACAACAGAACTCGCTGGAGATACCCCGGTATCGTCCCATACAACCGCTTGCACATCTGTGCAACCAGATAACAGTACAATAGCCCTGGTGGTCATGACAGAAAATTACGGTCATGGTCAGTCATGGTCATGACCGGGTGTTTTCAGACGGTCATGACCTGACCGCACGTGATTAGGGTGGGTCTGTTAGTAGCCAATAGGGAGCTTCTAAAGTCTTAGTAATAAGATTAGGTAATCAATAACTAATACATAACTACTATACATACCCCTATTCCTAATTAGGACTAGCCTGCGGGCGCTAACCCGATCAGGCAGGCAAAATGACGATCTGACAACCTGGAAACCGTCATGACGGTCATGACCAAAATTTCGACGGTCATGGTCATGACCGTCATGACCAACCCCAGGCCTACAGTACAATAGAAGCGCCTAGTGACAATTAAGCTAATGCAGTACAAGCGTCTGCACAACCCCCGATCTCTCGATCTGGCGATCTGCCTGAGTGGAGAAATGCCGTAGTCTACTCCTACGACGCTTGTGTGATCAGGATATTGTGGAATAGCCATGCTCTATCCACGGCTTGGAGATCAACTGACGTATAAAACATGGCTTATTATTGTATTATGATTGTTATCTACCTCTGTTGGAAGGCCCCCTTTCCGATGCTTCTCGCGCGATGTGACGCCGAGGAGGAACGACGGTTAAACAACAACGAAAAAAAGAAACGAAACGAAAAGAAAAGAAGAGAAAAAAATACTCGAGTAAAGGCTCAAGTAAACAGTAAATTAGAGTACAGCGCAGTAACTCATCCTGAGATACACCTTATTAGTGTATATCAACCCCCAAACCCGCTTGCACGAGATCCAACTTGGTGGAGTATAGGGAGTGGGCAAGCGGGATGTATGTTCACCGATCAGTATAGCTGCATCAGCTTCTCTTATCCATCTGGTCATGAAGATGTGCCAGGACTATTTTGTAATGTCACTATCGTGTCCCTAATAACGGAGCGTAATGTACGCGAGTAGTGGCAAATGCAGTGGGTTGAATCACCCAGAGTTCATCATAGAAGGTTTTAGTGAGGCCCTAGATCAGGTTGATTCCAATAAGTACGCTCCTGCAAAGGGTCGTCTTCGACTTCGAGAAACCATTCACAAACCTACCTACCCGCCTTAAGACCAACAGTTGAATCCAGCCACAGAAATCGCCATGACAACAGGTGTGGACGAAGATAGGCAAATACTCCTCCTTCTCAAGCGTATAATGCCGATCTAGCATGGGCATGCTCAGTGTCTGGGTGGCCTTTCTCGATCCTGGAGACAGGCTCATCCTCTTTAGCGCATATTTCGACCATCTGTGCCATATCCCTTTGGCAATACCCGTGAGAAATTACAGCGACCAATTGTGGCGTCCACTTAGATACCTGGATGACGTTCCGATGGCCGGGAGTGTGGTGTGATCCGATATGTTCCCCTACACTCTCCTCAGAAGGGCGGCATCGAAATCGCCTCTTCATCCGACTACATGTTTGACTTCGCTGAGGTAGGACGGGGGCCATTAATCCCAGCACAATCCAACCAGCAAGGTCTTCTCGACCGAGGAGCTGCAACGTATTGGCGACGTGCGACCTACACAATCTCTTGATACGGGGCATGACCTGCGTCCCCTTCATGCGTATCACCACACTGGGGTCGGCGATTCACCATCGCACACTCACTGTATGCTCTGTTGGGAAGCACTTCTTTTGCCCTCGTTGGCGCGTCGGCTGGGTTATCGATCCTGCGCATATGACGGATACTGTCGCTGAACCCTACCTGCCCATTTGCTGCTATACCCCCTAGATCCCCTTACAGGAAGCTTCCGTGGTGGCTTACGAGCAAAAGCTTCATGATGGGGTTTAGTCCCAAAGGCGCCAAATGATGCGACAGAAGGATGCTCGGATTATGAGAGTTTTCCAGGAACTCGCCTTCCCCACTCCAACCCAGAGGGCGGCTATTTCGTTCCGGTAAATTTATTCAGGGTCCACGTCAAGGATCGGGAAAGAGAAGCCCTCGCGATGGTGGATGACAACTCGTGGCTGCGCAATCTCGATTTTCGTATCAAACGGGGATCCCTTTCGTGTTATATAGTTGGTCCGACTGGGCTGCGGGAAGAATACTCTGGAAGAGTATCCTGCTTAAGGGGATTGATTCTTTCCGACATTTACCACTTTGCCGCCTCATACAGTGAATCATCCCTCTTTGTATTCTAGCCTTGCTCTTTCACCTCGTGGAATTCCGTCAGGGCTCCCTCGCCATCAACGGCCAGGACCTGGTTCCTGGCTCTTCGCTCCTGGGAGGCCCTACGCCAGACCCTTAACATTACCATCATCATCGCCCAGGACCCATGCTGGGTTCCTTCCGAGACGATGCCTTAACCTTGGCCCGTGGGGAGCGCCAACCCAAGACGATGAGATCCCGATTTGGGCCCTGAAGACATGCCAGATCTGGCCGGCGATCGAGGCGAAGGGCGGGTTGGATGCGATCATGCATGAAAAAGGGCTTCCTGCTGAGGAGCACGGTTGTGGTGTTGCATGAGCTGCCCTCAAGGTGAGCTTCGTCAGGCTGCAAGCTCCCAAATTGCCAGCGTCTAACGGCAGATACAGTGTCGACATTAAAGCTGATCAGATCATGCAGGCGATCATCCGGAAGGAATTCCACGGTGTGACGGTCGTACCATTATCTCAGTGGAGTATCGTCTGAACACGATCGTCGACTTCAATCGCGTTGTCGTGCTTCATGACGGGAGGGTCGTAGAATCCGGAAAGATGTCCGATAGTAAGTTCAAGAAGTTGTACGAGTTGCGATCATTCGGAGGGAAAAGGGGGGAGGACGGACGAGGAGACGTGGTAATTCCGTGAGTCATGTTAGATCCTTTAGTCCTAAGTCTGCGACACCGTTGATGCCCTAGAAGCTATGGGCTGGACCGCCATGTCCCTTCTATCAGACAAGGATGCAGTCTGGAGTCCGGCACATCTCGGATTGCGGCAGTAGTTGGTTTCGTTTCAGTAGGCCGGACCAGGCTGGAACAGCATTTTTGCTCTTGTAAAAGAAGAATCGAACCGGTTACAGCCCTTTGGTCGTAATATTTTGTACCGCTAAGAGTTCAGAGGTTTGTTGTCGCCGTGGCTCGTAAAAGTTTCTAGCAATCATCCCTCAACAGGTCCTTCGTGCGAAATCAACGGCTATAATTTTCGAAACAACCCAGGAAAACCCTGCGCCGGGAAGCTATTTCAAGCTTGGACAAAAGTCCGTGTGTTGTTAAGAGCCGGAGACGCCACTCTCGGAGCTTTACATTGGCAATATATAAGCTATATTAAACCGTTATTGCTTTCGTCAGGGAAATGCCCTATGAACGGCCATTCAGCATCAGCTTTTACAATCCACACGTGGAAGAAGATACAAGCCTGTGGAGCTCGGATGCATGCTGAAACAGGACTCTGGTGGGCAATGTCTTACAATCAAGATCCACTGCACTAGCACATAGCGGAAAAGATTCAGTCTAAGCCAGGGGATGAGGGTTATCGTCCAGGTTTTCGGGTCCGTTAAGGGATGGATGATGTAGGATTGTCATTCAACTATCCGGCTATATGAAACTTATATTATCAAACCCTCTGAAGCAGGTACACGAGGAATCAATCAGTTTAGGGCAATTCAAATGCTTCTCCACCACCAAGGCCCGGTCCGGTTGGTATATGAGCATACGATCCGAAACCGTTATTTTAAGAGTACATACGCGGTGGATACCTAAAATCTCTCGACTGAGTCGACTCCTCAGAAAATTATCCGTCGGTTTCAAATATGATCAAGCTCCCATGCCGGTGGCGGGGGCTGTGACGCCCGCGGTTGCATCTTCAGAACCAGGGGTTCGTCAGTTAATGAACGCATATTGCAGGGGAAAATCAGGGTGGAAATATTTGCACGACTTAGATGAAGTCCTGTTCATAGTCAGGTCGCGTATAAAACGCATCGCAGTTCTCCCGTTCTCGGGTTTTGCTTCCATTCAAACTTCACAGAACATTCCCTGGTCTCCTCTACCCCCCACATCAAACAATCATTCACACACGGTGCCCGAAATCCACGTCGCCAACATGAAGTTCCTTGCAGTTCTAGCACTCCCTGCCCTTGCGCTGGCATCAACGGGGGCTCCGGCTAAGCGAGATTCGTGGGGAGGCAGCGTCTCCCTTGGTCCTTCAAAATCTACCATTACCAAGGCCGTTACTACGATCGTCCCTGGCGCCGCTCCTCCAACCCAGAACGGCGAGTTGTTCCTTTGGCCTGGTATGAGCAATGGAACCGGCGACCTCGTCCAGACTACTCTGGAAAGCTGGCCAAGCAATGCCTGGTGCGGAGCGAAAACCGGCGAATGGTGTGTGCGCGCTAGTCTTTTTGGAAGTTTTGGCCAGTTGGATGGCGAGGCCGGTATTGTTAAAGGACATGACCACGTCCGCATTGAGTACCTCTTGCTCGAAGATGGAGAGACCTGGCTGCAGTAAGAAATTGAACCTGTTTCCCGCATAAAGCATGGGATCATTTGGCTAACGGGGGATAGAAACGTTACCCGGGTTAGAACCGGTGCTGTCCTTTCGACTTTTACCCATAAGTCTGGACCTTATATGACCGGGTAGGTTGATCATTGGGGCGACGATGAAAATTTGAACTTTGGGCTAACATCCATGTCTCTTTGTACAGATATGGTACAGGAACTGAGTGCGACGGCGGCTGTACCGGCACTGTCAACCCCCAGAAGTATTTGAACACCGAGATCACTTTGGCATCTGCAGATGAGACCTTCGGTAGCACCATCGCCTCGGCTGGTGGCGCTACATACACTGGTCTCAGCTCCAGCGAAGATGGTAAGGTGTGGACCATTAAAACCATCAACGTCCCAGCTATGAGCTCGTAGGGCTGTGCACTTTTTGCCTCAAACCCTCAGTTTAGTGCCTTCATTACCCTCTGTACTATATTTCATTTCTCTTCGTGTTTGCACAAATCAAGTTTAGCAGTGACCGGTTGAGTTAACCCCATAATTGAATTGGTTTTGGAAAGCTGCAGGAGCGGGTTTATATAGGAATAGACCTTTTTTATCCACAGATCTAAATCGATGGGCAACGAACCGCTCTTTTTTTTTTTTGAACCCTCCCCTTCTCAGCCAATCTGACGGATCGCTACTAGTACTCTGTAGTTCGATTTCTCCATTCCATTCCATTCCATCTCATCGTCTCATTCCTGCAGGATGAGTAATAACCCCGGTAAGCAGTGGAGATTTCACCTCATCATGACTCAGCCTCTCTCCACTTGGTGGCTTCTGATATTCGATGATGGACATGAAATGAGGTCTATTCAACATGCTGTCTGGTACTGTACGTAAGTATTGACTACTCCTGGATTTATACGAGTACAAATCGACCTGTTCACTAGTGCATGTAGTGCGTCATACGGTTCATTGTCGTCTCGCCGTCTCCTTGACCGTAGACTACATATGGGCAAGCACGAAGTCAATGTTTGGCTCAGGGAATGGATATTTTCAGGGACACGGCGGAAAAGAGTTCCACGCCTTAGACGATGGTCCAGACTATCAGTGCTGTAGTCGATGTGGAGGCCCACATTGTTGGGCCGGTTGAGCCAGCTCAAACGCCACCACATTTCTTCTATACAAGACTAAGAGGAGAATCCCGGCTCACTAATTTTCAATTTCATGATCTTGTGTATGCTGTCTTTTGGGGCAATATAAGCAACCAGACGGCCGGTTTGCTTGACAGTCGGGTATTATGTCCTATCGTGGTTCAGTGTATGATGGATAACCCGTGTCACCCTGTTGCATCATCGTTAGGGTTCTGTATCTGACGTCCCTGTCAGGGTATCGAACGGTGTTCTCACACCCATTGAATCCCTAGCTACTGCAGCCGGGCCCTGGATGCTTTACGCTCCACAATTTCAATCTTCCCCAATCCTTGTGCACCAACGCCTTGGGACAGGTTTCTCTGTCTTAATCTGGTATAAGGGACATTCTCTAGGCCTACCAGTAATTTCGACCACTGGAGATTCCCCCAATCCTTCTAGCTCATCGGTGGCCGAAGCTGATTCCTGACTAAAGCCTTATTGTTAAATCGACCTCTGAAGAGAAGCACCGGGTGTCTAAGCCACGCCTACTCACACCTACTCAAGCTTATAGGGCTGACGGCTCGTGGCAAACCCTAGAAAAAGCCAAGTCAGTCCTGATGACAAACTTAGAACGTATAAGAACGGTCTGTCGATGTGGAGATCCCGGAGAGTTGCTCGTTAAACATCGCCTCATGATAATGGCCGAAGCGAGTCTACCAATACAACTTGCACCACAGGCGTGTTTACAGTGCAAGTCAAAAAAGAGAAAATGTGACAAGACTTTACCCTCATGCTCAAGGTGCCAGCGGTGGGTTTACCTGATTACTTCTCCCGTCTGGGTGAAAAGGGACGTCTCATTGCTGACCCGTGATCTAGCGTGTCTCATATTTGCCAGTATCCTGAACAGGCGATGAGGGGGGAGAGAAGCCTTACCCCAGATTTAGAAGATTCTTGGGGATTAAGGTGGGTAGTGTGTATATACGATGGCATATACCATCGGAACTCGGTGACTCTGGCACTGACATTTCATGGCTAGTACTAATCCCGATCTCTCGATGCTTGTACTATCCCTCGAACCCCCCAAAGCAAAAGCGGCTTGCCAAAGATGTAGGGAGGGCAAGAGGCTCTGCAGCAGGGCACTCCCGCGATGTTCCCGATGCTCGCAGTAAGTATTTGACTTCCCATTGGGACTTCTCTTTGACTGCTAACCACCGAACGTCTCACTACTGGAAGGATGGGGGTGCCATGTATTTACGACCGACCACTGACAAGGCCGCCGTCGGAGGTTATCCTCGAAACCCACAACGACGACGTACAATTTCATTCAGAGTCCCGGGGGTGCGGAGAAGTATACAATATCCTAGCTGCAGATATGCCTGAGCGGCACCAGACTCTCTTCACCCTCGACCACAACAGCCATGCCCAACTCGATCCCTTCCAAACCTACCCTTCAAAGCTCAGTCCAGACTGCGTAAGCCGAGTGCTCAATTACTGTGGGTCCTCATCTTCCTAGACGGACATAGACTGATTCATTTCTAACGTCGAGCAACAGCCATAAAGGACATGTGGCCCAAACTCTTCCCAGGCTTTACCTACAAAGGCGAGTCATTCGTTCACGAATGGATGAACTGTGCAATGAAATGTCCTCCTCTATTCAACGCCTGGCTTCACTCCGGGGCGGAGCATATGCAGCTCCGTGAGCAAGCTAATGACCAGTCCCTGCAACCTTCCACCCAAGACAATTACGAAATTTTGCTCATGGAGCGAGAGGCAATTGTAGGCTTAAAAGAGTTCGTTCATAATAGCAGCCCGGATGAAGTGACAGATGAGATTGTGATGTGTGCATTTGCTCTGGCTCTGCACCCTCCAGAACGAAAGCGAAATGCGACTGCCCGTATGAGGCAAGTTCCACTTTCAAACCTACAGTGGCTGTCTCGATTCACAGACATTGTGATCCCAGAAGGACACATACGGGGCTTGCGCCAGTTGGTGGACACGAGGGGAGGCTTTGACAAACTTGAGATGCCTGGGTTGAAACAAGGTCTATCAACGTACGTATGCGTAGCCTTCTGCAACTCCAGGTATATCGACAGACAACACGGCTAACGATGTCGATCTAGGTTTAATCTGATCGTCGCGAGTAAATACCTTGAACGACCTTACTGGCCCCTTCGAGCGCGTTTACAACCAGACGAAGTAGCAATGTTTCTATCGGCGTTCGAACCCAGCTGGCCTACAAACTCCATGCCCTTACAATCCTGTCTCAACTCCGTAGTTCCAACCGCCATGGCTTGGGAATTCCACGCAATCCGTGGATACAACGCATTGGTGCACGAGTATTCGCAAGGGCTTTGCCCTACCTTGGACATGGCTTACGTCCTCGATCTTCGGAATATGGTCCATTACCACCTGATGAGCCTTCCCACCTCCGCTGAGATGCTGGAAACGCTTCAAGTCTTGCCACCGACGTACGAATCTCTCCGGCTTGCTCTGATCGCATACAGCTTGCTTGTCTTATTCCCCATCCCGTTAACAATCGAACCCTATCCAAGGCTCGCACACTTGCTGAGATATGAGCTGGAGTTGACGCAAATGAGGCTAGACTTATGGATGCCAATGATAGAAATGCTGCTCTGGGTATTGACCATAGGCGGGATTTCATCCTTTGAAACAGTGCATCGACCCTGGTACGTTCAGCGGCTGCGCTGGATGGTTCAGATGTTCGGGGTTGAATCATGGGAGCAGTTAAAAGAGATCATGGTTTCCATAATATGGCTAGACACCCCCTGCGACGTAGAAGGGATGCTTCTATGGAAAGAGGTACAAGAATCTAACCCAACCAGCTTTGTTGAGGGGCCGAGTATCTCCAGCATTTATATGGAGAGCCCTTTAGAGGTAATAGTATCATGATATCAACGACAAAAATACAATTTGACATCTTTGTGAATACTCTATCTCATGTGAATTGAACGCTGTTGTTCATTTTTTCACCCAGAGGACATGGTTTAAAACACATCTGATGGAATAGATAGCAATGAAACAATACCGGCCATCCCGTAACTATCTATACTTGATAGACCTCCTTGGGAATCGCTCGATCCTCCGTAGTTACGATAAATCTTAACCGGCCGTGAAATGCCTCGTCAGCTCAGGCAGGGTGTGGCTGAGGTGAAGTAAAGGCCAATGTGGAGTGCGGTTTGATCTGTTGTTGATTTTATACAGATGCCCGGAGCATGGAAACTAATCGAGGAGAATAGTAAGTAGTTAGCTGTTGTTGTTGTTTATTAATAATAATACACATTCTTCAACTCTTTTTAGAAGGATACTTAATGTCCGGTCCCATAATATACTCCTCATGTTAGCGAGATCTGCTCTAATCTTGAGGGAGATAGATCCTTAGTTGGGATTTATATCATGGAGGATACAAAGGCTTGCAGAATGAGGTATAGAAATAAGAACCGCCTTCTTCATGACCCAGGGTAGGTCTGGAGATGTGGTAGTTATCATCTTGTTGTAATATTTGCTGGATATAGAAAGAAAACCCCTTGATAAATCAAGTAGCCCTCCCACCCAGGCTTTAAAATAGTGTTGAGCAGCCCTGACTCAGGTAATATATCAGATCAAGAATAATAACCAGATAAGAGTAAAGTAATGAATTTCTTTATAGAATGATAATATTATAGGGAGAAGGTGAAGGTGAGTTGGCGAAATAAATACTGGCCAGCGTGTCGCTTAGCGTTTGCATGGTGAAGGTAGAATGGAATAGAAAGGTGAAGCGGTGGAAGGCTTCTCCAACATATTATAATCCTAGGAGTCGCGACGCATTGCATCTGAATACCAAATACACTGCAGGAACATTGCGCCCAGTATCATACAGCCGGCAAATATCTCTGCGCACAGGAAATGTATCGGTGATTTAGGAGTTATACTTACGTTTTTGCGCAAGAGCTTGGTTCTAGACCAAGAAGAGATCAAACGGCCTCGGAAGACCTCAACAACCAAGACAGGTAAGGGGAGGGGAGGTGTGTCAATGTCAATGCCTCATGACATTTACGGCGGGCAGCAGCGTTTTTGGCGTGCTCCGAGGGCAATATAGAGCCATAGTAACCCCGAGCTCGGATGCTGCCTTGGACTGGAGCAGTCTCGTCAAAACAACCCTTCCGCGACAATGGTTCGAAAATCTCCACCACTGTTTTCACGTGGGTTGCTATTAGTGGGAAATTGAGTAGTCTCCTTGCTTGTCTTTTAATGTGCTATGTGCAGAATATGTAGGTAATACCAGTGCGTGTTGAGGGCTCAAGAGCCTCACCGAACTCATCAAGCAGGTAAAGATTCCGCAACTTCTCCCGCATATGAAGCGCGATATCTGTTGGTGGCCACGTAGGGTGCATCATCTGGTTACGCGTCTTCCCGGTGAGGTAAAGGTATTCTCTCACGTTTACTATTCAGCTAAAAGGCGTGTTGTAGAAGGCGTTTTGCCACATGACCCCTTGATCCAACGTCTCGGTCATGGTAGCATCGTCCAATAGATTCTCATTGGTATCTTCAATAAACCAGGAGAGCTGGTCCCATTGAAAGAAGGAGCTCGGTTGTGTGGCATCGCCCGGGGGATCGTTTTGGATCAACAAAGAGGGGTCATCACGTATTGCAGGCACAACCTGATCTCCTGGGTTCCGAGCGTATGGGTGCGAGAGAACTTCAGAAGAAGATTGGTTATGTGGTCTAGGCAATCGCGATGTAAGGGGGTTGCGACAAATATGAACCTTTCCAAGAAGGGGAACATTCAACGTCAGTTCCTGGACATGTGCAGCACTCTCATCTTGCTGGAGGAGTTCTTTCAGAGCGCAAAGGGTATGGACCCCACGTTCTGCAAAGTCAGAGCCACACGTGTCTTTTGATCGTTCACTCATAAGTTTGATCACCTCTGACACGATCCCCTCGAGACGAGCCTTGTCAATTTGGAAGCTGCGGCGGTCCACTGATGGACAGGCGTTAGATGTCAACAGCAGGACGACGGTGGCGGTAAATGCCTGAAGATCCAGAAGTCGTGATGTAAATAGCCCCGGTGGGAGTCTTTGTCGGACGAATTGATATCGCTGTGCAACAGACTCACAAGCGTCCATGCAGGCCAACCGACTGTAGAGATATTCTTCGCTTTGATCCTGCCGTAGGGCGAGCGGAAGGTGAGCCCTCATGATAACACAGTAATGGAGGAGTTGAACAATATGGTCGGGCTGCAATTCACCACCGATAGCCCACCAAGATTTGGGCGTGTGAGATGCAAGCTCCCTAACCTCACGAGTGATCTCCAGGGCAGAAGTGTATATCTTTGGGGTTGGACCTTGCACCGCATTCAAGTCTTCCAGGTCATGAATCTTGAACGCCGCATCCATCAGTCTGCTCACGTAGACCCGGGGTTGTACAACGCCGTTGACCATTAGAGGTGGAGACTTCCCAATCCTATATCGCCTGGTTCCTGGAGGTAAATTAATAACCATCCCCAGAAGTCTATCTATATTGCAAATTAGTTCCCATAACTGCAGTTTATGGGACAACGGTCTATCATCCTCTGACCCGTTGTTCTTTCTTGTGGGAAACTGTTGCGATGTCTTCGGAAGTCCCATTAGCTCCGCGATCGCAATAACATGGCGCAGCTTAATCCACGCCTGTTGAAAATTTCCACGGCCCATTTGCCTAGCTGTGGTCAGCATGCAATATTATCGATTGAGACTAGGAAGGTAAAAGAAAGGACGCACAGCCGAATAAAGTGTATGGCCATCCCTAGCCCTTGAACGGTACCGACGAGTCGGTCATGGGTTAAAATTAGATTCTCTACGGTATCTGAGACGGCACGGGAAAAATCGAGTCGCTTCTGCGAGCTCAGAGGCGGAGATTCTATATTACCGCTGGATCTGGGAAACTGTTGAGCGGTTATGGCTACTGTCAAAAGCCAGGAAGCCAGACTGATCACGTCCACATCTGGTTGGCACATCTCCTCGTAATGCTTCAGCATTTCTTGCTGTGACTTGGCTGCGAATGGTTGTGGAATCATCATGTGGAGCATATTAAGCCAATCGTAATTGTATACGGTCATATCAGAGGTGTCCTCCTTTGAAGGAATCAGCTTCTGCAGCGCTGGTCGCGCAATCTCCAATAGATGAGCGGAGGCTTTAACCCGGCGTTCCTGTAGCTGTTCATCATGTCGACGCGTGTCGACACTCAGCCAGTCATTCTGAAACAGAGACCGCAGATGCGATGGTCCTTCCGCGTTCAGGATTTCCGACGCACTAGATTCCCCATCGGAGTCATCCGAGCCAGGGCCCTGGCTTGGGGTTGAGTCGAGGCCGAGAGAAAGCTTGCCTCCGAGTTTGGCTTCGATGTTGGTGACAATCTTGGTCAGCCGGCTCACCTGGGACTCTAACTGCGAAATACGATATCGCGACGGTAGCCGATGCGTCTGCCGCTGGCGACGGGACACCGATGATGTTTGCGCAAGACAGTCGGTCTTTCGCTCCGTACATTGCCGACAGGTTGGCGCATCCTCAGGGATACGAACGCAACGGACTTTTCGCCTCCTGCCTTTTGCGAGTAATTAGCCGGCTAACCTGGAAAGAGAATGATAAAGCACAGCCACATACACTCAGTGCAGCTCTTGGTCCCTCTCCGCAGAGTGGACTCGTTCTGCTGTGCGAGCATCACGCACCACGTGGAAGAGATCCAGTTCCGAGAATCTTCCAATCATGCGGCAAGAGAATTGCGACGGATCTAAGGAGAGAGATTCAAGTTTAAGAGCCGTGGTACCCATTAATCATTTGAGTTCACTTCACTTCTCTTCACTCGATGCTCAAGAGGAGACGGAGATGCGGACGAAAAGAATCACCCGCGGACGGCCTGTCACGTTTCGCGACCGGTGCCCCAGGCCGCACCTTTCCTAATGTGGTATCGTGGTATACTATCCCATTTCCCCTTTGAATCTTGTATCTTGCTGAAGTGAAGGTTCTGCTTGAAACTCAAAGACCGTTCTTCCAAGTCCCGTCTCAGGCTGAAAAACACCGGGATTTCGCGTTGGGAAACCGCCGACCCCGAAGCCGATTATTCACTATTCACACGTGCGCCCTTTGTATATACAATGCACCAAGAATGGAAAGCAGCTTTTCCCTCTTCAGCAGTTACTCTCGCAGCAACTCTCGAAGCAATCGACCCCCACGATTACCCTCCATAACCATCTGAGAGGAGTTGGATCTATACAACAAATGGCGTCCGTGCTGGAGAAACGAGACGGTCCTTATGCCTCCACCACTGCTGCACTGGGTGGACTTGCAACCATCACGCCCGACATTCCTGTGTGTGCTGTCTTTATTGTGTTGTATATCGGTTTTGCCGCGACCAATATGACGATATTTCAGAAGAACCGGCGAAGAGATCACAAATTCGTTCTGTCTGGCATGATGTTCGGTTTCTGTATGGCACGGATCACCACCCTCGTCTTGCGAATCGCATGGGCCAACCGACCACACAATGTTCGCCTGGCCATCGCAGCCCAGATTTTTGTGAATGCCGGGATTCTCCTGATCTACATTATCAATATCCTCCTCTCCCAGCGTATTCTCCGAGCCAAGCAACCCCATGTTGGTTGGCACCCGCTCGTACGCCAGGGCACCAAAGTTTCGTTTATCTTGATCGCTGGCTCGCTTATCATGCTCATTACCTCGATTGTGGTCTCGTTGTACACTCTGAATCGGGACACCCGTGCGACCTGTCGCGATGTTCTACTCGCTGGTCTAACCTATATGCTCGTCTTCGCCTGCCTTCCTCTCCTTCAACTCGGCGTGGCGGTTCTGTTGCCCCGATCTAAGGACGAGGAGACGTTCGGAGCGGGCAGCATGAATGCCAAAATCGCCATTGTCACCTTGTCGACGTGTATGTGTGTTTTGATTGCTGGCTTTAAATCCGGTGCCAACTGGAGCCCTCCGCGCCCCGTGACCGACCCCGCCTGGTTTGACTCGAAGGCCTGTTTCTATGTCTTCAACTTCGTGTTGGAGATTCTCCTGCTAAGTCTCTTGACTTTCAGTCGCATCGACAAGCGCTTTCACATCCCAAACGGGTCTACGCGTCCGGGAGACTATACCAATGCGAAGGAACAGTTCTCGTGGGAAGATCAACTTGATGTCGAGCCTAAAATACAAGCCTGAACGCATTCAATTACTTCTCTTTGTTTTCTTTTCTATGGGCATCAAAATACTCCTGGCGGCCAATTATTTGATAAATAGATAGACCCCGATGTACTAGTTAGCATGTTCCTTTTTTAACATGATGATTCCCTTTAATAAATCTTGCCATTCAAGAAATACCGTTAATGCTCAAGTGTAACCTCAGTATCAACCCATCTCTGGCGGGTTAACAGCCACCCGACTCGTATCACAATGCGCTCCGATTGCTTTGGCCAGGCCGGATGCGAAATATTGTATCGGCAAGTCGGTGGTTCCTCTACCGACACTCGGGGAACCGGACCACTCCGTATCCGCGAGCAAAGGTCTTTCTTTTCTTTTCTTTCGTTCTTGCCCTAGAGGAGGATATGGAGTACAGCAGACTGATCTCTGTCAACTTTACCGTTCAGCTAAAACTTGAAAGGTGTCAAGACGGTCATTTCTAGCTGATACAGTATTATATTGGTCCCCAATATCCTATTCAATCAGATAAGGGATTTATGTACCTTGGTTGGTTGATGTTATGAGGGTTTCCTATCTTGGAGATACAATGTCTGTTCCTAATGTTTGACAAAACTAATATCAAAAAAAGAAAAGAAAAAAAGCCCCCCTGGATAAATAATAACATTACTGCAATATAGGGGAAGGATGTTCCTAATCGCTCTCAGCCCTTTCCTTGCCTACGATAGTATGGTCCGAATAACTACACTCCGCTTTCTCTCACTGTGGGCCCATACAATTCTGAAGGGATCTCATTGCTTTACAACCCCTGGATTACTTCTGGAATCTTAGTCTTGAGAGAGATAACAGCCTATAAAAAGCCCCGAGGCCATGATTGTCTCTCCCTACTAGCTCACTATCGGTGTTGAGGAGATATGCTTGTTTTCCCCTATGAGCCTTCGAGCTGCTATGTTGAACATGTCCCCTCTCGCTCCCTCCAGCGCTCAAGAAGCTAGGATATGACGCGCCGTGAGTTTGCTGTCGTCTCACCTAGACCAGGACAAAGGCCAATCTCATAAACTGCCTAGGGTGCCAGGTTGCAGTGCATCTGCAGATCCGAGACAAATACATGAGTCGCATCCAATAAACCCATGTAATCTGACAGTCTGAAATTTGAGCTCAACAGATCGAACTACGGAGTGCTGGTATAAAAGAGAAGCACAAGCTCCGTTGCCCCTGGCTGACACACATTTCCTCAAGCACCCCATTTTCCCAACCATGCTGTTTTTACCCTTGCTATTTGGTCTGGCTGCTGGCCAGAATGGCGGTTCGTCCCATATGGTGCCAGCCGAAACAATGGGCTGTTGGTGATACTGACTCATATAAGGAACCACCAGCGGCCAATGGCTGATTATTTCCAATACGTCCGTGTTTTGGCCAACTTCAACCAACTATTTGTATGGACCAACAACAGGTCCAAAGGCCTCCGCGGTTTGGTGCGATGCGGCGTTTGTTGAGTATGCCGGTCGCTCGTCCGGTCTGCGATCCCTAGGGCCCACGGCAATAATAACCTCGCTGGAGTCGTTCACTACGAGCGAAGGGGCATGTAGGACATCGATTTCCCCCGAGGACTGGTCAAATACGCATTCCGGTCCGCTGACGACGCTTTGTGACGGAGTGGGACGTGCCCTAGGCCCCCGTGAAACAGCGACGGCCTACTACCCTGGCAATGGGCCCTGTGTCACCGGTTATTCCACCTACACCGTCCAGTCGTCCCTTTATCGGGCACCTAGCCCCGTACCGAGCTGCACCCTCCAAACGGGAGACTGTATTCCGATTTGGGAAACATATTCGAGTCTCTCAAGCGCGTACTTTTCATCCGTTACAACCGTCCCGCCAGGTGATACCAATAGCCCCATTGCACCCTGGGACTGTCCGCAGACGACCCGCGAGTATCCAGAACAAAACCCGTGTTCGAATTGTCACTTTCTCCCTGGAACGGCAACCCTGTTTTATTGGCCTGTGACTACGGCGAACGGAGACCTGTGCTTGCAGAACGGAACTACAATCCCAGCGTCGGGACCTAGCACCGCGGTTGTCGACGGCTCGACTTTCGTCTCCCCCACCATTTACCTTTCTTTCACGTCCATATATGCATGGAGTAACCGCCGCGCGCACCCGGGAAGCCAGTGTGGCGTAGATCACAGCAACACCGTGATCGCTGTGAATCCCACGGATGTATCGTCAGTGCGCGGCCATCGCAACGCCAGATATCCAATTATTGGGACTGCGTATCCATTCAACTTCGCCGAGTTCATGCCGCACGAAGTCGGCCAATCTACTCAAGCACTGATTCCTTGGCCGCAGTACCGTGGTGGTTCGCAGTGTCCAATCCCAGACAGCGACACCTGTACAATAATTCGCAATGACTACATGCCATGGGTCCTACTCCCGGAGGAGGTTCGTCAAATTGATCCCGTGTGGACGGCCTGTGACCGGGATTGGTATATCCCACCTGTGACAATGGTCCCACTGGACAGAGCGCAGATTGTGGTGACGCCCGCACCCGCCCCAACGGTAATGATGATGGTGGACGCTGCTCCCCAGGGAGCGGTAGTGTTGCCTACACCAGAGGCAACTCGGGGGTGGTAGTACATATGTACCGTATATTGGTTCACAATAGATAATTCTTCGAATGGTTGTTGGGGAAATGGTAACGAGTTCAGCTCTCCATATGGCTTGTGCTTTCTAGCCACTACACCTTGGCAGGTGGGACATTCCTGTACATATTTCGTAACATTATCTTGTAGATTGGTCCAATAAAATGTTCGTTTCAATAATTCTTCAGTTCTGTGCCTTCCAAAGTGGCCCGCCAGGGGATCATCATGGTATAGGCTGAGTAACTTTATCCTTAAGCTTTCACTGCTAGGAATGTAAAGTCTGCCTTTGTATGGGAGGATGCCCTCAGTATCCAAGCTCTAGTGAGCTAGACTAGTAGCCGTGCCAATTTTTGATATTTGTTCTTGACTTTTTGAATCCTCATCTTGGATCCTTTTGATCAGACTTACTGGTGAGAATCACAACAGACTGGGGCACGAATCTTTCTCGATTCAGTCGATCCCAGACAGCCCAGTCAGCTGCTTCTGTACCTGGTAAACCTGTACACCTTTCACAAGCTCAAACTGAGATTTATTGTTTAACAATCTCTGAGTCTAACAGAGGCTGCCCCAGCGACATGTGGCTCATCCTTCTTTGGAATGAAAAGGATAGGAGCTCCAGCTGGGCTTTTTGATGGTCGAATTCGGCCATATTGGATATTTTCATCAATATAATGGCGCAAGGTCTCAAGTTCTTTTTGTGATAGAGCATATATAGGGCCAAACAGTGAGGTTTCACCATGTTTTGATGGGAACCCTTTAAGAATTGAGCTGGCTACTTTAGGCATAGCTTGCCAACTGTTCCCAAATCTTGTTAAGGCGGGGTATTCAACTTCACTACCTGGTCCTGATAATTTTGTTATAGAAAATGTCAACATGCATTGATACCTAATAAATATTCACTACTATTAAAATATCTGCCTGTTACCAGATTTCTCATATATCATACGGCCCCTACAGACTTATGATCATCCATCATAACCGTGTTAGGACCTTAACACTGAAATTTCAAAGCTCAGGGCTTTAGCCTTGACTCCATTATTACCTTCATGGAGGTCAGGCACTCTCCCTTCTAAACTTTAATATATCACTAACACTATCCCTCTAGCGAGGTCAAGCTGCTCTTTTAGGGCAAGAAGAAAAGGATATTCCTAGTCACCGATTTCCCCCACATCCTACGAGCACGAGAATTATACACTTTAAAGGCGAATACCTCTCTATTTACAATGAGAAAACAGAACATCGCCATACATTTAAAGAGAATATAGCTGAATTTACATCCTATGAGATTCCTCCAGGGTATACCTGTTATATTCGGGGAGCTAGTGTGTATTTTCAAGCCTGAATATGTTCATTTTGCCCGCTACATGCAAAAGAGATTATTTAACTGATCGCTTTTATTATGCCTACACTATATGGTGAACGAAACATCTTGTGTATCATTCTTTGGAAACAAGCTGGCTATGCATCCTATTGTCTTAATATTTTGACTTCTTTCCTATTTCCAAAGACGGCTATTCATGACGGCTGATTTGAATGGCTCTGGCAAGATTAAAATATTGGTGGCAGGTATGTTTTAAGTACACGTGTTTTATTTCTGCTCAAAAAAATTACTTATTTATATATATAGTTTTCTTTCGTTCTCTTTGCTTATCTCTTTTCTCGCTCGAGGGTAGTTTATGTTATTTATTTCTCTCGCCCGTACATTTATAGATCCGAGGATGCTTTGTTCTATAAGTAATAGATATCGTAGTCATATTATCTTCTAGTGGGCATTTATCTTTTCCATGTGAGCCTTATCTCTGCTTATGGCCTTGCAAGAAAGGATCTTACCCCTAGCTTTAGTTCCCCCAGCTGAGACCGAGTGGGTAGAATAGATTCCTGCAGAAGCTACTACTGGAGTCTCATATTACTTTACTTCCTCTTTGTTATACTCTAAATATAATTAGTACTATCTCTATAATAGCAGCGCTGTAAACTAACTTGCAAGAAAAGGCTTTGTATTATCCTTCCTTAGAGTATTTGATATAACTTTCCGAATCTGGTCCCGTAAAATCCAATGGGCAGGAAGGGCCCTGTTCTTAATATAACTCTCTAGATTTATGACTAGCCAGGAGAACTCCTTATCAGGAAGAGAGCCTAAGCTGCTAAAAGCTATAGTGACAAAGATAATAGTTTCACACTTTAACTTTAAAAGTTCATCCCACCTTGGTTTGCAGTCCTCAGAAAGCTTTCTGATATGGTAGTTGATCTGTCAAACAGGTAAATCGGCGCCCTGTTTCACGAGGTTGGAAATCGAGGCTAGCCTTGCTAAAATTGTACCAAGTTCCTTGTTAAGCTCATCCGGGAACAGTACAAGAAATTAGCCACAGCAGCACAAAAATGAAATCAGTCTGCTAATGTAATGCTCCCTGTTGACTTGGAAACATACCTAGACAAAATAACACAGCCCGCAGCTAGTTTGTTCTAGAAGTTCATCTAAGCCCAGGGCTTGGATCTTCTGGGTATCACGCTACAACGTTGAAAATCTACTATGAGCACTAAATCCCAGTATAGTCTGAACGATTGGTGCTCGAAGGGCTCTTTGGATAGCTCTAGGATTGACAAGTCTGGTTCTATACCCGACGCTACCCGTTTGCTGGCCCGGTATACCCCCTGGATTCTCGCATGATTGCAACTTTCACTGTAGCATCATATTCAACTCGTCCATCAGACCCCATTCTTAGTCACTCTCAAGGTTAGCCAGTACACTGGCAGATGGGGCGAAAAACGTTGCGCCAGTCATCGGCGTGGAAAAGTCCAACAAACGATCATGCAAGCCTGGAGGAGAGCCCACAAACATCCTTTCTAGCATCTTCTCAATTACCCACAATCGCCTTGTGTACCCGATAAAATATGTTCCGAATTCGCCTGAGCCGGGAGAACCAAAGGGCATGTTGTCACGCAGAATCTCGTGTTCTTCGCCATTCTCCTCCACGATCGTCGCTAACGACTTATGCGACTGTTGACCGGATTCAGCATCCTCTAATTCAATGTTGTCCAGCTTGGTACGGCCAATGATCTTCTCCTGTTGTTCCGCTGGAAGTGTTTTCCACGCTTTCAGATCGTGCAGGTACTTCTGGACCACAATATAACTTCCCCCCACAGCAGCCGGATCCTCCTCGGCTATCAATACAGCGTCTGGGATTGCAGGCCCGATGGGGTTTGCTGTCCCGTCGACGAAACCTAGAAGATCGCGCACATCGAAGTACCGAAACCCAGTCGTGTCATCAACGACCGTCACTGAATCACCCAGTTTGTCTAACAGTTGCCTCTCGAACTCAAAACATAAGTCTCTTCGTTCAGAGCGAATATGAAAGAGCAGATCCCCAGGTGTCGACACCGCTGTGTGGGCTTTACCCTTCACCACCTGAAATGGGCGTAGCTCGGATGGACGAGGAAGGCCCGTCAGGTCGTCCCAGATATTGCTCCCTATGCCAACAGTGCAGGTAAATGAAGAGTTGAGACCTCGAAAGCTGACATTCTTTGCCAGGTCATCGATTCCCGCCAGCGTGGAGCGCACCGTCCGCACAGCTTCAGGACCACCCTTCACCACCGACAGCACCAGGAATGTGGCGCACTGGGTGAGCGGCGCGCCAACGCCTTGTGGATTGCCCGCGCGAGTGCTCATGTTTTGTTTGTATTTCTGACTCCAAAAGCTCTGGGTTCCACCTCTTGCGAGAGAGATTGTTGGAGAAGGGAATCGTGGTCCAATGCAAATGCCAGACCGGAAACCCCTTAAACAGTGATCAGGAATAGCAATGCTATATCTGTACATGTTCACCCCTAAATAGTCTCTTGGGGCGGTAATTTATGGTCTGAGAGAAGACTGTCCAAAGATTTGACCGGGAAAACTGTAGCGTCCCAGTGATGACATCATACAGCATCCAGCATATAACCAATTGATCTAGATTTTGACTCATGCTGAAGTTATAATATGGATCTTCTAGAGTAAGAATTATAAACAGCTTTATAAGCATGTTTGCCCCGCAAAGATTACCTCCCATCGACTCTTAAAACCCCTAACTAGAGGCGAGATTACCAAGTGAAAGAAGGTGGGCCGTGGTAGGAATCCTCCTGACAAGTCTGCACCCGATAGAACCAGTCTTCGTTACGTACGTAGAAAATGCATTTTGTGCTACTGTCTAGGAATACATTTTGACCGACGACAGCTACTTATGGTCAGGAGGGAAAGACACACCGAGGCTTTCATGCCATACTCGTTCCCTTGCCCATCAAGGAACGCATGCCAGCTCATGGACCTCTTTCCACAGCATGATTCTTTCTTTTCCCAGAGATGATGAGTATCAAATATGAATGATAAACATGCTTATTGTTTGGACGACACTAAAACAACCCTTGGTCAAAGAGTTAAAACACTGGATGAGGATCTTCACATCAGCCCAGCATAAGTCTGTCCAGCCTCATCGAGGTCCTCTTCCTCATGCATGTAGTCCTTAAACTTATCCAATTTAGACTCCTTGGAATGTTGAGGCTCCTTGCCATGCTCGTTGTGTTGTTGTGTATTTTGGTGTTGCTCATCCTCTCGTTTGGCTTCCTCGCGATGGTGGTGGAAGAACCTCTCCATGAACCCTTCCTTCTGATGAGGCTTAGGTGCTAGCAGCTGTGAGATTTGGTAGGATTTTTGGTCTCAGGCTGACGAACCTTCTGACATGTTTGGGTTCGAGTAGCTCGTTCAGAGGGAGGATCTAGTAGTAGTAGTGTTGCCTGTTGCACAGAATCGAGACCATTTCATTTAGACGCGGGGGTATTTCCCGAACATTTATACCAGCCGTTCATCTTCGACTACTACGTTATTTAGCTTATCGATTATTCCTGGAATTAGCTTTCCGTGGCGAGCCCAGCAGTCGAGAACGTCATCACTTGAAAAGCAAGTGGATTGATAACTTAAAGTGTACTAAAGGTATATTCGTAGCCAGGTTCATCTTTCAACCCAAGTCTTGCGGTCTCAAATGATAATTCCGGCTATGCGTAACTCTGCCTCGGTCCAATCCCATAGATGCTTCCCCATATCTTTACTTCTGGCATACTTATTTCGCGATTTCAGGATCCCAACCGGCATGTAGTACCCTCCATTGACTAGTTCCTCTCTTTTCGCCCCAGCGGCCGCCCACAGCTGGTTAAGTGCGCCTTCATACACCGACGAAGCGAATAGGCCAATGACCCTAGTGCTCGCGGCAGCTAAGATCGATTGTTCGCTAAATGGCGTATACAAATCGGTTAAAATAATCCCGGGGTGCACAGAAACAGACCTGATCGAGGGGTGTCGTCGGGCAAGTTCTGCTGCAAAAAGAATATTAGCCACCTTGGAGGCTCCATACCGAGTGTTGGCGTTGGTATCCTTAAGCCGTCTTTGATTTAAAATCGTCAAGAATGAAGGAGCAAGATTGTGCCCGATTGATGAAAGCGTAACGACCCGGACGTCAGACTGCGGCTCCTCGGCCGTTTTCAAGAGAATCGGCAAAAGCAGTCTTGTGAGCAAGAAATGGCCAATATAGTTAGTTCCCAATTGTATTTCGTGGCCCATTTCCGTTTCTCCCAGTGGAAGTGCCATCACACCAGCGTTGAGAATGAGGATATCCAGCCGAGAGGATTGGGCCTGGAATTCTTTCACTGCATTTTCAATCGATGTATTTGACGCCAAATCCAAGGGAAGCCAGGATATCTTGAGACCTTTCGAAGTACCGGATTCCAGTTCACCGATAGCATTCCTTGCTTTAGCTTCAGACCGAGCGGCGAGAAATACTTGACGTGGATTATGCTTGAGCAGTTGTCGGATAGTCTCCTTTCCGAGCCCAGTATTCCCTGTTTTGCAATCATCATTATTATCTCGCTTATGTATGAGGCCTTTGATTTACCTCCTGTCACCAACACAACCTTCTCAGACAGATCTTGAATGTCCCGGTCAGGATGGAAACTGACTCCGCCAATATAGTTAGTAGGGTTCAAAGCTGCTGCAAGAAATGCTGCCATCCTAAATCATTGCCTCACTCTCAGCATTGGGGGGGGGGTGGGTTATTCCGAGTATTTAATGGTACTCCTCAGAAATATGCCGGAGAGTTGGTGTAACCAATATGTTTCCTTGTGTATGTGTACTCCGTAGTTTTCTCCCAAATTTCTGGATGAATGACTTTGTTTGCCCGTTTATAGTAGGCTGTCTTTCTTGGTTTGTGTCACCGCTTGTAGTCTTCTGTATAACAAGAGAAAAGGCAGACCTCCGACGCTTTCATGGGATCAAGAGGACACCTTTGCCTGTGGCTTTGGGTATATTAGCTTCACTTCACTGTTTGCCTGCTAGGGTAGGGCTACGCCAACATGATTGGCGCATCAAAATCGACATAAATGTTAAACCACCCTAAATGAACTTCGAATTCTGTATCTATGTCGTGGAGAATGCTCTGTTCCAGCTAACAAGGCGCAGCATCGTATTTTTGTAGCCGGATTCAAAAGATACTTCGACTGAAACATAAGCATAACCCCTAAATAGAGTATTAACTGAACTAACATACAGACCAAATATCTTTCGGTAAGAGTCTATATTTTCATGTTCGTGATCTTTAACAGTCTTCTGATAAGGGTTCATTTCTCCCCCGAAGTGAAGACGCGACCAGGTCTCGCCAGATCCTGCCAGTTTCCGAGGGGACCAAATCCCAGTAGATTCAGCCTCATGAGGTCGTCCTATTTGACAGCTTTGGCCCCCAATGGGAGGAAAGTGGCAGTTCATTCACGAGACTTGGTTGAAGACGCTTTGGCGTAGGCTGAATACGAGGCTCGCGTCGACTAGGGCAACAACGGGGAACTGTGAACCAATCGACATCTCTAGCATAGAGAGCCAGGACAGGAAGATGCAGAAAAAAGATCACTATTGACTTTGCTTTTGGCGCAGTCACATCTCCCTCAAAATGGGGGAAGTGTTTCCTGCCCGAAGAATAGATCTTCCCCTGATCACTCTCTTCGTCGTTTCAACCCAGCTGCCCGGATATCAATTCATTCTCGAGCTTACAACCTGAAGACGTCATACTAAAGTCGATAGCTGGGTTTTATTCAAGACAGAAAGAAGAGTATTTTAATTGGTAAATCGTGGTGTTGCACAAAGTCCTGTATCCGCAGACTGAACCCATCCTGTGCAGCCTCGGTGTCGCTGCCATTACTGGTGAAATCCAAGATATCAGACTGAATCGAGCAGGCTAGACACGCCAAAAATGACCGTCGTCGCATCTGCTATTACCACCACATTCATTCCGCCAGCGAATGAAGTGAGCGTTGTGGGCTACTATCCTAGCGGAAACAACGAGGGTAAGGATGGACTTGCGGGAATCACGACCTGCGCCTCTGCTAACAGGATGACTTTGCAGTGGGAACAATCGTTTGCGGATCTGAATATGAGTTTTTGGTATCGAGTACATACGGAATCTGCTGTATGACAGCGAGTCGAGGGAATTGTGGTTTCAGACAAACATGTTCCGCGAGTATGATGGTGTATGAGAATGGGGAGAGGGTAACCTGGTAAGAAGAGACCGAACGATTTTCAAGCAAACTGGACTCTGGCTCACGGTAAGCTTCTCAGCGCAAATGATAACCCTTGCGTGTCAACAACAATATACCAAATGTCTCCGTCTGGGGGATGGTCTGCAACCATGGCCTGGTGCGTGGACGCTGACAATCCCACCTCGATCTACCGCAGTTTGGTCGGCACCCAGCTCACTCTCGGTAAGGCTTTGTGATCCCACGCGCTTACGACCGGACTGACAGTAAGGTGAATGCTAGTAACCGTGGATAGCATGACCACCACCGCCTCTCCCGAAGCCTCAGCCACCTTAAATGTCACCAGTACCACAACCACCACCAGCGGAGCAACCGCCACCTCCACGAATTCATTGGGCGCCAACGATACTACACCTCAACCGGGCGCAGCGGACCACGGGTCCAAGACCAATGTTGCGGCGATTGCTGGCGGTGTTGTTGGAGGTGTTGCTGGTTTGGCATTGATCATAGCTGCTTTGTGGCTCATTATCCGACAACAGAAGAAAAAGAATTCCGAGTTGAGAGAAATCGGGACCGGCTACACGGCGCCAGGGAAATAAGGAAGAAAGAAAATCAATTTGCATGGCTTGATTGTGTTTTGAAAGCATTGTCGATCTAGATACCTCCTCATAGTACTCTTCAATAGAACAGCTACATGTACGTTTTACCTGCTCTGGTTCAGATTGTCCCTGGGAGTTCCTAGCATATCTAGAAACTAGAAATAGGATATTGACTATGTAACTATCCCAAGTTTTAAGCCGGTAAGGTTGTGAAGGTTGTGAAAATTCCTCTGCGCTACGGATTCGAGGCCCACCTTTTACTCCAATAGCACTCAAGAATGGGCTCAATGAACCCTACCCAGGTACCTATAGCTAGTCTAGCGCTCGCGAAGGCGCGGGCATGCCGCTGGTAACGGTGATAATAGATACATATGTACGAACATATTTGGAGTCTTCCTCAGTCAACTTAACCCCACCTCGGTCAGCTGCGGCTGAGGATGAGTGAGCATGCAGATAATAACTACTAGTTAGTTCTTGGAAATCACACACCCAAGTACATACACAAGGAAACGGTCAGGGCTGATTCGCTAGATTCAGGACGGCGTGCGTGGCATGATGACGGCTGAAACTGCTGGTGGACGGCTTAAAGTCCAATTCATTTCTACCTAAAGGCCAGCCGCGTATAAAAATAGCGAGGACCCCTCATGCAGGGTCAGATTGTCGAGCCTTTACCGAACTATCTGTCCCGAAATATCATGCATCTCAACCGTTATTCTTGCTGCATCTAGATAAATCACAAAAATGGTGGTTGCTCCTAAGAACCAGATCCCCGCTATTTACGCGCGGGCGATCCAGAGATACCAGGAAATTACCGATGAATCTCTTGATGTTGAGTTCCTCGCAAAGATCCAGAATGTAGACGACCTGACAAAAGAAATTGATGCGAGGAATAAAAACTTTCGCGAGTTCCGAGAGAAGCGTGGCGTCATATTCAATGCCTTGCAATCCGCACTCATTCCTGTCGAATTGTTCGGCAACCTCGCGGCCGGAGGGGCGTCGATGGTCTTTCCACCTAGCAGTCTGGTTTTCGGCGCGGTGACATACCTCATGGGTGCTGCGAAGGGTGTTTCATCGTCATACGATGCAATTCAAGACTTGATGGGCTCCTTGAAGGTAAGAGAGAGTCGTCCATTCTTCGAGGGGGTGAGATGGCGTGGAAAATCGTCAGGAGAGGGGCATTGCGCATTGGCGGTTCTAAATCAATAGTAGGACTTTACGATCCGGCTCAAAACGTACAGTCAAGAAGCAATCTCCGAGGATTTGAGCAACAAGTTGAGCGACGTGCTCGTGACCCTTATCGAGATCTTTGCACTCGCTACTAAGACCATTCGACGAGGACGGCTTCTCAAATTCACACGCAATATCCTCTTGGGTAACGATGATGCGATACAAGCGGCCATGGGGAAACTCGACAAACTCACCAGGGTAGAAGCCGGCCTGGTCGGGGCTGAAACGCTGACCGAGTCGAAGAGAACCGGACGGGTTGTGGACGACATCTCGGTGACCGTCAACACTACCAATGCCACAATGATGGAGACAGGGATGACCGTGAGCCAGATGAGTGTCCAAGTCAATGAAGTGCAAGAAATGCTGGGTACTCTGATCGTATCGGTGAATGAGACCAAGCAGGACAGTAGCGAAAGTCGCGAGAAATCCCAGCAGGACCTGGTCAAACATATTCTGAAGCCATCCAAGACAGACTCGGCACAGGATTGGTACGACAAGATCAACAAGGCCCGTATACCAGGCACGGGAGACTGGATCCGAGAGGAGGACATCTTTAAAGGCTGGGTTAACATGGATATGCCAATCATATTCGTTTCAGGTAATCCTGGGGCAGGGAAATCCTATCTGTCAACGAATATTATTACTTTTCTGCGCGATCAGTACCCACAGGACGTTGAAAACACCTCGATAATTTCCGTGGGATTCTTCTTCTTCAAGGATGACAATCCGGACACGCGAAATCTCCACCAGGCCTTGCGAGACCTTGCCTTCCAAATCAGCAAGACCGACCTAGTATACCAGAAATACATTGCCACCATTGAGGACTACGAGAGGATCGGTTCCCTGGAAAGCGCATGGCGCCTTCTCTTTGTCGAGTTTTTCTTAAAAAGGACAAACGTCGACAGTAATGTGTACATCCTCCTGGATGCTGTGGATGAAGCACTAGATGAAGAGAGGAGAATCTTTCTTGGGTTGGCAAAGGACTTGTATGATGCTCCAGAAAAGTCCCGTCTGCACCTTGCCATCGTCGGTCGACCCCATATCAGTGAACAACTACTTGAGGGTCTAGAGACAGAAGTTCCCACTATCCATGTTACCACAAATAAGAACTCGGGTGATATCAACCAATACATCCATGCTAGCATCAAGAAGTCGGTTGTTCTCCGGAGGGTGTCGGCAAAGATGCGTCAAGAGATTGTGGAGAAGTTGGCCGCCGGGGCAGAGGGCATGTTCCTCTGGGTGAACCTCATGCTACAGGAGCTGGTCAAAAAAAGAAACGAAAGCAGCATGCGAAAGGCATTAGACCAAGCCCCGAAAGGTCTCAAGGATATGCTTCGTCACGTCCTGGAAAGTTTCTCCGATAGCTCAAACGATGAAGAACTGGAATACCTCAATGAACTCCTTCTGTGGGTCACCTGTTCGCAGCAGCCTTTGACTCTATCAATCATCGAAGCAATCCTGAAGCTGAAATCCCCGGAAGGCGATGGGATGATCTATACCGAAGGAGCACTCCGGAGGCAGTTTGCATCGTTTTTCAACCTAGACCGGTTGGACGGCCTGACGACGGCTGAATTGCAAAATCTAGCAACGAATGCTGGGTTGGAGGACGACTCAGATGATGAGAAAGAGGCGCTGAGCGCGCAGGAGGACGCTTTCGAGGATGTCGAAAACTCCACCGATTTCGACTCCGAAAAGAGCACTACTACAGTAACCTTCTGCCACGCATCTATTGGCGACTTCTTCCGTGATGAAACTGAGGGCAAAGTTTCTTCGGGAGAAGATCGCATCGCTGTTGGTGTAAACTATCACGAGGCTCAAGCTCATGTCCTAAAAACCTTCCTGAGGATATTCACAGATCGAGAATTTGCAAGCAAGGCCGACGATACTGGTATGCTCACGCATGCTGCCCAGAACTGGGCCCACCACCTCCTCAATGTATCACCTTCTCAGACTTCCCTTGAAGATAAGAAAGAGATTGCCAAGTTGTTACTGGATGCATTCAGATCCGAGGAAGCGCTATCCGACTGGGTTGGGCAACGCAGCTGGGTTTCCACCAAGGCTGGCATCCAAGCAGTTCGTCAGTGGTGGAAGGATCAGGAAGTCCTTGAGTCGTTGACCGCAGAGGAGAGGGATTTCATCGCTTCCACGGAGGACGACCCTATCACGACGTTCAAACCGCTTGTGATGTTTTGTATTAAGAAGTGGGTTGGCGACGACGCATGGGGTCCAGTTCCCGTCGCAGCTGTTGTTTGGAGCTATCTGGCCTTCTCGAAAGGTAAGGAGGGGAATTTCTCGGAAGCCTTCAAACCACCAGCTGAAGAAATCATTGAGGCGGCCGAGTTTGGCGGCACTGAGAAGAATGCCCTTTGGTATCAACGGTGTGCGATGGTTCTGCGCAATTGCGAGCATTCCGAGGAAGCTTTAGATTTTTTCGCAAAGGCCATTGAACTTGCCCCGGACAACTGGCTTCCAAAAGCTGGCATGGCACGTACATATGTGGCGAGACAAGAATGGCAAAACGCAATTGACTTGGATGAACAATGCGTGGAGGCTATACTAAAGCGCATCGAGGAGCACCCAGACGACAAAGAGCTTCGGAGTTCTCTCCACCTATGTCTTGAACGTATGGGCGACTGCTACAAGGAAATTGGAAATTTGGAAAAGCGCTTTGAGGTCTACACCAAGGCATATGACAATATTGAGTACTGCGACAAGTGTATTAACGTGCTCCTTCAACACCATTCCAAGACGCAGTCGCACGAAACCACCATTGAGTTTCTTCGGACACTAGAAAATACGCCAATTGAAGGTGCAGATTACTCAATGCTGACAATGTCTCTCTGGGATAATCCAGATGAAGATTCAGTCTACTTTGTCTACGCCGCGGACGCAGCATTCGCTACTAACAACCTGGACTTTATGGTCGCGGCCTGGCGTACGGCCGCACGAGCGGCGAGAATGGAGGCAAAAACAGTCATTGCGGCTCACCTAGACATGTCTCTCGCTCGAATCTATAGTGAATTCTTAAATGATCAGGCGAAAGCCGTCAAGAGATGGGAAAAGATCATGAACACATACGCGTCGTCGAAAGACGAGACTTCAATCGGCGTGACGAAGCTAGAAGCTTCATACAAACTCGCTCGACACTTCTTGGGTGTCGCTGTTGAGGCTGGGGTTGGCACTCCCGAAGCTGAAGCCGCGGCAGCAAAGCTTGAAAAGCTCGTAAAGCAAGCCAACACTGATAACAACTCCGTGTGGTGGACTATTTCCAGCGCACGCGCGATCTCTTTAGGCCTATACTACCGGCTATGCGGGCGGGAAGCGGAAGCCAGAGCCCTGTTCAAACCCTCCGTCAAACGGGGTATTCAGATTCTGTCTGATGACGACCCAGAGAACGATGTTTTCGGACTTCTCGACCTGATGAATGCTCTGGCAGCTGCTGGAGATTCTAAGAATGTGATTGCCATCGCATATGCGCTTGGACAATATACAGGAGGTCATGAAGGGGAAGAAACCCCCGATGAGGATTCAGGTGGGATCACTTGCGATGGCCCATGTCGTAAAACGCTTCCGGTAATGGATAACTACTATCTGTGTCCAATCTGCTTCGACACGGGGTTTTGTGAGGACTGCATGAAGCTGCTTAGGGATCAAGCTATGGCAATCAACAGGTGCAATTCGACACACATTAAGGATTTCATTTATATTCCTCCGCGGTCAAAGAAGGTGGAGGGTGGAGCTATGCTCGTCGACGGCGAAGAAATGGATTTCGAGACATGGAAGAACCTATTGAAGGTTGAATGGGGAGTTTAACTCCATGCATAGTGTTTCCCTTCAGGACGTCGCTATTTCAATCCTCTGCTCATGATTCTCTCTCTCTCTCTCTCTCTCTCTCTCTCTCTCTCTCTCCCCGAGTTGACATAAGCCTCTTATCGCCATGATAATCAATCATTATAATTAATGCTGCTATGTAACTTGGATTTGCTACCTGGTAACGCATTGAATTCCCGGATTCGGCGTGGGCCGCGATACCACGAAAGTGGATAACGATGAAGAGCGCCCTGAAACTCAATGGAGAACTACATATACTGGATTCACAATTGTCCACTTCTCATCCAGCCTCTTGTTCCCTTTGTATCCCTTAGTCCAACACGTATATGAAACACTAAAGAGTCTTTTCTGAGTTCCCGGCGCTGGATCCGAATAGTTTCTCCCTAAAGTGTGTTACCCCAAATCATTAAAGAACTGCCCGCACAGACTGACCTTTTCTGAACTTTTCTCAAGCCTCGGAGAAGTCTCTCGTATTGATCGTACTCCGCACTTCCCATAGTCTTAATATGAACCTCTTTGTGTTTTCTTGTCCATCCCCTGGAGCTCGGCCCGGTCTTGTCTAGGTTATGCACCGCCCCTCCGGCTGTCGGGCTCAGCAGCTGGCTGAAGTCCCGATTAGCAGGGCTGATAAACAGAGGATCGATATCACCATTGATACGTGTCGCTTCTTCAAATATGCGGAATTCGATTTCCGGGTTGGTAGTGGATGGGTCATAAGCATATCTGTCATCGCCTACTTTGTTATCTGTCCCGGACTGAGCTGTCTCGGCTCGTTCAGGATTCAGAATCTGCCGCTCAAGCTCAAGGAGTTCCTTTTCCCTCTGTCTCTTCTCGGCTTGGGAACTCGGCACGGAGGCTATAGTTCGACGTGGGAATGAGAGTGAAGGCCGAGAGGCAATGCTTGCAGAGGCTTTTCGAGCGATCTGGGAGCAGGATCTGATGGAGGACGCCATGTTTCAGTGGTGCAGTGTTCTGCAATAAACTACGAATGTAAAATTCAACACCAGCAAGGCAGGCTGCTAGTATTTATGTACAATCTGGTTCTCTGGTTCCCTCAATGGTGGCCATGGTTGTCCACTTCTCCTTGACGTCATTCCCACTCTAAGCTCATTGCCTTGTATGGCCTCCAATCTCAAAGTATCCGGATTGTGGTTTATAGTTTGTAATGTTTTAAACGGCTCGTCTTGTTATTGTAGATACTCTTCCTTCTATTACCGAGTAGGAATCTTTATTATTCTAAACGGTCATGAAGTGGAAAGGGGTTCCAGTCTATTCATTCCATATTCTCAGTAACTTCTCCTGCAAGATATATAGAGAACCATCAACCGCTAGCTATAGCTCTAAAATGCACTCAAAGTGGCTTGAGCTCCCAGTAGTATCAACTATGGAACGCAGTCAAGCCAACGTCTCGCCACTTGGTCGGACTCTGCTACCCTCTGCTCTGTGCTCTATGGGCTCATCCCAGCTCCAGTTACCTACTTTCGGTACATTGTTGCACTATTTCATCACAGAGGATAGTATTGTTGTAGGTTAAGGAATGATAAGTATGCACTCGAAAGACCCATATCAAATTAGATGCAACAAATAACCCCAGGCTAATCCAGAGTTTTGAGAAGTTGAAATATCCTTTTCAGAGTTGGGAAATCAGAATCGTGATTTTAAATGCTGGTTGATTAGATATCAACTAGTTGGTGTGTCCATTTCGCGGTTACTTGATGTATTTCAGACTCCGGAAAGAGTTGAACAGCTTATAGACACCGAAAAGGGTCGATCCCACTCCCACTCCGCCTGCAGCCCAGGCAGCCCCCTGGCGTCGCAAGGAGTTCAATGGGATGTGACCATCTGCGGATGGCTTCTGCTTGCCGTTAGCATGTACATGTATGCATCGAGGAGTGGTGGGTTGGCTTGAATGCAAACGCACCGAGCGAAGCTTATGCCTCAGGGCTCCTGCCTGCTGGCTTGAGCGACCCAGAAGAATTTGGAACATTTTGTGCCAGGTTTAGTTAGATATTCAAACGGTGTCTTGATTGAGTATTTCTCAGAGATTTCATAGATTTCCGCCGTTGCAGAGAGAAATTCAGGAGATGTCCGTAGTCACGTAGCCAGGACAAAGTATTATGTCTGCAAGGTGAGCTCCTTTTTAAATACTCACAATAAAGTTTCTCAATGATGGCGAGCATGACGTTGAAATCTCAGGACTTTGGATTGAGGATGTTGAATCCCTGGACGTCATAGAGGTGGCATAAACTCACCAATCTCAGAGCACTGTTGAAGTATGGGGCTGATTGCCATGCCACAAATGATGCTGGTGAGTATATATGCAACTGCAGGGGATGAAACTAGAGCTCTCTTAACCTATAAAGCTGAGTGCTTCAGGTTGGTTTAACGGACGGCTTCCTGATTTGGTCGAAATGGCTTTGCGATGGAATTCCGGAGGCCAACCTGGGCTACACCTAACATGAATAAAATATTCACCACTTCTAATATACTAGTAATAGGCACTATAGTAGTAATATTTTTATAATAAATATTATTCATTATTCCATTATTATGGTGGTGATCAGTTTTAGTGCAGTATTAATCTTAAGTGGTGAAAGCAGGTCACAGGGGTCTAAAAGTTCATGTCAGTCAGCTATAACCACCCTTTTCAGACAGGGGCTAGTCATATGATGAATATGAGATGTTGGATAATAGGTAATCCTATGAATATTGATTCAGATGGTTATGTGTCTCTTCACTAGGATGACCACCGCTGCGACCTGTTGTCTCTCTTAAGCGAGACCTCTTATAGTCAGACAAATACATAAAGAGCTCTCTGATTCTACCCACCCGAGGGTGCAGGGGAGCAGGGGATACAGCTCATCGTGGGTAGAAAATTGTTGGCGCTAGTTCTACCCACGATGAGCTGTATCCCCTAATACATAAGATCAACGGTCGAACCAAGGCAGCTTCATGGCCCGGAACTCAACCCACTAGAAAGCAACAACATGAGGTCTGAAGAAATTAGCGACTGGATACAGCTGACCAAGTCTTCATCCAAAACCCTGCCAAAAGTTACCTCCAAGCCCCATGCGTGCCCGACCGACAATAGCAGTCTAACAATGACGAGCGACTTGCCCCCGACGCCTAAGAGACAGAGGCGAAGCTTGAAAAGGGCACAATACAGAATCGCAGTCAGGACAATCACAAGCATCCGTGCGATCCTCCCCTTTGAAACTGTGGACCAGTATAATGCTGCATTAGCTAGAAATGGCTGTCTTGACACCTTTTTAGCTGAACGGTAAAGTTGACATAACATTACATCTATGGTGAACAACGCCGCGAAATGCCAGGCCACAATACAGTCTGAATCTGGATGGAATATGATGATGCATTATCCACTATTGGATATGGCCATCAACAGCTGGCAGCAGCAGGATCAACTTGTGGGTGTTGCACCTTGCACTCTAGCAAAGATTATTCGAGAATAGCTATCATTCCAGTTTGAGGAATGTCGTGGGTCCTAGACTAGCGATCCACCTGCGGCCGCTTCTGTGTTCTTTCCTTAGCTTTCTTGTGCGGATGGCATTCTCAAAATGTGCGAAGTACGGTTGGCGTTCCGCGTCGTGCCAGACATCTGGGACACTCCTGAGTATGAAGAGGATTCATCACGTGTGTGGACTGCCACTGTGAAGTCTGACGCATTAAAGACATCTTGTGATATCCTGCTCGGGCGTACCCAGATCCTTGTCAAAGATTGAAACGCAAAGGTCCTTGCGCAGCTGGCCATCACTACCGAAACCCCTGAGCTCGCCGATGTGTTTGGCCGTTCCCGCGTGCTGGCTTGCTACTGTGACGACAACGGGTGCAGATGCGACAATTTCAGCGTTGAGGGCTGCACCGGCGAAACTCTTTTCGTCAGCGCTGCCAACCTCACCTCCCATCGCCAAGTGGATGCACCAGTTCGTCACCGGAGACTACGAGGATGATGATGCATACGCCGTACACTACGTCATCAACATCAAGTATTCTACACGCGTAGGCATCACCTTTAGGGCCGTCATGTGCGCTGACTTCTCCGACCACCTCCCTATAAATCCCCGGTAGTAAGAAACAGCAGGATATGAGGCTTCATTTCTTCAATAGAGGATGCCACAGCAAAAGGGAAGCCTACAGGGCACAAGGTGTATTCCCACATTCCAGATTTAGCGCTTTTTTTTATGGCATGTCAAAAATGAAAAACACTCTGTAGTTCTTGATCAGCCTCATGGCTCACTCCTGGCTACATAGTAAGCTACAGCTTGCTGTGTAGTGCAAGAATTAATTTGGAGCAATATCCGTGATGGAAAATAACTAGAGTAGAAGGGAGGAACCCATATACCTACCCTGCTCTACTTAGTTCAAAATATATATCTCGAGGGAATCAACGTAAATCAGCAGCTAGCCAACAATCAAAGATTTCTACAACAATAAAGTGGGAATAAAGCTAAGTGATACTAAATACTGTTAAAAGGAAAAGAAAAGGAAAGGAAAAAGACAAAAAGGAAGGGTACCTTGATGGATGTCGAAAAAGACGAGAGAAAAAATAAAATGAAAAAAGAAAGTGGACTCGCCGGGAATCGAACCCGGGACCTCTCCAATGCGAATGGAGCGTTATACCCCTAAACCACAAGCCCGCTTGTATGATAAGTGAGCTTAATTAATGTAATATAATATAAGGATGTAAGTGAGTGCTTTGTTCCTTCTGGTATACTGGACGAACCCGCAGGGCAAAACAGAGCTTTCGCAGACATACCAAAAGACTTGAACTATTGCTATTCCGATTCCCGAAAATGACTGTCTCTGAAAAATTTCATTTTATTGCGTTTTGTTACTATTCCAGCCCACTGGTTTTAGACCGATGTGCCAAGCCCGTGTACTATTCACTTATCCCGGCTGTAAGGACTCATTGCAATTTCTGGAATTTCGCACACTATACAACGTATACTTGCGATGCAATGTTGCCTCTCTAATGACATCCTGACAATTGGGCCATACTAACGTTCTATTCCTGCTTCATTATATAGATATCGTGTTTATATAAGTTCTTATTTATCTACCACTTTCAGAAAAAGGATACATTGAAAGATGTCCATTTCTCGCTAGTCTTTTAAAGCATCACCCCATAATCCTTTTGCTGACCAGATGTTGATTTCTGAGCTAGGTAGTCAGAAGCAGGAAAGCTCCGACCTAGGGAAGAACAAAGTTGTAATTTACTTGACTTGGGTTCTTTTCATCGGACTGAAAGCTCCCATTACCACCTTTCTTAAACATTTCCCCAAGATCTCCCTTCCCACTGCGAGGCACAATTTCAAACGTGCCTTCTACCCGGTACGTTGTTGCATCAAACTTTCCCGTACCTTGAGTCATGAAGCTACCCGTTTTGCCCTCAAACCCATCCGATTCTATGAGATCGGTGAAGACGAAAACAGCGGAACCGTCCTTCGCACAATCTGGCCCTGCAGGGAGATATAGCATCTGATAGCTGCTTGTGACCCGGGAGTTCAGCTCGTCGAGGCTCATTTTCACGGTGGCCGGGGTCAAGCGAGGGAAGGTAGATTGGGTGGCGGGTGATCTATCCTCGTCCCATGAGAGAACCCGCGCGGACGCTGAGAACACTTTGGGCCGAGACATGGTTTATCTTATTTAATTAGCATGAGGGTATCGCACGAGGGGAAAGGACTCACTCTAAGGGAGCTCGAGGCGAATACAGGTTACTTGGTATTTTGAAATCTTGGGTCAATTTCTGCAATTCCAATGGGACAAAGAATGGGGGGCCATGATCCACATATTTATATCCCCTTCGCACTATTGTCGTCTAAAACCGACTCACTTTGAGACTCTTCCATTCGAGTCCCCCATCTCCCTGCTACTATGATGGAGTTCGCATATGATTTCCGCGTGAGGTTAGACATGACGCGCCACCGCGCCCCTCTTTCACGAAATACGCGCGAAATCATGTGACTCTGAATTAGACTATCCCAAATTAGGATATATATATATAGGGTGCTGCTATTCTCACGGCTCAGTTGGTCATTCTCACGGCACAGCTAGCCTCTTTGGGCATAGCAGCTCCACATCAGCAGGAACCTACCTGTTTATAGAATAGTGCCAACTAGCTAGACCTAAATAAGACTAGACTAGTCATATGATCATGAAAAACACGCTAGAGAACCTCGAGGTGTTATTTTATTAATTTCTTATATAAAAATAATACTTAGGAATTTAATTTTAAAGTAATAAATAAGACTGTAAGTTCTAATATTTATATAACATATTTACTAACCTATTAGAAGGCTTTATTTAATTAGGAATCCTTCCTCTGCCACATGCTGATCTAACTATTCCCGCTCCCTCCAAGTAATTGATTCCCTACCTGCCTGGCTTGATACTAGCTGCTCAGTACATTCAAATAATGACAGATCTTATGTAGTATAATTCATAGCTCCGCGAGGTCTTCCACAAGGTTATATAGGTGCTGGTGGATGAATTTAAAGCTGCTGTGAAGGTATAATCATGTAAGATCTTTCTCTGAGTAGCTACTAGTCATAGAAATCAGAGAGGTATAATCTACGGATGATCCAGGTACCCTACATAACTACATGCTAACTAGCGAGGACCCATACACTAACTATAGTTAGTTAGGTACCCCACCCACTAACCTAAAATGGTTAGCTGTGCCGTGAGAATGACCAGCTGAGCCGTGAGAATAGCAGCACCCTATATATATATGCTAGTTTCCAATGGACCTAAATATAGTAGTAATACGGAGTTACACGGTAGTAGTACGAGGATAGAGGAAGGATATTGGGTATGGTAGATAATCTCTCTGTCTTTTACGTAGTGCACGAGCCCTCCAGAAAAAGCATGTAATAAATGATCCCTCCCCCCGCTTTCCCAAGAGGTGGGTCTAAGATAGAAAGATTAAGAATATGGCTTTGCCTCCCTGACTTTTGAGGATAACTGCCTTACAATAAATATTGAAGAAGTCAACAAATATTAGTGAGTGAGTACTATGCCTCTATCCCCGTCTCTTTCTCAGTTCTAAGTTTCAAGCATCAATAGTCAAGCCGAAAGTCTAGTCTTATCCCAGTTTTCCTGTCAGGACACCATGCCTACGGAGTACATTAGATGATGTCCCGAGACCTAGACTTAGTCGGAGGGTTCGGGTACCTGTTTGCCAGCTCATCACTTGGCGTCCGAGCCCCAGCTAGACCTCGCTAGCGTCTACACACATTTTATCACGCTTAACCTTTCGCTCTCATCCCTGCTATCGGATCAGCAGTTCTAGGCTACCTTGAAAGTATGAAGCCCAGTACTAGTGAGGGCATTTCTCTGTGTAGGACTGGGTCTGGTTGATCAATTGTGGAAACTATTTTCATGAGGATGAAGAGATTTAGAAGACAACGAAGAATGCTCTGCATGGAACTCAAGCTGCTAAATTATGCATGAACCCTAATGTACTGCTCGACTTGAGCGTTTTCACCCTACAGTCAGAACTGACATGTAGTACGGCAGACTCTTAGTCGGGAAGCCGTACCGTCAATTACTATAACAGGCGAGGTGGCATGTTGAAAACGAGCAGTAGTAGGTAGAGAGTTATGCATACATGGCAACTCCTCCAAATTTGGAGGTTACCAGGCCGAGAATTTGTTACTTCCTGATGCAGAGCAGTGAGGGTTGAATGCCTGTCAGACTGCCACATACTTAGGAGACATAATGTGGTTTCTTGCATTAGTTGACAGCAGAAAACCCGCGCGCATGCCATGATCCTTGCTTTCTTCTTGGTGCAAACTCAGATAGGCCCATCCAGAACGCAACGTCTAGACAAGACATGAGGAAAGGCTGCTAGCACACTGCGCTACATAGCGCTACATAAATACTTCTGTGTCGGAGGCCAGATTTGACTATGGGTAGGAAGTGACACCTTGATATTCAACAGTCTCAACTTCGTTTACTCTTCCCCTCATCTTGCGAAGTGGCTATTCGGGTCCTTCACTTTCTTGCAACATGGTTCTTAGAGAGTTCCACTCGAGCGCTCTGGATAGCCTATGTACTGATGAACAACTTGATCTTTTGAATTCTATTGACACTCTTCGATCCCAGGGTATTAGCCATTATGTTTCTCTGCCACAGATTATTGTGTGTGGTGACCAGTCCTCTGGAAAGAGCTCTGTACTCGAGGCAATTTCTGGAGTCTCTTTCCCTGTCAAAAGCAACCTCTGTACCAGATTTCCGACAGAGCTTGTGCTCCGCAAAGACTCCAATGTCGGAGTAAGAGTGTCTATTGTACCTCATCACTCGCGCAGCGAAGCAGAGCAACGTTCACTGGGGAGCTTTTGTGAAGAGCTTGATGGATTCGAAGGGCTTCCTCAGCTTATCGACAATGCCAAAGCGGCAATGGGCATATCCACACATGGGAATGCATTTTCAAATGATCTTCTACGGGTCGAGGTGTCAGGGCCTGATAGGCCGCACTTGACCATCGTCGATCTTCCGGGATTGATACACTCTGAGACAAAACAACAATCTGCAGCTGATGTTCAGCTGGTCCAAGGTGTGGTTCAGTCATATATGAAAGAGCCGCGAAGTATCATCCTAGCAGTGATCTCAGCGAAGAATGACTACGCGAACCAGATCGTGTTACGGCTGGCAAGGGACGCTGATAAGTCAGGCAATCGAACCTTAGGCGTCATCACTAAACCCGATACACTGATCGCAAATTCCGAAAGCGAAAAGATGTTCATATCCCTGGCGAATAATCATGACGTTGAATTCCGGCTTGGATGGCATGCGCTAAGGAATATGGATACCGACCAGGGAACTTGGACACTTGTGGAACGGGATCAAAAGGAGCGTGACTTTTTCTCTAAAGGAGCTTGGGGAGAAATGCCATCGTCGTTGGTTGGGATCAGCTCGCTGCGAACCCGTCTCAGCAAATTGCTTCTGCGACAAATTGCGGCTGAGCTTCCAAGTCTCATTGAGGAGATAAAAGCAAAGGAGTACGAATGCATAAAGCAACTGAAAAAGCTTGGCCAACCGCGAGCCACTTTAGACGAACAGAAGTCCTATCTTTTGCACATCAGTCAACATTTTCAATCTTTGGTCAAGGCTGCTGTTGATGGCACGTACAACGAAGTGTTCTTTGAAGGCATCCAATCGTCTGCAGGACGTCAGAAGCGTATTCGCGCTGTTGTCCAGAATCTGAATGAGGTATTCGCAGAGCGACTCAGTAGAGGAGGCCATTACCGGAAAATAACAGGACAGGAGAATCAACCTGATATCGAGGGCCAGATTCTGGTCACACGAAGCGGCTTCATCAACCATATTCAGGAGCTTATGAAACAGACGAGAGGGCGGGAACTACCCGGCACGTTCAACCCTATGATTGTCAGCGAACTATTTCTGGAACAATGCGGTCCCTGGGAAGCTATAACACGCCAACACATTCTTACGACCTGGCAGGCAGCCGAGAGATTTTTGTCACTTTTGATAGGTCATATATCTGATGAAGCAACTTCGGTCGTTCTTTTCGCTGAATTAATCTCCCCTGCACTAGATCAACTCCGGGAGGTTCTGGTAAAGAGATGTGAAGAAATCCTTGAAACTCATCAAAAAGGCCACCCAATCACCTATAATCACTATTTTACGGAGACCCTGCAGAAGATCCGTGCTGATAGGCGCGAAGGTGAGCTAAGCGGAATCATTGAACGCTTCTTCAGGGTCGACGATCTACAGACGTCCCGTTACCTCGATGGGGCATACCGTCTTCAGGATCTCGTTCAATCACTTCTAGAGTCTAGTGAGCCAGATATGATGAGATTCGCTTCGGCTGAGGCTTTGGATTGCATGCTCGCTTATTACAAGGTAAGGCAAAATGCTAGTGAATCCCTTTTTCTCATCTGATCAGTCCCGACTACCACAGGTGGCATTGAAACGATTCATCGACGATGTCGCGGTTGAAGTCGTAGAGGTCAAATTGGTCCAGTCTCTTGCTTCCATATTTACACCGGTTAAGGTATTCGAAATGCCACCTAATCTGGTGTCGCGCATCGCCGGCGAGTCCGAGGAAACCCGTGCACTACGGGAACAACTGAACAAAAAGATACAAATCCTTGGGAACGGCTTAGGAACCTGCCAACGCTTTGCTGGCAGTCGAGGCATGGGGACGGATGGAATACAAGGGGCACGCCGTTTCGATGGTAAGTCCCGGGACCGGTATGATCATACTTTGTTGCACATTGAGCTTGCGGGCCCTAGCGTCTCGAATGATTGTGGTAGCTCAGATGACGAAGGGTTTGGGACTAAATGCGAGAAAGGTGAATCTATCAGTGAAAAGTCTGCAATACTTGCTTCTGATCCTCAATCTGGGGAATGGAATGACAAAGAGCATGACCAGTCTGCAGCGGCCCCGTCACTAAGCTCATCCAGGAAAAGGAGCAAAAAAGGGTTGAGGTACAAGCCTATTAAATGATGCAATCATCTAGGCGACATCCCTCGTTATTCTTGTTTTCTAATTGCTGCGTTATTGCTTTTATAGTCTGATTTTTAGCCAAAGAGGTTTCTGGCGCCCCAAGTCTACGCAAACCTTTTCAATCAAAATATCATAAAATACGAGTTCCGGCCAAATTCTGGCCCGCATAACGTAGGACATCTACAGATTGAAAGAAACTGACTCGATTTCCGCAGGAATCCTATTCAGTAGTAACGAATACAGAGTACGAGTACCCTACTAACCGACCAACCCACAAGACACACATACCCTTTGGATAGTGAATATTTGATTACAGGTGTAAAATATGCTTCCTGTTCTTCTCAAATCTTCTGAGGCTTCTACCTGTCCGCCTAAACATAGGGCCAGACCCGGAAGTTGCTGGAGATGCCATACCAATGGTTGTGAGAGGTCAAACCGTACAACTTGAAGATCCAGGATCGCTTGCCTTTTGTCTCCACGAATTCAACCTATCCATAGATTTTGGAAACCCTGACCTAAGTGATGGAATGCTGGATGCAATCAACGCAACGCAGATCTCGATAACCGAACAAAGATATACAGGAATACTATTCCTGGAATAATCGTGGTGTTTGTAAAGCACAACCACATAAGCAAGTCTGACGGCAGCGGAAACACAAGTGCTATGCAGGTTCTTGTCAATATTCGGTCTATCCGGATATCTTGGAGGGACAGTCCTTACATGAATCCTGTCGAGCCTAAAAACGTTATAACGGTGATCTTTTTATCCCAAGCAAGATGAAGTCCTAACGATGTGAGCAGTTAAAAATCAGATCCGAGAAGGACGGTATACCTAATATAGTTTTGAGGGGCAGAATCGTGATCCACAAGTTGGATACAAGAAAGATAACAGCAACAATGCACCAGAAAACAAGAGTCAAGATGCAGTTACAATTTACTCCATGATAGGTAGTCCAGAATCTTCCTACCGGCTCACATTGGAATACTGCAACAAAGGTAAAGGCAATGCTCATCACGACAACAAAGGCGATTGTGATGATAACCCAAATGCGAAGTCTGTGGAATAGTCGGTAATAGAGCATTAGAATAGTGATTTTTATGAGTCCACTAGAGAAGATGTATAGTATTTGGATTGCTAATCGTATCTGTCAATATCTGTGTGAGCTTTGACTATAGTCACTCGGGTCTTAGACAGAGGATATACCTTTCCAAGTATGGCTGTATTTATGTTATTATCAGCGTCATGCTTGCCTGTTCCATATTTTACACCTAGAAATAGATTGAATGAGCTTTATGAAGTTGATTCCAATGCAGAAACTGACCTAGGTTGATGGCCAACACCATCCCTATGGATACGACCAAGGCAGCTAGGGCAAACCAATCGTCTACTCCCAAAGTACGCAGTATAAAGTACCGGCTAAAGAGTCTCATCAAAACTGCGATAATTGCCAGGAACATGATAACATCACTGAAGACGAGGACAGTGAGCCCTCGGCCTGAATAATCCTGGGAAAACGGGTAAGTCCTTGTGCCGATAATTGCCTAGAATAGCTCGTATACCTGATTTCGCATGCTCGCCCGCCACGGTTTATATCTAAACCGTTACGATAGCGAAATATTGGCCCCTACAACCTTGCTAGGGCTGTTGATCATATCCAGTCCATCGTGGTTGGGTGCATTAAAAGGAATGACGGAGAGGTTGCACTTAGGGTTGCGGGTAGTTGTTGTTGTACAAAACTGATGGCACTGGAGATAAAAGAATTATTCATGCCAGTATGAGGAGACTCATTAGCTTCATTTAATTTCCTTTGACTGTCGGTTGTTTTAGGAAAAATTTCCCGTTACAGCATTGGATGACATCACGACATCGGGACAGTCGAGTCAACAAAAACAAGGATTATCTCCACAGTTGGCCATTTGGAACAAATGATGTTATTGGAACCTGGTGGCAAAGTTGAAGGTAGTGAGAAGAAGCAATCATATGATAGAGAAATCGTGCACCCTATAATGAAGGCACTTGGCGACTAATTTATACAATCTAGTAGAGGCTGTAGCACCATGCACATACAGTACAGTGCATACCACCAACGCCACTAGAAGGCCTTACGAAATTCTTGAACCTGGGAACTAATTAGCTGGGACGTTTAGAAGCAGGAAGAGGGAACAAATGGCGTGTCCATACCTGCAGTTGATTTGCAACAGAACCGACAAAGGATCGAAGCTCACTCTCGTATTCCACCCTGAGGTCAGAGTTCTGGATGTATGAAAAATTTGCCGCGTGAAGACTTCTAGCCTGCCCACACGGGGAGTGTAAATTCGAGAATGTAATCGTTTTGGTCTCACCGGTCTGCTTATTCGTGACGCGAACTTTCAGAACGGAATGACGACTTAAATAGGCAGTAATCTCGATCTCGGTGTCTTTTTCTTGTAAGCCCTGAATTGTTGGAAGTTCAACTTCTCCAAGCAAAATGTACTTGGGGTCACCCGACTGAACGAGTTCTTCTGCTACCAGGTCAGGTACGAGGGGCTGTTTTGTATCGAGGTACCGCCTTGCATATATCTGTATCAGCGTGTTGCTGGGGTTTCCAGGTGATGCTGAAAATAGGCGTGTTTGGTAGGCTGGGACATCGTGGCACGCCGGAATAAGTTCAACAACTCCCTGCCTTGTTCCAATTCCGAACTGAGGATGAGTTATGAAGCAATAGCAAGGCACCGATGCTTCTTCCTGGAAATAATTACTGTGAAGTATAGCACCCCAAATAGCTGCTTCATCTGGGTTGGTACCCATTCTAACCCTAGCATTTGGCAGGTAGTCGTGTACAAGACCTTGGATCTTCGGGATATGACAAGAACCCCCAGCGAGGACCACATCTGTAATGTCATCTTTCGTTAAGTTGCCTATTTGAAGAACCTCATCGATAAATACCAACGAGTGTTCAAATAGTTCCATGTTGAGTTCCTCGAACTTGTGGCGAGTTAGAATCTCCGAGAAGCGCCTGCCATGATGGACGTCGGGAATTTCAATTTGGGCAGATTCTTTAAAGGAGAGGATGAGCTTAGCTTTCTCAATCTCGAACATGAGCTTTTCAACCGCTGTAGTATTGTCTGTAAAATTAATATCGTACTTTGTCATATAAAGATTTGAAAAGTACTCTAGTACACGACGATTAAAGCTTTCACCGGCCACGTTCGGTTTTCGCAAGCTTGCAACCGTGTCTATGGAACCATAATCGATCTCCATAAGTGAAATGTCGAGATGATGAGCACCAAGATCATAGCTGAGAGCCGTAATCTCATCTCCCTCATCGGTTAAGCCATACGCCATAGACACAGCGCTTGACTCCTTCGCAATGCGAAACACTGGCAAGTCAGCGAGTACTCCGGCGTTCCGGACAATATCCCACTCAGATTCATCAAGAAACCCAGGTACCGTTACTATAGCACCTGTGATATTTGGACCTACGTAAGCCTCGGCAATGTATCGTATGTCTGCGAGAAGAGCTGCATAAATTTCCTCCGCAGCAAATCTCCTGCACGTTGCATTGTGATTGGTTTGAATTAAATATCGCCCGTCTATATTCATATACGTGGTGTTAGAAGATTTGTGTAAATCAGGCTCGATAGCTCCGGGTTGCACGCTGTCATTATTAAATTGTCTGAACACCAGAAATCAGCGGACCGCTCTTGGGATATATGGCTTCTCAGACTCACTTCATGTCCAACATCGCCTGGAATAAATTGGGAGAGGATGTCCTCCGAGCAGCCTCACCCACTAAGAGACCTGAATCCGTCGCAGCTACGTAGGATGGCACATAAGTCGTTCCTTGGGGGTTCGTAAAGATCCTTGGTTGATTGTTGATGACGGCTCCAACACGAGAGTTTGTGGAACCAAGGTGAACTCCGATGACTTGGTAGTAAAAATAAGCCTCGCAGGGGGAGATATGCATGAATAATTCAACGTACCTTTCTGCGATGGGCTGTCAACATTGTGGCTAGAGCTGGAAGAACCACATATTGAGGTGTCCACTGACAGCACTAGTATAGAAATCAAGAACAGGCATAGACAAGGCGACTTGTTATTTGAATAGTTTCCCATTGTAATGGAGTGAAATTCGATGGTTTCCTCTCTATAAAGAGCTTCATGTCGAGAGGACAAATGGACACATATGCACCAAGGACTGGCAAATCCAGCCATGTGTTGGGATGGGGGCTTGAGGATGTAGAGAAAGTGGCCCAATCCTCCTAAAAGAGTGAGTCACGGTCGGCATGGAGCAAGAGATGTACATCTTCCAATTAACAAGACACGATCCACAGCTTCCCGGATCCAGTGCGAAAGGCCGGCAAACTCTCAAACGTCTCGCGTGGATAACTGGATGACGCCTGGGAGTGGATAGAAGGCCTAATAATAAATCGCCATTTGAATTGTTCTAGTTATTGATGCCACCAAAAGATGATAAATTGAGTTACAATTATATCCTACTTTACTCTGTACCCTCCGGAAAACACTCTAGATCATTGTAGAATAGGTTACTGATACAAATTGGAGCTAAATGGCTTATTTTCGTCTCCCTGAATTTTATGGGAGTCGGATTTTCAAGTGCTTGAGTGATGAATACTGGTTTTGTGGTGATTTTGCTTTAAGATATTGAGGGTAAATAAAGTCATACCATTGGGTGACTCACTGACGAGTGCGCAACTAAGAAATGCAAGTAGCGAGAGGGTCTGTAGATAGTGTATATACTAAAAAACACTACCTTAGCTAGTGTATACCAATTTAATTTTGAACTGTGAAAAGTACTTATAAGTTTAGACCCCCCAAAAAAGACAACAAATCCTCCAACTACAACTGTGCGCCAGTAGAAGAACAACATCCCAAAATGATGCCTCTTAAACCTCTTGTTGAGCCGACCAATTCAAGGCCTCAGTCTGTTCTCGGTCACAAAGCAGCTCTCTACACAGTCAGTTGACAATCTTCACAATCAATGAATGAATGCACTCTGACTCATTCTTATTTCAGGTATTGTTCAGCAATTTTCAACAATCTAGCTGGCTTTTGGCGGCTGCTCTTCTCCAGGGCATGCTTACTCTGCTCTTCCCGACAATCTTGACCCTGCTCCCTTCATTTCTCATCTTAGGCTCTCGGGTTTTGGATATGATTTTGATCACGTATGGCTATCGTCCGAATCCATATATGGATGGGGTGATCCAACAGAAAGTCTCCGCACAGTGCCCAGATGGAACAGGAAATTTCGGCGAGAAACCATCGTCGCAGACAGTTGTGGTCCTATTCCTAGGTTCAAAATCAAATCAGTACGTTGTCCTTGGTACCAATTGAGCTAGCTCACTATAGACATTGCCGTTTTTGTTAACTTCATACAGCCCATTGGGCATTTTGTCTCCAGGTTACCGCGAAACTGTGAAGCTTTTTACAGAGATGGTTCGGGATATGGAAGCCAACCGTGAAGAATACACCTGTAGGTGTAAAAGACCCTTTTCTGTCTGCTGGCAACGTCTCACCAATTACCTCCAACGCAGATATAACGAGTACTTCTTGGATCTCTAATAGCGATCCCACCTGCAACGCTGCAAGAGAGGTCATGACAGTATTCTATTTTCAATCGATGGATGGTCTACACAAGTTTGCGCATGGCCCGATCCACCGCAAGGGCTGGGATTGGTGGAACCGCACTGCTAAGGAGCATCCCGATATCAGCATAATGCATGAGGTTTATGAGGCCCCTGCTGGGCACTGGGAGAACATATACATGAATTACAAGCCCAGCGGATTTGGTGCGTACGCCATAAACCCCACTGCTTCTTGTTCAACAAATTTTCTGACTTATTATGGTGTGTGTGGGCGGACAGCGACGGGAAAGTTTCCCATAAAATCCCGGGAATCTTCCCACCACGGCGCTACTGAAGGGAAGACAGGTCATGAGCCAGAGAGACAGTGGATTGGGAATATAGTTGATGCATCGAAGATGAATATGAAATCCTCGAATATTAGGCTTGGAAGAGAGTGAGAATTGGTAAGTGGAGCTGCATTGTGTGTCAGAGCTAGCCAACATTTCTAGAGAAATTTTGATCTCTAGGATGCTGGAGATTACAAATATGTACATGAAAAGATTTGAATGAGTTTAATTTGTTACATGTACAATGAGAAATATGTACAAGGTCTTTTGCCGCCTGAACAGTTGAGCTCCCATAGGTATCTGCATACCGACCCTCCATCTATTCGCCTACTGTGATTGGGCTGTGTTTTGCCTCATCTCCAGGTCTGATGCAAGTTGGGAGATATTCAACTAGAAAATATGTATTCCTATCAAAGAAGAACGGGATGCTGTACCTTTATTTTCCTGTTTTGTTGATCACACGCCATTCCTAACCCCAATTAGAGACCACCACCCGTTGAGTCTTGGAGAAGAATGGTGACGGCTCCAAAGTCTGCATGTGCTCCAATACCTGTTGCAAAAGTTAGAAATAGTAAATGCATACAACCCTCTCTCTCTCTCTCTCTCTGTGTGTGTGTGTGTGCGCGCGTGCGCGTGTTTGTACTTACCCCTTTCTAACCCCGAAGCATTAGGTGGTTGAGGTGGATAATGAAGAAGGAAAAAGACAGCAATAGGGATTGCAGAATTTATCGAGGAATTGTGCATCGACCTCGAGAGTTTCGAATACAATGCGGAGTGCGCTTGCTACTTGGGGGTTTTAAATACACCATCATCTGCGGGCTTATCTTCTCAGCCGCGGGTGAAGCTTGTCAGACATCGGGTTTAGGTTCAGTCATAGGAAATGCAGTAGGGCGAGTAAATGCGGAGTGAAAACTACAAGTGTATCAAAGTGTGCTATAGTAATTCGCAGTATATCTTGTTGTTGAGAGATCTATTGTACATCCTGTAATCTCCATGTAGGAATACTGAACCGTAGTCGTTAAGTTCGCCTCATCAACTCTATTCCCTATCTTTTTGCCCAGGGGTTATGGAACTTGGGGATAAACCCGGTCTCCTTCTCCTGGAGGCTGTAAGAAATCCGAAGGAGCATGCTCAGGGAGCTGGTTCTTCTCCGCCCACTCCCGAATGTCCTCAAAATTGCGGCATCGATGCTCAGTGTTGAAATCTACGAATGCGCTTGGATTTTCAGGATGGAGCCAGACCTGGCCTAGGACTCCAATATCGATTGTGCACATCAATTGTTGTCGCAGAATATCTAGACAGTGAGCTGGAAAAAACAAGGTTAACTTTGCTTTGCACTTTGCTACCATCGCCTTGCATATAGTACTTACAAACGTGTTTGCGGACGATATAATCCTCGTTTGAGAAGGCTCCCTGTCCACGGGAATGGTAATATTCGTAGTTATAATACAATGATTGGCGTAGGAGGTTCTACAGCCTTAGTCAATGCTCATATATAACTACCTTCAAGTCTCTTGTGACGACTCACAAGACAGTGTAGGTGGTGTAGACCTTCGACATTTGCGGGAAACCCTCCTCCGTATTTCTCTTTGATCCGAACCTGATCGGGCGCAATACCGGACTTTGCTGCATCTTCAGCCGGAACCCTTAGGGTTCGGTCTAGAAAGATCAGCAAATGCCCGAAGCGAAGCAAAGGGATCATACAATTGGCACCGAGTGACTCCCATGCTGCATCCACCTCTGGACTTGCGTCCTGACGGAAAACGTTCTCTTTGAGAAGAGACCCGTTAAAACGTTGTCGGTGGTATTTTATCGGAACCTGAGAAAGAACAGGAGCTGCGACCGATCTCTTATTAGCTCCCTTCTATATCTTGACCGACCTCTCCTTTCCATACAGTATTGGGAAATGTGTCGCGTGCACATTTCGTCAAGGTGATGTTTCTGGTATCCCACAAAGATGCCGATTAAGCAAGAGAGTCCAGTAATGAGGGTGAGCATGCCGACTATCCACCATCTGTTATATGGTCTTGGTTGTTGTTTTGCATCCTCGTTTATCCAGCCATTTGTCTCCAATTCGCTGTTATCTAGTAGTCGGTCCTCAACACTGGTGCGTGGATCGTCTAAAACATGCATTTTATCATCAATTAATTGTCGTTGTCACCACAGTCCACTTGATGGATAAGTATTTTCCTTGGATTAAAGGAAGAGGGAGGAGATAAGAAACACTGGCTTCGACGGGTGTATGTTTCCTGTTGTGGCGTGGCTGCTTGGAGGCGATGTCTGAGAGTTCCACCTTTGGCGAACAGCTCCTCATCTGATGATGACAGTAGTTACAGAGATAAAAAAAAACGAAGGAAAAATAAAAAGGGTCACATCTCTGGGTTTGAGCGATGGTTCATGGGAATTTCATGTAGGTTTCCAGACCCTTCTTTGTTGGTCGGTTGCTGAGTAGGACAACCTGTGGTAAGCTGCATGTTGGTTTCATATGCTGGATGCATGAGAAGATCATTGCAGCTGCTCTATTTAGCTATTATTTGCTCTCCTCCTGCACGAAGGAAGCCAAATAAGTAATGGTGTGAGCCCCATGTAAGGAGGGATTTCTGGATAGAATGCAAGGACTGAGAGTCCTGGCATTGCTGGCATAGCTCGCCTCCAGACAAGTTTCTGGATTCAGTCAGAAATAAGACTGTGGCAATTTTTCCCTTCCAGACTAATGCTAGGATATATTTAGATTGGTTTATTTCTGGGAAACGACGTGACCATGCGTTGGTCAATGGTGATACAGCGGTGTGGTAGTACAGTCTCTGTGGAAGCCAGGCTATGATCGATCATGTTGACTGCGCCAAATAGAATGCATTCAAGAATGATTCAGACTTTTCCAAAGAAGAAACGGGATGAAATGTCTACGGTGGCAACGTGGACTCCCGATCTGATTCTTTGATTCTCCACATACTGTATGAATATGGGGTGAAAAAAAAACCCATTCCTGATATAAATATGGCCATAGGTCTCTTAGTATTCCTGGAAGTCAGCAAAATTCATATTTTCTTCTCAAGTCCATTCCCAAAGTCACCGACTTCTATACACAACTTCTGTATCCAGCTACAGCCACAATGCATTTCATCCCTTTGGTGGCTTTTGCCTTATCGACTCACTTGTCGATGATTCTGGCTCGACCGATGTTAAACACCACGAGTACGGATACTACCTCTACTTCTACTACTTCGACATCTTCTGTTGCCTATGGAGAGTATGGAAATTATGGGAATTACGGGACCTATGGCGATTATGGGTCCTATAATGTTAAAAAGAGGGGCAATCTTCCTGAAGTCCCGGCACAGACCACGTCTAGCCAGGGGCCAACGTCGTCCCCCGTGGACTATGGAGATTATGGAAACTATGGAGAATATGGGACATATGGAAATTATGAGTCGTATCCAATGGCTAAAAGAAGCGATGAGCCAACCGCGACATCATCCCCTATACCGACATCAACATCGACGTCGACGAGTTCGGAAGTGACCTCGACAGAAACCTCCACAACCTCGACTACTAGCCAGGGTGGATATGGATCATATGGAGACTACGGCAGTTACGGCAACTATGAGAATTACGGGCCAGTTTCCCTGCCTTAGGGAAATTGATATATTGAGTCTGAGGACTCGCAACTCTCATCATCATCATCATCACGGATATGGACAAATGCACTGGCGAATCATGAAAACCATTAAATATGTGAAGTAACAGTCACTATAGAATGTTATGAGTCTACTACTTTTATGAAAATTTTATAGAAAAGGGGGAGAACAAACCAGGAGCATGTAATACATTAGGTCGTCAGCGCGTGGACTTGTTTTGGCTGAAACAATGTCTGGATACAATTTCAACTAAGCGAAGACATATTATATTGCTCACCTATTCATGGTCTAAGTATAGGAATGCAAGGGACACTTAGTGGTAAGATCTAAGGCAGTAAGTCACCCAGTAAACATATACTCCATCTTGGTATATTGATATAATGTGTTCGCTTACATTCTGGTTCTGTCTCCCACGAAGTTGTAGGGTTATACAAAGTGCTGATATACATTATTTAGTATATATCACTTATTCAGCCCAGGAACTTAGTATATCTATGAGATATTAACCACAATTACTAGCTCAGACCATGCATTTTCTTGTCAGTATTTTTATCCAGAGAGACTAGTAAGTAAGGCACTTTCAATCACCAGACCTGACGAAAAAACTCACTGCTGTGTCCCACCACCTATAGCATGGGTTGAGGTATTTCTTGTGGATCGTGTTTCACCAACTTGATAAGGACTGTGTGACGGTGATTTGACAGTACCTGGTCAGTAAGGAACTGTCTGCATGCTGACTTACAGGCAATCCAGGGAGCCAGTGCATAAACGGTTTGGACGGACTATGATCTGGGCCTCAAGTAGAACTGATTTATTCAACTATATCTTCCTAACCGTACCTCCAGAAGACCTTTGAGTCGTGGATTAGAATAAGCCCCCAGTAGCGAGAGCTTTTGTTTACTTTCGTCCTCTGCGTGGGAAACGATATCTACACTCTTCGTCATCATTATGGCAATGCAAGGTTGGCACAAATAATATACCAGTCAGAATTTCAGTACTGAGTAACTATGCCTGATTTTACAGATGATAAACAGATTGAGAATGGCGATACTACAGCAATTAATCCTATCGATGAACGGAAGCTATTGACCAAGATTGATCTTCACCTTCTACCGTGTCTCTGTGTGATGTACATGCTTACATATCTTGATAGGTAATGGCCTTCACTATATCATACCCTATACTGAAAAAGTTGCTCATTCATGAAGGGTCAATATCGGAAATGCAGCCGTTCTGGGTATGAAAAAAGACTTGGATATTACAACAGGGACCAAATATAACGCTGCATTAATGATATTCTTTATTCCTTATATTATATTTGAGATCCCATCAAACATCCTCTTGAAGAAACTCAAGCCACATCTATGGTGTACGTCTGTCCCAACCTAACCGGATTTCCCTTCCTCTAATCTTCATCATCTTAGTATCATTATGCATGTTTGGGTTCGGGTTTGTGCTGATATGTCAGGGTATTGTCCGAAGCTGGACTGCCCTAATGATTACCCGTTTCTTTTTGGGAACGTTTGAAACAGCTTTACTCCCGGGGTGTTAGTATTTAAGTCTCCCAGAATCCAGCTTGGGAATGAAGCTGATTGGCTTTCAAGGCATCTATCTATTGGGAATGTGGTATAAACGTTGCGAGGCACAGAAACGATATACATTCTTCTGCAACTCTACAATCCTCGCTGGTGCATTCGGCGGGCTACTTGCCAGTGCTATCGGAAAAATGGATGGCATACGTGGTTACGGTGGCTGGCGATGGGTATTTATCCTGGAGGGTGTGTTGACTTGCGTCATGGCATTCGTCAATTTCTTCCTAATTCCTGACTTCCCCGAGGACTGCAAATGGTTAACTGAAGCGGAGCGGGAGTTTCATCGTGATCGACTGGCAGACGAAACAGGAAGGCTCACCCATAACGTAAAGCTGGGTTGGCGGGAGGTACTTGATGTCTTTAAGGACTGTGAGTTTCTACTGCCAAAGCCATAGCCTAGCCCCAAGTGACTGACGTTGAAGACAGATAAGATTTTCATCGGTGGGCTCATGCTTTTTGGTCAGGTAGTCACAGGTTATTGTATGATCCACTCTAGATCCTGATGACGACCTCGGGGCCTTTTAGGCTGACTGACTGACTATAGCATATGCTTATTTCGCTCCAACTATAATTGAAACATACGGCTATGGACGTGAGTACTACCTGAGACAAGAGTGTGTACTAGGAACAAGTCAGATAACTAACACCAGAAAGCCATAAAAACGCAATTTTATTCAATTCCCCCATGGGCCGCAGCTTATGTAGCATCTTTGGTGATTGCATGTCTCTCTGATTTCTTCCGGAACAGGTACATCTTCGCTATCCTGCCAATGTGCATATGTATGATTGGATACGGAATTCTGCTTAATGTCCATGATCCTGCGCAACACCATCTTCAATACGGGGCCTTATTTCTGCTCACAAGTGGCTGTTTCAGTGCGGGGCCAATAATGCTGTGCTGGTATGGGATGAACCTTGGTGGGCATCGTCGGAGAAGTGTGGGTACAGCCTGGCAGATTGGATTTGGGAACAGTAAGTGACTTGCTTCTGCCGAATAGTATGGAAAATTAATGGTGTTGTCGAACAGTTGGGGGTATACTTGCTACATACTCCTTCTTGGAGAAGGATGCCCCGCTCTACCGCAATGGCTACACTATCGGCTTGTCATTTGCGTGCTTTGCAGTAGCAATGGCTACGCTCTACCTGGCGGCTCTCTGGTTTGAGAATCGAAGCCGTGATCGACTGATGGAACAAGGTCCCATTCAAATGACGGAGGAGGATGAGGAGTTGTTGGGTGACTTGGCGTGTACATATCGTTATGCCTATTGATTCGTACAGAGCTACCTGGACTGTTAGCTTCCAGGGCTGTTCGGCAAATGGCTTCGTCTTTGTCATAGGTATGCACAAATCAACGAATTCTCGGAAACAGGAGATGAGTATGAAGACAGAAATGAGAAGCGGGAACAGGTCCATCTGCCTGGCCGGCCAATTTTCTGCATTCGAATAATTGGACTGGCTGAGCTCAAACAATATATGCCCGAGTAGAGGCCAACACACTGGGTGCTATGTATAGAGAGTAAAGTGGCTCCAGAACAACATGGCATAGGGGTTTCTTTCCAGAAATTAATTCCACAAGTATTTCACACACAAAAAACTGCCAAGTGAATTAATAACCAAATGAGGTGCCTCCGAAAACCCTTGAAATATCCACCAAAAGACCAGCAAAGACATAGAAAGACCAAGGTACTGGAATCAGTAAGACAAACCAAAAGCCCGGCCACCTGCCTCATTTATGAACATTATATTATCTCATCCCGAGAGATATGCTTTACTAATACATGGCCAATGATAGTAACTACTAAATACCCAGCCCCTTCACTAAGCTGATGAGAGAGTCAACATCGAAGCCCATAAATTGACGATGGAGTGAGTCCAGTAGCATTTTGAACTGGGAAACCTCTGGTAATCGTTTCTCATCCAACTTGATGTCTTGCAGCAATAAGGATTGCATGTCTCGCGCTGTATCACTTAATACCAGACTCCAATGTTATTAGGGTAGCTTACTTTCCCGAAACTCAAGAAACCTTTGTAGTTCCCTATCTACTCCCCCGAAAGCACGTATTATTTCCATACCCTGCACCAATGTTCCCTTGGAGAATTGCTGAGTATCAAGAATGATTAGAATAATCTGACTCAAACTGTCACCATCCTGATGATGACGGTATAGAGCATATTGCAGAGCAAACAACAGAGAGCTTGTCCAACTCATTAGATTGCATCCGTCCTCATGTCCACGCTGCCAGAGCAGGTGACTCAAGAGTAAGCTTGCGGCTCTGTGGGCAGGTAGATGGAATATATCCTGTGTTTGCCCTGACGTAGCAGCCGATGACACTACAGTTAATGATGTAGTTTCCCCCGCAGTCCTGGGGGCAACTAGTCGAAATAAATATCTTGGGGTAAAACGTTTGTTGAAAAGAGGCATATGAATTCGGTGAAATGAGTTCGGGTTGAACGGAAGGGATGCATCGACAGCATATCCACTTTCGCCCTCTGTGTCTCCGAAGCGGCTACAAGGTTATAGGGCTTGCCTTGGAGGGTACAGCTAATGTCGTCGGCCTTCCATTTAACCAATATTCTTTATATTTTTGCCCGGGGTTTTCTACCCCATGTCGTCCAATCTCAGCCCTCCACTCCCGCTCGGGAATGCAAGCCCTATAAGGGACTATTCTGCAATTATAAAGTAAACAATTTGGCCCATATGAATGCTATCGTAATGACTCTTTGCATATTTATATACATCTATTAATTTCAGAGACACAAAAGTTAATACTAGGATTAAATGTTTTTCCTCATGTTATTATTCTCCATAGTTAACTAGCTCTGTCTGCACTACTTTTATGACCAAGTAGGATATTATTTTTAGTTCCCTATTATATATGATTTTGACATTTTTAGCATGCTGCAGGTTTTAGACCCTCACGGGTGTGCATAGGGGTTGACCTCCAATGAGAGATCATTGCAGCCTCTATTCCAGTTAGATTTCCCTTTTCTATGTTTCTATGTGACAGTGTTTCCTAGAGCCTCAACTAGCTGCATGCCATGGGAACATGCAGATATACTAAAGTCTGACGTCGTGATAGAAATCCTAGGATATACTTGAAGCAACAGAGTTGAGATATACCACACGAATATTCCATAAAAGTTGTACTTGGTGTGTGAATGGTAGGCTATCTATCCTGTAGGCTATCCCAAAATTTGGCGTGACCCCTTCAAATAGCTGAGAACGCCAGTATTATGATCCCCCCCGAAATAATCTTATTCTAAATAGTCAAGGATGTCCCCAATGAGCCGCATACTCCAAATATTCCCTGGAAACCCTGGAGTAGGAGTGGCAAGTCTAATCATGACTGTTTGCCGGGAAAAAGCGGGCATTCTTTGAGCCTTGCAAGTTCTGGTTATTCTTTGTAGACATGCTACTAATCCCAATATTTTAATGATGATTTCTATGTATATACAGCGATCGCTGTTGGTGAAGGGGTTTTTTCCTCTCAAAAAGGTATAACTAATGGGTATCGATGCATAGGACCTATACAAAACCGTTTCCTCATTTTGATACTTGCATTGTCAACAATAGACTGCTAAGAGAAAATACTTATAGCATTGAAAGTTAAATAGAAAAATAGTCTTGTTATTAAAATCCGTGGTGATAGCATTGTCCTCCACCTGACGTCGGCAGCCAGGGCGTATTTCTCTTGATAGGCAAGCTTCTATAATCACTCCAGAAGAGGGAGTAGTGGAAATTTACCCTGAACTCAACGAGAACAAGAAAACAAGAAAATAAAATGTCGTTTACCTACGTCTAGGATACTTTTGCCAGAGTACACTCGAACTACCGGGAATAGCCGAAACACAGACAGACCCCTACAGACTTTATATGTACGGAGTACCCTAGGCCGATTCAACACCGCATTACGCACGCAATATCCTGAAGAGGGAAAAGATTTGGGTGAAGCGCAGACCGAAACGAGGCTGTCGTCAGACCTGCATTGAATGCCACTTTGCTTGCGCCGATGTTTCAGAGACTTGCAGAAAGGCAAGAAGGTACTTGCATGTCGGGTCATAAATAGTATACAGTAACCCCTGTTTTTTTTTCTCACTCCAGTAGATCTTGATAAGAATCTTCCTTTCTCACAGCCTGTTACGTTTGCCCATCTTGAATGGCAAAGGTGCCTCTCCCCGTCTCATACTACCGTAGGTTTTTCTCTGCCTTTTACCTCACACCAAGGCTGACCGCGGAAGCCGCCGTTACGCATGGAACTTCTGGCATGCAGCACGGGAGGGCTGTATCAATAAAGGAGCAAGCGCATGGGGGACTTAGGACGAAGTTGTTTGGTCCCAAGGATTACGAGATCGATGAGCACCTGGGTGGTGGGATTCCATCCCATTGAGGCGCATGAGATTGATGAGATCGGAGTTGAAGGGGTTGTCAAGGGCATACTAGATGTTGTGGGCAACAACCCTGTTTATCTTTGGATTGACATTGATGGTAAGGAACCACTTTACTCGAAATGATGATAGAACTGACACTGGCGTGAACAGTGCTCGATCCTAGACTGGTACTCCGGAATCCGGAGGTTGGACCACGCGCGAGCTCAAACGATACATCCATGGGCTCCGCGGCCTAAACCTCGTCGGTGCTGACGTCGTAGAGGTGCATCAGGCCTGATCAGGGTATAATGGAAGCTATCCCCGTGTGCAGGCATGGTATGGGACAACCGATACTGTCCCTCATCGCTCAAACTTCAAGGGGGAGATCAAGCAATGGTCTACGGTGTTTGGCGTCAGCTTAAGAAAGAAGAATACCAAATCTCCACTAAGCGGATACACGCAGTCTATCTTTTGATGATCGGACCGAATTCGAGGCGTATCTGACGAAGGGGGTTAGAAATGTTGTACCGACGCAAGTGTAGTCAACAGTAAAGTGGTTTGGAATTATTTGATCTATGTACATAATCAAGACAGGGTCATTTATGGTCCTCCCTTCTCACTTCTTGTCAAGCAGTAATGAAAAAAAAAGGTTATGAAATCCATTCAGGATCTGTGCAGGTTCCTGATTTTTCAGCTGTTGCGTTGATGCGGTCGAGCAGCCAGGCGGACTTGAAGCCCGTCTTCTTTTCCCCCAATCGTGCTCCATGTCCAACGCGACACATGTTATCCCCCTCTCTTAAAGAGTATTGTAGACATTCGGAATCGTTTTTGCACTCCTCTCGGCATTGTTCTATATTGCTGACGATTAATCTCTCCTCTCCCGCCAGATTATCCCAGTCATCAACCGGGTTCTCGCTCATACGCGGCCACGCCAACTGCCAGAAGACATCGCGATACAACAAGTGACTCGTTTTGTGCGTCCACCTGCGATCCAACGACCACAGCTCCTCAATTTCTTCGGGGCGCAGATGATGAAACGAAAGAGGTGGATAACACCACGGCGAGCGCCCATAGTTCGGACTAAAATGGTCCAATTCCTTTGGAGGCGCCAGCTGAAGCATGGGCCAGGACCACTCCAACGCGATGCCTGCTTCGCGAAGCAAAAGCCCAAGCACACAATCTCCGGCCCAGTTACTCTTCGTCATATTGTCCCAGTAGTCTCGCTTCTGGGCGCGGAGATCCACAGCGCGCTCCATCGCCGGACGCGAAATCACAAACCCAGAACCACCGTGGGCGAAAATAACATCGCTGGTCTGCATTTGATTGCCCATATAGTACGGTCGGGTATGGTCGAATTTGTCGAGCCAGGCGAGTAGCGAGGGCCACACGATGTAGGTGTCTGCCTCCATGAAGACATACCACTTTGCGCTACTGTGTCGACGAAATGTATGCTCGATCATCGGAAGGAATTTCCATTTGTCGAGGACCCAGCCCGGGTTATCTGGCTTCCCAAACGGCGTGCTGGCGGCATCGGTGAGATCGGTGGAAGTAAGGGATTCACGCCCTTGAGTGTGCACTCGCGTGTAGAGGTCGAACTCGGGGAGACTGTGGAGAGATTGGGATTCATTGAATAGCACATCGTGGACGGGGATACCGGCGACTTCTTCCTCATAGTCAGACCAGACGATATAATTCGGAATGCAGCGGAGAGTGGTGTTGCGATGCACAGGTAGCTTGTCTTGGGCTTCGGTGACCCCGGTCTTGAGCACGACGAGGATGTGTTCTAGCCCCGGGAGATGCGGGCAATCCGACGGGACATTACTGAGATAAGTACGGTCATTAATTCCGTGTTCATGGTAAAGCGCATAAAAGCAAACGATGAAGAGAAAGGAAGCAAGGCAGGAAAGGCGACGAGACGCCCGCTGAGACAGCAAGAAGGGCATCACATTGACCTGGTTGAATCCGGGGTAACAATGCTAAGAATAAATTACAGAAGCACGAGCTGGAGGGATCCTGGGCTAGTCTGGGTTTAATAAATACCTACGGATAGTATGCACCATGATCTAGAAGCGTCGTCATCATGGATTAGCGCGCCGTGCTATCCAAGGCCTTGCAATGTCGGGTTCACCCTTCTATACCGCATCTTTCCGCTCTCCAGGGTCTAGAAACAAGAAACACCCCTGAATACTATCGACTATCATCGGATAGCATATTAAAATAGACTTGATGCCGTGGAGCGCAGCAAAATCCAGCATATTGCGATTAGGGTTGCGACTATACAGCCTTGTACACGCAACCCCCTCACGACCAAGTCCGTAATAAGGGAAAGCGAAGTCTCCGGCGGACATGGTTAGCGGCGATATCGTCAGGCGATTGTCCAAAATCCCGAGATACAACTTCCAGTCGGGCTTCTGGCCGGTTGTGACAATTAGATGTGCGAGAGGCCTGCTGCTTTTCAATTCTTTCACGGCTGTATCTCCTCTTTCCTACTATCCGTCCCTCAAAATACCACGGCATGACGGCCCGTATTCGCTGTAAATCGAATCGCGAGGCGTCCTAATCCGTTGATTCTGACTATTCCGACACGATCGGTTGGTTTTATGCCTGATATAACGAGAGCATTGAAGACCGTTGCACTGCCGTACATTTGCTGGTCAGCCCTCCGGGGATACGGAACTGGAAAGCTTCGCACCAGATAGTGTGGCTTGCAAAGGGTCCCCGGTTGGAGTTGAACTTGCATACGTCTTACGCTCACCACATTGTTTCCCATCCTGTAAGACAGTGATTGCAATACCCGCAGCAAGCCGTGCTTATTATAGCCCTAACCAACGCGATAGATTTTTCACGTCGGGGCCCATGGATTTAACTATTCCTGTGTCCTCATAGCCCGGGACTATATATCTCTCTCTATAGTTGAATCGGTACCGCAGAGGCCGGCGTGGGTGATGCACTATAGCACTTTCTCTTTGATGAACTACCCCGAAAGGTATCTTTCCCGCGGTCTTAGAGCCCGAGAAGGGTGCCCTGACGGGGGCGCTGTGTCCCCGGAGTGGTGATTGGATGTTTCTGTGTGGTTAATTTGACATCCTTCGTAGACAGTGAAGGAAGACGTTTTAAGAGGGATGCTCGGTGAAATCTCCTGATAGCTGCCAGCATCCCACTTGGCCTAGTCACCCAGAACAGCTTCATCACGGCCGCATCATCCCAGATGCCCGTAGACCAGCAATATGGAACATAGGTGTTGATGCGGTTATCGTGAATGCGGCGCTAAATACCTTTTAAATCTGAAATACTACTATCCAGCCTAGTTACACAGGGTACCCTAGTGCCCTAAATCTTCCCTATCATGTAGCCTAGAAGCGGATAAAGAGGTATACTCCCCGGCAACGAAAAAAAAACCAATAGACACTGTTGGACACGCACCCAGCATTTGTTCCCGAAAAACTCTTCTTCGGAGGGGGATCTAGTAGATATGGAGAACACGTGGAAACTTGTCTGTGCACTCATAGCGACATAGGCATTTGCAAGATGGTCCGATCCATTCCCAGCCTTCCCAGCGGTCAGGTAGACCGAGTCCAAAGAGAGATTGGGCGACTACGGCTCCCAACGCCATAATTTGCTCTGGGCTTCCACTGTGCGGATCCATGGCCCGAAGGCGGCACCAGGATAACGGTGGCGGATGCTATAGCCATGATGATGCTTAGAGTGTGGTGGCGATCGATAATCTCGCGGGTTAACACCGCATGCAGGAGCTTTTCCGATCGCCTCGTGGACGAGTGGCGCCCCTCCTACCTCCAGAGTACTGGCTTACAAGATACTGTACTCCGGAATAGTAAGTGAAATCTGTCTGGATTTGATCGCAGTGACTTTGTATGTCGTCCACTTCCCGTAGCCTCGGGGTTTGGAGTGATAAGAAGAGTGTGGATGATATACTCTAGTTATTAAATATAATAATAGACTTGCAAACATGGGGGGGATAATGGAAATTTCTTAATTTATATACATATACTCTAATGAATATGGCGAACGCTGTTTATTAGCAACAACTACAACCAGAAACACTTCCATTGAGATTTGAAACCCGCCTCTTGAGGCAAACAAACCTCAGATCCCTGTATCCACTACTTCTCTGCGCAAGGCCATTCGGTTTGAAATGCTGTTTGTAACGGCCAAGATTCAGTTGGCGGAAGGCATCTCATCCTGTAATGAAGCAACCTAGCATCGGAGAAATACCACCAAGTTTCAATGCGCTGCTGTGAAGGCCCTTCCTATACCGTCTTAGACAACGTAACTGTCTTGCTAGAATAGCCGTCAAAGTTCCCAAGCCATCTGGACAAATGGGACCATCATTCCGGCCAACTCTTACAAGGCATAAAAAAGCGATGACTAAATCCATCATCGCCCATTTGGATATCCGACCTGATCCAGACTCCCGTGAGGGCGTTGGAACAGCCATTCATGTCCTAGAAGTCCACATCCTGGACCACCATGCCATGGATGTGCTGATCATATATTGTCTGGATAGGTTCACAAAGGCAGTGAAGTCGAGTAACGACCTGCGCGTTGGCCCTGATGGCCCTTTGTAACTGGGATATCGTGGACTCTCTCATCACAAGGCTCTGGAGATCATCCGGTACCCGGGTTGCAACCATCCGTCTGTTGTCGGTTGGTATGGGTATCGGAGTTCAGCCGTAGGACCATCCTTGTTTTCCTCGAAAAAATTTCCGATAAGGAGTGAGCTGTTCCTGGCCGGTATCGTTGTGTACCGCACACACTCTTCCTGAGATAAAACGTCACGAACGTAGCTCTGTTAATAGAATATCACGTATGGATGCTCCCGTTTCAGCAAGTCTTCCCAGTCTACATCTCGTTCGCGATTATGCTCCCAAAACAGATCCAGCAGCTGGTGGGCTCCCGCAATGTTTCCCATCCCAATTGTGCTCTCTAGGAGGCTCAGCCGATACTCTAACTGCAGTCTTGCCGATTTCCTGACGGCGCTGATTCCGGCCATAAAGACGGGTAGGAGCAGTTGGCTATCCACAGATGACCCCGGACTAATGCAGGAGACAGCGCTTAGGATGTTCTCCACGGCGGTCTGTAGCTTCGATTCATCGCGAAACGTGCCACCCATTACCTGATGAAGCCGGATAAGCGCCGTCCACCGGATAGCTTCTGCTGCAATAGCGGCATCACGAACGAGACGGGTATTGTGGTGATCAACTTCTATTGGAACAATCCATTCCTGAAGGGACGTTTCAATTCTCCGAGCCTCCAGCAGAAACTCATCTTCGTTCCCAGGGGTCTGAGTTTGCTTGTTCTTATCCATAGCCAACTGGCTGATTAAATTCAGGATGTGATATAGATCCCCAGCAAGGCCGAATAACGGGTGGATATGAACCTGGCTGTCCCCAGTAGATAGCAACGTTGACGGGAATCCAATTCGCTCCACCGGCACTCTGTCACAGGTAATCCTGGTCTTACAACAGATGAACTCATATAAATCAAGGACAAACTTCGACGGGGCTATTGGAAGGCCACCTGCCAAATGCAAGTCAACCAGTACTTTCGCACCATAAAGGTGAAGAATCCATTTTGGGGAGTTTCCATGGCAGATCTATGGGTATTGCTTAGTTGAAGAAAAATCATGGGGGGAAAGCGGTATTTCTCACCCCGAATAAACATAACAGGAGCGATGTAGTCAGGGTAAACCCAGCCTTGGTCTCCGACTGTAAGTCCTGTTTTAGGTGCTGCAATGCGAGGCTGTGTTGCCGGATCAGGGTATCCTCAAACTTTGGATAGACCTTGCACAAGTGGCAAGCAGTCAAGGCGAGCATCGCATGTCGAACCGACTTGACCTCCATTGCCATGGGTAGAATCTCATGGAGGAATGGGTTTTCATCGTCATTGACGACTGCCAGTGCGCGGGAAACGTGTTGGACATAATGGAGTAGGAGATGCTGTTCTGTCGGTTCAAAATCCGCCATACCTGCGGGCGCTAGGTGAATGATGTTTCCCAAATGAACATTGCCATTCACTGTTAGTTCTACGTTGGTATTGTAACCATTTTTCTTTCGGGACTTCAATGCATTGCTCTCATTCAGATGGCCACGACGGGGGATTCCTGCCAAATTCCTCTCAGGCATCGAGGCTACATGAGCTAGGTATTCATTGACGTTGAAATCTAAGGCGCTATCATTTTGATCCAGGCGAATACTGGAGGCAACAGTCTGACTGCCCTCTGAACCTGGTGTTGAAGCCGTCTGCCAGTCCCTGGGGGAAGTGCTGCTCGACGGGGAACTGTTCCTCGGATGACAGTTCTCGAGTCCAAGTCGGCGACACTCCCGGCAGACAGGGAATTCCTCATCACATTTCTTTCGCCTTGATATTGGAACGCATTATTAGGGCTGGGGTGCGCGATATGAAGAGTGAGCCAGCGGGAAGCGCCCTTACCGTTGTAAACAGTTAACGCAGCCATTGCGGGAGCGTCGATGGGTCACTCTGCATCGAGATGTACCCTCACCTGCATCAGTCTCTGCCCGCGTACGGTGGCATTTGACCGCATAGGAACATGTCAAAGATAGACCTGTTCCGATTATATTTTTAGAATAACGTGCAATCGGCCGGGGGAAGGCTACTTACGCTCGCATCGACGACAAGGGTGCCCACGGCTACAGGCAGTCTTAATCGACGCACAAGTAAAGCAAGCTGTCCGTTGACGAGGCATATTTTGACTGATATTGAAGATTCAAACGCGCGGGTTGAATTCCGGCGTGTACGGAGTATGTACTATGTAGTGACTCGTGGGGAGAAGCAGAGGGAATGTCTCCCCCCAAAAACTTCCAACCCTTGTCAGCGGAGCGCCAAAGGGTAATAGAACAAGTTTACATAATTGGTCATGGAAAAGGTCGAGTTGACTCAATGCGGGGTCTAGACTCCCTAAGTCTGGACGATTTCGGGCTAGAGACTAAGAGTGAAGAGGCGAAGGTCTGGAGAAGCTCTGTAGAGGTTGACCAGTGGGAGGCTCTCTCCCGTCTACGGCCCGGCCGACTGCCTATCTGTCGGGTTGCCCGTTATTGATTCCGTTGAACACAGGTATTGATAATATTCTGTAGTAGATACTCCGTATATACTCCGTAGTCCAGTTCTCTTAAGTTAACAGCACCCACCCCCAGGTAGTGGGTCATACATGCGAAGGTCCACATCCGATTCTCGGGCATTCCTATCATCTTCAAAGTCCTGCCGAACTTGCTTCGCTATGTTCTCGTCCGCGAGAATTTGCCAGCCCACAATAGCCATTCCTTTAGCCGACTCCAGACAAAGGGTGTGTGCTTCCTCTTTCTCCGCTGCTGCGGTAAATCCAGGAGTGTGGTTTGTTGCTCCGGGAGCGGCTTGGATACCAACATAGCCGTGGAATGCGGGGCATTCGTAGGATACATTGCCTGGATATAGTTAGTTTTGTAAATGGGTCTTTTTTTTTTTCTTTTAATGTCTTACCTTGATCCGTCGAACCTGGGAGGGGAAGAGCGGCAAAGTCACATTTAACGGGCGAGCCCATATTCCCCATAGCCGCGGCATACAGGGAACTGATGGACTTGTTATTTCGGACATCCGCATACGTGTTGATCCTGTGACAGTATGGTTAGCTTTTCACCATCATGTTGCACGGATGGGGAGTAGTATACTTTTCGAATTTCATTGTGCATCCTGTCTGAAGAGCTGCACCTTCGAAGCACTTCAACGCCCGGCTCATGAGTGCATCAGCCGACTTTAAGGTCGGGCTGCGGATATAATACTCCAAGGAGGCGTGTTCCGGGATGATATTGGGCCTCTTCCCTCCCTCCGAGATGACACTATGAATTCTCTCCGCCGGCATGATTTGTTGCCGAAGCATACTGATTCCGTTGTATGCCAGCACCACTGCGTCCAGAGCATTGATACCTTCCCATGGTGCCACAGCCGCGTGAGCTGACCGCCCCGTGAAATGAATAGAAAATTTATGATTAGCGATCGTAGGCATGTAGGCATCACCAGTGAAACCAGGGCATCCGTTCAGGGGCCCCGGGTGGACCATTAAACAGGCATCAACATCCTTGTATGCACCGGCATCAATCAATTTCAACTTTCCACCACCTCCCTCCTCTGCAGGTGTGCCGACCAGACGTACTCGGCCCTTGATACCCGATTCTTTCAGCATTTTGGCTACACCCAAAAATGCCCCAATTGACATCATCGCGATGAGATTATGGCCGCAGGCATGTCCAATGCCTGGTAGAGCGTCGTACTCGGCGTTAAAGGCGACAACACGACCTCCAGTTCCGTATTCAACAAGGAAGGACGTTTCCAGACCGTAGGCATGTTTCGTAACCTGGTATCCCAAGTCCTCAAACATCTTGGTGATGTTGTCGTGGGCTTGGAACTCCGCATACCCAAGTTCGGGATTGGCATGAATCTACAGTACGATCAACCCCATGTGTTAACATTCATAAATCTAAAACTCGTGGCAGATGCACATACCTTTTTATTAATATCGTAAAGCTTCGGGTTAACATCATTTATAGCATTTGTTATGGCCGTCACAACGTCGGTTTGGTCCTGCAGTGCCGCCTGCAACACTTGCACATCATGTTGAGAAAGCTGGCCCATGTTGACGATAAGATAAAAAAAAAAAATGCTTTGATCCCTTTGATAGACAGAAATCAAGTGGGTAACTCACTATTTTGCCCGCTCTTATATATTTATACCATGATGTTGGTCCTGGTTTTCCATCTCCGCCAGCCCACGCCACCTTTACACGACGGCATTCAATCCGTTATCTCCACCAACCGTTCATGAATCATGATGGACACCATGGATCGCCACATTCCTGGAGATACCATACGACTACGGAGTACCTAGGTAGCTACAAGGGAAAGCTTGATTAGGCTAGGTATCCATAAAAGCGGTCGCGAATAAAATAAGACTTAGACTTGGTATATTTTGGATTCTAATGTTCTATGTTCAATCGTAACGTCACAAAAAATTTGGATAATACTCGTTAGTAGGGCTTTACACCAGCCAGTTTCAGCAACCGATCCGTCATTTCGGGGAGCTCCAGCGGTTGCTCACGATCTCTCGGATCCCGTGTTCCATCGGGCAGCATAGTCTGGTATTTGCGAATGACAACATTATCATGAGGCCAGTGCGTGGTTCCTCCATACTTCTTGAATACCTCTGCCTTCTTTTCCAAGGTTTCAGACGAAGCCAGCTTCGCAGGAGAATAGGCGGCATAGATAACGGTTCGAATGGTGTTGCTGGCCTCTGTGGGTTCAGCGCCGTAGTGAATTGTGCGACTATCCCACACGATCACGTCTCCGATATCGGCGCAAACCTTGTGCGGGCGAACACCCTTGGCTTCAAACCAGGCGAGCTGCTCAGGGTGAAACCAGTACAGGTCCTTGGGACCCCAAGTCGAGGCTTCGGTTTTGGTGTCGAAGAACTCGTCGTGGTACTTGTGGGAGCCGGGGTAGACCACGAGTCCTCCATCCTCAGGCCCGGCCGTGGACAGATTGATGATACCCTGGATACAATGTGTGCCGCGACGGAGAGGGCTTTGGTCCACATGCTCCCAGGCTCCTTTGCGCGGCATATCCTTGCGATTGGGAAAGGTGACGTTCAAGCTATCAAAACTGACAAGAAGCTCATCGGTACCCCAGATCTGAGCAAAGGCGTCCACGACGCCCGGCTCCATGCGAGCATCCCACATGAACTTCTCGTGTGCAATGGCATAAGAGCTAAAAGTGTTGATGGAGCTCTGAACCGGGAGGTTTTTGGCGACCCAAGTATCCGGGTTATTGTAGTCCAGCTCATCGTTTCCAAAGGATTTCAACCACTCGCGTGCCTTCTGTTGATAGGCAAGGGCTCTTTCGCGAGGGATTGCTCCCTTGATGACGGCGTAGCCATTTTCTCGGAGCTCTGCACGCCAATCGCCTTTGGGCGCTGTGGCTCTATTCATGATCGCGTTAGCTTATATCACAAAGGGAGATATTTGAATCCTCACAAGGCGTTCTCCGGCTCTGGCAAGAGCTTCACAGAGGCAGTCGTAATATCGGCGGTTGCAATTGGAGCCATAATGATGGGGTTGATGAATATCGCCGTAACAACTTAGAATTCGGGCAGGTGAAGTTTACGGCTTCAGAGTCGGGGGTTGCGTGGGTGTTACGGACTTATATTTCCCTTGTTATCTTCTTGATCACTTTGAAGACCTATCATCGTACCATTCTCTTCTTTTTTTCCCCCTTCCCCATCGAACCGTCGTAAACGGGATTTCCTGAATAGTGAAATTCCGGCGGGTACACCACCCCTTTCCCGTCGTATACCACTCGGACGATTGCCGTCGTGTACAGGGGGGATCATTCAAAAAACCTGGGACTGATAGAATGAAAGATAAACGATAACTGCGGAGTTGGGTGTTCTTTGACCCTGAAATTACTAGATGTTATCTATCAACCAAACCTCCACGATCATAGTATACCCCAACTGGAAAGAAGATAACCGAATTATCAACGCCTTCCGCAATATAAATTCAACGCCTCGCCATTCCAGAACTTCTTGAATCCCCAGGCCTGTCTGGTTCACAAGTTCGACCACATATCCCACATCGCCCTCCGTCTTCATCATGTCTAACGTTCCGATGTCTGAAGATCCACCCAAAACGGCCTCTGTTAGCAATGATACGAAGCATGTCTTGAACGTGACCACCGAAGACGGCGATGATGCTCTTCGTGCTGTTGGAGACGCTTTCCAATTAGCAGAGCCCTTGTCACCTGAAGATGATCGTCGTATCCTTCGAAAGGTGGACTTATGGTGAGTCCCTTTGTGCGTGCTGGACGATATCACTATGTCACGCAGACTGATCAAAGTACAGCCTGGTCCCGATACTTTTTCTGTCGTATCTATTCCAGTACCTGGACAAGCAGGCGATGGGATACAGCGCTATCCTAGGCCTGCGAAAGGACTTGCATCTAGTAGGACAAGACTATTCCTGGGCGAGCAGTTTATTCTACTTTGGATATCTGTCCGCTTCGGGCATTGTGGCTCTTTTGCTGGTTCGTCTGCCCATCGGCCGCTTCATGTCAGCTTCTATGTAAGTCCCCCGAGTTCCACTAGACCAGACATAAATATCCCGTAGGGGTTCTAACTTTTCGCAGGGCCGTCTGGGGTGCAATCCTCATGTTGGCTGTCCTATGCCAGAATGCATCCGGCTTGTGGGCAGCGCGCTTTTTCCTAGGCTTTGTCGAGTCCAGCATTGCACCGTCTATGAGCCTCATCATCTCCATGTGGTACAAACGGTCTGAACAACCTATTCGCCAGACTGCTTGGTTCATGGGCAATGTAACGGGAGGATTGTTTGGTGGCGTTCTCGCGTACGGAATTGGCCATGCTAAGCATCTTGCTCCCTGGAAGGTAAAAAAGTCCGCCCAACTAGTTGGTAAACCTCCTTACTGATCGGATAAAAATTGGGTTATATAGGCACTTTTCTTGCTCTTTGGTGGTATTACCTTCGTTTGGTCCATTTTTTGCTGGTTTGCGATTCCAGACAGTCCCATCGGAGCTTGGTTCTTGTCCAAGGAAGATCAGGTGAAGGCCATTGAGCGCGTCCAGGATAATCTTACGGGTATTAAAAACCACCATTTTAAGAGATATCAGCTTGTGGAAGCGTTTTTGGATCCCAAGACCTGGCTACTAGCCCTGTTCCAGTTCACTCAAAACGTTCCCAACGGAGGTGTCGGCTCGGTAAGTACCTGCCATTCTCTTATTAGTTATTGCAGAGCTGCCTGGTTGCTAATCGGCATAAATAGTTTGCCTCGATCGTCGTGGAAGGCTTTGGCTTCACCACACTCGATACTCTTCTCGTCCAGATGATTGGTACTGGTTTCCAGGTGGTATTTGTTTTGATGACTGCCTATGGTAGCACGTACCTGAAGAATACGCGCACTTGGTGGATGACATTCAACACTATCATAGCGCTTATCGGAACCGTGATGATTCGGCAGATCGACGCAGCACACATCTGGGCTCGCTTTATGGGATATTGTCTTATCATTGCCTTCTCCGCCAACTTCCCTATGACCATGGCGATGATCACAAGTAACACGGCTGGGTTCACCAAGAAATCAACTGCGACGGCAATAGTATGTTTCCTACTCTACGGATCATATCGCCCTTCACTTTGGCATTGCTAACTAGATTGAACTCCAGGTATTTGTGGCATACTGTGTGGGAAATCTCGTCGGCCCCCAGATCATGTTTGCCCGTGAAGCGCCTAGCTATGCTTCCGGATTCGCCGGAATGCTTGTCTGCTTTGCAGCCTCGGCCATTATCTGTGTTGTACTCCGGTTCTACCTCATCTGGGAGAACAAAAAGCGAGACGCTCTTGGAGACGTTCCGGAGATTGTTGAAATTGATGGCATTCCGGTGCCAGTCGGTTCGTTGAATCTCATTGACAAGACGGACCGTGAGTTACACCAATTCCGCTACGTTTATTAATTGTATACATAGTGGACCTACGCAAGTCAAGGCCTACAGTCAGTAGGGCCTGTCTGCCCACTATTTCCATCTCAGTGCCATAGTCTTCAAGTGTCTTTTTGTGCACCAGTATACTGTGCACAAAAGCCACTACGCAGTTCATCCTTATATACCTATTCTAGCCTACGAATATACTGTATCAATACTTTTTTTTCAAGACCTCACCCCGTTGAAAAGTGGAATTCTTATATGTTCCACCGGAAAGAATCCTTGAACTATATATGAACGCCAATCAATACCTACACTATCTTATGTAGAGTCATATAGCTGGCTACTATTATCCTTTTAGTAAATACCCCCTCTAGATTATTATGTTTGCGCATTGGTAATGGATCAAGGGATGATTTTAATCAAATGGGCTTTACTACGTGTGCGTCTCATAGCAATTACTTTTAGTACTACTCCATACATTACTAGAAAGCCAGTCCGGCAACTGGGAATCAGCAACAATAATCACGTATCTGAATTCAAGAGGCTAGACCTTGCTCTCTTTGTAAAGGTTCTACTTGTCGAGGTAGAAAACATGTTGAGCAGATGGGGAATATAGAGAGACAAATACTAGTAGTGGATATGAATTGTATTAGAATTGGAATACAAAGCATTGATACAGAGTGGATGACGAAGACGGCCGACGTTAACTAACTATTAAAATAAAGCTAGATGTTATATAACTCAGTAATAAGTTATAGTTACAAGATTATAGTTATCTATCGAGTGATGCCTCAGGCATCAGAGACTTTGGCGTAGGTTGGAGGCTTTAAATTCTTCCCCACGGCCACTCTAGGGCGTCATCGGAAAAGAACGAAAAAATCATCTATCTCAGGGATACTAAATCCAGTATGACAACATCCTCAACAATCAAAACACATTTTGGGGAGATTACGCTGCAGGAAGAGATTGTATCTGGGGATTTCGATATCATCCCCATCATCGACCTAACAGCTTTGGATAGCCCCGGATCCTGCAGAAAAGAAGGCGCTTGCAGCCGAAATTTACACGGCATGTTACGCGTGTGGGTTTCTTCTCCATCAAGGTAACATTAATACATCATGAGGGCGTATTTATTTTACTAGCTAAGACCGGTCCCAGAACCATGGAATACCAGCTCAAGATATCGAAGCTGTTCAAGCTGCTGCTCGCCAGTTCTTTGGTTTGCCAGAGGAGGGCAAACTAGAATGCTTTCTTGGAAAATCCAATGTAAGGACTTTGAGGGCCTTTATCACCTTGTTCTTTTATATCTTTCTGAGTTCAGACAGCGCTTCCACGGCTACAGCCCGTTACATATACGGCGAACAGAAAAATCTCTCCGAATCTTTTGATATCGGGTACGAGATTGCAGGTGATCCGCAAAAGAGACCAGGCGATATCTTACCAGAAGACTCATTCGAACTATATGGGGGCAACCTCTGGCCATCTGAGACAGCCCTACCGGGTTTCAAGGATACTTACCTTCATCATTTTCGTTCCTGTATCCAGCTGAGTCGACGGTTACTGAAAGTGTTTGCGCTAGCATTCGATCTACCGGAGACCTTTTTCGACCCCTTACCACCCCAGGCGGTATGTCCCGTATCCTGCACTATCCTCCACAGCCGGTTCCAGGAGAGGAAAAGGTGGGAATTGAAGCCCATACCGTATGTACATCATCTCGATTCCAACCTAGCTCTTTTAAAAATCATGGCTAGGACTACGAATGCTTCGCTATACTTGCCCAAGATAGCGTTCCAGCCTTGCAAGTGCTGAACTCACGCAACCAATGGGTCACGGCAACGCCTATTCCAGGAACTCTAGTTGTGAACATTGGAGACTTCATGTCACTTTGGTATATGGCCAAATCCAACTGTAACTACTTATAGTATGTACTGAGATACTGTCAGGACCGGTGGTAAATTCAGATCAACCGTGCACCGAGCAACAAACCTAACCGGAGAAAACCGGTACTCCATCCCATTCTTCTTTGGCGTCAACTACGATGCCACAATCCAAGCTTTACCCAGTTGTGAAGGTGGTGAGCTCGCGAAGAGAGGCCCAATCAAAGCCGGACAGGTAGGCTTTTGTTCTTCCTGCTCGTTGGTCACATGCTAACTGCTAGCAGTACGTTCGCGATAGATTATCCAAGTCTTACATTGGATTTGGAGAGAAGCCCAAGTCCGTTGGATAAGACATAATATCAGTTGATGAAGGCTGGATTATTGAGGTTGTCTCGTAACCCGTTCTCGCAATCCTTCAAGGGACATATACAGTGACTATTTTTGCTACTACTCCATATCAACAACGCCTCTCCACAAATCAATGCAAATTCCATCAGACTAAATTCAATATAGGCCGTGGCATCACTCCATGTGTCCAGTTGGTCAAGTATATTAGCCCATGCAGGAGCAAGAAGAGATGATTGTCCTGGTCCCAATGGAGCAATTTTAGTCTCGTCCCACCGCAGGGAAGACCACAAAGATTGAGCGTAAAGATTTGTTCAGATTCGAGAGGTGTTCTCCCGTTAAAAGGGTCAGAAGTTCCCAGTGCGTCCCAGGAACCCCCCTCCCCCATTCTAAAAACAATATCTAAATGATACACCGAAGACGGCTGGTATCTTCCATAATTTGCATGCATAGAAACCGGGGAAATACTGCTCTGAGCTCTACTCAAGTTACTTCACGAATGGTACCGAATTGGTTAAATATTCATATAGTGGTATCTTGACATACAGAAAGTTCGGAGAATATAGAGGCAAGCAGGCACCGTGAACTCGTATTTGTGCAGTGGCTATCAAAACCCGTGTTAGTGATGAGCATCAGCTTCGCCTCCAATTTTCAAACTCGGTGTATAAGACGTTTGAAATACTCACAGCTTTTCCCTCCTATTACAAAATGGTGCATGAACATTGCATAATCAGTGTTCGCTCAAGATCCATTGAAGTCGAGGTGCTTTACGAACATCAGCATGCGCTCGGTCATCTCCGATACGAGGATATTGAAGTAAGACTCGGTTCGTGTATGCAATACAAGCAAGTTCCAAGCAGGGCCATCGTACTTATGTAGCTGATCTAACCTTGGGGCTTCTTTCAAATACAGTCTCCCTGACAGGGCGCAGGCTGATGCCAACTACATTCTGTCAGCAAGAAGTTCAACCTCTCGGGATGTACTTTTGTTTCATTTTTACAGTGAAAAGTCAACGATTGGTTGAAAACTTATTCCCAGCCCCTTGCAAGGTGGAATTCTATTATCTGGACGGAGTGGATGGTGCAGGAGCAGGAGTTGCAATCCGGACTAGATGCTGTTTTCAGTCCTTCATAATTGTCTGAACACGTTGGCAGCGTATCGCTGTAATACCAGGGTTGGCATGTCCTTACGGATTGATAACCCCTTTTCCGGCTGGTATCATTTAGAAATCGATTTCAAATGGATTCAATTTTCCCTTAGCATTGAGGAGTCAACGCACTTGGAATCATGGTGGAATGGAATGGGTTGCTGCAACTATAGCCACCGTGAAAAAGAAGAAAAAGAAAGGAATGACTTGACAAGTGCTATTGGGGATTTGAGAGTGGTTTTGACTGAATAGAGAAGACAAGGAAAGTGCCCTTACGAGTCTAATATCAGGGCTCATAGCAACTAGTCGATCATAAAATGAACGAGATATGGGAGCACAAGCGAGATAATGAACTAGAAGTCATCTACCGCAAGAGTAACTGGATTTAAGTGACTGAACAACCAAGAGAGAAGGCCAATTTGATAGCCCTGAAAGATATTCGACGTCCCTGTTCAACTCCCGAGTTTAGAGCCATCATAACCCGATCATGCTTCACACACCACGTACTATGCCGGATGGCCTGTAAATATTTTACCACGCATCAATCAGGCCTAGAAGGATGATATCGCTATCATGATAACTATTTGCCGTCTACGCTTTGTAACAGAAATCCCTGAAACGAGAGTCTGCAAATTCTCTCTAGGTGGCTTCCCGGAAAGCATCCACCTGGATAGCATACATATATCAGCCCTGTAATCTTTGCTAGGGCCCATCCCGAATCAGCCATCGAGTGATTCAACAAAAGCCATTGACGGCAGAGCACCACCCAGGATCCGAACCAGCAAAGGCGTTATTATGGTTGAGCATTATGGATCAGGTCTAACGAAAATCCACCTCTCGCCGTGAAAGATTTCCCCAAATCCTATGTCAGAGTACATGTGATGAATGGCAGATGGATTCCTGCCCAAAGATACACAAGTCCCATGGGGTAGATCCAAGGTACGGAAACCGCTGGAAGAGTCATTCAGACTAGTCAAAGAGACGTAAATGTGGATATGGACGGGTCTTACTTTCTTACTTTCGAACTGGGCGATAGCTACCCGCGGTTAGAAGATTCTCGACAGCAATATCAGTTGCATGAATAATATCAAGTGGGTGGTAATTTTGATTTGAGAAATCGAAAAAGACCGTCCTCATATTTACAGCTTCTCCAGGGCTTTTCTTTGTGTTGTGTCTTGGTTTTCACCCTTTGCGATATCACTTGAGGTCTCCGGTTCACTACCTGCTTTTCTGTTCTCCCGTGGCCTCGGAGTATCGCCTGTGATGTACTCGTGTGTTGCTCGATTTTGTCCAGGCCACACCCCTGCCTGCAATCTGCAGCATTCCTCCAGGCCCTAGTCGGTAAGCAATCACAACTAAATGAGGAGATTGTGTCCATTGACCACATCCTGACTGACCAACACAGAGTTCGCGCTTCCAGCAAAGGAGTGCCTTGCTGCTAGTGAGACGAATTCTTTCCCCGTGAGTGGCCAAGGAGCTACCATGCCACTAATGCATATGTCAAATTGGTGCATGAGGCCCCATCGCAGTGGCAATATTGCCCAGGGACACTTGTCAAGCATGGAGGGCCGAAAGGCTCTAGCAGAGATGCCGATTGTCGGAAGAAGAGGACCTGAGGTATTCACATGGCGTATGTCCATGCCCCACTGTTTGCGTTCTGGCAAAGTTGAGTGAAATAGATTTAGAATTATGGCGACCTTTGGTGGCTCAATGTTAACAGGGGGTTCAACTCCATTTCAGGAGAGTAAAGAGTAGAAGTTGATAACTTTTCTTTTGCCCGAACCCTTTTTCTCGAGAACACAACCCCCCCAAAGAGTCACCTAATAATATGACTTGCTTCCTGGGAACAGCAACCCCTTTACTTTTTCCGCCATGGAAAGAACCCGAGGTGGCAAGATATCAATATAGGATTTAAGAAGACCATCCATTGGTCATTCAGGGCGAGAAAGCGGAGTAAAGAGACCCCGATAACCTGCAGTTCAGTCAATAGTCAGGGTATTAATATCACAGGCGCGAATTCATAGGTGTCCATCCCGAACTGGAGGCCGAAGCTTCTTCATTGCTGGCAATTTGATTTGGCCCATGCATCCCCAGTTATCGCGAGCTATTATAAAGGAAAAATGTTTTTTTTTTTTTTTTTTCCTGCTCAAACAAAGGCGTATCGCCTCAGCTCGAGTTGATCAACACGTCATTTAGGGCTAAACGCACCATCATATCCCTCCCCTCTAAAGTCGAAGGCAAGAAGCTCCGGGAAACTCCCATGCGCAATGCATTCTATTCCGTCCGGCTGGATCTCGTGTCCGTGACAAAGCTTGTTCATGGACATCAGCCTATTGATTGATGCGAGTCCATCAGTGCCCTGCCATTCAGGCTCATTCGGGGGATGTAATATTTTACCTCTCAGGTACGGATTGCTATGACGGAGTACTACGTATCAGGATAGGGCAGAGACGTCATACAAAGGGCCACTGCTAGGAAATAGACTGCCCCCTTGAGAGCAAAGAAAAGATTATAACTTCCAGCGAAACTAACCAGGGACGATCATAAGTGGAGAATGCAAATAGTACCTAGGTAACTACCCGGATAGACCTCGGTTTGGAAGTAGCCCCGGGTGAGATCCATTCTGTACATAAAGACGACTACATAGGAGCTGCCTGTTGCACTGCGCGGCCATATAGACTACTATATACAGGCTCAGTAACCCCTGCCTCATGAATGTGAGAGGCTAGTAGTAGAGTACATGGTACGGAGTAACTAAGGTCCCTGAACTAAAAATATAGCAGAGAAAAAAAAGGAGTGGCATCCTGGCATAATTGAACGCCCTGTGAGCAAATTGTTTATATCAGATGTGGATGATTCTGTTCACCAGAGCTTTGGGCTTGATATTCAAACAAAGAAACCAGAAGCCCAGATCACCATTTCATATCCAGATTGATCGGGACGGCCCGTACCAGAAGCCACTTACGCTTTGCAGGATTTGTTGGGGCACAATCAAGAAATGCTCACCTACCCGCGCGACGTAGCTAGTCGAGTAGATAAGGGAGTAAGTACAGGCCCAACCTCGGTAAATGTGGCAAAGAAACACCGGCGGATACCCTCATTCGACCAACTTGTTGTAATCTGTGCACGACTCTTCTAGAGCCCCGCAGATAGTGAATGAACTACTGTATGGGATGCATGCAATGGCTTGGACCTTGCGCTGCCAATGTAAGAAGCCCATCAGTGAATTCAATCCACTTTTGCAAGCACGGTGGGACCCAGGAAACTGATACCCCCCCCCCCCCCCCCCAAACAATTGTAAACACCCCACACGGAAAGTAGCCACACCCGTCTACCTGAGGGCCGCCTGGAGTTTGGCGAGATTGAGGATCAACGGCTTCCAAATGGAGATCCTATGTAAAAGCCGTTGGGAGCGCAATGAGTGACGGGTGCTGCTGTATTCCGACAGTTCCTCTTCACTTGACTGGTTCGGGTCAGCCTGCTCGCACTCAACAGCCAGACAGACACATTGCCCAGTGGTGCTCGCTTACTGGAGGAGGTGCCGAGCCCGTATTAACGACCCTAGACAAGGACATATTGACTAACAGAGGTAGGTCTAGATCACAGGAACGCTATTGCAGCAGGTGGTGGGTTGGACAAGGATCGCCAGGCGTAATTACCAATAAAAATGAACTTTCACAAGACACTTGCACACTCCGTCCCCGTGAATTTATTCCGGTAAAGATGGTCCAGGACCCAGTCAGCAATGGAAAGCGTCCGAAAATCCGCAAGGAGTCCATAACATTGGCTGGCGTAGGAGGAAAAATCAACAGCTACCTAGAAGGATTTTTGTCCGTGCCCACCTCAGCACTAGCGCATGATTACCCTGGCTCAAATCCAGAGTACCGTAGTATCTGTAGCTCCTCTAGTCCCCTAAGGTTACTAGTAGTTGCGTATTGCTTTTCTCCAGGTCCAACAAGTCGTCCTGCCCCCAAGTTTGATCGACCCACAGCAAGGCCGATGCTATCGCGCGATTTCCGGATCAGGACACTTGTAACAAGGCTGGTGCGTTCCTCCAATAGAAAAGCTAAGGTCAGAGTAGCTGAAGATTGAAATAAGCCCAGAGAGACCCCGAAGATGTTGGTATGAGAGCAGAAGAAAAGCAAAAAAAAGGAGAGGGCGATAAGAGACGCACGTTGCATCACATTCATCGCATTCATCGTCTGGGCCTTGCCTTGTATATGACCTTATTCTCCTCTATACACCTCTTTACCGCGTATCCAGGCCTCCCAGGGCGGATACCATCATCATTCTCGTCTCTAGCTCATTTCTTGAAATATACTCTTGAACCCGGGGTGGATTATGACGGACACCGTGGGTTCCCAGCTTGCTCCCTCGTTACCGAATCCACCACCTCGTTTACCGAATGGACAACAACCCCGAAAGCTGCGCGACAGCTGCATTCATTGTGCGAACTCCAAAGTCAAATGCAATAAAGAAAAGCCGGTATGTGGTCGTTGTGTGCGACGTCGTCTGATATGCGAATATAAGGTGTCTCGACGAACTGGTCGTACCTCACGTACTACCAACCAGATATCCGGGGCGTCGACAGCATCATCCAAGACCAACAGCACCACAGCAACATCGCCCACATCTCACACAACGAATATCGACGCCTGCTCTGGTGTTTTGTCCGCTGGCCTTGTCACAAGTGCTCCTTCTCAGACGCCTTTATTAACACCCAGTACAACTCTTCCTACAGCCCATTCTTCCCCGGAACACTGTCCACCCCACACACCAGACATCTGGCGCTCTATTCTCTCGCCGAGTGCATTAGGCCCGGATGTCGAGGCGTTTTCCTCGCTCATGCCCATGGGGGTGGATGTCGGGGACATATTCGCCTCGGTAATACCATCCCCCCAACTCGACGCCTGCGACTTGGATGCCCTCCCCGCTCAGGGCTTGAGGGATAGCCTCTCAATTGCCGACCAACCACTATTCCCTGCACCAGGGCTTGTCGATGCTGAGAATATAGGCTTTTCAAGTCCCTCATTGAAACCACCAACTTGTTGTTTGACCGTTGTGCTAAATATCCTCACCAATCTATTCCCGAACGCACCGACGGCGTGTAGGCGGCCCGGAAATCAGCCAGGTCCTAGTCAAGTTCGAACAATAGAGTCTGTCATCTCACAAAACAAAGAAATCATTGACACTATCAATACCATTCTAGATTGTCCCTGCTCGCAGGATGAATACGTGATATCCATCGTATCCTTGGCTGTATTCAAGCTTATGGGGTGGTATGTCGCTGCAGCAAGAGATAGCACCTCAACCTTCGAAGACATGATGGGATGGGGCACGGATTTCACCACCCACTTGGATCGGTCAAGCCCTGCTTCGTTCCATGAACAAGTCTTGCATTTGCCTACTGTCGTCGGCAATTATTGCATCGAGGGCAATGATCAAAGTCGGATGGCGGCACAACTCGTCCTTAGCGAGCTGCATCGGGTACAGCGCCTGGTCAATGTGCTGTCCGCTCGGTTAGAAAGTATTCGACAGAGAACTTGTCTCTCATCAAATTCTATATCCAGTTCCAACAGCAAAACTGACCTGGGCGATATCTCGCTACATGGTGGAATGCGGGCATCTCCATTCTCGGGTCCAACCTTCTCACAGTTGGAAGAAGATCTTCGCAAGCGCCTTCGCGCCATATCCTCTGAGACGATTGAAATCCTTCGTCGAGCATAGCAATGCTATATATCTGAGCTGTTTGCCATAGAACAGAAGCTCCATTCCCAACCCAAGATTCTCCGAATACAGAACGGATGAATATCGGTTCACTCCATCAGAGATAAAGGTACATTCACAACCCAGTATATCGATCCCTCTTGACATTTGTGCGGGCATCGACAGGTCGACTGAGTTCAGTCAGACGAGGACATCGAGTGAAGATCTCGGAGGATCCAAGGGGAATTAACGCCCTTTTGATAGGTTAAAGCACGCACAATTGACTCGGGAGTCAGCGTCAGGGGGAAGGGCGCAGGAACCCAACCATTCTGCAATATACCCGACCAGGTCGTTTACCAGGTCGTTTTAATTTAGACTATACATCTGTAGTGAATTGTAATGATTTAACAAATCACTTGGGGGTCTGGTAGAATAGTATTTGGTTATATGAGTCACAGATATACCACTCCGGGATATCTTCCAAGCGTCTTTTCCGTAGTAAATCACTTTGACTGATCAATCGAAGTCTAGGGGCATTCTCTTTAACCTTGTGTCAATTATAATGTCCCGATAACAAAGCGAAATATCTCCAATCTGACGCTCAATCCACCTATCGCTTACACTGGGGTCACATCAAAAGCTTTGCGAAATTCAAAGTAAAATTTCGGAAGCCTTGCTTCGTTACTGGCTTTAGTGGAAAAGGGTTGTCCACCGACCACAATAACTAAGAGACCCCAGTATTTATTTCTACCTCTTTCCGTTTCGAATAAGAAGCCCAGGGGGGTTCCCCATCATCATCAAATTCCGCCCACTGGAAGAAAGAGCATCCTTTCTGGCCGGGAATGTAGTTGGTGTGACACATCCACATGTAACGACCATGATTCTCCTTCTTTTGTTGCACGCAGCGGAGGATAGTTGGTACCCCACATCGACATTTCGGCATGAATTTCGGGTGTAAGCTCGTTCGGTACTGCCTATAGGTGATGTTGATGCGCATAGTTCCCGAGAGTGGGTGCTGGTCAATCGTGCGAGCAGGAGCAATACAGTGCTTCCATTCCTCCTGCATTTCGGCGTGCATCACGAGCAAGGAATTATGCGGTAAATGAATAGACATTTGGCCTTGGGCATCTGCGAGAGACCCGTTGTCCTTACGATAATCCTCGTCTGGGGCGACGATTTTGCGCACACGAAACTCTCGTGCAACCCCAAGGCTAAGGCTTCCAACAACAGTTCGAGGCCCAAGATACGTGAGCTGGTCGGAGTGGTAGCCTAGATTTTCCCGAGGCGTCGCATAGGTGTTCACAAACGCCATATTAGGCACCCAGGGGTCGGGGGATTGGTATTTCAATTTCTTGCCGTCCGGGTAGACGTCTCGAATTCGGCGCTGAATTTCCCTGTTGACTGCTTCCTGGACCTTTGAAGAGGCTTTACGCATCTCGGGGAGGAGATAGCGTACATCCTTAAAGTGCCGTTAGAAACGTAGGCACAGTAAAAGAAACCGTTATCCGAGAGATAACGGGTGTTCAAATAGAGTCGCTCGGAGAGAACAAGCTACAAACCTCAGTTTTCTTCCCATCATTAAAATACTCATTTTTCTGTCTCTCCGCCGCTTCTTCATTTTGCGCATACAGGCAGAACGTGTGCGAACTTGAGACTTCCCGCCCAAACAACTGGAATGTCTGCTTTTTGTAGCTGGGCACTTCCGCCAGTAACTCGAGGAGCAGTGCATCTGCCTCTTCAACAGGGAGAAAATTATGGATAATTGAACATGGCGTATGGGTTTCGATATCCTCCGGTCTGTAAAGGTATGTTGTTTTCCCTCTCTTGGTTATCTGCCTCTTTGGGGAACGGACATTTCTGCTCGGAGCACCAAGATAGGAGGAGAGGGATGCTTGATGACCAACACCGGATTTCCCTAACTGTTTTTGGGCCGGACGAGACTTCTGGTCTTTCAACGCGTCAGAGGCGCGTGCTACAGACCCATCAGACAGAATTAGAGCTTCGAGAAGAGTCTCCTCCTCGTGGGTGGGATGTAGTGAGGCTAGGATCGCCAATTTCAAATCAGTGGATTCCTCTTCGTCAGGAAGCAGGGGTTGCCATGAAGATCCCGGACTTTGGGATCTCCCTCGTTTTCTAGACATCAGTAAATTCAGTCTTAAGTGACTGCGAAGTTGAAAGCCAAAGAATCATCGTCAGACGTAGGAATCTGCAGGCTTTGTTCCTGGGCATCATCACGTGTTGCTTGCAGTATTGAAGTTTCTCTAAAATACTGGATAGAAAAGTTCATATCACTAGCCATCCTGGGCCATAATAAAGCATGTATTTGCTGAAGCATCAGGTTTAGTAAAAGCCATGTTTTGCAAGGTGTTTTGTGTACCTCCAAACACCTTGAGATAAGGATATTATTGTGCTGGCTCATTCACTCGTAAGTAGCTCGGAATATATATACACTTGCATCATGTTGCAACAAGAATTTTAATGCTAGCAGAGGCTCAAAAGTCGCCCTAAGACAAAGAAAGTATTCACAGGCCCAAGTGACAGGGTTTCAAAGCCTTAGGTTTTATAGGGCCTTGATCACACACACATAGAGGCTGGACGTGGGAGAGAAATGCGTGCTTTCCATAAAACAGATGACGTGTTTTCCCAATAACATTAAACCCATGCTAGTCGACACGGAAGATGAATCCTTACGTGCGGTCAAAAACACCCAAGAAAACGATTCCTAGAGCTGTAAGGACCGGCGCATATCCCCAGTGGTCCCATGGACTGTTTCCATGGGAGTAGCATACCAACCCATCCACCATGGCGACCGCACTGGTGGAAATGAGAGTGCAGCCCAACGTTTTACGCGATCCCAGAGAGGCTGCCGAGAAGAGAGCCAGGCCCATGAATATATCTCTTGCTCCATATACTGCCATCAAGCTGTCCACCATTTTGCGGTCGGCCTCGGAGGCTGGGGGATCGAAATGGAAGAATGAGAGTGCGTGAGCCGGGCGCAAAAAGGCGTTGATTCCGAAGGCGATGGGGAGTATCGAGAGAGCTCTAGCTATGAGGCCCAATGTGGGGGATTGAGACAGGGCCGACATTCTGAGGGAAGCAAGGATAAAGAGCCAGTCCTATTTGCAAGTCAGATCCTCGCCCTTATCAGTTTGCAAAAAGATGAGGAGAAAGCTGAGAGACCATACCTTTATTTATATTTATTGAGAATTTAGTCCAGAGCAATGACGCTAGATGGGCGCTGTTGTCGGGTTAAATTTCCGGTCCAGACGCGTGAAGCAATATGTATACCAAGTCTCGATACTTATGGTGCAGTCTTCATTACAACAGCTTCGCCCCCATTGTTGCCTGGCTGAGCTTGGCCCCCCAAATCCCTTTTCAGACCTTTGCGCTTCGGTTTATTCTTGGTTCTCAAGCATCTCATGCCAGTCTAGAAGGCTGTGGGATGCAGCTGATTTATTTTCGCCCATACTGATCCAGCTTGGAATTGTACAAAGACCAGTCTGGCACTGCTCATGGATGAGGACCACTCCGGTATGCCGTCCAAATGCGATAGATCAAGTCATTCCCGGCCCTTGATTTACGACCTAGTATTGAGGGGGTAAAGATTTCTATTTAGCAGGCTCGTTTGTTGACCGGAAAGTATCCTATCCCTCCTCTGCGTTTGATTCTTATATCTCTGTTAACCTGACAGAAGCAGTTGTAGAGTAAACTATGTTCATTGTCAAGTAAATCAACTAGCATGCCATGTTAGTGCGACAGCGAGAAGACCACAAAACTGGAAGTTCTTAAATAATTATTTCCGTGATGGATAGTCCCATCGACGGGGTAAGTGGATGTACATATGTGCGCGTCCTCTCCGCAAGAGGACAGAGTGACCGAAGATAATAACAATCAAGCCTCCTCGTCTCCGATATTTACCACGTTTTTCAGTTTCGGAAACGTGGCTGCCCACTCGCGCGACACTTGCCAATTCTCGTACGCATATATCCCCGCCTCGAAGCTCTCGGTTGGCATGAGCTCACCTTGCTCAGATGTATAGACAAATTCCTGGTCTTCAGGCCAACTAAATCGAACTGAGCGCATGTATAAAATGACGGAATGCCGCGGGTCTTGAATATGTTGAATATTTCGAATCAGGCGATCTCGTAGGCCGGGCCAGGGGAGAAAATCAATACAGACCGGGTGGGGGACGGTTTTCTGGATCTCAGTTGGGTAGAGCCAAGTTGGAACGTCGCGTTGAGTTTCTTCGTCTGGACAAAGGCGCCACTGATACTCCCTTAGCGTGGCGATCTTGGAAAACAATCAAGATTATATGCGATAGTCAAACACTTACTCGAAGAAAACGATACATAATCAGATAGCAGGCGAAGAGGGTGCGGACATTCGCAGGGCGGACCTGGCTAAATACCAAGCCCAAAATCTGGATGACAGGATTATCGGTAGAAGTCGGGCGGAAGACATGCACTAAGGATGGGGTCCGAGGAAGACGTGTGCTATTGGAAATACTCTTGTTGAGGCCCTGGTGAGCTCGAAAGAGAATCAGAAAAGTCGAATATTCGAGGCATTCGTAGTAGGACTGATGGTCTACGCCGCAGCGACAGTCAACAGGCACATTATTGTCGGGTTCTCCGAGGGCGGGCCCAGGAAACTTCATCGACAGGTTCTCAGCCGACAGCAGGAGCATATCCTGACCCTGGTAGGGCGGTCGTGTCTGGTTCAGAGTGCTGGGTGAGCCCCCGTCGGCCGCAGTGCTTGGTGTCGAGGCGCATTCAAGACGCGAGAGATATTTGGTCTGGTCTCGGAGTCTTTCATTGAGCACCCGTACCTGATCCGTGAGCGTCTGGACGGCTTCTTGCAGATTCGTGACTTGTGTCTCGAGGTTCTCCATCTGTCGTTTCTGCTGCTCGCGCTTTGCTTTGTGGTTAATCCTATCTGCCTGGCGTTTGCGGGCTAACTGGGCCTCGGTGCGTCGTCGCTTCTTCTGTGCCCCCTCTACAAGGGTTGAGGGTGTAGGATGTTCTATCTCCATGATTCCTATTTATGCCCGCACCGGGATGAATAGAGTTGTTTCTTGAGGTTGGAGTGAAAGGGAGGGAAGGGTTGAAGATGGTGGAAATAAGAATAGTAATCATAATTAGACTACTATGATTTTGGACTCGGATCCAGACGGATTCTGTCGTAGTAGTCTCTCAATCTCTGTGTATGTGGGTGTCTTTCTCTGTGTCTCTTTCTTTCTTTCTCTCCGGTCGTTCGCTGTCTGGCGCCCTTTCGGACGAAAATCGCAACCCCGCATTTTCGCCATATTTTACCCACGGGGACCGGCCACCAACAAAAGTCTATCTCTCTCTCTCTCTCTCTCTCTCTTTTTCTTTCTATATTTCAACAGTTGCGAAATTCAGGAACACGAATGAATCGCTCCCTCCATCACAAGATCCTTCTTATTATATACTTGAGAGAAGTTTTATATCGTCTGCTATTGCGACTTTTGACTATAATCCGTGCCCGTGATTTTTTCACCTCCCAAGTCGGTCAATACTACTTCTTAGAACTCCGTTACTCCGGGTATTGCGACTTTCTTGTCCCTTCTCCGCACTCAAAACGACGTCACTGAGGTATTAATCAAACTGGAGTCATCCACTACTGCCATCAGGATCCTTCCCCTTGCAGCAGACTTCGGAACCTATCCCGATCCGGACAAGGGGGAGGAGGAGGAGAATCAACAACGGGGCAGCTCATACTGCGGTACATGTCTGCTTGAGCAGGAATGGAGAGGAGTTTTAAAACACGCTCTTCATATCGAAACACCTCCTGGTAAAAGTAATGACGCTGCTCGTTGAGATCTATTCCTATCTGCTTGAGGATCGGAGTCTACACGTTAACCACCGGGATTTTTTTCTCCTCGGGGCTTATTACTAAATTGGGTCAGTAGCACCTGAACGAAAATTACCCGCTTTCTATTGTCCGATATCACCGGCGATATTTAACAGTGGCATTCACCCACTGGAGTTGATCCTGTTAAGCATGTGGCCGCGGCCTTGCCCCAGGTGCCAGTCAGATACTGTGTCTGTCCTTAAGTAGCAGTGTCACTAATCCAAGTAGAACTGGGTGAACGGACATGGATTCCCTAGCTGTGGAGAGAAAGGAGAGAAAGGAGAAAGGAAATATGAACCCCCGGGGATTAGATATCTTACAATAGAACCACTACTTATGGCTATAACTGCATATCATAAAGTGCTTCCAAGCTGAAAGTGGAAATCGACATGTTCGAATTTGAGTATTCCTATAGAACAAGAAGACAGGAATGGAGAGGAGACACAATATCACATGCGAAAAAAAAAAAAAAAAACAATTACATATAGACAGTAGTATCTCATTTGTCCCTCTTTCCCATTTGTTTTGATAGGACTAAAGTGACTAAAGTTGAGGAGAACCAGCCACCAACCCTGGAACCGCCCCGGTGGTGCGAAACCCTCAGCAATGGGAGCAATTCAACAAGAGGACGGAAACTCCTGGCGGCTTTCGCTGACATTTTTCAGCCACAACTTAATTTCCTTGATATCCGCCCAAATGCATGAAGTATGTTATGCACCATTGGCGAGGAACTCCAAGAGCTGTTCCCGTGACGTCACGAAGCAGGCCAGACAACCGAGTTATCCCTGGGTAATCCTCGAAGGAGCAGTGCAGCTGGGGAAGGGTTTCCTCTCGGGTTGAGTTGATTCCAAGCCTGTGAAATTCCTAGCGAATCTCCGTGTCGTCCTGATAGCAAGAGCAAGCGGGACGGGCTCTGATAAACTGGAACCAGCAGCCCCAACATCCAGTTCCGTGCATACAGCTTGATTTGGCGGGTTTCGGACGGGGCAATTATGTATATTTGTCTTACTTGAGCTAAACGAACGACAGAAGCGTAAAGGAGGATCTATAGCTCTGCTCTCGCCCATCCTCTGAGAGACGACTGGCTGGGAGGTCCCCACAGGACCAAGCTCAGAAAGCTTTATTTTTGCTTTCTTCTCCTCGTTTTTTTGCAGGGGCCCTACAACTCGAAATGTCCAGTCAGGAACTGCTCTCTGTCCGGCTGTAATCGCCTCAGACCGGCAAACTAATCCATCCAGTCAGATCGGTCTGCTCTGGCTCTGGCCCAGACGACTAGGGCCTAGAATTCATGTTTGGAATTAAAGTTACCATACTCATCCCGTTGATAACACCATAGAACCACGATCAGTTGACACTACCGGCAGGTTTCTATCCCCTTCCCAAATAGAAGGTGAATTCCAACGCCCTGCTAGCTGGCCCCAACAGACTGGGCTCCTTGAGTCAGAAGATTTCGGGTTGATCCAAGAAAATCTTGGATATTCGGAAGAACCTCTTGACGGATTCGTCTAGAAAGTGTCATCACGGTTCGATGTCATACTATATCGCCCCACCCCCTGTGCCTTTTCAACACAGCAGGTTAGAGCTTGATCGTTCCTCTTTTTTTGTTTTTGAGAATCCCAATAGCCCACTGCCATTCGTTAGTCCATGAAAGAATCGGCAGTTTTGGTGGGATTTAGTGTTTCTTCTTCTTTTGATCAGCAGGCCTGGTCCCTGCTTAGTCCGACACTCGCCCTTGGGGTTGATATTCGGACCCAATCCCCAACTTACCCTTTTTTTCTCTCTTCTTTTATTCCCTTCAGGACATTGTGACTTTCATGATTTATCGAACGCTAATCGGCTACTTGATCTTGGATATACATCGAACGTCATCATATCTACGGCCCAATTGTCGTTGAACCATCCGTTTGGGTTGGCTGGAAGCGCTCTCTGGACCTGCCTGCAATTTGCCCGGTCCGGCTGCTCCCACATTTGAAGCTTTTCGGCCTGACCGTACAGGTCAGAGTGCAACCACAAGCATTCGACTGTATTATCACCTCTCTGTCCTATTCCTTTCGAGGGAATTGTCTAAACCGGCAGAGAGTGACAGCGATCCAGCATGTCTACCGAAACGGCACGCTTCACGGCCAATCCTTCATTGGATGGGTCATCTACAGTCCAACCCGCTTTACTGCTGAGAAATCGCTTCACCCCCGAGTTCCTATCCCTGGCGATTATAGATCAGGGGAATTACTGTAGAAATGAAGTTCATGTGGCAACCCCTACAATAGATTCGCTGGACAACGCAAGCAATCAGAATTTTAGCTTGGGGGGTGATACCAACCGGCTACATATTCACCATGGCCAAGTGCAACCCTCTTCGCGCGGCATCAAACGCAAAAACTCGGCCGATATGCACATTGATCTTAGTCTTGAAACCACGCAGAGCCACGGCCTTTCCTCTCTCCGCTCTGCAAACCTAGAGCAACCACACTTTGGATTCAACCATTCTCCCAGCTCCGCAAGGCACTCCGATCTCAGCAGTACAAATTCGTCGTCATCCCCTATGTATGTCCTGGACAGAGAGGAGACTCTAAAGCGAGAAAGACACCTGGAGCGGAACCGTGCGGCTGCGAGTAAGAGCCGCCAGAAGAAGAAGAGAGAAACCGACCAACTGAAGAACCGATACCAAGAGGTATCGAATAGAAAGAAAGAGCTTGAATGGGAGGTAAAAACGCTTCACAGTAAACTTTTAACCCTCAAGGATGAGTTACTGGAGCACTCGTACTGTGGCGATGAAGCTATTCGGCTCTATTTAGGGCAGATGGCTAAACAGGCCGCCACACAGGAAGCAGAATCTTCAGTACCGATGCATACACAGACAACTCCTCCTAAACCGGAACATACGATGCTACCCCAACCACCAGTCGCCGTAGGACGTCACAGCCCCGGTCAACCGCGCCTTCCTAAAATCGAGGATACGTCAGGATTTTCATGTGGGAATCTTGAAAAGACCGTTATGGATGATTTGTTGGCTCAACCAGCCAGGAATGTGTTTGATTATCAGATTAGCATCCCTTAACCATGTCTCCTCTTGCCCTTGTATCTCCCCAACTCTATTTGACTGATATTCTTACGATCCTCTTGGATTATCCTATGTATACTTGCGCCTTTGTCATGGTCTGATGGGCTCAAAAGCGTCCACCTTCTTTCTATCTTACCACTGTCACTTTGAATAAAACATAACCTGCAATTAATGGTATGAAGATTAAATATCAGGATCCTCAGCGCACATATCTCTACCAGCCAGTGAGAAACTCCAATCTCTGATCCTGATGTAGGCCGGAGAGAGTATCTCAAGTTGGGGGTTATATATCGCCCCTCCCCTGGTTTTCCACCTTGAGTGATAGAAAAACAATGCTATTCACATATGTTCCCCTGGAAATCTCACACGTAGGTCGTTCTCAACCGTTCAACCTGAAGTTCGAGAAGGTGACCCCGTTCATTTCGCCTTCGCAGAGTCCGTTTGACCCTCGCGCTTCTTGTTGAAACTTGGGCTATTGACGTAAGGATGTGCCCTATCGGTATTTGATAACCCTTCCTGATTGGAAGACATCGTATTTTGTCCGCTGGACGATTTAGGAGAGGCAGCCTTTCATTTTCAACACGCATTAGTCTCTTCTTATCTATCTGGATGAGATAACCTCTTCTTACCTCTTCCACATTCGATGGCATTGCCAAGCTACCCTTTGCTGGCTTCGAACTATTTCCCATCAAGAGATAGTAGGCCGCAGGAATGCCTAAACAGGCTGATATGACGAGCCTACAGGATAGTTTGTTAGTTAGAATTCCCTGAAGAAGAGACATCGAATATCGTCCAGGCTTACCATGTGTTATTCTTATTCCTCTGCAACTCGGGTTGATCTGTAGCATAACCCCGAGATGGGAACTTGGTGGCTTGTAAACGCGCAGCGTGGACCGCTCGAAGTAGGCGCGCACTCGTAGAACCCATGGCGAAGGGCTAGAAAAATACAACCAAATGGCTAGAATTAACTCTTAAATGAACCTCGAGGGATGGGCGTGAATATATTGCTGTTCCTGTGGCGCGGTAGTGATGCAATAGGTGGGCAACAATCACGACCTACAGGAACCGTTGCCGGTACCACTTTTCGAGGATTAATCCCATTTTCGCATGATGCTACTACGCATGACGGGTTTGTGTTTCAAAAATGGGGGCTTTGCGCTGGGAGGGACGACTTGTCCGAGGAGAAACGGCTGTCCGAGGAGAACCCTCGGATACTCCCCCACCAATGCGAACATCGGTCTAGCATACTACCACAAAATCCAGGACTTATCCTTTACGGTAGATTGTATTTATCGGTTCAGAAAACGTACTGACGCCTGGGAATAATGCTGGGACGGGGATGGGGCTCTAGTTACGCTTCGGAATTACGGCTTACTTATCCATATGGACATCTTAAACCCTCGAAGACGCCAAAAAGGCAAGAAAACATGGTACCCCGAAATTTGGAACCCTAACAATTGAATGAGGAAACTTTACCACTCTTCTTCTACACCACATCCCCCGATGACAGGGAAAGGTGAGTTAACGGGCTCTTCATATGTCATACAGTGGGTATTTTCAGCACTGTTCAGAAGCTTCTTCCGGAAATCCCCTGGTTGGCAATATACTATGAAAAACCAGTCCTGATTTAGATTTACTCTTTCCCCCTTTTAATCTTTATAGTAGTGCCATGTGTGGGAATTGACCCTGGGTCCAGAGACCACCGCCACAAGCAGGTCCCCGCATACTCCTGCCGATTCTTTATTGCGCGCCATGTCAACCCTAAGCTCAAAGGAAGCGGAGAACGACAAGATAGGCCAGAAAGGCCTTCCTCTGAGTTCAGCGGTTGTGATCATCATGACGCGGAATCAACTCTTGCTTCCACGGTAGGAGGAGACAATTGCCTCTCATTTCCTTTCCCATGGGAATACTCGCATTTTGTATAGTTCGACTCCCACTCGAGCCAGCGGCGGGGCTGCCTACCGAAGCCTGCAGAAAGGATTCGGTCTTGGATATGAGGACAACCTCGCCTTCGTTCAAGGGAACGGATCTTTGAGAAGTCCATGAAATACCGTGATACCATTTAGTATAAATATTTGCCTATAGGGCATTTTTAAGCTACTCGTAGTACATAGGGGTAGAGCCTCATTCATTCGTCCATCCACACCCCTCATTCGTGGGCACCACTGCAAATTGCGATATCTGGAATATCTCGAGCTCGACCATCATTTAAAGGATCGAAACTTTCCCATCTCTATATATCAACTTCTCCCTTCACTAGTCACAATGCCTCCCAATATCACGGAAGCAATCAGAGATCACTACACTGAGATCCAGGAGTGGTATGGACAAATAATCCAGTCTGACGATGGGAAAACCCAGGCTGAATATCAGAAATTATTTACCTGGGAGTTAGCCCGCCACTGCATTGCGAAAGAAATAGTTCTATTCCCTGCCTTTGAAAAATACCTACCCAAGGACGCCCTCCTGATCAGAAAAAGCCGGCAAGGAAACCAGAAGGTGAGGCGCAGTCAATGCTCCTAAGAAATAACAGTAGTAATTTCAGTCTCACTGAGAACCATCCTACAGGTTAAAAAAGAATTAAAAATCTTCCAGAAGATGAAAACATCGAACGGTGCATTTATTCCCGCCATTGAACAGTTGATGAGGGACCTGTCCAGGGTTATCCGGGAGGAGGAGACCTGGGATCTGCCAAAGCTGGAAGACACCCTGCCATCCAGCGAAAGTGCGGCGCTGTATGAGTTGTTTGGAAAGACTAGGATTTTTATCCCCATGCATTGCCATCATAGCGCTCCTGAAAAGCCTCCATTCGAGACCGCTATCGGACTTCTCACAGCTCCGACGGATCAGCTTGTGGAGGCGCTGGACAACTGGTGGAACGATTCAAGTACGTCAAATTCCGTTGCTCGATAGGTTGAATCGAGAGGCATATAATATTGTATAATAGCAACCAGCTCCTATTAATAGGCGGTGATGGATGCATCAGTTTATCCCCTAGCGGACATGTTCCACCTTGAAATCAAGGCACATTCAGTAGCTCTCACAAGTACTCCCCCAGAGTCGTTTGGACACTAGATCAAGATGTATCAGAACTTTCAGGTCATGTCTGAAAATTCCCCCTGGCTTCATTCCTTGAATCATTAACTCAGTGAAGGCTCTTTTATCTGATCCTTTTCACGTCCCCCCCTTTCCCCTACTGCTAATGAGTGTCACAGAACAAATTACATAACTCAACCACACGATTAATATCAACACTCCGTCAATTATGGATAACTGCGGAGGGGGAAACAAAAGAATAGGTATCTATAGTGGCCAAGATGAAGACAGTGACCCCTGCTTGGCTCAATCTAAAACCCTCGAATCATCTTCAGCACAGAAACGTACCTTTTCTATGGGATGCTAGTCTACGAGCCAATGCTCTGATCAGCTTAATCCGGGATATCAGAATATACTCTGTTGGATGTGGAGCCAATCCCAATTATCTTCCCTCCGGGTCGGTTTAGTCTCAAGTTTTTGAGTCAGGTAATGTTGCTAGACGGAACCGCATCTTGTTGTCATACCCCTGTCACAGGGGATTTTCAAACACATCTCAAATCATTTGATAGATGTTGGAATGTTAGATAGAGTGATGGACAGACTTTGACAAAGCAGACAGACGCCAGTGATGCCACCTTCGATTGAAAATGGATCTGTCATCCTTCCAATTGACGTTGGTTAGAGGAAGGTGCACATTCACAAACAAAAGTCGGGCATGTCCGATGACCTGAATGAGGACAAAATGAGAATACCCCGCTTGGAAATAGGAGGAGAGGGTGGAAATGAAATGAATTATAGTTGGTGGATAAGCATCCGCCAATTTGCTGGAGCCACCGGCTAGTACGGGGGGTTTACCCGTCCGTTTCATTGATACTTCTTTAACTGCTGGCGCCCAGTTCCAAGCTACCGGTGTCAACAGGTTTTCATTAAGTTAAAGGCAGTGGTAATGGACGGAGTTGCAGGTCCAATTATAGAAGAAGGAATATATGGCAGAGAATATTAGGGGTGGCTCTCTTCGCAGTAATTCCGGAGTTTATGCATAGAATGAGCGAACTTGGTTCAGGTTAGGTATAATAAACCTGGTTTGATCAATAGAAAAGTATAACTAATGATGAATCTCTTCCTTATGCACCCGCCTCCATTCTTGTCTAGAGCCATGGTTGTGAATCCGCAGAGTTCAACAGTGTTGTGGAGTCTAAAAAGCATGCCACCACTACCTACTTCATGGGAATGGAGCCGTATGGTGCAGAGGAAATGTTATTAAGCAGTCTGATTTAACTATTGCATCATGTACATCATTAAGTAACTAGCTGTCATTTCCCACACCTGAGGAAATACGAGGTTACTAAAGTCCAGATCTGTTTAGTACTCGTCGCAGGATGCTGCTTGGGTTTAAAGGGGAGTCCCCTAAGGTATTATTTTGGTACTGGTAAAAAAGGGCTAGTATGTCTTCCCAGGGGCGTGCCGAATCCATAATGGCTTCATTGATTAGTATTAATGAATACGGGCTATAAGAATTGAAGGAATCTTTGTTGCTTGTTTGAATGGCTAATCTATACTGGGCTGCAATATTTTAAAATTAGCTATTAAGAATTTATACCCTGCATTGCAAGTAGCGCTTACCTATAAATAGAACATTGATGCTAATCTAGGTAACATTCATATTGGCGTGCTTCCCACTCGTAGTAAAGATGATACAACTGTTGCCATCTAAGAAACAAACCCCTTTTAGTCATGTGTATATAATGTGATCCAGCACTCAAGTGAAAACTTACATCGATTTTGACTGATAAGATCAATAGCTTCTTCAAGAGTATCAACCTCCAGGCATATGAGAACGGGTCCAAAACTCTCCGTCTGATAGCATTCAATGTACGTTTTCACTTCGGTAAGGATTGTAAGGCTGATGTTGCTGGGGCCATCTCTAAAGGTCTCAAAACCACTGTGTTACCAGTGATGAGAGCATATGGTATCGACCCAAGAGGAATCATCATGAATTGAGACGTAAATGGCGTTATTGCGACACATACCGGATCTAGAACATTAATCCATGTTTGGGTTTTAGACATTACTCGTTCATTATTTATGAATAGATGCGCGACGGTCGGTGGCGGTGCTAAGACTGTCGTCTCCATCGGAATCAACACTCCTACTCCGAGTAATATCTTTTGGGCTAGTCATGCTTGCACGGCCATTTAGATGGTCCCAGGATACTCTTAGCGGGCATTACCAGGCCAATATGATTAATTGCGGCTATCATTCCCTCTTTTCGTATATATCGTGGATCAATCAAAATATCCCGATTGATAAGGAAGGATCTGGCATACACAAAGATTGCTGATCAGATTAGATCAGTGGTGGGCCTTATCATCCAGATAAACGGAGATCGGCTATCTATCGGAGCACACACAAAAATGAAAAAGCCGCTACACAGCGGTATTTTATAACATCTTCGGCTTTGCCTGCGGTTTCCATCTACTGGAGCATGTCTACCTCAGTTGGTGTCTGACCCTAATATCACCCGATTTCACCCGATCTCCTCCAAATATTCAAGGCAAAAATGGTGTCTACCAACGGCATGCATCCTTCGGCGGCAACCAATGAAATCAGTCGTATCTCTGTGCTAGAGCAAGATATTCCATTATTGAGCTTGATGACCATAATCCGTGATACGAACACGCCGGATCGCCAGTTTTGTTCCGCGGTGGAAAAGGTAGCGCGACGACTTATCACATTAGGTATGTTCGATAGCTGGGCTCGTCTAACAAGGTAACGGGAATATTAAGATCGAAAATAGCCTTGAAATATGTTCCCCACGAGAAATATACAATTCAGACGCCCACAAACACCCCATATCAAGGGGTGCGCTTTACCAAAGCTGTGTGTGGTGTGAGCATTCTCCGGGCCGGAGCCAGTATGGAACATGTTTTGCGAGAAACGTGGATGTAAGTCTTGGATTCTCTGTATTTCTTTCTGTACCACTTGATTAATTCTGCTTAGGGGCTCTTTGAGCTTTGGAAAGCTGCTCATCCAGAGAGACGAGGAAACCAGTCTCGCAAGTATCTATTATTCCAAGCTCCCTCGTAGCATCGTAAATGACGGTGAGTGGATTTTTTTTTTTTTTAATTCTCGGTGTGCTCTGAAATACTGACCATTGCAGTCGTTCTATTGCTCGAGCCTATGCTAGCAACGGGAGGATCGGTGATAAAAGCCGTTGAGACACTCATTGAGAATGGTGTGGCTGAGGAGTCAATTGTTCTGGTGAACGTTCTATCCTCAAAGAAAGGGATCGATGTTGTTTCGACAAGATTCCCGTCCCTAAATATTGTGACAGCGGCGATTGACCCAGATCTAACACCTCAGAAGTAAGTATTACACTTTTACATTATATCCCCTGGCTACTAATACTAATACTTGGTGCAGCTACATTAGTCCTGGTTTGGGGGATTTCGGAGATAGATTCTATGGTACATGCGATTAGATACCCAAAGCAAGCTGCGTTTAAACACCGGGGTTTTGGTTGAATTTGTACGGTTAGGTATATTATATTATTTTAGCACACATATATCTACTGCAAGTATTTTGAATGACGCGTGATGGATTATATTTCGCATCCTCTGCACTACTCGTATATCATAATGAAAATTAATTTTTGGTGGATTAACCTATAAACCTCAATATCCTGGTAATGCGTTCGGATATTGTTTTGCTTAGGGAACTGACAAGCTGATTTATCCCAGATCCAATCATGTTTCAACCATAATCATCATAGAATAATGCAGAGCTCCTCCCAAGCATCCCTTGCTCGACATTCATCAAGACGGGAAATCTTATCAGTGAGCAGATAAGATAACCCATCACTGTTGTACAGTAATCTTTAAACAATGAAGATAATAATTATATCAAAGGTAGGCAGCTTAGCCTGTAAGTGAATGACTTCTAATAAATAATGCTTGTTGTAACTATTCTTCTGAAACTAAGACATGTTATGTGTAGGAAGGAAGTTTGGAGGGGTTAAGGAGATTAAGGATATCCTGGAATATTATATGTACCTTTTACTTGTCTATCACCCCTTCTATATAATATAAGGATCTCGAAATTCTTGACCTAGGGTTAAGAATTTTTATCTAATTAATTAAAATAAGAATAGTACTAGACTAAAATTAATTAAGGCAGGTATCTTGTAGATAGAGGAGATTTAAATTAGAGAGAGGTTAACTCTAATTAGTTAGAGGGCTAGAGGGAAGACTAGATCTTTAATATTTTATAGACTAGTTATAAGTTTGTAACTTAGTCTTTTATTACTATATTATTTAAGATAATTGAATTACTTTCTTTTCTTAATTTAGAGACCTTATATAGAATAATTTTAGGTAATCTAAGTAATATTATCCTATTAACTAGTGGGTGATTAGGTCTTCTAATATAGCTAAGATTTGTTTCTAATAAACTTGTTAAATTTAAAGTAATCTAATCTATTTTAGTTCTAGTTTTTACTTATAAGTCTTTTCTCTTTATATATTCTAGAGTAAAACTAGGTCTCTCTTCTTAATCTAATAATTTAGATTTAGTAATTATTTTCTCTATAAATTAGTTTAGGCTATTATTTATTATATTATCTAGCTTTATTTAAAAGATATTACTATATCCTTATATTTTATTAACTTGGTAGAGATTATGATTTAGTTATTAACTAACTATTTAATTATTAAATTTTTTATTATGGATTATATACTATTTCTTAGTTAAAAACCTAAGAATACTTTAGCTAGGGTAAATCTATAAGATTGTATAATTCTAGTATTAATAGATAGAACTATATTAGATAAGAGTATATCCTATTAAAAGATAAATATTGGCTCTATTATAATTCTTTAATAATAGACTACAAGAATGAGCTGTACTACTCTTTTGGCTAAATTAACTGTCTAAGGTGTGGAGATTAGACTAGTAATTAGCTTGGTTCCTATTAACTTTAGGTATTTAGTATATTCCACTTCTATAAAATAACTACTATTATTAGTATAGATAATAAGAGGCCATCTATAAAAATAGGTAATAGATTTAATAAATTTAAAGAAGTTTCTAGTAATAGCTTCTTTTAAAGCTTTAGTAAAGATATAATAACTAAAATAGTTAATTTTAATTAGAATATATTTAGCTCTAGTTTTTATAATTAGGTTAAAAAGTCTAATATAATCTATTCCTAGGATATCTAAGTACTTTATCATGGTTATAGGACTAGATAGTTAATAAGGTAGTCAAGGACCCATAAGTTAATAGGAATAGTAAGTAGTATAGTATTATTCTATATTCTTATATTAACCTGGCTAGTAATATTATCCTAGAATTCTTATAAAGGAGATATAGGTTATAAAATATTTATAAATATTATAAACCTTAAAAAAAATTCTTTTAATTTAATAGGGTAGTATATACTAAGATTACTAATTATTATACTTAATATATACTAAATATACTATCTCTGTAATTTATATTATTTAAAATCTTTTATACTTACCTTTTATTTTTAACTACTTTAGAATCTCCTTATACTATATACTCTTTTAATGGTATTATAGAGAATCTAATTTTTCTTCCTAGTTCTATACTATAAATATTAGAAGGGGGAAATTATCTTTAGTATCTATTTCTTGGTATAGAGTCTAGTAAGGAATATGAGATAGTCTATTAGTTATAACCTAAAGTTATCCAGGGATATGGACCTATAAGATATTATATTTTTATAAGTAATATTATTAGTAAGCTATCCTCCTTATCTAATCTAACTAGTCTTCAAGGCAATAATGTAGTGCTATATGGTTAGTATAGATAATGATAGGATAAATTAATCCTTGAATTAACTACCTAACTTTCTCTAAATACTTTAATACTGCTAATACTTCCTTCTTATTCTAAGTATACTATATCTTAGTATCTGTAAGAGTAAATAATAAATATATAATTAGTAGTTCCTCTTAATAAGTTAAATAGCTTGTAATTATTCCTATCTTACTAGATTCTAGTTAGAATAGTACTCCTCTAATTCTATAGGGTGAGGTATTTATACTTATATAATATTACTTCTCTAGTACTTCTTTATAGAGATATATTAACTTAATTATATGTATAACTCTTTAGTATATTTCTTGTTAAGACTTAGTCTAGGTAAAGCCTACTATCTTCTAGTTTGAACCTTTGCCTTTGACTATTAATACTTATTTTAGGATTCAGGCCAGGTCTGCTTGCCCTAGGATATATGTTTTAAGGAATGGTAAGATATAAATAAGCTGTATTAGAGATGGTTCATTATCTGGAACTAGCTAAGATAGTAACGCGGCTACCTTATTTACTAATAGTCAAATTCTAGACTTTGTGCATGAATGTCCTAGGACCTTTATCTAGGTGGTAAAGAATTTGGTCTTATCTAGACTTAGTGTTAAACTAGCTCAGGAGAGTCTTGGAAAATATCTTTTATAAAGGAACTTAAGTAGAGCTAAAAAAGAACTAGCTCTCCCTTAATCATTATCTATAAAATATTTAAATATAGTATTATTTAAATTATCTAATAATTATTCTTTAGCATGTGGTAAAGGAATTAGTCTAGTAATTATATCTTTTAATTAATAATATATTCCTGGTACTCCTGTCAATCCTTATCCTATTTATTGGTAATAGAATTGCCTGAGAATTATAGAGAAAGTAGTTTTTAATAAATATTTAAGTTTTAGGGGTATAGCCTAATATCTATTTATAGTATCTACTTTAAAATAGATCTATAACTTAGGTTATTTTAAAGTCTATAAGATTAGTTCTAGTCTCCTTATAGAATAATTTGCTTTAATAGTTAATATATTAAGATAGATATATTAATAGACTATTTTTAGTTTACTACTTAATTTTTATAGGTATTTTATTTTTACTAACTATAAAAATAAATAATACTTAATTATTCTTACCTTAATTATTAGTAGAAAGTTATCTAGTTACTATTATTATTCCTTTAGAGTATATAATGCTAGCTTTGTGGTATATGGCTTTGTACCTAGAACTATTAAAATTAAATAAGTAATAAAGGAGGTTACTGGGACCTCCCTTATATCTAAAATAAACTTATCTTACTAAATTTATAATAGTACCGCGGCTTATTACTATTTATAGTTAGTAGTAATTATGTCCCCTAGAAGTTATTAATAATTATATATCTATCTAATTACTTGATTATCCTAGTCTATTTCTTGTTAATAAAAGATAGGATAGTTAGTAATTAAGAATCCTAAGTAGCCTCCTATATTAGATAGTTCTATTACCTTAGCTATAGTAATTAGACCTAACTCTAGTCTAGGGTTAAAGTCCCTATCTAGCAATACCCTAGTATTACTGGATAGACCTAGTTTAATAATAAAATTAATTTATCTAAATCCTTATTTATATCTAACCTAAAACTTGATTTATTTTTTTAATAATTCTTTAACTTAGTCTCTATCTTCTAGAATTCTTTAGCCTCCTTTCTAATTTCTTTTAGGTTCTGTTCTAATAAGATATTAAAATCCTTAAAGTATTCTATATTATTAGTTTTATCTTTATATTGACTGACTTTAATCAAGATCTCTTTTTAAGATAATTTATTATAAACCTTTTTTTATGTACTATTTTTGCTTTGAGGGACCTTAATCTAGGAATCTTAATTATCTACTAGAGTATATATCCTCTTTGTATAGTTTCCCTTAAATTATACTATTAATATCTAGTGTCGCCCTAATAATAGTATGAACTATGGGCTGCCTTCCATAATAATAGCTGTAATTGCCTGAGTGTTGCTGGCTACTTTTACTACTAGCTATGCTAGTATAGAAAAGATTAAATGGTCTTCTAATACTATTTCTCTAGAAATTAGTTTAATAGGGATAATTCTCAAATGTAATTTGGTGATGATCTTCTGGGGAATAAGATTAATAGTAGAGCTATTATTAATAAGGACTACTTTTATTATTCCTGCTATTATTTAATTATCCTAAGTTATTACTTGTATGGTTACTTTAGTTATAAATAAAGTTACTATATTTAGATTTCTTGGTACAAGATAGTTATTATATTACTCCCTATTCTAATTAGACCTTATAGTTAAATAATAAGACTAGACTTTCTATTTTATTCTAATATCTATTATCTCCTAGTCTAGATCCTTGTCCTTCCTAGGAATTTATTAAGACTAAGGGAATAATTTTACCCTTTTTGTTAGTTATAGTTTTATTAGTTTACTAATTTTTACCCGGGCTGTTAGGAAGAGATTGAATAGTTAAGTTAAGCTAATTTTAATCTTATGGGTATTAAGGAAATCCTGAAAATTTACTAACTTATGCTCTTTAATTACCTTTATATATCTTTTCTCTACCAGTCTTTATAAGTACTTTCTCCCTACTATTATATTACTTATAGTTTTATAGTCTTATTCTTACTTTCTAATTATATATAGTTAGGCTAGAATCTTAAAGGTTTTATTAGGCTATTTCTCTTTTATAGAAGCTAGCTTTATTTATAAATAATTAGTTCCCTATTAATTAAATTCTAGATCTTTAATATTTATATATATAATAGTATTTATAGATACTATATAAGTTAGTATTATAATTCCTAGACTTTCTTTAGTAGGATATTATAATAATAGCTAGAAAGTATTTAACTTTAATAGTTCTAGCTCTAGAGATTTATTAGTTACCTTATTAAGAAATTATAGAGCCTCTTATCTAAGAGTCTCTAGTAATTAATTTTATTTATTAAATATCTTAGCTAGATATATATATTTAGGTTATTAATATCCTAGGTCCCTGTAATTAAAGTAGAATTATTAGGCTAAGGCAAACTATCTTATGGTCTAATCTTTAATAACTAGATCCAGGTATAGCTTACTTATTCTTATAGTAGGATTAGATAAAGGTATTCTCTTTCCTTGTAGTACTAACTATACTAGGGCTAGCTACTTTAATATTTCTATAAATATATAGCTCTATATAGTTATACTCTCTTGTATTATCTAGATTTAAGCTATTAGAATATTAGCTAGAAGCTTATCTTAAGACTTTATTAGTAGTTTCTTAATATATTTCTCTATAGGGCTACTATTATCTATATCTATTACTAGAGTAGTTATCTTATTAAATATTATTAAGTTCTTAGTATTTCATCTTATTTTCACGTGATTTAGGAGAACTTTCTTTATAAGAGGATCTTTTAGACCTAGAACTACTTCTCTTGCAAGGAGTATGGTCTACTTCTCTTTAGTTAGGAGGATATAGGAGATATTTTAGGCTTTATCTAGATAAATATTTAATAGCCTGCCCCCTTATATTAATATAGAAATCTTTTCTAATATAATTAATTCTAGGTTTATATTATCTTTTTCTTAAAATCTTTTTAAAAGCTTCTCTTGCAAGATTATTAAGTCCTACTAGTCTATCTTTCTTAAGTTTTTAATAAACTATGCCATGGAATCCTAGAGACCTATTCTAATAATAGTTATAATTACTATTTTCTAATTATTTTTAGATAAGTTTTATTCTAGTTACTGGACTTGGTATTAATTTAGGTATAGTTTAATATCTTCTCTAGACCTTCCTAAGAAGATTATCTCTAAACTTAACATGATAATAAAGCCTTGTAATAGTTAATATATTGATAAGGTATTAGGGAATTTATTCCCAGTTCAAGCCCTAAAGTATTATATAGTAATCTTTAAATAATAAAGATAATAATTATATTAAAGGTAGGTAGCTTAGCCTGTAAGTAAATAATTTCTAATAAATAATACTTGTTGTAATTATTCTTCTGAAACTAAGACATGTCATGTATAGGAAGGAAGTTTGGAGGGGTTGAGGAGGTTAAGGATATCCTGGGATGTCATATGCACCTTCCACTTGTCCATCGCCCCTTCCACATCACATGGCTGATAAGAGCAGGGGACTTGTGCTGATCTACCCGTTGGACACCCATACATCCAGAAGTACATCTGCAACCTCATTCCTAACCACCTTGGCTTTGTCTCCTCGTTATTGACACATATCGTGAGTGGAATACAGCGCTTTCACTGTTTTTACTTCAGAACTTGACAATCTTAGCCTACGGCGCGAACATGGATGCAAATGTCCAGCGGATCCTGAGCCTACAGGCTGTTCGTGAGAAGTCCCAGATTGTGTTCGGTCTTGCCAAACAAGGTCTTCTAAACCACTTTGACTACCATGCCGAACGTTTAGATGCGGCTGTCGATTATGTCATTGGGATTATTGAGGTAAATACCCGAGCCCGCGCAACCGCTACCTCGCTAACAGAGCTATTTGAAGCGTGACTTCGGTCCGGACAGGTACCACGAAATCCCTCCTCACGGTCGCTGGCAGCATTTCGAAGTTGGTGGTGTGCCTAGGGTAGCCGAACTTATGAAAAGATGGGACGAGCTACGATACGATAATTTTGAAAAGGTACGCAGCCTAATCGACTTGTTTTTCGTGTCCGTTTTGCTCGATGCGGGAGCGGGTGATCGGTGGTCGTTTCGAGAGCCGGATAGCGGAAATATTTATACGCGAAGTGAGGGGATTGCAGTGGCCTCTCTATATATGTTTTTAAATGGCGACTTTGCCAATAAAGATTCCCCAAGGAAGGATGTTGTACATGGTGAGGACTTAACTCATCCGCTCTCCAATGCTGAAGCACTGATTGCGGCTAGGAGAGGCATTACGAGACATGAGTATCGAAACGTTATATCGTGGCTTTCAAATCGACGAGGATAAAAATCCTCTAGTCGGCGCAAGCGCTCGGGTTGAGATCATCCAGAAGCTTGGGAAATCGATGCTAAACCATGAGGACATTTTCGGGCCGAAAGGTCGCCCAGGTTTACTTGTGGGTATGTCGCAGCAACTTCACCATCCGTTAAAAAGCATGCTGACTATAGTAACCTGTAAGACTGTCTCACCAGCACTGGTGGCGACAAAGTTGACTATTCTCTCCTCTGGAGTATCTTACAAAAAACTCTCATCCCAATCTGGCCATCCGACCGGACGAGAATTGCAGGAAATCTAGTTGGAGACGCCTGGCCGCTAAGCGTACTGGCAAAAGATCGATCCATTCGCACACAACCTCCCGAAACAGCTACAATCCAGCCGTTCCATAAACTAACTCAATGGCTTGCATATTCCTTGAAAGTTCCTTTCGAGCGCTTGCTCTCGCTGTCTTGGACTAACGCCGAGCTGGGGACGGGATTGCCCGAGTACCGAAATGGAGGGTTGTTTGTTGATATGGGGGTTCTAACTCTTAAACCGGAGGCGATGGAGAAGGGGCTACGTATTTCAAGGAGCGCTTTACCGTGCTTTGGAGCGGGAGACGATGAGATCGTCGAATGGCGCGCAATGACAGTAGCGCTGCTCGACGAGCTCCATCAGCGTATATTATCGAGTGCACGATTTGGCGATGTCCGGCTATCTCTTCCCCAGGTTCTGGAAGCCGGTTCATGGAAAGCCGGTCGAGAGCTCGCTGCCGCAAAACGTCCCGAGACAAAGTCCAGTCCCATCTTGAACTCGGGTGATGGTACCTTATTTTAGAATCGCATTATTTAGAACCCCTGGTTAATAAGACAAGAAATCTGCAATATTGCATGGCTATTATTGAACATATTTTGCTTGAATGGATCCAAATTGCAATTGCGTACCGAAATAAATCTACCAAGATCGACAATCTATTGAGGAGCGATACATATTGGGGACGGTGTCACCGTCACCCGGCGAACATATAACAAGCAAGGCTTGCTCCTATAATTCTGAGATCCAAGTATCCTGTGAATCGCGTGGTCATTTCCTAAATACGGCCGGTATTTGGATGAGGTTACAAAAGTTAGCTGTGGAGCCTGTATAGTAATCAGTAAACAAGCCAACTATAAGGGGGGATATGGAGTAGTTTGTGGGTCTAGGCCTTAAACCGTCGAGGTCGCCTATATTAGCCAATCACATAGTGTGAAAAGAGACAAGATGAATACCTCATGCTTAGCTTCCGAGAGTTTGAAGAAGAACGGGGATAGGCCATGGTTCTTGCCTGAATGATCAGGTGTCTGAGGCGTACGGGGTACTGAAAGGGCAGGCGGTCAAGACCAAAGGAATCCTTAGATTAACGTCATTTTGGCAGGTACCTGCTCATAGATGGTGATTGGACGGGACTCTCTTCCGCTAACAAACTAGCAAACATAGTACAGTAAGAGAGGCAGGCATCCAGCTACCTAACTCCGTACTCACCTAAAATAATACAAATCATTCCAGTGAAAAGAACTACTTGTATGTATGGAGTATACTAGATTCAACTCATTAGACTACTACTACTAGTAGCACATCGTCCTCGGGCAGAAACAGGCAGACAGGGCAAGATCCCACCTGGTGGGTGATGTGATTGGCTTCCACCCCGGGAATCTTCAATTTCACCTGAATCATCGCTGACTAGAATTATTTTTCCCCTTTGACTCGTTACTCCTCTCCCCTTACACGCTGCCTTGGAATCCCACCACCCCCTCCCCTCAAATCACTCAACTTCCGCTCTCCGCCTCTCCGACCAGTGAAGAGAGAGAGAGAGGCCTCCTTATTGATGTCCGATCCACAGCCCTCCACTCGTCCGCTCGCTCCTGCTCCGAGCCTCTCCCAACAGAGTCAAGATGCACCCACTACCGCCACTCCCTCTTCCTCGAACGAGGACAACCCTGGTCGGAAGCACAAAACTACTGCCTGCAGGGCTTGCAAGCAAAAGAAGCTGAAGGTGAGTCTTTTCTTCTCTTTTTGTGTGTGAGTGAGTGGGGGATGCTAACGAGTTGGCGCGGGGCTCCGGGTTTAGTGTCGGGGGGACCCGCCATGTCAGCATTGTGTTGCCAACGGTATTGAGTGTCACGTCGATGAGATGGCCGACATGCGGCGGAAGCTTGCTATGAAAAGGAAGCTAGGCCGTCTCGAACAATCGGAGGATGTTCTGCTTCAGCTTGTCAGCGTCTTGCGTGACAGTGAGAATAAACGTGTTGCTCAGTTGCTGAACTTAATTCGGAGTAATGCCTCGGTCAAGGAGCTCAAGGTCTTTCTAGAGGATCAATTTTCCCGGTCGGAAATCGAGAAATCTCCCGGGTTACGTGAGGTTCAACGTCAGATATTTCGCCCGTTGGAGCAGGAGGAGATTGAGGACGATGGCGAACCGCAGCGGGCGCCCCGTCGCATGCTCGATGTCTGTCGCCTGGCGGATAATCCCATCTATCGAGTACCCGCGAAACCCTGGACAACAATCACTGATGACGATGATCTGGTTTCGCACCTGGTCTCCCTCTTTTTCACCTGGACCTACCCCTTTTTCTGCTGGATGGATAGAGATGTGTTTATCAGCGAAATGCAGAAGGGAGACTTGAACAGTCCATACTGCACACCGTTCCTTGTGAATGCAATCCTTTCTGAAGCGAGTGTATGTGGAGTATACTGACGACGGTAAACGTTTACCTACCTCTGCTGGAGGAGATTCTAACCCGTGATCGCGTTTGGTCAGTATAATTCCGACTACGCCGAAGCCTTTACCGTCCCCCATGACCCCCTATCCCGAGGAGATCACTTTTACGAAGAAGCTCGTCGATTACTTGAGCAAGAGGAACGGGATGGCCCAGTCAGCATCCCAACCATCCAGGGACTCCTCATACTCTTTATTCGGTATGTTGTCCTTCGTCTATGCCCGCGTTGCCATGGGCTGTTTTTTTCCCCCGTGTGCTCATACATATGATAGTATGGTTATGATGGGGAAAGATCGCATGGGTTGGATGCATTTAGATCTAGCTGGCCGTGCGGCAGAGGAGTACGCCGCAACATATCCTCCACGACCGATCGAAGATGAGTCCGTCAGGGTGAGCGAGAATGTTGTGAACTGGACGCTCTGGGGCAATTTTAGCATCGCATCGTATGCCCTTTAAACCACCAGGATCTTTATTTGGAGCATCAGAGCTAATTTTCCTAGGACTGCTGCGGTGTCCTTTATGAAACATATCGATTCTCAACCCCCCCAACGACCCCGTGTTCCCATTCACCACGAGAACCCCCATGATACCTGGTCACCATATCCTAGGAGTATTGAACCCGTACAAGGACACTATGTTTGTGTGTTCGATCGCTGGTGTGACCTTTGCTGCATTACAATTGCCATCAGCAGAGCATTCCATTCCGTCGAGGACAGGCTACCTCAGTCTCAAACCATATCTCTTGTGGATGATGTATACCGACAACTACAGGGATGGTATGCGAATCTTCCGGAGTGCCTCAACGTGGATACAGCAGTAGTGCCTCATATCCTTGGTCTACAGTAAGCCCGTTTCTACCTCTCAATAACATTATTTCCTTGATGAACTTGGCTAATCTACTTAGCTTGTACTATCATACCACTGTGATCCAAATTTTCTGGTTTCTCCAATCATATTATTCTTCCAGGATGGATCATGAGAAAGCGAAAAGTGCACAAGCTACCACGCATGCGAACGCTCGACGAATAGCCCATCTTATCAGTATTCACCGCAATCGCTGGGGAATTGATCGAATGGCCCCTTGCACTTTACAATGGCTTACGACCTCTCTCTTTGCTCTACTACCCGCTCTGGATTCGGTAGAAAACCGCAACGCGTTCATAGAGCTCTGCATTTTGTCCCGGTCATTCTCGCGACGATTTCCTCTGGGCAAGGGCATTATGCGCATGCTGCAGCTTTCCGCCAGCCAGATGAAGGTGTCGCTGCCGGAGGAGACGGGGGTGTTGTTCAGTGCTTTTGAAGCCGAAAGCTGGACAGAGAAGGATCGTCAGGCATTCAGCAGCTTCTACCCTCATTTTGCGTCTGTGATCCAGCACGGCCCGTTGCGGAAGGACGATGTGGCTATGGATCGATTTCTTGAAAAATGGGACAATTTGACCATTTCGGATCAAGGGGGAACCTACGAATAAGGTCAAGAAAAAATACTTTAACGACAGTTGCTACGTTTGCTGATGCAACATACCTGCACGCCTGGACCAAATCACGGAGGAGAATAATGATGAATTGCTCTCTGTATATGAACATCTCTATGGCCGCTGCTTGCCAACTAAAAGCATGGTTATCAAGAGAGAGAGAGAGAGAGAGAGAGAGAGAAAGAAGCACATGGACCCTGCCGCCAAGTTGTTATGCTCGTTCGACTGGCAGTAAACAGACAGTTATCTTCCTAGCCTATAAACGGGGCTAGAGGCCCGGTCTCCCCTTACCAGCATATTATTTTTTTTATCTGGCAAACAATAACGGTAGGTCATCGTATTGGTCTTACAATACCAACTGGCATCTCCGCTCGGCTTCATAATCAGAACACCAGCGAACCGAAACAGAAAGCTCAACCTGTGCTTCGATAGAGTAACAAAGACCGCTCCCTATCGTCATCAATAAACTTGTCAGGCCTCTTTCTTGGCCCTCTGGGCAACCCGTCATCACGGTCGGATCTTGTGGTGGACCAAGAATACGAGCTCGGCGTGGAAACTCCGGTGGGCATTGGATTGGAATCACCAAAGATCCCTCCACCTGGAGGACGATGTGCTTTGGCCTGTATTTTCATTTCACGAGAAACGCAATAAAGCTCCTTTTGGGATGTAGAGTTAGATGCTTATCCAGGAATTCAACGCTTTATTCTTAGCTCTGTCCCCACACCAGTAAAGCGAGAGAGGTGAGCTAAGCCAGGCGAACTGGGACAGGAATCTATCCAGGTTAATGCGTGCGTGGAAAGAGGCTGCGACTAAGGAGCAATACGAGGACTAAACCAAGAGGAAAGGCAGTGCCCCATTTTGGCGCCTGGTCACTGCTGTGTCGCTCAGCTTCATCCCTCTGACAAGTTTCCCATCGCTTGTTGGGATTCAACACGCCCAAAATGCCCCCTGGAAGCCTTGTCAGGACCACGACTTTCCTTTGACACTTTATTCCCTCTTGAACCTCCATATTTGGTTCGCGTTAAAGCGCAACGCCACTTCCGCTACTATGGCGGAGGACTGGACACCGGACATTGTGGTCGGCGTCGACTTTGGCATGACTTGCACAGGTACAAGCTGAGTGAAGGACCAAAGACTACCTGGATAAACTTCCCGCAATGCCTTTGTGTCATTTTAGCTAATGGTGCTCTCGTGCAGGTGTCGCCTATTCGTACGGACCGAGCTGGCCAGCGCCCAAATCCATCCAACACTGGCCAGGCCTGATGGGCTCCGAGATCGCCACGAAAGTCCCTAGTCACCTCCTGTACTGCGACGGCTCGAAAAAATGGGGATTCCAATGCGATAAAACCCTCGCCGATGCAAAGGACATTAAACAGTACTTCAAACTGAACTTGGACCCGCAGTTTCGAGACCCACGGCCCAACGCACCCACGAGGGAAGACGCCGCGAGATATTTCCAGGACTATATCTACTGTATCTATCAATACACCGTGACGTACTTGAAGAAGAGTCTGCCGCGGTTCGAGGGGAGTAAGATTGAGTTTATCTTCAGTGTTCCGACGACATGGAAGGACCCGCGAATGGTTGCTGAGCTGCGAAGCTCAATTCAATTCGATACGCCGAATCATCGGGCCGTTATAGGGTTGACGGAGGCCGAGGCTGCAGCGGTTTACGTTAGCGGGCAGCACTATCAGGTATATCGAAGTTTCCTGGGGTGAATTGGCAAAGAGGTGCTGATGAGTGGCCAGAAAAACGATGTTATCCTTGTCTGTGATGCTGGAGGGGGTACCACAGTCAGTACCCGTCGAAATTTAGTCTCCCAGACGAGAATGCTGAACCGCACGCTAAAAATAGGACGTCAACGTTCTCAAATTAGCCTCATTACCCCATGAGCCGACTGTGTATAGTCCGCTTGGGTATGTCGAAGGTACCGAAAATGCCACCCGCTGGGTTGTCTGATCTTTGCTGACTACCTACGGACAGGAAAACCGATTGGCTCTGTCTTTATTGACCTTGGGGTACATCAACTCCTCTGCAAAAAGCTCGAAGCTATTCGCCATGCTTTACCAGGACCAATCGACGATATCGCATGGCAAATTATGGTTGGTCGATTTGAGCGCTTCAAATGCTCATTTGGCGCCGAGGGAATGGAACTTCCCGCCCTGAAGCTTGATCTACCAGCTGCAGCCCAGGAGTCACATTCTCCAGATCATGGAATATTGAACGGACAGCTGTATATGTCCAGGTTCACTTCCCTCCCTCCCTGCTTTTGTCTGGGCTGTTGTTGACGTGCATTAGTGATGAGATTCAAGAAGTATTCAACAGCAAGATCGAGGATTTATTCGGCCTACTCGACGAGCAGATTCGTCGACTGCAATTGAGTCATCCGGCAGAGAAAATAGTTTGTTTCCCAACGCCCAGCAATCCCACTCTTACTCACTAACCGATATTAGTCCTTCTTGGTTCTATCTGGGGGCTTCGGAAGCTGTCCATACGTCAAGAAGCGACTGACAGACCGATATCAGAGTGAAAATTATCTCGTTCCAGAGGGGATCAGAGTCCTTACGGTAGACGAGCCGTATGTCCCGCTCATTACCCCTAATTGAGATACATCACTAATGGGATCCAGACAACTGGCCGTCGTACAAGGCCAGGTCATGAATCGAATCCAGCAGCTCAAACAAGGTGCCACCGTTTTCGATCATCTTTACAGCCCCGTCAGTTACGGTGTGATCTGCGACTGGGTATACGATCCCAAAAAGCACAACGGCGAACCAACAAGGTACGACGAACGCAACAGCAGGACCTACGCCGTAAACCAGATCGACTGGCTTGTATTACAGGTGCCCCCCCCCCCCCCCCTTTTCCTAATTCTTAAGGGTTCTCTCACACGTAGGTTCTACAGGGTGACCGCGTCCCACGAACCGGGGTATCCAAAGAGTTCCCCCGAAAAGTTTACCCCAAAGACATATGTCGACCGTGGATGGCGCAGATCGTCATGTCCACGCTTCCTCTCCACCAACTCCCCCGAAGCATGTCACAATCCGGCGCGAGACTTATCTGCGAACTCGAAGTCGATATGTCCAATGTGGATAAGAAAGCCAAGAACCACCGATGGTACCATCGCCACCCGGTGTACTTCATGGCAACGATAATCGTCAAGTTAATTATCGAGCCTGTGGGCCTACAATTTGAGCTGTGGAATCGCGCGGGCCAGAAAATCCGAACACAGAGCCAGATGCAGAGTGCGGCTCAGGGACACCCTGAAAGACAAAGTCAGGGTCCGATTCGGATCCACTGGGAGTCAATCCCAGAGAAAATGCAGGACGAGACGGATGGAAATCGGCGGATCTCGTCGCCTGGAGGAGGTCCAATCTCGGAGATGGGGGGGGCTTCTTGGAGGGCGGAGTTGCCCGATAATGCGATTATACCTGGTAAATAATTTATTCTGTGTTGAATATATATATATATATATATATATTGATATCCTGTCCCCTTGCGTAGAGCGGAGAGTGACTGCCAACCCGGCTTTTCCTCCAAAAATCAATACTCTCTAGGGAACACAGGTGAAGGCGTGATTTCAACCTACAGAACATACCGAAAAAACGGGTTCTGCTTATCGGTTAAATCCTGGAAGGCCATCTTATCCCTTTGGCTTTCGTCCAGATCCATCGCGGCCCTTTTACGATTCTCCCTCCACAAGACGACATACAATGCGGTGGCCGCAGCAATCACAATACAGTAGCAGATGACCATCCCCTCCCAGAGCTCAGGATAATGCTGATGAACTGTCGGGGACTTGACCAATTGGGGCCCGATAATGTTGCCCACAGTATACGCAACAAAGACGGTAGCAGCCATAACGGTTTTCTTTGTGGCGCCGGCAACATTACTAGCCCCCAGGGTGATGATGAGACTGACGACGGGACCGAAGAACCCCGTAATTGCGTAGCCCACCACGGGGGCAGCGGGTCGGTATCCCCAGGATGATTTCCAGATGAGAATGCAGCCGGCGATAACGGGGAGACAGCAGGCGATCAGCATGGGGATGCGGGTGTTGGGGATGCGGGAGGATATGAAGCCACAGAGGGGGATGAAGATGATGCAGATAGCCCCGACGGGGAACTGGAAGAGAATGGAGTGGAGGGTGTCGTAGCCGAAGGTCGAGACGATGAGAGGACCGAAGCCGGAGATGGCGCCGTTGATTGTATATCTGAACCGGTCGTTGGATTAGTACAGAGGGTCTTCTAGCAGCGAAGAGAGCCAGCATACGCAGCGGCCATCATAATGGCAATGAGATACAACTTGATATCGAGGAGGGATTCCCTGATCTGATCAAACTTGATCATTTGACATCGGACGCCTGTTTGGCCCTTTCGGAGTCGTTCGACGGCAACCACGCGCTCCTCTGCTGTAAGGAACCAGGCGGAAACTGGCGAGTTGGGCATTGCGCAGCACCACAGACCAAAAAGAAAGGTCAAGGCTCCGGCGACGATGTAGATATACTGCCACCGTGTTAAAGCGCCGGAGGAAATCTGCCCGAAGCCATAGTTGATTGCTCCGCCGATAATCGTAAACCATCCGGTGCCGGAGAACCACCAGGCCTGGCGTAGGGCCTGTTCTTCTTGCGTATAGTAGCCGCTTACTACCGTCATGAAGCCTGTCGGGATGACACTCTCCACAAACCCTTCTCTAGTTAGCACCGGGCAAGAAAGGGTTCGTGGCTGCGTTGGAGGAGAAATCTACCGAGAAAAAACCGCTGGACATATAGTCCCTTCCAAGTCTTGACACCTGCAGTGGCAGCGCAGGTTACAGCCCACAGGATCACAATAGGGCCCAGCACACGCTGGATCTTGAATCGCTGCAGGAGAAACGTCATCGGATACAGGCCGGCCATCATACCAAAGTAGAAAATCGAAGTGGCCCAGCTCAGGCGTGTCGTGTCCCTTGACGGGGGCGTAGTACTATCGTCTATCACAAGCAGCTCTAAATCGGCTGTCATCCCGAACAGTGCCGCGCTTCCCAAGATTGCCTGTCTGTGTGATTTAGTACCGGAGCCCACGGATTAGGGGGGAGGCGTGGAGTTGTCCACCTTATCCCAGTATACAAACCCATACCCTACAGGTTCATATCTCATATCAGCTTAGTTTCAAGGGAAGCGTATGGGATGGAATGGAAAGAAAATACCAATCAGCATAGCAGGCATAAAAAACAGATCTATCTTGCGCAGCACACGCCTCTCCACAGCAGGGTCAATATACTGTGCTTCATCGGCAACAACGGCCAGCGCGGCATCCTTTTCGAAGCTGGAACCGCTGGGAGGGTCCGTTGCACCGGGTACCTGAATCATACCTACGGATGATATGACCTTTTACGTAGCTAATAGGTGGGGAGAATCCGGTGAGGTTGGTGAAGAACCGACTTGATAGTCCATTGCATCCTTCTTTTTTTTTTTTTTTTTTTTTTTTTTTTTTTTTTTTCTATCTCACTTTTCTACCCGGCTAAACCTTTTAAGGTATAGAGGTGTCTCATTTTAACCCTGAAGAGGAGCCTATCTAAAACATAAGAAGATGGGATATCATATCATGTATGTGACATTAGTGTAGCATCATGTCTGCTAGACTTTCACACTGCAGTCTGATCAATCGTATACAAGTCAAGCAGGTCGGATAACAAGCCCTTTTTGGGTTTGGCACGGGTCTTCCTCGTAAGGGATCTTTACAAAAGGAGGGAACTAACTACGTAGCAGACCTGATTAGTTAGTTATATAATTGGTGGAGTTGGCGCCCTCCGCTCTCCCCGACAGAATAGCCCTATTATTGGCCCATTCCTTTATCCGAGGGATGGAAATGATTAGAATATCATTTTCTTGCTTGGGCCGAGGATCATGCCAAAAAAAAACTACATCTTGCCAAACGATCTCATAAGAGTTACAAAAAGCTTGAACGGGCATCTACCCCTGGCGAGATGGTTGATCGCACCTTATCCGAGACCTTGTCCGCTCGATATTACCAGCCCGGGCCTCCCTACGGGTCTCCGAACGAGCAGAGCCAGCGCCGTAAATCTCCGCTGGACACCTCTGGAAGTGAATCTGTTATCCGAGATAACCCGAGATCTGATGATGAACCAAAGAAACGTGGCCGGCCGAGGATGTCATCTCCTGGAGGTCCCCGAATGGTACGCCGGCCTCACCTACTGCTGCCCTGCACAGCTTTGCCTTGGGATGCGTTAGTTAACATGGACGTAGGATCGCCGGACGCAGATCCGATGTGCTCAGCGAACGTATCGCCACAAGAAGGAGGTCATGTTCCGAACATTACAAGAGCGCGTAGCAGAGCTCGAAGAAAACCTGAACGAGGTGTCAGACTCGCTATTTGCATTTTATACTATGGCGATAGGCTCCGACTTGCACATCACCCACCCAAAACTGTTCCACCGACTCAAGTGTACGGTTACTCAGCTGCAAGTGGCAACAGGCGGGTCCGGAAGGAGCTCTGATCCCGGGTTCTTAGATTCCGAATCCAAAAGCATAGGGGGGAGTGTGTCACCGGAGATTCTCCTGCCTGGGATGCATCCTCCAACCGATGCGCGCACGTAACGGACACGATGTCCTCGCGTGACGTTCAAGCGAACGCGAAAACACGCCTGTCTCAACAGACAAGAAAATGTCATTCCCTGCGTCACAACTTGATGTGCCCCTATAGCTCTTTCAGGAAGCTGACATATCCTCACTCCCCCGTTGAGTGGGATGGGAGACGACTCTCCTTCACGCTCCCGTAGTCATCGCAGCCCTGAAAAGGGAAGCTCCCGAATGGAGGAACTACTTGAACCGGGAACATGAATGGCTTCTTCCAGTGTAGGTTGCAAGACATACCGGGCTTGATATTTTTTTCGACATGCTAACTAACATCCGAGCAATGGTCGCTTTCAATAGGTTTTCGGACAGGGAACAAAAGGTGGCCCTTGTGACTTCAGTATTGCACATATATAAGCTCCAACAATGCATGTACCTTTAGTAAGGAATTTAATTAGTTTGATGTGAGAGAGAGAGAGAGAGAGAGAGAAAACGTGCCTTGGTGCCTGAAGTCATGTCGAAGGCGGTGAGTCCCTCGACTGACCGCCCAGGATTTTGCCGAGATTCCGGATTCGGAGATCCACCAGAACCACATCCCCAGCGAAGACTCAGATCCAAAATTGCTCGATTCTCCTCCCAGAACACGATCGGTCGATGCTGTTTATCGCTGGATCACTTTGCCCAGACTTGTCTCTATGCAATTGACCCAAATGACCCCGGTCGGTCCGTCTGTCTGCTCTCCCCGTAGTTCCCGGCGCAAACCCCCGATCGATATGTATGTATCACTAACCAACCTAGCGCAGATCCAAGATGAGAACGCACGATGACTTGATGCGCGATATAGCCAACAACAGCACTGGATTGGTGGGCACGCGCCGGAGAGAAGTGGACGATGAGCACGAAGACGACGAGCAACGGCACAAGAAAACCCGCATCGTCCACCCGTCCCAGCGCATCTGCTACGACTGGATGGTGGTCTCGGGGAACTGTCACTATGCGCGCGATGCCGCCTCGTTTTCCACCTATCGCCCCGCGCACGCGACACTCCAGCACAATGTCTTCAATCCCCAGGACGAGCTGCAGGTTGCCGGGATAGGGACCGTACATGTCACGGTGACTCGGGGGCGCAACGATCCCACCGCGCATGTGCTCGTGCTCGAAGGCGTGCTGCACATCCCCGAAGCGGTCTGCAATGGGTTCAATCCCTTACTGGTTGGGAGCAGCATGTCCTGCCACCAGGCGCTCTGGGAGGGAGCCGATGCGACGGGCCAACCGATGTGGTACGGCTTGCCCTTTGCTGGGGGGACGCGGTTGGTGTTGGCTGGGAATCCGAGGGGAGACTCCGAGTTGATCGAGGGACGATACTATACGCTGAGCCTGTACGTCAGCCCGGAGGAAAGGGCAGATATCATCAAGAGTACAGGGGGCTAGGCCGGCCTAAAAAGTTTGTATCCTATGATTTCTGTGATATGTATAATGAATTGAAATGTACGATTACTCCCGGATGCAGCTCCTTTCGCTTGTTTGGACTGTCTGCCTGTCTGTCTGTCTTAATCAAACGGCTCGGGAATTTAGCCCTAACATCAGCCTTGCAGAAACAAGCAATGGTCCTCCGTACTCCGTATATTATAGTTATAATCACATTGTCCAGTATAGACCGATAGAGTTTGAATAGACTCCAGCAACTCAAAACTATTGAAGCCATTAGCAAGGCTTTCGACTAGTGCGGTCTATCTTTAATCATTCACAAGACACACTCTGCGCACTAACGCACAGCCTATATCCCGCGCCAGTCTCCACATTCGGCCGAAGGTTCTGTTCGTTTTTCAAGTCTGTTTCCTAGGTCCGAAGCCGGGCGGCTATCAGGGAGGATCGATAGCGTTGGTCTCTGCCGGTTGGACAGGTTGATCTCTTCTTCCAAATGCCCACTTAGGAAAGTGAGGTGCTCTTCAGTTGCCCATCTTTCCCTGTATAGTGTATACTGGTTATAGTTGGGAACTCATTGATGATCATCATCAGTTAAGAAACGAAAATGAACGGCATTCTCCTCTGGTTTGATTCCTGCCGGTGATTCCCATTGGACATCTACGAGGTATGACCCTGAACCCCTAGCTCTCTCCTAAGGCCACCTCTACCAGCACGCTCTTCGTATCCCTGGCGCCATGACAGATCTCTAGATACAACGTGCTGTAGTTTGTTGGCGGCGGTATTCTGGGACTTTTCATTCCCTGGTGCACGAGCTGGATCGAGGGTGCGGATTCCAGTGGCTGCAGATGGTATTTACCTTCGTCATGGGGAATCAACCGCATTTGCGCAAGCCGGGTGGAAGGATTACTGTTGTTTATCTTCCGGGATATACCTTTGAACTGATTATTTATTTTCTATCTGTGGAAATGTGGAAATGTGGAAGTAAACGTGTAAACGCTCCTGGAGGAGTCGGCGGCCATCTTCCATGGAAACCCTAAGACAGCCTTGAAGGAAAGATAATGTACAGATAAAAGTTTTACATCCTTTCACCCATGATCACTACGGATTAAATATAGATAATATTGTAAGCAAGAAAAGGGGCAAAGAGAAAAGAAAAGAAAAGAAGGTCATTCTTTTAATTCGGTCTGGATAATCGTCTCCTGGACAACCTTTATCCCCCCCCCCTCGCGACTACTCAAACTCCGACTCAGAGCATCCCAATCCGCCACTCCATTGGTACAGAAGATCTCGGGCGGGATTCTCCCTCGGGTTGGGAGAATGATCTGCTCATCACTCACGGTGCCGTTCCAGTGTGTATCCGGAATCGAGAGCGGATGGCGGAAACGGCGTTTCTTCGAGAGCCGGGACGAGGTATTCACGTTGTTGCGGGTTTCCCCCCCTTCGCCGTCGGTGAGGTGGTAGCTCTGCGAGGAGATGCCCTTGGTGCTGATGTACCAGCCGGCTCGTTTGGCGATCCGTCGCACAAGGGGGTAGATCATGGGCGCATTGCCGATGATCACGGCCACGAAGGTTTCACGGCATGCCCAACTGCCTGCCTGGGAGGCGCCATCTGCGCCGGCCTGGGGTTGCTATTAAAACCTCGGTGGGGACAATGGAAGCAGGGGGAAATTGTGAAGAAACGCACCGTCAGGATTAACACGCAGCGCAGGATACCGGCCGCCATGACGAAGATACCGCCGCTGAAGAGGACGAGGAGTTCGAGTTTTTCGCGCCATGGAAGACGAGCCCTAAAAAGGATCTATTCCCGTAATACACATAAGCTTTTTTTGGATCCTGATTGGAATATGGAAGTAAAACAGCAAAGATGAAGGTCAAGATACCGGAGTAGGAATCGAAATCAGGTAGATATCTGTAGCCACGTTCAATACCACCGTCACGTAGATATCGATCTTGGAGACGGCGGGCTGGCAGTAATTGCCTGGGTCCGGATTGATCTGCCAGTTCTTCTGGATCGGATGGCAACCGAGAAGAATGGAGCAGATGACGGCGATGTAGGTGGTTCCGATGAGGAGGTAAGCAATCTGCAGGCGGATTTTCATATTGACCAGGCCCGCCCTAAATTCGTTAGCCAAAGCGTCTCTCTATATTGATAAATCTATATTGATAAATGCAGGTACGCCTTAGACAGGAACCTGATAGTATGACTTACGTGATTCTCGAGTAGAACACCGCCATGCATGCCTTGAGGAGCCACAGCAGCGTCGTGTACAACGACCACCCCAGGACTTGGGTTTTGGAGCCCCCGACTCGCCAGGCGTATTCCTGCGACGACGGATCGAGGGCTTCGCGTTGGGCATCAGTCATTGCGTTGTTTGCGAGTCCTCTCCACCATGCGCCAACGCAGTAAGCAGCCCCGGTTTCGAGCGCGTACACCACCTGTCGTTCTTAGCTTCGAATCCTTCGGAGACAAAGAAAAAAACACCTACCCCTGCTAACGACATCAGGTAATCATCGAGTTGAAACCTTCTGGGCCCGGCCGTTGTCCAGCGGGCGATTATTCGAATGATAATGGCCAGAATGCCGAGACCAAGGAGCGTAAAGGCTTCGATGACGAACGAGCCCGCCATCAATAACCGGGTTATATGGGGGGGCAATACGCAGAAACTGGGGATTAATTAAAGAATGCCGTGAATAGGAATGAATAAAAGAGGGACTGAAGCAGAAGGGGATCGTGGGTTGTAAATACTAAATACTAATACTACGACTCGTACTAAGCCCTGAAATCCGCCTCAAAGTATACTGTACACAATTGGAGACTGTGAAGGACCAGATTATTACCTATCTCATAGGGCATGAATGGCGAGGGCAAAAAAAGCTACTACGTAGCAATCTCCTTGACAGGACCCCCCCGTTCATCATTCGCCAATCCTGTGTCTGCCGTTGACACAAGCGCCGGAAAACTGTGCGACGTATATGGGATGATGGCTTAACGATCAGCAGTGGTGGGCCTCGCGACAGGTTCCCGTTGCCGGTTTACTCGGGGAGGGGGGTTTAAATTGCATTAGAAAATCATCTCATGCAGAAACGCTATGGAACAGAAGCCAGTTGAGCTGTGAATTGTAATACCCTTGAGACTCGATAGATCTATATCTCATCAATCGAAAACGACACCTCACACCCAACTCACACACATACATACATACATACATACATACATACATACCCCAGTCTTGTCTTCATAGATCGATCGATCCTCTTGAAGGCTTTTTGACAGCCGGGTAGCGAAACACCGGACAGGCCACTGGGGATCATCAAGTGGAGTGAAAAGGAAGACCAAGTGGGTAAACCGTTGCCTGCATGCCAATCCATTCAACTGCCACAGTTTCCCCAACTAAACAAGCAAGGACAAAGCACCCGAGAGGGGGGGGGGGGAAGGGAAGGAGGTACTTCGTACTAGCGAGTGCAAGGCCTGGACCAAGGGAGGGGGAGGGGAGACTATTCCGTATATCTATCGATCGTTCAAGTACACTTCCCCTGTTGTTGTCTTTTGTATCCATCAGAAATCACTGCATCATGGAGATCCTCGACCTGGTCGTGATTGGAGCCGGTATGTTTCTAATCTACACCTCTAGCAAGCTAGAGCATGCGGACCCTTTCCTTTCTTTTTTTCCGTTTCTCTTTTTCTCCTTTTTTTTTTTTTTTTTTTTTCTTTCCCACTAACGAGAGAGAGATAGGCTGGAGTGGCCTCGCGGCCCTAAAAACATATCACCAGGTACATCCCTCGGCGACATTATGCTTACTCGAGAGTGCCTCATCAGTCGGGGGTGTCTGGGCAAAGCCGCGACTTTGGGATGGCCTCAAATCCAACAATATGCGCGGGACGTATGAGTTCTCCGACTTCCCGATGGATGATTCGTTCGGGGTGAAGCCGGGGGAGCACATCCCGGGCCACATCATTCAGAGCTATCTCGAGCGATATGCGGAGCACTTCGGGGTCGCGCCCTTGATTCGTCTCAATTCCCGTGTACAGGTCGTCGACCACCATCGTCCCGACGGCTCCTGGGCCCTGACGTATCTCGATATGGCGACCGGGGAGACGAAGGAGGTGCTCAGTCGCAAGCTGATTATCGCCACGGGAATCACCTCGCAGCCCTACCGTCCCGCGATCCGGGGCGAGGAAAGCTTCGACCGTCCGCTTTTCCACAGCAGCGAGCTCCCCAAGTATCACCAGAGCGTCCTGCGACAGCCCAGCAACCACATCGTCGTGCTGGGCGGCACCAAATCCGCCTGGGACGCCGTCTACACGGCCGCGACGGCCGGCGCCACGGTTGACTGGATCATCCGCGACAACGGCCACGGCCCCGTGTGGATGGCGCCTCCGTACGTGACGCCGCTGCACCGGTGGCTGGAGAAGCTGGTCACGACGCGGCTCCTGAGCTGGTTCAGTCCGTGTATCTGGACCGACCCGGTCGCCGACGGGGGGTCGCGCGTGCGATCCTTCCTGCACGGCACCTGGCTGGGCCGCAAGATCACGGACGCCTTCTGGTCCCTGCTGGCCAACGACGTCGTGACGCGGAACCGGCTCGCGGCGCACCCGGAAACCGCCAAACTGACGCCCTGGATCTCGCCGTTCTGGGTGGCCTCGGGCCTCAGCATCCTCAACTACCCGACGAACTTCTTCGACCTGGTCACCTCGGGCCAAGTGCGCGTCCACATCGACCACATCGCGCACCTGAGCGCCCACACGGTGCACCTGGCCACCAGCGGCACCCTGGACCACGTCGACGCCCTCGTCGTCGCCTCGGGCTGGAAACCGGGGCCGGAGATCGAATTCCGCCCCGCGGCTACGCTGCCGCGCGACCTGGGCTTCCCCAACGCCCCCGACGCGCTCCCGGCATCCCTCGTCGCAGCCGCCGACCAGGAGATCCTCGCGCGATTCCCGCGCCTCGCCACGCAGCCCGTCCACGCCTCCCCGGCGCCGTATGCCGCGATCGCGCCGGACGCGCAGACCGGGTCGCAAGCGCGGCACCCCTACCGGCTCGCGCGCTTCCTGGTGCCGCCCACGCCGCTCGGCGCGTCGCGCACCGTGGCCTTCATGGGCGTCGCCATGACCATCAACACGGCCCTCGTCGTGCAGACCCAGGCCCTCTGGATTGCGGCTTACTTTGCCCATCGCCTGCCGCTGCTGCCGCACGAGCCCTGTCCGCCGGACCTGAGGGCGATGCTGCACAAGACGGCCCATGTCTCGCCCGGCATGGGCGCCGACCTCCTCTGGGAGACCGCCCTGCACTCGCAGTTCGGCGTCCATCGCTACCCGGGGGGGCTAGGCCGCCGCAACCCGGACTTTGTCTTCGATGTGATCCCTTACGTCGATCTCCTGCTGCGGGATCTGGGGGTGCGCCGGGCCCGGAAGCAGGGCATGAAGCAGTGGTTCGAGCCGCATGGCATGGAGGATTACGGGGGGGTAGTCGAGGAGTGGATGAGTGGGAATTAGATTAGGCCTTTTGTTTTTTTTTCTTGGTTCTGTTCTGTATGCCCATGTTGATTTCTTCTCATTTTTTTTTGCTGTTACAGTAGCTGCTAGGGTTAAATCCAATCTAACTACCATGATATGATACCAACAAAGCAAAACCCTCTTCCACTCTCACTGTCACTGTCACTGTTATTCTTACTCTTACTCAAGACTCTCACTCAGATAAAGAAGAGAAGAGAAGAGAAGAAGCTCAGTATAAAAACCTCTCAAAAACCGCCCCCCCCTCCTCCTGCCCTCCCAAAATCTCCCCCCGCGCCCGGCCGCTCCACCGCACATATCTCCCGCCCACCTGCGACACCTCGACATCCGTCGCAACCTGCAGTCTCGCGCCCGGAAGCACAACCTCGTACCCGGACACGGGGCCGCCCTCGGTTTCCTCGCGGACCGCACGGTAGCTCACCGCGTTGGCGGCGCAGGAGGCGCTGACGGTTTCGCCATCCCGCGCAATGTAGACGCTGAGGATTTCGGGGTCGGCTTGGAGGTCCATTTCCGTTTCCATGTCCATGTCCATGTCCATGTCCATGTCCAGTTCGCGGTGGGATCTGGATGGAGAGAAGGAAGGTGGCGCGGCAGGGACATAGGAAACCCAGACGACCGAGTAGTTTCCGAGATGGGCGTGGCCGCGGAAGAGCGATTTCGTGCTGGGGGCAAACGGGCGGTTGGACCAGTTCTTTTTTTTTTTTTTTTTTCAGTATGTATCTATCTATCTATCTCTTTTCTTTGGTGGGGGGAAGGATTGTGTGTCCTACCTTGTCATGATAGCCATATCCGTCAAATCGAAGTCGCTCGCCGTTGTGCACGTCGATGTCCACAGAGGCAATTGCATCCGGTAGAATACTCACCCATCCAAGCGGCCCCAGTTCCAGCGAGGTGTTGAACTGTCCGGGGGCTGAACAATGGGAGTGGGGAGGTGTGATCTGTTTTATGCTTCAGTCCAGTGCACAGTTGGAGTTACCGGTTTTGAAAACAAAAAGAAAGAAAGAAAAAAAAAAAAAATACCTTGTCCATACTAATTGTCCCCCTCACACCAGGCATCTCCAAAGATACCTCGTATCCCTCTTCACTGCCCATCCACCCCCCACCACCACTCCAGAGACCCATGCTGGAATCGCCAGACCCCGAGACTGTCGCCTGTGAGGCAATCCCGCTCTTCACCAGGGAGCTCCCATTCGGGTACGTCACCCAGACATGCGCAAAGAGCGCCGCGGTCTCGTTGCCGACTCCGATCCCTGGTCCGGTGCCATTTCCCTCGGACCCAGGCAAGGGGAACGGCGACCCCGACGGCCCGGCAGAGACAAAGGCCACCGCCACCGTCGTGTTAGGGTTATCCGTTGCGATGGCGTCAAAGTACCACCAGTCAAAGGAGGAGGCGTTGACGCGGTCCAGCTTCGGAGCGGCCAGGTCAGATTGGTCGAGCGAGGGTACCGAGAAGTCCGCATTGACGGGGCCGATGCTGATGGAGGGAGGAAGGGTGAGGGTGTATCTGGCCAGGACTGGGGCCAAGGTGGTAGTAGTCATCCAGAACCAGGAGTACTTCATTTTTTTTTTTCTTTCTGATAGATGTTGAAACTGTCTGGATAAGTGTTGAGGTTGAGGATTAGTATTCGAATTGAAAAAAAAAAAAAAAAAAAAGGTAGATGAACAGGCTAATATATCGCTAACGCCAAAAGAGTGCTGGTTACATGGTGTAGGTCAATCAAACAGTGCGACCAAAATCCAGTCCAAGAAAAGGCGACCTCGCTCCCAACCCCAGAGAAAATGCCAATTAGCTACAGATACAGGTTCAATTCAAGCCAACGCAAGTCAAGTCAAGTCCAAAGCACACCAAACACCGTCCACGTTCCACGTGTGGGATCAATCAACGCGATGTTCGAACAACGCCATACACATCAATATCTGTACCTGTACCCCCTGAAAAAAAGGTACGCATAGTTCCGAAGTTCCATCCGAAAAAGAAACCAGGAAGAGACAAACAGGGGAAAAAAAAAAAAGAAAGAAAAAAAAACCCTAAGACTGTCCATTCGATTCGTCCTCCGCTTTGTCCTCCTCTTTCACCGGTTTCGAGCCTTCGGCCCCTTCCTTGCCACATCCCTTGACGAGAATATGTCGCTATCCACGGGGTTAGTATCACGGTAGACACTAGTGTTTCAAGACGGGGAACACTCACCTTTAATGCATCCTTCCGCGAGAAACTCTTGTCGCAGTGGTTGCACGGGAACGGCTTCACCGACAGATGAATGCGCTTGTGTCGCTTCAGATCATGATTCCGGTTGAAACTCTGTGGACACTGATCGCACTTAAAGGGGCGGTCGTTCGTAGGCCCTGGGCCCCCATGGCCCGGATGCGGCGGATGACCGCCATACATCTGCTGCATACTCGCCATATGTCCGCTGCTGAAGCCCGGGAGCAGTCCCGTCTGCAGGGGACCCAGCAACGACATCTGGTTGCCCGGACTATGTACATTCGACATGACCGGCCCGTTCATCGCGGGCAGTGAATACGACGGCCACGGCTGTCGCTGATAGCTCAGGTGATGCGGGGCAGCTCCCGCGGCCGGGTGGGGTGGATTCGACACGACTCGGGGAGGGTGGTGCATTGCCAGCGCGGGGGGGGCCGCGCCATAGGGCTGGTAGGCGGCTCCAGCGGGGCTGGACAGTTGCTGGACGGCTCCGTACGCCGGGGCCGACGAGGATTTGGGCATATAAGGGTCATTTGATGGGAGCGGGTGTGGAGACGCGGCCGGGTTGGGTAGGCCGTTCTGCGCCGTGAGCATGGCATGCGCCATGAGGTGATGGTGATGGTGTTGGTGCTGCGGCGGCGGCGGTGGCGGCGGCTGGTGGAAAGGAGGGAGCTGATTCATGTCGTAAGCGGAGGGGATGGCTTCAGTCCCCGGGGTTGAGGTGGCCGGATTCCGGTGGAGCGGATTGAAGGAAGGCGAAAAGGTATCTCGATTGGAATAGGAAGAGCTGAGCCCCGAACTCCAGGCCTGCCGGGCGGCGGCCCCCGACGCACTCCCGTACGCGCTCTGCGCCCAGTACGAAGAAGTCAGGTCGGGTGAGGCGGACACGGGAATGCCCGTGGCACCGGTAGCAGCAGTGGTCGTCGTGGCGGGGGTGGAAGAGGTCGTGGAGGTCGTCGCGGGAGTGGTCGTGGAGGTCGTGGTCGTCACAGCAGAGATGGGATCGCTATGTTGAGTCGTGGCCGGAGATGTGATCAGGGTACTGACACTGGAATTGGGTGGGGGGAGATGGGGGTGATGCGGTGGATACTTGAAGGCCGCGGCGCTGAAATTGGGAGCTGGCAGCTCGAAGCTGGGCAAACTGGGAGCCCCCGGGCGGCGCGCATTCAACGGTTGAGGAGGTGCCAGCGCGTCAAGCGCCGTCCCCATACCCGGAGGAATCGCAAGGGTAGCCAGGGTGACGGAGGAGGAGGAGGAGGAGGAGGAGGTCTGTCGTGGGTGGTCAGTGGTGGCGGCGGCGGGAGGGAAGAGATCCACGGGATCGACCGCGGGCGCGGCGGAAATCTGGTGAGGATGCGGATGAGGATGAGCAGGGGGAAACGAGAATTGATCGGGTCCCAGAGCCCAGTATCGAGTACCAGACAAGCCCCCAGAGAGATCTGGAGGATCCAGGAGGGGCGGGTCGGATCGCGGGCAGCGCGATCTGAGAGAAGGAAGGGCCTAGATGGGATGGCCGCAAATATATCAATAATATATCAAATCAAATCCAAAAGGGATATCCACAAGTGACGTCCAGGATGTTAAGTGACAGGCATATCCCAAGGGGAAGATTGGGAATTGGATGCTGTTGTTGGGGCTGCGAAGTGAAGAAAGTGCGACAGGTGGGGGAGAATCCGAGTCAAGACAACGGCATGCCTGTCGAGACCGCGCAGGGTAGGTAGGTTAGATTTGATAGTGATAATTGGGAGAGATGGCCATGAGGAGGAGAGAGATGGCAGAGGAGAGGAAGAGGGAGAAGAGGCAGAAAGAGAAGAAAGAAAGATAGATAGTAAGCTAAGAATCAAATAGGAGGAGGATTAATTACGAAGAAAACCAGAGAAAAACAAACCGCCCAAATGAACCACAATCATCATCAGAAATGGAGAGATTTTTCTCGGGTGGAATGAACCATTTTCCAGAATTAATTTCTATGATTATTGTGATAATAGTCTGGGAATGGACTGGACTGGCATTGGACTGGCATTGGACTGGCATTGGACCCGGTCTGGCCAACGCGGGGGGTTCTTTACCGTACGTGACCGAAATTCCGTCCAAATACCTGAGCGCAACGTGGTTGACAGCCGCCCATATAGTACTCCGTCGTACTCTGTAGTGTAGATCCGACATGAAAGGATATTCCAGTCAGCGGTTCCTGGGATTCTTTGTATTGGTATCGGTATTGGTATCGTATTCAAACAAAGACAAAATAAGCGACTGGTGCACAAATGGTCAGAACAAGTGGGGCCCTTTGCATCCAATCATCATTTCGAGGCTCCACTGCTGCTTCCTGATTGGTTTCGCTGCATTGCTCGGTTTTTTTTCTTTCAGTCTGAGGTACTTACGAGGGGACTTACGAGGGGACGGAGTACTTACTAGAGGTACCTAGGGAGGGACTCAGACTTCCATGGATCCCAAGGTCGGTAACTCAACCTAAAGTCAGGGAGGAATGAATGTATAAACTCGTCTCGGACCCTGAACTCATGGATAACCGAATGACCAGTCAGATGCTGTCTGTCACTCGCTTCTTTATCCCTCTCTCAGATGATCCGAGACACTCCCGTAAGCGATTCGCCAGCGTTTGCTGGACAGAATATAAAGGAATCTATTATAGTTTGATATTATTAGAAAAAAAAAAAGAACAAAAGAACCAAAGTCTAGCCCTTAATACATTCCGGTCTCGTCAAGTCAAGGGGTCCGTCACGAGACTCGGTCTAGAGCCTCTGGAGTTCTAGACCTCAACCACAGCCCTGGTTGCCTTGATCCAGATAACAATCAGTCTGACTTCTTCAGCGCCGTGGCGGTTTCTGGTGTAGTTTATTTCTACTCTTAACTCAGAAGTATACTCCATAATGATGTCAGATACCTACCTACCTACCTACCTACCTACCTACCTACCTACCTCTACATATATAAAGGTAGGTAGGTAGGTAGGTAGGTATCTCTACCCTCTGGTTAACCACATGGTTACCCACAGCATAACATGTCTACTAGCAAGGCTTGCTGCTCGTGTGTATTTACACCGTTCGAGATTCACACTAATACCATGATAGGATCCCTCCGATCATGGCGGAAGGGTATCAGCCCAAGGGGGAATACCGGACCATCAATGGCTTGAGAACCTGTACTTTGTCTCCTTTCTTCTCTTTTACCTATGTACTCGGAAACGAGGAGCGAATGAATGAATCATCCAGATATCACCGGTCCTGAAACCGCGACCAAAGCCATCCTAGTGATCTACGGTAAAAACCAACCAACCAACCCTCGAACCCCCCCACCACAGCAAGAAAAAAAAAAAAAGAACTAACCGGACGGAAAAGACATCTTCGGGTTCTTCCCCCAAACCATCCAAGGGGCAGATCTCCTCGCCACATCCGGCTCCCAGAAATATCGCATCGTCATGCCCGATTTCTTCCAGGGCCATCCCGCCGATATCTCCTGGTTCCCGCCCCGAACCCCCGAGCACAAGAAGAAGCTAGCCGACTTCTTCCACACCACCGCTGCCCCGCCATCCACCCTCGCGAAGATCCCCGGCTGCGTGGCCCGCGCTACCGCTGAGATCCCGGGGATCCGCGCGTGGTCGATCCTGGGATACTGCTGGGGAGGGAAGATCGCCGTGTTATCGTCGTCGGGAGGAGGAGGAGGAGGAGAGAACGAGAACGACAACGAGAACCCGCGGTTCCGCGCCGCGGTGCTCTGTCATCCGGCCATGCTGGATCCGCGGGATGCTCGCGCCGTGAAGGTGCCCATGGCCCTGTTGGCCTCCAAGGATGAGAACCCCCAGGATGTCGAGGCCTTTGGCGCCAATCTGACCCCGCCGCATTATGTGGAGACCTTTGCCTCGCAGATTCATGGCTGGATGGCGGCTCGGGCGGATTTGGCGGATGAGCAGGTCAGCAGGGAGTACGAGAGGGGATATCGGACGGTGTTGGAGTTTTTGGACAAGCATGCTTAGGGTTTCTTTTCTTCTTGTTTTCCCTTCGGTTGGGGGATGCTGCGAGTCAGTCTGCATATATCTTAGTCGTACGATTGGGTAAGATTGTGACCAAAGCACCTTTTCGTATGATGAACGTGGCCAAATAGCTGTAATGACACAAGAAAATATATATATATATATATATATGCTAAATTTATGAAGCTTGATTTGAGGATAAGTACAGCGTACAGCGGTTCGCAAGTTGAATCGCAGACGTCATCACATCCCATCGTACGATTTCCACTCTCCAGCCCGCCACCTCCAAGACCGCTCACTACGAACCCAAACCAAGCAAGGGAAAAAAAAAAAAAAAAAAAAAAAGAAAAAAGACACTACAACCTACAGCAGCTACACCCCATATACCTGGATAGGCCATGTTCTTCGGACGTCGTCATTCCATCGCTGGCGTCGCCCCAACCCAGGATGATGGCTTGTCAAAAAACTTGAGACGCAGACGCGCATCCGCGCCGCATATCCAGGTGCCGGAGAATGGCCTGCAGACGAAAATCCGCGAGTTCTTCCGGAGGCGAAGGGAGCCCTCCCCGAATCGCGCGGAAACACCAGTGGTCGCCGGGATCGAGAAGACAGGAGTAAGTTCCGTGCCGCGCGATGCCTGATCGTTCCATCCTTCTCACTTTCTCAAGAGCCCTCGACCCGCATCGGGATCCAACCCACCCAGACGCCATGCAAGCGTGCACGCTCGGCAAGACAGCGGGGGGGTACACCCCCCCCGGGCGGACGCCATCGCCAAGAACACCCCCCGCTGCAATTATCACTTGACGCGCAAAGATGTCGAGATGATCTTCTCTGGGGCGCCGTATTTTCTCCTCGAGAAAGGAAAGCAGGATCAGTGGTATCCGCACGTGATTTTCCCGTTCGACGATCACGATCCGACGATTCAGAGTTTATGGGATCGACGAGCGTTGCCTTATGCCTCGTACACCCTCTGCACGCTGCATGCCCACCTTCCCATTCCCGCGGAGTGGTCGATCGAAGGAGATGCCCCCGGTCATCTCGATCGCTGGCAGCCGACGGGATCGCCCAAGAGAGCGAGTTTCGACGTGGGGATGTTTGAGGTGCCAAACATGCTGTCCATGAATGGAACAGAGCCCGGATCTGTGGGGTTCCATTATTTCTTGGAGATGCCCGTAGCCGATTCGCTTCGGTTCCCGGGATCCTCGCCCGTGAGCCCCTTTGCGGACCTGTTGCGGTTATCGACCTTACCAGCCACGGAAGTGTATAGCCTGATGGAGCACCACAACGATCCGTACGCCTTGTGCGCGGATGGGACCGTGCACAGCAGAAAAACATTATTGCTGGAGGGACCCCTCTCCTGGAAGAGAATCGGGGTTCGCGAGATTGATCTGCAGCACTTGGTAGAGCGTCTGCAGACGCTGAAGAATCTCCGGTATGAGATCCTGCACGGGGAGCAGGCCAAGACCATCTTGGACCTGGAAGGGACGCGAGAACTATTCAGTGGACTCTTCACCAAGTTCCTTTATCCTCCGTCTCGATTTATGCTGATGGAAGGCGAAGAACCGTACAGCCTCCAGTCCCAGATCAAGGCCCTGACCTTGGTCCTCGCCACGCCCGGGGCGTGGATAGACTTTAGCAGGGTTGAGTGGCGAATGCGCATCGGGCAAGTGTTGTGGGAGCTGCCGCCCCATGCGGAGCAGGACCTGCTGGACCCTTCGATGTGCGAGAAGCCATGGGTGCACCCAACCCTCGAGCGCAAGTGGTTTCTGGTCCAGATGGTGCTGGCGGCCGAATTGCTGCTGCGCCTGGATGCCACCGTGCGCGTGGGGCTCCTACAGAATTCCCGGGAGCTGGACATTTCGGCCAAGGATATCCACGACTTTGAGCAGTTGCGCAATGCCAAAGTCAACTGGGACATGATCGCAGTTCGCAGACTCATGGAAAGCTTCCACTTCACGTCTAACCCAGTCCACCCGCCGGCACCGCTGCGCAACGCCAGGGAAAAGCAAAGCGTGCACCATTCCTTTTTGGAGACCCTGACCCATCGCACGTCTAGTCCGGCGACGACCGGTGACGAATCGGCGTGGTGGAAATGCCATCTGGCACCCGAGTACGTCGACCAACAGTTACAAGGGCTTTTCGTGTTTGCGGAGAACATCTGCTGGCCTCGGCTGGATGAACTGAAGCAGCATTTCCAGCCGGTCTTCGGGAAGGGAAAATCGGCCGCGGTGCGAGATGCCTATAATCGGCCGGTTCGGCGGGCGGCGTTGTTGACGGCCAATAAAAAGGACCACTCCAAGAACACATCCAGCCGAAGCTTGTCATCCCGACCGATCATGCACCTGCAATATGCACCGAACGACCCGGAGGCGACCGATATCGATGGGTGGATCACACGAACCTGGCTGTCGGGGCTGGTTCTGCCCGGGGACGGGATCAGCCATCTCCTGATGGCGACGATATTAGAGAACGATGCGGACGCCATGGCCTTGCTTGGGCCCCGGGCAGACCTGTCGGGGGGCTTTGCCTATCGCGGTCGGAGCTGGTGGAGCAAGGATTGCATCGTTGGGCGGGTCATTTCGAGTCTCGGTGGAACGCAGGTTTGCATGGGATGGATAGCGAGCCACATATTACCGCAAGACTCGCGGTCGATGGAGGCCCTGGATAACACGTGGGTTGAGATCTCCGTGAAAGAGCCGCAACCGGGTCCGGGAAAGCCACGCATCCAGCAGGGAAATAAGATCTCCTTGGAGTCGACGCCGCTCGGCCTGGGCGACGTGACCAGTGGCGCGTTTTCGTTACCCGTGGATGACGCTCATGGCCAAGAGCCTCTGGGCAAGATTGACTTTCAGGCGCTGATGTTTGATGCGAAGCGGCCACCCGGAGATAAACCACCTGGGATGGTGGCTCCCAAGGCTTCCCTGGCGTTTTCCCTCCCGTCCGGCCGGAGGGGATCCGCGCGAACGATCACGTTCCCGCTCCAGTACAATGTTCAGTTCATCTCCTCGCACGAATGTCGTCCCCCGGGAGGACTCCTCTCGTATTGCGCACCGGTGGACCATGATGACGCGGAGGACCGTGGTCCCCGGAGACATCGGTTGCGTGGGCATCCGCTTCACCGATCGTACGCATATCAAGTGATTCCGCTGGACTCGTTGCCGGACATGGTGGAATCGGACCGTTCTTGGATGATGGAGGGGATCATGGTGCTGGATGCGCGTGGCGGACGGGAACGAGAAGCCTTCGCCCGCGCGTGGTGTGCGTCGGTCGGGCAGCATGCGATCCTGGGTCGCGTTGGACGAACGTGCCTCGCGTGCAGTATCCGAGAAGCGCGGGCGATCAAGGTGGGGGTGGTGATTCGAGTGACCAAGTTGTGCGAAGGTTAGTTTGGTTGCCATTTCTATTCTGCAACCAGAGTTCCGACCGGTGGATCCGATGTCTGTGGTCGGGATCAGTACCGATTTGAGCCAGAAGGGTTCTAGTATGAGAGAGGGAAGGACACGTAAGATAGGGATTGGGGCCAGTGGCCGAGGATGGTGAAACCAGCGGGTGGAGGAGTGGAACCAGGGGATTTGAGATGGAAGAGTGAGACAGAAAGAGAGAGAGAGAGAGAGAGAGAGAGAAGGATAAGAAGATGAGAGATGAGATGAAGGATAGGAAGAGAGAAGAGAAGATGAGAGATGAAAGAAGAGAGAGAGAAAGAAGAGAGAGAGAAAGAAGAGAGAAAGAAGAGAGAAAGAAGATGAGAGAAGATGAGGAGAGGAATTAGTCCTGTAAAATAAGGTACCTAAAGTGATTTTCTATATTTTATATTTTATATTTTATATTTTATATTTTATATTTTATATTTTATATTTTATATTTTATATTTTATATTTTATATTTTATATTTTATATTTTATATTTTATATTTTATATTATATATATTCTATATTTTATATTTTATATTTTATATTTTATATTATATATATTCTATATTTTATATTTTATATTATATATATTCTATATTTTATATTTTATATATTCTATATTCTATATTCTATATAATAAATATTATATAAAAGATATATATAATATCATCTAAAATAAGATAATTTAATCAAGATTATACAATCCTATAATTAGTAAGATTAGATTCTGAAACTAATTCTGAAACCACTAAATTAGGACTTGGGAATGATTCAAAAAGAGATTTGCATTCGAGATATACCCCTATTCAGAAGCTGGATATTATTTTATATTATAGTATCGGATCTTCTGTTTAATCTAAACCCCCCTTTCTCACCTCACACTAAATTCAAATCTAATCTCAGAAAGTAGAATCAAAAATGGATGAAATCCAACCCAAAAACAATCAAATCCGACTCCTTTTTATTTCTTGATTTCTTCCTGCTGGAATCCTGAATCGAGAATTCTGTGCCTGCTCCTCCTTCATGGTCCTGCTGGCTCCCTCCCAGGTATGCCCGCCGTGGTTCAGTATATCGCCTCGACGACTCCCAATCCACAAATCGCCGTCATGGACCCCTCGACCGTCGACAAGAAACGCAACAAGCTGGGGTATCATCGGACATCGGTCGCATGCGGTGAGTCAGTCTGGCAGAGAGACCTCTACCCCCCCCCCCCTGCCTGTACTAATCTGCTCTGGCTAGTTCACTGTCGACGGCGCAAAATTCGCTGTCTCGTCGCCGCAGATGACGTCCAGGGTCGATGCGAAAACTGCATTCGCCTGTGCAAAGAGTGCCAATTCTTCCCCGTCGACCAGCAGCCCCCGATCGAGAAGAAATCCCGGCCCAATTCCCGCATAGAGACCGCGTCCACCGACCCGTCGACGGCCTCGTCGTCCCCCCCGACCGTTGGCGAGCAGACCGACGCCTTTTTCGCCTATCAGCCCATTGCCCTGAGTCCCGGGCAAGACGTCGCGCCGTTTAATGGGGGCGCTTATCCGGGGTTTGCGCCAGGTGCGTTCTCTTCTCTTCGCTATCCAAACCACAGAGAAAGCACAGTGATTGATCAGCATTTAGATGCGATGCCGACCCTGGACCCCTCGGTCCCCTGGGACGAGTTCACCACCATCGCCGCCGACCCGCAGATGCTCGCAGCAGCAGCAGCAGCAGGATCCATGTCCGCCACACGCAAACCAACCTTGGTGAATATGCCCCCCGGCGTGTGGAGTCCAACACCCCCCCCGATGCCGCCCATGCCGCCCATGTCGCTCCCCGGGGCTCCCACCGTCCCGTCGCAATCACAACCGCTCAGTCCAGCCAGCCCGTACGCGGTGCAGCCGGACGGATCGCTGTGGCACGTGGCGCCCCCGCGAGCCATGACGTTCCCGGCGCCACCCGACCTGACTTCTTCGCCGTATGGGACCCCGGGAGCGTCATTCGCACAGCCACGAGCCACGGATCTCAAGCGCAGAATGACGAATCCGGGGTTCCCGGGGGGTCCAGACCTGCAAGGGGGACCGGTGCCTGTCTCGTATCCTGGCCAGCCCGCCGCCATGGGGTATCCGTCATGGCCGGACGTGATGGTCCAGTACCCAGTGTATACAGCGGATGTGCCAGAGCAAGCAGGATTTAACAATGCGCCCATGGGTCACCACCCTTCCCACGGTCAGCCGCAAGGATCGTGACATTGCTAGGAAAAAGCCCCAAAAAAAAAAAAAGCCAAAAAAAAGCCAAAAAAAAAAAGCCAAAAAACAAGGCCACGACGGCGGTTCTGTTCTATAATAATACCCCACTGCGATGTATTACGTTTCTTTCGCTTCATATATCCCTGATTCTATATCTGGGTTGATTTACCAGCTGGTCATTAGCGGGCGCCAGGGATCTTTGGGCGGCATTTCCATTCTTTTCGTCTTGGATATCCAGTGGACTTGTGACAAGTCACCAGCAGGACAGGTGCCGGCATTCATCCAGTCCAAGCAATGAATGCATCATGGATACCAGATCAGTCCTTGAATCTGACCAACTGCTCCATCACTCTCTTGGTTGTCCTCTTGCATTATTTAGTCTTTTTTGTTTTTTTTTTTTTTTTTTATCTTATGTCCTCGTTATGATTCCATTCTTGTTACTTCAGATATAGTGCATTGTATATAGTACGGAAGCGATGCATCATGATAGAATGAATGTGGTCAAGTATCCAGCTGGAAAGTATTTGTATACTTAAAAGTCTGCTATTTCCAATTCAACTCTTAATACTGACTACTCCCAAGTTAAAAAAGTAAAAAAGTCTACCGTCTCTGTACAATTGGCAGCGTACTCATCACCCCTGCCATGTCAAAATTCTGCGCCGCCAGCATATAAGGGAACCCGATTTTCTTTGCGCGGCCCACCCATTCCACGGCATGTTCTGTCTCTACCATGTCCAGCGTGAGGTCGGTGTTGTGCTGGTCCATGTATGCCTTCCACTGGCCCATGTGCACGCGCACATCGGAGCGGTGATGGATATAGTGGACGGGGGGGCTGCTGCTGCTGCTGCTGCTGGTGCTCGCACTGTCAATAAGCTGGTCGCGCAACACGGCAGCCAGATCCCCCAGCACAATCAGATCAATGTACCCGCGGATACTGTCGCGGGTGACATGCAGCCGCAGCGCGCGCACAACGCGCAGGAACTCGGCAAACACGGTCTCCGTGGCCACGCGCTGCACCGCGCCCACAGGCGCCGGACGGTGGAAGTACATGGGGATTCCAAACCGGGCCGCCGCCTTCTCCAGCAGCTTTTCCACCGCCCATTTCGAGGCCAGGTAGCCCTCGGTGCCGTCGACCGGCGGCGGGGCCACCGCGATCGTCTCCGGGTATTCATCGTCGGCCGCGTCGCGGTTGAACAGGTGGATCGCCGCCGAGGACATGAAGTGGATCGGGATCTGGCGCGGTGCCGCGAGCCCGACCAGCACCTGCGTGGCAAGCACGCTGGGCTGGCGCAGCACCTGGTAGTGGTCCCAGAGAGAGCGATTGGCCGCGCTGTGCAGGATCACGTCGACCTCGCCGGCGAGGAAGTTGAACTGCGCCGCGGACAGCCCGAGTCGCTCGTCGAGGAGATTGCCCGGGAACTGGACGATCTTGTCAGACACCACGGCCAGCTGGCGCGGACGCCACGATCCATCGCTGTTGCCGTTGCTGTTGTTGTTGTTGTTGTTGTTGTTGTTCTCCGTCGTCGCCCGCACCGCCACGAGATAGATCTTGGAAATGCGCTCGTCCGCCACCAGCTTCTCCAGGATGTATTTGCCCGAGTGGCCCGTGGCCCCCGTATACAGGATCCTGAGATCCGTGCCCTGGCGGCGGGCCTGGGAAAGGAGAGCGGCGGGGATGCTGGGCAGGGGCAGGTCCTCGGGGACAGCGGTCTCGGCCGCCCAGTCGAGCGGCTGCGCGGTGGCGGTTTGTTCGATCTGGCGCGCCATTTTGCGCACGGTATGCGCCTGGGCAAAGTCGATCATGGGTAGGGAGACGTGGAACGTGTCTTTGATGAGGTACTGCAGCGGGATCAACAGCAGCGAGTTGCCGCCGAGTTGGAAGAAGCTAAAGCTAGGACTGATTGATCCGCATTGAAGCAGGTCCCTTGACAGGACGACCTCCCAGATACGAACCAGCTCTGTTTCAAGTGGCGTGAGGTCCTGCGCGCTCTCTGTGCCGGCCGCTGCTGTGGCGCTGTCCTTTGGGAGCGGGATAGCTGCAATGGCCTGGCGGTCGGTCTTGTGGTGGCGCGTGAGCGGCATGCGGTCCAGCGGGATCATCATCGCGGGCACCATGTACTGAGGGAGCGGGAGCTGGCCGAGGATACGTTGCAGGTAGGTCTGCCGGGTTTCGTGGTTATTGTCGCCATGGAATCCACGCGAGAACACGACATGGGCGACGAGGAATTCAGCAGCCTGCTGGTTGTTGCCTCCCCCTCCACGCACTGAGACCACTGCTTCGTCGAGGGCTGGAGATGCTGTTTGCAAGATAGCATGCTCGATTTCGCCCAGGTCAATCCGCAGCCCGCGCAGCTTTACTTGCGTGCTGCTGTCCATGCGGCCGTCAAACAGAAGCGCTCCGTCCGCGCGCAGTCGGCCGCGGTCGCCCGTGCGATACATGCGGTTCCAGCCCTTTGCAACCCAGTCAGCCGGTGCAAAGGCATCGGGCAGGAATTGTTCCTGTGTCTGGTCTTCTAGATTCAGGTATCCTGCTGCAACGCCGGCGCCTCCAATGCAGATCTCCCCAGGGATATTCACCGGCAGCGGCTTTATATCCCTGTCGACAATGTAGACCGAGTAGTTCGGGAGAGACCACCCAGCCGGGATCACGTCTTCCGCAGTGCCTCCGTACGCGATCTCGGCCGCGTGCGATTGGACAGTGATTTCAGCCGGGCCGTAGGTGTTTATCAGACGCACATCCGGTCGTTGGAGCGCCTGGAACTCTTCCACCAAGCGCGGCTTCAATTCCTCGCCGAGGCTGAACGCGAACTTCCAGCGGGTGGCGGCTGTGAGGCTATCAACCCCGAAATGAAACCAGTAGGAATATTCAGACGGCGTGGCCAGGGTGTATGTGATGTGCTCCGCCTCGATCATCTTCGTGATTTCAACCGCATCCCCGCGTTTCGATTGCGGCACGATATACAGCGTGCCGCCGTTGGCCAGCGCCACAAAGATCTGATTGATCGACAGGTCAAACGTCAATGCACTCTGCTGCAGGACCGTCTCGGCGCCGAGACTGAACCGTTTCGTCGTCATCTCGACCACGTTGCGGATGTTCGCATGCCGCAGGATAACCCCCTTGGGAACCCCCGTCGAGCCACTCGTATACAAGATCACGGCGTTGCCGTCGGGGGCGGCCTGGTTCGGGACGACGCGCGGGCTTTCGCCGCCCTCAATCGTCGAGACATTGATCAGCTTCACCTGCGGCGAGGAAGCTAGGGCCGATGCGTATTTTGCCGTTGTGGCATGCGAGAGGATCACCTTGGGCTGGCAGTCTTGTATGATCGCCGCCAACCGTGGCATGGGGCTCCGGAGGTCTAGTGGGACATACACGGCGCCGACTCGCAGGATCGCCAGCAGCGAGCTGATGGTCGTCGTCGCAGTCGGATGCTGGAAAACCGCCACGCGGTCCCCGGCGACGATGCCCCCGGCATCTAGTAAAGCGCCCGCGATCCTGTGAGCCTCGGTCATCATATCCTGGTATGTGATTTGGTTTCCCTCGCCATCCTTGACGGCGACAGTGCTGCCATGCGTTTGGGCAATTTCCTCCACGCGCTGCGACAGCGTTGGGGCCCAATCCGACGGCAAAGAAGGTCCTGTTTTTGCAACGTTAGCATCTAAATAGAGTAGGGGGGAAATGGATTTTTTTTTTTTTTTCCCGACCTCGTCCAATATCAATAGCAGTTTGGATTTCGGATTCGTTGAAGAGAGGGGGCTCGTTTAAGTGTAAAGCTGGGTTTCGCGAAAAAGACTCAAGCAGAGTAAGATAGACCTTCATCAGGGTTTCCACCTCGGTCTGTCCGTACAGGTAGTCCTGCGTGCTCATCGTGATGAAGGCACTCCCTTCCGTATTCTCCATGATATCCAGGTTGATATCGTACGCGTTCTTCCCGTATGACCAGTCTAGTCTTTGCACTTCGACGTTCCCCAGCGTTAAGCGCTCCTGGATGCCCGGTCGATAGTCCATGAAGACCTGGAAAATCGGGAACTGCGTGGCCGATCTCTCCACGGGCAGCTGGTCCAGGAGCACATTGAATGGCAGTTTGGAATGGTCGAGCCCGGCATACGCGGTGCGGCGGGCATCCTTGACGGCTTCACTGAATGTTTGGGATAGGTGGGACTTGAATCTCAGCGGCAGGAGATTGACGAGGATCCCCATCGTGCGTTGCAGGTCGGCATCGCTCCGGTTGGAATCGGCAATTCCGATGCACAGGTCCTCGATGTCCAGGAACCGGAATAGCAGAGTCTGGAAGACCGTGAGGTAGAAGTGGAAGGCCGTGGCCTGGAAATTGCGACTTCGGCGCTTGATGCGCGCCACCAACACGGGGTCGACTCTGACGCTGGTAGACGAGAGCGCGTACGTCCTCAGCGGTGCGCGGACCCGTACCTTGGACAAGGGCAGCAAAGGAAGCACGGGTGGAATATCGGCCAACTGCTTCCGCCAGTAAGCCATCTCGCGGGCCATCTTCCCCGCCTCCACGGCTTCGCGGAGCTCGCGTGAATAGTCGGCGTATTGGATAGGCTCGGGGACCTGTTCTCCGCCTCCAATACGCATCAGTTCCTGTAGGAACCCGGTGAAACCGGCCCCGTCCATAGCAATGTGGTGGTACCCGACAATCAAGTAGCTCAATCGAGGGCCCATTTCCAGCAGGACAATCCGCATTGTCCTCCCTGATTCGAGGTCATACTCGTGCTGGTGCAGCTGGTGGTATTCCGCCTTCACCTCGTCCTCGGAACTGATTGGCCGGCGTTCCAGATATAGCGGCGAGGTCTCCAAAATACCTTGAACCGGCTGGTTGTCCTTTTCGAAGAAGCAGGTTCTGAGCCCCTGATGCAGACGGGCCGCTGCTTGGACGGCCTTTGCCAGTTCTGCTGGGTGCGCGTCCCCTTTAAGGCTGTGAGAAAAGGTAATGTTGAACGCCGTGGGATCTTCCACGGACCGCCGCAAGAACCAGAAACGGGACTGAGCATAGGACATGGGTTCGGTTTTTACGATCACTGGTTTGAACCCGTCCTGGAAATCATCCAGCAAGGAGCTGGCTGTGGGGGAGCTCCCTTGCTGCTCGCTGTCACTTGATGGCGTGTCAATAGATGCAACGCTTGAAGCGGGATCCGATATTAGCTCCGTTTCCTGCGGAAGAAAGCTAGAATTATTCGCCTTTGCAGCAGGTTCATCGTGGTGATCCAAGTTGACCTGGGGTATCAACCCGCGCCCTATGTTTGCCAAAGCATCATCGACCAGATCAACCACAGAGGCGCCGCCTAACATGCGCAGGACGGGAATGTCGACACCAAGCTGTTTAGTGAACCATGCCCGAGCCTCCACTGCTACCAGGGAGTCGACACCAAGCTCAACAAGGGCGGCGTTATCGTCCATGTCTTCTTCATGTAACTGCAGGAGAACCATCAAACGTGCCGAAAAGCATTCTGCGGGTCTCGTTAGACTTGGACTGACCGGGAAAGCGGGTGAGGGAAAAAAAAAAACAAAAAATACCTTGAATGATTTCTCGGGCTTGAGCTCTAGTTGTGGCATCCATCAGCTGGACCTTGACCGGGGCCATGGAGTGTTTGGTTCCCGAGTCGGTCTTGAACTCATCCTCCGTGCGCCAGAAGTGCGAGAACTTAGGGTTTGCGCGCCAGGACACCCGGTCGTCTACTACGGGGTCAATCATGCGCAGCCCTGTGACAATCTCAGGGTTGTGTCCGGACTCTGGATGACTAGCCAACACGGCTTCTCCGAACATTTGGTGGAAATCCGACGTGGAGAGTGGGTAGGCTCCGTAGGCTGCCAGGTCGGCGGCCTTGATCTGTCCCGCGCGAGTGATATATCCGGCACCGATAATGGCACCAATATCCATGACGGCTGCAGAAAGTCCGCGCTGGCGCCTCTGAGCAACCAGGGATGCCATGAAGGCATTCGCGGCGGTGTAGCTGCTCTGGCCACTGTTTCCGACAATTAACCCCAGAGACGAAAAGAGAATGAAAAAGTCCAGCTGTTGGTCTGCAAACAGGTCATTGAGGTACTGGCTGCCGTCGACTTTCGGCCGCAGCACGGGCAGTAGATCGTCAAGCTTCATGTTGGAAAACATGATGTCTTGTAGCACCATGGCGGCGTTTGCGACACCCGCGATGGGGGGCATGGTCTGTAAGATATCTTCGTGGGTCTTGTATACAGACAATTTATCTGTGACGTCCCTGGTCATCGTTAGGTCCGGCGCTCCTGCTGACGAGGACATATTGGACTTACATTGAACAGACCTTGATGTTCGCGCCTGCACTGCTCAGCGTGTCTAACCAGCCTTGATCAACGCGGGGATTACGGCTGCTGAGCACCAGGTGTCTTGCTCCGTGGGCGACCAACCACTCGCACAGCGATTGGCCCAAGTCGGCAGTGAGCCCAATGAGCCAGTAGGTCTTCTCCGGGGAGAAGGAAACCTTGCTGCCCACTGGCTCAATTTCTACGGGAACATGGGTGTCTGCGAGCCAGTCGATCAGTTGGAGTGGTTCCAATTTAGCACCCTGAGTTAGCTCCTTCAGGGAGCAGATGCTGATGCTCCCGAGCTGATCCTCTGTGGAGGATGAATCTTGCATCTCTGCAGAAGCCTTTGCTAGAACATCTTGGATCATCAGATTGCTGAAATCACCAGTGAACTGACGGTTGGAGGCATCAGGGGAGAGAAGCGTCGTGGTGGTCAAGACTGTGCAGAATGAAGGGAGGCTGCCCACTAATAGTCTATGCACACTGTCCTCAAGAGGGTCTTGGGAGAGATCGAGCAATGCGACGACACCCGAAGTGAGTTTGCCCTTTACCGTATTGTGGAATTCGAATGGGTGAATGAAGATCGATCCCGAATCCTCAATGTTCGGATCGCTGGTGATAGTCTGAGCGCGGATACCAAGCCGAGTTGCGCGATGCTGGAGCAGTTGCAACGGACCTTTCTCGACATCGCGAGTCAAGATTGTAGCAGCCCTAGTGGTAGCCTTGGAAAGGGCTTGGTGTATTATCAGCTCCCACGCGGCGAGAAGAAGGTAGCGCTTCTCATCGCCCTTCGGCACGTTGATGCGCACCATATGTTCCTTGGGAACGTCAATGGTGGATGAGTTGGAGTCGGACACAGCCAAAACAGTGTCTCCTCCGGCTACTGTCCGTCCGATTGACAAGAAAAGGAATGCCCCGTCTGCGACTTGCATGGCAGATAGGACCGAGTACAGAACCCGGATCGAAACCATTCCGGCACGAGTGCTCTGCGCGGAAAGGCGATCTTCTACAAGTTTGAATGTCTTCGGAGCCCCAGAATGGGAGATGGAAATTCTGCCTGCCTCTCGCTCCTGTTCGTGCGAGATCTGCCGCCGCTGGGAATTGTAGCGGTCGTTTTGCGCAGAGTGTTCGTACATACGAGGTATAAGAATCTTCGAGTTGGCGGCACGGAATTCAGGCTCCGTAGTCCACAGAATCTCGTGAGAGAGCGGTCCAGAGCTCTCCCAGAGATCGGTAACGCGCAGTCGCAAGAGCATCTCACTGAGATAGCCGACGTCAAGGTCCCAGTCCTCCTCGATGTCCAGGAACTGCAGTCGCAATTCATGCATCTCACAACTCAAGGATCGTCCAAGGCCCACGGTCATATTGGCGTACGGCTCTGCCCTCTTGCACCCTTTCGTTACCCACACCACATTTCGCGCATTTTGGAAAAGGGTTTTCAAAGCCTGGAGCTTCAGAGCCGTCATGTCCTGGAATATCGGCTCGTCTATGTCGACGAGGACGAGGACTGTGCTCGGGATCTCAACGTACGAATCATGTTGCAGATCCTCTAAGCTCTCGAAGACTGCGATGGTGCCAAATCGTGGCCGCAGCACCGGCATAACGCCGGTGGCCAACTTCGAGGACTCCAAGGTGCTGCCGCCAATAATGAGCAGATCCCCAAGGTCTTTGTCCGTCCCTGCGGAGAACAACGGCTGCCGCAGGAATGCAATGCCATCGTCCACAGCTTGTGCCACAGAAACAGAGAACGGATAAGGCAGGCTATCTGGACACAGGGCAATCGTATCGATTCCAGAATATCCGGTTTTCTGTAGCAGGGAGTTCCATTGGGCCGGTGGCAGGGTTGGTGTCCATTGGCGACGCCCTTCGCCCTGCCACCAGCCCGGTAAACCGCCCATAATGAAGCCCATACGGCTTGGCCTCTGGTCGGTGATTTCTAGGAGTACTAGATAGCCTCCCGGCCGTAATAGTGCGCGGACGTGATGTAGCGCCTGACTGATATCCTTGGTAGCATGAAGCACATTCGATGCAACCACAAGGTCGAAGGAATGCGCTTCGAGACTTTGATTCCCGGGCTCTTTCTCCATGTCAAATGGCTTGAAAACCATCTTGTGAGCATGATCCTTGAATCGTTCCTGTGCCTTTTCGAAGAATGCAGTTGACACATCGGTATAGGTATACGATCGGAATGACTGGCCCAGGTGCTCAAGCACCGTTTTTGTTGCTCCGCCGGTTCCAGCTCCTGTTCATTCTTTAGCAATACCCGCGTATAGGGTCAGTTCGTCTTACCGATCTCAATTATGTTCATATGCGGGTACCGGTGCGAAATTTGCTTGATCAAACGACCGGCCCACGTATTCGCCAGTTGGAAACCGAGACCCTCAGTGTAGAAATCATCTAACATGTTATCCTTCGTGAGATGCTCCAGCGGGTTAGACTGTCCCCTCACAACCGAAGGGTAGGCCTCTCCAACGGACCGCATAATTTTGAGGTCGATAGAATCTGGGTATCTGTAAGTGTAAAGGCATTATCAGCTTGCGCCATGTCATTGTTTTCCGTTTCCGTTACTGGGAGCTTTATGTATGGAACTCACCGTTCCAAAGTGGGAATAATATCGTGCTCTGTGTCGTTTGCCCATTCTGCCTTTGCGTACGTACAATTTCCACTAGCCACGCCGGAGACCAGGCTTTTAGCAAAGGCCATAAGGCGCTGATGATGGGGGGCAGCGGCACTCTCTTCTGCAGGGGTGATCTCCTCGCGCAGTCTTTTCAGATAGAAGTGGGCCACGCGTTCGCAGGCATAGGCATGTTCAAGTTCTTCTGGCGTCGCACGGTGACCTAATACCGCTGTTGGACCATGAGGCTCGGCAAGATTCCAGACTTCCTCGGAAAATATGTTACGGTCATCGGCGCGAGTGGCCCTGGTAAAAGGGACTGACGAGACTCCCTCAACTTGCAGCAGCCCTTGACGTCCGTCAGCGGAGAAGATAACGACGTCTCCTGCGGTTCCTTTCGATGAGGACTCTGCTAGAATAGCATCAAAGGACAGGTCAACCCCGAGGTCGTCCGGCCTAGGGCAGTGATATGGATTGATCCGTATGCCTCGGATAGAGGTTGGCACATGAAGACTCCAGAGCCCGCCATCTCCGGGATAGCTCACGGCGGCAAATAAGGCCTGGAACGCCATGTCAAGCATTGCCGGGTGGACTAACAGGTCGCATGTTGGGGCTTCAAATGTACCCGAGGAGTAGTTTAATTTTCTCTCCAGGTGGGTTATGGACTGAAATGGGCCTGTATATCCATACCCAAGCTCCGATAAGGCGGCATAAAATTCATCAGCGTCTATCCGCACCATATTAGGGGGATATGCGCCCCGAACTGGAAGCATGCTGATGGTGGGAGCCCCGAGGAGTAAGGAGATTGATCCACTAGCCACCGGGGCCAATTTCTCGGACTCTGGGGCCAGGGGCGAGTGAAGAGACCAATCTGCCGTGAATCTTTCTCCCGGGCTGGCACCACGACGATGCATGTTTAAAAGCGTCAAGACAACCTCCACGCTGGTGGTCTCACTCTGAAACGAGATAGACCGATGAATCACGAGATCTGTGACTTCAATCAGCCGTACGGGCTGCTCGCCCACCTGCAACAAGGCCGCTTCCCATGCCATGGCGGCCGACGCAGCAGCAGGAAAGACAGCTTGGCCCTGAAGCTGATGATGCAACAACCAAGGAAGTTCCTTGGGGGTGAGGAAGTTGCGCCACTTGATCTCTGACTCCGTCGTATCGCCATATGGGACCCCGAGCAGAGGGTGAACAGGGCCTGAGCGGTAACGCTGTGCTTTCTCGGTACGGGACTCGAACCAGTAGGATCTTTCATGATCCCAGGGGTAAGTAGGCAAGTCTTTCACAAATACTGGCTGCGCCTCGCAAGGGAAGAAATGCTGGTTGTAAGGTGCAAACTGGACGGTGTTGCGCTCGCAGTGAGTCCAAACAAATCCCAACGCTCCGGAAAAGACCTCGAGATCGTGTTTACCGCGACTCAACACGCCGGTATAAGGAATCTCGTTACCATATGTATCCTGGATGGTCTGCATTGCAGGGGCTTGCAGCGCCGGATGTGGGCCGATTTCCAAAGCCAGATCGAGTGACTCCTGCATGGCCAGGGCGCTCTCGACAGCGCTCGAAAAGAGCACAGCCTGAGTCATATTCGACACCCAATACGCCGCTGAGAGGTCTGGCGAGTTAGTCATACGCTTGCCGCCATAGACACTCGATAGCCATATTGGTGCTGTGGCGCCAGGCGTCAGGGGCTGGATATTACATGCTTGCAGTGCTGCGAGGTAGGGTTCGGCACAGGGCTGCATGTGGTGCGAATGATAGGCCGTGTCTACCTTAAGGACTCTGGCAAATTTCTTCTCCTCATCAAAGACAAGCTTTGCTCCATCAATGGCTTCCTTGTCCCCAGATAATGTGATACTGGTGGATGAATTGCACGCGGCGATGGATAGCCGGCCTTCAAAATCGGGTACGGCGCAGAGCTCTCGGGCATCGTCCATGGACGTTCCCACAGCCATCATACTTCCCAACTGCCCATCTGCACCTCTTGCTAACTTGGCACAAACACCACGGTAATAGGCAATGCGAATTGCATCCGACGCCGTGAGAAGCTTGGCTGCATAGGCCGCTGCAATTTCACCAGAGGAATGCCCAACGACGGCATGGAATCTCACTCCGGCTGCTTCGAGCATATCAACGAGCAATATCTGCACGGCAGTGCACAAAGGCTGCGAGATGGAAGCTTCGCCAATCCGGCTGGTATCCGTATCCTTGGATAATTCTTCCTCGATTGTCCAAGGCGGCCTGTCAGAAGCAGCGAGTTGAGACAAAGAGTCATCCAGTTTGCGCACGATTTCCCGGGCTACTGATGATATGCGCAGGATCTCTCGGCCCATTCCAGCCCACTGAGCTCCCTGCCCTGTAAATACACCCAAGATCTGGGCATTATGCTTCGCCAGGGACTTAACACCAGCCTGGACTTTACCTTGGTCTTGTGTGGCGCTCAGTTTTTCGGTCAGTTTGGACAGCAGATCATCAACTGTCAGGGCTGTGATAACGGTTCGAACTGGTAGTGTGGACCGTCTGTACTGCAAACTCCAAGAGACATCTCTCAAGCAGACGGTCTTATTTGCTTTCAAATACTCCGAGAAGCGCTCGAGTGTCGATATCAGGGTTCGTTCGGACTGCGCTGAAAATACAAATGGAGTTGTCACCGGTGGAGGACTTTGACTGTCGTCGTTCCTGCGCCGTGCTCCCTGATAACTCTCAAGAATTGCGTGTCCATTACTGCCACCGAAGCCTAAAATGGAACCATAGTTGTTAAGATTGTTGTTCTGATGCACCTATCAAAGGCCGCGCTTAGAACTCACCAAAGCTATTTACACTGGCTCGCCGCGGGAGAGCATCTGGTAGGGCCGGCCAGGGGGTCAGGGCTGTGGGTAGCTGGAGATGTTTCGCAAACGGCGCCACTGCTGGGCTGAGGCGATTAAACAGCAGATTGGGGGGGATAAGCCCATTCTGCAGGACAAGTGAGGCCTTGAGAACGCCTGCTAGCCCGGCGGCACCCTCGGTGTGGCCGATGACAGTCTTAATCGAGCCAATATAAATGGTATCTTCAGGGCCCAAGAGGTCACCATTCGTGAAGAAGGCGTTATGAACCGCTTCGGCCTCCCTGGGATCGCCCACCATAGTTCCGGTACCATGGGCCTCGAAATACTGAGGCCGATCTTCCCGCTTAGAGAGGTCGAGTCCGGCGCGTTCATATGTCTGTCGAATCAACTCTGCCTGTGCTGTGCTACTGGGCATCGTGATACCGCGGGTGCGCCCATCCTGGTTCACGCTGGTCTCGCGAATCACGCATTCAATGTAATCGCCATCAGCTTCTGCGGCACTCAATGTTTTCAAAATCACGGCGCCGACTCCTTCGCCCCGTGCATATCCATTTGCATCGACATCCCACATTTTTGCCCTTCCGTCGGCAGCAATCATGTTCAGATTACTCAACACAACATAGTTGTCTACACAAATAGTGAATCAGCTCCAGAAAAGGAAGGGTGGTATTATGATCAAACAACACCCGGTAGGGGAAGAAGGGGCCATACGAGGGCCAATGATTATACTTGTTCCACAGGCAACGGCAACCTGTGAATCGCCATTGCGTAAGGATTGGATGGCGAGATGGATGGCCATCATACTGGAAGAACAAGCGGTGTCAATCGTCATGGATGGGCCATGCCAGTCAAAGAAATACGAGATTCGATTGGAATGAATACTCCGCGCTGTTCCTGTACCGGCATACGTAGGAGTGCAGTCTACATCTTTCTGTATCACATCAGCATAGTCACAACCCATCATGCCTACATAGACTGCTGTGGATGAGCCCTGGAGTCCCTCGATTGTCAGGCCAGCTGACTCCAGGCCCTCATAAACGGTTTCCAGCAACAGCCGCTGTTGCGGATCGATCGCGTCGGCCTCGCCCGGCTGGATATTGAAAAAGTGTGGATCAAACTTGCGAATGTCCTCCTTCAGGAAGTGGGTATACTTGGTTGTGCTACTACCATGACGCGGGCCATCCCCAGAGTGATAGCCCTCCCAGTTGAATCGATCCCGGGGGATTTCACTCAGACAGTCCTTGGGCTCTCGCAAGAGATCCCAAAGCTTGGAAGGGCTGCTTGCGTTGCCTGGAAAGCGACAGCCGCTACCAATAATGGCGATTGGCTCATTCTGTTGTCGTTTCATGGTTGCTTGGTCTGCGTTCTCGAGATATCAAAAGTAATGAATGTAGAAAAACAATATGGCTCCGATGGCCCTCGCAGTAGCAATCTATCCACTGTATTTGTACTCTTTCTAGACTACATCGGTGATGAGACTTGCTACAGAATTGGCAACATATTCCCTTGAGGGCCACCGACTCTACTTGCTATCCTCGTGAATATTGCACGCCCCGAGAGCACCGATACTAGGGGACATGTTAGATTGCATCTACGCAGCCTATGGGCTATTCAAGTCAGCTCCAATGAGAGACCGCTGTAGGATTTCAGCCCCCAACCAACTATCAACCCCATGGCATTTGTTGCGCAGTTATCGGGTCCTTAGGGGATTCGACAGACAAGCTTGGCCCCCGAAACACGTTTCTCCTGCATCTGGCCCACCGCAGCTATGATGCCGGGGAAGCCATCCGACGAGACGCTGACAGGATGGGGACGAAGCTGCCCTTGCTCCAAGAGCTTCTGCGCCTCTTGATAGAAATGCTTCGCGAAGGCTCTCAGTGCAGGGTCTGCTGGACGCCCAAACGGGCTGGGCCAGTTCACATCACGGCCGAACAAAGCTGGCTGGAACACCCAGTCGGCCTTGACAGTAGGACGCGTGGCGGCTATCCGGGATGAATACGGGTGCAATGCCGTATAACGACCGCCTGCACGCCCAATGGCCGCGTAGCAGAGCTCCATGGATGCGGTCTCTGAGATACAGTCCATCACGTAGCGAAGGCCATTCCGCGTGTAGGCCCGGATATCGATCGCGCAGCTGGGGGACCGATAGTCGAACACGGCCTCGGCTCCACCCTTGCGCACTAGATCGAAGTTGCTGGGTGAGCACGTTGCAATTGGTCGGTGGCCTGCATGGCGTAGAAGTTGAATTGCCAGGGTCCCTGTCGCGGTGCTCCCCCCGTTCACTAACACTGGATGGCCGCCCACGCCGTCAGAGACATTTTTATCCAGCGTCAGCGATCGGAGGGCCAACCCAGCAGTGCCGACGCCCAGGGGCAGACTGGCCGCCGATTCAATCGGTAGGTCGGCGGGGATTTTCATCGTCAGATCGGCGGCGGCGACTACATATTGTGCAAAGGCACCATCGGCAGGTCGGACAGGATTCATGCCATGCACCGTCGCACCGACTCGGTCACCCGTTTGGAGCCCACAGTCTACCTCCTTCCCAACAGCAACAACGGTTCCGGCGACATCAAATCCCGCTGCAGTGCCGTCGAAGGCGAAATTCCGGATACTGTTGGCATCAACGGGGTTGATCGCGACTGCCTCGCTGCGAATGAGCACAGCGTCTGGCTCTACCTCTGGTATCGGGGCGTGTTCATTGATGGTGTATTGATTGTTGCGCGCCACAATCACGGTCTGGTAGTGCTGTAATTTGTGAGTCTCCATTTCTGAGGCAGATGAAATCTAGGAAATGATGGTTGGAACCTGCAGTGACAGGACGAGGGACGAGTGGTGGCTGCTTGTAAAATCCCCTTTACCAGCCGCCTCCGACTCCGGCGGCGATACGAGTCGGAGCCATCGCACCTGGGCACGACTGGGGAATGATTGAAATTAAGCCGTCATGGCTGACGGTGGACTGTTCATTCCTGTTGGCTGGCGAAGCTATTGCATTGTTTTCTCTGCCCCGGCGCAAGCATGAGCACTTCAGAGGAGACACCCCTCGCGGATCAAGACCAGAAACTCAGCTCTCTTCGCATTAATATCATTGTGTGCGGGTTGGTAGCATGGTCCTGTAACGTTTATGGCCGTTAACTGAATGATTTCCCGTAACCCTAGGCTATGGATCTCGCTGTTCCTTGCTGCCCTTGACAGCACCATCATTTCTACTGCACTCTTCTCAATATCCCATAGTCTCCATGGCAGTAGTGAGTCCGGTTGGGTGATAACATCCTATCTTCTCACATACAATGGTAGGAGTCATCTCCAAGTCACCGGTGTGGGCTTGTCTTCTCACTATCAGTTCTAGCGTTTGTCCTTATTCTAGCGAAGCTGAGTGATATTGTGGGCTTAAAGCACCTCATCCTCCTTTCGAATGCCATTTTCCTTGTCTTTTCAATTGCGTGCAGCGTTTCTCAGTCCATGCAGCAACTGTAGGCCTCTGTCTGTTGGCCATCGTCGCCTTGCATAGTGCTCTGACTCGAGTAGGATTGTCTTTCGGGCATTTCAAGGAATCGGCGCCTCCGGTCTGTACTGTCTGGTATTCATCGCCATCCTACAGCTGATCTCTCTTGAGAAGTCGGGGTTTTACTCCGGTATTATCAGTTCCGTATTTGCCCTATCCAACCTGCTGGGGCCGCTGTCTGGCGGCTTGATCGTGGACCATACAACCTGGAGATGGATCTTCTACCTCAAGTACGTATACCTCACAATATTTTAAACGGGACGTACCACGGCTACTGACAGAAATCTCTTCTAGTATTCCATTATCCGCAATTTCAATCTTGATTCTTGGTTTTGCAATGCCAGCGCCGCGAGACAGCCAGGGCAGTGAAAAAAGGATGGCAAACTTCGATATCCCGGGGGCGATTCTCTCCGTCTGCTGGCTCGTCCCGTTGCTGTTTGCCCTAGAGGAAGGCGGATCTCAATATTCCTGGCACAGCAGTGTGATTATTGGAACCTTGACCGGTGGCATTGTCGCTCTCATCACTTTTCTTGTGTATGAAGCCTGGCTGCATAGGAAGCACGCAGCGAGAGAACCAATATTCCCCATTGTGTTCCTTCGGGATTCCCTGCAAGCCCTCTTATTACTGTGAGTATCCAGTCCCTCGGTGATGGACGGACGCGCTTTCTCACCGGTCAAGAAACATTTTTCTAGCAGGGTTTGCCTTTTACACGGCGATCATTATTCTCCCACAACGCTTCCAGGCCGTCAATGGCCTTAGTGCTGCTAGAGCCGGGGTGCTCCTCCTCGCTATGACACTGTGTCTCCCGCTATTCTCATTGATCGCGGGATTTGTGCTCGGGAAACGACCGCAATGGACAATGTTCGTCCTGGGGTTGGGCAATATTTTCATACTGGCGGCCACTGCCTGCCTGAGCTGTTTGTCTATCAATCCAAGCGTCTCTGATGCGCAGTACGGGTTCCAAGTGATTATGGGAGCTGGCCTTGGAATCACCTCCACGGCGCAGTATTTCGCTCTCAAGATAATATTCCACCCGCGTGATACCGGTGAGTGCAGTCTCTCTTTTAACAGGTTATGATGTCTTTCCCTTGAATACAGTGCTCACACAAAAACCATCCAATCAAGCGGCCGCCACAGGTTCTATGAATATGCTACGTGCGCTAGGGGGCTGCGTTGGACTAGCTATCAACACGGCCATGCTCAGTGCTCGTCTTTCAGCAGAACTCCCCTCGTCGCTAACCGCCGAGGAGGTAATGCAAGATCGGGCATCCTGGGACCAACCAGGGAGCGGTCTGAGCACTACCGACCAAGACTTCATTCGTCGCATTTATGGCAGGGGATACAATAGTGGTTTTGCTGTTATGATTGCTTTTGCCGGGGCGAATGTCCTCGTCGCGGGACTGTTGGTAGTGGTAAACAAGCGACGCGGAGGGATAGAGAAATTACTCGCCGAGGCTCAAAGTCATCAAATAGCACAGTAGGCATATTTGCGGGTTGTTTCATAGTTGGGGGGCGAGTCATACATAAACCAGTCTTTTCCGGGGCTTTCTTAGTACTTGTAGATAGCAGACTCATGTAAGGTGAGATCCGCCGTGGAACGGGCCCAGTGCGTCAGACGATCTTTGGCACATGAAACTAACTCAGTGGCTTGCTTAAAGGACCCGGATATCATACGCGCAGTGCATGTATTGCCTATGTTTTCCCTATCAGGTGTGGTGTTGACGAAATCTAGACTGTAGTGCGCCATACAAAATCCCCCCCCCTCAATATCCCGTTCGTCCATCATCATCACAGCTGGAAATAGCGCTCCAGCTTATGCTTCCTCGGCCTCTCCCCCTCCTGTTGCGAAAGCTCAAGCTCCTCCTGCTCGTCCCTCTCCCTCCTCCCCGCCTGTAGCCCAAACTGAGCTCCTGGGTTGAAGAAGACAAAAATACCCATCGACAAGACCATCGGCAGCCCATCCAAGGCGAGCACATATTTCTCATGAGTAATGAGGTACCCTCGCCACCCCTCGGTAAGTTCAATTGACCGGTACACGTTACGCATGATCATCATTGATGTCGCGAAAACGGTAGCGGCCGCGACGTAGAAGAGGGGCCGGTTCACGCGAAGCTCGTGAGAGCCCCGGTATAGAACGAACCCAAGAAGTAATGAGAAGACGACCGCTGCGGCCAACTGCGCGATGATCCCTACAACCATTGTGATGGTGCCCGGCTGCGTTGACTTCCCCTCAGTATATGCGCTCCCGGCCAGCCCACCACCCGTTGCTTGAGTGGTGAGGCAGATCACATCGATGCAGAAACAGACGAACAGGTAGGTTTTCGGGGGGAAGGGGGAGACATGTCGACCGATATTCTGAATCAGAACCCACAGCGTGACGTAAATGCCGGCCTGGGTCCAGGAGGGTCCTGTTTCGAGATGTGTTGCGCACGTTAGCCCGCCTATGTATGAATGGTGAGCACCCAGGGAGTTGTTGTGTTCATGTGTTCGTCCTGTCGGTTGGGAGAGCCATACCCATGATGAGAGTCGCGGTCTGCATGAGAAAACACGGCCGCGAGTACGGGCAATGGTAGCTAACGGTCCTCCCGACCCAACCGATGATCTCCAGAATAGCCCCAACAATGAAGAAGAAGGTCCAGAAAGCCCGGGTCCGTAGCATGTGGAAGAGCTGGGCCGCTGCTATTAACGAAAACAGCACTGTAAATGTGATCCCCCAGGCTAGGCTCGGACGGTAGCCATAGCTGCCGGGGTTGACTGTGGGATCATATTCCGCACAAGCAGGCGTGTCGGGGAGTTGGGTCGACATGGTAAACAGCTTGCTTCTTTGTTTTATCTATTTCATGAAATGGTTTCATGAGGCTTATGGGGAATATCGCTTGGTATTTCAACTCCTCTCTCTATAAGGCAGCCGGCGTCAAGTCCTGGAACGAACCCCAATCACGGCAGATTTCAGGGCTCACTCCTGTCGTTCTGAACAACGTATCGAATCCTTCCTACAGGTCAATAATACCTGGCTAAGGGTGATGTTCTGAATGTTGGTCTTGTATATAGACTTTACGTTCTTGCCCTAGTTGATAAGATCGGATTGGCTCCTGTAGAACGATTCTATTCACTATAGTTCCCTAGCAGTTATCATGTATAGTTACTATGGTATACTATTCAACCGTAATCCTGGTATATAAATAGATTCATCCTTCAACTAATCGTAGACAATACGAGACGCCAAAGACTGGTCTGACAGGTGTCGCAGCTGCCTGAACAGACAGATATACGTCATGCAATTCGAGCCAACCAGCCCATGATATGATGATCCTTTTAGTCTCATTGGAAGAAGCTTGTTTGGATTTCATCTTCGTCTTACATATATCTCATCTCTTAATCTTGTACTCCCCTTGCCTGGACAACCCAGCCCTTCCGTCAGTCCTTATATCAGCCATATCTTTGAGCATTACTTCGAAATAAGTAGCTTGTTGAAATTCATCTACTCCGGTGCTTTGTACTTCTATAATCTGGCAGTTCTTTGTCCTGACTTTTAGTGTAATGAAGGAGACTATGGTTTAGCCCTTGGTTCCCCGGACAAATCCCACGCCAGCACGTAGTAGGGTTACCGATCCTTCTTCGTTCTTTTGACTTTGAACAAGCAGCCTAGACACATCTTCGCCAGAATATGACATTCGAAAGTTAGTTTCAGGTTTATGTGCGCAATTGTGCTCATCAGACCCGCTGCCCCCTGTTCATTAACTGCTGGGCGCATAGCCCAACTCTCTAACAATTGGGCAAGTTCATTCACTACGATTCAGATACTCTGAGTCCAACGAAGAATACAGTCTGGACGCATTATCACCAACACGCCAATTGCTGGATGTAGTAATTCTCTGCACATCTTGGAATCGAGATACTGAATGACAGCCCCAGAAACCCCCCTATGGGCCAAAGCTGAAACTATACCGTCGAGAGCGTCTCTATGGAACGCTTCCTCGTATACTCCGTACTCCCCCCCCCCCCCCATATCATAGTCGTATGATGAAAGCATCATATGCTGGTTAATATATGTTCTATTCGGTAGTCTTCAGCATACCGTATGCATGGGGCCAGAATTGAAGCCCACCACATGGAAGGGATTCACGTCCCCCGATTTCAATCGAACGGATCTAGTCAGCCATAAGAGCTGCAGGTTGGTTTCCATTGGTTCTTCCTATTAGTGACGCTTCAGACAGAGCAGGGCAGCGATCTCCTATCCCCTACAGCTGTGATAACGGGCCGTTTGTCATGGTTCTCTGAGTCTCTACTACCAACAATCATCAAGGGAGAGGTATGCAGGTAATTGGTCATTTTGTTTCGATCAAGTGCTCGCTGCCACCATGATCAAAATTGTAAGCACTAGGTTGTGCTGGTTGAAGAGGAGAATTCTTGTTCAAGTTCGTTTCTCTTATAGAGCCCCGATGTGCATTTCCCGGGCCCTGATTCATGGCTCAAGCGTGAACTATTATGAATGCCAACTGATAGTCTGATGTCCCTACCCCCATCTCCCTGATCTATCCAAGCGAATGGAACGGCAGGCATGCGATCGGTGCCATGGCCATAAGGTCCGATGCACAAGGGCTCCGAACGGCTATGGGTCTTGTGTCCGATGCCAGCGCGTGGGTGCAACGTGCGTCTACAGTGCTCCTTCCAGTAGACCAAATCCCAATTCTAAAACCGGTCGTCAGCATTCTGGCCACGTTGCAGAGAACGGTTCGACGCAACTGAAGGGCCGATCTCGACAGCATTCAACCGGGAACCAGCTTTCAGATGAAACCGATCTACGGCCGATTCCTCAGTCGGCCTCGTGGTTGAACACAGGTCTCCTCCCCCCGCCGCTGACCAGAGACGTGGAGACCACCGGCTCAGACCTTGCGCCAGCCCTCCTCCCACCCCAGCTGCCGTCGACCTCGGCCGCGCAGCCCTTTCATCAGGCAGGAGACACGAATCCCAGTTTTCCAACAGGCCTGGTAGACGCTGCCCTAGGTGAGGAGCAGCTCCAGCTATTCCCCCTGCCCCATGAGTGGTCCACCAGTCTGCCGAACGACTATGAGTTCCTCCCCGAACCCTCGGGGCATACCTGTGCAGGAATGGGCATGGAAATGCAACCCAAACAGCTACCGGTACATAACCCTGAATCAAACGGAACCGGAGTGAATGCCGGGATTAAAACCCTCGATGATTGCATGAGTAGTCTCTTTCAACTCCACCTCAACCTCTACCAGGGATGTTACTCCTCCTCCTCCTCCTCCTCCTCCTCTTCCTCTTCCTCCACCTCTTGTGTGAACGACGGCCCCGCGGGAGAAAGCCGGACCAACCAGATAATCAATTCCTCTCAAACCCTGATCATTATCATCCACAGCCTTTACACGCACGGCGTGGAATCGCCGTCTTCGGGTTCTTCAAGACCTTCGACCGCGCTGGCCCTGATTTCTTGCTACATCCAATTGCTGGTGCTCTATATTGAGTTTGTGGACGCTCTGCAGCAGCGACTAGAGCAAATTACCCTAAGCTCTGTAACCCATTACTCCGATCCCACCCTTGGGGCGTCTCTTTTGCCGCCGTCTATTCCCGCACTGGAGGTCGGCCTGAAAGCGCAACTCGCTTTGCATCTCATCACCCGCGTCAGCCGGTGCACACGGCGATATCTCGCGTCGTACTTGGGATATACCGACGCTGATCAAATCTCCGGAGCTGCAACTGGCCTTGACGCAGGGTTGAGTGAAGGTCCGGAATTGATCCCGGTGGCTAGGCCAATTGAGCTGCTCCTTTCGACGTTGAGTGAGCAGGAGGCTCGTTTGAGGAAGGCATTAGATGATCTAGGCCAGAAGACTCTGCGGAAAGAATCCCTATGAGGATTGACCTAATAGTAGTAGATAGGTCATTGAGAATTCATGTAGAAATCACGCAACCCTTGTCCCGGGAACTGATGGATGGCATGGATAGTAGTATATGTTGGAACCCTTCTGGAAGCCTACAATCCAACTATTTCCACACTTCAACATACGTAATTCCCATTCTATACCGGAATTCATCATCGCCATTAGGATTTGACGTTTATCAGTATACGTACTGCCCGGTTGGCTCCACAGGAATATGTCGAACTTTACCGCTGAGCTACAAAGGTGTCAAGACAGCCATTTCTAGCTGATGCAGTATTCTATTGGATTGGTTCACAGAATATTTACCCCACTTATACATACCCCATAGTCTTAGCGGATTAGTTGCTACTAAAAGTACATGAATCTCCTGATCAGCGTTGGGGCCACCGGTTTGAAGCCGCATATATATATATATCTGTATAATCTTTGTGGCAGCCTCGACAGCCCAGGAAACCTTCTCCTCGTAATCACTCACAGTTTCCATCGTGACGCAGTCCGCAAACGACACGACCATGTCGCTCCGCGTGGCTATCATCGGAGCCGGCCCTGCAGGCTGTCTACTAGCCCGGATGTGTTACGTGAACAACATCGCCTTCACAGTTTTCGAAGCCGAGCCGTCGCTAGACCACCGAAACCAAGGCGGCACTCTCGATCTGCATCCCAAGACCGGCATCGCAGCCATCAAAGCCGCGGGGCTCTACGAGGAATTCCTCCAAGTGGCGCGCTTCGAGGGATCAGCGCTGACAATCTGCGACAAAAGCGCCCGGCCTTATTTCCAGCTTCCGAGGCTCCTCGCTGCAAACCCCGAGGTGGACCGGCTTGAGCTGCGCCTGCTGTTGCTGCGCTCGATTCCGGCCGAGAGCATCTGCTGGAATCACCGCCTGCGGCAGATCGATCACCAGGACGGGAGTCTCTGCTTTGAAGGCGGAGGAGCCGTTCAGCGCGGATTCGATCTTGTTGTCGGGGCCGACGGTGCCTGGAGCAGAGTGCGAGCGAGCCTGACGCCCACGGAGCCGACGTACTCTGGTATTGCCGGGTACGATTTGACCATTCCCAACGCCAGAGAGGCCGCGCCGGACAGTGATCGGCTCGTCGGTCGTGGGTCGTTGTTTGCCTTTTCGGGGGGTCAATCGATTATTGGACAGCAGATGGGCGATGGAAGTATCCATGTCTCGGTTTGGTCACGCAGGGCTAATGCCGCCTGGGCGAGAGAGAAGAGAAACCAGCAGCAGCAGCAGCAGCAGCAGCAGCAGCAGCCGAGCCGCGATGAGATTTGCGCTGAACACCCTGGCTGGACGCCGGAACTACTTGACCTGGTTCGACATACAGAGGGGACGATCAGAACTAGTGCCTTTTACATGCTTCCATTGGGGTTTCGATGGCCGCATCGCCGGGGAGTGACTCTCGTAGGAGATGCAGCCCATCTCATGACGCCGTTTGCGGGGGAGGGGGTCAATATCGCGCTGGATGATGCGAAAAGGTTGGCGGACGTGATCGTTGCTAATGCGCGCGGGGGGGTCCGCCGTCAACTGGATGGGGTTGCCCTCTATGAGAAGGAGATGTTCCGGCGAGCAGACAGGGCCCAGTCGCTGACTTACAACATGATGCAATGCATGTACTTTAGCCCCGGGGCGCCACGCGCCACGATCGAGCGCTGGGTGATTCTGAGGGCCTCCTACGACTGTAATGCGGCGGTGGAGCCTTTGCTCCGCCCATTCCTGGCTGCGGGAGTCTACGGCTTCTATATGATCTTCAAACGGTTTGTCTGATCGGATCGGATCCTAGTTGGAAGTGATGATGGTAAATCTAGCCCTGATCGCTCTTTTCCTCTGCCGTTGACCCCTGGATCCCATTCTGTCCTAACCAGTATGCCGCCGACGCTGGATGAGATCGTAAAAACTTCTCTCCCTCCAGCCATGCCTCACTCTGCTTTTGGCCCATCCACTGATTCCGGGTCTGCTCCAATCCGGTTTCTATATCCCAGCCTCTCCCGCCTTCTACGTAGATGGATTTCCCGTTGCCTTCGTCGCCCAGGGCCGCAAGTCCGACGATAATCTGGGCCACTTCCGCCGGCTGGTTGACGGGGAGCCCTGCTCTCTGCCAGGGTCCCTCGATGTCATCCACCATGGACGTGGCCGACATCCACGGACAGACCGCACTCACGCTGATCCCGTGGGTTTGGGGGAGGGAGCAGCGCAGGGAACGCATCAAGCCCAGGACCCCGTGTTTGGCCGCGCAATATATCGGGAGCCCCGGTGATTCCATGAACCCTGCAACAGAACTCACCAGCACTAACGACTTTTTTTCCGCTGTGCCGCCCTCGTTCCCATCTGTAGAGGTTCGCTGTCGTAGGAAACCCGCTGCAATCCGCGAAAAGTAGATGGGGCCGAGCAGGTCTACTTTCAGCACAATGGGCTCGGGTACCTGGGACTGTTGTCAACTCGACTTATTCCGGAATGCGCACTCCCTTAATCCATAAACATATAGGGATATATATACATTTTCAAGGCTGTTGAGGTCCAGACTTGGATGAAACCAGCTGCTCTGCTCCGATACGCCCGCGATGGAAAATGCGTGATCGACCCTGTGATACTTGGCGTACGCCGCGTGGAAAAGATTGAGAAGCGACGAGTAAATCGACACGTCGGTAGAGACGAACTGCACGCGCTCCGGATACCTGGCTTCTACCTTCTTTCCTGCATCGGCATCCAGATCCCCAAAGACCACCAGGGCGCCGTTCTCGTAGAGCAGATCTACCGTGGCCGCTCCGATTCCATTGGCGCCCCCTGTCTCAGCTCGTTGTCAGGCTTCCAGTAATCCCGGCGGATATGGTGGAAATATGCAGGAAACCCTACCTACCGGTTAGGACGATGACTTTTCCTCTTAGTCCGTAGAGCAGGAATGGCTCTGGGTCGAATCGTGCCATGACACGGGATCCGAATAGTGAAACCGGGTTGACTTGCTTAGGGTTTCGTTTCGGCGGATGGCGTATTAAGTATGTACCTGATCATCTGGCATCGTAAGACATGAGCCACATCTCCCACTCGTGTCCACTAGCTACTCCGTTCTACTGGTAGATTATTACTCCGTTGAGTGCAGCGTACATGTCGGCGGCTGACCGGCGCCGACTACCTAGTATATATCATCAATCAATCGGTGGCTGGGTGGAGAACGCCGAACCCCCTGCTGTTCTTAGCTCTAAATGGAAGCAGAAGGGATATATCGTTAGCATCAGCATGAGATAGTAGTCGCTTTCACTTTCAGCTAGTACATTATTCCTTGGGGGTTGCTGGCATAAGTAGCAAATTGCTGTCTCTAGTAATGACTCGTCGGTTCATATATGACACCAACATCGTGAAGCTCCAAGTCGTACTCTTCGTCGGGTTCCGCTTCTTGATGTATGTCGTCCATGGTCATGCAGGACAAGATAGGGAAGCAGCCATCTTATAAGAATCTCTCTCTACGTTTGTACAAGTATGGATAACTTGCCGTTGCCAAAGTACTCAAAAGGTCAAAGTAATAAAGGTCGGGCTTATCCCATATACTTCCGATTCTGGCAATCTCAAGAGAGCATTCCCGGAGACTTGGAATATCTCACAGTTGCCTGCGATTTCAGACAAGGTGATAGCCAGCAATAACTCCGATCTGATTGGGCGCGTTATCTTCGCACATTGATTGATTAGTGAGGATAGCTACCTAACTATGTAGGTAGATCAATTGAGAATCTCCACGTCTTGCCCGCCTATAAATACCTCGGGAGCTATCAGACAAGTCACGTAGGGTTTCCGTGGCTCAGATACAGTAGGTAAGATAGCAGATGTCACATCCGGGGGATCAAACGTGTATGGTCGTTGTATCCACCGCGCGGACTCTGTAGAGATTAGATATGCCCGTGGCATAGCGAGAGGGACCAACCAAGCAGAGCTCCTCTGATGTGATCGTCGTGCTTAGGTAGTAGGTTTGAGGCGAGATCGGGTCAATGTCTTGGGTTGATAACGGCCACATATCTGTTCATTAGGTGGTTCTGCCAATGAAAAAGAAAAGAAAAGAAAAAAAAGCAATGGATTACATACCTGGCTTATCTTTGGTGCACTTGCCTACAGATCCCCAGAGATGCAATGGTGGAGCGGCTGGGACCGGCATGCGATCAGGATCAGGTCGAACTTGCACCAGCCGGCATACATACCCTTCAGATTGAGTGGAAGGCAGTTGAGTGTGGGGGAATTCTGTATACCTAACTATGTAAGTAAAAGAGGGTGTGTTGGGGGTTGTTGGGAGGACTCCAGATACATCCATCCACGGGAGGATTGGCCCATCGCAATGGGAATAGAATCCGTCTGGGGTACGGAGTAGAATGCGGAGTCACCCCTCTTCCCGCACGGAGGAACTGAATCTGAGATCGCGCTGAGTTCCCTTGGTCCATCTTGTGTATCCAAATGCCGGCGGTAAGGGTGCTGTCTGACGTGGTGCGGCTGCTTCTGGGTTCTTATCTCAAGGGTTGGTGGTTGGCAAATGAAGGCCCTGCTTGGTGTTTATCTTGACTTTTGACTATCATCACGGATTGGGGTCCGATGGTCGGTGTGGGTTTCATTCGTGTCCTACTGTCTACAGCCTGTTATTTATTTATTTATCTCCCTTTTCTCTGGCCGTCGTAGTGTCCTCTGGCGATACAAAACCCGGTCAACTTCCCTGCCCTATTGTGGGGGTGAGCGAAGGTACAACCCTAGACCATATATACTCCCTCACGTCGCCTAGAAGAAAGCCTCCAGCTGTTGGTGGTATTTCCCCGTCTCTTACCTCTTGTTGGCGGAGACTACCAGGCCATACGGAATATATGATAGTGTGTCTGGTGGACATCCAGACAGAGTGACAGTGCTCTCCAGATCCTATCTCCGACCTAACCAACCGCCCTCCTTTTGTTCCTTCTCGGCCGACTTGGATGCGTCTGACCCCCTTCATCCTATGATTCTGCTATCTATTCACTCATGTCTTTGCAGGGCCTGGACACCTGGACAGTGCTACGGACGTCTCCGGTGTCCGGGTATTCCATTTTTGATATCCAAGGTCAATATTCCTCCTGCGGGATTTTCCCCCCAAGCTCCGCCACAGCCGCCGAAACAATCCCAACCCTAAAGAGGGGAAGCACGCAAGAAAAGATAAGGGGGGGGGGGAAGCAAGGCATTGATTGCATGCACAAATAGTGTGGGGGAGGATCACTCCCAAGATGTGAATTCCATGAAACGTAACCAGGGATAAGGAGGAGACTGCAGATTGAAGTTCTACAACAGGATGGGGTTGCAAGCAAAGTGGAAAAGAGCGTTGATCCCTTCTGATTACTTTGTCTCCAACCTGATTGCTTCTTCTTCTTCCAGCCCTGGTTGCTAGTTGTGCGGCGCAGCCCGCATGAGATCCACTCCGAGCGCAAACGCAGACTGGGGTACCTTCACGAGCCCACTCACTAATCAGGTATCCTAACATGCGCCAACAAGAACGTTCCCAGTTATCAACTCTCAGTGACCTGGACAAACATCCTGAGCCGAGGGGGGGGGGGGGGGGGGTTCAACGCCAATCCAGTTTGAGGCTAATGGGCTGGATAGTGGGAAGGCGACAGATCAACTCTTATCTTGCGTCATTTACGATTTCCCTCCGGACGCCATGTCCTCGTTTGTACAAGAGGATTGGAATGCTGGTTGGTGCAAACAGGATATTGTCGGTCGCAAGTCAGCCAACCCAGTAAGTCCAGAGCACGCGACAATGACAACGACAACGACAGCGTTTCGGTCCTCGATCAGGTGTTTCCAAGACCACCCGATGTGGTGTTGACTGGACTGTCTCGAACAAAGTACGATTGGCATTGATCCAAGGTTCGAGGTGGCCCCCCGCTGCTTGATTACCTGGAGCAGCGGGAATGTGAGGTAAAATTCAGCGAGGCATCTGGACACTTTCTTTGGGTCTAGGAGGACGGTTAGTGGAGGATTGGAGAACTACGACCCGCCACTTGATCCACTCGGCGGGTTGGAAAGACGAGGAGGTCCTTCTTGCCACGCGGATTGTACATGATTCAGTTCCTTGATTCACCCGAGGTATGGTGTACTCTAACCTGGCTGGAGGGTTGTATACGGATATATGCAGTACTGACCACATCACCAGCCGAAATCCAGACAAGACCCCAATGAATCAAGCGCATTATTATGACCGTCTTGTTCCTTATCATCTTATCAGCCTCCGTGATGGCGGCCGCGTGGGATAAACCTATAAGGATCGATTCTCTCTGCATTGAATGTTGACTACGACTGTTAGCGCAGTGGACCCTATTTAGAATTCAAACCGGACTCTGTAGACTAGTCTACAGAGTCCTTGCCAAGTTACAACTTATATGCTGTCAGTGGGGCAAATAATATTGCTCGGTACGTCTTTCGTACTCTGTCTGTATTTGCATCCTTAGTGCTCCGGTGGATTCTCCCGTTTTGGAGATGAAGATGGAGATGGAGATGGAGGATGAACTAACTGGTCCTGGACCTTCCTGCTTTTCATGATAACGATTATTGTACATCCATTCGAATCTTGACTTTCAAGAGTCTGGAGTCACTTAGCGTGCTGATGTCAACCTTGTCTCGCTTTGGCAATCTCGCCGTCCCGTTCGGATTCGGGTATTGCCACAGGCGGAGGCTCTTTTCCTATCCTTCGCTGGTTTTTTTTTTTTTTTCGCTTCGGATCAAAGGCCAGGCGCACGGTCGGGAACCCATCTCTCGGGAGTGAGGAGGTTAAAAAAAAAAAAAAAGACGGCTGGGAGGGATGTTGACAGTTATGATTCTGTGCTGACCAGGGGCCCCGCAACTCGAGTGGATGAGCTAGAGAGATAGATTTGACGAGCGGAAGAGAATCCTCCATCAGGAAGCAATCGTACGCTTGAAACGGGCTGACGAGACCAACGGTACGGAGGGGTTAATACTGGGTCATACCTTTTCGGGTAAGATAGGAATCGTTTTATTGAATACTAGGTTGGTATACCTCCGAATTTCTCCCGAGCTTTGAAATCCAGGCATATTCCGGACCAGACGGACTGTCCGATAGTTGTCGTCCGCCCCGCCGTGGACTCGATCGCGCTCAGACTTAAATTCTACGTCCTATATCGGGAGCTAGGACAACGGACTCTCCTGGTTGATTCCCGCTGTCGCTGCGACCGTTCAGGAGAGAACAGCAATTGCATCAAGCATCTGTGTGACAAGAGTGGATCCCGGACTGGAAAGGGCATGAATCGCGTGCAATTTAGCACGAGGTGGCTGGATCACAATATCCTTATCCAGGATATTAAGTCTTGGATTCGAGTTTATTATCCTCGACTAGAAGTCTGTTGATCATTCTGATCAACCCGTGTCTTTATATCGAGTTGAAAACTTATTCTGCGGAAGAGAATAGGAATCTTCGACCGACCCTTGGACGGTGTTATAATCGGAATTCTTGATGTTCTCGAGAACCCCGGGAAAGTTTGGAACCCACCCACTATTTTAGTGGTAATCGTAATACAATGACCTGTATTTTTCTTTGTTCTGGTCTATCCAGAGAATCTGCCTATAATCTATAATTCTATATTACTCCGGATACATTCCAAGCTCAAATCAATCCAGTGAATCCAAACTAATAATAGTCTCCAAGGAACCGAGGCCAGTGCTCTGCAGCACGATTTTCGCTTTCTTACGGCGGGAAGAAAGAAACCTCGAACGAATCAACGACTGTCCATAGAATCTGTATAAGAATCCGGAGTCTTGAAGTCGGAAGGGCGGGGAATTTAAGACTCCATTCTGGTCCCTGTCTATTCCTACAGAGTAGTAGTATCTCATCTTCAGAATCATACCCCCTCCTTTCCTCTTATTTAAATGATCCAGGGAGATGAAATGAAGCCGTAGCCAAAATCCCCTGCAGTCTCGGCGTCATCATCATCCTTTCCACCATTCAAAACCCACCCTCTCATTTCTTTCCCTTCCCCCCACTGACCACCCAAGGGACAAGAAATACCACCCGAATCGATTCGCTTCATCGTCATCGAGTATAAAGAAGAATCCATCAATCCCAGGGACAGGATTCGCAAGAGCCCAGAACTTCTGGAATTGCCCAGATTCAAGCCAAAAACCCGGGGTATGCAACCATCTTGAAGCAGAGGAAGAAATCTGTCGTATTCCGGTTTGGGTTCTGCTCGTTTACAGCGGTAAGCGAGGAATTTCCTGCTATACAATCATTCGAGAGAGAAACTCTCTTTCTTTCTCGCCTTCATTCTTCTTCTCTCCATCTTCCCTCTCATCTCTTCTTCTCTTCTGGATCTTCGTCCCTGCCTTCATCCTATCTCGTCTCGTCTTGTCTTGCTTGTCTTGTCTCGTTTTTTTTTTTTTTTTCTCTTCCCGCTCTTCCAATCTACATCTTCTGGTGCTTTTTCTCCTGGCCCATTTTCCATCCCCCCCTCCTCCAAAAAAAGAATCCAAAAAAGAGGCTTCCAATTAGAGAAGCCCACAAGATCCCCAACCCATGATCATGTCTGGGTTGACTCTCCGCGGGGGAGGTCCTCCTGGCCGTGTGCGACGAACGCCAACCGTGACCACCTTTCCCACCGACCCCGATCGCTTGTCTTCCTCCTCCTCGACCACCGCCACGGTCACCAAAATCCCCTACCACCAGCCCTACGCTTTCCAGCGCAACGGCTCCATCTCTCACAATTTCCCTACCTCTTCCCAGCTCTCGGACGACTTGTCGCTGGAGTCCCCCATCAGTCCGCCCGATTCCGCCCAGCTCCATGATTCTTTGCTCCAGGACTCGCTATTCCCCGAATGGAAGTCCAGTGCCGTCCATGGGGCGGTTGACAGCCCGGATGAGATGCAAAGGAAAGACCCGTTAGCGACTCAGATATGGAAGCTGTATTCTAGGACCAAGGCCCAATTGCCCAACCAGGAGCGCATGGAAAACTTGACCTGGCGGATGATGGCCATGAGTTTAAAACGAAAAGAGAGAGAACGCGCTGAGCAGGCCCGGTAGGTCATCACTGGCCGTTTATATATATATTCATGGGAAGCTTTCAATTTGCTAACTAGATATTTGCTTTTTTTTTTTTTTTTAAGTGTCATCACCGGTACCAGTGGTATCGCTCAGTTGCGTTTGTCCGAGTCCGACCCCATCTCGAACCTCACACACCCGTCAGACGTCATTTTTGATCCCATGAACCTCGATGATTTCATTGTTCCCTTTGAATCTCCCTCGGATCATCCGTCCCCACCCCCACCCACCACCAAGGCCGCCGGCGCCATTGCGGGCGCCATCCCCATCAAGCTGCGCAAAGACCAGCACTTCGAGTCGACCCCTGTCCCGGCTTCATTCCCGCACCCTCCTCAGGATCAGCGCAAGAATAGTGAATTTGGCTACGTGCCACGTCGAGTCCGCAAGACCAGCATTGACGACCGCCAGTTTTTCGGCCTGCAGGTTCCCTCGCGCAAGCGACCGGCGGAGTCTTCTCCCCAGGTCCCGCCCGTGTCCAACACCATGTTGGCCCATGACCCCGAGCTCGCGGGTGCGGTGCCGGATTATACCCTCGACGCCTCGTCCGGTCTTGCCCTCCACCACAGCCAACTGAATAGTCAGGCTCACACGACCAACCCCAACAGCCACACCTCTCCGGGCGTGCCGTTTAGTCTGGATACCTTCAACCTGGGCGACGACCCCATTCTCCCTTCGGCGAGCGCATACCAGTCCCAGTTCACCTTCTCCCCAAGCGAGTCGCCCATGACCACCGGCAACGCCTTCGCTAATATTTATGCTCACACCCCGGTGGCCTCTTCGCTCACCTCGACCGACTTCTTTTCCCCGCCTCCCTCCGGGTACCAGTCCACCGCGTCCACCCCGCAGCCGCTGTACGACGAGGAACATTCCATGTACTTCGATATGGGCACCGATACTCGCACCCAGCGCCGCGTCCCCACCTACGTCGCTCAGCGATCATCCAACTTGTCTGCCTCCTTGCAGCCACGGTATATGTACAACCCCAGAGCCTCGCAGGAGGCGTCCCACCCGACTGCTCACGTGAGCAACCCGTCGCCTTCGGTACCCTCCCCGGGCTACCCCATTCCGCAACATGTCGACCCCACCCAAGTCTTGAGTCCGAGCGATTTCGCGGCTGGTGGCTCCAATACTGCCATGTTCAGCTTTGGTGCTGATTCCGATGTTGAAGATGACGATGGCGCGCTGTTCTCTCGGGGGGGCTTGGCCATGCCTGCCGAGTTTGGCGATGACAATATCAATGATTTGAATGCCGGCTTGCACTGGGATGCATCGTTCCCCGGCTCCTTCCACTCGCTGCCGGGATTTACCGCACAACATCGCAAGCATGTCACCATCGGCTCCACGGACTTGATGGAGACCCCGAGCGAATGGAGCCAGGGAGGCGGCCTGGGTCGCACGCATGGATCGGCGGCATCGGTCAGCGAGGTGCGCAACCGCGAGCAGGATCCTCGGCGCCAGAAGATTGCGCGGACCACCTCGACCCCAAATACCGCCCAACTCTTGCGCCAGAGTATGAACTCCGCCCCTACCTCGCATACTTCGCCCAACACTCCGCCCGAATCGGGGTTGAACAGTGCCGCTCCGTCTCGCCCCGCGAGCCCTGGCGGCTCCAAGAACGGCGAGCAGAACAATGGCCCAACCACCTGTACCAACTGCTTCACCCAAACTACTCCCCTATGGCGGCGGAACCCCGCGGGTCAACCGCTGTGCAACGCCTGTGGTCTCTTCCTCAAGCTGCACGGCGTGGTGCGTCCTTTATCGCTCAAGACCGATGTCATCAAGAAGCGGAACCGCAACAGCGCCAACAGCCTTGCGGTCGGATCGTCCCGCGCCTCAAAGAAGTCGGCGCGCAAGAACTCCGTTCAGCAAGCCCCTCCCGTAACCACACCTACCTCGAGCAGGGCACAGAGCGGAACGACATCCGAATCGCCTCCCGCCATGTCTGGGGGCCCGTCCAGCCGTGGATCGGGCGTGGTACCGATTGCTGCCGCCCCGCCCAAGTCCACGCCTTCGACTACGTCCCCTGCTGCCACCAACAGCCGCAGCGCTATGCAGGTGGCGCCAAAACGCCAGCGTCGGCTGGAGAAGGCCTTCGATATCGATATCGCTGATGACGCTAGTCGATCTAGCACCTCATCGACCGGACGATCCAAAGTGGTTCCATTGGCTCCGGCCATGCCCCCGGCGGCAGCCAACCCCGCCAATCACAGTATCGCTGCCGGCCAAGGCGCCAGCCAAGAGTGGGAGTGGTTGACGATGAGTCTGTAGTTGGATTTCATCTCCCGTCTTTCCATCCTTTTCTCATTCTCCGCTTATTTATTCTTTTACGTTTTTACACTGTTTTATTTGACGATGTTACTCTCCACCCATGTTACTCTCCCCCCCTTGTTTATCCCCCCCCCCCCCCCTTCAACTCCCGTGGTGGACGTTTTATGCCATGACCTATAGACCTGATGACTACGCGGCTGCGGTTTGAGATTCTCTCTAGAACAAGCAGGCGTTTGCTAATACGACCGGCGTCAGAAGGCCAGGATGGCTTGTGCGGCGCTGATTAATGGTTGACGAGTGATGCAATTTTCGGTTCGGTTATTTTGTCTCCGGGTCTTTCTTCTTCTCCCATCTCTTTCATGTAATGTGGGCGCGGCGGCTAGGCTCGATGGATGGAGACAGGAGTCGATTGATACGAACGTCTGTCTATTGGGAGGGATTGTCCCATCTCTGATCCCAATGTGTGTTTTTGTGCTTTCTGCTTGATACAATCGCGTCTGTCCCGGAACCTGGCCTTCGTCAGTTTTCTGTTTTTCTTTCCTCGTTTGTCATTTGCATACGAGGCCAAGGCCGGACAGAAGTGCGCATCTCTTTGTTTTTTAAGGTAGTGAATAATAGACTATAATTTCTTGCGCATCTATATTATCATCTTAGGTATGAGGCTGGTTCCAAAGGAATAATAGTATCTCCGACAAGATCTAATCTCCACGTGACCCCACGTGATGGCATAAATTTTATAGCTTCAACCCTCGGCATCCTCCACTACCAACAACAGAGTTCTTTTCTCAATTAGGCTTTCATTGCTCTCTTGTGGATTCCAATATCTTTGGTCACAGAGAGATCTTAGCTGCAGCCACCCTACCCCTGAATCGCCAGCTGCGGAACGGACCTGCAACATGGGGGCCAGCCAAAAAAGGAAGAAAGAGAAGCAAAAAGACTTCCAGGTGCGTTGAGCTTCCTACAGCAGAGATAAAAGCTAATCAGGTCCAGAAACCCAAGCTGAAGGTGGGCAAGGCAAAAGCCAAGCCGGATAACTTTACAGACACCAGTTTCAAATCCAAATGTACGATTTGGCTGTCTTCCGCGTGAGACGTAGCAGACTAACCAACCAACCCCCAGCAATCGTTCTCAACCAGCAATCCCTCAAACTCAACGCTCCGACCGCAAACGCCCAATTCACGCACCACCTCTCCCTCCTCTCCTCCAAGTCAGACGCCCAACGACGTGACTCAATCGCTCACCTCACAACCTCCATCACCGCGCGCCCCGTCGACTCGCCTCTCCCCCAGCCAGTGAGCATGATCCTCCCCGCCGTGCTCCCGCTCATCCTAGATGCCAACAGCGGCGTCCGCACCCAACTCCTCAAGCTCCTCCGCTCCCTCCCCGAATCTGACGTCCAGGACCATGTCATCCAACTCCTGCCGTACATCCGCGCAGGCATGACCCACCTCGCAGCCGACATCCGGCTCTCAGCAATCGAGATCCTTTCGTGGCTTCTTCACGTCGCGGGGGCGGAAGTTGTTTCCTCTGCGGGCGGCTGGGTTAAAACGCTGAATTGTTTTCTTTCGCTGTTGGGATGGCACACGGAAGCTTCCTCAAAGTGGACGTCTATATCTTCGGCTTCGGCTTCGGCTACGACGAAGACGTCGACCAATCGGTCAACGTTTGGGAAGGCCGGTGCGGCGGGGAGGCCACAGGTCAAGGTTCTTGCTGTTCTTGCAGAGTTTTTACAAGCTGGGTTTGGATTTCAGGAGGCTGACTCCGAGGGTGACGAGGTTGCTGCTGCGGGGGGTCCATTTCCGATTGTGCAGGTGCAAGCACAGATGATTCCGCGGACTGCAGCGCCGTACCTCTATTTGAATCTGTTTGGGCAGCCGCGTGACGAGGAGGGGGAGATGTATGAGACGCGCGAGGACCGGTACCGGGTGTTCGAAAGCCGGTTCTTGGCTGCGGTGGAGAAGGGGGTTGAAGGGGCGAGGCAAGAGGGTGGGGAGGTGGGAAGGGCTTCTGCAGGCGTCAGAAGAGCATTGGCGGAGGGGAGGACTTAGCTGGATGCAGCGCAGCACCACTGTGAGTTGGACTTGGTCTGTAGTGCGGGTCAAAGGCTAACGCGGGAGGATCAGATGCGGAGGACACAGCTCTCAACTAGACCTGTTTTCTTTCTACTGCTGTCAGACCCTGACAGGTCGTTATTAACCCTTAGGTCAAGCTTTCCACCACAACCACAGGCTCGTTCGAAAGTGGAGAGTATGCCGTCTGAGCACCATCATGCAGTCAGAAGATAAAACATCCACTTGGGAAATACGGCAGAACCATTTTTATCTGCTTCCACTCACGGCTAATCACACTTGGATCCCGGCTCTGTCTCTAGTCGGTTCTCCACGTTCTACACTAGAGGAGCCCCGTTAGCTCGCGCTGATGCGGTGCAAAACATCCAGATATCTACTGCTTCCTCTTAAGCAGAGACTATCCACGTCTCTTCCACAGCAACAAGCCACCTAACTGTGCTTGCACGCGAACGCAGCCATTCCAGCGTGGACCTTGCTCTAGACCAGGTCCCAACTACTGATTCGATTCGACCTTTCGGGTACTGCATCGAAATGCTGGCTTGCTTGGTGGTAAATCACATGGATTTCTTCCCGGTTGTTTGCTATAGCTTAGGTAGTATAGACAGGCCAATAGATCGGCCTACACATGATAGACAGCGACATGTTTACTCAAGCTTATGAACAATGTCCATCCATCCATATTGTATAACCTTCATCAACACAATGACATCCTCGGTCACTACGGAGGACCAAGTACAGATTCCAACTACCCTTTTTGACCTGGCTAAATGTATGTATATATAATCGACGAGTTAGCCAACACAATCACGAAACATTAATAGGAACGCCCACAGGCCATTGAAGGAAACCATTACAGAGCAGGCACCTACTGAATTAAAGCACTCTCACTGCTTGAACTATCCAACCGTTTGAATGAGTGCTATTGTCATGCTCAATATAAGATAAGCCATCAGTTACAAGTGCCCCTATGTGCTATTATTTATTACTGAGGCCCAGGGTAGATTGAGTACATATCTATATCTGCATTTCGCGTCTCGCCCATCAACCCTGAAAAATTTAAAGTATAGTATCTGGTCAGTTCTCCCTGATATTACTCCGTAGTGTACCTCCTATCAGCATATTTCATGCTAACTATATATAGATATATATATATATAACTAGGTAGCTACCGCTGTCCTAAATTTCAGTCAGCATTGGAGCGCTTACTCCGTACAGGCTAGGGCTAGGTCGTTCCCTAATTTCAGGCCTTTTTGTTTTTTTGCTTTTTCAAGGGCTGGTTAGTTTGTATTTCCGTATATTGGAAGGATTTCTATACACGGGGCATCCTTGCTCAGTTGCTGTCATCAGTTTCATTACCGAGTAACTGGATGGAACTACTCCGTATATCAGCTTTTTTGTGCGAAGCGACTATGTTACTGTAGCTACGACTAGCTCGGAGCAGTGTATATTATCGCAGCTGGAAAGGTTCTGGGCTATTCGGAATCCTAGCTGGGCCCTGGGGGGGAGCAAGACAGGAGTCGGTCAGAGTCAGAGTCAGAGTCAGGGTCAGGGTCACTAGTTATAAGATGCTGGTTGTATAGGCCAGGGGGGGGGGATGTGGATGTCTTACGCTGGCTTGGATTTGTGTAACTAGGACCCCCCCCCCCGTATGTACCCTACGCGTAGATCGCTGAACACTCGTATGTACGGAGGATGTCCCAACTGCTTTTTGTAGCTATTCTTGAGGGCGAGATCCGCCGTCTGTCTCTGTTTGCTAGACTCATTCCTTACCAAGATTGGATTGGATTTATTGGATAGCTACGACATTCACATGGATATAACATGAACGGCAAGTCAAGTACCCTAGTAAATCACTCATGCCCCCCCCCCCCATGGAAAAATAGAGTCCGCATCCCCAGCTGACTTGAACGAAGAAATTGCACGCAAGAGAGGATCGGCTCAGTTTACCGTGTCAACCCCAGGCAAGGGAACCACCCACCGGGCTTTCTCGCTGCAGAGGTGGCTGGCTGGAGACATGGAGTGCTGCTGCCACGTCAGGTAAGTCTAATTCTAGGCATACCGTATCGCTCAAGCCCTCTAGGTGCTCTATTCGATCAGTTGTTCGGCTTCTCCGGATAAAGCTGTGTCTGATTACTCGGTGCTAACCGGTTCGTTCGATATGAAGTGTGTCTCAGTCCTAGTTTCAGTCCCACTTAGGAGGCGCAGGAGTAGCAAGTTCTCGCGAAACTGACATGGCGGGTGCACAATCTCTATGCGTTAAGCTTGTGCAGGATGTTGAATAAACCGAGCCAACGATGAAGGCGATGCTTGATTTGGGGTAGTGGGCAGAGACCATGGCCAGTGCTCTGGGTACATACGGACGGACGTTGAAGCTCTCGGGTATAAGAGACGTAATAAACAGTATAAGGCAGTCTGTCTGTCAGTCTGTCTGTAAACTGTCCGCGTGCTGCAGAGGTCGTGTCGACAAAAGCAAGCCCCAAGGAGCATAAAGGTTTACACTGTAAACTCTGAATTCAAGACCATACTCTGTAAAACGTCTCCTGCTGAAATCAATGACAAATTATCGAAGCGGTGGAATCCTGGGATTCTCCGTACTGCGTACGTGTACTACGAACTAGGTATACGGAGTCCTAGTTCGATGCTCGCTTGATTTAACCCTAAAAGCCATCTTACATGCATCACCACGGACTTGACAGAGTAGGTTGCTAGATTCACCCCACCCCGTTCCACGCTGGCTGCAATCCAATGCAGCGTTAAGGCTTGCAGAGGTTTGAAAGAACGAGGCTGGCTGGACCAAGCATGGGTCAATTGAGTTCAGTTCTTGTATGCCGGTGGTTTCCTTGATCCTTCTGCCCCGTAACTACTTTTCAGTGCTTTGTGACCAATAATCGCACCACTACTGGCTGTTGGCGCGGGTTAGCTGCAGATTGATTTCCGCAAGCCACCGAGAAGAGATGGCGCGCGTCCTTCTGTTATTCAGAAAGATGTCCTTGACTGGTCTCAAATTTGCAAGGTTAGCAAGGCTTTGAGAGCCACACTGAACGTTCTGGGTCTGTGAGTGACTCAGTCGCCGTCGCGCCGTTCTTCAGTCACTACCAGTAGCAGGCAGCCCCGGGGGTGGAACTTGGAGCAACAGTCCGGCGAATCCGAATAGGCAGACGAGCACTGTATCCTTTGGGCAGCAGCGGGGACGTAGTAGATACAAAACAGAAAAGCCAGGCAATGCATGTTTACTAGCCTGGAAGCTGTACTGAGTTGAAATAGATTAGATACGTAGTAATTGGGGGGACCCAGGGGGGGGGGGGTTTATATAGATGATAAACCCCTTCTACATCCACAGAGCTGGTTGCGTGATTATTCTCTTTCTTTTCTATCAAGGCTACACTCTCTTCCTCATATCAGAGTGCAATGCGTGTGCTTAATCTCGTTTTCGTGTCGGCGTTTATCCCCCTTCTCTCTGGGGTACTCGCCGACCAACCTGCACAGATTCCCATCTGCCATAAATGCGAGGAGAACAAGGTTCCTCCTCCTCCTCCTCCTCCTCCGCCGGCAATTCCACGATGCGGAAAAGGAGCTCTCCGTCCTCGACCTCGAGGTGGAGAGTGCGTGGTGACATACTCATGCTCCGGAAACTGTGGAAATGTGGCCATCCCCCATCTGAACAGCAAGAGCATGGAGTGCGATTACGCCGAAGTCACTGTGGGACCAGATGGCTCGATCATCGACCAGTGTTGCGACCCGCCTGAGTGTCCCAGTAGCTGTCCTACCAAGCCGGGTTCAACGGACCAGTGTTTCAATGATATGTACGGATGTCCCGCCATCGACGGCACAATCCAGCGCTTCGGCGGCAAGGACTACATCTACCATTGTCATAGCGGGTTCTGCGCGACTACCATCAGCTCCGTCAGCACTACAAACACGCTGAGCGAGTGTGCTGAGAAATGCTCGCGCGACCCAGCCTGCAAGATGCTCTCCCACAACGGGAAGACATGCACCCTGGCTACGAAAGTCGGGTCAATCGAGAAGGGCCCCGGCTCTGTCGTGCTGGAGCCAATCAACGGCCCTAAACCACCACAGTCGAACGATGACTGCTCCAAGATAGACAACACCCGGCACACGATCCACGGAATGGAGTTCCTCCTGCGTTGCAACACGCGCGTGACAGATCCCGCCACATGCAAACCACATCCAGCATCGTCGTATGAAGAATGCGCCAATCTGTGCGCGACGGACACCAACTGTGCCAGTGCGTCTTTCTCCGCCGGACACTGTTGTATCTCAGACAAGAAACCCAGCGCGTCAAAGCAGCCCGGATCTATTGGGTTGGAGCCGCTCCCTGGCTATGGATGTCCCTATGTAGACTGGGCTGTCAAGGACATCGGCGGTGTGCGCTACGAGTATCACTGTGACGCCTGGTTGACATCTGGCGGACAGTGGACTCTTGTTCCGAGCAGCAACGACATGAACTGTGCGCTACAGTGCTCTAAGAATAAGCAGTGTACTGGTATTTCTCTACGCGGGAATCAGTGTTACATCGCTACTGCACCCATCTCTCTCCAGCCCAAGGGTGACTGGGTTGCTTTGGTTCCAGTGACAGGCGGCGGCGGCGGCAATGGTGGTAATGGCGGCGGCGGCGGCGGTACTGAGGAAAAGGGATTGAGTGTCCCAGAGTGTAAAGAAGCACACGGACACGAAGTCAAGTACAAGGGACATGTCTACAAAGTGGACTGCTACCGCTGGGTCGGAGGGGACGGGTTCAAAACGGCGACAATGCACAAACTAGCGGACTGCATCAAGATGTGTGCTGATCACAGTAACTGCGTGGCGCTCCACTACCTCCCCCACCAGCAATTCTGCGCAATCCACGACAATATCCCACGAGTCGGCACACAGGGTGACTTTGGCGTGGCATACGTGAAGAGGATTAGTTGAACGGGGGGGGGGGGGACGCCGAGGATTCAGGAGTAAGCGTTAGCTGTTAGCCGTTATGTAGCTGATAGGAAGGACACTCCATGCGCGTTGGTCAGCGGGGGATTCCATCTGAGTCGAATGATACTGTGATTGATGAGCAGCAGCAGCAACTTGTAAGCCAGCCGTTTGCCTCGCGTAGCTCAATACTCTAAGCCAATTGAATGATTTACATGTCCTGATGATACTGGAGCTCCTCCGGACGTAGCCAGCCAGCCACTACTCTGTATACACCCGTATCAGACGTATAGAGCAATGTATTCTACTAGTACTAGGCACTGTTGCTTTTGTACCAATTGGACCCCATAGATCCTTCTTTCCTCCTCTAATCCTGGCCTCGTTCGAACCTTATTCCCGGTTATAATCCCTGCCATTGTTCGTTTACCCCCGGTCTTCACAAACTCCCACCTGCAAGCTGTAGTTCCTCCTATGCAGCCCTTCAGCCGGCCACAATTCTGCACCTTCTCCAAGTGTCCCACGACGTGGGTCGAGACCATGTACCCACAGATCGCAGGCAGGTGACAGCTCCGCATTCATCCTTTCAGACCCACGATGCTTGGAAGGGAAGACTTTGCATTGGCGGAACGATGCCCGCAGGATGTCATATCCTGCCGTGTAACCAAACGATAAGACACGAGAGAAAAAAGGGGGGGGGGGGGGCAGAACAGCACTAGTTTAGGGCAAAACAGGATGGATCTTGTCTTGAACCATAGAGTACTCTCAGTAAGCACGGAGCCATAGGTTTGCTGCCCCAGAGCCGAACTCGCATTGCGAATGCAACCCGGTGAGGAGTGTGTGGAGTGAATGTGCAGCGTATATAAGACAGCTTCCCCCCCCCCCCCCCCCACCCGTGTGGAAGCACGTAGGAGGAGTCGAGTTTAACCTGCATGCCTCCCTACTATTCCATCCTTATACTTTGAACCATAACCAGGGTCTTTTCCGTGATCGTAATGGATAATCTGCTTACCTTCAACCTCCGCGTCCCTGTGGGCGTGCAGGTGGTCTCGCACCTAATCAGCGAGAACACCATCATGGAGCAATTCCTGTTGATTCTCAGCTCCAGTCTTGGTGGATGCCGATACGAGAAGTACCGCAAGGAAATCGAGGGCTTCACCAATGGCTCCCTCACGGGACTCGGGCGTCTGGAGCTCCAGAGCGCCCTCGCCCTCTTCGCGGGCAAGGTGGCAGATCAGATTCTTGCCGATTTCGTGCCAGAGCTGTCCGTTCTTCTTGGAAAGGTGCGTTTTGTTCGTTCACCCAACCCTGCAATGGGGCATGGAAGCATGGAAGAACACCACCATTCACAAATAAAGCAGAGCCTCCCTGGAGCCGGTGACCTCCCAGCCATTAGAAACATGGGCAATGCCTCGACAGCCACGCCCTCCGAGGCGACCCCGGAGCCCCAGCCCGAACCGGAGCCCGTTGAAGAACCGCCCACGCCTGAAGCAGAGACCAAGAAGCAGCTGAACGAGTTTGCGAGCAAGAACCTGGCTAGCTTCCCGCAGTTCTCCGAGGAGAAAATTGAACAGATCACGGATCAAGCGGCTGCAAGCATCCAGGGTATCGCGGCCAAGTCGAACATTCCCGACGAGGAGATCCCCAAGGCAGCGCAGTTGGCTTTCTACGACTTTACTATTCTCTATGGTGAACTTGTTCCTATCTCTATCTCTATCTCTATCTCGATCCATATGCTAAGAAATGCAAATGTAACAGACGACAGCGGCTCCATGACCACCGAAGCATCCCGTATCCCCACGACCCAGGAGACCATCCGAAGCCTATACAAGACCGCCAAAACGCTGAACCCGGATAACTCGTTCTCAGTGCGCTCCTTCGAAGGCTCCAATCACGACAACGTCAGCTCCGAGTCGGATCTGTCCGACGTCATCTCGGGAATGACCTTCAACACTGGCGCCAGCGTCGCCGCACCGCTCAGAAACAAGATCCTCGATCCGCTATCCAAAGCCGCAGCGGATAAGACTCTCAACCCAACTGTGGTAGTCATCATCACGGACGGAGACGTAAGTCAATTAGTTACTCCCCATATTATATATATATATATATATATACTAACCGTTTCCAAACCCAGCTCGGAAGCAACGTCGTGGAATTCGGCGCCGGCCTTACCAACTTCAAGGCCCAGCTTGACGCAACCAACAACACTGGACCCGCGGTCCTGTTCGTTCTCTACCGCGTGGGGAACGATCAGTCTTCCGAGGAGTCTCTGAAGGAGCTGCACACTGCGCCCGGCGCGAAGGATATCCTGCTTTACAACCAGGATAGTATCGACAGCAAGCTTGAGAGCGTGGGCGGAGATACTGATATTTACGTGGGAACCGTAAGTCTTATCTGTTGCTCCTTTTTTTTTTTTTTTTCCTTCCTTCTATTGTTCGGTTGATGGAGAGATACTGACTGACTGGGGTAGATTATCTCCGACTTGATTAAGGCTATGGATTTGCAGGTTGTTCGCTAGGATGTAGTATAGTATAGTATAGTATAGTATAGTATAGTATAGTATAGTATAGTATAGTTCCCGTAGTTATGTAGTAGGTTAGGCTCCACTGGACTTGTCTTGAGGTACATATGTGTGGTCTGGATGTCGGTCGTTATGGAGGAACTATGGATTGGAGCTCATATATAGTATAATACCGGTACAATATGACATTGTTTCGCATTCTTCAGATAGCACAGATATACATACAGAGTACTCGCATATTCAAGGTAAGGCTAGACCTGACTATAACCAAGTGGTGGTGTCCGTCCGGATCTGGCGCAATTGAACTGTGCAGTTTTTATGTGCAACTGAGACTTGACACAATATATATCTTCACTCTGGCGGAGGGCTTGGAGCGATGATCGTGATTTACTTCTGTTTGTAGACAGATTGTGGAGGTTTATGGCTTGATGCAAAGCGGTCCGGGCAAGTATGATATGATAAATAATAGTAGATTTAACCAACATTACAGTTCACCAGAAACAGGACACATACCGTAGAGAGATGGAATGGAGATAATTCAGATAAACTCCTTCTCTCCCTTATTTTGCACCCGAATCTCCTCCGCCGACTCCGGCGCCACACTGTCTACCGCCCCCTCCCGCATATCATAAATCTCATCAGCCAGAACCGGCCTTTCAATCATCGCCGCCGGCACTGGGAAGAGCATCGACAACCCCACATACACAATACTCGTGCCGACGAACCCCAAAATCCACCCAAACTGGTATGGATGAACACCCACCCCCACAGGGATGCCCGAATTTACAGAGTTAATCAGCCCCGGTAAGCTCGGGGCCACGCCAGCCAGGAACGCAACCACCGCGCGCCAGTTCACCAGCCAGCCTGCAAAACTGTAGATTGGGTTTTGCGGTTGGTAGAGGGCCAAGGTGTCGTATTTGCGCTGCTTGATGAGCCAGAAGTCCCAGAGCATGATGGCGGCGATGGGGCCGAGGAAGACTGCATATGCGGACATGAAGTTCAGGAAGTTTCCGGCGGATTCCAGAATTTTCCAGGGGACCAGGGCCCAGGAGAGCAGGCCGCAGAGGATCTGGCCGCGGCGGAGGTTGACGTAGGTCGGGAAAAGGGCCATGAGATCATTTGCGGCCGAGATAGAGTTCGCGGAGATGTTGACACCCAGGGATGCCAGGGCGAACGAGAAGGCGGCAAAGAAACGGCAGGAGCGGCTAGACCAGTTGCTGATCAGCTCGATGGGGTCCCAGGGGATGTCACCGCCGTAGCGGGACCAGCCGGCGGAGGAGGCGACGATGCCGATGAAGGAGATAAAGGTGAAGACAATGGGGAGCATCGGGACATATAGCAGTTGCCATTTCGGGGTGACGCGCGAGTATCGTGAGAAGTCAGACTAGGGTGAACGTTAGTTCCGATCGGAAAGGAGAACCGACAGTGATCCTCACCTGGTTCACGCTGAGGGTCGCATAGTTTCCTAGCACCGAGGTCATGCTCGCCAGGAACAGCCAGCTATATTGCGAACCGGAGACAGTGGCCTTTTGTTGGAAGATCGGGCCAGCGCCCTCCGCCACGAACGCCCAGATGAGGATGGCAATCCAGGCAATGGGCACGATGATTGACTTGGCTATAAACAGCCAGCGCACTTTGTTAGGGTGGATGCAGAGAAAAGGAAATTGTACAATGAAGAAAATCAAGTACGCGATCATGGTATTGGTCTCGATCCCCTGGCTCTCGGGGATGTGATTCTTGAGAGTCAAGAAACTAGGCCAAATGGCGCCGATCATCGCCTTCACCGCATTTCCCCCATTGACGTTTTGAATGGCGAACCAGAACACTGCCAGAATCGAGCGTGAGAGGATTGCAATGTACGAACCCCAGAATCCCCAGCTCGCACGAGCGATCACGGGGAAGGGAACATGGTAAATTGCCCCGACAGCGCCATTGGCGGAAATCACGAAGGAGATGATGAAGAAGGAGACGGCGACAATGGCAATGGATTCCCTCCAGGTCAGACCGACGGCGATGATACTACTAGCAAACTGCCATGTCGCCGAATTGAAGGCATCAGAGATCCAGTACGCTGCGAAATCTGGGTAAGTCACCGAAAACGCTTTTCGTTTGCGGGGAAGGGGAAGGGGGGCTTGAAATTCAAGTTCGACGTACCGATGAAACTCAAGGGACCCCAGAGTCGCGCTGACTGGGGGACCGGGTCCAGATCAAGATTGGTCCAGCGTGCATTTCCATCGGCGAACGCCGACTTGGACTGGGGGACACGGAGCTGGGGACGGCGGAACCTCATCTTTCGTTCGATCTGGAGAGGCTGGCGGTTGGTTGGAAGGGAGATCGAGATTCCCAGAACCTGCTGCATTTCGACCCTGCATGTACTGTATTTATACATGCCGGTCATCTTGGTGACCCCCCCTGCCGAAAGATTATGCATGATAAGTAGTGGTTGTCGTTGTGGTGATAGTCGCCAGCGCCAGCGCCCATCATTGGAGGAAACCGCGTCCAGCAGTCTGTAGGCTTATCTCTTATCCTGTTGTCTTGTGTATATCATGATTGATATCTCATTCTCACTTTGCTCGGCCATAGTCCCTTGGATAAGGCATTAAGCCTAATCTAGAATCATATGTTCTAATTCCTACAGTCCACTAACCCTAGATTTCGTGACATCTCCGGGACAGGTTGTCTAAAGATCAGTCATATCATATCAGCCCTCCTACAGAGTGCTTTCGGTCGAAATATACCGTGAAAGATTGGCCTTCTGACCTGCAAATCAACGGTTCGTGTAATGAATGATTCAGACGACTCGTATAGCGTGTAAATCCACATCTGCCATCTTGTTAGACGTACGGATCAGTCACAGTCTGCAATAGGGAGATAAACCCGAACTTGAATTGAATACTGCGTCTTCATCCTTGGTTGAACCATTCGTCTTCAAGGAGCTCTTTTGCAGTTGGCCTGTCCCGTGGATCCAGCTTCATTATTTTCAAGAGAAAGTCCTTATCTTGTTTTGAAATCTCTCGTTGACTAGCCAGGGAGAATGGTTTTAATTTCTCGGGCGGCACATCGTTCATAATAAGCGATAGCACCCCCAATGTCTCCTGATCAGCAAGATCCGCATACGAAAGTGGAAACGGTTCAAAATAGATGTGGTGTTTGGCAAGGATCTCCAGTTCGTATTCATCGTGGCCACGGGGGACCTTGGGCTTAAATATGAAGAAATTGTCGCCCCAGATCATGGATATAACCTTTTAAAAAATCCATCAGTCTTCGATTGATTAGCAAACATGAAGCAGCATGCGTATTCATTACCATTGTCCCGAATGACCAAATATCGGTCGCTGGGCCCCATTTCAGTCCTAACTGGGCCTCCGGACTCCGCCAAATAGGCGTCCCAATTTCGTCCCGGTCCTCACAGAAGCGGGAGGTTATGTGCACGGTACTCTCGAGGTCTGCAAGTTGGACGTCTGTAAAACGTTGCCCATTGCCGCTCTAGGAAGTTGGCGCGTAGTTCACGAGAACATTATCCATTTCAATATCTGTAAAAAGGGGGGGGTTTTTTTTTTCCGTCAGAAACAAGCACTTTGGTTCGAAAGACTTATCCAGGGGTTTGGTCCTGACCGGTGGTATGCACATAACCATCTTCATGGAGCACCTTCAGAGCCTCAAGTACCATCTTCGAGACATATTTGATCTCCCTTCCATTAAGCTTCCTGGTTGCTGAAGCGGTCTGGAGGTCATCTTCGAGATGCTCTTCAATACGATTGCGAGTGGGGCTGGTGGCTCCATGATCTCGTCGAGCAAGGGACGCAGGTATGGTGTTCTGGGCTGGAACTTCCTCAGAACATCCCTTTCCTTCGTGATACGGAAATGGCGCGCAGTTTTGATTATTACCGTCTCACCAATTTGGGTACTGTTAACGATCCAGGCATGTTAGCATCAACTAAAATTATGAGAATGTGTGCTTAATATGTACCTTCCCTGCCAGACAAATTCTCCAAGTTGCTTAGTGACTGTATATTTACTAGTTAGCTCTGCCAGTAAGACACTGGCCTAGTTTCAGGAGAGGGTTTGATGAAGTCATGTTGTCAAGAGATCAAGCAGAGGTTGGTAAGGATAAACACAGTAGGTTGACGGATATTGAAGCAGTAGTGCTATATTACTCCCGTACTCCCCCTTTTAGTAAAGTGCGAAAAGTTTAGAACACTTGCTAACCCTATACAGTAGAACACATTAAAAGCACCCTTAGTATAACAAGGGGTTTGCAAAAAGTAGTCATATAATATAGCACAGTATGAATACTTGGTTCGTATATAAAATGTATGAGCAGATATCGATAATAGCTAATTGTTGTATTCAGCCTATAGGAAACTTTTCTACCGTCATGCAAAGATAAACATTTGAGCTATTTGATGGGTAAAATTGAGTTGCCATGCCCCAGAGGCGTGCAAGGCATTTAACTCGCTCTACAAATACTATAAACAGCATACAGCTATTCCTGGCTAAAAATACCGCTCCAGCTATAAAACTTCCAAGCCCCTGCATACCTTTTGCTTGGCTATAGTATGTTGTATTATACGGCTGTTGACCGGTCCTAGGCAAGAGATTACTTATGCTAGTAAGTATAAGTAATAGTAGACCTGGTTGCAATCAATTTCCCCCTTGCGTGCCATAGGTAGGTACTACCTAGAGATAACCTGCTACTGTTCCCCCGGAAGCTTCACATCCTCCCATCCCCTTCCATCCCCGATCCCTGGTAAACTCCCCAGTCGTCGAATCCCCTTCCACTCCGAGATATTCATCCACCCGATCTGCTGGAGTCCGCCGAACCCTCCAATCCAATACACTTGCGTCACCACCATCTTCGCCCAAAAGCTAGAGTGCGGAGACAACGGCTTCCCGGGCAGCCATACCTTGGCATCGGGATGTGCATCCACATAGCACTCGCGCAGCGCGGCCTCAGTGTCACGCGGTATGGGGGTCTCAAAGGGCTCAAGGTACCCGAACAACGTGACGCGTGGCAGACCAGCTTCACTGAGCGGGAAGCCTGGGAACACGGGGTTGGTGCTGTTGACGTGGTCCCACCAGTCGATCGAGAGACTGAGGTTGGAGCCGGCAGCGGTGTTGCGGAAGGTGGTTGCGACGCGGAGAGCGAGGAAAGTTGGGTCGCCGTTTCCTCCAGAGCCAGAGTCGAGTGGGAGCGCTTCGTCACAGTCGGCGAAGTACTCGCGAAGACTAATAGGCTGGCCTGCGACGGAGGCTGGCGCATGGGATTTTAAGGGTAAGGGATCAGGAAAAATGGTCGAGACCACACCGGAGGTCGAGACGGCGAGGAGGCGTCGTGCCATTAGGGTTGAGGTGAACCAGGACGGAGGGGGGAACATGGACTCCTCCACGTCACCTTCGCTGGCGTCCACAGAGACGGCATCGTGGGGGACCGTTTCCTCCCGCAGGATTGTCGACCATGATTCGGAAGACTCACCAAGGACTGCCTGAGCGGGACCTTTGTCCCTCGCCGTAACCACAGGAGTAGCTGTAGCTTGAAGGGAGAACCAGCCAGAGAGAGTCAGTGCGGAAACCAACCCTGTAATCAGGAAATGACCCATGACTCTCATGAGACTTAGAGAAGTAGAAGATGACAAAAGGTGATGGAAGAATGCTACGGAGAGAGAGGAGAACTGGAAGAGGGGAAGAGTCAACGGTCCATAATATACCGGGCCCCTCCCCCCACTGATAACCGGCTCTGGGGACGCGTGACAGTGGGCTGATCTTATCTGATCGTGCTATTCTATATGAGGCTAGCGTTTGATTCACGCCATTCCGTTTTTCTCCGCCTTGAATCCGCCATCTCCCGTAATGATTGGTGCCTTACTGCCTGGCAGCCTTTGGACCTCACCGAAGCCTTGCCGCCTGAGGCTGCAAGCCCATCGCCACCGTTCCGGGCATGACTCACCTGGTCCGTGATCCGGCTCTTGGTTAGTTACCGGGGCCCAGTGAGTCATACTTCGGTATGTAGTTGTTAATCTGAGCACTGGAGGAAGCGGAATATAGTGAGAGTTCAGATTCTGCTGGTATTGGATGAAAAGATCGTCCTTACCGCACATGCGAGTATACAAGAGGGGGGGAAATATCCAGACACCTGATAGTGTACGTGCAACGGGGGTCTTACGCTGGAAAAAGCCGAATAGAAATCAGAAGAAACTCTCAATCGAAAAAAAAAAAAAACACCTAGCAGACTCCTAGCAACCCCAGTAAACTCCACGACTGCGGGTGTGCAATCCTACCTGACAGTGGCGAATAGCGAAGGACAAAATATTGACGAAAGAATCCATAATCCATTCCAGTTCCTCCTGCCCATCACACTCCAGTTCAGATGATAGTAAAAGCACGCAACCAGTAAGTGACAACAATGAAAATGACCAAGGAAAAAAGACAAAGAAAATAAAATAAAAAACACATCGCAAGATTCCTACCCCGGCATACATCATACACCAGCAAGCTCAATCAAAGCCGCTAAAATAAAGTAATGGTCAATACAGACTCCCATCTCCGAAGCCCAACAGCGGTAGGGTATATACAATGACGAGAAAAAAAAAATTAGACACTTTTTTTTTTTCCCATTGCAAAAAGAGGATCTTTGAGAGAGAGTTCGCACACAACTTTTCCCGACCCATCGTCCGCATCTCTTCCTTGTGTAGCGTTGAGAGGGAAGTTCAGAAAGAGAGTTACTCGATCGACGAGTTCGTAGAGTCGATAAAAAAAAAATAATGATTATGCAATAACCGGTGTTAATAATAAGAACTTTTCCTTTCTATACAGAAAAGAAACGCAAAATGAGGGAATAAGGGAGGTGCGGGTTCCATAAGAGTAGGGTCAAAGGAAGGGAGGGGAGTTGAGCTGAAAGAGAGTTTAATCTAGCTCATATAGTCGGCACGCAAGCTAGGATGGAGCGCAATCTTGCGAGCTTCGCTCCCACAGCATGCACGCTTCATGCCGGCGGGACCAGAGAGCGAAGCACCAAAGCCAAGAGCGCTGAGCTGCGAGACCGACGAAGGGGTCTGGTTGGCTGATTCAGACTTGCGAAAGACGTTAGCCATAGTACCATCCGCCAGGACGGGACCTTCAGAAACAGAGTCAGTGCGCATCAATCGGCGAACGTGATTCTGCAATTGCAGGTCTTCGGATCCAGTGCGGCCACGCTTGCGACATTGACGACGGTGAGACCCTGGCGCGACCGTTTTCTGAGGACGGCAAATGGCACCCGACAATTCGCAGAGGCTCTGAGCGGCTTCATGGGTAGACGAGATATCTACTGGAGTTCTTAGCGAAAAGCTAGAGAGATCAGGAACCCGGCCGCCGCGGCCAAAGTAGGTTTCCGGGGAGCTGTATGCATCGCTGAAAGAAGTTTCATCAATGGGAGATGCAACACCCAAGTGTTTCCGAGTCTCTTTCAAAGAGTTGCCAGTGGATCGCATGGTGGCCTGGACCGCTAGACGAGGCAAAGCAGCTCCATTGGTACCCGAGAAACTCGAGGACAAGGAAGATCGGGAAGACTGGGAAGACTGGAAAGACTGGGAAGATTGGGAAGAAAGCGTGGAGACATCCGAAACCATCGACTCTGGTGAAGATGCAGATGACGTCGAGCAAGCCAGGGATGACCGGCGCAGCAAGGTTGGGTAACCATCCAGCGTGCTAGTTTTAGGGCAAAGCGGAAGTGACGGGCGCTGATCGAAAATCGATCGCGCAGTACACATGCTCTGCGCCTGAGACATTGCAGCATACATATGGCGCCGGTGAGCAGCCTGGCCGCCGGCACTCGCAGCAGGAGTGGCGGCGTTGTTTGACTGGGGGGTCATCTGAGGGGTGGGCAGCATCGGCAGTCGGGGCATCGCGGGGAGGGCTGGGAGGACTGGGACACAGCTTTCTGCTTGGCTGTTCAACTCGGGAGCCGGAACAGCGGTCGACTCGACAGAAACGGGGGCCGGGCAGTCAGCGCCGCGCGGGCCAGTGCTGCGAGGCGAGGGGGAGTCGGTCACCAAGTGAGGGTTGAATTCGCCCATACTCGAAGGCTTCATGGGCTCAACATCAATTTCCTCCAGCTCCGGAGTGAGCTTCGGAATCAGTGTGCGCCAAGACTGTCCTTCAAGAGCAATCATACCCCCCGCACTGGGAGTATACTTCAGAACGATGTCTGTCCAGCGCTGGAAGGTGGCTTCGGAAATGTGAAGTCGCCAACCAACGGCCTCGAGGAACATCAACTCGTTCTGGTTGATTTCTGTCGTATTCAGGCCGGAAATCTTGCTCCAAGCGCGAGCAGAATAATTACGGTCCTGAAGATATTTAGACGCCAAGATCAGAGCGGCCAAAAACATGCGTCGACCACACTGCATGGCACGACAGACAGGTTTGGCCCGCGACTGATCGTGGGTCAGATCATGGCTTGGCACGTGTGACTTGATCTTAATCAGGTAGTAGAGCGCGACCTGCAACGTGCTATAACTAGTCCGGGAGCGGCGGAGAGTTTCTTGGATAAAGGTACGCAGGGGTAAAACACCCTTGCATCCCGTGCTAGAATCACTGCGCAGCGAAACCGCGGATAAGGGCCAAATGATCTCGACGATCTGCGACGCGGTGTCTTGGGGACCGAAAATCTTAGCTCCATGGTTCGAAAAAGCAATAAAAAAGCCGCCCCCTAAAAAGGAAGGTGTTGGGGGGGGGGGGGGGGGAGGGCCAATCATGGGTATCCTCTCATTCACTCACCGACAAGATTATCGACAAAGTTAACCTTCCGCTCGGACTGCCGGAGCAGACAGGGCGGAGGCCGCGTGCAAGACACGCCGTTTGACTGCACTACATTGCTAGTACGTCGGGGATGCTTGCGCATTTCCCGCGGAACAGCAACTTCGGCAGCTTTAGGGGCAGTTCCCCTTGAACAAGAACGAACACCACCAGGGGCAGCCAGTCCTCTTCCTCCGGCAGGGTATTCACCATCATGTTCCCAAATCACATCGACGGAGTTCGTTGATGTGGATGAAACCGAGCTCTGGGTGGAGAGTCCATCGAGGGAGAAAATGGAGGAGGAGGAGGAGGAGGCTGAAGAAGAGATCGACGATGCATATGGGTGAGCGTAGGATGCTTTGTATTGAATGCTTGGGTTTGAGCCCAACACGTCAATCCCTGACATATCCGAGAAGCTACAGAGTCTCGCGACCTGAATACCCTCAACAAGATATCGAAGTAGAAAAGTATTCTCTAAGGATGATCCAAAGGGACAACCTTAAAACGTGGGACTAGCCGAATATGGGAAAGGATGATGCAAAGATCTTTAGTTTGTAACCGTGAGTGTATCAATTATACCGTTGTGCAAATAACCGTTAACGAGAAGCGATAAGACAAGATACCGTCTTTTGTTCGCAGGCGACGGCGAGCCTTAAGAGCGATGGTACTCCAGGTTTGTAGAGTATCAAAAAAAAAAGGGGGGGGGGGGGGGGTTAGAGTAATGAGGTTAAATGAAGAGTCATTCAACAACACCAGAGGGTGAGGAGGATATGTAGGAGAGTCGAAAGGAAGAGGGGGGCAGGTGGCAAACAGGTCAAGACAGAGAGAGAAAGAGTCAGGGTCTAAATGTTCCGATCACCTATTGTAGATTCCAAGTAGATCAAGCCGGGGGTATCGTATGAGAGTAACGAGACACGTCAAAGAGTGAACGTGACTCCCCAAGGACAAAAGAGTTGGACGGGATATGACTCAAAATGAGGCAACAACCATACCAAAGGAAACACGGAGATCTGGGGTAGTGGATTCTGCAACAGAGGTGACCGGAACAGTAGACTTTGAAGCAACAAAGTACATCTTGAGGTAGGGGGGCGCAAAAGAAGTTATAGCGAGCCGATAGAACGGCCGGACTGACAGACAAGCAGGCAGGAACCGTTGGGGGGGGACCGGCGCTTGTGTAGGCAGTCAGGTGTTTATCGGAGGCAACACGAGATCCAGCGACGAGAGGAGAGGATGAGAGAAGGGAGGCTGCGATGGCAAAGAGAAACTAGTCAGCAAAGAGAACCAGGAGAATTTATGGAACCTCTGGCGCCTGTTTTGACGATGACTCCGAGTCGGAGTCTTAGCGGGCAAAAACCCAAGGGTCCGCCGTCCGGGTGACTATACGGGGAGGCGGCGGAGTAATAGGCAAAAGACTAACCCTGGCTGCCCAGAGGATAGAAAGAAAAAGAAAAAGAAAAGCTTAAGTGGCGGGGAAAAAAAAGATATCTTTAGGTAGATATCTTCAAGTCAGGCAGACAGGTAGAGACGGAGAAGGGAGAAGTGGTAAGAAGGAGGAGGAGGAGGAGGAGGAGGAGCAGTTACTCACAGGGAATTGGTGGCAAGAGTGGCGAAGCTGAGAGGGAGAGAGCGGATGCAGGGACCACTCTAAAGCAAGAGAATATTAATACGAACTACAAGAACAGAAACATCAAGAAACCCGAGATACAGTTGAAGATAATGAGGAAGAAAGGGGAGGGGGGGGGGAGCAAGAGGAGGAAAAGTCAGCCCTGAGAAAGGAAGACGGAGAAGGAAAAGAAAAAGAGAAGATGAGGATCGGAAGATGAGGACGGATGCGGATATGAGGGAAGCAGACGGGAGTCATCCAGATAGTGACATGGCACTTTTGTTTTTCTTTTTTTATCCTGGCTTCTTCTTTATATATCCTCTTCTTTTTCTCTGATTATTATTATGATTCTATCTAACTGATCCTACCATACACCAGACTACAGATAATATACCCAACTGAAGAGAATCCCGTCAAGATGAAAATTCTGGTGGTCAGCCAACCAACCACCGTATTTGGATTTGCCAACCACGCCACAACTTTCAATCCGAAGACTCGTAATGATTTCACAATCAATCTTTATTCTCACGAAAGAAAGAAAGAAAGAAAGAAAGAAGCTGGAGACTGGATGAACAACTGGCTGTGGAACCTCCACCTCACCAGGCAGCATTCATTCTTCTACCTTGAACTACCGAGTATCCGTACAGCTGTGTATATCTGTGGCTAAGAATAACCTCACTGCCTGTTTGAATTTCAGGATGGTTCATAAACAGTACGGAGTAAGGCTACGTACTTTTGAGTCATGCCGACCGGTACACTTTTGGTCCATCCAATCTACATCCTGCAAATCCGGCCTCCTCAGCATCGCCCTCCCCTGACTGGCCAATATCTCGTCTTCCGCCCGCCACCACACGTCAGAAGGATGGATGGATTGTACTTGTGACGAAGGAAGAAAATATTACTAGGTACATACATAGTATTCCCTTCCATATATGTAACTAACCTAATTCCCGACCCTCAAGTCTGAGGGATAACTACCAAACACCAGTAGTCATCTCAAAGAACCATAATATATTTAGGTGCTCCGTAGTCAAGCAATAGAACAAAGCCCCCCTCCCTACCACACAAGACATTACAAGACATAAAAAAGAAATAAAAGATAATATATTTTGAAACATAAAAAATCATCGCGACAACCGTCCTCCGCCCGCCCCTACGACGACATTCCCCGCCGTCGGATGCGTCGCATCATGCACCACACAAAGCAAATACTTCCGGTCCGGAACCACCACAATCTCATGCTTCTTCGTCCTCAATCGGAGAAGCTTGACCTCGTCGTCATCCTCCCGTTCCGATCCATCGCCGTCCCCGTCTTCGCGGCCTAATGGAGGAGGAGGAGTAGTCCCCCCCCCCGGCGCTGCACTGTCCGGGACGCTGCTTGAATCCCTGCGCTTCGGGGTCGGATGTTCCCCCAGCGGATGCGATAGTGAAAAGCTGAGGGTCGACGCGCTGCTGACGAACGCGAAGACCTGCGCCGCTAGTGCCTCTGCCTGAGAGGGCTGGTGCGGTTTCGGTGGTGTTGCGCTGGTGCTAGGGGCGGCGGGTAAGGGTAGGTCTGTAGGAGGAGGAGGAGGGGAGGAAGCGGAGTCCGGAATAGCATCTTCGGTTCCAGGTGCCGGGGGAGCTGGAGATGTGGGAGCATTTCTGGTGGGTTTAGAAGAGGACGAAGAAGAGGAGGAGGGGGAGGAGGCTAGGAGTCCGGTGCTTTGGATAATGGAGCCATCTTTGCGCGAGAGGATAAAGGTGGATTGCACTCCTGGGCGCGAGGTGAGATGGGAGAGCAGAGCGGCCACATGTTGGGGGATTTGTGGGGACTATTTCACTATCATTGTTAGTTTCGCGATTCGGGAGAAAAAAGAGGGAGGGGGTTAGATATTTCTGGGTTTGTCTGTTGAAGGGCACACATACCACGGTAGAGTTCGCCATTTCCCAAGGTGGTGCGGGGAGTAGAAGGGAGGTGTTTGTTTAGGTCGGGTGAGAAGAGGCGAGAATGTCATGAGGATGCTTGGGCACACCAGAGTCTTCTCATAGCATAGCCTGGAATCTCAGGGTATACACCAAACCAATGTCTTTAATTGCAAGCGATTGTAGCTATTCGGTGGTTGTCAATAATAACAATCCCGTCCGTCCGTCCATCCAGAACTTCGACACAACCAAACCGTGGATGACTAAGCGATGTCAGGCAAAACCGTCTCCCAACTTAACTTAACGGATCGTATACCTACTTAGTACTCGTTTACCGGCATTATTTTAATTTGTGTCAATTCTACGATGAATCCAAGTTGGTTTCGTCTCTAGTTTTGAACATCTTCCAGAATTAAATGGGTAGATTGGGATTCTCTGACTATGAACTTTCCAACGAACGGAATAATAAAACTCGTTTATGTACAAGGCAGCCGAGCAGCAAGAAAACACTAGATGGTATCGTCAAAAGAGAAGGGAAGATAATTGACACGAAGAATATTATTAATAAAAATAGCCCGAATGAGTGACGATTAGGAGAAGGAAACTGTGTCTGTCTGAACGACGCTGGCCGTTGAGCTGAGGTCACTTAGGGTAGAAGGAGCAAGCAGGGAAAGGAGAATTTATTTAAAAACGAATGCGAGATGGCCACCCAAAGGTTGAGAGAGCGGCTTAAAACATAATTCGGGTCCTCTGGCTGGCTGGTGAGTTGTCTGACTCCCAGTTGAGGTCGAATTCTTCAATCATATCCTCCAGTTCTCTGGCGTTGGAACTGTCCTCACTAGCATAACTGTCTTTCCCGAATGAATCAGGACTGGCAATCCAACTTTCTGGTCGGTAAAAAGGTTTGCCTTTACCGGTGGGTCTTTCCTGCTTGTCGTGCATCTTATGTCTGTCGTGTGTGATTTTGGGCTCCTCCGAGGCAGAGGTATTGACCGTAGCTGAGGAAGACCGTCCCCTGAGTGGATGGATTGCATTTGTAGAGAACGACGCAGTCGATTCTCCCAGAATACTTGAAAGATCCTGTTTGATCCCGACATCCAGAGCTGCGAGGAGCGCAGCCTGGAGGATCTTGTTTTGCCGCTCCAGGTGTTCGATACGCCCTTCGAGAGAAGGGTTCGGCTTCGGCTCTGGAACTTGATAGTCATGAGAGTTGTAAGACTGGTAACCCTGAGAACGATGCTTGTGTGTGCGATTCCCTGGAACATGCTTTCGACGGCCCTGTGGTGTTGGGGGGCTTATGTTTCTCGAGTAGTGCTTTTTCAATGAACGTCCCCTGTGAGAAGGTAGTTCATCAACAACAATAGGTGCGTGTTTCGATCGTCGACGTCGCCCGGATGTCGCCCGTGGCTGTGGCATGGACACCCCGCCTGCTGTGACCTCGTCATCTGAGGAAGGAAGAGGAGCCTCTGAGAGATCGGGGATACGGGGTTCCAGGGTGGGATTTTCACGTTTCGTGTCTGCACTCTGTGCACGACTACTACGGTACGCCCGAGAGGTTCTGCTGGAAGATGGGATAGGCAAAGTTTCGCTACTCTCGCGAGTTTCCGCCTTTGAGCTCCCTGGGGAAGTGCAGTTGTGTCGTACGGGGAACGAGTGCCGTAGAGGATTGGATGGAGGGGGAGGTGGTGGTGGTGATGAATGACTTGACGAGGCTTCTCTTCGGCATCGTCGGTCAGCATGAATTCGGGCTTTATAATCCCGATTTTCCACAATTGCCGGCTCTCGGAGTGACTCAGACGATTGCCGCTCTTCATTTTGGCTGTCATTAAAACCGTCAAGATAGATGCGATTCGTGGCAAGGTCTTGCATTCTCAATGAACGCGCCCTTTCTGCTCGACTTTGTTTGGTTCTTACGAATGGGTTAGATCCGGAATCGCCAGATGGATCCGTTTCCGCACTTCTGCTCTGTGCAATTGCTGGCTCTTTAGCACCTAATACTAGTCTCGGCGATGGTGTCACTCGGGCATGTAGAGAACTATTGTCATTCTCTGCGGCATTCTTTGAGCTTCTTATTTTGGAAGAAGGTTCAAATGGAGGATCAAGATCTGATTGCTTTGGCTCGCGTTGATTGGGCTGTTTGTCTTCTGAGGATATCAAGTTCGTGGATTCTAAGTCTTGCAACTCTGGCTTAGGAACTGTAGGAAGTGGTCTTAACGGTGCTGGGAGAGGAAAGGCCTCGATCGTTTCCATTGGGAGAGATGAGGACCGCCGTATATTTTTTGCTTGGGGAAAGTTCTCTTGCACCGGGCTCGCTTCGTCATGGTTCAAAGTGCATTCTTGTCGCTCAGCAGCAGCTAGGTCTTCATTGTGTGCCTCCCGAGGGGCTTCCTGAATCTTAGGCAAGGCGTGGGACAAAACTTTGGTTTCTCGGCTCTTCGATTCGGAGACAGCTGCTGCAGAGACTTTTGGGACAGAGGTCGACGTGCCTGACATAGGCCGGTGAGGGGTTGGCGCACGGGTATTTGGAATGCGCAAGGCCCCTTTACTAGAGATGCGTGGAGGCATGGTGTCAGGGAAGAGCTTTAAAGCCGGTGTTGTTGGAGCGGATGAACTCTGTAAGCCGGCTGACGGTTGGGGGAATTTCGCGACGAGTGTTCGGGTTTCTTCTTTTGACTTGACGTCTTCGAGAGGTTCGTGAAACTGCTAGAAATTAGCACTGGATTTTATGCTGTAAGATAGATGTAGTCTCACTTCTGTATTCGGCAAAATGTTTGCTGGGCGCGATTCACTAGGCTGCGACGGTGTTGAGGTCTCGGTCCCATTGTTACCACTTGAGCTGCTCAAACCTGAATTGACTGAGGTATTAGGTTTGGTCACCAACGGTGCTGGAGGCCTTGGGGTTTGTCCTGGCCTTGTGGGGGAGGCAGGATTCTGACCGAGAGGTTGCTCGATACCCTTCAAGCTGTTGTGCTCAGAAGGGGCGAGACTTTCGGGCTGACAAGAGAAGTTCACTGCAGCCTCAACAAAGGACGCAAGATCTCGAAGGTCGAGTGACGACACCTGACTGCCGTTAGAACTGGGCGAATGCCTTTCCTCGAGCGGATCTTCCAGCCATGGTTGACCGATAGTTTCGACATCCCGTTTCGGGTTTGATTTAAAACTGAGGCTCGAGACGGACCTCGAAGTAGATGCCGTGGAATCGGCACTCTTATGGCCTGGTTTGCGAGCTAGAGACGAAGTGAGATAACCTTCTTGTTGGAGTGCCAACATGTGTCGAGAGGTTTCGTCGGTCTTTATCTTCGGGTCCGCTCCTTTCTTATTGCGAAGAGCCAGTCGTATACGTCTTTGTCCAGCCTTTATCATTTCCCGAGCTCCGCTTGAATGTGAAGACCCTTGTGAAGACACATGGGTTTGGATAAATCGCATGACTTCTGAGATGTTCTCACTATTCAGTTGACTGCTTGAGGGATCTGAAGGTTGGATGTCATCTGCCATCGATAGGTACTGTTGATATTTTGGCGATAAGGTAGACATGTTGTAGCCTGGTCGTTTCGATGATTGTGAACTTGGGCGGTAGGTTGGAATAGTTGGACTCGGAGCAACTAGGGTCCCTTGGAATTTATTAACCCCCGGCATACGGAATTCGAGATGGACGTCAGCCACTAGTGAGATATTAATGATATCCACGAGGAAGATGAGAGGTCAGCATCTGATGTCTGTGGAGGCCGTAAACGAGAGTGCAGAATATGTCCGAAGTCGAGAGGTATCAAACGCAATGCGAGCAATCTCGTTGGCTAAAATTGTCGTTTGGAAGAATAATAATCAGATCATAGAGACACCATCAGGTAAACGAGCCTAAGTAAATATCCAAGACGCTGAAGAGAAGAAACGTAGCGATATGGAAAGATCGAAATTTGCGTGTCAGTATGTGTGTGTGTGTGTGTGTGTATCTTATGCTTAGGAAGCTAGCAAACGAGGCTATGTTCTGAAAATCGAGACGCACGGAATAATACCCTATAAATAAGAGAAAAAAAGGAAACAAAAAGGCGCTTGAAAGAGAGGTTCACCAAGATTTAATAAGAACTATCTCAAAATCGCGAGTTGTCAAACATCTTTTCTGAGTGAGAGAGTGGTATGTAAAGGTGAAGCAGCACCAAATGATGTCCACACCTCGTTCTCGATAGATTGAAAGATAGAGTTGGATCTAAGTTCGAAGTAGTACGTACCATTTCTTCATAGTAGGATGAGAAGGGGGATGAACCAGGGAGAAGCGACAAGCAAGGCTAGTGGATCCATAATTGATCGAAATCAAAGAGCTAGCGGCGTAGCAGGGAGCCAAAGAAGAAAAAGCAAATCCCAAAAATAAGAAATCCTGATTTCTCGAGGCACCCGTAAGCGGTTCGATCGGGATTTTTTATGGTGCCTGATGGCGCGAATGATCGACTATCGGGCCCAAGAAAATTGACAGATTAGTTTTCAAGACTAGTGTCTTGCTGGTGGCAGGCCATAAGCGCAGAAGCTCTAGAGAAGAACACAGATCTTCGTCTTCCAAATACATGGGTGTGATTTTCGATCTTCATTTTGCTCTTTTTTTTTACTCCGAAGCGGAAGATCTGTTGCCTCCAGGTGTTAAATCAGCGGAGGTACTTATTAGACCTGGGCTTAAACAGCCTCATCCAGAGGAGCTGGCCATTCTGAGCTGACCGTTCCCAGCTAAACTGCAGTGGAGAGGTGTAGTTAGACCGTAGTTACTGTACTCCATTGAATCCTGGTACAAATTTCCAGAATGGCCGAGACTCGAAGACCCCGAGTTCGGGCAGTTATGTGACTTTATTCTTTTTGACAGACATGGATCACCCTGTAACACCGGTGTCCGTAAGGGATAGTTATATTCCTCCAATCCCTTCCACACCCACAGTCCTCCCGGTGACAACGGGGAGAGGTTTGTCATTTCAGAACGCAAATATCTCCAGGATGCAGGGTGGTCAGGTTGTTTCTAGACCAGCTCGAAAACCTTGGCCCAACGATATGAGGTATCACCTGTGGATCCGATCAGAGAGTGGTGTAACGATGGGGAAGGGATGATACCTCGCTCACTGGACTGGACCCTGCTATCAACTAGCTGAATAGGGAGGTTGATCCCAAGCCCGGAAAAGAGCACACAGCTTTTTGCTAACGCCAATGGGATAGTTGCAGATCAGGCGCGAATGTGACAGATGCAAAGACGGGAGAGTGGATCACAGGATGATGGATATACCTAGGATGTACTCCGTAAAGAAAAAAAAGAAAGGAGGTGGAGAAGTGCTAAGTTGAATGGGAAAACTACCAGTGGCGTTTTTACAGGTCACATTACTCCGTACTGCAGCTTTGAACTAGCAAGAGTAAAATCAAGAAGACAACAGCTTCCCCCAATATTGAGAATCAATTTTACTCTCAAATCCCTCAAAAAGAATCATTATGAAGAGGGAAAAGAGAGACCACTATTTAACTAATATTGTGGAGAGCCACAAATAACAACAAACCATTGGCGTATAGTAAGTCCACTAACCATCTCCGAGCCCTAATTGATATCCCAAGTCCAGCGGACAAAGGAGAAAGAAAGTACTGACTATAAGCAAAGCTGAAGTCAAAGGGAAATTAGCCGCGTCGTTACTGAAAAAAAAAAAGGAAAAAAAAAAAAGGAAACCCAGAGCCCACCTCCTTGAGGCTTACAGCAGATAGTTCATAGTTTCAATGCCTAATTCATTCTCCCAATAATAGCTCAGATATCAGAAAAATGGCAATATATGGTGCTATCGAGAATTCATTAGTAAAAGATCTTCAGCAGCATGCGGACTAAGGTACCTACTGCCGTGTGGGTTCTCTACTGATAGCATAATAGTATACCACCGGGGAGTACGGAGAGTATATGCAACTACTAGTACGGAGTATACAAGATGAAACTTCAACCCCAGGAACCTGAGCTCGGGATTCGAGGTAAGCGCTCTGAATACTCAATACTATACTGTAGACAGCTAAAACAGAGATACGTACATCCTAGCAACCTCTCCTCCGGTCAACTTCCTCAAGAGGTGGCGTCATTCGACTTCACAGCATCCAACATGTCAACAGAACAGCCCAAAATGATAATCTCTTGAGTAATTGATTCACCTCCTGAAGGTTCAAGGTCGAACCTGTAACGGATGGTTTTCGAAAGCAATTGGGCCCCATGAACTGCTTCTTCTTCTTCTTCTTCTTCTTCTCCTTCTTCTCCCTGAATGTGAGCACTTTCATAATCCCGGATATCAATGTCTACTGGTAACTCCAAATTCAAACCCAAATGCTAGATTTGTTCCATGTCTTGATAGATGTATCGACAACAGGGAGCTTTCCTTTCTCCCCCCTCTGATGCTCAAGCCTTTTGCTTGATTGATGCAATTATAAATCGGAAACAAATGCCCAAACGCCATAGTATGCTTGTTTTATTCGTGCCAGAAAGGCATCATGTACAAAAATACCTCGGCCCTCGCCCCCACGGGCCAGCTGTCGGAAATAATGCTTCATCAAAAACGGGCCGATCCTAGCGACATGATATAAAGGATGCAAAATGAGGCCCAAGTGAAAAAAAAAAAAAGACGGAAAATAAAGAGAGTGTAAGAACGAGTGAATGAGCTCCGTTGAAATCGTGCGCATAAAAGTAGAAACACACGCATGGTTCTGGAGAAACATCAGTTGATCCCCAACTGCATGTGATCAGTCTTCAAATGATGTGTGCTCATGCGGGCATGGCTTGAAGAGAAGGATATCACTATCTTCGCTTTGGGCGAATAAAGGGATCGACTTCTTTCCTTTTCCGCATCGGCGGTGGAGGCCGTGTTCCGTTGCTTGGTCTTTGCTGTGGTTGCCGAGGAGCTTGCTATATTCGTGAAGATGGGTTTAGTACGCAATTCATATATCAGCGTATTGGTAGTCAATCATACCCTGGTAGGATCCGGACCGGAAGGAGTGCTGCTCAAAGGTTTGCCACTTAGGGGAGTATAGGCTGGTCCATCTCTAGACGGCTTAACCAAGTTCTAAGAGGCGTGTCAGTTGGTTTGGGATTAAGCAACATTTGAAAATGTATGAACATACCTCCGTATTGGACGGGATATTAGCGTCAATCTTGTGTCGCTGGTTCTTGGGGCCGGTAGGTGGCGCGCCTTGTTCGAACTTTCGGGGCCGGGCACTCTTTGAAGCATCTGCGACTGGGGAGTCGGTACGCTTGCGCTTGCTGGAGCCTGCAGCATGATCAGGCCTAGGTCTCTCTGACTTTCTGTTGTCATTGGCAGGTTGTTCGGTGGTAACCTGGATAACCGGCACCTTGGGATCGTGTCCACCAAGCTGCTTGAGCCGTTGCTTTTCAGTTCGCTGTTTTTGATTCCTTGCGTGGTTGTATTCTTCCCGTGCAATTCGGTTCTTTTCGTGTTTTGGTAAAACTTTGGTCGAACGACAGCTATTCGATGCATGGCCGAACTGCCCACACTCTGTGCAGCGTTCCGCAGCACAAGCAAAACGCGTGTGACCTGGCTCTCCACATCTATAACAGGTGCCTTTGGCCATTTCTTTGACCTCCTCGTTATCACAATTATGCGTCATATGAGTGAAGCTCCCGCAGTATCCACACATGCGGGTCTCATCCAAGCCATTTGGACCTCCTGAAGGACCGTCAGGTAAAGAAGCGGGTGGAGTGCCTTTGGCGGATGCGGTTGCAGAAAATGGTGATTGCGAAGGAAGATTATCCAGGGAGGCGGATGATGGTCGAGATATAGATGCAGCAGATGCAGCTCTAGATGGAACTGCAGATTCAGAGGCATCTGCATCAACCATATCGATGTTTTTGTAACCGGTAAATTGTGGTTTTTGAAGAACCTTGAGAATTTCACCTTCAGTATACACGTTTCTCCGGCGGGCGTCTTTGATGAGACTATTCCAAAACTCTCCTTGAATAAGGGATTGTGAATTACCAAGGACCCAGAGCGATGACTTGGCACGAGTCAACCCGACGTTCATACGACGAATATCGGATAAGAAACCAATTCCTTTGTTAGAAGCCCGGACGCAAGAAAAAATGATAACCTCACTCTCTCGACCCTGGAAAGCATCCGTCGTGTTGAAATCAATCATGCTGAAAATTGCATTGCCATATTTGGCAGCAAAATGGTTTTTCAACTCCCTGAGCTGACCCTTGTAAGGTGTGATGATACCAATCTTACCACTAAAGTTGTAGTCACGGAAATCCGTCACCAGTCGCTCGTATAGTTGCATGGCAACTTTCAGTTCCGCGATATTAATCAAGGAATGTCCTTTTGTGGCACTCTGATGCATACCCTGCACATCAAAAAATCGGTACGGAGTAAGAAGTTCGCTTTGATGCCAGGGGCGAGCACGAAGGCGAGCCATGTTCGGGCCATCCTGAAGCTTGCCATCGTAGAACGCCGTACTAGGGAAGACACTAATCTCCGGGTGCATACGGTATTGGGTGTCCAGTAGATGGACATCCCTCGGGTGATTAGCTTGCATACGCACGAACAAACTCTGCTCGTATTGGAACTTTGACGCAACCTTCGACAAAACCGTTGGGGGCAGCTGTTTCGGATCTCCAACAAGAATGCACTTGGAGCATCCATACTTGAGCGGAATGAGGGCACTCAATTCGATAGACTGCGCTGCCTCGTCAATAACAACAGTCTCGAATTCAATGCTCAAGTTTTGGAACATTTCATGTCCACTTCCACTAAGGGTAGCGCAGATAACATGAGCACCATCAATTATCTCCTGCTGAATTCGTCGTCTATTTAAATCGGCATCACGGGCCGCGGAATGGTTTTTGTCTCTAGCATTGTCAATCTGTTGACTGAGCTGCGTTTTCTTCTTTTTGAGTAGATCAAATTCACGCTCTAGCTCTAGCGGGACGGGAAGGCCCTGGGCCCTGCACTGATCAATCTTAGAGCGAGTCTCTTTGAAAGCAGTATCAGCAGCCTTGTGCTCCATGTAAATTTTCTGCAGGTCCACCTCCCCCCCCTCTCTGCGTGAAGTTCGATTCAATCGGGCATTCACCAGTTCATCCAGGGTTACATCAAGGACATTGGTGTTTATGGCGTCAGTTCTTCCCAGGCGAATCACCGATAGCTTCTCGTGACGACCTGTGATTGTTTTAACACCGTCCTTGAAACGCATGACCAATTCATCAACAGCTGCGTTACTGGGAGCACACACAAGGAGCTTCTTCGAGGTGGTCGTCCTTGCTGGTCCACGTGTACTGCTTGTCGCTGATGGTCGTGATATTGATACTCCCTGTTCACCGAGTACACCACTCAAAAGAGCACCCACGAGTGCTACAATCGTCTTAGTCTTACCAGAACCAGGGGGACCTTGAATTAAGGTAAAAGCGTCATTGTCTAACGCAGACTTAATGGCCTTTGCCTGGGCTGGGTTGACATTGTAGTTGTCAGCCACGAGCTTGAGGCTTGCATCTGAATAGTTGAGGATTGGTGAGGGCTTCGCTTTGATAACCTCCTCGCATAGATCATAGTATTGCAGGGCCATGAGAGCGCCATATTCACGCTCTAGTGGTGTGAGAGATGTTATTTTAGCCCCCCAGATTGTGGCACCGGGGCCTAGCGAGTTGATGAAAGGAATACCTGGGTTAACCCTATAAGAAACTTCGACTGTGCCTTTTTTCTTGTTGATGCCAGAAACCCTTGCCAGACAGTGAGGTGCTGACGAATCCGTTGCAGGGGAATTGCCTTTAGAGAGGAGAACAATGTCTGCCTCACCCAGACCGTAATCTTTGACTTCAAGAGCTGGCATCACCGTGCTAACTTCAACAAAGGAGTCCACAGACAGACGTGTGGCGACTTTGACCTCGAAGGGTTTGAAGGAGCCTTCCTCTTTGGAAGACCGGAACCCCTGCCAGGCCTCAAGTATCAAAAGGGGCTCAAATGTCCTCTGATACTCGATAGGGTCTCTAAATGTATTGGACACCAGACTGTAATCAGTGCGCCCGGAATTCGGTGGAAGATCACCGGCTGCAAAAAAGTCCCAGGCAAGAATGGTCCGATGTAGAGATGATAGGTCTGGCGCCAAACGAGCTCGCATATCCTTTGCGGAACGTACTTGCTTGATCTTCTTGACAGGGCCTTGTTGCCTGAGAGACATTCGTTTACTCTCTTCATACGCCTTTACCGCATCTGGTTTTGAACCAGTCTTGGGACCAAAGAGTTCTTTATCAAGTTCATCTTCACTTTCCGATTCCGACTCCGAGCCGGATGAAACCATCATGCTCTCAGCAGGGGTGTGGTCCTTGCCTTTTATGCCAATCCCAGCAATCGCAGAACCCTGATGAGCAGTCTGCTCAGCAACACCATGCGGTGGAGCACCTCTCTTCAACCGTGCCAGTTCAGCTAGATCACGTTTCTTCTTAGCTTCTCGCTCCCGTTCGCGTTTCTCGCGGAAGGCTTGAACTGAAAGGTTTGATTTCGGTGGAGCAGGGGCGGGCTTCGGAATCACAGGGAGCGCCTTTGCAGCCCGTTCTGCCTTTTTCTTCGCTTCCGCGGCGAGCCTTTCTTTGTTAAGCTCAACAGATCGGGAAAGCTGTAACAGAACATCATCGGAAAGATCGGCCTCTTCAAACTCGTCTGCTGTTCTTGAAGGGCTGGGAGAAGCTGAAGGCTCGGCTGGCTTTGCAAATGCAGTAATCATACTCTGCTTCTTGAGACTAGCCGTCGATGCGGTTACGACAGGCTTCTTATAGTAAGCCTCTAGTGCGCGGACAAGCTCTGCTTTCTCCCGTGGGGTAATGATGGTCTTTATAGTGGACTTTACTGCAACGCCCTCGATAAAATTCAAAGCGTCTTCCTTGACTGTTGTCACACTGAGTTCTCCCAGACGACGGAGGATTTTCGCAACAAGGCCAACCAATGTTGTTGCCAGGTATTCATCCTTGAGTCGGAGCCATTTGACCATTCCACTCATGGTAGCAGTCGGAGGCTTAATGAAGTTCTCGCGCGCAGAGCTCTCCTGGTTCGGATCTGCGTCCACAACAGCACTTAAAAACACGCCATACTGGCTGAACAGGAGGTCGGCGAACTGGATACTGTCCCGGCAGAATTCTAGCATTACAGCCTTATCATTACCTCTGAGATGCCATGATTCCGTCTCGTCAAAAATTGTCGTCAAAGCCTGCCATAGGTACTCCCAGAGCTTCTGGAGGGAGAGGATCTCTCTGCGGTCAGCAAGTTTGCGGGTTCTGAGCATACCGGTTTGGCTGTCACAGAGTATATCCACGATATCTGTCCCTGTATGGAGCATTCTTGGTGCAGAGGCAAATGTTTTCATATTCGAAATACGTCGGAACGACCAGCTGAGTCCGTACATTGTCGTCGTAAAGAAAGATTCGAGGAGATGAGAGATTGCATCCCTTCTAGCCGACTGGCCGCTAACATTTTTGATAAGATCCACTGCAGCTTGATAGGTATTGTGATCGGCTGCGAAAAGGGCAGATATTAGAGCGCTGCCAGTATCTTGGCTTTTAAACAATTCGTCAAGATGATCTGGTTTGAAATCGGCCAGTCTTTCAATAATTTGGCAAGAAAGATGAGTAAGATGGCCATAGATGGAGTTAAAATGTGTTTTCTCTGGGCTTGACTCCCCTTTGGTGGGGAATTTCTCTAGACCAACTAGGGGTAATATACCTAGCAAGGCCGATGTTGAGAGAGCCAGGTCATCCTCATGAAGGTGTTGAACGACCGCATCCCAAATAGTAGAGGAATATGTGCTGACACCGTGCTGAAGGGAGTTCTGCCGGAGAATGACTTCATAATCACTCTTTAGGGATTGGCACTCAAGGGCTAGTGTATTGCGAATGACATCCATACAAAGTGACTTGATCTCCCTTTGGCGTCCCTGCTCCACGGCGAATTGAGGAGGTTTAAGAATTTTATTTATATGTTCACTCACGACACCTAGAGTTTCCGATAAAACGACACGGGCGACTGAACCTCTTGATGCTTCGTGGTCCGTGAAACTGCGAAGTGTATGAAGCAGACTAACTAGGCCCACATGAAAGCAATGATACCTAGCCAGGTTTGGAAATCGTGCATCTTGCAGTCGATCGAGAAGTTGGTATACAAGGGATCTGCATGCTGTAGGTTGATGGGCGCCTTTGAGTGATGACATGAATGGACTGACCCACGATAGTATATCCTTCATCGCGGACTTTTCATAGGGCTCTCCGTCGGTAGCCTGCGTTAGAAAAGCATCGACTTGAGGGTTATAAAAAACGACTTCGACGATAGCCTGGGGTGATATTGTCTGCATCGCATCCCAGAAGTCGCCGGGAGCCTTTTCCAGAAAAGTTTGGATTGTATTTAGAGTAAAGCGTAGCCCAGGAGATTGGATTGCAAGGTGATCCACGGAAAGCCGGCAGGGATCAATCTCAAGGGCGCGCAAATTATGAGTGATCTGGTCTTTATCCAATCTCTTCACCACAATCTGCATACCACGCCAAAGTCGCTGGATGACAGCTACCTGTATCGGCTGTTGAGAGGCCGTCCTCAATGCAGCAAGCAACCCCTCCTTAATCGCCCAATCGAACTCCGCGGTCGTGGGAGGTCGTGGATATCGCATCCAAGAATGTATAGCCCAGAAGCTGCGGCTTTGGTTGGGATCAAACAGGAAACGGGAGACAGCCGGGATATAATCTGATACTTTGAGAGTGCGCTTGGTCTGAATCAGCTGGAAAGGTTCGTCGAAATATTCCTTCAGCAGGCTATCATTACGCAGCATAGCATCACAGCTCAGCGTCTCAAAAATCGACAGTAGTGATGCCCGATCTAACACATGCAGTCCAATCTGCTCCGCCGGAACCTCTCTCAGCTTTGTTGTTGCTGTCGTCAAATTCTTTGTGATCCGCTTGATGTCCCACTCGTCTAGCATCCGCGAGAATTTTTCGATATCCTCCTCATCATAGTTCTCCTTGAGCTGATCCATAAGCCATATTTTACCCATGTAGTACTGCTTGATACAAAGATCGCACTTCTCAAGCGCGTCATCTATCTTGCGCCAAATCCAGTTCTGCAGCTCTTCAACCTCCTCCTGGTTAAAGGCCAATATTCGCATGCAAGACAAGAACTTTTCCCTGCGAGTGTTGGCCTCCAACACCAACTCTGCAACACTTTTTCCTGACTCGTCTACCTCCGTCTCATCGTCATATCGTGCGTGGTCGTCATCATGCTGCCGGGGACATAGGATGTGGACATCGTTGGGGAGGGCCTGGAGCTCTCTGCAAATCGAAAACCGCTCAGTAGCCATAACCAAAAACAAGAGTAGATGTCAGATGAATCAATTTTTCATAGCTTACGCGACAATATCCATAAACTCCATGGCTATCAGCTAATAACCCTGGCGTAGTCTGTTCCGCTGACAAGAAATCACACCACATTCCTGGGAGAAAGTGGGGATGATAGCAGTTGGGTGAATGTAATTGAGTTAGAGAGCTTCTGCAAGAATCAACCCGGTTATCAGATCTCCTAAAAGCGCAGCCTAGATGGCCATAGTTGCTTGTAGAAGCTGAACACTTCGAAGGCGCGATAAACGTTTATGCCACTATCGTGCGAAAAGAGAAACATGAATGAACAAATGGCCAAGGGGGATTATATCACTCGAGAAATCTCCGAATCGAGCAGCCCATAAAATCCCTCACTGGTATCAAAGATCTAATTGCAGGGTGATCGAATTCTAAGGTTCCTTCAATAAATGGAGAAAAATCGTAATGGGTGCTGGAGGCATTACTTAGTTGGATATTGACCGGAAGGCGGTGGGTGGGTGAACCGCGCTAATGAACCACTTTACGCGCAGAGACGCGCGCTCTTGATCGAGATTTTACCGCTACGAGCTACAGGATACATAAAGAGAAGACCTAGCTTTAGGCCAAGAAAACATGCAGGTTTTGAAAGATAAGCCCATTATCCTTCGGGGAATTATCCACACTAATGGTGTATGTGGAGGCTCTAGTTAGAATACATCACATCACATCCATAAACCTCCGCTCCACGTATAGCTAGCTCATCTCCCGTCCCATGCTAGCTTCAAAAGCAGCTGTGTGTTCTTCAATCAAAGGAGAAAGAAATATTTATAGGAAAATTAAACGGCAAAGAAGAAGAATATAGAGAAAAATCTCGGGTGGGAGACGCATTCACAGAAATGCTTTTGTACAAGAAAAGAAGCTTGAAAATGAATGTTAAGTTAGGCAACACGCCAAAGGAAAGAAGAGCCAGTCAAGGCAAAAGATGACGGGTGAAAGCTTCAGCGTGGGAATAAAGTGAAAAGGAATCTTGCGCCCAACCACCCAATTATGTATACCGAACGCCTTCTATCGGGGAATAAGCAAGTGGTTTTAAAAAAGCAAGAGGGTAGTTAACAAACAGGAGGCAGATACTCGTCAAACAAGATAGGAAACAGATCAAACTGCGTTGGCAAGAAAACGGCCAGGAACCGTCGAGGACATAATGTTAGTATATGTATAGCAGAAATGATTCAGATAGACTTATGCGCGGTGCGATGGGGGATCGTGAAGACTTTTCAATGGGCCATGGGGGCTTTGCGGTTCGTGGTTACCGGTTGTTATGGTCGACTCCACACGGCTCAAGGTGTTAACTGACGGGAAGTCTTCAGCTGCGTCGAAACTGTGTCGAACTCTATCGAAGGAGTGCCGGGTTCGTTTCGCCGAGGGCCGTACATAATCCACTGGCTGAAGGTGGGGATATTGAGTGGTATCAAGACTAGATGCATAATTCGTTCCGTTACTACCGTTTTGGCTGCGTGGATTGTGCGTACGAACCGTTGGGGCAACGGACTCTGGATAAATTCGCTGATCATCCGAAAAGGGATCCTGCCTCGGGTTCGGGTTTATCGGTTTCCCGAGATCCGATGAGGCTGTGGAATCGTCACTAGAGCCACCACCAGCCCTACGCGGGACAAAGGCTTCATACTGATCCAGATATTTGAACTTGCCTTGCGTGACTTGTTCACGAATAATATCCACATCACGTGGGAAAAACACCTTTTGGAAGGCTTTGACAGTAAATCGAGGAAGGAGACAGAGCGTAACGGTCAAGAGAAGGACAATCCAGAAAGAGAGCGCTCCATACACCTGTGCCGCAGATTCGTAAAACTGGGCGGATGTAGAAACCGATGAGTAGACCCCAGTCCAGAAAAAGATAAGTAAGCAGCTGATCGCGTAGATCAAGACTGTCAACCAGTCCCACCTGTAGGTATTCATGATGATGTATGTGTTGCTAGAAATCACGGCACTAGAAGCAACAAGGATGCCCATTCGTGTGCGATCGCTGATATCCTTTCCGCTGGAGTGTATGAAAGTCGCTGGTTGATACAGAAGATATGGCATGAAGAAACACATGACGGACTGGTAAAGTCCGTCAAACATGTATAGCCTACAAATCAATTAGTGCGATTAGACCCACAAAATACCTTTGGCAGGGACTTTACCAAAACTTCGTCTGCGACCATTCCAATCTCTCAATACCTCTCATATAGAGTTCGGGAACTGCCAACGACACTTTGTCATCCACATCCTGATCAAAGATACCCATCAAGATCACAGGAAGCGATGTGAATGCGACGTTGACCAAGACAATGTAGGTGTAGTCGTAGAGGTACGAGCCATCGAAGTCATTATAGATTGAATACCAGAAAAGGGCGATAGTCCATACCAAATTCTTTCCCGGGTTGTCAGTTAATGATAGCAAAACTGTTCTGAGGGTTTACATACCTTATAAAAGAAGTTGGCAATAGTCTCTCCCATCCGTCGGTAGGACCACCGTCCATGAACAAGAATAAGACGTTGTAGAAATCGGAACTGCCCAATGGCGTAGTCTGATGACATGGCAGCCTGCCTACCTTCTTCACCGATAATACCAACACCAACGTCAGCTGCTTGGATCATTGCGACATCATTAGCACCATCCCCAACGGAAAGAGCCATGATATTTAGACCCTCCTTCACCAGTCGTACGACAGCCGCTTTCTGGGCAGGGCTGACGCGACAGCATAATACAGACTTGCATTGCTTGCACAAGAGGAGGAATCTTTGCTTCATTTCATCGGAGAGCATGAGCTTGAGGGTTTCGCCATCAATCACCACGGCATGAGTTGCCCCAGGAGGGGAGTGGTCTTCTCTGGCAGATATAAGCTCTTCATCAGAGCCTGTAAGCCCAAACTTTTGCAGGTGTGTGTCAAGCTCGTGCGATGCTTGCTGCCGCTGGTCCTCCGAGATATTAAACACAATCAGCTCCATATCGTTGTTCAGCAGATTGCACGAAAATCCAATGTTGATAGCAGTCTCGACTTTGTCGCCAGTAAGAACCCAGAGTTTGATACCCGCATCGGCCAACAAAGAGATGGTATCTGGAACACCGTCTTGAAGTTTGTCTTCAATAGCCGTGCCTCCAATCAGCATGAGATTCTGCTCAATGGCACTTGAAACGTTTTCGAGCTTCTCTTCACGGTCGGTTAGTGCGGCGGCGGCAATATCATGTTCCTTGCTCCATGAACGATACTCCTCCTCAGTAAGCTTCCGATCTGCGACACAGAGAGTGCGGAGACCTTCACGCGCAAATATCTCAAGGTGCTTTGCTGTCTCCCGTCTGAGTTCCTGCTGTTTTCCTGGGGCTAGACGGGAATAGATGATACTATCTGCACCTTTGCAGAAGAGTCGGATACTGCCATCGGGCATACGAATGATTGCGCTCATGCGCTTTCTTGTGGAATTGAACTCTAGAGTATTCAGGACAGTGTACGTCCGTTCTTCTCCCATGACATTCACGATTAGATCGTCGCCAGATCGACCGAGAAGGGTAAAGCCACAGTCGCGCGCTGTACCGACTAGAGCCGCCTCGTCGGGAGACTGTGCCTTGAACTCGATTTGTGGGGGGTCACCAGGTGTGTGCTCAGTAATCACTGTGTGACATACCGCCAGGCCAAGCATAAAATGCGCAGTAGCCTGTCTCTGAGCTTCCCCAGACTGTCCATCCAAATCGGCAACGAAGTCCGATGAGATAAAAGTCAGGTTCTCGTCGCGCAAATACGGATTGTCATGCAGCTTTCGAAGCATCTCAATCATCCTGGTAGTATCCATAACGATCTTTTCACGAGCTCGTGCAGCTTCCGCATCCGCATCACCTCCTTGTCGTCGAACGAGGCCGATCTGAGCTTCCGTAAAGGCCTCGCCGTAAGACACCCCATTCACGGTACATTTCTTGAAATCCATCATGTTTTGGGTCAATGTACCAGTCTTGTCGGAAAAGATATATTCGATCTGTCCAACATCGTCGGAGATATTCCAGGACTTCGGAATGCAATAAATGTTGAGTTTCTCATAGTACATGAAAATGTCACTGTGAATAAAAATGGCCTGGGCTGTACGAACGATTTCAAGAGAGATGTACAGTGAGATAGGCACCAAGTTTTGAAACAAGATGAGGGCGACCCAGAAAGTAATAATACCGGTGACTGGTGGAGTACCGCCGTAGGACTTGATATCGAAATAATCGAGCGACCTGTCCCCGGAGCCCCATGCAACGCCATTGACGATGCCTGAGATGAGACACATGAAGAACAAGATAATGAAGTTGTAAATGACGTTCCAGTTCAAATCCTTAGCGAGTTGAGGTCTCTTGTTCGGTGTCACGCCAGAATTAAGCATGATCTTGGTCTCAACACCCGTGAAGACAACAACACCAAGAGCCCATTCAGTGTTACGAAGAGAACATCCACGCAGGAGCAAGTTGTTGATCGTGATTGGCTCCACCATCTCCTTCCGAGGAGCTTCGGGGAAATCAGGATCACGCTGGTCCCAGCGCAGAGCAGCGTTGTAAGCGTATAGGTTAGGGTGTGGAGCCTCACTCTCGATCACGAACTCAGACCTCTCGCAGTCGCGGGCATGTCTGACTTGATGACCACAATGGAGGGCTTGTCGAACCTTCAGGTTGGTCTCACCATCCAGACTCTTCGTCTCCACGTAGCAAGCACCATCCGGATCGGATGTCGACAGAACAACCACATCCGCAGGAATAGGGTCGCCGTTGTACAGTCGAACGAAATCACCAACTTGAATAGACTTCCAATAGTCGCGCTTAAACCGAGCGTTACCAACGATTTGCTTCGACATATCCACAACACTACCACTCTTTTTTGGATGAGTAGCAGAGCCTTCGGAGGCCACCATGCTGTCACGAGCAGCTTCGTCTGGGTGCAAGAACTGGCTGCGATTTGGGCTTGGGAGTGGCCAGTCTGAGCGCGCGTCGGGTACCGGGGACGGAACAGGTGTCATTTGAATAGCATCGTCAATCCCACGATTGCCTGGTTCAGAGGCCATGGATGTTCGTGGAGAAGCGGTGGTTAAAAATGACGCACGTCGATCGACATCAGAGGATTCCGAGTCATCATCCTTCTGCGTCGCACTCCTCAGTTTTCGATATATCAAGATGGTGCCTCGCGTACAAGCTTTTTTGAACCGTCGCCACAATGAAATATTATCTTCGGTGGAATTCACATTGTGCCAGTCAACTAATCGATATACGGGGGAGTTGTTTAGCTCGGTGTCCAGAACCGTCCGGCGCCAATCTTCAACAGCATCCTTAATAGCGGTGACAACAATAATAACAATTAGAGGAACAGTGTTCAGCGCCGGATTATCGACACCAAAGATGGAGAAGAACTGTTAGAAAGCTATTAGCTTGCGCTTTGCAGGCATTGGGGGGAGAAAGCTTACGCCAAGAATGATAATGAAAAGGAAGTAAATGTTGGCAATATTATGAAATTGAAACCAGAGGTTCTTGGGAATAAAGGTCAAGGGCGTGTACCTGGCCGTCCGAATCTTGTTTCGAGGGAAATCTGCGATGGGATGGCCATCTTCGTCCCTTTCCGATTCAGGGATCGGGATATTGAAGTAGACCCTTCTGTTACTTCCTGGCTCCCCCACGGTTTCTGGCGGAGGGGTCCCTATCGTTGAGTTACCCGTAGCAGACCTTCGCTTTTCATCTCTCATTTCCATGCGCTTGTGAAAGCGATCCATGATGGAAACGCGTTTCCGCATACCTCCGGTGCCAGTAGCTCGTTGGGTCGCCCATCGTTGGCGCTGCGTCGGCTTCGAGATATTGCTGTCGACATGGCGAACCCCCGGGGTCGGCTCATTCTCCTCGGCGCCAAAATTAACTGAAGCCATCTAGATTACTTCTGGCCAGCAAAGGGGTATAGATTGGGCAACCGTGCTAGATTGAAGTTTGAGGGGAGCATCCGCTCCTACGAGCCGGATCCTAAAGCGCAGCCAGTCCGTCGATAAATATGCGGATAACGCCGGAGAATCGATCGGAATCAAGAGAGGACTCGGGACGATATTTGCTAGGTGTTGCAATTGGTGAAGCAACAAGGGTTGGTTGGTGCTGAAAGGAGCTGATCAGGACGAGACACGGAGGTTCGGCGGCTGACAAAACACAGGATGGCGGGTTTAGAAGAAAAGAGGAAACGAATGTGAGGAATTAAACACCATAAGCCAGGTAAATGCTTAAGGAAAGTTATATAAGAGACAAGAGTATCAACAGGTAAGAACCTCAAGCACTCGAGGAAACTGAAGGGAAGAGTCCAAGGTGAAAATCAAAACTCGTTAAGGACAGCATTTCCTGGACCGCAGGCTGACAATCCCTCCTCTTGAAGGCGCGGGAAACGAGGAGCGTATATTACCAATGCAGTACAAATACAATGCTAAGGGGATTGACAGACTAATTTCTTCTGAGTCAACACATCGGTAATACGGGAACACCATTTACATAACTCCGGGAGAAATTTGTAAATTCCAACCCTTTTAAATACCGTCCATCGTTTAGATACTACAGTACTCTATAAGTCTACTTTGTACGGAGTACTAAATTTCTACCAGGTCTACTCTGTATTTGATATAGAATGTTCAACAGCTTCATGTGATTTCTGTGTCTAGAAATCTGTTATTTACTTTTCTTACCTTCTACTCATAACCCAGCATCCATGATTATTATGGTAGCACTACTAGGTAACCTACTAAATGGTTTAGCAGGCTGATGATGCAGCCAACATCCCGCCTCCCGGTAATTTTACACACATAACGTACAACAGTACGAAGTACCATGAGGAACCTCCAGCCTCACCAGAGACTGTACAGAGAGCGATGCTGGTTCGCAGTTAAAAGAGAAATAACAATATTGTCCCAAGTATTGGATTCAAGCTTTAGTTTTTTTTTTTTTTTTTTTTTTTCCTTATTCGGAGACGGCGATTGCTCAGTCCGTTAATAATTTCCGATCCGATCCAGGAAGTTATTATTCAGCATCCACTAATTTTGTTAACTATTCTAGTTATCTACCTATGTTCATGAATCCCCCCCGCGGATACTGGGTCCCAAGTTTATTCCGCACGGAACATTTGGGCTAGGTCTAAAGTGCTACCAAGGAAACCAGAAAAATAATCGTCATTGAAACCAATCATCCTTAAGTTTGCCGCGCTGTCGTCTTGATTTCTCTGCTCCGGAAGTCACGGCATGTACCTCCTACCCTGGCATGTCACTATTCACCAGTATCAATCTGGGGAATGTATTCTCTGCCGCCACAGCAACCGATGCATAAAGTTTTCTTTCCCAAATGGCAACAATTCTATCCCAAGGCTGGGACAGCAATTGATTGTGCACCGAAATAGCACATACTCGGAAGATGTAGTCTGAAACAGGCTAATAGACTAAGACTCACCTGGGACGGCACATGGTGATGCCAGAAGGTCCACCCACCTATGGCAGGGGACAGATGCATAACACAGCCCAGGGCTGTCGTTTCCAAATATACACTTTATACAGTGTCTGAGTGTACGCAATATGACAATTATGGATACAGTACTCCGTCGGCGATGGAGAGGAACCTAACGTGACAGGCCCCATAACTCACAAGTTATCTTTCGATCTTTGCAGGCTCCTCTCGGTGCTAACTCTTGAGTCCTGACATGGAATTAACTCCGCTGATAAAATGTTCGGTCAGGCTTCTCTGCATTATTTCCGAGCCTTCATTTCAATTTATTCCCCCCTTTTTTTTTCTCTTCAGTTCTCCATCTCCTTTTTCAAGTCTTGGCTTCCACCACCTCGCCTTCCTGATAGAGTAAATTGTGGCCCCCTGTTGCGCTTATGAATTTCCATCGCCAACCATCTTCCCAGGGGCTGGGCTGGGATTTAGGGATGATCTTCGAATCCTCAGAGCTCAGACTGTTTCCTCGAAACCGTTTCGATACAACTCAATTTGGCGTAAGAAAAATAGCACCTGATCTCTACACTGCCTCTCTTGGGCATAAGGAGAAATCTTATCATCTTCTATAGTTTCAGCCCTGGGGGCACTGCCCGTTATTTAATTTATACTAGGTTACGGATAGGTATACTCCATCGCCATCCAACTTTGCTCTAAAAATCTGGTGGAAAGGTATTTATTACGAAGATCATACAGAGTACTCTGTAATTAAAGATAGACCGCCATCAGTTTCGTATCTAAACCCGTATCTGGTAATATATCAATTGTCTTTGGATTTCCTGTGTTGCGGCAGAAGTACGTGAGCAAAATTTATTATTACAAGTATAAAGTTAAAGGTTAAAAGGTGCGTAGAATCTTACTACATACTACTAATCCCAAGTTATCCTGAATCTTCCGCAACATCGTGATTCGGCCGGATTTGTTTGAAATCTTTCTGCCGTCATCTTACCTCCCCCTCCTCCAGTGTTTCTAATTCTGACCCATCTTACCCCAGGGTCCACGGACTTTCCAAACGGACTCCGTCTGACTCCGAACAGTCCATGTGGAGATACTGTTGCATACCTCCCCGATATTCCATACAGTGTACACCCCAAAATACCAAAATCAGCCCCCCCTCAGCTGGAAAACCCAAGCAATAAAATACGGCCCGGGTCCGATCAGCCATGAACTGTGGTGGGGAATAAGATGCGAGCCTAAGAGAAGATCGACGCTTCTTCCCCTTCCAGCCTGTTCCGAAATGGGCTATTTGAACTTGCTGAACCTTCGTTTGTCCTCCAGATGTAGAACGCTCCATAAGAGTAAGACATGCCAGGATGCTTAAGATTGATACCGTCAAGCACTGTAGAGAGCAGATCATTGTTAGCTACTTGATGTCCCAGGACGCTTTTGCGGACGTTACATTCCATTCCAGGCAGAAGAGGAGGTATAACTTGCATGCCTCAATTGTTCCAGCTGACAGGAATACTCTGTATCTAGGAGGATATCCGGCAATGATAAATCCTCCACGACGCGCATATCTTTCTTTGTTTCTGAAAAGTACTTGGATTAATTTGGTGTTACATCCAACACTATAGTGTAGAGGCATTTGGGCTCGATAATTGAGCTGGCCAAAGAAACAAAGAAACTCGAACCCATTTCTCTCGCGAAGCAATAGCTCCAACAATAAAACAGCTGCGCTAACTGATTCAAAAATAGAATCACTATCAAAAACATGGATAAAAGAGCATTTTGGAAACCCCACAAACAAAGAAATCTCCATCAAATGCACACTGCTGACTCATAGTCAGGTGACTTCGTGAAGCGCTACGCGTGTGCTTGACGTGCAAGTTAAAAAGGACCAGGAAACGGATACAGGTCCAGATAACCAGGATTCCCTTCTCCCAGTATCCGGCATGCCTCGGGCGCGGAGGGTTATCGATTATTTCAAGCGGCCGGATTTCGTAGTGACTGCTAAGGAACATCATTCACCACAGCAGGTGGAAGACCCCGCGTCCGCCTCCCCTCTTCCCGAGCCGTCGCTCTCGCCCTCATCCTTTCCATCACAGGCTGCCTCTCCAGAAACACCAGATGGACCAGCATCCCAGTTGAAACGATCGTTACTTTTATCCACTGAAGAAATCACTGAAACTGCCTCTCGGACCCAGGAGAGCTCTCAGAGCACGGACACAGCATCAACCTTGAATTTGTCCCAGCGTGTGATCAAGAATGGGAAGGAGGTTGTAATCAGTTCGGATGGCGATGACACGGATTCTATAGGGTCTATTGAGGACCCGGAAGATATGCTTGCGAGATTCTTGCCTCCAAAGCCTCCTCTTGTAAGGGGTGACCAAATGGATCACGAAACTGAGAGAATGTCGCTACGCTCTGGCAGGTCCGCGAACAAGAAGAACCCCTGGAGCATTTCCCAGGCCGCAGCCTCAGTGCCAATGTATAAAAATACGCTTGATAACCTAGTCACACAAGCTGTTGATGACAATGAGACCGAGGCTGGTATCGCAAAACTGAGAGCCATGTTAGATCGCGATCTTAGTTCTGACTGGTCCAGTACAAACCGGAATAAGCAATTACACGAAGGAATTCTGGCAACCGCCTTAGAAGATGATGTCGATGATGGTCCCGAATTTCAACGTTTGCTCGACGCCGTCCGACGAACGGAGGCATTCGACTTAGGGAAGTCCTGGTCGTTCTTTGATTTCGAACGGCCTATCCCCCCTCCCCCGGAGTTCCCTCGAGATTCTGTCTTGCCTCTGACCTACCTGGGTACTCTGAGAGGTTAGTACATTGCTAGTTTTCTCTCCGTGTTATTTCCCATTCTCACAGTCCATAGAGCCTGAGTCTAGAGAGCGAGCCTTCCATTCCGGAGTGGTTGACTTCGCGTCATCGAGAAACATGCTCCCTGATGAATTAATTACATGGATCTTCTACTCTAGTTAGTTTACCCTTTCATTCCAAGCAGCTACGTCGCTTACTCTCGTCAAGTCCCTACCGAATCACGCGATAATTTGAGACACGCATACTGCAGGGCTTTAAAGGTACGTTATCGTATCTATTTGTTTCTAAATAATTCAGGCTAAAATCTCTCCAGCATACCGCACCAGAACGTTTAGAGTCCCTAATTCGGCCAAAAGATATCAAAACTATCTTTGAACAAATAGGTGCAAGCTCCAAAGCCTTAACCATCTCCGAGCCAATTATCCCGGACTCGCACACTAAGAGTAAGACATGCGCTCTGGACGGGATTACTTCATACTAAATGCTTATTCACAGGTGATCCACTTCATGGGCAATTTCAACATCACACAGCTTTGATTTTCATTCTAGACTTTCTTCGCGATACCATAACCCAGTGAGTTCATAATACTTGTGTTGTCTGGATCTCTCTAACGCACCAGTAGCTTCTCGAACAATACTCGAGAGTATGTCCTAAACATTCTGTTTCGCCTTACACTTGACGCTTCCTTGACACGCAATTCTATAATCTGTTCCGAGCTGGAGAGAACTATAGCTGCAGTTTTGGAGAGCATAAATCGGGGGAATGCCAATGAATTTGTACAACCTCAATTTTACACCAACAGCTAAGAGACAAAGCTAATAATCTTAGATCGATCGGATTTGTTTGGCTGCCCACACTACCCTAAAGGACGCAGAACTGCAGGCCCGTCTTCTTGAACATATGGCGCCAACGAATGATTGGATCGCGTCACTAAGACGCCGTCTTGGCATGATATTCTTGACCAACGATCCCTTGGCTACTGTTGGGTCCGCAGATAGGATATATGAAGTACGACGAGTCGTCAACATTCTCAAAGACAACCGATTCGATATGAAGCGTCACAAACGGAACAGGCACACGGAATGCGACTACGGAGAGCTTGGTGCTATTATCACATTCCTCAACATTGTCATTGACTCTGGATGGTCTGCGGCCTCGTTTCCTGACAGGGGTACAGAGAAGGAATTCGATCGCGAAATTGACATGCTCGCTGATCGAATTAAGAAGATTTTCACGGCCATTGAAGATTCCGGTGCCTCTCATCTTAAGCGAACCCTCGCGAAAGAAGCTCTCGAGTCTTTGCATTATCGCATCCTGTACTCGGTCAGATCAAGGCCACCTCCGCAAAAGGCTCTGTTTGGTGAACTCGGTTCTCCGCGAAAAAAACACAACCTTCTAAAATACGTAAAGAAGAACGACAAAACGGTTACTTTCAAGAACGAAACAGTATCTTGAGAACCCTGGCAGTCAGAACAATTCTACACTTCGACCCGCTTATTTGGCCGTCCAATTTTACTATATCTCCGAAGGATATGCGCCAGCAAGTTTACTCCGCCCGGCTTAATACTGGGTGCCTAGCACTATACGCCATCTGCGGAGTACGGACGGAGCATACGCGGTGCGGTATTTTGGTTTCCCCTGAGTAGTCCTCCGTCGACCCACTCACTCACTCGGTCTTCATAACGGCTCCACTAGTCCACATCATCAAAATGGAAGGTTGAAACTCAAGATTGGAACATGAAACGGGCGGTGAGAAAGGTTTCCTGCTGAGCCCTTGAAACTTGATGCAAGTGGATGTTTTTTTTGGGGGGGAGTCGCCAGTGAATAATACACAATGCAGAGTACTTACAATCAGTCTCTCGACGCTTGGCGATCCATATATCCCGGCATGGGGGAGGAACGCCTACAGGAGGATCCCGGAGTATTGACTATCTACACCCCCAATGCAGCTATCTTATTACTTTCATCTACTCTTATCCAGCTGCTATGATCGGGCAACCCGTTAATAAAGGTGGATGCTGTTCGCGTCGACCCGCACTTTACCTTGAATAATAGTTATCGGCTTGGGAATGATTGGTAATACCAAGGACATTTTAGTTTATTTGACTTGATGTTATTTGGAATTTAGGCTGGAAACACAGATAGATATAGCGCACACATCCAAGCATAGAGCGTATATGAACATAGACGTCTACCTTTCTACTTTGCTATGGTTTCCTCTCATAGATACTCAGACCTTGTGAACAATCTTGTATCCGGAAATCTTCCCATCTCTAGATTCCTGAAATCCCTAGGAATAGCACCGAGCACCACGTCAATACAGTCCTGATGTTTGTTCCCCAGCCAACCCTCCTCCCCAGGCTGCACGGTACACAAGTACTCCGTATGTAGCGTCAGTCAGGTAGCTTAGCGGTCCGACTGAAGGCCTTCTTCAAAGCAGTACCCAGGTAGCTGATGAACCCGAACACCCAATCGGGTCAAAGATGGATCGCAAATCTGTACGTCGGAAGCTACATGCGGTCAGGAAGTTGAAGCCGTGTAGTGAGCTGAGCTGAGCGGCGACGCGTCCGACACTGGCTGTTTTGGAAAGGAGGGGGGGTTAGGTATAGAATCGCCTAGCTTCTACATAGGTATCTAGTCAGAGGAGAGAAAGAATGGAAAATAGAAACATCCAACCACCACCTCACCCCAGATCAACAAACTCTCAGTGCCCCTTAGGTAGGTAGTTTCATCAGACATCGCATTGCATTGCATTGCATTCATTACCTTTTCTTAGTATGCGCCAAATGATAATCGTGCTCCGGAAGTGGAAACCAAAGGATGAATCCCATCCATACTCCGTACTCCATTAAAAGAAATTAACTCCAGGAGTCAATTGCAATTACTTGCTTGCTTGCTTGCTTGCTTGCTCGGTTAGTCGGGTACTCTAATAAATCCCGCAACCGCATTACCTTTCTTCAGCCAGCTTAACTAACCCCTCGCCTGCCCACCTACCTAGGTACATCACGAGCAAAATCGATCACGTCCATCGAACGTTTTTGCCTGCACCTGCATTGCGTTTTATATTTGTTCATTCCCGCTCCTCCCGTCCCTCCCGTCTCTCTACCGAGCAAGAAGAAAAGATATACATAGGTCCCGTCCGTTGGATTCCGGGCTACACGGGAAAGAAGACCTGGAAAGGGACTATGGGATTGGAAGATTGGCTGGAATCAATTTCGGGGATTGCTTGCATTGCGCAGGACTCTGGTTGGAGGGATGGATTGATGCGCTCGCTCAGCCATGGCTAGATTGATCGAGGCAGGCTATTATACTAAGGCAGCATTGGGGGGCCTGGATTGATTGCAGATTGAAGGAGATTTTGGTTCAGTTGCTAGCATGGCAAGATTTTGGCTACGAATTATATATTCGGGAACCCACTTGAGTATAGGTGATTTCAACCCAGAGCTACTGCCAATGGTCTACTTGAGGTCATATCTTTATACCATATATGACTTCATTATCCTCTAAGATGATACCTGTTGAAGAACTTGCTCCGCACAGCGCTCTAACAGCGCTCTAACAGCAAATCTTAAAAGAACAAGAGAAACGCAGAAAAGGGTAAATCTGTATACAAGTTGTGGTGATTTCCCAGGAATAGCAGGAAGCTGAGAAACGTCGGTCAGAAGTTACATAGATACAAGGATGGAACAAGAAGAAAGCGCGCAGATATAGTAGATTGGAAAAGGAGGTATGCTTCTAGTCGTGGAACTTCCGGTTGGTGTTCTTTCCGAATAGCGTCTCCCTAACAGCGGGGAGGGCATCGATTTCGAGCAGTCGCAGTCGCTCCTCAAAGGTGTTGTTAATCTCGATCTTGCCCTGGCCACCAATGACGACAACTCCACCGGCACTGGAAATCAGGTGTTAGAAAGCCATTTCGGAGATCGCAGCACGGCGCAGACTAAAAGCACTCACCAATCTTCTGACAATGGCTCCTCTTCGTCCAAGCTTACCGATACATCCTTGCCGACATTCTCCTTGAACTCCTTCTCTGCTTCTCCCACAACCTTCTTGATAGCATCGTAGTCACTCTTCTTCGCACGGATCTCCACCTTATCTTCGTTAAGAGCATACAAGCCCTCGAGAATCAGAGCCTTCAGCACAGATTCGTATTTCTTAGCATCCTTGGTGGCGATTCCGGAGATCTGGCCACGAGCTTCCTGGAACAACTCATCCAGCAGTTCCTGGCGAGCGGAGAGAACACGAAGACGGGTGCGATTCGCAAGGGTGGAGCGGGTAATCTGCTGGGACATGGAGGCTTGCTTGAACTTCTTCTCATATAGGGTGTCGATGGCGGCGGTTTCCTGGCGGACGAGCTTCGACTTCTCGATGGCAAACTCTTCGTCGGCCTTGAGCTGAATTTCACGGGCCTTCTCCAAAGCTTCCTGCCGGATAAAGGCAGTCATCTTGCGGAGTTCCCCCGCGACCTATTTCCATCGAGAATACATGAGCATCGGAGGAGGGGGAGGAGGAGGAGGAGGACCACCGCATATCTCCGGTCGGGACCACAGCATACCTGATCGTCGGAAAGAGCATGGGTTTGCGACATCTTGTCTGAAATATCCAACCGAAACTAGAGCTGAATAGGTGACGTAGAGGGAGAGAGAATGAGCGAGAGCTAAGCTTCCTATTTGGAGTAGAGGTTGAACAACGGCAAGGTCAGCTAGTGGGTTCCCAACACGAATACCGAAAGAGCATGTGGCAGGGTCAGAAGGGGAGGGTTCAGCAGGGGGGGAAGGCATAGTCACCTAGCTTTTATTTATCTTCAAACTCCAGATGAGTTGTAAAAGGGAATTAGAATTAGGAATGGAAGAAGAATGGGTTACCAGACGAGGAGGAGAAAGACAAACCTCCAGTGGAAGTTCAACGAGGTCTGTCTCTCTTAGCCGATGACTTGGCGGCTGCTCTCAGCTCTGAACCTCTTCATCTTCTTCTTCCTTTCCCGCCCGCATCCTATATGAGATCACCCCCCTCTTTGTGTGTTATTCTCTGCCTCTTTTCTTGTTCTCTCGTCCCCCTTTTCTCTCTCTATCTCTCCCCTCCCCCCTGCTGCTTCATTAATCCCCAACTATAATTTGAATATAATGGCTCATCATTTACTCCCATCCTCTCCTCGTCCTGTCTAATGCTGTGCCGCGTTTAGTCCTCACTTCTCCCCGCGCAACGACCAATGCATAAGGATACCCCATGATGGGCAATCTTGGTGACTTGTCGCCTCAGGGGAGCGTTGCGGTAGGGTCCCTCTTACCATATATAAATCCTACGGCTTGAATGAGACTGACGTGAAAATGATATGCCAGATCGGAGTTCTTGTTGGAGTGATCTCAACCAGTCTCCAGGCGATCGGACTGACCCTCCAGCGCAAGTCGCATCTCCTCGAAGACGAAAAACATCCCTACGATCTACGAAGGCCTCCCTATAAGCGGCGAAGATGGCAGGTATGGATGAGATGAACACAACTTTGCGAAACTCCCCTCATACTGATGTGCTCCAGCTGGGTATGTTGATGTTCGTTGTCTCGAACGTTGTAGGAAGTACTATCCAGATCACAACACTTCCACTACCCGTGCTTTCGACCCTGCAAGCAGTCAGTAGTGCCGACTCCATGCCTGTTGAACCTTGCTAAAATGTTAAAACAACAGTCTGGGCTCGTCTTTAATACCATCTTTGCGACATTGATACTGGGAGAGGCTTTCACTAGATACTCACTTATTGGCACCATCTTAGTATGTATTGGTGCCGTGCTAATCGCAATCTTTGGTGCCATTGGAGAACCGGCGCATAGCCTTGATCAACTTCTCGAGCTTCTTCAGGGCCGAAAGTTTATCCTCTGGGTCGCAGGGACAGCCGTGTTGGTCCTTATTATCTTTGCTGGATCCAAAGTGTTGAAGGCCCTCACGTCAGGCTCTCGTTCCAAGCATCATCCTGTCCGCCACTCCTACGCACCGCGTCTTAATATACCGCACTCTCGCATCCGCCTTATCCGAGGGCTATGCTATGGACTGATTAGCGGTATTCTCTCGGCGCATTCTCTCCTCCTGGCTAAATCCGCTGTGGAGCTTCTGGTACGGACAATCGTGGATCGCGTGAATCAATTCAATCGCTGGCAATCATGGGTCATCCTGATCGCTATGATCGGCCTGGCTCTCTCGCAGCTATACTTCCTTCACCGTGGTCTGAAACTTTGCAGCACCAGTGTCCTCTACCCATTTGTCTTTTGCATTTATAACATTATCGCGATTCTAGATGGTCTCATCTACTTCCAACAGATGTCGCAGCTAGCAGGCTTGCATGCTGGACTTGTCGCACTGGGCACCATTGTTCTTTTAGCTGGAGTCCTCTGCCTGTCCTGGCGATTAGAAGATATTGACAGCCATGTTCCTGTCGTTGGGCCATCTCAGGCGACCTTAGGGCCCGGAATGGCAGCAGTCGATGAACACGCACCGACACCACTTGGATTGGAATTAGAAGATGAAGAAGGTCAGATAGGGGAGCAAGAGCCCCTCCTACATCCTCTTCGGGCCCCTCACCAACGAACCCCAAGTCTTCCTTTGTACTCGACGTTTTCCAAACGGAGTTCAACGTCAAATATGGACCCGGCTTCCATCTGGGCTGAACTTGACGACTCTGACGGCGAGGACTCTGGCACAGACGTGCGCTCATCGTTACTCGCTCGTTTCTCTATCGATCCCGTATATAGCCGACCCCGAAGTAAAAGCACCGCACTGCGGGGATCGTATCTCTCAACGGGATCGGGAAGCCAGCAAGTCTGGAGCCCCCGTCGGATCCCCCCATCTGTCCCAGAAGGTAAACGACAGCGAAGAACATCTTTGCCGGGTCCGGAATACAGGCTCTTGCTCTCAAAAAGACGGACATTTGGGCCTGTGTCTTACTCAAGTCGAGATTCAGTCCTAACCTCAGAACCCAGAGGCAATCAGCCAGTCTCACCACATGCCCGCCAGGAGCAACGTCATTCGTCACCCTCAAACACAACAACGTTCAGCGGAACCACGCGTCGCCTCCTCGCAGGCTCGAGGAGCGCCCTCGGAGCTTGGAGAACCGGTCTACAATACCTCTCGCGCTTCACCGGCCATGGAAGACAAAGAGAGGAGCGTGACCCTGAAGCCGATCCTACCACCCCCTCAGACAGCGACTCAACAGACCAATAATGACCCTTTTGCCGTACCTGACCCTGGCGGTCTTTCCTTAGGTTTTCCTCTGTAGCACACAATCGGCCACATTTGTATCTACAATACCCCCCCTCCCCCGGCCTTCTCTTATTGACCGATCTACAAATGTACATTAACAATTTAGACACGATAGTATTTTATTGTCCTTCTCCTATTATTCCCAATTTACCAATTCTATCTACGTCCGCCTGCATTCTTACCTCGATTCCCGCAGAACTTTTATAATGCGAATAGACACAACACAGCAGCTACCCCCACCCTGGAAAAGATCATTCGCTTTCAATTGAATTGGCCTCGGTCCCTTTTCTGTCCAAGATTTAAGTTATGTGCATTTGCCATTGTCAAGGTGAATTACCTGCCATCTCTCACGACACTTAAAAGAGTTATACGTACTTGGCCCTACTTCACTCCCAAAAAAAGAAAAAAAAAAAAAAAAAAAAAGGAAGAGTGGAGGATCTTTGCATCAACATAAATTTGATAAGAAATGGGGTGGAGGTAAAAGATACTGAAGAAAGAAACAGTCCAATTTTTTCCGTACCATACATAACATACTTATACCCGATCAAGGGATTCCATCCAGTATCAATAGGCTACTTATATAAGTGAAAGCCCTACTGTGCCTTTTCCATAGGGATTGGTCTCCTGCTTCCTGAGCCGTCATTTTCCACTTGCCCGCAAGCCAGTATGGTATCAAGGTAGACATTCAATCTTCGAGGAAAGGAGGGCAACACAAGCAACGCATAGGGGAAATCAAATAAAATAAGAAAAAGAAAAACAAATAGGTTGCAAGATTGGTCAACGCACGATGAGAGAGGCAAATTATGGAATCAAACAAATAACCACTTTCGCCGGTAAGTAATGGAAGAATAGGTAGATGGAAAAGCACCAGAAACACCATCCTTCCCCCTCGTCTAGGAAACGATTCGGAATGACGAACAGGACGAACAAATAACAAAGTTGGGATTCCAGATCAGTTCCTCGCATCCTTCGTTGTTCAGTCACCATCCCGCCCACCCGTATTTCTTTCTCCTCTGTTTCTTAAATTTTTTTTTTCTCTGTTGCTGTGTTCTTCTCGAGTGATAAAGAGAGGGGGAAAGGAAAACTTCATTAAACAGGATAAATAGCGCAAAGAAAAAAAGAAAAGAAAAAAACTCTTGCTAACACTAAGATTGGCAACCCAGCTTCCTGCAAACTTCAGAACTTCTGGTTCTGGATATACACAGGTTACAAGAATGATCTCCTCATCTTGCGTGGCTCGGTGAGATACAATGAAGACTGGGTTTTATGAGGAACAATCATCTAGAAACAGATTCGTCGGGTATCAATTGAAGACCGGGAAGAAGCGCAGCTACGCATGTTGAATCTGCATAGATGCAGAGTAACAATCTGGGCCTTTCCGTTTCTTCGGAACGGATGTAAATGCTTAAGCAGGTTGATGCGGTGGCATGCGGTTGCCCACAGGCATTCCAGGATACTGTCCACTAGTCTGTTGTTGCTGTTGGAGATTTTGATAGTAGGCCATCTGCTGCTGTTGTTCATTTGTCATGTACCCCGGGTGCATACCAGCGGGCCGAGGCATGTTGGACTGCTGAGGATTGACGTTGTTATGGCTCACATCCTCTGGAGTCTCCGCGGGGACTTCAGGAGCATCAACACCGTTTTCACTGGTAGTTGGGTCCGGAGCGTTAAGACACGCCTATTGTTGAAAACCATCAGTCTTGGCCCCCAAAGGACTCGAGAAGGAGGTTCAATACGGGTTACCCACCTGGATGAGATTTTTGCCCTCGGGCTTCGTCACCAAGGGCTGGAGCTTGGGAGTAGTGAAAGTGTAGACCAGACCAGTCTCCGACACAACCAGGAGGAGCACCTGGGTACCTGTGAGGACGGAAAGTTCGTAGGCCTATTGCGCGATCGCATTGAACCGTTAGCCTGGGTCGGACAGCAATCATTCGGCGCGAAACCAAAAACTAGAGGATCGACTGCACGAGAATCGAGGCGATGAAGGAATGCAGCAGTCAAGGAACTACTCGTTGGAAGGCCAACGGTGAGGAAGAAACACGGGAAGCACGAACCTTCTTCATGATACCCGCCTTCCGCTTGGAGAAGGTGATGTGGCGACGGGACTTGTCCTGGATGAACTTGATCTCAATCTTCCTGCGCTCGCGACCGGGCTTGTCATCATCATCGTCATCATCATCAGCGCTCATGCGAGAGCGCTTGGAACCGCGGTTGTCAGCGGCGCCGTTACCGGCGGCCTGCTGCAGGTCGTCCTGAGTAGGAGAAGGGTTCTCCTCACCGACGGCGGTGATGTCGGCCATGCTGGGGATCGGAAGAGGGTAAAGGAGCAGAAAAGGGGAGCAAGAAATGGATCGAGTCCAGTGGTCCAGATAGAAATGGCGAAGAACTGGGAAGAGAGAACACGAATGCCCAAAGAGGAATGATGCTTTTGAGGGGAAGGGAGAATGACCAAATCGAGTAACGCGTTTGCTTCGCAGGGTTTGGGTTCAGGACGAGAAGGAAAGAGAAACGGGGAGGAGAAGATCGAAGAAGGCAAAGTGCTGGTTGGGACAGGCAGGCGGTCAGTCACGTGGCCTCGTACCGTACCATACGGCGGTTCGGTAAGCGACTAGTATTGCGTGCGCTGTAAGAGAGAGCCGGTAAAACTTTATTTTCTCCCTACTGGCGTACATAACGTTTTGTAATTCTGATTCCATTTCTTCATGATTTATATCCCACTATAATTGTACCTTGCTACGGATAATATCTATTCTTCTCCAAGTTTGTCTTCCAGCTTCTTCTTCTAAGCACATCCATCACAAAAGTTGTACTCTGTAATTTCATACAGGCTTTGTCCAGACCCGACGGTGGGGAAGATCTTGTCTTGGCATCTCACATTATTGGTTTAGCCTCAGTGAGGCATTAAGAATTTGATTCGATGGCCACCTCACATTCCCCACTGGAAGCGCGTAATATTACCACCTCTTGCCTCCGTACTTTCGATACTTCATGCTGTGTATCAGACTATCAGTGGGTTTGGACGGCAATCGTCCGAGTCATGATTTTGTGACTTTTGGCAAGTCAAAATTAGCATTCAAAGTGAAGAAAAGAATGTTGGTGAGAGGAAGAGTCTTCAGCTTACTTACTTAGTTTTTGGGTAGTTACGTAGTTCTCTCTCTCTCTTTTACTATGTAAGAGTCTTAGGGCATGGTACTATTCCATTAAGCACCGGCGCCCACCTCCTTTGGCCCCTAACCAATATACACTCGAGTACGGAGTAGTAATATAATAATATGGTGATCAGCGGGTAAAGAATGCAGGATAGTCCACCACTCCGACTACTACTCCGTACTAGTAGTAATTCACACTGTCGGAAGTACCTTGCTCCATTTAGAGACTCAAAAGAGTAGCTACTCCGTATATAGGTAGTTCAATCTAGGCACCGTGAACTGTTGTACAAGCTACCTACGGAGTACTCCAACGGTATAATAATAGTCACCAGTAGATTTCAATGAGAACCAAAGTACTTTACCTCCGTCATCATATCCGCCCAATGATCTCGCACTAGAGACTATAGACAGCGATAGTCCACCCAATAATTCCAGCCATACCAATATCATCCTGCAACCCCTGTACCAATAAGGCTCACTCAACTCAGCTTTGCCCTGCAGCTTCCAGCACGAGCAGACCTCCCTCGTGCGGAATTACAGATGATGTATCGACTTCACACCGTCTGACGACCTTCATCGAAAGCTTATTCCCCAGGCTAGAACTACAGCGTAGAGAAGGATAGGTCTAGGCCCATCTTAAGAACCTCAGGAGCTTGGCTCTCTATCAGGACGCAAGGTGTAAGTCAGTCAGTATCACTGGTCCTGATGCGATCTATCACGATGGGTCCGTCGGTACCTGAACCACTTTCTATCCTACACACAAGACAACAGATCAACGAGACAATTCCAGTTCATTATTGGAATCAAGATGAGCAGTACGAGGTCTACCAAACCTCCACCCGATCTCCGCAGTCCTACAGATGCATGATCAAGTCCATGAAGAGAAGTTATTCATCCCACCGATCAAGATGCTACAAAGTCAGAACCCCCCATCACAGCCCTATTATATACACTCTCCTCGACCGGAGCATCATACACTCGTGTTGAGAAAGCTATATATACACTAGCCTACTATGGTTATCCTAAGTTAGATCTCTGAAGCTAACAAATTTAACATAGACCTCACAGTCCACCTTCTCTTCGTCAACTCGCGATGTGTCAGACCTCCCTTCACTCTCCCTGAATAAAGTCAACACAGTCGATAGACGTGCTGAGGAGCGAACTCCCATACACATGCACCAGACAGATCAAAGCTCTTCGACAAAGACAGAGCTTCAGGGGTAAGCATCCAAGAGTACTCAGAGTCTCACACCTCTACCAGCGAACTCTCTTTATGGGCCTACCCGGCGACTCCTATCTCTCTTCCAGCAAATCCCAATACGCAATTGATATATCCCATTCTTCGTACTTCTTCCGGTATAGCAAGAGTCACGGAGTTCCAGTGCACCTTGGCTATGATAGGTCTCGCCTCCAACTTAACGACTGCTCACTGAAGGGGCTATAATTAGGCCAAGCCAGTTGTCTACAACGCGAATATAAACCACAGCGCATGCTCCATACATGTGGATCAAGATTCCGGGACTCAGGGACTATTCAGTGTCGTATTCTATTCTGTACTTTGTCTTCCCATCTGCATAGCTCCTCAGCTTCATCCAAGCGGAAGTGGACTAACTCAAGTCGATGGCAATGCCATTAATGATCGATGGAAAAGTAGATCCGTGAGACGAACCGGTGTGTGTCTCTCTTTTCTCTTTCTCTCTCATTTATTTATCTCTTCAGGAATCTGCTTCTCTAGTTTAAACCCAAGCATATTGCGCGTCTTGTTCCCTATTACCCTAGTATCTATTCCATTTACTTTCCTCCTCTATTAACCCTGCTTCAGCCTTAGTGGAACTTATCAACCCCTTCCAGACAGGACAGGACCTGGGTAGTCTCATTTATTCGCATCCGAAATCCATATTCACAGCTTACTTGTACCTGTACCAGTACTGATTGAGGTGCAAATATCACGTTAGCAGGTAAGTATATATAGGTATAAGTGTGAGTGTAAGATATATATATATACACACACCCACACACAGAGAGAGAGAGAGAGAGAGAGAGAGAGAGAGAGATGTATACAATCCTAGCAGCAGTGATAAAAGAAATCCAACTATATTAACATAAACCATTCCTATACCGAGCACACTACACATCCATCCTGCTCTGCCTGGCCCTACCTTATACAGAGTACTATATAATACTACTTAGTATACCAAGCACGTACAGCTCCATCCCACCGTTCTATATCATGGATCCCGCATACCTTTTCCTTTTTCCTTTTTTTTCTATGAGATCACTACCTCGGAATAACGGGAAAGCCTATTTCTATCTCTTGCTATTAGTACTCCGCACCCAGACATCTTATCAGGGTTCCGAGAGGAACCGATCGGAACAGGTTAACTTAACTTACAGCGTAGATACACATGCTGTATGGAGTAATGAATGGTAGGTAAATTTGCAATTCTCTCTCTCTCTCTCTCTCTCTCTCTCTCTCTCTCTCTCTAGGATAAAGTAATGTTCCAAGATGAGAGCTGATCTAGGGTATAGTGTGGTGTGGTGTGGTGTGATGTGATGTGATGTGATGTGATGTGATATCGTCAACATTAATTTGAAACACAAGACTCGGCGCGACTGCGTGCTCGGGTAGTGGTCTACGTAAGCTAGCTAAACTGCCGCAGGTAAACAACTTTACTACGAATTTGAAACTGAGAATAAGGTAAGAAATCAACTGCTGCTCCAGGCATTCACATTAACTAGCTAGCGGGCTATATTGTCTGTCTGTAACAAGACAAGATCTAGACTTTAACTCATCATATTCTTGGATAAGGACAAATGCGCTAATCACCAAGCAAGATTGACCACAAGAAGGCTTGAAATTCTATTTTTACACATGCACAAAAGAGGAAGGAAAACGAAAACGCCCCCCCATTATAGGAAAGCAAGGAGCAAAGATCGAGGCCAGGAAAAGATTCGACTTTGTGAGCGAGGTTGGATCGTAGGGGAATAGTCAGTCAGGTCAACCAAGAGACCCAAAAGGTGGTGTGAGATGCGCTTGTTGCTCAAACCCGCAAATTCCGATCGGAAACTGCGCCAAAACAACGCCGGGCAAATGATCAATCCAAAATAGGAATGCCGCAGGATCGTCTTTCTGCCGCATTCATTTGATGTTATGCGTTGTCGTTGGTGGTGGTAGCAAAAGAAGAACAGGAAAAAAAAAAAAAAAAAAAAAAAAAAAGTTCGAAAGTCGAGCAACAGAAATTTAGTAAAGGAGAAAAAAAAAATGTGCAAGAATTGAAAGTCTTTCACTGATCCCAAGGTCCAGCCTCGGTATTAGGTTTGTTGGGTTCTCACTTCATCCATAAGGCAAAGACATTTAATGCATGTTGACGGCAAAATCCCTGATACCAGCACCACCGCCACCCTTGGGCCCAAGCCAAACAATTTCAATCACACTGTGACCCTCGTCCTCCTCACGCACATACCACTGGTGAACATTGTCACCGACAACGAAGGCTTCCCGCAGGAGCCATCGATCCTTGATAACACCCTCCTGATCCCGAAGGCGCAGAGGTCCAAGACGGGCCTCATAGCCGCGAGGATCTTCTTCCCAGGTCTTTTCAGCATGGTCGAAGTTGATAGCATCATCAGGAGTGTTCTCGTCGTAGGTGTACTTGACAAGGGAGTAGCCATTGGTGAAGACCCAGAAGGTTCGCACGGATTTGCCAGTCGAGTTGTTGACGATTTCCTCCTGGTCAAAGACCCACCGGCGGAGAACAGAGCGACGACCAGCAGCGGCAGAGACAGCGGTCATCTTCACGACATCCTTAGTATACCAGCTGTTCCAGTGATGAAGAGACTCAATCCTACGACCAGACTCGTACACGCCATCGACCTCACCCTTCATATCCATCTGGTACAGGGAGGGCCAGAGGGTAAGCGGGGTATCCGCATATCTCTGAATGCATTGACCCAGCTTCTGGTCACCAGGCTGCTCACCCCAAGACTGGCACTCGTCATAGAAACGCTCCAGAACATCAAGCAGAGGCTTAGATACGAAAACACCGGCTCCTCCGAAGGCGATGTGGCCAAAGGTATCGACCTGCCAGCTAGCCTCGGACAAAGCTCCAATGTAGTGCTTCTTGCTCACGTCAAAGAGGTTCAGCTCTTGGGCGATGGTAGAGAGAGACAGGAAGAAAGTGTCATCATCAATGAAGCTCACCCACTTGGTCTGGGGGCGTTTGGTTCGGATATGCTCAGCAAAGGCTTGCACCAGGCCGAAGTAACGAGCGGTGAAGTCAAGAGGAGACTGGATCAGAGTCAAGTCCAAACCACGGTTGCGGAAATAAGTTTCTTGCTTCGGGATGTCATCACCCGACTCGGGGACGAGGACAATGATACCGGCCTTGGTGTTTCCATAGGAGTAGAGCAGGGAAGGCAGCAGACGATCCAAGCGGTCGGCAGTGGTAGCTAAGCCAAACAGGAGCTTGTCAGTTTCGTCAATATCATGGTCGGCGGCGACATCCACATCGATGATCGGGGGGCAGGCCATGGCCTCCTCTTTATTGCTCGGGGAAATGACCATGCCACGCTCCAACACAGTCATGGGAGGAAGCACAGGAGTCTCGATTTCCTCCAGGGAGCTAAATTCAGTCTTAGGAGGAACGTGACGGGGGCGGAAGTAGGCGCGGGTATAGTTCTTGCGGAGAAGCCATTCGTTGAAAGGCAGAGGGGGCATTACACCAGGATCCGCGTCACATGGTTGCGAAGTGGACGACGAAGACTGCAGCTGGATTTGAGCCGCACCGGGCGAGGCAACGCGATCGATAGGGCGCTTGAAGCGAAGGAAAGCCTCACGGTCATAGCGCTCGATGCACCAGAAAAAAAGCCCTATCGAGACGAGAGCGATGAGGGGGAAGGCTGTTTTCAGACGGAATGTCGGCATTTTGCTCGGATTATTATAATTGTTCTTCAACATGAAAGGGTTGGAAATTTGGAACAAATAAGGAAAATATTAGTAGTCTGGTGTATCAAAAGATCATCAGTCGAGTTCGGAAGTCCGTTGTGTCGCACCCCGGTACGGAGAAAAAGGAGGCGGGAGTTCCTAGGAAGTGGTATTCAAAAGAGTGGAATTGATGAATCCACCGATTTATTGCCGGTGTATTGTCAACGAGAGACTTGCAGCGCCGAGATCTGCAAGACGACCACAGAAACAAGTGGTGTCCTGTGAAGGTGACCGATCCAGAGCCGCGGAGGACGGGGGGGGGGGAGGAGACGCTTTGTAGGTAAAAGGCAAGGAGAGCTGTACTGGACAGTACGCCCGGGGCCGAAGAAGAAGATCGAGTTCGAGAGTCGTGGAGTCGAGCGTTGAGAGTTGAGAGGGGGAGAAGAGAAAAGGGACGAGGGGAGGGAAGCGTGCAGAACGAAAGAAGGAGAAGAAGAAGAAGAAGAAGAAGAGCGGAAGAGGGAAGGATGAAGACAGGAGAGAGACAGAATGGGAAGCGGGAATTCGACCACAGGCTGGCTGTCTATCTGTCTTCTCTGTTCGACGGTAAATTAATCTTGCAAATTTACCCTGTGGTCAGGTAACACTGTAATTTTGCGCTATTCTCTCCAGGGTTTTGGTTGGAGCGGAGCATCCAAGGCGATCCAAGAAAGAAGAATGATGATCACTATTAGAGAAAAGGTAGTTGTAGACAGGGGGGAAATAATTCTTCTTTATGATACTTCTTCTATTGTTATTGCCTGCCTTCCCCATCTCTTATCCAGGGGAAACGACAAAGCTTTTGGTCTAAGAATGCCGTCGAGATGGATTGGATCTTCCCCTCCACCAAGGTGGTTTGGTAATTTTCAAGTCTTCCTGATTTGGACCGTTCTTCTCTCACAGATACATATTCTGTGTACTTGTGCACTCTAAACGGTAGAAAAAGTTCCGACTTCTACTTATCTAGGGACATCTTTGGATACTCGAAAGTCAAATGTGTCGCTGTTTCATTTCTACTCCGGTAATTCTCAAACAAATGATCGCCGTTTCTTGATCCATCTCAGGCTGCAAACATGAGGAGGGCGACCAGATGCGTGCAAGAAGGGTAATTTTTTTTTCGAATTGGACGGTTGTGGAAAATCCACCCATTTTTCTGACTGTGGCGGTATTAGATAGGTAAGGATATAAAATAAAAATAACACATTGATATACTGCATTTGCTCGTAAAATGAAACCCTCCAGCTGAGGCAAATAATAATTAAATTATACGCCAAAAAAAAAAAAAAGTCGATCAGCGCGGCCTCCCGCCAGTCCAGCCACTCAGCTCTAAAATCCTCAGTCGGAGAGCCCCACGGGCCGCGTGTCCTTCACCCTCCCTCACACATGGAGAATGGATTCGGATGTCTCCTAATTCTTCACTCTTCCTCCCAGTGCTCCGTACTACCTAGATACCTACAGAGTAGAATATTATTCATTGACCCAGCTGATTAGGATGACTATTCAGAGTGGGTGTGCTGATCATACTCTCTGTACATCATTCAAACATGGGAACCCCGTGCTGCTATTTTCGGGTTGGATCCCAAAATATACAGAGAACAAGCCGAGCGTGGCAAACAAAAGTCACCAGCTTCAGAACTTTGCAGGTTTTCTTTCGCCTCCGTACCTGGGAAGAGACTTTGGGATGCGGTGGGGAGCGATCAGCCATGTTCAGCCATAACACTCGGAAGCTGAACAGAGCGATCCAATGGTAAGCATCAAAGGTATATAGGGTAGGAGGGAATATCCTCCCAGGTCTGAAGATCCTTGATGTCGTTATAACTAGCAGACTCTCACATCTTCCTGGTGATATCATTCTTCCGCCATAGTCTAGAAGATCGTCCTGATGCGCCGCTCGAACACGGAGTAGTTACCTAGGTACAGAGTAATCAGTAAATCCTTTGGAGTACTCCATGAAATTCCATCTGGTCGATTAGTTGGAATTCGGAACTCCTCCCTTGGCGAGAAACGCAAGATAGGTGAGGGGGACTTGGCTGTCAGATTTGCAAGCCCCTGATCACCACATCTCTGACAGAATAGTCTAGTCTACTTGACCGTTCTCCCGCTGCACAGATTCCAACAAGGAACTTGGCAGGTAAGAGCTAAAATTGCCGAGGCACGGACCCTGGTTTCTTCGTTGCTGAGGACAAGTGTCAATATGAAGAGGACACATCGCAAAAGATGGGATTCCGTTGGAAAGAAACTACTGTCTATGATCTATGCCAACTAAAGCTCTTTTCAATTTCAACCCTCCCTGACGAATATAGCCCTAGGTCCACTAAGCCATCAATTCCTTCCTTGATTCGAGGACACAATTGACGGATATTATCCTTGAGTCCAGATTAAAGCTAAGCGCACTAGTCTTGGATTAATACGTAACCTATCATTTCTCCATGGAGCGCGGTTCCTACTACTGTCTCAAACCCAACCAGGGGCTTATTTTTCTTTGATATCATCATAAATTCCTAACTAACTATACTACGGAGTAAACCATATCACTAATGCTGATTACCCCATCAGGATGGGGCAAAGTGTTTTTTTTTTTTTTTTTCCTTTTCTTCTCTTTTTCCCGGCGTGGCGCTGAGACAATATCAGCACCATAACTAACGACAGAAATAGGCCGCTATGGTTAATTTGAATACTTATTCCTCAAACTTACTTTCAGACTTCCAGACTTTGGCACAGTTAAGCTAACAGCTAACTAATATTATCCCATGTGGGAACCTTCATATCTCAACGTAAAACTAAACACTAAATACCAATACTACATAGATACGCAGCAGCGGTCTCTGCAGTTCCCCCATGTGACTATCTCTAAACACCAAGTGTTCACTTAGGAGGACTCCTGAAGTACAGGCTCCGTACAGAGATGGGTTGAACGATACAAAATAAGTAACCGGCCTCTTGCCACGCAATATTCCGCTATTGTGGGTATAGATTAGGTTACGATACAGGGCCAACCAAGTCTAATATCGGGAAAGGGGGGATTACAATGTTCCGGTTTGGAATTAATTCGATCCATTGAAGAATGGAGGGAGCCCCTGAACCCTGAAATCTCTTGGGGTTACTGGGCCGCGTAACGAAGTAATTTGCGTTGTCTTTCCTTGCTATGTATGGGTCAGAGCTTCGGGATTCCCAATGCAGTATTCCAGCCTGCCTGGTAGAGGATAACCAGTACCTAGGTAACTTTTTGACCACAGACGCTGAACAATGTTGGTATACTACCGCATCCGTCGGATATGTATATATATATATATATATATGTGTGTGTGTATTTGAAAGAATGGATGACTCTTGTTCTACCATATATAGTCTCAGAGAATGTAGTTGTACGTTAGATAAAGGTGCTGACGAAATTGGTCCGAGTTGGAGCCAAAGTCGAAAGAAAACCCTGCGGCCATGTGCAATTCATTTTGCCGTTGTCTGCCTGCAATACAACGGCATAACAAGAGTATTTACAGACACCATGTCGATTATATTTGCACAACCTTATTCCCCGTCATTGTACTCCTCTCGATCTTCAAATTTCAAAAAATCCTCTGGAGATGCTTCATCTCCCATAACCAGGGTCCAGGCATCCATCGCCGAGTCAATCACAGAATCATCAAATGAAAGATCAAGGCTGCCTACGGGGAATTGGATAATATTGCCGGAGACACTGTTGAGAGGGCGACTACCCCCATTGTCGCCCCGTCCCAGCTGGGTGTAACGTAGAGACCATAAAATCTCGGCATCGGGTTCAGTACTGCACTCAAGAAGCTTTTGTAGTGCACTCTCAATCAAGGATTGCCCCTGCTGACCAGGAATATTGGTACTACTGTATAAGACACCTGTCGCACGGAACAATTAGCAAGTGACATAAGAACATCAGGTGGTCAACAGTCAAGAATATTGAATTCCACAAGTCAGTCCCATAAAATTCTCATCAATGCAATCTCAGGCAATGTAGATAAGTTTTGGAAATAAGTCATCATAGGAATGTGGGTGCGGAGGTGTGACACAAGCAGGGAATGTTGAACTTACTTTGACCAGATGGGCATTCGGCGGTTTCGCTCGAGTGAACAAAAACATAAACGGGGGGTAAATCGTCCGTAACACCAAGGGAGCTTGCTGGGAATACCACAACGGCCCCAGCAGGGATAGGTCCGCCTTCTGCCGTTACTGGGAACAAAGTTTCTAGAGATGATGAAATAATGGTCACCGATCGAGCAACTTTATCACAGTCACAAGGAGACCGGACTTGTGCGGGAAGATCCCAGCTGGAACCAACCACGTAGCGGGTTAAAATTGATTCCCCACTGGATAATTGCAACTGAATGCGTGAATCCTCCCCACTGGCATGTTCTGTCCGATCTACCGACTCAATGCCAGAATTCAAGACATATACACCGCCTCCAACAGCTAGGGCACGGCACCCTACTTGAGAAATTTCAGATCCCCCGCCCCATTTTACAAGGACGCTTCCAAACCCAGGGCCGAACACTCCAATAGATGCCAAATGCCTTTGTATGCGGGGAACAGCATACTTGGCCGAAGTATTCTGAGGAGAGGCCTGAGATAAGGAAAGGGAAAGAAGAGGATCATAAAGCTCAGCTGGGACCTGGAACTTCGAAGTGAGATACTCGGGAAGAGGCTTCCCCAATTCTTCCTCTAGCGCGAATTTATCCTCTTCAGCTGATTCGCTGTTTGGCTGACTCTGGTTGAGATTGCGGAGAAATCTCATCAGTGTCCGCTTTGACTTGACACCAATCATGTCGTCTGCAAAGATATCCTCACGGCTACTAGGAACTCTGTATAGTTGCTTGCTTGCACTACTTGTGGGTTTGAATATCCACCAGCTTCCGACTGCTTGAAATTCAAGCTGCCGATAAACTTTAGAAGATATTAAGGCGGGCAATAGACGAGAGCGGGAGTAGATCACTTGGGGGGACAAAGAAAGTGTATATGCCCTGGAAGACGAAAGCCCTGGCTTTGCTCCGGAAGGGTTGGGCGAGAGTACGGTAGCATCCTCAAATGGAAGATTCCCGGTGTCTAGCTTATCAATATAGTGGTTAGAAAATGTCGAAGTCTCATGCAACTGACAAGGAACTCACCTTGATTTACCCTCGTGGCCCACTCTTCTGCCTCCTGGAGGCTGAAGGCAGCCTCTGAACTCCCATAATATGAATTCCTGTCCACATGAAGGACTTGTTTACCTGAGCGAGAAAGAGCTCTGATTTGAGACAGCATGAGCAAAACTGAAGTTGATATAGAACAAGAGCTATACTCACAGAGCCAGAAGTGACTGGGTAAGCCCAGTCCCAGAGATTACTACATCCCACTGGGTTTCTCCAAGTGACTCCATTGTTCTCGTACTTGATCAACGTTGGGCAATAAATGCAACGTTGTCTGTGTGGCGAGAAAACCCAACTAACATCACGTTGGATGAATAGATGATAGACACCTATGGGGGATTTTACGGCCCATTGGTGGTGCAACTGTAGTCGTTCGTTCAGAGAACGAGAAGAAGTTGGGAGAAAAGAAAATGAGAAAATCAAGGTGCGCTGGAAAAGAAATACAATAGGACCCACTACTTATAATCACGTGATCTAACTAGGCCGGTTGATTTGAAGCTTTGCGACATTACATAAGTAGTGGGTTAGAGCTTTCCTAAGGGACTAACATGGTTTAGATTGTAATTGAGACGGTCTCTTGCTACTCTTGGATGATCGTTTAGCTTAGGGGAGTATCACGACAATGATAACTATAGCTTTGGATGCCTGAGGATTATAGAGTATGTGCCTAATGTGGTCGCTTCTCGCCAAGTGCACCATTCTAAATCCGGTTAGGCTAACTTGCTCTTAAGGAACTTTTCTCCCACTACGAAAAAGATCTTTTCTTTCTTTTACACACCACTCCTGGTGCTTTGCATAGGCATGCTGCGATCTTGTCCGTAGCAGAATGTCTCCCTCGTACAAGCCTTCACTGGTCTTGTCGTCTATAGGAGTGGTAGATAGGACTTTTCACTCTGTATCTGCTGCTCCGGATGGAAACAACTGATGGAAGCGGTTCGTTTGTAGTGATACATTTTTAGTATTTTAAGAACCTTCTGTCTCCCACTCATGCATTGTATCTGTTTTCTATCGTAGACACGAGATCTTGTATGTTTAGCAGATCGGATTCTCAAGTAACTCCCCTGGTATAAGAACTGGCCGCTGTGAGACATATGCTGTCCATGGGGGTTAAGCGACGCGTGGTGTAGTGCCAAGGTGGCCTATGTGTGCCCAACTCAGGCTGGACATCCATAAATACCCTCCGTCCTTCGCCGAGGGAGGTGTTGATCGGGTGAATTTAGAGCGTGGCCTTTAGCAAAGGTGGCTTATGGGATAGTAGTCCAGGTTGTAGCCCCCTTCACTCCTCACTGCCTTCTTCCACTATTCTCGCTCGAATGATCTTGACCTCGTCCATTGGCCTATCATCAGAATTGGTTTTGACAAGTCCCATACGCTGGATAACCCTCATTCCACTCTTAACCCGGCCGAAGATTGTGTGGTTCCCATCCAACCATGGAGTTGGAGCTAGCGTGATAAAGAACTGACTTCCATTGGTATTTGGACCGCTATTCGCCATGCTTAACACTCCAGCTCCAGTGTGTTTTAGATCCGAGCGGATTTCGTCTTCGAACTTTTCGCCGTAAATAGAGCTTCCCCCTCTTCCGGTGCCAGTAGGATCGCCGGTCTGGACCATGAAATTGGGTATAATACGATGGAAGATGACATTATTGTAATAGCCCCGCTGGGCAAGGGTCGCAAAGTTCTTGCAGGTCTGTCGATTAAAGCAGGCGTCAGTAAGATATAGTTTGGGAGATGTTGTGCGCTGGAAATCTGCGACAGACCTTTGGCGCATGTGTGTTGTAAAGCTCAACTGTGAAGGAGCCCTGAGAGATATGTTAGAGCTCAATATCAACGTAAATATGCGACAAAGAGCTTACCATGCTCGTATCAAAAGCCACATCTGTTGCCATACTGTAGAAAATAGCCGTTGTCACGAATAATGTCTACCTGTCGTCAATGATCAGAAGTTCCGGGTTGAGTTTGATTGAGCTTTCGGCGAGGCGGAGAGAGACATGTGGTGGTCTTGGCATCAAATGCTGTTCAGGACAATGCGGCCGTTTGGTTCTCAAACAAAATCAACACCCCATAGCATGGCTTGAGAAGCTTTTGCAGTTTACATATATACACACCCTTTTCACATCTGAAATTTATTAAGCTACTGATTCACATATTTCACGCTCGTTTCATACCATAGACAGCTGTCAGATTGACATGGCTGGTGTGAGTCCCCTCGCGGAGCTCTTGGGGCAGGCGATCTACCAGTTCACGGTTATCAAGCCCCTGCTGCCAACGTATGGGCATCTTCTTCTTTCTGCGCTATTTCCGATTGTTATTGGAGCCCATGCATCGCTTGCAAGGCCTAATACAGCTGCAAAGCCCCCCAAAAAGTCCGGTAGTGGGCTTGCAGATGAGTCAGAGGATGAGAACGAGGAGGATGAAGACCAGGATGAAGACCAGAAAATGGAAGGACTGGCACCAAGTGATGCCCTCATATTTCCATTGACTGCTGGACTTACCCTTAGCGGTTTGTATTTAGTGATCAAGTGGATGGGAGCCGACACCCTGAATAAGATTCTCGGGTTTTATTTCTCCCAGATGGGAATATTCTTTGCCATGGCGTTTGTGAAAGACTGCCTTTCGGTTTGGAGGTCTTTTATCTTCCCCCGCAAGTACTCAAGTGGCGGTAATATTTGGAAACAAAAGCCATCGAACCGTACTTTTATCATTACCCAAGACTGCAGTAGCCAAGAGCCCGCTGAAGTGCGAAAGTCTCCTCTCCCGGGCAGTCTGGCGTTAATACCATTGCCTAGCTTTGTTGTAGCGACACTTTGGGCTTGCCGCAGCGCTCTCTACTGGAGGGCAAAACTCCGCGTCCATATCCACCGTGCTTTCCACGCTGAATGCTCCGTTGGCACCCTGGATCTCTTGAGTGGCTTGCTCTCATTGCCGACAGTTGCCTACTTTACTTTCATCTCGAAGCCCTGGTGGTTAACCAACTTTCTGGGCTTTAGCTTTTGCTACGGCACGCTTCAATTCATGTCACCATCCACCTTCCTTACAGGGTCGCTCATATTGACTTCTCTGTTCTTCTACGACATCTACTTTGTTTATTTCACCCCGTTAATGGTGACGGTCGCAAAAAAATTAGATGTCCCAATTAAACTATTATTCCCTCGTCCGTCTGCCCCTGGGGAAGCTCCTGACACGATTTCCTTGGCTATGCTAGGCTTGGGTGACATTATCATCCCGGGTATGATGGTGGGACTGGCGCTTCGATTTGACTTGTACCTCTACTATAAGTGGAAGGGCGTACAAAAAGCAAAAGTACAGGGTGAAGCTTCCGAATTTGTCAAACCAGTTTACCAGACCGCAACGGGAGGATGGGGAGAGCGCTTCTGGACACAGTCGCCCTCGTTGGGTAGACTAGAACTGGACCCCCCATATCACGATGCTCGTTCGTTCCCCAAAACATACTTCAAAGCCAGCATCGTTGGATACACGCTGGGAATGATTGCAACTCTTGTTGTTATGCAGATATTCGACCACCCTCAACCGGCGCTCTTGTACTTGGTGCCAGGAGTACTGATTGCCTTATGGGGAACCGCCTTTTTTAAGAACCAGATCAACGACATGTGGGAATTCACTGACTCTGAGGAGGAAGCTGAAGAATCTTCTGAAGAAGACCACAAGGAAAATGACGAACAGGCGCATTCTTCAGACCAGAAACCTGGTTTCTTTTCCCGCATTTTCTTCCGACCTAACGAAACCACGCCCACCCAAAATGCCCAGAAGGGTACCGATAATGGAAGCACGAGTCCTGAAAACCGATCAAACGAATCTGGAGATGTTAAAAAGAATGAGAAACCCCCAAAGAAAGGGTCCGAATTGGATGATAAGGATAAGCCTATTTCCGACCACCTCGATCTTGTCTCGATTTCGCTTTACGTCCCTCGAAAGACAAAGCCACAAAAGCCACAAACTCAGACCGACAATAAGGACACTTCGTCGGATGGGGAAAGCTGGTCTTATGTCGGTGCCGCAGATAAAGGCAACGAGCCCCCTGCCAAAAGACGTCGACGGAGTCCTAGAACGACAGCTGCGATTTCTGACTGAAGATTTTAATCATATTGGGGGTGGTGGAAGATACTTTTTGAAAGCGTAGGGGGCGTTAGGTGGTGTTTACCGGAATCTTTATCATGTATAGTAGTAGTAGATCAACGGAGGCAAGGTTGTGCATAAATTTAAGACTGGTATCATCCAGTATAAAATTGCCATTAATGCTGCGTGAAATTATCATCTCAACACTGCCCCAGAATTTGGTTTATATCATCCCATCTGTGAGCAGATACATCTACTAATTGCTTCAACTCTCGCCTATCCACTGCGAATCCACCATTTTTGTCCATTTTGACAATAGTCGTCTTGCCTTTTCCGCCTTGTTCCTTATCAACCACAATGCAGACCCTTTCTTGGCTCAGACCCTCCTCATAACCATCTGGGTCAGCTAGAATCCACCTCCGCTGGATACCCTTTCTACTGCTCTCCGAAATTTTTCTCTCCTCTTCAGCATCGGGGAGGATAACTGCCCTCCACCCGGAGGCTGCATCAGCCTCAAAGACGCAGAAGGAACTGGCAACTGGAATTCCTCGTAGAGAAAGCTTCCGAGCCTCTGAAACAAGATCAGAACAGACCACTGTTTCATTGTCAATATCCCACCATGCTCGTGGCAACTTTGTGTCGCGAAGTGCAGCTAAAACCGCTGTCCAAGCAGCATCGAACGGATTTCCAGCCAGGGAAATGATCATAATATCGATGTAAAGCACCCAGAATGCTTTAATCTCGCGGGCCGGGATAAATCCCCCATCGGAATCTGCCTGTTCAGCATCCATATCCATCTGCTCGCTCTCATTATGACGTTCCAGCTCCTCTGGTCCTAGGTTTGGGCGCTGGTACCATATTTGCAAGTCCTCAGCACGCACAAGGCGAGTCCGGTGCAATAATGAGAGAATCTGATGTGACAAGGACTGGGCTAGCGCAGACGGTGGCGCACCGGGAATGAAACCAGGAGCGCAGCCGGTGCTCAAAGAAACATTAGGTACGAGTAGGTTAAAGTCTTCGATGTGGGATTGGTTTTCGTTATCCTCGATCTCCGTAGGCTGGTCTCTGCGGTCTTCACCGGGTTTCTCAGAGGGGGTTGTCAATTTTCGTCGTTTGTTGGAGACGGATGGGCGAGAAACGCTCCATGATGCGATATCTTCGGTGTGTAAGATCTCCGCCGTCACGCCGCATACCGCAGTGGTGTCACCGACTCTCACCACAGCGCTGCCATTTGTGTGGGTAAGAGAGCCTGTGTTTGCAGATGTGACACGAAACTGAAATGGAGACCGACCATTGGCTCGGATGGAGGGCTGTTGACTCGATGCCGGAGGTGATAGATGAGCGAGTAGGTAGGCATGAGGTTGGAGTCGGGCAAACTGCGAGGGAGGTAGGGAGAGAGACGGAGGCGCAGATTGGGCTGCCATGGCTCTTGCACCGAAACTAACTCTGTGAGACTTGAAGCTTCTGAAATAATGGCGACCCCAATATCTCGAGTCCTGAAAGTGTAGATCTCCTTTGTGATGAATAGGCTTGCTCATGCAATTGACACAGTGAAAATCAGTTTTTCTGCGGCAGAATAGTTTCAGTGTTGGAGGCGGTAAGATTAGAGCAGACAAAACAGGATTATAAGTCAGAACTGCAAGTTACCACTCCAACCTCATCCGGCTCCTCCCAACAGGTATATACCTAATAGTTGGTTACCCTGATATGTAATTTATTATCAGCCAACTGGAAATATCTGCTTGTTGACTGCTTGAGAGCTGAAGCCGCTATGAAGCCGCCTTTGCGTGGGTTTGCCTATTGCTATGAACCCGTGTTTATGGCCTTCTACATCTTATCACTTGCCAACGCATGAAAGACTTATCTTTCCTGGGATACAATTGGGTGGAGCTTTACTTGGAATTCATCCTCTTCCCTGGACTTCATTATCATGGACGTTCCGTGTGGGCTTCCGTCTGTTCCCTATGATGAGGAATGACTGCATACTCCGTACTAGCAATTAAAAAAAAACTACCCGAGCGCGAAACAAATTCTTGGAAATAACCCCACGAATACACATCGGGACGATGTGAGGCCACCGGTATTTCTCTTTTAACAACTACCGCTACATTCTGATACCGGCCTTGACCAGTCTTGATGTGTGGTGATGCCGTCATTAAGGAATTAGCCATGGTTAACCATATCTAGCAAGTGTTCGGAAAGTTGCCCGCGCCAAATAGTGAGAGACTACAGAATCAGTTAATCAGCCAACCCCGAATCACACTGCACACATACTCACAAAAGTCACCAGGGGAAACTAAAGACAGAGCGAGTGAGAAGGCCGGACTAGCCGCTGACGGTCAAAGTAAGCGCCCAATCACCCCCGTAAATGGGCTGCCGAAGGTGACGGAGGTCCAGGCACTTGCATTAGTGGAGGATGGCACATCCCGCTCCTGGTGATGGTTGGCTGTGGCCCGAGCAGGAACCCGAATATCCAATCTAGGTACTCTGTATTCAGTGCCACTGGCTGGAGATCTGAGAAGATAGTCAAGATGTTCTTCTCCCCGCATGAAAAAAATGTGATGGCCTATCATCTACTGCAGATAATCTTGGCTGGTCGGCAGAATACTGCGCAAGCTTAAGCCCGCCCGCTGGCTTCTGCTTGCTTCTTCCCCTCTTCTGGAATGCTCTCTTTTCTCCTCTCGTTCTCCCGCGGCGGATGTCGTCTGTTTTATATCATCTCTCAGGGCCGATCTTCTCCCATTTATCTCCAGATCTACACGTGTTCTGCCCTGCGATCCTGCGACAGACAGCGGTTGAGTTTGTCGACCGCTTCGAGTATCCTGGGATATTTTATATGGTGTTCGACTGATGGTCATGCTCAATCACCTGAGGAAGAACTTGGATAGTGACAGATCATCTTTATCTCACTGAAAACTAAGGTCCCAAAGCTGGCCTTTTGGGGCGTGGGGTTACTTTGGAAGCAGTGACAGTCGAAGCCACTAAATCATACGCTCGCTTATAAAATATTTAGACTGCCTTCCGAGGCAAGCAGCTATGTCGTCCTGGGACTCTGTTGCTTCGCTTGTGAAGCGCATCAACCTTCCAACTGTCGCATCCACAACCCCGGCCGAACTCGCTGAACGTCAACGCGACCCATGGGTTAAATCTGGGAAATATGGGAGAGGATGGGTGTATTTCTCGCTGATTTTGCTTGGGATTTCCACGGCCGTCCGCTTCTACCATGTTTGGGCCGATAAGATGCGAATTGAGCTACATAAAGAGAACCGCACAGACATCTCACAAACGCCTCAAGAAGAATATGAGCTTCCAAGTGCCGCTACTGATAGCTCTACTGCTCATTTTTTCCCCGCCCACGGCCCCCTTCCTGGCAAGAAGAAGAAACCGTCGTCTATTGACTCAAGTGCACTACTGAACAATACTATCGCATTTGTGCGATGGCTTTTCTATCGACCACTTCCGGAGATGGGGATTGGGAGATTGCGCGTTTCTTCACCGTCTCCTGGAGCTTCTGCGATTATCTTTTCATCATTGACTTTCGTTACGCTCTATTGTTTTATCCCACAGCCGCTTTATTACACATCCATTGTCATTGGATCACCTCCTTTGGCAACCCGGGCTGGCATGCTCGCGGTGTCTATGGTTCCATGGATTGTGGCACTTAGTACTCGAGCGAATTTCATCAGTATGCTGACTGGTATTGGGCACGAGAGGCTGAATGTCCTACACCGCTGGGGCGGCTACATCTGTTTATTCCTGAGTCTAATCCATATGATACCGTTCTATATTATGCCTATTTGGGAAGACGGGATGCTGATATACTATCAACAATATCTTCCACGGAACATATACGTGTATGGGACTGGATTAGCCGCCTTTGTGCCACTGGCATTTCTATGCATCCATTCACTTCCTATTCTCAGGCACTGGATGTATGAGCTTTTTGTGAAGGTTCACCTACCCGTGTCACTGGTCTTTATTGCTATGCTATTCTGGCACACCAAGAACTTCCTGTCATCGTGGAGCTATCTCTGGGCCACTGTTGCAATATTGGTACTTTCATATGCTGTGAGGGTCGTTTACCTTAACTGGACCAATCCATTCCGGCTTTCATTTATGATCGGAGAGGAATCTGCAGTCACTCTTCTACCACAGAACGCCATCAAGGTCACAGTTCCCACGCAGATGCGATGGAAACCGGGACAATACGTGTATTTGCGCATGCCAGGCATTGCCTTTTTCCAGAACCATCCGTTCACTATTGCCTCTTTGTGCAGCGTAGATTTCCCGTCAAGCTATGGAGAGGATTATCGGGACTTAGCCCTTGTGTTTCGCCCTTTTAATGGCTTCACGAAGAATGTGCTTCTCAAGTCCATTGAATATGGTCCATACAAGACCTGGACCGCATTCCTCGAAGGGCCGTATGGAGGCATGCGACGTGAGATGGCAGCATTTGATGACGTGATTTTCTTCGCTGGCGGAAGTGGCATTACTGCGATTGCCAGCCATTTACTGAACCTCATCAAGAAAATGCGCGAGGGCAAAGCCGTCACCAAGTCAGTTCGCGTGGTTTGGGCCCTGAGAGACCCAGAATCTATTGACTGGTTCAAAGAAGAATTACGTATCTGTAGGGACCATGCCCCCTTCGACACGGTACACTGCTACTTCTTCCTTACTGGAGCTAGGGACGCCAATGGCCAGCCATTCGCGGCCCAAGATCAGCGGCATTACCGTGATATCGTACAGGAGAAAATCTATGACACGCTTCAAGAAATTGAAAAGCGCGGTTCCGCGTACATTCGTGAAGAAGCCGCAGGTGACGAAGAGCGTGAGAAGGAGCTTCGTCGAGAAAATGAAGATACTCTCACGGCTCTGCCCCCGAAAATTTACACGTCGAACTTGTCTCGATTCCAGAACCCAACGCATAACCTCTCCGTCTCACCATACCAGCCGTCTCCCTATCAATCTCCCAGCCAGCAACAATCTCCCTTCCAGCAATCTCCTTGTCAACAACAAGCGCCCTTTCATCAATCTCCCTACCAACAACAACCCACTTTCCACTCTCCAGCAGGCCCAGCTAATATTCCCTTTGATTTTGGACTCGCCCAACCCCAGCTTCATCACCAACAACCCCAACGCGAATCTCAATTCCAAAGTAAACCCCAAGCCCAAGCCTCCCAATTACCATCACTCGCCCCATCAGCACCGTGCGCAGTCCCCCGATTCGCATCTCTTCCCCTACAGAAGAGAAGCGGTTGGCGTATTGACTACGCCCGCCCAGATATTCCGAAAATGCTCAATGACTTCTCCAAGACGTTTGGTCGTCGGACTTGCGTGTATGTCTGCGGCCCACCAAGTCTGCGAGTAGACGTTTCTGCTGCTGTTGCTCGACTCCAGCAGTTGGTTATGACTGACCCAACGAAAGATGAGGTTTTCTTGCATGCTGAGAACTACAACATCTAACCTAACGCCCATGAATCTTCAATTTCTTCTTCTATCGCTCTCGCTGTCTGTTTGATTTTTTTTTTTATCATTAAGCCCAATGTTGTTTCTCGTTTGGGAGCTGGATACCATTGGCATTGTCAAGTTCGACTTTGATTTCGATGTTTAGCTTTTGATTGGTATGCGACCGCTTGACCTTCCCATTTACTGACAGGATATGGAGTGATTATTAATGTACATATATATTGAATATCTACGCATAGAACACTCATATATACTCATTCTCATTCCGCCTTTATTGCATATTTTTGGTGGTACTTATCTTGTGGTCTTGTAAACTCGTACATAAGGATTTCTTTAACGGTCTATTTGTATAGGTATTTCTAACTTAGGGGGAGAGCTATATAGTGGGAAAGTTGATGAGGGTATCCTTGGTGAGAGCATGCAAAAATAAAAAGGAAACGAATGAAATATGATGAGAATACATAGGAGAGATAGGGGTTATATGCAAGAAAAATGGCAGGGAAATAGCACTATAGCCGTTGTGGCTCTTCATCGGCCTTGCGTTTCCTGCTCGCGGAATCTTCGATATCAAAAAGTTTAGAGTCCGTAAAGGATTGAACCCCGTGTTCGTCTTGGTCGTCATCATCTTCTGCCTCAACCTTTTCCCAGTCCTCGTCTTCTTCGGAGGATTTTCTACCAAACTGCGTTGTTTCAGATGGAGCTTGAACGGGACTCTGCATAGGTATGCTATCATCACTGTAACGCCATTGGAGAACAAGCTTGACGATTCTGGCCCCGGAAGGTTTCAGTCGGCGGTAGTAGTTCTCAACTATGCCTTCTTCTAGTTGAAAGCCACGTGAAATGTACCACTTGAGTCCATCCTCGTTGGCCTCGTGCACATGCGCTGTGACAGTCCGGATATTGTAGTGTTTCACAAGCTCCGAGACCTGGTACGTAGATCGCGCAGCCGTGGCAGCCGTGGCAGGGGTTGGCGGAGACGAAAACAGCAATGAGTTGAGTAGTGAAGCCGCAACGCCACTGCCACGATATGGAGAGAGCAGGTGGAGTGTTTGAATATAGAGATTGGTCGGTTCCTGTTTCTGTCGGTCCGATTGCGTTTGAAGAACTTCAGTGGTGATTGGAGAATGGCGCTCTAGTCGACATCGGATGCCTCCGATTACTTTATCCGTTCCTCCAGTGGTTGTCGCTGTGGCTGGCGACGAGGACAAGGCCCCTGATGCGAGTACCGCAGCCACTGGGTGGTCGTGGTATATGGCCACGCGCGACACCGAAGCGATCACGGGATCGGTAATAGTTGCGGTATAGAACGAGTTGGGATAGCGAATAGGAAGTAGGAGACCGGTAATTCGGGTTAATGAAGGAATATGAGCCGTGCTCACCGGCTCGATTGTGATATGTGGGTGGGGAGTTGAATAGCCCGGTTGAATAGGATGAGGGTACGCAGGGGGCTGGAAGGAAGCGTCTTTCGCCATTTGTGGTCTGAATTTGGCAGCTACACTGACAGATGAGGTTGAGGACGACGACGGCGGAGCAACAACCATGGGCGGAGGATATCTTGGAGGTCTGGCATGGGTACTGGCAGACTGTGGTGGTGACGAGGAGTTCTGGGGCGGGGAGAGAGGGGGAGAAACGGACGATGACCTGTTGGCCTGATGGACCTTTGCGAAGAACTGGTAGGCCATCGAAGATACGGAGACCCGCTGAGAGAAAGAGAAACTCAACTCTTAGAAGATTTATATCGGAGTAAATGAGAGAATGAGGCTGTGAGCGAGCAAGTCGTAGAGAAATAGCAAGAAGGGCAAGAGGGAGGAGAGGAGAAAGGCAACAGGTGATGCGATCAGGCGGAGATGCGATAAGATAAGATGTCCGGAGAGCCAAAAAAGGCAGAATGAATAAGGATGGAAACCTGAGGCCAACACAGCAGGCGGCGGCTCTTGACGACTTCTTCATCCTATGCTTTCCTTCCGACAGCAACACCATCGCGCAACTTTCAGTTGATATAGCATGCTATTTTTGTTTGTCGCCTGATCTGATTGCCCTTTATATATATATAACTCAACTATTTTTATGGTTTGTTGGATGTGAACTAGGTAAGCCCGCTCCCGTGTTACTGTTGCCATGCGAACACTGGCTCCCTTGACCTGCGCTCTTACCTTGGTGAATACAATAGACATCATCCCATTCACTCCCTACAAGCTGAGGGCTGCAAATGACTGTGCTTCTTTGTGTTATCCTCCTAAACCCTGCCTCTCCATTGCTCACCTAGCGCTCCTTTGTCCTCGTTCTTAATTGTCGCTTCAACCCCCCCGGCCATACCGCACCTTCCCGACCATCTTACCCAAATCCGTTGAGCAGCTACCGACTTGGAATATAATTTCCTCCCAAATTCCTTTCCTGTTCCTCGGTCACGAATTACATGGAGTTATAACTCCAAGCCTAGGCAGTCTCTTCAGAGCCGAAGCATCAGACTTTCTACTAGTTCTCCTTGCGCCGGAGAAGTCGAGAGCTCGAGAGCCTCTTCTAGATTCTAGGAATATTGAGGTCAGTGATAGCATTTCATATGGGAATATGTGTGAATATGAGGGTGCTGTTGGCCATTTGTTCCCTGGGCCCACATTAATTGGCCTTGTGTGGGATAGCCTACGATGCCGTGGATAGTTATGTGGTTGGGGCCTTTGCTATCCTTCTAACGGCTATGTTCTCCTCTATAAATTATTCGCTTGAGAATATTTGGATTCTTGGATTGCTTTTTGGGGTGTTTCCGAGATCTGATCGTTTGCAGGACTAGACAGAACATCATTACAATGGGCGAATCAAACGGAACAAAAGAATCGCAAAGCTCCTTCCCTCCCGGAACGGTTGCGAAACTGGTATGTTTCTGAAAATAGATCCTAGGTGTCTTATGCATTTCCTCTAACTCCGATGCTGACTGACCAGACTTGTGATATCTTGAACGATACGTTTTACAATATTATCCACGACATCGTCGCCAAAGTCCATCGAGATGAAAAGGTTGCCCGGATGCGTTCCGCGGTGGTGATTGCGAGACAGAAAGCCGAAGAGGAGGCCTCTAGACGTCGCGAAGAAACCGGAGGAAAACCGCCTGGCTTGATTAAGCCCGGTGATCCCGACTCCGAAGAATTTAAGGATATTCATGTCGAGACCGACGGGGCTGTGTTCGAGGACGGCAAGGTTTATCTTAAGGGCAACCCGCTCCAAACAACCAAAGAGATTATCTGCCCAGACTGCCGATTACCCCGTCTATTGTACCCCGTGACTGGGGCTGGCGCTCGTCCTCCCCCCGATCCGTATCGGGAATACTGCCAGAAACAGCCGATGATTTCCAAACCAGGCCACGATGTGCATGGCAACCCATTTGCGACTGACAAACTGAACCCGAAGAAGAAGAAACAAACTAATGCCTCTAATACACCGGCGTCAAGTCCACCTACTACCCCCGATAGCTCCTTTAAACAGGCAGCCCCAGAGAAAGTGTCCTTTCCAACGGTCAAGTGTCCTAATTGTCCTCGATATTTTGTCGTGACACGTGTCGCGCAGCATTTAGATCGATGCCTGGGCCTTTCTGGCAGACAAGTGAATCGGAACAAGACACCACAGGAGAATGGAAGTAGCACACCGAGCTCCGCCGCTCCCAAACGTCCATTAGGAGACGAAGACACTCCGGCCGCGCCGACGAAGAAGAAAAAGCTGAGCGCCCCCAAGAAGCTATCCGGAAAGAAACCACCACCTGCGAGTAGTAAATTGAAGAATGGCTTGACGCCTGATATGGCTTTGGCCGCCGATGCCGCAGCATCTGTGGAGGGTGATATTAAGAGCGAAGCGAATGGCGATCCCGCATAGAGCATTGCCTCTTTTTTTCTTCCTTCTTCCTCTCTTCTTTTCACTTCTCGCTCCTTCTGTTCTAGATATACGGGTGTATCTACGACAGCGAAGGAGCCTTTGGACATATTTTTTTCACCCCTTTTAATAATGACCGCGACGTAAATATCCGGCATCACAGGCGTCAACAGGGAGCTGCTCTAGTACCATCACATGTCTAAAAGTCTGGGAAATCCTCGGCGTGCCTTTCATTGTTCTTTTTACTCCCTTTAACACGCTTATTCCACCAAGTCTTTTTTTTTTTTCACCCTTCCTTTTTACTTTAGGGATAGATGATTATGCAAATGGATGGGTGCACGCATCTACAGTATCCTCGCATAACTTGCTCATAACTTGCTAGGTTTAGGGTTTGTATTGGTTTAATAAATGGGCTAGATTAAATGAATTTAATCATGTTTTCCCTTCTGTTTTTAGTACCTTCTACATGTGCTGCGCCTTTATAGATGGTCGAATATTGTTGTGTGCTTGAGTATTAGTGCTGATGCCTGAAAAGATAGGCACACTACCCCGAAGGGCCTCCCGGAGGTATCACGATGATTCATTTCACCACCGCCACAATTCTCCCTTCACCGTCCCCAAACCATGCTTAGAGCGAAGATGATCTGAGATTGCCTCTTAAATTCTCTATATTCCTAACTGACATGAGTAATCCTAGTCTCATCGCCTGGGGCGTACCTCGTCTTGCCGAAATTCTCCCACTTGATGAAGAGTCTCTCATCCAGATCCTCACCTACGCTGGTGATCTATCCAAAGAAGAAGGCGCTGACCACCTCAAGAATCTTTTGGGAGATTCACCTATTGCATTTGAATTTATATCTGCCTTTAACTCACGACGAGAAGATCCCTCCCTTCGACAACCGCGCTCCGCCACCCCCCCACCTGCTCAAACGTCAAATGCTGGAAAGGGCGTGAAGAAAACCAAGAAAACAAAACCTCCCCTTCATAGCGCTGGGCCTCCACGGAGACCGGAGAATTTTGGAGATGTCACCGGGGGTTACAAGAAAGCGGACCAGGAGGAGGACTACATCTCCGGTAGGAGCAGGCCACAGGAACCAGGCTCAAGGAAGGCAGCAGATACTCTTCGACCAAGCAAGGGAATACCTTCACGCGAAGCTTCGGCAGCATCTTCGCGCAACCCGTCTCCCGCTCCTCCAGTAGGGAAGGCCCCACCCTCCGCAGCTGGACTAGTAATTTCGGACCTTCTTCCAAATGTCAAATCTAAGGCGGCGAAGCCTTCAAGAAGCGGCGCTGGGGGTTCTGGCACCGCAGCGCCTTCTTCGTCCAAAGGCTCCCTGACGACGAACAACATTTCTGATCTGACAGCTGCAATCGCTGCTTTAGAAGTATCTACAAATCCAACTTTATCAAACCAACCAAGGAAATGCGCTTGCTATGCGGCTATCCATCCGGTTTTTGCACCGGCTCCGAACTGTTTAAACTGCGGGAAGATTATCTGTTCTTTGGAGGGCCTTCAGCCCTGTTCATTTTGCGGAACTCCTTTGCTCTCGAATGAGGAAATTCAGGGCATGATCCGCGAATTGCGGGCGGAGCGAGGCCAAGAAAAAATGCGCGCGCACAACGAGAGTGTTCACCGCGAGGGCGGGCCTGGGCTGGGACCGGGCTCGTCTCCCAGCAAACTAGACGCCGCTCGGGCTCATCGTGACAAGCTACTCCAGTTCCAGGCGCAAAATGCCAAACGCACGCGAGTGGTAGACGAAGCGGCTGATTTTGAGACGCCCAATGTGTCGTCCACACTTTGGATGACTCCTTCGCAAAGAGCTTTGGCGCTCAAAAAGCAGCAGCGGATTATGCGCGAGATGGAGGAAAAAGCACGACCGGAGTGGGAGAAGAAGAAGACCGTGATGAGCTTGGATATTAAGGGTGGCCGCGTTACAAGGGTTTACCAAGCTGCACCTACGGAATCCAGTTCTGCTCCAGTGGACGAGCAAGAAGCAGAGGATCTCACTTACGATAGCAGCCAGAGAAGTAGCGAAGCGTTCAGCCATAATCCGTTACTGGCCGCTGGTGGGCTTATGCGACCTATTTGGAAGGCACCCGATGGGAAAACGGCGGATGGTCACCGGCAACGAAAGCAGACATGGCGTCGTGTTCAAGACGACGCCGAAAATGATAATGAACAATGGATTCTCGACGGGGGGATTCACGGGCACTCGGACTTGAATGTAGAGTCTTGAGAATCCAGTAGGTCTGTTTAACGTTCACATGAAGAAGAAGAAGAAGAAGAAGAAGAAGAAGAAGGAGCATTTTATTAGCCGGAAGTGCCTTTATATAGCTCCTGAGGACTTTTGGCACTGTATATAGAAGCTAGGTTAACCGCATTATAGAAATAATTCCTTGAATGGGAACGGCTCCTTCATGGGGGCTTTTACGAAGTTGACAAGCTTCCACATTACAACTGTGGATATTTCTTGAGCAATATTTAGCTATATATTATGGTTCCTCCTCTTATCTCCTTGTACAGCAGAGCTAAAATTACTTAAAATAGCCTGGCTAAATACCTTGGGTAAGTCAAAACGCCGTGAAGCATAGACTGGCCAACCATTAATAATTTTATGGGGTACTGTAAAGGATTCTTTAGCTCAGCTTGAGTAAACCTTTCAAGGATTGACTTGTCCTCTATTTCCTGGAGAATATTATTACTTTTAATATCTATTAGAATATATATTAGGGTAATACTATTTAACAAGTTGTATAAAGATACCTTACTGGTATAAACAAGCTTGTATTTATTATGTAGATAGTCTAGTACAAGAAAGATCTATACCAGACCAGGTTTAAGTAGGTCTTCAGTAAATCAATGGTAAAGATATCCAGTGCTTTCCTTATATATATAAGCATGGCCAGGGTGCTGTGAGTTCCCCTGATCTAGTTGCTTATAGATCTGAAACTCTTCCTGGTCACTTCTGTCGCGCATGTAGATTTTAAGTGACATGTATTGATGGCCTCTGCTTGTATTAGTAGGTTTAGTGTTTAGTTGAAATCAAGTGCCCCTAACTTACTCAAGATTGCGAGTGAGCCATACAGTAGAAGTAGTCCCAAATCCGAGTTTACTGATAATCTAGTATTTGGAACTAATCAAGTTACTAATGTTAGCAGGGTAATATTATTCTTATTTGAACTGCTCAAACTGTTCCTCCTCAAGCACCTCCACCGCTGGTGGGAAAACGTATAGGAGGGGAGGGACCCCGTCGAATGGCGTTTGTGACGCATTTCATGAGGTTTGCCATGATGGTGGCGATGAGTATGTGAACTACCTAGGTAGTTATTTATACTAAAATATAAGTAATCAGAAATACCTGAATAGGCAAATAAAGTAATTAAGGATTAACGATTGTAGGATCTGTACGGAGTAGAAGAGGAAGTCGACTATTTGGACTGCTGGAAGGACACGTGCCCCACACCCCTAACAACCCTTTCTTAAAGGTATCCCCGTATACATTTCTGACTTCTTCTCATTCTCATTCCCATCTTCATCTTCATCTTATCTCAATGACCTTCTCTACCTGAGCACCCTCCAAGACGCACTCCTCCTCCTCCTCCTCCTCCTCCTATTTACCTAGACCCGAACTCAGGCAACTAGGAAAGGAAAGGGAAAGGAAAGCATGCGCCCATCATCCCCCCTAACAACGACCTTGATCCAATCGACAATTCTAAACGCGATATCCAACGTCCTGGCCCAGATTATAGACCAGCATAAGAAACATGTACGTTGTACTTTCTCAACCCTTTCTTCTCAACCCGTTTCTTAGTTCGTAAAACCCCGACCAAATCCCTACCCTGCCTATCCCATCCATCCATACATACATACATACCATACCCCCCCCTAGTAAGAACCAAAACAAAAAAAAAAACAAAAACAAAATTGAATATGAACAAAAAAGAAAACATTCAGCTTAAACACCACCGCTTTAATCCAATTCGTCACCTATGCTATCATCATCTTGCCCCTGAACTACGCCTGGCAGCGATGGCTTGAGATTCGATATCCTGGGTTTCCCTCGTTCCGACGCATCACGGCGACGAACTCCTCCTCTACCGCTGCGACGACATCAACACCGACGATTAGTCTTCCTCGACTTGTCTCGGTTCCGGTTCCAGGTTCTGGTTCTGGTTCTGGTCCAGGGTTAGGGTTAGGGTTAGGCAGTGGCAGCGACAGCGACAATGGCGCTCTAGCAATCACCATCGACGATGGCAGCGGCGAAATCAAAGAAAAGCCCGTGCCTCGCAGCAGCAGCGGCAGCAGCAGCAGCGGCAGGAAACGATCCGGAATGTACAACTTTGCGATGAAGTTTCTGTTGGATCAGACGGTGGGGTCGGTGGCGAATATCGTGCTCTTCATTGTGTTGATTAATGGGTTGAAGGGGAGTGGGGGGGGTCGGATATATGGGTTGGTTTGTGAGGTAATGACGATCTCTTCTTCTTCTTCTTCTTCTTCTACGGCTATTGCCTGCTGCTGTTCTGCTCTCTTTGACTAACCAACCATGACCTGCAGGACTTTACCCCCATTATGATTGCCCGGCTCAAGTATAGACCGCTTGTTTCGACGTTGATGTACACGGTTGTGGCCCCGGATCGGAGAGTGGTGTTTGGCAGTGCGTGTGGGGTAATCTGGAGTGTGTATTTGAGTCTTTATGCTGCTGTTTAGCGAGGATGTGTGTGTGTGTGTGTGTGTGTGTGTGTGTGTACTACTAGTTATCTTGGAGTACTCCGTATACTGTTGTAGAGAGCTACGAGTACGAGTGTGGCACAGGTTATTCAACATATTGTATATGTATATGTATTGTATCTCTATTCCATCTAGGAGGGATTCCCAAAGATAAACCGAACGGAAAAAGAAAGAAAAGAAAGAAAGAAAGCACGGAAACACAACGAGTCTGATCCATCATAACTAGTTATCAGGTTCATGTGAGTCATTCACACCTAAGCTGCCGTCGCTTCAATCTTCTTCCCCTTAAGCGGCTTCCACGAGAGAGGAAGACACCCGATAAACGTACACGCTGCCATCGCGGCACTGCAGTAAAACGTCTGTACAAGCGCCTTGTTGTATGCCTGGAGCACAGTCGGCAAGACCTCAGACGAGACCATCGTTCGCACCATGGTCGCTCCCGCAGCAACGAGCTTAGCCCCATCGACGTTCGGCGCCTGCGCGGCCAGGTTCTTCAGCAGCTGGTTGTGGAAGATATTCTCGCACACAGAGATGAATATCGTGCCGCCAAGCATCTGGGCAAACACCTGCAGCGCTGTCCCGGTTGCAATGTCCTCCGCCGGCAGAACCGCCTGCACGACGATCAGCGGAGCCTGCATCCCCAGTCCGATCCCAATCCCGAGGATCACCAGGTACCCGATCCAGGCCGAGTGTGTGGTGTCGACCTGCCACGTTGTGATGAGGCCTGCACCCACGGCGAAGAAGATGGAACCGATGTACATAAGTGGAGTGTAATGTCCGAAGCGAGTGACCAGGATACCGGAAATTAAAATGAAGATGATGCACGAAAGAAGCATAGGGATACTCATAATGCCGGATTTGGTTGCAGTGACGCCTTTAATTGCTTGGAACCAGATGGGAATCTAAATTGAAAAAAAAAAAAAAAAAAAAAAAAAAAAAAAGGTTAGTTCATTATAGAGGATTAAGAAAAATTTGGGGGGGGGTGGACGCACATAGTACACGAACGAATAGAATCCAGCCCCCAGGGAGAAAGAGTAAATTGAAGCTCCCCAGATGTTGCGGTTCTTGAAAATGCGCCCAGGTACCGTAGCCTTTTCGCCCTGAAAGGATTCGACAATGATAAAGATAACGGTCAAGACTCCAAATAGACAGAAGAGAACAATGATGCGGGCATTGTCCCAGGCATACTCGGTCCCTCCCCATTGCAGAGCAAGGAGTATACAAATAATCGCTGGCACAAAGAAGAAAGAACCGACAAGGTCCAGCTGGTCGAGCTCATCCTTGAAGCTTGGAAGGGCCTTGATAGGTTTGGGGGCTTTGAAGAAAAAGGTAATAAAGACTAGAGTGATCCCCCCCAGAGGCAGGTTGATGTAGAAGCACCACCTCCAGGTGACATGATCTGTGAAAGCGCCACCCATCAAAGGGCCAGCGATACTGGCGACTCCGTACATGCTCCAGAGCCCTCCGGTGAACATGGGTCTTTTTTGGAGTGGCACGCACTGCGCCAGAATCAAAATGGCGCCCGAGAACAGCCCAGCGGACCCGATGCCAGCTATCGCACGTCCAATGATCAAAGCAAGTGAGTTTGGGGCCACTCCACAGATGAGAGAGCCGATCTCGAAGAATGCGAGGGCACTCAAAAAGACCCATTTAGTCGAGTAGAAGGTGTACATCTTTCCGAACTGTAGCGTCAACGCGCAGAAGGTAAGTAAATACGCACTTCCATACCAGCCTATATCACCCAGAGAGTTAAACTGATCCGTGATCTTTGGTATAGCCGTGGCTAGAATGGTGTTGTCCTATCAAGGGGTGAGCAGGATGTCGATGACTTTGCAGAAATCCCATGGCAAGTACTTACAATCGCCAAGCAAAAGACCGCCAGGCAAAGCCCAATGGTGATGATATAAAGCTCCCAAGATTGTGCGTACTCGACATTTTCTTCTGTGTCTTCGTCTTGTGTCTGCTGGTCTTTGTTGCCCTCCGTCAAGCTAGGGGCAAGTGAAGGGGAGCGTTCTCTGTCGGAAGGATCAAAGAGGGTGCTATCTCGGTCTGATGAACGGGTCGCGCTGTGTTCCTTTTCATTTTTCAGGGGGGTTTTGAGAATCGAATCCCCTACTTCGTGAGGGAGAGTATCTGCCATGATGGAGGATGGGTTTTCAAGAGAAAGGGTATGTTCTTATTCGTGTTGCGAGTAATACACGCCCTCAGAGACTGTGTCCAAGCCCACCAGTAGCGGGACGAATGCGGACAACAATCAGGGGTATGGCCCCAAAGATATTTGAATACCCCGAATTGACAGAAAGGTACATCAGCAAGCGTGGGAGGAGGGAAGTTTATAGAGAGGTACGTTGACATGACATATGTCGCATCATCTCCTTGAAGCAAACCATATTTTGCTATAGACCTGGGGGGGGGAACCCGCGGACCCCGTCGATTTATTCTGATTCACTACAAAATGCGTTGCTCGACTTTTAAGAGCCAATGGAATTTCGCTAAAAAATGACCCTGTCGGTGAAAATTCCATGCGTTTCTTTTTTATTTAAGCAAAGTGGCTGACGGCACCTCGAGTGATTCGCTCCTGCGGGCAAAGTATTCCCGTCGATTCTACTAGTATTCCCTGGCACTGCAAACCAGGTGATAATCTGAGCAAAGATCTTCCTTGTGGTGTCTCTACTACTAGGGTAGTCCCTTGCATTCATCATTGCCACGATAGTCCAGAGTATACAACCGGATTTCGCAAGTCTTGCAGGAATCTCCTAGCTGCATATGTATCTTAAGATAAGAGATCCCTAGAACTAAGGTAATATCAGATAGCCTTGGGATTGGTCCGACTCGAACACGCAGGAAACTCGGTGGCAGAATTTCATACCGACTGTTGGGTGCTGAGGTACGGAGAATCAAAAGACAACTCTTGTTATTGCTTCTGTCATCGAAGGTTATCTTGAGAGGTATATACTGAATTCTTTGTGATGCGTGCAGAAAGAAACACATAAGTAAGAACGCCATTCAATCCAGAAAATAATGATACATCTCCCTTCTTCCTAACCAGCTCCGCTTGTCGACACCAAGGACCCGACTACGGCCAGGGTAGAACCAGACCAGCATCCGGGAGGATAACCCGGGTGCGTATATGAAGAACATATCAAGACGCTTCGGCTAGTAGCAATACCCTTGAGGCCTATGCGATAAAAGAACAAGAGAGGTCGGAATAAGGAAGGGGGTCAAGAAAAGGAAAGTCGTCACCACATCTCAATCATTTCACGTTTTTGGACGCCCTTTTCTCCTCTTTACTTGCAACAAGCGCAATCAAAGCGGCCCCAACTCCGCTACCATCCTTGGAGATACCGATCCGTACCTTCTTCTCGCCAGCAGGGCCTAATTCCGGTACCTCTCGTAGGGCGTCCCTCATATACCCCTCAAAGCCGGGGTAAAATTCGACCAGACTTCCATCGACGCCAATGTCCACCATGTCATCGGTTTCCAGTTTACGCGTGGAAATGAGAATAGCAGCAAGAGGGACAGCACTCAGACGAGCAGCACGCTTGCCGATGGCGTGTACAATGGTTTGGATGGCCTTGCAATCAGTATCGCTGGGACGCTCGATCTTCAAGTGGTCCTTCAAAGCGAGCTTGGTCTCCTCGAAGCTAGGAGACTTATCAGCTTCGACCAAGCTGAGCAGACTAGTATCGACGCCCCATTGGCGGTAGAGGGACGAGCTCTCTGGGATATGAACATCCGACGACCCGTTAGGCTGAAGGAACCCTAGGGATTTATTGCGGTGCATATCCAGCAAGACCAGACGCAGAATCTCGCCAAGGAACATACCCGACACACGCTTCTCGAACATCTGGATGCCCGGGTTGTTGCTGTCAGCATCCAGCTGTTGATCGTATTTTGTGTTGGGCAAGACGCTCAGGTGGTTATCGAAGCTGCCCCATTCCGTGTTGATAATCATTTCGCCAGTCGATTTGTCGTAATTGGAGTGTTCAATTTTGTCCATCTTGGTAACTCTGTCAAGTTTTTCGAGGTAGGCTCCGTTTGTGCCTGTTCCGAAGATAGCACCCAGGAATGTCCCGGTAGCACCGGGTGATGTGTACGAACGAGCCATCAGGGTTCCCACGGTATCGTTGACCAGAGCGGCCACGCGAACCGGAAGTTCCAAATCATCCAGGGCATTCTGGAGAAGCGCGCAAACGTCCTGGCCCACAGCATCGGGGATGTTAAAGCCTTTGGTCCAGCGAATCAATGTACCCTTGTTAATCCCCAACTGACGCACGGGAAAGCTGAAGGTAAAACCCAGGTCAAATAAATCCTCCTCCGTTTTCCCCGCCCTCTTCCTTCGGAGATGAGCCTCGAAATGCTCATTGTGGTGAATACGCAGGAAGGCTTCAATCTGTCGAGCCAAAAACATGAAGAGATCCTTGGATGACCCTGAAGCCATCAACTCCCGAGGGATCATGATTTTCGACTGTGTAAGAGAGAAGGTATTGTCGCCATGAAGGTCAATTGAGCATACTCGGAAGTTGGTGCCTCCGAGATCTACAGCCAGATACAGGCCCTGCAAGGAAGGGAAGACAAGGTCAGAATCGCGGCCAAATTCAGATTTCTTGAATCATACACTACCTTCTCAGTGCCGTTGGGCACGGAAGTCACGAACGTCGGGATCTGGCTCAAGGTTGTATTCTCCTGGGACAATCCTTCATCCATCTCCCGAATATACTCCTTTACCCCACGCTGGACCTCCTCCGCGGGGTAATCGAACTCACGCGCGATGCGCGCAGCCTCTTGCAGCAAAGCAGACATGGTTGGCGGAGTAGTGACAACAAACTAGGCACAGGGGAGTTAGTGGAAAGGGATGGAATTAATGGACTTGAGGAGTAGGTTTAACAGTAGGAAAAGGAATCAATATCGTACTGATTGGGTATATATATATAATATATATATATATATATATGAGATGGGGGTTAGCTGATGAGGAGGGGTAGTAAGATGGAGGGGAAACGAAACGGAGCGTGGGATGCGACAATGGGGAAAAGTCTTGGAGGCGGCTGTGCAGAAGGAGCCTTAGGAAGTTAAATAAAACAATAACAAAGATAATAATACGGGGAATAAGAATGATGCATGAGCGAAGAAGAGGGAAGAAGAAGAAGAAGAAGAAGGAAAAGTCAATTGATCAATGCACAAAAAAACGCCATTGACGATAGAAACCGAGGGGGAGGAGGAGGAGGGGTTCGATGAGGTCAGTTTCTGTGGGTAAAACAGTAGCGGGAGAGTCGGGTCTGGCGGGGCACCAGAAAAGTAGTTACTACAGTACACATGGACTTTGCAATGGACTGGCTATACTCGATTATTATCATTAGATTATATCGTACTGATTCTTCTGATTATTGTTCACTGCTGCTACTATTGACTCGCCTATCTAAGTAACAATAAGAAAGAAAAGGATTCCAAGTTCCTGTTGAAGAATCGAATCCATCCAATTTCATCCATGACGCCATGAAACATAGTGGGGATGGTTTGGGCTCCTCTTCACCGGTGAGAAACAATGGTTAGGATAGGATCTTGCACAAGAGAAATGTAATGGCTTAGTTTGAGGTTTGAGGCTTTATGGAATCCATGACAAAGGGAAAAATAATAGTTACATACTCTGCAGGTGGGATGGCAGCCTGACAGACAATGCAAAATGCAGACTTGGTAGGTATATTCAAGAGGTAATATTTTCTCTTTCCCATGGGATCATGTATGCTTCTTTTACTTATATGAGGTCCATGGGCAAAACAACATACTATAGTATGTACGTCGTAGAGTTAGAAACAATCTCCAACAAATTCCCTTCCTCCCTCACATGTCTAACCTACCTAGGTAACTACCTAGGTAGTTCTCAACCCAAACAGGTGATAAGGCACAAAATCATTCGCCCAACTTATAATCAAGGGTCCTATCTAGGTACTCCGTACTCCGTGCTCTATACAGTACGGAGTAGAGAGAACCCTGGAAGCCGGTCGTGAAGTTCTTCCCAGAATGGTTAACAAATATTACTAATACAACCCACGTGACCTCCGCCGGCGGAAGTCGGCTGCAGAAGGACGATGCGCAATTATTCTCTCCGACAACGACGACGACGACGACGACAACGCTCAAATACCACACGAATCTCCTGCCTTTACGGTCATTGCTGCGTCGCATCGGGCCGACACATAACGGATCATATAGTAAAGGGGCCACAGGAGGAAAAGCCACTTCATTGAAACTCACATCATGGGCTCCGGTAGCTCTAAGCCCGAGGCATCGGCCGGGTCAAAACACATTTTCTCCAGGTATGATACTTCTTGTTTGGGTCATATCTCGCAGGGCCTTCTCGATCTTTTCATTTCCCCGCCCTGTGTGCTACCAGATGGATGATGGGAGACATGGAGGATGCGTGGTGTGCATCTCAATGGCTCGCGTGCGAAATCATATCAAGTCCTAGACCCTGGGCTTGCGGATTTCTATATCTCGATGCACACCAGAAAGATTTACACCCTCGAGGCTGTCCAGTTATCCATGCATGACAAATTCAACCCGCTAATGCTTTTTTTTTTTTTTCTTTCCAAAATCAACAGCAACTCCCCCATCCAATTCTCCTCGAACCTGGTCGACGGCCTCCAATCCAATGCCGAAGTACGTCTCTACCCCAGGGCGAATAAGCAGCCAAAACTCCAAAATCTAACAATCTCCTTCTTTTAGACCGACTCCTCCCGTGCAAAGACCCTTGAACTCCAAATCCAAGCCCGTGTATCGGAGGAACTCGAGCGCCTACGCGCCCGCGAGCAGCAGACCCTAGCTGAGATCGAAAAACGCCTTGCAGAAGTTAAAGACAGCGGGAACAACGCCGCCGCTACTACCTCCACACCAAGCCCCGCCAGCTACAGCTACAGCTACCCAGCTGGATCATTGGATCTCGACGCGCCCCGGATCCCCTTCGCCGGCCGCGAATACACACCTGTCCCCCCTGCTGCCGTTGAAGCCGCACAGCCAATCAACCGCGAGCTGAGCCGGGAGACGGTGAACACGGAGATTGAGGAGCTGCGGACGAAGCTTGCAGGCCGCAAGAAGCTGGCTGAGCTGGATGACGGCATTGAGAAGGCCAAGGCGGATGTGGTTAGCTGTTTGCGGTTGAATGATCGACGGCCGTTGGATTGCTGGAAGGAGGTGGCAGAATTTAAGAAGGAGGTTGCGAGACTGGAGTCGGCCTTTGTGGATAAGATTGTTGGTTAAGGATGAGAGGGTGTAGGATAATTTCTCTGCCTGTCCCCTCCCTCCCTCCCTCCCTGTCTTCCTTCTTTCTCGATCTCTTTCATGCTGTGTGAGTGTGAGTGTGTTATAAAATAGACTCGTTGGATTCTGTGTCGTGCTATCATGCTGTTGTGCTGTCGTGCATGTGTATACCTACTACTATCTACTTACATTGTGTCAGTTCAATGCTCATTTCCATTTAGAATATGTATACATTGTCAAGTTCTCTCTTAGAAGGTAAGCCCCAATAGAGGACATACAATTTACACAACTGCCCAAGTCTACTATAGTGAGTAACTCTACCTACCGGGTATCACAAAGATATAAAAACTCAAACAAGCTCCCAAGACCCCAGCCGCCCAATCGTCTCCCCAGCTCCTCGAACAATACACATATGCTTTTCTCTCTCTTGCGCCTTGGAGGAGGATTTTTTCTTCCCCAGACCCGGGACTGGACCACTAACCTTTGAGACCTGGATCGAGCCAATCCCGGTTCCCTTACCCTCAGACAGATTATAGTTCCCCGTCGTGATAAATCCAATGAGATCTTCCTCGCCCGGCAGAGCTAAGTGCTCTGGGCACTCATCTGAGACGGGGGTCAAGAGCGACGCAGCGAGACGCTGTCTAGCGTCTGCTTCGTCTTCTTTTTTGCCCACGCTTGTTATTCGCTCTCTGTCCTTTTCCTTTTGTTTGCTAGATGGTTGTTTGGATGCTAGGGCGATCCATCTCTGGCGGAGGTCTGGGTTGTTTGTTGGGAGCCGATAGATACGGGCTCGCGGGGTTGGACTGCCTCGGGCTTGGAGTGAGATCTTCACACTTGCAAGTGAGGAGGGGTTGTTATTTGTGCTGATTGCCAGGGTTGCCTGAGAAGTAGGGAGCTGGTGGATATTCAATGGGAGGCCAAGGCTAACGTCCGCAGGGGGTTCTCCGTCCGTCTTGCTATCAGATTTGGAGACTTCGTTGATCTCCTTGCTGGTATCCTGACCTTTGACGACAGGCTCATTATTAGTTGGGCTGATCAACCGCTCCCAATCGCAAGCCCAGCCGCGCCCGAACTCGCCCTTCTGGCCGTTTCCTAGATCAAGGGTGTCAAATTCAACCCTTCGTCCTTTCGGTCTCCGCTCCCATTCCTGCTTGGCCTTTTCCTGTTCACGTAATCCCCATTCCCAGCCGGCCTGGGTGCCTGGGAAATCCCCCGGGAACCATGGCTCTCCAGCTTCAAAGGCAAGCTGCTGCTGCTCTTTCAAGCCCCCGAATCTCAGTTTCCCTCCGCTGGAAAGCGGATAGTACATTAGGGAATACCATACGGGGAGTACACACTTCCAGGGGAGAAGAACAGTCCAAGTCCCTGGGGCATTGCTGTTCTTCGCCTGGGAGCTACTGCGAGTGGCAAGGATTATGACTGGGATTTGAGGATCTGAAGGTTCTGGAGAAGGGTGCTTCCCCACTCCAGCCTGGGTTCGTCGTCGGTTGATAGCCTTCTGGCTAGGTAGTTGGCGGGTAGCAGCTAAGCGGGTGGGACGGTCGAAGAGATCTGGCGGAGTTGTTTGGGTTTTGTCTGGAGGCCAAGAAGAGAGTAGCATGGCTAAGTCTTGGATCTGCTTTTCAGAAGATGGAGGCTTGAGTGTTTGAGGCGGGAAGTGAAGACGGGGATCGGATATAGAGAATGCCAACAGAGCATTTTGGGGTAGCGATGAAGGGTTCGAGACCCCTAACAGGGAGTTCCATGTGGCTTCTGTACTGCCTACGGGGATTTCCTTGTCGTTCGTTGCCAATGGACTCAAAGCCGAAATCAGCGCTTCTGTAGACCCCGGGCCCGTGACGTCGATGCTGCCTATCTCAAAGCGAAGATCCTCAACCATTACCGGTGGACTCTGCCTTTTCGAAATGCCCAGGAGCTCATTCCACAGCTGTAAGAACGCAGATGGGTGGACCCTAATGAACACTTTGGTTCTATCCTTGTGCTTCTGCTTCTGCTTCTTCTTGCCTTGGGCGGTATTCCCATCGTCATCAATATCAACCATTTCCACGTCCTCTACCACGCGCTGAGCACATCGAATCAATGTAATCGGCGCAATAGGCTTCCGCTGACCGTCATGTTCGACAGCCCAAGCTCGCAAGCTTCTCACTCCAGCCCTCCATTTTCTTCCCTTAACACCCCACGCGTCATCCCCGTTAACGCCGACAGCCCTCAGCACGCTTTCTAACGCTGCCTCAGTACCCTCCAACTGAATTGTAGACACATAGCTCATATCCCATGCCACCGCTCCCCTAGCTCCCCTAGCTCGATGAGTAGACCTGTAACTTTTCTCAGTCGGAGACAAAGGCAATGCAAACCTCCACAAAGGATCCTTCGTAGTCGTCATGTGCGCACGTTTCGCATGAAACAAGTGCGTTGGAAGCCAGGTCTTGCAGCGCTGCCGCTTCCTATATTTCGACTCTGGCGCCGGGGGTCGCGAAAGCTTGTTCTTCTTGATCTTAGGGACTCTCGGGGCGATATCGAACGCGTGGCCACCAGCTTCTTCTAACGATTTTTGTTCCTCTTTACCACGCTTTGCCTTCAAGGCAGCTCGCTTAGCTTTGGTCTTCGCGTTGAGGTTCTGCAGACGTCTGGCGGTTTCGAGACGAATACGCATTATCTCTGTCGGTTTTCGTCGTCGAGCCGTTACGGTGGGGGTGTTATCCTCGATCATCTACTCAGTTTAGTTCACGTAGAGATTAGCAACCCGTCATGAATCCCATCACTGAATCCTGTGAATTAATACAACAATGCAAGATACTTTGCGCGTATGAACCCCCCCCCTTTCCCAAACCAAAAAAGAAAAGAAAAGAAAAGAAGACCTACCTCTCTCTTCGCCCTTGCCCTCAACCTCCTTGGAACCCTCTTCACATTATGACTCGCCGTCCGCCTTCTCAGCGATCGAGGCACTCCTTGGAACGCACGACTGGTAAGCGCACCCTTTGAGCGCTGAATACCTGACTCCAGGGAACGGATTTCAAATTCTCGAGCGGCAAGATAAGCAGCAACATCGAGCTCTCCTGTTGCAGAGAGTGCAGCTTCAGACGACTGCACGGCTAGGGATCGGGCATCGTAAGTCTTTGCACGCTTGCGGGAAGCCGCGGTGTTGTTGTTCTGGTGGCCCTGGCCCGGAAAGGCAGACTTGCGCTTCGAGGGAGGATTGAGGGCCATGATAGCCCAGTTCGGACGTTTCAACTGAGCGAGAGGAGTTTTCGTATTTTCTTTTCTTTTTCTTTTGCTATCGGAATTGAAGCTTCGGAGGCCTGCAGCGTGACTGGCCTGGACTGAAGCTACCTCGTAATAATTTGTGCTGGATGGAACATGAAACTTTTTAGCGTGGCAGCCCTCCCGGCCGAAAGAAACACACCCCCAGGTGGGAACCAATAACAAGAGCAGTATAAGGAGGGGAACAGCCCATCAACGCTTTGATTCACGTAGATCTCATAGAAGCTGGGGTAAAATAATATTAAGCTTACTTCGTCTCCGTTTTTCTTCTTCACGGTTCACATCATTCTTCAGCTGACATCATCAATCGCTTAACGCGTATAGGGAAGAGAAGGAACAGAACAAATGTTTTCATAGCGTCGTAATTGCATTGCATTCCTCTATAGGGTGAAAAGGTCTAATTCTAATATGAATCGCTCTGCCTTTGCAGGTTATTACCCCACAGGTGGAATACGCCTGCATTCTACTAAGCACATGCCCTGTCTATCGGTTCTAATTAGTGCATTTACAGGTTCTTGATGACGGTCTCGGCGCTGGAGAACTGTAGCACAGAATGTGAGCATGAGTACAATCCAACAGGGTATATATGTATTATGCATCACAACTTACCTCGAGGTGGTTCTTGGCGGGTTCAAGAGCAGCATAGGTGATCTTGCCGTGGTCGATGACAATGGCAAAACGCTTGGTGCGGCCCTCCTCGTCGGCCCAGCCAACGCTCTTGGAGAACTTGGCATCGGGGTCGGACAGGAAAAGCTATAGGATTCCGTTAGTATGAGGGAACCAGCTTCTACCAAAAAAAAAAGAAGAAGAAAGAGAGCGATGCGTGACAAAAAAACGTACAATGTCGTCATTCTTGACACCGTTGGCCTTGCCCCAGGCGCTCATAACGTAGGCATCGTTGTAGGCGAGGACAGCAACAACATCGACACCCTTGGCACGGATCTCGGGAAGTCTCTCAATGTACTCGGGGACGTGGCGAGCAGAGCAGACAGGGGTGAAAGCACCGGGGAGGGCGAAGAGGATGACCTTCTTGTCGGCCCACTCCTTGGAGGCGTAGTAGTTGATGGGGATACCGCAAGAGGTGATCTCGCCCTTTTCCTCAGACCAGGGGATGTGACTAACCAAGCCTCGAGTGTTAGGGAGCAGAATGGCTACAGGATCATGAAAAGAGGGGGGTAAAGAGAATCTCAAGACTTACGAGAAGACAACGTCAGCGGGGAAGCTGTCACCGGCCTTGAATCCAGACATTGTGAAGGGTGTTAGAGAGTTGATTGGGATACTTGGAAGAAGTAGATAAGGTGAGGTAGGTGGAGAGATGAAGAAACGTTTTGAAGGAGGATTGAGGGAGGAAGTCCACCTTTTATAATGCGGGTACTGCGGGAGAGACAGGGAAAGACAAAGAGTGGAGAGGGTCGAGGTGGGAGAGGTATTATTATTAAATCGACGCGGATCCAGAAATTCAATTCCAGTTGGAGATCGCGCCTTCGAGAAACACAGCGAATGGCGCAGTAACCAGTGCCGGGCCGCAGAGAGGAAGACTATCAGTTGATCCGAATCAGAAAGATACCGAATCTTTTCGATTGGTGTAATTCGTATTATCAAGAAGACCGCCCGAGACACAGGGGCCCGCCAATGACTTTCCAGTACCTGACTTCGCAACCAAAATCCCCCACCATGGATGACCGTTTCGGTGATGCACCGCGCAATACTGGCTGTGGGTTATCTAGACCGAATGGGTTGACAAATCCACGGCTGAACTGGTGCAAATGAAATGATATCTATAGACTATCTCCTACAAGTTAGGTAGGAGGAGCAGTAGCAGCTACACCTTCCAACGAAAACTGCCATAATCTATCTGCTTGGTAGTCCCAACATATATATGCGAGGTCGGTATAGTGAGGGGGAATTAGACTACGAATATAATAAATAGAATTTCACACCGCACTTTCAGTGACTGACTCTTCGCTCAGAATTAGTTTCCATTCGCTTCCCTGTCCCGTTAGTCTCTTGAGTACAGGGTTCTCAATAACCCTCCTCTTGATAATCCCTGATAGAAAACCCATCCAAATTGCCCCTCCTTTTTCCTGACTTGTCACGATTCGATTTTAATGCTTTTTGTGCTTGACCCCAACACCAAGACCACCCACCGCCTTCCCCTTTCCGTCATGCTCGCCGTCCGAATATCTCACCGCCCGTATGTTACCCCTCCATAAGTTCGGCAGTATTTTCACGACCACGAAGTACCCGGCGGGTTTATCCCCGACTCCTCCGAGCAGAGCGTTTCTCGGAGGTAGGTTCTTTGTAGAAACAGACAATGAAAAAGAAACACGCACTGGAATACAGACCCGTATTTTTTAATACCGCTTCATGAATATTCTATTTCGCTGCTGGGAGGTTCGTCACTTCGTCCTCAACTATCCCGAGCCATCTATCGGATCTGGGCTCGGCTACTGTCGAAGTGGCGAGAATCTGATAAGATTTCATCCACGAGGTGGCTGCTTCATTGGGCGCTTTAGGGCGATCGCTAGCAACGTATCCCCGAAATTTTTGACTACAACATGCACCTACTAGTAGTGATAAAGAGTCTCTGTTTGCGAAGATTCTAAGATATATATCCCCGATTATCGGGCTTAGACTTCTTGCCATCTGGGTGGCCAAGTTGAAGCTGAAAGGCGATAACTTAGGTAGCGATTACTGATCAGTAAGGTCTAGAAGAGTTGCGGTTTACATCATTGCTGTGACCAAATTTTGGGCCAGGCTCGATTCTTTTTTGTCTTTTTCTTATTAAAAACAGATAGGTCTAAATGGCGCCACCTTACCCTAAGGTATTGTTTACATCCATCAAACATTACCCAAGAAAATATGGATAAAGAGAGCAAACTAGCACATAGATCGAAGGTCTCCTTATGTCTTCGGCGGAAAGATCTATATGAGACCGTATACATCCTATTCTATCATCCAATGCGCTTACCTACTGTCAGATAGGCAACCAACAATCCGGGATTTGGATTTTCGAAAACGGGCTTTGGTTATTGTTATCTGCGGCGCTACGCATAGACTGGAAACACGTGATGGAGCTTATAAATATGACATCGATAGAAATGACTCCTTTACAACAGTCTAGATTCTTTACCTATCCTGACTTGAGTAAGGATGGCAGACATTAAACCTCCGTTCACGGAAGAAACCGCAAGAAAGAAGGTCAAGGTAGCCCAGAATTTGTGGAATACCAAGTGAGTACCGATACATATGTCGAAACCCTATCTATTTATCTGCAATGACGGGTTGTAAGTGCATTGAATGCATGTATTTTGGATTTCATCCCTTACTTCTCTGAAACCATCCACTTCCATGCACCTGTACTGCTCATTCTTCTATGATCCCAGGTCTTCAATGACTCCCTCCTGTTTTAGCTGACTCGTTTACGCCTTATACTGATAATATGATAGGGATCCTGTCCGAATTGCTCAGGCATACACACCAGAGTGTATTTGGCGAAACCGAACCTCATTCCTCTCGGGGACAGAAGGAATAATCGCCTTTCTGACAGCCAAATGGAATCGTGAACGGAGCTACAGATTGCGCAAAGAACTCTTTTCTTTCACCGACGATCGCATCGCCGTACAGTTCTGGTACGAGTACCAGGATGCAGATGATGAAATGCGGTGGAAGCGATGCTACGGGCTTGAAGATTGGACTTTCGATAGGGAAACTGGAAAGATGCGCAAGCGAATGATGAGCGGGAATGATATCCTTATTGGACCTAATGGGAACGGCGAGGGACGGTGGTTTGTAGACGGGGTGGATGTCGAGGATGTGGTGATCGGGGAGGAACACTGGTGATTGATTCGAGGTGCGGCCTCCTTAACTGGGCTCTGAGTACGGAGTATAAAGTGATTATTTCGCTGTCGGTTGGCAGTTATTATAGGACCAGTATCGAGGTATCTAAGGTCGTCTTGGATTCCGGAGTACTACGCATTTCCAAATACGGTCGTTTCACTTTCATGTGTAATTGGAGCTGTGTAACACAGTCTTAGCTTTTAAATATGGAATTCCTCATCCTTGTAAACCATCTAAGCTTCGAACTAACGGCGATAGTGTGGTTGGAATGCCCCTTCGCTAGTAAACTATGTTAGGTTGGGATCAGGTTAATGCCCCTTCTCCCTTGGCTTCGCGGAATTGAACATATTCCCCCCCTGCGCTTCCACTTTCAATAAAGAAAGATAGATAGTAAGTGAGCGTGAGAGAAAGCCAACAAGCCTTCGTCAGTATTGCTTGATACACATGGTGTTGTATTTGCCTTGGACTTGAGCAGATAGGAGGTATCCGAGCAGAAAGGGACACTCACGTGCCATCTAGTCGCTGTGTGGCCTGGAAAGAGACATGATGGTATGTATAAAGCTTATACTTTCGAAATAAAGCGGGTCTGTAAGGTATTGAACTTAGAATTTCATATGTGAGACCAAGCCACGACCTGGCTGATCCAAGCCCATGTGGACTACTTCCAGTACTAGTAGTAGCTGTAATTCGAATTGCGTTAATCACCACTAATACCTCAAATAGGAGTGAATAACAACTAATACCAATCATATTCAGGTGTTTGAAGAGTTCAAGACTCAATGAAGATGCTTTTGTTAGGAAAAAAAAAGGAAGGGGCTGATGACTATGATGGTGTTGGTGGTGCATTCCACAAATTGAAGTCTTTTGATGGCTGGGGGATATGAGGAATCCAGCGCAAAACAAACAACTCAAGGTCCATTCCACAACATTCTACCTCGCCACGGCATGCCTCAGTCGTGCTCTTTTGCCCAGTCGTGCTCGTGGTGGATTTTGGGCGTGTTGTGTTTTGGACATTTTTTCGGGAAATTACACTTACCTTTAGGATTCATCAGGACGTCCAGTGCTATTGACCCTTGTCAACCGCACGCCAGAAACTGCTGCATTCACTCACAGTTGTTCTGGACCCTTCATCACCTCCAGCTTGATTTTCGTCCAACTGGTGATGAAGTGACTACTAACTTAGGTAAAAACGGAATCATCCGGCAACATTGATATCGCGTACTTTGGCACTCAACTCCAGGAAGAGTGTTTGATTCTCATCTCAAGCGGTCCCCAAGCAATTAGAGACCCTTTTTCGACGTGATTCTAGCTGTTTACACTGGGAATTTAATCCTTGGATGTCAGTATATCCTCAGGCGAATGAACACCTTGTCACTAGAATGGAAGTACTCTAACCGTGATGCATTGACAGTTTTTAGCCGTGGAACAATTCACCTTGGCGCTCCATATGTGCCATTTGGGCACCACTGACCTATCGTGCTAGGGGCTTGCCTGGCAATGGAGGAGAAGGGCTTTGTTCTCGATACAAAAACGATGCGGTCTCCTTTAAGGGACGCCAGTCACAGAATCAACAATTGTCTGACACCAACTACGGACCCAGGAGCAATTAGGGACGGAATATATTTCCTAACGTCACCGGACCAGATGTCTCTCGTGGACAGCCCAGTGGCACCCAAGGGCAACGTGGATAGACTCTGTATCTCCCCGGCGGTTGACTGTACGCCTGGATCAAAACGAAATTCTGCCGTTTCTGCTGGCTCAATTGTCTCAGGGAGGGGTAAGAGGAAAACTCATGTAGGGCCATGGCAGCTGGGTAGAACACTGGGGAGCGGGGCCACTGGCCGCGTGAGGCTGGCGAAGCATGCTGTTACAGGACAAGCAGCAGCTATCAAGATTGTATCCAAAAAGAGTGCCGCAATCTCTCAGAGCGATAGTATTGCAGCGATGGATCGACAAGCGGGGAACTTTATCGGAACGGGCACGAGGCAAATGCCTTCTGGGATTGAGCGTGAGGTAGTTATCATGAAGCTTATCGAACATGCGAACGTTATAAGCTTGTATGATGTGTGGGAGAATCGGGGAGAACTGTAGGCGACGATATGGAAAGACTTCTACTGTATCAGGACTAACATGATTGCCCTAGGTATCTTGTGCTGGAATACGTCGAAGGGGGTGAATTATTCGATTATGTCCAGACTCACGGGCCACTCCCAGAAGAGGAGGCAGTTCGTCTTTTTCGACAAATAATAGCCGGCCTCGGATATTGCCATCGTTTCAACATCTGCCACCGAGACTTGAAACCGGAAAATATTCTGCTGGACGCTAATCACAATGTCAAGCTGGCAGACTTTGGGATGGCGGCTCTCCAACCAGCAGGGCACTGGCTTAACACCTCATGTGGAAGCCCGCATTATGCAGCCCCAGAGATTATCTACGGCCGTAAGTATCAGGGCGACAAAGCAGATCTTTGGAGCTGTGGAATTATTCTCTACGCCTTGCTTACGGGTTTCCTGCCATTCGACGGGGGCGATGTCTGTACCACACTGAAGCTCGTGCGGAAAGGAGATTATGTTATTCCACCAAACTTAAGCAGGGAAGCGGCAGACCTTATCCAGCGTATTTTGCAGAAAAGACCTGATTCCAGGATCCGTATGGACGATATCTGGAAGCATCCTCTCCTCAAGAAGTATGAAAGGTTCCACCAGGCCATAGCAAATCATTACATCGGACCAGCATCTCCTTTGCAACCTCAGGATTATGGGATGCCAGTTGCGAAACACGACCTCGACGTCGATCTTCTGAGGAACCTGCAAACACTTTGGCATGACGTACGTCCAGAAGAACTGCTAGAGAGACTATTGCGGCCGGAGTAAGTCCTTCCTCTTCACTAGTGTCATTGGACACGGGAAAAATCATTCTCAACTGCAGGTTCTGAGCTTCACGGGGCGTGATACTGACAAGCTGAATTAAAGACCGACCCAGGAACGGATGTTTTACAATGCCCTGGTAAAGTTCAGGAACGAGCAACTGGAAAATTACCAAGGTCAGCCCCTGGAATACTCCGCTAGTGATTATCACCACATATCCAAGGGCCAAGTTCGACTGTCCAAGCACACCCGCAATCGCTCACAATGCGGTTCTTGGAGACGTTCCCAGTTTCCAGTCATCAAAGAAACTGGTAAACGGAAGGCTTCCCAGAGAGAGCCAATGTCATCTGGCACTGTGCAAAGTTATGACCCATTCCGCTCTCCGATCAATCGACCATCGGATGAATCACCCCAATTCACTCGCATAACTATTCACCGCAACCAGTCCGATGAGGCGTCAAAACAGACCCAACCAGAAGCCCCTCCTCCATCATCAAATCCATTTCTCGACCATGGCAATGGCGAACTATATTGCTCGCAGAGTCCTCCTTTCACATTAGTACGGAAAAGGAAGAAAGGAAACTCCGTGAAGTCGCTCCAGTCCAAGGCTTCGTACTCAGGCTCACGCCGAGGACTAAACCCTAACTCGACACCTCGATCTGCTAGCTACAAACGAAACGTCTGTTTCCGGCACAACCGGAACCGCTCGCACAGTTCAATGTCTGTAAAAGCTCAAAAGACTGCAGGGAACATTAAGGGACACCCCAGCGAAAATAGTTTTATATCAACTTTTGATGGCGATCCGTTCTCGGATCTACCGAGCAGTCCCATGCTACCTGCTCAGCCAACTGTGGTCCGTGGGATGGGAATCACCATAAAACAGTGCCCGCAGTCGAAGAGGGTCCGACATTGTGATATTATATGGCGGGACGAAGCCCGTAAGGTTTCGCATGAACTTAGTCAGATCTGTGAAGAGGCGTTCAATGGAAGCTCTATGTCAACGGGCTGCACGGATAGCACTTACCCAGAGCCAGAGACTCCAGCTACCTCTGTGTCGATAACTAGCACGGGAGCATCGAATGATCATGTGGCTCGTGGAATTTCTGCAGCATGTCCTACACCTCAAAGTCCAGGTGGCTCGCCAAAATTCACCTACCCAAGCACGGAACTTGCAGAGACGCGCCGCAAGCTCATCGAGCACTCGAAGAAGGATGGATCTGGAGACCTTTCAGCATGCGTCGCGACATTAATTGGCCACCTGGATCGTCTTATAGAACATGACCAGGCGATGCAACGTGGTAAACTGGCCCAAAAGGACGAGGCATGGAGTTCGACGAACGATCTGTATGGCAATGCCTCAATGGAGCCGAATCCGCTTCCTATCATCTCCGAAGAAAACCAAGGCTCTGCGGCCAAAACAGCTCATAAAACCGCAGATCCAAAGCTAGTACAGAAATTTCCAAATCCACATGCGTCAACTAATCGTCGAAGTCATGTGGGCCAAGAAGGAAAACGTTCAGTCCGCATGGTGCCTGATAGTTCTTTGCACTCAATTAATGACCCGAAACCATTGACTATTCGCAAGACACGCCCCGAATTTGAAAAAAATGGTACCAAGTTTGAAGTTGACGATGAAAACACTTTGACTCCACGCGCCCTGTCTTCCACCCAGGGCAGGAATCCTTGTGGCTTGGATCCCATTGATGAAGCACCAGTATCACAACGGCCCAGCGACACCCGCACCTCCGACCACAAGAAATGGTCCTGGTTTAGGAGATCGCAGGCCTCCGAGGAAAATATGACGAGGTCATCCAGAAATGCCAAGCCCCTACATCCCAGCTCTGCAACGGTTATCGTTCATGAAATCAATCATCAAATGGACACCCCAAAAGTCGACGCTGAAGATCGTCTAACGCCCAGAAAGTCTTCGCCCGACACATCCAAAGGTGGATTCTTGAGGAAGCTTATCAAGAGAAAAACTAACAGGAATGCTCGACAACTTGGAGAAGGTAAGGGAAACATCATTCTGTGGACAGACCAGACAGCTTACTCTTCCGCGTAGATATCGAAATCGCGGCCACAAACCCCCTTCTCAACCAATCCCCAGACTCCGAGCACATACTTGAATCCGAGGACATGGAGTACAGCAGTCCACGTAAATCCCGATTAGAAGGAAAGAACCAGAACTGGTTTGCCCGCGTTTTCCAGTTCAAACCAGCCACGAGAGTGATAGCCCTGAATACCTCCAAAGTCAAGGGCCGCAAAGAGGTGTATAAAATGCTTTGTGAATGGAAGCAGTACGGCGTCCAGGATATCCATCTCGATAAACCCAACAGCATCATCTACGGCAAAATAGGCGAATCTAATTGTAAGACCACCTGTCCTCTCTCATTCCGTCCTGTCATAGCCTAACAGATAGCAGTCCTGCATCTTCGACCAGTCGAGTTTTCCGCTGACTTCTACACTGTCATCGAGGACGGCCGACAAGCTAACCTTAGTATTGTTCGCTTCAAACAAGAGCGTGGTGCAGCCTCATCCTTTCACAAAGTTGTAGATACTCTCTACATGGCCATGAAGCAGCGCGGTTTGCTGGTTGAGGATTCTGCGCGCGCAAACAAGATGGCTCAAGTCCTGGATGCTTTCCCCAGCTCTTGAACAATGCACGAACTTCTAGGTCTCATATCTTGTCATTGCTTTCTTTCTTTTTGAATTACATTTTATACCACCCAAAACCTTTGCACCCACTCTTGTATCTGAGCATTTGCACTCTACCATATTGTCTCGCTTCTTCCAAGGCCCAGCATCAACCCTACGGAGTACAAGACACTTCAAGCAAAAAAACGTCTTTTTAGTGGAAACTTTTTCTACACACGCTCACTGTTCTTATCTTGCTTGGAATTTCTTTCCTTCCCACGCTCTTTTTGCACGCTGATCTAAGATCAGGCGAACTTGGGAAACTGATTGATTGATATACTTCCTTTCGTTCCCTTCTCATTGTTTGATTACCTTCTTCTAGTGCATCAAAAGTCACTCATCAACTTGACCTTATTGGCCTTCGTTAGTGTTGAGCATTCCCAAACCAACCAACCAACCAACATTCACTCAAATGAGACACAGGTGGGGGGGGGTGCTTGTTCATTCTCTAGTCTGTCTTTGAGTACAGTTGTTTCCAGACACGGACTCAGCGTCCCGGGACTTGGAAAAGAGGAGTAATAAGTAATTAGCAAATTAGCTATAGTATCTATAACTCAATTAATTGATTTACCATTCATTTCCTTACATGTAGAGCCGCCACCTAGTCCTGTCGATCAGTCAACTATCGCACTGCTTTAATTAATCTCAAGACTCCCCCTCACTCGAGATGCAGTCGATGGATGGATGATTTCTCCGACGCGATTGATATCTATCTGCTTTGATGCCAACCAAGTTCTAATCTTATGTACTTATCTATTCCTCAAACTTTGATTGAGAGCCTTGTGTAAGTCAAGAACCTACAACATGCATAAACCTACAACATGCATAAACTATAACTACCTACCTTGATACCAATGCGGTTTGATTCCATACAGTCGTCCGACTGACAACATTAGTACAAGACAAGATAGACATACATATGCACCCACCCACCCACACACACGCAGAGAGAGAAAGCCCTATTAATATGTTTGGATACTAGCTTGAAGAAAAGTGAAGAAATTGACTCTGTAAACCATCACGGTACTTGATGTTAAATAAATGATCAAGCTATCGATCAATAGATAAATCAAGTAATATGCACAATGCCAAAGTAACAAGAGAAAACCAACAAACAGGAACAAAACGCAGGGTGTTGCAAATTGCAAATCATGAGTAAAATTGATCAGACAGCCTCCCAGGATAAGATAACAAGGAAATCACAAGCAAAATGAAAAACGAAAACGAAAACGAAAATGATGCTAAAAAAAGAACCTCCTTTTTTCGAAAATGACTGTGTAGTTCGCCCTCCCAATAATAGATAAGATAGAGAGTATCAAAATGAGTCAACTGAGGCCAACCAAAGCATGAACGCAGGACAAAGAGCCACCCGAAATGTAATGGAACAGAATAATGTAACCAGGGCAAAGAAAATCGAAATGCCTCGCAAATGGTCCCTCAAAATTGAAGGACAACGCAGAATCCCACACCAGACTTCGCTTCATGATAACTGACGCAAAATAGCCACCGGTTTCGATGCATGTCTTCCTAGCTCCGCAGTCGTGCAATTGAATCGTTCCATTGTCCCAGAATTCACTGCATTGTGGAAGGATATTGGGCCTCGCCGCAGAGATGTCTCATGCTAAATCCCGGGATACCTTACTAGCATGGGAGATTCCGATTGCAAATGCAGCCGTGGCATTGGTCGAAATCTTCCCAAAGCTCGGGTGATATACAAACAGAATCGGACAAGGGGAACAAAAAGAAATTCCGATTAGTGGGTTGCCCCAAATAGTGTATAAAGTCGTGATTCTTGTCTTCCGAAATGGAATATGTAAGCGAGATTTATGAGATTTTTTTTTGTCTGTCGGTTGTATTTTAGATCGAGAGGTCGACTGTCGAGGCGCAGTGGCTAAAACTTCGGTAGCCAAGTTGAAGCTCACAGACCTCGTCTCGGGCGGAGACGAGCCAACCAAGACGGAAAATCCCATACCTAGATCGTGCAACTCATAGTAATCTTATTTTGCTTCTCGTTTCATTGACTCATAGTCGAACACACGTGGCGTATGAAGTGTATTTTCCCTTAGACCTTAAGTCTTTGATCGTAGGTCATGTCATCCATGCTCGTCCCTTCTGACTACGAAAAGTAGCCGTTCGTTCTATGAAATGACTGATGCAATAATCATCCGTGTCCATAGAGTCCAGCAGGAACCTTTACCCACCAGAGTTTGTAATGAACGCCATGAGAGCTCGCCGATATTTTTTTTCCCACCCTTTTTTCATGTAAAATTTTTTTTTCTTGTTGCATTCGTTTCCCCATAACAGCCGCTGTGATCTGGACCGGTAAAAAGAACATAGAGAGCTTCAAGGTTTCCAAACGTGGGAGAATTGTGTGGCCAGCACACAGCCTTTCCACAAGTATCAATTGCATCACTCCACCATCACCAACCATTTTCCAGTGAGACCGTTCGCAATTCCATTTTCACGTCGATGTGAAAATGAAACCCAGCCCGAGCCGAAATTGACTGGTGGTATTTACTGGTTCAGCCCCCGGCGATTCAGAGCATTGAGCATATCACTGTCGGTACTAGAACGACCTTGATTATCGCCTGGATTCAACATATCTCGCACATTCAAACCACTTCGAGCGGAAGCACCGGGGATAGATGTGGGTGGGGGGGTAATTGCCCCTTGTCTATGGTGGATAGGGGGATATGGCGAGCCATGAGGAGAGGATGAATGACGGCTGTCGTAGGGATAGGCAGATTGGGGAGAAGGGCGACGGTCATGTGGAGGTGGAGGGTAATAAGGCGCCGTATGTGACTGATACCCAGCGGAGGTGGCTGGGGTGACCGGAGCAAGGTTGGTAGGATCAGGATACTCAAACCCAGAGCCGGAGCCCCGACGGCCCGTAGATCTCTATATTTAGTGGGGAAAAGGGATTAGCCGTGCGGAGGACTAAGGGCAAGGTGACGCAGGGAGTCACTAGTTACTTACATGGTCTTGCGGCACGGATGGAAGGGGCGGTGGAGCATTGCCGTACGAATGCTGATACATTCCTTGAGGTGGTGGAAGGGTAGTCTCGGGTCCTGGCTGAGGTTGTTGTTGAGGTGGGAGAGGCTGGCCATGGGCACCATAGAGCATCACACCTTGCGCACCCGCACGTGCTTGATTTTGGGGGTTTCTCAGGTGAGGGTAGGCTGCATGGGCTGGAACAAAGGCCTGGGCCTGGGAAGAGACCGGAGTAAACATGCACTCCTGGTTAAAGCGAATACAGTTGCTGCAGCGTCCATCCTGCGAACTCTCAAACCCGGAGCATCGAATCTATATGTTCAACCCCAGTACTTGTTAACCACGCAAAACCCCATATTGTTGTACCTCCCCCAAGACCCAGGTTCATGTGGGCAGCATACCTTGCGTCTCCGACAATAACGGCAGGCGATGGCAGTCCTCTGTCGTGGGGCCGCGGCTTGGTAGACAACTTGAGGAGGAGGAGGTGGTGCTTGGGCGTATACATCTGGAGGACGGTAGGCACCCGGCGGCGGAGGGAGTCGATAGGCATCCTGGGGTCCCTGGACGTGCGGGTGAATGGCAGCCATATTCGATTGGGATTGATACTGCGACGGTGGGGGTGGATACTGGTGTTCTCCAGCCGGAGGAGGATAGGAAGCTGGAGGGTACTGGAGCAATGCCATAGGATTAGCAATTAGCGAGTGGGGGAGAGGAGATGAGTAAGATCGCAAAGGACAGGGAAAGAAGAAATTGGAGGGGGGAAGGGGGGGAGTGGGATGTATATATAGCGAGGAGCGAGGATAACCAAGAGCTAGACGGGGAGGGAAAAAAAAAAAAAAAAAAAAACCTACATTGTATTGAGAGGTTGGAGGGTAGTGAGCGGAAGGGTTATCCTCAGGTTGACTAGCGTTCCACTGCGGCGGTGGATACTGTCCCTGTCGATTAGGGTCGTTGAAATCGTGGGGGTTGCTGGACATTTGTAGACGAGGGAGCGAAAAAGGCTGCTTAAAACACGGGAGAGTCGGGGAGGAGAGAGAGAGGACGAATGCAGGATGATGTGAGTTGAGAGTCACGTCTGGGGCGGGTTAGTCCGTAGGGGTGGAGAGGGTATGTAAGCGTATGTATGTATGAATGTATGTATGTAACAGAAAGAGGAAAGAAACGAAAGATAAGAATAAAAATAATAATAATAATAGTCGTAATTATGTATGTATGCTGAAGGAACGGATGTACGTAAGTATGTAAGTAGAGATGTGTGTAAGGCGACCAGGATAGAAAAGGATGCGGAGAGGTTCAAAAAGCGAAGAAGAAAATAGGTCAAATCAGAACAGCTCCCGTCGGGTGATGTGCAAGGCTAGCATAGCCTCGTGGTCACTCTGGAACCGAACGGGGAAGCAGCAATGACGAAAAGGAAAATAATCAGAATAATAGTAATAAATAAATCAATAATTAAGGAAAAATCTAACCCTGAGAGGGAAGATTAGGCCGAGAAGGAGGAGAAAGGAAAAAGTTGCAGGGGTTGTAGAAGAGACGGGGGAGGATGGAGTTGTGAGTAAGTGGTTGGGAGAAAAAAAAAAAAAAAAAAAAGAGAGAAAGAGAGAGAAAAGAGGCGAATGAATAAGTCAAGAATAAATAAAAGAAAAATAAAAAAAGGGACAAAGAAGCAGGGAAAATAAAAATAAAAATAAAAAAGAATAATCATAAAGAGCCTCGGGAGTTTTTAATTATGACATGAACGTTGGAGAAGAAAAATTAAAAAAAAAAAAAAAAAAAAAAATTATACTTACTAGTAGTGATGGTGAGAGTCAGCAAGCAAGTGTAGCTAGTGTCCACATAGCCTGGCAGTAGTTCAATGCAAATGTCAGTATAGATCAAGCAAGAAGAACAGGGTCGGCCTGTCGACAGGGGCGGCTGCAGTAATAATCCTGGAATCTTAGCCACAGCCCACCGTTTCTTCTTCTGACCTTTTCGAACTTGCTATTCTCGGGATGATAAGTCGAGAGGAGAGAAAAGCAAAAAAAAAAAAAAAAAGCTCTTCGATATTGGATTGGGATAGAACGTAAACAGAGAGGTAAAGGATTCTATAGGGGCAGAACGCAGTGAGATAGTTGAGACTAACCCTGGGGTCGTTTGGTTCGTTCAATCGAGATTGGATGTTGGGTGACACAAAGGATTGAACAAATTGTCTAGAATAAGAAGAAGAGGAAGAAAAGAACGGAAGGAAAGCTCTGGTGAAGAAGTAGGAAAGCATGGTGGTGACTGAATAATCGCAAATAAGTAGTTAGTTGGAATTCTGATTTAATCATTTTTATTTCCCTCAATTTATTTTCTATGCCTAAAAAGAACTTCAACCCGCATCCTCCACCTCGAGAAAAAAAAATTGTTTCTCATGAAGTTAGGCCTTCATCTAGAGGATGAAGATGATCTCAAGTACTCCATCTCAAAGTCTGGGTCACCGACTCGCCGGTCCGTTCGGGAGGCAAAAAGAGAGAAAACGGTTGGAGACACGAGACGCAGGGTACGAGTTCCACGGCTGGCGGAAAGCGGAAGGCGGGAAGATTCACGGATGGGGAATAATTGCAAGGGATGCAAGTGCAACAGAAACCGGGTCTGGCTGGAGCTGGAACTCGAACTCGAACTGGATCCTGGATCCCCTGGATGCTACGAGGAAGTCAGTATAAGCGTCGATTATTTATGCAGTATCTTTGGGCTTCAGCGATGATAGGAATCCCTAGGAGGCTAGGACAGAGATGAAGAGTCCCACGCATCATAACATCAGGAACTTTCTCCAATCACTTCACTTCAAAGGTTCAAATCTTAGTTTCCAGACTAGTACAGAATTTTTCTGGCCCAACCAAAATAAATTATCTTCAGAAAAAGCGGTCATTGAAAGGAAGAGAGAGAGAAAAAGCACAGATGAACGGTCCGTAGTGGACAGGTGGACCCTACCCAACACACCAACGACCCATAGACATGGAAAGGACACCCCCCAAGACGGTGCTAAGGCATTCATGGTTCCATGAGGATCAGCTGAATCACCGTCTGCGCTTCGGGTTGGGCGTTTGGCAGTCCCCGAGGAGCGACTCCTATCGAGTCTAGAGCCTGAAGAGGGGCGTAAGTTTTTGGGAAAAAGGCGCCAGTGACGACTGATGACGGAGAGGAGGATACGCCGGGACGGGTAAAGGCGCCGTGCGGAACTCCACCCACCGCTTCCACTTCCGTCTCTAGTTGGGATTTTTTTTTTAATTTATTATGGTGGTTATGCCTGGTGTAATATTACTTACATTAATACTCATACATCCCGACTTACATTACCTGTACCGTACTGCTGTTACTACTACTACTACTACTACTCTTACACCTTCCTTAATACCTTCCTTTTTAAACTACCTCTGTCCCTGGTTTATGTTGTTATTGGTATTATTCTCTTCAAAAGTAAGGGAAATCGGTCGTGGATTGTACAGATGACCCATGGCTGTACGGACTTTTGAGACTATCCCGATTCCAGCTCCTAAGCCGGTGGGTGCTTTGCGCATTGGGCGGCCACTTTACACCTACTAAGATAGGAACTACCTGCAGTAGTACTCGGTCTTAAAGAGGGTACCTCGTACTCCGTACATTGGTATCCTACACTCACAATAATTCCATTAATACGATTGTTGTCGACTGGTACTTATGCAGGTCATACTCGGTAAGGCTGCCATGGTCAAGGTACTGACTGACTGACTGTATGTAGTACGACTGGACTAAAGTAGTACGTATTCTTGGCTTAGTTAATAGAAACTCGCTCTTCTAGACTGCCCATTTGCCCGGTCATTTTATAAAAAAAAAAATGAACCCAAAAGGAAAAAACTCCCTTTGAAACAACCTCCCATTGGTAGAACACGATAATAAAAAAGGTCAACCAGAGTTGAATTCAATAACTTCGGGGAAGGGGAAATCCTGGATCCACCCGGGTAAAGCCCGAGTTTTAGAAAGTTAGAAGGAAGAGGGGCTGAGCGGCCCGTGGATGGCAAAAAGTCGTTGAAGCCCTACCGGACTCGTTATTTGCTGCGTGCCAGGTGGGTTATGGAGTACTGCTCTACGCAGTCCTCAACACCAACACTGGTTGCAGAAAAATAATTTGTCCTTGTCACTTGGCTTGTGAGTAACAATTTGTAAGTTGCAACTCTCTGATCCGGTTTCCTTCGATCGAGGTACACTCATACCGGATCTCCTCAATCAACAGTCCTGTACCGTACGTGGCGCAATCCATCCCTATCTCCGCGATTGGAGTGTCCCAAACAAATCGCAACCACATCAGATCTCTCGACGTCCCGCAGCCTTACTTCCGTATGGTTTGTGCGACCTTGTTCGCACCGTTGACCCATGGAAGTCTCGAGTTTGGAACACACGAAGGAACGAAAACACAGAATCTTTCGATAATCGGGTCGATTTTTTTTTTTTTTTTCTTTATCCCGCAGGACATCCATCCTTTGAACAAGTTGAGAACCATGGTTGACTGTTCTTCTAGTGTACCAGAATTCAGGTCACCGCAACAAGCGCTTGCTCCTTTCCTTTGCTTTTTTATTTTATTTTCCCCCCCCTTTCTTCTGAACAAAAATCGTCTCAATTCTGATCCACCATTTCAGGCAACTATTTTAAATTACTGCTGCTGCTACCTGGATTTGGTGTGGTGCTGACTCCTTACATGAATTAACCAACTAGACCCAGAGGGTCGAAAGGAACAAGCACGGATACTAGTACTACCTACGCACATAAAAGTCCTTGCACAGTCCTAACCCTCGTTATGTGTGTGCGCCATGGCCCTTACATGAGTGGTAACCTACCCACAGACCTCATAGCGTTGTCGGGTCTATTCGGAGTATACACAGTATAGACCTTTTCAACACATGATCTGCTCAGCTTGCATCCAAGACTAAGTTCAGCATGTGCATCTCGCAGTAGTGCCCGCACGCATGCAGCGGCTGGTAGCGGACGTATTCACCCAGACCTCCAGCATCGAGACAGGGGGTATCTCTACTCGAAAGGCCGTGATAGCAATTCTCCTTAACCACAGTTCCTCAGGTTCTCATGCCCATCATTGACCTAGTTCTAACTATTGGCTGCTGGGCTTGTAACCATTTACCTAGGTAACTAGCTTGTGCTCCAAGGTTGTGATAAATCCGCTTTCAAGGATTGATAAGGCCTTTGCATGCATGGGGAACACCCCCTCCCAGGTACCTGGAACCCCTTGCAGGCAAATTGTCCAGGGATCAGTTACCCGCTGGCCAGCCCACGACCTAAGACTCGGGATTTGAAAAGGTGCTCTGCGCAGTTCGAAATAGTACGCATAAGATTCCGATACCGTTATATTCCGGTAGTTAACACTAATCATCCAAGGATGAAATACATCGGTGGGTAGGTAGGCATGTGCCTACACCAGTGTCTAGCCTTTGCAGCGTAATAGTCTATCCCACGTACGGAGTACTCCCGGGTCTGCAAGGAGCATGGGAGGTATGTAGGAACAGAAATCTCTACAGCCGGAAGTTCCTTGCACCGGTCCAGACCCCATAACTCAATGCTGGACTAGAGCAGCGAGAGTTGCGTTATCATTTACTGCATTCAAAAAAGAGCGTTTCCATCCCTGCCTAGGGACATGCGCTCAGCTATGTGAAGTTGGAAGTACGATCATGAGGGGAAATCGATGTCGTCATAGGCTCGATCGTACTACCTCAAGATATACAGCGACATAAGAGCAAGCAAACCCCAAAGATCTAGCCACGTAATAGTGAAAAAAAAAAAAAAAAAGAACCCCCGCGAAATAACTCTGACTCCAGTAACCAGTTACCAGGTAGGTAAAGTCGAGGCGGTTCCAAAACAATCCCAAGATTCCAAAGGTTTATCCAACTAAGCGACAGCCGCGGCACTTAACCAGTGGAACAAAGAAAGGCTTAACCCCTTCGGAACAGACCTCTTAGTGCAGGATTCTGGTTGGACCACATTGGGGGGGGAGGGGGGGGGGGGCAAAGAGGAATAGAAAGGAGCGCTCCGAACCGTCGGTGGTACTACTAGCTCCAACTAACTTCCCTGGTTACCTTGGTAGATAGTGATCACAGCGTAACTAGCCGAGCTGATTGGGACGGGATATGGACCCAACCAGCGCGGATGAGCAAGCTAACCTGGAGCTAACTCGGAGTTGAACCACGGTTATCAGGAAATATGACGGAAGCTGACGCTGAGACTGGCACTCGACCTGAAGTCTAGTTTTCTTCATCTCTCACGACTAGCAAAGCAGTTAGCTTACAGTTTCGGGAGTAATTCGGGTTCCGATTAAAGATACTGCCTACCTAAAAAAGATACTCCTACTCGTAGCACTCGGTACCTAGGTAAGTACCTAGTTCCATCTCACAGGAGGAGTAGCTCCGGACTATCATTGGATCCGGCGGGTCCTGGGAATCAGCAGTTCCATGGATCTCATTGATATAGCGCTGAGGTCGTCGAAGTGGAGGACAAAGAGGACGACTACGGAGTACGGTTTTTTTAAGACCATCATCCACTTTTTCCATTTCATTTATTTTGGTTCAAAACTCCATTCCCATGTGGTGAGGAGGAGGGATTTCACTCTAGGATCCTCCATAGTACGGAGTAGTGCCTTTTTAGATTATTATTAGTATTAGGACAAAGCGGCTTCGGCCGGTAGTTATGTACTCGAACCAAAAGGGCAAGATCAGGCGGTGAACCACGACTTATTCTCACCACACTAAACCTCATGAACTTGGGTATAAAGAATAACAAGTGAATAGTAATAGAACATAATACTATATATGCATGTGTAGTTCTTGTCTCACATACTAAAAATATAAATATAAAAAAAAAAAGAAATTAAAAAAAGAAGTGATTTCTACGAGCAAGTTACAATTCCCACCACCACGACAAACCCAGCCACTCCGTCATCTACTCACTCAGCACTCCACGCTCAACACTTAACTATGGATATTACAGAGTGGAATCAAAAGACCACCCGGCGACGTCTTTGCAGTTTGCACTCTGAGTATCGAGTCATCTGTTAAATGAATCATGAATCAAGGTCACAACACAAACCCATCTACACACTTTTCATTGGCTTCCAATTTTAATCCGAACCCAGCCTATGGGGAGATTACTAGGTAGCTAGCCCAGGATGGAAATAATAACACACTACCCTACATAAATAATCATCATAATACTAGTAAATAGTAAACAGTAAACAGTAATTTTTGCCAACCGCACCGGGTGACCACCTCGCAAACTCAATCTTAATCCCCGTAATACTCCGTAATGTTATTCCAAGTTCCTCCGTCAAGTAGCCTTTACCTACCGAATAAGAACAGATTAAACGCCGAAAGAGCGAACGAACCAAGAGAGAGAGGGGAAAGACCAGGGAGGGGTCCCGGTCCCAGTGCTACAGCCCTGGGAATGCGCCATGAGGGCATTGTTACCCTTTAAAATAAGTGTGCATTAGCGCGACTCAGCCAGAGGTTCGGATTCGGGAAAAGTAAAGTGAAACCAGCCCAGCTGAAGAAAAGTACAGCCACTAATTTTTTTTTTTTTTTTTTTTTTTACTTCGTCGCCCCCGTACGATGCACACCGCTAGGAATTTAAAAGATACGGATTCGTTTCTGGTTCCTTACGACGGTCTACGTCTAACTACTAGTAACTAGACCCAATAATTAGGTGAGAGGGGGGGAGAGGGTGTTGGGTTCGAGTTTTATGCTGGTTATTCGACTAATTACCAACCAGTACTAGGTAACTAGGTAAATAACTACTAGTTCTCCGTACTCTGTACTCTGTACTCCATTAGTAAACTGTTTATCTGTACTCTCCAAGGTAACTAAATCCTATGTAATGAGTGGTTGTGGTGGTTACGGAGTAACAAATACTAAGGATCCAACTGGCGGGTGTACTCCGTAGATAGGATCCTAGCTGCAGCGTAATATCGCGATTTTTATTCAAGGATAAAACTGGCGATGACGGTAAGATGCGAGTATTGGGCGAATGCTCAGCAACAAGGTATTGATCCCAACTACGGTGGTTGTCCATATGTATATACCCGCAGAGTAACCGACGAGATTGAGATCTCAACGGCGTCCAGGATGACAAGTTTCCGAACTTCAAGGTGTACATACGCGCAATTAGGAACCTGCAGTTCCATCACATTTCAATAAGGACGACTAATGCTGTTTCCTCCCGGCCCTCCATCAAGCCGTTCATCCCTCGTCCCAGAATCCTGATTGGATCTGGATACCCTGGTGACCGCAGGGAGAAGAAGAATAGCGCTGGCGTGATTTGAGCTGCGTGACCAATGACCCGTGACTGGGATCGTGTGACTCGGGGGGGGGGGGGGGAGTTTTTTTTTTTTTTAAGAATGACTTCATTCTGATCCTCTTCGCGATGGCCCCTTGATTAGGTATTGGAACATGCGTCCTTGTTTTACACATTATCAATCATTTTATGCAGTATTCGTCAATCAGAGTCCACCGATGGCGATGGCAATAGCAAGGGTATCCCATCCATTCAATCCGTCCACTACCTGTCTGTCGCCCACTAATCGCTGACCATCGGAAGACTGCGGTCGCAAACCAAGACTTTTCATGGGATGCAGGTGCTTGTACCGCTCATCCCTCCGCTAATCATCGCCTTCCCATGTCTATGACGGGCCGCGCCGACTCCCGCCGATCTAATGCATGAAGTGTAGGCGGTGGCATACCTACTACTACCTTGGAAATTATTATCAGGGTAGGAATACTCTGATCCTTTGAATCTAGTTACTTTTTACAGGTATTTCCAGGGGAAAGATACTCGTAGATCCATACCTCTTCAAATGGACGGCTAAAGGGAGATTCGTTCTTCTGTTGGTCTTGGTTAGTTACCCTTACCTCCTTTTGCGGAGGGTCAGTAGCGTCTTGTTCCTTACCTCAAGTAAGGCGAAGTGATCCTAATAGCTCCTAATTTTATTGAGAACTGCAGAAGAGGGAACTTTACAACGTAGAAAAAAAAAGAACCGGATTGCAACCTGAAATCAGTCCTGATTCCTGAATGTCACAAATGAAGAATGCTGGGTCACCTACTTCCTGTGCCTTCACATGTAGAAAGTAGAGGATCCACAAATTCGGCGTCGCAGGTCGTCTCACTTGCCTCCAATACCTCTCTCTATAAGAATAGATTTAAGAATAGGCACCCATTAACATGATGGGATAATCTTCGCAAGACACAAAGAAAAGCAACCTGGAAATACAGCCCAGAAAAGAACAGGACCAAAACAGGAGCTCAAAGACAATACCAGGTATTACCATGACCTGTAAGTTACAAACCTGGTTTCAGTAGTTATTCCTCTTTTAATTAATTAATCAATTAATTAAAAAACTTTTTTTTTTTGGGTATTTCTCTCCCCTATTAAAAATTATTTTTTCTTTTTATTTTTTTTTAATTAATTAATTAATTAATTATTATTCTTCCCTCCTTTTGCCACGTTTTTTTTTTTCGATCCCAATCGGCTCGGTGCATTGCCGTCCGCGTCTTTCCGCTGCCACCAAAATCCACAATCACCTGCTTAGTCCGGTCCTCGTCTCCAGAATCTCCAGAAATCTCGACTCCACCCAACCAACTCCCAACTCCATTTGTCGTGACTCTTGACCGCCAGCGGATCGTGCGGTTCCACGGTTGTCTGCGAAGCCACGGACGGCCCTTATGTCTGCTCAGAACTCGTAGGGTAGGGTAGGGGCCCAACCTGAGCTGTGCCCGGCCAAACATACATTTTTTCTCGACGCGGGTTTGACGAGCGATTTTTATCAACGGACGGGACAGACGGTGGATGAATGATGGCTTGAGGTCTAAAAGAAGGAAAGGAACGAAAGAAAGAGAGAAAGAAGAAGAAGGGAGGACCGTGAGCGCCAGGATTTTAGTACCACTAACTCCTGACTCCCAACATCTGTGTGTCTCGCTTTCTTCCCACCGTCCAGTCCAGTCACTCAAACTCTGACCGAGCAGCCGCGTTTGTCAGCCAGCGCGGTATGACGAGAGAGGGAGAGGGGGAGAGAGGGACTAGTGTGGGTTGCTTACTGGACAAACTAATGACGAGCTAATGGACTAGTTTACTGCCTAGTTTGCGGCTGCCCCGGGGGTGCAGGCAAAAGGAAACATGCTGCCTGTGATCATCGATCAGCCCGCATACGGTTTCAGTCACGTGAGAGCCCGCCGGCCTATGAGAGCAAAGGGATTCAAAGACTATCACTACTTTATCTATCGTTTTGGGCCTGCCTGTGCGCCAGTAAACACTTGGAGGTGTGCTAATGGTGTGACAGGGCGGCAAGCCCAGGGTTGTGGTTGGCGGGATACCGGTCTGCATCAACAGGGAAGGACGAGCGACACACACTGCCTGCCAACCGTTGGTTTTGGGTAAATCCAGACTTGTCTGTGCTTGGGTGCAAATCTGTCTGTGTGTACGGAGTATGTATGAGAGAGAGGTATGGTTTCCCCTAAAATAGGTAGTGACGTGGCGAAACAAGAAGCAAAATCGATGCTTTCTCTCTCTCTATCTTGGATAACAGTGCCTCCAGACCGTGTACCCCTATTTTCCCTTGGTCAATACAAAAAAAAAAAAAAAAACTAAACAAGTTGACTTCAATCTCGAACTCTTACTTGGTGCCGTGTTTATTCCATCCATGTATGGGACTTCTGCATGGTGATCTGGGTAATGAGCCTTGGATCATGTACGAACTATTTGTCTTTGTGTTTATACAGGCAAGTTCAACTTCTCTGTCCAGCGTCCTCACCTATCATCGTGTGATGTTGAATTACATTAATTAGTCTCGCAAGGGCACCCTGCTAATGAAAGCCTGACGTTTTTATCCTTTTACGCGGATAATTCACCATCACTTGACTCTCTACGTGGCCTCCCAACTCCCCAGCATACAACCCCCCTTCTTACTGGGAGATCCATCCCGGATCCTGGACTCCCTGGACGCGGCGATCCACGCGCTATACGACCTTTCCATACCCCTCTTTCCCAGGCTAAGGTAAATTCGCGACCAGCCGCCTCTTAGTTATCTTAGGCTCTGAAAGGCTAACTACCAGTCAGCTCTCCACCGCAAACTGGCGATCTTGAATTTCGGCCAGGTCCTAAGTCTAATATAGTCAAGCCCCCCTGAACGCTTCCAAAGCGCCAGCCAACGTTATTCCCATCTTGGAAAATGATAAATGCACAATCGGCGATCAGGCACCTGAAAACCCGAATCTTTAGACGCGTTCCAAGTGCCCAAGGCTCCAAAGGCGAAAAGAAGAAATGATCGCTCGCCATCTGACTCGAGTCATCTATCCCTTACTATGAGTGAGTACCGGGTCCTAGAGCCGATGGATGGTGGGTAAGTACAGGCTCCGGGGCTACTCTCTACTGGATCAGAGAACCAGCCAAAAAAAAAAAAAATAGCGAGATACCAGAGTCTCAATCGTGGCTTGCACTTGCTATCTACTCATTAAAAATAAGGGGAAATAGTGGAATACGATACGATCTCCATCTCAATTCCCATCAGTCTGTCTGTGCTCTGTACGTACACCCCTGAGCGGGGGAGGAATAATACTGGGAAAATGAAAATGAAAATGAAAATAAAAATAAAAATAAATTCCTTTTCAGCACACTCTTTTTATGCGAGGTATTCTATCTGATGTATCATATTTTGTGAGTTCTCTTGTACTCCCGCATGATCACTTCTCGAATCCAATTTTTGTGTCGGTAGTTAATCAGTACATGAGCATTGGCTTTGCATATTCATGAAATCATGTCAACTAACCTGCCATACACTGTATAGTAATTTACTAGTTAGTTAGTTAGCTAGTATATATAGGTCTTACTTTGTCCTGCATCGCGCCTAATTCCACAACAAACTCGACAAAAAAGGACCTAAGATAGATAGACAAAACACCCCCCCCCTTCTTGATCTCATCACTCTACACAGAATAAACCACCTCGCAGGAGAGAAAAAGAGATAGAGATGACTATTGCCTAGCTAAAAGAAAACAATTACACACAGCGGGACTACCTACATTGCAACCTGCTAACTAACTAACCTCGACAGACGCCATTTAGTATTTTCTGGAAATGAATATTACGATAGACGCAACTATTGCAAGTGGTAACTCTGTTTAAAATGCGATTATCGAATACGAATCTCGAGTACCAAGGTTCGAGTATCGGTCAATTCAACTTGCCTCCTTCTGCTAACGGGTTCTGGAATAGATTCTGAGCCAAGTTCATTCATAACTATAGTTAACTAGTTACCTACAGAGTGCGGAGTATATGTAAGATGATCATCTCTACTGGACTACCATGGTAGTAGTTATAGTTAGTTAACTAGTTATGAGATATTACCGGATATTACCAACGGCTATAGGCTATTAACTAGCTCTAAGAAGTCTTTAAGTATCTTTGGAAGGTTAATGGGATTAGACTCTGTATGTATAAGGATCTATTTTCTTTTGCTATCTGTGTATTGATTGCGCTGTGTTGTTTACTGCTGCGAGGTTTTGATTATTATCAGCCGCATCATGAGATGTTTTTATTATTGTGTAACCTGTTTTTTTTTTCTTATATATTACGAATATATATATAGATATAACTATAGATATATATTTAAGATAATTCAAACTAAAATAGCATGCTTTATCATAAATAGTAGTTGCCTGTTTGGTGATATTGAGGATGCAGGTAGGAATATACATATATACATTCACAGTACAGACTTCGTAGACTGTTCTTCTCAATGCTATAAATATCCTTTTATTCGGCGAATTTGACCTCTACTTCAATAACAGTCATATCCAACGCAACTAGATAGATACTACCTCATTACCCATAATAACCCCTAGTATATATTAAGTTTCGCCATCCGTGCTTCACGCACACACAAAAAAAAATAGCGTAAAATTCAGCTACAGATTCCAGGGGCAGGTGAATAAAAACACGTACAAATTCTCACACAAATACATGTAACAAAAAAGACTGGGTCTGAAGAAGAAAGAACTCGGTGAAAAAAAAAAAAAAAAACAAAAACATGTAGGACGAAAATACGTCAATTGAGAATGAGAGAGAGAGAGGGGGCCGGCCATGAAACAGATGACACTCTACGCCAATTCAGGAAAATGGGGCGTGGAAAAGCATCAATTGCGACTAGGATCTTGCTGACTTACTTGGTCACAATGGATCAATGTCGAGGGGACAAAGTTCATGGCTTGCATGTCACTCAAGAGTGTGATGTGATGCAAACTGTGTTCTCTTCCTCCAGCTGGTCCACTCCCTCCCTCCAGTCCTGCCACCCCCTCTTTGCGAGAGAAAAATGCATGCTGTTTGGCCTCAGAAATGACCAGCCTGGCGAGCGCATAGACCCCACTCTTGTCATGATCATGACATGACAAGAGGGACCTGAACAGGTAACTGTGCGTCGAGGGGGGTGCTTGGGCACTGATGCAGAGGGTTGATGTCGGTTCGATGGGCGGGAAGGGCGAAATTGGCGAACCATGGACCGATTTGCACGCGTGCAGATGTGGATATCATTGCTGCTGGAATAGAGTCAGTGTCGTGGAGCTAGCTGTACATTTGACGGGCCGGCTGCGGCGCGCGGACAGCAAGCAGGCCATACTATGCACGTCAATAATATTACTGTGAAGGCCTAGGACTCAATTCCTGTCAAGTTTTCGAGGGCCTTGACACGAGGACCGCCATCATTGGGGGGGACGAGAACTGGCGGTAAGGGAAATCCGGGGCTAGGTATGAAAGCCCTTAGCTCAGCGAGGATCAATCTGGCAACGATTTTACAAAAAAATTCATTCAAAGAGAAACGGAAGCGACAGCATATGATTGTTCCGAGCCTGATTCAGAGCCCAAAAGATCACCCAGGAAGGCAAGCATCCTTGACCGGCCAAAAGAAAGGGTTACAATCCAGATTGCACGCAGCCAATCTCGCAAAACGTGTAAGTCATGAAGAAAACTGTATTCGAGGTCTATAAGATGCAAAATGAAAAGCAAAAAAAGGGCCAAAAAGAAAGGGATACAAGACAAATCAGAGAAACGCCAAGGACTTTAATATTATTGGTATCAGAAAAGTGCGAAATCACACACCGACAAGGCAAGTAAGCAAATATCGCGGCCGTCTGGTGGCCCTGATACCACCACTGAAACGTTTTCAATACTCTTGGGGGGAATCGGAAACAATGTTATCATGATCTGTTAGGTCAGGCATGACGACGCTGTTGAGATAGGTAACCTTTTTCATGATAATGTTTCTTCTGGTCAGTAAAATCCCGCTAACAAAAGTCATTTCGTCAATGCACCCCTGTCACCACTTTGGTCATGGCTGAATCCGTAGCGGGCATCGTTATGACCGGAGCCACACCGCTGAAGGTACTAGAAAAGGAAATTCGGGGAGGGGGGCAGGGAGAATAAGGAAAGGCCATGTAATTGATACGGGGCTAGGATCCAATAGGCGCAGGCGCGGCCAAATGGAGGGGGAAAAGCCAGAAATTGGCTGCAAAGCGAAGGGTAAGAATGGCTTACAAATGGCTCCATGATACCAATGAGAGTAGCGATCTTCTCCTGCACGTTAGAACTCAAAAGCTCTTCATCCGAGAGTGGTTTGCCAATGGTAAAGCTGCGCAGCCGGAGTAGTTGGATATTTTCGTTATCTAGTTCATAGCCCTGCGTAGAAGAGAAGAATTAGTCTTGCAATAAATTGTAATGGTCAATATCATAAGAGAAAATCCCAGTTGGGGCAGAGTCAGATGCTGAACCATGGAATGCAGATGAGACGGCGCAAAAAACCTTTCCAAACTGGGTACACCAGTGTGGGACAGTAAAGGTATTGCCGCGCCAGACCCAGAGAAGACCACATTTCGACCAGCCAGAGCGGCCAGACACAGAGAAAGCAAAGCCTAGGGGGGTCTTGGGAAAAAGGGAGCGAGCCAAACACGGCAGAGCCACACCCGTACGCGGCTGCGCTTGCAACATCAACACAGGCAAACTCTCATATCAGGAAAGAGAACTGCGGTGCTTTAGCAGCATGGTACTCTTCATTTTATGAAGAATTTTCGCGTCACTATCTTTAGGCCATGGAATTCGCCTCTGCCTTTTGATGCCCGTCACCTGGCGTCTGTCACTTCGTGCGAAGTGCGTAATCTGCGGCTGCTCGCAACAGAGATGAGACAACAGCAGAGACACGTCCCCGACGAGACTGACTTTGAAATCACCTGGAACATGAAAAAGCCCTAGGCCTCTTCTTGTGACTAATGAAGTGTTGTGAAGATACACCATGCTAACAGCCAGAACAATCTTCCTTCTTGTTGATCGAACGCGTCCGAAAGCCGCCAGACGGCGACGACCCCAGACTTTCCATGCCCTGAATTTACGTTTTGGTGAAGGAAGATTTGAAGGGGCGGAAGAATGAAAGGATATGGTTGTTTTGGGTGATGTGCATCAATGCGTGGAATACTAAGAGAAAAAGGACTGTACCTTGGGTTTGGTTTTGAGAGCGGTCTCACTGTTATGACTGCAAAAAGCCTTCACGGCTTTCCCTTCATCATCGGGTATCCCCCCCAAAATCTCGCGGCGCATTTCCTTCTCCCTAAGAACGGCCTTAAGACGATGTGAGCTTCCGTCGATATCTTCGCGAAGAAGCGCGAGTTTGTGAGCTTCCGGATGCCAGAGACCCGACCCTAAAGTGACGAGGCGAAAAAAGATATTGTTAGTCAATATGATGTGTGACGGTATACAAAGTTTAAAGGAAAGCTGTTTGTCCGCAATAGTCATTCTGCTTCCTTCCAGTACACATGGGGCTCAAAATTTCCCTGAAGCTGGGGTAGACTTTGAATGAGTATATCAAGCCGAGTGAAGGCGGCAGGAAGCGGCGTTGACGTTCAATCCATGAAAGAAAAGCGCCCTTGACCGTCCACAGTGTGTAAATGGATAATGGAAACAGATTGTCTGGGGATACTGTGACTGTGGGAATGATTGCATTAATGTATCACGCATAACTTACCGACAAAGCAGGCTCCTGGTTGGAAGTGTACATAATATGCAGCGTAAGGGCCCTTTTTACCAGTGCGGGACCTGACAACAAATTTAGCTGATATCTGCATCGCATATGGCAGTAAGATCCACTTACCAGGCAGCTGAAAAGTGAGTCTGCTCGATCATTATGGTTAGCGGAGCCATGCAGGTGACTGCTTAGAACCAGAGTCTATAATATAACATGATGTGATTTCTGGAGCTAGCTCATACATACCTTATATGGAGTAGGGTCCTTGCTGAATCTTATGTCCCTATGTATGCGAAAGACCTGAATGGGATCAATCATGTTAAAAAATACTTCTGATTTTGCTTTTCAATAGTGCAAAGCTCACCAGGTCTTTGGCAGGTAGCTCAGGAATCGTGCTGTCCTTCTCTGCGACTTTCTCTGTTAAGGTCTCAACAAATGTTTCCCAGTCCTTCTTTGAAGCACGGAAGTCCGGATCATGTGCTGTTAGTAGGGCTCATGGTTAGCGAGAAATCGAAGTACGAATTCAGCTCTATGTTATTAACCGGTACCTTTTAACCACTCTCTGTCATTGTTGTTCGTCAAGTCCTTCAGAAAAAGTAGGGTATTTGGGTGCAAGGTTTCATCCTTGTACGATATGTCTCCTGGGTCCCGTGCTTTGGGTTTTTCGATAAAAACCTCCTTTCCAGGTCCTAGGCCGGTCTTCACACCCTCTCTCCACAATTCCTTGGTTTTTTTAGAAGAGATCGAAGCCTTCGACCGTGCTGTACTCTTGCTGAAATCGCTGTTCTTTCGTGAAGAGTTATTTCTTCTCTTTGGAACTATTTCATCAGCTTCTGTCTCTTCATTTGCAGAAGACTCATCTGTTGATTCATCTTTTGCAGGGCCGGGCTCTGGTGAGTCCCAGTTTGGATCAGGGGATGCGGCGTCTGGATCATCGTCGTTCTCTGAGATGAAGTCGTCTGGCCGATTTGAAGGGTTTGAGCTCTTAACTTTCTTGGGTTTTGCATCCGGGAAATATTTGCTCTTCTTCGTAGTAGATTTCACAGATTCGTTGGCGGGGCTAGCGTTGTACTTTTGTCTCTTTGCCGCGGTACCTGAGGCTCTGGAGGAGGAGCTCCTCTTTGGTGCTGGCTTTGGAACCGCTGCCGATGCGGGAGCGGCCCGAGTCGATCGAGGAGGCATGGCGAACGCAAACGGAGAGCCCAGTATGTTTCAAATGCGATTTGTTCGGGCCTTAGAACGAAAGCGATATCCTAAGAGCTGTTCTTGTAGATACAGGTAGCTACAAAAAGGAAAGCAAAGGGGGGGGTTAGAAAAGCCGAGAGAATCGGATGGCATTTAAGTCGTTTTTATGGCGGCTGCTTCAAAGTTCTTTGAACAGCCTGTGGTTAGTTAGTCGCCGATTGACTTTATAACGGTTTCAAGCTCACAAAGGACCGAAGACCGAAAGGGCTGGCTGATAGCTTCTGGGGCAGCTTTTCGCGTGGGAAGGGGGGCGAATGTCTTTGCTTCCGGCACCATTAAAGTTAGTGCGCTTGTCCGCCAAACATGATTTTTCGTGAAGGATTTGCGAGTTGGCTACCTGGTAGAGACATTGTTAAGCAGAGAAATGCGCCAGGATTTTTGTCTTGAGAGCGTGAGGTTAGAGCGCTGTATCTCTTCTCACATTTTCCCGTTAATTTTCGCTCCCTGATTGGCTATTTGCCTAGACCTTCATCGATCGTTTCGATTTTTTTTTTTGTTCCGCCCGCCTCCTTTCGAACATCGACAAGGACCTGGAAGACGAGGAAGAGGTTTGGGCAGGCCTCGTATCTCTCTCTCAACTAATAATAGCTTATTCATTCGTCTTCTCAAAGGAACTCTTTATAAAGGTCGAACCGTTAGTGAAAGAAACAAAGAATAGAAAATAAGGAAAGGAAAAAGATACTCTTTGAACAAGACCCAGACAAAGATGATACCGCAAGTATTCGAATCTCGCAAGAGCAAGATTCTTGCAGAGCTCTCCATCCCAGATGAACAATATTCAGACCTTTCACCCAAAGGATCTGTTGACGAAGGGATCCGTGATCTTATTAGAGACATCAATGCTTTGCCTGGATTGGTGACGACCAGTAGCTGTGCTGGTCGAATCAGTGTGTTTTTGGAGGGAAGAAAGAAGCGACAAGAAACCCAGGACGACAATCAGAGACAGTTCGTACCATCTGGAGGTAAAGGAGCAGGAAAATGGCTGTATGTGTCTCATGAACCTTTGGAAATGAGCAGCCATAATGCAGAATCTGGGGGCAACGGCTCTGAAAACCAAGAGAATGAAAAGAGGAAGTCTTTGCATGAGATGTTTGGGATGGTTCCTGGTGACGGCAAGCCACCAGGCGTGAATAGACAAGGTCAAGCCCCACGTCTCGTACGCTTCCATTTTGAGCCTATGGTAAGTCTTTGGTCTTTTTCTATTCCTTCCCCAACATTTACAAACTGGCCTTGTCTTTGTTCTGAAGACATATGCTTCATTGCTCCCCACTCCTCGAGAATCACCTGCTACTCGTCCATGTCACTACCCTTGGTTAGCCTTTCATCTGTTCTCGAACCGCTGGAGCAGTATCTAGACAAACGACCGCAGTATTGACAATGCTAACAAGTCGCCTAATAGATCCTCCACATAATGACCGCAACTCTTCACCACGCCCAACCTGTTCTTTCTGCAGCATCTAGCTCTGGGTTCCGTGAAAGTGGATTACAGAGTCTCCGCTGCCTAGAAACTGACGAGGGCCCGAGTCCTATTATCGCCGTACGGTCTGCGGGATTGTCACTCGAGTCCGTAATTGGATATTGCGATGATAACGACGACAATGACAATGACGATGACGACGGATCCGGTACTGAGGAGGTCGTCATCCGCAGTTTGGTGACGGAAGAATACCTTCAGATGCTGGTTGCGATCTCAAATGAAAGATTCTCTATAAACATGGAGCGCAAGGAAAGATTTCGGACGGCTCTCCTCAGTTCATGTTTCCCACACTCTGCTAATACCGCCAAGGCGAAGGGGAAAACTAAGCCTCCTGGTTGGGAGGACCCCGAGAAACGCAGAGAGAGAATGAGGGCAGAAGGACTGATGAGGAAAAGGCTTCTTGAAAACCAGGCAAAACAGAATGACCATCATGAACTAGCCCAACACAATGAAGAATTCTAATTTTTGCAAGTAAGGGAAAGAGCCCAATAAATCGTGATTGGATTGAGTCCTAATTTACATTTCAGCTATTTGGAAAAAGGGATAATTGTCTCATAAAATGACTGGTTCACAATGTCAACATAAGGAAAGTGATTGACCAAGGTCCAAGCTAAGCATGCGTTCTTCATTCAACGCGAAATCATAACGATGATATCGAAGACCTGATCCTAAATTGCCGTCAACCACGAACAAGCTCAGTTCATCCTAAATCGTGATATCTTCATATGCATGTATCGGCGGTAGGAAGCCTGCATGAATAAACAAAAAACATGACCCCAGACTGAGCAGCAATACAGTCCCACGGACCCGCGGAGCGTTAGTTTTCTCTGGGCCAATTCTCGGTGGGGGACGGGAGACAATTTGGCGACGACTGAGTGATTCTGTGACCACGGAATCCAGGGTGGGGTCTGGTGGGAGGGTACAAAAGCAGCTTCTGGTTCCAAGGGTTCCCAGTATCTTCATTGCTTTCAAAGTTCAAGGAATTAAAGGTGGTACTCTCGCTTGCGCGTCGGGAGGTAGGTGCAAGGGCATCAGCATGAGGAGTAGACTCGGTGCGAGCGTGGAGCTTATCGGCTCTGGAAGACGAGGCGTGCATGTTGTATGAGGCAGCCCGGGGGATTGAGGAAGAGGAGTGTTCAGAAACTCTTCTGAGGCTCGTAATGTTGTTCATGCTATTTTTGTCATCATTAATCCAGCCACTGAGAACAAGGCTAGAGAGCAGAACCATTTCATGATGAACAGCGGTTCCCCAAGTAACATTATTTGTAACATCTAATGGCCATTCGAACCAAATCTCTCCATAGGGAGACTGAAGCCCAGGATTGGGCATTGAGAACATGTTAGGAAGGTCTGAGTTTCTGACATTGGGCACGGAGCCCTGTGAGATCAAGCTCACATAGTACTGGAAAAGAAAAACAAATTAAGTTATATCTACTTCTGATGGAAAACAAAAATACTTACCAAAAAGACGTCCTCCTTGAAGCCTGGCATTTTCACGAGTGTATCAAACGGGAACCATTTCCCAATTTCTGGGAATTTGAAAATCTCCGTTACATTCTCCGAGTGAATACAGAGGGTGTATTTTTGGCGCTCATTGAAAGCAGGGCATTTCAGGCCTGCCTGAAGGAGATCGTGAAGCAGTTTCTGGTCAAGTCCAACGGTATTGGTTCTTTTAACGCGAGAGACGAGAGAGATGATGTGACGATTGACCAATTCGAACAGCTGATTACGATCGTGAACCGTGTACAGCTCGGTGGCATACCAAGGGAACTGAGAGACGCAATACTCTTAACGTTTAAACAAAACCAAGCAAGGCAGAGGGTATGAATTGATCCAAGGGAACCTTTACCTTGTGTATCGTACTTATGGTTGACTCATAGGTGCGCTGAGGGCACTTGTCACAAAAAGGAGACTATAGAATGTTTGTCACTGTCGTCGTGGTCCAAGGGCTTCGGCGGGCTAGTACTTACGCGATGAGGCATCTCGGCATGGCGAATTGCACCAATAATCTCCTCAGTGGTGAAGAAACCGGTAAAGCCAGTGGAGTAAGGATCAGTGTTAGGCATGACATAAGGCATACCATCTCTCCAGACCACGCACTTCGCGCGTGGAAACAAGTCTTTTAGAAGGGCATCCTGGTTGCTCAATTCAAGGTCAACATGACGATTACCAAGGCGAGGAGCACGACCAGTCTCATAAATCCGATTAATGCGAACCACGGTTTCTCTCGCTTCCGACGGAGTTTCGAATTCTGCATAGCATTCCATAGTTTTTGCAGTAGATCTTTCCATTATGATATGAACAGGACATCCTCTATCAGGAGTGATGAGACGTGCCGGACGACCGAGGAACTGAAAGATCTCCTGCTTCGTAATGGAATAAGGAATCTTACTTAAATTAGCCAAGCTCTTGCAGATAACCAAGGGTTCTTACATTTGAGATCTTTATAACACCCAACTTAGGTGGCTCCATGAGATGTACGAGGCTACCAATTGGCATTTTGCTAGGGTCAGTAACTTTGTCAACATTTTCCGTACACATAAAGTTCTGAGATGATTCTGGGATATCCTGAATATCGAGTTTATTTAGATCCTGCAGCAGAGAGCACGCAGTACGTTGTGAAATGGGTGAGACGATCTCCACCTGACGATGCCTGTGCTGGGACTGAGCCATCGAGGAAGGGTAAGGGGCAATTCGCGTTCCTGCACTGGGGTTATGAATGATTGAATTTTGAGGATTCATGACCCACAAAGGAAGCGAATGAGGAGGAATGGGGGTAGTGTTGTTGGATGAAGAATCCCTTTTGTTAGTGTTCTCCTCAGTAACACACTGACCTTTCGGGGGAGGGAAGCCAGGAACGAAGACGGGGGAGAAAGGATTCATCCTGAGTCCAGAAAAAAGTTGATCGTTGGGAGCTTAGTCCCATGGATCCTCCACGAGAAAAAGAAGGTAGAGGGTATTTGATAGTTGGGAAGAAAACAAGTAGGGTGAAAGCAAAATGAAGGTTAGCTAAAAGTTGGGAGATATTGTTTCCAAGACTCATGAGAGAAAACGCTCTATGTAACACATAAACAGTGAATTTTCAAGCAGTAAACACAGAAAGGGTTCAAGGCATGAGATGCAGTAGCAAAGGATGTTTTTCATGCTTATACGAACACAGCGGTAACTACCACCAATAGATGCAAGATAGGACTGATACTCTACAGAGTGAACACAATGAGGTCTATCTATGCCAGACTTTGATCTATGGATAAGAGCCTAATTAGGCAATATCAATTCTTCTCCAGTTTGCTTGGGTCAAATCTGGGAACCTTCAGAATAATGTTAGAGTCGTACTAGAATATGTTCTCTGAAGTATATCAGGGGCATAGCGAAGGCCGTTGATGGTAGGATATTCATTCCCCTGCGCAGGGGGTATGATTATCCACGACAATGAATACTTGTAAATGGAGGGTATGGCGTCAGGTTCGAATTTAAACATTCAGATGAATACTGAATAGAATTATAGGCGCGGTGACCAGTGTAGTTAAAGTAAGTTAGATTTTAGGGCACTAGAGATTATAATTCATTATCCAAGTGCGAACATTCTCTTAAGGCTAGACAGGTAACAAAGTAAGAATTTGCTGCATAAGGACGAATAGGCTACAATTAAGTCGCGATTCGGGCGATTCGATATACTTGGTGTGATTGTCATCATGAAACAAAGATATAGAGGAAATAATCAATATTGCTAGGGAAATTTATGTTCGAGGTAACCCCGAGCCTGAGGATCTAAGAAAGGGAACAATACTTTGTAGAAAGGAAGATTCCCATACCAGCCCAGATCGTCTGTACAGAAACTTATGAAGGCGGAAATCAAGAGGAGGTGGATTGAACTTTTCGATCATTTACGGATCAAAGTTCATGAGTTCGGCATAATTTAGTCAAACTAGAACATTTCAATTAGAAGATGTCTTTAAAGGAATCGAAGGGGGCTTACGGGAGTCAGGAAGGATTCAGCAACAAATCGAGCACGAGCATTAAGCTGTAGATAGTTAGGCTTGATCCACGCAGCGCATTGAGGAATTAATTGGTATAACGTACGAAAAGCTTCATTTCGGAAATTTCCTTGTCTACCTCCTCCATGAATTGGATGATAAAGTCGACCAGCTTGTGCTTCAACATAGCTTCTGTGTGGAAGTTTGTGATTAAGAATGAAATATCGTATCCCTATTTGTTTGTAAGCCTGTGGAAGAGGAGGAATCCGGTAAGCACATCCGTACCTTGACCGGCTTTCTTCGTAGAATAAAGAAGGACTCTGCGCGCTGCGTCAAGAATCGGGTGAACTTATGGACCAAGATGTGCTCGATTTCGTCTGCTTGCTTTATCCGGATGCTGACTCGGACACTGTTCACACTAGGCTCAATTAAAACCTTTTCGTTCTCGTTCCTAGAGACCGTAAGGGGGTTGAGGAGAAGCTCAGGAGAGCTCTGGGCCTCGATCTCAGGTACATTATGTCTCTCGGAGGTCTGGGAGGCGAAGTTGGAGACGGCGAGCGCAGCAGTAAGCGAGGACCGAACACATTGAAGATATGGGCGCAAGGATTGAGACTACGACTGTTAGTATCACTCTTCATATCGTTTGGTGTTCTGGATTCTTACCATGTTGGTGAGTGACGTAGAATGCGACTATCCGGGGGCTGGCTGGGGGGTTATTCTGGTGGCAAGCCCGTTAACGCCAACCTAGCAAGCCTGGGGATATATAAAGACGGGAACTTACGAATCGAGCCTCCGGCGCATTAATAGCTTAGGATCAAGAGCTGGTTAGAAGGTGTAGCTTGGGGAATCGAAAGGTGTTGTTGAGTGGTCGACACCTGGAATCGGCAACGTCCCGCAGTGTCGCCTGGAGATGTTTGTTTTGTTTGCAGTGTGAGCCCCACGCCCTCCAAAGGCGCTGACGGAAGCTGGAGCTGTTTATACACCACAATATACCACACCAAGCTGAAGAGAAGCTCCCATTTACGCCCAATAGATACGTTTGAGACGGAAAGATGGCTTCTACACCAGGCATGGCTTTTCAATGACAATTTCAGTCGCTTAAATTTGGCGAATACCTGACTAACCTGATACCCCAGTTGTTGTGAAGCACCAGGGAAAGCGTTACGACATCGACCTCGACCCTACATCCAATGGCGAAACATTCAAGTATCAGCTATACTCACTCACCGGTGTTGAACCCGAGAGACAGAAAATTTTGGTGAAGGGCGGCCAACTTAAAGATGATACCTTGTTATCCTCTCTCAACGCCAAACCTGGCCAGACGTTCATGATGATGGGTACCCCATCCGGGGGCCAGACTGCTGGAGACCTGGGACGTCCAAAGGAAGCAGTGAAGTTTCTTGAGGATATGAGCGAGGCGGAAGCCGCGAAAGCTGAGGGAGCAACACCGGCTGGACTGCAAAACCTGGGGAATACGTGTTATCTGAATTCAACGCTGCAAACGCTAAGAAGTGTTCCAGAGTTGCAGCAAGAGCTTCAGAAATACCGACCTTCTGCCAGTGGTGGCTCGAGCCTTTCAAATCTCAGCAGTTTAGGCCTTGGTGGCCTTTCTATGGACCTTACTGCCTCCCTGAGGGACCTGTTTAAGCAAATGTCCGAAACGCAGGAAGGGTTCCCTCCAATGATGTTCCTCAACTCTTTGAGAAACGCTTTCCCTCAATTTGCCCAGAAGGATCGAAATGGTCATGGTTATGCTCAACAAGATGCGGAGGAGGCCTGGTCTCAGATTGTGTCGCAACTACGAAACAAGCTCATGATAAAGGAGGGCGAAGGAGAGTCCGCTACTGAAGTGTCATTTGTAGACAAGTATCTTGGAGGAAGGTTCGAGTCAATTACCGAGTGCGATGAACCAGCTGCAAAGGAGGCTGGCGAAGAAGCGACCCGTAGCTCCGATGTGTTCTACAAGCTCGATTGCCACATCGGCAAAGAAACGAATCATTTACACGATGGTATAATGGCGGGCCTCGAAGAGAAAATTGAGAAGCATTCTTCTACATTGGATCGGGATGCTGTATACACAAAGCGTTCTCGCATCGCCCGCCTACCCAAGTATTTAACTGTTCACTTTGTTCGTTTCTTCTGGAAACGCGAGACCCAGAAAAAGGCCAAGATTATGCGCAAAGTCACTTTCCCTGCTGAGCTTGACGTGGTGGACTTTTGTACTGATGAACTTAAGAAGCAACTTGTCCCCATTAGGGACAAAGTACGGGATATTCGAAAGGACGAGGTCGATGTTGAGCGTGCCCGGAAACGCCAGAAGCTTGCTCATCAAAGAGAAGAGCGGAATGCACTGGCAGGAGTCGAGCCTGAGCCCAGTATGGAACCAATGCAGAAAAAGAAAGCTGTGGAGGAGCGTAAGGAGGAATCCAAAAGCTCTGGCAAGGACGAGGATGCTGCGATGACTGATGTGTTCAAAACTGATGCCGAATACGAGGCTGAAAGGAACGCGTCTATTCTCGCAGCTAAGAAAGAGTTGGCCGAACTCCTCAATCCTGAGCTGTCCACAGACGCGGGCACCAACAAGTCCGGACTGTATGATCTCAGAGGTGTGATTACGCATCAAGGTGCTAGTGCCGATAGTGGGCATTATACATGTTATGTCAAGAAACAGGATACTTCCAGCGGTAACCAGGACGAGAGTGAAAGCAAGTGGTGGTGGTTCAACGACGATAAGGTGACTGAGGTGGATGGCTCGAAGATCGAGACTCTGGCTGGTGGTGGTAAGCTTCCCTTTTTCCCTATTCATACCTCGCTTCTACCCCTGGGCCACCCCTCAAGATTAAGATGGGGGGAGTTCTGACGCTGATTTGGCTTGTGCTAGGTGAATCCCACTCCGCCCTTATTCTCCTCTATCGTGCAGTCGATTTGCCCACCGCAGAATAGAGTCATGGTGCTCCCTATTGAATGAATGATGCTCCACACGGATTATGGATATATTACCGTAGAATCGGTATCTGGGGGAATCTTGGTGCTGGATTTCGAGCATGACATGACATACATTGCCTTCCCCCGTTTCATTATTGCGATTATTGAGAGTTATGTGGCCATCAACCTGAAAATAGACTTGGATGAAGAATAAAAAACCCAATGTCTGCAATGCCTATTTGCCTGTCGACTTGAACCATCCCTAAGTAGGAAATGAACTCTATATTATGTAAAGATGGCAGCAATCGACAAAGGTAACTCCTACGGGAACATCATATTTCCGACGTGCGGCTTCGGTATACACATCTCTCTTACTTAACAGTACCTCCCTCTACATAACAATCACGCCTCAAAACTGCAATGTAAGAATCATGTTCGGGCCTCGTCAAATTTTACAATCCCGACTACGCTATGCCGCGACCAAATGTCAACTGATATCCCGGCCAATCGTTCGCGGTTCGAGACATGCCAGTACCAACACCAATCCCACCACCCACGGGGTCACTCCCGAACCGTCGCGATGGCCACGACGGCTTATCTATGCAGGGATTTTCGGTGGCCTAGGTCTCGCTGCTGGCAAGTGGATGGATAACAAGCTTGCCGTGCCACCATTCCCGGGAACGGGGGAGGATGAGCGTAAGATGGAGGAAATCCGTCGCACATTCGAGCACGGTCTGCCTATTGTGAAGCAATTGCGGGAGGATCCGGACTACAGGGAGGCGGATGTTTATGGGAACTATCTGGAGGAAGAACTGAGGCAAAGAATTACATCCGGCCCATTGCGTGGAAGCCGAGGACTGGCAATGCAGGTGTGTAGTTTTTCCTTTTTGTCTCATCTTGATCCTCTCAACTCTATCCACCGGCGCTCCCAATGAAGATCGAAAGTCATCGAAGGGGGTACCAAAGATTCTTGGCAAATCATAATAAGGCCAGAGTTTGGAGTACACGAAAGTGGGCTAAATGCCGAGTCGACCATGTGCCGGAGGTTGAAAGTGCTTCAGCCTAGGCCGATTATTTCTTCCCAGCTAACTGATTGGCCACAGAAAGTCTTTTGGAACGATAAGGAGAAAAAAGCTGTCAATGTGGTGTTTCTAGGGTCGGGCACTGAGGGATGGCCAACCATTGTTCATGGCGGTCTCCTGGGCACCATCCTCGACGAGCATCTGGCCCGAGTCGCAATCCAAAACTTGCCCGAACGCACGGGGGTCACTGCGAACCTTGATATCAATTATCGGGGCCTGGTTTACTCGGGCAACTTTTACACAATCTACGCGACCCTAGATCAAGAACGAAGCACCGATCGCAAAGCCTACGTCACAGGGGAGATACGCGACCCCCTCGGGAAATTGTGTGTCCAAGCCTCTGGACTCTTTGTGGTGCCTCGAGGGTATAAATTGCGCAAGATTGGAGACACTTACTGAGCCACTCGGTAAAAACAAAAACAAAAAAGGTGCTGAGCTCCGACCCTGACATTCATGCTGATCGTGGCTCATGCAAGAATAACCCCCGTCAGCCAATTGTCTGGACAGTAAATTTACACCTGCGATTCTCGCATCAAAACGAGATAGATCACCGCGCTGTTGGGACAGGTTCCGGGGCATTTTCTTTGGATCGGCATGGCGTGCGTTTTTTATTTGTGACGGCTTCGTGTTTGGATTTTGGAATAAGCTGTCTATAGTACCTACATACCCCCTAACAATTTAATAAATCTAAGTAGTAAAAAAAGGCACAAATCAGAGGGCTGGGGGAGTCATACAAGATTGCCCATTGGGGTCTAGAGCCCCCTTGGAAGAAGTTGTACTCCCACTGGACTCTGTGGTTATCTTTTAAATATGATTCCCACGAGAATTCCACCATGAAGAGAGTGACACAGAGAGAGAAGAGAGTAATTTGTCCCCCTTCCCCCCCCCCTTTTTTTTTGACTCCCAGCTAACGAACTAACTCCGAATCATGCAGTTAAACCGGTGGTCGTCGTTAAAGAATCGCCTGGATCCAATCCACCCCCGGACTTTCCATCTCCACATTACTCTCTATCTCAACCCCCGCCTTTCAACCCGTCGTGGATGTTCACTGCCACCATCCAACTAGGTACAGTCGGTGTGAAACTTGCCTCGGGCATGTCTTAGAAAGGGATGAAAGCCGACCGGCATTTTTATATTTCCCTCATAAACCCTTTGTATGCCTGTCAGATCATGTCCATGGTTCGTTGTCTTCGTCTCCGCACTTTTGCGTCCAGAATACATACATCAAACCCGCAAGCACCAATGACCTACCGCAAGAGAGGGGTTTTCTTCTCCCATGTATAATGATAATACTCCCAGGCTTAGTCGAAGCTTGAATTATTCTCTTGTCTTCTTCTTTTCTTTTTAATGCTGAGCCCATGCGCGACATATCGCCCGTCCCCTTGGCTTTTCTTGTTTCTTTTTGCCCGCCCTTTTGTCGTCTAATACTACTGGTTTGAATTGACATTCTCCACGATGGCTTCAAATTCTACGGACTCTGGGGACTCCCGGGTTGATGAGAAGACTGCGGGCCAGTCGGCTATGGTCCCTCGCGAGGTTTTTGGGCCGCATGCAGACGAGACTGGACAGAATGAAGATGTCAATAAGGTACAAAACTAGGACACGAAGGATAGAGAGAGATGGGTGATATCGATTCAAAACGGTATTGATTAGGTATTGATAGATGACCTTCGGCCGTTTCATGGGCTTCACTGCCATGGCTTTCCTGTGGACTGGGAGTCAGATTCCTGTTTATTTCTTCGGAGGCATCCCTCCCATCATCTACGCCTCTATTGGGGGGGCAGACAGATGGGTTTGGTTTGTACGTTTCAAGAACATCCTCCAGTATGGGGTCTAAGAAGATTAACTCACGGTACTCAACCCTAACAGGTTTTGGCAAACCTGCTTGCTCTTGCTGGTGTCTGTCCGTTCGTTGGGTCCCTCTCCGATCTCATCGGACGTCGTTATGTTGCCTTGATCGGTGCTACTCTGGTCACCGTTGGAATGATTATCTGCTCGACCGCACACACCATGAATACTTTCATCGGTTGGTTTTTCTTTCACTCGCCCTCTTCTAGCGTAACCACTAACCGCCACTTTTAGGGGGCATGGCAATTGCAGGCGCAGGCGCAGGCATTAACGAATTAACTGCGCTGGCGGCGACATCTGAAATGGCGCCCACCAGGAAGCGTGGCAAATACGTTGCAGTTTTGATCTTTACAATTGCGCCCTTCGCCCCCTCCGTGCTCTGGGCCCAACTCATTGCGGACACAGGCAGCTGGCGTTATGTTGGTGCGTTCTGCGGTGCATGGAGTGGTCTAGGTTTGCTCATCACGGCTCTTTTCTACTTCCCACCACCCCGTGTCAACTCTGAGGGTCTTAGCAAGTCTGAGATTATCAAGCGAATTGATTTCGTTGGCGGCTTTCTCAGCATATGCGGTCTGATCTTGTTTTTGGCTGGTATGCAATGGGGTGGATACCAGGTAAGCAGTGTCACTTCTACCTTTATCTGAATACTCGACAAGGTAGGGTTTAGACTAACGCGAATTTCCCTGAATTAGTACCCCTGGAAATCTGCTCACGTCCTAGTCCCCCTCATCCTGGGATTTATGATGCTGGTCGCCTTCGGTTTCTGGGAGATCTTCGGCGCAAAGTATCCCATTTTCCCCAGCCGTCTGAAGCAGGAGCCTCGCACTCTAGGTCTGACTCTTGTTATCACTTTCATCTCCGGCGCAAACTTTTTCTCCGTCATTATGTTTTGGCCTACCCAGTCGTTCAATGTCTACGGCCATGATCCGGTTGAAGTTGGAATTCGTAGCCTTCCCGTTGGTTTCGGTATTATGGGCGGTGCTTGTATCGTCCTGTGGTTGCTCAGCGTCCTGCGAGGCCACAACAAGGAACTTTTGATTATCAGCAGCGTTTTCATGACAGCAGGTTAGTCGAGAACCCCCCCCCCCCCCCTCCTTTTAACCCATTCTCAAAAACTTATATCCAGCGACTAATCTCTCCCATAACAGGATGCGGTGCGTTGGCCGTGGCAAACACTAACAACCTGCATCAACTCTGGGGCCTCCTCGTCATCGCCGGCCTGGGAATAGGAGGAATCGTCGTTCCTGCATCTATCATCACCACCATCATCTGTCCAGATGTATGCTCCCCTCCCCCCCCCCCCCCCCCAAAAAAAGACAAAAAAGACCCGTCCATCTGTAACAAAAGAAGAAAGATCTCTAACAAACTCACAGGACCTAATCGCCACCATCTCCGCCCTCACCCTCTCCATCCGCGTCGTCGGCGGCAGCATCGGATACACCATCTACTACAACATCTTCATTGAGAAATTCGTCCCCAACGCCAAGTCCTACATCGGGGGTGTCATGGCCACCCAGCTCAACATCACCAGCCCCGAACTAATTGGCGAGGCGATCGAACTCACCGGCGCTTCTCTTCTCCAGGGGCTGCACGAGATCCCTGGAATCGCTGGCAACGAGGCCGCGTATGACGCTGTCGTAAGGGCAGGCCAGATCGCCTTCGCGGAGAGCTACAAGTGGGTGTACTATGCGAGTATCGGGTTCGGGAGCGTGGCGATTATTGCTTCGTGCTTCCTTGGGAACATTGGCGATTACATGAATGACCATGTTGCTGTGGTGATTCACTAACATGTATAATTGTTTTCCCCCCCCCCTTCCTCTGTCCGGGTGTTCTTGGGTGAAGTGATGGGCGGATGGATGGGTGTGGGTGTGGGTGGGACATCCGAGGAACTATATTAATCCCCATGTTTATTTATATTTAATTTTTAAAAGTCCTAATGGCTATAATGAATGGGTTACGTTTGGTATATATGTATACAGTATGTACGTATAGTTATGTGTGTGTATGTATGTCAGCCCCATACCTACAGATGATTGCTTTTACACGGTGCAACCAAAGAGCCCTCTGAATGACGAGTAGTTGTTAAAGGTTCATTCATTCCGAGGCAAATTATATTAGATACTAGATTATTCTTCTCGAATCATTTGGGTATGTGTACACATTTAGGCAGCATCCTGTGAGTACTTCCGAGAGTGTGGATAATATATCCGAGAAATATATACATTTATAAAAGTATGATGTACTCCATGTGTCTTGAATTGGAATTTCATATCAACGCCAGTGGGTATATATATGCATATCTATATGGAAAAAAAAAAAAAAAAAAAGTCATTCGACACCCCCATCATCCCCATCAGCTCAGAACCTGATTCATAGAAGATCTCTTGGGAACAAACGTGGTGGCTGAGGACTTGGCTTTCCGCTTGTCTTCTTTCCCACGCAGCCCCTTACTAAGGCCGCCCCCTAAACCTCGTGCAAGCGATGCAAAAGGAGAAGTCTGCCAGTGCTCAAGCTCGTCTTCGGGATGGACAGAATTGGTCACTTGGTCAATGGATCGGGAGGGCCCTTCTGATCGCTTTCCCTGAGGTTTATGTGTAAAGCTTTCGCTTTCGGGAGCCGGAGAGGATGGGCTCCAGGGAGTCGGTAGCTCGCCCTCGCTGTGGTCTGAACATTTGCAACCACAACCGCTGGGACAGAATCCAAACTCGAGCTCTTCATCCGGATTGTGTTGTAGGGTATTTTCTTCGGCGCAAGTGTCCATCGAGGTGGTTGAGAACCAGCAACGGTAGCAATCAAAGCAGCAGACATGACCACAGCTGAGACAGGGTGTGAGCATCCCCTCCACCACTTCACCGCATAAAACACAGGGGATCTTCAAGGGCAAGGCTCGTTTTGGTTGACAATTTGGACAAATCATCGACGTAATATTATTGCCCTTGACATGATTCTTTGCTGCTGCCGCCGCTGCATCGGCTACACTTTGAATCGCAAAGACAGACAGCTGGAGAGCCTCCCCACATCCAATACAATGCCTTTGGATTTCTAGACCTTGGCTTTCCTTGCCAACAGCTATCCCTGCAGCAATAGAGGCCCGGCGGCCGCCAAGACTCGAGAGTGAAAACGAGTCTTCCGGGCCATTAGGATTCCAATGACTTACGTAAGTGTGATTTGGGTGAAATACAGCTCCACCAATCTTGAGCATTTCGCTGCGCTGCACCGGTAATCCCCAATTAGAGAGTAAACGAGCGTAGGAAATACGGTATGATCGGTAGAGCCAGTCGTTCTTCGGGTCAAGGAACGAATTTTGTGTCCTTGTCTCGTCATCAAAGGCGCCCTGATTCTTGAGAGTTGCCTGAACTTTCCCAGACCCTTTTGATATTCGGGGCCGTTCACTCTCTGTATCAGAGTGAGTCTGTGAAGTAAGAACAGTGGAGGTAGTCAGATAATCGGGGATTGCAGAAGCTGGTTTACCCGTAAAGGCAGTGGTAGTCCATATGCCAGGTCCTCCCGCTGTGTGAGGGCTATCGCCAGGGCTTTGTTTTTTCTTTGGCAACATACTCGCGGGAGGTGATGCTGAGGATGGGCCAAATGTAAAGGACCGAGAGAGAGAAGAGGCAAGAACAGAGCCAAATCCAGAGCCACTCCGCGGTTGTGACTGCAGGTCTGGAGAAGCAGCTAATGACGCATTTTGGGTACCTGCCTTTCTTTCTGCAGCCAACCCACTCGCACGTGAAAGGAAAGGAGGTGTGGTACCGGTGGAATAAGGTGGTGTCGTACCCGTACGCCACAGCTCAGAGGACGATTGTCCAGAGCTCTGTGTAGCAGGGGTTGCATGGCTGTCCTTTGGAGTAGAAGTGAGAGGCGTTGCAATTTGTGACTTACTCTGCCCTGGCGTGGGGGGGGTGGCGTAAAATTCCAACGAAAAAGACTGGCTGTCGCCTCCTTTAGAAACCGTTCTGCTGTGGTGAATATCCTTCTCCAGCGGGATGCGCTCGAGGTTCGGCTCATACAATACACATGAAAGCATTGCAACCATTTGGACGTCCCCAATCTGTTCGAAATGTTTGAAGAGAGCCGGAATGAGCCAATGACCACCGAAAGGATGATTGCCCCATTGGATAACCCCTCCTCCTGCTTCATCAGAGGATTGATCTTGGTTCAAGGCGTCATAGCTCAAATCCACAGCACTATCTTTTCTTTGGATGTGTGAAGCCTTATCCGCAATGCTCGAAATTGATGAGTGCGGTGGTTTATAATCGTGGAGAATAAGCTTGACAAGGCCCCAGATCCGAGCTAACTCATGATAGCCATGGTCGAGGGCGACTGCCGCATTGTGAGCACAGACATCAACAACTTTGCCGCAGATTCGATAACTACTGGCCAGTTCTCGCTTGGCTGGTAGTAGATCGGCGAAGTCATGTATCGAAATTATATTTGGTGGATTATCTGCCGATTTCGTGGTCATCCCCCCTACAGTCGATCTTTGTGAGTTATCGGTCGAACGAGGTCGATACATTCCAAGGCTACCAACACTCCGCCATGTTTGGGGTGTCGGGAAGCGATGCTGAAGTCCTGAGAGGATACCAGAAGACCCGGAGGAACTTGAAGTTTCGGCCTCGGAATCGTCAGAGTATTCAGAAGCACCATCGTCGGTGCTGGTGATCGTTCCGGTTATTCGCGGACCAGGCGAGCTCGTTTGCAAACGGCCAAAGCCCTCAAAGACTTTGTCAGATCTCGACAGTCTTGTCATCTCCTTCAACCCTAGATTTTCCAGAGAATATACCGACTTATCCTTCTTCGTAGGGAAAAAGCACACCAGGCGGCCATCCTTAGCCCAGACTGCACCGCATACCTTGGCCATCGGTACCATCACATTGGCATTGATCGGCCGAAGTAGTTCAGAACTCATTCCTAGCTCTTGACTTTGAGACATTCCGACTTCATCCTCGTCACTTGATTCTTCGTCCGCAACTTGGCCATTTGTCGGTGACTTAATAGTTTCTGCTGTTTCGCCCAGAATCCATGCGATGCTGTCTTCCAGACTGCTTTCGCCCAAAAGGTATCGTACAACTCCCTCAAGGCAGCCTCTCTTATGTGACAAATAAGTTTCAGAGATTGTCTGCAACTCTGCAATAATCTTATTTGAGAGTTGTTCGGTGACAGCTGACGTCTTTTGCACACTGAACGACGGGACTGAGTCTCGAGGATAATCCGGTGGAAATTTGATATCTACCCTCAAGAAGAGGGAGGCTCCGTCTACACCCCATGGGCCATGAAGAGAAATTGTTGTTTTTCGACGCCTGATATCAACTGATTCAAAGACGACCTTGGTGAATTTCTCGCCTACATGTGTGATTTCATCACCCAAGGTTTCAATATCCCATCCTGATATTTTTACCCCACGCATCCAGGAGATAGGATTGGTATCCGCTCGAATATTCGATCTGCCTTGCATTCCGACAGAGGCTCCTTGAACCCAGGCCCGTGGGTACGGGACTGAGATGGTGTTCATACCCATCTCTTGGGAAGGCGGAGGGACCGCAGGTTGAAAGGTCGGTGACAATGGGTCCGTGTCCGCATATTCCAGACCAACATTCTCGTCACGAAAGCTTTTGTAAATAGCCCCTTTCCGGGTGACATTCAGGTTAGATATATATGATTTTCCTTTTTCGTGACCGACCCTTCGAAGAACATCAGAGTCAACACGGTGTAGACGAAGCTCTTTATCGGTACCCCACGAGACGAGTTGAAACTCTCTGTGGTCGGTACCGTCGACAACACCACCGCGCGCCCTCCAGAGGAATTCTTTCACCTGGCCTTTGTGGCCAGGAAAGCTATGTACGGGGGGTTGATACCCATCAGGATCTTCACTATCACCAGCTCTGCGGCTGTAAAGATGGAGGTCGCTATTGCCTCTTTGGGGCATAGCTAGGATGCCCCAGCCAAATGGTGTATTTCGTGCCCTCCAAACAGGAAACGGCGTCTTGATTACTTTCTCTGGAACATCGTCCTCGACGGTATAATCCCAGAATTTAATTGTCTTATCCAAGGAACACGTCGCCAAGGCCCCGCGTCGAACCCTATTCCAATCCACTCCGTAGATTTTGGTATCATGAGCTTCAATCGATCTAATTGGGTAAGCACCCATCCGCTTGTCCCATATACGGAGGAATTTGTCATGAGAACTAGCGATGACATTTGGGTCTTGTCGACTCCATTTTACCTGCGTGGCTCCTGCAAACCAATCTGAAAACGAAAAGGCCGGTCGGGATGGAGTTCGAAGATCCCAACAGTGAACAAAGCTGTCGACAGCGCACGTTGCTAAGGTGTCCGGATGGTGTGCAGAGAAGTTGATATCAGTGATAGCGCGAGTATGACCGTGTAAAACATGCTCAATGGAATTCTGGCAAGTCTGCATCGCCAGGTTCCACACCAAGGCCTTCTGGTTGGACGTGCTGGCCACCCAGTAGTCCCGGGCAGCGAATGGAGACCACTGAACATCGGCAACCTCCCAGGGTGTATGGTGCGGAAGATACCGAGGTGGTGAATATGGGGAATCTAAATCAATAATGTGAAGACCCTCTTTCGAAGCCAGGACCACATCCCGTCCACATGGGGATATGGACATAGAGCCTACTGGCTGATCCACGTGGAATGAGCTATCCTCTCCAAAAGTTGGACTCTCGAAGGCCGAAGTCGGCGGCCGTGGTTCGTTTGAGTCGGACATTTTTTATTTTTATTTTATTTTTTGCGTTTTCGGGTGCCGGTCACCAAACGGCCGCGTCTGTGTTCTGCTACACCAGCGCAGTCTGGAGAGATATTGAGCCTCAAGACGCTAGACGGCACATTGACCGCAAATCCTGTGTAACACTATATTGCACATTCATCTCGATAAGGTGCATGAAAATATTTGTTGCTGAATATGCGATGGAGAAAGGCTCGAGGATTTACTCAGGCGTATAGTGCATTGCGCACAGATATCGATCAACCAACTCAGCTTTGAATCAAAGTAAAGCGTTCGCACGAGCTCCGTTCTAAAGACTCGGGGATTCACTGTCAGTGCACGTGGAGAAGGTCGACAGGATCAATTGAGCTACCTCAAGGATGCAGATTGAAGGTTGGAGTATAAAAATGCACCAGCGAGGTAAAGCAGGAGCAAAAGGATGGCCAGGAAGCTGCATCTGGGGTTGGTTCCACTGGCCGTATAGTGTACGGTGGGGGGGATGGACCCAAAGTGCAGAGCCCCTCCATTATTCACGATGTCGCTCTAATATCTCTCTGATATAGCGCTTCTCATACAAGGATCCTCCCGCCTAGATTATTTCTTGCCGATCTTGCCGTCCAGCTCACGTCACTTCCGTGTGACTAGAGTCTGCCTCACTTTGTGCCCCTGGGTGAGATATTCGACCCCCTCAGACTGCTAGAGGAACATCGCTAGAAGCGCAGAAGAGACTAAAGGATCTCCCCCCACCTGGGAAGCCCTCAAAAGACCGGAGGACCCAGTTTATAAACAAAAGAAAAGAAAAGATGGCCTTGCCAAAGAGAATTATCAAGGAAACAGAGCGCCTTTTGGCGGAGCCGTGAGTGGCTGAAATTCTCGAGGCGAGTATACTATATTAATGTACCTCTCTCTCTCTCTTTCCAGAGTCCCCGGCATTACGGCTGTTCCTCATGACGACAACCTCCGATATTTCGATGTTACCATCCACGGCCCAGCCCAATCCCCGTATGAAGGTAAAACTCCCCATAAATCCCAAAGTTTAAACAGGTTGTTAATGGTTAGAAAAGGTGGAATTTTCCGGCTTGAGCTGTTCCTGCCAGACGACTATCCCATGACTCCTCCGAAAATCCGATTTCTGACCAAGATTTACCACCCCAACATCGACCGCCTTGGGCGAATTTGCTTAGATGTTTTGAAGAGTATGTCCTACGGAAGGGGTATCTATCCTCCTAGTCAGTTGTCGGGTTATTAACACTTGGATAGGCAACTGGTCTCCGGCCCTTCAAATCCGTACAATCCTACTCTCGATCCAAATCTTGCTCGGTGCCCCAAATCCCGATGATCCCCTTGCAAACGATGTGGCTCAACGCTGGAAGGAGGATGAGGCCGCGGCAATTCAAACCGCTAGGGAATGGACTAGGACCCACGCAATGACTTAGATATTATGTGACAAAAGACCCTGATTCAATTACCATGGAAAATGGTAAGCGACGACATGATGAGACCATGAGGAAAATGCATACAACTTTTGGCCCTATCCGCATTGATCTTTTGATCAGCTTCATCTTTTTTAAAAATTCTCGCTCTTGATCCTTTTTGTCGAAGAGAACAGGTGCTTCATAACAGCCAATAAATCTGCACTTTCTGGGGTTGGTTCGTTTTACACTTATGTGCTGATTGACGGCAAAAGAGCAACGGCTCATTGCTCATATTCCAGGCATGCTCTAGGTTCAGCTCTTTGCGTTACTTGGAACCATGATTCAACTGCCGTTTAACTACCCGAGAACTTGCGATAGAATTCCATATTCAATAGAATTCCATATTCAATAGAACTTCGATCTCTGTATAACTTGCCATTTTTCAGACACAAGAAGATAGGCCCCGAGTCTCTAGTAATATCACTTCACCATTAGGACTCATTGTCTCTTCTTTATTAGAATTTTGTGACTTGAATATTAGGAGGTAGTTAGTTGGCTCACTCTAATTGTGGCCGTGAATACTTAAGATGGATTTGGTACATGAAAAGAGATAGTGGATTTCCTGTGCAAATGCCCAAGTGAATATAGAATTGTATTCTAAATGATTCATCATCAAGTACCTATTCTTCTATACCTGGGAGCCAAACTAGCATTCATCATCTTAAGTGACAATTCCAGCCTAGTAGTGAAGACGGCTACAAAATACACCAGGACAAGCAGTTTACAAAAATTGTATTAAATCACGCAGTAAAATGAAGGTCAGGCTTTTTTTTATTTATCTTCTTCTTCCTCTCCTAGGGATTGCTAGACTTATCTCCTTCCTTCTCTTCCAACACAACATAGCCGTCTAAGTGCCTTGAACCTGCACACTTACAGCCCACCCTCCAGCAACATGCCAAAGAAAGCCAAGAAGAAATCACGAAGTTCTAAAGTACACACAAGGTAAAAAGAGTCTCCTTTTAGTGCGAACGAAAGCATCTGGTCTAAGAGTGGTTAACATGCTCATGTCTGTTCTAACAATTGACAAACACTACAGGGACAATAAACCTCCCCGTGTTACTAACCTGGACAACTTCTCTGAGGATACCATAAAACAGCCTATACAGACAGCTTTCCACATCGAAGACAATAAGCAAACCAAGCATTCATTGTCACTAGAATGCAACAACAGTGTTCCTCTTCCCCCAGCCCCTGAGGAGGAAAATCCAAGTAATAATAGTTCATTGAAACGACCCCCCTTCCGCAAACAAACCCAAGCCTTAACAATAGGAGTGCCTTATTCAGTTCATTCCGATACAGACACAACTTTTAACACCAACTTGACAAGCTCCAGCCCTGTCACAGCGCTTGACAACAACGTCCCAAGTCCAATATACAAGGGAAAGGGAAAGCAAAACAAGGGTCCAAAACCAGCTCCTTTGGCCACGCATTCGACTCCTTTGCCTGTTCTGAAGTGTATGAGATCTCCAAGTGGTATGTTAATTCGTTGGTTTTACCTCCTCGTTGCTGCTCTCTGTCTTTGGGCTCAGGGCTGATGATCAAATTATATGTAGATTATATGTTTCTTGATCTAGGCGGTGCTGAAAACCAAAAGATGGATAAGGGTCTAAAGAGTGCTTCGGCCCCGGGCTCAAACGATGCGTCCAATGGAGATCACCCATCTCCTGAGCGTCAGCGAGAAGTGGCACATCTACCCAGCTCGGAGAAAGATTGTCCCCATATTGAAAGTTGCTCATTTGATGAATTGGTAACGAATAAATCTTACCCATGATCCCAAAGACAGAGTATTGACAATAGTGAAGATCGAATACGTCCGCCACATCACGGGCACGCTGAATGATGTGCGAGGATGGAATCATAAGAATCTCCAGTGCATTAATTGCCGTGGAACCTGCCCAATATGTGACTCTCCATGTTGTTTGCGCGAAGATGCTCGAAGAAAGGTGTCGAATGAGAATACAGATCCTCAAGATTTCCAGCAAGCAAAGAAAATCCTTAAGATTATCGACTTCTTAGGAGCCTACGCTAAGGAAGCTAGTACATTCTCTCTCTGTTCCCAGCCAGGAGGATGCGGACGACATGTCTGTCGAAGCTGCTGCGGTGTCTGTCCAAATGAGATCTGTCGAGACATTCAGTGCAAGGTAGGCGATTCAGAATTCTTTTCCTATTCGGTTCTCGAAATGAAGAGCGAGCGGTCTTGCTAACAATCATGATTACTGGGAATATAGGAGTGTAAACCTCTTGTCTGGGAGCCCTGCGATTGGCATGGGTGAAATCGCGATACACTGAGACTTTGCAAGAGGATTGTCGAATAAGGCGAGGGAATGGGAATGCATATGGAATGGTTCAAGATACGGCGTAAAACAAGCCCAAAGATGATATTTGGAATCGTCAAGTTGGGTCTACCGTACTTAATTTGATCGTACTCCGTACTAATGGGATATTTATGAACCACTTTTTCTGAAGGGCTTCCAAAAAAAAAAAAAAAAAAAGGGAAAATTAATTTAGAGAAAAATTAGGAAGAACCGCTACTTCATACAGAAACATCGTAAAGCACAAGCAAAGGTGATATAAATAAAAAGCCATGTATGTAATTCAAGGCCTATACCCATACTCGAGTAGTTGTTGTATGAAAGGTGGAGGCCGGCCAACCAGTCAAGGGCAGGCGCGATCACGTGAAGCACTTTAGCGAGGCTCCGCACCGCACCACCTCACAATTGTGTCAGTCTCGCGAACAGCACGCCGCCGAAGAGACCGAATCGACTCAACCACCCAACGCCTACCGACAACCCGGCTGCGCATCTCACACATTCAAGATGCGTACCTACGACGATTCTTTCAGCGGTCAGAAGATCTACCCTGGAAAGGTGCGTTTTGTCCCATCCGCCAGACACGATATTCGACAATTCAGCCACTCGCCGCGACCCGGTTAGCCCGAGATCAATGGAGAGGAGCATGAACATTGTCACCCAACATAATTTTGAGGATATAAGTTAACATACTGGTTTTTTTTTCTTTTTCGTGAACTATAGGGTAAGCTGTACGTCCGTGGCGACAGCAAGATCTTCCGCTTCCAAAATGGAAAGTCCGAGTCCCTCTTCCTCCAGCGCAAGAACCCTCGCCGTATCGCCTGGACTGTCCTCTACCGTCGCCAGCACAAGAAGGGTATCTCTGAAGTCAGTACCGCCCTTTTTTCTCCCCCTGGATTGAACTGCTCTTTTTTTTGTGTGTGTTGTGGGAACCGGGAAGGATTGTTTCGATAGCCAGAACGACATATCGGTCGGGAGAACCGGAAGGGACTATGGGGACAGCAAAACCTGAGGAAACTATTGGGGGAACATTTACTAAATTGGGAAACGAGAATGCTGACCGGGGGATTTTCACCGTGAACAGGAAGTTGCCAAGAAGCGCACTCGCCGTGTCGTCAAGCACCAGCGTGCTATCGTCGGTGCCTCCCTCGATGTGATCAAGGAGCGCCGTAGCATGCGCCCCGAGGCTCGTGCCGCTGCCCGTCAACAGGCTATCAAGGAGGCCAAGGAGAAGAAGGCCGCCACCGAGAGCCGCAAGAAGGCCGAGAAGGCTAAGAACGCCGCCGCTGCTGGCAAGGGTGCTGCTCAGCGCATCCAGAGCAAGCAGGGTGCTAAGGGCTCCGCCCCCAAGGTCGCTGCCAAGTCTCGTTAAATGGAATAAAAGACGGTCTGGCTTGGGCTTGGGAGGAGGAAGGCAAAATCTCATGGACGGAATTTGGGAGGTTTCTGGAGCTGGAATTTGTGTTTTACCTGTCACACAAAATAAACTGTTTACCAACATACCGGCGTACAAGCGAGATGGGGTTCTTGCGGATTTAGAAAGAAATCCCGTACAGCTCTCAGATAGGCTTTATCATTTACGCGCCATGGAATTTTACCAGGAAATGGGAAAAAGAAAAATGGATGTGATATGATATCCTGTTGTTTTTACGTCGTTCTCGACTCTCTCGACTTGCATAATTCGACATTTGAATGTAGCATCATATGCTGCTCATAATCTAGAGCAGCCCGAATACTTGTACCGGGCTCGATATGGATATAACTCCAGCGGGTTTACTTACACGTGCAGATGGTTATCTATCACCTTCCAATGTCCTAGAGAAGAGCCAGTAAAGCACATCTTTTAAAGAGCCCCCAGTTTAAGCCCACGCCAGGTCTCTACGTAAATCAGTCTTGATATTCAAAAATCCTAGGCCGATGCCATGCCATAGACAGTTACCCCAGAGATACAGTCAGCCACAGATGACGATATTACAGTACAATACAATACGGCCCTAAAAAAAAAAAAAAGGGCTATAGGGCTCAAACCTATTCTTACCGGATTAAGGCATCCGTATACATCATCAAGTAAATCCATCCATCAATCAGTCGTCCGGAGTCAACCAAGACGAAGAACAGTAAGTAACATATACACACCTCTTGCTTTACCGGCCTGCATCGACTAGACAAAAATAAAAGATGTAGTGAAGCAGCCTAGTTAAATCCCTAAGAAACCACAATAAAAAAAAAACAAAAAAAAACAAACAAGAGAACGATGATTGTGATGCCTCAGGCACCCATGTCAGGTGCGCAGCCGCAAAGCCCATCCTTAGTCATGGCCGGGGGGTTTTTTTTTTTTTTGCCATCTCGCTTACCGAGTACCGCTAGCGTGCTTTGCCCACAAGAAGTGTGACTGAATCCCCCTTCCCCTCAAGCCCGCGACTTCAGTCAACTCTCCATCTCGATCCGACAAGTTACACATCACCAGCAGCCATGGGTAAGGTTCACGGATCTCTCGCCCGTGCGGGTAAGGTTAAGTCTGCGACTCCTAAGGTGGGTGAAGCTCTTTTCTTTTTGTTCTGTTGATGGGGGGTTTGGGGGGTGATGGGGGAGTGGATGGATGGATGGATAGACGGGGGACTCGTCAGGGCGAAGAACGGTGCATGGAAAGTAGGAAGGGGAAAGAGGGGGAAAAGGGGGGAGGTTGTGGAATGAAGATGCGATGATGAATCTGTTTTTTTTTTTTGATGGAAATCATGCTTGAAAAGGATACCGCTGATGATTTCTTTGTTTCAACAATATAGGTCGAGCCCCAGGAGAAGAAGAAGCTCCCCAAGGGCCGTGCCATGAAGCGTCTCAAGTACACTCGTCGTTTCGTCAACGTTACCATGACCGGTGGCAAGCGAAAGGTACGTTCGGAATCCACATGAAGCGAAATAGCAGATGGGAGGATTCGCGGGGGGGGGGCCGCGTGATTACTACAGGGCTTCTCCTGGGCGGGAGTTGTCGTAGTAATCGTGTGGGCTGCAAAAGGTTTTCCGTGCACAGAACGCTGACTTGTTCAACTACCTACAGATGAACCCCAACCCTGGAAACTAAATGCCTAGCTTGGGGGGAAACTGGTAATCAGAAAGACGGCGGCGAAATTACGATGACGACCACGAAAGAAAAAGCAAAGGAAAAGCAAGGCCAGGGCGATCCAGATCACGGTCGCCCTCTCGCCAGCGAAAAGTGATCCAAAACCGACGTGGACGGCTTGAGATTCAACCCGAGAGGAGGAAACGATATCCCGGACTTGGCTTGGGTTGGACATGGGAACGGGGTGGTTTTACTTTTCATGGCTAGTTATTTGGGCTTGAGCACAATATCATCATCAAATGCGACCTCCTCCTTACTGGGAATTTCAAAAATATGTCTTTCTACTGTTGTTTCGAGCCTTGTTTGCCCCATCATCAAACGGAATGATGTTTGGCGTAACGGACTTTCTGGTACTCTGTCCTGAATTTGATAGCCATTTTCAGTCACTCTTCCTGTAATATTGTAGGGGGTGTAACACATTCTCTTGGGGATAATAGCGTAAATGGGGGTTAGTCCACTAACCAGGTATCTCCAAGTGATAGTTATACAACCAACCACTCGTTCATTATTTGATGCACCTCGGCCTACAAACGCTCATAACAATAACTCTTTTGATATAAAAAAAGCCATGACAAGTAAACCCGAATATCCTTTAGTCTATGTATTCTCTATTCTCCAAGGTAAGAATTTGGGACAAAGAGCACTCCAAAGAAACAGAAACAGGATCCATCAGTCAGTCTCTGGACGCCAGCAGAGACAAAGAAAAGAAGAAAAAAAAGCCCCATTAAAACACATACATAGCCACGGACGCAAAACCCAGTCACCCATAGAAGGAGGGGGGGGAACAAGAAAAGAAGTAAGAATCATTAGTGGTAGTAATGGGCCATTTCCAATCCCGCGCGTTTGAAGCCACACTTGAGATAGAAGCCCTCATTCGCTTCAGAGCAATCGAGGATAGTCTATACATCGGTAGCAAGGAGGAATCAGTTAACCATGCAACAATGCAAGCGGATGAATGAATGAATGAAAGAAAGACAACAAAACAAACCTTATAGCATCCAACCTTCTCGGCGACATAATCCAACGCCTGAATAATCCTCAACCCCAGCCTCTTTCCCTGCTGTCCCTTTTCAACCGCAATATCCTCAATGTGGCCCACCATCCCCAAGGAATGAATGAATTTGCGCTCAACGATCAAACTCCCTGTTCCCACGATGCGGTCCTCGCCATCGCAGACAACAAGTAGATAATACTCGTCGTTCCGCGCAGAGATCCAATCGTACCGCTGGTTCCATTGGGACTCGCTGATCTCGCCGACGGTCGTCAGGACACGGAGCACGTCGAGGTAGCCGCGCTGGTAGTCGGATCGGCACGCAGGGCGAATCTTGTAGCCCTCTGGGAGGACGGAGGCGACCTCAGGGGAGATCAGGGAGGTGGAGAAAAGGGGGGTATCAGCGCAGAGGGAGGTGGTTTCGGTGATGGCGGACATTGTTGTGGGGTGTCTATCTATCACTGTTTCTGTGCCGTTCCTGTAGAATTGTTTTTACGTCTTCTTTCTTCCTTTTTTTTTTTTTTCTAAGTCTTGAGCCGGATTTTCAAGGGGAATGGACGGGGTTTGAGTTGCGGTGGAGATTCAATTCATTCACTCGGGGCTAGGGAAGAAGAGTAGAGAGTAGTAGGAACGAGGGAAAGTTAAGGAAGGAGAAGATGGCAACTAACGAGAGACTGTGAGGGTTCAATGTGGGAGATGGGAGAGGAGGATATAAGAACCAAGTGTGAGCCCGAACTGCGGTCCCACTTGAAAGCAGCACAGGCACAACCTACTCAAGTCGTATTTATAGATTCATCCCACTCTCGACAAATTTAGCAAAAGCTGAATTATTATTATGACTATGATTATTATTAGGATTTCTTTCGTGCAAAATAATATCGCATATTATTGGAAGGCCACCTGGCGTTTCCATCCTCGAAAAGAGATCGAAAAAGGGAGGGAGTTTTTTCAATGGTCGGAAAACTTCTATAGTTCGGTTCCAAAAATAACTCTTAAGACAAACCAGGACTCTTCAGGAAAGAGAAGATGTGGGAAAATAGTACAATTTTATTTGTCGGTATACAAGTATCAAAAACGAGGCGCCAGCTAGAGCTTCGCTATCTGATTCTACTCCAATCTAAGCCAAAAACACCCCTGGCCCAAACATCATAGACCCGCGCGTTTATTTCTTCTCCTTGGGGCTCAGCATCAGCTCGGGGCGGACGTGCTTGTCAAAGTCCTCCTCGCTAAGAGCCTTGAGCTCCATGGCACTCTGCTTCAAAGTGATGCCCTTCTTGTGGGCGTTCTTGGCGACCTTGGAAGCCATATCGTAGCCAATGACGGGGTTCAGGCAGGTAACAAGCATCAGACTAGATGGAGGTCAGCTTTGGGATACTTTACTTGGTTGAGTGACCGATGAAAAGGAAAAAGACATACCTCTCGTGAAGGAGAGTGTGGATTCTAGGCTCATTGGCCTCGAGGCCAACAACCAGGTGCTTCTCAAAGCTATTCATGCCATCGGCGAGGATGCGGACGCTGTGCAGCAAGTTGCGGATCATCAGGGGCTTGAAGACGTTGAGCTCAAACTGGCCGCTCATACCGCCGACAGTGGCAGCGACGTGGTTGCCCATAACCTGGGAGCAGACCATGGTCAGGGCCTCGCACTGGGTGGGGTTGACCTTTCCAGGCATGATGGAAGAGCCGGGCTCGTTCTCGGGGAGGACCAGTTCACCGAGACCGCAACGGGGACCGGAGCCAAGGTAACGGATATCCTGCGCAATCTTGAACAGAGAGCATGCGAGGGTGTTGAGGGAACCAGAGGCCTCAACGATGGAATCGTGAGCGGCAAGGACCTCGAACTTGTTGGGGGCGGTCTTGAACTCAGTGCCGGTCATCTTGGTGACCTCAGCGGCAATAGCCTCATCGAACCCCTTGAAGGTGTTCAACCCGGTACCGACGGCGGTACCGCCCTGTGCCAGGAGGCGCAGGTGGGGGAGGCTGGCCTGGACACGCTCGATGTTGCGGTCCAGCTGGGCGACATAACCGGAGAACTCCTGGCCGAGAGTGAGAGGAGTAGCATCCTGCAAATGGGTACGACCAATCTTGATAATGGACTGGAACTTCTCAACCTTCTGCTGAAGGGCGTCACGGAGGCTTTGCAGGGCGGGGAGGAGAGTGTTCTCCAGTTCAAGAACAGCAGCGATGTGCATGGCAGTGGGGAAGGAGTCGTTCGAAGAAGCGGACATATTAACGTGGTCGTTAGGGTGGACAGGCTTCTTGGAGCCCATCTTACCGCCAAGGATCTCAATGGCGCGGTTGGAGATAACTTCGTTAGAGTTCATGTTGGACTGGGTGCCGGAACCGGTCTGCCAGACAACGAGAGGGAAGTGATCCAGCAGCTTGCCCTCAGCGACCTCGGCAGCAGCCTGCTTGATAGCCTCACCAACCTTGGGGTCTAGGATCATTAACATCACTTCATTCAAGCCTTCTACAAGTGTTCAGGGGGGAGGGGTTCCTTACCCAGGCCATACCGCATGTTGACAGCAGCAGCAGCACCCTTCAGGATACCGAAAGCCTTGACGACGGCTTCGGGCATGCGATCCTGGGGCTGGTTGATATCGAAATTGCCCAGGGAGCTGCAGATCCATCAGTATCCCCAAACATTGTATCTATTTCCGTGTGGTAGGTCGCCTTACCGCTGGGTTTGCGCACCCCAGTACTTATCGGCGGGGACCTAGATCCAAACTCGATCAGATGTCTGTCCAGCGTAGCGCTTTGTCAATAGACTGGTTTCACATACCTGGATCTCGCCAAAGGCATCACTTTCCGTGCGGAATTCGGAAGCCTATAAGCCTCGCAGTTAGCCCAACCTTCCAAACTGCCACACAACGTTCATGTCCCCCGCTGTTACCGCAGCCACCCTGGAGCGGAGCAGAGAGGGCTAACTTGTCCCCACAACCAAAATACCAAAGGATTGAGAGTACCACGCACCATTGTGACAGTTGAGCTGAAGGCTCTCTTGCTGGAAAGGGACTGGAAAGACTGAAGGCGGGGGAATTGTTGCAGTGTATAGCTCAACGAGCGTCGGGTAACGCAGGTGGGGGAGCGAGCCAAGAGCGACACAGAGCGGAAAGCTGCCGGTGAATTGCCTGGTGCTCTGGCGACCGCCTGTGTCAAGGAGCACATGGAGCGCACCGCGGTTCGGGAGGGATGAGAGCTCAACATGGCGAAAGACCTAATGCCGAGGGGGTGTATAAATGGATCACCAACGTCTCCCGACGGAAGATCTTAACAATAATAATAATAGCAATGAGTTGATGGTATACAAGTGGTATCCCTTAACAATTAGAAAGGGAATTGAGAAGCAATTGGAGAGGAGAAGAAAGCAGTCACAGCTGGAGAGGGTCACAATGCGAGAGGAGAGAGAGAGAGAGAGAGAAAGAAAGAAAGAAAGAGAGCTCCGACGATTCAACGACGCCTGAGGAAACAATTCTTAGGGTCGATGCCTTGTCGCCTTTTTTTGGCTCTATTTCTTTTTCCCTGACATCCGAAATCCAGCTGCCGATTCCTCCCGGCCCGGTATTACCGCGTATGCTATCACTGGTTTCTGTGCGGAATGCCTGCCAATCTGTGTATGGTATGGTAATCGGTATTTCCGGGTTTGGGTTTATCCTTCTCATGTGGCTTTCCGCCTGAGGCATCACTCCAACTACAGCTTCGCCTGGAATCCAAGCCAGACAACTTGCTGAGATTATATACGATATGGCTACAGTTTCAAAGAGCTCTCTTTGCCTATACGAAGATATATCGATTGACATCATCCTCTCTGCTATTTGAATTCCAACTCCAACTTTAAACAATGAAATCCCCCGCATCCGTCCAATCACTTTCTCACCTCTACTTCTCCGTCTGCTGCTTTTAATTTCTCTGCGCAGACTTCCCCTTCATCTCGAAGAGGATCCATTTCCGCAGTGAAGACCAGCGGAATATTGACGTTCCGACAGTGGTGAGCTACCACCGCTGGCAGATGGCCTCCAGCCGATGCACTGCCAATGGAGATTCTGTTCACATCGAGATTAAACTCCTCGAACTTGAATCGGACCTACAGCCAGGATTGGTCTCGTAAAAGGAACACCGTCTCTGTGAAGAAGAGAAAAGCAAGATGAGCGAAACGAACCTAGTTGAACCCCTCCGTGGAAGTTGATATAACCAGCTCGCTTCTTCTGCTGACCTGGTCCATCAACGATTGACATGGGCTCAAAAGATACGAACTTTGATCTGTCCGTTGTTAGCCGGGCCCTTCTGCTCGGTGGTCCGGAAAACATTCCGGACATGTCGCACGACCATAGGCAGCCAAGTACTTAGCTGGCTCCTTGCAGCAGGCCTCGATCAGTAGTACTTCATGCGTGTGCAGTCGTCCCGCATTGTATTTGTTGTAGTACTCTCCGTAAACCGTGTCAAAGCGAGGAAGTAACTCCGAAGGAATACTATTATGGAGTGGCTGAACCATTGAATGACCTTTTGGGTGCAGTCCATGCAGGTCCTTGTTTCCATCCATTGGTTACGCAGTTAACAGATGACGTACAGGTAAGTATTGTAGATAGAAAATAGATTCAGGTTACAGAATAGATTAAAAACCAAAGAACGTGAGTAACTAACTAACTAACTAACTAACTAACTAACTAACCATCGCTCTCTTGTTAATCCTAAACGCGGGGTTTCCGATGTTGATCATCTTATCAACTTAACTCATCTCATCTCATCTCATCTCATCTCATCCCCTCACTCAGATGATCACCACATCTCCAACATCCTCTCTCCACCAGTCCCCCTCCTTCATCCCCTGTTATCTCCTGTTACTAGGCTGATATGGATTAGATTATTGACATCTTCGGCCATCTTCCTTCGATGCCTCGATGAAGACAGATGCGACTCGGTTACCAACGGCTGTTTCCACCAGCCTTTGAACGGATAACTCGCGGATATTATTTATTGTCTGGCTTGATCCAGCTGACTTCTGACTTTATGAACCGGTCGTGCGGTTCCTCTCAAATTGAAACCATGGGATTCTTGCTTGTCCAGTTAGGCAGGCTCGAGTGTTCCAAGGCTTTGAGCCTCTGGAGATCCTGCGCCCTGGGGACAGGATGGTGGAATGGAGCCAATCTCTCTCCTTTGCCTAGTGGTGCAGCCTTTGCAGGATCACCATCAAGGACCAGATCATCAAGGCCAAAGAAAATGCGTCACTATCCAGGTACTTTTGCTCTCTACTGCCGCCGGAACCTTGGGTTGGCCCACACGCCACAACTGTCCCAATGTTCACTCCTCAGTTAGCCGCTTTTCCGTCGGCTGGGGAAAAAAATTTCAAACCGCCAATAACAAGTGAAGATCCAGCAGCCAGGCCAAGCATGAAGGCGATATCGGTCCAGTCCGAAGGCGTACAAGTTATAATTTAACTCTCTTCCCCAGGCCTGTGGAGATCCACCTTTTGCAGATTCCAATGCGAAGGAATATATACAAGAGTCTTGCATTGACCTATACACACTAGCCTACTTGATCAATCTCTGGGTCCAGTTATTTTTCTCTGTTAATATAAACAGCCCACCGACCCGATCGACTCCAATTCTCCACCAGACCCTCAGAACTCTTTTGTCCCAGCACAATCACTTTCTCCGGCAGGACCTTCCCGCTCACACAATCAATCACAATCACAAACAATGACCGTCTTAAATGTGGCCCCGGTGCCCCCGGATGAGATCTTCGCTTTGAACCGTGCGTATACCAATGACGACCATCCCCAGAAGGTCAACCTCGGTGTAGGCGTCTACCGCACCAACGAAGGCAAGCCTTGGCCGCTGCCTGTCGTCCAGGAAGCAGAAAAGCAGCTTCTGGCCGAGAACAGCCTCTTCCGCCATGAATACACAGCCATCGAGGGCGATATTGCCTTCCTCCCACTAGCGCGGGACCTGATGTTCGGCTTCGATGCTCAGAACCCAACCCCCGCGCAAGAAGCCCTGCAAGCACGCATTGGCACCGTGCAGACCGTTGCAGGCACCGGCGCAAACCACCTAGGCGCTCTCTTCCTCTCCACACACATGAAGCCCCGAACCGTGTGGCTCTCCAACCCGTCCTGGGCCAACCACCTCACCATCTGGGAGCTCGCCGGCGTGCCCCGCAAAACCTACCCTTACTACTCCGCGGCAACCCGCTCCTTCGATTTCACAGGCATGATGTCCACTCTGGAGTCCGAAGCCCAGGAAGGCGACGTCATCCTCCTCCACGCCTGCGCCCACAATCCCACCGGCCTCGACCCAAACAAAGAACAATGGAAAGCCATCGCCGATCTCTGCGATCGCAAGCGCATCTTTCCCTTCTTCGACTCCGCATACCAAGGGTTCGCCTCCGGCTCGGCCGACGAAGACGCCTGGGCCGTCCGCTACTTCCTCACCGAAAAGCCGCACATGGAGATGTGCGTCGCCCAGAGCTTTTCCAAGAACTTCGGCCTATACGGTCAGCGTGTCGGCGTATTCCACTACGTGCTCAACGAGGGCTCCGAGGACCTCCGCGACGTCGTCGTCAATAACCTCTGCCACTTGATTCGCGGCGAGTACTCAATGGGCCCCACGGCAGGCTGCAACATCGTCAAGAAGGTGCTCACCAGCCCCGAGCTCACGGCCCAATGGCACGAGGAGCTCAAAATCATGAGTTCCCGCATTATCTCCATGCGCAAGGCGCTCTACGATGAGCTCGTTCGACTCGAGACTCCAGGAACCTGGAAACATATTGTCGAACAGGTATACCTACCCCCATTTTCATCCCTTTCCTTGTCTCTGCTTCTTTTGCCTTGCCGAGAGCGATCTCTCTCTCTCTCTCTCTCTCTACCTTGGGTACCTTGCCTGACCTGACTAACCCCAACCAAATAACTAGATCGGTATGTTCTCCTACACCGGCTTAACTCCCGCGCAAGTGTACGCCCTCAAGGACAAATACCACATTTACCTACTCAAATCCGGAAGAGCCTCGATCAGCGGCTGTAAGTCTTCCCCCCCCCCCCCCCCCCTTTTTTCCTCTTTCCTTTTTCGTGTTTCCATATACCATACACCAGATAGGGAAAAAAAAAACAGGGCAGCGAAAAAAAAAAAAAAAAAAAAAAAGGGCGCACAGTCAACTAATTATCGTGATCATCCACAGTGAGCCCAAAGAACGTAACCTACGTAGCTCGAGCAGTTGACGATATTGTGAGAAACACCAACTAAAAGTATAGCCTAGGCAGGCATGGACGGTTGGATATATTTTTATTTCGGTGCTTTATCTTTTACTCTCTCTCTCTCTCTCTCTATATATATATATTCGGTTAGCATAGAATAGACGAGATTCCGTTCATTGTCTCATGTCATGTTTGTGTTGAGCGTGGTGGTGTATTTTATATAGCATTGCATTGCCTTGTCTTGCCTTGCCTTGCTTATAGTCATTGTTAATGGAATCAGGCAGGTCTCCAACATAAATAAATGATTATGCAGTGGTTTGATTCTGTGTTAACTATCATGGGCAGGTGCCTTGGTATATATTACTTGGGTTAGGGTAGGTTTTTGGTATTCCACCCTAATAAATATATATATATATATATGAAAGGAAGATTTACCCTATCATTGATATTAAAGACAACGATCTAACCTATAGTTATACTATACAGAATGATAGTCATAGTGGGGATAGAGGAAAGAAAAATTGGGAAGAATAGTTAAAAGAAAAAAGAAAGAAAATAAAGGGTGAATGAAGAATACATAATGACATGATAAAGAATAGAAGCAATCCAGTTCATTCAACCGAAGCCCCCGACAAGAATCATACTAGGCAAAATATACAGTACTCAAACGCTAGACATTAATTAAAGAGGCACCTCATTAAAATCTGATTCCCCATTATCCTTTGCCTTGCCCTTGTCTACAGGTTCATGCTCAGGCGATTCCTTTTCCTGCTCGTCAGGCAGCTCATGTGTGCTCCCCGAAGCGCTTTCGAATTCGCTCTCTTTCTTCTCTTCGTCGGGCTGGGATGCTGTTTCTGACGTGGACTCCCCGTCTGGCGCAGCGGGACTCTCCGGGGATGTCTCCTTGGCTGAGCTCTCCTCATGCTTCGGAGGCCGGAGAGATGGTGGTGACTCCGCATTCTCTGAAGAGACCCTATCATCCTCTTGCGCCTTGGGTTGGCCGTTCATATCTCCTCCAGGGAAAGGAGTCAACGGAGGTTCGGGGGTATTCTGATCTTTCTCTTCCGCTTTAAGGTGTTTAAAAGCCAAGGACGATTGGGACTGGGGCCGGTGCAGCGTGGAGGTGGCAGAGGACGTGGTGCGCTGGTGCTGTGTTGTTCCGTGGATGGGGCCGAGGTGTCTGGCCTTGGGATCCGCGTTGAGATAGTAGCCTCGAACACTGACGATCGTACCCTCGGCCTCACAGGCATCCACCCATTCGGGCACCACCACGGGGATGTTCATCTCAACCGCTTTTTCCCAGAGTGGACCTCTGCCCTCGGAGCAGACAAAATGCGTTGTGTCGATTCGGACCGAGTCAATCAACTTTCCGCCAATGCGATCCAGCGCAGCAGCCAGGGCTTCCTTTCGCTGGGCATGTAGGACTCCCGTTGTAACGGTGATACCCGACAGGTCTGTCATCTTGTGCGTCCTGCAGGTCAATTTCTCCGACTGATAGGTGCCTGCGGTAGTGCGGAGAACCAGGTGGAATGAGTATTCATTGTGAATGGCCAGACCACTAATCTTGGTGCTACTAGTCTCGAGGGGGCGGGGTATTGAGCCAGCTTTGGAGCCATTGCGGTAAAGGGAAAGGGACTTCAGAGACGCGGTGGCTAGGTCGATGGGGTCCCATTCGAGCACGAGGGAGGTTTGTGTAGCGTTGCGGAGACGAAGCACCGGGGGGGAGGGGGTCTTGATGCCGTAGGTGTTGAGGATGCGTTTCTGGAGGCTCTGGAAGGCGGTTGCGCTGGCCGTTTCTGCGATATGGTTGCGCGATACGGTGATATCAACGATGCTGCCAGAGGTAATATTTTTGGGGAGAAGGACAGAGGGGAATTCGATCTAGGTAGCAGAAAAGCAAGGGTTCAGCAACAGATCTTGAACAACCATCAAGGGGTGGGGAGGGGGGAGCAAAGATGTGATCGTTCATCAGGAAGCCATTATTGCTTCCTGAATACAGAGAACCATAATTGGTCATAATGCATTCATTGCTGTGCTGCAAGACGGGGTGAGCTTACGAGTCGATTATCCTGGGTCAAGAGGACGGCGACCCCAGCATCGACCTTTCCAACGGTCAGGGAGACCAACATATTGACGAATGAGATGATATAGCGGAGCCCCTCTAGATGGTGCGCATCAACAGATGGGAACGAGGACCGGATGAGCTGCCTGCTTCGTTGATGGAGTGGAAAGCTGGCTGTTGTTGTTGTTGTTGTCTCGAGATCGGCAGTTAGCGAACATGCCAAGCTGGAGCAGGAGGAGGAACAAAACAGGCACCGTCTGAACCATCGCGAAATACCAACAAGCATTCGGCATCTACACACTATATACATAACCTGATATCAAGTTGAAGACAGAAGGAAAATTAACTACGGAATTTTCCCATCTTGATCGCCGTCGGAAGGGTTCGGATGCATTCAATTCATGGACGGACTTTATTGAGAATTTCCATGTAGCGCTGCGGCAAATCGCAAGGGGGTGGTTTTGACATCCTGACATTTCATTATCATTATTCTATTGGGTCTGGTCCTCTATTCGATCTGTTAATACAAGGGTATCATCGATAATAATATAGTACAATCTCTCAAAGATCTGACAAGGTCTATTGCGCGACAGCGTCAATCCTAATCCACATTCTCGCTTTCCCCGTCCTTGGGCTTTTCTCGACTTTTACTCTCGTTCTTTCGTGACTGCCATAACTGCTTCTGGTGGTGGATTTGCAGCTCCCGGAACAAGGCGTCCATCAAAGTCTTGACCTCCGCCTGAACTGCGGAATATTTCTCCTCAATACAGGTCGGCTTAATCCAAATGTTGACAGAACCTCTCAGGTTACCACCTATTCCGTCTTCGGGTGGGGATTTGATAGAATTGGGGAGCCTTCTGCCCTCTTCATCAAACCCACGACCTTTCAACTCCCGGATGAAGGCATGTCGGGTTCTTCGAGCGCACCAGGATCGAACCACTCGCTTATGGTCCTGGATGTCCTTGACCGAAACTCTCCACCAGAGGGTATTGGGATCGCGGTTGTCGCATAGGTGCTCAATCTTGGGTCGAATCGGATTCACGGGAGAGGACAGGTACCGCAAAGCGATCGGAGGGGTGACGGCTTTGGGAGAAAAGCGCAAGCTAAACTGCTTCGTTGAGACAAGCACCTTCATCACGCAAGGAAGGTTCAATCACAGGACTGTATGTAGTTCATGGAGGCTTGGAAAGAACGACCGGCATGGACATGTGATGTGACCTTTCTTCGGTAGGTAGTCTTCTTGATCGTCACTAAATCGCCACAAAACCGCCTGGTTATAGGCACAGTAGAGGACCCGCTCTGTAGGGTAAGACCAGAGCTTCTCAAAATCCAGAGAAAGGAAGCAGCGTGGGAAAGAAAGGGTCCTGTAGGATTGAATCGTCGAATCCATTCAAGAAATTCATCGACAAAACGAAGGCGGTGAGGATTCTCGGATTCTATTGGTCAACCCCTGTGGCGACCGTCGTGCAAGCCTAAGGCACCGCTGGCAAGATTCAGGCTGTATTGCTGACATAAGCCGCGAGCCGTAAGGAAAAAATTGAAATCGAAATACCGACATTTAAAAACACACTTTCCTCTCCCCACCTCCACGTCGTTTTGGCGCTGTCCATCGACATCTGTGTCTATCCCTATATTCTCCTCAGTTATTGAACTTGCTGTCCGACTGTCAGGGACCTTTTCAAAATGCCCAAGAATAAGGGAAAGGTATGATTCCAAACTCTTGCCCTCCCCCCTCCCTCAACGATAGACCCCGCCTTTTGCCAGACTTTTCGCTTTGTGCCGCCCAAATTCGCCCCCTTGCTCCTCCCACGATACCTTCAGCACGATCGGTGTTTGTGAAGCCTGTAAGGTGCGAACATCATGCTGGAGGGATTATTTTGGAGCAGACGAACTTGGGTTGCAAAAGCGGTCTAACAAAAGGCGCATCCATCCTTCGCCACTGAGACCACAGGCTGACACAATTATGCGTACAGGGTGGTAAGAACCGTCGTCGTGGAAAGAACGAGAACGACAACGAGAAGCGTGAACTCGTCTTCAAGGAGGAAGGCCAGGAGTATGCTCAGGTCGTGAAGATGCTCGGCAACGGCCGTCTCGAGGCCCTCTGCTTTGACGGCGAGAAGCGACTGGCACACATCCGAGGCAAGCTGAGGAAGAAGGTTTGGATCAACCAGGGCGATATCATCCTTCTCTCGCTTCGTGACTACCAAGACGAAAAGGGTGACGTGATCATGAAGTACACCGCCGACGAGGCGAGAAGTCTCAAGGCCTACGGCGAGCTGCCCGAGCACGCCAAGATCAACGAGACCGATACCTATGGCCACGAAGGATTCGAGGACAATGTCGAATTCGACGAGGATCGCGACAGCGAAGACGAGAAGGAGATCGATGTCGATGAGCTCTAAACCCCACCCCACAACCTCCCATATCTTTGCATTCATACTCCTCCCAAGAGCCACTGGGTTCTTCCCGCCAGCCTCGACGGTTTCTTTGGCCTTTCCTTCTTTTACCGACACCAAGTCTCTTTTGATTTTTACCCCGGAGAGAACCTTTTACGCCAGTAAAAGGCTCTTCTTGGCACTTCGGTTTTCTTTCGATTTTCCCTTTATATTCCCGGGACGGTGACAGGACGGTGAGGATGAGAAATCATGGCTTGCGGCGCCTTCCCCGCTCCGCAGAAGGTCTATCCTTCTCGCTCAGTGCTGCTCCCAAACATTAGGATATGAATCATTGATTTGGGGAATGCCTGAGGCTTACTTCATGATGCAAATAGATTGGGCGAAAAAAAAAACATCCTTTTTTTTTTTTTTTTTCTTTCTATCTATCTACCGCATTTTCCCCATCATGAGGGACGTTCTCAAGGTTTTCACAGAGAATTGGTTGCGACGCGTACGAAAAAAAAAAACCCCTCCAGTTACTTGCTGCCTATTGCGTGTTAGCGATTCTTTTGTCTGGTTCCTCTTTCTACTTTGCTCCTTTTTTTTTCCTCTGAAAAAAAAATCTTGGATGATAGATTTATGAAAGGGTTATGAACATGAAACTTTTCTACGCACATTCCAAACACTACTTACTACTCGTAACTTTAATTTCATAGATACTCTGTAGGATGTATATAACAGACCCTTTCCCAGAGCAGTGAGATAGATTCCGGAGCAAAGATAAAATAATATCCCGCTTAACCTTGATCAAACACACTCTTTCGGAAGAACCCCACGATCTTCCGAGCCGTCTCGATGCCAACAAGCGGATTCAGCTGGTCAATGTCCATATTCGCAAGCTCGGAGATATTCCCAATCTCGCCAATCAGCCGCTGGAGCACCTGAGGCGTCACCCCGGGAACAGCACGTAACATATCCTGCGGCAGGAGATTGAAGACCCTATGCTCGACTCCAGCCGCAGTCATGATATCATCGGCGCCGGCAGACGCGGAGATATCCATATCGAGGCCGATCTGCACCGCGCGCACGGGGTCCGGCTCGGGATTGCTTTTCTTGAGCTCGGCGAAGATCTCGGCGGTTTGGTAGGGAGAGGATGACCAGATGACCTTTAGGCGGGGGAAGGCGAGCGTGAGGAGGACGAGCAGGTGTTGGGCGGATTTGGGGCTAGAGGGGTTCACGAGGGAGCTGCTGGAGGATACGGAGGTAGTGACTGTGCCTGAGGAGGAAAAGCTGTAGTCTGTGAGAAAGGCGGTGCCGGGGGTTGTGGCGGAGGTGAAGGCGTCGAAGGTGAAGGATTTGTGTTCGTCGAATTCGATTAGGAGGAGCGGGGTTTTATAGTGTTGGAGCATGGTCTCTGCTTGGTTGTAGAGACGGCCGTTTCGGAGGGAGGCGATCAAATCTCGCACAGACTTGCGTTCGACACAGATGTCCGGGGTAAGGATATAGTCGCCTACTGTGAGTTGGCAGGGGACGATGATCATGTTGTTCCCGTGTAGGAGGGAGGGGAGAGCACTTCTGAACTCTCGGACGTCTACAACAACTCGAGGGGGTGATGCTGTGGCTGTCAGTCGGCCGCCTCCGGCGATTCGCGTGTTCACTGTTCGAAGGAACTGCTCTTGGGGGTCTTCGAGGCTTCTGTCGTGTGTGATGGTGACGGCCATAGTCTGTGGTGCAGAAAGGGTTAGTGTTTCAAATCAACTCCAAAGGAGGGGGGGGGGGGGGGGGGGGGCTTTTTTACGCTTTTCTCTTTGATGAGCTTGGTAAACGAATCTTTCTCTCGTCGCACTGCACTCAGATAACGTTGCTCCTCTACGGATCCTCCATAATACATAAAGTACACCCGTACATTCCTTCCAATATGAGAGCTGCGGTATACTTCAACTCGCCGAATGAATGCGGAATCGGGTTCGTACATTATGATATACCGTGGCCGTACTTCCTCGAGGATATGCTCATCCATGTCACCATCGTAGGGGTGGACCATCACCAAGTCATCCATATCATATAGCTCGTAAAATTCATCCATATCCTCAAAGTCATCGATAACGATCTCCTCCTTTTGGGTCTCCTCAGCCTCTGTGGGCTGGATCTCGTTCAAAAGACTGGACATCTGATCTGAAGCTTCAACATCCATCTGTACACTGGTATTTGGTGCACGTCCAGGAGTAGGAGTCACAGCGCCCGTACCCCCACCGCGGACCCGGCGCCGTTTGTTAGGAGGTGGTCTGCCTTGTTGGGCTGAAGGTCGGGGTGAATCCTGGCCCTTTGCGGCCAGGGGTTCTCCGTTCGGCGACTTTGTGGATAGATTCTTATTGACGTTGGACAAGGAGCTTTTCCAACCAATATACTCCCTGAGTCGTCTGCGCAGCATCACATTCGCCGAGCGTGCCTTTTCTTGACTAGATTCATCGCTGTCCGCGTTTTCCGGTCTCTCGTTTTCTAATCGGGTGTGCATCGTTCCCAGATACTCGCGAATCTGCCGGCAGACTCGTTGATCGGAGCACATGATCAGTACCGTACTGTTTGACTCATCTGCACTGACAGGGTTGAAATATGCATCCGTTTCAATTTCCTCAAGTATATCGGCCAAAACATCCCATTTCGGTTGTTCCTCCAGTACAGGCCGAAGAGTGGTAGGCAATGAGGTCAAGGATGAGCGAGCCAAATCATTGGTTATTTTCCCTTCATACACTCTCGACTTTGCAGTCTGAAAGAGGACATGAGCCGCATCTAAGAAAAGCCATGGCGAATAGTTATGCCTCGTAGACCCAGGGGGTGGGGAGTTTGCAGTGACTATAGTATCAAGATATTTGACGAAGGAGACAGCGTCGTAAGTAAGTAGGGCACTGATGATTATTGGTAAGGGAAACTCAGAAGGTTTAGAGGGTTGGGCTTCAACATACTGCAAAATCGCCCTAAGATCACTGAGGTCGCTGACAATTTGCCTAGTCCTGAAACTTACACGATGCCACATTGGATCAAGTTGGCGCCTGATCGCAATGTCAAAGCTCCTGTGCAACGCACTGTCCAGAGTCCAATCTGTCATATCCAGGCCTGTGTTGGCCTTCTTGAGCTCTCCGATACAGAGCTCCACACACTCGAGTACAGCGTTTTGTATTTCACGCATCTTGTCACTCATAGGAATCTCCAGCTCAATGACTTCCGCTTTCCTATGGCCTTCTAGGGCTTCGGCAACGGTAACGTGAAATCGTGGCCATAACGATGCTTTCCGCAGGAACAAGTTCCTTAGCGAAGTAGCCAAGGGAGCAAAGCCTGTAGCGAATGGCTCTGGAGAATCCGAAAAGGCCTTTAAGAAGCCATTTTTGTTGGCATGTCGATAAATCCGAATAATGAATGCTTCGGTTGAGGTCGTAACAATCCTATCCTATCTCAGTCAAGTCTAATATTCAAGCTAGTGGTTGGATCTTACCTGTCGGCATGGAGTACAACCAGTCCAGTAATCTTTTCAGGATCGAGCAGCTCTGATGTCAAAATTAGTAACCCGAGACCGAACGTCAATAGTCAAAATTCAGTACTTGACAGCAAGTCCACCACGAGTATTCGAGACGTGACGCTCAGGATGCCACCTTCGGCATATATTTTCTCTCTGGATCTTGATTAATTCCTAAATTGCTTTGTGGCTCAGGGAATCTCGCACCTCACTGGCACCGTGGCCCTCTCAGTGTTAATGACCTTGAGTCCCCGGGCAAGGGGAGACTTGCTGATAGCATAATGCTCCGCCAGTGCTGTCACGGTGTCAGCAGTACTCTCCCTCCGAGGTCTTCCCGCATACCTTCCCCGATCCATTCGTTTTCCCGGTCATTGGCCCCGACTAGTAAAACTAGATTATTTCCAGCAGCATCGTAAAAGTGCAGTAGGTTCGTTATCAAACGGAGGAGCCCAAGGCCGCGGGCAAGGATGACCAACTCATCCTCTGAGCGGAGTTCGGTGAAGATGTCCTGCTGGTATTGCTACCGCCTATGTTAGCGTTGGGGAAGTATCACTCCGGTAACAGGATCATGGAGCTTACCAAAGGCAGGGACAGCTTCACCGGTGCATTTGGGCGTTCAGGCGGCATGGGGAGCCTCTCTATACACGAGGGTAGTTTCTGTCGCGATGCGAGAAGCAAAGAGGACACGCGATCACGTGGTATGATGCAAGCCTCTATGTATAGATCAGATTTCTCTTGAAGAAGATCGTAAAAGTACAAATTATGCACCCCCGTCAACACTATTTCTACATCTATTCGTAAATAATAAGCTCGACAGTGATTGTACCAACAAAATTTGAAAGCCGTTCCTAAAAAAAAAAAAAAAAAGGTATGCTAACTTGTAAACCCCAGACGTTAACAAGGTCAGCGCTCAACACTTAGGAATGAGATGACTTTTAAAAGAATTCCAATGTTATCACTGTCCAGCAAAGCCCTATTTTATTTGTTCAACTCCTTCATGCGTGCCTCGATCTCTTCGCGGGATGCCTTTGGGGGCATGTCTATCAAGTCTAGTTAGCAGTTTAATGTGCTCCTAAGCCCCGGGGCGTGGCAAGGCCTTCTTCTCACTGTCAGGAATCTGAGGGCCCTTTCGGATATGATCAAAGATGCTAGGTTTCTGGGAGTTCGGATCGTGAGTGCTCGAGGAATTCCCGCTACCTCCTTGCTGCGGATGAGGGTCTGAATCGGACGGAATAATCGGCATCCTGATTTTGAGGGATCGTTGATATTCACAGACTCCAGTTATTGTAATATCCTGCACTTTTCTGATTCGGAATGGCATCAAGTGGGCGTTTAGGAGGATGTATGTAGAATGGGCAGGACGAAAGGACGAAAGCCGGGTTTATTATACAATAAGGAGAGTGAGAAGATGACGTCATTTAACTGGGCTCGTGTGGGAAAGAATTTAGGTGTGTAAAAAAATATAAATAAATAAATAAAATAAAAATAAAACTTGGAGGTTACAGAGAAATCAAGAGCAATCAAGAGAAATCAAGTGTTATTCTTCATTCACTTTCAGGGATTCTCCAGGTGTTATTCGTACATAGTTAGATTGAAGCTTTAGGTTGTCCTTGCCACATATGTACCGTACATACTCTGTATAGAACTTCTCAGCCCTTTATAGGTATTAATGAGATACTTAGTATTCATTATAGTAATATTGGAGCTAGTAGACACTATGTTTTCTATCTAAATTCTCTCCTGATCGAAAGAATGGTAAGGTGCCCTCGGCTGACTTCATGATATACTTCGAGTGGTGCCTGAGGAATCAGGGTGTATGTATATATATAGGTAGCTATACAGAAATTCTGCTACCTAACCACCAAGTTATAGATCAAAGATGTAGATGGAGAGTTTTCCAATAAAACATATCTTGGAGGACCTAACTTTCTCCTCACTAATGGGGATAGGCTGGTAATTAATGGTTAATTCCCCACTCCAGCGGCGGTGCCTGCCACTCTGCCACTCCGCTCTCACCATCGACTCTCTCTTCCCTTTCTCTCTCCTCTTTTCTCCTCTCCACACCCCCATTTTCTCCCTCATACTCTTTGTCCCTTCCCCTGCCCCTATATTCGACTCTCAATTCGGCAGCTCTCTCCTCTACTAAACAACCGGTATCCGTCCCCCCTCGGTTTCCTACCAAGAATCGTTTCCGTCGCCCGCTGACACGATCAGCTACCGTTGTCCACTTAGGGAACAAGCGCTTCTAAATCCTTCTTGCGACAGCCTCCTGCAATGCGTTCACGATATTCTACCTAAGAGTCGCTATTCTATTCATTACCTGATTTTTCTTTTTTCTTTTTTCTTCTACAGTTACTTGCTGGAACCCCCGGACTCCCGGTTAACTCGATAATGCCCTCTATTCTCAGTGAGGCCGACAAGGAGACGGTCAAGCGAAATGTCCCGAAGCCGGCAAATAAAATCCACGCGGTAGCGGTTGCACGCCTTTATGTGGCCTATCCAGATCCGCACCGATGGACATATACCGGTTTACAGGGCGCCGTCGTGTTGGCGAATGACTTGGTCGGGCGCACCTTTTGGTTGAAATTGGTGGATGTATCGGTGAGTGTTGAAAAGGGTTGCTATCAATAGATCCAGATGGCTAACGGCATAATAATCTTCGGCTTGGAATCACAGCCTGCCGGAAGGGGTGTTATATGGGACCAAGAAATCTACGAAAACTTCCAATACAACCAGGATCGAACGTTCTTCCACACCTTCGAGCTTGAAGATTGCCCCGCCGGTCTATCATTCGTCGACGAGAAGGAGGCAAAGACGTTCATTAAGAAGATGGCAGATCGGGAAAAGACCGCGAGCAAAGAGACAAAGCAAACTCCATTTGCATCGGCTCGAGGACAAGGTCCTACACCGGTGGTCAACGGAAAGTCCAGCGGAACAGGTCGTTCGCTCTTTGGCAGCCTATTGGGGCACCGGTCAGCTTCTGGGTCGAGTGCACCAGCTCCAATCCCTTATGATCTCCCCCCTGCGCCTTCAGTCCAGGTTGTTCCCCCACCACGCAAGGAGCTGCCTTTCGACACTAGTGACCCCGCAATGAAAGGTGTTCTTGACGAGCTTCTGCAGATGGGCTTCACGGAGGACATGCTGGCGGAAAACTCCGACTTTATCAAGACCTATATTCAACAAAAGCAGGCTAACGAGCTGGGATCCGCGACACCGCCTGCTGACGACCAGAGAAAAGTAAAGGCTCCCCCTCCACCCCCTCCGTCTGCGCCCCCGGCTCCCAAGGCAGGCCCTATCAGTCCTCAGAACACCGGCAACAGTGCAGGCAGCCGACGCGGTGCTCCGCCACCACCACCTCCTTCGCGCAAGACCCAGTCAAAGGCAGAAGAAGAGCCAGCTCCTCCACCACGGGAACCATCACCACCACGGCTAAGATTCCGTGCGCCGCCCCCGATCGCTGATGCTGGTAAATTCGCCCATACCGTCGGCCCCCCTCCTCCTGCCCGCGCGCGAGCGATGTCAAGTGCCAACCCTGGACCACCCCCCCCTCCACGACCACCAAAAGCTCCCGTGGATGAAACTCCAACCCGTTTTGGGGTTCCGCCGCCATTCCAAGGAGAGCGGAAGGTTTCAGCCCCACCGGCGCCGCCAAGTCGCGGTCTGTTGCCTTCAGGACCCCCGCCGCCGCCTCCACGAACAACTAGCCCCGCATTGCCGCCCCAACTCCCCCCCAAAATCCCCAATACTACCGCTTCAGCGCCAGGCCCTCCCCCTCCTCCACCAAGAAGCCCAGCCTCACAGCCTCCCCCTCCGCCTCCGCCAGTACCTGGTGCATCCCGGCCTATTCCCCCCCCTCCTGCGGCGAGCGCTGCACCCCCACCCCCCCCTCCTCCTCCCCCCCTCCTTCTGCGAGCATTCCTCCCCCGCCTCCTCCTTTTGCGCATGCTCCCCCGCGTCCATCTGCAAGCGTTCCACCCCCTCCACCACCACCACCGCCACCCCCATCGAGCTCCGGTCCGCCTCCTCCTCCGCCTCCACCACCTCCAGCACCAGGCGCATCGGCCCCGCCACCGCCGCCGCCGCCACCGCCGCCGCCGCCCCCGGGAGCAGGTGCACCCCCACCTCCACCCCCCCCCGGTGGTGCAGCCCCAGCATTGCCGCAACCTAGTGGTGGTAGGAACGACCTTATGGCTGCCATTCGAGCATCTAGAGGTCAAGGAGGCGGAGGGTTGCGAAAGGTCAAGGATTCCGAGAAAAGAGACCGCAGCGGAGCAGTTGTTCCGGGAGGCGCCAATGAATCGGCTGCGACACCGAGCGCAGGGGCTGGTCCGCAAGGCGGCTTGGCAGGAGCCTTGCAAGACGCTCTGGCAAAGAGAAAGCAGAAGGTCAGCGGTAGCGGTAAGTGTTTAATTCCTTTCACAATCTATTGCGAATGTGAGTCACGTATCTAACTGGTTCCATAGACGACGAAAGAGATGACGATGATGATTGGTGAGCAACTGATAGCCGGATGCCTCTTCGACGTTCTCCTTCCGATGCCACCATGTGCTAGACTTCTTTGGGCTTTGATACCTTGCTGCCGTCTTTTCTTCCGTTACCTTTTTGGCTCATTTTGCTGTTCATCAGGCGTGAGCTATTGGGAGGCGTTTTGTCAATTTTAGAATTTTGTTTTTGCAGGCGCCGAAAATTCGTTTTTATTGTCTTCTTTTGACTCTCAGTTCTATACTCACTGTTGACTTGTGAGGTTATGTTAATTTGACCCAACCACACCCTTCCGGATTGGATAGACAAGAGTGAATTCAATTATATGTGCATTCATACTCCGTAAGAAGAGCCTTTTAGTATTGCTTCGCCCGTAAACAACACCGGGGAAAGAGGAGAGCCGGAAGATTGTTGATCCGACCGTTGCTGTTTGTATGCGGGAAAAACTGACGACCAAAAGTCATCCAGAAGCACAACTCCAAGGACAGAGGCGAAAAGGAGTGTAAACAAGAGCGTGAGAAAAGAAAGATAGAGGCAGCAGCGTCTCTGTCCAGCTGCTTGCCAGAGCCATACCGAAATGCTCTCAACTTCTCCATGGAAACCCTCCGCTCCGTCAGCGTCACTCCTCCGTTTCCTGCGCGCTCAATCTGAGTCGGCCCTGTTTTTCACAGCAAACCACCCGTCAGGATGCCGCCATGCATCTTCGAAGGCTCCGACTCGTCCTCGATCTAGTTTCTTCTCATCGAATGATCCGTTGGGCTGGACAAGCCCTGATCCCCTACCATGCAGAGCAACCCTAGAGGCGGGCTTCTTTCCTACCCCCAACTTTGGATCTCGAAACCGCATCGCTTCCCGATCCCGAACGAATCTAGGCTCATCCACCCCTACCAATGCGTTCCATCCTTTCTCGAGATCGGCACCCTTGCGAGCGGCGTCTACTAAGAGCCGTTCCTTCTTTCGCAAGCTTTGGGATTTCAGACGTGACAAGGCGGTCACTGATGCGAAGCTGAATCCTATGGGTGGACCGGCGATTTTTGACGACGGGGTGGACGGAAGTTTAAGTGTTGCACGAGCGCTGGCAGCCAAGGCCTCAAATGAACTGCGTCTTCGATGCACGGAGTTTGATCTTAACGGGAATGTGACCCTGATGAACGGAGATTTTAAGAAGAGCGAATTGATCGCCAAGGTGAGTATAGAAATACCTGCGTGATAAGGCCGCCAATGAATTAGACAGCGAACTAAGTGGTACATATAGTATGGTCTTCTGCCGCGCGATCTTCGCAAAATCGATTCCTCGACATTGCCTCACATCTTTGTGCGTCCGAGCACCATCCTTATCAACCTTCTCCATCTTCGCGTCCTTATCAAAGCGGATCGCGTCCTGGTCTTTGATGCGTACGGATCAACCGATTCTTATATGCAGTCATTATTTGTGTATGATTTGGAAGGAAAGCTACGACAGAAGCAGCCCCAGGGCGCAGGTGCCTTGCCTTATGAGTTCCGGGCTCTAGAAGCCGTCATGATTAGCGTCACCACCGGCCTGGAAGAGGAATTCAATGGTGTTCGAGAGCCAGTTGTGCGTGTTCTCCGAGCCCTAGAAGAAGATATTGATCGGGACAAACTGCGACACCTCCTCATTTACTCCAAGAAGCTAGGCACCTTCGAACAAAAGGCGCGACTGGTTCGAGACGCAATCGACGACCTACTAGACGCTGACGATGACCTTGCTGCCATGTACCTGAGCGAGCGAGCGAAGGGTGTCCAGCGAGAGGAGCAGGACCACCAGGAAGTTGAAATGCTTCTAGAATCATATCACAAAGTGTGCGATGAAATTGTACAATCTAGTGGCAACCTGGTGACTAGTATCCGCAACACAGAGGAAGTGTGAGTCCAAGATCCCCCCTCTCGCCTGGAGGAATAGAGCCGACAACCGTTACTAATTTTGAAACAGAGTCAAAGCTATTCTCGACGCTAACCGCAACTCTCTCATGCTCCTCGATTTGAAATTCAGCATCGGCACCCTCGGGCTCGCAACAGGAACATTATTCTCCGCCCTTTACGGCATGAACTTGAAAAACTTTATCGAGGAATCCGATCTCGGCTTTGGGGCCGTCTCAGTCACCTGCTTTGCCATCACCGCGATCGTCTGCGTCTACGGACTCGCAAAGCTACGTAAGCTGCAACGCGTCCGGATGTGGGGTGAGGCTGGCGTTGGCGGCACCCCCATCGTCCCTCTCCACTCTAGAAGCGCCGCACTTACGGGCCGAGCAAATTGGCGAGCCGATTCGATCGAGCCGGTCTGGAGCAGTCTTCCCGGTGAAGGCCGCGCGGAGCGCATGAAACGTCTCAGGGACGGGGCGGCCGCAGCTGCAGCTCGGTCTGCTGCGTCGGACGCGGCTCGGTCTGCGGCTTCCACCGCGGCGTCGCAGAGAGCTGCTTCGCTGAAGCAGGTCCTGAATTTCCCCTCTGCAGCTGGGTCCGGTTCGCCAAAGAGTGGCGCACCGGGAACGCAAGAGGCCGATATACAAGGCAATTCCTCCACATAAATCTCAATGCCCAACCATCTCCCTTTCTCTTCCGTGTTATGCTCATGTTCATGACATACACACATATCGCTAACTGTATGCATTATCGATTTCCACATTGAGGTTTTAATTCATCCAAGACAGGAAGGAGTCTGGGTTTGTTTTGTGCTGCTTATCGAATGACTGATACCTACCAGTCCACCTACTAGTAGGCTGTATGAGTGACTGGTGCATCTCTCTCTCTACTCATGTACTAATTTTTTTTTTCTCGACTTCGCTTGTTCCGGATTGGATCTTGGATTTTTTTTTTTTTTTTTTTTTTTTGCCCTAAATAGATTTTATACCTCGGATTTAGATATATATGGCTAGAACATCGGTAGCCAACACCCCAATCAATGTACATGATATGACACTGACTTCATTGGCTGATACCATACATACCTCCTAAGTCGTAACTCATGTGCTATATATGTATGTATGCGGTATATACAAACCCAATCAAGGATCTAATCTAATATCTATCTATCTATCTACAACATCCCTCGGATTAGTTAGTTCTCGTCGGATCCTCAATACGCCCAGATCCCATCAAGCAGATGAACGAACCCCCTAATCAACCACCATGCTGACTTGACTTGCACCGCCCCTGAACGAAATGCAACTTCTTCGCCCCTTCAATCCAAGTCTTCGCTGCAACGTATACCCCTCCTTCACGCGCACACTCTTTCCTCACAACCTCTAGAGCTTTATGATCGTACCCTCCACCAGCACCTGCACCTGCACCTGCACTCGCATTCCCTACTGATCCCGATAAAGAAAGGCCAGATTCTGACGAAGCTAGTGCCCTCCACTCCCTTCCTGCCCGCACCCTCCCACCGATAACTCCCATGTTCCTCGTGCTTGGGATCCTCAAGATCGTCTTCTCAACCGCGTACCCGACGTCCTCGGCAACCGCAACAGTCTTGGCCGTTAGCGAGCCGTAGGTGGATTTCAGGAATGCTGCCGATGGATGATGGTTGGGGTCTGCGGCGTCTTGTTTGGATTTGCGGAGGTCCCTGAGGGAGCCGGATTTGGGCTGTTCGAGTGCGTGGCCGGGGCCGGGGCCGTCGTCGTTGTCTTGTTCTTGGTTGTGGGTGGACGGGGGCGGTGGGTAGCGGTGTCTTGCGCCGGAGAGGGAATGCGAGCAGCATGGGATAGCGAGGAAGGGCGAGGGCGAGGCTGGGTTCAGGAGAGTGGCCATTATCGGGGTCCAGATTGTGAGTTCGTCTGCGTGGTTGGAGATGATGAAGGTGTGTTTTGGGAAGGTGCCCGTGTGGGTTTTCACGCCGGGGATTAGGTCGTTCTTGGGATCTTGTTTCTTTTTCTTCTCCTTGTCGTCGTCGTCAGAGGGGCGGGTAGGAGGGGATGAAGGAGGAGGAGGAGGAGGAGGGGAGAGTTCATCTGCAAAGGGTTTCGGGATGTAGATTTCCTCTTTCAGACGGTCTTGTACAGACTTGGGGAATATAGTCCAGGTTTTCCTCCGCCGGGCGTCGAAGCCCCAGCCTTGGTATCCTTCTTGAATGAGAAGGTAGACGAGCACGCCGTTTCCACATGCGACGTCGACGAAGCCGGGGAAGGGTTCTGATGGATGTTTTCTTTCCGTGCTGTTATTTGGTCGGGTTTGGGACTGCTCGTCTGAAGGAACACATCCATACATGTTCCTCCAGAGTTCAATGAGAAACGCAGCCACAGCTATATCTTCAAAAACATGCTTCTTTGGCTCGGTCGCCTCAACCCAGCGGCCACAGAGGTCCGCGCTGTATTTGGCCTTGAGTCGACTGTATGTATTCTGGACGAGATGCTGCGGAAGCACATTATCCTTGGTCGGATTGTGGTTTGCTGATTCCAGAGTCTCGGTTAGACGAGCGCCCTGTGCAAGTCGAATCTGCACCTCGATGATGTTGTTTAGGGTCCGTTCGAGGCGAGTGGGGATTGGTTCGTCTGGGTAGGGGATAAAATGGACGGACAATACACCAGTGCCAGTTCCAGTTCCAATTGCAGCTGCGCCGCCGCCTGCAGTCTCAGGCGTAGTTTCGGCTCCCGGGTCGGGTTTAGACACCGTCGTCTCTATAAAACTAGTATCATAATCATACAGCATAGCCAAAGACCGAACAACCGGGTGGTAATACGGCATATCCTCCTTCGAGGCAACATGGGCCGTATACACAACTAGGAACCGTCTCATCGTCGACGACCCATCAGTCGATGCAGCAGCAGCATCCTCCTCCTTATAAAAATGACATGTTTGATCCAGTGACTGATCCAGTTGTGGATTCCTAGGAATCAACCTCCTCACCACCGTCCGGGTCAAAACAAAGCCATTGACCTCCCGAGCAGGCAACGGATCCACGGGCTCTTCGCTATCATTCCCGCTCTCACACTCACTTCCGTCCTCGACAGATAGCCCTCCCGAGTCTCTCTCCTGCTCCTTGGGCGTGCTCAACCCCGCCTCACTATCAAAGAGAATATCAGCCCGAAACAGCACACTCGAAGACTTGTTGACGTTAGTCAGCAGATACAGTGTCGTCTGCTGGAACACCTCTGGAATGAAATGGAGCCCAGTTTCCGTTAAATCGTTCGAGGTCACCCACTGCTCTTCTGCAGTGGTGTTCTCCGCACTCAGAACCAAGGACGGCTCTAGGGTTTCAGATAATGCCTTGCCAGACAGCTTGGTCACATCTCTTCGGGGTCTTTTGGCGTGTCTGCCCATTTCCCTTTTTTTTGCCTTTACTGGCCCAGTATCTCGCCCTTGGGGAGCGAGTATAGATGAGTGAATGAATATTCGGTCATGGTTTCGTGGGAGGAACCTAATGCTGAGTCATCTGAGGGTAAATGCTGACTTGCAACCACTGTGTGCATGCATCTTGCAGCCTTGCGATTAAGGCAATTCACTCGATCTACGCTCGTTCTTTTCTCAGTGTTGAGATTGTAGAAACCCTTTAGAATATAACTACGAAAGAGAGAGAAACAGGGAGATAGGCGAGGAAGCTTCAAGTAAATAAAAGCAATTCTTGCAAGTATAGTCTACGGAGTACATACTTGGTTGGTTAGGTTGGGATCCTCCGAACTGCTTTTCGCATGACGCAAACCCCCCCCCCCCCCACCATTTAACCTTCGTCCGTCCGACAACCTTCCGGACAACAGTCAACCGGGGAAACTATTTAAAACCGGAAGGAAGAAAGGGAAGAAAGGGAAGAAAACAAAAGAACCATCCCCCCAAAATAACAATTCTATACTCGATCATGACACCCCGCTGTTTTATTGTCCGCCACGGCGAGACCGAATGGTCCCTCAATGGCCGACACACCGGAACAACGGATCTACCGCTAACACCAAATGGTGAGAAGCGTATCAAGGCTACAGGCAAGGCTCTCGTTGGGAATGACCGCCTTATTGCACCGAAGAAGCTAGTTCATGTGTATGTGGAACCCTTATTATATATCTTTTAACATTTCCTTTTTTTGCTTTGTATTGCGACTGACGCGCGATCTTCTATTAGCTATGTCTCTCCCCGCGCCCGCGCTCAACGAACCCTGGAGCTCCTCGAGATCGGCTGCAAAGAACGGCTTCCCTGGGCGGGGAGGAGAAAGTCAGAAGATGAGGAGCCCATTCGAACGGAAGCGAAGGTCGAAGTCACAGATGCAATCCGGGAGTGGGACTATGGTGACTACGAAGGATTGACCAGCAAGCAGATCAGGCAGATGAGAGCGGAGCAGGGCCAGGGATCATGGGATATTTGGCGGGATGGCTGTCCCGGCGGAGAGTAAGAACTGCATTCTCCTTCTCTTTCCCTTTCAATAACGGCACTCATGCAATTTGTCCAAAAAGATCCCCGGAAGACATCATCAAGCGCCTGGACGCCTTGATCGCCGATATCAGGGCGAAATACCACCAACCGTGTTTGGACAGCTCGTCGGAAGCCTCAGGCAAGGGCGATGTCCTCATCGTCGCGCACGGGCACATTCTGCGCGCGTTCGCCATGCGCTGGACGGGAAAGTCTTTAACAGAAACCACACTGATCCTCGAAGCGGGCGGAGTCGGCACCTTAAGGTAGGACAGGACAGGACCTTCATCGCCAATTCCCATGGCCAGGAGTAGAGCTGACAGCCACAGTTACGAGCACCAGAACATCGAAGAACCAGCGATTATTCTCGGAGGAGCTTTCGTCGTGGATAGCTAGGGTTGGAGTAGAGTTAGTTCACACACACACATAGAACTCTATAAAGTAAACCAAATCCAAAAAAAAAAAAAAAAAAACAAAAAAAAAAAAATAGAAAACCTACCTCGTAATATTCCGGGGGGGACACCATTATTTCTCCTCCTCCTCTTCCTCCCCATCTTCCTCATCTTCCCTCTCCCTTTCCCTCTCCTTCCCCTTCCCCTTCACCCCCTCCTCCCCCAAAACCTTCGCAGACCCCATAAACAACGCGCCAACATACCCGCCCAGAAACCTCATATCCTCCGCCTGCACAGCCGTCATCCGGAGCAAGTTCTCCGTGTCGGCGAGATGCGCATTCAGCACCGCGAGCTGCGAGTGTAAATGGGCGTATTGTCTTGTTTTGGTAGCGGACATGGATGAGGCATTCGCGTTGCTGAAGCTGCTGCTGCTGCTGTTCATGTTCGGGTTCAGTGATGATGATGATGACGACGAGGAGGGAAGAATAGAGTGGCGAGGGAAGGATTGAGAGGTTGTATGCTGGTGGTGGTGGTGGTGGTGGTGGTGGTGGTGGGAGGGTGGCATTGTGGATTGTTTTGTTGTACTGCTGCTCTCTTCAGGATGATACTCGGTAGTTGGTAGTTGTAGAGGTAGTTGTAGGTGTAGTTCTACTCTTCCAAAACTGCACTCTTTCCTTGCGCGTGGGTCAGGTGATTTACTTGTCTTGACTAGGTAAGTTCTTCCATAGCATTAACTAACAAAACTGACTAGTTGGCGGTGATTGTAAATAACTCACTATTGCTTTCAAGTGGCTGTTCTGTTGAAGACCCGTTTGAAAAACTCATGTATTTATTAGGGTGCAGAATACTACATTATCTGCAAAGCTGCAAATCTACAACCAACCTTATAGCCTTGTCAGAAGAATCACCCAAAAGCATTCGATGGTTTGTCCAGGGCGGGAACTAGTGAACCATAGCAGGACCGCGCTTCACTCATTAGAATAAGCTATAAGAACAGGAAAATCCAGCCAATTAAAGTCACTCAATGATCAATCAACCGAATAAATCAAGAACCCATTGCTCTTTTTGATGCGCCGCAAACCAGACCATGAAGGAAATGACAAGATAATTGAATGGCTCTTAACAAGCCTGTATAAAACAGCACGGGGAAAACAGTATTAGCATGAATAGAAGAATTAAGAAGCAAAGAAAGAAATCGAGGGACAGGAAAGATGGGAATTGTCATGACAAAATACCGGCATGAAATGTGGTGCAGACCGAGGTAGTGTACCGCAATCTGCCATGCAAGGATATGATTCACGGCTGTATTTAGAAATGAAACGTTTGGTATAATTGGAACGAGCCAACAAAAAGACACGCCTGTTCCAGCTGAGCTTCTTTGCTCCGTGTTCATGAGAATAAAAAAAAAAAAAAAAAAAAAAAGTCGCAGGAATGAAAGACAAATAACCACATGCAATATGAACACCCACAGCCCACACATACGCCCAACCACTTTAAAAGACAACGAGAAGGGGGGAAGGAAAAGAAAAGCAGGAAAAAAAAAAAAACATGTCCCTTATGTCCCTAGTGTATATGTAGAGAACAGAAACGTAGTACGGCAGGGAGTCGGCTCTGATTCTCCTTGCCAGGCATCTCATTAGAAAGGTATTCTTTATAACAAGTAAACAGCGCTGCAAAAGGGATTTTCCGGCCTAGGAAATAAGGAAATGAATGCTAAACCAGACGTGTACATAAGGAAAAGGTTCTCGAAGATATATCGCGCGAATGCTGTGAAGGGGAGGGAAGGGGGAGGAGGAGGAAGGGACGACGTGGCACGGGTGGACGTCGTGATTTAACGGACAGGAGCCGCCGTTTGTTGGCGGCCCAGGCTGATTTGACTGCTATGGGCCGAGTTCTCGGAATCAAGGTTGGCACTGGCTCCGCTATCACCACTCCCCGCGCTGGCGCTCGCACTTCCGGTCAGACTTCTATGTTTTGGAGGACCCTTGTCGGAATACGGGTTGCTCACCCCATAATGCTGCTCCACTTGCTGCGGACCTACCGCATTCCCTTGTCCCGGCGGGTACCTAGGCACAGGCGCTCGCATGGCCCCTGGAGGCGACGGGTGGCCGCCATTCATCCCATTCATCCCATTCATCGGACCATTTGGTGGAGCCAGACCGGGGTCTTGGGCAGTGGCCGGCCGGCCCATTCGAGGGCCTGGAGGGCCGCCATATGGCGTCCCCGGAGATTGGCTATTTCTTCTACTCCCGGGGAACCCAGGATGTGGGAAGTCGCCCATTCGACTCGCCGTCAGAGAATTGGCACGAGAACCGGCTTGCATCTGATTTCTGTCGACGGCTCCATATCGGTTGGAAGAGTACGCCATCATGGGGTTATCCATGAGTGAGTCATGAAGACCGGGGATTTCTTGCATGATACGATCACTGGCGCGTTTCCGCCCTCCTCCAAAGTAGCGACTGAATGAAGACCCCGGTCGGCCACCGTTCACATTAATTTCTGGATTTTTGCGGATTTGACTCGCAGAGGGAGCTTTCTTGGCTCTGCGGGAAGTTATACTCATCATATCCACGCTATCAGGGTCAACATGCGGAATTGGCAGACTATCCATTGGATCAAAGTAGTCATCCTCATCCTCTTCATCAAACGCCGCTCGTGGGGGGGGCGCTCTCCGTGGGCCTCCTCGCCTCATACCCATTTCCTGCTCCCGAACCATCAGCTCTCGCTGCCGGAGCGCTAGCTCCCGCTCTCTCAAGGCTAATTCCGCAGAAGACGAGGGAGGGCCAGCGGGCCTATCATGGTAACCGTTGGCTCCAGGGTGCGGGGGCATTCCACCCTCGCCAGCATCGTCATATAGAACCAAGTGGCTGAACTCCTCTAGGCCTTCTAATGAAGGCTCACGAGGAATACGACCGGGTCCAGGGGCGGGAGGCTGAGCGCTTGGAGGTCTAGGCATTCCCTGCATAGGTGGCCCGCGGCGTGGGGGCATCATTCCTGAGCCCATCCGGCTAGGGGAGGGGCGCATCGGGCCGTTGGCCATACCTCTTTGAGGAGGCACAGAAGATACTCGTGGAGGGGGTTGAGCTAGCAAAGGTGGTGGCGAATCGCCGGCTCGGGGTCGGTTGAGATTTGTGGTATTGATATGATGCAGCATTGCATAGAGGGTTTCAATGCGGGGAATTTTGATGCCGAGATCGGTAGCCAGTTTGATAGGAGAGCCGAGGTAGGTCTCGATCTCCATCGGACGTCGAGCTTGAAAATCTTGGTACATTGTACTGGGTGCTTCGGTATTGGTCATCTTTTCAATGGTTTTTTGGCTGAAATCAGAGGGGAAAGAGCAGCCCGAAGCCTTCGCAAGGTCGAGTAGTTCGTCGAGGACATCTGTCACCAAGTGGCGGACTCCTACTTTTTCCAAGAGTTGTTTGTGATTCGCAGTCTCAAACACGACACTGGCTGGATAGAATGCAATAGGTCTGCGAGAGAGAGAGAGAGAGAAAAGGAAAGAGGAGAAAGTTAGTGAACTAGTCTCGATGTTTTTTTTTTTTTTTTCCAAAAGTTTCCAGTTTAGCTGCTTACCCGATCATCCGTTCGAATTGCTCCTGTCGGATATTCTTCGATACTTTGCAATCAACCTGTCCCGAGGCCAAAGTCATCGCCAATGCGGAGGCCATGTCGTCCTGGATCTCAGCAGGAATGCTAGAATTGCTACTTGTTGACCCGACCCAGAGATCTGAAGAGTTGAGGTGCTCAAACTCGCTGGCCCCAGTCTGAGTGATTTCCACGCCCGAAACAAGCGACAGGACAACATTTGTGGGGAACCGTTGCTCCAAGTGAGACTCAACGCCGAGGGTATTTGACGTATTGACCAAAATACAAGTATGTTGAGGGGTAACGACGGATTCGATTACTGCAGCTAAATCGTAGACATCGGGGAGTGCTTTGATACACAGGATGACATAGTCGTAGGCGTTTTCGCGCGAGGCAGCTTCTTCTGGGGTACGAACGACTGCAAACGAGGGGAATTAGTAAGCCAACTCATGAACAGTTTCAAGAAATCTCAGATCCAAAAAAAAAAAACTTACCATGGCGAGGCTTGAATCGTTCATTTCCAAACGATTTCGACCTGAATCACAATCTGTTAGAGATCCATGCATTTGAAACAGAGCCCAGGGCGGACGTACTTAAAGGATACACCATATTGAGATACCGACTCAAAGCCCGATTTCCAAACTAGTGTGACGTCGCAGGATGTGGTGGCCTGAAGTCTCCAGGAAAGGAATGCAGAGATAGCATTGCTGCCGACTATACAGATTCTTCGAGTTAGAAAACGGACGACCATTCTCGGAGCTTCCGGGTTTGCGGGAGAGAGGTCTGACGGGTTGATTGCAAGGTGGAAGAGGGAGGGGAGAGTCGTAGGAATCGGGGCAGAGGGAATACCAACCTGATAAAATGCGCAAGCGCGGCGGAGGAGCCATGGTCAAGAATCAAAAATGGAAGGAAGCTGTTCCCGCCAGGCGGAAGCCGAGAAAACGCAACAGACCAGGTTGACAACGAAAGATGATAGTAGTCGGACACACAATTCAAGGCACGATTAACGCTGCCTACCACAGAACGAAGGAACGCGATGAGCTGATCAAAGCCAGGGTGATTCCAGTGCAGGATTAAAAAAACGTAAACTAGTGAGACAGAAAGAGAAGAGAGAGAGAAGGAAAAAAAAAAAAAAAAAAAAAGGCAAGACCAAGCTAACGAAGGTACGGGGAATCACGTAGGGAAAGAGAGAGGATATGAAAAGAACAATAGCACAGGGGCGATGAAGAAAGGGACGAAACGAAAGGAGGAGGGAGAGAAAGGCTGTGAGGAAAGGAGAGGATGACAGATAGATGAAAGGGGAGGATGGGATGAAGGCGTAAGAGGGATTGATGGATGAGTTCAGTAACTAGTAGTCGAGAGCAAGAAGAACAGTCAGCTTCAGGCAAAAAGGCTGCCTCCGAGAGACCTTATGGAACCGTGCGTATCGGTTTTTTTTTTTTTTTTTTTTTTTTTTTTTTCTAGTTCTTTCTTTTTTCTCCTCTTTTCTCCTCTTTTTTTTTAAATTTTTTTTTCTCTCTCTTTGCAGGAGGAATTACTGTTGTTCGAGCCTCTTAACGGTCGTGGATCCCCCGCCAGAGCTCGAACCGGAAACGGAGGGATGACTGTCCACGGAGAGACACAGAGAGGGGAAACAGGCTGCAAGCGAAGAAAAAAAGAAAGAAAGAAAAAGCGGGAGGGACTTTGGAGGGATGGGAGAAGAGGAACTGTCTAAACGGGAAACTCGAAGGAATGTTGCTTTTCCCATTAAAAAAAAAAAAAAAAAAAAAAAAAAGGTGATAGTGAAGATGGGATCGGAAATGGGAAATTACAGAATTACAAGGGGAAAAAGGTTTCCAATCGGAGGAATAATGGTGAGCTGTAGGGAATCTAGTAGGACCAGAAATTGAGCCAGTATTGAGTATTTGAATACGCAATCTAGGATCCATTCTGATATCCATATCTCCAGTACTTACTTAGTATCTGCCCAGGTGGTAAGACGGAAATCACAACAAATACATATCTAGGTAAGTACCTAGTTAGATGATACTTCAAGCAGCTCCCAGGTTCATAAGTTCATATTCTCATCATCAAATGACCTAAAAATACCTTTTTTTTTTTTTTTTCCCTCCCTAATCCTGACAAACCAGGTGGACTAGTTAACTAGTTAAATGAATCATCCTGATTATGGTGGATGCGCGCTCTGAGACAGACCAACCCACCCCAAAACTGGCCGAACCAACCATCATGCGAGCCCGGTCCAATCCACCAGCGATGGTGCACATCCTCCCGTCACCCAAAAGCCCACTTGGTCGCTGGTCGAGATCAGAGGCGCGGCGCTGCGATCGGTCGGACCTGGTTAGGCTCGCCGCTGTTGCTCTCTAGTGACTAGTCTCTACTCGGGAAGTCCTCGAGCTAAGGAGTTCATCCTAATCCTCGATCTAGGTACCTAATGTACGTGCTCTTCCCCAATCTATACACTTTATAGAGAATCTATTTTTTTTAAACAGATATTGTCCCTTATTCGTCAAGAGTACCTGTACTCCGTAGCTACGTCCGTACCCCTTTCCAATGCAGAACCCTACCTCCTAATCATCTCCATGTTCTTATTTGGGGGGGGGAGGGGGAAACACCATGATGAATCTGTGCCTCCCATTTGAACGGGGTTATCGGGAATGGGTAGGACAAGCTACCTAGTCAGTACCTGGTATTGCTTTTTTTTTTTTCTTTCCTCCTCCTTTCTATATTATAATTTTTCAGTCAAGTCCCTCGATTTTTGGTCTTTTTTTTGCCCTCCCCTCAAATCACTCAACCCATCTCTATTCTGTAAATTTATCTAGGGATACAACAAAAAGGAGGCAGTGTTATTCATCTGGCATGCCAGAACTCGACCGAAGCAGGGATCGGCGGGCTGGAACAGGAGACGGCCAACGCTGTTTGCAGGTGTCGATTGCATCCGGATACCCTCATGCAAGATAACTATGGCCGATGGATTAGTATAGTATACTATGGTGGCAGGTGGCTTGTTCCGTCGGAGTCCGTCCGTTGTTTCCTTGATAGAACAACTTATGACCCTGTAGGGATGTAGAGATTAAGGCTCATGCGCTCTTCTCTTTGTATGGGATAGAATGATATAGCAAATAAAATTAGAATCGATACCACACATATTACTCGGTATTAAAAGTGGATCTTTCGAAGTTGGGTTGTGGCTTGTTGGGGTTTGACATATATTGATGCCCTCACTTTAAGGTCCGGGTCGGGGCTCTACTGAGTCTACTCTCTCCTAGGAGTAGATAGTCCTGGAGGATGCGTTCATACGACTAATTAATATTAGGCCAGTGATTTCCTTCCTGTATTACATCTGGCAACAATCCAATCGGATTGATCTACTTGGGATGGCTTCCATGTTTTCGAGGGCGACACTAGCAAGATTACTACATAGTGGACCGAATAATGTGAACAAGCAGCTCCCCGTGTAGGTGGGAAATCATTTTCTTAGAGAATCTCGGGAATGGACTGAATCAGAACATTAACTACTAGTTGGTTAGTTATTGAAGATGATCACGACAGCCCAAAATATCTGCAGGTGGGTCATTTGTTTATTATTTATGTATGTATCGGGACAGGATACATACGGAGGACTTGGCTTTACCGAGAACAGGAAAACTTTTCACAATTCTTGATGCTGGCAGATTACCTTCGCTTCTCTTTAGCCCTGAACTTTCTTGGGCATGCGAAATGTCCGAAAAGGTCCGATATCCGATATCACTAGGTCAACAGTTCATTCCTGGCTGAAGAATGTTTATCTTCAGTATAACTGGTAGACCACGTCAACACCCTCCAGTACAGCTGTACAGTTAGGTAGGTACCTATGTACCTTATTTGCTCTGCTAATGGACGCTGACTGGTCTGTCTCGAGTGGATCTCATCATACCATCTCGTCATCGTGTCTATCATAATATCCTTCTGTATCAAGTGGACAGAGTAGGCACGATATTGCAAAAGAAAGGTTACTTTATCCATAGATATCTTTTCAGGAAACTCCACATGGAAGTCAGTCAGAGCCCTGAATTCAACCTTGCAGAACCCAGAAGACATACGGACTCCGAGGATTGCGTAGGTAAACTACAAATATATATATAACTATATACGTACATGCCTACGCGGTCCCCGGTACGGAGTACTCCGTAGATAATGGCCATCGAAACATCAGTACGGATACCTACATATCAACAACCAACTTAAACAGACGTTGCGTCATCAAACTTCCCAATTTTTTTGTGCACCTGAAATTAGATGCATGGTGTTCTCTCTCGCGCCTCCGTAACTAGGAATGGTTTACACTCAGTTTATTCTTATTGAGTCGCCGAAACGTTGCCAACGGCGCGGTTCGAGGCCACATTACATACAGTCACGAAAGCAGATTGGGAAGAGTTAGACATCTCTAAATATCTTATGGCAAGTACATTTTTCGTCCCAGATGTTTCCGACCCCTTCCCAGCGCATTCCAACAATGCTTCACGTGAAGCTACAAGACAAATTACATCCGAAACCATCGCGCCAAAGGAAAACAAATCGAGGAATCAATGATAAAATAAGACCAGACATCAGATCAGGTACAGACTACGGCGAGATCGACTAGGCCATGTAGGTGCTGGAGTCGACACCGCCCTCGGGGTACTCGCTGTAAACACTGTTAGCTCCCAATACCCTCATTGTGGTGAGAATCACAGAGGTGAAAACTTACGGAAGGGCAACTTCGAATCGCTTCTCAATATCCTTAAGAACTTGCTCATCCTCGGGGCTGCTAACGAAAGAGATGGACAGACCCTTGGTACCGAAACGACCAGCACGACCGACACGGTGCAGGTAGGAGTCGGCATCAGCGGGCAGATCGTAGTTGATGGCAAGGTTGATACGTTCGATATCGATACCACGTCCGAACACGTCAGTAGCGACACAGATACGCTTGTTGAACTCCTTAAACTCCTTGTAGCGTTTAATACTATCGTTCCCGTTAGTAAATATATATCTTCAATATTCCAGAGGAAAAAATCTCTTACCGTTCCTCCTGGCTGACACCAGAGTGCACAGCAATACTGGGGAAGTTGCACTCGCGCAGAAGCTTGTCCAGTTCATTTGCACGGAGCGTACTCTTAACGAAGATAATGACCTGGTTGAATTCAAGGCTGTCCAAAAGTTCATTCAACTTTCGGTTCTTCTCAGCCTCATCAAGTTTGATGTAGTACTGTTGCAGACCGTGAAGAGTGAGCTTGGTGTCGTCGTCGACGTAAACCTCGAGAGGATTCCTCATGAACTTCTTGCAGATAGGTCGAACTTCCTGAGAAAGCGTAGCACTGAACATCATAACCTGCTTGTCAGCGGGGGTAGCACGGAAAATCTCCTGGACATCGCGGCGCATATCTGAACAGCCATCGTAAGCGGTATGGTCAAGCGTGATGTGTCGAGAAAAGAAAAAAAAAAAAAACATACCAATCTGATCAAGCATCTTGTCGCACTCATCAAGAACGAAAGCCTTAACATTGCGCAGAGAGAGCTTCTTGTCGCGCACCAGAGCGTTCAGACGACCTGGAGTTCCAACGACGATGTTGGGGAAGGTATCCTTATTCGACAGCACCTCGACGTCCTTCTGGATAGGAGTACCACCGTAGAAGACGGCGGTCTTCACATCCGGAAGGTACTTGCTGAATCGGGCATATTCGTTCTTGATTTGGTACGCCAACTCACGGGTGTGGCACATGACGAGGACAGAGCACTCTCCAGGAACAGGCTCCAGCTGGTGAAGGGTAGTCAAAACAAAGACGGCGGTTTTTCCGAGACCAGACTTGGCCTGGCAAAGAACGTCGACGTTCAAAATGGCGGTCGGAATGCAGACTTGCTGGACTGTGATGAGGCGGAACGGTATGTTAGATTTTTGTTCGATCCATAAACTTGAAAAAGGAAAGGCAATCCGTGTCCGAACGTCCGTCCATCCCTCGAGTGATCGACTATGTAAGGTATGGAAAATGCGGGCCATTTTCCTCCACAAAAACTATAAGAAAGTGCAAGTCGTAAACGAGCTAACTTATATAATCATCTGCGAGAGGAATTCAAATCGTTGGACCCTCTGCTAACGGCACGAAGAAGCTTTTCCGTCTGGAAGCTGTGGCCTAACGCCCCGTAGCTTTGGAAGCGCACCATCAAATTCACCCAGTATTGCTCGAGACAAATATCTGGGAAAACTTGGCGAATGTAAATTTCGCCATAGGTTACTGAAGCAATGAAGCAACAGGTAGAAGCTGCAGAATACATTCTGCGCGGCGCGACCTTGCTCGTGAAGTTCTGTCTAGAAGAGACATCTTTCATTCCGCTCAGAGGCCCGAAAGAAACAGATGACAAGCGACTATTCTTTTTTTCTTCCCGAGGAGATGGACGGACGTTGAAACTTGGACCAGTGGAGGGAGATTATTGGGAAAGAATACGTGATGGACTAACCCTCCGAAGGATGTTCGAAACCGCAATCGGTGATAGCACGTAGGAGTTCTCCCTTGAGCAGAAAGTCGCGGAAACCGGTCGAATGAATACCGACATAACTTCCCTTCTTGTCCGGACGGCCGCCAGACACCGTCAGATCGCCCTTCTTAGCCGGTGCGCCATTCGCGGCGGGGGCAGCGGTGGTAGCGGCAGCATCAGTGGTCTGAAGCTCCTCATCGGAGTAGTCAATGAGATCCTCCTCGTGAGACATGTTGAATAGTGGCGGGGGAACGAGATGGGATCGAATAAAGAAAAAAAAAACTCTGATTACCGCGGCGCGTTCTTTGATCCCTAAGGTCACGACACCTGGGGATGGCCGGTTGGGAAGGCGAAGAAGGCTTAAAACTGGAACTTGAGACTGAGGTTAATTCTGGAAAAGGTAAACAGCCGCTTCTCTAAATGCTGCGGGATGAATTGAACATAAATCGGATGTGTAGGGTGAGGGAGGGCGATGATGGAGGAGGAGAGATGGATGGCAGGTTGCGAGGGATGGGAAGAAGCCCATTACACGTGACATTGATTAGTCATTAAGGAGCCGCTTTCTTTCCGTTTTGGGCTAGCTCCATCCGTCACGGGTTGCTTCGAGACTTTTCTCTCCATGATCATTTTTGCGCATATCAAAGTCACTGTCCGACAATGGCAAAAGTAAAGGGTCAAAAGGGAACTGGTGGGGGAGCCAATAGCCATTTACGTGCGCGGCTAAGCTACCTCTATAACGCCGCGATTTACTTGCAAAATGCTGCAAAGCAATCCAAAAATGACGACATTGATAATACGGGGAATAGCGGAGAGGTCAAAATGATGTCAACCCCATCGCGCATTGTGCCGCATGTTATGGACTCTAGCACTGTTTCTGGAAAAGATTCGCTCTGCGGTAGCGGGACTGAAAAGTCTGGTGTACCCCTCCCTCAGATCTCCCGTGTATGCATCTCTCAAATGCGCGGGGTGTCGTTGAAATCGCAGCTTCGACTACCCATTGAACAGAAGAGGTCATTTTGCAAACGCTGCGACACTCTCTTGATTACTGGCGCCAACTGTACGCAAGAGATCAGAAATGCAAGTCGAGGAGCCAAGAAACCATGGGCTGATGTACGGATTGTTCGGTGTAACACCTGCGGCACTGAAAAGCGTTTCCCTCAAACTGAGAGGCGGAGCAAAAAGCTTTCACAACGCAAGAAAGAACAGAAAGAACAGAAATCATCTGAACAAGGGCATCCAGCAGCCCCCGCTTGATCCCCTGCTCTTCCCTAGGTGCAGCCAAACTGGGAATAATTTCCTGCGAATTAGTTCCAATGGTTCGAATTTTGGCCAATGCAAAATTGACTTTTTGTACCAGAGTCCAGTCTTCGCCTGGCGAAACATTGTGATACAGCTTTTCGGTCAAGATACCCCAAACTGATTTAGTCTGGGCGAAAGACGCGAGGTCAAACGCTCCAAGCCCTACGGCCCTTCCATCTCAAGAGTGAGTTGTATTCATAATAATGCGATCCTCTTTGCACAGTAGGGGCTGATAAAGGCTGTAGAGGAATCTAGTGGAAGTCGAAAATCACCTCTGGGGTTCTTCCAGGACGGCTAGGAACCTTATTTTATTTTGCTTGGTGAGGACCTGAGACTGATGACGGTCATATATCATGAGGCGCAGCCATGTTTTAAACTGCAGCGTTTAACATGCATCGTTATCAGGATTTTATCTGTATACAGGTGCACAGAGGATCTCGGGACGAGACAGACAATCGGAAAACATTAAGGTCATGTGGGCGTCATGTCACAGCAGGCATCCTCCTGGAAACTGAAACGGGATAACGAGAGCGCAGTGTCAGTGCGGAAGGGGAGAAATACAAGAAGGAATTCGTCGAATAACAAGTACGATTCTGAGTCAAGAGTAGTAGTGATCATGGCAGGAAAAAAAAAATATGAAAAATAGACCTCTAAACCCCAACCAAGAGAAAATCAACTCCGACGCTATTAACATGATAAGAGTGTTTCTCAGTCGATTCTCGTTTGAATATGACTGTTCCTTAAAAGCCAAAATCGCCGCGAGGCAGGTATCCAATCTTTAAATAACAATCCTCTCCAAACCCGCAAGCGAACAATAACAAGAACGAAAAAATACCACACAGGCAATAGTCACATCTCAAAAACATTAAACCGGGGGTTGTAGAAGGCTGTGGACGGGCGTAAATTTGTAATAACACAAGGTCCGTGAGGACGGATTCAATATATAGGCACGCGAGTGTTTGTGTTCTTCTGGAATGGTTGTCATTTTCTTCTCTCCTTTTCGTAGCTTTCATAAATGCAGTTTCGTAGCCATCGTTGAACTTGTCGGTCGTGCTGTCGTAGTCACATTGAGAGGTTCAGAGTATCATTCGGCGGGGGAGGAGGGAGCAAGGTATAAGTGGTTATGCATCAGTCGAACAAAGGCACAGAGCTGAGAGTAAAGCGCCCTTAAGCTAGATACTGGGATCGCGTGAACATAAGGGATAAAGAAATTACAGAGAATGTTTGTGGGAAGGATGCGATTCGGTAAGATAATGTGTTGTAGGGAAAAGGTCCAGAGCGTATAAGTAGCGGCATCAACGTCGTCGGCGAGCAGCTTGGTCAAGGCGCTGATCTAAGCCTTCTATTCGGCTACGATAGGCTTTCACAATTTCTCTGATATGTCCGATCTTTGTGAGTTCGGTCTCCAAGTCGTCAATCGAGGCTAAGATGGAACGAGTACGCGCGATCTCGGCGTCCGCATTGTGAATGACGTTTCCTGCGCGGTCATAGGTGTTTTGAATAGAGAGTTGCATTTGATCCTCTAGCTAGTAGGCGTTAGAACTAATGTTATGCAACGGGTGCTAGATTTGGGCGTTGTGTGAGGCTGAAATACGGCATTTTGAAATGAAGCGCAGTGCGATTTGGCGCCCTAGAAGCCTCCCACCCCCCAAACCGATCACGCAATACATACAGAGACCCCCCCAAAAAGCCCTTGCAAAGGAAATTAGAGGATTGAATGAAATTATATACGTACATATTCGATGCGATTCTGAATCTGCTGTTGTAACGCGTCTAACTGATGCGAAAGCGCTCGAAGACTCATAGGATCCAGCAGCAAACGGCCATGGCTACTGGCAGCGCTGGCCGCGCGCGAGCTGGAGTTGCTAGTACGGCCAGTCCCTCTGCCCCTGGCAATCCCATTACCGGTATGGCCACCTTGAAGAGCAATCTGCTGCTGCTGCCGGAGGATCTGGATCTCGGAGGAAGTGAGACCAAGCGAGGTATCGGGAATCGAGGCTACGGACATTTGGTTCCGGACAGAGACATGCTCCAACCGCGACAAGAGTCTAGGAAGCGCCGGCCGATCTCGATGTATGGAGATGAAATGGACCGAAGTTCATGATGCTGACGAGCGAAACTGACAGGGGGAGAGGAAGAGATGCGATGCGGTGTGGCAGAGTTAAAGATGGAGAAGTGGAGAAGCCGAACGACGAAAAGGAAGAAGATGAAAGGGACGAGAGAAAAGGGTGGGGGGAAGTTGCACGAGGAGGAAAAATCAAAGCAAATCAATTCATCAATCAATCAATTCATCAGAGGTTAGGAATCAGTAAAACGAACAAGAAGGAGGGGAATTAAATAATAATAATAATAATAATGGCACAATTAAAACAAGAGGTGCTTCAGGGATGGGGAGATATTTACTCAAATAGGACTATAGTAAGGTAATAATAGGAGAGGTGATGGTGGAATGAGACAATTATAACTTGTATTTTAATATATATATAATATTATAACTATAACTATAACTATATATCCCTCTATAACTGTATATATATAATAGTTAGAGATTTCTTCTAAGAAATCACTATTCTGCTCTTAAATCGCTATGTATATCTTCTTCTTCTCCACCGCCTTCTCTATCAACAACTTTCTTTCTTTCTCCGCATTCAGCTTCAGCTTCCAGACAAGTTTTCTTCCACCACCCAAAATCCTCTCTCTCCAATCTGATCGCATCTATTTACTTGCTCTCGTCCAATCATCTAGAAATTAACCCACCCCCTCCAGATCTACCGCTTTTGACGCTCCTCCAGCCGCATCGTTCTGCCTGCGCGTATCTCCGGACTCAGTCCCTCCAACCTAAACGTCCGCTGCCCAACTTGTGAGGCTAGAGCCCTGTGCCCTTGCCTTGGTTTTTTCCATTGGATCTGGGAAGGTCCCACGCTTGGGGAGTAGGAATCCGATTGTGGGCTATTTTTTCTGCCTGCAGCTTACTTGGACTCTCAGCCTGTGAGCATCCCCCAATTCGCCTCAAGCCTGTCTAGTCCGCTGCAGGACTCTTTGGCTTCTCCGCTACCCCTCCAAAGTCGTCAGTTGCCCTTTTTTTTTTTATGTCTTATGTTCCAGAGAGAAGATATGAAAGACTTTGACTGACGCCATATCCCGGGGGTTCAACAGACTTCTCGTCGAATAATCAATTAGTGTCCCATTCCGGTACCCGAACCGCTTGAAATCCCCTCCTAGCCAAAACCTTGTTATATTTCTTTTAAGGGCCACCTCGTTACTTCTAGACCAATTGAAAATCACAGCTCCGGGAGAGAGAGAGAGAGAGAAGAAAAAAAAAAGAAAAGAAAAGAAAAGACGGGGTGTCTTAAGCCACAATGCCGCGAGACAAGGAACGTTCCGTTAACCCTGCCATGGCGCAGCGGAAATTGGAGAAGCAGAAGAGTCTCAAAAAAGGCAAGGCTGAGGCGCTCGTCCGCCGAAATGAAAAATTGGCCCGTCGCAATCCAGAGCGCATCCAGCGGCAGATCAACGACCTGAAAGAAATGGAGCAGTCTGGACAGAGCTTGCGGCCACGTGAGAAAGAGATTTTGGAAGCTCTGGAACGGGATCTGCGGGCCGTGCTGAAAGCCCGCGAAGCTCTAGGTGATAAGGCGCCCAAATTTGAAGGCGCGCAGCACAGGCGGGGACCTGATGGCCACCCCCGCGAACGAAGGGATGGAGGCGTACTGGGGAAACGGAGGAGAGATGGCTACGAACACTCTGGAGAGCAAGAAAATGACAGCAGCGAAACGGACGAGGAGGTAAGAAGGATACCCATGCCACGGGATACACCTCCGCCTATCCCACGCGAATACCAGAGGAGAAGAGAAGCAAATGCAAACAGCGAGAATCGCCATGGTGGCCGGGGTCCGCACTCCCTGCCCGCACGACCTACAGCGGCGGTAGAATCAAGGACGGTATACGAGGCAAAACCCGAAATTCGAGATCTCCGACAAGAGGCCATTAATAAATTTGTCCCAGCAGCTGTACGAATGAAGCAGGAGTCTATAAGAGGCCAAGGGAAGCTATTAGAGCCAGAGGAGATGGATAAACTCGAGCAGGCAGGGTATCATGCTGGTCCTGCGGAAAAGGAAAGTGGGACAACGACAGTATCCGACGCGGCCACTGAAGACAACCAGGCAAGGCTACTAGAGGAAGAGCGGCGGTTTAACCAAGAGCTCAGGTCCGTCCAGATCGAAGAAGTCGAGGACGAGGAAGCATGATGCCCCCTGGGGACCCGAAGAACAAAAATGATGATCTAAATAATGACTACGACTGGGATCCCCCGTGCTTGGGGCTAACATGGACAAGAAAGAAGCCCCTATTTTATCTGGTCTTAATATATATATATATACATTTATGTAATACCACCGGCTGAAACCCAAATCAAATGTATTACCATCCAGCTCCGACAGTCGAACCGATCGGATCATTTGGTGCCTTTCGAGCAACAAGCTTGAGAATTCGCCACATAGACCTTGTTTACTAGTAATAGTAGTAGTAGTAGTAGTAGTAGTAGTAGTAGTCCACGCATTTCGATCGCCTTGCAAACTCACTCACTTGCCTTGAGAGGTATCCAGATCGATAGGTAGACTTGGTTTTTTCCAAGGCAGTGCCAGTGCCTAGCTGGTAGGTACCTAGGTAGTTAGCTAGTTATATCCCCCTTCCTTTTTCAAGCCAGTAGATTGATTTCTTGTATACTTTAGTGAGTCGGTTAGTGAATTGCCCTGCGTAAAAGGGCCTTCATAACTTTGTTTTCGGGGGAGAAGTGTGAGGTAGAGGAAGGGTGTACATAGATAGATAGATCGATATACTTATGATGAGATTACAGTACTTACTTGCGCTTGTGGTTGTGGTCGACGACTGGGCTAGAAATACCTCTCTCGATTGCTTGGGAGTCTACCTACCATGATGTACTTACTAGCAATGTTAAAAAGACTCTACTCGTTGAAAAAATCGGTATGTATATGTACAAATGTACGTATGTACATACATTGGCCTTTTGAAGACATGCACGCCCGTACCCAAGATCCATTATAGCAACGCCGTCCGGAAACACCAAGAAGAGAAAGGAAATATATGAAATGTACAATCCAAAAGAGTGGAAGAATCTAGCAATCCCTCGGTAGTACATGCACAGTCAGTCGCGTTATACTCATTTAGTCGAGCATCAGACGATCTGTGCAGCGCCACGAAGACAAGATTGCGCCGAACTCGAAGGGCCAGATGCACGTAGCTTACAGTACTGCCAGGAACGGTGCAAGGGGGTCGTCACTGCATTAAAACAAAAGAAAATGTGGGGTGTATCGCAGTGCAATGAAAAAAAATCTCAACAAAGATGCAGTAGCGCAAGGAAATGCATCAATGTTCCATGTCTCGCATGGAGCGCGGGGTTGCTTAAAATGTATTCCACCCAGCCGTAACTCCAAGAAATGGTGCAATTATTAAAACGCGTGATAGAAATTGAAGGCAAGAGCCCCAGTTAGATAGCGAAAGCTCTGCTGGAATGTCTTTCGCGGATCAACCGCGGAAAGAGTATGCACGCATCCCACAGGCAAACCCATCTAGATATAGTATTCACTGTAGGGCGAGGCACGTTCCTTGAAAGGTGATACCCATGGAAGTCCCATTCCAGAACCCTTCGGGGTTGCCTTTACCTCAGGTTGCGAAGGACCTTTCTTCCACGGGCTAAGAAGGGACTCGGCATCTCGTCTTTCTCGGGATCCCACACCGCGGGTGGATCGCGATCCGAAGATTTCAATGCAACAGAGCAAGCCACGGTACGGGAATCACTCGCACAGCGCTTGAATTCATCGATGGGACGGCCACCAGCACGTGCCTGTGCAAGTTCCACCAAAGTCCGGCCACCCATGTTGCGCTGCATTACAGCCTTGAACATCTCTTCGCCACCCCCGTTCACTTTGGAGAAGACCTGCTTGGCGCCGCTCTTGCGGGTTGGGGAGCCAGCATCGGCAGCTAAGTTGGCAGATGATGGGATTTTGGATAGGCGGCGATGAGGAGACCTGGACTTGTTTTCCCTCGTATGGCCATCAGGCTGATTGCTTCCTGAAACGTGAGGTAGCCTCGAAGGGTTGGACGGAAAGAGAGGCGGTTGGGTGCTTAGCTTCTGCATTAAAGCAGCCGTATTTTGGCGAAGAAGAGGGCGAGCTGGCGCCTTGAAAGGGTCAGGCTTGACCTTGGGACGAGTAGGTGACGGAAGTTCAGGCGTGTCATCTTCGTCATCAGAGTATGCTATAGAAGGTTCCCACTTAGCGCGGTGCCGCTCCCCTTCAGCAAAGATATTCTTGCCCGAGTAAGTTGCCGAGGTGCGACGAGGCGACAAAGAAAGGGAAGCGATTGAGATAGGAGATGGCTCAGCCATCTGCACGTCCATGGGAGATTCAACGACCGTTTTAGAGCGACTGAACGGGGTACGCGTCTCTTTCTTTGCAGGCCTGGTCGGTTTGTTGGATGGAGACTCCAAAGACAATTGGCTGATATCAGTGCTCGAAGGGTAGTCAGTGTCGTCGTTATTACTGGAAGAAGACTGGGATCCATGGCCGCTTGATCGTAGACCAGCACCGTCCCTAAAGTTTGCACTTCGTTTTTGCTTTTCCACCTCGAGAGCCACGCGCTCTTGTACTTCACTTTCGAACCTTTTACGGAGTCTGTCAAGCTCGCTCTGAACTTGCCTGTCGATCTCTAGGCGGGCCTTTACCTCCCACTCCCGACGAACCGTGTTCTCGATGTCGCTTTTGATCTGCTGTTTCTCCTTTTCGAGTTTGGAGACAGCCTGTTCCACTTCCCTCATCTTTTGCACCGCGGCTTCCTCCCGCTTTCGAATAGTCTTGCATAGAGTTGTGATTTCCATTTCTTTCCGCATCAAGCGAATAACCGGGAGATTAATGAGCGCTGTGGTGTCGGGACGGTGGTCAGGATTTACACGCAGACAGCTCGCAATAACATTCTTGAGCTCTGTTGAATAAAAATCCGGCAATGGAGCGAATTTGCCTTCGCGAATTTTCTGAACGAGCTGGATGTGTGTGCGGGCGTTGAAAGGAGGCTCCCTTTGACAAAGTTCGTACATGATGCAGCCGACGGCCCAAATGTCGGAACGCAAGGTGTACTTTTCCGCTGCGCAGATTTCAGGCGACATGTAGAAGGGAGTGCCTACATAAGTAGATGCAAAATCGTGGGAGTGCATCACTTTGGACAAGCCGAAATCACCGAGTTTCACGGTATTGTCTGTCCCTAGGAAGATGTTCTCGGGCTTGAGATCACGATGCAGAATGGTCATCTGGGCCTGTTTCCCTTTGAGACCGGAAGGCTTTGGAGCAGGACCCAGCACATTTGGTCCTACTTCTGCCGGGTCCGTGCCGTAATGGCAACGGTATAGAGCAGTTGCCAGTTGTGACAGTATGCGCCAGACAAAGTCCTCCTCTGCGTACTTGTTCGTCCGTTTCAAATTCTTGATGACCATGCTAAGGTCACCGCCGCCGCAATATTCCATGTAAAGATACAAGTCCTGACTTGCCTTGAGGTGCTCCCGGTGGTAATAGGCAACAATATTCGGGTGTCGGAGAGAGCTGAGAATATTGAATTCTGCGGTCAGTTGCTCCCGCTCTTTCTGGGACATTTTGACGTAATTGATCTCTTTGCGACATAGTATCTGTGATCAAATCCTGGTTAGCCTTTGCCAGCACCGGACCAGTTACTTTGCCTTACAAAACCGTCGGATTTCCGCTTGACTTTGCGAATGATTCCAAAGGAACCGCAACCTGGACAAAGCTTCATTAGTTTCAAAATTTCCTGCCAGCCATAGGGCCAGGGAGAGCACGGGTCTTCTTACCGATTTTCTCTAGGACTTCATACTTGTCTGCCTCCGCCAATGCGATTGCCATTGTGGCGACTGGGGAGGTACTTAAGCGTCACGGGCCAGGGTAAAGGTGATTTTGGAAAGAAGTAGTTAAGGGAATGAATGGTGAGGATCCTAGCTCATTGAAAATTAGATCCAACCCAGATGGTAACCTGCTTTGTTAGTAGACGACGCAATGAGACTGGGGTATGAAGAAAAGTTGAAGCGTTTGAGAAGTAAGTATGCAACGGGGTCGACGGCATTAAATGTTTAGAGCGATGGCTGTTGCTGAGCAACGCTGGCTGCCATCGCTCTTGTCTGTAAATAGAAGGCGGTGAAAAATAAACCACGCTCTCCGCAGAATTATCGTCGTGAACTGCATCGATGCATCCCTTGAGGTGAAAAGCTATCCCCAGAATGCATGATCAAATCTTCAATATGTTCTGAGCGTAGCTTTACCGAGCTGAAACTATTGCTCCAAATTATCCTTTTGCAAGGACTCAATCCGAGTCCACCCCCCTTTGACTCTCCTCCCAGGACACCATAACGGTCGTTCTCACGTGACCGATGCTTATCGATAAGCCATGCCATCTCCAGCAACGATCATCCGTTTTGGGTCCCGCACTCCCGCTGCATTATTCCTTCTCCTCCTCCTCTTCCTGTCTCCGAGTGAGCCATCATCCGCTACCTCTTATCATCCCAAGACAAAGATTTGGTTTACCCCTTCGCAATGGGTGACCAGACTATGCTGCGCAAAGATCAATTGGAGATCAGCTTGCATAATGAGCAGCAGCTGATCCGTGAGGGGACTATCAAGGACGACAACCCTTTGGATCTAAGCGCCCCCTTTCGGGAACTCTGTGAAGCCTGTCGTAAGGGGGATCTTAAGGTTTGTCAGGAGAAGATTACCGAGGGAGTCAATATTAATGCACGGGATCCTTATGACTATACGCCCTTGATTCTGGTGAGTGATGTGCAGATTGATTGCATTTCGTTACCCCTCCTCAGTTGAGATGGTTGAGTGAAGTAGTAACCAACAATCATTTCATTCCCCAAGGCAAGTCTCTGTGGTCATTATGAAGTTGCTCAGCTACTTCTGGAGTCTGGAGCATTGTGTGAAAGAGACACCTTTCAGGGTGAGAGGTACTTGTTTTCCTTTACCCAACTTGATTTTATAAATCTAACATTTTGTTGCTTGTCACGGAACTAACACTTGTATTCTTTGCAAGATGTTTATATAATGCTTTGAACGATCGTATACGAAACTTGCTCCTCCAGTATGATTACTCGAAGTCGACAGATCCTCTCCAGCCTCTCGCTGCCCATATAGCGTCACTTCTCGTGCGCGAACAACCTAAAACTTCCGATATAACCGTGACAGCAGCCGATGAGTCTCTATTTTTACACAAGTTCCTCTTAGCTGCACGCTCGCCTTACTTTCATCACAAGCTAGAAGCTGTGCCGGACACTACAATATGGAAGCTCCCTAGTAACATACCGCCACAGGCATTTGGGACTGCTATCAAATATCTCTACCTGGGAGAGGCACCTCGTGATTTGAGGAGCGGACCAGGAACAGGGTTTACAGAATCAGAAGTTTTTTCTGGGATCGATAAAATTGCCAAGTACCTCGAAATCAGCACCCTTCTAGATAGCATCCTCGACAGCAGTGACAGACGGCTGGCCCGGCAAAGGAGAACAATGGAGCTTGAGAGAGGAAGGGACCAGCTTGAGGAATGGTTCCGAAAGAACGTCCTCCGAAATAAAATCGAAATCGAAACATCCAAGGCGAGTGATGTCAAATGGGGGCATAACAATGCAGTTTTTGCAGATGTTTTGCTCCAAGCTGATGAACTCCCTGAGGAGTCAGAAGATTACCCGAACGGAGATACTGGGTCAACTGAGAATATTGAGTCGACTGCTTTGCCTATCGGACCGGCAGGGCCATCCGGCAAGGAAAACCCTGTACAAAAGTCAACCTTGTTCCCGTGTCACAGAGCGATACTTCTGCGCTCTGAGTTCTTCCAAACCATGTTCAGCTCCCCGTTCCGAGAAGCCCATATGGGCGACCATCTGCACATTATTCCAGTAGACTGCTCCCCGGAAGTTTTGGAGATTATCCTCTCATTCCTGTACACTGAGCGGGCCGACTTTCCGCTCGACGTTGCAGTTGATGTGTTGTATGCGGCTGATATGTTGTTCATCGAGAAACTGAAGACCCGAGCTGCTGTCGTGATCAGCACGCTTGGTAGTGGTAACATGTCACAAGCAGAAGCTGCGAAGACCCGAGGCGAAGACGAGGATTATTTGGATATTTACGCCATTATTCGGGCAGCGTGGATGACGAGAGTCCAGCGCCTGGAAGAATTTGCTGCCCGATACCTTGCATATCGTCTTGAGGCCCACATAGACTCTCCTGAGTTCGCCGAGCTTATTCAAGAGTCTGCGTCCCGTATTCGGGGACGACAAGAAACCGACTCTATCGAATTGCTGGACGACATTAGATTCTATCTAGGGGAGCGTTTCAGACTGAGGTTTGATGACGCGGGTATTGAAGAGATGATGGAGGAGCAGATGCCGCAACAGCAGCCGATGGAGACCAATTCTGCTGATGGAAGTATTGAGAAGGTCACCAGTGGTGTTGAGGCAATTGATCTTTCTCAAGACCATTCCGCATCTGTCAATGGTAATGGTTCAGCGCAACCCCTGGTTTCGAACGGGGCAAATCACGACGAGCCTGTCATTCGGACCCTGGATGGTGAGATTGCAGTTGATGAATTCACGAAGGACGCAATCAACTACCGGATCCTCATGGACAAGCTTGACGATATTCTGGAGAGCTTGAATCTAGACGCCTAGAGTGTCTTTGATGGTGGATGAGCCCCAGCGGAAGACAAACAAATTGATGATTGACGACATTACACAGAGTATACGCATTCACACGGTCTCAGAAGAAGTGATACATATATATACATAGAACAGAAGAGTAGATTTCCATGCATTGGGTACGCTGTCTCTGCTTAGCTGTTGGTTCAAAAGAATTCATCTTTGAATCTATTTGCGGTGATATCATATCACTGATTGTATATGGACATGTTTTCTATTGATTTCCCATGGCATATTCGTCTCCATATTGAACATACTCTAGCCTTGCGCTGACCACAAGTGAAGAAGAATATGGTGAAACCGCTCGGTCCATTGAAAGGCAAGCGCTTACAGCAGGCCAAATTGAGCACATGGCAAATTTACTCGAGACATGCCGAGTCCTAAGAAAAGAAGTTGCATCGGATTTATGACAACACAACCGGTATGAGGAAGCAGATGCAATACCACGTAGCGATCACATGGAAATGATCAGGGAGGAGTGTGAGGACTCGACCCGTCTGGACGGACACCTACTCATCGAGTATGACTATTACCTGGTGCATGAAGCGCTGAGTCAATTCATACGACATTGTTATTGACGAGGAACATGACATTACCACCAACGCCGTTTTTCTGGCAGCGAGGGCGAGGCATCCCCCACACTTTAGGGCGCGCACCGAACCGCAGAGTCAGTGCGATACTTTGGGGCTACAAGTATACACATTTTCACTCGTCCTCGAGAGTTTATCTGCGCACAGAGGGAATACAAAGGAAACCGCAAAGTTCAAAATTTCAGCAAACCCAAGAGGTGGGGCGATGCAGGGCCGTGAAATCTTCGTCGTCGAGTTTCACCGTCTACGGAAAGGCCAGCCCATGCATTTGGGAACATTGCAACGAGGAGGAGGAGGAGGTGTGGGAGGAAAAGTGTGACAGAAACCGAGGCCATGCATATGGTATTGGGAGCATGGTCTTCGTGTATCGCTGGACAAATAACCAGGGAGAAACCCCCCGGGCAGGGATAGATTGAACAAAACAACATCGAACAGGGCAAACAGCTTGCAGCGGAAGCGCAGATCATCATGCGGTGCTTTGATTTCATCTAGATTTTGCTTTTACGATGGAGACGGTTGTATCAAGAGTGAGCGCTACGGTGTGCTCACGGCGTGGGATGGCATTTCTGACTCTGGCACCTGTTACAGGTTAGGATGTCGGATAGGCTGCATAGCTAGCCAACCTCGCGAGCCTGCAAGATGCCATCATCCCGCGTACTCTCTGTATAATGAGGAGAGAGATCTGTACAAAGTTTAGGCTTGGAGTCGTACTCAGCCTGAGGCGATGAGGCACACCAGATGATCAAAGAGCAGGAAAGTGGGCAAAGGGAATCCAAAACCTGCAGGTTGAAAATCAAAGCGCGAAATGCTGGTGATCATCAAGGCTGATTGGTGATCTGACCGCTTCCTTTTTTTTTTTTTTCCTCCTTGTGGTTTACAATCGGGCATTTCCGTGGCGGATCACTCACGAAACGCATGGTCTATCTAGGTCGGAATTTTTCTTCACCAATCACTAGGCCTCAGAAACTGGGTGATGGTCGATGTTAGGCGTCAATGATGGCCAGCGCAACTCACCCAGTGGGTGACCGTCTCCGTCCCCCTCCAACTTTATTCCAAGAGAACAAGCAGGCAAGACATTGGACAGAGTCAGACCCAGCTTGTCCTGCACGTCCCGACTCCCAATGGTCGTATGGGCTCGCAGTCGACGCTATGCTCATTTGCCCGCGTGTCTTTGATTTGCCGTCTCCCCACCCTCCAAGAATTAGATCGACACATCCATCGCCTGGATTGGATGTGTGGGGGTGCAGGAGTGATTGGTGCAATATTTTGCGAGAACAAACCCGTTGGGAGCCAATATAGCGATGACCCTGCTATGATTTCATGATCCCATCACTATCCTTGCCACACTCGCTTATGTCTGTGTCGGAGAGAAGAAAATTGTGATTTTTGAGCTTAGCCTCATCCTTCTCGTGTGGAGACGGGGTCGTACTCTAGAAATGCTGCGCCAACGTGATATCCTAGGTGGAGTGAGGTGAGTGAATGCGACGAGGGACAAAGAGTAATTGTCAATCCTCCTACTTCGTACCAAAGAAGGTTTGACCGGTTCCTTTTTTTCTGCATGTCTAACAGCAAGCTGTGGACAGACTAACTGATTGCGGCAGTAGTCCCTCTGTATGGTAAATCATGAGAGTAGAGGGCCAACGTGGCCCATTCAATTCAGGCGTTCTCCGATGGGAGCTGCAGAACCCCGGCGACTTATCACACCAAAACGAGAGAGAGAGAAAAAAACCAGGTCACAAGTGGCGGATGGTTTGTCGACGACGTTTGGGCCTTGCGATGGCCGTCGCTCTGGATACAGGACGATTGAGCGGACCGTAGCCATTCCTGACCTCCCGTTCCGTCCGTCCAGGGGCATGGAAATACCACTATCAAGTCTTTGTGGGAATCGGGCTCATAATACGGGCTGTTCAGAGTTGGTCCACTCCCTCGGCGTAGCCAGTATTGGGTATGACCGGGATCGAGTGACCAGGTGATACAAATTGGATGCGGGCATTGGAACCGCTAAAATGGGTTCATCCCAGCTGCCTGGTAGTGTCTCTCTCTCGCCTTACCTATCTGGATCACTACATGCAGCGAGTATACACGAGTATGCTTGGACATGGACGGCGTTCCCCCCCCCCGGGATATACTTGGGTCTTCGTCATAGACAGATGATGCAATCTACAGAGCTAACAAGACTCATGTGCTCTAGTATCATCAATTCGGCGGGGGAAGGGTATTTCCCAAGACCTCAAAGCTCCGTATCCTAAATAGACACCCAGATTGTCAATCCCACGAGCAGCCATGCTCCGTATTGAACCAAGCCGAATTGTTTCCAACGGCCGAGCCGTGCAACCCTGCGATCGATAAGCGAAGGACTATTAGGCTACCGGAGTAGGTAGTTGTAGCACGAGGGGCAAAACGACGGATCCATTGTACATCAATCTCCAAGCTCCATTTTCTTACACCGTATCTTCTGCGCCTTGTCTAGATTCCGGGACTAACTCATCTTGACTAGCAGGAAGGAACAGATGTATGCAACCCAGTCTCTATTATTAATCACAGGGTGGTTGCACTGACCTTGTCCTTGGAACGAAAGCCCAGGAGCGAGCACCTATTGCCAGATGACTCATGCGGGTGTGTTTGGGGAGACAGACTGCTCCTCCTTGAACCTTTGTTTTTGAGCATGAGGACGGGACAGCGCCGGTACTACTGCAAGGCCATGCTCCCTGATCGTCATCTATCACCCAAAAAAAAAGGTAGCACGGGCCTTAACACAGGACAGGAATCATGGCCTTGATTAATTTACCACGCTTAAGCACTTACAAATCACCGAACATAACCGCCACAGTGACGTCGGTTAGATGACTCGCATACAACTAGGATACAATAAGCCAAGATCTTTCCAGCAACGACGACGACGACAAGAGGCTAAAAATAATTAATAATGATCCTTTTAATGAAAAAAATAGCTCACTTTGTCATCATCACAGGAGGTAACTAACTAACTAACTAGTTAACTAGTTAGCTAACTAAGTATATTGCATTGTACTGTAACCCAGACACTACCCCTGCGGACATATTCCGATATACATAAGCAGACTAGATAGGAATTTTTTCCCTCTTCCAGTCCAGATGCAAATAGAGACAGAAAGAAAACCCCGCAAGAGAAAACCCTCTATACTCCGTAGTGTACTCCAGAAAATCTTACAGCTCGTGAGCCCTTCTCTAGAGACAGCGGGCCGCCTCCCCGCCTCCGCCTGACCAAATCCTCCTCCGTACATGGTGTATTACTCTGTACGAAGTACATACTAGTAGCACACAAGTGCAAGTACTGCAAAGAACCTACAATAGACTTACTCCATACATTGCTCTAGGTACAAAGTCAAGCCTCCCTCGCGGTAGCATTAGAGCCCCGAGCCCACAGCGCAGCACAGTCCTACTCCTACTCCTACTCCTACTCCTACTCATACTTCTCCATACGAACCAGGAGTCGCGTCTCATGCCGGTAAGAAAGAAGGCTGAAACCGCCCTCCTGCAGACCTCATCACACCAGATGCACGCACGCATGCATGATTATCTTCTTGTCCTTGCACGTACTCTGTAAGCTATCAGATGTCCGAGTCCAACCTCGCAGGTAGGTAGGTAGGTAGGTTAGTAGTCCGTCCGCCGGGTGGTCATCGGAAATAATCTGCCGCCGCCTTCATCATAGTGCATGGGGTGGCATACAGAGCACAGCATGTAGTAATAACTAGTTACAGTATGCGTGTGGAAATCAAGGAAGGTCTTGCTCACTCGCTCACTTGCGTTGGGACTTGAGAGTGTAAGTAATGTAGGTAGGTAGGTAGAGACCAAGCTTCTCTTGGGGTATCTCGCATGGTAATCAAATCATTACCTCCGTTTAGTGCTTGCGAGTCTGTCTGTCTGTCTGTCTGTCTGTCTGTCTGTCTGTCTGTCTGTCCTGCAGGTTAAAAAATGTATGTATGTATGTATGTATGCGCTGATGCAGGTGGAGAGGATGTCTGTGCGCCAATTCATGTTTTACTTGTATTTGTATTGTATTTGTACTCTTACTCTGTACACCTTACTGTATGAAAATGTTTAAGCGCTTCAGCTGAGTTTTATGATATATACAGTTGAATTAGACTGGTTTGTATGCATGTGTGTGTGGCCTTGTCAAGTCCTGTTAACGCTGTAGAAAGATGCATGGAGATGGTAGTTAAGTAGGGTTAGAGATTAATTACTCCATACAGGATCACATCCCACGTTGTTGTCTGTCTGCACGGATGCTCCTGGTCCTCCATGTGTGACAGAATCCGAATCCTCCACACAGCTTCATATTAACCAGATTGCAAAGGTTTCAATGCCAATCCATAACTAGTTAGTGATGAATCTCCAGGATTGAGACGACCAGCCCCCAGGATGGAGTACGGAGTACGTAGTGGGCACCCAACAAAGGTAAACAAAGTGTGGCCTCTCTTTTTCTCTCATAATACCTATATCCGGGGAACCAATCATAATCGGGGTTGAGCAAGAAAAAAAAAGAAAGAATCCACACAACAAAGTTGCTGAGCGGACTGAAACACCCCCCTGCGACCATTCCCTCGACAAAGATAATAGACGGCGGCGGCGGTCCATGTCGATCTCTCCCTACATATGGAACAACTTCGGTCGTTGTCATGATTATTTCCCAGGGGGCCAGCCGTGGTAACTGTGGTCCTTCCTCGGGTCCTCATGGAACAGCTAGAACCGAGCAGCACCCACACCAAGAAAAAGCATATGGGCCGTGCTATCCGTTTATCGGAGACTAACCAGGCGAATTTCTCCAGAAGATTCCTCGACTCATGATCGTGAGCAATAAGGAGGGAGGGAGGGGGGGGGGGTTCCCACGGCACGGCAAATCGCTAGACTGGCTTCGGTAAGGCTCCGTCTGCCACGCCGAAGATCTGCCTGGGACGTGAAATAATGAAATGGAATGACACGATCACTGGTGAGAGAAAAAGGGGTTAGTAGGGATAACTAGTTAAGTTACGATCCGATGACTCACTTACTACGGGATGTGCCATTGTGAATCTTCTTCCCTGTTTTCACAGACTTCGCAAGGAAGAACACCACCCATACCGTATGAAGGATCAATCCTCCTGGCCCACCTGGCACCTGGAAGAGGAGCTATGGCCAGAAGATGATGTTGTTCCTGACCGAGTTTTGGCTGCGGTGGATGCAGACAACTGGGAAGATTTCCGGGATTCTGTCTGGATTTTTAGTGCACAGATTGTGGGGGGCTTGTGGGGGTCTTTTTTAATTCATACCTTTCAGAGATTGTTCTTACTATGTAGTATGGGTTAGTTGTGTGTATTTGGTCGTTTGAATATACGTACATCGTAGGATCAGTATAGTTCTTTCATTATTGGTTCTTCCTCCGCCTCGTTATGGCCTGCCATCGTCCCATCTACTCGGATTTGGTTCTATAGCCTATCATATCGTATCAATGATCACCCACCTGCATCAAGAACCATAGTTGGGACCTAGGTGCTCATTGACTTTAGCTGTGTATACTCCGTACAGAGTATCCGGAGTACCTACCTAGGTACCTACTTCTACTTCAAGAAACAGGTAGGAAATAAACCAAGCCCGAAATCCGACGCGTAGATTCGGAAAGATGAAGCGAAAAGTGGACCCTTCCACTTTTCTTTTCTTTTCCTTTCTTTTCCTTGGTCTTTGGAGAGGAGGACTTAGTTTCCGCACTCAGGTACTCCATATTGTGGCGGGCGAGGACGAATTCCTACCGGCTAACCGCTCACTCTCTCCATTACTAGCCTTTTTTTTCTGAAGCCTATGCATGGTTAGCACTCGGTCGAAAGTCGGGAGCGTTGAAATTAGATGCTTAATCTTTTTTTTTTTTTTGAATTTTTTTTTGGTGACCTAGGTAGGTACACTGGAAATCATAGTATTGTATATCCTCCACGCAACGAAAATATATATAAGACAAGAAAGATCAACCCTTGTCTCTTTACAAGGGGGCTGGCTACCTACGTAGGAAGCAGGTTTCGTCCGAAGAACGATGAGATGTCCTTACGTCCAATGATAGGAATCACAGGCAAATCAGCGGTTATTGGAGAGTGGTGGGGGGGGGGGTTTTTTTTGACTTTTCAAGGTTCCCCCGGTCTACCACCACAGTACGTAGTTAGTTAGTTATTGCTTACTACTTACTCACTAGTTTATACCCAGTGCTCCGTAGTGGAGGTGGGATAAAGAGTTAGATTAATATATGCTAGGCATATATGCAGGAGATGCTCCATAGGCTGTACCAGTGTACGGTGTATAGTACTAGGCAGTGGGGGGCCCTTGAAACAGAGATCATTGGGAAGGGGGGAATGCATGCGTTGTTAATACATGGAGATCAGTCGAGACTTGGGATCTTGGTTGGTCTGGGTGACATGACTCGATGCACTACTTGGTCTGATGACGGGATAGAGAGGAGGGTTTGAGTCTGTCACTCGTTTCACTCATTGGAAAGGAGAAAAATCATGGGAAGGAGAAGAATTCTCCTCCGTCCTTAGGGGGTCATTACCAGTAGAAGTGAAGACGATCAGTGACAGTTATGACAGACACCGATGGTCAGTTAACAAATGAAGGGTAGTAGCAAAGAAATATCAACCATTAATTGGTGTATAAGATGATCGACTGGATCGAAAACTCAAAAAGCACCCGGAAATTACATTACGCACTGGCACCCAAGGTTAGTTTTAGCTTTGGAGTGTTCTTGCCATGTGAGAAATAAAGAAAAAGAAAAAGAAAAAGAAACAAGGCTGAGGGAGACTGATTTGTCTTCTTGATCTTTACGATATGATTACTTTCAAGGCCGCAAGCGTTGGGTAATACCGGTAATACCGGTCATGGTATGGTATTTACCAGCATACCACTAGTAACACTATGAGGCGTGTCAGTCATCCTAGCGCATCGGCTTTGGTGCCAAACTCGGGAAGGCCCGAAGGATGATTCAAGATGGCGCGACAATCTGCCACGTGAAATAACCAGGGTCCAGACTCCAGCAGGGACGCTAATCCGAATGTAGATCTGGTCATCAACGCCCGCTCCAGCAGTTCTTGCGCGTCTTTTTACCAGGGTGTAATAAATTATTATTGCATCGTCACAGTACACAAGTTACTACGAGCCTGCGCTGTAGGTATATGCCATCGAATTCCAACCGACTCTACTCCGTACCCCTGGCTGCCTGGCTGCTTGCGATTTCGTTCCCCACGAACCCACCCACCCAACCATCTTTCTAGTGAGCTTCCCTGATGACGATCTGCGCTCGATGGCTGGGTTCACCAACGTGGCGGTCGGGGTCATTGTTCCAGAGTCCAGACACGCGGCTGCCTGCGATCTGGTTAATATTCTCTGGTGCTGCTCTGAAACTCCAGAGCCCGGTGTTTTTGTCTCTCTGGTTATCCCTATTTCATAAGAGTCTCGATTCTCGAACTCACCATCAACCTGCAATTTAGCACTGATGTCTGTCATCGCAGCCAGGCTGAATTTCTCCCTTCTCCAGATGTGATCTATAAACGACCATGCAGTTTCATGCGACTGTACATAATCTGCGCGACAGTACACTCTACAGATTTCGTGTCACCTTGCGAGGGGCAGCCTGCACCGCAGCAAGTATGGTGATCCCGCTGCAACATAGTCTCCATGTGTTTGTCGCTCGCAATATGCCCCTTGGTGCAACATCGGCTATCGACAATACGAGCAGAAGAAAAAGCGCCGCAGTAAGACAAATCGCAGTGCCTGGTACCTAGATTCGCATTACATGGGCACTGATTGGGCAAGGGGCAAAAGCAATAACTAGTACGGAGTACTACCTCACAAATGATAGACTCACATATTCGCTCCCAGGAGAGATTTAAAAAAAAAAAAAAAAAAAAAAGGAGGCGGGAGGCGTCGATTGGCGCGGGAATGATCGACTTCCCCTTGTCCAGTGGCCCGTACGTATTACGGAGAGACAGTCGCGCGTGGCGGGAGCTGCGTTGATCCATCCATCACGGCGTGGCTCACCTCTAGCCAGGATGTCTGGCCAATGGCCTGTGGACTCATTATTTAGAAATTTCTTCTCCTGAGAGGCGGATCGGCCTCTGGACCTGGAGAATGACCTCATCGTTAAATTTGATCGACGTCCGTCACACATCCGGTCGCAAACCTATCTCAGTCTATCGACTGTTTTCCCCAACTGTCAGTAGGGGTCTACTGTCTACTACCTATTTTGAACCTGTATTTTTTTTTTTTTTTTTTTTTTTTCTGTTTGCTTCTCATGACTGGCTTATTTTTACTTCCTGTCGCTGGAATCACATCTTGTTATGCCGTCGACTCGTCAGCCATAAACCCTTGCACCTTGGATAGAGAGAGGTCAGGTTGTGCAAGGCTTAACCTGATGAGGCGCACAGAAGCGAAAAAAAAAAAAAAAAAAAAAAAAGCCTCCAGTGTCATGAGATCTTGCTTTCCCTTTTTTTTTTTTTTTTGCTTTCTTTGTTCCTGACCTGACCCTTGCCTCCTATCAAGCCCGACGGTCGCAATCATCAATAATAATAACCCTGATTTAATAATACGGCGAAGTCCGAGATTTGATGACCATCGTCAGTTCAGAACCTCAATCATGACGACAGCGATGTACAGATCATGCTCGATATTTGATTTGAAACATCAGAGTACTTCTAGGTAACTATAGTCATAAATTCGATGCCGATTATCAGGATCAATATCAAGTAACACTAGTGAATCGGGTTGCATAGCTTCCAGCTTGAGGGCGCTGCTCCGGACTATGTAGAATACTAGAAACTAGAAACTTGATTGAGATACCCGCCACTAGACGGGTTGCAGTAGTTCATCCGCGCACTAAATTGGCGGTCAAAGCTGGAAACGTTGGCGGGCGTTGGGTGATCGTCGCACATCATCATTTCATCTCAACTTCTCTCGTTTTTTTTTTTTTTTTTTTTTTTTTTTTTTGAAGTCTAAGTACGGCCAACTAGTCCGAATCTGATGGGGAGCCCCGAAAACTTGCCTACTTGAGTTATGCTCCGGCTTACAAGACTCTGTACGAATTCGGAAAGTATTTTTTTTTTTTTTTTTTTTTTTTTTACTTGACTTTTAGTCTACGGAGTATTATCCGCCTTATAGATTGATGCATCATACGAAAGAGTCCGGCTGCGACATTTGGCTTCCCCTGTTATGAAGTAGTACTCCATACATCAAGCGGATTCCTTGAACTCGAGAACAATGCACGCCACAAAGTCTATTCATCCCTTCCAGCCAGGAGGAATGAGTTATAATGGGCAAGCAAATGCCTCAAATAAGCCCTAGGAAGCTATTCCGATAACGATGTTTCCGGTTTCCCCTGGTGATAGCCCGTAGTGGTGCCACAACACAACGTAAAAGGCAACGAAAGATCAAGCCCCTTTTGCAGAAGTTGAGTTTTGTCTTTTTTTTTTGGGGCAATGAATCTGAGTCTGAGTCTGAGTCTGAGTCTTACTTTCCTTTTTCATGCGCAAACCCAATCTTTAATTAAGTTCTCGAACCATAAATGCTGGCGGCCATAGCCGATTAAGCGAGGTCCTGTCCTCCTAGGTACGACCTACCAGTGAGTTCCATGGATAACCACTCCAGTCTCACAGTCTCCCCGATAGGTTGGCTCGTACGGGTCTACCTAACCTACTAGTAGTAGTAGGTAGCCCGAAACGCGTATGCAATTGGAGATTACCCGGCCTTTTTTTGTGTTCTGGAATTTTCATGAATTCCAAGACCGTGGTTGATGATCATCACCATTGCGATCCAGACGAGGATCATCCTCATAGTTAGTACGGAGTACTCCGTATTTCCGTGCTTGGTAGAGCTCGGGCAGGTTTGCGCGTTGTGGATCGGTTCTGGCCGACTCTTCCTCATTCCCATTTCGTCGGCCCTTTCTTTATCTGCTTTTCTGTATTGGGAATGTGTGCCCTTCCCGTCTTTTTGTCTTTTTTTTTTTTTTTTTTTTTTTTTTTGGCTATCCGTGAACTCTACTACGAAGTGAGACTGGGAGCCAAATAATAAGTACAGTTCCGGAAAGACAATTCAGGGGGAAAAAAAAAAAAAAAAAAGAAGAAGAAGAAGAATGTCTCATGATGCCTTGTCTACTCCGTACTGCGTATTCTAATCTAATAACCTGAACATATCTCGGGTTCGTTTGAAGTTTGACCTCTGGATATACTTCGGAGTAAGTACATTCACGTACCAGAGTACGGACCACGGAGCCTACGGAGTCTACCTCAGTCATAAGTAAAGGTAAAGTAGTATCACTGGACCAAGGATCGGGGTTCACCAAGTTTTCCACGTTTAGGTTCATTATTCATTTTCGAGTTGATTCGTACCATAGAGTTACAGTAGGTTAGATAGCACCAGTACTCCGTACTCCGTACATAATACGTGCTTGCTCCCCTTCGTAAGGTTTTTTTTTTTTTTTATCGTAAGTTTTCTCTTTCCGAGGCAGGTTTTTGTTTCCCCTCACGCTTGTAAGCAATAAGCGCCAACGTCTTGGTGGAAAATCAATCCTGAGAGTGGTTAGTATTTAGTTACCAGTTAATTAACCAACCAACCAACCAACCAACTAACTAGTTAACTAACTAATACTTTGTAAGCTTCCCCTCCACGAGACACCCGTCTGGATGTCTAGAAATCTCATTTATTAAGGTTTGGAGAGGACGATGGGATGGGATGGGGCGGCTTGGAGCCACTTCACACATGGAAACTGGGGCCTGTCGCGGAGTACGGATACAGTAGATGGTGAGGACCGGGAAAGTTTTCTACATATAGTTAGTTAACTGGTTTGCTGTCTTGAATGGTCATAGTGGTATACGGATACTCTGTATAGCGTCGTCCTTGATCACTTGCCCACCACCACCAGTAAGAAATCGAATCAAAATCCCCCCCTGGCAGACGCTAACTATGTAGTAGTGCCATTCCGTAGCCGGAATGGGACGATCATCTCGGGAAGAAAAATAAAAAGAGTCGAATTAAGAATAGCAGGAAAATGTTATCTTAGGACCTAGCTAGGTATCTAACTGTACTCCGTCCGTACAGGGTAGTCCCCGGTATACGATGTAACGATCACACACATGGAAATCTTGACGAGATAGACTCAAAATCGGATGATATTCTTATGACAGAATACGCTTTTGCGAGACATGATCTCGGTTCCGGAAGATTGGCAGGCTGATGATCATCTATTAGCCGTGTTTAAGTGGCTGTTCTGCTCGTCTCCAACACCACTTTGGGGCTGTTGTCCCTTTATTCCCTACTGTACAGCCCGGCCGAGGCTCAGCACATGTGGTCAAGAAAACTCGGATAGAGCCAGACATTCAACCAAGGATGATGCTAGATTCTTCCCCCCCCCCCCCCCCCGGGCCCCCAATTCTGTTTCTGCCCCCTTTGCTGGGTTTGATGAGGTCATGGAACTCGTGGAAGACGCTTTGGCGTTCTAGCTTTACATCTTGCGGCTTTAAAGAGTGCCGACTCCGTTTCCCGCTTGGACGCAAAAGGTCTGGTCTGATTCCGGAGTATCGAGTATACTTACTATATACCTTAACTATATGGAGTAGACTCGGGAGCTATCAGCTGTCGAGTCGGAGGGCTTGTGATCTCTGCCTTTCCATGGTCGATCCCAATGGGACGGAAATTGGGAACGCGTCCGTCCTTCCTTGCGGGTTATATGGACAAATCGGCATTGCACCCCGGAGATCAATGGTGAGAGGAGTGCATCGCCGGACAGGATGTGGATGCAGAGCGGTGCTACCAGGCTGCCACTTCATGGGCATGAGATGAGATGAGGATGAGCCTTGCATTTCTCCTTTTGCAAGTCTGTCTGTCTTCCGTTCTATCGGACAGATTTTATCTATGTACGAATACAAAGTGCCGCGTCACAGCCATGACCAGTCATAGTGGTGCTGTGCCCTGGAGCATGATTGATCAGTCGACTCTGGATGCAGGGCCTGCGTTGGTTGGAAGCTAGGAGAGGGAGTTCTCCCCAATTTTGATCCAAGACTCCTGAAATCTCATCCTGTTGGACAGCGGATGATCCATTTCTGCTGAAAGAACGAATCAAGAAAGGGAAAATTCAAAAATAAATCAAGAAATCAGGCAAGAAATCAAAAATGATCCCCCCAAAGACGACATATTTAGCAGTATGGCCCGCGGGAGAAATCCGGCATCATGCGCTTAGTCAGTGTATTTTTTTTTCTTGCCAACTCCACGATAATCTCCGGTTCCTTTTTATCACACTAAAGAGTCCCAAGTCCCTTGGCCCCCAATCGAAGGATGCAAAAGGATGGAAATCGTTCCCAGATTCCTTTCTTGGAGTCCTTGCCCAGGTTAGCTTTCGGTTGGTCCAAGCCCAGAAGCGTGGTTGACGCTGGGTTGAAAATCACTGAAGTCGGAGTCACTTCCAATCTGAGAAAAGGTCGACTCAGCCTTTGTTTATTATTTTACTATTATTATTTTTTTTTTTATTTCTTTCTCCCTGACCTCCCCCCCCCCCGGGCCTGCCGTGTTCCAGCTTACACAGTTGAATGGTGTGCATGAGACAGCTTCCAGATGAGGGTGAGTTCTTTTCCAACCTTGACCATGGTTGGCAACCGAAATTACCATTTAATAATAGAAATACCCAATAGAGTGGATATTGGGAACTGGATCTCTGGGACATCTGGATTCTGAGAATACCTAGGAAGCCCTCTTTCTCCCGAGACCAACCCCGAAACAACTTAACCAGAGGATCGACGGGCAATTTTGTTGGAACATGAGATCAGGTTCTCAGCACAAAATATGCGTGATCGTGCGGCAACGATCAGCCGTTAATGGGGCATAGGATCGTTGTGACAGGTAAAACCACCATGGCGCACACCCACACCTACCCCAAGGATCATCGGATGTCCAGTGTCGAGGCCCATTCCGACACACGGAGTCTAAGGGAGAGAGAGAGAGAGAGAGAGAGAGACAGAGAGCGCGTGGTAATTAAATGAATACCGGACTCTAGTTTCTACTGGACGAGTGGAATGGCCATGGATTGGGGGAATAGTAGTACAGTGGGGCCTCTTTTTTTTTTTTTTTTTTTTTTTTTTTAATTGTCCCCATGATTATCCGTAATGGTGATCGATTGATTACGGTTGGGAACTTTGGGCGCATGATAGGAGGAGGAGGAGAAGGAAAGGTGTCCGTGGATCTGCACTAGTGAAAGACTTACTATTAGTGAATTATATTATTATATCTTTTGGTTCTTGTTTTCTTTCGAGTATCAAGGGTTTGACTTGAAAGACAAGATAGATATAGTCAGGATACGTAGGGATAGATAGAGTACTCTAGAATATAGATGATATGGTTTAATTTGTAGGATTGTGAATGTACAGAGATGTAGATGCAGATAGATAGTAACAAAAGAAGCAGCTCGTCAAATTACCTTAAACAGGAACAACATTACCAATTGATAATACATCCTCCTTTCTCAAGTCAGTTTAGGGGGAGGGATCGTATTTTACACCTTACCAGTGGGGAATTTTAAAATTAACCCCCAAGAAAAAGCAAAGAAAAATTAAAATCAAAAAGAATAAAAAAAAATACCGATCCACTGGTCATTAATTAAGCTTTGGAACGGAGGTGTATCAGCCCTTATTGAAGCAAATCGAGAGTTTTCCCATCCAGGTTGGCCACTCGGGAAAATTATGGCTCTAAAATAAAATATTATTCCGTGACATACACCGTACATACAATACATACAGTACATACAATACATACCATTACCACAGTACAACAATTCATCACCAACTTCAACTTGCTTTCTGGCTCTATATTCTTTTTTTTTTTTTTTTTTTTTTTTCTCCCCCTTCATCCTGTCTGGTCTAGAATATTATATTATTTTCTGCTCAATTTTTGGAGCATCAGGTAATACTATTATACTACTACTCCGTACCTCTCGTCGCTCGGCTCCGTATCCATTACTCTCCACTCCTCCCGAGTCATTTTCCACTACGGCGGAGATACTCCCAGCTATAATTAACCTTGGGATTGATCCTCTTGGGATTAATTATTTTACTGTTATAATCGTGGTTGTTTGATTTATTACATTACTCTTCTCTTAACCTTGCTCCCCACTTCATCCAGCAATCCCCATTGTCGCTACTTTCCTCCACTGGGTCTATAAACCTCGTTCTTCCTCTTCTCCCCCCTGTTCCCATACTTGTCTCCACTCCATAGAAGGCCATACTTGTGTCTGTACCGTACCTGGGATCCGATTCGCATTCGACTACCTCCGTCGTCTGTTCATATATGGGTCGCTCATAGCCGCATTCCTTCTTCCCCAAATCTCCAATCTTTGTCTCCGGCTCTCCCAGACACTCCCCCTTCCATATATCAACAACACCTGCCTGGTATACTCTGGTGTGCGTTGGACAAGAGCCGTCATGGATCTCGCAAGCCTCATCTCCCATCCGGGTCCTGATCCTGCCTTGACTGTCAGGTCTCGACCATCTAATAGTCCTCCCGCGATTTATGCTGGCGCCTTCTATCCTACAGCGTCGACGACATCTTATTCCCACTTCGCACATGGCCCTCTGTCACCCCCAGTAGAGGACAGGTCCCCGCGCTGCTCTCTTCCCTCGATCTCTGCGCTTCTTGACAGCGCAGATGGTGTTTCCACCCAGGCTGCAAGTATGATTCTATCTTGAAGGCTACGCCCCGCATAATGTCGCGCAAAACTAATGGAATACAAATATAGAGCGCCAAAGGTTGAGCTCGCCTACCCAGCGCGAGCTGGATGCTCGAGCTTCATTTGACAAGGCTCCTCCCGTCCGCCTGCCACCTACTCCCCCACTCCGTCCGGGCTCTGGCTTCCACAGCACCGCTCACTCGCCGTCCACCTCCGTCTCGACCGGGAGCAGCACAATCATCATCAAGACAGAGTACCCGCAACAGCCCGTTACCCTCCCCAGCCCTACGGATAGATCGTCGATTTCAAGCCAAGGGTCTGTTCAACATGCATCAGGCGCTGCCTACGCCTCCCCGGCTCCCAGTGCCTCGTCATATTCTTCCCCCATCGAGCCATCGACGTCCTCCAACCTCTACTACCAGCACCCAGTGTCCTCCAGCACATACCAGAGCGCAGCCAGCGTACCTCAACCACCCCCGTCGCACCAGCCTATGATTTCCCCGGTGACCCCCGCCTGGCAGCACCACCACTACTTCCCTCCGTCCAGCTCCACTCCATACCAACAAAACCATGACCGATACATCTGCCGTACTTGCCATAAGGCCTTCTCCCGGCCGTCCAGCCTGCGCATTCACTCTCACAGCCACACAGGCGAGAAACCTTTCCGCTGCACACACGCCGGTTGCGGCAAGGCCTTTAGCGTGAGAAGCAACATGAAGCGCCACGAGCGCGGTTGTCACACTGGCCGACCAGTCGCGGCGGCCATTGTATAACCCTTGCGAATCTACCATGACGAGTTGAGGTCGAAAAGGAGAGCAAAAGCAAAGGAGCACTTCGCTTCACATCAAAGCATATCTCCATAATATCCACCCAAACATCTCCCTGTCTGATTGGACTGGGGCTTTTTTATTTTTTATTTTTTTTATTTTTTTTATTTTATATATTTTTTTTTTTCTCTTTTGCATGATACCCTCTCATGTTTTGCTTTTCTTCCTTTGGAGTGCTGACTCATTGTTATTTATTACTGGGAATGAATTTTCAGAGTTGAACGGACCCCAGGTGTTTGGAAAGGACAGACATGCATTTCTTCTCATCTCTTCTTCTTCCCTCATATCTCGAACGGAACTCAATCAGGTACGGTTACGGCTTCTTTTATTTGACTTATTCCATTATTCAAAGGAGCAAGGGCGTCACTGGCATAATCAGGTTTGGAAATTGGGAAAAGATACCACCACAACTTATATACACCACCACCATTAACCCCCCCCCCCCCCCTATATATTTCTTCTCCCTCGGGTTATATATATATATATATATTTATTCCCCATTTCTTTTATGCCATTTGTCATTTTCCTTTGTTCTGCTGTGACGATCTGATCTGATAATGAAATGACCCCTCAATTGAAAAAGAAAGAAAAAAAAAAAAATAAAAATAAATACCAAACTCATGTTATTGTTCTATGTTTGTTGCCTAGTACAGAGTAATGGTAACTAGAACCCTAATCTCCTGGCTTTGAAATAGATATCCAGGGCATGGGTATGGGTATGGGTATGTGTATGTGTATGTGCCTTGAGTGAGATATAGATGCAATGCAATATAATGAAATTAAGCTACTTTACTTATATTCTCCTTACACTATTACTTCTAACTGGTATGTCAGTATACATGTGTTTGGATTAGACATGCCACTGTAATGTGTTGGAATTGGAAGCATATCTCTGTAACTAGTTAACTATCCTACATTACGTTTCTTAGTCAATAACCAGCCCAAATAACTAACTAACTAGTTAACTAACTAACTAGTTAACTATGCATTGATAGTATTCAAATGAAAATGCCACGCAGCCATCTCTGGTATCATAGGAAATTATCTACAAGTCCCAAACACAAACCACCCCCCCCCCCCCATATATACCCACCAAACCACCTGCCGATCCGTCTCTTCTTCTACACAAAACCCAAACCAAACAGTATAGCTCAAAAAAAAAAAAGAAACACCTAGGCCGCTCAAAGAAACGAATTGCAAAATACCCCGGCTATTAAACACTTGAATTCATGGGATTCATGAAATCAAGCATAAACGCTCGGAGCCTGTGCTGTCCCACCCCCGATAGACCGCCCCTTGCCCTTTCCTTGGCCCCGTAGCGCGCGCATTTTGCTCAAGGCGCCGCCGAAATTAATGGAATTGTAGTCGTCGGGCATATGCTCGCCGCTGACGATGCAGAGAACCCGCATGCCTGGTTTATATACTAGTCCGTTGAGCAGCTTAGGCGTGATAAGGAAGTATTGGCCACCGCCGTTGCTTCCGTCGCGGCCCGGCGCGCAAGCGATATCAACCAGGCGTCCGTGGACCATTCGCTCGTTCCTTGGGTCCATTCCCTGATTGATTTCGTCGACGACGCGGAAGGGCGACGCCGAGAGGGACTGGAGAGCCATGAGGTAGAAGATCGTGCTGACGGCTCGTTCGCCGCCGGACTGGCGGTGCGAGTCAAGAAGAGAGAGATTCTCGTGTTCCCTGAATTTCACGTGGATCTGGATAGACCATTGGTCGAAGTCATTTCCGGCGCACTCGCCATCGGCACCGGATTCGTCTCCTGGTTTATCGAGGCTGACTTGGCCGGCGCAGCCGATGCGCGCGAAGGAGTCAGAGAATGCGTCGCTGAGACTCTGGACAATGGCGTCGAGTTCTGGTTCCCATTTGCCTCGGATTTCGTTGATGGCGTGCGAGTAGTCTTCTAGTTGTGTTTCAAACTCGGCGAGCTTTGCGCGTATCTTTTCAATCTGGCGCTCTCGCTCTTCGAACTCCTGAATTAGGTGGCTGCCGCCCCCGTGGGTGAGCTCGAGTCGTGCCTTTTCCGACTCGATATCCACTTCGAGCTGCTCCATAGAGTGTGAACCCACGGACTGCATCAACTCTTTCAGGTCCTCTTGTTGTGTTGCAATTCGCAGAACCTTTTGCGTATCTTTGCGAACTTCCTTGATTGTTTCTGTCATTTTTTTGACATCTTGGTTCTTCTGCTTCACTTCGTCTTCCTTGGCACTAAGCTTGTTACGATGCTCAGTGCTGCGAGTCCTTAGGGTTTCATAGTCCGACAGTCCTTCGATCTTCTGAAGACTCAATTTGATCAGTTCTTCTTGAAGGACGCGAAGCGTTTCAACGGCATCCTGTAACTGTTAGCATGGTATAATAATAATCCTCGAATTCTAGAAAATCATACAGCATATTCAAGAGTTGCCTCTGCCTTTTTGATAGACAACTGATCCTGTTGGCTGCGAATTTCTATCACTCTAGTTTTGACCGCATCAAAGAAGCTTTGGTTGCTCTTTTTCTTGGCTTCTTGCTGGTCTATTATGATGCATTAGTATCAGTTGTAATATAACCGAAATAGTGTATAGACGGAGCTTACGGAGTAGTTCTGGAATTGCCCTAAAGCGAGTGAAGGCAGTCTGTTTATCGGCTTTTTGTTGCTCAAGCTCCCTCTGTATGTGGCATTAGAACGCGCTCTAAAAAACAAGAAGAAAAGGCTGCTTACCCTTTCTTGTTCGCAACCTTTATACTCTTCACCCATCTGATGAAGTCTGCTCCTTTCAGATTCAATTTTTTCTTCAACGGCCGCTTTTGCATCTCTGAGTGTTTGGACCATGTGCTCCAATTCTCCCTTTGCAGATGCATCTACGGGCTGGGAGGTCCACACCTTGGCTGGCCTCACCTGCCGCACGCGAGTAGATGTAGCTCCAGGGCCGTATTCTCGCCGTCGGATAACTTGGTATGCCTGCTTCCCTGCAACCCACGAGCTAATCGGGCCGCTTTCCATTGTGGCGTATACTTCGTCAGAGATGTCTTGAAGACGGATGGGGGTCTGGTGCATTCTGTTCTCACTGCACAAGGATGCAATAACAGGTTCTGGGCCCTGGAGGAAGTCCTTGGCCCATCCTTCGAAGCCCAGACGCTTAAGTTCATCATCAGACACGGGCGGGTTGAAATTCACTAAAGGAATAGATGATGTTCTAATACTGATATCATGAAGTTTCAGCTCTCCGTTGAGAGCTCGCTGTAAAGTTCGGAAGTCGTTGCGAGTCTGTGTTGTGAACGCCATGAAATCCGTTCGCTGCAGAAGCGACTCGACTGGATCGGCGTATTTGGGGTCTTTAATTGAGCAGGTGACGATCGGAGGACCAAAAACTTCTTTTTCAAACCTGTGCTGATTTTGTAGAAGCCATTTGTAGGCTCTATAGGAGTCGGAAGAAGCGCTCTGGAGTTTTTTCTCTTGTTGTCCGGCTTGTGAATCAAGTCCCTTCAGTTGTTGCTCTGCCTGCTTTAAACGATCGTTTTTCTCGTTGAGCTCTTCCAGTAGCGACTGCCGGTTGGCTTTGATTTCGTTCGCCTTTTCTTCATACTCTCTTATCATTTTCCTTTTCTCCCTCTTTAAACGAATTAGCGCGGGCTGCATAACATGCGCGTAGAAATACTCACAATTTGTTCGTTATACCAATCAGCATCGAACTCGACAGGCTCTTCGTTTAATTGGCGCTTAAGTTTATTGATTGCTTGCTGGATCTTACTGCCCTCTTGTCGATAACCTAAAGCGCGCTTCTTTTCGTCTTCAATTTGCGACTCTAAAGATTTTGTAGAGTCTTCAAACTCCTCAATCTTCTTGCCGAATCTTGATGCAGTTTGATTTGCATGTTCGATCCCTCGCTGTTTATGCTTGGTCACTTCATCTAACTGAAGAACATAGTCTTGCTTCTTCTTCATGGATCTCAGAGCAGGTTCTAATTCTGCTTCGAGGATTTGCAGCTCGCGTTGGCAATTGTCTTTCTCTGTTTTTAATTCCTTAAAGCGATCGTGCATTTCTTTGTATGTCACTAAAGGACGACACATTTCCAGCATTTCGATTTTCCTTTTGATCTGGACTCTTTGGCGCATTCTCTCGACATCGGCTCTTTGCATCTCTTGTCGATTCTCAAGGTTTGACAGAAGATCCCTGTCGCCCTCGTGGCTCAGTTGAAGCTTCTTTTGCGCAGCCCTTAGGCTCTTGAGATTCTCATGCCATTCAACCATCTCCGGTCCAGACGCCGCCCTTTGTGTGGAGCTGAGCAGCTCAACTGGTGTAAGGGCAGCAAACTCGCTAACTTTGTCTTGTGGGAGAAACTGGCATAGATTGTCGACTTGAATTGAGAATGACCGTGCAAGATTTAGAACGTCTGCACGAGAGGCCTGTTTACCGTTAATCGTGAATGAGCTTTTGTTGCCATCTCGTTTGATCGTTCGACATATGACAGGGTTTCGAGAATGCTTCGGGCCCTTTGCAAGCTCAATCTCGATCTCTGCCTCTCTGCAGCCATGCTTGACGAACTCTCCGAGGTCTTTCGCACGTCCGAGATGCTAGAAGGCAGGATACATGAGCATTCACATACTTCAAACAGAGACACTTCATAGCTGAGGGTTTCACATACCTGAGGACCCCATCCCAGACCTAGGCAAATTGCACACACAAGTGTACTCTTACCTGTCCCGTTCGGCCCAATCACCATGTTCAATTTCGGCCCAGGGAAAAACTCTGCAGATGTATATGTCACGAAATCAGTCACCTTTATGCGAACAATAGCCCCGGGTTTGAATCCCTCTGGCCCGACTGCATTTGCACTATTTTGGATAATTGGTAGATTCTTTGCTGGGCCATGATTGGCAATCTTAGTAGGTCCAGATGCACTGCCGCCCTCCTCACTGTCCTCGCCTCCCTCTGTGTCGAGGCTACCATCATCGCTGGGTTCAGAATCCTCCTCCTCCGGTACTGATAGCCTAGGACGCTTGCTGCTGCTTGCTGGGGTGGGCTCCGGGGAAGATGAGGATGCGGCTTCATCAGACTCCTCCTCTTCTTCGGACCGTTGTCGCCGACGGGGTACTGTTTTCAGCGAAGACATACTTGATGGGTATGATGGTGTTCAAGATACCCATCAAGCACTCAAAGGCGAGGATGTCTTCACAGTTTCTTTGTTACAATCAGCGACTCTCATGTGGGACGCGACGCGCCCCAGTCAATCTATAACCGAGTATAGTAGGCGGTATAAACAGGCAAAATTATTGTCCCTGCATCAACTTTCAACAACTTCCCCGGTATACACAAGTGGACATTGACGGATTGTTGAGAAAAGAACCCAGTGTACCGTGGAAGTATTTTTTTGCTCCGAAAGGGGTTTACGCTAGCCATCATGGGCCAACCTCTAAATGCAAAGCGCCTCGTTTTAACCGGTGCTGTGACTATGATTACAATCGCCGGAACACTCTACGGTGCTGGCATCAAGACGGAAAACGAAGTCTCTGAGGTAAGGACCTTGTGAATTGCTTACTCGATCCGATGCTGATTTTAATCGGTGGGCAATAGCAAGTCCAGAAGTCTCGAGAAATCACCATCGACGAACACATTGCCTCTCTTCGGAATCACCGGCAGGGTTTAGCTATGAAGAAACATCTTGTGGAAAAGCAAATACATGACCTAGACGCTAGGATCGAAGAACGAAAGAATAAAGGGCTTGATAATAAGAGAGGATGATGGATGACACCATAAGAAGAGATCACTGGCCGAGACGACTTGGTACGCTTAGCGGCTGGCACAACCTTCCTCATTGCTGCATGAAACTTATTGTTTTCAGGCATCTATCGCCCTGGTCCGAGGCCGATGGGACCAGCGAATTGTCCTCTAGTCTCGTTATTCCCCGAGAATTTACTACGGAGCTATTGTTCTTCCCACGGCCAGCTTCAACGACATGCGTGACAACCACCTGGGCCGCTCAGAATCTGTGTCGATGCTAGTGCTTTGCAATACCCGTCCTAACTGGGGAATCGCAATCACTAGCGGCTTGAAGACACATACATGGCTTCGGGTGAAAGCCATTTTGTGGATGGGGCCTGACTGAGCGTCTACCATCTCCTAGCAGCCGGAAGATTGCTCTCGCCTTGGTTTTCGACTAAATACAAATCGCTCAAGATGTTTTTGGAAGAGAGTGTTAACTGGATGTTCATTCTTCTAGTCTATCTCTAATCGAGATGTTGTATATATTAAAAAAAGTAAATACAGGTCTACATACATCACTTGCGCGATCCCAATAAGGGTAGCAATGATAACCTTGATGCAACATCCCTATCCTATTTCCAAAAACGGATTCATCACTTGTTATTCATCCAGAATACCTCGTGTAAGACCAGCAAGGCTAGCTTCATACCTTGCTGGGTTGTGGTCGCTGAACATTCCTGAACCGAACTTGAGCTCTCCAAACCGAGTTTCGACATCTCGGATGAACTTTAACTGCACCCTTGTCGCAGGTTTTCCCAGTCGCGGATAGCCATCTTCGCCTGAATCGGAGGTGAAGGCGTTTCGCTGCAGAACACGCATGGTTTCGACGACAAACACCTCGCCAGGAGGTACTAGTTTAGGAGCGCACATGCTTTCACGCAGAGTTTTTAGGGTTTTCCACGCCCATGCATCTTCGCCCAGACCATCTCCAGCATGCAAGAGTATAGGTGTCTCGTGAACATAAAATTTGTTCAATATACTTTGTCGTAAGCTTTCCCAGACACGATAACGTACATGTGATTTGGCGTCAGAAACATCACTTTTAAACGCCACTGACGCAGTGTGCATATCATGTAGGATTCCCAAGGAAAGGCTGGGAACCACATCTTGGCCATTCACAATTGTCGTTATTAATCCACGCGTTGCGCGTCGTAGAAATGGCGACATGGTCGCAGGGGGCCCATATGCGTAGACATGGATAGGACGCCCAGGGGGTAGGTAAATGGCAGAGTGGCTCTCATCCTCTGCTTTTCCACCTCGGAGCATAAACTGCTTGCTAGAGTATGAAGTTGTTGTGAACGATGTCCTTGAAGCCTCATTGCCGGGTTCAGATATCATGGTTGCCAGGAGCGCTGCCACGCCTCCCCCGAGTGAATGGCCACATAGGACGACCCCGTATTCTGGGAATTCCTCCAACGCGGCTCTGATCGTAATCATGACTCTTTTTCCTCCTCCCATCAAAAGATGGTTTGCAGACGCATGCATTCCTTTGTGGACCTTCCAGCTTTTCCCCTGCCATTCAAGATCATCGTAGTCGCATGTCATATCTGTGAGAACGTCTTCGAAGCCCCACGTGCCTCTAAGCGCAAGGACAACAGCTTTCGATTCATGGTCTAGAAAGAGATAATGGACCAGAGGAAATCCGTTCTCCGTCTCCCCTGCTGCGTTGGAGCCACCCTCAGGATCGACAAAGGATGAAAGTAGAATGGTTGAAGCTGGCAGTCCCGTATGGCCTGAGAAGTCGCTGTGCTCTTGGCTACCAATATCCTCCAAATTAACAATCTTAGGCGCCTGTGGCACACCCATTACCTTTAAAGCATTGGAGCCATACGATGCAGAGGCGAATCGGCAAAAACGTCGTATGTTTTGAACAAAGTGTTTCTGGGGGAAGATTCCCGGGACAAGACCATCCCGATTGAGGGCCTGAATTATAGAAGTGTCATCGTATGCACTCTTAGAGGAGCGGTGTGCGAGTACAAGAGAAGTTTCTGATCCTGCTGTGGCGAGAGAATATATACTAGATGAATAGGACGTGGATCTTTGGTAGAAAGACGAAGGGTTTTGTCGAGTATCGTTATGCAGTGTCACTGTTGTCTCCGTCTCAGATCTTGTGAGTGATAACGAGCTGCTACTGCGAACATGAGTCCTGGTTGCTTTTGGTGAAGAACAGCGAGAGTCGCGAGAGAGAGAGTAAGCATCTGTCCGCGCCATGTATGATTCTTTTTCGTGGACTTGATAATATCCGGCTCTTGGGCCTCTTCCATGATTGGGATCACATTTATTCGTGCGATGTGAGGATGGTTCTGGGGAACTCGGTCGGATTCGAGCATCTTGAAGTGGTGTCCTTGGGACGCCTCTGTTCGCAACAGAGGACGAAGGTGCGGTCTTGGAAGGCACCAATAGTTTTCCAGGCCTTGCCTGCGTAACTGATTTGCTAGCTTGAGCCTGAGCTGGTACTTTCCTTTCAGTAGTAGATCCTTTATATGCCTTACTACGCTGGATTGAGTTTCCAGGGGAAGGTTGCGTATTGGACCTATCAAAGGGCGGACGTACTGATGGCCGTTTGCTAAGCTCATTCTTTTCCCTCGTAATCGGCTTCACCTTTTGAGCGATCTTGGTCAGTGAACTCTTGGTGAATCCGCTTTTTGAAGCCGCGTAGTTTTCTTTAAAGGCATCGCTTGCCTCGGCGCGATGTTGCTTCTGAAGATGCATGCTGACATCTGGCCAAGGTTGTTTTATCACAATATCTAGGCTGCCATTTGGGACATTGGATTCGCTGTCTGGGGCTTCGGAGAGAGATACTTTTTGAAGGCCTTGTGGGTTATAACGTTGTTGATCGTCATTTACCTCACTTGTGCCAACCACCTGTCTAGAGTGGGGTCGCACATCGGCACTCTGAGTTTTGTTGAATGCTGTTCGAAATACAATCGTATGCCTTGGGGTGTGTGAGCCGGTCGGAGTTCTCCTACCGTTGTGAGGATCGTTGTGAAATCTCTCTTCGACAATCATCGTACCAGGCGGAGCAGCAATTTCTCTATTGTCGTCATCAAAGACATCAACGGTTATTGTACGTGCAGTTACCCAATCAGTTCTGATCGACGCACGGCAGCCTTGAGGGAGCTGTTTCATTATGTACAAGTGAATGTCTTCGTCTGATATCTGGTGTTGATTTTCTGGGAGGATAGTGGAAGGGTTCTCTGCTGTGCCTGGGGTGCTCACCGGACGCTGCACAGCACGGAACTCCTCCTCCCCAATTCCTGGGGACATAAAGGAGGATTGACGTGATAGATTACGCATATTCTCATGCGTCCCATCTGTGGAGTCTATTTGGTGTGTTTCGACAACATCCGCTCTAATCCCATTGTCCAAGATGACCACGTCCCATACAGTTTCCTCACCGCTGTTAGCTCGTATATACCTTTCTGTATTCTTTCTTCCCCAGCGTTGGAGCATTGCAAACCCGACAGTACCCACTAGGAGATCGCCAACGCCGATTTTCTCGGAGCCAATCTCGGAGCCTTGATTTCTGAACTCTTTGCGGATGAGGGTTATGATAGCTGCAATGGCCCTTGATGACTCTGTTGACCCAAGAATAGCATCGAGGGTTGAAAGCAAGGCCTGGGACATATTGGCGGCAGACGAGAGTGTGGTGGATGAAAAGTGGAAGGTTGCGGCCGCAAAGAAAGACGCAGACGTCACAGTGGTATGCAATGCAGCAATCTAAGTCTTAGTTTAGTCACCAGGAAGATAAAAAAAGAGAGAAAAGAATGTCAAGATACTGAAAATAGAACTTACACTCCTCTCAAGCATAGATTCCGCCTCTGCTCTCCCATGGGCCCCGCTACTTCGAATCGCGACATCCCGGCCAGCTCTGGTCAGAATGCCCTCAATAACGGCGCGACTAAGCTCCAAGCCCGTTAACGTTGTTATTCTTGCCCCATCAAGAGCAACTCCACCAAAGAAAGTCCCCAAGCGAAGGGAAAGAGAAGTTGACTGGGTTACGAGTGACACAAGAGACGCGACTGGCCTGGGAAGTAGTGTCGTGCCCGGAGATGAGGTTGCCTGGCTTGCGCTGCCCTTGACATTTGAATCGGCGCCATCAACCCCATCCGTTTTCCAGCTTCCAAAGCCTAGCAGCCTAGGCATCTCGAGCCATTGACGTAAGAGCTAGATCTAAATCTGGTTCTGTTTGATGGGTTCCGAGAAAAAGGGGGAAACAACACGTCCTGCCGCCATACAGCTGGGCGGGAACTAAAAATAGGAAGGGATTAAGAGATACAATGGAAGAAATGGGCTAGAATGTTAATGATCGATGATAACGCGGGTGTTGTTGTTGTGTTGGGAGGCTCAACTCCCTGATCCTAATATTAGTACTCCGTTTGGTCTGGGGATAGTTAGTTGGGCAGTTGACATGTGATCATCTTTCCAAACCCCCTCCCCCGCAATGAATTGCCCTTGAAATCAAACTAATAATCTTGTTTCAACCTTTCCATGCATGATTGGACAGAAATAATATCAAAGAATTAGAACCTTGGGCTAGATATCTTGGTAGGTTTGTTCCTTAAAGTGATTTATACAGGAATAATCAGCTTTCTCTCCTCTAGATGACCCCCTCGGTTAAGGAAGGTTACCTGGACCTCTTCCTCTTTCAGGCTGTCTTCTTCCACAGGACCTAGGTAGATTGCTTTCAACACATTGCCAATTGACATCCAACATTGGAGAAACGAGGGAGCCTTCAATGTAAATTCGGTACCCCCAAAATATCACAGCATGGATTTCACGTCACCAGGGTATTGGACCTTTCTGATTTTATCGCTAGTGCACTCTGCCACAGTACAGATCCCAGCCAACGACATGCTTTGCCACAGGTCGGCTTGAAGGCCTTTTAGTACAGCCTTCGCTCCATTCTTCCCATCAACTGCTAGGCCGTAGATTACTGGCCTACCTACCAACACCGCTTTAGCGCCGAGACACAGGGCCTTGATAATATCGGAACCTGTTCGAATGCCGGAATCAAAAAGGACCGTCAATTTATCACCGACTGCATCAACTATTTCAGGGAGCACTTCTAAAGAGCCAATGGCTCCATCAAGTTGTCGACCTGGGTAAAAATCAACATACAGCAGAAGGTGGGGGGAGGACAAAAAGGGAAGCTGTAGTTTGGTCGGTACAGCCCTTGTAATTGAGAACATACCTCCATGGTTAGAGACGACGATACCATCACAACCCGCATCAGCAGCGAGTTTCGCATCATCTACATGCTGAATTCCTTTCAGAACAAGAGGGCCGTCCCAGTTCTTTCGCAAGAAGGAAATCTGGTCCCAAGAATGGGGTGAGGTGGATAAGACGCCTCCGATCCATGCCCTAGAAGCTCCAACTATATCTTCTTCTACTTTAGAGCCAGTTTCCTTTTCAAATTTAGTGCGGAAGACTGGGTCGGAGAATCCGACCTGATTTCCAACTCCCCGAATGAATGGGATATAAGCGTTGTCTAAGTCTGCAGGTCGCCAGGCAAGAGACCATGTGTCCAGTGTTACAACCAGAACAGTATATCCATTTTCTCTTGCGCGTTTCAGCAATGAAAGGGTAATGGCATCGTCGCCTGGCCAGTAGAGCTGAAACCATCTTTTGCCGTTCCCGTTCGCCTGGGCTACATCTTCGATAGAGCTGGTACTGGCAGTGCTAAGAGTGTACGGCACCCCGACTTCTGCGCAGACTTCAGCCAGTCCAGTTTCCTTATCATCGTGGAATAGACCTTGGACGCCTATAGGTGCCATAATAAGAGGAGTAGGATACTCTTGGCCAAAAATGTTTATGGCAAGGTCCTGCCTGTCCATCTATATCGTGATGGGATGGTTATTATGCATTCAAGAATGGCAGGGAGAATAATGAAGCTAAAGACCACTAACCTTTTTCAACATTCTGGGGATTCTATATACAGATAGTTTAGCATGATTCATGTAGCTAGCTAGTATTGATAGTATGATTCAGAGACGTGGGCTTACAGCTTCCATTGACGAAAAGCCAGACGATTACTGTCCATTGTGGACTTCTCCCCTGCGCCACCGGCGACATAATTAAAAGAACGGTTGCTCAACGTCCTTCGGGCCTGTTTTTCAAGTAGCCGAGGATCAGTGGTGACGTTCGGCTTGAGGCCTAGTAAGGCGCCTTGGCCGTAGATCTCTGTTTGATACTGTCCGTAGTTTTCTGGCATTTCGAGACTCTTATGGTGAAAAGACTCTATAATTCATCTCATCAAATGTGAAAAGGGAAGAGAACTCCTCGGGTGTCAATTGTTATTCCTGCTGGTTTACATAATGTCATGACTCTCCACTTGCTGATCCCCATGTGAACAACGCAGGCGCCATCCCAGAAACAGAAACAGATTAATTTCGTCCACTCTGGCCTCCTCATTTGCCAACCAGCTGTCAACCCCAGACCTCCACAGGTCTCTTAGTACGGAGTACTATGTACTACTACTCTGCTGGCACTCCAGAGTATCTTATGCTTCGGTTGTGCTGTCGCGTTATGAATGATTTTGTATTCAACTACCTATCCGTGGAAACATTAACTACCGAGTAACAACTTCGCTTACCGAAGGTATGTGATGTGACTCGACAGAAACCCTTCGTTAGACTCTGGATTCAGTCGGATTAATGCTTTTTGATATTCCCTCTCAGATTTTGACCCGAATCCACGATGGCAGCCGTCAAATTCCAAGAGATGGCTAGGCGACACCTACCTACCCACCCCCTGCACGATTACCAGGCACAATTACACCCAGCTCCAAGGTAGTCTCATATATGCTATTCTCGAATGATCCATGATCGGTTGGATCGATTTCACCCACAACCTCACCGCAGGACTTTTCAATATCAACCAAGGTAAGCTGCCTTTGATTGACACCGTCCGAACGGCATTTCGACCGCCTTACCAGGCATGAAATTTCCTCACCATATCACGTATGACAATAATTAAATGCAAGAAAATGTACCGATAATCTTCAATATTACTGTGAACTCATCGATATGCAACATGCAGATTGGAGTAAGGGATGGATCCTTGAACGCTTCACTGGATTAAGAAAGGATACGGCCGAGAAATTGACGTTAGAAAGGAGAGCAAGGAGGGAAATGGAATAGATATTTGCTGCATACCTAGTTACTCCATACTGAGAAGCGCCGTGCAAGATTAGGATATATGCAAAGACTAGTAAAGTTCTATCCCATTCCGAACGGCCACACAAAATCCACTCCGCTCCCCGAATCGTTGATAAGCATCTGGTCTGGATTCTTGGCACGACATTTTCACCCACTTTTGTCATTCCCTCCTCTGTTCTCGTCTCCAAGATCTCGCATTTCTGGCTATACTGTTGGATAACGAGTTCCTCGGTGTTGCTTCAAGGGATCTGAGCGGAATACAAGGCATTGATTCCTATTGAACATATGCGCCATGGGAATCCTTTAGTACCAAGGGAAGTGTGATTTCGCAAGCGGCTTACAGCTTGCTCATACAAGAGAACAGGGCGGAGAAAAGATCTAAAATCGCGCTCGGCAATGGAGCATAGAGGGGCCTCCAAGATGGACGTTGAATCAGCGCCCCCGGCCAAAGAAATGGGGATGCCGATAACCGAAATGAGTTCCGATAGCTCAGTCATTGATGAGAAGGAGGAAGAGAAACTTATTCGAAAAATGGATATACACATCCTTCCTTTTGTTGTGTTGCTTTATCTTTTCAGTTTCTTAGACAGAGGTGAGTTGGATTTGCTGTCTTGTTGTGCGCCATTCATTGACCAGGTGATCTTAGTAAATATTGGGAATGCCCGCTTATATGGGCTTGAGGATGACTTGGGTTTGGTTGGGGATCAGTATCAAGTCGCAGTATCTATTCTATTCGTGACATACTGTGTATGTTAAGCAGTGAACGTTTGAAAAGTTGATACAGCCTCTGACCGTCTTTATCTATAGTTGTTTGAGGTCCCCTCAAACCTGGTCATCAAAAAGCTTACTCCATCGCGTTACATTGCATCGATAACAGTCATTTGGGGTATCATTGCAACTCTTACTGGCATCACTCAGAACTATGGCGGTCTTATTGCTTGCCGTTTACTGCTTGGTAAGCTATTCCAGTCCTCCCATGTTAATCCCTGGGTTCTTATAAGTTTATTCTTAGGCATCGTGGAGGCAGGTCTTTTTCCGGGACTCATGACATACCTTACTCTTTTCTATAGCAAACGCGAAATTGCGTTGCGGACCGGATATCTCTTCAGCAGTGCAGCTCTCGCTGGGGCATGTGGAGGTCTCCTCGCATACGCCATTGGGTTTATGGACGGTCTCAGTGGGCTAAAAGGTTGGAGATGGATCATGATCCTTGAAGGCATCCCTACGTTTATCATTGGGGTGGCAGTTTGGTTCTTTCTTGCGGACGATCCGGACACTGCTTATTATCTTAGTGCGGAGGAGAAAGCATTGGTTGTCAAGTGCCGCAGCCGCCATGTCGGATACACTGCATCTGCACAAAAGTTCCATTGGGCAGATGTCAAAGAAGGCGCACTGGACTGGAGGATCTATGCCTTCTGTATCGGTCAGTTCGGTGTTGATACGATGCTCTATGGTTACAGCACCTTCCTCCCAACTATCATCAAAGGACTAGGGACATGGTCAACCCCACAGATCCAGGCCCTTACCATTCCCTGCTATGCACTGGGAGCTATAGCGTACTTGATTGTCGCCTGGCTTAGCGACCGTACACAGCGTCGCGGTATTTTCATCTGCATTTTTGCAGCAATCTCTGTCGTTGGATACGGGATCCTCATTTCAGACTCTTCTGCCGGTGTGCATTACTTTGGCGCACTACTTGTGGCGTTGGGGCTATATGTAGCCGTCGGTCTGCCTTTGGCATGGCTACCCACCACTCTCCCTCGCTACGCAAAGCGTACCTTTGCCACTGGTCTCCAGCTGACGTTTGGAAATGTTAGCGGGGTTATGTCACCGTTTCTATACAAGACGACGGAGGGACCTCGTTATGTTCGAGGCAATGCAGTGACTCTGGCGTTGGTTGGTTTTGCAGGGATAGTCTACGGACTTATGTGGTTTTATTACCATAAGAAGAACCAGCGCAGAGACCAAGGTCTGGAGAATGAGAGAGTTGCGGGCATGACAGACGAAGAAATTGACGAAATGGGGGATAAAAGCCCTCGGTTCCGATACACTACCTAAGCAAGCAACATCCTTCCTGTTTCTTTCCGGGGGAGGGGAATGTATGTATATCTCATGTACATACAGTTTTATATACCTTAGTATCTTTTTGGAAGAGAGACTCGTAAAAAATACCATCCTGTTATAATAGTACATCTTAATCTTATATATCTAGTACCGGTTATGTGCCAACTACAACCCTCTTATTAGATTTAGTCTTGATGGCAGGAATTCTGTCCATTCCAGTTTTTCCAGGGTTTCAATTTCAGATACCCCATTATCCCTGTGCTCGTGCTGTAACCATAGAGCATAACTAGTATCAACTGAATTAACCGATACAGAAGACATAGATCCTCCACTGGCCATCCACTGCGCCTTCTTAAACCTTTACTTCAGGCTAAGCTAGCAGGAGATTAGGAGAAAACGAAGACGGAGTAAAAAGTCTCCTATCTAGGTAAATAGAGAGAGAGGATAACATAAATATTATTAGCCCAATGGCTCTTAGCTATTCTCCATCTATCTATATCTGCCTATAAGGGAGATCGCAAGCTCCGCAGAAGAAAGGATTCAGGATCAGGCTACTTAGTCTTTAGGTAGTAATATGCGTTTTACTCTATTACCTTCCTCTGTAGCTCTATCTTTATTTCCTTAGGTACGTAGGTAGTCGACAGGTCCTCTTCTACCCTGAGAAGTAGAACCTAACAAGGGTATTCATAGCTACCTCAGGGCTGCTTTCACCCGGTTTCTGAGCTGTGGCGAATGCCCCTATTATATGACCCAACTCAAAGACATGTAAAAATGATAGGTATGATATACTTTGTTAGCCATAACATGGAGCCTCTAGATCTCTGTTTTTATCCGTGCCCCTGACTATCCACCCGACATTGGAAGCAGGGGGGATAAGTTTTCTATGCTGAGAAAGTGCAGCAGTTCCGCCGGGGCCAAAAGCCTGCAGGGACGACTTCCAGTGTCATCCGATGTCGGTGATGTAGAACAGCTATTGTCAGTTCCAAGCCTTTGCCAGGACGACGGGAACAATGCAGTCTGCCGTAATCAATCTAGACCTTTCACGCGGAGTTAGAACGCCTTCGGGTTTGGCTTTATTATCTTCTGCAGCACCGTGGTTTGCTGTGCCCAGCGACAGCCACTGATCTAAATAGAATGGGGTGTGTAAACACACCAACTCCAAGGTAGAACGGAGTAATAAAAAGTAAAAGAGGTAGTTAGTTAATTGCTGCTATCTTCATAATAGAGTCTATTTCCTAATTTGGGATAGTTTTTGTAACCACGTGACTGGCGTATTATAGTTAACCCGTGCCGAGAGAAGATCCTCGGATGCATTACGTCAGCAATGGCGGACACTGTTTATTGCTAACAAAAGTTTTGGTCGGGTCCAGTTGCCTGGAGCATTAATTTTTTGCCAGAAAGAATTCAAAACTTCCTCCCAGGTGCATTAAATTCCAAGGGCCCTTGATTCACACCCTGCCTGCACCTTGTCTGATATCCTCCTTTTCACCCTCTCTCCTCCTTTCTCGCAATATATTTGAACATACTGTTGATTTCAGTTTGGTATGGAGTACCACGCCGTTCCTCTGGAGGAGCGCGCAAAGGACGACAAGGGTAACATTTTGCCTTGGGGCTATGTATACAAGGAGTAAGTTAGCCCTAGTACTTGTACTTGATGTTGTAACTGCTGTGCAAGCTCTCCTCGTTCCTCCAGGATTGGTTTCTCTCTAACCTGAACACAGTGAATCTCGCAACCCACGACGGCCACCAGAGGAAACTGGACCATTCGGAAAGAGGAGAAACGCGCGCTACGAACATTCCCGATCGCGTACCCGTACTGGAACTCCAGCCAAGAAAGAGAATCCTAATGTCGCAGAGTTTGGAAGACTGTTCGCTCAACAACAAGAAGAGGAGAAGACAAGAAACACCCTTCCCAAGTCGTCGTCGTCATCCAACATCGAAAACTCGAGAAACCAGACAGAAAAGATTGCGACAGAATGTATACTCTATGGATATAGGAATAAGGACTCCGAGTGGAAGGTGATTGATAAGTTTGAGCGGATTTCGCGAGGAGTGATCTGTGAAGACTATCCGCGAAGCGACCCCAATTCTAGCAATGGGTATTCCCAGCTCCTCAGCGGCGGGGATGTAGTTATCCGTGCGAATCTGTCTGCGGATGCAAACCGGAAGTCGAAGCGATATGCAGGTGGTTACCATTGGATCAAGGTCACATTCGACTCGGCGAATGCCGCAGACGTCGCTTGCTTCTACTCTCCCCAGACAATCGACGGGCATCTTGTTTTCTGTGAATTATATCATGGACAGGGCCCAGCGGAGGACATTGCAATCCCTAATGGTTCGACAGAGGCCCACCGCTTCCAGTCGAAAGCGGCCAGAACGTTGACTACCTCGCACTCCACCACTTTCCTCCAGAGCAAAGATAAAGAACGTTCCACCCTGCCTCGATCCTTTGCCCTGAATAATCTCGCCAGCGTTGCTGATGCGGAGGAACTCGCATCTCTGCAATCCACCACCACGACTGTGAGCTCAGCAACAGCCACTGGAATCGAGCAAGCCACACTTCAACAGCGACATGTCGCGAAAGAACCCAATCCCGAGTCCGAGTACATGACGCATATCCCAACTGTCCGTCGAACGAAGCTTCGACCACTGTCAGAAGCTCTTCCGCCACAGCCCACGGTCACAGAGCGTGTGCTACGGTCGATCCCGATTCTCAGCTGGTTCACAGGTGATATCGTAGGCGACGGTCCGCAGCTCCGGGAAGATGGGACCTTTGATTACGATAAATCCAATTCGTATTGGCGATTCTGGTATATGGTCGACAAAATCTTGGGGACCGATATCTGCGGGCTGCGAGAGGAATCGTGATACACTAACTAGCCCACCAACCAACCCACCAACCAACCCCTTGGTCGTTTTCGTTCCCATTACGATCGATACTTTCTTGCAATCGATAGGGGGCTCACGTTCCATGACCTTGCCTACCTACCACATTCTTATACCCTGATGCATGTATGATAGATATACTGTTTATGTGGCGTGTGTATCGTTCCTGAATTTTCTTTCCAGGGCCTGTTGCTTTGTACGGGGGGTTATAATAGCATTTTTCGTCAGGGGCGCTTAGGATATTGTAATTGCGGCATCATGGTAGTTAATTAGCAGCGGAGGCTAATAAAACGCGTGAACTGGTTCGAAATTCCCTAATATTCTATCTAGTGACTCTTGTTTACATCTAGGATGAATCAGGTATTCAACTCCCGCAACTCATTCCATTACACTACTACTACTACTAGTACTAGTCTGTACTAAATACCAGTGCAGTAGAGATAAAACTATTATCTTCACTGTACCGCCAGCGCCTTTCTAACCATTCTTCTGTCCCAGGCCTCGAATACTTGGCCTCGTGCAGCAATATAGAAAGGAAGGGAAACAAACAAACAAAGCAGAGAAAAATGCAAGATGTAATATGCAATCAATAGCCTGCCTGCCTTGTACTTTTTCATTTCAGATAAAGATGGAAGAAGAAGAAGAAGAAGAAGATATCACATCACATCACATCATATCTTATCATATCATATCATATCAGGGATGATTTGATTTGATTCGATTCGGATTCAATTCCTTTCAAATTTTATTGGTTTGGTTTTGATTGATTTGACGGCTGAGGATGAGGAGGAGGATTTCAAAAAAAAAAAAAAACACACACATTAAAAGCGTCATATTTATTCAACATTGCTCTCGAAGTTCTCGCCCTCCACCAGATCGGGGATATCGTCCTCATCGTCATCCTTCTTGCCCTCAGCACCGGCCTGGTTCTTCTGCATGTTCTGGTAGCTCTCTGCGAGCTTGCGCAGGGAGGCGAGGCTGTCGGGGCCAAGCTGGTTGAGGATACCGGGGACGAGCTCGGTGAGTTCCTTCTCCTCGCCGTTGCCGTAGAGAGCGAAGGTGTTGGAGGGGACGGAGGCGTGGACTGTTTTTCATTTTCATTTTTTTTTTTTGATTTCCTAGTTAGTTTCTGGCTTTCCTCTTGTACTGGGATTGTATTCTTGGTTCTTGCGTCTGGGCGAAGAAACTGGCAAGGTATTTAATTCAGATAGGTGCTGAACTCACCCTTAGGAGCAGCGAAGTGGATGACGTTTCCGTCCTCCTTGAACATGTTGACCTCCTCAATAGCCTGGATGGGCTGGACGTTCATCTTCTTCAGGGTAGCCTGGAGCTTCTTGTCGTCGGCGCCGGAGGTCTTGTGGACCTTCTTAACCTTGCGGCGGGGAGTACCCTTGCCTCTGGAACCGGGGGGTAAAGGATTAGCGAATCTGGTTGTAAAACGAAATAGGTGGCTCCGAAATCATTTCGAGGGTCGTAGTAGGAGTAGGAAAGCGAAATCGAGAACTAGATACATACCCTACAACGAAGAAGAAGAAAAAGAAATGTTAGCACACAATGGGTTCTTTATGTCACCAGGTTTGCATTGATCATTTCCATAAATTCCAAGAAAAGATCCAGACCCCTCTCTCGACCCAAAAAAAAAAGGCTGTAGCTGGAGAAACCCAGAGAGAAAAACAGAGAGGGAAAAATCCAGAGAAACGTAGTTTAAATTGCAATTCATCTGATTCCCTTTGTTTTGGTTTTGACGTTCTTCCCAGCAGTTCTCCCATGCCGCACAATTGCATCCTTAAGAAGCGAAAAAAGAAAAATTCACATACCAATCCGCACGCTCGCCTGCATCCTAGCCAACTTTGCGTGATCCATTGTGACGGAAGTTTGTTTGGTCTGTTATAGAACCTAGAGGGTAAAAAAAAAGAGCAGGATGTCAGTAGCTGTGGTGGAACTTCGGCAAGGTCTTTTGCAGAAATGTGTGTGGTGTGGGAAAGAGAGAGCTGCCAAGACTCGGATTTCTCACGACGTCAGACGGGTAGATGGAGCGAGTGGGCTTTGAAGGGGAAGGGAAGAGTTCAAGAGGGGGCGAAGGTATACGCTTAAGAAAGGAATAGTCTGGAGAGGGAGAATGAGAGGGAGCGGAGAGGGAATAGGCGGGATTTACCTGGAGATAGAGGAGGGGGTGAGGTGGTGATGGAGGAGAGAATGGATGATGCGCAAAGATGGTGAGTTTGTGTGGGGAGAAGCAGAGAAGCAGGAAGAAGAATAGAATAATGGCGAAAGCGGGCTGCAGACTTTTCGCTCGCTAACCCGGTCTGTTTCTGCGGAGGAATTACTGCTACGGATTACGAGGGTATAGCTAGACTTGCGAGATGGTCTACGTGAATGCTTTCCATGCTGGAGTGATATTGTTGTGATGGTCGAGAGAATCTTTGGTGGTTATTGTGGGATTCTCAAGGGAACGAACGATTCTGGGAGGCTGCTCGGCTAAACCCTAACAATCATCGTGGGAGACGGGAGGTCACAATTTCCCAAACAAACCAACAACGGAGGATGATTGATTTTCTCTTGAATCCTTTAGAAGACTTTGAATAAAATTGGGCAAGAAGGTATCCGAAAAAAATACTTCTATTGTACCAGACTCCAAAATTAAGAGGGCGTTCGAGTTCACCTCCTCCAAGTGGGCATCTCATGCCGAATCCGGTAATCAGCCAGAACCAACCTGCCTCAGGCCACTGCACTCCGGACAAGCAATTCTCGACATAAATCCAGTATTTATAAAATATTCAATGGACGGTGTCTCAAAATTATACCCATACCGAATGACATCCTGAATTAAATACAGAATAAAATGTCCAATCTATCTCTCCCCAACAAGTACCGTATATACCTTTACTATCCAGCTATTATTGAAGCAAGTGGATAAGCAGACATGAGATCGGGAAAGGCAAAAGAACTACACCGAAACGAGATCCCGTGCTTTGCCTTATAAGTGATATCAACCCCACTGTAGCTTCACCTTCACCACCTGTAACGAGGAAACTACCTTGAATGGGAATTATCATCCGACAATTGAAGAAAACCATTCATCAGCAATCACCTCATCCATTACAATATAATCCTCATAGAGACAATTAGTTACACCACCATGCGGTTTCTGTGTTTACATGGTGCTGGCACAGGTGCGGAGGTATGTCTGCCTGATGTCTCCCCGTTACTACTACTACTACGGAGTACTAACCCCTTAAACTATAGATATTTGAAATCCAATCCGGTATACTATCCACTCCATATATAACCAAATATCTACAAAGTTAACCCGAAAAAAAAGGCGGCATAATCCAAGCCCTCGAAAGCCAAGGCCACAAATTCAAATTCATCAACGGCAAAGTCAACACGGAAGTCGAGCCTGGTATCTACTCTCTCTCTTCAACCCGATATACGGAGTAATCAACATCGGAACCCTAAATTACGTAGGTACTAACTATAGTATACCATCCCAGAACTAAAGGGAATCTTCCCTCCCCCCTTCTACAGCCACTATCCCCGCGACACCGCCCCAGGCACAGACCTCAGCAAAGCAATCGAGTACACTCTCGATATCATTGCCCGCGACGGCCCCTTTGACGCCGTACTGGGGTTTTCGCAAGGCGCGGCCCTCGCCTTCTCATTGCTAATGCACCATGCGCAAACGCACCCTTCCTCGCCGCCGTTGTTCAAAACCGCGGTGTTTATCTGCGGTGCGGCGCCGTACGAGTTGTCTGGACTGACGCTGTTCTCTCTCAAGGAAGGCCAGGCGTACCCTGTTTCGATTCCCACGGCGCATATCGTGGGGAAATTGGATCCGTTGTATCCGGTGAGCATGGACCTTTATGCGTCCTGCGAGCCGTCGATGGCGGAGTTGTATGATCATGGCTCGAAGCATATGATTCCGTTTGATGTGAAGAATAACGATGCCATGGTGGCGGTGATTGAGAGGACGATTCAGAGGGCACTCAGGGGATAGAAAAATGTTTTTTTTTTCTTTCTTTCTTTCTTTCTTTCTTTCTTTATTCGTGATAGATAAAGTGCATGTTTCTAAAAGCTGTCTCTCTACCCCCCCCCCTCTCCCTTCTACCTCTTCTCCGGGTAGTGGTTAACTTGGGATAATTTCTCGGAATGTTATGATCTGATCTGGTATATTATGCTATTCTGTTTTCTATGTTCATCGCTTCTTCGAGGACTCCCGGTCCCGTCTAGATACCAGAACGGCTATTAATAGGAGCACTATTCCCAGGACGATGCTGTATGAAATGCTGGTTCCTGTAAACGCCCATCTCTGTGCTGGACCAGAGTCGCCTAGTCATAAGTCTGGTGTAGCCTCGCTGTCTCCCACTGAAGGTAAAGCCTTGTGCAGGAAGTTCTCGAGGTCCTCCATTTCAGTCGCATCAGCCGAGTGGCCAAGATAACTAAGGAAACATCTTGTTAGCAAAATACAGCCCTCCCTAATTCCGAACCCTAGCTCCCAGGAACGTACGGATAAGATTTGAATGAAACGTCCTCGATTCCCAACTTCTTCACAAACTCAGCCGACAGCTTGCCAAATTCATGGGGGATGACCGGGTCCTCTTCACCGTGGGCAATGAAGATCGGAGTTTGCTTATTTGGGAATGCCTCGGGCATATAATTTTGGATGCGGTCAGTGAGAGGCATGAAGCACGAGAGACCGAAGACACCTCCGAGCTTCTCCTTGCTTGTAATTCCCGAGAATAGGGACATTGCTCCGCCCTGCGAAAAGCCACCGAGGACGATTCGCGACGCCTTGATGCCTTTCTCGATCTGTTCCTTAACCAGGGAGTCGAAGTATTCGCGGGATCGGAGCATGCCAGGTTCGTCCTGGTGCTTGGGGGCTTCTTCGAAATCGAACTATTGTTAAGTACGTTAGGGAGGATGTCAGTCATGGAAATGGCAACGGCCTCTCTATAATGACGGGTAGCTCACCTCGCGACCAAATGTGGCAATATCAAACCATGCAGGCATTGTCATTCCCCTGTTCTGTAGATCGACAAAAAAAAAAAAAAAAAAAAAAAAAAAGAATATCAAGTAAGCCAGTGATTCAATTTTACTTCGGAGATAACCGTACCACTGTGACCGGAATCGCGGGCGCATTGGGGAATATAAAAGTCACTTCATCGAACATGCCGCGACGGCGCCAGTTGTGAGCAATCGACACCCTGTTTTCCTCGAGAATACCACCACATCAGCCCCGCCTCTCATTTTCTCACGGTCGAGTGATTTGGATTTAGATTTCGCAAACTTACCATCCCGCACCGCTATCCGTGCCCCAAACCAAAGATCAGCCAGCTTGGACTTGAGACGATAATCCAACCTATCTGCGGAGACTATGGACGAACCTGTCGCCCAATCCGTGGGCCATGATCACCGTGGCGGTGTGCTTTTTCAGCGCGGGGACGATATAAGGACTTCGTGACATTTTGATTGTATAACTGTGTGGCTAGACGATCCTGAAATGAGACAAAAGCAAGTGGGTTGCAAAGTTGGTGGAATAGTTATAGGAGAACCGAGTGCAAGTTTGTCGGTAGCACTCGGAACGAAGCTATTTTTCCGACTGGTGCGGAATACTCCGTACCTGCGCATTATATTAGGAATCATTATGGACTCTAAATATTATTAATTACACTTGTTAACTAGTTAACTAACTAATTTTCCTAAATTTTTTTTTTCAGACTGACAAATATCCTCTATTAAGCTGGATATTTAATGCTAAAAGTCAATACTGATGTAAATTATTCTGACATATTGTTGTATCTATATATATATATATATTCCTGTATTAAAATCACGATCTCTTGCAGCAATAAAAAGCGGACCAGCAGCACTATATTATATTGGATATAAACAATAGTATAATTATTATACACATTATAAAAACTTAATATATACCCCCGAACTTATATGCAAAGCTCATTTAGCTCCTTCTTAAGCGATTCAATCACCGCCAGCATCAAATCGTCCTCGAGGATTTCAGCCTGCCACGAGATGCCCATAGCCAAACATCCATCCGGGCCCGTGATAACAGAGACCTCGAAAGCACTACCCGTGACAGACGCACTCTGGCTGAATATGACTCTCCCCATCTGCGGCAGCGAGGCGTCCTCCGGATTCTCCGTCTTCACCACGCCCAGACTCGACACTTCGTAGGACGCTCTTCTCGGCTTTCCCAGCCGATCCTCCATCAGATACTTGGAGAAATCATGCACAAACTTCAACAGACCCACGGAGGTATTTTTCCCCTTCAAACGGAGCTCCTTTGTGATCGTCTTGCGAGACCGCTTCGCTTCGGCCCACGGAAACGACCCCCCCGTTACAGCGTTGCGGCTGTATATCTCAGCGAACTCCTGCACCCAAACGCCCATCGAGTCGTCATTGATAACCTCCGGCAACCATTTCCGGGACGAAATGGCCCCGCTGCACATGACGCGCGCGTATTCCTCAGGGAGATGTGGGAAGGTCGCGCGCGCAATGACGGTCTGCACGGCACAGGTGACGGTGGTGTTGTTTTGGCGGCAGAGCTTGAGTAAGGCGGAGGTCTGCGCCGCGGACAGCGCAATGAGGCGAAGGTGCGTTGTCAGCGGGCTGCGGATCGTTGCAGCGGTCCACAGAGCGCGGTCTTGCTTGGTGTAGATTTTCTCCTTGAATAGGAGCTTCATGAGATACGAGAACGAGAGCGGGAGAGGATGCGCTGCCTCGAGGTTAGGCAGCAGCGGTGTATCCGGGGAGGCGACAATCTGCTGGGCTTCGTCTGGTTTCAGGGATGCCGCGCCGCGAAGAGCCTCTAGAAATGTTCGATGAAAGGCCTTTCCCGACCCGCCATCCCCAATTGCGTGATGGTAGACGAAGACAGCTGTGAAGGGCTTGTCCTTGGCATCGTCGGTGAGGATCAACAGTCTCCAGTAGGGGAGCGGGTTTTTAAACCCGATGGCATGCTGCTCTTGGAGAAGAGATTGCAGCTCAGTGTCAGGCTCATCTATATCGGTGGGGCTGACAGAGCGCTTCTGGAAAAGAATCTGCTGGGAGAGGTCGATTTCTGGTAGGCGAGCGAAGTAGGGGTCGTTCGTTTCCTCATCCACGGGGATTGCAGACAGAATCGGATGCTGGTTGATGAGTGTTTCAGTAGCCTTATATATATAGTCCTTCAGTGGCAGAGCGAAGGATTCCGGAAGCGTGTAGGACGCCGCCAGAGCAACGTTGTAGTAAAACCCCAGAGGGTGCCGTGCGGTGGAGAACTTCTCCAGTAAACCTAATTGGAGTCAACAGCTGTCAGGGGGTAATCAGGGCTGGACAAATATTCTGCACCCACCCACTGGACGCAGCTTCTCAAGTTTGTCCATGGCTGCTGTTATATGGTCAATTGAGGCCGAAGATGAGTCAATCGACATCCATTGATCAGGCAGACGTGCGGGAAAATAAGCAGCCCGGGGGATTTTAGGATTTATAAAGGATGGAGAACAATACGAAGAGAGCCGATTGTGGGCATAAGTATGCACGTGACCGCAGCCAGGTACCAGCATAAAATACAAGAAAGCAAAGAAAGACTGATAAAAACAGGGTTGTTTATTTTAAATAATTCCTATAGGCAAGTTATGTTGACTATGGAATCAACGTCATTTCACCCGGCAACAAATGGTTATCATGGCGCGTAAAAATTGAGGAAGAAGCTATACATATTTTCATGTGGAGGATGGTCAATTACATAGAGGATATACTTTGGTCTCAAGGCCGATTTATTGCAGGGGGTTCAGGGGGAATATATACATAATTGGCCTCTTTCCACCAGATATTGCTCCAGTGTGAATATAGAGGGGGTGAGTGCATAATAATGTATTGTACATGGTATAATAACTCATCAACTCATCGTCCGTAAATGCTCGTATCTTTCTTTTCCCATAACTTAACCACTTAAAGTGCTGCAAGGCCACCAAGAACAGCTGCACCCAACATTCCCCAACCAGCAGTCTGCATAGCGGATGCTGCACCGGTTGAGGTCGAAGTAGAAGTGCTGGCGGTAGTTGTAGACGAGGAACCGGATGAACCACTCTGCGAGCCACCCTCAGGGGTGGAGACATTGGCGTTGCGCTGCGCAGCAGCTCCAGAAAAGGCAACAGCAGTGACACCGGTGTTGTTAGCGCAGGTGGACGCGGAGGGGCTTTCAACACTGGTGGATGTGAGTTGGAGATCAGCGCACTAGATGTGAATGTTAGAGCTTTATTCAGAGTCCTAGGATATGGCACGCAGGTGAGATAATATAACGTACCGAGTACAGGCCTCCATTAGGGTCTGCGTTAGTCTGGACTTGCAGAGTCAAGTTCATTCCGTCCACGAGTTTTGTTCCTAGCACGGCCTCGGAGAGGAGCACGTCAGGGACACAGAAAGCTCCCATACCCTCTACTTGGAAGGTATGTTTGAGGGTGACATTGTAATTGTCTCCCGGGTTTGTTCCGATGGCGAGCAGGAATTCCACGACAGTCAGATCATGGCCCATTGTCAATGCAACCGGGAAGCTTGGGGAGGAGAGAGAGATCTGGGTGCGGTTGGAGGAGGCAGAGAATCCACCGCAGGGGAATTCACCCATGGTGCCTTCATCTGACCCCCGACTTGTAGGATAGTGGAGGACGAAATGGGCAGAGACCATGGAGGCGAGAGGCGCCAGGGAGAGGAGAGAAAGAGAGAGCTTCATGGTGATTGGTTGGGTATGTAGGTGAATTGGTGATGAGTATTAAAAAAAGAGAGAGAAGAAGTAATTGGTAAGAAATTGGGATAACTCTTGTAGGTTTTATGAGTCGAGTCGGTCCGAAATAGCAATAGTTATATACATTGGAATGAAATGTCAACTTGTATAAGAAGATCTCATATCTTCTGGGAGTGGAAACCAACGGAGGCCATATTCGAGAGCAGATTTAGCGGGCAACTCTAGGACGGATCCGGTAAGAAAATGTGCTCATATGCGCTCAAGAATTGAAAACTCGACCCACTCGAACTGTTGCCAAACTCTGCATCTTGCTGTCTCCACATCATCGAGTATATGATAGAGGGCCCAATGGTATGTGTATGTCTCCCGTAATCATTGAATGTGATTAACTTCCTCTACGCCTTTACTTTGCGTTGTGATCGGATTGCCTAACGAGCTAAAGGATTCAAAACATCCTAATTACATATGTGGCGGATCGAGATTCTCTAAATTCCAACCAGGAGATGAAATGAATGGGTATCGATAAATGAATGATGCGATAACGCCTGAAACCCAACGCCAATGATGCCAATCGTAACAGTGTCAGCTCCAGACCATAAATTGTCGTAAAAAGCACAGCTTTATTCATGTATTAATGTCCATGCACCTCGTTCCATTGGATGAATCGTCCCACGGCAAGCTCTCCAAGGAAAGCACCTGCGAGCACAGAGCAGAAATACCCCACATTCATGGTCATTACCGCCAGCATTCTAAAAAAAAAAAAAAAGGTTAGAAGCAGCCCGGAAACAACGGATCAGGAAATCAAGACGTACAGTAGATACGAAACGCCTGTAATACAGAGAAAGATCAACGCTCTGGGAAGATCAACGCTGAATCTCCAAGGTAGAGGCTCCTGAGTTGCACGGTAGACCACCCTGACCGACTCTTCCACACCTTGCGCAGTTAACAAACTGCCTGTTTTCGCATCTGGATCGGTGTCGATGCGTCCGGCCTCAGAGGTCTTCCCTGCAACGACAATGTAACGGCGTTTGAGGTGAGCGCTAAGCCAGCGCTGCTCCATGAAGGCCTTGAATGCAACGAGCAATCGGCCGATAATGGCAAGGACAATAAGAAAAATGCAGGTGCCAGCGTAGGAGCCACTGGAGGAGGGGGTCCATTGCGAGGAGTAGAGAGGGGTCGTATGAGAATTGGCGAAAACCATCGACATTGACATAGTCGAGGAAGAAGAGGAGGAGGACGAGTCCATCCCACTCATGTCCATGATGATAGTGGAGCGGAGTTTGCAGTTGACGGCTGGGATGCTTAGAGGAAGTATAAAAAAAGTTCAATGGAGGATAGATATATATATACTGGGCTGGGAAAGAAACAAGATGAGGAATAGAAGGAAAATTAAAGGATGACAGACGGGATCTTAAGGAGAACCGCACCCATAATATGTAATAAAGGTCATGGAACGTGCGATGGCTTCCCTATGGAGGAACCTCACGATGGGGAATTTGGCAGGGGACGCTAGAGCACATTTTTCCCCCGTGGTAGCCAATCAATGGACCAGATAATATCTGAAAACATCTCCATATGAGCAGATTATTAGTCTTTCTTTTTACCACCAAAAGAAAGCCATTACAATACGTGGTACTGTTTCTCGTTGGGGTACCCATATATCTCACTATCCTGGTCTTCTCTTTTGATGATTCCTGCATCTTCTCAACCATCAGACAATGGATGAACAGAGAGCTCTCGACACCCAATGACTTGATTGATGACTCTTGAACGAATTTCCTACTAGTAGTATGAAGGACCAGAACCAACGATACCCCACCATTTAGTGACTTGACCTCGTTGATACCATAACCGCCGCCATGGAGATGGATATGGGGAATATGGACATGGGCGATGGCGTTCCCAGCCTCTTCTACCTCCAGAAGATGTACTGGGCCGTTATAGGGAGTGCCATCGGTGCCGCAACTGTCGTCAATATTCTAAATCGCTTCATTGCGTTTCAAAGGTCAGTCGGTTTCTTCATCATCCCCCCCCCCCCACGAAACAGCCACTAACGTGGGACAGACTACGGGACTCAACCCTGACTCCCTCAAAACCCAAATCCCTCTTTTTCAGCACATATGCTACTTTCACGGCGATGGTTCGTGAGGCAAGCTATGCATCTCTCCCTCCCTGTACCATCTTCGGCCACCAATTCCACTTTGCGCCGCTGGGTCCATTGGCCATCGTTTTGGCCAATGTTATCGTGGTTATTGTGTTTTGCTTCTACAAGCTCGACACGACAAACCAATGGGAATGGGAGGATATCGGCTATCGCACGGGGTTCGTGACGATTGCCCAGTTGCCGATGATATATCTGCTCGGAGGCCGGCAGAACATTATCGGATATCTAGCGGGCATCAGCTACCAGCGTCTGAACTGGTTTCATCGCTGGGTCGCACGAACTGTCTGGCTGTCGGCTACCTTCCACATGGGGTTCTGGTTTCGAAGCTGGGCTCGATATGATTATATTCTGTACCAGCTGCATAACGATTATTTTGCGAAGCGCGGATTTGCCGCGTGGATTATTCTCACCTTTATTGTTATTTCTTCCTCACGTCCGGTCCGCCGGCTGAGCTACGAGTTCTTCGTCATCCAGCATCTAGTGATGTTTGTCGGGTTTACCGCAGCAGTTTGGCTCCATGCGACAAACGAGGTTAAAGTTTGGGTGTGGATTCCAATCGGACTACTTGTCTTTGACCGTGTTGCACGGTACGCATGGGCAACATATGTCAATCTATCCGTTTTCCACCGGTCCTCCTCGCACGCGCTTTGGGCCAACCGAGCATCGTTCACTCCGTTGCCGGGAAATGTCACCCGGATCACCATTGAGAATCCCGGAACACGATGGCAGGTGGGCCAGCATGTCTTCCTCACTTGCCACTCAATCGTGCCCCTACAATCCCACCCATTCACTATAGCCTCGATTCCCGAGGACAATAAAATGGAGTTCCTCGTTCGCGCGGAGAAGGGAGGAACGAGACGGTTCTTTCGGTACGCATCCAAACACCACCAGGTCCTTGGAGCCCCGGACTCTGCAATCCCGGGGAAGCAAACACGCACAGTGTTCCTGGATGGGCCGTATGGGACATCTCGGGACCTCCGGCAATTTGACAGCGTGGTTTTACTTGCGGGGGGTATGGGCGCAACGTTTACGATGCCATGCCTGCGGTATATTGTTGCCAAATGGAAAGCAGAGTGTTCCCCACCTAGCAATCAGCGTGGCGCTCCCCCACGCACTCGTCTGGCTGTAACAAAACGCATCCGCTTTGTGTGGGTGATTAAATCGCGCGCGCAGCTTAGCTGGTTTGACTCGCAGCTGCGAACGGTTCTTGTGGACGCAAACGCCTGCCGACGCGCAAACCCCGACCTCATCCGAGAGATCGAAATTAGCATCTACATCACCTGCGATGAGAAGCTCGAACAGCCGTCACAGGGCACATCTTGTTTACCACGAGGAACCGCTCCTGTCTTACCCGAGACCACAAGAGTCACGGCCGATGAAAAGATACCCGAAAAAGAAACCGCCTCCATTCACTCTGCCATCCCACCTCCACCCTCTTTCAATCAGGGCTGCCTACCTAATGGTGGGTGCTGCTGCACTGCAGCTATTAAGGACGAGGACGCAATGCAACCGCACCGATGCACCTGTTCGGGGGAGACTCCGTCACAAACGCAGCCTAATCTCCCAGAGCTGACAATGATATCTGGGCGACCGATCGCACGTACGATTATCCGAAAGGTCCTCGAAAAGGCCGAAGGCGAGAGTGCTGTGGTCGTGTGCGGACCGCAGGGATTGTCCGACGATGTGCGGCGAAGCGTAGTGTCTCTTAGCGATGAACGAGCGGTACATAAAGGGACGGGGGCCCAGGGGATATATTTACATGTAGAGAATTATGGTTGGTGATAGATCTGTAAATATAAGATTATCAAAGTAACTACCTAGTGAACTATGTATTGTAGCTTATGATGTAATCGAACACCTGACTTACCGTTACCTCGTCTCGTCTCGTCTCGTCTCGTCTCGTCCTCATCACCTCAACCTCATCTTAACCACCATACAAGCAATCAGTCAATCAATCAATCAATCAATCAATCCATCCATCCATCCATCCATCCATCCATCAACCAAACCAATCTATCCAAATAATCACTCCCAAAGCACAAACACAATGGTTTTCCGCTTCGTAACGTCCCCCCCCCCCCCCCCCTTTGATTTCTCTCCAACCACCCACCCCAAAACTCTTTTTAACATTAACATCAACTCTCACAACAAACAACAAAACTAACAATAAATAAAAAAAAAATAAAAAAAAATAAAGCCCAAAACCCTCGACCCAATAACCCTCTTCCACACCCCCTCCAGCACCCCCTCAACCCGCGCCTACAACATCCTAAAAGCCGCCTCGGCCGCCGCAGCCGCAGCCGACTCCCCGGCGCCCGGCGAACGCGGCGAATTCCAGCTCGAGATCACGACCGCCGCCCCCACGCCCGACCAGCTGCGCAGCATTCTGGATTTCGTGAATGTGGCTGGGAACTTGGCGACGGGGGGGGATGCGGGCGGCGCGGGCGGCAAGTATGAGGTTGGCCGGATTGTTAGCGGGGCGAGGGATGCGGAGGATGCGCTGAGGCGGTTTAAGGAGGATGCGGGGAGGTTTGTGCGGCCTATTGTATGTTTTTTCTTTTTCTTTTTCTTTTTCGTTGAGTGGGTTTGAGTGAGTGCTGAACTTTTTAGACGGTTGATTGGACGAATGGTCAGGCTGTTGTTGGGGATAATGAGTCGGAGATTCTTAAAATGGTACGACGGGCGAACGAGTAATCGGACATACGAGGAAAAAAGATGGCTAGAATAGAATGTATTATCAGGTCTACGATACGCTTGTGTATCATACAAACTCCACTCCATCCATCCATGACCCATACCCGATCATGCATTAAACTCATACTCGCTAACAACATGGCCATATCAATCGAGACCAGCTCGCGGACAGAACTAAACCGAAATAAAAGCTTAAGCTGTTCTGGAACCCCCTTAAAACATCGTACCGAACGATCCATCCGTTGCAATCGGTTTGCGTGGAGAAGAACGTCCTACTCCGTCAAGTACCGGTTTGCGATGCCTGCACGAGTTAGCTTGGTAAACTAAAAAGAAAGAAAAAACAAACCGGAATGTAAATCCAACAAACAGTCCTTTGCTCATTTTATCGTCGCGTTCAGCCATGTCCTCCAGCGCTCGTTGTTTCTCATGCACCTCTTTGTACTTGGCCATATCTGCCTCATTGGTAAAATCATCAAAGTAACCGGCGTCTGTCTCCGAATCCAGTTCGGGCACAAACGGGGCTCGTTGCTCACGCAGGTGATTGAAATCTACCTCGCTGAAGTAGTCGTGTCCGTGAATCTCCTGGATATTCTTGAATCGGTTCTCCTTCGAAGCCACCAGCTTAGTGATCAGATCCCACGTGCGGCGCGATAGGAAGTAGTTCGGGTCCTCGTACACCGGCTTGCGAAGCACCTTCTGCCAGCACTTGAGATTCTGCCAGGTTTCGTCGACGGTTGCACCGGCAAACGGTGGATAGCCCGCCAACGCCTCAAATAGCATACAGCCCAAGCTCCAGTAGTCCACTGTAAAATCGTACTCCTCACCCTTGAGCACCTCGGGGGCCATGTAATCGGGAGATCCGACGATGGACTTGGCATAATTGACCTGTCGCTCCCGGAGACTACGATAACCCTGGCGGCGCTCAGCCATGGTGCGTTGTTCCATTGGCCGGCCAAACGGCACCGGTGTGTTGCCCACTTCCTCCAATTTCACCCTCATGGACTCAATCTTGCCGGGGCTCAGCATGCCCGCTGCCAGGCCAAAGTCCGTCAATTTAACATGACCAGTCGAGTCGATGAGGAAGTTCTCTGGCTTGAGATCACGATGGATATAGCCGAGTGCATGTAGGGCATCGATACAGCAGAACATTTCCGCAATGTAGAATCGAGCATGGCGGTTGTGAAGAACGCCGGTGTTGTTGAGTAGAGTCCGGAAATCCCCCCCGGGGACATACTCCATCGCGAGGTAGATCTGACTATCGTCCTGGAATGCGTACAAGAGTTTGACCAGCCACACGCTCTTCGCCGCCGTCAAGATGTCACGTTCGGTGAGAATATGCCGGATTTCGTCCAATTTGAACAACAGCTTCTTGCTCATGATCTTTAGTGCGCACACCTCGCGGGTGTCTTTCTTCTGCGCCAAATATACCTGTCCATACCCACCCTGGCCAACCTGCGTCAGGATCTGGAAATCGTGCTGGCGAAGTCTGGTACGACGTTTGCGGAGGTGGGCCCGCTCCCGACCCAAATATTTCAACAGGGCCGGTTCGTATTCTTCCATGGATGTCGTGGGGGGCTCTGGATAAGCGGCGCGGAACTGGGAATAGCGCGTCTGCCGATTGTGAACGTAACTTAGCAGATCGAAATAATGATCGAGAAAGTCTACATCGGTTAGTGAAGATGACGGGCACGGAGAAGAGTAGCCCACCACTTACATAATTGGGTCACATTAACTAGACGCTTCACGCGGGGGCTCTGAAGCTTTTCCAACTCCTCTGGCGTCAGCCCCCGCATCGCAACCTGCCTTCTTTGAACACTCTCCAGGTCCCGGGTCTGATACTGCTCGTGACGCGAGATGGCTGCCGCCGCGGGATTCGGACCCAGATTCTTGGTCAGCCGGGTGGAGTTTGGGGGGGTGTTCTCTTTGTTGGATTTGCGTGTGGGACTCGCCGGGCGCACGACACTCTCGTTGAGGGACTCGCCACTTCGAGGTCTCGAAAACATGGGATGGTTATAGTGGTTGTGAGTATTTTTGGTGGGCGACGTGGGCTGTAATTTCAACGCCTTATCGAAAACATTGGGGAGATCGAGGGCACCGGGAGGCATCCGATTCTTGCTGGGGCTGCCTTGCGGTGTCTGGATTGGGCTGGTAAATCCATCCTCGCCAGACGTGGAGGGGCGATCGAGAACATCATTGCCGGTGCGAGTGTGCAGGAGAGGAGGAGGATGGGGAAGACGGAACGCTGGGCGATCTTTCGCATCGATATCGAGCGTCATGATGGCATGAGCTTCCGACCTCAACACCGTAGCTGTTGTTTGTGGTTGGAGCGCGACAGTGATTCAAACGATTGTCCACTGGGTGAGGAATCGAGGAGGGGTTAAAGATTCGAGGTAAGATGGGTGGGAAAAAGAAATATCAAACTTGGCACGAGGATCACAGGGGAAAGGAAAAAAAATCCCCGAGATTATGATCCGAAGAGCAAAATAAATAATAATAAAAAAAAAAGCAACGAGCGGGAAGCCGAGAGAGAGATAGGCGCGACTCGCGACAAAGAGGAAAGAGAAGGAGTAGAATGGCTTTGTTTGGAGCTCTGAAGAAGCAGCAGGAATGAGGGGGCAAACAGGATGTGAAACCGGGAAATAAGATGAGGGAATAAGGATTTCCAGGAGTCAGAGGCAGACAGAATGCGAGGGATAAAATAAAGCAGTGGACGCGATGAAGATGAAGCTGAAGAGGATGAGCGGAACCCACCACTAAGATAGTCTACAACTCTTTAATCCACCCTTGAACAGCCAGCCACCAAATCGCTTTCTCCAAAACCAAAAGGAAAAGAAGCCAAGTGGATTTATCGATGATCAATGGATATCCCAATTCCAAGTGCCTGAACGTGTTACCCCAGCAACTCCCTTGTCCCGATCTCAATCTACAAATCTGGACTCTCTTCCTGAGATTCTGCGTCTTGATTGGAAGCCTGGGAGGAAAACAAGGGGCGTGATGGAGTCGCAATTGGGATTTCGGATGCAAGTCATGTCCGCTAGTTCTTAGAGAGAACCTTTTGGAGAGAGAGAGACCGCACAAGGGTGTTTTGGTTGCTTACGAGGAATTGCACTTTCTATTTCTCACTATATATATCCATCGCTAGCTGGGTAAGGGTAAACAAATGGGCTCCTCTCCCAGGAAACACGCCAGATCTGAAATATCCATTGATAGTCGACCAACTAAGGAGAATCTCTATCAAGGGATCGATAAGCCTCGCTTCAAGTAACTTCCTTTCATAGGTTATGCCACTAAGCGGCTCCCTTTGCCCGTTGTCCGGTCTATCATCAAGAACCCCCCATGTCAGCCAAAATCCAACCCATTGAAGGTGTAAACGGAACAAAGAACAGAACTCACGTAAAACGCCAGCCCATATGATGGCGTTGTGAAAGTAATCTTCGACCCCTGGGGGAAATGAAACACATCGCCCGGCGTCGCCGTCACCTTCTGACCAGTCTCATCGGAGATCTCGAATTCTCCTTCGAGAATGATCTTCATCTCATCGTAGGTGTACTCATAAACCAGGGGGGTGCCTTTCTCGAGACGGTAGAAGCCAGCAGAGATGGGCTTTTCGGTGTTGTAGGAGTCACTGGAGCATTGTTCGGTTGCTGATTAGTTTTGGATCTTCCGGGGGACAAGAGTTGAGGTAGGTACCTGGAGTCAACATCACCCAAATAAGCATTCTCATTTGCAATAAGAGGAGGCTTGAATGTTGATTGTGCCTTTGCGTGGTACACCATTGCAGTCGCCATTTTGAGTTGTTATAGATCTGGTGGTGGTTGTTCTAGGATTGTATGAAGGTTTGATTGATACCAGCGCAAGTACAAAACTCCATTTATACTCTTCATTTCTCTCTTCTTCATGATATACTAATGCGGTATCGGAATCATCACCGGATTCACCTTCTGGAGTAGGATACCCATACTGATACCGGACATGTCCAAGGTCCCGGGCCTGGATTCTTTTGCCCTGATGGGTTAGTATTTCCCTTTGACCTTAACTCCCAACTCCCAACTATACCTACTACACGTACCCTTCCTGATTCCATAGATAGCGTCTTCCCCAGGTCCTCTCAAGACTTGCAAATCTGGCCTCACGCAGAATGGAACTCTCAAAATTTCGTAGCTGCTGCAGGTTCCCCTATCAAGCAGGCCAGTCCAGCATCATCATCACCACTACCACCAGAATTGGTAAAGACTGAAGGAAGACTGATTATGTCCCGGTGGCATGTTGAGAGAACAAAAAATGAATGGCTCTACCCCGCTTGGAAAATTCTTCTTCCTCTCCACGAGCGTCATCCGTTAGGAGTACATGGATGGCATTTTAAATACTAGGTACATTTCCCCTCCCTCTTTTTGCACCTCGCAATCATCTCAACTCCCATCTCACCATACCCAAGCAGCACCATCCACGGGGCCAAGTCAAACGGCCTAATGCAGATCTCCGCTACTATTTTTCCTGCTCAGCGACCTCTGAACTTCCAAGGCGGGACCGGAAATTTCTCTTAACTCCACGTTCCACGTCCCGAGTTGTATCCGCAGGGTCAACCTCAGCAACTGAAAGTAGTTCACGCCAGCTTGTGTGAATCACATCCAACATATAACAACTGCGGACAATAGTATTGTCCATTACCCCCCCAAAGCGAATATCCAGCCAGCCCCTTGCAAAGGCAGTGAAAAGTCCTACCAATCACTTCTGTCCCATGCGCCAGTAAACCAGGCCTGTTGAATGATCCCAACTGGTACAGCCCAGAAAGTGAGAAATAACCTTGCAACAAATGAAACTCCATTGAACGGCTCTTAAACTGTGAGCTAGTTTGAATAGCAAGTCATTTTCCGCAATGGCCAACAAGAACGCTCTACTAATGAATTGCCATATTAGACTGTAGAGACAGCTATTTGAAATAAGATCCCGCTCCGGGCTCCCAAAATCCCCGAAATCAACTCCATATAACCATCATATTCGTATCAAAGAGTCAAGAAGAAGAACGCCTTAAATTCCAGCAAAAAAAAAATGGCGACTGTGTCAATCACAAGTGATCTGGAGCCGTATTTGGCTTCGCTTCGCATGTACTTGGAGGATAGCCCTCTTGCGTCTGAATCCGAAACTGAACTCAAAGGGATCACGCCCCATATGGCTCGCCAGCCTTTTCGAAATTCTCAACCTGAGAGGACTTGTGCAGGTGGCGGAAAGAATAACCGCGTTGGTGTTAAAAAGCTAGCTACCAAGGAAGATTCCGCATTTCGACTTGGTAAATGATGCTCTTACCCTAGGAATACTACAACAAAGAGTTAGTATCTTGAATGTCGAATAGAAAGCTTTAGGAAAGATGAGATAAGGAACGTACCTTCCCAACCCCATTCTTGCATTACATAAACCCAATGCGATCTCCCTCGCACCGTCCTGTCGAATTCAATATTCTCCAAAGAAGACACTGCGGATCTCCGTCGGGAAGAAGCTACCATACCTCGACCGCTGTAGAAAACCCGGTCTTTCCCAAGCGCCTCTGCAACAGGATTTCCGGAGCGGCTGACTCCTCGGAGTTGCTGCCGCCGCTGCTTTTCGACTTCGTTCGCATCTCGACGAGCCCAGACCTCCCGAACTACTTCGATACATCGATCAATAGATCCTAGCATTAGTCGGGACTGGATTGCACTCCAGCGAATGAGCACCCAATTCCGATCCTCCTCTTGATCTGTTTCGCAACCAGCGACTAGAAGGGGAAACATCTGGATGATCGTCGTACGAGAACTAGGGGGCACGGTGGCAAGAAGAATTAAAACCCGTTTTGCTAACACTGACGCTGGTTCTGAAGGCATCTCGGGAACTGCCTGATAAAGATACAACAGAGTAGCCCAACGATACGCATGCGCGGTCTGAATACTGTGCTGTACTTCGGAGGTTGGATCCTCCGGAGGCTCAAACCAATCCGACGGTTCCCACTGCTCTACCAATCGCTTCAGCTCGATAGCTTGGGAGATGAGGGATATTGAGTTGGATTCGGTTTGGCGGACTCGTTGGATTAGCCGGGCAACCTGGTTGATCAGTGGGAAAAGAGTGGTAGCACAGCCCATCAAAGGGTCAATTTCATGCACGGTATTATCAGGGAGCTGCAAAAAAGGGGCATCGAATTCCCGCTCTCCATTCTCCTCACGAGAAGTCAAACGAGCAATAACATCCATATATTGCCAAGTGTTATACAGAAACCGAACCCTGCTGAGATCACCCCCAAAGACCCCTCCTTGTAGCCCAAATTCTACAACCTGAGATACCAACGCTTTTGCACCCCGGAGGTGTTGAATGCACGTTCGCGTGTGCTGGTCCCAAGTATCTGCAAAAGCAAGTGCTAGACTTGTGGCCAATGCAGAATCAGCTCTCATACTTTGGATATCTTGCACCATACAGGTGATGCTCTGACGCATGTGATTCACTCCATGAACACGTAATGATGGATTTTCCTTGCTTGAATGGAAGGCGGCTAACGCGAAGATTGCGTGGTGCAAAGCAGGGGTGTCCTTAGCTAACGGCCACACTAGGGTGCGCCATGGATTTTCGTGAATACCATCTTTCACAGATAGTATTCCGCAAGTAGATCTATCGAAATGCAGGACCAACATTTCAGGACTTTCTGCGCTAAATACAGGCTCTCTAGACAGGCTAGGTGCCACATTCGTTTGTTCAGTATGCGGGGACATGGTCATTTCAGAGAAGTCGAATATCTCAGCTCCTATAGCTCTATCAGGAAGCCGTGTAATTTCCTCAATTTCATCGCCATCCCCCTCGAGCAAGGCTTCAAAGCTAAAGATTTCATTTCCGTGTGGGGCTTCAGGCATGGTTCCTATGAAGGCAGCGTGCTCACGATTTGTTGTGGAAGAAAATAGCAAGTCTGATAACCACGGAGACTGATCTGGTGGTGTAATCTCTGCCAGCTGTGGTACAAGGTCATCTTCGTTGAGGCTCTCTGGAAAGGAGTATCCAAGCAGCTGGTCCATTGACGCTGACAGATCTTTCTGCGTAGCCGAAGAACGGCTTGAACGACGGGAAGGAATATTACGCGGAGAGCTTTGTTGAGAACAAAGTGACTCATTTGTATCCAATGAGGGAGGCTTTATACCACCGTGCTGAGTATGAGCTGTCATGAAATTGTGTAGGGTAGGCTTCCCTGTAGTAGGAGATGAGGTAACTATTTCAAATGTTACTATTGGGATACTACTTCTAAGGGTTGATTAAATGGGGCATATTAACCTTTCTTGCCTTTTGGAACAGTGTTTCTAGCAGGAACACTGCTTTCTCCAAAGGGGCGCCATTTAAAATCTCTCTTATATCCTCCACATTCCACATTTCGTTTCTTGCATTGAAGACAGGTAGGCTTTGATTCGTCGCATTTGAGTCGTTTTGTCTTGCAGGTGATACAACCTGGAAGGTGAAGAGGAGGAGAAGGTCAGCGCACTGAGCACTAATAGATTCGCCATGCCTTGCTTTATATATATATATTTCCTTTCCCTCTCTTTCTATTTTATTTATCTGTGATCAAACATTTTTAAAGAACCAGTAATACTGTACCATTACGGCTTTTTGACTGCTTAGGTTTGTTAGCAGCAACAAATGTAGCGGTCTGCGCTGATGCTCCCTTCTGAGTGGAGGCGGGTACTTTGGAACGCCCAGCAGAAGCAACAGTGGGAAGAGGGTCCAGAATAGAGGACGGGGAAGGAATCCGGATCTGTTCCATGCCAGAAACAAACGGCAATTAATACATGAGTCTTGCTAAGAAATGGATGGGCAGACACAAAAGATGATAAGAAGTTAAAAAAGAAGACAGGAGCAAGTCAATTTTGTGAAGATATTGAATTTGTTCCAGTTATGGAAAGGAAACACAAAGGTAGGTAAGTAGTAAAGGTCAGTAAAGGTGTTCGAGAGGGGTTGGGTTCTGCTGGAAACACTATTATAGTAGTCGTTCACAGATAAGGCCCTTTTCTAGTCGTGCTGGAGCCGACAACCAAGGATAGATAGGCACGAAACGTCGGGGAAGGAAAGATAACTCGACGTGCCCCAAGTCTAAGTCACCCTAAAGCGTGAGGAGAAGCCGACATCAGGTTGATAAGAGTTGGCACTAAGCCAGCGGACTGCGGAGACAGTTGGGGCGAGTTACGAATCGCGGATGTGCCGATCCAAGGCTGGTGATGTACTTCGTAGCTTGGACTTAAAAATCTCGAATCCTATTGGGGCAGCAGCAGCCCAGAGGGACTCGATGAGATAGAGAGCCATTCTGCATGCATTATTTAGTAACGTAAACTAAGGACGAAGGATGGTTGAGGAAAGGAATGAAGAAGAAGAAGAAGCAATCCATGCTCCCTGCTCAAGATACCTTGCTCCCGGGAATACCATCACGCTGAAACGACTCTGGGGTCGTGGAATAATATGGAACCCATGATTAAACAGAAAGCAGCGAGAAATAGATGTAATAGATTCTGGCAGAGCATTGATGCTGATAGGATGGAAAACGCCACGCGAATGGGGAAGAAGTTGGGAATGACGAGAAATCAAGATGCAGGCCTGGCATGGTTGGCTCACAACATCCCCGTGATTAACTTCCCACTTCACAGTGCATGTTCTCAATTGGAACTCAATTCGACTTGACATACTCCGTACTCAGTAAGTATACTACCTCAATCTTTCTAAAAAGGGAAGACAAATCAGCATACTTTTATCTGATAACTGACCTACATAGCCAATGCATTCTTCTGAAAGTTCAACATCAGCTCCTACCCTCACGATGTGACATAAATGGGGAGACTGAAACGCAAGGAAAGGGGGAAGCTCGTGGTTTATCTTGACATATGATATTCATGTCAAACAAAAGGCTTACGGTTACATGTCATGGGCCCTCGGACAGCTTACTGGGAATTATGGCGAAGTCTAGACTTTTACTCCTCGTGTTCTTGTGTGACTGGATCAGTCTTGTTGCCTGGTGACCTTTACAGCATTTGAAATCCACCTGGAATTGATGGGCGCATTTCCGGTTTGCACAACTTGAAGAGCAGAAAGTACTTTCGATCAATCACTCACGATGGCAACCAATAGGCATGCTTTCAAACAGTTGGGCTTCAGTCTAGCTGGAAGCTCCCAGGTACTCCCACCTTAATGCTTGCCTGGCCATTAGGATCTCTGAAATCAAGTGGATGCCATTGCCTAGTAGTTTTTAGTATATACACAGGGAAGCGGTTTATGCTATCATGATGGCGAAGTTTATTTGCATAAATCAACTTTATTTCAATGCAACTGATCAAAGTCTTGGGCCCAACCACCTTCCTCCATCAGAGAGAATATATATATATATCCTGTCTTCAGCCGCTTCTATCGAATGAAGAGAATAGCCAGTTCCCTAGGTTTCAAGTTAGTGGTGTAAACCTGTGACCTAGCCTCTGCGTCCGAAGCTTCATCTGGGCAGTGGTAATATGTCGCATAGTTCAAGGCCGTCGACACAGGTCGTACAATGATGATATTCCCATTACATCAAACTTTTTGGGCCTCATCTCATGTCCCTGCTCGCCGATTGTGAGAAAGAGTATTCGTCTTATCATTGGTAGTCTGGGCAAGCGAGATTCTCATATGGATAATAATACGCGCAAGGCCTTTTCCAATTCTTCAGGCCAAATAAGAGAGAAAGAGAAAGAGAAAGAAACATAATCTTATGACGCATTTGATTCATAAGCTTTGGTCATTTGAGGGGACGCCAAGATGTCTCCTCAAGAAGGATTATCGGAGAGACGCGGATAACTAGAGACGGCTCCTAGTCTGGGTAAAAGCCAGATAGGGATCATCACGTTCAGTATATTCAGGCTGCAGCCTTGGGAATGGATCAGTGGCTTTCTTCACTCCAAATCTCTGCGAGAGTACTACAAGCTGAGCGACAAAAAGCGAGCTTCGGAAGCATCGTCCATCACCATCGCGGAAACCTTTCACAATTTGCTTTTGTAGTTGATTCCAGTCCACAAACCCAAGATTCCTCACATTTTCCTCCGTGAGAAGCTTTATAACAACATTGTGGATCGGTCCACCCTCGCGGTAGATCGTTGGTCCCAGGTACGCACGTTTGGTACGGTTCATGATCTCATTAGTAATGAATGGGCACATAGCCTGGCGAAGGATGTATTTCTCACGGAGGATCTTGTTTCCAGAGTCATACTTAATCTTTAGGCTTGGAGGGATCTGGTTCACATATTCAGTCACATGGTGGTCCAGGAATGGTGGGCGGGTTTCAATCTGGTGGACCATGTCGACTCCATCTCCAATATAGCGGAGGATGTAGTTCGCCAGAATAGATTTAGTCCACTGGTAGCTTGCAGAGTGTAATGGGTGCCACTTATCCGTGATATTGGCGACGACTTGAGCCCCTAGGTTTTCCGCAAAGACTGTTTCAGGGTTGTCCATCCCAAGATTGGCGGTCCACGAAGCGAAGGGGAGGGCGTAAAATGAGTTTATACGAGCGAATACCGATGTGTTATTCAGCATTCTCTTTGTTGACGCAGGAGCCTCCACAGGTGGTGGTACAGGCTCTCTTCCCGCTGTCCAGATTTTGGCATCGTTAGGCATTGGGGGGAATGGAGTAGAGGGCCATGCGTAATCTGGCTCCAGAAGAATTTTGGTGAGCATGTCAGGGTAGCCTCCAAAGTGTTCATCTGATCCTTCGCCTAGTTCATAAGCAGGTATGTTAATAGGAGAAAGAATTCTCATATTTCTTGGTCATCTTGCTTACCAGTAAGAATGACCTTCTTCCCGTGTGAATGAGCAAGCTCTCCAACAGCCATTCGACCCATTCCATTAACGTCTGGGATGGGTGCTTCGGTATACCAAACGGTGTCCTCAAGTCTCACGGCAATCTCTTCCTCATCCATTGTAACGGGATAGAGGTCAACGCCCAACCAGTCGGCAGTTCGTTGCGCGATATCTAAGCAGGTTAAAGATTATGACCCTTGCAAAATTGGACCGGAGTTTGTACCAGACTCATCCACTCCACTTCCCTTTCCAAATCGAATAGTGTAGCAACTCATCTTTGAGATATCCCCGCTAGCATCATTTCCCAAAAGCTGACCTTCTTTGATAAGGTGGGCAGCCATCCCTGCAATAGCAGAAGAGTCCAGGCCACCACTAAGGTAAACACCCACTCCCACATCAGCGCGGAGACGGAGTCTCACTGATTCTAGCATAAGCTCTCTCACTTTAAGGACTATCTCCTCTTCAGTCTGTGGGCAAGGGGCTCTCTATTTGCCGTGTAAGACACCGAAAACAACTAGGCTTGGTCATGTTGCTCACCTTATCAGGATAATCAAGGTCCCAGTACGTCTTCACCTCTGGAGACTGATGGTTCAAACTGACCAAGTATTGGCCAGGTTCCAGCTAGATTATAGTAAGTAAGGTGGGTAGAAGAAGGCTATTAGCATTCGGTTTAAGCTTACTCGATGTACCCCTTTAAAGTACATCTCGGAGTCATACAACCAACCCTTTCCCATGAGGTTCTCGACGTTCCACTCCGGCTGCCATCCAAAGGGCAAGAAAGATTTCATTTCTGTGGCAACTAGCAGTTTATTGTTCACAACCGTATAGTACAGAGACTTGATACCGTAGCGATCACGGGCCGCAAAGAAACGCTTTCGCCTGGCGTCCCAGAGGACGAGAGCAAACTCTCCTCTTAATTTTGAGAGGAAGGAGACACCATAATGGCGATAGAGAGCAATTACTGCTTCACAGTCGCTGTTACTCTTAAATTTAAATTCTCCGGCAAGTTCCATTCGATGCTTTTCATAGTCATAGATTTCTCCGTTGACCACGGCATGGATATCATCTTCACTGTCATGGAAAGGCTGGTTTCCCGCAGGGCTTAGGTCGATAATTGATAGACGAGCATGTCCCAGACCTAGGAAGTATGATGAGAAAGTTCTGTGAGAGGATGATATCTCATATAGATGTTACTCACCAACACGATAATCAGGGCTAAACCACTGGCCTCTTGCATCAGGACCACGATGTTTGACCAACTCCAGACTCTCATCCATCTGTCCTTTCAAGAGATGTGGGCCATGGCAATTCCCGCACTGACGGCCGTTATCCCCCCTACCCAGGGCAAGGAAAGCTGTTAGTCCGCACATGGTGGCCGTGAGTGACAGAGAGATACACGGGTTTGATGTAAGACACAAGATCAGGCCTGGCCCAAGCTTTTCAGGGACGACGATCTTAAAAGTCTGGTAGCTGACGGTTTAAATATAGTCGAGTCCACGAGGCCATTATTAATGTTTCGTCCCACGCAAGAAACATTTCCACAGGACTGTCCCATAATCAGGTTCGTGCGCCGATCCACCTTGTTTCTCGGCGTGGAGACGGTGGACGGATCTCGGAAGGAACCAAGGTTTCCTACGCAGAGAACTCCCTAAGTACATAGGACTTAGGGATTTGCTACTTGGAATGATTGGAATACACTATCGATCGAAGAGAAGACTGGAGCAGTCCCGATCCACCTGACCAGAGTTCAGCAATCAATCGCGCTTCCTTACCTTCCCTAATTTCCGCCTCAAATGCTACAGCGCCTCACTTTCTGTTTACTTCTCGTACCCAAGGCACATTGGAAATGGAAATTTGAAGTTAGGAGTGCATCCTAAATCCTGGCAGCGCGGCAACAAAGAAACAAAAAAAGAAATTTACAATCGCATATCCATAGTTCCAACGTTCAGCAGGAAGAGGGTAAATCCCCACAGGGATGCTGCAATGTTGTCCCATGTTAAGTTTGGACTTTGGTCTAATGCGTCTTCAGTCGTTTCTAGGTTGACAGGGATTCTAAGCCAACTGGTTGGGACCTCAGTAACTTGGGTATGAGAAAAGGGACGCGGTTGGCTGTGGGGAATCCACCTTGCCTAAGAGAATCTGCTGACGTGGTTACCAAAGATCTGGATCGTGGGTTGAAGGAAGGAATGGATCAAGATCCAAGACTGAAGAGTCATCCTAAGCTGCTGGGGTGTCCTCCCCTTTTCGAAGACATTGGCTTCGGGGAGACCGATGACAAAATAGGTGAAAAGGAGGCAATACGAGTGAATTCCATGGGAAAGCACTCGGCAGCAGGCCGAGCCAGTGGTCCAGAATGGAATTGATTCAGAACGTCTGAAAACCACGATTCCATTGGACTATTATCTTGGAAAATACCTTGCCTTTGCATGGTATGTACCTAGGTAGTACCATGGAGACACCCCTGGTTACCGTAATAGCGGATAGAGGATCCTTCCCAGTGGGACGGTCTATTGCTGAACATCCAACAACCGAGATACCTTCTTGGGGCAGATGACTCCCTCAGTTCATCATTGCTTACAATCATTCTCTATTCCGGTTGTTGGAATCCACCTGTTGGAGCTTACTGAAGCTAATTATTGCATCCCGCAGACGCACGGATGCTGTAGGATCACGAAAAAAGGACCTAGGGCTCTCTAGATACGCTGGTCCTGCTGTATATTGGGAGATTATTCGATATCATGCACGATTCTAATCAAAACATTTGCTGGAGACGAGGAAGATGCCATTCTGGACAGTCGACAACACCCGGAAATTCGTCTTACCCGATAAGCTCCCATGCTAAACCCGGGAACCTCCTACTGGTCGTCCATATCAGCCACTATTATATCATGAAGGTTTGGGAAGGATGCTAAAGGACCCCAGGTTATAAGGTCAAAAGTCGAGCAGCCAAAGTCGAGCATCTTGGGCTAAAGTTCAGACGGGGTTCTTCTGGAATCCCTCCATCTCATGTGAGCCAAAGAGATCTTCCCTTTCAGAAAGAAATTTATGTGTAACGAGTTGGATCATTTTAGTCCCCTTCCTGTCAGCGCTGCTATACCTCCACGGGGATCTTGAATCTAGCAAAACACCACCCAATAACGACTAGAATTTGATAGGCTTCCCCGTATAACATCTGGACTTTGAAAGTTTAATCTGGGTCGTGGATGTTCAAGCGGACTCTTGCACGCTGCATGAACCGGATTGCCCAACAGTCATCCTAGATTGAACTCCTAGGAAGAACCAACTAGCTAGGCTAGGACTCTGTATACTAGCCCTCTAGTTATCTACGAATCTTGACTCTTCTGGCTCTGACATACAGCCAGACAGCGATGGTGGTACGTTGACTTATAGTAATCGACCATGATATCGATATAGGAATATGAGCCAAGGAACAAAAAATGGTCAGTTCGATCATGCTTACTTTTTCCGGATGCTGTCACATTACTATCAATAGATATTATTTCTTATTCTGTACTCCGTACTCAGTTCCGAACAAACTGCTGAGGTTGGGTTGTCATCACAGGATTGTAAATCTAGAAAGAGCCGGTTTTCGGACATTTCCAAATACCTCTCTGGTAGCATCCTTCGAAACTCGGGCCGTAGAGTAATGAATTATAGAGGCCATTCCACTCCACCTGGGAGCCATGATAATTCGCTGTTTAATAAGCGATTACACCGTGTGCTGCGGGGAAACGGCATCCCCAGACCGAGGTCGCTGCATCGGCTGGGGGAAGATCACCGGCTGAGATAAACCTCGTCCTTTGTTGTCCCACCGACAAAACTTCTCCCTTTATCTGCATGTCGGTCATTTCACTATCGACTTCTCTTCTAGTGATTTGAATGATGCTGCGTTCAGCTCCTTGTCGAATTGTTCGACGCTTCTCGACAGCGTCCAGTCCCTCGCGCCTCGTCCTGCGCGCTTTCACGTGCGGTTATCCTCGGATGTCGCCGTCATCACTTCCTCCCGTCCAACCCCCCGTCTCGACTTCGTTGCCAGGCGATTCGTATCAACTCTTATCAACAGCTGATAAAGTGGGAGCTGCAGAGGATGCCCTGTATGAGCAACAGATCAAGGATGTGGAAGCTTGGTGGAAGACACCGCGTTTTGAGGGCATCAGGCGGCCCTACTCAGCTGCCGATGTGGTCTGCAAACGGGGAACCTTGCAGCAGTCGTATCCTAGTTCCTTGATGGCGAGGAAGCTCTTCAATCTACTAAATGAGCGAGCTGCAGAAAACAAGCCCGTCCACACTAGTATGTTTGATTACTAACTTGAATAGTTCTCTGTTCCGCTGCTAATGTCTTTCGTCTGTAGTGGGTGCAATTGATCCCGTACAAATGACACAGCAAGCTCCCAACCAGGAAGCTCTCTATATCTCCGGTTGGGCCTGTTCATCTCTTCTAACGACTACCAATGAGGTGTCCCCGGATTTTGGAGATTATCCCTACAACACAGTCCCAAACCAAGTCCAACGGCTGTTCAAAGCTCAACAGCTACATGATCGGAAACAATGGGATTCGCGGCGGAAAATGACTCCGGAACAGCGCAAGACCACTCCCTATACCGACTTTATGCGGCCGATCATTGCAGATGGAGACACTGGGTATGTTTACTCCACCCAGCCCAAGGGGAGTGCTAATTAAAGAGACTCTAGGCATGGAGGACTGTCCGCTGTCCTGAAGCTAGCCAAGCTGTTCGCCGAAAACGGTGCTGCGGCCGTTCATTTCGAGGATCAGCTTCACGGTGGCAAAAAGTGCGGCCATCTGGCCGGTAAAGTGCTGGTTCCAATGGGAGAGCACATCAACAGACTTGTTGCGGCTCGTTTTCAGTGGGACATGATGGGTGTTGAGAACCTTGTCATTGCTCGTACCGACTCTGAGAGTGGGAGACTAATCAGCAGCGCTATCGACGTACGAGATCACGAGTTCATCCTCGGGGTTGCAGAGGACGTCGCGCCTCTTGCAGAGACCCTGCAAGCGATGGAGAGAGAAGGAGCTGCGTCGGCAGAGATTGATACCTTCGAGTTGGCCTGGGTGCAACAGCACCAGCTTGTGACCTTTGATGAAGGTTTGTAGCTTGTCACGTTCTAATCGATCTTACACTAACCCCTCTGGTAGCTGTGGACGCCCACCTCGAAGCTGAAGGTGCATCCCAAACCGTCCGAGATACGTACAAGAAGCATGTGAATGAAAACCCAGACCTGTCCATCTCCCGCAGAAGGGATCTGGCCAGTGACTACACCAAGACTCCTGTGGTTTGGTCCTGCGATGCCTCCCGCACCAGGGAGGGCTTCTACCACTACCGTGCCGGTTTCCCTGCGGCCACAAAGCGAGCCAAGGAATTCGGACCCTACGCAGACCTCTTGTGGGTTGAAACCGGCGATCCGGATGTTGCCAAAGCTGCAAAACTCGCAGGAGATGTGCGAGCTACACTCCCTGGCAAGAAACTCGTCTACAACCTGAGCCCGTCGTTCAACTGGATGGGACAAGGCTTTACTGCGGAATCTCTCAAGTCGTTCATCTGGGATCTAGCGGAACACGGGTAAGTGTACTTTTTTTCTGCAATGCAATTCCACTGTACCAGAACTAATTAGAAACTCATCAACAGTTTCGTTCTGCAATTAATCTCCCTTGCTGGGTTACATTCCAACGCCACCATCACCACAGAGCTTTCTCGCGCATTCAAGGACGAGGGAATGCTCGCATACGTCCGCCTAGTCCAAGCGCGCGAGAAGGAACTCGGCGTCGACGTGCTCACGCACCAGAATTGGAGCGGTGCGCCATACATGGACGGGATTCTCAGTGCGATCCAAAGCGGGAGCAGCAGCAGCAAAAGTATGGGAGAGGGGAACACCGAAACAGGCGAGTCATTTCTGTCTACTCACGATAGATGAAGACTAACACCTAACAGGTTTTTAAGTACGCTAGGAGTAAGACAAGAAAGATCAAATCTTTTATATTTATAAAATCATATATTTCATGGTTTATGAATCAATCAGCATATCATACTAATCAGTGAAATTAATTAATTTCACTCAATATATTTTATTATCATACAATTAGAACAAGCTATGAGGTTTACTAGTAGTCTGTAACCTTGAATACAACCAGGGTAGGTATATCAATGCACATTTTCATAAACAGATTTATAAATAGATATCATGGATAGTAGTACTACTTTACCACTACTCTACTACTCTGACTTTAAATCGTCAACTTGACTCATTTAAGTTCTTAGATAATGTAATATATCCTGATATAATATAATTAAATTAAACTATAGTTCCCATGACCAGACCAGACCATAGTTACTATACTGTACATATGAAAATCAATCAATCAGGGTTCTCCACCGCGAAAGTCAAACAGATTGGTCTACTCTACAGTACTAAATCCCAGCATCTTTCTCAACTCCCTATCTGCGCATGATTATTACTTTAGCAGTGTGTAGTCGTAGTAGTAGTATCTCTTACCTATTGCAAGTCCAGTAACTAGTAACTAGTACCTAGGTATGTACGTAGTAAAGCGCACTTGCAAAGGCCAGCGGTACGGAGTCCTAACTATGTATGTATACATAGACTAGACAAGTACTCCGTGCAGAAGCATCTACTCAGGTAATGTACCTCTCCACCTAGTAATTTTCATTGGTCTGACTGCTTATTTACTTACATCCTTTTTATTATTCTTGTTGTTGTTGTTGTTGCTGTTGTTGCTATTTGCGGTGCAATGGAGGTAAGGTAACTAAACTACCTACCTCATCTAAGGTACGTACTACTCCGTACATAGGTATGTATATAATTGGCGCGGGTACTGTTCCCTGTTACGGTATCTAACTTTGCTTACATGTATATGTACCCAGCTAGTTAGTCTGTATTGGACCTTGTACAGGGTACGAATACAGTACTGTTATACCTGACTTGTGGTACAGTAGACAACACTGGAGAAAATATATATTGTAGTAATCATCTACAATCACACGAACAGTGATAGTGAGTTGGTTGTCCATTCTGAAATAAAGGTACAGGATATATCCCTCATTGCCTCGATCAAAACCAATCAAGCACCAACATGGAGGGAAACAAAAAAAAAAAAAAAAAAAAAAAATGGCTAGCGACTAGGGACTAGGAACTCACATTCTTGCTCCTCAAAAAAATCAAATAGCTTCTCAGACGAGAGCGGGAGTAGAGATAGAAGAGAAGATCACAAAAGGGAAAGGTCATAAGTAAGATGAACATCGGCAATGTTCGGGGAAAACATTTGGTAGACTTGTGATGAGGCATCAACCTGCGATCCGATAGATTCCAGAATGACAAGACGTCGCAAAACATATAGAATTCACCCCAATATAAAAAGATACAGGAACAAAGAGAACAATTTTACCCCATAAAACAATTATTACTCGCTCGAAAACCGACACAAAAACTTGCAATATCGTAGCAGACTAATTGATGCGGAATGCATCGAAGATGACTAGGCTTGGTGAGCAAAAAATGTTACTGCAGAGAATCAACGCTGTTTACTAACCTTCATGACCCCTGCGGCAGCCGCTGCAAATCCACATCAATGTGTTGAGGAAAGTGTAGCGGTCATCACCGGTTTCCATGCTAAGATTGACGCGATATTTGTACGAGTTGGGATTGATCGAGTCGGCCATCCCCGGGTCGTTGACCTTGTCAAGCACATCCTTCGCACCTGTCAACCATCCAGTGGTCTTGACGACAATATATGCCGGAGGCTCGTCCGCGGTCTGGAACACGAAGTTTGCTCGAAGGCTGGTAGAATCCTTGGTCATCACCTGAGAGTCTTGTCCGCCAGGCTAATAACAATTAGAACGTTGATACTCGATCGGGCCTTTTTTTTTTTTTTTTTTTTTTTTTTTTGAGTTGCAAAAGCTTACCAGAACAACACCTTTACCCCATCTGCCCGCCCACTGACCACCGATGAATGTGACCCAATCCCTCTGACCCCAGATGCTCGGTCCGACGGCGACCTTCGGGTTCATCTTGAGGCTCATGCGGAAGTCCAGCTCGAGGTTAGGCGCGGGGATTTGCAGCGAACGCGCCACATCGCCTTCGGGAAATGTATGGAGAAGGTTGTTGGCGGGAATGGAGTCTTTCATGACACTGAGGTAGGTGGGACATTCCAGGAGGTGTTGACGCTGTCGGCTGGTGTTCTTTGCACGGACTTGCTGACAGTATATGCACTGCACGGAGAGACACTATTTCCGTTAGGCCATGTTTCCCTCTTTCTTTCCTTTCTTGACACTCCCGGGATACCGTGTCTTACCTTGTCTTCTTCTTTCGCGCGGAACTCAACAAACGCAGCATGGACGTCATCCAGAGGAGGGGCGGGGAGGTTCGAGTTGGCGTTCTTTGGCTTTGCCTTGGGGGTGCTGCGAGCTGCCTGCTGGGAAGCGGACGCGGACGAAGAACCTCCCGGAGGACCAGAGGTGGGCAACGAGGCACGACTGGACATGTTCTGCAGGGGAGTTTGCATGGGAGTAGCATGAGGATTGACCCCGTTAGACATCATGGCGGCCGTGGGCGTCGACAGAGCACCCGGGCCTGGGCCAGCGCCTGGTGCCGCCGCACCAGCACCGTTGGGATTCGGAGGGTATCCATTTGCCGTAGTGATGCCGTTGGGAGCAGACTGGGTGGACTGGGATTGAGGGGGAGGATTGGTATGGCCGCGCAGACCAGGACACTCGAGGAGGTGCTGCTTCTGGCGTGAGGTGTTCTTTGCGCGGATCTGCTGGCAGTAGATACATTGGACGGAAAGACACTAAGAAGGGGGGAAATAGACGATGGTTGGTTTGTATGTCAGTGACGGTGGTGGTGTCGGGTCGTTTGCTGAAATATTACGGGAAATACAAAGTCACGCACCTTATCGTCTTCCTTGGCGCGGAACTCGACAAACGCCGCGTGAACTTCCTGGTCGACCGTCCGACCCATGTTCACGACGAAAGGAGCGAATAAATCGATGGTGGAAGAATTGGCGGGAGTCCCTGACTTGGAAAAGAAGATAACTGAGATGTCTCTGGCGATGGACGCTGGGATGAGAGGGACGAGAAGAGCAGGACAAGACACGCACGCCTGGGACGACTTGGGGGAGGGAAAGTGAAAAGGAAAGTGGCAGAAGACGAGACGAGACGAGACGAGGACAAGACGAGACGAGACGGACCGTGGCGGTTAAGTTACGCGAGGCTGTCAGAACGAGATCTTACCAGCTGCGTAATTTTGATCGCACTTTCTTTTCTCCTGCCCTCCTCTCACTCTGATGATAATCATACCTAAAACTTAGGGGCAGAAAGATATTCAAGCAATAGTTGTAGATATATAATACGCCATAGGATCGATCCAGTCGATGTGGTTATAATTCCGGTATGGTATTGAACCACCACCACATTTACAACCTAAATTTACCAGCTGTCCTGTCGATTGGCACGAATTATTTCCCCCAACAGAATACGTGGTATTTCAGCACTCCTTTTTTTTTTTTCATCTTCACTAGCTCCAGTTTCATATCGCGAATACTCCGTATATACCGAGTATATATATTATATAGATATATATATATATATATATATATATATATAGATCTATAATACTCGCTGCTGCTACTCTACTCTACTCACCACTTTAAACCCAAATCCCCCGCCAGCTCAACAAACTCGCCTGGGACTCAGCCACCACAATCCACGCGAACTTTCCTCCAACCAGCCCAATTATGGGCGTGGGTGGGCTTGGTCTGTGAGGTGGAGAGAGCGCAGGAGGGAGGGGTCACTCATTTGGATTTCCCTCCTCAATCATCCTTGAGAGTAGGAGAATAGATTTTGAAATAAAAATTATGCGTTTATATCTATATCTATATCGATATAGATATTAGACAGTAATTTAAGGCTGGGATATCTTTCGGTTGTATTATTTAGTTACCATACATACTTTACTTTACTTACTATACTGTACTTACTTTCATTCGGGTATCTGAATCCAAATTGCACAGACGGTGGTTTTACCACATACCTAACCAAAAAAAAAAAACCACCTATATAAGTATTTCCTGACGATTAACTACTGAACGATCGGGAAGTTATTTAAAGATAGAGAGAGCCGAATTATTACATCCTTGTCTATTGACTACTGTAGCGGCAGAGTGACGCCGACAATGTACTTACTCCGCACAGAACGCATGAAATGAGACAGAAACCCATGTGAAAGACAGAGTACGTTTTTTTCTGTTTTAAATCAGACCATAAATGATGCTGAATACGACAATATGTAGAGAAAACCCGAAATGAAAAAAAAAAAAACCCAATATGAAAAGGTAGCCTGGCCTACACCATGGGCAGACGGATCAAGATCTCTCCGTACTCGTATTGCACACCATGTTCCTCGCTACTTTGATCGGTGTACGTGGACTGGCGGACTGAAAGGAACCCTTTGGTAGCCAGGGCGAGAACATGCATCAAGCCGTGTGTGGCAACCGTGCGCGACGTCTTCTGAGTAGGTAGGAGAGTCGAGAATGTGATTTCTTTCTTTCCCGCGGCAATTCTAGGAGGAGTAGTGACTGCATCGCTGTGAGGTTCCACATCCTCTGCACTTTTCAGCGAATCCATCTTGGCAGCTAAAAAGTCAAGGAAATTTAGGCTCTCCTGGTCCATGGATGATTGAGAAAGACCGCTTTGAAGCGCAACCTGGCTTGTATAAGTACTTGCACCTGCTCCGTCGACGACCGAGTTACTACCCATCACATTCTCGGGTTCGAGGTAATTGCTGAGATCGAAACCCTCGAGTCTATCGAGGTCTTCTTCTTGATTACCTGGGCTGAATAGGCTGTTGATTCTGTCCATATCAAATGGGAAGCCACGTCCAGCTAGAGGACTCGCGCTTGTTAAACGGCTTCGCGATCTTCTGAACCCTGCAAGACCGACATCTCTCTCGAATGAACCTGCGGATTCGGGAATACCACAGGAGGAGGGCCCGCCCACGCTTCCGAGCCCGCGGAGGATATTGGCGGCGGAGGTCTCATGTCGAGAGCTTTGGATAGAGGCAGTGATGTTCCATGGCATTAGGGAAGAGTTGCCATCTTTCAAGCTTGGTGAGGGGTGGCGGCCAATTTCAACTTCCTAGACACGAAGTTAGAGATACCCACATTGACGAGCGCCTGGTTGTATGTGGGTTGGGTCGACCAACCTCGTTCCAAAGATTGTTATTTTCTATTTCTCCCCTAGCTATGTTCTCTTCGTCTCCTTCTTTTGAACGAACCCGTCTCCCGCCACCCTCTTCGCCACTTTCACATGGACGCTTGCGACTGTTCCTCTTCGTAGTCGGAACCAGGGACTCGTAGAGCTCATCGCCAGAGAACAAATGCAATGGATGTACGATATGAGTTGATCCCACACCGGCACCTACGCATCCAACCCCAGCTCGAAAGACCCAGTAAGCTGCGTTCTTTTTTGCTTGAGTTGGTATCTTATTCTGTTGCTTTTGCTTTGCGGCTGAAGCCATATTTTTTAGGTAATTTTCATTCATGTGCAATAGGTCGGAATTGCGTAGTGTGGGATTGTTATCTAAAGGAAAGATTTTGGGAGCTCTCTGTCGTTGACGCATGGTTAGTTCGTTTGGCTTCTCTTCTTCTTCTTCTTCTTCTTCTTCTTCCTCCGGTTCAAAGATAGAAACTCCTCTTGGCCTAGGAGTCGAGGGGTGAGTAGCCTGCAATTTTGCCGCTGGGACTTCTATATCATCGCCAACAAGCATAGGCTGAGCGGAAGCAAAGTTAGACCATGTTGTATATTTGCTTGTAGCAAAGGGCTTTACCTGATCTTCAAATGAAAGCTCATCCATATTACCTGCTATTGCCTGGCGTGCCTCGCTGACATGTCTGTTCGTTCTTGATTCATGGTGCTGCCTCCCCCCAAGCTCAATAATATTTCCATCCTCGTCAAACTCAAAGTCAGGCTGGAAAAGCACACCCGCTTCCTCATTGAAGATGGAACCTGACATCCCGCCGAAATCAATCCCTGACTGAGCGGCACCGACAATGTCAGGTTCGGAACTAAAACCTCCCACGCCTCCCATAATTTGGTCATTAGAAGGCAGGTCCAGATCCAGCTGCAGACTAGAGATCCCCGAAAACGCAGACTGGCTTAGATCCGGGGTTCCCGGCAAGAATACGTTTGACTGCTGGCTTGCATTCGACTCAAACACTATGTTCAGTTTTGAGAGATCCAATCCTAGCCCTGGGAGGTTATTCTCCGGTAGGAATGATGGATCGTAGGGTAGGACGAGTTGTTCAGGCCTAGGAGCAGTACAACTCAGTTCACTTCCAGGTAAACAATTGAGAGAACAGTAAGGACCACAAACCTGGCTTTCCCTGCAGCAGGGTCCAGTCCGCCTGCAGGAATGGATTTCAGCATCGTTTTCATCCTATCGTGCATTGCTTGCGTGTCTAGCAGTGTGTATCCGCATTGCTGGCTGTAAACTCGAGAGACTCCGTACCTAGATACAGTCAGTCATGAATCCCCCCGGTCTTGTATTGAGCATAGAAAGAATACGTACAGTAAGTTACTCTGGAGCCTCAATGCCATTGGCGCAACTGGGTCTATAATCACACCGCATGCCTTGGGGACGTCAACATCTAATATCGTTTTTCGATTGAGTCGTCTGGATATAGATTTCGACCCCAACGTTGCGACAAGCCTACAGAGGCACGATTCATCAGTCCTAAGTTTAAATGGCCTGGCAGAAGGAGCTACATACCATACTGTGGCTACTCCATGCTCTGGGGATGTGAGAACTAGGAGCGGACGAGTGGATCGTATTTAGTCGTCGTTGTTGAAACCTCAAATCGGACTAGCAGAATGTCTTGACATACTTTCATGGCTATAGAACATTTTGAAGTTATCGTTGACCTAAGATATTCTTGATGTCTTTCTCTCGCAGCTATCTTTCTGTAGCTGAATAGATCCTCGTCTATCAGCAACGGCGATTCGAACTTCACCTTGGAAGAAGAATTCATAGTCAATCATCAAAGTCATGAATGAAATAGACAAGGAATGTTCTCCGCAAGAATCAGAGAAAGCAGTCCAAACTCACTGATCCCAAGCCTAATTGACAACCAAATAACGGGGTTGGAGGCAATTATGCCGAAACCTATCAAGCTCGTTATAAAAGCACTAGTTTCGACCTATCCAGTAATTCGAACGGTAAAAAAAAGAGTTGGATATCGAGAGAAGTCAAAGAGAAGGGCAAGTTTGTGAAGGGAGAGATGAGATCAAAGGTAAAAGGAGTGGCAGAAAGGGTAAGTAATGGATTCCTCCAGGCTCTCTTAAGACCGAGAGGGTATTTTTCTGCCCATTGCCCTCTTGCCCACCATGAGCTGAGGGAATTCTATGAGGAGCGAGCGCTATAGGTATCTAAAGATGCGTATTAGAATAATATGTACTTGATCTTGATCTGCATTTACCTATCTGACCTAATGAATTGAAGTTTGAAGCAAGAAGCAAGCCGGACCGGTGATACGCTGACCCATGCCATACCTGTAAAAGAGAAAAAAGCTACCCAACTACTACTAGGGAGTAGTAGGAAGGGACAAGAAAAGAAGGCACCAAAAAGGAGACTATAAATCAGGGCCCTATTCAAAGGATAAAAGGAAGACTTTTGATTTCCAACCTCTATACTTGGGTAGTCCAGGTTCATCAGCGCCGAGAATATTCGCCCAAGCAGATTGAATTAAACCAAAGAAAATAGGCAGTGCGAAACAGACGAGGCTATGGAGGTGTTGTGTCTATTGAAAATTGCAAAGGTAACCAAGCAAAGAAGAAAAGAAAAGTATGTTCACTATGGAGCTTCCTAAGATATTAGAAAACGTCACTCTTAGAATCCTAGAACCCATAGCGATGCAGGAGGCCGCACATAGGGTATGAGCAGGTGCGTTAAAGCAATACAGACAAGGCACAAAATTAACTAGGTGAGTGGGCACTGAGAAATATCTTTTTTTCTTTGATTCACAAAAAGAAAAAAAAAAAAAAAAAAAAGGAAGGAGGGGAAAAAAAAAGAAATATAAATAAAAAAACAGACCCTGATTCGAATTATCTCACATACCTACCATTCAACTAGACCAACCAGTTTGGTACGAGGCTAGATATATATATCAAACGCTAAAAAAAATCTATTCAAGAGGAATACCCTCGTACTCGCCGTATCCGAGGGCAAGGTTCATGTTTTCTGTTGCTAGAGTTAGTTTGGTTGAAGGGTCATGGTAGATAGAAAGCACTTACGCAGACATTGGGTCGCGGCACCCTTCAGGAGGTTGTCAATGGTGGCGCATACCACTACACGGTTCTCGCTGGAGTGGACGGCAAAGGCACCAACCTCCACACCGTGGCGGCCAGAGATGTTCTTCACCAGAGGAGCTTCACCGACGATCTTAACGAGCTTCTCGCCGGCATACCGATCTTGGTAGATGTTGCGAATATCCCGGGAGGACATGGTCTCCTTGAGAGGGATGCTGATTGTGTGCTGGACAGATTATTAGCATCATTGACAGAACTTCAAAAAAAAAAAAAAAAAAAAAAAACCTCGGGAACGTACACTAATGCCCTGGAACCAGACAGCAACGTGGGGCATGAAGGCAATGGAAGTGCCAAGCTGAGCGCTGATCTCCCTCTCGTGGATGTGGTCGGTCAGACTGTAGGGGATGATGTTGTTCGTGAGATTCTGAACATCATTCTTAGGGCTTGGCTTGGTGCCAGCACCAGAGTATCCGGAAACACCAAAGACGGTGGGTTGTCCACCGAGGTAGGGAACAAGAGGGGCAATGGCGAGTTGAGCAGCGGTAGCATAGCAGCCTGGGTTAGCAATTCGAGTAGCTTGGGCAATCTTGGAGCGGCTGATAAGCTCCGGCAGACCGTAGGTCCATTTAGGGTCGAATCGATAGTCGGCACTCAGATCAATAATGACATTTCCGTCCTGGGCACCCTGGTCGACTGCATCGACGAATGGCTTGCAGACACCGTTGGGCAGAGCCATAACCCAGCAGTCGACCTCACCATTGGCGGACATGCGCTTGACATCTTCGGGGCTCAGGTTCTCGTAGATGATCTCCCGCTTGTCATAGCCTTGCAGCTTCTTGCCAGCCAGCTCGCGAGAAGAAACATGGCGCAGGTCCAGTTGAGGGTGACCATTGATCAGGTTGATCAGGGCCTGACCGGTGTAGCCACGAGCTCCAATGAGAGCAACCTTGGAGGGCTTGGGGTTGGAGTTGTTCTTCGCACCGAGAGGGGGGTTGGGGTTGGTGGTGGCGTAAGTTCGGACGGTTTGCACGGGGACCATAGGGCGTCCAGAACGAGCAGCGCGCAGCGCATTGCTCGCAGAGGAGAACGCACGCTTCTGCTCAGCGGAGGCACCGCTGGCACCGAACCCTTTACCAATGTTGGTAGCGGCTTGGGCAGCACGGTGCAGACGCGATTCGAGGTTAATATCGCCAAACATCTGGCGGCCGTGCTGGTTGAATTCTTGAACCAGCTGCTTAACCTCCTCGCCGCTCTCAATGCCGTACCAGAAGAGAACCTCATTCTCGCGGCTTAAGCTGCCATCGGCCTTGTCGAAGAACCATGTGAGGTTCTCGTCATCCTCCTTCACAGTCCAGACAAGCTTGGGAAAGTCCTTCTTGATAGCGGCAAACACATTATCGGCGACGTTGGTTAACCAGCCAGCCTTGGTAATAGTAAAGGTAGCCAGGTGGGCGGCGGGGGAAACGGCGTCCTGCTGGGGGGGGAGGACCACGGCCAGGGCCTCCATAGGCTCATCGTAGTAAACCTTGAAGTCACGCTCCTTGAGGCCCTCGACGTAGCGGTCAACGGTTGCGCGGGCATCCAGACCCTCACGGTCGCGAACCAGCACATCCTTCAACTTACCCAGGTCTTCGAACCCGGAGAGGGCGGTTTTGGTGTGGACCTTGTTGCCTCTGCGGATCAAAGTTCCAGCACCAGAGTCGGTGAAGAGCTCCTTTTGCAGGTCGGCGGGATGGATGATGGCAACGCTGGAAGTACGGGGCAGATCGCTGAGCAGTTCCTTCATCTCCTTGATCTTCAGACGAGTGCCGTGGCGCACCCACCACTGGGTCATCAGGTGGTCGTACTCCTCATCGAGGTTGATGGCGGAAATCTTCTCACCGGTGTCGCCATTGAAAAGTCCACCTTTCTCGGCCAGGTAGACGATCTTAAGGGGCTGAAGGGCACGCGCCAACTCTCCCGCAGCCACATCAGCGTTGACGTTCAGGACCTGACCATCGGGGGTCTCAGCCATGGAGGTCAGGATGGGGAGGCAACCAGCCTCGATGGCGGACTCGATTGGCTTCTTGTTGACACCGTTGATCTTACCAACCAAGTTGTACTTCTCCTTGTCGAGGTAATCGGCCTGGAAGACACCCGCGGTGAGAGGACGAGCGCGCACGCCCATGCGCTCCAATTCCTCCACGAGCTTCAGGTTCTCCTCCATAAAGAGCTTGCGGGCAAGAGCCAATGTCTTGCCGTCAGTGACACGGATACCATCCTCGAACTGAGGCTCGACACCGGCAGCCTCGAGCATGCGGTTCAGCTGGGGGCCAGCACCGTGGACGACGATGGGGTAGAGTCCGACATGGTTCAGGAAGGCGAGGGCGGATGAAAGGGTCTCAAGGTGCTCGGTAATAATGGCGCCGCCGACCTTGATCACAGCGAACTGCTGGGAGGAAACAGAGGTGAAGTGGGAGAGGTACTGCTGGACCTCACGCTTGGAGCCGATGTTGCTCAGCAGCTGAACCACGGTGGACCGGGTGGACGACAGGTGCGAATCGGAGGCTCGGGAATAGTGGCGGCCCTGCAGCAACGGAACTGCAGAGGCCCTGAGAGAGACGACGTGCGGTGCGGAGAACGCTCGGAGGGGCTTGCTGGTGGAAGCTCTCCGCACAGCGGTGCGAAGGGAGAACATCTTACCAGCCAACATGCGGCAGCTGCGGTGGTTGCTCGGGACAAAAAGGATCTGAAGGAGATTCCAAGAGAGGAATTGTCAGGGAGGGGCTAGACGAGGTATAAAAACAAAGGGGGGTGTGTTGGAGGAGGAGTCACTATGAGGGAAAAATGGGTTTGGTTGGCGGTGTTGAGTTTGCAAGGAATTTGCCGCACTGCTTCGCCCAGATCGATATCGGCCACAACCTGGGCTGCAGCGCGATTTTATTTTTTCCCTGATTCTTCCTAAAAAGGGGAAGAAATAGACAGAAACAGGGAAGGTAAAAAAAAATGGGAATATTTATTTAAACCACTGCAGATATTGACGGACCTTTTTTTTTTTTTTTTTTTTGGTATCGGCTTGCAACCCCAAATCCTGCAGGCGACAAAAAAATGACGCTGCAAGTTGGGAGGTGAGGGATTAACAGGGGAGAAAGCACAGGGATCTGATGTATTCTTTTTTTTTTTCTCAATGTAAGAGCAGCAACCCAACCGCTGGCGTGCAGGAAGTCAGAACAAGAAGATCTAGAGAAGGGAAAGAAGACAGAGAGAAATCAGGTACAAATCGTTACGAGCGACTTTCGGCGTCCGGAGCCGGAAAGCGTGACTCAAAACTGAATTACATAAATGACCAAGTAATTTTATCGACTTCTGCAGGGTTTTTTTTTAGCAAGTACTAAGTAAATGGATTCTTCCAGCAGATCCGAAATTCTCATGTCAAATCACTGTATGTAATTTCTCAATCTAATCCTAATTGATGGAATTTAAAAATATCTCGCTGCAGCAGGAATTTTGCCCAGGTTTGCTGTGCTGATGATCAGATTAGATCTTTCATTTCGTCTATTCTCTTCTTTTTATTTTTACTTCCCTCTAACGCCCCTCTCGCTCTCGTCCACTCTTGGGGTCTCGACGAATCGCAGTCCCTCGTTGGACTCGTGTGGATGGAGCCTTGGAGCCCTTTTGCATTGGGTCGTTTTCATTATCTGATATCGTTTCTGCTAATTAAACCCACTGTCCAAGGGCTCTCCTGTCAGTCTTACCTTACCACGTGTGGAATCCGATCGGCTCCGACCGCTCGCTTTTTACTGGTATTATCTGCTAAGGTAGGCAGAAACCCTCAAGAGGATAGAGGTATGGAAACATTCATTATAGAGGTAGAGAGAAAGGAGGCACATAAGAGAGGGAAAAAGAAACACAAACAATAACATAGTCAAAACACACGGGGAAACACCAGAGTATCATTTACATCTTCACCGTCGACGAATCGTGTGGCATACATAGCCCTCATTCGAAAGAACCAGATCAATTCATAGCGCCCAAAGCCCGCAAAGACATGGCGGAATTCGTGAGAACAAGAGGAGTCGACGCCCAACACAAAAGCACAGAAGGTATTAGAGAGGCTGAAAACAGAGCTTCAACGGTTTTAACCCGCAGAATCCACGTGGAACTCGCATCCACTTATCGAGAGAAAAACATGACTTTCGCTAATTCTCATATCTTATTTCGTGGTAGTGACAACTAGAGCAAAGAAGGAAAATCTATATCAGTATATTTTTTTTTTCCTTCCTGGTGAGAGGAAAGTAGTTCAGAGGAGAAGTGGGTCTTACCAGCAGGAACGATGATCACTACAAGCAGCAGAATGATACAAATGAACAAGCATACGCGCATCTTCATGTCCTTCCACCACATTTGCTTTCGCACACGGTTGGCGCCTCTGCGGAAGCCCTGGGCTGACACGGCCAGGTTGTCGGTCTTGTCCTGCAAAGAGTCTAGACGTTCGCCGCGCTCGGAGACCTTGAAGATGTTTGAACGCATTGTGTCGACGGTTTCCTGGATTTTCTGTTCAACGGAGGAGGGATTAGTGAATATTCGCAATGAAATACGTTGCTATTATGGCATTCGGGAACCAAAATTAAAGGGGGCATCGTCGCAGGCAAACATCATCCAAGTAGCGTCTTCAAATGGTTGAGAAAATAGAGCCTTCAGTTCGAAGATCTCAAGACCATGAAATGCGACAGAGATATCTCGCAACACGACACCCCAGGTATCTAAATCGGCTGCTCACCTTGTCGATTTCCCGTGTTCTATTGTCGCCATTTTGCGCGGTGCTGCCGCTGGGGGCGCTGGAGCCAGAAGGGATATAGGGATCGTAGGGTTGTTCAGCCATGGTGTTATTACGAGAGGCTGGATATTCTTGGTCTTTAGGTCGTTAAATTAGGTGGTTCGCGAGGCCACGTAGTTGGCGAGTGGTAGGCTTCGTTGGCAGTTCGTCACGGGAAAACAACAGAAAAGGGCGAAAAAAGGAAGGGAGGCGGGAAAGTCGGTCGCTCAGCGAGATGACTCAAAGATGGAGGGATGCTGGTTGTTGGGGAAGGAGAGGAAAGGAGGATAAGATAGGATACAAAGAAGAGAGGAGGAGGAGGAGGAGAAAGAGAAACGGAAGCTGACAAGGTGTGATGAATCGCCGCCCGCCTTCTGGAGATTACAGGCGTTTCGGTTCGGTCGGGGTGGCAACACGTGACTGGCAGCGCCCAGCCTGGTTATTTTAGGTTTTTCTTGGGAACAGGCAACGATCAATTCGAGCACCAATCATGCATGAGGGGCTGGAAGAGAGGGAGCGTTCTTATAATACGGAGTACTTCCAGAATCCAGACATGCTTCAAAAGGGGTCGAGAAATCCGGACTACTGATTCTCGACCAGGAAGGGAATTTCCCTGCCGTGTTCGAGCATCCAAAAAGGGTAACCCAAGAGTCGCACCCGTTCTTCTTTGTCTGACCTTCATACAAGGACAGCCACACTTCCTCTGCCTCAGTACGGAGTAGGTGAGAGATAGCTGACAAGCATTCTTCAACTATTATATATGGATAGTGCATCATAAGCCACCTATGGTCCTCGCGGATCCCACGGATCGGGCTTCAGGGAGAAGCGGAAACTGGTGATTCTCGTGCTGTACTCGCCGGCCTATCATTATGCGCGCTTAATTACCTAGCCAGTACATAACCTCCCACGTGGAAAGTAGGAAAATTGTACAGGCTTTGATATTATTCTCGGTAGGTAGTCTACAATCTTGAGAATCCAGATTTAATTGAACGGTCTGCCTGTCAACCTGAACCTTATAGCGTTTAGCCGGTACGCTTTTCCTAAAATAGCGCTGGGTTCTACAACTATGTACCTACCTAAGGAAATAGTTAACTAGTTACCAGCTACCATGCGGAATACAATAGGGAAATCCCTTAATACTTATAGCAGTCCCTCATATGTCTACTATCGTGGTTGAAAGCCCTACTTCGCATACGGAGTACTGGCCCCGAGAATTGTAATTCCCCGTTGATCCAAGGTCCCTATGACAAGGCATGGTTGGAGGCAAGAGTAAATATACCCAACAAACGAAGCCATGAAGATAAGAGAAACCAAAGTTGCAGAAAGATGTATGTATATTAGCCCGAGCCGGGCCTTTTTGGTTGATTTCCCAATAGGGGGAGACGCGTTCATAGAACTGCACGATGGGCACTTGTGCGTCCGAAACCAAAGCCTGCAATAGATATCAGTGGACCACGTCAATGCTGAAAGGAACGGGTTAATGTTGCAGAAACTACTTCTTACTATCTAGACTAGGTACTTACTCTGTAGACTCTGTGAATTGCACCTAGAGAAGTGCTGTTGTTGCTCATGCTACCATAGGTAGAGACGGAGACTGCTTAATGCAATGGAACAAGCATGACAATAACATGTGTACCTAGGTATCAACCTACCTACCCTATGAGATCTGATTCTCGTCTGGTATGTAGATGCTGGGGAGGGCGGGGATCCCAGTAAGCGGGGCTAGTGATGTCTGTGATTTCTCACAAAAGGGGTCTGTCTTGGCTATTACAAAGAAAGTGGTTTAATATACTAGAATACATGCTTCATAAAGGCAAAAGCAGAGAGGAATACAGGGGTGTAATCTGTGAGGGATGGGCTATTACTCTTTACACGGCTTCTATACATCGACATCGGCACCGACAAGAAACTCTCCACGGCCAGGAAACTAGCGCTGAACGAACAGGAGCTTACTTGACAGGAACTATACTATGCCTGGCAGTCAGGTTCCCCTCAATTAACCTTGGTAAGAAGGTCTGAGGGGTGTGTCTGCGTGTGATTAGGCATGTATATAGTTTTTGGGTAGTGATAGCTTTGCCCAAACCGGCAAAGCCTGTATCCATCCATCGATCCCATGGGGCCACATTCACAATTTCATCCACAGGGGAAAAAAAAAAAAATTAAAAATTAGATTTTGTTTCTTGCTGGCATGACTTTAGGATTTTTTTCTGTTAGTTAGTTAATAGTTAATGGCCAGTGACGATGACACACGTGGCGAGCCCTAGTGCGGGCCTTGGAATATAACTATTTATCTACTGCGTATCTTCTCAAAGTCACCTTGTTAGTGGCTGCTGATCTTGCAAGTTTCGAAGAAGACGAGACAAAGAGTATAAGAACAGAGTTTGCAGGATAGCTGCACACTAGTCTAATTCTAATCCCTAGCGAGTCCCTTTTTGGGGGGGTTTTCGTTTCCTTTAAAAGGAATTATCCGTTCCTATCTTTCGCTGACCTTGGAAGAACCGTGAACGATCAAAAAAAAGTTCACCACCATCCATTATCGGCCTGTGTCCATGGATTTGGATCCGCGGTACCCAATTTCCCCCACGTGAATTCGAATGAAACACACCCCATAAACGAGCCATGGCATCTGCAGCTGCCGGTCCCAGAGACAAATTAGAGGTAGCGCTATTCCTTGCCGCCACCCAGGGCTACGATACGATAGTAAAGCTGTTGCTGAAAACGCCTGGCGTGAACCTGAACTGCACCGACGAAACCAGCTGGACCCCCATTGCATGGGCGGCTGACGGAGGTCATGAGAATGTAGTCCAGTTGTTACTGGAAACGGGCAATGTGGAGATCAACTCCCAACATTCAAAGCAAGGCCTTTCTCCTCTGTGTGCGGCTGCCAAAAACGGACATACAGGCGTGGTGCGCCGGCTGCTGGAGCGGGGGGATGTGGACTGTAATCTCGCAGACTGCAATGGACAGAGCCCGTTGTCGTGGGCGGTGGAAAATGGTCACCAGGAGATAGTCCAGATGCTGTTGGCGCGTGGGGGTGAACCTAACTCCCTAGACCCCAGCGGGCAGACGCCCCTGTCTTGTGCGGTTGACAAAGGATATCAGGAGATAGTGAAATTCTTACTCGATTATAGTGATGTTGAATGCAACACTTGCCATCCCAACGGGCTCTCTCCTTTATCTTGCGCCGTGAATAAAGATCACCACGAGATAGTGAAGCTTCTTCTGGACCGGAATGATGTGGATCCTAACAAGCCTGATCCGGAAGGGTATACCCCGTTGGCCAGTGCTGTCGAGAAGGGATCCCAGGGGATGGTACAGCTGCTGCTCGGTCGCGGAGACGTTGACCCCAACGTCCTAGGTCCAGATGAAGAGACGCCTCTGTTCCATGCCGTGGAGAAAGAAAACCTGGAAATAGTCACGCTGCTCACAGGCCGCGGGGATCTCGACCCAAATACGGCAAATTCTAGTGGAGATACCCCGTTGTTCTGCGCTGTAGAGAAGCACAATCAGGGAATTGTGAAGCTTATTTTGGCGCATAGTAACATTGATCCAGACATTCCTGACGGCAATGAACAGACACCATTATCCCATGCCGTTCAACAAGAAGAACCAGAAATAGTAAGGCTACTCCTCAAAGCTGGAGCCAGCCCAGCTGTGATGGACAAAGATGGAAGGGTGCCCTTATCTCATGCCGTGGAGAACGAGAACCAGGAGATTGTAAGGCTGCTGTTGAAAGCCAAGGCAGATCCGAATGCCGTTGACACCAGGGGAAGGGTGCCGTTGTCTTACGCTGTGGAGACAGGGCATGTGGAGATAACGAGGCTCCTAATCAAGTCCAAAGCTAATCCAGACCTCAAAGATGAGGGCGGGAGAGTACCGCTATCCTGCGCCGTGGAACAAGGACATGAAGAGATAGTGCACATGCTGCTCAAGGCCAAGGCGGACCCTACGGTGAGGGACAAGCGGGGGCGAACCCCTCTGCTCTGGGCCGCAGATAAGGGGAATGTGGAAATAGTCTGGCAGCTTATTGAATCAAATAGAATCGACATTGACGCTGCGGACGACAACGGCTGTACTCCTCTGTGGTGGGCCGCTCGACGTGGACATCTGCCTGTCGTGCGGTGCCTCGTGCGATACGGCGCGGACAAGGAACTGCAACCGGAAAATACGAATGATGCAGGGGCAGGGGACAAATTCGGAACACCCTTATTTCAAGCTGGTCGGAAAGGCCACATCGAGGCGGTTAAGTACCTGCTCAAAAAGGGCGCGAAAATCAACGCAGCAAATGGCGAGCTCGGTGTGTCGTTGTTATTGTCTCTCATGCTCTGGGATCGGACCAAGCGCGGCCGGGAAATTATCTACATGCTGCTGGAGAAAGGATCGGACGTGAACTTTGCGGATAAAATGGGCCAGACAAGTCTCGACATCGCCAGCAAGGAGAGCGACTTGGAGCTAATTACTGCTTTGATTGAGGGCGGAGCCAACGTTGAGACCGCAACCGAAGATGGCACCACTCCATTGCACCGCGCTGTACTGAATGAGCGCGAAGATATAGCACACATTCTACTCGCCAAGGGAGCCGATGCTGAAGCACAGGACCAGCAGGGTGATGCACCTCTACATTTCGCAGCGGCAAGCGGTCGTCGCAAGATGGTTGATATGGTCCTAGCCAAATCAGCCGATATCAATGTCACCAACTACCTTGGAGAAACGCCATTACACAGGGCAGCAGCCAACGGGCACCGAAAGATGGTGGAATTCCTCCTTCAGAGCGGATCCCGGATCGAGGCGCGCGATGATTACCGACGGACAGCACTACACAAGTCTGTTGGTTCCAAGCACCATGTCATGAGGTTACTAGTTAATAAAGGGGCTGATGTCCACGCGAAGGACATGTACGGCCAGACTGCCCTTCACATGGCCGCAGAGGCTGGGCTGGAGGAGGATGCGCATTTCCTGATGGGCCACGGGGCGACCACTGATGGGAAGGACGACAATGGGAGAACCGCTCAAGAACTGGCTCAAATGGGAGGATATGACGAGGTTGCTGAACTGTTTAACAAGATGGCGCTGGTTCTCGCAGATAAATCATCTGATTGATGATATAAGGCAATGAGAGAAAGTGATGATATTAGATTTGTACCTATAATGATTAGCGTAGTGCATATTGACAGGACAGTTCTTATAGACCTCCAAGCTTCCAATGTGAATTGGAACTAGGTTGACAAGAGTATATGATGGCTGATGGTAACTGGACGCAGAATCATACCGGAGTTGAATCATATGCAGGTACATTTCTATAAATACTAGCTAACTGGCATACTTAGAAACACGTCCCCAATTTGAATACCTTGAATCCAAGTATTATTGAAGCCACGAAACTTCTTAATACACAGGGATATTGACTGATTTACCCTGAGCAGCGAGGTCTGGACTGTACGTATACATATATGTATCTCATCGACTGCTAACACATGTAAGCGCCACATATAAACTCCAAAGGGTTCAATCCCCAACCCTATGCAAAAACGCTGCTTTTCTCTTCATAAAAATGTCCCCCAACCCGGGGTATAAATACAGGATAATAATGAGATCATGAACAAAATCGGATATCAAGGATATCAAACCCACGAGGGAAAGAAAAAAAAAAGGGGAATGAAACCCCCGCTACTTACTTCCCACCGAGCAACTCCTTGCGCATCTCCTCTCGCTGTATCTTCGCATCCTCCTTAACCTGGCTCCGTTGTGCCTCCATTTCAGCCCGCTGCTTCTCCTCATATTCCTGCGCCGCAAACCAAACTACACTGCCAATTAGCTCGCGGGACCATTTCATTTCCCGACTGGTTTTAAGAACGCACTCGACTTATCCGACTTCGACCACTCCTTTAACCGAGTAACATATTCATCGAATTCGCGGGCGCGACGGTCCCCGTCCTCGATGCTCCGGCGTTGGAGTTCCGGGTTATAGCGCTTGAAGAGCTCCTCGTCTGTTGGGCGGATGTACTGGACCAATGCTGGGCCGCCAATACAGATGACGGCACCGCTAGATTGGTCGAGAGATGTTAGCACCCAGACATTATCCAGTGGCGGGCGGAGACACGGAAGAAGTGGAAGTAGCAATGGTGTTTTGTTGTTGTTGTCTTACGTTCCGAGCATCTTGAGCCAGGTTCCGGCTCGTGACATATTGCTGGGTGCGCGGAGTGAAACGGTAATGTCAGATGGGAAAGTTGAGTATCTGCAGATTTATTGCCGAGGGGGAAGTATTAAACTCCGTAAGTGGGTAGCGTTTCAAGGAGCCCAAAAATCAGTGAGGAGCGAGAATGGGTATTTCCCAAATGTGAGTTGGAGATGGCATCATTGGATTCCCGTGCAGAGATCATGTGGCTGGTGACGTAGGGCGGTGCATAGGGACTGTGGCTGTGCATTCGAATGGATAACCAATTGGAGGAATTGCTTTGCAAAATTGTGTGTGTTTCTAATTTTGGACTTAGGGGCGAATTAATAAGTTATTAATTAATTAACTAGTTAACTAGTTAACTAGTTACTATTATTTTTACATAATATAATAGTCTATTTTTAAAAGGTCATCTTCTACTCTGTACTAGACGATCGGTAGTTATTGGTTGATGATGATTGTCACTGTATAGAATATAGATAGCTAACTGTGGGTAGTCTACCCACGCCGAGGGTTAATCCGCTCCGGGTTTCTACCAACGCCGAGCTGTAAGCCCTCATGCTTGGCCAAATTCACTTTCAGCTCTACGTAGCTCGCTCAACGACATTGATCCATCAGCTTTTTCGCCGCCTCTTAAACATTTCATCAATGATCGATCAATCCCAACCAAGGGTGATTTTGCTTGAGTACTTACCAAATACCGAAAGTTTAAATTGCGTGAACTATTCCGATGCTCTCTTTCAGTATGCAGTTGATGGTACGGAGTATTAAAGAGATACACGGTGCTCTTATCCATCACCAGGATATTTACCCGAGGAATATGTTGGTTGTATCCGGTAGTAGGATTGTATGGATTGGTTTCGATGTCTCAACAACTTTTGATATGATGGGCTCCCGTGAGAAAGAATACGGCGAATATGAAGTCGATCTTGTCAAAAGTTTCGGAAAGGTTTTGGTATGTGTTGCTTCGTTGCCTTAAATATCAGATATTAACCATCACGAACCCCAGAAAAATGACCAGAGAGAGGGTCTACCCCCTAACACAAAATATTATTGAACTCGGATTCCTCAAAAACCAAGTTATCACGCTAGTGATCGTATGCACATAACTGAAATATGGCTCTCTCTCTCTCTCTCTCTCTCTCTCTCTCTGCTGTTATCTCTGCATGTCGGAGATGGTCTTCGACACTCTTCTTTTTTGCGCCGACATTATGAAGGAATTCCCGAAGGAAGGCATGAAAACCTTGCTCAGGAGCTTTTTAAACTCTGAGCAAGCTTTTTTAATGTAACACTTCAACTCGACCTGTATTGTAAGAATTAGCTAGCATCCCGGGGAACCCATTTTATGATAATTCGTCGCCTGGGATCGTTCCCTCGTGTCTATCAGGGACCTCGGAGTGCTTTCGCCCACGGGTCCCGACGGCAACGTGGAGAACTGCATGTTGGCCGCGGACTTTCGCAGTCTACACCTGTTACTTTGTATCAACGGATTTCGCCTCTCTCTTCCTATGTCGCATCGACCAAGCCGATACGTATGCGAATTATGATTGATGACTGTTCTCCTGCTGGCCTGGGAGCGGGGGAGTGGGCAGATTTAAAGAAGGATGCCTTGTGTCAGTCTGGCCTACACACCGTCAACGCTTGTATTAACTAACTATAGACAACAAGTTACTAAGGTATTAGCTACAGTATCTTAACAGATAAGGCTCTGACTAGATTACTTGAGTTAGAGAGTGATTGAAAGTAGGAGATATGATAAATATACACAGAAAAACTACATAATCATATAGTCTGTAAACCCTTCAAGAGTCTCCATCACATTACTTTCCATAACAGGCTCTCGAGAAGTAACATCCTTGAAGTACAATAGAATAGGGCTAACCTGATATTTGATATTAGGTCAGTCAAGCTTTCATAAAGATACGTGAAAAAAAGTAAAGAATAAGTCTTTTGCAATGATATGGTCGAGTTAGCACATATTAATTTCGTAGGCTTATAGCCCCTTTCCATTGCTCAGTTGACTCCATCATCATTGATGAATACACCAAGGAGCCTCTTCGCGGAATCAGATTGCTGTGGAGTTAGCGAAAAGGCTCTGAAAATTTTTGTGTCAAGTGTGGGCTAAAAGTTGGACAAGATACAAGAAGTTGAAGGACAAATTGACGAAATAAAAACTGTCGCCTAAGTGTCGCTTAGCGTTTGTATGGAAGTGATCTAGAAAGGAATCCAGTAACTATAGGTCGCCCGTAGTTAGTGCCGCGCTGGAGACAGACAACGGGAATTTGACATGAAAGGCCAATAAACGAGAAGCATGCTGAAGTTCCCCTGTGTTTCGCCCGGAGATTGCACCCTGATGGCATAGATTGGCGCATGTAGGTGCATATCCTCCAAGGCGGCCCCTGACCTGATGCTCGATAATCCAGGATAGGCTTTCGGGTTTCCTCTCATTCTATATTGCATAATTTAGGAAGTAAAATGAAATGTGATAAATATGGACGGCTCTTGCTGTGAGTGGCTCTGGTGCCGGAAGAAGATCCTCATTTAGACCCGCTAAGAGACGTTTTTCAGTCTTCAGCGTTAATTGTCAATCGATAAATTGCCAATATATCAATGGGGGAATAGATTCGTTAACCTAAATAGATGAATAAGTTATTCAGTGATTGTGTAGAGATGGAGAATAAGAGCAGTGTACTCTGTAGAAAGATATCCGATCAGGCCCTGAGGAGGAAGATGAAGAGGAAGAGGAGGATGAAGAAACAGTGGGTGAAGTGGAGATACAAGGTGAAGTAAAGTAAAGTTGAGGTAAAAGAAGTAAGAATGATTGACCCTTTTTTTTTTTTTTATTCTTCTTGTTCTCAAGGATTTCATTCTTACTCCGTGCTGGCCGTAAGATTGCTTCCTGCAGCCTAATTTCTTCTCCTGCTGTTGTTGTTCTCTTTTCTCCCCCCCTCACGCCGTTGTCTCATCTAATACCTACTGAGTAGGTAGTACATAATTAATTCCCCCCTCTAACCACACGTTCGTTACGCCCATTCTTCTTTTCTGTCATTATCGACTGCTCCTGACTCTGTTGCTGGTCCCTCCTTCATTCTTCCCAGGAAACTGTCATTCTTCCCCCCTCGTGTCAGTTCCTAGGTCACTGGACTTTCTGATCACGATTTCGACTTCCCCAGTGCTGAACTCACCCCCAGCAAATTTCGCTGATCTTCTGCCTTTTCTCGCTGCGATCGAGCAGAGTCCTTTCTCTGCGACGGAGTCGCAACTATAATACTTCTCTGTTTCCCATCCAATGTGGTGATTTTTTTTTAGATGTTGGTACGTATCCCCCCCCCCCTCTCCCCCCGGATTCGTGGTTTCTCTCCGCTGGGGAGGTACGCGCCCGCCCAACACAGAACCTGTTACAACTCCATCCTCCTGCCATAACTATTTGCTAACGTTCGATGAGTAAACAAAATAGTGAAACAAAGAGCTGTCCGGTCGGACTCGCTGCGAATTACATATTTCTCACGCTTTTACCAGGAGGAGAACCGTCCTGTGCCTGCTTGATTAATCGGCAGTACCAAAAACCCTTTACCCTCTTGCGCCTTAGAACCTCGTCCCGTCCATGGCATATCCACAGCAAAGAGCTCCTCCGGTGAGGAACTATGGTGGTGCTCCTCCACGGGGCGGAGGAGCTCCCCCGCGAGGTATGGCCTACGACTATGGCTATGGCAATCAGTATGAACCTGGGGATGGAGGCTACAGTAACGGAGGTTATGGGAATCCTCCTGAACAGGCGGCTCCAAGATCCTATGGCCCTCCACGGGGCGCGCCCCTGTCGTCTCGCGGAGGTTATGGGCCGCGAGGTGGCCGCGGCTATGCGCCAAATGGACGACCACCCCCAAGAGGTTATGATAGTCAGCGGGGAGGCTACGGAGAAAGGCGCCCACCCTTGTCACAAGATCACATGAGACAACGTGAGTAGGAAGTGGGGGACATTTTCTGGATACCTCAGTAGTAGACTGACTTTGATCTAGCTCCGCGCAATGACACAATGTCCCCGGATAAAATGTCATTTGACAACCCCTTCCCAACATTCCCTTCAAAAGAGCAACAAGGAATGAAAGGAATTGAAAGAAACATGGCTGCGATGAACATCAATGGCCCAATGCCACCCCGTCCTCATACCTCGAACAGCAGACGACCTCCAGATATGCCGCGGCAGCCAAGACCCGGGTCTCCTGGCCGTGGACGGCCAGACCTTTCTGGCTCTCCTATGAGATCGGCGAGTGCAGGTCGTATGCGACCTCCTGTTGATTTGCAAGGCCCTCCCCCAATGCCCTATGTCAATCGGAGTGCGACTATGCCCGTACCTGGAGGCGGGGCATACCCTGGCCAAGGCACGTATCGTGACCCGAGAGAGAGCGCTTTTGTAACAACCTTACTGGATAGTTACTACAACACGGCCCCTGACGATCCCGATATGCCGAACTTTGATGCGATTCCTGAACACGGCAACGGTGGCACCATCGATGAAGATTTGCCGGGGTTGGAACAGCCCAAGCCGAAACCGAAACCCGTGGAGTCTGCGCCCCCTCAAGGACAGTACAAAGCATTCAATCCCCAGGCGGCTCCGGTGCAGAGCATGCCAGAACCAACCTCACCCACCGGGGCGAATCAATTTGCTACTGCTGGGTTCCAGTTCGACCTGCCTGGCGAACCACCCTCTGCTGGATACCCCCAGAATGGGATGGGTAATGGGTATGAACCGTATGAGGACCCGATGAATACACCGTACTCGCCACAACAGGTGAGCCGGGGTAACGCTATGCCAGCTTATATGGCTGGCGGTTATATGTCTCCACCTGGCGAAAGCTCTGTTCACAACGGTCCTCTCCAGCCTTATATGGTAAACCAACCTTTACCGTCCAACGACCAGCTGATTGATGAGCATCAGGGTATGGATCCACAGAGCCCGGATGCTCTTCCATATCACCCAGCACCCTTCCGTCCTGGACACGATCAAGGGCCAGCTCCTGTGCGCCAGTACAGCAGCCCCCCTAACTCTCAAGCACCGCCCGCCCCGGCACCGCAGTCTCCTCCTCCAAATGACCCGACACCACCTCCAGCACCAGTGACACATGCTGAGCTCGAGCGCCTTCAGCAACAAGCTCGAGGCAATCCTTCCGATCAGAAGACTCAGCTGCTGCTCGCCGAAAAATTGGTTGAAGCTTCCGGAGTTTTAATTGAAAGCAGTAGAATGGATCCCAAGTCCAAGAGCAAGGCTCGGGAGAAATACGTTATGGATGCATATAAGATTGTCAAGAAGCTGGTTTCTAATGGCTATCCTGATGCGCAATTCTATCTCGCCGATTGTTACGGACAGGGCCTACTAGGACTTCAGGTGGATGCCAAGGAAGCTTTCCAATTATACCAGTCAGCAGCAAAGGCGGGACACGCACAGGCTGCATATCGAGTTGCTGTCTGCTGCGAAATCGGCCAGGAGGAAGGAGGCGGAACGAAACGCGACCCTTTTAAGGCAGTGCAGTGGTATAAGCGAGCTGCCTCCCTTGGCGACCCACCAGCAATGTATAAGATGGGAATGATCCAGCTCAAGGGACTGCTGGGCCAAGCCCGGAGCCCTCGCGAGGGTATCTCATGGCTCAAGCGCGCTGCAGAACGCGCGGACGAGGAAAACCCACACGCTCTCCATGAACTGGCTCTCATGTATGGCAATGCCGGCGATAACGACGTCGTCATCCGAGACGAAGCGTACGCCTCTCAACTGTTCCATCAAGCTGCAGAACTCGGGTACAAGTTCTCCCAATTCCGTCTCGGAATGGCGTACGAATACGGCCTGATGGGATGCCCCGTCGACTCGCGCCAAAGCATCATGCTCTACAGCGCTGCGGCGGCTCAGGGTGAACACCAAAGTGAACTCGCCCTTAGCGGCTGGTATCTCACAGGCTGCGAGGGTATCCTCCAGCAAAGCGACACAGAGGCCTACCTCTGGGCAAGGAAAGCCGCAGCGTCGGGTCTCGCCAAGGCCGAGTACGCAATGGGTTACTTCACTGAGGTTGGAATCGGTGCTACAGCTAATCTAGACGACGCTAAACGATGGTACTGGCGAGCAGCAGGTAAAACCTCCTCCTTTTCTTTTTTTTCAACAATTCCCACCACTGGCGAAAAAAAACAAAAATTAATACTAATATATTATTGTCCCTTCCAGCCCAAGGCTTCCCTAAAGCCCGCGAACGCCTCGAAGAACTCAAGAAAGGCGGAGCCCGAATGCAAAAGACTCGTCTTTCGCGATCGGCCGTGAATCAACAAAAACCCAACGAAGGCGACTGTGTCGTGATGTGATGGACGTGATGCAATGCGATGCGATGCGATGTAATGTGATGCAATGTGCTATGCTATGTAATTCAAAACTAATTCCCACCTTTTCTTCTTCTTCTTCTTCTTCTTCTTTTCTACTACCCTTTGATTCTCTTTCAATTTTCCCTACGATATTCCGTTGTGCTCGTCCCGTCTTTCCCCCTTTTATCTTTTGCCTGGCTGTTTAATGGTTCTTCTTCTTCTTCTTTCTGCCTGTGTCGGTTCTTTCCCCCTTGGTCTGGTTATGTTATTATACCTACTCGCGATTGCAGTGTCTCTTCATACAGTACATATATATATTTTTTTCATCCCGTCATATCAAGCTAGCCTTAGATGATTGGGACATAGTCGGAATACGATCATCTTCTGGAACACCGGGACAGGCAAGTTTTTCGAGGTCATATTTTCCATCCTTTATCAGAGAGTTATAATGTGTGTTGTGGCTAATATCTATATAAAGGGTCTGTCTGTAAGCTACCTACTTAGGTATGAGTTCAGCCTATGCAGTGCGTCGAGCACCAACGACCTCCTGGAAGGAGGCCCCCCTGACTTTGTAGCGGATGCACATCCGTCTCATTTCTTTGCCCAGTTATATGTCGCCACAACCTCCCTGTCCCGGGTCTCGTGGAATTCCAGATTATTATCCAAAAGTACAGAGCCAGACCAAATCCGAAAAGAATGGTTTCGTTTTAATCGTCGTACGATAGCCTCCCAACCAGCCCAGTATTTCACATGCTGTCGAAACCCATCTTTTGCGAACCCCATTCGCTCGTGTCCTATGATCGTAAGGCCATGCTTCGCACGACTCAAGGCGAGACATGTGCGTTTTCTATCAGCTACGATTCCGAGCCCCGCTTGCCCACCCGGACGGCAAGTCGATAAGATGACAAAGTCTTTCTCTTTGCCTTCGTATGAGTCGATGGTTGCGATCTCGACATTGGAGTATGGACGGTCGACATGCAAGGCTTGACGAAGTTCCCGGCATTCTTCGGCATAATAGGATAAAACGAGGATTTGATCATCCGAGAATCCATTTTCGACAAGGTTTCTAACGCACTGCACTACGCAGTGTATATACTGCGGGTTGAACATAGAACAAGTATTTGGTCGTCGCCATGTTGCGGGATTATTGACTGAAATGAAGGCGAGATTTCCGGGGCTGCCGTGAGTAGCAAAAGCATTCATCACCTCGCGATATAGAAGGGCAGGGGGCCGATCAATACAACTCGCATGAGTTTGAAGCTTCTCAGGGTAGAATATATCCGACACAAGACGGGCGATGGTGGTCTCCATTCTATATTGGATGCGAAGCTCGACAGCAGGCATTCCAGTGGCCTGGAGTCTCTCAAACAGAGAGATTCGTTCGACTTCGAGGCAATCGTTACCCTGCCAGGAAGTAACGGGAACAGGGCTCTGGCACGAGTCTCCAACAAGCGTAATCTTCTTTGTTGAAGGATAGTGCTCCACCAAAGCAGTTAGACAAGCAGGCTCGGAGATCGATGAAGCGTTTTCCATGAGGATATACAGCGGCCGTAATTCTCGGAGGGCAGCTTTCCCGACAGACCTCGCGGGACAAAGGATGCCCTTGCCCCGGGCCGTGTAATACCGTTGAAGAGCTTCCAACGCATCTCTGAATCCGATAAGAAGCGTATCCTTGGCTGACTGCAGAGTGCTCCCATCGGATTGCAAAGGTTCGTCAAAGACGCACCCATCCCTTTCTAAAGCCCTATACCAGCAAATAACATCCCATAGGAGGTGAAATTCTTCCTTATCCCGATCAGGGGAAGGAGATTCCCATCCGCAAGGACCTATTAAAACGGCCTTTTTCAGGCGCCTAAGAATGTATGCCCCCAGCGAGAACTTACTTTCACTTGAGATTCGACTTTTTAGCCAAACCCAAAGAGGTATAAGAACCTCAGGGCCAAAATCCGAATTTAGAATTGCTGTCTTTTTCATTGCCTCAATGCGTGAGTCTCGGAACCAGCGGTGTTGGTAGCCGTTTGCCATCCTGCGTTCGTGGCAGTCTCCCAGTTCGAAATCCAACCGGTAGAAATTCGCGGACGGGTTCGACAAACCCTTGACATCGGAAACACCCATGAACCTATCCTCCAGGGCCTCAAGGCTCGAGGCTGACGAGCCCAGGATAAAGAAAGGGATATTTTGGTCAAGGCAAAAGCTCATAATATGTGCTGAAACCAGAGTCTTCCCGGTACCAGGGCCACCACAAATAAGTGTGAACAGAAGCTCTGGAAGTGGATCACAATTCAGGCCAGAAATGATAGCAGACATCTGGTCGGCATTGAGAGACTGCTGGAAATGCTCCATATACGATGTTACTTGCTGTGTCATTGCCCAGGGTGTGCTGAAGAACTTGCGGAGCCCATTATCCTGGGCCAGGATGATACTTTGTAGCCAGTTGTCAGAGGGCATTTTCAACTGACTGTTCCCGTGGATTAAAGACTGTACTGCAGATTGTGCTTGCGCATGAGGAAGAACCGATGGAAGAAAACTGACTTTTCCGGGCAACTCAATAACGTTGAAGGAAGCAGCAGAGTGAAATTTCAGCATTTTGGATGTATGGGCCATTTGAATACAGATAGGGTTTGTTGCTCTTCGGCAATACCAATTAAGATCAACACATGGAGGACCACTGACGACGACTTCCTTGCACCGAAATTCGACATCATCGGCCCCGTTCTGGCCTTTAATTTGAACTTTAACCTCCACGAGCGTTCCTGGTGCGGGCGATGGGAGACTCAGATCGAAACCTGGTCCCAAGTCATTGTCTCCGCCGTGTGCACACATATCAACAATGGCGTAAAAGAGGCCATCGATAGGTCTGGTTATGTTCATGTAGGCATCTGTGACGGGGAATAGGCGAATTTTCGGGTCATAATTCAGAATATGCAGATACGACTCCTGGTGTTGCATATCGCAAAGAATATCCATGGTCATAGCTGCCTCATAGTGTCTGGAATTGATGAATATCGTGGACAAGCTTTGGCTCACACTCCCAATATTCATAATTTGCATTGCGTTTCTTGCGCGATCCACAGTTAGAGGTATTTTTGTTATGGGCTCAATACATCTTTTCTTCGGATTGAAGCGGCAGTCACAATTGGGGAACAGCGGCGGCGTTGGGACTGGTATTGCTGTCATGAAAGTCCAATACTTTATGAGCAACCCTATTTCTCGGGTGACAACAGACACCATGACGTGAGGTCTCCTGAGCAGGTCAAATATCTCGAGATTATGGTATTCCATAGGCCTCAACCGGTTCCTGTGCTTGCGTGGATCCGGAAAGTTGAATCTATACGGCGGGTCTTTATGGGCCCACGAGATGCGACAACAGGGTGCTCCTGCTTTCCCTCCACAGCGCTCTGCCTGATACTCATCAAGCTTACAGATTTGGAATTCGACGTCGCGCAGTCGGCTTGAAAACGTGCGCTTGTCTAGGTCTCTGGGGGTCGTCCAGGGTTCGTTGACAGGCCGACGATAACCATAATCGCTCTCATGCCAGGCTGTCCAGATAGCCGTTAAATCAAGGTCATGGAAATCGCCTGCATGACTACCCAGGCGTAGTCTTAGGCTGAAGTATGGAATATCCGCACCGCCGCCTATGGAGAAGAATAGGCGGGTGTTGCCAGTTGATGAAATTTGTTGCCACGTCCCAAAATCTTCCTTGACAACCGCGGTGCACAAACCGCAATTGTCGAAAGGAGGGTATAGACATTTATTAATGAGGGCGAGGTTGCGGATATCTTGAACATGGTCCTTTGGAGCTGCTTCGACGTATGTATGCCACGTCCTGTTTAGGTTCTGCGTGAAATTAATAATCTTTGCATCTTTGGGATCCTCCATTTCAAACTGGGGGATTGATTGCGTTATTTATTTAATCGAAACTCTCCGTGAATTATGAGCGGATGTTGAGGCTTCATGTATCTGTTGTATAGACTAATGCGACGCAGCAGCGAGCCTAACAAGACCGACTTGGAGGAAGACACGAGTTTTAGTGACTAGACTTTGGAGAATTTAAATCATGATAATCATCATCATGATCATACCAAACAAGCAACTCCAAGTATGACTTCTTTTGAGTCTGCCACAAGATGGAGTGGGAATTTGGGATAAGGATAGGAGACAGCTTGACGTATGCAGAAAAACAAGGTAAAAAGAGCGTGATATCTGGTAGAGTAATGTAGTAGCGGATACTAGATTGAAAAGAAGAAAAGGATGTGCTTTTTGCTAGATAGATTTTGAGAAATTTCCATGCCATTTGGACCTGCCTCGAATCGCAGCCGTATTGAGTCTTTCCTTCCAAGTATGTCTCGAGTTGACTGTTCAGAAAACAGTAAGACGGTAGGGCTAAGTTCCAGTTAGGTATCATGGATGACTTCCTATCTACTTGGTACTACTTGGTACTATAGTAGAATTACCGGTAGGTTAGATCCATAAGTGTAGCAAGTAGCTTGTATATCATTAGTCCGTGATGCCCTAATTCACGCTGGTACCAGTCGTTGAAGATTAGGTTGCCCAAATTATCAGTGATCCAGAACACTAGGTAGGCCTTTTGCTTTCCATGTGGGAAACGTCCTCCCTTGTCCTTCTTTGATTGCTTCCTGCTGTCTTTTCTATGGAATGAGATCGTCTGGGAAAATGAAGCCAAAGTAATGCCGTTGGAGATGGGATTAGTAATGCCGGATTCATTCCGCACTTTGACTAATGGATGTTTTCTAACTAATTATTTTCTAGAGAAGAAGAAGAATCAGACCATGACAATTGATGACAATTTCTCTCATTCTTTACATATAGGTGCACTTCCTGCGTTATATACAGTGGTTAAGGCCCCCTCCAAAGAGCCAATTGACCACCCACCGGTTCAAAGATCCCCATCACCGCCGTACTGTATGTCTTCTGCTGCTTCCGCGCCGAACCAGCAGCAAGACAGTAGGAAATCCTCAGTCACAGTGCTTTCATTACTTACTCTGGTCGTTGCTATCTTAATAGCCCTGTTCCTCGGCTATACTGCAAATACCAGCAACTCCGGCAACCTGTTCGGACTCAAGCGGTTGCTTCCGGCTTCCTGGGGTGCTGCTTCGTTATCGTCAGGCGCTCGCAGACCTCTAGGATCCGCGGCTGGGGTTGACCGTGCGCAGAATATTCAAAAGATTCCGGGGATAGACGAGTTCAAGATGAGGACGCCGGTTTATTTCTTGAGCCATGGCGGGGTATGATTCCAGAGCCCTCTCTCTGTATAGTTAGTTATTAGAGCGCGGAGCTGACGGATACAACAGCCCAACATCATGTACGAGGTTGATCACCCCGCGTACAAGCAATTGACCAAGATCGGGCGGGAAATTACGTCCAAAGTCCAGCCGCGTGCTGTTGTGGTGTTCTCGGCCCATTGGCAGGCTGGCACGGACACTATCCAGGTCAATACGGCGGAAATTACGGATTTGATCTACGAGTACGTGCCCAGCCCATGCTTGCTTGAGACCGGTCGGTTGACATTCTCCGCCCTCTAGCTTTTATGGCTTCCCTAGTCATTACTACAAGGAAAAGTATCCCAACGTAGGTAGCAAGGAGATTGCGACCAAGGTACTGGATGCATTGGGCGAGGCCGGTATCAAGGCGGAAGGCGTCAAGCGGGGATTGGACCACGGAGTCTGGGCGAGCTTCAAATGCGGTATGTGTCTACAAATGCTTCATCTGTCCCGTGTCGGGTATGTTTGACTAACGCAAGGAACGGCATCTAGCCTTTGAACCGGATTCGAATCCTCTGAATGTGCCTGTTGTCCAAGTCTCGCTGTTCAAAACCGAAGACCCCATGCAGCACTACCGACTGGGACAGGCGGTGTCCAAACTTCGCGATGAGAACATTTTGATTGTTGTGTCGGGAATGGCGGTCCATAATCTGCGGGATCTGCAATTTACTTGGGGGGATCCACGCCCGCTGCCATATACCGTGAGCTTCGACGAGGCACTTAAAGATGCGGTCGTCACTCCTCCAGCGGAACGAGCCAAGGCTATGGCTGATCTGCTGAAGCGCGGAGACGCGCGGCAGGCACACCCAACGTTCGACCATTTGCTTCCCATTCACATTGGAGCTGGCGCTGCTGGGGATGACCTAGGAAAGCGATTGTGGACGTTGAAGGAGGGAAGCATGAGCTGGGCCCAGTACCGGTTTGGTGAAGTGGCCAACGCCAGTAGTTCTCTATAGTTAGCATATAGCATAAGCGTCATCAGGCGGAAATTGTAAACAACCAATGTGTTTTTTTTTTTTTTTTTTTTTTTCTTTTCGTGATTAAAATAAACCGAGAAATGTTCGATTCCTCTAGTATGATCGGCCAACCAATTCATTTGGATTATAGATACAAGGTAGACACAGCTGGAAATGCGGTACATGGACATAAAACGAACGCGCTGCTGAGAATTCTATGAAGAGGCCTTCACCAATAGCGTAACAGCTTCTTCGATCTGTTTATCCGAGAGGCCTAAATATTTGATATTAGCAACTGCTGCGTTCTCCGGCAAATACGAACAAATTGAGGGGGATCCCTTACCGCTCAATGTCTTCTCCTCCTCTCTTCCCAGGTCTGCCGGCGGAAAAAAAAAAAAAATCAATCATGTCAGTCTTTGTCCGCCAAATAAAGAGTAAACACAATCCTTCCGCCACGTACCGTATCGAGCATACACCCGGGGAAGGGTGCCCGCAGCCTCGCGCATCATGATGGGGGTGTGAGGGTTGTGCTTTTTCATGGTAGGATAGGCGCGCATCAAGAATGATCTGCCGGAAGTGAACACTTGATTAGCTCTTGGTTATAGCTACAGGGCCTACCACGGAATTGAATATGCTACTCACCTTGTAGCGGCGCTCTGCTCAGAGGACTGGCAAAAAAGGAAGCGCAGCTCCTTGAGGCCCTTGGTGAACACGTATTTGGAGGACATTGTCGGGGGAAATTTAGCGGGGACAAAAGACAAGGAAACACGGGTAGAAACAGAAACTCAGGGAATCGATATCAATGTCAACAAGGGCAGACTGGTGGTGGACTTCACCTGGAGATGTGACGAGCAGAATAGAATGAATTCCATCTGAACCAATCTGGTCAAGCGGGATTGTCACACCGCTTACCTCAGCCGGAAACCAACGGTCGCCGACGTCGGCTTTAGCTTCAATTTGAGTAATCGGTGGAGAAAGAAAGATTCTATATTCCCCTTGGTGTCGACTGAATCTCCCCTCCCTCACTGTTGTTTCTATCAGGATGTCGTCGCCCCGTGTTGGTCTTCGTTTCTTCCAAAACTCCAGAGCGGCTTTCCGCAGCGCTTTCCGCAGGCCTGGTGCCCAGGGACGCCGCTTTCAGACTTCAGATGCGACGGCTGAGCAGCAGAGCACCTTCCAGCGTATATGGAATAGCCCCGTCGGTGTGAAGACGGTCCATTTCTGGTATGTATTCTTATCTCTCTCTCACTCTCAGTGCTGTCTTTGGTGAGAGGAGCTATGTGCTGATGATGGCTATCTACAGGGCCCCCGTGATGAAGGTACGCATATTATCGCCACCATTTTGCAGCGCCGTTTTGCATCTCCAACCAAGCAACGGCCCTCGTCCCTTGATCGCGCTGCCCTTTTGATATGTACAATACTGATCCCTGCTTTCTATTTGAACACAGTGGGCTCTTGTCATCGCCGGTATCTCCGATCTCAGCCGCCCTGCCGAGAAGCTGTCCCTGACTCAAAATGGTGCTTTGATGGCTACTGGTGCTATCTGGACTCGCTGGTGCTTGATCATCACGCCCAAGAACTATCTGTATGTTCTGCGCCTGCATAGGAAGCGTTTTTTAGGGGATGGTTTCTGACTAACTTCGGCCTAGTCTTGCTGCTGTCAACTTCTTCCTTGGATGTGTCGGTGTTGCTCAGGTCACACGTATCTTCCTGTACCACCGAAGCCTCGAAGGCTCTTCGAAAGAAGCTGTGAAGGATATGGAACACGAGGTTGCGGATGCTGCGAAGGCTGCGGCAACCAAGGCTGGGGAGATTGTGAAGAAGTCTGCTTAAACTGTCTATATAGAGCTATGAGGTAGCTGCATGGGGAATACACTAGTTCAACACGGCATATCTATCGCAACGTCAATAGATTGTTTGCATTCTTTTTCACAGCTTGGTGCAGATGAAACGACGATGACTCCGTGGAATTTTCCTTCGCGCCAAACTGTACCAAGCAAGTTGTCAATCAATGAAGACAAAAGCGATCTGTAACTATACTATATACTCTGTACTGTCAGCCTATATCGTCGAGCACTGTATTCAGTAGGCCAGTCCACGATTGAATCCACCCAGCCACAGCTATACATTTCTTTTTTCTTTTTTAAACGACTGGCTATAGGAAACGGATATTCAGCGTGTTCCAATTAATTTCCTAGGGGAAATCTGGGGAATTTTCCCGCCCACTCGGGTGATTTGCGGGCGCAAGTTATCCCTCCTATCAGCTTCACCCGCAGCTCAAATAGCTCCAAGAGAGCTTCTGTGCTTCTTCGTAACCTCGTCATTTGAAGCATCAAAACATGGGTCTCAGTTCCCCACAATCCCCCGACTCATACGCTTCGATCCCCCGGGTAATATATGTATTTTCTGGGGAGAAATCGAATTCCCCCGTGGGGAGAAAGGAGGGGAGAAAGGAGGGAGCAGATATAAAGCTCCCATCACCCTTGATTCCTTTCTTCTTTTAAATAAAAATTCTTCTTTTCGTGATTGATGACTGCGAGGAAATACACTAGCTAGCTATTCAAGCTTGAGGGTTCTGGGCTTTTCCCTTCTTTTTTTTGGTTTTTTTTTTTTTTTTTTCGTCCTCCTTGATCAGTGGGATAATGAAGTTCTCACATCTCCTCACCCAAGCAGTGAGCTTGTTGTCTCTGGGATTGACAGTAGAGGCACACTTTACACCCTCAAGAAACGATGCTGTCGGCCCTAAGCATGCATTCCGGCCCCTTCCTGAAAGTCATGGTCGGAAAAGAACCTGCCATGTGCGCAGCAATGGAGACGGAACCGATGACTCCAAGTATATCATGGCTGCGTTGAGGAAATGCAACAACGGTGGAAAGGTTGTGTTCGATCAAGACAAGGAGTATACCATTGGCACGGCATTAGACATGACTTTCCTCAAGCATGTCGACTTGGGTATGTCGCTCGTTGAGAAGGAGTACGTGCTACTTGTGTGATCACTTGGCCCTAATTCCACCTGCAGAGATCTTGGGACGAGTTGTCTTTACCAATGACACCGACTACTGGCAGGCCAACGCCTTCAAGCAAGTTTACCAGAACGCCACGACCTTCTTCCAGATCGGCGGAGAGGACGTCAACGTATACGGTGGAGGCACCCTGGACGGGAACGGCCAGGTCTGGTATGATCTCTATGCGGAAAACGCTTTGATCCTCCGTCCGATCTTGGTTGGCATCATTGGCCTCCGTGGAGGTACCATTGGCCCGCTGAAGCTGCGCTACTCGCCTCAGTGGTATCACTTTGTTGCCAACTCCTCGGACGTCCTTTTTGACGGCCTGGATATCTCGGGATACAGCACGAGCAAGAACACCGCGAAGAACACTGATGGATGGTGAGTGAGCCCGGGTCTAGACCTCTTGAATAAGGCTTGACATGTATGATTTAGGGACGTCTACCGCTCTAGCAATATTGTCATTCAGAATTCCGTGATCAACAACGGCGATGGTATGTGTGGCATTTCCCTGTTCACATTCAGCTTCAATTGACACACACACACACCCCCTCCTAGACTGCGTTTCCTTCAAGCCCAACAGCACCGATATCCTCGTCCAGAACCTGCACTGCAACGGCTCCCACGGCATTTCTGTGGGCTCTCTCGGCCAGTACAAGGGTGAGGTAGACATTGTGAAGAACGTTCTCGTCTACAATGTTTCCATGTTCAATGCATCTGTACGATCTCCCCCCCCCCCCCCCCCCCGGGCGCTTGACAACTCTAATTTGACTAGGATGGAGCCCGTATCAAGGTTTGGCCTGGTGTGTCGTCTGCCTTGTCCGAGGACCTCCAGGGAGGCGGTGGACTTGGCTCCGTCAGCAACATCACCTACGACAAGATGTACGTTGAGAACGTCGACTGGGCCATCGAAGTCACCCAGTGCTATGGACAGAGCAATCTGACCCTCTGCAACAAGTACCCGGTACGATATTCCCCCCCCCCCCTCCTTTCTGTCAGAGACGCATGCTAACACCAACGAAACAGAGCAACCTGACCATCTCAGACATTCACTTCAAGCACTTCACGGGAGTAACTTCCGCAAAACGCAGTCCGAATGTCGGCACAATTGTCTGCTCGAGTCCCAGTGTAAGCTGCCGTCCCCGCTTTGCTCAAGGAGAGACCCGAAGCAGCCACTGATGCAAAAACAGGTGTGCTCGGATATCTACGCGGAGGACATTGAAGTCGTTAGTCCAAGGGGCACCGATAACTTTGTCTGCACCAATGTAAGTCCTTAATCAACCTTTGTCTGGCCTTGGAGCTAACATTTGAAATCCTAGGTTGACAAGAGTCTGCTCGCTGTTAACTGCTCATCCGGTTAAATTGCGAAAAGGATAATATATATATATATATATATATATATACATGTACACACGCTCGGCGGTATTTTCGATACAACTCAGATCAATACTCCTTCATGAATCAAGTGAGATGAATATAGAAATATTTTGATTTTCGACACGGTCAATCACATCTACCTACTAGTTGCCCTATTTTCCAAGATTAGGTAGAAAAGCTTATCCTGCCTAGGGCACCGATCTAAACAGGGTGAATCGATTGGTTCATGAAGTAAAGCACGGTAGAAGCCGCATCGATTCCTCCCGTTATTTACAGGAATGACGTTGATGGGGATGGGGCTCTGGAAATCCGGAAATAGATTCAGTTCTACATTGAGAGATCCGTTTCTTTCTGCGAGATATCTGTTTGTATATTGTAATTGTCTGTCTGTCTGTACTCTGGAAGTGAGGTTTGTCATCGAATACTGCTCTGGTTTGGGTGTGCTGAGTGCTGGAGTGCTGGAGTGCTTACGATGGATGAATACTCTCGAGATAGATATCGATCAAGCGCGTCATAACAAGTTGCGTTCGTCGCGTGTCTTTTGAATGGCTTTTTTTTCTCATATTAGGCCCTCTAAAGTTGTTGCCCTTGACAATCTATATTAGGTAGTTAATGTACAACCCATGAAGGAGGCGCTGTCCTCTGTGCCAACCATCTTGCTTGCTGCATATATAGTTCCTGAACGCCAGTCCCCCAAAGCAGCCAGGAAAAAAAAAAAAAAAAAAAAAAAAAAAAAAAAAAAAGGATATTCGTTGCGTAAAGGCCATCAGTCGTTCTCGTCCTTCAATAGGACTTTCAGCTTTTCTAGCTTGTCCTCGCACCTCACCTCCATCTTCATTACCACGTCTACGCTCTCCTTCTTGGTAATAAGGAGCTGGGATACAAGCCAGAAGTTGTATCCGTTCTTGAAGAATCCCATCGACGCCCATTCGTGGCTGGAAACGGTGCTGCGGAGTGCCAACCAGTGGTCGCGCCAGCGCGATAGTGCCGTTCGAATGGCAGTCAACGTCGAGTCCTCCTGAATCAGGGAAGGTCGCCTTTTGCTCGACCTCGCGGAGCCAGCCTCGGATTTGGTAGAGGATCTCTGGGGAAATCGTAATAAGGGTGCCAGAACAGTCATGTGGGTGTTGATGAAAGCGTATAGAACTTAAGCAATTAGCCTGAATATAAGACGATGCAGCGAGGAGACCCATACCGTGGATGAGAATAAACATGTCTAGCACTGTTAGGGTTGCAATGATTTCCGAGGCCGGTATGCCTGAAGCGGTCTGGGAAGTTTCCTGGGCGTTGTAATCCTCGAATAAACTATCGAAGGCATCGGCTATGGTGATACCCCTGGAGACCTGGAAGTCTGGATCCGTAAATGGATGTTCCAAGGCAAAAGTGGATTCAAGACATGGGAACTCCCAGTGGCTTTCAGTGTGCGTCAAGTGACATGGGTAGTTTTGGTAAAATGAAAAGGCACAATCCAAGAGGGAAACCATATTCATGGTCCTGGTTCGGTTAGCTAGGACTTCTTCTTAGGCATCACAAGGCACATACCGGATACGGCACTGCCTTTGAATCCATATGGTTTCGTCCATACTATCCTCCGGGTTGTGATGATATCTAATCAATCCAATCCGGCGAGCAACCTTCAGATGTTAACAGCGGTAAAATTCCTCTCATTTTAAATAAGTCTGTACCTTGATAATTTCACTAAATCGATTTTCCATTGCTCGGTTTCGAGAGACGCGTCCCCCAGCCCAGTATTGCACGACCACCATCAGAAATCCGGCTTGGAAGTTTTGAAACTGAGGCCAGTCGAGGGCCCCATGGTCTGGATTCCGGTCTCCGCAAATTGTCCTGGCAATTTCAGATTCACACGAAAAGAGCTCGCTTGAGAAGACGAAAAGTTCGACGAAGTCAAGCACGCGCTTTGCAATGTAAAGCTCTCGCTCGTCCTTGGAGTACATAGCGCCCATGAAAATGACGGACGCGAGAAGAGGTAGAGAAACGGTTTCAGGATCAAAAGACGGGCAGTGTATCATTGTGCAGCTTGGTTGCCAGTATTTGAAATAGAGCGAAATAAACTTCCGAATTCGCCATGTTCTTAGGAGAAATGTGAGACTGGTTGAGATTTCCTCATGGAGCTTTGCGTCCAAAGGCACCAACCAAGCCCTTGATATAATCGCCTGAATCATGGCAGTCGCAAACGGTTTCTCGGGTTCATATGGTTGCTGCCCTGGATATCCCAAGCTATGATTTTGTTCAGGAAGGAGGGTGGCCTGGTAGCCAGCCATTCCGCCTGCATATGGATCGCCTACAGATTTATGGAGGTCGCCGAATGGACCATTGAAAAAGTCGAGGAAGGTATCCTGAAAGAAAGAGAGAGCGGTTGGTTCTGATTCGAGGAATGCTGGGTTCCAGCTTGTAGGGTCATCTTTTAGGTGGTATGGCAGCATGGAACTCTCCGCTTCCTCTTTTTGGTGATGGTAGTCGAGGCCACGAGTTCGATCACTCCGGGGAGGTAGGAGAAAATCCTCTGTGAAACTTTCCGTGCCTCTATTCAGCAAAAATTTGATCGATCCCCGGTCCGAAGGTCGGTCATAACCCTCATTTTTCACCGATGGAGAACCTGTCAAGATGAGACATGTCCTGAGAGAGAGAGAGAGAGAAGAAAGGGGGGACCACCAACCTGGAACTACGGGGGAATTTGAGTTGAAGTTAAGGTCGTTGCTGGCGGCTGGACTTGTCCAGTCCTTACTACATTCCAGGTTCCTCTTCACACAGGAGCTACAAGGCGTCTGCCCATCGCAGCGCAACTTCATGGAGGTACACTGAACATGATGATGAGTAAAATTCGACGCGAATGAAGCCCAGGACAAGCTCACTGATTGGCATGCATGTCGTCGTCTACCTCTCTGTCCAGTTTCGGGAATTTGACGGTCCCCACGTTTGGCGCAATCTGGGTAATGATCACGCAAATTATCACTGGGATCCCAGCATCAGCATCGTGCTCTGAGGGGGCGAGACGGACACCCTGTCGAGCCAAGAATAAAAGTTGATCTTATCTAGCGCACAGAGCGATCAAAGCATTCTAAAATCTTACCAGCGAGCAAAAGCTTCGTTGCAAAAAGTGCACAAATAAGGCTTCACACCGGAGTCTAAGCGGCGGATTTTGCTGGATTAGCGCAAACCCGAGGGGTGGGAACTGAGGCAGCAACGTACGTCGCAGATGGTGTCGTTTCAAATGATCAATGCGTGTGAAACCTCGTTGGCAGATTGTACAGCAGAAATGCTTACTTGGCTTCATGACGATAATCTGGGATGCATCGGGGAGGAGAGCGGAGGAAAATTCTGGGGTAAAGGAGAGGAGGGGTGCAGTAAGGTTAGTAGTTAGCAGTATTCAACGAGTGTCACGGTATGTACGGGGGATGGATGAATGTACAGAGGAAACCATGGAAATTATATCCCAAGGATTGGGTGTTTCTGGAACCGAGAAAATGGCGATATGAACACCACCTTTTAAACCCAAGAGAGATGAAGAAGTCGAGAAAAGGCAAAGAAGACAAAAGATATAAAGATGAAGAGAAAGAGAAAGAGATCAATCAACGACTACAGACGGGGAGAACAGCGACGAGGATGCAGAATTACCGTTTGGGTCTTGTCATCGACGAGGATGTTACCGTATTACCGTATTGTATCGACTCGGAGTCGGCTGCAAGAGTAGAGTGGACTTGCGGAGAGGAGAGTATAAGTGAAGTGGTCCCTGCAGCAACGACTCACGTATATCAAGGCCCACTTAGCGGCTGAGGTTCCATAAAATAACACTACAATCTTGACAATTTAATACTGAGAGATGGGGGTTTGAGAGGCACTATGTAGAGTCAATAATAATAATAATAATCTACACAACAGAGAATGATTGAAAGGTGAAAGGTGTCTCTGGTAATACCACCGGTAATACCCCGTATTCCATCTCGGAATACATTACGGCCCGGAGTACTTACAGAGGTACGCCACCACAGTTTCGCGTTTCATCTCCTCTCGTTCACATTGACAAACTTAACCTGCATCTGCACCACTACAGCGCCATCTAATAACTCAGGTTTCCTCTATATTGCTCTAAATAGGCAATCCCCCCCCCCCAATTCCTGACCATGCGTGGCGTTTGGCTTCCCCGTTTTGACCGCGAAGCAGCCTCCATCCAGCCCATGGGATGATGCTATCCCGGGAATACTATCAAAGACCCATAATGCGTATCAGTACTTCCTTCTCCAGAGGTTGATGGTTTGATGGAGAAAAAAAAGCAATATGGATCTTCCTCGCAAGGCGTTTCCCTAAGATTGCGGTTGCTGCCTACTACGGACCTAGCAGCAGCTTCAATGCCCCACTGCATTAGGGACTTCCCGTCTCTGCTGGTGGAAAGTCGACCTGTTCATCATCCAGATAGTCGACGTGGATGATCTTGTTTCTTTCGTCTTCCGTCCATCCGTCACCGAGCCAGCCATTCGGGTTATCATTCACATACTCATAGCTGTAATCCTCCCACCGAGGATAAGAAAGGACCTTCATCGAATGCAAGGACGAGCCTAGTTGGTGTTAGCACGGCGGAGTTCACCTACCTCAGCCGCGACAAAGATACCTACCAGGCCATAGTGCAGTGACTCTCCCGGCTTCTGTTCCTCCCTTGTACCAGCTCCGGCATTTGAGACTGAATACTGTCCGTGAGAAATACTGGTCACAGTGCTGAGTGAACCGCTCCACCGCCTCCCTTTTCACCTCCATCGATCGGATATTATCCCGCTGCATCTTTTCAACACAAAATGTTATGTAGTCGATTTCCTTTTCAATCAGGAGAAGTAAGTTGCCCTCGCCCAGAGCGGCATTGGGGCCGAGGCAGACGAAGTAGTTGGGGAATCCATCGATGGCCAGCGACAGATAGGTCTCAGGAGTATCTTCCCATCGCTTAGCTAATGAAATCCCGTCTTGACCAATGATGGGGAATCGGGGATTGAAGCTGGTGTCGAAACCCGTAGCGCAGACAAGGACATCTGTCGGGTGGTGTTTGCCATCCACCGTCACGATCCCGTCTTCGACGACTTTCGCAATTTCACTTGTGATCACTGCAACCTTGTCATCCGTAAGTGCTTCAAGATAACCAGGTCCAGGTGTAAGTCGACGACAGATTGGTGGGAAGGATGGCAGCAAATCATCATAAAGCTCCGGTTTTCTCGATAAACGGCGCTTCATGTGTTGAGCGAAAATATTCGTAGTTCCAAGTTGCTCGGGCGTGCCGATAAGCGTAGAGCCATGAACAGACTGCAGCTCTCGTTCGATATCTGACGATATTAGGAACAGTGTCGTGTCGATCTATGGGAACGTGTCACCAATCTCACCTTTGCGGAATCTCTGATACGCTGAGTGATCCTTTTTGAATATCTCGATCTCCTCTGCAGTAAAGGAAACTGGAACTGATGTCAGTAATATTCATTAATGGGTGGCTCGCTCAAACAATCTTACAATTCTCAAGTTCAGAACCACGCTTGTCAATGTGTTCCCGAGCGAATGTGGGCGAAAGCCAGGTCCTTCCTCTGATGTAGTGGTCGAGATGTGTCACCTTGGGCAACATTCCAGGCACTATCTGGATTCCACTTGACCCATTTCCTATCACGGCGACTCTTTTGGCCTATCGAGTCGTTTAGTTCGTCGCAATCGCAAGCCTGCGTGTCACTTACACTATAATCATAGCATTCATCCCAAGAAGCACTATGGAGCAGCTTCCCTTCGAAATTGTGAAGGCCTGAGATCTCAGGCCATTTCCATTGGTTTAATGCGCCGCTTGCGGAGACCAGTACATCGCATTGGTCCTGCAAAACCTCCCCGCTGTCGAGGTTTTTGACCTAGCGTTTGGAGGTTAGTTTAGGTACCTGATGTCGTGAAGTAAGTGATGTTCTAACCTCGAGTTGCCATTTGCTTTTAGCGTTGTCCCAAACTGCCCCAATAACCTGGTGTTTGAGTTTGACGTACTTCATACAGCCATACTTGTCTACTACACGCTTCCAATACCTGTGGATCTCTGGGGCTGCAGCATAAAACGTTGACCACTCCTTGTTCGGCTCAAAGGTAGCCTGATATGTGTGCGCGGGAATGTCTTACATTGACACAATTATCAGTCAACAAGTCTTCATTACAGCCTTTCAGGCGTGGAAGGGAACAGATTCAAATAGAAAAAGGATCTATATACTTACCGCATGCGCAACCCGGGTATCTATTCTCCAGCCAAGTGCCTCCAATATCTGCATTCTTCTCATACACGCAGATCTCTAGCTTGGAAACCCTCTGCCTCAAGCGAATCGAGGAGATTATCCCAGAAATCCCAGACCCAATGACCACAACCCTGATCGGGCGACTAGAATCAATTGAACGTTCTTCTACAGCCCACGGGCCTGATGTCCTTGCCTTACGCGCAGGAGCTTTCGTTCCAGGCGCCGTGCCTTTGTGACCGTTGGGCTCAGAGCCACCAAGGCCCAGGAATCGCGATAGGCGTCTCATTCTGCTTTGTTTGCTTGAGAAGAGCAAGGAAAAACCATTGTTAGGAGGGTATTTCAAGGAAGTATTTTACATGCGCCTTTCTGGGGGGAGGAGATTTATTAGTTCTAAACCCCCCAGAACGACGCTTCCCTCCGCCGGTAGCGGCGCCTTCCCCGTGCAGGCCAAAATAGGGTTGATTCAGATATTGATTCACAGCTGTTATCAATGACCTATTTTTATCTTCATTTCTTAGCCTTGGCTGTTCCGTGACTCTCGAGTTTTGCTGGGATAACTCACCAAGTGGATCCTAATTTACTAGGAGTTATGCGAGCTCCAACTTCTTTCCCTAGCGAATCCGAGGTTCGTCAGTGCTCCCCCCCCCCCCCCCAACACTCATATTGCGCGGAAACGGGGAAACAAGAAGCTTGTAACTGGTCTCTGCAACGTAAACTTGCAAGAAAAGCAGTAAGTACTTCCTTCGAAAACTTGAGGAGTTCGGCCACTGATTACTCAACGAGGATGGGGTCCAAATACGGGAAGTATGCATCGTTAGGTAGTGTACCTGATCTGATGTCTCTTCACGCTTACGACGGGAGCAATTATGTAGAGGGATGGCTGTGTGATTTAGAGTGAAAGCAAGGCAGGTTGTCCGATGGTTTCAGAGCACTGATGCTCCGTACTCGGTAACCGAATTCTAGAACGATCAACCTGGAGGCGGAATCGCACCGCTCCAAAAGAGATAAGGAGGGAGGCCCACATGGAGAAACCCCGGCAGTAACATACAGAGTGCCCCCTTCTCATGGGTGGCTTGTATTGACTATATGGCCTTCTTCCGAGGCTTATATCCACAAACATTGCGGTCCGAGCTCGGGAGTTCCATCACGGAAACGCCCCATTCCCCGCAGTGACGATTCTTAGTGATGGCATGTGGAATGTGCACAAGACTAGAAATCCGAGGTAAAACCGCTTCGTTCCCCAGATATATCCGGATATCCGTCGTTGTACATTTACTCCACTGATCGATCGCCAACAGACGAACCCAATCTTGATTCCACTCTACTCTGGTATATACGATATGGGATCGCTAATTTGTACGTACGGAGTACATAGTACTATACTGGTCTACAGAAATTGTGATTCTCACAGTCGTGCCGCTCAGTGGTATTCTCATCCCAAATATATATAGTGGCCAATGAATCCGGCTGCGCAAAACTACTGGGGGGCACATGTCAGGGGCAAAAAGCACAGGGATGATATTCTCTAGAGATTAATTTTCTGTCTCAATCAATATATCTACATAATGTAGGGCTCATAAATGCAGCACCCTACTACAGCCAGAGGTCGCAGATGATTCCACAACCAATCAGACCATAATTTAATACTCACGGACCAAGAGCCCAGGGCAAAGAAAGGGGGAATGTGGATATTCTTTCCCATCAGTCAGGTCTTAATAATTCAAATAAACTGGTCTATTTAGGCCGTTTCTCCGAGTAGTTCTGTCGATCATACTGAGTATAATAACCTTATACTAGAGTAGATTAACCGGCCTCGCTTTTTGTTTAAATACAATGCGTTGTCGCGCTTTAATTGAATTTCCTCAGTTCTCTACCTATTTATTTATTTATTTATTTATTTATTTATTTTCTATCAATCGTACAATTAAATCAAAGCAATGCCAGTGTTTACCGAGTACACTGCATCTTCTCGCGAACTGCGTGTTCTCCCTTCTTTTGCCGCGCCGCTTCCCCGTCTTTCCCCCGCCTTTACCCCCACTCAAAACAACAACAACAACAGTAACAACACTACTACTACTACTACTACTACTACTACTACTAACCCCGGCCAACTAGAACAATATGAAGTGGTCATCGTTGGCGCCGGCCCCGCGGGCTTAATGCTCAATCTACTACTCGCCCGCTACGGTCTAGATGACGACTCACTCCTCTGCGTGGATGCCAAACCGGGAACGCTGAAATCCGGCCAAGCCGACGGGTTACAGCCGCGGACACTCGAGGTCCTCAAGTCGCTGGGACTCGTGGACGAAATCCTCAACGATGGATGCCACATGGAGGAAGTAGCGTTTTGGAACCCCTCCGCGAACCCCGACGAAGTGATTGAGCGGACCTCCACCGTGCCGGATGTGAGTGTGCCTGCGCGGTACCAGCATGAGGTGACGATTCACCAGGGGCGGATTGAGCGGATCCTGGAGACGGATTTGCTGCGGTATTCGAAGCGCGGGGTGCAGCGGGATACGAGGCTGGTTTCGGCGAGGGTGGATGATGACGAGGATGAATTTCCTGTTGTGGCGGAGCTGGAGACAGCCGGGGTGAAGAGGGTGGCGCGCGCAAAGTACCTGGTTGGTGCGGATGGGGCGCATTCGGTTGTCAGGCGCGAGATGGGATTATCGTTGGAGGGCGAGTCGATGGATCATATCTGGGGCGTCGTGGATTTGGTCGTTGAGACTGATTTCCCGGATATTCGGAGACGCACGGCCATTCATTCGCCGGCGGGGTCGGTGATGATTATCCCGCGCGAGCGGATTGTGACGGGGGAGTACTTGACCAGGTTGTATGTGCAGGTTCCCCAGGCGGAGATGGAGCTTGTTGCTGAGCAGGGAGAGGCGGGTGCGAGTGGGAAAGAGGATGCTAGAGCGCGCAGAGCTCAGGTCACGCTAGAGGGAATCTTCCAGCATGCTGCAGAGGCGTTCAAGCCTTATTATATCAAGCCTAAGGAGGGCGGTGCTGTGGACTGGTGGGCGGCCTATCAGATTGGGCAGCGCGTGTCGGGGAAGTTCACTGTCCAGGATTCCAAGGGAATTAACAGAGTGTTTATTGTTGGAGATGGTATGCACAATCACCTCAACTTTTTTGGTTCAAGGATACCTCGCTAACAAATAACCTCATAGCTTGCCATACACACAGCCCAAAGGTACGTACTGCCTACTAAGCCTATTCAAGCCTCGAGGAGGTCAACCGATGCTGACGAAAGTTAGGCCGGCCAAGGCATGAACGTATCCATGATGGACTCGTATAATCTGGCCTGGAAGTTGGCCTACTCTATCCACGGCCTCACACCTGGTTTAGCAACGGCTGCAAAGCCTGACCCAGTCCTGGATACATATCACCTAGAACGCCACACAATTGCCCAGCAGCTCATCGAATTTGACCGTGCATTCTCATCCATGTTTTCCGGCAGGATCGGCTCAGAAAATGACGGTGCGGACGGTTTAACACATGAGCAATTCCTGGAGGTTTTCAACACCGGAAACGGGTTCACGAGTGGCTGTGGTATTGAATATCCTGAAAATGTGACGGTCGAAAAGACACTCGCAGCAGGTATCAATAACCCGATCCAAGGAACTGACTATCTACGCGGTATTCTTCGCCCTGGAAGAAGACTTCTGGATGTGAGGGTGAAGAGGCATGCGGATGGTAATCGACGCCATTTACAAGATGGTACGTTCTTGACCCCGTGTTTTCTGCTCGGATGACCCCTGAGAGACAAAAAGAAAAGAAAGAAACATAGAAACTAATATAATCCAACAACAGACTTCCTTTCAACGGGTCGATTTCGTATTCTGTGTTTGACTTCCGCGGATCTCTTGGACACACAAGGAACCTCCGCACCCGCCCTAAAAGCCCTGGGGTCCGTTCTACAGCGGTTCCCTGCGTCCATTATTGAGCAGGTTGTTATCCATCCTCGATTGTCGAGAGAATTTACATGGAAGGACGTGCCTCATGAGTTGAAACAACACTCAGAAATGCGGTTCTATAGTGGGTACGAGATCGATGACGTATATTCGACTTACGGCGTCGACCACAGCCATGGGGCTATAGCTGTCGTGCGACCGGATGGATACATTGGGACAATTGCAGCGCTGGATGATGTGAAGCGGGTGGAACAGTACTTACAGCAATGTATTCGGGCTATTTAATCGAAGTTGTTATGCAGGGCATGGATGCTATTGGTAGAATGTTGAGTACCATTATTTTGTATCTTTTGTAGCATATCAAGGAGTAGCAGGCATAAATAGTATCCATCGTTATTACCAGTTGATTTCTTGCTTTTATAGAATCCCGTCCCGCAGTGATACTAGTATATACTCATTCGCGGCTAAGTCAATCCTTCCCAAACCATTCCCATGTATCCTGTGAGGCAAATTCCATATCTATATACTTGTAGACATGTTACGGTAGATGGATTATGTGGTAATAACAATCTCTTCAGGAGCTCCAAGCTCCATTTTGCTCTATTTTCATATCTCTATCATGTAATGAATGTTTACGTTTTCCTAATACAGACTAAGAAGGTCAAATAGCACTTTAGTATACTTGCATCAATAACGCCTGGGGCCCTGAAAGCACTGGTGTGATATAGCCTTAATTATACCAAAAGTCGGAGAGAATACATCACAGTATAGTATTGTACGTGTTTGAACAAGCGCCGGTAGTCCTTGAAGCTATCGGTAACTTTGTCCAATATAACCAGGACCCCCAAGGCTGTCATCATCGGAACCTACCTCAAGCTACCCACGCCTAGTTAAATACCCTCAAGCAAACCAATTACTCTGGTGTTGTGAGTATGCCGGTTCTCGGGGCTGCAGCGCGCTGAGCAATGGACTGAATAAACACCTTCCGCGTCACAGTTCAAGCCGGAAATGACGAGGGAATAAACACTCTAACTACCTGATGACCTCGCTTGATATCCAGCCGATCCCTAAAACCTTGACTGATGCTTCGAATTCGCACTTGGGACGTTTATTTCCGATAAATCGGTTAGCGTTGGAACTAAGGTCGTGCGGTGGTCCGCTAGCTTCATCGCTCCCTTCTGGGTCTGAGTGCATTAGATTAGGTTGACCTGGGAATATATGTGTACTCCGAGGTTTCCAGTTAGGCAGCAGAAATCTGAACTAACTAGATCATGATTGCTGAGCAATCCGGCAGCATAACTCGACCCTGTAGCAGTATTTTCCAGAGTATGCAGTTAAAAATAGAGAGGCGACGGGATGATGACCAAAAAGTCGGCACTCGGCACGGTCTAGTATAGAACCCGTCAAAACAGTTCATTCAGACTTCACAGTTGGTACTCACCTCTTCCTCGGAGTGATAGATCAAGTATGCAATGGGACAACACATCCAGAGACATCAAAACATCTGTCTAGAGCGTCTTTACAACATGGAAAAAAAAAAGGCAAAATGCAGAATGGACGGCACGTGTCTTATCGATAAGGATATAACGTGACACCACGTGATATCAGAAATGCCGACTTCCGACTTGTTGGGGAGAAATTTCTGGGCTTCATCGCTGACGTTTGCAGCCTGCGCCAATCGCTGTCCAGCAGATGATGACGATGCCGACCAAAATGCGGTTCCTGACCGGGGCTTTGGGCATCTCCGGACGGGTCAGCCCGCTCTGGAAACGAAAAATTTCACTACCGGTCTCGGCATGGGGATGTATGTAGCTGATCGATCTACGGCATGACTCCACAGTCGGTGTTAATATGTTTTTATCACCGCTCACTCCCCTGTTTGGAGTCGGGAGGATGCGATATATACGGGGATTTGCCATACTATAAGATTATCTATCCCTGCCATTCTCCGCGAACATCTTCCACAGAAAACCTGGTCCTTCTGTGATTGAGATTTGACAGCCATGCCGGACCATCATGAACCTCATAGAGCTGGATCTCTCAACCGTGACTCAATGTCCTTATCCAGTTCGGACTCAGACTCCACCCTCTCAGATCCTAGGTCTGCCCAGATCCATCAAATCTATTCCGGTCGACATTTGGACGACCACTCTGTTTACCACAGCGATTGTGCCGATGATAATGATGCTGATGGCTTAGCTGACGACGTCGACCGCTCATCGCTGAAAAATAGTGTTGAGAAAGAGGTAGAGCCCGTTCTGGAAGTTAGAGGAGGAATAGTAAATGAACGAGATCTCGATTTAGAGGCAAACACACGCCAGGGCACATCTGGCCTGGAAAATACCAGAACTGCCCAATCAACTCGATCATGGGCAGACCGCAAACTTGTAAGTCAGAAACCATCTTGACCCCTCGGGGAACCCTCTACAGTATCTAACCGACGGCAGGTAACCTGGACTAGTCCACATGACCCCGAAAACCCTAAAAATTGGCCCATGAGGAAGAAGTGGGTGACTGTTATCATGGTTTCCTCGTTCACCTTTATTTCACCTGTCACCTCCTCTATGGTTGCGCCCGCTCTGGCTGCGCTCGCGGCGGATCTGCACATAACTAGCTCAGTTATCTCGCAACTTACTCTGTCGATTTTCGTCCTTGCCTATGCTGTCGGACCGCTGTTTCTCGGCCCTCTTTCCGAAATCTACGGCAGAGTGATCGTTCTCCAGCTCAGCAACTTGTTCTATCTCGTCTTCAACATTGCGTGCGGAGTATCTCGAACCAAGGTCCAGATGATCGTTTTTCGATTCCTAGCTGGTCTCGGTGGTAGTGCACCGCTAGCAGTATGTGTGTCGCTTCTCCTTTGATACGTACGCACCAGGCTCTAACGAGATACAGATCGGTGGCGGTGTTCTCTCGGACTGCTTTATACCCGAGCAACGAGGTAAAAGTATGGCTATTTACAGTCTCGCGCCTCTTCTCGGCCCAGCCATCGGCCCAATTGCCGGTGGGTTTATTGCTGAAAACACAACTTGGCGCTGGGTATTCTACGCCACTTCGATTGCCGATGGTGTCATCCAGGTTGCAGGCTTCTTTTTGCTCAATGAGACCTATGGCCCCAAAATTCTCCGGGACCGTGCCAAGAAAATCCGCGCGGAAACCAACGATCCCGCCTACCAAACCGAAATCGAAAGACAGGGCAAACCACTGTCAGAAGTGCTCCGTACCGCTCTCGTCCGTCCCTTTCGCCTCCTCGGCACACAGCCCATTGTGCAGGCTCTCGCGCTTTACCTCGCCTACACCTACGGTCTCATGTATCTGGTGCTCTCGACCTTTCCCACTCTCTGGACCAGCCCTGATTACTACAACGAATCCACCGGCATCGGCGGCCTAAACTACATCGCAATCGGACTGGGCTTCTGGGGCGGATCCCAGATCTGTGCCCCGCTGAACGACCGCATCTACCGCCGTCTCAAAGCTCGCAACAACGGTGTCGGGAGGCCCGAGTTCCGGGTGCCGCTGCTCGTTGTCGCTGCATTTATGACACCCGCGGGGCTCTTCATCTACGGCTGGACAGCACAGAAACACACGCACTGGATCGGCCCCGATATCGGCGCCTTCCTGTTCGGCATGGGCACCATCGTTGCCTTCCAATGCGCACAGACCTACATGGTTGACGCGTATACGCGATTCGCCGCGAGCGCGCTCGCCGCCTCCGCCTGCATGCGTTCCTTGGCAGGATTTGGATTCCCGCTTTTCGCGCCGTATATGTACGACGCCCTTCACTACGGGTGGGGGAATAGTTTGCTCGGGTTTGTTGCTCTTGGGATAGGGAGTCTCGCGCCGATCTTCCTCTGGAAATATGGCGAGGTGTTGCGGAAGAAGAGTCCGTATGCGGCCGGTTAAACAAGCGCAAGCGCAAGCGTGGGTTGGTGGGTTGGTTGGTTTCCTTGCCTTGCATTTACAGCGGGGGGAGGGGGGGGGGGGACGGCTTAGATACGTATATATATATATATCATATCATATCATATCATATCATATCCTATTATAATTTAATATCATCAAGCAGCTGGTCTTCACCTACACTGTCTCCGACTATGCACATACATACCGTATCTTATATACATGTACTGCAGTTACAGGTAAAACGGTACCTGAGCTTCTTACAAATTCAAAAGCCCTGCCTAAAATCTGCCTCCCTCAAGTACTCCGTACTCAGTCCCTATACTGTGCAGTACATACGTACATACATACATAGGTAGGTAGGTAGGTAGACATAGATAGCCACCAACTCAAAACCAGAATAATAATGAATGAATGAATGAATGAATTATTCAATGTCCCTGTGTAGGGCTGGATTAGAATCAATTACATGGCGGAACCAAAATATAAAATATAATGCAGCGGATGTTTGAAACAAAGCATGCTCCATAGCATCAGGGACACAATTTTAAGCTTGCGGGTTTACTAGGGTCTGGAGGCATTTAACTCATGAGACGTACATAAAATTAATGTTTCAGTTATAGTAAGGCGTAAAAATAATCAGGACATAATACATAGCTAGTGGTATCTGGGATATCGCATATCGGTGTAAAAGAGGAATATAAGAGGTATTAAGGGTTAAACGGGTTCTGCATCCATTAGGAAGCAGCGAACCCTATAGCTTACGCCTGAGCGGCAACGTCCTCGACAGTCTTGACGCCAAGCTCCTTGTCGACGAAACCCATATCAGTGGCAAAGGTGCCGTGAGGCTTCCACTTGGCAGATGTACGGGGGGTGGTTTCCTCCATCATCTTGTCAACCTGCTCCAGGGTGAGACCCTTGGTCTCGGGGATCAGGAAGTAAGTGTAGACAAACGCGCAGGCACACAGGGAGCCCCAGATGAAGAACACCTTGGACTGCAGGTTACCCTTGTCGGTGTCCACCATGTAGGGAGTGATGACGGCGATGATCTAGAGACTTCGTTAGTTTATGAACTAAATGGCACGAGCTCCAGAGGAGACTTACGCAGTTCCAGAGCCAGTTGGAAGCAGTGGACAGAGCGACACCACGGGAACGGATGGGCAGAGGGAAGATCTCGCCAATAACAACCCAAGCACCAGGACCCCAGGTAGAGGCGAAGACTATGGTACCGTATTAGCTGAGCGCCCCATTTGAGGCAGTTTATCGATGTCGGTGGACTTACAGAAGATGTAAATACAGATGAAGGAGATCTGGGCGCTAACAGCCTTGGTGTTGCTGCCATCAACAGTACCAACAATGGCGACGATGAACTGGCAGATGACCATGCCCAGAGCACCCCAGAGGAGCAGAGGACGACGACCCACCTTCTCCATGGCGTAGAAAGAGATGGGGGTGGAGAAGACGTTGACGATGGTGGTGATCATGCTGATCAGGAAGGGATCGTTAATGGTTCCGAGGGACTTGAAGAAGGTGGTTCCGAAGTAGAAGACAAAGTTGACACCAGTCCATCTGTCAATGAGTTAGAAAAAATCAAGTAGAAAAGAGAAAATTCAGGTAAGACACAAAGAACGTACTGTTGCATCATCTGCAGAGAGGTGCCCAGGATGGTACGGCGCAGGTTGCTGTTGGGGGACCAGAGGCTGCCGCGGAAGCAGCTGATCCAGGTGGAGAAGTAACCACCTTGAGGAATGGCCTGCATTTCGTACTCGTTGTTGGCGACGATTTCCGCGAGCTCTTCCCTGATGTACTGAGAGTCCTGGGGCTGATCACGCACACGGGCGAGAACCTCAGCGGCCTTGGCCAGATCGCCCTTGCGGACGAAGTAACGAGGAGACTCGGGGAGGAAGAACAATCCAGTAGCGAGGATCAAGGCCCAAAGGAGCTGGAGGCCGATGGGGATACGGTAGGAGCCAGAGTCGGTGCGGTTCTCAGTACCGTAGTCGACGCAGGAGGCAACCATCAGACCGATGGTGACGCAGAACTGGTAGCCAGAGACAATGGCACCACGGACCTTGCGGGGCGCAATTTCGGACATGTAGAGAATAATGATGGCAGAAACGAATCCAACACCAAATCCGGCAATGACACGGCCAACGACGAGAAGAGCCAGGGCAGAGGAGGCAGTCTGCAGGATGACACCCACCATGAAGATACCGCACCCACTGATAATGGTGGTACGACGGCCAAACCAATCGGCAAGATCACCGGCAATAAGAGCGCCAAAAAAGGTACCAGCGGAGAGAATAGAGGTGATGAGGGACTTGTGTGAGGAAGAAATAACAAATTCAGCAGCGGGAGTAGTAGCCTGGTCCTATATTGTTTGGGGGAAAAAATTAGCAACTATCCAGCACAAGCATGGTGCACCCCAATCCAACGCACCTTTCCAGTAAATTGGTGAATGAAGTAGTTCATGCCCATGACACCACTGATATAGCCCGAATCGTAACCGAAGAAGATACCACCAAACGCAGCGAAGGCGCACATCATGTAGGTCTTCATGGTAACGGGGGCCTCGACCCGCATTGTAGCGACTCCGTCAGCCATTGTGACAGGGGGTGTTGGAAGTACACAATAGTAAGAGCTTGTCTATTCTCAGAGAAAGAAAGGGTGTATGAATCCAGGTAACCAAATCCGGGAAGCTAAAAAAGAGTAGATAATAAAGAAACAAAGATGAGGTGCAGGGACAGAAAATGTCAGCTGGGGAGGATAATCAAGACAATTTATAGCCTGTTTGCAGGAGAGCTCGATCTGCCCAGAATAATAGAAATTTCTCCTCCTCCCCTCGCCGTTTCCCCATAATGGTTGAAACCATGAGTCCATCGGCTTAGGATCGGGTTCCGGGGAATCGCCCACGGGGAATGAATGCACCTGGCAACTCGGCTCCACAAGTCCACGGGTCATGCATAGCCAAAAAAATTTTCATTCTCGCCCCATATGTCAATCTATTAGACTACACAGTAATCTTGAAAGACGCCACCGGGAGGTTTGATTTGCCATTGGTTAATCGCTTGGATAGACCTACGTAGGTACTTCGTACTCCATAGGTAGACCGGCATAAACAGCGCAGGTGCGGGAAAAGTCTTCCCCAGAGAACTAACACGCTTCGATCAGAAAAAGGAAAGAGCATGGGCATCGCAGGGGGCTCACAGAGGTGCCTTCCCGGCTTTGCTGATAGGTCGTATTCTGAATTCCCCCCATATCGAAGTTGACTGGGGGCGGGTCTTCGTCCAACCTAGGCTGACCCTGCATGGAGGCAACCACGGACTGAGAAGTGAGCGAACAAAGTACGGAGTAGACCCGATGCTATGAGGACACTAATTTGGCATGTAAGAGATGATTGGACTGAGATCCATGGCAAGAGGTGGAGCCAGGAAATTTCAGCCAAACAGAAACTCGGGTCTGCATCGGACGGACATTCGGGCTGGGGACAATTCATAAAAACAAGTAGTCGGTGGTCTTGACGAGGTCAAGAGAGAGCGAGAGAGAGAGAGAGAGCGAGAGAAGTCAGAATTGAGCCAAAGTTTGGTTGATGCCAAAATTGCCAGGCTGCACGGCCATATTTCCTTGATTAGGTTAGTCTCCGTTTCAGGTAGATTGTGATTGGATAATAGTGACAGGGGTAGGAAAACTGACCTATCATGTGCGAGAATCTAAAATTATCTCCATTACACTAGGCTATATATGGCTAGAGTGACTCAAGTCACGGGGTTGTATTACTACAAGGTATGGCACAATACATCACGTGTATTAGATCAGGTGCGGAGAATTTTTTTTTTTTTTTTTTTTTTTTTCCCCAATCTGGGGCTCAAAAATCAGCTTCGTTTATTCTTAGAAATTGTGTCTCTAACAAACCAAAGGAACCCGGTTTTCAGGCTCCTGGAAGTTCCTGATCAGTTCTCAGATACTCTTGTCCCTGATCTGAGTTGAAAGCCCTATCCCTAACTCAACAACCATCATGATATCCGAACTTGGAACAGCCACATTGCGCAACATCAAGACAAGACTTAAGCCTCATAGAAACTAAAATCCTTGGGATAATACTACCTAGGTACGGAGTACAGAAAACCTAAACCCGATGACTTGCCAGGATGTAACCTTAATGATAACGTGGACGGTGGCGCTCTTAGATCCAATACCAGTCCGCCTAGCCTCTGGAAGGCGCCACTTGTCTTTGCGCCAACTCTGGATTCATGAGTCAATATTATTATTTCTACGGAGAGAAGAAGAAAGAAAGAGCTGCTCGGACGTGGTTTGGAAGTTGGAACTCGTGGTATGTAAGCCACAAAAAAGCCAAATCAGTTGATACTCGGGGTTCTGGTCGTGCCTCGGCCTCTCCAGAGCTAGAAAATTTCTAATCCATTAGTTAGGCGTCCCCTCAGTCCCTTCGGCCCCTAACCAATGGCCGAAGCTGAACCGGGAGTGGTCGCGGACCTCGCCGAGAGCCATGCCTGGCAAGTAGCTCGAGGCTCGTGGTCAATCCCGAAGGATCGGTTTCTCGACGATGCTCCATACTTGTCTCACAATCCCGGGAGGGATATGAATTTACTCTCTTACTTTCCCCTTGGAGGCTAAAAGACTACGGAGCTTGTGTAGGTAAGCATTCGGTGATCAGACTTGCTATATTCGGATAACATGCCTATAGAGTATTTGACATCCCCAGTCCTCCTGACTTCCCCGAACTAAACCTCGGCATACTGAACTTGACAGTCGACACCAGTTTCCCCTCCAAAATCAAAAAAAATAAAATAAAATAAAATAAAATAAAATAAAAATATGTTGTGAACATATATAAACAGGCATTCCCAATAAACGCCCCCCCCCTCTCCCCGGGTTCGACGGTCGTCGCTTACAACTTCCCCAATGCCGAGCATAACACACACACACACACAAACATCACATCCCGACCCGAGAGTCCGAACCTGGGTCATCATGGGTGGTTGCTGACTCGCAGTTTTTACGGTTTGCTAACTTTGCTTACAGCGCTAGTGTCTCCTCAACCGCCCCCGAGAAGGCTTGAACTCCAATAATACCCCGTCGTTGACTTTTTGATGCGGGGAATCATGTAAAAAAGGAGGTCGAGGAAATGAAACCCCAAGAATCAAGAGAACACAATTCTGTTTGAACCCAGCAATGCCCAGGGATACGTGCCCATGGTTCGAATCCGGTGAGTGTTTTGCGTCAATGGGGATATCATCAACAGCTGCCAGGCCGGGTTATCGATGGAGCACTCACTGCTCAGTTCAAAGGAAAATGATATTAAGGACCAGGCTTCCGAGGGTAGTGAACGGCCCATGTTACAGCCCACTGTGCACTACCTAGTTAATGTTTCTCCCTTAGTCTGCCAACCAGGGAGGGATCTCTTCTTCCCATTCGTGTATTGCTCCGTGCCTAGTGCAGGAGATCTCGTCCTGTCTCTCTCTTCTACACCGCTGCCACATACCTTACTACCGTACACAGTCACTTCAAGATTTCAGATGGTTATCCCACAACCTGACCAACCAGCCACAGCCCCATGAAGTCGTCTGACTCCGTTTTTACCTCATCTCCCTCACTTTAGACCGACTGTCTTCTTTCATACTGGGTCTGTTGCTCGCAGCCTCTCTTGATAAGCATTAACTGGGAAGGGAGTGGACCAGATTGATGTGGAAGAAGAACATGACCACCGAAGCTTCGAGGAGCATTAATGGCAATTCTTACCTCAGAGGAGACAAGCCTAAATTATTCCTCTTGAGGCCGAGACAATAAATCTTGAACATACGTGGGAGCCTATCGGGTCTTTTTCCCGTCTTCTCGAAGCACATCTGCTCTAGGTTGTCTAACGGGAAATATTTTGAATGGGTTACTTACAAGCTCAGACCCCATCCTGTTGGTAGCCTGTAGTATGTACATATGACTCTGACTCTGACTTCATAATGCAATTAGTTCCCTTTTCTTGCCTGTCCATCTTCACTGTATTCTTTAAACTGCATCGCTGACCCAATCTATCCCAACCTCAGGCCATGATCCTGCCCTTTCTCCTCACGCTTCCTCTACTCTGCTGCTCTTCTTAACCATTCAAAGTTCAACTACCCAAGTGCATGACACGTAAGAAGCCCCTATTAATCCTTCCAGCTCATGAGATTCTATCACTCGATGGCGGGGTGGCCAACTCAGGCAGAAATTCCGCTAGTCTCAACCGATGACGCTGTGGCTGCCCAGTTGAAGAAATCGACTACATTACTGTTAAGAATTTATGCTAAATTCAAGTTCGCTAGAAATCTTGCTAGTCCACGCCTTTTCTCTGTAAGATACATACATGCCATGCACCCCGCATGCCCCTCCTCAAGGTCCCTAAAACATCCACAATCAGCCGCCCGAACCCGCAAATCAACACAGCCCACCTACCATGAATTTCAAATGACCGTCGACATTCATAATTTTGTCCGCCAGGAAAAGCCCTTGAAGACCACGCGACCCTCCATCTTTCATGGCCAAGTCGGCCGTCAGCTTGGGGCCGCGCTCCGTGAACTCAAGCTGGACGTTTCTGGCGGTCTCGGTGAAATTGTGACCGCCCCAGATGAACCATCCTATGTCCCGTCAGCAGAATGTCCTCGCGTGCTGTGCTGTGTTGTGCTGTATAGCATGGAGCAGAGTAGGTATACCGTCTGTGTTGCCAACATGGTCGTCTAGCCTGATCCGCCTCGGGCACAGATTCCCGTGGTTATCTTTTACCTGGGCATTAAGCCAGGTGGAGCCATTCTCGTGGCTGATTCTGAGATCCTGAGAAGAAAGATGGAAGGACATTTTTTTTTTTTTTTTTTGTCGTCGGGCAGATTTGGGGAACGGAATACGAATTGGAAGAGGGTCGAAGTAAAGGTATTTATGTACTCCTCCGTACAGTACATATACGAAGCACACCGCTTTACTGTGGAGTCAATCGGCATGGCTGCCCTACGAGCAGGCAGCGATAACCTCGTGATGCAGGTGGCATATTCGACTTACTGCAGTTTGTTCTACACACCCAGGGAGGGGATTTCCCAAACTAGCAAAATAATGTCAAGAACCCAGCAGAGTGGCTGTGTTCGCCTCTGAAATACCTCCGTTCAGGGTCCACTCCTGACACCGCCACCACTCTCTCCACGCTGATATATATATATAGCTAGTAATGCATGTCATGGCATTCTCCAGCATGTAGAAGTGAGCTAGCTGACTGATATAGATCTACTCAGCCACAAAGCTGCACAGCTACGGTACCACAGTATGACCCGGCTGGTTCGACCCACATCTATCCAGGCTTCACCCGGGAAACTCAGCTTCGGCACGGGTAATGCACATCTGAGAGGCGCAGGAAAATCCCGGGAGTATGAATAGTGCATACTGTGCACGAGTATCGACCCTGCTGATTGATGTTTATATCTATTAACCAGATACCAGGGTAGGTAGAGTTCACTCCAGGGCATTTAGAGGACTGAGATCTTTATATACATACAGGTATACATATATAGAAAATCGAATATCAATCCCTGGTGCAACTCATAATTATCATCTAAACTTGTAAAGACAAGTCATCGTGTGCTAGTGGATAGAGGAAGAGTAGCCACATTTAGTCTATTGTGCATTTAATCTGTCTAACTTTGCATTAAGTATATCTTCATACAACATCGATGTGTCGTCAACGCCTAACCCGCGTCCAAGTCAAGTGCCATCCAAAGAGGATCCCACAACACCCTAGTCCCATTAGCATCCATACCTACAACCTGGAAAAAAAAAAAGACACAACATAACGTACTTAGTGCAGCTTGTCGAAATCACAGATAGGGTCTAGAATCTTGAACATGTCCGTGAATGCATCTCCGTAGCCTTTATCCGTGGCCATATCGTTCGAGCAGTCCAGCAGGTAGCAAACGGTGAGGTTTCCGTTCATGCCGGCGTTGAGGTCTGTCGCTAGATGGTCGATGCAATCCTGGAAAACAGACGCCTCGATCTTGTCTTTGCTGGTTTCTGCGGTGGCTGTGGCGGCGAACACGGCCAGTGCTGTGACGAGGAACTTCATGTTGAAGGCGTTCGTCTATGTATGCAATCGTTAGTCATGGAGTCAGTCAGGGCCATGTGGAAACATCGGTAAACAACATACTAGTTCGGTCGTGCTTGGGGGTATATCGGTACGAGGTGGACAGCTGGGGATTGGGGACTGTTGGCGTGACTGCTTATTTATATAGTGCATATTTTAACCTTGCATTGTTTATGTCTACATTGATCGACGCAATTCTCGGGTTCGGGAGTTATGCCCTTGCAGGAGTAGGACTTTGTTGTTTAATTAGGCTCCTTCCTAGAAACTCATGCACTGCTTGACTGCTTTATGACCGTCAAGTCGATAGGATCAGTGGGCACTATCAAAGCGAGAATCTGCCAGTATGCTCCTGACAGCTCCATCGGTGTTGCATTGGAAATCAGCCACGCAGAGTTAATCGAATCCGCGTGAAGGTGGATGGAAAGTACCATCAACAGACTTGAATCTGCCGGCAAAGGAGTCGAAACGCTAACCAACGGGGGTTGCAAATATCCCTTGCTTAGGGGTTTAGGGATGCCTCTGTTGGGGTCTTTGCACTGGCATACCCTTGAGGTGAGATGCACGATGTTTCGATAACTTGGTGTAGCAGCTTGAGTAGCTTGTAAAACCTATCATTATCCTAGGCGAGAACGATGGATTTGCAAGCTGCAGATCCCGACTTCATAGACATTAGACCTGGTACAAGGGATGTGTTACCTGCACAACGCACGGCATGTCGTACGGTCATGAATCTAGGGGTTTGCATCAGAGAATATGGCCACAATATATACCATACCGTCACGAAGCCATCCATGCACAGTATTATATCAACACTGTCATCCGCGATTGCTTTATAAAGCATAACGTTCAGCGAAATTCCACGGCTTGCGTCAACCATCGACACTTCAACCGAGCCCCGAAGATGGGTGAGCAACCGCGTCAACGGCCCTCGACAACATCCAACCTTGTAGCTGGGGTTTCCATATGAGTTCAAGCAAAGCCGAGAAGCATTTCCAGAACTACCGAGGGGTTTATTCATGAGCTGGGGGGCGATAGCTACCACGTCAGAGCCTTTCGAGGTCCAGAGCCAGAATTGATAATAGAAGGCTTGAATATAGTGGACTTATCAATAGTCCTCTGGGCCGTATACAAATCATGACGTGTCAGGGTGAGGTTGTTAAATATAGAAATGTAAATACTTCTCATATATCCTTCTAGGAGATTTATGGGGTGTGACAGTTGGGTGAATGCAGCCAGATTTACTAAAGTGAACAAAAACCTCGACCTCAACACAAGTCTCTCTCTCTATCTGAACCCTCTTACAATTCCTTTCTGAAAACTTCCCATCAAGAGCTTCAAGTATATGTATCTCCCATCGATTTTCTGTCTTCTCCATTTCCATCTAGCAGCACCAAGTTTCATCTTGTGCGTTTACTGAAGGGATTCCTGGTGGTTCTTCCTAGACATCTGTCAACCTCATTTCATCTATACACTCTTACAATCGTTGAAATCAAGGATCAACCCATGCCGGACTGGATCTTCCCGCTCCTTCAGTGGGTTCTTATCCCTCTGCTCTGTGGTTGTGTCGCTGCCTTCACCTCTCCCTCCTCAGAAGCTCGATACGCCGCAGCGGTTGTGATCCTTTCTCTAGCTATCTCCGTGCAAAACTATATCCGCGCCGTGGCTGCGAGCTGGCTGATTGCTGGATTAATTTCGATCTTTACCTGGATGAGTGTGCTCAATTCTCTAGACGTCCTCCTCCACAGTCGCATCAACTACCCGGAACACATGGAGTGGAAGAAACACAATCCCAGCCAGGACGCACCCGTTCTTTACAACACCACAAGAGAAAAAGTCGAATTGGCGTTGAATATTCCGTGGAATTATCGTCGAGTCCGTACCAAGTGGCAAATTAAGAACATTCCTTCATTCGATCCAACCGAGCCTGGATATGTTCCGAATCGGTGGACCTTCGTCGCACATCGACTTCTGACGGTACTTATAGCATTGCTCTGTGTGCATTTTACTCAGTATCACCCACAGTGTGATGAAAATGATTGCACTAGACTGCATATCTTACTTTCCGAAGAACGGCAGAGTTTATTTCCAAATCAATACTGGTTCTCGACAGAAGCACTATCCGCGCGCCTCTACTTTGTCATTTCGTTCATGACGAGTGCCTGGTTCTCCCAAAGAGCTATTTATAACATAGCATCGGTCATCGCGGTAGTATCTCGTATATCGGACCCTGCAGACTGGCCACCATTTCAAGGTGCTTTGAGTGAAACATGGACTGTTCGCCGCTTATGGGGGTATTTCCCAACTACCCCTATCCTCTCTTTGAGACTCGAGACTGATATCTGATCGATAATAGGCGAACCTGGCACCAAACGCTCCGACAACTCCTGAGTTCCAATGCCGACTTTCTGGTATTCTCGATATTCCGCCCTGGAACGATCTGGGCCCGATACGCCCGCTACTTCGTCGTGTTCTTCTTGTCTGGAGTGATACATACATTTCTTGACGAGGCGTCGGGCATACCGGTAGAATCGAGCAGGAGCTTATTATTTTTCACGATCCAGCCCATTGCCTTTGCAGTAGAGGATGTCGCCGAGAATTTGGCAAAACGATATGGTGTCTTCACCACAGACACTCCGCTCAGGCGTCTCGTTGGCTACATCTGGGTTGGGGTGTTCTGCCTATGGGCGTCTCCTATGTGGCTTTACCCCGTTATGCGTTTTCTGTTGGCAAATGGACAGCCTGTTTCTATTGTGAATTTACGGGGTGTCACTCAGTGATTTGTTCATCCTCATGTCAGTGAGACTTTCTTCTTCTTCTTCTTCTTCTTCTTCTTCTTCTTCTTCTTTCTTTTTCTTTCTTTTTCTGTTTCTGTTTCAAACTCCATCTAAATTCTGTACCCTAACTCTAGGAGGTGCCCGAACGAGCGGGGGACGTTCTCTTTCCTTTGCCTAAAGATACGGACTTTGAGAATATTGATCAGTTATTGAAGATGAACTTCCAGATTGCTTTTACCAACTTCCAGACAGAGTATCTGTAGCTGCCTTAGCCAGTATAGCTTAGGGTTTTCATACGGATTCCGAACAACTCCCCCGCGCACGTCAGAACGTAGGATGAACTACTCTCTCTCTCCCCCCTGATTCCTTATAGTACAGGGAATATCAATCCGTTGACCAACTTCAAGACAGGTTCCGGTATGACCATTGTCAAAAAAAAAAAAAAAATGCCAATTGGACAACATCCAAGGAGGATACCATCCCAGTAACAAGCTACTTGGCCAGGGCTAAGAAGCAGGTAGCTAGAGACCAGGGACTAGGGACCAGGGGACACAGTCGTACATCGATTCCCTCCCTGAAATACAACCGGGCTACGACGGCTCCTAGCCAATCTAAACACCACATATTGTACTCCGTACAACTCAGCTAATGCCCTGAAACCCCCTGTGTTACGCTACGGCGCCGACTCTGGATTCAACACATACACCATTCCCCTCGGTCAAACAGGGGGAAGTCCAGTTTTTTAGCAGTCCGGGGATTTTCTCGAGTAGCTTTACCAGTTGGTACTGTTAACACTCCACCCATTCAGTGGGGTATATGCATCTATCGGCGTGGTACCGTGCAAAACATCGTAATGGGCGTGTTGTTGTTGTTGTTCCCCGCAGGCCAGCGTCGTGGCCCCCTGTAACCCAAGAAGACACTCGTCCCGCAGCAAGGCGGCTACGTGTTGGCCGACGTCGCGGCCCTCGTACCAAGCGCCATGCAGGAATCCGAAATACTGGGCGCTGGTGGCCTCGCCGGCAAACCACAGGCGGTGCACGTTGGCGCGCAGGTTCTGGTGCATCTTCAGCGTTGTGCCGGCCGGCCAGTTGGAGTAGCTCCCGAAGGCCCAGGGCTCGGTCGACCAGCGCGGATAGGCGAAGGCGACGGGCTCTGGGATTTTCTTGTCGGGGAACATCTGGCGGAGCACCTCGAGGACTTCGCGCTTGGTTTGCGCGTCGGGTTGTCGCTCCACGCGGTAGGCCTGGCTGTCGACCACGGTCACGAAGATGATGTTCGATCCCGGGAGGAAGCCGGCCGTGGATAGCGACTGGAACACGGGGTAGTAGCCCCGGGTCGTGGGAGACGCGTACAGGAAGAACTGCGTGTCCGGTGGCCAGAAGGCTTGCTCGAATTGCATGAAGATCTTGGTGTAGGTGCCCATGTTGAATTTCTCGATCGCCGTCTGCTTCCACTCGGGCAGCTCGGGGTGGAACTGCACGACGTCGTTCTGCAAGACCCCGAGGGAGAAGGTGCATATCGCGTATGCAGCGCTCACGCAGCTCCCGTCACGGTTGTGCACGAGGACGCCGTCGTCGCTGTATTCAATCGTCGTGACTTCTGTGCGCAGGCGGATTCGAGCATCATCCCGCGATGCGTGAGGCCGGAAGGACTCGGCCTCGCCTTGGATGATGGCGCTATACCCTCGCGGATCGAGGACGAGGTTGTTCTGGCCGCCAAACTGGTTGAAGGTGAGGTTCTCGCCCGCGACGCCAAAAACCAGCGAGCTAGTTTCGGGGGTGTAGGCTACCTCCCAATCTGTTATATTGTGTTAGCTGGGCGGCTGGGAGAGGGGGTTTTTTTTTTTTTTTTTTTTTTTTGTTTTTCTTCGTCGAGAATTCAAACGATACGCAATGGGCCCTCCTCCTCTTCCACCGCGTTTCGGTTCATACCCCAGTTCCACCATTCCACCGCTTGTGCTGCCATGTTGTCCTTGCGCGGTCTCCAGCCGGCAAGCGCCAGGCCGGAGCGTGCTGTCATGTCTTGGAGATTCTGGTTCAGGATTTGCCCTGCATGCTCAGAGGCTCGCTTCCGGGCTGCCGCGTAGGTGTCGAGAAGGTTGCTGTAGTCTGTATATCCCGTTTCATTGTAGGTCCGGATGGAACTATAGTTGGAGTATGTGTTGCGCAGGTTATATTTTTGAGCCTGGTCTGTGTGAGCTCTTTTCATCTGATTCCCAAGGCAAAAGTTGATCGATCTTCTTACCAGGCGCCAGATCGGATTTTCAGCAGTATCTGATCCCAGTCCTTGGATCTATGGATAGTTTTAGCCTTCTCCTGGGGTTTTGATGCCATATATATATATATTCCTTACCCAGTTGGCTCCGAACTCCACCAAATACGGATCCCCTTCCTCATCCTTTCCAAAGTCCGAGTGCCAGACCCGACCTCCAAGTGTATCTCTGTACTCGAGGATGATGAAATCCGTAATCGAGGCATTTGTCAACGCTTGCTAAGCCAAGTTAGACCTCTTATCTATTCTCCGGAATCGAGTCAACAACATACAGCAGCGGTGATACCGGCCATCCCACCTCCCCTATCGAATATCAGGTCAGCTTGCCCTAACCCTACCAAGACGGTATATCCAGAATACAGAGAAAACCTACAGGATGGCAACCGTAGTCTTTGTACATTGGTGATCATTTAAGATGGTCTGAGCCACATAACCTGCGCAAAGCCGGACGAAAGCCCCAGTTACGAGGAGACAAGAAAGGATCGAGACGGCAACAGGATGCATCGGAGTCTAGTATAGAAGGACAGAGTGCAAAAGAAAACCAAGGCCATGTACGGAGTAGATATACGCCTACCCACCCCCCCCCCCCCCTTTTCGCTTCTTGACCGAGTCTTCCCGTCCCTGGTCGGTCTTCTGTTCTGACGGCTTCACTGCTGATAAGACGTGTGTGCCCTTTGGCGTGTGATCAGCGAACTCCGATTGGCACCAAAAATACGGATGATCAAAGGTCGATATGCAAGGGAATCAGCAGAACCATTTCTTCTTGGAAGAGGAATTAATGCCAGATGGGGCAGGTCCAGTCGGCTGGCGTCTTCTTATCCAAGGCGCATCCGTAAGTAAGGCTGCGAATTACATTCTCGCGGCTCGGCTTGGAAGATCGCCCTTGGTTATTTTCCTGCCCGCCGCTTGGGCTTCCCGAATCTATCGAGATCATAAGACGTCTTACCTAGTATGTATCACCCTCCGGGGCCCGCGATTCGCACGGTTAACGCCTCGTACAGTTAGCAGCCCGGCTGATTCTTCCTCGATTTAACTCCTCACAGCTTGGCAACCAGGGCGTCGTGCACTACTTCCTGGATAGGGGAAGAGACAGCTCATATTATGTATGTATGTATGTATGTAGGTAGGTATGGAATAATTGGTGAATGAATATCGGGTGGGATTTGAAGTGTTTCTCATTCGGGTAGCCTGCACAGAATGTACACCTCATGCAATTAAGATCAGCCTGGATCAAAAGATAAAAAAAAAAAAAAAAATGAAAACCTGATAACTCCTCATCATCCAGAGAACGATTTTTTTTTTTTTTTCCTTAAGAGAATAACAATCGATGTAATGTCAGACGCCATACGCCCTGGGCTCATAAAACTACTGGATATCGTAAGCCTCCAGTGCCCTTTCCAAATCATCAACACTGTCCTTCATCCCGTATGAATCCATGATCTGCTGGTTTTTGTGCAGTCTCTCCTCCTCCTGGACTTGGTCGTAATAGTTCGGTCGGTTGGAGGTATAGACGTTGGAGATTCCGAAACCTGGCCCGTTCAGCTTCCTTCTTTCGTCACCGTCGACGGGACCCGAGAGATATACCAACAGCCATGGTCACCATTACCGGGAGATACCAGCGCCCGAATGCACCGGGTCTGTTGAGCCCGGCACGTTTGAAGAGAGATTGTTGTGGTAGATTGGGTGTAGTCGGTGTCTGCATGATATGAGGGATGTTTGGTTTTTCTTTTCTTTTCTTTTCTTTTGTCCTTTTAGCTTTGATGTTCTTGAAGGAGTCAAGCTATACTGAATCGAAGATAAGAGTGAAGTAAGCTTGATATAAAGCTAAGGTGGTGTTGGTGGTGGGAATGAGACATCATCAACCCGAATGGAATGGCCTGATCTTCCGTCATACGATTGATTGCCACTCTGTCCCCTCATGGTCGATCCACGGAACTGCAGAACTGAACTCCAGATTCAATTCAGGAAATCAGCTCTCCATTGGTTTCATTCTCCATGGTAGATCTTGGTGATTTGTCTGCTATGGGTTCCATGGCGAACGAGGCGACAATACTGACGATACCGTTGACGGAGCAGGGTAGAATAGCAGGATAATCGTAGCCGATGAATTCTTTGATTCTTGAATTCGAGGTTGAAATTCAAAAGGAAAGAAAGAAAAGAAAGAAAAGAAAGTGGTTAATACTACTTTACCTGAAATTATACCCGACTAGAGGTTGAACTCCACTGATAAGCTGTTCCTGAGATAAACCTCTCTCTCTCTCTCTCTCTCTCTCTCTGTCATTCCTCCACACAACTACCTTACCTAGGTACTTCAAGTTCTTTCTCTCACAACTGACAACATTGCGCACACATCTCGCAGCTACAAAGGATTCCCCCACCATGTCCCTAGCGACCCCCGAAACGATCGTCGGCCTCCTCCACAACGACACCCGAGTCAAGCTCGCCGGCATCGACGTCGACGGCCTCCTCCGCGGGAAGCTGGTCTCCAAGAAAAAATTCCTCTCGATCGTCTCCGATGGCTTTGGCTTCTGCTCCGTGATATTCGGCTGGGATATGCACGATCGGACCTACGTCCGCGAGCTCGCCATCAGCAACAGGGATAACGGGTACCGCGACATCCTGGCGGTTCCGGATCTGAGCACCTTCCGGCGCATTCCCTGGGAGGACAACGTGCCCTTTTTTCTGGTGAGCTTTTTGGATCCCGAGACGCGCCAGCCGCTTTGCGCTTGTCCTAGGGGGTTGGTGAAGGGGGCGTTGGGGAAGTTGGGTGCCGCGGGGTATCGGGCTATGGCGGGAGGTATGTTGGGTTGATTTGATTTTGATGTATATGTACTACGGTGGAAGGAAGGGTGGTGATTCTGAGCTAACTGATGGGATTGATCTAGCGGAATATGAATTTTATCAGTTTCGCGCGCCTGAACGGAATGCCTCGTCAACGGCGACTTTTCTCAAAGAGAATCCTGTCGAAGCGTTACCCTCGCTTACGGAGGGGATGTTTGGGTACAGTTTGACCCGTCCTGTTCATAATCAAGACTGGTATTACGGGGTTTTTGACGCCTGCGAGCAATTTAACTGCGAGATTGAGGGGTGGCATACGGAGAGCGGGCCGGGGGTTTTTGAAGCTGTAAGGAATTCATTACTCTTCATACCCTCACCCACACACTCCACTCTCTTACTTGAGGTCATTTACCGTTACTGACGGAATGGAGCCAGGCACTACAGTTTGGGGAGGCCCAGGAGATGGCTGATAAAGCGGGTCTTTTCAAGTACGTCCGTCCCTGGCTGCGCGGGCTTACGACTGAACACAATTGCTGATGGGTCGACTCCATAGATATGTCGTCAAATCCATTGGCACCAAACACGGCATCACTCCCTCGTTTATGGCGAAACCGCGCGAAGGCCTGCCAGGAAACAGCGGCCACATGCATATATCCCTGGTGAATCAGGACGGAACGAATGCGTTTATTCGTCCCACCCCCGATCCCAACCCGCCGTATCCAGATGTAGCTTACCTATCGGACCTGGGTCGATATTTCCTCGCCGGCATTCTCACCGGGCTTCCCGATATCATGCCCATGTTGGCGCCCACGGTGAACTCCTACAAACGGTTGGTGGAAAACTTCTGGGCGCCAGTTACGGTATCTTGGGGGCTTGAGCACCGCGCTGCCTCTGTTCGACTGATCAGCCCGCCAACTTCCAGCCCCAAGTCTACACGATTCGAAGTGCGCGTTCCCGGGGCAGATTCGAACCCGCATTTTGTCCTCGCTGCCATCGTCGCCCTGGGGTGGCGCGGGGTCGAGAAGAAGCTCGAAATCCCCGTTCCTCCCCTATCCAAGGGAGAGGACATGGGTGGTGCCGGTGACAAGGGTGTAAGACTAGCAAAGAACTTGGGAGCGGCCATCGCTGCCTTCACGCACAAGGACAGTATCGCAAGGGAGGTCTTCGGGGACGAGTTCGTGGATCATTTTGGCGGAACTCGAGAGCATGAGCTGCGCTTGTGGGAGGAAGCCGTAACGGATTGGTAGGTTTTTTTTTTTTTTTTTTTTTTTTTTGCTGTCTCTTTTAGCACTGGAATATCTGCTGACTTGATTTGGGGTGTAGGGAGGTGCGACGGTATATCGAAACGGTCTAGATCGGGACGGCGTTGGGGGAAGTTCCCGGTACGATGCTTGTAAATAGATGATCTGACCCGTTCGAACCCGAACTCTAAGCTGGGGTCGGGAGTGACCCGGAAACTAAGAATTTGGATGGAGGCCAGGCGATGTCACATGTGATTTGCATAGTGGGCAGGCTCTCATGATTTTCACATGCTGGCGATGGGATCAGGGGAGTCTCAGGATAGACATAGTTAACTAATACATGGTGACAACAAACAAATGAGTTGCTATCCACAGTCATTGTCCTGGCCTGGGTGTAATATTTTCCCAGGCTGCCCGTGTGTACGAGGGCAGAGGAAAGGGTGATACCCAGATCGGCGGGGGTACTTGGTGACTGTACCTAATCGCCACATCCAAGGTCGCGATAACACTCGGGACAAGTCGGTGCCGCACCGCTCTTGAAAAACAAGGGTTCGCGCTGCACTGATTCGATCAACGATTGGTGACGAATTGCTGGAGCAATGATTCTGGGACCAACCGCGGTTGTTAGAGCTCAGAGCTTCGGGCGTGCGGGGAGTTTATTCCTGTCTTTCCATCTCTTCCACTTGTCCCTCGGCATTAGGGAACGTTTCCATACCTTACAGAGCATCAATCAGTCTGTAACAATTTGCTAGCACCATGCATGTGCAGCTGTGATAGTTTTATATCATGACATTAAGTCGTAGAATCGGGAAGAGAGAGAGAGAGAGAGAGAGAGAGAGAGAGACGAAGTGTCTTTGCTTGAATTGCAGGGCACCCCCTCCCCTATTATGTAAGCATTCCTCGCCCGGAACAAATCGGCCGAGAAGAAAAAAAACGCGGTATTCGTATTACCGAGTGTGCACGTGGTTTTGCCGCGGGAAAGTCACGAGACGCGACACCCTCAGGCTGCCAGTTACCCAAAACGGACAGGCATCGCGACTCCAAAGTGGACTTCAATCAGTTCTGAATGGCTGCAATCCGGGTAGCTACCGATTTCGCTCCTTTCGTCCCAGGAGAAAACCTCTTCAGATCCAAAAGCCCGCTCTGCACCAATCAGCGGTTCCAGCCGGGAGCCCTACAATGGACCGCGGTTGTACATACTTCTCTGACGTAGCTTCCTGCCGAAGAGTCATTGCCCGTGGGAGGGGAGGGAAGTCTGGCTCTCTTCATATATATATAAGTCCGGTCTAGGCACTTCCCCAGACAGCTTGATTTAGAGTCTTTGTTATTTCTTCTGTTCTTTTTGTTTTTTTTTTGGGGGGGGGACTTCACCATCCATTCATCCATCCTTCCATCCATCCGCGCTCTCCAAACGAAAAACCTCACGGAAAGCATTCGTACATATATCACCATGTCCCAAGTCGACGCACAGCTCAAGGATGTTGCCGTCCTCGGTACCGTGAGTGCTGAGGCCCGTAAGATCCTCACCAAGGAAGCCTGTGCTTTCCTGGCCATCTTGCACCGCACCTTTAACCCTACCCGCAAAGCTCTCCTCCAGCGCCGTATCGACCGCCAGGCCGAGATCGATAAGGGCCAACTCCCCGATTTCCTCCCAGAGACCAAGCATATCCGTGATGATCCCACCTGGAAGGGTGCCGCCCCAGCTCCCGGTCTTGTGGACCGTCGGGTGGAAATTACCGGTCCTACTGACCGAAAGATGGTGGTGAACGCTTTGAACGCGAATGTGTGGACTTATATGGCTGATTTTGAAGGTGCGCATATAACCCCCTTCCCCCTCTCTGCTTCTTGAACTCTTGTTTATGTATATATATATATATATATAAAAGCTAATCCGTGGTAAGACTCTTCCGCCCCTACCTGGGACAACATGATCAACGGTCAGGTCAACCTGTACGATGCTATCCGTCGCCAGGTCGATTTCCAGCAGGGCAGCAAGGAGTACAAGCTCCGGACTGATCGCGTGCTGCCCACTCTGATTGCTCGTGCTCGTGGCTGGCACCTAGAGGAGAAGCACTTCACCGTGGACGGGGAGCCTATCTCGGGTAGTCTGTTCGACTTCGGTCTGTATTTCTTCCACAACGCTAAGGAGTTGGTGGCCCGCGGGTTCGGTCCTTACTTCTACCTGCCCAAGATGGAGTCGCACCTTGAGGCTCGTCTCTGGAATGACGCCTTCAACCTGGCTCAGGACTACATTGGTATGCCTCGCGGTACTATCCGTGGTACCGTCCTCATTGAAACCATCACTGCTGCGTTCGAGATGGAGGAGGTACGTTTTCACCTTGCTACCAGTTAGGTCCATCAATGCTAATGACTGGCTGGCTGGTTTAGATCATCTACGAACTCCGCGACCACAGCTCCGGCCTCAACTGCGGCCGCTGGGACTACATCTTCTCCTTCATCAAGAAGTTCCGCAACCACCCTGACTTTGTTCTCCCCGACCGCTCCGATGTCACCATGACCGTGCCCTTCATGGACTCTTACGTTAAGCTCCTCATCAAGACCTGTCACCGCCGTGGCGTGCATGCGATGGTACCCCCTCCCCCCCCCCCCCCCCCTCTCTTTTCTTTTTCTCCCAGGAGTGCGAAATTTGTCAACTAACCAGACCTCTACAGGGTGGGATGGCGGCCCAGATCCCCATCAAGGACAACGCCGCTGCCAACGACAAGGCAATGGAGAGTGTCCGGGCTGATAAGCTCCGTGAAGTTCGTGCTGGCCACGACGGTACCTGGGTTGCCCACCCTGCTCTTGCCGCGATTGCCTCGGACGTCTTCAACGAGTACATGCCCACCCCGAACCAGATGCACATTCGTCGCGAGGACGTCCACATCACCGCGAAGGACCTGCTCAACACCAACGTCCCCGGAAAGATCACCGAGGAGGGTATTCGCAAGAACCTGAATATCGGTCTATCCTACATGGAGGGTTGGCTCCGTGGTGTGGGATGTATCCCTATTAACTACCTGATGGTATGTTTCCCTTTTTTTTTCTCTCTCCCCGGTAGTGACTGAAGTTGCAACCCCCGGATATTAACCAAAGAAAACAACAACAACAGGAGGACGCTGCTACCGCCGAAGTCTCCCGCAGCCAACTGTGGCAGTGGGCCCGTCACGGTGTGACCACATCCGAGGGCAAGAAGGTCGACAAGGCCTACGCTCTCCGTCTGCTCCAGGAGCAGGCCGATTCCTTAGCCGCTAAGGGCCCCAAGGGCAACAAGTACCAGTTGGCGGCAAGTTACTTTGCCGGCCAGGTGACAGGCGAGGAATACGCAGACTTCTTGACGTCTCTGCTGTACAACGAGATCTCAACGCCCGGTGCCGCCTCCAAACTGTAAGGGAAAATTATTAATATATATGTACATGTTAGATTATGACCACGAAATTCTATCTGTTTTTTTTTTTTTTAGTTTGAGCCCCAAAAATGCAAGATTCTTTCTGTCATATCCACTCGGGAAAGCTTGTAGTTGTACATGAAAAGAATACCATAACTTGTCAACCCTTTTTTTTTTTTTTCTCCAGAGAGGGGAGAAAAAAAAAAAACCGCTAATATGCTGCAAAAGGCTGCCCTAAGGGTAAATCACGCGAACTATGTCCAACCGAAATATAAAATTCTTTCTCGGGCATCACCCAGTTCTGTTCATGGACACTCCAGTAGCTCAGATCCTTGCGCGTGAGAGTCATCGAGACCGTCTGGGATTCGCCGGGCGCCAGCGCCACCTTGGTGAAATTCCGCAGTACACGTTCGGGGAAGTCGATTTTTTCAGTCGGGAAGCGCGAGTTACCACCGCTGACATTGCTGGTTTTAGATCCCGAGTTCGACGAAGGCGGTTCGGTTACGTCGCGCGGGAAGGAGACGTAGACTTGGATAACGGTTTGGCCCGACCGTCGGCCAGTATTTTGAACTTGGAGCTCGACGCGGGCTAATTCCTCGTAGAGAGAGGGGTTGCCGCCGGGGCCGCCACCAGCGTCAGAGGGTTTGGTGGGGCGTTGGGGCTCGGAGCTGGGGGAGGCCGACGGGGGCGGGGGCGGGGTGGTGGCGTCGAGCGCGGGGAGGTAGGGGTATATGTATTTGGAGACGGCGCGGAAGTCGAGAGGGAAAAGGACAGAGGCGTTAGCAGGCGGGGGGGAGTGGTCGTAGGTGGGAGGGGAGGCGGAGTCCGCTGGGCGTGCGGCGGGGAGTCGGGAGGGTTTGCGCTTTCTCAGGTGTTGGACGTCCAGGTTAGAGAGGCCCCATTGGGTGTACGATAGACCGTACCCAAATTCAAAACGCGGGCTGATTTTATTGCGGTCGAAATACCGGTGATCAATGTAAAGTGCGTCAGAGAAATCGACCTGCGGGACGGGGGCGTTGGCTTCATATAGCACCTGGGCGCCAGGGCCGTAGTCCTCCAGGGTCTTTCCAACAGTGTAAGGGAGGCGGCCGCTAGCGTCAACATCCCCGAAGAGCACGTCCACTAGGGCATTGCCACTCTCCTGACCGGGAAGGTGGGCGAACAGCACGGCTGTGACACCAGGGAGGTCGATCCAGGACTCCACGATAACCGGGCCCACGGCGTGTACGACGACGACAGTCGGCCCACCGCAGGTGGTGCCCACCGTCTCGATCAGCGTATCGCCGCCTTTCTGAAGGAAGAGGTTGTTGCGGTCACCGTGGATGCCACCCGAGGAGATGAATCCTTCGCCGGAGTCCGCATTGACAAACACTAAACAGAGGTCTTTGTCGGCGGCATCGGCTGGCATGACGGCGTTTCTTAGGTAAGGTGTCATTTGAACCTCGGAGTGCCATGCCGACTGTAGAGCCTCGATTGGACTAACAAGATAGGGGAATTCGACGGCACCACTCCCCCAGCCCACGGCCAGTGTACCCTGGTTGCATCCGCGATCTGCGCATACATTGGGGCCGGCAGCAGGTCCGGCATCATCTCCGTACACGCCGACGCGGTAAGGCCGACCAGGGGCGGATGGGGCGCGAGAGAGAGGCAGGAAACGATCCTCATTCTTGACGAGAACGATGCCTTCAGCGGCAACTTTGCGGGCAATGATGGAGTGGTTCCCCTGGGCATTCACGAATTTGTTGACAAGAGCAGCATCTTGGTCTCCGGGACTGCCGGGGTGCAACAAACCATACTTGTCGTTAGTCCACGAGGAGAAATTAGGACCACCTTCTCCCGGCAGAGCGGACTGATTCCACGAGTCTTGGCCAAGATGATACCAGGCAGCCACAATCCGGGTCACCATGTCGTTGAGGCGCTCCATAGGGATGGAAGTATTGAGTGCCGCACGAGTCAGTTCGCTGCCCCACAGGGACCGGCCATCCGCCCAGTGGAGCCCGTCACCCGGCATAGACATATCCAGACCCCCAAGGCACTATTCACACCAGACCGCTGGGCAAGCCAGTCGGACTGTACGAATCCTTGAAAGCCTAGCTCGTCTTTGAGAATCCCGTTTAGAAGTTTACTGTTTTCACAGGCATGGCTGTTATTAACCTGGTTGTACGCGCACATCACACTGGCAACATCTGCGCGAATGCTTTCGGCGAAAGGCCAGATGAAAACTTCATGCAAAGCGCGATCCCCAATGTTTGAAGAGACAGCGGTGGGGATTCCCCACTCATATGGCTGACGGAAGTGCTCCTGTTCATTCATCACGTAGTGTTTGGCCGTAGCCATGACGCCGTTGCTCTGGATGCCGCGGATTGTCTCCGCAGCCGCCACTCCCTGCAGCACAGGATCCGATCCGAATCCTTCCCAGTTGCGACCCCCGGCGGGCATCATACCGATAGGGCCCATAGAAGGGCCAAGAATAACGTGAACTCCCTTTAAGCGGGCCTCGCGGCCGATGGCGACCCCGCGCTCGCGCATGAGTTCACGATTCCAGGTAGCACCGGTGGTGAGACCAGCAGGGAAGGCGGAGATATTGTCTGCGAAACGCAGTCCGAGGGGACCGTCCTGTAAACATAGTGAGGGAAAGCGGACAAATTCCGCGGGACCTAGGAATTTGGTGTTGTCAGGTACATCATCAAGCCAGACCCCAGCAATTTCAACTGACCTGTATTTCCAACGCACATCCCCATCTGCCAGCCGGTCCCGGTGGTGATGTTGACCTTTTCAATCAAGGTCATCTGCCGGACTAGAGCCTCGGCCTTTGCATAGCTCTCCTTCCAATGTTTTAGAGTCCCTCCTTTCGGGGTGGGGAACCACGAGTCTGGACCTGGCATAGCCTAATTAATCATGTCAGCGCTCAAATATCGTTAATTCCCCCCCCCCCCCCCCAGGTGCAACAACACACATAGTCCTCTGTTTCACGATATTTCGACCAAGGGTAGCTCGAAAACCCCCAAACGATCAATCCCAGTACCACAATGAGGGCGACCAGCGTCCGCCACCAGAACTTAGAATAGTAAACCGCACGCCAGCCCTTCTGGTTTGCTAGCAACTTCTTCTTGTTCCTCCTCCTGGTGGCCTCGATCATCTTACGGCGCACGGCACGCGCCTTCCCGTCCCCAGGCCCATCGGAATCCGAGTCGTCCCCTAATTCATACTGCTTCGAAGCGGAGAGAAGGTGTTGCTCGTCCTCAGTCAGGGCGTCCAAGTAGGCCTCAAGATCGGTCGATTTGCGGACCAGGGGAGCAAGAATCGACGGCTCGGTGTTTTCCTTGGGGGAACGGGATCTAGACGACTTCGATCGATCGATTTCGTGCAAGCGAAAGCTACTCTCATAGTCGGAGCTAAATTCATCGGGGGGGTCTTCCTCGGGGATGGATTCCTGTAACGGGGTGTAGGATTTAGGCATGGTGCCTTAGTGGGAGAAACGAGGCGGGCATGGAGCGGGGGTGGACGGGAAGAAAGACAGCAGGCTAGTGTATAATTCTAGCCCTAAGCAAGAGAACGCAGATAAGAAACGAGAGGACGACTAACTATCAAGCGATGGAAGAATCATGAAGAGGGAAATGAAAAGGAGAAGGAGGAGGAGCAGGAGAAGGCACGGGGTTTCCACGTGCCGCCAGCCAAGCAAAAACGCAACGACGCTCGACGCGCAATTCGATCCGCCTTTGGAGCATCACCGATCGGATTATAGCGGATTCAAAATAGATTAATCTGTCGAGGCTATTATTTCCCTCACTGCCACGTTCCCTCGTCTTATTCCGATTCCTGCGAAATTACCTGTGCTTCGATTATTTCCTGGGGTCGCGCGAGCCCGACTCCCCCAAGTACGCGGTTCCAGTGTTCCTGCGGATCGTGAAGAACTCAACCCAGATAGCCACAAGCAGGGGAAAGTGGCGTTGATCCAGAGAAGATTAAAGGTCGGGAGAGGCGGATCGGTTCTTTTGGTTGGTTGCCCGGGGAGGAAGGATATGTGGAGTCTGGGTCAAACTTTGGCTCTGTATTACAGAGAGGTATTGCTTCCTTCCATGGATTCGGCCTTGCTGATTTGGTTTCCGTTTTAGTTTTGGGTCTCTTGTACGGAGTATAGGTGTGTGTAGATAGTGTATAAGAAAGGAAAGTAGTAGACTTTATGATCTAGTGTATCGAACAAGAACTAACTGCTAAATATAGAAAAAAAAAAAAAACCGATCGATTGCAAACTACATCGCATTACTTTTTCAACCCCAGGAGGTTGATGCTCTTGGGTCGCTCGATAGGAAGACCCAACGCGCGGTCCCAGACCAATTGCACGAGAGGACCGAGTGCACGGCTAACTCCAAAGGTGACAGTGTAGTACAGAGGTTGCTGGAAGCCATAGTGGTAGAAGAGCACACCAGAGGCGGCGTCAACGTTGGGATGGGGGTTCTTGGTCTATATACTGGTTAGGGTACGTTGTCCAATGGGATAGATAGCAAAGGGGGGAATTACCTTTCCATGTTCCGTGAGGACACTCGGGGCGATTTCCGAGTTCTTCTTGACCAGTTGGAACACAGGGTTGGCGACGACATCCGGGCGAGTAGCAGCAAAGTCCATCAGGGCCTGGAAACGGGGATCAGGCTTGCGCAGGACTCCGTGGCCGTAGCCAGGAACTACACGGCCAGACTTGAGGGTATCCCAGAGGTAGGTGCGGACATCCTCGTCGGTGAACTGGGTACCGATCTTGTCCTGCATGGCGAGGATCCAACGAAGCACCTCCTGGGCAGCAAGACCGTGCAGAGGACCCGCGAGACCCAGAAGACCCGCACTGTAACTCAGGAAGGGGTCGCTGAGGGCGCTACCGACGAGGTGGGTCGCGTGGGCCGAGACGTTGCCACCCTCGTGGTCCCCGTGTAGGGCAAGATACAGACGGAGCAGGTCGTGGAAATCTTGGTTCTTGGAGCCACCCTTGCCGAGGAGCTCTGCGAAGTTGTAGGACCAATCCTGGGAGGGGTCGAGGGTCTGTCTGCCAACGAGGTCGACCTCATCCGGGCGGAAGACAAGAGCTGCGACCCGGGGAATCTTAGCGAGGAGGGAAATCGCATCGTCAAAGGTAGGCTCCCAGTAGTCAGCCTTGTTCAGACCCTTCTCGTAGGCCTTGGCGAACTTGGATTCGGTGTTCAGGGCGGCGACCGCGATGGAGAGCTGGGTCATTGGGTGCATGGTCCGCGGGAATGAGCGCACCAGGTCGAGAATATGGTCAGGGAGGTGGGACTCCTCCGCCAGCTGGCGGGAGAAAGCGCGGACTTGGCTGGTGGAGGGAACCTGGCCGGTCAACAGAAGCCAAAACATGGCCTCGGGGAGCATCTCGGTGCCAGTGGGACCTTTTGGGAGCTCCTTCTGGCAGTCTTTAATGGTCTTGCCGTGGAATCGGATACCCTCATCGGCGTCAAGGAGGGATCCCTCCCACAGAATGCTCTTGAGTCCACGCATACCACCGATGACATTCGCGACCTTGACCTCACCGATCACCTCATCGCCCTGCTTCTTTACCTCAGCGAAGAGCTCGCGCTTGGCAGGGATGACGGCCCTGAGGGCAGATTTAAGGTCTGGCTCAGCGGTGGTATAGCTGCGGCGAGAGATAGTCTGTTTGAATTAGGTCATTGGTTCAGTGATCCCCAAGTCTTGAAAAGTTCATTTTCATTTTCTCTTTGTTTTCTGTAGACGGCCGGACGGCCGGACGGACGTACCTGGGCCAGCCTGGAAGCATGACGGGCGGTGCGTAGGGGGAGAGCCATAACAAGGGGTGGATATCAAGAGAAATTGGATTATACAAGCACAGGATAACCGGCAAGAAATGATCTGAGCTCAGAAGAAGGAGAGAAGAGAAGAAGAGACAGACACTCCGAGATAGCGAGAGAGGAGACAAGAGACAGATGACGATCACGGAAGAGCCAGAGGATGAGGCGGTCCGGTTGGCCGCGGAGACAAAAGGCAAGGATAGGCCGAGGCCCGATTACACAGGTTAAGCCGAGTAAGGATGTTAGCAGTACGCCTACTTCATGGTATACTAGCTATTAAATACCAGGGTCCTTCAGTTTCTACTATGTTTGTCTTATTGAGACGGGTTGAAGGTGGTGGTATGATGGTTGTGATTGTTGTTGTTATTATCACATAAGCGGAGACGGGATTCTGAAGTTAGTATATAAAATATGGGGTACTATAGAACACACATTGATTTAGCTTTTGATGAAGCAATGGTAGGTGATGATTGTGGTTTCTCTGCTGAATGACAGGAATCCAGTAGGATTTGATTCATATTCAATCTCTCTGGACAGAAATCCACTGCAAGAAGCAGAGAGAGAGAGAGAGAGAGAGAGAGAGAGAGAGAGAAAACGCCGGCAGCAACCGAGGAAGTGCGGGGTAATCCCAATTAGGAAGGACCGAACATGGGGTACTGGTTGCCTTGTTATTGAGGCATCCAGTTTTTATGATTAGTCAGCATATATTGATGACTAAGCTGCACTGCCACGTGATCGCCACCCCGGAGACCACACCCCTGGATCTCGCTCCTGATTGGCTCTCAGAATTTTCGATGGCTCGCCTCTGATTGGCTATCAGCTTTTATCGCCGCCTTAAATCTCTGCCTCAGGCTGATGGCCGTTATCGCCGGCAAATAATTTTCCTTTTCCCCTCCATCGAAAATTAATCTTCTTCTTCACTTTGACTTCAACTTGAACCCCTCCACTCTTCCTTTTTTTTGGTGCTTTCTCCCTTTCTCCCCATCAGTTTTTATCACTGGGGGTTTTTTTTCTTGTTTCTTGTGCTGTTTTATCATCTTTTCTTTCCTCTCTGTGCATCTTTTTTTTTGTCTGTTGATACCCGTCAGCCTAAAAGTTTGGATATTGGCATAATACTACTACTTTCTGTACGTCTGCCGTCTATTGTCTCGGTGGTGTATGAGGACTAACAATACATAGAGAGAGAAATGCCGCATTTAGAGTCAGCCATGGCTGCTACTATCGTCCCTAAAATCACCTCTGATATTGCCCCCTCCCAGCAAGAGGTTTCGTCTCTTCTCAATACCATTTTTACCACCGAAACCTCACAACAGGCTCTCGATGCCTCGTACGCCCTGACCAATCTGCTCATTCAGAGCGTCGGACCCTTCGCCTTCCAGACCTATGGCACCCTGCTGCCCGATATTAGAAAAGCTGCTCTCGATAAGAAAAATGGCACCAAACGTGAGAGTGCTATGCTCATCCTTGGTGCTTTGTTCGAACGCTTCCCCGCCGCCCATCCGCTGAGTGAAGTCGTTTTCCTGCTCCAGGATGGAGGCGTATTCGGTCTGGTCCTTGATGCGCTGGCTGACAAAGGCGCCGTTGTACGTGACGCTGCCCAGTACGCTATCGATGCCCTGTATGCTGCCCTCAAGCCTGAATCTAAGGTCAATGCCCTGCTCCCTGCGCTCTCCAGCTATCTGAGCCGGGGAACCGGCAAGTGGCAGGGCTTTGTCGGCGCCTACTCGCTCCTTGAGAAGATGGCCCTTGAATCGCAAATGGGCCAGGGTACCAAGGAAGAGGAAGAGCAGAAGGATGTCCTGCGGGAGGCTATGGGCAAGACGCTCAAGGATCTCATCCCCCTCGTTGAATCCGGCATGCACGATCTCAAGGCTGAAGTCGTCAAGCGCGCTTGCAAGACCATGACTGCCCTCACCACCCTTCTCTCCAACGATGATGTGTTGCCCCGCATTCCGTTGCTTATCAAGACGATGGAGCAGCCCTCGGAGCAAACCCTCCAGAAGGCTATCCACGCTCTCTCCCAAACCACCTTCGTTGCCATTGTCACATCCCCCGTCCTCGCCCTGCTGACCCCGCTTCTGGAGCGGTCCCTCAATGCTCCAACCACTCCCCAGGAGACCCTACGTCAGACTGTCGTCGTCGTCGAGAATCTAACCAAACTTGTCCACGATCCCGCCGAAGCCCGCACCTTCCTGCCCAAGCTCAAACCCGGTGTGCAAGCTGTCAAGGACCGCGCCTCCCTTCCCGAGGTTCGTGAACTTGCTACCCGTGCGATGGATGTGATGGAGAAGGCGATGGCCGATAACAACCTGGCTGCCGGCTCCATTGCCAAGATCACTCCCGACGAAGTCATGTCTCTTCTCAATGCCAAGCTCCAGGAGGCCGGCGGTCTTGCACGCCCTGATGCCGTCACCCTCTACGAACTCGGCAAGAACTATATCTCAGAAATGGTCCGTGAGGATGTCAACTGTCGCCTGCTCGCCCGCATTCCGGCCTGCGTTGCCCCTTATCTGCAAGGCATGCTTCCCGAAGGCAAGCCCGACGAGGTAGCCGCCGCCGTGAAAGATCATTTCATCGAGGAGGACCATCGCAAGTACGGCAAGCCGGTTCCAGATGATCCAAACGAGATCGAGATTGTCAACGCCAATTTCTCGCTGGCGTACGGCGGTATGCTTTTGCTGTCCCACACGAACCTGCGTCTCCTCAAGGGTCACCGCTACGGTCTCTGCGGACGCAATGGTGCCGGAAAGTCGACTCTCATGCGCAGTATTGCCAATGATAAGCTCGAGGGCTTCCCTCCACCGGATCAGGTCAGAACCTGCTTCGTGGAGCACAACCAGGGAGAAGATGCCGATCTGAGCATCTTTGAGTTCGTCCAGAAGAACCCCCAGATCGCTGCGGAAGGAGAGGATCATATCCGCAGTGTCTTGCTCGAGTTCGGTTTCACCGATGGCCCCGAAGGACGCCAAAACCAGCGCGTTGGATCCCTGTCGGGTGGTTGGAAGATGAAGCTCGCGCTGGCCCGCGCCATGCTTCTCAAAGCCGATGTTTTGCTGCTGGACGAACCTACTAACCATTTAGATGTCGCCAACGTCAAGTGGCTGCAAGAGTACCTGAAGAAGCACACCGATATTACTAGTTTGATCGTCAGTCACGACTCGGGTTTCCTCGACGAGGTCTGCACCGACATCTATCACTACGAGCAGAAGAAGCTTGTCTGTTACAAGGGAAACCTGGCGGAGTAAGCTTTTTGTCCTCCCTCTTGTCAAAAGTTTCGTTCCTCTTCTAACAATAGTTCCAGCTTTGTCAAGGTGAAGCCCGAAGGCAAGAGCTACTACACTCTGTCCGCCAGCAACGTGCAGTTTAAGTTCCCAGCCCCCGGTATTCTTTCCGGCATCAAGTCCAACACTCGCTCCATTCTGAGAATGACCAACTGCACCTACACCTACCCTGGGGCTAGTAAACCATCTCTGGCGGATGCCTCTCTATCGCTCACGCTGTCTTCCCGTGTCGCCATTATCGGCGGAAACGGTGCTGGTAAATCCACCTTCATTAAGATGCTGACCGGTGAAACTATCCCCCAGATTGGAAAAGTGGAAAAGCATCCCAATCTGCGCATTGGATACATCAAACAGCATGCCTTGGAGCACGTTGAGATGCATCTGGAGAAGACTCCCAGCCAGTACCTGCAGTGGCGGTACGCCAACGGAGACGACCGCGAGGTCTTCCTGAAGCAGACCCGCATGCTCACCGAAGAAGACAAGGCCCAGATGGAGAAGCCTGTCGACCTCGGTGATGGCCGTGGTCCCCGTCGCGTTGAAGCGCTTATTGGTCGACAAAAGTGGAAGAAGTCCTTCCAATATGAAGTGTATGATATGATGATGTCCCTTCCACGAACTACCTTCTGCGTTGATATCGCTAACACATTCTAGGAAATGGGTCGGTCTCCTCCCCAAGCACAACACGATGATCTCCCGCGAGACGCTCCTCAACCTCGGATTCTTCAAGATGATTCAAGAGTTTGATGACCACGAGGCTTCGCGCGAAGGTCTTGGCTTCCGTGTTTTGGACCCCAAGGTCATTGCCAAGCACTTCGAGGACGTCGGTTTGGACCCGGAGATTGCCACACACAATGAGATCTCCGGTCTCTCTGGTGGACAGAAGGTCAAGGTCGTGCTGGCTGGTGCCATGTGGAACAATCCTCACTTGCTCGTGCTGGACGAGCCGACTAACTTCTTGGATCGCGATTCGCTGGGTGGTTTGGCCGTGGCGATCCGTGACTTCAAGGGTGGTGTGGTCATGATTTCCCACAACGAAGAATTCGTCGGGGCTCTCTGCCCTGAGCAGCTGCATGTCGCGGAGGGTCGTGTTGTGTCCCGCACCAACACCGCAGTCGCCCTCGACCGGTTTGAGGACAGCGCAGCCTCTTCTCCCCAGCCCGGCAGCACCGCCGCCAACTCGGTGGCCAACAGCGCTGCTGCATCCGCCGTCAACTCCGGAGCGGAGGATACCGGTGAACTCAAGTTCAAGGCGAGAAAGAAGAAGAAGATGACTCGTGCCCAGATGAAGGAGCGTGAGGTGCGCCGCCGCCTGCGCCACATCGAATGGTATGTTTTACTCGCCCTTTTGTGTTGTCGGGTTCGATGATACTAACACATTCATTCCATCTACAGGCTCAACAGCCCTCCTGGCACACCCAAGCCAGTCGATACTGACGATGAGGCATAAAAATTTCGCTTTGGTTTAACGGATTTGCTTGGACGATTGTATGATTTGCTTTTTTCTTTTTTCTTTTTTTTTTTTCTTTTGTTGTGGGTTAGACAGGTGTTTATTAGTCTTCTTATATACCTATAGACTTGTTGCTATAATGCATATATGTATTTTGCTCGAGATACCTATGCCGCCCGTAGCGTTTCAGTCACCTCACATGACATGACATTTTGCATCAAATGCATATAGCTGATCTTGAGTGGTCGTCGGTATAGTGCGAATTGATATCGTTGATATCATCCTGGCTAGTTTGATCCGTTTTTACACAGATGGATGGCCCGATTTGTGCTCGTGAAGTTCCCCAATTCTGGCAGAGATAGGAAGGGACGGCCGCCTGAAAGGTAGAGAGAGCAGTGGCAACTGCGGAACGTACCTAATTGATTTACTCCAATGACGGTCTGGAACGCAGTTCCGGGTTCAGATTCATTCAACTCGTTAAACCTCTTTGCCTCGCAGATAGCGTGTCCGGTCATGCTTTCCCGGATTGAAATAGTCGACTTCCCACGTTCTTCTTTAGCATCGTCATGATTACCGTAGCCAAAGTTCTCCCGGATCCGTTGGGGGCCATCACTTTCTTCCTACGCTCCTGGCCTTCTGCTAATTCCAATACAGCGCACTGGAATCGGCGCGCATAGTAGTTCTCAATGAGAAGCGGTCGAGACCCTGAAGATGTCTAGGTAGATGGGTTGGTGGTGAAGAAATCAATCAACCGCATGTGGGTATTGTCTACCACCTCCGTCCCAGCACCCAGCACTTCTTGTTAAGGAATCATAACCCGCGCGCATAGTTGCAATTCTGCTGCATAGTTAGGATTACAGTGTCACCCCAAACCAAACCCTAACGTAAATATGCGCTATGACGCTATGCCGCATTCGGAAAGGCACCGGAATAGTGATATTCCGAAGGTTCCGCTGTATTGGGTGAAACCGTATCTAAAATGATGTCATGTTTATTGCTTGTATTACACGGCTATATGTTGATGTATTATATAACTATGGCAGCCGGCTTACTGAATTTCTAGCAGAATGGAACAACAATGTTCCATGCCAATGCTACCGCTCATAAAGCTAAAACGTGTAATGTAATATATTACTTATCATGTGACCTCTCGATACCATACCATCCCGGAATTGAAAATAAAGTTTCGGAGCCATAGCAAAAGAGGTTAGGCTGAACCCAAGAATATACATATGGTTGGGGCACCAGTTTCAAAATGAACTGTATAACTATAACTCTTAAGACACTCACTCAACCAGTTCACATCCACATGCAAAGGGCTGCCATTTGTACGACTGCCTCAGAACCACAACCAGAATTTCCATGCATCCTGAGCTCCCAGCGCCGGATTCAGATTCTCCCCCTTCATTCGACCGAATCGCATCTCGCGCCTGTCACCACCGCATATCCCCGGATACCATGACGTCCAGAGACCCAATCCGTGTACCACCCACAACACAGACACAGACACAGACACGCATCCGCAGTAACCGAGAGCTAGAACTCATCGCAAGCGAGATGATCCACTCTGCACTCGCGCGGGAGGCCGAACGCCGTCAAATCCCGCTGGAGGCCTTCCCGATGCCTCCCCGCGCGACCCAACATCTCCAGCACCAGCCCGCTTCCCCATATCAATCTCAAAATCAAATCCCTGCGGTGTATCACCAGATCCCGAGGCCGCTGGTGGCTCAGAGATGGGCGGCTGCTCAGCAGGTCCGGTCCCAGCCGTCGCGTGTATCGGCACCTGCCCCAGCGCCAGCGCCAGCGCCAGCACCACCACCAGCCCGAGCACCCGCACCAGTAGTCGTCTCCGCTAATCCTTTAGGAAAAGGGAAAGTAACCCAGCGGCCCGTGGAGGGGGAGTGTCCGATTTGCTTGTTTACGTTTTCAGAAAAGCCAGAGTATACCTACCAGGCAAGCGAGCATCACAGGCAATACTGGTATGAATTCAATGAGTCTGATGAGGGGAGATGGAGCCCTACAGCACGATATATCGATGAGGACGAGGATGATGATCATGAGGATCATGAGGATGATGATGACGACGACGACGACGACGACGGCGAAGAAGAAGACGAGGATGATGATGACGACGATATAGATGGGCGAGACTATTATGCTAAAAACGGGGTGGTGTGGTGTAAGGCTTCCTGTGGAGTGAATTTCCACGCTGCATGCATGAATCGGTGGATAGCGAAGTTTCCCGATGAAGCAGAGGTTACTTGTCCTTTGTGTCGGCGGAATTGGAAATTCTAGCAGGTTTTTTTTTTTTTTTTTTTTTTTTTTTTTTTCTTGACTTTGGAGGGGTGTGCTGCTTTATGATAACAGAATGAATTCTTTTTTACATGGTTTTTTTTTTAATTTGAATTTGAAACGCATTCAATTGCTGGCTGGTTTTAATCAAACAGAACGAATGAAAAAAAAAAAAAAGCTTTCATAAGAAATCTATTCCTTTCCCTTTACTCCAATTCGAGACATCATCCGTATCCGTAAAAGCTGAGATGCTTACAGTCGAGCTGCCTTTTTCTCGCTTTGATGAAGCCATGTCTCGATTGTCTCGATTAGCCCGTCAATCTCCTCCACGGAGTTGCCGGAATGCAGACACACTCGTACACGTTCCTTGCCTGCGGGAACGGTAGGTGGCATGATGGCACGGACGATATATCCCTCTTGCTGGCATGCGCTTGCGAGCTGACGGGGAACGCGGCTGCGGAGTGAGAATATGGGAGAGCTGGTGAAATGATCAACTTCAAAGGTGGTAGAGCCCCACGAGCTGAGGTCTTCAAGTCGGCTTCGGAAATCCAGAATCAGTTCTCCGAGTTTGCGCTGAAGCTGCATGGGATTAGCTAGATTTTTCTTCTTTCGTTTCTTTTGTTTCTCTCGCAAACGCGGTACTCTAGAGGAGAGGGACATGAATGAACTATACCTGTTCAGTTTCTCCTTCTACTAATAATTCATAGGCTGTCCGGATTGAAGCTAGAAATGGGAATCCCAACGCGGTGGTATAGATCAGAGTGCGGGCGTAGTTCACCAGATAATCTCGGGTCTCGGGAGAGCATAGCACAATGGCTACATAGAGTATCAGCATCATTCATCCTCCATTGCGCAATGAAAGTTTCTTACCGCCGTGACTTGCCAGGGCCTTGCCAAACGTGTGCGTCCTGATGAACATACGATCTTCCACTCCCAACTCCTGGACCACGCCTGCGCCGCGCGGTCCAAACACGCCCGTGGCATGCGCCTCGTCAACAATGAAATACCCATTATTTTGAGGAAGGAGACGATCGACAACCTCGATGAATTCCCGGATGGGCGCAACATCCCCGTCCATGCTGTAAACTGACTCGATGACAATGAACACATTCCGGCGGCCGTCTTGAATCAGAGCATCTGCCGAAACTTCCGATTGTAGGGCAGCTTCTAGACTCTCTGGGCTGCTGTGTGAAAACTTGACTCTCTTTCCCGCTCGAGAGAGGCGCATTCCTTCATAGGCGCTCGCGTGGATCAGCTCATCGTAAACGATCAGGTCCCCCGGTTGAGGTATGGTCGACAAGACTCCGACATTGGCGTCGAATCCCGAATTAAATAAGAGACCGCCGGGGGAATTGTGGAATGTTGCAATAAAATCCTCCAGCTCCTCCGCATAGGCCGAATTCCCGTCTAGCAGCCGGGATCCTCCACTAGCAAACGGGTACAATGGAGGAGCTTGCTGCAGATGCTCTAGAAAGCGGGCACGGAAGACCGGCGATGTTGAAAGTGAGAGAAAGTCATTGGAGGAGAAGTCCACCGATGAAGACGGCAAGACCGTGAGTTTTCGGCGTGATGATTTGGCCTCTCTCTGTTGTAGAGCCTGGCGTAATGAGTCACTAAGACTCTTGGGAGAGGATGCACCGCCCATCTGGATCCAGTAGGTTCGATGAGCTTCAAATTTTCAATTGTTATCAAGAAGGGTTTTGTAGAGAGGGATGTGTAAGTGAGTAAGTGAGCAGCTGAAGAGAAGAAATAGATGACCATACAAACAAAAGTTGCTAAAAAAAAAATTAAAAAAAAATTACAATATTCACCTGTGGAGAAAAATGGAGACATAACACAAGATTTTTGATTATCCATCATACCCAGATTTCATTTAAGATTTGTAGGCTTGGTGAATATAACTGTCACTAATCGGATAGTCCGAGAATCAGCAACTGGGGGCCTGGAGCATGGTGAATACTAGGTACCCGGATCCATTGAATTTTAGAGGTTCTGGCGCCGTCATCGGCTAGAAGCACATAAATGTCCACCTTGTGTTTCCCTCGCCCCGCTGGAATTATTCTTTTCTGACTTGTTGGGGATCAACGGTGAGTTCGAATTTGCGGTGCGTCCGTCCTGGTCCTGCGTCAGAAAACGGCCCTCATAGTGAACTAGTGGACTAATTCAAGAGAGCCCAACTGACAAATACCAGAGCCACATTTTTGGCCCTTGATATCCTTGATATTATCGGCCCCCAGGGAAATCTACTCGTGGTCCTCGGGGTATGGAAGAAGCTAGTCAGAGCTAACTGGTGTTGTCCATTGGTTCCGTTCCATCGCTCCCGGCTGCCAATGATCTCGCATTTGCATTTCTTTTCTTATTCGGATGACATTTCCTATTTCTGTTTCCGTCACTCCGCTGTGTTCGGCTGTTTTGTTCCCCGTCATGGCACCTGTTGGCGCAGCCCTTTGGCGCTCTCTCCGCGCCCACCAGGTGTACGGCGCCAACACAGATGTCGGCAAGACCATTGTCTCGACTGTTCTTTGCAATGCAATTCAGCGTCAAAAAGGTGAAGGGAAGGCAGCGTTTCTCAAGCCAGTATCAACGGGGCCATTGGGTGAAGCTGATGATAGGTAAGACAGATTGAGACGCAGGAAGACAAAAGGCGAGTGAGTTGGCTTACTCGTGACCTCTACCTCAGGCATCTCCAACGCTACGCCCCCAACACCGTCACCAGGTGTCTTTACCAGTTTGATGAACCTGTCAGTCCACATATCGCGGCCCAGCAGAAGAAGTTTACGGTAGGCCTTTTGTTTTTCTTCTTCTTCTTAGGCTTAATGGATCATCACGCATTAACTGTCACCAGATTGCTCGAGATGACGAACTGGTCGCATCTATTCACAAGACCCTTTCCACCTGGGCAGACAACGGCATCACTTTCGCTCTAGTCGAGACTGCAGGCGGCGTCCATTCACCAGGTCCCAATGGCAATTCCCAGGTGGATCTTTACCGACCGCTCCGCCTGCCGATTATCCTGGTTGCCGACTCGCGTCTAGGGGGCATCTCTTCGTCCATTTCTGCTTACGAATCCCTGTTGCTTCGTGGATACGATGTCCAATCGGTCCTGTTGTTCAGAGACGATTATTACCAGAACCATGAGTATCTGGGTCAGTACTTCCGTAATAAGAGTATCCCCTTGGTGCCGTTGCCTCCACCCCCCCAAAAACCTCAATCGCAGCATCCCGACTTGTTGGCCCGGGATAGGGAAGCCATGACTACGTACTACGACTCCGTTTCGGAACGCACAGATGTTGTGGGACTCTTGGATGAACTTGCGACGAAGAATAAGCACCGGATTGAACGCTTAGAGGAGATGGCCAGCCGAGCACATAAGACAATCTGGTATCCCTTCACCCAGCATCATGGCATGGAAAGCAAAGACATCACTCCGATAGATTCTGCCTATGATGACTACTTCCAGACGTATGTGGCCTCAGAGAGCTCCACCCAGCAGGGGAAGTTACAGGCTACGTTTGATGGATCAGCATCCTGGTGGACTCAAGGCCTTGGTCACGGAAACCCGGGTCTTGCTCTTTCGGCTGCCTACGCAGCTGGGCGTTACGGGCATGTCATGTTTCCGGGCAATATCCACGAACCGGCACTCGCATTGGCCGAGCTCTTGTTAGAAACTGTGGGTAATCCTCGTCTACAAAAAGTCTTTTACACCGACAACGGCAGCACTGGAATGGAGGTCGCGCTTAAGATGGGTCTGCGCGCTGCATGTGACCGATACGGATGGGATGGAAGCAGCGAGCAGATCAACATTCTGGGCCTCCGGGGAAGCTATCACGGCGATACAATCGGAGTGATGGACTGCTCTGATCCTTCGACATACAACCAGCGGGTGGAATGGTACCGGGGCCGTGGCTACTGGTTTGACTTTCCTCTGGTCAAAATGTCACAAGGAGTATGGAAGGTCGAGGTCCCGGAAGCCTTGAAATCCGCTCTAGGTGAAGATCAGCAGTTTTCGTCTTTGAATTCTGTCTTTAACCTCAACCAGCGGGTCGATTCGGATGTTGGAGCACGCTACAGGAAGTATATCAAAGAGACTATTGAACACCTGGTCAAGGAACAGGGAATGAAGTTTGGCGCTCTTATTATGGAGCCTATCATCCTAGGAGCTGGTGGAATGTTGTTCTGGTTAGTATTCCAATGTTGTGCTGTGCTACGCAAGGAGAAGGCTAAGCCCGCTGACAATTAATACACTCTTCCAGTGACCCGCTCTTCCAGCGGTGCCTTGCAGATGTCGTCCGCAGTAACCCGCAATTGTTTGCCCCGGCCAAGGGTGATTCTTCTCCTCGGACGGAACTGTCCTGGTCTGGTCTTCCGATTGTGTTTGATGAAGTTTTTACCGGATTGTACCGTCTGGGCCGTCGCTCGTCAGCGTCATTATTGGGAGTTAACCCCGATATTGCTGTAAACGCTAAACTTTTGACCGGCGGACTCATCCCTCTGTGCACGACCCTCGCGAGCAACGAAATCTTCCACGCATTTACGAGCCCAGAAAAGAGAGATGCTCTTCTACATGGACACAGCTACACCGCCCATGCAGTCGGTTGCCAAGTCGCCGTCGATTCCCTACGTACGATGAACCGCATGGAGGAAACTGGGTCCTGGTCGGAATACCAGAGCGACTGGAGCCCCGCACTCTCGGAGCACGAAACCCGGTCGCAGAATTCCCCGGCAGTCTGGAGTGTGTGGTCGCAGGGCTTTGTGCACGACCTGTCCTGCGCGGAATCGGTAGAAAGTGTGTTTGCAATTGGCACTGTGCTCAGTATCTCACTGAAAGATCTCCACGGAGCAGGTAAGGAATTCATTCCGAAGCATTTCTGTCCCCTCGAGAACACTACTATGGCCGACTGTAACCTAGCGACACTAACATTTGACGTCTCAACTGAACAGGCTACACATCGACCGCAGCCAAGGGACTCCAGGAACGGTTGGCAGCTGGGGGTCCGGGGTTTAATGTGCATTCAAGGGTTCTGGGGAATGTGCTTTACTTGATGTCCAGTTTGACTTCGAAGAGGGAGACACTGAGGGATATTGAGAGGCTAGTTCGGAAGGGACTGTTGCAGTGATTCATCACAAACCCCAAGTCTGCAATGGATCCGTTCGATTCATTTCCAATCTCCTGTGAGAATCCTATAATGCAGTCTCACCGAGACACCGACTGCCGTTTCCAGGGGGAAGGAGCGACAACCTCGGTCAAACGGAAGCCAATCATACTCCGGGTAAAAGTCAACAAACGCCCGGGTGGTTCGTCAGAATTTTTAGATCCATGGGTAGAAGAAGTTTATCTCAGACTCAGAGTCCAGAACTAGGAAAAGAATAATTAGTTGACTCCCGCATTCCCAGTGCTCAACATCTTCCTTTAAGCCTGTCAACCTCGGGATCCAATCAGCACCATGGAGAAAGATTACCGGAGTAAATACCTGGAGGATCTGAGTGGCCAAGGGACCAGGAAGTCATCCCCACTGCAATATCCACTTCCCTTGTGTCCCGGGTTCTGGCTCTTGGGGCCCTGGGGGAGAGTTAACCAGGTCCCAAAATGCTGAGACTGTTGGCCCCAACCATCAACACCTCTCCCCGGAATAATTATCAGTAGGAAATCGGTCGTAATTGCAGTAGTGCTGAGGTGTACGGAGTAATTGGAAGAGATCTCCACTTAGCAGTTTCTTACTGACTCGATACAGAGGTAGAGTTGCATTGCGTAGTTGGTTGTGGAGAGAGAAAGAGAGAGAAAAGAAAGAAGTCAGTTATCGTCATTTCGGGACTTCCAACCCGTCTCCGAGTTCTCTCTCTCTCTTCACTCACTCAATAACACGTCCGTCTTCCTTTCGCTGCCGAGGTTTCTTTTAGCCCATATTCTCTTGACTCCGCTGCTTTTCGCCATTGCTTTACCTTGATCCCCTCCCCGCTTATCTTGAGTTGGCTCTGCTCTGACCAACCCTCCCCCTCTCCTGTTTTACTCATCCCTCATTCATCCCACCATCATGTCGCTTCCACGGTCCCTATCCAGGGCCATCCTCACAAGGTCCTATGGCACCGTTCAGTCTGCCTCGACCGCTGCGTCTCTCTCCAGCAAAATTCCTCCCGCCCTTCGTGACGCAACAGCCGCTTCTACCCCGCGGACGAACTGGACTCGTGAAGAGGTGCAACAAATTTACGAAACCCCATTGAACCAATTAACCTATGCTGCAGTACGTTGCAACACTGTGATCTTCTATTGATTACATGCGAATCAATTCGAGCATTGACTAATCCCACCAGGCTGCCGTTCACCGTCGCTTCCATGACCCCTCCGCCATCCAGATGTGTACCTTGATGAATATTAAAACCGGAGGATGTAGTGAAGATTGCTCTTACTGCGCCCAATCCTCTCGGTACGATACCGGTCTAAAGGCGACCAAAATGAGCCCTGTCGATGAGGTTCTCAAGGCAGCTCGCATCGCCAAAGCGAACGGAAGCACTCGTTTTTGTATGGGGGCCGCCTGGCGCGACATGCGGGGTCGCAAGACAAGCCTGAAGAATGTCAAGCAGATGGTTTCCGGTGTTCGCGAGATGGGCATGGAAGTTTGCGTGACTTTGGGCATGATCGATGAAAACCAGGCCAAAGAGCTAAAGGACGCCGGTCTGACCGCCTATAACCATAACCTCGACACCTCGCGCGAATTCTACCCAACCATTATCACAACCCGTTCTTACGATGAACGTCTCCAGACCCTGTCACACGTCCGAGATGCTGGCATCAATGTCTGCTCCGGTGGAATTCTTGGTCTTGGAGAGGCGGATTCTGACCGTATTGGTCTCATTCACACTGTTTCCTCTCTGCCCTCGCATCCCGAGTCCTTCCCCGTCAATGCCCTCGTTCCCATCCCCGGTACCCCTCTAGGAGAACGCAAAATGATCTCCTTCGATAAGCTCCTGCGTACCGTCGCCACTGCCCGTATTGTGCTTCCCGCTACGATCGTCCGTCTCGCAGCCGGCCGGATCTCCCTCAGTGAGGAGCAGCAGATCGCCTGTTTTATGGCCGGGGCCAACGCCGTCTTCACCGGTGAGAAGATGCTGACCACCGACTGCAACGGCTGGGACGAAGACCGTGAGATGTTCGAACGATGGGGCTTCTACCCCATGCGCAGCTTCGAGAAAGAGACCAGTGTTGTCTCCCCCCAGCAACAGATCGACTCTGTTGCCGCTGAAAATTAAAAGTCCTCCGCTGCGCCGGCCGCAGGCACCTTGTATGATTGATAGAGGAGCGCTACCACCTGTGGCGCTGTTAGAGCCAATATGATTATTCCAATCTCAAAAGAAATACTTTCTAATCATGTACCTATATCCTCCGGTACCTTGGCAAAAAAAAAAAAAAAAGAGAGATGCAGACCCGCTGGAAGCATGACTTTGTAAAATTGTTGCCTAGATGACTCCGCTTTTTTGGATATCTATATATATGTTATGTTGGTCTTGCATCCGCAACCTTTGAGGTTCAGCGCAGATCTTGGTTACGATATACACATCATCACTCTGACAACTTTCTTCTCCAATCTACAGTTTCTTTCCTCCTGACTTAATGTTGTTTCATTCCCGTATTGTCAATTAGATCAGCGGCCAGGACTAATACACAATCTGTGCCCAACCAAATGGATTAGTCTTGGAAGTCGCTATCATGCATAGTTCTTTCAGACAATGCTAGTTAATACAACTGGCTGAGTAAATCACTCATACAGTCTATCATCAATATATGAGAGGCTCGTTTCCAGCCCCATCGATGTATTGTGGCTGAGTCCTAGCTGTCTTCGACTTCATGTTCTTGCTTACCAGGACGGCTGTCATGGCTATAATAACATTCGAAAGGCTAACGGTAAGTAATATTTGCAAGTCTATTGACAGTCATTATATGCAACACTGACACGCATATCCAAAATATATAGCAATCGAATCATTACAATGAGAGGTGAAATGAAAAGTGGCACGACCCGGGCAATGCCATCTATGCTCATCGTACCTGTCGGGGGTATCTAATTCTCAAACCATGGATTGTTCCATCTTCATGTCGCCAGTCGCCTGAGTGTCAGATCGGCTCATGGTCGTGTAACGGCTAAAGTCCTTTGGACCCTGATACACGTCCTTCTTGTCCTTGTTGCGAAGAGCCTGGCGACGGAAGTAAATGCGTTTGCACCACTTCCACAATTCCACCCCAAGGAAGAATAGGAATGCCTCCACGAAGACAACACCCCACTCCCAGGAAATACCAACATGCTTAAAGACCACATCATTGATGACGGGGATATAGAGAATGGGGAAGGTGGTGATGAATCCAAGCATGATTCCGCAGAAAAGGAACTTGTTGCGCCAGACATCGTACATCCACTGGGTAAAGTATTTCTTCGATCCAGGCTGCATGCGGAAGAAGCTACGACGCATGTTGATCATCTCCCAGGCCAGGAAGAGAGCGAACCAGGTCATGCAGACGAAGGTGGTAGCACGCGCCCGGAAGACGGTGTCGCATGATTCACTATAGCTGCTATTGCAGCCTGTCGCCAGGTTTCCGTCTCCCCAGGCAAAGAGGACGAGAGAAAACGCACTCAAACAGAGCGCAGCCATCCAAACTCCATATACAATGGTGTCAATAATGACCTCCCATGTGAAGATACCTTGTTTCTAGGATGTGTTAGCGCAACGATCGGAAGACAGAGAGTGAATGGTAATATGAAATACGTACACTTTGCGGTGGGCGGTTCATGATATCAGGAGCGGCTATCTCCATACCCAATCCCATGTCGGGAAGACCAGATGTAATCATGATAATCCACAGGATTTCGACGGGAGCGATGGGGAAGACTGACTGGCCCATTTCGTCTTTGAAGCACAGACCAATAAGGAGAGTAAGTGCAAGCCCGACGTTTTCGGCTAGAAGATGGAGGACAAATTTCTGGATGTTATCAAAAATTCGACGTCCCTCCTCAATTCCATTGATGATGGAGGCAAAGTTATCGTCAGTCAGAACTAATTCGGACGCGTCCTTTGCCACATCTGAACCGGATTGGCCCATCGCAATGCCAACATCTGCACGTTTCAAGGAGGGAGAGTCATTGACACCATCGCCGGTCATAGCGGCGAAACGCCCACGACGGTGCAGGGCATCAATCATACGGACCTTGGTGTTCGGGGCGCATCGGGCAATCACCAACGGGAGGACAGGCAGTTGGTCAATCTCATCATCAGTCAACTTGTCAAACTGGCTAGCAGCCATAACCATGGCGTCTGCAACATCCTTGGCGACTTCGTCCATATTTGCAGGAATGATGCCAATTTGCGCTGCGATGGCTCTGGCCGTACCCGGGTGATCACCCGTGACCATATGAACGGAAATCCCAGCACGATAACACTCCTCGATAGCCCCTGCAGTTTCAGGTCGAGGGGGGTCATAAAGACCGATCAGCCCGCAGAAGGTGAGGTTCTTCTCGACGTCTTCGCGAAGCGGAACGGTTTCGCTGCTGGCAACGGCGGTACCATCATCCCGGCAAGCGAGGCAGAGAACGCGGAGACCTTCCTTTGCAAGAGCTTCCATGTTCTGCAGAATTTGGTGCTGGATCTTGTCGTCCAAGGGAACTGGTGGCTCTCCAGCAGTCCAAAGGACCGATGTGCACGATTCAAGAACTCGTTCCACGGCCCCCTTTGTGAAGACCATTTGGCGACGGCCTTTCTCGGAGTCTTCGCCTTGAGCAAAAATCACGGACATTTTCTTTACTGTCGAGTCGAAGGGGTACTCTGCTTTCTGGCGCCAGACAGGATTCTCACCCTTGATCCAGCGGTTGCGTCCCCAATTGAAGCGGGATGCGAAGACCTGGATTGCAATGTCGGTCGGCTCACCGCGAGCCTGCCATTCTTCGTTTTCGGATTTGTGGACATGGGCAAGATTTGCCATAGAGGCCACGTTCAGGTAATCCTCAAGGGCTTTGTTGTCCTTTAGCAGTTCGGCCGGGTCAGCAGCCTCACCATCCATGTCGCGCGCAATTTTAACGGGAGCATCTGGCAGAAGGCTGACCTGGCCGTCATATGGGTTCAGCGGGTTACTAAAGGCTCCAACCGAGTATGTGCCCAATGATGGGATCCATGCGCGTTTGGCGACCATCTTTCCTTGCGTGAGAGTGCCAGTTTTGTCTGAGCAGATGTTAGTCACGGCGCCTAGTGCCTCGAGGGAGTCTAGCCTCCGGACAATGACATGTCTCTCGACCATTTGCTTTGTTCCCACCGCCATGGTAATAGTCAAGACCACCACCAGGCAGGCTGGGATCATCGCAAGGCCAGTCGCAACGGCGTAGATGATGACCTCCTTATCGTTGCGCATCCCATTTGCCGCTTCCACGATAATCGCGAACACAACTGCGATGGCGAAGAGTAGCAAGGCCAGCTTGGAAAGTTTGCGTTGCAGGGGAGTTCCCACGTTAATACCAAGGAAGCGTCCCACCGCATCCGTACAAGTCAACGTCCATGCCTGCACATACCACCGCTTCTTGGTTTCACCTTCGGGGCCACGCTTCACCGGACGTTTCTTTGAATCGCTAGCACGCAATGCAGCAGCAATAGCACCGATTTCAGTTTTCATTCCGGTTCCGACGACAACTCCGCGTGCTCGACCGCGGGTCACGGTAGAGGAACTGTATGCGATGTTTAAACGATCTCCCGGTCCCGTGTCTGGGTCGAATGTCACGTCGACTTCTTTTTGGACCGGCAGTGACTCGCCAGTTAAGAGAGCCTCGTCGGTTTCGAAATTCATGGCATCCACGAGTCTAAACTCGGGTTGATTAATTGGGTTCTTAGAAGTTCTCTCGCTTTTTTTTTGGGGGGGGGGGGGGGATAGTTTACCTAACATCAGCAGGGACAGTGTCTCCGACTTTGAGTTCAATCATATCGCCAGGGACAATCTCAGTTGCCGGAATAGTATTGGTTTTACCATCACGCGTGGCAACGCCAGTCGGGGAACTCAAAGACCGGAGAGAATCCATGGTCTTCTCGGCTGCATAATCTTGGTATACGCCTACTGCGATGTTAAGACCAATAACAGCGCTGATAACGCCGCCTTCAATCCAGGATTTAATTCCGAAACTGACGGCCATCGCAATGATAAGGACCTACGGTTGAACCCAGCTTTAGTCGCTGCACCCCCCCCCCCCAACACATTTGGAAGGAAGCAACTTACCAGCATCATAGCATTTGCAATTTGCCGGATAACGATTTTGATTATCGAGACGCCCTCCCCCCCCTGTAATTCATTGGGCCCATACAGTTCCAGACGCTTCTTGGCCTCCGCGGAGGTGAGACCCTCCTCTGAGTTCGCTCTAAGCTCTTGGAGGATGGCCTCGTATGGGAGGGTATGAGCCGGTTGTGACAAAGGCTGGGCATGTTGCTGTCCATTGTTCTTTTTCTCCATTCTGGGTCGTTTTGTTGTTTCGATGATTGCACGTTTTCTACTATGGGCTTGTCTTAGGGTGGCTCCATATGGATCGTATCCTTTAAAGAGTGTGAGTCCATGCAACACCAAGAGAGCTTGCACTTAGTGGGCACCAACGGAGAGATTTATTTCTTGAGATCTAGGTCCCTGCTCCGAAAGAAGTCCCCCGAGAACATGGGTTGTTGCACTCTATTTAACTCGAAATGCTCAGTGACGACGGGCACCCAAGTTCGATTCCGGGATTAGTCCCGCCAAGTGCCAATGATAGGTGCTGGGGCATGGCGTCTTGGCCCGTAACCTTGGGTTGGAGATATGGGATTCTTGTCGGTTCCGACTAGTATGACGCATACGACCAGGCTGGGCCACGGGAGAGCTGGGCAATATCTCGGCATACGTCCATGAAAAGCGAAACTGGCGCAAATCCGGTGGCGGCACAGCGTCTGATTGGCACAAAGCCATGACATGACGGACCCAGCGGAATGCCAAGACGTATCCGAAGCGCGGGAGCCTTGGCGCTTAGGGATTCTTCGGAGCCCATTTCCCGCCTGCAGCTTTGGCGTGTTGCAGCGCTGAGAGGCCTAAGCTGAGAACCCCGTGGTGAGATCTAACATCAGCCTGGATGGCCCTTCAAAAATGGGCCAGATTCCCCCCCCCCTCCGCTAGCAATTGTTACGTTGTTGGGAGAGAACCCTTCCCCACCAGATCAAGGCCCCGTCTCTGCTGGTCCTCTTATCAATCCGTCCGGGTGTTAATTGACCGGTCATATGGGATTTCCCCGATCCCCATGTGTTCCGTTGTCTCTTACTATTGGATATGTGGGATTTTTTTTTTTTAGCTCGTTCGTTTTCGTCTCGTATGCCCTAATCTCTTGAACTCCTCCAATCAATGGCAGAGAACAACCCAACCGGCAAGAATCTAATCGGCGTCGTTACTGGAGCTGTGCTCTTATTCGGCGCCCTAAGTGTGATTCCAATGTGCGTTCTTTATCTTCGGGCGAGCCCCCTTCCCCCCCCTCTTTTCCCCCAAAATCCCAAGATGCACCGAAACACGCGACACCAGACCACTTGAGCGATGAATTGACCAGTCTCAACCATCTAGCATAGTGATCTGGTACCAACGTCGCAGAGCAGCAGCACGGCATCCACACGAGCTGCACAATCTCGAAAGCAACGGATCCATGCGATACGTCGCCATCCAAAGATGGCTGCTGGACCAGCAAACCACGCCCCATTCGGATAATCTTGCCCGATACGGAAGTGAGCAATGGTAGGCCGTCCGTCCCCGTCTCCTCCGAGTCCTTGTCCGCGCTCAATCTTACCCAGTCGAGGTTGGGTCTGAGGATGAGAAGACAGGGCTGGAACTAGGCGGTGCTTGGCGGGAATAGATTTTCTTGACGCGTCATGCTGACTGATTGCATCAATGGGCCAAAATCGCCCGGGGTTTCTTGCCTTGTTAGTCCCATCTGTCTCTCCACGCTATTCGCTCCCTCGCACTCATCGATGTCGGAGCTAGCAGCAACCGCAAAGTTAGGGCCTTGTCTCCCTCCCCCTCCGCAGCCGGCATGTATACCACCGTCGTCTCGTCGTCTCCTGCACACTTCATGCACGATTTCTCCTCTTCCTGTTTCTCCAGACCACGGTGCAACGCACTGTCACGATACCACTACGGCAACCGTGGCAGACCCGGCTCTAGATACAATCGCAAACATCCTAATTCTCAACCAATGCAAGCATGCCTTCCACGCCGACTGTCTTGTGTCGTGGTTCAAGTATGGCCAGTACAGGTGCCCAACGTGTCAAACATCTTATGGTCCAATGCATAGTCCTGGTCCTGCTCTTTAAATGGTCCGGATGATGAATGAATAACTGGACATGACATGGCATCTATTGTGATTCTTGCGATGGTAGCGGTAATGGTAGTGCGGTAATAGTACTCAAAGTCGTGAGTTGTTTATTGCTCGGAAGATTTCATCGTAGCGCATGACCTACTACTTCTGCATGAAGAGTTGTCAGTACTGAAGTTATTGGCGTTGCTTGACGTGAAGAGTCCTGAAGCAGAGGTAATACAGTCCGCTCATAATAAGGGCTCTGGTTCTAACAATCACGGTATAGCGTTAGCCAGCGGAACACGGTGAATCGGAATTCCTATTACGCATTATTGCAGTCAAACCTAGTTAACCGGTCCCGCTAGAGCTGGATATTAACCCTGACCAGGGTTCTTCCATTGATGCTTGTTGCATGATGGCGTTTCTAGACAAGCAACCCTAAATCCACCTCTCTCTCATGAATCAGCAAGACTTGCATCTTGTCACGTCTCAACTCAAGCACTTTCTACCTCGGATCCTTTTCTCAGTCGCATTGCTTCAATACCAATCAAGTTTCGCTTGGTGAATAATACCTGACCTGCACTTACTCCTGACCCCTATCCCGAGGCCTTGCGCCCGCCACGGAGGCATCACCGTAGAGGATCCAAAACAGCAACGGTGTCTGCTATAAATTGCTCTATATGAAAATGTGCCATGCATGGGACCATCTCTCCCTCCCGTCTCGGAGTTTCCCCGAACCCAGCAGACCCCCCGGTCGAGAGCCGGAATGCTCTGGTCTCGTTGACTGGAAGGGTTTGATTCTGAAACACAGGGATCCAGAGATCCTCAGGAATACGAGGAGATTACGGTGCAGAAATGAACGGTTCCCCACTAGGCGCCAGGGGGGGGGGAAGCCGCGGAGGGTTTCAGTATCTCTCCACCGTGACACCGGCGATCGTTGAGGGCGACGGTATAGAGTAGATTGCAATGTCCGGCGTAGCATACTAGGAAATGATTTCTGTCTCACGTTCCCCGATGCCTGCTAGATGAGATCTACACCGCATGCCTCATTCAAGACGAGATAGGAGTATATAAACCGCACAGATTCTCACCGAGGGCTTTCTCCTCCGCCGCCAACAACAACAACAACAACATGTTTTTCTTCCAAAGCGTCGTGCTTCTCGGCCTCGTCGGAGCCAGCTGGGCGAATCCCTCTGGGGTCCAGCAAGCTCGAGCCGTTTGCACTCCGAAAGCCGGCGGCTCGCCCAAGATCGACGACGTGCCGGCCATCACCAAGGCCTTCGCCTCGTGCGGCCACGGCGGCACCATCATCATCCCCAAGGGCAGCACGTACCATCTGAACAGCGTGCTGGACCTAGGCGGGTGCTCCAACTGCGACTTTCAAATCGAGGGTCTGCTCAAGTTCACGGGAAGCACCAGCTACTGGAACGGCAAGTACGCGATGATCAACATCCACAAGATCACCGGGCTGAAGATGCGGTCTCTCACGGGGGCGGGAGTGGTTGATGGAAGCGGACAAGATTCGTATGCTTTTTTCTCTCTCTCTCTCTCTCTCTACTCGACACTGCGAAATCCAAACTTCATCCTGATTGATTGATTGATTGATTGATTGATGGATGGATGTATTGCCAGATGGGACCTATTCGCCTCCAACTCCAACTACCGGCGCCCAACGCTCCTGGGCATCGGCGGAAGCAGCAACCTCGAGGTAAGCAACCTCCGCCTCACGAACCCGCCGAACGTCTTCGTCTCGGTGAAATCAGGCACGGAGCACGCCGTATTCTCGGGGCTCCGCCTGGACGCGCGGTCCGTATCGCGCCACCCCGCGATCAACACGGACGGGTTCAACATCGGACAATCCACACACATCCGCATCACCAAGACCACCGTCGCCAACGACGACGACTGCATCGCCTTCCAGTCCGGAAGCAGCGACATCACCGTGCAGGACATCACCTGCCGCGGCTCGCACGGGCTGTCCGTGGGGTCGCTGGGGAAAACCAACGCCGACACCGTGCAGAACATCTGGATCGAGCGCGCCACGATGATCGGGTGCAGCAAGGCCGCGGGCATAAAGACGTACCCCGGGGGCGCGGGCGCGGGCCACGGCCAGGCCACCGTGCGCAATGTGACCTGGGCCGATGTCGACGTGCAGGCTTGCGACTACGCCATCCAGATCCAGAGCTGCTATGGCACCAGCCCGGCGGACTGTGAGAAACACCCCGGCGACGCCGTGCTCGAGGATGTCACCTTTACCGGGTTCACGGGCACCACGAACAGCAAGTATGGGTCGGCGCTGGCGAATCTGAATTGCGGAGCGCGCGGCACTTGCGGCGTGACGGTGCGGGATTTCTCGGTGAAGGCGCCTTCGGGGAAAGGCGAGGTTCTTTGCGGGAATACTCCGTCGCATTTGGGGGTTGCTTGTACTTCTGGTGCTTCTGGTTAAGTAGAAGGCGTTGTTGGGTTTTAACGCTCAGAAAAAAATCCCATCTGGAAAAATACAAAGATGGATGGATGAAACTTCTGCATTTTCTAACTCAGGAAGTTGTATGTGTGCTATTATAACAGATTCTTTTCGTAGTTCAATCCAAATCAAACAATCTAATACCCCCTTCCTTTTTTTTTTTTTTTGGGAAATCCTATGCAGCAGCGACCATCTGATCCTTAACATACAGGTCAACATACTTGTCCACCTCGTAGGCCTCCAGCGTAGCCTTGTCGTTACCCAGGTTGACAAGCTCGTCGATGCGAGCCTGGTCAAAGTGAGCCTGCAGGTGGCGCTGGTACTTGGCCAGAATCTCGGGCTTGGCCTCCTCGCGCCGCAGACGGTGGCCAAGAGGGGACTCAACCATAACCTCCTCCAGCACGGTTCCGTCGTTCAGGGTAACCGTGAGGGCGTTGGGGATGGTGCGCTTGCTGGGGTTGTGGTAGTCGGCGGTGAATTTGGGGTCCTCAACGCAACGGATGCGCTGGCGGAGATCCTCAACCAGGGGGGAGGTCGCGGCCTCGGAGCCATCGGCGTAATCACCAGCGGTCAGGCGGTTGAAGACGAGCATCGTGGCAACCATGTACTAGATCCTGTGAGTACTGCTGTCTCGGGACGAAAGTCCGGGGGTCGTTGACATACCTGAACGCAGTGGTCCCGGTCTGCAAAGTTATCCAGAGCCTTAAACTGCTTGTCGATAATGCGAACGCAAGCTTCGTGCGTACGGTTGGTGATTTCCTTGATGTCCTTGGCGCTCTTGCCCATCGACTGGAGGGTGGCGTTGATCTTCTCAGCCGCCTCGATGGCCGTCTGGGAGTGGAACTCGGCTGCACAGATCGATCAGTCATAATTCCCCGTTGTCATTAATTCGGGGACGACGCACCAGGATAAGACACCTTGAAGAGAACATTCTCCATGACGTAGCTACCGTATGGGCGTTGGAACTGGAACTTGTTGCCCTTGAATAGGACATCATAGAAACCCCAAACCGGAGCGGAGAGGACGGTGTGGAGACCACCCTCGCCTTTCTGCACCTTAAGAACCAAGTTCACCGCGCGCTGGCAGGCATCCCCCGCAGCCCAGGACTTCCGGGACATGGTGTTGGGGGAGTGGCGGTAGGTCCGCAGACTCTGACCGTCAACCCAAGCCTGGGTGATGGCATCGGCGGTCTGCTTCTCACTGAGTCCAAGCATCTTCGCAACCACAGCGGTGGTGGCGACCTTGACCAGAAGAACGTGGTCCAGGCCGACCTTGTTGTAGGAGTTCTCCAGAGCCAAGACGCCCTGGATTTCGTGGGCCTTGATCATGGCCTCCAGGACATCCTTGACCTTGAAAATCCGACCACCTGCAAGATTCCCGCCCGCCCGGTTGGTGCGGGAGATCCAGTCGGCGACAGCGAGGATCCCCCCCAGGTTATCGGAAGGATGGCCCCACTCGGCAGCAAGCCAGCAGTCATTGTAGTCGAGCCAGCGGATCATGGCACCAATGTTAAAGGCACCGTTCACGGGGTCCAGCTGGTAGGGGGTTCCAGGCACGCGGGTGCCGTTAGGAACCACAGTGCCCTCCACAATAGGGCCCAAGAGCTTCGTGCATTCCTTGAACTTGAGGGCTTCCAACCCACATCCGAGCGTATCGAGGAAGACAAGACGAGCAGTGTCAAACTATCCGACCCAATTAATCTAATTATTTCACGATTACATTCAAAACACAAGTTCACCACCTACAGCCAGATCGGAATCCACGTTATAGTTGTGGATATAGTCGGCCATATCCTGAATTTCCGGATCATAGGCCTTGTCACCGACAGGAGGGATCGGAGCAGCGGATTGCAGGGACGCCATAGTCGAGAATCTGGAGACACGAGGCAGGGCCGGAGAAGTAGAAATTCTGAAGCTGTGATGAGCGGCAATGAACGAAGGGCGGGAAAGGGACGAAATGCGGGACGACTGGAAAGTGCGGGGAGACCTGTGGGTCAGCCGTCTCATAGCTGAAGAGGCAGACATGATGATGAGAAGAAGAAAAAGCTATACTCAGAGATAAATGGATGCAGAGAAGTGTCTAGTCAGAGGAGGAGAGGAGAGAGGAGAGAGGAGAGAGGAGAGAGGAGAGAGGAGAGAGACAACAAAGGAGATGGAGAGAGAGAGAGAGATCCGTTGACCGACCTGGACCGAGGCAGTTTTGTTTACTTATTAACCGTCCGTTGAGCTTCACTTTCCTGCGGTTACTCACGGTCTATTTGCTCATTCCGATCTCGGATATTTCTCTTCCTATTTCCTAGTAGTAACTAACACTTGGAGCAGCGAAGAGGGTATCACATATTCCGGATTCCATTGATGGTTTATGACATGAGAAAGAAAGACCTCCCGTCAAGAATAATCTCCCGGCTGGCTGAGTGCTGAAATTGCCCGCGGTCGGTCAGACAGGTATGTAACTCTCCCTGATCCCGCGGCTATTCGCTCCCTCCATGGATCAAGGCGTGCAGCTCCCTCGCGTCCGTTTCTTGCAGTGATCTGACGATCTCTCCGTAAATCGTCCTTGCTAGAACAGGGGGCACCGCGTTTCCGATTTGCTTGCGCACTTCTCTCGGCCCAAACCGAAAGGTCAAGGGGAACGTCTGCAGACAGGCAAACTCGCGGTTCGTGAACCCTCTCTTGCCCGATGGATGGTAGTTGTTGTCGCCGCCTCCGCAGGTGATGGTCCGCGCTTGCTGGTTCGCATCGAAGGGAATCCGTTGGTTTTGCACTGCTCGACTCCTGGCTCTGTCCACGTCGTGATCTGGCGTTCCCGCGGGAATATTCGATATCATTTGATTGATCGTGGTTAGTTTCTGCAGTCCGGATCCTGGCAAGCCATGGGTGGGTTTGGGAAGGGATGGAAGGGTTTCTCCCGGCCTGCAACTAAGTCAGCAGCGACCTAGATAACTAGTTAACTAGTTAATAGTTAATATGATGATAAAAACCTACCCCGATGCGATGATTATCAGCCTCTTTCGCGATTGAGGCACTCCATATTCCATGCAATTCAAAACCGCCCACCGAACCGAATACCCGGTCTCAATAAAGTCCTGAATGACCCCGTAAAATGTCTCCTTGTGTCTCTCGAACAGACCGCTCGTTTCCTCCATTGTATGCACCCGTGGCTTTGCTTTGCGGATGAGATTTCCACAGGAGAAAATGCACGCCGAATTGGCATCATCGTTCTTACTTTCCACCGTGTGCGCAGGCGAGAATGTTTGGCAGGGCGGCGAGCCATGCGTGATATCGACCCTCAAGAAGGCCTCATCGTTGGTTAAAAAGCTAAAGATATCGCTCGTCTCACACTCGACCGTGTCGAAATTCAACCGATAGGTGGTCGCCGCATCTGGAGAGAGATCAAATGCCCAGTGGAGAGATAAGCCGGCATTCTGCGCGCCGCAAGAAACACCACCAGCACCGCAAAACCCATCTCCAAAGGTATATTTCCGCCCGTCTCTGGCGTGCACCGTCTCCCAATGCGGGGGGGTCTCTTCGATTTCATCCAGCACAATGACAGGGCACCGCTGCTGCGAGTCCTGCCGGCTGCCAAATGCTTGGGTCTCTCCGCGCCATGATTGACGGAGGATTCTCGCCTCCACCGCATACCCAGGATCAGCGTCGTGGTAGGAGACATATTCAACCGAAACCATGTCACCCTCAGGAATCTCTTTCAACCGGCAGAACAGGTCTCCCGGACGGCTAATCTTGTGCTCGTCCCGATCAATGTGACAGCAACTCGTGAAATGGATATTCACAAACCGCCTCACCAGGCCCAACGCAATCTCCATGGTCTCATTCGCCACCCAGATCAACTCATTAGACCATTTGGGAATATAGGTGCCGACATGGCCCTTGGCTCTCAAAAGTCGTCGTCCATCGAAATAGACCTCCCCTCTCGAATCTTCCCAGACTGCGGAAATCCGAAGAAAGGTATCATCGTGCAATTCAACTGACTGGCCTGGCATATACACGATTCCATCAACACATGCGTCCTCTCGGAACTTCTTGGACGGGGTGGCGGCTTGGGGGGGGGATTTAGGCACGCGAACAGAACTCTTCCAGTCTTCTCGAAGAATTTCAACGCATTCATCGGTGACATAGTCGCCGTCCAAGAGTGCTTCTCCAGATATCTCTGTCAGATCGACTATCTCCGTGGAACCTGGCGAGAGAAAAGGAGTTGCAGGGGATGAAAAGTCAGCCTCACTCAACAGGTATAGCCGGTCTGGATCGTTGTCGATAGTGACACTGCTGGTGTCACTGTCGTCGTCTCCAATAAGGTGAGTCGGTTCTGTCATTCTGGACGAGATCAGGATGGGAGAGAAAACGGAACAAGCAGAAGGAGAAAGTTTTTCTCTACAAGAGATTGATGTCCTCTTATACACAGAGAGAGAAGATTCTGTACAGTATCCAGTTCAAAGAAAGCTCTAATAAAGGGATTACCAGGAAATAGAGCTTTTTAATCCAGAAACAAATAAAGTAATAATATTTCTTTTTTACATATTTCCTCTTATTATACACTGCAAGCTTCCCTCTGGATGGCTCCGTAGGCATACTTCTGTATGCAACTCTTTTATAACACCCAGTCTGATCAGATTTCCAAATAATCAGTTACTTTACATATACTGGAAGCAGATATCTAGATACTAGTAATCTTTGCTTTATTATTCAGGCAGGAATAGCCTGCGTGTAGCCTCAATTTTTTTCCATGTTGATCAGACTAGTTAACTGGGGCTATCTTGTGCCACGATTTACGTGTCTATCCCATTATCTCTGCTCGACAACTCCTAGCATGGCGGCATTACCAAGCTCTACGTTTGTCCAATAATCACTCCCAACCCTACCGAGCGCCAGCAGAGAGAGAGAGACACAGTTGGTAGACCGACTGCTGTCAGCCGCTTTCAAAAGGCTAGGCCTCTCCCTCTCCCCACCGCTCCGTACCGACTTTTCCATCTCCATTAAAGAGTTCGTCCCAAAAACGGCAAATCCAAACAGAATGTATTACTGCCAGCCGCGACAGGCGCTGGCAATTCTCCGGAGTCGATTGTCTGGGATGATAAATTGAGCGGGTTGTGGTGTGTTACTGTGGAATGGAAATGCGAGAGCCCCTTGCGAAATGACAGGTTTGGAAAGGAAAGGACAAATATTTAGATAGTACGCCTCAGATTCTTGGCTCTTTCTTTCTTTATATATATATATATCCGAACTAATGTGATTAAATAGACACCATCCTCTTGCAATGGACTCGACTCTCGACTTCTTTCTCGCTTACGTGTTGCGCGGGAGACAAGTCAACAGATCTCCTCCTCCTCCTCCTCCTCCTCTTCCTCCTCCTCCTCCTCATTCTACAGGAACCCCTTCCACGAGGAGTCAGGCAACGGCCCTAAACTCCGGCGGAGAGCTATTCGAACTGATCCAAAGGATTCATTCCTTGCACGGCAAAGCGAGGCGAGATTCCAGCGTGAGCGCCCGGAGCATCTCCCAGGCCGTTCAAATCTGGCATGAGCTTGACCATTGGGATCCAGAAGAGGCAGGGCCCTCACCAGAACTCTGCAGATTGTATGCCTCGTATAGATCCGCCCTCTTCATCTGGGTATACTTTGTCATTTATCCGAATGATATGGATGGGTGGAAACTCCAGGATGCCCTCCAGGATATTCTGTCCAATATATCGGGAGTTGAGACACAAGATCTGGCACCCCTAGCGATTATTCCACTCTTTTTCGGTGGACTAGCTGCCACCCAGCCGGTTGATCGAGAATCTATCAAGCAACAATATGAGCGAGTGCGACGATATAGCCAACATGAGAGCCTCCGGGTATCGTGGGGTCATGTTCAGGGGGGATGGGGGAAGTATGATCGAGGAATAGAAGCCAGTCGGGATTGGATCTGAGACATGTTAATAGGGTCCCATTATTTTTGAGGATATATTCTCCGAATGCGACCATCTTCTTTTCTTCTTTTCTTCTTTTCTTCTTTTCTTCTTTTCTTCTTTTCTTCTTCTCTTCTTTTTCTCTCCCAGTCCGGCCAATGACTAAGCCGGATCCGCTCGTTCCGATCCGGACCGTTTTTTTCCCTCCATTTTTCGTGGTTCGTGAAATTTTCTTGGTTGAGCTGAAGGTCACTTGGTCTCTTTCCTCTTCTCCTAACTCTTCTGAAGCCATGTTATCGCCTCTGCTTTCTTCTCTTTCTTCTCACCCTCCGTGGTCTTGAGTAGTCCCTGTCCTTGGGCCTCTCTGCTCTCTGTCTTCTTCATCCCTTCATTCTGTTATGTCTCGATAGCTGTCTGCCATCCCGACTTCGCTCTCTTCCCTGGAGTTCCATTTTTTTTTTTTCACTTTTACCCCACCACCCTGTGTGTGTGTGTTCAAGGCAGACCCCTCCGACTCCTTCTTGCTTCGTATGTGAGTACTGTATTTCCTTCCGTTTGTCCGTTAACCCCCTCCCCTCCCCTCTCTGTATGATGAATTTCCGTTTTTTTTATAGATGTTAGACTTCCTAAGCATCATTGCGGATACTTTTCGGCCTGATCAGTGCTCTCTTATATTATTTTTTTTTATTTGCCATTGCTTTGACGCTGGGACACACCCACTGATCTTGTGCGTTGAATTTAGAGTATCCCTACCGACAAAGCAAAATGTGTGGCATTATCGCTCTGATTCAGGCGAATCCGTCGTCTTCCGCGGCCATTGACCTTCACGAGGCCCTCTACCTCCTACAACGTGAGTAAACATTTCAACCCCCCCTCCCCCGGTTTACGTCATTTTTGTAAGGGAAAGAAAAATGGCGCTAAAACTGGGTCTTCGTTGTAGATCGAGGTCAAGATGCCGCAGGAATTGCGACATGCGCTGCGGGCGGTCGTATCTTCCAGCTCAAGGCCAACGGTATGGCCGCCAAGGTGTTCCAAGACGGCTCCAGAGTGGCAGACCTTCCAGGCTCCATGGGTATCGGCCATTTAAGATACCCTACGGCCGGAAGCAGCGCAAACGCGGAGGCCCAGCCCTTCTACGTCAATAGTCCGTACGGCATTTGCCTTGCCCACAATGGCAACCTGATTAATGCGCCCGAGTTGAAGAGATACCTGGATCTCGAGGCCCACCGTCACATCAACACCGATAGTGACAGTGAGCTGATGCTCAACGTCTTTGCTGATGAGTTGAGTGAAACCAAGAAGGCCCGTGTCAACCAGGAGGACGTCTTTGCCGCTTTGAGCAGGATGTACCAACGGTGCGAAGGTGGTTGGGCCTGCACTGCCCTGCTGGCTGGCTTTGGTATCTTGGGCTTCCGTGACTCTTACGGTATCCGTCCTCTTGTCCTTGGCGAACGGCCTTCCTTGGACGGTCCTGGAACGGACTACATGATGGCCTCCGAATCCGTGGCTTTGCACCAGCTTGGTTTCACCAATATCCGTGATATCCAGCCCGGTGAGGCCGTTCTGATCGAAAAGGGTGGCAAACCTGTCTTCCGTCAAGTGGCTCCTCGCAAGGCCTATGCCCCCGATATTTTCGAATTTGTGTACTTTGCCCGCCCTGATTCCGTCATTGATGGCATCAGCGTCTACCGCAGCCGTCAAAGGATGGGTGACCGCCTTGCTGCAAGGGTTCTCGATGTCCTCGGACCCGAAGTCGTCAAGGATATCGATGTTGTCATTCCTATTCCCGAGACATCCACCACATCAGCTTTCTCCGTCGCTCGTTACCTCGATAAGCCTTACTGCCAGGGCTTTGTTAAGAACCGTTACGTCTTCCGTACGTTCATCATGCCTGAGCAGAAAACCCGTCAAAAGGGTGTTCGCCGCAAGTTGAATGCTATGCAAGCTGAGTTCAAGGACCGAAATGTCCTTTTGGTCGACGACAGCATTGTTCGTGGAACAACAAGTCGGGAAATCGTTACAATGGCTCGGGAAGCTGGTGCGAAGAAGGTCTACTTTGCCAGTTGCTCTCCTGAAATCACGTATGTTCTCGCCCTTTTTTTTTTTTTTTTTTTTTTTTTTTTTTTTCTCTCTCTCTGTAAAAGAAAATATCCTGACCTAATTCTCTTATAGCCACGCTCACATTTACGGTATTGATCTCGCATCCCCCACCGAGCTGGTTGCCCATAACCGGACCCCGGAGTCTATCGCTAAGCACATCGGCGCCGACAGCGTCATCTATCAGACTTTGGATGACCTGAAGGGATCTTGTGCTGAGATTGCCCAAGAAAACGGATTACAGGAGCCCCGCGACTTTGAAGTCGGCGTGTTCTGTGGTAACTACGTCACTCCTGTTGCAGATGGATACTTCGATCATCTGGAGAAAGTCCGAGGTGAAGGCCGCAAGATCAAGGCGCTAGATCGGGCCAAGGAAGCCGTCACACACGGCTTCGCCAGCGAAACCGATTTCCAAATCGCTGCAAACGGTGTCAAGGTCGCTAGCAATGGCGATATTGTTCCTGCTGCGAACCCCAGCGAATCGGAGGTGCCCCAAGTCAGTGTCTACGCTGCCACCAAGGAGTACCCCACCGAGGAAGAGCCTCCTAAGGTCAAGGATCGCATGGATATCAGCATCCACAATATCGCCGATCACCACTGATGATCATACAACCTGGTTCCCCCTTCACTCATTGCTACGCTTGGGGTATGTTTGTTCGGAGTCCTGGAGTTTGTAGAAGGTAGACAAAAAGATAAAGGGAGGCTATTTTTGACGATATATTCATTGCATGGCAAAGATATGAGATTTGAATACAGCCTGATTTTTATGATGTACAGAGATTTTAGATCAATGACCACAACGTTTGATGCATAGAAGAAGAACCATTTCCAGTGTAAGCGATCATGTGATAAGTCCTGACTATCTTGATCTTGGTTTCGTCTGGTTTCTTCGGGTTTCTTCATCAACCAGCCTCGGTCGTTGTGCAACGTCCAGTCGGCTTTTTAATCGGATGGTGGAATCTTAACCCTTGATCAGTTTCATGACAAGGCTTCTTCTCTGCGTTATTTCCTGAAATGGTTTGTACCACCCGCTCTGCAGTCGCCCGAGAGGCTGCATTGCTCGCAGCAGAAGTACAACAGATATACCCTCAACCCCCCGATGTCGAGAGTGAGAGCATTTCGTCCCGAATATCCGGGAGGGTGACACGTTTGAGAAATTCCCCACGAGAAAAGAAGCGTCTGTCATCCAAGGTCACTGGCGATCTCAGCCCTCCTCAGAAGAAGCAAAGGACCAAAGCCAAAATTCTTAAATCTAGCAATCTGGACGAGCTCCCTCATAATCTTGGTTCCGTGACTACCTCAGTTTCCAAGGCTGCTGCTACTGGCCGACAGAGCTCCAGAGGGTCGGTCTCCACGATAAAGAAAGAAGAGTTAGTAGATGTCCTTGCCCAGGAACTACAAAAGACTGTTGTTAGCAAAGCTACAGAAATACATATAGAGCCAGGCTCAGACGAAAAGAAGAAATCAAAGAAACCCAATACCTATGGCCTCACACCTGGCGTTACTCCATTTCCTACCTGGGCTCATCCCACGCCAGAGGAATGCGAAGAGGTCAATAGGCTGTTGTCAAGCCTTCATGGGGATATTGTTCCTCCCACTACGATTCCTGAGCCATCGCTTACTGTGACCGGCTGTGGGGAGGTCCCCTCTGTTCTTGATGCGCTGATACGCACTTTACTCAGTGGTGCCACGACGGGGAAAAACTCCGCTATGGCGTTTAATGGGCTGGTCCAGAGATTTGGCATCCTTGAAGAAGGGATCGGCAGGGGGAGTGTGAATTGGGATGCTGTCCGTCGGGCCTCTGTGAAAGATGTCTTCGAAGCCATCAAGCGTGGTGGGTTGGCGGATATCAAAAGCAAAAACCTCAAGGCAATATTAGATATGGTCCATGAGGAGAATCAGCAACGAAGAAATGCGCTGGGCAAGGGTGAAGACGACAGACCGTCCAATTTGGTCGACAAACAGTACGAAATTACTTGCGCTGACCCACATGTGCTATCCCTCAACCATCTTCACTCACTCGGCACAGACCAAGTTATGACAGAACTGGTGAGATTCCCTGGGATTGGGCCCAAGACTGCAGCGTGCGTGCTTCTTTTCTGTCTCCGGCGGCCATGCTTTGCTGTCGATACCCACATTTTTCGCATCTGCAGGTGGCTCAACTGGGTACCACCAGCTAAGGCTACAGAAATCACGGCTTTCAGTCACCTCGAGGTCCGGATTCCCGATCATCTGAAATACTCTCTCCACCAGCTCTTTATCCGCCATGGAAAGTCGTGTCCACGCTGTCGGGCGATCACCGGGCAAACCTCTGCTGGTTGGGAGGATGGCTGTGTGATTGACCACCTGGTCAAACGAACAGGAAAGAGAAAGGGTGGGTTGTAGAAAGTCACAATATGTTATACTAGTTAAATCATAGAATCCTCTAATGATAAATCAGACTTACTGTATCCCGATTATCTGTCTTTCCATTAATTTGTTGTTTGTGAAGAAACCCCCGGCACGTGCCCGGCATCACGGAGCTTCTGCGAAATGATCGAACCACTTTTTGTTGATTTACTTCCTCCCTCCTTCTCAACACCACTCGCTCCCTGCAACGCAATTCCCCCCAGTGCGCGCCGTGAAAATGGATGCTCTGCTCCCTCTCGCAGAGCTGCTGCGGGGCCATGCTTCCACGCTCGGGGTCAGCCTCCTTTCCTTCAGCGCCGTGTTCCTGGGCTACCTCTTCGTTGTGAGTGGCAGAGAAGCTGCAGTGCCGTTCACGGTGCCTTATCCGCCGGAAATCGGAGCCAATTGGGTCGGCAAGAAATGGGAGGAGCTCCAGGGAGAAGAAAGAAAGATTATTGAGGGACAAATCGGAGGGGTAGGTCTTCATCCCGTCTTCCCTTCACGCTGCGACATACCGCTTTCCCCGCCATGTGTGTGCTGATTCTTCTGTAATTCTTTTTAGAAATGGAACGAAGAGCTAATTATGAGCTATTGCCCTGCGGACGGACGAGTACTCGGGACAGGAATCAAAGCTACGACCGCCGCGGGAATCAACCAAGCTATCCAGGCAGCGAAGACCGCGCAGGTTCAATGGGCCAATACAAGTTTTGCTGAGAGGAGGAAGGTCCTCAGAACGCTGTTGAAGTATGTCCCGTGATAGTCCTTGAATCTCGGAAAAAACAAAAAAAAAAAAAAAAGTGCACTGTAATCATTAACGAGAATCCGTGAAGATACGTACTCGATCACCAAGATGAAATCGTTACCGCATGCTGCCTCGATTCCGGAAAGACCAAAGTCGACGCATCGTTCGGAGAAATCCTCGTCACTGCAGAGAAGCTGAAGTGGACTATCGATCACGGCGAAAAGGCCCTGGCTGCAGAGTCGCGGCCCACGAATTTCCTCATGATGTACAAGAAGAACAAGGTCACGTATGAGCCTCTGGGTGTGGTGTCTGCGTGTGTCTCCTGGAACTACCCATTCCACAATTTTATTTCCCCGGTTATCAGTGCGATCTTTGCCGGAAATGGGATTGTAGTCAAACCGTCAGAGCAGACTGCATGGTGCACAATGTTCTTCCTAGATATTATCAGAGGTGCTTTGGAGAGCTGCGGCCATTCTGGGGATCTTGTGCACAGCGTCGTGTGCCTACCTCAGGTTGCGGATGTCCTGACCTCTCACCCGGAGATCTCACAGATGACTTTCATCGGCTCAAGGCCAGTTGCACACAAAGTTTGTGAATCGGCTGCAAGGGCTCTCACTCCAGTTACCGTGGAATTAGGTGGAAAGGACCCAGCGGTCATCCTGGACGACAGCAGGACAGTCGCCCAAATATCGTCAATCGCTTCAATCCTGATGCGCGGCGTATTCCAGTCTGCAGGACAGAATTGCATTGGTGTAGAGCGCGTCATTGCCGTTTCAGGTGCATACAATATACTCCTCGACGCCGTTTCCTCTCGTATCAAAACCCTCCGCCTCGGCTCGATTCTTCTAGACGCCAAACCGGGCAAGGCAGGGACTCCAGATGTCGGCGCCATGATCTCACCCGCTTCATTCGACCGCCTGGAGCACCTCATCATCGAGGCCGTCAAGCAAGGCGCTCGTCTCATCTGCGGCGGGCAACGCTTCAACCACCCAGACCACCCTCTCGGCCACTACTTTACCCCCACCCTGCTCGCAGACGTTACACCGTCGATGCAAATCGCGCAGACCGAGCTCTTCGCCCCCGTCTTCCTGATGATGCGCGCCGAGTCCGTGTCGCACGCCATTGAAATCGCAAACTCCACGCAGTATGCCTTGGGCGCCAGCGTCTTCGGATTCAACGACCGAGATGTGACTGCCTGTGTGAAGAGTATCAAGGCCGGGATGGTGGCTGTCAACGACTTCGGCAGCTACTACGCTGTCCAGCTGCCCTTTGGCGGAGTCAAGGGATCAGGATACGGACGGTTTGCTGGCGAGGAGGGGTTGCGCGCTGTGAGCAATATCAAGGCGATCTGTGTAGATCGATTCCCGAAATTAGTGGGCACAGCGATCCCACCGCGTGTGGACTATCCGATCCAGAAGGGAGAAACCACGAAACTGGACGGGACAGGCGCGTGGGAGATGTGCAAGGGCGTCGTTGAGACGGGGTACCAGCTTACGCTTGCTGGGAGGGTGAATGGTATTCTTCGATTATTGAAAAATATGTAGCCCTTAATATGTATATGTATATGTATATGTATAATAGGTCATAATGATAGTTAATACGATACACCCACACTAACATTCTAAATTTCGACCTCGTACGTAGCAGTAAATCGCTGTATATATATATATGCAAAAATCCCTCTACTGGATGTTGGTAACCAAATCCTATAACTAACTAGTGAGTTAGTGAGTGAGGTAGTTATTATACCCATCTATCCCAGCATCATATCATACAAGGAATAATATAATACATTGTATTAAAAAATTATCCAAGGATCCCCCCCCCCCCCCAGAAACATCATAACACCACCTCCCCCATCCACCCGCCCACCTGCACACCCTCCGCACCCTCCGCACCCTCCTCCTCCGCCACCCGCAAAACCTCCCCCAGATATCGTCGCCCCATCTCAACCCCCACATTCAATCTCCCCAGATAGAACACCGCGCTGTTCCCCGGGTCCCGCCGCGCCGCATCCACCTGCCCCGGCAAGCGGACCATGAAATCCAACAGCCACGCGCCAAGGGCGCCGCCGACGTGCATTGCCCACGCGGTGATCTCGGAGTCGTCGGGCGGGAGGGACTCGGCGTTTGCGCGGAGCAGCAGCTGGAAGAGGGCGGGGTCGTCTCGGGCGACGCGGACGGCTGTGCGGAAGTGGTCTGCGGGGAGGATGTAGGGTGTTGCTATTGCTGTTGCTGTTGCTGGAGCTGGCGGGGCAGGGTGTTCGGCGCGAAAGGTGTACTCGTCCATCTTTAGGAGAATGGAGAGCGCCGCTGCGTTGTGTTCGATCAGGGCCGTGTGGATCCCCTGCTGCAGGGCTTCTCGGGAGAGCGTGACGCTGGTTGGATGGAGGTCGGGCTGGTTGAGTCCGCTGGCGACGCGGAGGGTTTCGAGAAGTTGGATGTGTGCTGGGGTGAAGCCGGTGTCTGGGGGCGGGGCGAGGAGTTTCTCGGGGATTTCTAGTATGCTTAGGAACCGGTGGTGGTGGGTGGTGGTGTGGGTGAATTCGGTAGTGGTGGTGGTGGTGGTGGTGATGGTGATTGAGACTAGTGGGGTGATGGTGAGCGTGTATGTGTTTTGCTTGTCCCTGCCGGTGAAGGTGCGCGGAGTGTCTTGTTTTCGGGCCAGGAAAAGCCGGAGACTTTCTTTCTCCTCGGGAGGCATGTGGATGTCTGGATTGAGCCAGTGTCGGTGGATGGTGAGACGCATGAGATCGGGTAGTTGGTTGAGCAGATGGGGGATTGTGCACCATCGACACCGGAGGATGGAAGCTTGCAAGGCTCGACGCTCGTCCCGATCCAGCGGGAGGACGTACTCCAGCGGTCTAAGGAGCTTGGAAATCTCTGTCCCAGGAGCAGCAGCAACAAAACCTTGTGGCGGCAGCGAATCATCCCAGAAGGCGAACAAGGTTAACGCGCGATAAATGCGCTCGCTGGAGACAGCGGCAGCGAGGGAACGGGAGCATCGCGGCAGATTGACATTCAGCGAATACAGGAAGATTTTCTCGATCAACTCAACCGGCAGAGTTTCCAATCGGGAGAGCTTCCTCCGCGACTTGCGCAGCGGCGCCGGGCTGGCGACGAGCAGACGGGACCGTTTGAATATACCGTGCGATTGGGACCTTGCGGCTATGGCTTCGGGGGACAACATCGGTCGGCCTCCTTTCGGACCAGATGGGATTGGTTTGGGGACTCCATCATTGGGGGACCAGGGTCTCTTTCTGCGGCCACGGATCTTGATCGGGGTGAGCATACGGGGGGGGTTGACGATGAGTGGAATTTTACTTGTCGCGAGGAGATTTCGACATGGTCAAGCATTGGGGGGGGGAAAGGCTTCTTAGTAATCAGCTCAAAATTACTCCCGTATTTCACACTAAGTGGCAAGATGGCCGAGTGGTTAAGGCGTCAGACTTGAAATCTGATCCCTTCGGGGTCCTGGGTTCAAATCCCAGTCTTGTCGTTTTTGGATTCTTTTTTATTTTTATTTTGTTATTTATTACCCTCGGTATATCAAATACTCCATCCACACATGGTATCTCCAAGTTTGATTGATTCGTATAATTCGATAAAGATAAAACGCCACCAGCCTACCAATTTGGCCAAGAGCAAACTGTAGAGTGATACAGATATAAGATAAAGGAACAAATAATATATCAAGTAGAGGTCGTCAACACATCACTTCATATCGGGGGGGGATGAAACTCCAAAATATGTCTACTCTAGTCTCGTGGGAGGGCAGGAGAATCATGCCCCTGATCAATGCTCGCTCGACGCTTCCAGAAAACATCCTTCTTAAACAACTCTCTGAGCTCCGGCGAGATGACTTTTGCTTCTGACTTGTCTCCCGGGGTTAGAGATGTTCCTGGATTGACACTGCTGCTGAAAGCGCTGCTGGATGGCCGCTCGGGCGATTTGCCCTTGCTGGCGTCAGAGGAAGGTTGCGAGGGTTTACGGTGATGCGTAGAAGGGGTCGGGAAGTTGTTTTTCTTGTCGATCGCTTCAACAGCACGGTTGAAGCGGTGGAAAAGCGATTCGGCACGTGTGAGTATTGGGATAAGGTCCATGGTGTTGGATAGTTCGTTGACTATTGGGATTAGCAGTGAGGAAGATCCACAGCCCAAGGACTATACATACTGTATTTCAAGACCTCGTCAAATTGTTTGAGATGTTCCATGATCACATCTCGGTGTTTCTCCAGGATCGCCAGAGCGATGAAGAGGTGGAAGTTGCTGGTAAGGTAATCTGACCATAGAGTTTCCCAGAGTCGCAAAACGTCCGGCCACTCAAATTCCCGCTTATACCACACAAGAAGCATTCGGAAGAAGAAGAAGAAATTGGTGCTATCGGCTGATTGCAAGTGCAGGTAGAGTTGGGGATCTATGAGTTGGACAAGATGGTCAAGGGTGAGAAGTTGTGCACGCATCCCAGACTGGTCGCGGAGAAAGTTCCGTTCCTATATCCAAGTGTCAATGGAGAGATCTAGGCAAAAAAAAAAAAAAAGTCCCTTTGGTAACGAACCATTCTGTCCATGAATCCGACAAATGCCCAAAATGCAACGGCATCGTCTTGCATTACTGCATAGATCGGTGCGAGCAAGTCGCTCATGCCTTGAACATACCCCAGGTCAGGGTTGTATTCATTGTACGTAAGAAGCATATCTTTCATCTGTTCAAGATGTACATTGGTTCCGGTATCTGCGAATGGCGAGTCAGGGTCCGGGTGAGGGATATCTTCACCAGCAAACAGAGGTATCGTCCGATCCGTACGATGAACATCTTTCTCTGCATGTGATAGTCAGTATGATTGGAATCGTATGGTAACAGGATTGACAAGGTCTCTGACCAATACGGTTCCTCTGCTCTTTCCACCACTCGTCCTGCTCGGCGGTAGACTCGCCTTCAACCATTCTTTCCCACCATGCTCCCTTCAAGCGAATGTACTCATCGCGCTTCGAGTTCATCAGAGCTAGACGTTCGTCACGATTGCTATCCCAAGGATAGACCCCAAGAAGGAAAAGCCAGGCTTCTTTGCGCACGCCATCATTGGGGTCCAGGCCTCCGTGGAATATCCTTTCCTTTGCCTCATCAACAGTAACCTGTAGTCTCCCCGTTTGTGGATCAAAAAACCCTTTCCACTCCTTTAGAGTGACTGTCTTTCGCCGCTCATGGATGGACATATTTCCCGTCTCAAGATCAAGGATTTCAAAATCTCCCACGGAGCTATTCTCCGTTTCGAGAACATCCCGAGCAGTCCAGATTCGCTGGTTTCTTTCGCGCTCACTCTGCTCCGAAATGCTCATGGCCCATCGGGCGAGATAAATCCTGGCGCTATCGAATTCATCCTGCAAGGTTTGGATCTCCGGGGTCCGCATGAGCCGACGCACTTGGGGAGGAATACGGGGATTGTCGGCGATTTCGTTTGCGGTGCGTTTTGTAAATGTAGTGATCTTACTCAGCTGCTCGAGGACCTTCCACCTTGTTTCCTTGATCGCTTTCATGAATGGGTCCATTCCAGCGTCACGTTCCACAGGCCCGCTCCGTTGAGCTTCGGGGGCGTTGGAATCCCGGGATGTCGCCGCCGCAGCACCAGCAGCCAATGGCTTCCCGAAAGACATCTGATCTTCTTCGGAAGGATTAATCAAGTAGACGGTACTGTCGACGGCTGACCGCTGCACCTCCACATATTTTCGTAACCACCGTAGGACCTCATCGCCGCCCCAAAACATAATACCATCTTCTCCGAACGGATCGAAGGTTTCCTTCGTCCTCTTCTTCTTTTGCAAGATAGTTGACTCGCATTCGCTGTCATGGAAAAACAACGCTGGAAAGCTGTCACCTGCCTTCGTATTGATCACAAGGCTCCCGAACCACCAGCCTAAGCTGGGGGGCCGCACAAGCAAAGAATAAATCTCGGATAGGGGTACAGCGAAAGCGTAGAGCCCTATTGGATCCTTATAGGTTGTTGTGGCTGGGAGAGCAGGTACCAAGTATTTTTGCCGGGGCGAGGAATCGTCATCGGAGAGGTCGACCTTAACATAAGTGCTGTACGCATCCCCGAGGGAGGATTCAGGAACCCAGGCTAGGAGATATGATGCGACGTCATCACGCTGCGAAGGACTAGCATATGTATTATTTTGCGAGGAAGGGGAGAGGGGCTTTTGCTGAACGAGAGCAATGAAGCCAGGAATGTTATCTCTGGCCGAAGGGGTTGGATGGACGTAAACCTGAGATGAACATAACTTGATCAGACCCGGAACCCCCGGCAGCGATTAGATTAGAAGGACTCACCTTGCTCTTGGAGAAGAGTAACTTTACGCCTCTGCGAGAGGCGGAGTGGGAGATGGTATTATATTCATCCTCCTCATCGTCGCTCAAGTCATAAAAGGATGCTGTCGGAGAAGGCGGCGAGGGAGGAGGGGTGTACTTGATGTTGCTGGAGCCGGCCATTTCTGCGGGGAAACTAAAGATGTGGTTGAAACGGCGATCGTCGGGAGAAGTCTCTCATGCCTCCCGAGATAGAAGATTTTTTTCGTTTTTCTTCTCCCCTTGTAACTTCGAAACGCAGAGAAGGGACGGGGGGACAAAATAGACTGGGAGAGACTTGAAGAGAAAGTCCCGTCACGACGTAATCAAAAGACGCGGGGTCCAGCCATGTGATCTCCGCGGCAAGATGGAAGAAGATAGTGGTCGTGATCGAAATATGGCGTTTACGATGGATTTGAAGAAAAGCGAACGAGCAGAGCGAGGGCTGAGTAGCTGCAAGACAACAATCCGAGATGAAGTAGAGAAGAAGAAGATGGAGGAGGTTCCATTCTCCGTGATGGGCGTTCATCGCCACCAAGCAAAGACGGCCGGATCCAGGCAGCAGCAAATCGATTTCCTCTCAACGAATATCAGCAGGTTAGCTTGGTTCTTTAGATGGAATGAAAAGGATGTGGAAACTGATATTTATAGGATTCGTCAGTTCGAATATGGCATAGATGCTCACCTGTACGGAGTAGCTCTACCTAGTACCCAGTATATCTTCATCATCGTCTGCCTGATTGGGGTATAGGATAGCAAATGGAGGCAATGGGGGATTTATTCTCCGCTTTCCCTTCAGGCTGCTTATGCTCTCTTGTTCTGTTGAATCTGTTCTATCTTGATAAATCCAATTCTTCACTTGGAAGCTGACAAAATGAGTGAGGATACCTAAGGAGGGGAAGTATTGTGTGATAACGAAAATAACCGCAGCAACTTCTCCCCTCCAAACATTCAACCCCGATAGAGCTTCTTCCCTTCAGAGTCATAGCTTCCACCGTCTCGTTTGGAGACCATTTCACCCATCACCTATCCCACAGGATGGATCCCGAAGGAGTATTCGGGAACTCATATCCACTTCAGGTAACACTACGCCTGGCCAATTGGACGACACCCGCCAACCATCCGTCAGAAATGTTCCGACCAGATCGAAGTTCTATTTAAGATACAGGGGAGATATCGCGGAGTCACTCTGTTTGCGTGATGAATTGCAGTCTGAGCTTGTCTGACGCAGAGACCTCGATAATTCACAATGGCTGAACTTGCACGCACGCTCCCAGCCTCCTGGTATTGTAGCCTCCCGCTCTATCAGCTCGAGAAACGGGCTGTGTTCTTGAAGGTATGTCGTGGGTTTGATTTACTCATCCTGAGCGATCCGGTCTCTGATAAACTGATAGGCTTGGTATTTGCTCGGTCCTGTGACGAGATTCCGCAATGTTGGCGAAATAGTGAACTATGAGATAGCTCAGCAGCCAATACTGGCGGTTCGGGGTTTTGATGAAGCTGCTTTGCCTACCTTTAAAGAAATTAAGGTCATGTGTGCGAGAACGGCATGTCGAGTCTCTTTTCGAAACCTGGGCCGTGGGATGTTCCTCAGCGTCTCTAACTGGTTTTTAGGAGCGGCCTTTGCGTCATCATGTTACTCCCACGGGTCTTCTCTTTGCGACCCTGTCTGATGATGCACCGAGTTTCCACGAGTATTTCCCAGAGTTAGAGCCGTTGCTTCAAAGAGTAGATTTCACCAAGCTACCACTCAGGCGCAGCATCAAGTACGAGGGGCGTTTCAACTGGAAGACGATGTAAGTTCTGGTCTTCCATCGCTTATAGATCATGCCCGTGGAATCTAATGTGGGTATCTACAGGGTTGATGGCTATCAAGAATGTCTACACTGTCAATATACGCATCCATCGTTTTCGGTGTACTATCCTCCTACCTGGTACAAAGTTCACAACCACAAGAACTTCTCACAGCATATTGCAGACCCCAAGAAACCAGATGATGGCCTATTCCTTTACTTCTTCCCGAACTGCACCTTGAATGTGTACGGCGGAGGAATGTCTTCATTTCGGGTTTGCCCAACGGAGGACCCCAATGTAAGCCGAATGGAGTTCGACTACTACCACATGGAGACTGGCGAGAAATTCGAAGAGTACTATCGATTTGTACGCCAGGTAGCTACGGAAGACTATGAGCTGTGTGAAAAGGCACAGGAAAATCTTACCAAAGGCGTATACCGCGAGGGAATCCTGAATCCCGAAAAGGAGAATGGTGTATCTTGTGGGTATTTCCTATCTATGACTGCTGTGTACTCAAGCTAACACCTCTTTAGTCTACCAAGGTCGCGTGTTTGAACTTGTTTGCCAACAGCATGCATTGGATCGGTTGCAGGAGGCCAAAGTCGAAGCCAAACCGGCAGGCCAAGAGCCAGCATTGGGAAGCATTCAGACAGCTGCGTGATCGACCGACCTGGTTGGAGACCGGAGAATGGCAACCGGACCGACGGTGGAGAGGTGGCTGATGCTGATGCTGATGCTGCAGTTTAAAATTGCCCTTTCAAGCACTAGGTAGAGATAAGGCCGTAGCACGTCTAGCAGCATTAATAGAACACAACCTAATCCACGAGAAACGAATGAATGGACGAGCCTACTCCTTTTGGCCATTAATTATTAGCAATGCTTCAGGAAAACTGCACCAAATCCGGCAAGTCGCATGAAGAGGGGGGGGGGGATTCAGAGCTAAATCTGCCGCTCAGTTAGTCTGATCGATGCCAACAATATAGCAAAGATAGAGAGGGGACCACCCCAGGGTCTCTTTAAATGCGATCAAGTTTCACCAAGCTCAGGTCAAATCCTTCTGTACAACGAACTCAAGAATTGAGCCAAGATGGAAAGTCTAACCTCGTCTTTCCCAGCACTGGTGGCGTTGCTTGCCGGGGTCACTTTTCTGTATCGAGTGTGGTCTCGTCCATTCGTATGGAATCATCCATCGCCTGCAAAAATTCACCACGAGGTAATTCCAGCGGTGACTCAGAATGAAACGCACGCTGTGTCCAAAGAGTCCGATTTCCCGGAAGACTGGCTGGCGGGAAAGGGGGTTTTCGAACTGGAAAGACGTGCTCTCTTCAGCAAGGTTGGTATATCACATCTGTTGAACGGACAGCACAACGATGATAATCTCATACTTAACACAGGCCTGGGTCTGTCTATCCCATCGCGCCCGATTCTCCAAAGCCGGAGACTATCAGTCAATCGACCTAGCTGGGTTTCCCATCGTTCTGATCCTCGGAAAGGACAGCGTCGTCAGGGCTTTTCACAATGTATGCCGCCACCGCGCATACCCGGTTACGAAGAAAGAATGTGGCTCATCCACGGTGCTGGGCTGTCGATATCACGGGTGGAGCTATAACACCTACGGGCAGCTCATCAGGGCACCTCATTTCGACAGTGTGCCAGGGTTTGATAAAGCTCAGAACGGGCTTTTCGCAGTGCACACCTTTACCTCAAACTCCGGGTTTGTGTTTGTCAATTTCGAAACCAATGCAACTGCATCCTCGCCAGAGACAGAGGTCCTTGATACGTTTGCTTGTAGAAATCGAATCTCTCCGCAGAGCAGCTGGGTGTCGGGGCAGACATTAGAGGCGCGTTTCAACTGGAAGACCGCCCGTAAGCTTTGCTTTTCCTTTCTTTCCTTTCTTTCCTTTTTTTTTTCGACCTCTGGCTCTAACTGGGGATCAGTGAGATCAAAGCAATTTCAGGATGTAACAGAATTCGAAGACCAAAAAGCTTCTCCAATCGGAGCCCTGCTGAGCTATCTTCAGCGAAAGCCAGAAGGATCATCCTTCTTCTTTCCCATTACCTCTTTATTCACTACCCCAAGTTCAGGGTGCTGGTTCTCTCTGAGCTTGCTTCCTCTCTCTGAGCAGAAGACCTCTGTTCGGTACGACCTGTACAGCTACAAGAAGCTGGAAGACGAAGCAACCAAAGCTTTGCTCGCCAAGTTTACTTTTGCTTTGAAAGAAAAAATCGCAGAGATAGAGGCCGAATATGATTCATACGTTATTCAAAAAGGGTGCGGCTCATACAGCGTTAAGAAAAGCAAAAAAAAAAAAAAAAAAAAAAAAAAAAAACTAACAAGATATAGGGACTCGATGTCTTTGCTTTCGAAGCTTGACCCCGAAGATGCAGGTATGTAATTCGCAATCCAAGAAGACATTTTGTGCCGGATCTAAGCGGCAAACAGAAACGCAGCAGCGCATCCTTAACCTCTTGAAAGAGCACAAGCAGCTGGAGAAAGCTCGCGGGACTGAAGTCTTCCCCGCAACGAGAGAACCCAGGACAAATGCCAAATATGAGCAAGCTGAGCAGCGTGCGTGATTCCGCTTCTATCTCGACGGGATGCTAACTTCTCTATAGTATGCAGAGAGCTCGATTGCCAAAACGGCACAGGCCAAAAGAACCTTTCGTGGTAGTTGAAGTCATGGTGTTTCAGTTGGAGGAATCAGTTCACAATTCGATCGCATGTTGGCGGGCATGGAATAGCAACCGGTAGTCTGCAGCATGAATTGACGAATCAATAGTCTATTCTAATTATACATAATGCAAGCTGGTAATGCAAGGCCACAGTCAGTCGAAGAAAGTCTTTCGTACCTAGTTAGTATACTACAATAGTAGCCACCACGATAACCATCACTTGGCTATAATAAGAACGGGACAAGCCAATCCTATCTTCTTAAATTCTACCCTAGTTTATCTTCCAGAAGTTCATTCGGCTATTCTGCGGCGAATCTTGATCCATAAGAGAAGACTGTAACATAGGTACTCGGGTCCCTACTCACATCTTCCAGATAAGCCCGGAGTATACCATCGGCCCCTTCGAGCCCAGCCTGTAAAGTGGCCTTCACGATAGGAGGTAGTTCGATCTCTCTACCAGACCAGATAATTTCCACAGAATGGCTATCTACGAGAGAAGAGATCATTATTCGTTCGCATAGCACCCGATGGGTCATACATTCCCGAGCTCCCGTAGTGCTTCGATGCATAATCTGGAAACGCACATGGGGGCAAGGGGGCCGATATTTCAGCCCCTTCCGGGATTACTGTACTTCAGTTACATATATGAAGAGTGCATCAGATAATGAGGGCTTGGTTAATGGTTCTGGTCTGAATGCTGGCTTTGTTGGACTAGAATGCGATGCTCCTCTTACCGAAAGGGAACCTGACCATAAGTAATAGAACCACTCCGTACCTATGAAGGGAGGGAATATTCAAGTCAGCCTAGCTGGAAGAGAATGCAAAATGAAAAACATAGCCCCCGACTGCGGACTGCAACTAATCTCAAGCCGGTTACTCCAGGTTACTATATTAGGGCAGAGTCTTAGGTGCAGACGGGGCCGGCCAATACGAGGGAATGCATGTCATGTCGATCGGAGGAAAGATCTTCGAGAACGAGTCATATCAAAAAAAAAAAAAAAAGAAAGAAAGAAAGAAAGAAAGAAAGAAAGAAAGAAAGAAAGAAAGAAAGATTAGAATGTTGCTATCTACGTTGAAGATCTGAAGACTGGAAGTTGATCCGGGAATTAGGGCATCGTGAACTTCGACCGGAATCACAACAACATTCCACAGTAAAACAGAAGTCAGTTCAGTTCTCTATGTATCTTTCTACTAGTATCTCATCTTAGGACTACTCAAGATTGACATCATCAGGTATCTGTATCTTATAATAATTCTACTCAGCCTTCCCATGTGTGACTCCTGCACAAATCCTCCCCCATCCTTACGGAGTACGACCTCGCGCTTCTATGCGAACAAGGATGATTTACAATCTTAGGGTGTTTTTAATAGTCTTATGATTCTACAGACTCGTATGCAGAAGAGAACCGATCCGAGCTGACATCTCTTACGTGGTGTTGCCAGTTCCCAGTAGTAAAAAAAAGAGAGCATCTCCTGCCATCCTTTGAACTCATTTAGCCCAAATATTGAGAGAGACCTCTTTGTCTCTCTTTTACTGCTCCACAAAGGTATGTATGTATGCTATCATCACCAATGAGGACGAGGCTGGGCTCACTCAATACTGCAGACTGGTCTTTGTCTGGCCCTGCTCCGAACTCAAAGGCGCAATTGGTTCTTGCAACATCTTCTTTGTCTTGGGATATTTCTGAAACCCTTTATGCCTATGTACAGGCGGCTATAATTGGGACTGGTAGGCTTCGAGAAGTTCGCAGAACCCGGCCAATTTCCTAGGTGGTGTTTTGTATAGCAACAAAGACGACCGCAAAATAACTTCAGGTCATGATCCTGATTGGGGATAAGGACTGAGCATACCTATATCAGAACCGCTGGTGTGCTGTTTCATATTTCTCGAGCAAACCTCCTACTCCATCCAAAGCCAACATGGTACAGAGACACCACTCCGTCGAGAGCTTGTCCGACTGTTTTTACTACGATTCGGACGACTCCTCGATATCCCCCATCTCTGACCAAACGCCTCCTCCATGGTCGGGTACCCGTTGGCAGCGCTTCTTTCCGGAGCTCTCCTCGCACTTTTCCCTCGTGCCTCCCGCCAGCACTCGATCCCGAACTGTATCGGTTCCCATCGTCTATCGGGTTCCCACGGTCACAGGCCACAAGCGCCAGAGCTCGACAGACTTGAGAGAAACCGCCGAAATTAAACCCAGCCCGTCTTCACTCTGCTCCGACGAGGGTAGAGACAACTTCTCCTCCTCCTCCTCCTCCTCTTCGTGCTATAGTCGCCGGACATCCGTCACCAGCTTGGGCTCCGAGGCTTCCGTGTCTGCGTACAAATCAGCGGACGCCTTCTCGATCATTTCGCCAACCCAAGCAGGTGTATTTGACGACTCCGTGTCCATCATCCGGTCTGGCTCGAGCTTTACCCAGAGACAACCGTCTGTAGCTGAATCCAAACGAAAGCCGCTTCCTCGCGAGCCCCCGATCCAACTGATACCGTTATCAATCCGTCGGAAAGACACACATCCCGCCACCATTTCCGAAGACATCCTTGAGGATTCCCTCGATTCCACACGTCCCACGCCGCCGCCGCATCGTCGTCGCCATCATCATGAGCATAACCCGACCCTGTCCCAGGCAGCCCAGGAGCTCGAAAACGCTCTAGTGGGCCTGACCAAACGCCAGAAGCCACGGACGTCCATCCTCAGTCTCGACCGCCCTTTACAAGTCAGTCGCGGTAATATGGACATGATCGCGACACGACCCGCTCCGGCACCACCGATCGATTGTCCCCCCAGGGGGGAACTCCTGATCAAAGCTTCGTCGGACGAAGACATGAAACGCGCTAAGAAACCCCCCCACAGACGCAGGGCGTTTTCCTTCACGTTGCCCGGGTTTGGGAGGAAGAAGCATCATCGTATTCATCTCCGCACGCTTAGCGGGCCGCCTGGCATCGAGTCCGATCCTCAACTCCAGGATTCTGCAGCGAAGGCATTCGAAACCAAGAGAAATGGTAATCTCTCCGCGGTCGGACTAGGGGGAACACCCGCTCAAAGACCAACCTCCGTCAGCAGCGAGCGCGAGTTGCGCCTAAGACTCCCCCGCCTTCAAACAAAGCAAGGCATCACAAAGCCCAGAACCCCCACTTCTCCTCCCATCACCTCGCTGGGAAACGATTCCAGCACGGAAATTCGACGGGCAGTCTCTGATCGGGCTGGGAGTCGATCCATGGACCTAGTTTCCGGTCCCGAGATGGTGTACGAACTGGCAGCCGACTGCCCACCGAACCCGGTCGAATCGCCTGTTACTCCGTTTGCGCCGCTGGGCCAGATCATCTGGCCTCCTGTCTTGCCGGACGATGTTGTCTACGGGATCTTGCAACAATGCGACTCTCTCCCCGACCTGTTCCACCTCGCCATCATAAACAACCAGTTCTACCGGGTGTTCAAATCGCACGAACTCAGCCTCATCCAATGTGCAATATTCGCCATGTCGCCCGCTGCGTGGGAACTGCGCGAGATGAGCCCTCCCTGGGACTACGAGTGGCAGGTCCTCCTCGATGTGGATGCCCCCGTCCCCGAATACACAGCTGCGCTCTACCTGGATCGCTACACGCAGGATATTTACACCCTCGTGAAACTCAAATCGCTCATCTTGGCGCGCTGCGGAACCTTCCTCCGCCAGGAAACGATTCGGGGTCTGGCGGGCATGGATGACTCTCGTGCGTCCGAAATCGATGATGCCTTCTGGCGTGTCTGGACATTCTGTCGCATTTTCGGGTGCGGGAAGGGTCGAGAGGGCGATATTGTCGGGCAGATGGACTGGCTGAACGGCGGGATTATGGCAATGAGTCGACACACCGCAGTCACCATGTCCGTCACCGAGCCCTTTGGCATGCACGATGTTTTGTTCGAGCCTCCGGAGGGATTCGGACTCGGAAACAAGGGTGGCCTTTCACAGAGCCAACTCTACGATATGACAGAGATCTGGACCTGTCTTGGGGTACTTCTCCAACCAATGCACGGGAGATGCAGCGAGGCACGGAGCGCAGGGGTCTATGACGGCCACGACGTAGCAGAAGGCGATGACAAGAAAGCGGAAAACCTGTTAGGTATGTATTTTCTCTCTCTCTCTCTCTCTCTCTCTCTCTCTCTCTCACACACACACACGCCACACAATGAAACTAAGCTAGGTCCCAGCTAACAATCAACAGAGGAATGGACATACTACATCCTCACCCTTGGTCCTTCCGCCGTGCTCGCGCTCGGTTCCATCACAAACAGCGACAAAGCCACCGAGACCTTCCAAAAAGCTCAATCGATGGGCTTGACAACCTGGAAACCGGCTGATTCCAGCCGCTCCGCCTTCTTCAGAGAGGCCGTATCGAAAGCCTACAAACCACGAGATGGCCTGACCCGCCGACGATCCCCGCAATCCTCGCAGACCGGTTCAAACAAATCCATTCGATCCTCTTCCTCTCGCGAGAGCTCCCCAACAAACAGCCGGGGCAGTGACCGACATCCCGCCCTCCGACTCACTCGTCGCAGACAAGCCGCGTACGCCGCCCAGCTCCGTGACCGACGTAACAAACCGCAGCCCCAAACCGAAGTGATCTTTGCCGAAGAGCGTCCAATCTCCAGCTTTGGCATGATCATGGATCGTCTCGCAGGAGTTACACACACAACCCCCCAGCAGCATCCACCACTCCCTAGAGTGAACGTGATCCCACCACCACCACCACCACCAGTACAGCCCACCCAAATCCCTTACCCTGACCCTCCACCATACAACCCCCCCGCGGCCCAAGGGTACCACCAGCACCAGCCCCCCCAAGTCCGCGACCCCGTCGACAAAGCCATCGACATGATGGTCCGCGAACTAGGCTTCAACGAAGAAGACGCAAAATGGGCTCTCAAGATCACAGACACAGGCGAAGGCATCGATGCCAACGCGGCCGTGTCGCTGCTCATGAAAGAATACCAGAACTCCGAGCAGCGCGCAAGTCGGTTCTCCCTGCACCCGAAACAACCCAGTATTCTTGAGTCGGTGATTCAAAGCCAGGAGTCGCTGAATTCGGGATGGAGATGGGCTTAGTTGGCTCTTTTTTTTTTCTGCCTTTCTCCAGTTATTTATATATATACATATCTATATAACTGTCAGCGTTCTTGGTTGTTCTTTTCAGCTCGGTATTTCAGGAGTTCGATACCCAATTTATGTTATATTGCACGCGTAGTCTTTGTATGAGTATATATATATATATATATATATATAGCTTTGAGTCAGTGAATGGAAATACATTATATTTTACTTGAGCGTGTGCTTGTGCTTGTGCTTGTGAATAAATTAAATTAAGTTGAAAGAGGGTAGCTCCGTGTTAGCAGATTATTTATCGATATGTATGTACTCAATAAACAACAACTTGGCCGAAGCTATGTATGTATTGAGAACTGCCGAATAACGCTTACAATAACTAATGCATTCAATGCAACTACAAAAATGCCTCCCTCCATTCCACTCATTATACAGGTATTCGCCGGGATTTTTAGTGGAGAACTAGGGACAATTCTCTAGAGTTCCTACGCCAAAGTTGGCTCCTGGATTTATTAGATTATTTCAAGTCCTAAATACTATATAGAATCTCAAGTAGATATAACAAGCAAGATATACCTTACAAGCAGCTCCCCGAAAGCAGCCGGGATCATGAAGAAGAGGAAGGGCCGGTTGTTGATGGCAGAGAGCCGGGTTCCCCCCCCAGTTGTTCTCCATAGTCATTTGGAAGAGCGTCAGGAGGGCCGGAAAGGTTGTGTGGAGCACTGCTGTCTCTGGCAGAGAGGCTCCGCTGGCGCTTGGCTTGTCATGCTGGCGTTTCGGGAGGCAGTTGGAGGGTTGTTTTAGGGCATTGTGTGGATATGTAAGGAATTGTGAGAGCGTTGGTTTTCTTCAGAATATGATAAATGCGTATAGGATTGTTCGCACGGCGACAAGTACGGGGCAAAGACCAGTCAGTACCTGGTCAATTGGAAAGGATGGCCAACATACATACATACATATGAAACTGAAAAAAAAAAAAAAAAAAAAACTGATGCCAGCCGCCAGTAGAGTGACAGCGAAAAGACCCTCATTCGTCATATAACCATCCCATATTTCTTCAAAAAGTCGTCCTCCATTTCGTTGAGGGCCAGCCCCCACGCGCTGAAGGTCGAATACCTGGAAGAGATTGCGGTTTATTGATCGCAAAAGTCGCTCGGTCTGGTCCTCCCTCTTCAAGCGCCGAAGGAGGATATCCGTATCATGCGCCCACTTACATATTGCAAGCCGCGACGCCGGCGGCGCCACCGGCCATCGCCTGGATCTCTCCCAGCTCGGGGCGTACAGGGGCCACGACGGTTGTAGATGAATGCACATGGGCAGAGGGACATTGCTCAGAGGAGACCCGGGCTGTGCTCGATGAACTCGTTGCTAGTTAGCAACTCGGCCGCGTTCACCTCATCCAACGCATCCGGCTTGACGACGTGGATGCTGTCCTGCATCGGTGAGCATCCGCCTACCACTGTCCTAAAACAATGCAAACACCAGAGGAACTTCGGCTTTACGACTGAGCCATTAGTGGTGGCTCTAGTGCAAGGCATAGTGGAAAGGGGACCGAAAGGTCAACGAAAGTATCGAGAAAAGAAAGATTTTGATTTGATTTGGGTCAGAAAAGGAAGCAAAGAAAGGGCAACGATCACGCAACGAAACTGGGGAGTTTACAGCGCAATCACTTGTTCCTGCAGCTCTAGCTCTTGGATGGCTCTGAACCCATCCGGCCTGTCTGGGTCTCCCCTGAGCAATGGCCCTGCCCATGTGCATTCATCTACAACTTTCAGATACTTCTGAAAGTCCGTGGCCGGCTCTTCAAACGCCGTATCCAGTCTAATTCTGCCTCCATAGCGGCTACTTTGGCCTCCAAAAGCTCGAACACGGCTGAACCGTTTCTCCTGGTGTGCAAGGTCAGCCTGTGTCTACTTGACCCTATTGCTTCGGCGGGGACGCCCACCCTGCCTGAGAGAAGATGCCGTCATAACCAATCAGAAACTTTCAAACAATGGATCTCGATCTCGGCGCCGTGGCCGATTATCTATCACAACCAACCATTGGTTGTGGCAGAGGGCGACTTTCAAAGTCGCGAATAAGCTTCTTTGGCATCAGTCAAGTCTTCTGCGCGAATCCACCAGTCATCGTCTGGCCCATAACCCTTCCATCTCACACGATACTCTGTGAACGGAGTACGCATGCGGCCAACCTTAATAGTGTGCTTGTCAACTATCTTCTCAATCTCGTACTGATCTTTCTTCCTGGGGTTGGCCGTCGATAATAGGACCTGGCTTGGGTAATTCCCGGCCATAAGGATCCTTTCTAGTCGGGGCAGGCTCCAGCTGCGCGATAGATACCACAGGGTGAATATGACAAGTCCACTCGTCCGATGACCTTAAACGGTCCTGCGTACTGTTTCTGTAGCTTTGTTGGGAGTCTGAGAGAACCCTACTGGCCCAGGGCCAATGTTGTATCCTCGATGCAGGCGAAGATAGACTTCACTGCCCGTAGGCTAAGACACCGGTTTGTGTCTTGGTTCAAAGAGCGCAGCGAACTGCGATACGTACAGTGAATTGCAGAATTCAGTGAATCTCAGATCCGGTAGCTGTCTATTTTTTGGCATCAGCGAGGATACTCTTTCGGGTATTGCTGGTGGGTTAGACATATTGTAATAAAAAAAAAACCTCAGATTCTCGAGAAGAACAGGGTTGAAGAGAGGAGGCAACTCAGTATTGAGGAAGAAGGGAAGCGTTGGGGAGAGGAAAGAAAATGAGTGACTCATATATAAAAAAGGGTATGATGAATGAACCTGCTTTAATAACAGGCTCTTATTCACTTACAGGCTAAGGTAACATATTCTGTTCAGTAATTGAATTGAAAGCCAAATTCGAGGTGAATTGAAAGTGAGAAATTGTCCAACAGCAGTTCAAGCACTAACCTCTAGCCAGATTCTAGTCACCCAGGGCCTGAATCATCAAGGCTACTACTGGTGATATCGGAACATCTGTGCACGTTTGACTCCTCTCGACATGAATATCGATACGTCTCCAAGCTGGTCCGAGTTCATACGGATGCTCGAGTCGAACCACTCGAAACCAGTCATTCATTGCAGATAGTGCCACGTTATGTCAAAGTTGATGATTTCTATCGCCAGAGGACAGAAAGCGAAAGAGCTGTCGTTGTGGCCCAAGCACATCGAGATCGGTTTCAATATTCGAATGAAAGTCATCTTTAGTGCTTCACGCACTGTGCATCTGCTGGATCTCCGCTGACCCACCCTCCCCCGGGTATCTATGTAATATACCAGAAGACTGGTCGATGCTCTCCGTCTAAATGGGTATGTCAATCGACGGGGTCTGGCCTGATGTTGAAAGCTTACAACTCCTTCGCCAACCCAACACATCACCAGGACCACGGGAGAGAGTCATAGAATAACATATCGGTACTCCCAACAGATTATCAGGCTCGAATAATATGAAGCGAAACTCACTCATCAATGCCGGTTCAGCATTTGGTGGACACCATCCAGATGAGGAAGAGCAGGCACCATCCGCGCCACTGACAAGGCCTGGTATAGCTAAGGCCAGTAGGGCAAATCTAGATCCTTGGAGATCAGCTTTGAAGGATATTGAATTGTCAGCCCTAGAGGTTCCTGCCAAGCTATTTTCCAGGTGATGAACCGAATAAAGGGGCAGGCTGTTGGTGTGGATGCAATGAAGGCTACAGACCGAGCAACCCTGTATAGTTCGTAGTAAGCCTATAGAACCCATCACAATGTTAATGCTTTCAACTTGATTTCGGTAACAAGGCCAGTTTACCGTAAATTTGCTTTCTCAACTAATAATGCTGATGCTAACATTTTATGCATTGGTTATTTACTAGGTGTTTGTTAGTTACCTTATTATAAGGGTCAGGAAGGATGCCAAAGCCTCAAACCAGGTAGAATAATATTCACCTAATCCGCTATTCCTGTAGTCATAGAGGATCGTGTCTAGTTTTTAGAAGCACCACCCTTACAGTCGAGGCTTTACAAGCCTACAAACCGGTCAGCAGGAGTTGGGCCTTGATAGGATCAATTTTCCGAAATCCTACCTAATCTATCCTCTATAGTCTATAATATGTCTGTTTGTATGCAGGGAATAAACGGCACTAAAGTAGAGATTTCGCCGTAGAGCTTAGAGACGTGCAGTAAGACCTTGCATTTGCATCCCGCGTCCGTGCAGAGAAGATAAATGCAAACAAACATGGAGCAATATTCACCGAATGATAAAAGTGAAATGACTGACAAATAGTACTAGAGTCAGCCATCTTTCCGAGGATTCTAGGCCACTTCGCGGAATGTTTCATCATTTGTGAAAGACAACTCAGGAATCACATACCAACGACAGTGCAGATGTACCTGAACTTTGCGTTAGTTTGATGTACCTGGAGCTTAATCCAGCCGATACGAGCGGAGGATGGGAAGAGTTCGCTTCTTCTTGCCAACTAGGTGGGTTGACCATGTCATCATCAGCCCAGGATTCCAATATTCAATAATTCCATCGAGTTGTGTGATGTATCGATCCCTTCTGCAAGTACGCGAAGCCGATCCCCAACGATGGTTACTGCGTTTGAGCTGAAATGGATCGGAATTCTGACAGGTGAGATGCCAATCTTATGGTCCTTTCTAAATGAAGGTCAAATTGTCAGTGAGGACTTGATGAAAATCGCTAAACTAACTTACCGTCCAAGACAGGAGTGGATGCAAGGGGGAGGATGGTTATTGAAATCGACCAGGGCGTGGAAACGAGGGCAAAGAAAGAAAAACTTGGAATTTCTCTGGGGATTGTTCAATCTTGGATGCTTTTTGAAAGACTGGCTTCATGCAAAGAAGACGAAAAGAAGCAGAATCATCCAAACTCAATTCTCACCATCCCCCCCTGATCAACAACTGATCAGTCAATATATCTCATCGCACGTCTTCACCACCAAACACGCCTTCGTTCTCCCTCTCATCCTCCCTTCCTCGGGCTTATTGTGTCCCACTCGAGGATATGCGAGGGATGGAGAGCACTGGCACTGGAACAAACTCTGGCTCTGGCACTAGTTCTCCTTGAAACAAGCAAGTATGTGGGAAAGCCGTTTGGCACCAGAGGGACAGTTGGCCCGCAGCTGTCCTCTGTCTGTCCTGGATGTGCAGAAGACTACATATGCAACACCAACAGCTCATTGAAAATGACGCCTCACCCGGTTCTTCGGGTCTGATTTCTGTTTCCCTATTTTGCTTGAGAGCCCACGGGCTGAGATATCCTGAGACAGTCTGTCTCATTCTTGCTCTTCTCTTGTCCTTCCACCGTCTTTCTTTCTTCCCTGCCCCTCTCTTTTTCGTCCATCTCACTCGCTCGCTCTTCCCCTTGTCAACATGAGTATGGACCGCCACGCTCCCTACCCAAAGAAGCCATCGTTAGACAGGTGAGAGAATATACAACCCATGATGCAATCTGAGCTGCAACCTTGGCGGTTTACTGACTTCCCCTCAATCATTAATGAAGTAGTAAATATCAACTGCCCAATGAGGCGAAAAGTGAATTAGAGAAGGACATCCACCTCAGTGGCTCGTCCCATGGCACATCAAACAGATTAGAAGCGAAGACACGTATCCTAAGAGCATCGGATATCCTCTTGTCCTTAGCCGGCAGGTCCACAAGCGGTATATTCTTCCTTGATTACATACGTACCCAAATACTATACACCATTTGCATGGGAATGGCTACGGCGTGCAGCTAATACGGTATCGCCTGAATAAACAGAGAGACTCGAAAGCTCACCCGGAGTTGAGAGCTTCCAAGAAGCTCTGCGCTTGTTTCCTCCTTTCCGTGATGATGATGGGGCCACCTTTGGTGCAATGGAGGTCAAATGCCCCGATTGCGATGCAGTATTTTCCTCTTCGTATGCAAACACCTCACAGCTCTTTGGAGATGGCCTATGGTCTAACCGGGACTCTAGAAACGAGCTGAAACAACATTATCTGACGAGATTTTGTGCCGGAGCTGCTGTGGCTGTATACGTGATGACACGCGATCGGTATGCTTCACTTCTTCTGTCTCTGCTCGAGGCTTCTGCTAATTATTTTTGCGTTTCCCTAGCTTAATTACCAAGGGCTATCGCATGGAAAAGCGACTTGTCCCATTGGAGTGTCGCCCCATACGGTTCTTCTGCCACACTTGTGAAAGACAATTCCCCGTCAGTGACGATGGGGAAATCATAGAAAGACCGCGAAGTAGGTTCTTGGTGTACCCTCCTACTCTTCGACACACATTCTAACCAAATTAGATTCGCCATGCTTTGTTGAATGCACCTACTGCGGTACCAAGTGTAATATCTTGTCAGTTTAACCTTTGTGTGATGGCCGTGAAAGCGCTTGGATTCTTATACTCTTCAGATATGAACCGGTCCTAAACGACCCCCGAGACGACCCAAGTTTCCGAGATATCCAGAAGGAGATAGGAAGCATCGGACATAGTCGAAGCCCTAGCCTAGTTCAGAAGAGCTCGATGACCTCGAAATTCTCCATGGCAGAATCTACTGGAGAGCCCTCACTGGCTAAGAGGGCGAGGAAGCTGCGTGATTCATGGTCATTCCGAAGTATGATTTGTCTCTAGCGTTTTCGGTAGCTAGGGCTAACGTCAGTAGAATTATCTCAAGGCGACGAAGACGAGTTACTAGCAATTAGCTTTGCCGGGTTATTTGATTTAGAGCGAGGTAAGCTGCGGTCTGCTATCCTCTGCCTGGTAGCTAATGTTGGCAGTCCACGCCCCCAATGGGATATACCAACAACTTTCGTCTACGAGTGGAATGGGTCTATCTGATGTGAGCTTCTGCTCGAGCGGTATGGAGTCCCTAGATATATATGCAATTCCCCCTCGATCCCACATGCAGGATCTAACGATGTAAAAGTTATCGAGTCTAGCAGGTCCGGGAGACTTATGTGCGAGGACGACAACGATCATCACAGAAGCGGCCTTGCCGACTCACAGGAGCTTCCCGACGAGAGCAGAAAGCCCGAGGACGATACTGTACCGTCATGTAAACGGCAATCGTTCCTCCAGAAAATATTTGGCCGTAAGGTGCCAAAAGGTGTGTCATTTTCCTACGCTACCCCCTTATTAGGACAGGAACTCATTTTGTAGGTCTATCTCGAGCTCGATCTACTTCGAATCGAGGCAAGAAATTAATGAAACACGCAAACACCATACGATTCTCCTTCGTCGCCAAACATACAAGAAGCGACAGCAGAACAACGGTGCGGGATATCGAAGGGTCATCTGAGGAAGTTCTAGCTACTGAGGTAATCGAGAGAAGCCAGAATACCAGCTCTGCCACATTTCAAGATGCCGAGTACGTTACACTACTACACAGTAGCCAGAGCATCTTTGTGCATATGCAGTATCTTTCTGGAGGAGCAATTGTTCATGATGCATCGGGACGCCAAAGAATTCTGCAGGTGGACGAGGTTGCGAAGCTCTTTCTGCACCTGCAGAACGAACTTTCAGCAGCGGCAACCTGGTCACGGACAGTAACAACGCGTACGAAAGCAGAAGCTTTGCTCAAGCGGGGAGACTCTAGAGCAGCAGTGGTTGAGTTCCATGATGCCATGAGAATGCTGGACGACACGCCCGTGCTAGATATCGACAGACAATCCCGCGCAGCAATCCTACACTCCCTGGGACAGGCCTATCGTGACCTTGACATGGCCGCAGAATCAGAAGCATGCTATTTGGAATCGTTGGGTCTCTACAAGCGAGCCCTGGGACGCGACCACCCAAAGAACTTTGCAGTCCTCCACGATCTAGGAAGTCTATGCGAAAGAGACGGTTACGCAACCGAAGCAGCAGCGCTGTACGAACGTTCATTCGCAGGTCGACTGAAAACGCTTGGGCATAACGCCCCAGAGACTCTTAGCAGCATGCAGGACCTAGCTGCTCTGAAGGTTCTTCTAGGAGACCTCGAATCCGCTCTTCTCCTCCTCGAAAAGGCCGTGCCAGCCCTCGATACTGTCTTTGGGATACAGAATGCAACTACCCTCAACGCGATGAACCAGCTATCTCTTTTGTACCAGAAACTCGGACTCGACAAAGAATCTCGCGCGATATGCAGCAAGACCATCCCTAACTGCCGCAGCGTCTTCGGCATCAACAGCCCCGTCACCAGAGACGCAGTGGTAAGGTATCTCCAAAGCTCGGATAACTTCGACTTCCCCCCAGAAATCAAAGACATCCTTGACCATTACAAACGCTCCCGCGACCCCGATTGCCTCCGCGTGATTCACAGGTTAGGAAGATCCTACATGGACTCGGGCCTGAACCGCGACGCAGCAAACCTCTTCGAAACCCTCGTGGAGGACTTTCTCGCCGCCAAAGGCCCCGAAGCTCCAGAAACCTTTGACGCTCTCAGCGCCCTCTGTGTCTCACGCGAACACCTTGACTCTATTGATAAAGCCATCCTCGCATACAAACAACTCGTGCACATGGCCAGTCGAACACCAGAGGACCACCACTCGCGGAAAAGAATCGCCTATGCAGAGAAACGGATCTCTGAACTGAACCGCCGACGTGAGATTCTCTCCTCGGAAAGAAAAGAATGGGGGCTTGACAACCCCGGCCGGTGCGAGAGCTGTGGTTCTCCAGCTACAAGTCTTTGTCCTAGTAAGCTCTCCTCTCCTTTCTCCGCTATAAAGAATACTGTAATAATAACACACCCGCCAACTGAAGCCTGCAAAATTACCCACTTCTGCAACGACTCCTGTCGTAAACTCTCCTCACATTCCCACAAACCCCAATGCATCGTCTCCGTCTCCCTCCGAGAATCCAAATCTCTCGCCGTGAAAACCAAATGTCCAACCTCAGCGCGAGACCAAGCCCTCTCCAAAATTGGCCACTGCGATACTACTAGTGGTGGCAGCACCAATAGTGTCAGTATCAGCCAAACCCTAAAAACCATCAACGTAATCGCAAGCTACACCTTCTACCTGGATCCGCGCAACTTCACCACCTTCCGAATGAAACTCAATCCCGACGTCAACACCGTGATTCTATTCTCGCTTGATTCAGATATCCAGTATGCAACAATTACTCATAATAATTCGGCATGCGAGTCGAACAAGCCAACGAAGCGTAGCAGCAGCAGTACAAGACCCTTGACATCTTCATCCAAAACAAAACTTTCCTCCTCCTCCTCCTCTTCGTCATCGTCGTCGTCATCATCAAACAACAACAACAACAACAACAACAACAACACTACCACTACTACCACTCCGACCCCAGGAACAGCATCAACCCCCATCCAATGGCTCACGCCGCAACGCCAAGAATCCATCTCCTACATCCCGTCTCCATCCCCGTCGTCCGCAGAAAAAACGCCCCCAAAACAAAGCGAGGAGAAATACATCCTCGTCACCCCGGGCAAAGAAATGCTCAAGTCCATCATCGACAAGCGAATCAGTGCGCGCGGGGGGGGTGGCGACAAAGAACTCTTCCGGCCCTTGGATTTGCCCAACGCTGAGCTTATCGAGTATGCGCAGGGCCTGCTCTTGACGGGGTATTTAGGGGAGGCATTTATGTATGTTATTGAGTGGGGGTGGAAGTGAGCGGACCTACCTACCTGGTTACGTTACGGAGTAGTTGGCTCTCTATGTCTTGTCTATTTCTACTTACATTGCGGTTGGGAGCTTTCGTTTGTGTTTCTTTATTCTTTTCTTTTCTTCTTTTTTCATTGTTCAAGTATGGGAGGAGGGGTATATAGTTGTTTTTATTGTTTTAATGTATCTTTTTGCTTGGGAAGCTGAGCTTCTGGAGTGGTTGGTTGGTTGATTGATTTATTGATATCAAATACATTTATCTTGGTGTTTCTGGGTTAATGGTTCTCATTATACATGTCACGCAAACACTGAATTCTCTCCAAGTCTGGGTGTAGAGAAGAGGTAAAGATACAAAACTTGCTCGGCCACAGGGGCTATTTACAAGAGGGGGGGGGGGGGGGGGGGAAACATTGCACACATGACTCTAATCCAACGGACGTGTCTCCTCGACAAAGTCCGAGGGTAGAAAGCTGTAATGCTAAGCTTGTTGGCAGGATCGTAACTCGTAACGTATCTAGATAGTTAGTTAGTTTTAGATTTTTTTTTTTTCTTTTTTTTCTTATACTCTTTGAGTCCATAAGTTCCGCCATTCATCGAAAAACCGGAAATGCAAATAATGGAATAAGGACAGTTGAAAGTTGATTACCGTATCCGGGGAGCCAGAGAAAGCCACTTCTCCATCTAAGTTGTAATAATATCTCATCGTATCATAAAGGCTCCTAAGCCTGATTTATTGTCGTAGTAATTATGATTCCTCATCGTCTGACTTGGTGCTTTCGTTATCGCTGTTCCAGTCCTCTGCTTCCAGCGAGCGACCTTGAATGCCAAAGCTCAGGACGAATCCAATCAGCGAAACAACCGCAAAGACACCAAATGGGATAATTTCGCCTCTAGGTTGGATCCTGGCCGTCAGGGAAAACAAACTTCCGGATAGGAATGGGCCAAGAGCACGCCCAGCTGCCGAAAGCGTTTGGGCGAGGCCATTAAGAGCGCCTAGAACTGCATTGTCTGGTGCAGAATTGGTGATCTGGGGGGGGGGGGGATTAGCAACTCATTCCCATTTGTGCCAAAGGGAAGAACTTACCAACAGGAGAGCACTTGTTAGCCCACCAACAGCAGCCACAGTCTTGACCAGTAAGACAAAGCAGAGCTCAACTGCCATCAAAGCTGTTTTACCAGTCACTCCCTTTCCAGAGTCATCGCCTTTGTACCCAATAAATGGCATGAGAATGAATGAGATCACAAATCCGAAAAGACCAGCTCGATAGGACCACCGATTTCCCATCTTATTTCTGAGCTGACCAAAAATGCAGATTTGGAAAATAATCGTTACGACTCCAGAGAATCCCTGAGCCAGGCCAATCTCGGAGGGCTTGAGTCCACGCCCAATAGGTGGGGCAGCCTGTGAGAAAATTGGAAACAGCGCGTTGAAGGCAATATTACACAGCGCAAAAATGAGGTATGTCAGGAGGAGGAGGATGGTATCCCGGTTCCAGAGTTCACTTCGTGACAACGACTGGTGGTGGCCGCGATGGATATCAGATACTTCAGAGGCAGAATCCAAGTCACTGTCATGCTCCTGGCTCTCTTCCGATTGCTCACGTATCAAGCGATATGGAAGATGATCCGACGGTCGAATATGTCGGGGGCGCTTCCCGAAGCTGGTAATCTGCCACAGCCATGCGAAAAGGGCGCGAACCTTCTTTCCAAACTTCGGCAAAGCATCCGCATCGTCCAGACTCTCCTCCAAAAATATCAGGGAGAGAACAAAGTCTATCAACAGAATTGCTGCGGACAACAAATTTGGGGCAAGGTAAGGGAACGGATTCGGGTCGCCTTTGTTGAAAGGGTTCTGTCGGATCACAAGTAAGCCACCAAGGAGGGGACCAGTAATGCCTCCGATGCCATAAAGCACAGGCAGGTACGTAAAGGCCTTGGACTGATTACTCCGGTCCGTAATTTCCCCAAGACAGGTAGACACCAATCCCTGATTCCCATTCACGACACCCATCATTGCCTGTACCACGATAGCTTGGTACAAGGTCCTGCAAAACCCAAAGGCAACAAAGCATGCTGCTGTAAGAACCGTCCCGAGTAAAATTACCGGTTTTCGTCCCACTCGGTCAGAAAGCCACCCCCAGAAGTAGTTTGTAGCTAGCTGTGCGACCGCAAACGCCGTGGCAATCATTCCGACGTAGACACCAACCATACCTGGCTTCACCTCGGGGAACGAAGCCGCCATGTCTGGAAGATAAGGACTAATCGAGTTGAAAGCTGTCTGTTCGCAAAGAGCTATCATCGCCAGCACCGCCATCTGCTTCTTTGGGAGGGGCGAATGAGCGGATGAGTCATCGGACGACAAGTCATTTTGATGTTGACGCGATTCCTCGCCCGATGAGCCGGATTGGCCAGAGTTTGGCCTTCCACGAGACTTTGGCGGTGGTGTGTCGAAGGTGTGGTAGTGAAGGGTTGAAGAGCGACGCCGCGGGAGCGGATCCCCCTCGGGCGTCCTCATCGTCGCGTGTGTTGCAGGATATAAGCAAGGGGACCTCTAACACAAGACCTGACAGAAATACTGGGGCTCAATCGCGAACTGAAATGCGGGGTGGGCTGGAGAAGCCCACTAAGATCAAGAAGGCGCGAGGGCAGACACTGGGTTTTCAACGGACGAAAAGTAAGGGTTGCCGTAGAGCCTGAAATTCTGCTTCCAAAGGGACGATGAGAGATGAAATACTAAGAGAACTGATTGACAGAAAGGAGAGTGGGCTGCGACAAGCCGCATGCAAGCTGGATGGAAGGTGCGTGAGTGAGCAAGCAAGCAAGTGATTGATCAATTGAAATTATAATCGGAGGACCTGCGGATTCCCTATTGCGGTTAGTTTTACTATTTCCGGACTAGGGCCCTGATACTTCATTATCTCCATGTATATAACACCCTTCATCATTTCCTTCTCCCAAGCTCACCTCAATCAGTGGAGTTTTCTCATTCATCTACCGCCGCTGCTCCCCCCAATAGTGTGTGTTCCCGCGATAACGACAGGCCATGGCTGACTGTTGTCTGCTGCCCCTGCACTATACTGGTTTCCGAAAGTCATACATTCCTGTTGCAATGCGTCAATGTTGCTCGCAGCGTACTATCTATCCCATGTCGAATCAGCTCTTGCAGGATGACCATTAGACATACCCGGCAGGTTATCCCGGGAATTGAATTGACGTCTCCATCCCGAGACCTCATCATCTGATCGAGACGACCATGATTTGCCTGTGGGACATTTGCGATCTCGACAAGGATACACAGGAAATTGGACTGGAAAATGCCTCCAGTCAAGCCGTGGTCTGGGATCCATCCTCTGCCCAGGTTTCTCACGTGGTACTTCACCCCGCCCTGGGCGCTGGGAAGGGGATTTCGGTGGATCGAGAGGAGGTAGAAGGAAGTGATGATGGCTGTTATGATTGTATTAGAGACTGTCTCTGTTGCCTAATGGGCGTCAGAGACAATCCTAGGCAGGCCTGTAGTTTAGGTAACTTCTTTGTAGTTGGAGGATAAGATGATGTGGATCCGGATATCTTAAATTATATATTATACAAAGCTACCCTACCTACTACACCCCAGTAACTAACTAGTTAGTTAACTATTGTTACCTATGTAAGCTTGAATAGTTCTGAAAGACAACAAGCTAAATGGCCCTTCTAGGCCTTCTTGCTATGTTATAATTCCTTATTAACTACACAAGTACTCCGTACTTTAGGGTGGCTGGTGAAATTACAGGGCATCGTCTACCGGTCTCTCTTCTAGAATATATAATCGACAAGAACAATTAATAATTCAAACTACTCGAAGAGAAAAAAGAGTCCAGCCTCATGGAACCAGTCCCCCATGGAAAATCTCACTTCATCAACAAATTGACAGCCCAAGGGACGCTCAATCCCCTCAAATCACCGTAGTGTTGGCCGACGCCCAAGAACACAATAGGAATACCTGTAGCATGCACCATGCTTACAAGGGTACCCACCATATCGCCGACAGTATCGCACTTGCTAATGATAAATCCATCCAGGTTCCTCCCGGCACCGAAGGCTTGATTGAAATTCCGAGCCTGCATCACGCTGTCTGTACCCACCAAGGCTTCTCCAACCATGAAAATCTTGTCGGGTTTGGCAAACTTGGCAAATTTCTCTAGCGACGACATGAGGCGCTGGTCATTATGGCGACGTCCAGCAGTATCAATGAGAACCACATCGAACTTGTTGGCGGCGCCGTACTCCACGGCGTCCTTGGCCACATTTGCGGCATCCTTGCCATATCCCTTCTCGTACAACTCGACCTCGCCGGCACTTTCACGGGCACTAAGCTCCGCAAGGTTCCGCGCATGAACGCGGAGCTGCTCAACGGCTCCAGATCTGAAAGTATCGCAAGCCGCAATAAGAACACGGTAATTGTTTTGTAGCAGGAAATAGCAAATTTTTCCCAAATTCGTTGACTTTCCGACCCCGTTAACACCCACAATCGAGATCACGTAGGGCCGAGAGGTGGCTTGTTTGCTCTTGGGGTGAGTGACGGTATCAATTTCGTGCAGGAGGTCGAGGGAAGAGGTAGGCGTCAAGATCTTGCGCAGCGATGACTCCATCGCCGTATTCAAGGCAGCATCCACGCTCTGGAAATTTCCAGTCTTCTTCCCAACAAGCTCTTGTTTCACTCCTTCACACAGCCGCACTGCTGCCTCCCGCGCAACGTTTTTCTTGAGTAAGTGATCTTCCATGGCCTTCAAGGGCTTTTCTAGATCAGCTTCAGTTAAAACCTTACCGCCAACAATATTGCGTAGAAGGCCTCCAATTGCACTGAAGCCAGAGCCGACAAAGCCTGTGGGCGCCGCGGATTTGGCCTTCTCATTGTCTGCATTCTCTAGAATGGAGTGGACTTCATCACCAAGATCCTTCAAAACAAATTGGCCCTTTCCGGTACGGCGACCCCAAGTGTCCTGCGGGACGCCTTCCACCGCTGGCACCGATGCACCCTCTGCATCAGCAGTCGCAGAGTAATCTAAAACAGTTCCATCATCCTCATCCGCAAGCCCATCAGCATCCCATTTGCGCATTTTTTTCCCACTCTTAGGCGTCTTTCCTTTCCGAATTTGCTCGTCACCGGACGAGATGTTCGCGCTCGCGTTTACAGCTTTGCGGGCCCGGCGAGAAACGCGCCCACCGGGACCAACTTTGGCCGCGATGATATGGGATGATAGAGGGGTAGATGACCGAGAAATTTCGGGAGTTTGTGGGGGTGTACCTTCATCAGAAGTTACCGCACCGGGCGCAGCTTGATGCTGCGCTTGAGGGTAATTAGCACAACTTTCTAATGGCCGAAGAGAGAATGGTAACGTACCTTTAAGAAGGTCAGGGGATGATGGCGGCGGCGGGCCACCATTATCAGACGAGACAAGCGGATCTTTTCTTGCCTCCGAATGCACCATAGCAGCGTCTGAGGAGGCAAATCCGGCATTATCCTCCAGTTCCCGGACTTGCTGGTCAAAGTACTTATCAAATGGATACTCAATTATCCGGACACGCTCGCTCTTTAGTTGAGTCTTGTATAGGTCAATAAAGATGGTCGATATGTTGTCGAGGAGCTTGTCGATCCACCCGAGATGGAGAAGCGATTGATAGACGGCCTAGTAGAGGTTTCAGCATAAGAACATGCGACAGTACGCAAAAGACATCGCAAGGGGCAGAGCATACCACAAAGATTAAGTTGAAATCCTTCGACCTCCGCCATTTCAAGGTGTATTTCTCCTTTTTGAAAACCGGAGAGGCACTATTTGTGGTGGTGTTCTGGAGCTGGACCTTCTCCTCAATGAAGACATCGTTGATGAGGCTATTCACGACGTGGGAGCCAACTGGTGCGTAGGACTTGGACCATAGCACCACCCCGGAGCTAGTCAAAATCTCAAAAGCTTCAAGCATCTTTATAATTTATCGTAGTCACTATGCTGGGTTGTGTTGCGAGAGGCGTAGATCTGCGTGCGCCGGAGTGGGGAATTTGCGGGCGGCGAGGAAGAAGGAAGTGAGTCCAACCAAGCAGCTGCGGCGGCGAGAGAAATAATAATCTGGTCTCCAGGCTTCAGCCACGTATAAACTCCCTTTTTTAACCTTCCATCCCTGCTATAACTCAACCAACCCAACTCCCAATCTGTTCCTCGAGCGCTTTTCTCATATTCGAACGAGGCAAGCTACTATATACCCTTTTATTGATCAGTCTACTTAACTCCGGTATCATGTATCGCCAATCTTTCGCTCCTCCGCCTGCACACTCCCCTCCGCTGCACCACCCAGTGCCTCAGCATGTCTCAACCGTCCCCATGATGCGCTCGCCTCCTCCGCCCACATCCCAGCAGTCTCAACCCTCAAGTTATGGCAACCCGTATCAGCCAGCACCCGCACAGGGTGGCAGTGGGACATATGCCCCTGGATTCGGGGGGTTTATCAACGACCCCACGGCGCAGATGGGGTTCCAGGTAGGAAAGAGTGCCATGGCGGCTGGGCAGGAGTACATGGAACAGAATGTAAGTCGTATCTCAAGATCTGGTTTAGTGGTGCAATACACCTTGCTAATTGGTGTCTTGCGACCGCCAGTTCAACCGCTACGTATCCATACCTGCGCTGAAGCACTATTTCAACGTTTCGAATTCGTATGTGATCAACAAACTCGCTCTGGTGCTCTTCCCTTGGCGGCATAAGCCCTGGTCTCGCCAACAGGCACGTCTTGCTACCGCCTCAGTAGGACCAGATGGCCAAATATCCCAGCAGCAGTACTCATCCATGTTCCTACCGCCGCGAGATGATCTCAACTCGCCAGACATGTACATCCCCGTGATGGCACTTGTTACCTACATCCTTCTCTCCTCAATGCTTGCGGGTTTTCGGGGAAACTTCCATCCAGAGCTTCTTGGATCAACGACAACTACAGCTATCGCGGTGATGTTGTTTGAGATACTGTGCTTGAAACTGGCTACGTATATCCTGAGTATCAACAACGAATCGCAGTTACTAGATCTTGTCGCCTACTCTGGTTATAAATTCGTGGGCATTATTGTCACCCTTCTGGCTTCAGAAATCCTGACACCTGGACGAGGAACTGGCGGCTGGGTGGGATGGGTAGCGTTTATTTACACGTTCTTAGCAAACGCTTTCTTCCTGGTACGTCACTTTCTACCTTGCTAGCATACATCATTCTAATGAGATACGCTTTATAGCTTCGATCCCTGAAGTACGTTCTGCTTCCGGACTCGACGAGTGACTCGTCCATACGCACTGGCTCGATGCACACGGTGGCTCGCTCTCAGCGCAACCGGCGCACGCAGTTCTTGTTTATTTACGCCTACGTTATCCAGTTTATTTTCATGTGGGTGCTAAGCCGGGAGGGCCCTGTGGCAGTTGCGGGCATGGGTAGTGCGGGGTCATCATAGAGAGCTTCGAGGGCTTTGGGTTGCACATAATGATATACACGGACCTCATGAAACCAATCAAGCAAATGTAGAAAACTCTCATGTACTTGGGGTTGGTTGTAAAACGCTAGAAAAATGTGATATTTACAATACTTCATTTGGATACTGGAAAAGGAAGGCAACCTCGTAAACCCAGTATCCGCCAGATACCGAAGGGTTTTTTTTTTTTTTTTTTTGGGATTGAGCATGATATCATGTGCTAGTAGGGATAGTTACAGACTACACAGGACAAGTAGTGCACCAATTACAAAGCTACAAACACGAGATATATGATAATAGAAGCACAATATTGCATTGGGGTAGCTATATATAGCTAGATCTAATCAATCCGAATGATCCCTAGTAATACCAAATTAGTCCACGTCCAGAAACAGGAATGAATGACCAGTTGGAATATGAAGTTCCTCAGAGATCTTGGTGATTAAGGAAATTTCATTGCCAAAGGCATCAAGTACTATCTAGGCATGATAGGTTGTAATCATCGGACAGGGGGGGAAGAAGACGAAATAAACGTACCAACTGGGACGATTGAATCACGTCTGGGCGGAGTGCTCTGCGGTGTTATCTTCAAAACAGGTTAGTCTGAAAAATTGCCAGTAGGAATTTGTAGCAGCAAGGAAATGAGAGAGAGAATATCAGAATATGTAAGAAGTTGAATATCATGCGACAGTACTGTATTGAAGACTCCGGCGAGAGTTTCACAGATACTGGGTCAATCGCAAATTACCGCATCATGTGAAAGAGATGGAGGACAAGCATGTATACATACCGTTAGTGGGAGATAATAGAACCAGGGAGGTTAGTATCGAGAAGCCATCATGATATTGTTGTTTGGAAAAATCTAGGAAGAAGAAGAGATAGAAAAAAAAAAAAAAAAAAAGCAAGGCGCTTAAAAGTCACCTGGACGGAACGGAATAATACGTAGATCCGACAGCAGAACGCTAACCCGTTTGTGGAGAGCAGCCCTAGGCCGCACGCACACGGGACTCGCAGGGTTGCTACTGGCTGGTAAGCGAGAGTCTGTGGGCAACACCGAAATTCGCGATCCCAGTAGTCCCAGTGTGAAGTTGTGCGTTTCGGACGACTTCGACAACCCCGATCTTTCGACAACAAATTCCCACCACCCGTCCTCCCGGAGTCTGTCGACCGTGAGTTTCTGTTCGCCCTGCTGTCCTTGTGGGATTTGTGACTGAGATACCCGATTTTTGGTTCGCATTCTAGGAAGCCTTCGCCATGGCCGATATCGATGTCAAGATTGCTGAATGGAAGCTGGTCGAGGTTGGCCGCGTGGTGCTGATCCGCCGCGGGCCCTTCGCCGGCAAGCTGGCTACCATTGTCGAAATTGTCGACCACAGACGTGTACGTGTTTTTTGAAAGCGAAGGATTCCGTGATTCCGGTGGAAGGAAACCCGGGGGTGTGAAAACGAAAACGTGATATTGACTCGATCGGCATCAAATAGGTCCTCGTTGACGGTCCTTCCACCGAGGAGACCAAGATCGTCCCCCGCCACGTCCTTCCTCTCGCCCACGCCACCCTCACCCACTTCGTTATCCCCAAGCTCCCCCGTTCTGCCGGCACTGGCCCCGTGAAGAAGCTCTGGGAGAAGAACGAGATCGACGGCAAGTGGGCTAAGAGCGGCTTTGCTCAGAAGACCGAGCGCGATGAGCGCAGGAAGAACCTCACCGACTTCGAGCGCTTCAAGGTCCTCAGACTCAGGAAGCAGGTACGTTGCGACATGCGAATTTTCTGGCTTTAGCGCATATTGGGGGAGGCATACATGTGGTCCTATGAGCCTTGTACAGGAGGGGAAATGGAAACGCGAAAGGCAGGCATACTTTGCGGACTACGGCTAACATTGGATTCTTCACAGGCTCGCTTCGAGGTCCAGAAGGCTCACGCTAAGATCAGGGCGGCTGCTCCTAAGTCATAGATGGTTTTTATGAGGCTCGGTGCATAGAGTGATGGGGTACCTAGGGACGGTTTTACCTTGCTGAGGGATTAATTTATTTCAGCTAAAATCCGCTGTATGCATTATCAATGACAGCATAAAAATGATTCAAGAGCATTTGATATCCTGACAAGAAGTTAACTCTCGTAACGTTATGTCATGAAGGGCTAGCATTTGTTGGATCTGTTCTTCGACATCGGTGGGCCTTCCGTTTGATACTGGACGGCATTACCCCATGAATTTCTGTAAACCTCAAAAGAAAAATCTACTCGATTATTTTAAATGCATGAAAAAAAAATAAAAGAAAAAGAAATACTGTAAATTCCTTGTTGTTAATTGCCTTGGTAGTCTGTATGCGATAATCCTCATAGTTGTTGCGTCGCTTCTGTGTGTCTCGGGCGAGGGTCCCCAATAAGCTCGCTAACGATTTTCGGCAGGACGACGTTCACACAGCTTTGCGAGTTTCCAACTACAACAAGGCCAAAAAAAAACCACCCTCCCCCCCAACAGCTCTCTATCCTATTACCAGGTATGTCCAAATTGAATGAGTGGCCGCAGAGATGGATTTTAGACTTGAAAATGCCAAATTTGCTCGGATTTGTGGGAGTACCGGCGTTTCGAGCTCGATGATTCAATACTCAAAACTGGACCACCAGATTTGTGACCATTTTGTAGCTCGCTAACGATCAACTTTACGGCCATCCTAGGCTTCCCTACATCACAAAATGGCTGATCCCCGTGTCGAAGAACTCCCTGACGAGGAGGTCCCCAAGACCAACGTCGAAGATGCCGGCAGCGACTCTGAGTCCGAGGCTGGCGAGGAGCCCACCATCCCCGGTGGTGCCGCCGTCACCATCCACTCTCGCAACGAGAAGAAGGCCAGGAAAGCCATTGCTAAGCTCGGCCTGAAGCACGTCCCTGGCATCACTCGTGTCACTCTCCGCAGACCCAAGAACGTACGAATACACTTTTCCCCGCATTCCACCTGAAACGATTGCTTCGACTGTCGCTCTCAACATGAAAACCAAACTTAGATGCTAATTCATCCGGTTCAGATCCTCTTCGTCATTAACCAGCCCGATGTCTACCGCTCTCCCTCCAGCAACACCTGGATGTACGTATACAACAAGAACCCCACCCCCCTCCACAAAACGAACCCCCACTATACGTTATCGGTGTATCGGGTGATTAACGCATTGAAACAGCATCTTCGGTGAGGCCAAGATTGAGGACTTGAACTCCCAGGCCCAGGCTTCCGCCGCTCAGCAGCTCGCTGCCGCTGAGGCTGCTGCTGGCGAGCACGCCGGTCACGACCACGACCATGACCACGACCACGGCAAGGGCAAGGCCCCCGAGACCGAGGCCAAGAAGGAGGAAGAGGAGGAGGACGACGGCGAGGAAGTTGATGAGACCGGCCTGGAGCCCAAGGATATTGAGCTGGTTATTGCACAGGCCAACGTGTCCCGCAAGAAGGCCGTCAAGGCCCTGCGGGAAAACGACAACGATATCGTCAACTCGATTATGGCCCTTAGCATATAACGTCAGTCCGGTTTAATGCACGCTACCGGTGGCTAAACTGGTTAGTCTCTGTTGGCAGAATGGATTTTTGAGGTGTGAGATCAATGATATTCTGATATTCCCTCGGGTGTATGTGCTGCCAAGCTCCTTAGTGTAAATCATTTAGTCCCAAAAAAAAAGCAAAATTGAATGATCTAAAACACTTTTGCAATGCTTGAACTTCTGTCATATTCACATAAAACACCTGTAACCATAATTTGTAACGGAATACTCGGGGTTCAAATCACATCCCTTTTGTGCTGCTGCTGCATGCACCTGTTTGTGCCATTCCGGAGCACGGGAAGCATGTTTGGTCACGTGATTCCATCTCCATTCCAAACCTTGCCGGTTCAACCCTCATCCCGGAACGTCCAGCTTTGCACGTCAAACTCCTCCTTTCCACCCATCCCCTCTCCACCTCACACGTCAAAATGGCTGCCGTACGTTGAAATCCGATTCTACTTTCGGTCCCTGTTCAGTTGGTGGTGGAATTGGAAGTGCTAACTGCTCCCCGTTTTACAGCGTAGCGCCGCTCTCAAGATCGACTGGGTCAAGGTGACCAACTCCCTCGGCCTCCGCGGTCAGACCGCTGCCTCTCTGCAGGCCTTCAAGAAGCGTAACGATGATGCGCGCCGCAAGGTCCAGCTCCTTTCCGAGCAGCCCCAGACTGTCGACTTCTCCCACTACCGCCAGATCCTGAAGAACCAGGCCATCGTCAACGAGATTGAGAACCACTTCAAGACCTTCAAGCCTGCTTCCTACGATGTCAGCCGTCAACTGAAGGCCATCGACGCTTTCGAGGCCCAGGCCGTCCAGAACGCTGAGCAGACCAAGGGCAAGGTTGAGTCTGAACTCCGCAACCTCGAGAAGACCCTGGAGAACATCGAGACCGCCCGGCCGTTCGACGAACTCACTGTGGTATGTTTTGCTTGCCGGTGGATTTTGTTGCGGCCATATTACGGTTGTTGGGCTTGGTTGATTGACTCTTTTCCCCTTTACTTTAGGATGAGGTTGCTGCTGCTCAGCCTGAGATCGATGAGAAGACCGCTTCCCTGGTCTCCAGGGGCAGATGGATGCCCGCCGGATACAAGGTTGGTTTCCCGCACGCCTTTGAATCACTGCTGGCTGGTGCTAATGGACTGTGTAGGAGCGCTTCGGTGATCTGTCCGTTGTTTAAACCGACTAATTCCCTGTATCACTTGCATGTTCCCTTATCCTTCGACCAATGTTATTCACACGACAAAGTTTTCCCTCCGGCCAAGCGTGTTTAGCTCTATATCTGGCAGTGTGATGCCGGTTGTCGGGTTGTGTATAGAAACTGTTCAATTTAGAAGATCTTCCGCAATTCTTTCGTACATGTTCTCCAGTAAAGGGCCATATACAGTCTTTATATAAGGTTTCTAGACCCGACTCTCTTGATAGAAACTTAAGTCTCCCCCTTGTTGACTAGGGCTCTTTGTTTTGCTTGATTGATATTGCAATACTTCGATGCAGGATATTATAGAGAGATATCATTCGACTATAGAAACACCAGTCGAGTCCTACATGTTATCATTTTAGGTATTCCTACCATGAGATCGTAACCTAGGGTTGTCAAAGGGCAGAGATTTAGTATACGCAGCAGTGATAGATAATACTGGTGCTCAAGACATGGAGCATTGAGCTATGTAGAGTAAGTGCCAACATAGGGAAAGCTAGGTTAATTCAGCATTATGAACCCTAGTGAAAAGAATGACTTGTCGTGTCCCTCCACCTGTAATACCATCTTGGAGTCGAATCGATGGTGCTATAACCAGGCATCCATCATGCCAAGCCTCAGGTACCTATCCACGTTGACACAAGTAGATAACCTCACAACCACTACGTAAGGTTACTTTCTATACAAAGATTGAATAAATAGAAATGGACAAGATTTCTTATTCAACCATCAAAGAAGCCGTACGGAGGTACTGAGGTACCTAGGTAGGTGGACAATGTAGGTATACAACCTTCTTAAAAGTGACCAATCCTCAACGCTGATAGGTCCAATCCTTTCCCGAGGGTTCCGCCCCCCCAAACCCTGCCGAATCGCACTGAAACTGAATTTTTTTTTTTTTTTTTTTTTTCGTCCCCCCAACCATCACCAAAAGCGGTCATCGCTAATTATTATCCGCTCACGCCTTCTCCCTCCTCTTATCACCTCCCCCGTGTCGTTGTTCAATCGCAAAAAAAAAAAAATCCAACAACCCGAGTTCACTCTCTCTCAAAATGGATTCTACTGCTAAGCTGGTGAAGGTGACCCGCGTCCTCGGCCGTACCGGTATGCATTTGCTCTCTACATCCAACCCTCCGACCAGCAACCGCAGCCAGCCAACCGTATCGCCCGCGACCGACGTCTTTTCTCGCTTAATTTCGTTTTCGATCGAGTTGGCTGGCTGCTGGGGAGTTTGGTCGATGTCATTATTATACGTGTTTGAAGGAGACAAGGGGGCTAACGATGATTGATTTGAATGACTGCAGGTTCTCGCGGTGGTGTGACCCAGGTGCGCGTCGAATTCATGGATGACCAGACCCGTTCTATCATCCGTAACGTCAAGGGACCCGGTACGTGATATTTTTATATTGGGAATTTATGGCGAGGACTGGGGAGCGACAAGGACAACGAGTCTAGAATGAAGAAATTGAAGAAACAAGATAACTGGGGGGGAGGGGGGAGTTCGAGATTCAATGAAGGAAATGGCTAACAATGGGACATGTGTATAGTCCGTGTTGACGACATCCTCTGCCTCCTCGAATCCGAACGTGAGGCCCGCCGCCTCCGATAAACGATTTAAACCACGTCGAACGGAAAGATGGTTGTTGGATGAAGGCCGGGGGCTATTACGGGTCGGATACTCATGATGATCATGATATGTTCAAGGGACAAAAAAAAAAGAAAAAAAGAAAAGGATATTTTTGACTATACCAGGGCAAATGGAACTCATGATGGAACCTTTAATTCTTGTTTGCTAGAGTCCAGGGGTTTTTATTTCGCATCACGAATTGCATCCTGATCTACCTTCATCTTTCCAAACTTCCACTTCCACCTTGAATTTGAACTCTTAACAGGCAATCCAAGAATTCGATCTGCGCAAGGCAACCGGTAGAAGAATCGCTATCAGGGCTTTGGTCGACAACAGTGGATGCGGTGCGGCGTGGTGAGATTCCTTGAGCATGATGATATACATCTATCACTTTGGGCCCAGCCAGCGGTTGCGATGTCTACTCTAATTTCCCACAGAGGTAGAGCATTCTCATGATGATTCAATTGCTGCACTGGGAATCCACATCCGCTCCAGTCTCCCGTATTGTACGACTTGCATCCCCCATTTGATTTGAATCGGCATCCCCGCGCAGGCCATTCCGGCGCTGTTGGTTATTCAACGCCGACGCCGTTGTAGTCTTGCCCAAAACCCCCCACGAACACCTCTCCGTGAGATACGAGACAATCGTAATCCCGTAGCGTAGAGACAACACTTAATGATACCAGCATCCACCCCAGGCGCCAATCTCTGGCCCACTCCTTAGATCCAGTCCTGTTGGGATTATAATATATTTCGCTTGCTCCGGTTATACTCGTGGAATCCGCGTTGGTTTATTTACCGGGCGGACGGAATACCTGGTTAGTATACCTGGGTACTACTTGTAGCACCTAGCAAGCAACCATGGTTGATTCTTCTTCGTGCAGTTAGAGACTAGTCGATACTAGTATGCTGTGCTTATACTTATATGATGAGAAATGAGTATATACTGCTCCGGAGCAGCAGCAGCAGCAGTAGTAGCAGTAGTAGTAGAGTAAATATCAACCTTCACACCCCATACAAAATCACATCATCATTAATCCCAAAAGAAAGAGAAAGAGAAAGAGAGAAAGAGAGAAAAACAGAACACTTATAACCCCATTAATAAACAGCACGCAACCTCCCATGTCGTCTCGATCTATAGAACGGCCGCCGTCCCCGCCCACCATACCCGCACGTAAGACAGGAAACAAGCACGCCAATGATCGAGACGACGCCATACACGATGGCTTTGATTCCGGCTGCGATTGCATGCACGAAACAACAGCACCCATATTGAATGGGGTTGGGTTGTTATTTGGAGAGCTGGAAGAGGCCTGGGATGGGTATGTAGAGAAGTCGTACTATTTATATATTCCCGTACTGTATGTACATACTGTATATATATAGATAGTATATATATGTATATAGTTTACAAGTGACATCACCGACGAAATAAGGGAACGAACCAACCACCTACACAATTCACACTTCCCCCAAACCATCATATCATATCATACCTGGCTGGTATCGTCTCGGACAGAATATACAAGCCCATGGCGTCATACAGCTTGCCGCTCCGGTGATCGTCAATACCTGAGTTAAGCGAACTTACTTACTTACCTACCTAGGTACCCAGATAGTATTCGAGGGAGAAATTCTGTCCAATAGAATCCGAGCCGTGCCCTGATTTGAATCATGAAGGGCATTGATTGTCTTACAGTAAAAGGTGGTTTGATGTCATCGAGGGAAGAAGTATTCCGTCCAAACAATAGGGGTTTTTTTCACCTATGCATCGGGAAAATAATAGACCCAAAGGGGTATTTGATTTATTTACTAGCATCAATCAAAGTGGTTGGTTTGTTTATCGGGACAAGGAAGCGGGATATAAAAAAAAAAAAAAAAAAAAAAAAAAAGAAAGAAACGACAAGACTGGGATTTGAACCCAGGACCCCGAAGGGATCAGCTAAAGATGGAAGTCACTTGGTAGTACTCGCATATTCGAGGCTGACGCCTTAACCACTCGGCCATCTTGCCAGATGCTTGTGATAACGAGCTGGGAATTTGGATCCTTGTATTGCTTGGGGATTGTTCAAGTTCGTTTACTATTCCCCATCTCCCATATTATTGTTTGCCGCGAGATGGCAGATTTGTAACAAATACCATTATGCACGGTTAAGGATGGATGAACGAACTACCTCAATCCTATTCGTACACTACGATCGACGCAAGGTAAATAAAAGTAGTGTATTCTGAAATCCCCGCCTAGGTACCATGTCTAACATGTACATCGAAGCAAAAAGGCACCCCCGATCGAAATAGATCTATATGGCAAAATAGAAAGTCAAAGGGGAAAAAAGGAACTGCCTAACCTGTATCTGAGGGTATCTTTCTGCGACAAACAACGACAAAAATAGGATCCGCATCAAAGACACGAAGAATGAGGAAGAAATGAATAATCCAACGACCGTCAAAAGGTACCACGAGTCGGGGCAAGAGGAAAGCAATCCCGATCGACGCAACTCGCTAAGCAGACGATAATGTGGGAGATATGGATGAAGAAACGAAAAACACCGATAATGCAAATGTAAAGGAGCAGGACCCAACACTTTTCCATTCCGATCCGAAACAAGAAACCCAGGGAAACGGTAGACGCCATGCTAGTAGATCAAGTAGATCGCAAACAGAAAATATATATATGAAGGGCCGAAGAACTAATCGCAACGCCCATGAAGGAGGGTTCGAACGTATATGGGGAGGATGAGGAGAATAGGGGTGCTGCGGGATTTAGCGGCTACCGAGGCCGCGCAATGCGACACGCTTGCTGGAGCCAGCTTTTCCGATATCACTGATACTCCGAACCTTGGGTAAAGTGGGCGTGTTGGCGTCAGGCTCATTGTCCTGCGGCGGTACCCCGAATTTGAATGGCCTCAAGGAAGAGCTTCGTCGAGCTTGGCCAAGGATATCCTCCACCCAGGCTTCACTTTCTGGGCTGATGGAGGCATGTTTGGCTCGTGGGTTTGGCCCCGCAAGACCAAGAGGTATCGCATGAGATGATGCACCTCCTGCAATGGTTGAAGGAGAACCATAGCGAGCCTCGCTGACAGAGGACATAGCGCCCAAGGACACGCTAGAGGAAACCGACAGTCGCCTGCGGGCGAATGTAGAAGAAGACATGGGAGAAAAAGATACATTCGGTGCTTCACCGGCACTGACTGCTCCGAATTCTGCCATGTCCGAGACATTGGAGAATCGCCGAGTCTTGCGAAGGGCCAGGGAAGACGACGGGCGGTGACCGATGACGGATCGGGGACGGGAAGGCGTATGTCGGCCGCTGCTAGACGGCGGTGGCGGTCGACCTCCCGGAGGTGAATAGGATGGGGATTCACGGGAAGAAATTCCCTCCACTTCGACCCTTGGGGTTTCAGATACGTGCCGACGACCATGGTGGATGGCGTATTCCCGTAAATATTCACCCAGATCTGCCCAGCCACCTCCAACTCGCACCATGACACGTTCTCCAGTTTCGCCCACGGAGCGGACAAATAGCTTCGTAGGAGCAGACTTGCCACCTCGATGAAGATGATAGAGCTTCACTGAGCTCTCCTCTGGGGCGTGCGCATGCGAGTGCCGCCTTCGAGAGACGGCAGGCCGAAGAGTAAGAGACGGCGTAGGGGTGCCGCTGCGTGATGGCGTGCCCTGAGGCGAGCTTGATCGGAACCTTTCCCTTGGTCGGAAGGGGAGGGAGGAGGTGACCGATATCCCGTCATCATCTTGATCAGCTGGAACTAGATGGATACTGGCTGGGAGTGTTGTCAGGATCGAGTTGATTTTCTCGTCCATCTGGTCCTTCGGCCTCAGAAGTCGATTAATTGGAGTAGAGGATCGAGACTGAGTCTTGTTAAGATTTGGATTGGTGGTGGGGACCTCGGAAAAAGAAGCTCTGGACTTATATGCTCCAATACTTTCAAGGCTAGGATGTGCAGTAAGCTGCTTCCTCAGCCGAGCGGCCTTTATGTGGCCAAGCGAGTCACTCCGGGATGTGGCATGGCTCAAGTTCTTCGAAATGGCCGTCTTGGGTTTCTCTTGAGGTACCACCCCATGTGAGCTGTCGGACTCGGGACCGGAGCTCTCTTCCCGGGTAAATGCAAGGTGTTGACCGGCAAGACGTCGCATATCACTGGTCGGGGTGGAGGACGTAGTCTTGTCGCGCCGCCGTGCGGACTCTTTCTGCCCCAGTCGGGGGTTTAAATGGGTGGCGGCATCGCTATCCTCCGCACCAGATCCAGGTTCGAAATTCATTTCTAACCGCTCGTTGATAAATCGCTGCAACGGGAGGCTGAGTGCCCGATTATGTGCAAAGACGTCTCGTGGAGATGGTTTTTGAGCGTCTAGGCGTAAAAGGCGGTCCTCGCGCAATGTATGATCGCTATTTGGTGAAACCGCGTCAGATGGCTTGTAGGCTGTTGGGGTATGAGGAGGAGGAGGAGGCGTTTCCAGAAGAAGCGGCGTTGCATTTGAGGAACAAGTTCGGGGTTCACGGATCTCGGGACTTGAGACGAGTGATGGGAAATCGGATAGAGATCCGTCAGATCCGTGGGAAGTCCGTCGAACCCGAGATTTCTTCGAGTCATGCTCCGGCCGTCCAGACCGGGTTTTGGAGAGTTTAATGGGACTCTCTAAATGCTGCTTTGGAGTGTTCTCCGGACTTGGTTGTTCCGGTACTTCAACTGGGCGATTGTCCACCGGCGATTTGCTACTATCAAAAGGAATGAAAAGGGTTGGGGACTCTAAAAGAGAAGTCACTGGATGATGGACAGGGGACGTTGCGCCCCGGATCGGCGATATCGTGGCAGGGGGATTCGGAGTCACATTTGCGAGCACGACATTAGCTAGGATGGTATTTGTATCCTTGACTGGTGCGAATTGGGGACGATCATCGACATCGGTGATAGGCTCCGGTTCTTCACGAATCTTTGGCAGCCCAGCATCTTCCACCGATGCAATGGGCTCTTCGGGGAAACATCTAGCTTCAGGGGAGGGATCGACTAGACGTGGAGCAAGAGTTTTGGGGTCTGCCTCCAACTCCTGAGCAGGAGAAACCTGGGGCTGAGCATTTGAAGCCAAGGAAGGGCTGGGAATGTCGTCAACCACCTGCAATGTTGGTTCAGTTTGGGTAGGAGGATCATGTGAGGGACCTGCGGAACTGATGTCGGACTCAGTCCCAGGCGGCAGCTCTTCGAGGTGGGGTTTCTGCGAACCCGACTCCGAGGAACGCACAGACACCTCCTCGCCCTGTGGGTTGCTGACGGGAAGGATTTCGAGAAGCGGTGAAGCTGTTTCTACAGGTGACTCGTCAACAGAGGATGGAGCAATATGCGCTCCAGCACCGATGTCGGGTTGTGGCATTTCTGCAGGGGCAGGGGCACTGCAGACTTCATCCGCATCGATAATCGGACTTGCGTGAAAAAGAGGCTCATGTACCTCGCAATCGCCAGTCGGCAATGTCGATGGGGACGTTGGATGAGCCGGGAGAGGATTTTCTCGTGTCACTGGCGAAATTGCCTGGTGATCCCAAGTAGTAGTAGGAGGGGTGGGTCTGCAAGGGCTGCCGGTTTCTTCAACAATCGTTTCCATTGGAGTTCGCCCGATTTGCAAGGGGGTGAGTCGGGGTTGAGGTTCTGGTTCAGGGATGCAAGTTACGATTGCGAGGTCAGTTTGGGCGGTTGCGGATTCAGAGACAGATTCGACCAGTGCAGGACGGGGAGTATTAACGAGGGGCTCTTGGATCTTAGGTTCAGTCAGATCGCGCTGTGTCTGTTCGCTGCGGTTGTGCATGGTAGAGCTCGTTGCCAGGCGGCGCCATTCATTCTCCACAGAACGTTTCTCCGCCTGCATAACCCACGTCCCGAACTCGGACTCGATGGCTTCCAAGTCGTCGATCCAGCTCTCTGGTAGGGAGTCCTCGCGTCCCTCCAGCGCGTCTAATATCCGATCCATGCGCCTCCCAGCTGATACAACAGTGGACTCCAAGGTAGCGCGTTTGACATGATAGTTTGCAGTGGAATACAACGCATCCGTTTCGGTCGGCGGATCCGATGACGTCAGCAGATCTAGAGCAGCATTTAACTCGGACCGGGCGAACTTGAGGCTATGCAGCAGGCCGGGGACCTGGCGGAGGACGACCAGGCGAACATTCCAAGTGGAGAGTAGGCTATTGAGGCGGGATAGTAGGGGAAGGGCGCGAAGAATGGTAGCCGTAATGACGGCGGTAAAGTCGCTTAATTGAACATAGCTAAGCGGAGGGGGCATAGACATGGTGCTATTCGAGGATGAGGGCCGAGACCTGCCTGGAATGTGGGCATTGAGAACGTGTTCCTTTAATTCTTCCACACCTAAGCCATCCATCCCTTCCTGAATCTCTTCGATGCGTTTCTCATGTCCCTCCACAACGGATATGGGAAGACTTCCACAGGATGCAGGTTGGGTATCATCCGGCGGGGGGATGAACCCCTGTCCCAGGTGAACATCGTTGCGTTTCGGCCAGTTCCACGCCTGAACTTCCTTGTACCACAGACCCAGCTTCTGGGCTGCGATTGCGGCACGAATACCGAGAGCTCGTTCCGCGGGAGAGACCTGCGAGATGCTCCTGGTCAGGATATCATGCGCCACCTGTTCATTCTTGGGGACCAGATTGGTTGACGAAAGGGCCTGCAGCGTGGACTCTGGCGACAAATTACCGAGGAGAGGATCGATGGTATGATAATTCGGAACGGCCAGCCGATCCGAACCAAGAGGTTGCGAAGTGGCAGAGGGCGAGGGCTGTATGGGCCGATGAGGCGGGGTGACGCGGCTGGTCGCCATAACGAGGTAGGTGAAAAGCCGGAGCTCCGGGGGATAACGAGTGGGATGGAGCGGATCAATTAATGGACGGAGGTCGGGTAGCAGAATCAAAAATGGGAGAAATGATCAGAGGGTGAAGAGTCAGCATGCTGAGACGCGATCTCACCAAGAATCCGGAACAGCAGGAGAAAGGGAATCAGATGTGAGGAGGTAACGAAGGAATATACGATGAGAGAGAGATGATAGATCACACAGAGAGAGAGAGAGAGTAAGAGAGAGTAAGAGAGAGAGAGAGAGAGTAAGTGAGAGTAAGAGAGAGTAAAAGAGAGTAAGAGAGTAAGAGAGAGTAAGACAGAGAGTAAAAGAGTGTAAGAGAGAGAGAGAGAGAGAGAGAGAGAGAGAGAGAGGACCAGCGCTGTTGTCTCGGATGACAATTGAATCCTAAGAATAGAAAGACAGAAAACTGAAGAGAAGAAGAAAACGCGAGGTGGATCCAGCACCAAAAGGGGGAAGAAAAGAGCACTATTGATGGAACTATTGTTAACCATCTCTAATTCTAATGATGATATGATCTTATAATCTTCATTTTAATTCTGTGTCTATCGTCATCTCGGGACATTTCTTCTGCATCCTAATAATATCAATTCCGCCCGGGATGAATTCACAAAAGGCTCCTTGCAGATGATCCATTTCCCAGGAATCTGAATGAGTGAAGAATTCCGAAGAGATCCAAGATGCGTTTCTGCAGCCAACTCACCAATGATCCCACCCTCACCAGTACGTGGGAAGTACTTGAAAAGGATGCACTTGATTGAAGTGGAGGGACTAACGAATATTCTAAGAACTCATCGGGTCTCTCTCATCCCTGGGAAAAGTCTGCTGGATGCGCCTCCAGGATGACCTCGTCCGATTCACCATAATCCCGGATCAAGGCACCCAAGTATGGGCTCAACTACCCGTTGTACGTATCTGACCTATCCGTTATTCCTGTTGAATATTCACACAATCAGGACTCCATCTTCGAACAAGACGCATACACCCTCGAATCCAACACCGGCGTCATTAATCTCGAAGTCCCCCTGGGCGCTCTGCACCGTGCGCTGCGCTCCGCCGCAAACGCCTCCTGGGTGCAATTGCGTCTCACCAAGAAAGGCAACATCCCGTTACTGGCATTAACCATTCGCACCAAGTCCTGGACCCAAGCACAGAATGCGATTGGCGTTCACGTTAACCAGGGAGAACAAGACGACACCACCACCACCACCACCACACCACAGGGACAAGAACAAGGACTAGGACCAAGAGGCCAACGCGAACGCCACACAGTCATCACGCAAGAAGTCCCCGTGAAGATCCTGCACGAGTCCGCGGTCGAAGCTCTCCACGAGCCGCGATGTCGCGACCCCGACGTCCACATCATCCTCCCCGGCTTGGCCCAGTTAAAGAGTATCTCTGAGCGATTCACGAAACTCGCTGCGGACGACTCTTCTTCTTCTTCTTCTTCTTCCTCTGGTCTTAGCGGCGCGCCTACCTCCGCCACCACCTCGGTATCGCCGAAACTAGAGCTATCCGCCAACATGCACGGCTCGTTACGGCTGGCCATCACAACAGACAAGCTGCGGATTTCGAGTGTGTGGACGGATCTCGTGAACCCGGCGCTCGATCCAAGTCAGTTGTCCCAGACGCAGCTCGACCAGTTGCCGAGTGAGCGGATGAGGGCGTTACCGGGCGACGACGAGGCCGGGTGGGCGAAAGTGAGGATTGATGGGAAGGATTGGGCGAGGGTTCTGAGTGTGGGACGGTTGAATCCCAAGGTTGTTGCTTGTGAGTTTTGACCTCATCTTTTCTTTTTCTTTTTCTTGTTTTTCCATCGAGCACACTGTCTAATGATATCCAAGGCTTCATCCATGAAACGGCGCTGATTCTCTATGTGTATCTTCCCGGGAGTTGGAATGAGGAGGATTCATGTCTAACGGTGGGGTTTCTTTTCTTTTCTTTTCTTTTCATACAAGATTAATTAATGGGAAGGATCATATATGCTAATGATAATATCCGGACAGTATTACATCAACTCATACCTCAACTAGTACTTTTGAACGAAACCTGCTGCACTCGTAACAAAGCCGGCATACTGACGACTTCGAATCGCAACTCGATGGAAAATTCTGTCATCAAGGATATTATTAAATTAAGCACATAATTAGAATCATATTTCATAAAATCACAAATAACCATCATAATGGTTCAAACCTCTTCCATCAACCCATCCCATGGCCATCATCTCCAATGTTCACAAAGGGAATTAAAACAAGAAAAAAAAAAAAAAAAAAAAAAGCAAGGTCTGTAAATGTACATGGATCCATACAGATGGGGGATACAAGATTCGGGTTTGACGCAAAGTCATCCCAAACGAAAACGCCCGAAAAAAAGATAAAAGATACGGCATGCAAGATTCTGGAATAAGTGTAAGACCAGACCAGAGTATACACTTTACAGCATGCAAATGGGGGCTAAGGGGATGCGAAAGAGAATCGTCAAGACATGATAACACCAAGTGTTAAAAGGCCTTCGCTGTTGAAAGCAAGCAGCTGCCATCTTATTTGGCCATTACGTCAACGTAGCCACGGCCCTTCTTTCTCCCCCTGGCAGCGTTGCCCTTGCGCGCCTGCGGAGCCCCCAGCAAATCGTCAATCGAACTCGCGTTGCTCAAGGACGTTGCAGGTCGAGGGGGAGGCCCAGAGGAGCTTCCTGGCCGGGAGTTCATCGCACCGGCAGAGACAGCACCAGTAGAGACAGATCGCCCCAGTGTTGGTGGGGGAAGACCAAGTGATGATGGCACAGGGCTAGCGGAGAGCGGTGGCGGAGCACCTGCCGACGACGGAGGCCGGCTGTTGGGTCCTCCCAAACTAGGAGCCGGAGGAGGTGCAGTGCTACCGCTGGCACTTCTGCTGGGAGGAGCCAGTCCCTTTGGCGGGGGTGGAGTAGCACGAGCTTGTGTGGCACTATTGGGATCCTTTTTGTTGACCCATTTCTTCAACTCATTATCATAATAGAAGGAGCTTTCCTCGCCAAGCTTGGCGCGAATCGGTCCTCCGCTAATATTGTCGGCCTCTTTATTTCCACGCCGGACCCATCCAGAAAACCACCAGCCTCCCTTTGCAGGAGCAGGTTTTTGAGCTAAAGAGAAATGGTTAGCAAGGTGATTAGCAAAGAAAAAAAAAATTAGATGACTTACCATCAGCTTCTGCTGCTTTCCGGAAGGCCTCTTCGGCTTCGCGATCCTTACGCTCGCGTTCGGCTTTTTTCAAGGCGGCGGCGCGAGCAGCAAGGTCATCATCATCATCCTGCATGTCTGAACTGGTGTGTCGTAGCTGCTCATCACCCTCTTCATTAACTTCCATTTCTGGACCATCAATACTAGCGGAGGGAGGCTCATAACCGGTGCTGCCAGAGGGAGGCTCGTAACCAGTGCTTGCAGGAGGCTCGTAGCCAGTGTTTGCAGTAGGAGGCTCGTAGTCAGTGCTTGCAGCAGGAGGCTCATATCCAGTATTGATAGCGGGGGGCATGTATCCTCCGCCTTCACCTATATGGAGATCTGGCGCGGAAGCGTTGTCCAGGGAGTGATCGAACGAATTCTGTACCGGGGGTTGGTAGGGCGAGTCATTGGCAAACAGCCCTTGCGGTGGCGCAGAGGGTGTCTCTGGGTAGGTTTGAGTTGCCATGTCTTCGTCAACAGGGGCAAGAGACATGCATGAGGTCTGAGGGGGCGTGGACTGGTACCCAGCAGAGGGTGAACCATACATCGGACCTCCTTGATACGAGCTGTTATCGGGTGCTGGAGGAGGATACTCTTGCGATCCGCGTCGCTGGCCATAGGAGTGCCCAAAAGACGCAGATCTCTGCGAGTCGAGGGACGACCTACCACGACCTTGATCGGGCGGCGAGTTCGGCGCATATTGGTTACTCGGCTGATATCGTGAAGGTCCACTGGTGGGGATTGGTTGCGGTCCAGGGATAGGGTACGGGCCATACAAGTCTGTCACAGAAGGTGAACGGCTCACGGTGGGTGTGCCGGCAATTTTGGCGAAAGGGCCAATGTCTGGCTCTCCAGCCTTAGTCGACCCCGTAGACGCGGCATCACTGTCATCACCGGCAACGAAATTGCTAAACCTATTCCACATAGAGGAGGAGACTCTCTCCATGCTGGGTTTAGATATCCAAGAAGATCCTCCATCACCAGAGGTCTGCCTCAGGCGCGTAGACAGTTCGTCAACTCCGTAGAACAGGCGTTGGTGATGATATCCTGAGGGCTTTGTGCTAGTCTTATGGACAGCGGCGATAGCTTCACAGTACTGAAGCGCCTCGGAGATGCGGCCACGATCTGCAAGTGATTGAGCGTGAATAAGTTTAAATGCCAAAAGATGCGGAAGGGTAGCTGCCGGAGAGCCCGCTAGTACAGATGTAGCATATTCATATGCCTCAGTAAGTAAAATAGCATCATCATCTAGCAAAGCAGCAGAGGATGAGCGGTGGTCAGCTCCGAGTAGTACAATGTTGCCTTGTGGATCATCCGGCCCACCAAACACAGAAGCTCGGGAGAAAATAAGGCAGATATGAGCTGCCTCAACCCGGCCATACGTCAACAACAAGCGGCCCAGAGCCAAGAGAGCCTGATGATCTTCAGGACTGCGGTTACTCAGAACCAAACCCAAGGTATCTCTCCAAGACTCAAGGCCAGCCAGAGCATTCCTGGAGGACCCTTGTCCATCCACTTTGCTGACCATCTGTAATCCGGCCCTGGCAGAGGGGGGAACAAGTTCATCAATACTTTCTTCGATATTTCCAGCAAAGATTTCATACAGAGCAGCCAGGGACTCGGCTTTACCACAAGTAGACCTAACCTCGCGTCTGACGAACTCTTGCACGACTTGCTTCCAAACAGACTTCTCCATGGTTGACGCAATTATCATCGCATGTCCCCAGAGGCGACTGTCAGCCGCTGTCCAAACCGCTTTCTCTCTGTCACCAAGGAGAAGACTGTTCTGAATACCTCCTAAGGACTTGGACTCAGTGGAATCGGGTCGAGAACTAGCGTCAGGCTGGGTCATAGAAAAAGACTGGACGTTATTTCCATAGGTAAGATCCGACTCAGCATTCTGCAGGTGAGGGAAAATCACGTTCCTCACAGAGGTCTGCAGCTCAGGCGAGCTTTGCAAGCCGCCATCATGCTCAACTAAAACTCGCACAATTTTCCAGAGCAGAATCTTCTCCTCGTGGCGCGCGGAGGAGTCAAGGTGTGACTGAATAGCTTCCGGAACCCCTTCGTTTTCAAAGGCAGCAATCTTGCTGGAAAGCCAGGCAATCAGGTCCTTCTTCTTTGATTTGGTTCTCAGAGGGCCGGGGTGCTGTACAATGCTCTCCGGTGAAGGAGTCCAATCGCTGAGCTGTAGTATTTTCACCTCTCCAGGGCTGGGCTTGATCTTCGGGGCGGCCTGGCCAGCACTGTACCGTGGGACATGTTTAGCGAAACAAGAGACCACGGCACCACCAAACCCGAACTTGACGATCGGGGCACCTTTCCATCTTTCAAGAGGATCCAGTTCTTGCCCATCGGTGGGCGGAATGAACTCGAGTGACTGGGAGATGGCGCGAGTATGGCTGGAGCCTACAACAGGCGCGTACGGACTAGCTGTCTTGGTCGGAGAAGTAGAGCCATGAACAGAAGCAGGTCTCTTCAATGGATCGATGGGTGGCACAGACAACCGTTGACTTAATTTCTGTTGAGTAGGGGACTGTGTCTGCGATCTCCGAGGAGGAACAAGGGGCGAGTCATCTGAAGACGGCGCATAGGCTGACGGGCCGGTACTTGATTGCGAAAGACGGCGCGAAAACTCCGCCACATATGAAGGAGGTGCATATGGGTTCCTGGGTGGAGAGGTCTGCTGATAGTTGGTGGAAGCATCCCCCTGAGTATCCTCGCCAATAACACCTGCAGTAACCGGGTGGACTCGAGGCGGAGATGCATAGATAACCCCCGTATCAGTTAGGGATTGTTGCTCAGGAGGAGGTATCTCCGGGGGAGCGGGCTGCGAGGGAGGAAGCTGTTTAGGGATTTCCTGGGATTGGTAGGAAACCTTTTCGTGATAGGCTAGTGGACTCGAGGTACGTGGCTGGAATGGTAAAGCAACCCCTTGTCCCGGAATGTTAGGCGGCTGAGAGACGTACCGATTTTGGGGGGGAAGGGCGGTAGATTGGGGAGGAGCGGGAGAGTATCTGGGGTTCGCAGCTGGCTTGGGTCCAGGTTGCAGGCTTGGTGGTTTTGGAGAATACCTGGAAGCAACACTAGGGACACTAGGAGGGCCTAGGCCGCTCGGGGTTAATGTGTTCGCATATGGTGCTAGTCTTTCCGGCTGCTGTAGCTGGGGTTGAACTGAGAGGTCATTCGGGGGAGGCAGCTGGCCTACCGGAGGAGGAGCTGGTGCGTTGAAATTCTGTGCATAACGCCCCGAGCTTGCAGGCCGCGAACGAGGTCGAACCGGGGGTAGGGGAAGATCCTCGTAGAAGTTCTTCGGAGAAGATGCAACCGGAGGAACCACTGGTTTGGGTGGGGAAGTAGAGCCCAACGGCGGGGCTGATAGCGGAGACGATGACTTTGGGGGTGGTACTGGAATGCTGCTACTTCGGGGGGGGGGTATTGTTGGTGGTGTATGGGCAGCCTGCGCCACTACCGGCTTTTGGGAAGGTCTGCGGCGTCGGGTAATATCTTCCGGGAGATCGTAAGGAGACTTGTAGCCCTCTTTAGAGCGTTCCGCAAAGCTCTCCGCCTTGCCCAGCGGTGCAGGTGGCTGGGGTTGGGGATTGAAATAGTCAGCGGCATATGCGGAGTTCGCTGGAGGGACGACCCCTTGGAGCAGATCCGAAGTAGAGGGCTGATGGGGAGTGTATGAAGTTTGCTGCGCCTTGGGCCTACTCGAGCCTTGCGGAGTTCCAAAGGGGCTGCGGAGCCCTGGGGGGGTCGCATCCGGTACATATCCATTAACGGTCTGAGAGGGTTGTTCCTGAGTAGCTTTCGCATCCCCGGTGGCTTCGTCGTCCAACAGTAAATCATCGTCATCATCAAGGGCTGCCTCCCAACGTGCTGCTAGGTCCTCCTCAGCCGGAGCAGCTGGGAGCTCATCACCAGAGAGTTCTGCCTCCCACCTCGCCGCCAAGTCCTCTTCCTCTTTTGGTTCCTGTACTTGCTCCTGTTCATGCTCCTGTGCCTTATTGTCTGATCCCGATGCCGCAGCCGCGAGGATGTTGTCGAACTCTTCTGCCGTCGGGGAAAGAGGACTAGTAGGTGAGGTTTGCGAAACATCAAGTGTGCCCAAGACCTGGGAGGTGCTCTTGCGTTTGATATGAAACGGAATTTTAGCTTCCTTTCCGTTTTCCGGTGCTGGCATCCGACTGGTACTGAAAAACCCGTCGTCCTCATCCTCATCATTAGCAAAAACAGTGTCCAGCTGGCTCTCCTGGTTCGCCGGTTGCTCAATCGGTGTTTCTAGGTTATCATCCAACAGAGGCATGCCCTCTTCGAATCTGGACTCTGCTTCTGGTGGGGCGAAAATCGGCTTTGTTTGTGTCTTCAGCTGGTCGAAGAAGTCGCCCTCGCCATCGTCGACACTTTTCGGGCTTCCCCAAAAGTCATGATTGGTACCGCCAATATGCCCATTAATAGGCGTAGGAGGCTCCTCCGATTGACGCTCGATGGCCCATGGATCATCGTTGTAAACACTCAGCCCCTGTACCGGGCCCGCAGCAGCGGCTTCGCCATTGAGAACATATTCGGACGACTTTTCGCGGGTCTGCGAGACCTCGAATTCCGCTACATGGTCTTGTGATGGATCCGACGCGGCCTCAACCATTGTCTGCTCACGTTCGGGTCGGGACTCGGGTTCAGGTTCGAAAGTCTTCAAGTCGTGATTATCCTCGACTACCGGAGGTACGACCTCCGAAGCCTCTTCTAGAGACTCAACTGGTGTCTCGGTAGGAATGAGAAGTTCACCGCAAGCCGACGGTGTTTCTGCGTCCTGCACAGGCGCAGGTTCATCCAGACTAGGTGTATCAATGGCGCTTGAATCGGCAGGTTGCATGGTGGGTATCGGGGGAGGACAGGAGGCAGAAGCGGACTCGATCAATGCGTCGCTCGTCTCAGCCGCGACGAGATTTCCGTTATCTTCGGATCGCAGCGCCGGATGCCAGACGGCGGATGCATCGTTAAGCTCCATGATGCGTAGAGACTAGATTTCGCATCCGCAGGATGTCAGACAGGAATCTGACACGTTTTCCCTTTTAAGCTAACTTACTCAGCCCTAGGATCGGCAGGGTAGACGGTGGTATATGGGGGAGACGTCGAATTTCCGCGAGACATGAAACAGATTCAGGAAGAGGAAACCAAAAGGAATAGAATAGAATAGAATGGCATAAAATAAAAATTAAAAAGGGAATTCACCGATGTGAAGAATTAATGAGAAAAGCATTACAAGGAAGGGAAGATTAAAACATGACTGCGTGGTGAGAATGAATTGAAAACGGCCAACTTCTCTCCTCGTGGATGCTATATTATGATGATTCTAACATAGAATCAGGTCGTGTCATCTTCGGGCCGGAATTTCTTAGGGTCCGGCGGATTATACTCCGACGGTTTCCCCATACCAATTTCGATTTTTGAATGTATATATATATATATTCGGTAGGTACCTTACTTGTTAATATCTCATCTAAGCTATATGATTAATGCTAAACATTGCCTTTTTCAAGACATTATTAGGATTGGTGTCTTGAATTGTGCCATTATCTGGAGAAACTTGTCGTAGGGAACTAGCCGCGCAACCGGTACAAACCACCTCCCGTAATAATTCCCAGGGAGCTTCGACACCCAAATCATCTAATAACAACGACGGGGGATTGTGAGAAATACTCTTCGCACTTCGAATACTGCTCCGCTATCTGTCCCATGCACGTCTAAGGCCTACTTTTATCCACTTAATTTTATTGGCTATCACTCTCCGGTTTATTAGCCTTCGAGAACATTAAACTTCCACCTTTCTTGACTAGGAACTCAACCAAGCTCTGAAATTTCGGCTGGCGACAATGACAGAGCCACCAGCAAAGCGCGCTCGCCGGGTTGATAGCTCAGCAATGTGGGACATGGACGATCGAAGGATACGCTCTCCTGAGTTAGACTCCGACTTGGATAGGCGCCAAAAACGCGAACCCCAGCCTGGTGACGGAAGGCGCGATGGCCCGCGCGAGGATAGAAGGTACCGCTCCCGGTCAAGGGACCGAAAAGAACGGCGGCGAGAAAGAAGCAGGTCAAGGGATCGCCGCGACCGGGACTGGAAGGATAGGGATAGGGACGGACGGGAAACGCGAGTTCGCGAGAGGAGCAGCAGTGCAGACAGATACTATGATAGAAGAGGTATGTATTCTATCGCCGTTCAATTGGCCAGAGTTCTAATTGTGGAAAAGGTTATCCTTCGAAAAGTGACCGGTATCGCGACCGCTCTCGATCGCCGACACGAAACGGTAACAGGGACAGATCACCACCCCGAGGCTCTAGAGGCGACCGCAGGAACGAACGCAAAGATCCCCGAGGCCAGTTGAACGGCACCACAGATTTGAAGAAGCAATCAGACCGATACAAGGATGATATTCACATGGATCTTGACGATGCGGCTGGAGAAGATGATATCGAGGAAATGATTCGTCGAAGCATGGGATTCTCCAAATTCCGGAGTACCAAGAACACCAAAGTACCCGGTAACAACATCTACGGAGTGCGAAAGGAAAAGAAGAGCGAATACAGACAATATATGAACCGTGTAGGAGGTTTCAACAGGCCGCTCAGTCCCTCGAGGTGAAAGGTGCTAGATCCTTGTCTGCGATTCTGCAACATTTGCTTGGATTTCGTCGTCAATTTTTTTCTCAAATGATTCAATACTGGAGCCGTTTTATCGCTACGGGTTTGTAACTACATGCATCACTGGAGTTAGAGCTATTTATGGGTTATCGGGTTTATCTCAGGGGTGCTTTTTTCGACACACCCGATCTTCAAGAATCTCAACGCTATTTGCCTCACGTTTGCATTAATTGAAACATTGACACATTAACAACAAATATCCACCCAAGTATTGGAAATCTGGTTCATCCTGGTTCATCTAAAAATCCGATGTTGGGGGGGTAAATACTGAAATGGAGGGGCGCGGCACATGACTCAAGTGACGTAGGCCCATTTATCTCCTTGATTTGTCAAACTTGCTTCTTCAAACTACCAACTCTTTCTTATCGTGGTTTCTTTAAGTGCTCTCGGGTCTCGGGTCGCGCAGTGCGGCAAGATGTCAGTTCCAAGTGAGCGTCGTGAGATTGTTATTATAGGTATGGCTGAGCCACGAGTTTGTGCGGGCTACCCCGCACGACCAAGGCGGTTTTCTCTATCCTAGATACTGATAATTCGATTTCACTTTAGGTGGCGGTATCATTGGTTGTTGCTCCGCTTATTACTTAACTCGACATCCCTCTTTTGACTCTTCGCGACATTCAGTGACTCTTCTTGAAGCGTCGGAAATTGCGGGGGGAGCATCAGGCAAGGCGGGCGGTCTTTTGGCATTATGGGCATACCCAAGCAATATTGTGCCCTTGAGTTACAAACTACATGCGGAACTGGCCAAGGAGCACAATGGTAAAGAAATATGGGGGTATCGACAGGTTGGCTGCGGACAGCTTGTTGCTAGAGGCCGCCCACTGCAGGAAAAGAAGGACGCAGGCAGAGATGGCAACTCGGTGTCTCTTCAGAAACGCAGCCCAGCAGCTATGGGAAAGTTGAAAACGGCTCAAATGCCCGAGGGCCTAGACTGGATTGAGTCGGGCCTTGTAAGAGGCTATGAAAGCATGAGTGACCCTGGTGAAACGGCACAAGTTCACCCATATCTTTTTACAACGTCAATTGCAAAGCTGGCGGAGGAGAAGGGCGCCAAGATAACATTAGGATCAGTTGCCAGTATTGATTATGAGAACGATGCCGTCAAATCCGTCACATACACGGCCAAGGAAACTGGTCAATCGCACACCATCCCTGCAACCGATGTTGTAGTGGCTGCGGGCCCCTGGACCACTTCCGTCATGCCCGAAGCTCCAATTTCTGCAACACGCGCGCATAGCGTTGTTATACGCCCTACTAGGCCAACTAGCGCACATACTCTCTTCACCAATATTGAGATCCCAGCTGATTTTGATCCGGCCAATCCATCACGTCCCACTGTGGCAACCCCCGAGATCTACGCTCGCCCCGACGATACAGTCTACGCCTGTGGAGAAGGAGACCAGACTGTTCCGCTGCCAAGTACCACTGCTGATGTTGAAGTCGATCAAAAGCGTTGCCAGGACATCATCAACCAAGTCGGTGCTATCTCTGACGTCCTACGGGACGGAGAGGTGTGTGCGCGGCAGGCCTGTTACTTGCCCAATGTCACTGCTATCCGTGGGGGCCCATTAATTGGCCATACGGGTACTAAGGGACTTTACCTTGCTGCCGGCCATACCTGCTGGGGGATTCAGAATGCGCCAGGCACAGGAAAGCTAATCAGCGAGTTTGTGTTTGATGGTAGGGCAAAGAGTGCGAATATCAGGTCTTTGGACCCCAGGAGTTTTCTGTAATCCCTAGAACAGATTAATGTACATAGAATTTACAACAGCGAAGAGATAAGACTATCAGGGTAATCTAATTGTAGATCAATTGTAGGTCAAATGTGTGTCAAATGTGTGTCAAATGTAAAAGAGCTTGGAGCCACGGTAAGTTGCGCGGTCCGGAGGCCAGCAATGAGAAAAGCTCCCCCTCGGCTGATGACAGATAAGTAGTAGCAACAAACTCCGGACAACGACACCGACAAGCTCGCAGGAGCTGCCTATTTGCGCAGCCACAATCCATGCTGCAGCCTCAATTTCAGAGGCATTGATTTCTCTCTTTGTGATATCTTGTCGATAATGCATCTCTCTATTCTCCCCCCCCTCTTAGCACCGCTATTATGTGCGGTCGGGGTCCTCTCGCAAGGCTCCACGGAGGATGTATCAGTCCTGGCCAGCGAGGCCGCGAGAGCCAACAACCAGTCACTTCTCTGGGGTCCTTACAAGCCCAATCTGTACTTTGGAGTCGGTCCTCGAATTCCGAACAGTCTTTCCGCAGGTTTGATGTGGGCAAAAGTGGACAATTTCGCTACTGCGCAACAAAGTATACATCCAGAGCTAGCCTGAACTGTACTTACAAGAATTAAGAGATAACCGTGTGCTGATCCTTTGAAAGACTTTAGACACACCTGCGAACAAAATGACGGAATGGCAGGCTATGGCTGGGACGAGTACGATATCCGAAAGGGCGGGCGCGAAACAATTCACGATGCCGGAAACTCTCTCGATTTGACAATTGATTTCATCAAGGTCCCTGGAGGACAGCACGGAGGCAGCTGGGCTGCTAGGGTGAAAGGTGTTCCTCGTGATGATGCCTTACCCGACCAGCCGGTAACGATTGTCTTCTATAGTGGATTGGAAGGGCTAGGAAATCTAGGTGTCACCACAGAAAGCGAAGATCCTCGAGGATTCGAAGACGATGTTAAGCTCTCTGGCTACACTTCTGATCTTGGAGACTTTACAATTGATATAACTACGGGTGCTAAGACCAATGCGTATCCTCAGCATGATCATCCCTCATATGAAGACAAGCCATTAGATCGGACCTTCGTAGCCAGTTTATCAGTACAGCCAGAGCACATCTGGCAGTCAAAGAGTTAGTAACAGGGCCCCATTCTTGCCGTTCTTGAATTTTCATGCTTAGGTACTAATTTCATACAGTGATTCTATTCTCTCAGATGAAGAAGGCAGTTGATGAATGCATCGGGAAATATGGAGCGGAGGATCCTCCTCCACCGCCGCAGGTTTTCACCATCAACAATGCTCCAGGCGACGGTAATGTCCAGTACGTGCAGAAGGTTTTTGCAGGGGCTTTTGAGGTATGCAGCATCCCGTATTACCCAAACGACAAGCTTACGATTTGTAGTTCGATATTCTTTTCTCCTCGGGATCTGCGCCACAACCTCTCACTTGTGAGTAAAACCGAAACTCTAGGGAGCGATGAACTTAATACTGATGGCGTTATTTAAAGCCGAGACAATTACACGCGAGATCGAAAGCACCTCTCTCTCCTTCGCCGAGAGGTTTGAGAAGATCCTCTCTCCCCAAGCCCCCTTCAACTCGCCCAAGTACCTTGAGTTCTCTAAATCAATGTTCTCAAACCTTGTTGGCGGTATCGGCTTTTTCCACGGCTCTGATCTGGTGGACCGTTCTGCTGCATCAGCGTATGATGAAGAAGATGAGGGTTTCTGGGAAGAAGCTGCGGAGGCTAGAGCCCGGGCACAGCCTGTGATGGAAGGGCCAAAGGATCTCTTTACCTGTGTACCTTCCCGCCCTTTTTTCCCGAGGGGATTTCTCTGGGATGAAGGTTTCCATTTGCTTCTCGTTATTGATTGGGATACTGATCTCGCGTATGTACTGCCCAGGGTGTGCATCAAAGCATGCTTTACTTTAATACCCGCAAGCAAGTTCGATGCAACTAACTAGCACCCATTAGGCTTGAGATCGTGAAAAGTTGGTTTAATCTCATGGATGAAAACGGTTGGATTGCTAGGGAGCAAATCTTAGGTGCCGAGGCTCGAAGCAAAGTTCCAGCTGAGTTCACAGTTCAGTACCCTCATTATGCCAATCCCCCGACCCTCTTCCTAGTTGTCGAGGCGTTTGTCGACAAACTTGATGCTCAGAAGAAGAACAGCTCGATTGGGATATTTGCCGAAGACGATAACACAGAGAGCCTTCGTTCTGCTTTCCTAAAGCATCCGGAGTTGGGAGAGGCCTACATGCGCTCGATTTACCCTCTACTAAAGACGCATTATTTCTGGTACAGATCCACTCAAACTGGGGATATTACGTCTTATGACCGGGAGGCGTTTTCCACCAAGGAGGCATACCGCTGGCGTGGGCGGACTGTCCAACACATCCTAACTTCCGGCCTCGATGATTACCCTCGACCTCAGCCTCCGCACCCAGGTGAACTCCACGCTGATCTTATCAGTTGGATGGGTATGATGACCCGCACTCTTCGCCGTATTGCCAATGCCCTTGGAGAGACTGAAGATGCCGAGATGTTCCAAAACTATGAAACCGCTATCGCACGAAACATCGACGATCTTCATTGGGATGACGGAGCACAGACGTACTGCGATGCTACAATCGACGAGTATGAAGAGTCCGTTCATGTTTGCCATAAAGGATACGTTTCCATTTCCCCCTTCTTGACAGGTATGGTGGGCCCCGACAGCCCGCGGTTGAAGGCAATGCTGGACCTCATTGAGGACCCGGAGGAACTCTGGAGTGACTACGGTATCCGGAGCTTGAGCAAGCGGGACGAACTATATGGAACAGCGGAGAACTATTGGAGGGGCCCTGTTTGGATGAATATCAACTATCTAGTTCTTAAGAACTTACATGTGGGTTTTACAATTACCCGCACAATTAACCTGATACTAACCAATTTAAAATAGGATACCGCAACTGCACCCGGCCCTCAACAGGAACGGGCCCGTGTGATGTACTCCAAGCTCAGAAAGAATTTGGTCGAGAATGTCTTCCGAGAATGGAAGAAGTCTGGATTTGCATGGGAACAGTATAACCCTGAGACAGGAAACGGACAGCGGATACAGCATTTTACTGGGTGGACTAGCCTGGTAGCCAAAATGATGTCCATGCCCGACCTCCCCGCCAGCGGAAAGAAGGGCCATGACGAGCTTTAGAATTCTTGTCTTCGTTCAAGTTTTGTATAGAGCCATAGGGCAGACATGGGACTCCGGAAATTTGTACACCAATGATTATCCATGAAACGCCAAACTCCCTGTCCATTACCTCCAGCATATAGATAACCCAATGTCGCCAGCGTAGTAAGACTTTGCCGTAGCTTACCTATCTACGAGAACGATCATCCCGGTGTCTTCTCTCTCTACTCTTAGATCGAGAGTACGATCGCTTATTATGCCGGTCCCGGTCCCGGTCTCGTGACCTCGATCTGGATGTGTGTCGGTGGCTTCGATGGCTTCGATGGCGGCGATCGCGATCATCTCGAGGCCTATGGTGTCTGCGTTCCCGGTTCCGATCACCGCTACGATCCCTCTGGCGTTCCTTCCTTGGGCTCCTTGAACGGTCGCGCCTCCGTCTCCGACTGTCTCTATCATCGCGATCTATGTTTTCCTCAATAATCAGCATATCAGCGTCACTCCGGTGGGTAAATAAAAGGATATTGCCACCTTTTGTGACGGCATCAGAAAATGCTTCACGGGGCAGCGCGCCCTCATTCTGAGTATCCTTCCCGCCTAATGGAGTCAAATTGGCATTTGATTCGGTGCTTCTAGACGGCAACGGAAGACCCAAAGCAAGCGCCATGGCCTCCTCCTCGGCTTCTTTGACGCGTTGTCTCTCCTCTCGCTCCTTCCTAGCCTGTTCATCCGGGTCATCCTCTCCGCGAGCATACCACTGCAAATCCTTCCCCTGTTGCCAGCGCCCTACCGGAGCCATAAGAGAATGGCCTAGGTAGTTTTCGCGATGCGTAGAATCTTTGACATCGGACCATTTGAAGTCGCCGCGGCCGCCGCTATATGAGATTAGTCAATTACACAGACGAAAGCAGATTAATCACAGCGGATTTGCTTCCTACCGGCTCCCCTCCTTGCGAACGCCCGCAACAAGATCCATTATATCAACGTAGTTTCCGTTCCACAAGTGGCTTCAGACCAGTCGACTGCATGAAGCCGCGCAAACTGAGGTCTGCAGTAGACCTGGATGTGGCACGTGCATTTTAGCCTGAGGCAGCCAATCAGCCAATCAGCCCATCAGTTTCGAAGACTTCATTCAAGCACTTCATACATTGAGACAACACTCCCCCATATTTCCGAGAACTTTGGAGGGTGTTTTGGGGTTTTTTTCTTCTTCTTCTCTACTCTAGCTACTCCCTATTTGAAAATGCTTATCGCAAGTAGTTTGCAGAGGATAGACGCCTCCTTCCATGTGATGTCACTCGGGATCTGATACATATACCCCTCGTGTCGTCAAAATATCAGTATCTTCCCGTCACCTCAACTGTGTTTTTTTTTTTCTTTTCTTTTCTCTAATATATGAATCTTTTTCTGGAATTTTATATTTCCCCAACCCGTCGTGCTCTGTGACTAAAATTTTAGCCATAACGACTGTAACTTTCCAGAATGGCGTTCAATAATAACGCTCATCGACCGACTCCAGGTCCGAAGTCTCGCCATCGCGAAGGCCTACATCTGAGAGCGCTGAACGTCGAGAAAGGATCGAAAAGGGTGCGTATTGACTGATTTACTATGTCGCACGTTGTTCCAACTCCCTAGGATTCGTCCACTGACATTTGGATCAGTTTTCCTCGTATGTTATCTTGCCTGATCCTGGCCGGCGCAGGTACTGAATATGGCTCTAGTACAGACTATCCTTTCCCACCCCAGACTGCCACTTGGCGCAACAATTTGGTAACTAGAATTTCTGTCCTCGATTTACGTTTACTTTATTCTTTCTGACTGGTTGAAGACTGCGCTCTCCCAGCGTCGTAACCTATTGTTTGTTGCTTACAATCATCAAATCTATGTCTGGGAGCCCGCTGGATCGTTCCAAATATTGGGATCTAAACCTGAGATGATCATTACGCCAGTCATGAAGGAACCACACAACGGTGGATATATTTCACAGGCCTTCCCTCACGCGATCAATAACATCCTGGTAGATGATTTGGGTCGAGAGGAAGTATTGTTACTCGTTACTGATTCTGGGAATGTCTGCGGGTACCGAGTTGAAGCAATCTTTTCAGCTCTAAAAAGAGCCTCAGAGGAAAAAGAACCCAAGCCTTTGGATAGCTCCCAGGTGGACCCTTTCTTCGTCGAGTATGTTGAGGCCAGTGCTTGGGGTCTGGCGATTCACAAATTCGCCCGCTTGATCGCCGTATCGGCAAACACTGGTTTAATTACTGTGTTCGCTTTCGCACTTGTTAATCCCGCCTCTGGGAGTGCCGATGATTCGTTCTCCCAGTTGGAAAGCAATGGTGGATTTGCTGATTACGGTCAAACTTGGCTACATATTAGGACCAGCGACCAGTTCGCACAGCTCCGACACTGGATGCCAGAAAAGCACCGCACTCGCAACATTAAGTTGTCTTACACTGGCCATTTCACCAACATTCCGTCAGTCTCCTTTTTGAACTGTGACCTTGACCCCAATGGAGTGTGGATGGTTAGTACAGACATCGAAAACAAACTCCTAGTTTGGAAGGTTTGGGATAGCCTTGGGCCATTTAATCTGGTCCATTTCAATGAAGTCACATTTAGGACCTTTCCGGATACTTTGCGTAACGAGTAAGCTCTGATTCTTCTGATCAAGTTAAAAGACAATATACATATTGACCTTATCAGCAGCGAACGTGGATGGGCTGTCATTGCTCTTGACCCACGTAGCTTTCACTTGCTCAGATCAACAGAAGAAGCGTGTGGTGGTCAACCCCAACGACGGATAAAGAACGGAAATGCAATTCTTGACTTGACAAAACTAATTAGTCGAGTATCTAATGCGTCGCATTTGTACAACTATTTCCCTCCCGCAGCCAAGGCCGAGCCAGAGGAGCCAGTATTACCTGATATTTTCGGAGCCGATTGTCTAATAAGTACGAAAAATGGTTCACTCCAATCCGCTGTTCATGGTGTCCGTGATCCTTCAGTGCCCCCCGACCCTAGTGATCTTGCAGCGATCAACCCGCTTCCCAGTGTCAGCAGTAGCTTTCGCCCTTCTGAATCCGCTGACACTTTTAGCCACCGGGCTGTGGACGGTTCTTTTCATGAAGATCACTTGAGTGATGATAGTCCATCAGATACAGACCCAGAACCGGACGATCAGCAAGATGCAAGCCATAATGAACTTCTAAGGGCCCTAGGAGGTTCAGATGAACACATCAATACCCCCATTCCTCCCGGACATGGGCCTTTGACAACCCCAGAGTTCCTTCAATTTGCTCTTCTCGAAGCGCTCGGCGGTGATGTCCATGAAATCGAGCAATTTCTTGGTGAAAGCATGGATCACGACTCCACAGACGAGGATGATTATCTTAATGATCAGGAGATGGATGAAGCGGACGATGACTCAGACAGCGACAGCCCAGAAGTCGGTAGTCTTGCATACCAAACCTTCGATCGTATGTACCCTAGTATCTCTACATAAAATCCCCCGCCTTACTAGACGGAAAGATATGCTAATCCATATTCGACCACTTCAGCTCCAGCTAACTCAAACTTCCCAATTCTTCATTTCTCGCAAACAGACATCCGTCTAGTCTGTCACCCCTTCTCTTCCCACGCAAGCGTTGTTTGCGGTGCCCCTCTGCGCCAACCCTTCACTCACCCTATAGTATCCCTCCGAGCCTGCGACCGCTTTAACATGGTCAAATACATCCCCGAGCACGGTATCGTCATAGCAGCCTCCCAAAAAGGCCGCGCAGCAGTCATTGCACTGACCGAATCTAAGAATATTGGATTCTCCTTCCGAATAGACTGGATTGTTCCTTTCGAAAGCCAAGAAAAATACGGCGACCGCCCGCTTATCCCCCTGCTAGGCATGACCGTTGGTCCTATGCAAGGCTTCGAAGCACCCCCAGACGTCCCATACATCCCTCGCAATGCCGACGACAATACCCTCATGTTCCATTACAGAGACACACACACCCATACCGACAGTAACAACGACGAAACCGAAACCGAAACCGAAACCGAAACACGACTACCAAGCAGCAGCAGCAGCAGCAGCAGCAGCACATCATCTACATCCGCTCGTAGCCCACGCCGTAGTGGTGGCAACAATGAGCATTCCTCAGCCTCAACTCCAGACCCCCGACAACAGCAACCGCCTCTCACGTTACCAGAGTGCCATGCCAGAGCTACCCGCGCATATCGGCCCGAGGAGAGCTGGCGTGGCTGGAACCCGTCTCGCCGGTATCGCCTTCTACTCATGTTTGCGGACCATACCGTTATGAGCTATGAGTTCTGGTATACGTGGAATTCTTCTTCCGATACCGGTGATGGCCTTGCCATTGACGAAGATGAGTATCTTATCGTTTAGAGTGGACATGGGGAGACACAGCATATCACATGGGCTTCCTTGTAGAAGATCCCTTATTTGGTTACTTCTATGGAAAGTGTGTTTGTCAATTAAGATATCCCATCTCCAACTTGGTTCGATTGTTTCTTTCTAGTCCCTTGCGGAGCGGAGAGAGGATTTAGTCCGAATCTGCGAGCTTCTTGTATATATATTGTTTCGGTAGTGGGCATGGTTTTTTTCTTTTTTTTTTTTTTTTTTTTTTCGGGGTTCAAAAGTCGTTGGAAGGAGAGCGCAAGATATCCCGATCCAGCATGTCATGCAGACTGCCCTCAATGCGAAAATTTTCGTCGTAAAAATAAAACTCCACCGATAATTATAAATAAAATAAATAAATAATCCAATATTATTCCCCTCGACCCATTGCTTACTATTGATCCTTTTTTTTTTTTTTTTTTTTGAAACCTCTTAACAGAATCATGATATGATGTACATACATACATGGAGAACCAGACTTGATCTCAACAGAACAATGGAAATCAGCTTGTACATGAGTGACTAGCTTGGTAAACCAACACTAGAGACCAATCATTCGTTAATACAAATGCAAAAAAAAAAAAAAAAAAAAAAAAAAAAGTCATCATAAATACAAAAATTTGCAAATCAGAAAGTTGCCCCCAAAACCGGTTTATAGTCATGATCGTGAAGTCGTAAAAATGTTTTAAGAATGCACTGATGATTGAACACAAAGTCGTAAGAATATAAGAAAGTAAATCATAGGGAAGAAAGGCATCAAAAGCATTTTTGTCATGACAATGAAATTAGAAGATGTCTTCTAGCTCATCACTATCCCACTCATCTTCCCGGTCGTTTTGAACCAGGTCTAAGAATCGCTGAAGACCAGCACGTCTGATGGGCGCCTGCTGGGCTCGTTCAGGCCCATGGCCAGCTCGGATCTCGGCCATAGCTTGCGCTTGCGCTTGTCTTTCAGCCGCGGCGGCCCGACCAGCGGCATCCAAACCATTGGCATTACGCCCCAAGTCATGATTGCCGGCTGCATGGTTGACCCGCGGCGGGATGGGAGCTGGTGGTGGAGGTCGTCTGCGGGGCCTCACGTCATCTTCGCCATGCTCTAACTCCCATGGCTGGAATTCTTCATCGTCGCTGCTTTCATCAAATTCAACTAGTTCTCCGGGGACTTGATGTAAAACGTCTGCGCCTTCGGGGTCAATACCATCACCACCTTCCAAATCCCAGAGACGGTTGAAACAGCTACTGGCGAGATCGTTAAAATGCTGATAAGGATTTGCTTCAGCCAGCCAGCTGGAGCAAAGGTAGCAAAAGTGTGTATCGCACTTGAAACATTTCATGTGATTACAGCCCATACGCTTTTGGCATGGGGCATTACATGTTGGACAAGGAGATGTATAGAGCCTGAGATATTCCTCCGTTGCCTTTTCTTCTGCAGAGAGCTCTGCTTCTCGTCGGGGGAAGCACCGCACGAGTTCGCCATGCCAGCCTTTCTTGCAAACACAGCAGAAAGCATAACTGCAATCCTCACAGATAGCAACGCGATCCGCCATTGGAGGGAGCTGGCTTTCATCTCCAAGAGGGTCAAAGACAGTACTATCCTCTTCGTCATCAGAACTCTCCAGGCTGTCTGTCATTGGATCAAGAGGTTTGGGGTGCTTCTTTGACCGGGCCGCGCCCTGACACCATTGTCGAGGACAGTACACGGTAGTTTTATCGGCCTCGAGTTTCTTCTTTCGTTTAAGGAAGACATAGCGTTGCACGGTTTCCTGCTCGAGGGGTATTTGTAGGAGTTCTGAGGGATTGAGCGTCCGATCATGCTTTCTGAGCTTTTTCACAGGTCCGGAGGCACTCGCAGTAGGGGGGTTTTCTTTACCACAGCCAGGAGCAAGGCACTTGACATTTTCAACATCTCCTTCGGTGATGCAGGTATTGTAAAAGTCCTGCAAGCAGGGGACACAGAAAACATGGGAGCATAATAAGAGACGATGACAATGCACTCCTTTCTTGGGTTCAAGGCAAATCCCACATTCAAAGGTTTCTTGCTCAAACTTCTCGCGCTCTGCTTTATTATTAAAATCCAACAGGGCAATCTTCAATTCACGCGGCAGCCGTACTTCTGAACCAGGGATGGCGTCAATCCCAAACGCTGTGTCTGCCATTTGCTGGAGATGATCTATATAGCTAAACACAACGGGGGCCCTGCCAAATTCTTCCCAAAGGCGTTTGGCATCATCCAGGAGCCTTGAGATAATCCACAATGGCAACCATTGTGGATTAGTGCTCAGCTTAAAAATAGGCGGCTTCTCCGAGGGATAGCCCTTTGGGAGTTCGATCTCAAGGCAAAGAGGAGGCAGGTGAGAGAGGACATGAACGTCTTTTTCGGGGTCAACGGTTGTTTGGCCGTCACCTATCTTCGCTGTGGAGCCGAGACCAACTTCACTGGCGTCAAGGGAGGTTGGAGGAGTCAGGACTGTAGGAAAGCCAACTTCCGGGTGCTGGTAAAAGCAAACCCTTAACGGAGTCGAAGGAATCACCGGGAGATCCAGCGAAGCCCTGTATGGAGACGACAAGTCAATCTTGATTTCGGGGTAGATAGCAGCAATAGTCGAGACCTCTTCCGATCGCTCATCGTCGGACAATGGATCCGCCTCCATCACGGTGGGCAAAGAAGGGAAAGGTGCGAGTATTCGGCAGGGTTTTGTATCGATATGGCAATGGACGATAGCAGCGGGTGGCAAGGTGGGCTGATTAGTGACGGGCTACTAATAAAACCATAGTATAATTGTGTAAATGTATCCCAAAGCAAGTGTCACCGAAAGCATTCACCCCTCTCCTTTTTGGGAGGGAGGGGGATTCCTCTGCCGGAACCTTCCTTTCTATTTTTTATATTCGAAGGAAGAGGGAGAAAAGAACCAAGTTTATCATCAAGGCAGAGAACCAGGCGAATAGAATGGCAACAACAGTGAGCGTTTAATGTTGGAGAAGCAGAATCGAGAAAACCATGGGCTAAAAGAAGAAAAAGAAAGTCTCCAGAATTTATATACTTCTAGAAGCACCGAGCCCTGTGGTGGCGGAAAGCGGAGAGAACTAAAGACGAGAACGTCGGATAAAAGGGCCCAGGGGACAGGGTATAAAATATTTTTATATTATCGGTGGGTCAAAGCAGCCGGGAAGGGACAGTAATCGGGAGAAATTGAGGATCAAGGCAGTAAGCGGCCTGGAGGTAGCGACGATATAGGATGAGCGTGTGGGAGACGACGAGACAGAATAACTGAGTGGCAGCGAGAGACGGCTCGTTGAGCGGTGGCGGAGAACGATGAATTGAAGCAGAATGAGAAAGTCGAGTACGGACGTGGGGAGAGAAAGTGCGTCATTGTTTGTCCCGAGATAAGAAGAGAGAGTTCAAGTAGATGCAAGACTAAAGAGATTTCCGCTGTCGATGTAGGGGGAAAAGAGGTACAAGACGAGAATAAGAGGGAAAGGAAAGGAAAGAGAAGGAAGAGAGAGAGAGAGAGAGACTCGAGATAGAAAAGAGGACTGTGGGGGAAAAGAATCGGCGTCAGGCAGTATTTGGTGCCCAGTGCCAACAGAATCAAGGATGATTCTTCATTATTCAGGTTCAGCTCAAATAGACCAATTCATACTTATACCTGGATGATAGTTTCTTCTTGTAATAATCCCCTTCTCTGTGTTTTTTTTTTTTTTCTTTTTTTCCTCTTCTTCTTCTCTTAGTTTTTTTGGCTGCTGAAGTGTTTCCAATCAACGGTTATCCGTGGTGTGGGCCTCAGGCCAGCCCGGCATTGATTTCCCCTCCCCCTCATTTCCATCGCTGCTTTTAATTGACAGGGCGGGATCTTTTTGGGTGGCTAATAGCAGCATTGAATACTATCCATATGGGGAAACCGGATCCGGAGTAACCTCTTTCCGAAATCCTTTGCCTTTTTAGACCTGCTGTGATTTGTTATCGAATATCGACACGAGGCTTTATCGTCCCAGTCCCAGTCCACCCGACAACTGAGGTTGAGTAAACTGCTGAGAGTACGGTTGAGTCCGACATGGCTGTCACCTCCTTCTCTTGATATATGTCTTTCCTTATCTGTATCTCTCTCTATCTGGATATACAATAAATATAAATATATCAATCATGAAGGAAACACCGCTAGCGTCTTTGTCTCTGACCCACGTTCACTATGTAAGTTGTTCTTGGACAAGAGAAAGTTAGGAGAGAGGCTAACCTAGAATTCACTCTTGTGATAGAACCCCGATGATCCGCTGTCTTTTCTGTCAGCGTGGCTCGCCCTCGTTCCCCAAGCACTATGTGTGATATATGTTACTCTCATCTGGGCTTCGAGGGAGGCGGAAGTCGCCTTGATGTTCGCCGGCCAGATGGGTTGTGAAGCTGTGAACTTCGTTCTTAAGCGGATCATCAAAGAGGAACGACCAAAGCGTATGTGGACCAAAAAGAGCGAGAGCCTCCCCGCCTTGGAGGTACCCCCAAAGCTAACACTAGATGTGTCGAGTTAGAAATGTTCGGGAAAGGCTATGGGATGCCGTCATCGCATGCCCAATTCATGGCTTTTTTCGCAGTTTATCTTGGCCTCTTTTTGCTTTTGCGACATTCCCCAAACCCCGCAAACCCAGGGCTAATCTCTCTTTTCATCGGCCGCATCCTCCCTACCCTTGGATTAGGTCTCGGTGCCATCGCCGTGGCTGGCAGTCGTATTTACTTGACGTATCATACCCCCCGACAGGTTTTGGCTGGATTTAGTGTTGGGATCATGTTTGCTTTCGCTTGGTTCTACTTCACTGGGCTCCTGCGAAGCACGGGATGGATTGACTGGGCGTTGGACCTCTCGTTAGCGAAGTTGCTGAGATTCCGGGACTTGGTGGTAAGTGAAGATCTTATTGAAGCTGGCTGGCAGCGATGGGAATCGAAGAGGAAGTTGAAGCGGAAAGAGAAGGATAACCACTCGTCCGCGAAGGTAGACTAACGTCACCAACCCATGGGAAACTGGTAGAAACTTTGATTCTTTAAAAGGCCATTAGATCCGATTATCTGCATGTCTACACGGAATCCTTGTGATATACCACGAATATAGGAAATCCTGAGGAACAGGCCCTTAGCCTTGGCGATGGTGTTTCCAGAGTGCGTGTGCTGCCTGTCTTTGGGTTTGTAGTCTTTTACTCCGTATAGTTATAGGTACTTTATTAGTTTGTCCGAATCATAATGCTTGCATCGATGCGCAGCCCTTCCAACACACTGTCCCTCATAACAGCTCAAAATATTTTTAAGATACTTTGGCTTTCCCTGTTCGACCTCGATTAATTCGATTAATGGATCTTAGATCTAGCCTCCACCGCGGTTCCTTGCACGTGACCACTATCGCCGCCGATCCACAACTTTCGCCCACATCGGAGATTCGTCAAAGCCGGGGAAGGTTTCTTGTCCAAGTCTCTACGCAACACAACATGTATACCCTGTGCTTGACTGGCTGACATGTTATACTTGGCACTCTCTCTTTAATATCTTTTACTCCGAACCTTTTAAAGGTTTCTCTTCACCGGTTTATTTTTCTTTCTCTCCTGATTCCTATTCCGCCATATACCCTTGTTTATTGTTTAGCCAGCCATTCAGCGCCACGTTGGAGTTTATCTGCAGATTTAGAGCTTCCAGATTCCGCATAGCTTCATCATGGATGACCCATCAGCTTCCGACGATATCGGTGTGCAGGAACAGCACATCGTAAAGGCGGATGAAGTGGACCAGACTGGAACAGATATTAGCCCCGTCTCGGATGATCAGCTGATGGAAGAGGTCGCGGAAGAACTACGACAGGAGCAAGCTGCACAAACTATTCCTGGCCTTAGAAGTGAACCACCAGTGCTTACATTAATGTCTCCCAGGCGCCCAGAATTGCGGCGGGATGCTGCTGCTCCTCCGCCGCCTCTTCAACCTCCACCACCGGCACCGGTTCAGGAGAATCTGGAAATGTCAACTGATTCGTTGAGCCTTGCCCAGTTAAGACAGTTGGTCCAGGAGATGCCAAAGGCTGAACAGCCCGCGTATGCATTCGAATATGCGGACTCTCAACCGTTTCCCGAGGAGATCGAAGAATGGTTTCAGTACACCGAGTTTGATAGGGACATGCTCACCAGCATGAAATCGTCCTTCGAGCGTAGGTGGGACTTGTTCTGCGATAACCAGCCCGCGCTTTCCCCCCATACTTCTTGGATTGAAGCCCCTCATGATTTACAGAAGCTGTTCATGAGCGAAGTGCTTGAAATTTTGCAAGACAACGAGATCGTGCCCCGTATTGAAGCTTTAGAGTCTATCTGCTATGCTGTGACTGGAGTTTGGGGATCGACTGCTGGGAAATGTGTCCCAGATTATCCCGAGAATCCCTCCGCTTTCACCGCTGCAGAAACACCCCAGTCAAAGTCTTTACAAATCCGGTGGATAGAGAACAACGCAAACTTGGTCCTTGAATGCTCAGGTCTACAACCGTTGTTCAACTGCCTGTTTCGGGCGTTTGAGAAGTCCCGTGTCTCCGCCCCATTGGAACCCAACGGGACGGCACCAGAAAACACAAACGCCGCGTCTCTGGCTGCCGCTGAGCAAGAAGCAAACTTAGTGCTAACAGCTTTCTACATGCTTGTAGAGGTCGGGCGAAGACAGGAGGTACAGGACCCGAAGCACACCCCGATAAAGCATGGAATTATGGGGCTAAAGCCGGACTTGATGGTTTTCCTAGTTGAGATTATCGCACGGCTGCGCTGGGATGACTCTACCAATGTTCCTCTTACGAGAATTATTCTCTTGTTTTGGAAGTGTATCATTCTCTTTTTTGGAGGTAGTGATAGTCTAAAACAAGCCAAAGAGGAATTGGAACCATCCGTTGACGATGGGAAAAATGATCCAATGCGAAGGACGCCTTTTCTTACTGCATCCCCACTGGATTACCACGTCTTTCGACAAGAGATTACATCTAAGTATCCTTCATACAATCCGCCTCCACCCTTGGTGCCTCTAGAATTAGAAAACAACTCGATCCTTCCTCCTCTACCCCAGCATCCCAGCAGAGCATACTCTTCAAACGGTCTATTTTCTGGGGTTGGTCCGTCCATAGCGGGTGCCAATGGCTCGATTTTGCACCAGTCCGTTCACATCGCAACGCCAGCTCCATCCCCCCCGCCATCTCCGATTGGCCCCGGTGGAAAGGCAGGGAAGAAACAAAACTACCAAACAAATCAAAACTTCCCGTTCATGTACCCCCCGCTCGATGATTCAAGCAACGATCTTGGAGGGAAAGGCACCACGGAACTTCAAGATGTGTTGGTTGGGAAGAGATGGGAAGGCAGCGATGTTCCAGCTTCTATCATTGAGGCTGGGAAGCTTTTCTCAACCCATGTGAAAATGACCAGAGCGATGAGCCAACTTTGGGAAGAACGTGAGCGCTTCATGAAGTACGATCGCGGCTGGCATCCAGATGACAACAACTCTTCGCCTGACGAAGACACTGGGGAGGAAGTAGCAGAAAACATACAAAATCTCACTTTACAGGAGAAGAAAGAACATATGGTTGATAGGCCCTACGAAAAGGAAACCGATAATGAGGATATTCAACGGCGCCTAGATGCGGTTGAGTCCTTTTATGTGAGTAAAAATGAATGGTCTCTCCCCGATCGAAACTGTCTACTCACGATCTTCAATAGACGCAAGCACTAGTGCACTTACAATCAATTACCATAGTTTTCCTAAAGATTGTATTAACAAATGTGAGTGCAATGGTCAATCAGGGAAATGGTCAAAACGGCATGAGGTATGTGGGTATCATATAATACCTTTGGGGTGAACCAGAATCCTAACCTTCAACAATAGTGACAACTACAACGCAGTCAATGGGGCTGCAGCAAATTATAACAATCATCCTGAGGATCTCAACTGTGATCCTGCTATTGACGAACTTGACAATATTCGGCTACGTGAGATCACCGGGAAAGCCATCTCCGGGTCTCTCCTGCTCTTAATCAAGTGGTTCAAGAGATCTCGTAAGTTGCATTCTATACTCTATTTCTACCATCCAGATACTAATCAACCCAGATATATTGAAATTCGAATACATGACACAGCTCCTACTGGATTCGAATTATTTACCTCTAATTCTAAAAATGTTTGCTCACCAAGACGTTGATCAAGCGGTCGCGCAGCGAACAGACCGGGATGAATTGGGGTATGTGCCAGTTTGCTTCATATGTCGTCTTAGTACACTAACAACCTCTAGATTCTTCCATTTCTGTCACTTGCACTCCGAACAGCCTCCTGACGACAGTGATTTAGACCAGGACAGCGACGATGAGGCTGTTCCGCCTCCTATTGCTAGACATAGGCAGGACACAGTCTTCCACAACCATAATCCTGGAGGGGAACCCCTGGATGAGACCAACCAGGAATTTATAGAAGGTCCCCATCGTCCCGAAGTCGACGAATTGGGGTATCCAACAGCACCGCCACCCAAGGAGCCTATTACAACATTCTCCTTTCGCAACTTCTTCTCGGCTATCAACTTTCTTCACATTATGCAGAAAATTACCCGGGACAAGGCTCACCGATGTCTCCTGCTTGTCCAGTATAAGTCAAGCACGATACTCCGTAAAGGACTAAAGATTCCAGACCCTCATCTGCGCTTCTACACCCTCAAGCTCTTCAAGTCGCAAGTCCCTTACTGTGGTCGCAAATGGCGCCAAAGCAATATGCGGGTGATTACTGCAATCTACCTTTACTGCCGCCCCGAACTACGGGATGACTGGCTAGCTGGATCTGATATCGATGCGGAAGTCGAGGAGGCCTTGCCCCTTGAACAAGCCCTTCGTGGGCTAACACACTGGTGGCATTTACGACGATACAAGGACGTAATGGGTGGCGAAGAGGGGCCATCGCTCATGGATGAAGAGCGGGACTTTTTCGTACGTGAGCTTGAAGCAATGGGATGGGGGTTCGCCGGAGAAGAGCTACTAAATGGAATCACTGATGAGGCCGAGCTGGCTGCAGGCGGCCCACTGGCGAACGGAACAGAATGGGACGGAGCACCATTGCAAATGGAAGGATGTTAAACACGCAAAATACTAGGTCTGTATCCGCAGGCCCTCTTCCTTGTATATAGACACGAGCCACCATAGTGAATGAGAATCATGAATTCCGTAACTTCGACAAAATTTTCAACCCTTACTACTTATACTTGGTTGACTAGTATTTACCAACCAACTTCGAGATTTGGAGTTGCTGGAATATTTTTCTTATTTTATTTTATTTTATTTATTTTATTTTTGTTCCTGGCACTTCTTATCGATAAGAAACGATGTTCTCACGTGACAATCCGCGAAACCTTTTTTTTTTTTTTTCTCCTTCTACAACCAAACTCAAAGCCAGGTCTTGCACCATCTCATCTTCCCCAAGAGAACATTTATCCCCCAAACCCAAGCGGACCAAATTCTTTGCGCCAAAGCCGGCGTGGCTGAATTTTTGACAAGATGTCTTCCGATGAAATTGTCTGGCAGGTTATTAACCAGCAATTTTGTTCCTACAAGCTCAAGTAAGTCAATAGAACACCACTCAAGCCTTTTTTTTTTTTTTTCTCCCCCAGCCCCCAATTCGATCTTCCACCATGGAAACTTCATTCAAGGGTTTGCCGGCTAACAATGCCCTTTTTTTTTTTTTTTCTTACAGGACTACTAAGGGCCAAAACTTCTGTCGCAATGAATACAACGTCAGCGGTCTGTGCAACCGCCAGTCCTGTCCGCTGGCAAACTCTCGCTACGCTACGGTCCGATCAGACCCAGAGACTGGCGTGATGTATCTATACATGAAGACTGTGGAACGAGCACACATGCCCAGCAAACTGTGGGAGCGGATCCGGCTGTCCTCAAACTACGCCAAGGCCTTAGGGCAATTGGACGACCGGCTTATCTACTGGCCGAAATTCCTGATACACAAGTGCAAGCAGCGTCTTACGCGGCTGACACAGGTAGCGATTCGCATGAAGAAACTCGCAAAGGAGGAAGAGCGCCTGGGTGAGAAGATTGTGCCGAAGTTGGCGCCGAAGATCCGACGTCGGGAGGAGACGCGCGAGCGCAAGGCCGAGTCTGCGGCTAAGGTGGAGAGAGCAATTGAGAGGGAGTTGATTGAGCGGTTGCGCAGTGGAGCCTATGGTGATCGGCCGCTTAATGTGGAGGAGGGTATTTGGAAGAAGGTGTTGAGGGGTTTAGAGCGTTCTGGAGAGGGTGAGCGGGATGAGGACCTGGATGATGGTGAGGAAATCGAGGATGAGGAGGAAGAAGGTGTTGGTGAGGTTGAGTATGTTAGTGATCTTGATGAGGATGAAGACTTGGAAGATATTGAGGACTGGCTTGGTGGCGAGTCGGGCGACTCGAGTGATGATTACAGTGACGAGGAGGACGAGGAGGACAGCGATGAGGCAAGCGACTCCGAGGACAATGAGGAAGAGCAGAAGAAGGCCAAGCCTGGGTCTAAGCGAAAGTTCTCTGCACCGCCGCCGAAGCCCAGGAAGAAGGGTGGTCGAATTGAGATCGAGTATGAAACTGAGGGCGCCGCTAAGGATAGCCTCTTCGCATAGAGGAAACAGCCATTATCTCCCAGGTTGGGTTACGGAAACAGAAAAGCAAGGCATCAATATCATGGTCTTTTTGTCAACTCTATTTACTTTGTTTGGCGTTATTTTGGTTTCTGTCGTGTTGGTCTGCTGCCGCCGCCATTGGGCGTCTCATACCCAGCGATTGCATATACATATACATACCTAGGTTACGGCTCCACGCTCTTTTCTCGTCTCGCAGCTGGTGCGTAATTTTGATTAGTCCGATTAACGGTTATAGGACCACTTGGTACATCTAATCTGCGACAAAGCCTCATAAATGACCCTCCAGATCACGTGCAGAAACTGAAACGGTAGAATTGTACGATTGAAGAAAAGCCACCATCTCTTTCACTCATTTCTCCCCTATTTCCCCTCCTTCTTCCTGACTTCCCTCTACAATCCAAACCCTGAACACAATGTCTTCCTATTTTTCTTCCATTACCTCTTCCTCTGCCATTTCCAACCTAGGAACACGCCTCACCTCCCTGCGCCGCGCGATCACTTCAGGTGACGAGGCAGACGACCCCGATAACGAAGATTGCTCGCACATCTCCAACGTTCTCCGCGCGTACTACACTGAAAAAGGCCGCCCTTATCCGTCATGGCTCCCACCGGACCCGAAAGAACGCTCCCAAGCTCCCTCACGGACTATTGCAACCTCCAATGTTAACCCAAATTCGAGCATGTCTTCCGGTCGAGGCGGTGGGCTGGCGGATCTGTGGGGAGATTCAGGTGGCGCTGCACCTCCCTCCCAGACAGCCAGTTTGCGACGAGGACGAGGCGCTGTCGGGTCAAGCCACTCACTTCCCACCCAAACACCCTCTTCACACTCAGCCTCGACATCACTACACCCTACTGGATCACGACCACTGCCTAGTCAGCGGGCTGCATCTTATCAGACAGCCCCGGGGCCGTTAACCCCCGCACCACCGCTGGAACGGGCGACGTCTGCTCAGGAACGGCTACGTGCGAGGCTTCATGGGGGCCGGTCCCCTAGTCCAAACCAATACCCTGGTGCCTCCGATCCTAGTGCTCGGAAGCCAGTCGGGATGAATCCAGGGCCGGGCCGAATTCGATAAACGGACGGCTTCTGTCTACTTTTTTTTTATTTTTTATTTTTTTTTTTTTTTGTCTGTCTGTTCGCTGCGGCAATTACTGCGACCACTACTACAAGATAATAGAATAATACGACACGATGATATGATGACCCAGGTTTTCCGCTACTCCCATAGAAATTGTATTCAACTTTTTTTTTTTTTTTTGTCTAGCCTTCGTTTGGAGCAACAGTTGGGAATACTCGTGCTCAGCTAATGTAGAAAACTGTTTCTTATTTTCTTCCATTATTGATTACATTTAACTGTTATGCTTTCCTTTGCCTTTCTAACTACTCCGTACCTATGCAGGTAGTGCTAGTCCATAGTTAACTACCCGAGGTTGGGAATCGATTACCACGGCTTCATGTGCATAGGCTTCGAAGTAAACATCCAAGTATCCCCTGCGATGGAGTTTAATTCATGCATATAATCTTTCGATATTAGCTACTAGGCCTCTCCCGTAGAACGCGACTCCTTTATCGTCAAGGCAATAAGTAAACACTCCTTAATTAATGTTATAGTAACGCGGAGACATATATTTGCGCCGGGTCTACCTTAATCCTCTCATATGACGTCGATCACTTTGCTTGGATTTCTGGTGAAAAGGGCAACCGATTCAAGGCAATAATTCCACCAATATTTCCTGATATCATTCAGGAACAAGCGTCTCCAGCGCTTTGAAACACCAAAGGGGCACATTTATCCTGTTACGCGGTTTCATACATAATCCCGTCATGTGATCCGCGCTGTCTCCGCTATGGCCCATCGCAGCCTGCCAATGGTGACAATTGAATAGGCCCCCATCATTTATTATTCAAGACAGTTATTTTCTACGCTTCGAACAACAGTCCTAGGGGATACATTGATACTGTCCCTATCGTGGCACCCGAATAGATTTCTGCCGTGCACGTATCCTCCAGCTCCGTCGACGTCCTTGCCACTAGTACCTACGAGAATAACAATGGTCCCGGCGGGACACCCTGGATGCAGCACAGTGTGAAGGGACAGGGCGGGATATGACCCTTTTTTTTTGTTGGCGCTGGAGCCCTCGGATAGCTCCGTGGACATTAAAAAAGCAATTTTAGGACCCTTTCTTTACCGTCAAGAAATAACCATGCCTTCATCATCAGATTACCTCCCCCCTCACGAGCATGCGAGCATTCCCGACGACTCCGGCTCCGACGATGACCTAGACTTGGAGGAACTCGATCCATCGAGCGCATTTCACGGGTCCCGAATGTCGAGAGATGAGCCGGCCCCGCAACGACACCATGGGCCCGGTATAGCTTTGAGGAGCCTACGCGTGGGAGCTGGCAAGCGGATGTGGAAACGAAGTATGTCGGGAGCCCATGCGGAGGATATGGATGGGTTACTGGAAGACCAGGACGAGGATGGCCTTCGACGGTCCCATGCAAGCTCTACCAACTATACCGACGATAATGCACCTTTGCTTCGAGAAGGAAGAAGAAGCTCTGCCCGCTCCTTTGCCGACGCCGAACGAATGCTACAAAGAGGATCTTGGCTAGGATGGTTGAAATCTGCAATTATCCGGTTTGGCTCTAGAGCCAAAGGCGGGAATAATGAGGCTGTGGTGAAGCCCCCGCGTGATGTTCTCGTTGGACAGGCGCAGGGAACGAAATACCCCCCCAACGTCGTCTCGAACGCCAAATACACCCCCTGGAGCTTCCTTCCTCGCACGCTCTATAACGAATTCTCCTTCTTCTTTAACATATACTTTCTTCTTGTTGCTCTTTCGCAGATTATTCCTGTGCTTCGGATAGGTTATATGTCCTCATACATTGCACCTCTGGCCTTTGTCGTATCTATATCTTTGGGAAAGGAGGCTCTGGACGATATTAGGAGGAGAAGGCGGGATGCAGAGGCTAATGCCGAGGAGTTCTCTGTCTTGGCGCTGGACAAGCTGGTGGGACGCAGGCCTTTGTCGGAGGATAACGGCGCACAAGGAGGAAATATCCCCGTGATTACCAAAAAGTCTAAAGACCTGAAAGTCGGCGATGTTTTGAAGGTCCGCAAAAGCCAGCGTCTCCCCGCCGATGTTGTTATTCTGAAGAGTATATCAAACGATTCTGGTGCCATTCGTGAAAGTATAGAGGCGGAATCCTCATCGGCAGAAGCAGATCCCAGCTCAAGCCATGGGACTGAGCAAGCAAACGCCTCTTCCGGCAGTGATACCTTCATTCGAACCGACCAGCTGGACGGCGAAACGGACTGGAAACTACGTCTGCCCTCTGTGTTGTCCCAGACGATCTCACTTGCTGACTTTGCAAGACTGAAGATCACTGCAAGTGCGCCCGATAAACGAGTTAATGAGTTTGTCGGGAATATTGAAGTCTTGCCTCCATCAGGATTTTATGACCCCCATGTTGACAAGTCGGACAATGAAGGAGAATACGACAACGAAGTTGAGCAAAATAACTCGGCACCACTTACTATCGACAACACTGCCTGGGCCAACACTGTTCTGGCATCGAACACCATCACGTACGCCGTTATCATCTACACTGGATCACAGACGCGAGCTGCACTTTCTACGTCCCCTTCTCGATCAAAAGTCGGGTTGCTTGAATATGAGATCAATAACCTCACGAAGATCTTGTGTATTCTGACCTTAACCCTCTCAATCATTTTGGTTGCATTGGAGAGATTCCAACCAACGAATGACAAGCAGTGGTATATTGCGATCATGATTTATCTGATTCTCTTCTCCACAATTATCCCTATGAGTCTGCGAGTCAATTTGGACATGGCGAAATCTGTCTACGGACGTTTCATTGAAAGGGACAAGGATATTCCTGACACGGTTGTGAGAACCAGTACGATTCCTGAAGATCTGGGGAGAATTGAGTATCTACTCTCCGATAAGACGGGAACTCTAACCCAAAATGGTGAGTTTATAGACGCGTTCTTGAGCATGATTTGATCAACTGACTGGAGTAGAAATGGAACTAAAAAAGATCCACGTTGGTACTGTTTCTTATGCAAATGATGCTATGGAGGAAGTGGCATCATATGTCCGGCAAAGCTTTGCAGGGAACACGTTGACTACACCTTCTGCTGCATTTGGAACCCAGGCAGGCACTGGAACAGCTCCACGGACAAGGAGAGAGATTGGCTCACGGGTTCGCGACATCGTTATGGCGCTTGCCTTATGTCACAACGTTACTCCGACGACAGACGAAGAAGATGGAGTGAAAGTCACAACCTACCAAGCTTCATCGCCAGACGAGATTGCGATTGTCCAGTATACAGAAGAGGTTGGCCTGAAGCTCTCATATCGTGACCGTCAAACGATAGTCCTCGAGTCTACGCATACCGGTCATGTTGTTGTGCGTGTGCGTATCCTCGAGATCTTCCCTTTTACATCGGATAGCAAGCGCATGGGTATCATTGTGCAATTTGAAGCCGGCGGCGACATTCTGGATTCTCCTAAAGATGATTGTGAAATTTGGTTTTATCAAAAGGGCGCTGATACTGTTATGACATCGATCGTTGCTGCCAATGACTGGCTTGATGAGGAAACCGCCAATATGGCCCGTGAAGGCCTGCGAACGTTGGTTGTTGCACGAAAACGGCTTTCCTCGCTGCAATACCAGGAGTTTGCTAGCAAATATAAGCATGCCTCTCTTTCCCTCCAAGGGCGAGATATTGGAATGGCCAAGGTTATCAGCGAGTTTTTGGAACACGATTTGGAACTTCTCGGAGTGACTGGTGTTGAAGATCGCCTCCAGAGGGATGTCAAACCGTCGCTTGAACTTCTTCGCAACGCGGGGGTGAAGATCTGGATGTTGACTGGAGACAAGGTCGAGACTGCACGGTGTGTTGCGATTTCCGCGAAACTAGTTGCTCGCGGCCAGTATATTCACACTGTCGCCAAGCTCAAGGACAAGCCAGCTGCACAGGAAACGTTGGATTTCCTCCGAAACAAGACTGACTGTTGTCTGCTGATTGACGGTGAATCTTTGGCTCTCATGCTCAGTCAATTTAAAACCGCGTTTATCTCTGTGGCAGTTTTACTCCCTGCTGTTATTGCCTGCCGGTGTTCTCCTACTCAAAAGGCCGAGGTCGCTGATTTGATCCGTCATCATACAAAGAAACGCGTCTGCTGTATTGGAGACGGTGGTAACGACGTCTCCATGATCCAAGCAGCCGATGTAGGCATTGGTATCGTCGGAAAGGAAGGTCGACAGGCTTCTCTCGCCGCCGATTTTAGTATCACTCAATTTCATCATATCACCAAACTGCTGGTCTGGCACGGACGCAACTCCTACAAGCGCTCAGCGAAACTGGCCCAATTTATCATGCACCGTGGTCTTATTATCAGTGCCTGCCAGACCATGTACAGTATTGCCAGCCACTTTGACCCCAAGGGTTTGTTCATCAATTGGCTTATGGTCGGCTATGCCACTGTCTACACCAACGCCCCTGTCTTCTCGCTTGTTCTTGATCGAGATGTGGACGAGCAGCTGGCTAATCTCTACCCGGAGCTCTACAAGGAACTGAAGACTGGTCGCAGTCTCAGTTATCGCTCCTTCTTCACCTGGGTGCTTGTCTCTGTCTACCAGGGGGCTGTAATCCAGGGCGTGTCGCAAATTCTATTAGATACTATCACGGGACCCCAACTTATCAGCGTATCGTTTACGGCCCTTGTGATCAACGAGCTGCTGATGGTGGCCATTGCCGTCACTACGTGGCACCCTGTGATGATCTTTTGTCTGCTAGGCACGACCTTGTTCTATGCCGCGAGCGTTCCATTCCTGGGTAGCTACTTTGACCTCAAATATGTGATCACAGTGGACTGGGTTTGGCGCGTAATCGCTGTCTCTGCTGTTGCCATTATTCCCGTATGGGCTGGGAAACTGATCAAGCAATCCTGGAGTCCTCCTAGTTATCGGAAAGTCCGCGGGTAATTGATCTTTTTTTTTTTTTTTTCTTTTCGTCTTACACTTTGTATTGTTTGTTTTATGTTATCTTTCTTTCCTCCACTGTTCGATATCACGTTAGTATATAGACACTGCAATAATGCATTCTTCTTTCTCTTTCCCTTGGCCAGGGTTGATGATGAATTACCGGATCAGGTATTGGGTTTCCAGCGAGTGGAGTCTTTAGACACTCATAATGTTCACATACATCAAATTATTGTGGTTTATCTCAGTTCTTATTGACTGGTTAATTATCTTGCAACCAATAGCTTATAGTCTAAAAGGCATTAATTCACTTTGGTTATTAGTATTATATATTCTGCTTCATCAGTACCTAACTAGAAATAATCCGGGATAGGATCTCTCCCATTTAGCCCATATGAAACTGATTAGTTGTCCATACCTACATTGCAAACAGGAATAGATAGATAGCCTTAGGCAGCCTAGCCCTAGACGCAAAGATGAAGGACATGACGGGCCGTCCCGCCGAGCCTCAGCCCAAATCGCAAGCGGGAAATTGCGGTCGGGGAAAATCTTCGCACTTAAAAAAAAAAAAAAAATGAACCCCTCATCAGACAAATTTAGGAACCCCGCAATATTTTGCACGACGTGAGAGTACCTTTTCTTCTTCTTCTTCTTCTACTACTTGGTTTGTTTTGAAAAGGGGGGGGGGGGACTTTTTTTCCCGGTCCTCACTATGGCTCCCTCGAATTTGTCGCATCGACAAACCCATAATTTACTCCTGATCTCGAAGCTCCTCAGTCTGAGAGACACCGCGTCGCCGCTGACGTTACTCTTGGATAGCTTGGAGCAACCGGCTACACCGCTGATTAAGGAATACATTAGGCGTGCACGGGTAAGCTAGGCTGCATCATAGGCTCCATGTAGAAAAAAAACGTATTGGGCTAATATTATCATTCATCTCCTGTACAAGCTTTCCAAAGTTCATGTTACCCTTATTGCTTTTGAAACTCTGAAGCCCCTAGATGGCGTGGATGCGTTTGTCTCAGCCCGCAGGAAGACTCCGGTTGAGGTTGTCAGAGAGGTTGCGGCCGTTTATCAAAGGGAGTCGTCCACCGGTACCTCTGCACGCAGTAAGTAAGGTCCTCCCTCCCCCTCTTTCTTCGCTTGGCTTTTCCTTGGAAGTTTTGAAAAGAAAAGATGTTTCTTAGACTGACTATCGTTAAAAGGGAGGCTTGTTTTGATTGACTCAATCAACCCACTACTACTACATTCCACAAGAGCCGACAAGAACTTCCACCTATCTACCTTCCTAAGCTCATTTATACTACCCGCTGCCCCCTCCATAGCCTCGGCCTCCAAAGGTGAAACTTCGCTCGTCGTCACATTCCATCAAGATGTCCCCGGTCGCCCTGCTCAGTCGCCTTATTCTCCCTCCCCTCTCACGTTACTGAGCTATCTCGCCACCACCGTTATAAGGCTGCATTCCTTCTCTCACATTCTCGCCCAGAAAGCCGCGAGAGACCGCAGCTTAGTTGCGCCTGTCTTTGGTCTCGAAGAAGAGCAAGATGGAATCCTGCTTGGGAGGCTAGACAAACCAGCTGGCAAAGAGTCCGGGGAGGGCGTCGTTCTGGAAATGGAGCATCGTCGCAAGAGTGGACGTGGCGTGTTGGAATGGTACATCTTGCCCCCGGCCTCCAGGTATCCATCTACGCAGGTCAAAGAAATCGTGACCTTGCTGGATGATCATCCGCTTTATCGCCCGGCAGAGGAATCCGATGCCGGGGCCGGGGACGAGGAGCCTGAGTCTACTTTTGAATTACGCCTCACTGAGAGACAAAGAAGAGAAAGAGAGGGCGTGGTGCTGCCGTACTTTGATGCGCAGCATGGTGATGGCCCTGGAGAAGGGGGTCGTATTCTTTATGATATGGGAGAGGAAGATGACTTTGACGAGGAAGAGGACGAGATTTGAATGTGATGCAGGTAGGCAAGCAAGCTTCTGTTATTCGACCCTGATAGCTGAGGTCATTCCAGTTAGCCGTAATCCGTGCATGTCTTGCATGGCGACCACGAATGAGATTGGCTAGGGCATTATTTATTTGCGGGGCGGAGCCGGCAACCCTGGGATCAAAACACTGGATCGTGTATTTGCTTGGGATTGGCTAAGTTGTTGAGGATAAGGATGGTGTCCTGCAACCACCAAAGATATTATTATCTATGCATACAGTCATACAAGCGAATATTTATGTGATATGGCTGCTCCACGGAGGAATTAGAAGAAGCGCCACCAGAGAAGGAAGATGAATATGAACCCGACCCCTGCAAACGGCCCGTACTGCGAAAAGTTAGATCGCCGCTACTGACTTACACGCGAGAGACTCACCTGTTTTAGCAACAACTCCCAATTGATGCGCACTGCAGCCTTCCTGTATTTCTTGCTGTCTTCTCGTAGGCGGCCAGAAAGTTCGCCCATCCGCTCCAAGCTATCTCCACGGTAGAGCAGATCCTCAATATTCTTTGTCATCACCTTGGTCACATCTCGAAGCTCGTCATTTAACCGGTCAAGATTCTGCGAAGCTCGACTGTCCTGGTATAGTTTCTTGGTGCGCTGGATGAAAGTATCGAATTCTACGAAGGCATATGGTCGCAGATTGGGAGACTGGTATTGAGCAGGAGAGTAGGTAGTGGTGAATTCAGCTGCAAGATCGGCGAGATATGTAAAGGCAAGCTTGCGGGGATATGAATGATCGCATATGCAGAGGAAGCAAACATCATCTTGGATTAGATAGCTATGTTCAGAAATGAGTTAGTTTTTCTTTGTTCACAATCTGTCCATGAACAAAACACACACACGAAGAACATACTGTAGATTATACTGCCCAGATTCAATGCTGGCTTGGGGTGCTGAGTTGCGGCTCAATCGACGGAATATCATCTTAGCTTGGGATTTGATTTCAGAGAGCTCGTTTTCAGCCTAGTGGGCGTTAAGTGAATTGCGCTCATTAAACACAAAGATACCAATGACCAGTTAAGAACTCACCTGGTCATCGTCTACCGATGCTGCGAGCATCAGGCCTTTTTGGAACGTTAGCAGCTACACCCATCCTCCATCTCCATCCGTTGCTTTGTATCTTACCGTCGAGCCTGGCAATCTGGGTTGATTTGACCATCGTGCTGCTTCACCTCTATCCTATCGGCGATATTTCGTATAAAGACAACAGCCTGCTGCTACTTAGGCGGTGGATTGTTATCGGCTGCATTCGATTTGTTGTCCTCATCTATCTTAAGCTCCCGTTGACGTTGCAGAACAATGGCCCGCAAGCGCAAGGCGGTCGATGCTGGCAGTACGAGGAAGCAGCCTCCGAGGTAAGCATACGCTGTTCAGATTTGTTACAAGGGGTCATATGAAGGCCTATTAGCTGCGAATTATTACTGGTTTATTGACAACCATGTATCAGGAGTTGTCGCATGTCCTCTTCCGCTGATGCAGCCGACCCGAGCGACGTGGGAAGACCGCGCGTTGCAATGGCATCTACCGAATCCAAGCCAAAGAGAAACCCGAGGAGGACAGTCAAGGATCGATGGGAGGAACAAAAGCTGATGAGTAGCGATACTTCACAGCTTATAGATTTGGATATAGTGGTCAGTTATGCGAATGGATCTTTGCTGCTGGTTAAGAGAGCCCAGTCAAATACTAATAATGCCTGGTATCGGGAGGTATAGAGACTACTTGCGCTACCTGAAGCTTGGGGCTGCCTCGAAGAAGATGAGAAAAAGGAAATCTTGAACCTGCTCCCTAGCGATGTGCATCCAAATCCCCATCTTCCTTCAGATGGCCCAAATGCGAAGATTCCACCGTTGCCAGAATCCTTCTTACGTTATTCGAATCATTGGCGCGATGGTATCCGTAATTTCCAATTAGACCTCCAGAATGGGCGCTACGATCCGGGGTGGCTTCGCGAAGCTGAAGAAGCTATACAACAAAGGGCTGAGGGCCAATTCGATAACTTCAAAGATCGCGAATTCGAAGAGTTTTGGGGTCAAAAACAGAAGATGGATAGAAGCCTAGCTGCAGGGCAAAGTTCTCGGGTGAAGCTGAGCAAACTCATTGAACATGAAGTTATTCGAAAAGGCGATGTCTGGAAATATTCCAAAGGCTTCACTAATAAGGGCTGTAAAAGTATTTTGGTTGAGAAAGAAGCCAGGGTACGTGTAATCGCCTCGGTCTCGTGCTATCGCGCCTGTGTCTAACAATTCTTCTAGATCGTGGATATCAACGATTTCCGCTTGACGTTCGCTGTCCCTCCTGGGCAACGTGTATTTCTTGCAACAAAGCCGAAAAGCGACACTCAAATTCCAGCGACAACCGGGGATTTAGCTATTGATTCAACACCATCCCCATCTTTCTCGCCTAAAGATCCACCCGAGACTGATTTAGGTCCCACCTTAGATGCAGAATGTTTTACAGAGGCTGGATCCTCTAACAAACGAGACGCTGATGTTGAAATCGAAGTTCCACCCATCAAAAGACGGCGTGGTCGCCCACGCAAGGTCCAGCCGGCTCAGAACGGGAAGACAGTGTGCAGCGTTGTTATTGAAAATAAATCAACACTGTTGGGTCCCATAAATGATGGGGAATCCCTTATGAAACTGGAGGATAGTGACACAGGCTTTGACAACAAGTCTCCAGGTGCCTCCGAACTGAGTCAAAACGGGCCTTCACAATCTCTGTTGACGGTAAAGGATGATACAGAAACCGAAGAGGTAATTATCTCAAACGTTCAAGGGCCTACCGCTCTTTCCGCGAAGATATTGGAGGTTGATGGACGTGTCAAAAATCCCCCCAATGGTAATGCTTGGAAAGAGATCCGCTCTTACAGAGATAATCAGGACATGGGGACCCTTTGGGAGATCAGACAGGCTTGGTATGTCAAAAACAAATAATCCTGCAGTCTTCCGGGTGGTTTCGTATGAGCACATTTCTATTCTCCATCTTTCGATTCTTTTTCTATGCACAGCTAGAGGTGTCAGATTAATTACTTCATCCACAGCTGTGTCGTTACTATGGTAGGGTCTAGGTAGGCCCATAAACGAGTCTTGGGCAGGATTTATTTCGTTCTGTCCCTTTCCATCATCCGAAAACTAATTCATTACATTATTACATTGTACATATTAGAGTCCGTCATTGTTTGACCCAGCCATCGCATTTTCATCTCGTGATGCTCGGTTGGGGTCTGCATCAGCGGCATAGTCGACCGCAAAACTCGATTGAATGAAATCTTCCAATTCCTCACTCACAGTTTTTAGCTTTTCTTTTACGCTTGCGACACCCTCCTGCCCTACAATATGGCGAGATGGGGGATTTTCGTGTCCGCCGATTGCAGTAATGGCGTAGACGGTCTCTGAGACCAAGACTTCCATGTGTGCCGAACTGAGTGGAGGGTAGGTTGAAACGACATCCGGAACCGAAAACGGCCCTTCTTCCACAGAACTGGGTGGGCTCGGATTCTGGGGACCATTTGTCCAGTTGGCATCTGGTGTATTTGGTAACTGAGGCACGAGTCGATTGAGGATTCCGCGAAAAAGCGGTGCTGGGTTTCTTCCCGCTGAGTATGTAGGAACTATCGGAGGTACACTTGTGACTAGGTTGGTGAGGATGGGAATTTCAATGCTGCATTGAAAGATGGTGAGTTTGACGTTGAATGGGGCAATTTCGTAAGCGAGACTCTGAATAAAGTCGTCATTAGCAAGAGAAAGAGGATGCGCTTCGATATCGCTTACATCGCAAAAGCCCTCAAGAGCCCAACCGGCAGCACAATACATCCCGAGCCCTGGTGTGCCGATATGAGCGGCTGCGAGTGGTTAGAATGAAACATCAATCACGACACTGAAGACCAGAAATGCCTTACTAATTCCGGAGAGAATCATGATATGCCCCGACTTCTGTCCTCTCATGTGAGGTAATGATGCCTTAACGATGTTGAGAGGGCCGAAATAATTCATCTCAAACTGATCCCGGACGAGGTTCAAGGTTTGCTGGGATGCTGCGAGTTCCTCCACTGTGCCAACAAGAGCTGGAGATCTAATCAGGGAACTGGATATGTAGTAAACTAGGGTTATTGAATGGGTTTCCGACCTTGACTGGTACAGCAGAACAGGATATCCATCCTCCCAAATGTCGCAACTGCTTCAGCAACTACTGCTTGACATTCACCAATCAGCCTGTATAGTAAGGAATAAGCCCATACTATCCTTCCCATCTATCCTAGAGCCTTTGCACACCTTATATCGAACGGAACGGCTTTAAATCGCTCTACCCATCCATCATCACGATGGCTTTCGATTTCAGCCATAAAGGCTTCAAACCCATCGCGGCGGCACTCATCTCGGTCGAGGCTCGAATATGCCAGACCAACGAGGGCATAGTCTCCATGCGCAAGGATGCGACGAGTAACCGAAATCCCAATGGGTGAATCCCCCGCTGTAATTACCCAGACTCGCGGCTCATTATGGGAGGGAAACTGCGGACGGGAGTAATCGGGGGAGGGGTTATTCTCTGTCATTAGGGCCAAAGAAGGGGGATGGGATGTTCACTAGCTCAGCATACCCATTGCGCACGAGAACGCGCCTGGAATCTTGTCTAGGGAGGAATCGCAAATCAATAAGTGTTCCCCCAGCTTTCCATCCGTTCTGCGCTGACGATAAGACCTGGAGGCGGAAAACCGTCGGCTTCTGGACCACCGTTTCGCCGATGCTACTAGAGGCTTAGCGATAGTAACCTCATCATCGCGGCGGCCCTCATCCGTGGCCTTTTCCTTCCTCCCCTTTAGCACCTCCCGACCTTTTCTTCCTTCAACCAGGCCATAATGCCTGAACAAAGGCAACGCAGAGAGGAGCCGGAGCAAGGCGTGCGTCTGAACTCTTTTGCCAGCATGGCTCATCCGTTAGCTAACTTTTGCTTTCTCTCTCTCTCCCTCTCTCTCTCTAGTCGTCCATGTTCCGGCCTCTCATCCAAGGTGTCGCCATCTTCCTCGTCACGCAGTTCGCCATGAGTCAGTTCTTCGGTAATAAGCAGAATGCAGCGCCCGGCAGCGGTGCAAACCCCGGACCAGGCGCTATACCTGCCTTTGCAGATCGCCCGGCTCGGAGCGAAATCGAAAGCTATAGCAACATCCCTGACCTGATTGCCCCCATTTGGCCCGCGGAAAGCCCGTTGGACATCACAGTCTATGTTTCTCCATCTGTTGTTCTCCCTTCGTTCAAATCGCTTCCTGCCAAGTCTCTCGTTATGGAGGAGAAGAAGTTTGTTCTCGGAAACTACAGTGACGTTAGGGAAGTGGATACTGTTATTGATATTCCCAAGGAGGTCCAAAATAATGGAACTCTCTGGGCTCACTTCTTTGTTGGGTTGAGCGGACATCAGCTGGATCCTACGGCCAAGGACTTCAGCACTGACAGTGCTGTTCACTTTCTCCGTCCTCTCAACCAGTACTTGCCGAAGAGGAAGACGAAGAAGCTTAAGAATCTCCTCGCCAGCTCCGATGAGATGGAGGAGGAAGAGGATGATGGTCTTCCCCAAGTATCGGTCGCATCTTACTACCATCCCAACTTCACCCTTTCGTTGATTCCCGATTCCGGGGTCCAGAAGTTCACTCAGATTCACCCCGCTGTCCGACATCATACGCAATTAGAGGCGACTGGTGCTAGGGATGCCTCCGGAAAGAATGGGTGGTATTACCCTATTGTTTTCTTGAACACCTTCTGGCAGCTGAAGAGCCACATGACGCAATTGAACTCTACGGTGCAGACAATGCCCCTGCGTTTCACCCTTAACAACCTCCAGAACTGGAAGTTCTCCATGATGGCCAGTGTTGATGACAGCGCTAAGGCCACTGCTAGACAAGCTGCATTCGGAGGTTCTACTCCAGGCGGTGGTGACGGCAGTGAATTTGAGATGATCAAGGAAGTCCTCCTGGATACGAACATTTGGTTGTTGGCTACCACGGGCGTGGTCACTATCCTTCACATGGTCTTCGAAACATTGGCATTCAAGAACGATATTGTAGGTCACTGGATGTCTCCGCGAAGCTGATGAACTTATTTGGGCGCATAGCTAACCTTCAATCTTTCGGGCAGTCTCATTGGCGTAAGAAGAAGGACGTGGTTGGAACATCCGTCCGTACTATTTTGGCCAATGTCTTTATGCAAACCATCATTTTCCTTTACCTCGTGGATAACAGCGAAAACACCTCCTGGATGATTCTTGGTAGCCAAGGATTTGGAATCTTGCTGGAAGCTTGGAAGATCACGAAGACGGTGGATGTTCGCCTACGCCCACCCCCCGCTGGGTCCTTTTACTCCTTCCTGCCTTATGTGATTGTCTTTGAAGATAAGCATCAACTCACTGAGACGGAGAAAAAAACCCAGGAGTATGATGAGATTGCATTCCGCTATCTCTACATCGCTGCAGTACCCCTGTTGGGTGCATATGCCGTGTACAGCTTGATGTATAATACCCACAAGTCGTGGTATTCTTATGTCATTGAAACTCTTGTTGGCAGTGTCTACGCCTACGGATTTTTGATGATGGTGCCTAGCTTGTACATCAACTACCGACTAAAGGTTCGTACTTTTCGCTATTTTGATTGACAACGCTCTAACGGAATTATGTAGTCCGTCGCTCATATGCCCGGAAAAGCCTTGACTTACAAGTTCCTCAATACCTTCATTGATGATCTCTTTGCATTTACCGTCAAGATGCCTTGGCTTCACAGACTTGCAACCTTCCGAGATGATATTATATTCTTCATTTGGCTCTATCAGGGCTATAAGTACAAGGTCGATTACCATCGTGTCAACGAGTTTGGCCAGGGAGGCGATAGCGACGAGGAAGAAGAACCAGAACCAGAAGAAGAGGCCACAAAAGCGGAAGGAAAGGCAGAGGTCTCCCAGGCATCCGGAAAAGAGACCTCTGAAGCTTCTGCTCGAAAGAGGAAGTGATGACCTGTCATTGCTCTCTTTGATTCACAACTCTCTCTCCTCTTCCCTCCAGAATTCCTAATGGATATTCCCCGTGTTTCATTGTGATATCCATACCCGCATGATTCAGTATCTTCTATGATGTTGTCATGGAATGCTATACTGTAGAAAGGGGTCGAGATGGTGAAAATAATTTAAACATGATGCATAAATATGCTCTCTCTTTTCCTGAAATTGAATTTAATCTATGCCGAATGTTAAACTTTCCAGAATTAATGTCTAAATTATTGCGTAGACCCGAAGAGAGCGTGCGGTGTTGGTATAGATTTGTCGAGGCGCCTTCGGAATCCACCCATTGTAGTCGCCAAATTTGGTTAAGTTATCGACGATACAATCTTCCCGCTGCGGCGCTCGATAATCATCGGAAACAAAATTTATCTACAACAATAAAAAACAACGCGCCTGTTGGCTCTGACTCGAATCCACAATCACCCTGATCGCATAGCTCGTACTGTCTGTATTTTACATCGCATTTTTCTTTGGTGCAAGCTAGTTGTGACGACGCGACCCCTCTCCTCCACACTCATCTATGTTTCTGGATGTTATGAGGCACCCTGTTTTTGCGCAATTGCGTTTTCGCAAGTAAAGGAAATCCAGCTTACGTTGACGAAAATCTCCTTCTGATATCATCCAAAATGTCGTCAGATACTGAGAGAGGTTTGTGTTGTTTTGTTCCCTACAAGTTTTTGAATACCCTGGGCTAACAGACTACGCGCAGATGAAGCGAGACCAAGCAACATGTGGGATGCAATCAAGCATCTTGAAGCGGGTATGTCCCTCAATGGATCAATTCTTCAGGATATTGCCTTTTTTTTTTTTTTTGGAGTCACTGACAATCAACCATAGTTGCTTTCGTGCCTTCCCGCCAGCGCTATACAGATGCTGGGAAATTGGCTAAACAGATAGCTGAAAACGCGTACGAGAGCGGAGTTTCTCAGGCTGCGCTTGAGCGCCTGCTGAACATCCTTACAAAGACCAACCATCTGGACCAGGGAACAATCACCACCCTTGTTAAAAACCTGTATCCATTGGATAGGGTGCCGTCTAAATTTGTCACTCAAGTTGTCTGCTGCCTCGGTCCGACCAAGAATAAGCCTAGTCCTGCCACGCAGGTTTTGCTCTTGCGATGGCTGATACTTGTGTATGACAACATGGAAGATAGATCTCACCTGTCGAAACTCTATGCAGCGCTTTTCAATTATCTTGATATGATTAGTCTGCGCAAATATTTATGCCACCTTCTGTCTTTCACCACGAGACGCAAGCATGTCAAGCCTTTCAGGATCCAAGCGCTAATGGAATTTATTGCCACTTCAGGTGGTGATGATAGAGAGCTTGTTACCTTACTTAGAGTGTTTAAGAACTACTGCCCCGATGTCATAATGGGAGATGCGGGTAGAAAGGGCCTGTTCTTCAAGCACCCGGATCCTGAATGGACTACCCATGTACGCCAACTTCAGGAGACGAATTTGGAGAGGCTTCAAACGACCCAGTCTTCGAGTTTTCAGGTTGTCCATCGTGGACCTGTGAAGAGAAGTAAGATGGAAGTTATTGTGCCTGATGTGCAGACATCAAGGGTTGCATACAATCGCACGTCCTTGGAGGAACTTCGCGGCGTTGATCACTTCATCGAAAGGCTTGAAAAAATCGAGCTCCCCAACCAGATAATATCTACCATTGGAGACCGTTTGGCTCAGAAATATCTCTTTCTAGCTCAGCCGGAAGTTGCAAACCGTCGCTTGGATGACTGGCTGCGAAGCTTCCTAAGTGACCAGCTAGAATACGCTCGAGATTTTGATGATGAGGGAGTAGAAACTCTAGGTTATGTGCTTACTCTGGCGGTTAGTTACGTGCGTTATATTAAGGTATGGCTTCCCCCCCCCCCCCCCCCCCTTTTTTTTTAACGCAGAAAACTCATAATATTGTAGGACATCCCGGAGGCATTCATTTCTTTCTTAAGGTCATATCTACCGTTGTGGAATGGCAGCGATAATAGAGAGCAGATCCTTGAGCTGCTCGAATATCTCTCTCTTGATAACTTTGACTCTGTCCGTAATGACTTCTTACTCCCTCTAGAGGCTGCGTTGCTGGGCGACTCGGTCTCTTCTAAAGCAATCTTGCTCGACTTTTACACTGCTTTGATTCGCCAATGGGGCGTAACATTGAGGACCCGGCCGTTCGATCCTAAAAACTCACAGCCTCTCGGTCGTCTTATCCCGCATGTTGAGATTCTGGCCTTGTCAATCCTCGAAAGCCCCACGCACCAACCTTTAGAGTCTGATGATCTCAAACACAATACATCGACTATTGTGGAATTCTACTCCACTTTAGCAGACTTGTTCTCCTATGCATCTACAAATGGGAATATCCGACTTACTATACCTCTCGCTCCCACAGTTTATGGCCTGGTGTTCACCCCCGTGAATTCCATCATTTCGATTATGAGCTTTGTGCTTGCTAGCTATAAATCGTCATTTGAAGCATCCCTGACCTCAGACGTCCTCCAAAGTCTGAATTCCACGGATAACCTCTACCCTACCCAGCTGGTAGGACAATTCAATGGATACATTATGGACATTTGTAACCTCTTATGGCGAAACCGAGCCCTCAACAGCGATGATCAGAACGCTCTTGGTTGCTTAATACCCCCGCCCACCATAAATACACTCACTCAGTTTATCCGCCACACGAATGAAAATTCCCGGAAACGAAATTCTGATGCTGCTTTCTCATACCCTATCACTTCAGCGTTCTCTTTGAGTCACCATCCCGCACTGTGCAATATGTCTGCTTCTTGCTTTGCAGATATTGAGAGGGAAAATAATATCAGAGAAACCCAGCCAAGGCTAAGCAAACCCGTGACCCAGAAAGCTCTCAATGCCCTCGAGAGCAAAGGAGGTATCAAAATGACCTGGAAGGATTACAGAGTACAGATGCTCGATTGGCTGGATGCGACGGGAAGCAATGGAATTGGAATTTTAATGCGCAGCGCAATGAAGGCGCTTCGTAAAGAATAGCAGGCTAGATAATGACAAAATAACCACGGCAATTACAATGTCAATATGCTCTATATTCTTGTGACATATCTAATGTCTCTATAAATACATTTTTTAGGATGCAACTAGTATACACTTGAGTGGTGAAATATACAATTGAAGTCATTAGAGCGCATCGGTCGTGTTCAGGTATATATCCCGGACACTGGTTTCCTCCCGCAGAGTACTCATTATCTCCTCTAGTTCATGTATCTCTGTCTCATCTTTGACTTCCACCAATGTGTCTTTGTTTGGGACCCAGACAATCTCTAGTTCTTCAATTACGAGCCCGGATTGCTTGGAGAGTGCTTCGCCCACACTCTTTGTCTCAGTTGGTTCAGTGAACACCAGAATGCGGCCGTTCTCATCCGCGGTGATATCAGTGGCACCAGCTTCAATTGCCTGGTCTAAGCAATCATCCGCATTGACACCTTCCTTTCTTTCAAACAGGATCCTTCCTTTCTTCTCAAAGAGATACGCGGTTGGTGTGACGGTCCCACCGGCCTCCTTGATGGCGTGGCGGACATCCTGCAAGACACGGGCTTTTTGTTCTGTTTGACATTCAATCACAGCTGCCACGGAATGCGGTAGGATAGCTTCAATGGTGACTTGCTCGAGAGCTTCTCCGGTAACACTTAGGCCCTGACCTCTGGCAATTGCCGCTTCAATTACTATTTTCGGGATTCCAGCTCGCTTCGCGTTTGAGAGGGCGAGGGTAAGGCGTGGGTTGAACTTGGTATCGGGTCCCCACACTGGGAATCTGTCAGAGATGATAGGGTGCAGCTAGGATGCCGGGGCCACTTACTCTGAACAGCAGAGCTGATTTCCTTTGCGACCATCTGCCTCTCCTTACTCTTTGCTTTGTCATTCTTTGCCTTGCCATGTTTGATCTGCGACCACCGGTTGTGTCCCGCGGACCAAGAAGGGCAGCTTGTAAAGGTCCGACGAAGATCACATCCGAGCTGGTTTGCGCGAACTCGCTGCTGCACGAGTCTTTTGCTCACTATCGATGCCATCACGAAAACAAACGATACCCCCCAAGGGGTTTTAAATGCGCCTTGCGACATGATCGAGGTACAGAGTTATGCGGAGCCGGTCCGACAGTTTCTCCGTCGCCGCCCCCAGACACATGGATATTAAGGGGCCCCATCGGTGATGAAGTCCAGCTGGACACATGCTTGAATGTGAATTTCATCCCAGAGTACAAATATATCGCTATCTTTCACTATCTTTCTCTTGTCTTTGGTTCAGCCTTTTTCTTTTGGAGGACCGTATGGGAGACAGACACCCTAGGTGGTACAGTCGAAACCAATGTCTTCATCGGAAATTGCCAGGTCTTCTTCCGACAATAATAGTAACAATGCGACCCCTCGTGCGGAGCTCGATATCACCAAGCTCCATGCGCTGCCCTCCGAACAGCAAGATCTTTATCTCCTAACGTTTACCTCGGACTTGGTACAGCATATTTCAGCCCTGGATAAAGCCCAGGTATCCTCTCAACAGAAATTCTTGAAACAGGAGTTGTTTAAAGTCCTCACCCTCTCATCGCCGGCGATCACACGAGTTATCCGCAACAATCTAGGACGATGCTTTGGAGCTATATTTAGCAAGGGAGATCGCGGTATACTTTTCGAGACGGTGGCTGACCTGCTGGGCGTTTTGAATGCTGGGAAAAATGAGGCAGATCTTAAGACAAAGTTCGCCGCGGCTCATTGCCTGGGAGATATTTTCGCTGCTGCCGGGGAGAGCGTGTTTGCACAGTCGGGCATAGTTGTTTCTAGCCTGATTAAACTCCTGAAGCCATCGAGTAATCATACAGGTTGCCGTGGGTCAATCTTTGCGATCTTGAGGAAGGTGGTCGGCGGTACAGGCGTCCCAGTAGATGAAGGAACGGCGAGAGATATTTGGAAGCAAGCCCGCAATGCTGCTGCCGGGGACAAATCCACATTCGTCCAGGTCCATGCTTGCCGCTGCCTCGAACAATTGATCCATACGACGCCATATTTCGACAATGCTAACGACTTTGAGAACTTGAAGACTCTGATATGGAGGGTTATCGACAGCCCTCTTTCTCCGGTCAGACACGCAGCGGCCGTCTGTCTAGCGCGCGCGTTGACAAAATTACACGCAAAGGACTCTCGAATTCTACCTGCTCCGAAGCCTAAGAAAGCTAAAAGAATGTCAAAGAAGCCTGCACCTAGACCTGGAGATGATGAGGATGAGGCAGAGGTTTCCGAATCCTCAGCCCCCAAGAAATCCGAGCCGCGCCTGTTCTTCTTACTTCCAGATCTGCTTCGCCAACTTTCCTCTCAATATTTCCGAAGCACGACGTCCAACCGTGCGCGGGCTGGGATTGCGGTTTGTTATAAGCATGTTCTTCGGATCTTAGGAGGGGACAAAATTGTCGAGGAGCGCTACGATCAGATTGCCCGCCATCTTTTGTTCGACCTTCTCAATCATCCAACGGTGACCTATAACCGATTTCGACTGCTCATGACCAGAAAGGCTGTCGCAAGTATCCTGGAAGAGACAGTCGGTCGCGACTTGCTCCGGGAAAACAGCCAACTGACAGCCACTAAGTGGTTGATAAATGAGGTACTAAAGGATTTCCCGCAGGTCATCCAGGAGCGTCAAGAACCCAGCAAGTACACCTTAACAAGCGCCCTAGATGCTTTATCTTCCCTGATTACGTCGCTTGGTTCTGCATTTGGGTCTCTGGCCGAGACCTGTCGTGACGCTTTGCTCCAGGTTCTCCCTCACCCTAACTACACTGTTCAAATCCACGCTGCGCACTGCCTTCGTAATTTTGTCCTCGCTTGTCCCCACCAGCTCCTGTCATGTGTCACGATTTGCCTCAATAGCCTCAACAGGGAGGTTGGACAATTGTCTACTCCACGCCAATCGTCACGGCGATGTGTTGGTTATGCAAATGGACTCTCTGCAATGCTGAGTACCTCACGTCTGCAGCCTTTGTACGGCTCCGTTGAAGTATACTCGAGGGTGTTCACCCAAGCAACCGATCTTTTGAAGACAAGTAGCAACTCTGAGCTTCGTGCCGCGAGCACGCAGATTCAAGTGGCCTGGATTCTAATCGGTGGATTGATGCCACTTGGCCCGAATTTTGTGAAGATTCATCTCTCCCAGCTGATGTTGTTGTGGAAGAACGCTCTTCCAACGCATCTGGGCAAAGAAAACTCTGCTCAACGTGGATATCTGGAGATGAGTTTCCTAACACATGTTAGAGAATGCGCCTTAGGGGCATTGCTAGTCTTCATAGAGTTTAACAGCAAACTGATCACTGCGGATGGAGCGCGAAGAATAGCCACCATGCTACAAAACACAGTTGAGTTTCTCGATGAGATACCCCGACAGAAGTCTGTGGCCGATCTCTCACAGCGCCTGCATCCCACTTTAAAATTACAAGATATTGAGACTCTGGTCCGACTGCGTGTTTTGCAATGTTTTACAAAGCTCCTCCATGCCCACCCGCTTAGTCATGCAGACGTGATTGCACAGTCAAGCCTCCTGACTTTAGCGGTTTCGTCGTTTGCTGACCCAGATGCCACCCAATTACGTCCGCTGGAGAGCTCCATTGCTGCATCGACAGCACAATTTGAGAATCTGTGGGACTTATGCGACAATTTCGGATTTGGACTAACAGGTCTCGCGAGAGAATACGTTCGCGTGACTCTTTCTGGCAAGCATGAGGGTGAAAACGGTCCTGCTTGGTCTGCAATTGATGCGGCGGACCAAGTGGTTGATGATGCTGTAAGTCATGGAATGGAATCCACGAACACTTTTCGATCGAATTAAACAACTAACAGCTGTAGTTGAACTTTCCCGTTTCTCAGGCGAGCGAACATGATTCGATTCTCCTTTATTGCGCAAGGCAAAGAGACTGTCTGTATGCTGATCCTCACCCTACGGGGGTTGTCAATGCGGCCATTGAGCTTTTCTCCGTGGCTATTCCGTTGCATGCGCCGAAAGTGCAAGAAAGCAGCGTGGAGCAGATCGCAACATTCCTTTCTTCCTCGAGTCTGCAGCGTAATCCTGGACGCAAGGCAGCCATGGTTGTCAATATTTCTGTAGCGCTCCTCCATGTTCTAAAGGTTGCTGTCAAAGAGGATGGCTCTACGTCTGGGAAACTTAGCCCGGCGACGGAGAAAGTCTTTCAAGAGCTTGTTCGGGTATGCCGCCTACATCCTTATTAACAGTATCTGCGTCTTAACTAACCATCTCAGAAATTCGTCATGGATCCAGATCCAGTTGTTCGCACAATCGGCGTTGAAGCGCTTGGACGGATATGCGAAAATTCTGGAAATACCTTTACCAATACTCAAATTAATTGGCTAGTTGATACTATCGTTGAGAATAGGGAGCCGAATGCCCGTGCTGGCTGTGCCGCTGCATTGGGTTGTATCCATTCCCAGATCGGCGGCATGGCAGCTGGTCTGCACCTTAAAACAATTGTTGGTGTCTTAATGTCCCTTTGCAATGATCCGCACCCAGTTGTCCATTTCTGGGCCCTTGGAGGGCTAGAAAGGGTAGCAAATTCTGCTGGTTTGACATTCTCTCCATTTGTTTCCAGTACCCTCGGAATGTTAGCGCAGCTTTATAATGCGGATAGCCATAATGAGGAAGCTCAAACCTTGGCTACGTCAAATATCGAGATGTCATTCCTTACACCCGTCGTCATAAGCCGCTGTGTTGATTCTTTGATCAACGTCCTGGGTCCAGATCTCCAAGACATCACGAAAACACGCAATCTGATCCTAACGCTCCTCCGACAATTTCAACTAGAGGAAAACCCAGCGTTAGTCACTGAGAGTTCTAGATGCTTGGATCATCTCTCCCTTTATGCCCCAAACTATGTGGACTTCTCCGGATACGTTAGACGCCTACAGAATGAGCTTTCAGCCAATGATCCTTTGATGAAGGATGTGGCTATTCGTGGCTTGACAAACCTCATGAAGCGCGATGCAACAGCCGTCATCAATGCGGCTTCACCTGCACTGGAGGACGACATATGGTTGGCTTTTGACGATACACCTGACAACCCTATTTTAAGGAGTTTGATCAAGGATTGGCTGCAGCAAACGGCACTTTCAGAGACGGAACTTTGGATTCAACGATGCCACAACACTTTGACAAAGACGCGAGTGAAAACTGAAGAATTACCTCCTATGTCAGCCATCAAACCTTCGGCCAATGACATCCCCGATGATGAGGTTGCGGGCTTTGCATCTGCCATCGCGGGGGCGGGACAGGGGGAGGGATCCAATGATGCTGTGTCTGGGCAAGAACTGCTGAAATGGCAAACACGAAACTTTGTCATGAGCTGTCTGAGTGAACTATTGGACCTCGTCCAAGAAGCCATTTTACCAGATCAAACAATCCCTGCAGAGCTTGCTCTCCAGCAAAAGGTTGGGGATATTGTCCGAATGGCCTTCTCGGCGTCTACTGCTAATGTAATCGAGCTCCGCGTCTGGGGTCTCAAAATAATCGATCAAGTTCTCAAGGTAAGCTTTCATCATCTTTTCGCTTCGGCTGCCTGTGATGGCTAATGGTTCATTCCAGATGTTTGGCAAAACTCCAGATCCAGATTTCGCAGAAGCTTCGCTACTTGAGCAATATCAGGCTCAAATCGGGTCAGCGCTTACCCCGGCCTTTGCTGTGGATTCTTCACCAGAGCTGGCGTCAGAGGCGATCAATGTATCTGCCACCTTTATTGCGACAGGAATTGTGACAAATGTCGAGCGTATGGGGAGGATTTTGAAGTTGATGGTCCTGGGACTTGAGAACTTCTCAGGTTGGTGATAGCGTGACTTTCACACAGCTGTACCTGCTGCTAACCGCCTATAGAAAACCCCGACACTACTGAGATTGGGGATCTGAAAGGCCTAAACTCGAATGCACAAGTGATGGTTAAAATGGCTCTTTATGCAGCATGGGCGCGTCTTCAGATTGCAAGTATCGAGCATGAATACCTCACAGATGTTGTCCAGCCTTACCTTATGAAGCTTACACCCTTGTGGCTTTCTTCCCTTCAAGAATACGCTCGACTGCGTTTCGAACCAGATATCTCTGGCAGCCTCGGTACAGGCCCGGAGAATGGCAATTTGAACGAAGTTTACGCCGCACTTAACCGGGAAACCCTTCTCAAGGTAAACCCTCCCTATACTTGGATTATCTTTTGCCGCGCAGAACTAACAATCTTCCAGTTTTATCAAGACTCCTGGCTGAGCCTAGTTGATGCTATTGCTGGCTTGGTAGAGAGAGACATCGACTTTGTCTTCGATGCACTGGATGGAAAGTCAAATCCTGAATTGCAGGACAAATCTGAGAAACCCGATAACGATCTTCCTAACGGGGAGAAGCAAGGAAAGGGCCACGACATTAACTATCGCGACGAGCCTGTTGCATTTTTCTTTGTTCTTTTCGGGTTGGCCTTTGAAGCCCTTGTCGATCAGTCCACCTCAGCACCCCAAAGGATGGAAATTCTTCAAGCCCTCAAGAGAATTTTAAGGCCAATTATCTCAGGCAATGCCATTTATCAGGATGCCATTTTCTCCGAAACAATGGACAGCCTTGACCGGCTGGCCTTGACTGAAGGAATAGCTGTTCAGAACGTCATTGTTGCGATAGCTCGAAATCTGGCCTTGGATCATCCCTCTGCGAAGGGAAGTGAAGATCGCAGTGATCATCTTTCAGATGACATCGAGCAGCTCTTCGAATTGACAAGGAGCATCATCTTGGTGCTCGCAGGGTTGCTACCCAATCTCCGCGAGTCTACCACCCTTGCACGTTTCAGTGTCGGATCCGAAGATGCCCTGGCGCTTATTCGCGTCTCTCTCGCGTCTCTTGTTAATGTTGCTTCGATCTTCCCGTCTATCATTCGAAATGATCTCCACGCATGTATCCTGCACATCTTCAGTACGATTCTTGCAACGGGCTTATGCCAAGCAGACGTTGTGCCCCAGGCCCTCCCAACGTTCAAGCATTTTATTGCAAGCATTAGCAACCAAAATGAGGTTGGAGCAGAGGACTTGGAAAGCCTTACTGTTGTGTCACGCCAGTTACGCGGGTGCCTTACTCGCTTCCTCACGACCCTGATGATTGCTCAACGTCGCGAGTCTGAATCGTCATTGCCCTGTGCCAAGAACACGCTTCTGGCTATCACTATTCTCCTAACAACTGGAGGCCATATCATTCCTCCTCATGACCCGGTGATCCCCCAGATTCTTAACGAACTCCTCGACTGCCTCCAGGATGTTGGTCTCGCCAGCGTTGCAGCAGGATGCATTCGTTCTATCCTCTTAACGCCCAATCCAAAATCGCCCACGGACGAAGTGATCGCTAGATACCTGACGCCGCGACTCATCGCTTTCCTAGTTAGCTGTCCAAACGAAGCCGGAGATGTTCCTAGTGACCTAGAAAATTCAAGAACAGTCGTCGCACGCACCCTAGTTTCTTGCGTTACCAACGCCACTTTCCCGGGGCGGGAGATGCCAACAGCTATCTCCCTCGTCATGTCAGCCATCCTCGCGCGCGGCAAACGCGAGGGCCAATCTGTGTATCAAGAAACAGCCGGATATCTACTCGAGCTCGCAAAGGCCGATCAAACCGTATTCCGCACCCTGGTAGCCACCATGAAGGGCGAACAAAAGACTCTTCTTGAGGAGATCCTTCGCAGCGTGGATATCAGCTCAGGCACAAACAGAGGCCGAAAGAATAGTGAGCATGCAGCAGCTGAGCAACAAAACATGCCCAGTATTGCTCTGAGATTCGATTTTTAATTTAAGCACTGTGTCAGGCTGACGATCTTGATGATTCTATCTTCTTCTTTTCCCCCCCCCTCTTCTTTACTTTCGAACTCACACTCTGTGTTTTAATCTTACCTTTCTATACCATTTTTGCTTCTTTCTTCCTTTATTTGACTTGATTGATTTACGTGCGTCGTGGTGGGCTTGATTGATACGTATAAGCTTGATGATAACAACGTATGATGCTGTGAATAACGATAACAACGAAGGGGCTATTGCATATATACCTACTACTACCTACCTACTTACTTACCTGTACACAGGGTGATCTTTACAAGAGTTGATTTGATATCACTTCATGTCATCATCATCGTTCCCTCGTTTCTTAATAGAAAACCCCATTTTTTGCTGCTTAGCTTCCTATGCATGGAGTCTTCCTTTTGTTTTTTTTTTTTTTTTTGCATATAAACTAGGATTAAGTATTATTATGTTTAGGCAGCACGATGGAAAAATGGGATTTTATAGTCAGAAGAATTGAGATCTATTTGCGTCACTGTCTAGAGGGTATCGAAGTGAGGTATTGAACCTTGATTAACGCCCGAATTGAGGAGGTTATGTTGAAAAAAAAAAAAAAAAACCCCTACCTAAGACAAGTGTTATAGGGAAAATTGAAGACATATGAAAGCCAAGGAAAGTCTAAAGAATGCTGATGTAGTGCAAGACAGATAATATACAGTTGGTGAAAAATGAAAAGAGGGGTGGTGTGAATAGGTAAGGTGTATATATACATACATTCAGCCCAAAGATTCGCTGAGATGGGCCGCGGGGACAGATTCTTTAGCATGCGGGGCAAAATCTGATGTTGTGCGAGTCTCCTTAGACTCCTTGGGGGGTTCTTCCTTCTTGGCGGCGTTGTTCTGGGTCTTTTGAACAGAAAGATATTTCAGGAAGAGAATGATCATAACTGAAAAAAAAAAAAAAAAAGAGTAAGTTAGGGAGGGTATGATTCATGAGAAAAGCAACAAGGGATAACCTACAAGCACTAATGGCAATAGCCATTGCAGCGCGTCTCGTGAGAATCCAACGTAGACCCTCGATCTCGCTCTTACTATCGCTGTTCAAGGACACAGTGATTTTATAATTGAGTTCTTGGACTGATGTATCAATGCTTCGCTGGAGCTCCCGGACTACCATTTTGTGGTCGTTGAACATCCCTTTGATATCGTCCTTTAGACCGGCGAGCTCCTGATTCGTCCTCTGGGAAAGTATATCCGACTCATGTTCCAAATGTGCGCGCGACGCACGTTGGTGCTGGGTTTCAGCGTTTCTCGCCGTCTGGAGTGAAGATTGAAGCTCCGAACAAGCCGCTTGGAAAAGGTATGACTCATTCTCGACATCAGACTTGGAGGTCAGGCTGTGGTTTGCAAAGTCGAGATTTTTCTGGAGAATCTTCCGGACCGCCTTCATAATTGTGATCGATTGCTTGTCGGAAAAACCACCGTTGCCGAGATCACGCACGAGAGTGTACGAGTCGAAATGGTGAATGTAAGGGGGAGGGGCCATATGCGGAGGGTTCTCGCTGAGGGTAGCAGTTGGTGTCAGATAGGACGTAGGAGAGGGCATATGGAGGACTTCATCAAGGGGATTATCGCCCAATGGTTGAGATGCATATTGTTCTTCACTGGTGGGCTCCTCGGGCGAAGTCGATTCTTGCTTGTCTTCGTGGATTTCGACTATAGGCTCTTCCTCCAACAGCGGTTCCTGCTCCTCAAGACTCTTGCTGTCGTCAGATTTGGTCGTACTCTGGTCATCTGGCTGGGAAGCAGTCGTGGTGGGATCGCTTTTCTGGGTATTCTGGCTGTCCTGTAGCGGAGGCTGTTCCGGCGGGGAACTAACATTGCTGGTGTTCTCCGGAGAGTGATTATGGGGTTGCTGGGAGGCAGAACCATCCTTCGGCCGGGACGGAGGGGGTAGATTTGGCTCTACTGCAGGCCCATATCTTCGCTGGTATGTGTCTTGGGCGTGTCTTGGAGTGGTGTGAAAGGGGGCTCGCGGTGGGCGGGCATTTGACGGAATGCGGATGGAGCGATACGTGGATGGTTCGCAGGCTTTAACTGCTCGCATCAAATTTGGATAAAGGAATGGAAGCCTTGGGTTCGCCATGGCGAGAGTTCCGGGTTGGTTTCCTGCGTGGAAGAAGGAGACCAGGGACTAGTTAGTTGAGATGGATGAAGAAGAGGTTACCGGAGGAGTATCACGGAAGGTTACTTCTTTTTTTCCCGCGGCCAACTTTGGGAAACGTGACGTAAGCGGTGAGGCTCTCCCCGCGGAAACTTAGGAAAGGGTCAGAAATTGGAAGCATTCATTATACATAATCGGTGTATAAGAATTAACATTATTTACATGATGCGATTACATGTTTCGGCTACTGAGTATCAACTGCCAATAAGCCAAACAACAATCGTGTGCGGTGCCAGTATTCTTGTGCCTTTTGATCCATGGTCTTGATCGTCCTTTCGGTATTAGACCCAAGACTATTTCGAAGCTGCTCGGCAACATTTGACAGTTCGTTTTGTTTTGCATCTTTGCCTGCCAGGGCATAGTTCAAGAATACTGTATCGAAATAGAGCTGCATCTTGAGATCGTCCAAATGCTGTTCCTTGTTCGCCGCAGTCGCGGAAAGGTTGTTTCCGTTTTGAACTGGGGATGCCTCTTCCCCAGAATCTGACTTGTCCATAGTAGACGACTTTAGTTCGTCGATGAAGAAGCGGACTCGGTCGGCCAATTCCTTCTGGAGGATGCTTTCGAGAACGTACACGGTGCCAGTATCCCAAAGTCCCGGGCCATACCTGTCCATGGACCCTACCATTCGGCGCAAGAACTTGAACGTAGATGGCGATGGTTGAATAGGAATCTCGGGTTCACCCTCCCAGAGGCTTCTTCCTGGAATTTGACGAGACTGATATTTCGAGGGAGTTGCGAATGTCAAGGGGTGGGTGTTTGTGACCACATCTGCGGCAAGCAATTCCTGGAGTTGGGGCACAATCTCTTTAGAGAGTTCTAAGTCGCTAGACACAAACTCACGCGGGAGATCCCTGCGAACTAGCCTGACGAGTTTTAGCAAGAATGCCGCCTTAACACCTTCTTTAGAGTCTTCGATAGGCTTGAAGGTCTCGCTAAACGAAGTTTGCAGAGCATCCAAAGCCTTCTTAACGGATAACCCTAGTGCTTCCCATAAAAGCTGTCTATCATCTTCGCTTAGGATCGCTGCAACATCTATATCAATGTCCTCGTCCGTAGCTTCATCGAGGACATCAGACCATCGAATCTGTCGCAGCCCGTCGATGGCTTCTCTCAAGTTTTCAACGCAACAAAGCCAGTCTTTGTATTTTTCGAAAACCGCGGATGTATCTTCGTCCCGGCCAAGCAGCCTGTCCGAGATAGATTCCTTAAAAGCTTCTCCACCATTTGAGTAGTCAAGAGAGACCAGCGCATCATCCCAGAGAGACTGAGAAACACTATGTTCCCCCTTATCCCAACCCGATATTGCAGACGCAACTGTCTGACCAAACGAATCTAAGGCCTTGACATCGTCCGATAGGATATCCGTAAGACGCGAGTTAAACACGGTCCGGATTCCTTCTAGTACTTGCAAAGCCGAGTGGACAGGGGTAGAGCCCCAGGAACGAAGCCAAAGCTCCAGCGTTTCTTTACGTAGTAGCAGCAACTTTGAGAAATCCACCCATTTGGTAAGGGTAGCCTGACAATTGTGCACAAAGCTGTCGAAGGCACTCTTTGACCATTTTTTAATAGTTCGCTCTGCATCTTGTTTGGAGAATTCATTGAGTTTGATCCAAGGGGTGAAATTGATAATGTCTGCGGCCACCCAACGGCCTAGGACGTCAAGTCCCAAATCATCTAGGTTGCGTATCTCAGGATCAGCCAAGAGAGGTCGCACCTTTAACTTGCCGAGAACATCTGAGAAGCGACGAGAGAGAAGAGTCTTCGAAATTTGAAGGGTCTGGATATAGAGACGTAGCGCGGCCAAGATGTTCTCACCCGACGTATCGGTTAGTTCTAGCTGATTTCCGATAGCATCCAGGCGGAGTTTGTGGTAGTAGGCGACGGCATCATCTAGGGAAGAACTCGTAGCAAGGCAATAAGCGGCCAGGGCCTCTATAACCTCTTCAGCGGTCGATTTGGCGGAGGCCAACCGTTTATTAATTCGGTTCCGCAGCGAGCGCTTAAGAGATGCAAGCTGGTTACGGAGAATCTCCAGGAATGGCGGTACGGATTTTTGTTCGGAAAGTGTCTTGTGGATAGGACGAGAAATGACAAACAGCTTTGCTATTAGTAACGGTGAGCTACGTTTCCTCAACAGCCTCGACATTAAAATCGAACAACGATGGAGCAGCGCAAGTTGTGCCCCAAACACCCGCTTCGTAACATCTATACCTCCATTATCAGCCAGTGGGTCTAGATTTCTCCAATACAACACATACCCTGGTCTTTGATGTCACTATTTATCTGGTTGAGATGTGCATATTTCTTCCCCATCAATCGTGGGTTGCATCTTCGTCCAATATCGGCCAAGGTCGAATCCACCTCCTCCATCTCGCGATTCATGGACACAATTGTCTCAGCGGTGCCGACAAGCTCTCGATACCGTGTGCTAAATGTGCCATTTCTATTAGCAGTTGAGAATACAGTCTTAATTCAACCACAACATACCCAACAAAAGCCCGTAACTTCTCCTTGTTGCTTGCGACATCTCGGCGGAGTTCCTGCTCCACGCGACGCACGGTCGGAATTGGGTACTGGAAAGCATCCTGCCATGATTTTAGGCTCTGTGGATCAGGCCCATCCAGTGCCATGATGGAAAAAGCGAGCAACGGGCGTGGAGTGCTTCCCAAGAACAACCGGAAGCCAGAAGCTCTGCTGGTGTCATCAAGTGGACAAGTAACGAATGACGATCAGTGGTGCCTGAGGCCGCACGTGGTCGAATCCGGGATCGACCATTCTAGAACAGGCAGTTCTCTTGACTCAGCAAAAAAAGTCCCCGCGGCCAGATTTTGGGTTGCTCTTTACATCTTTTTGCATTCAACACACAAAGCAGAGAACATACTGAGATTGCGTCTCTTCTCATCAATAATGCCTCTCATCGAGTCAGACGTAGCTGGTCCGTCAGAACCACTGCGACGTCTCCCTTTCCCTCCCGTTCCTTACTCACATATCCTACATTGTTCCTACGACTATTGGCAGCCTCGGTATGCTCTACTTCTCTCTCATCTATTTTTAGAGAAATCTGGCATTATAAACTGACGGTCATTGTCGCAGGTACCGTACCCTTGCGCCCAAATCCCGTGCAATTCCTTTAACAGCGCCATTCATTTCCTATCTCCGCGCCAACGGGATCGTCCTTCCACCAGAAACTACCCCGCCAACCAACGATGATAATCTAGATGAGTTCTCAGACGATTCTGATATTGAGGAACAGCCAGACCCTTCAAACGAGTGGGCTGAGATTCACTCTCAGATCAAATCCACAATATCTGAATTGGGTGGCAAAGTCACTCCAAAACTGAACTGGAGCGCTCCCAAGGATGCCACTTGGATGTCCGCCACGAATGATCTCCAGTGCCGAACACCAAACGATATCTACCTCCTCCTTAAAAGCAGCGACTTCATTACGCACGACCTAGAACACCCCTTTGACGGATGCGTGCCTGATACCTCCTACTCTCCTACTCCGACATCCAATCCTCCCGAGGTCAAATACCATCTCGTACTCCGCAAATACGTCAACTTTAACCCTTCCCTTGAGTTTCGATGCTTCGTGCGCAATCGAGTGCTGCTATGTATTTGCCAGCGGGACCTAAATCACTTCGACTTCCTTTTCCCGATGCGCGACTCCCTTCGGTCCCGCATCCAAGCGTTCTTCGACGAGAAACTCAAGGACACATTCCCCGACCCTAGCTTTGTCTTCGACGTCTATATCCCACCTCCGCATCAGCGCGTCTGGCTTGTCGATATCAACCCGTGGGCGATAAGAACTGATCCGCTGTTGTTTAGTTGGCTAGAGATCTTGGGAATGAAGGATCCGGTTGGGGTGCAGGAGGAAGACGAGAGCAGTGGCGCAGAAGAGCAATTTGTTCGCCTATCCCTCAGGGGAAACCATGTCGACGCCACACACCCGGACCAAGCCGAAGAATCAGAGTCGGAAGAAAACGAAATAGATGATGGCAGTGACGACGACGATGATCATTCACCATTCCTCCCTGAATTCCGCCTAGTCAAGCATGATGACCCCGAAGCATACGCGTTCACGACCCCACAATACTCAGCGCATAAACTACCAAAGGAAGTGGTCGAGGCTTCGATGACTGGGCGTGGCGGGATGAGCGAATTCCTCGGCCAGTGGCAGGATATCCTGGCTCGACAGGCACAAGAGTCGGACTCGGAGTGAAAGCCAGCCATGTTTGCTGCATATGAGACGAAACTACCAAAAGCATGTATTTTCTTGGGAGCGTTGGGTTTAGATGGTGGACAGGGCGTTTGTTTTAATATCAGGAATATCGGGGAACTTAGCCTTTTACGAGAAGTTTTAAATCTCAATCAATTGGAGGTCTAGCATTCAAGGTTCTAAAACCCTGGATCATTTATACCTATACCTATATCTATACCTACTCTGTATGTGTATATATATATAACAAGTCCTAGTCATGTATCCAGCTTCCTCATGGAGTAATAATCACCTTCCTCTCACCTTATTTATAGCTTATGCTTCTTCTCTCCACTGGCCAACTTCCTAAACTCCTCCTGCGGCACTCCCAGCAAAAACCTCTCCAATCCCGCAAATGCCTCAATGGTGTTCTGTCGATCCATGATCTCCCTGCCAGGCTTCCTAACCAGCTCCTTAATCCTCAATAAACTTGACTGGTTCAAATGCGGCCCCATCCGATCCTCCACTTCCTCAAGAACCTTCTCCAAGAACCCTGCAGAGTCATCGGGCTTCCCCGAGGGAGCCGCAATAACCTTATTCACGAAGCCTGCCGCGACAAGCTCGTCACAGGTAATCCGTTTGCTGTGGAGCAGGGCCTCGTTGGCCTTTGCGATTCCCAAGCGCTCAACGAAGGCAACGGAGGCGCCGCCCTCCGCGACAAGGCCGAGAGAGGAGAAGGGAGTCAGGAGGAAAGTGTGCGGGGCGGCATAGACGAAGTCAGCCATGGCGATTAGAGCCGCGGAGAGTCCGACCGCGGGGCCGTTCAGAGCCGCTACGAGGATCTTGGAGTGATGTGAAAATGTGTGTGTGATGTCGATGTTGTTGGCGACGAAGGTTCGGACGAGTTCGCGGCGGGAGGTCTGGCTGAGGCCGCCGCCGCCGGGGCGGGTGCTGGTGACGTCTGCACCACTGTATGTAGTAGATACGTATATGTTAGCTGTTTGAGACTTGGGGAGGTTGCAATTCTTGTAGGGTATAGAGTCAAGAAAGAAAAAAAAAAAAAAAAAAAAAAAAAGAGGCGTACGCGGAAAAAAAGCGACCCTTGCCGGTTAACACCGTGATGGTAATCTCATCGCGCTTGTCCACTTCCCGGAGACGCTCGCCGAGGAGGTAGTACAGGTCTTGGTTTAGGGCGTTGAGTTTCTTAGGTTGATTGAGGGTGATGATCGCAATGCGACCCTGGTAGGTAAGGGTGATCGCTTCCTCGGCCATTTTGCACAGTCAGGAGGTGCGAATTCAGGATTAAATAGTATAAATCGATTCCAGTCGTTATCAAGGGAAGGAGACAGACAGCTGGGGAGGTTAGCGGAGATGTACCTATGCCAGCTTCTTGTCCCAGGTTGTCAAAGGAGAAAACTAAAACGTGGGGAATTGGCCAGCAACACTCCGAGGTATTAGTCGAGGATTAGTATCTTGTCCAGCTCCCCTGGAAGCCAACTTCTAGTGTTCCATCGGTCTCCCTGTGACGGCTATACCAGCCGTGGTTTTTGCGGGGGGGAGTGACCGACGAACCGACGAGGGAGCCGAGGCTGTCTCCAGGTGAGATTACGTGAGACATATCAGGTGATATGCACGTGATTGGATTCGCAGTTTGCATGGTTTGCATTTGTTTTGGATGTCGGCCTGTCAGAAGCTCCAGGATAATAATAATCCATACCTACCTATTCTTTTATCGGAATAGCCTCGACCGGATCAGATCATCAGGCCATTGACTAAGACGTAAATCCATTGCTGGGGAAGTTCAATCAGAGACTATCTGGCGGAGAAAGAAACGCACTCGCCTACTTACATTGAATTATTCTCTCTCTCTCACACCATCAACAATCTCCAACCCGCATCCACCCACAATGTCCTCCATCCTCCGCAGACTCCAGGGAGGCAACCTGGAAGTCTTCAAGGTGCGCTTGTTCAGCAGAATACCCCTCTCCAGGGAGGGGGGGCCACATCACTAACTTTTCTGCTAGTTTGGCATGTATGTCTTATTCCCCATTGGATGGATGTACTATTTCGGGACGAACCTCGACGAGCGCTTCAGCGTACCCGGATTCTGGCCTGCCGCGGATCAATCCCATAAGATCCCTCTCGAGAAGGAAGAGATTGATCGTGAACTAGCAAGGATGCGAATGGCCGATGCGATTCGACGAGAACGACGAGAAGCCCTGGAGGCGCATGCCCAGGAGTCTACTTCGCAAGCTTCGGAGTGATTGTGTGTGTGTGCGGCTGTATAGATCATGGACAGAATTGTTAGGGGAGTCTTTTCAGGACAAAATGAGGTGGAAAATAAAAGAGCTGCTGTTCGGCAGGGTCCGGAATTGAGCGGCGTCTCATGACTTTCTGGGAAGGTACGTGTGTGCGAAAGTTACACATGTACATCGATGAATACCCGTTGTATAACACTCTTCTCTGAGCATGGTGGAGTTGTCTGTTTAATTTTTTGGGAAGGGGTTTTTTTTTTTCACATTACATATAATCTTGAATATAACTAAAAAGGTTATTTCCTCATTATGCTCCTCAGCCAGTCAAATGGACATCAATCCCTTGAAAAATATCCGGTATGCAAAGATTGGCCTGATCGAAAATCCTTTCTCAATATCCGTGATCGGCTTACTTGGTATAACCATAACATTGAATCGAAAGATAAGGAATACGGTTTAGGGTATTCTATTATAACAATAGAGGTGTCAATAGAGAATAACCCCCGCAAAAGTCTTAGCAGAGAAGACGGGACATGATCAAGACGTCCTAGGATGCGCCACCAAGGTCAACCTCACCAACTCCAAGGGAAACAAAAAAGCAACCTCGCAACTCCCACTCTGAACCAAACTATGAAAGACACTTCAGTCCTACCGAGGACAGTGACAATACAACCGATGCTGCGGGCAGTCCGAGCACGGGTATTAAGGTTGATTAAATAACAATAACGACGAAATATTAGACCCGAAACGAAAAAAAAAAAAAAAAAAAAGGAAAGAGTTTCCCGTCGGTACCGTGGTGAGAAAGGGACGTGCTTTACTCATAGCCAACTATCGACTCAGAAAGAAAACACCCGCGCTGTCATGCCATGGTAGGTGAAGAGAAGAAAAGGAGGTGAAGCATCATCATCAGAGTTCTTGAATTGTGTTCGTGGCGGTCGCGGCGGCATGTTTGGCAGTTTCGTACATCACCTCCAGGCTGGGGGTGCCGTTATCACGGAAAACAGAACTGATGGATGTAAGATTCGAGACGATAAAAGGACGTTCGCCGACGCAGTAATAGTAGATGTGGCCGTAGATAGATCTGAGGTGGTCGGGAAGGTAGACGCAGATTCCGGTGAGGATCATGGAGAGGAGGGTGAGGAGGAGGGAATCTAGTCAATGTAATTGTCAGAATATCTCGTTGAAACCGTCACGGACAAGTAGAACATACTGAATATGAACTTTTCGGTAGGTGTCAGCATGTATACAGCGAAAGTCACCTCATACTGGTAGATCTTTAGGCGAACCCAGCGCACGAGGCTGGATGCCAACCAGAGGAAGAATGTCATCATTATTGTGTGTGTTTCTGTACAAATTGACCAAGAGCAATTGCAAGATGTGGAATGCTTTTCTTATAAAAAAAAAACAAAACACTACAAGAGGATTTGCACGTTGGAACGGTTTCAATTTGGGGCCCCTGAAGCTGCGAATTAAAGGGTGTATGCACAGATCAAGATTGTCAGGAGCGGCGGGATGGAGTGGCTTAGTTTTATTTATGCTGGTCTAGGCACCCAGGATAAAAATGAATCGAAAAGTTAAAAATAAGCCAAAGGAGAGACAGGAAGAAAAACAAAAGAAAGAGAAGGAGTAGACTATATCAGAGTAGAAGAGAGGCCCAACAAAATGACAACTAGGGAGGATTGCGCGTTGATCCACCAGATTCAAAGAATTAAAAATTGTGAATGCGGGGAGGCAAACTGGCGGGAAGGAAAGTACCGGAGGAGACTGTAACTATTAGATCCCCCTGGTCTGTTGGGGATATTATTTTTGAGTTGACTGACGGAGTTTATACTGATCGATCTATGTAGTGATTTTAGTTCCAGGCAATCTGAAGCGTCCGAATTCTGTAGACTTGAGAGTACATCATCTCTTAGTAGACTGTGCATAAAATTATGAACTAATACCTACATATTGTACTACCCGCATCCAAATCACAGAGCGCTAAGCATAAGCTCCTCCCAACGTCACAATACTCGTCAAGCCATGAGCTCAATTCTTGGAGAACGATCATGCAGCTCCGCTCCATAACTTGGTCCAATCTTCTGATACCCTCCCGAAACCCATTGTTATCCCTGTATACCTGCAAAAGACATTTCTCCTCCTCGTGTCTTCTTTCCGACAAACCCCTCCCTCCCCGACTCAAGATCGAAGATGCCGACCTAACAATATCCTACCTCAAAGGCACCGGCCCAGGCGGCCAGAAAATCGTGCGTTTCCTTCCCTCTGCCTCACTATCTATCTATCTATCTATCTATCTATACATCAGAAATCAATCCACTTATGAACAAAATCCCACAGAACAAAACGAACTCCGCCGTCCAACTCATCCACAAACCAACCGGCATCGTCGTCAAATCCCAAGCCACCCGATCCCGGTCCCAGAATGAGAAAATCGCCCGCCATCTTCTAGCAGATAAGGTCGAGCAGCTTCTCAAGGGAGACGAAAGCCGTGTCTCGATTAAGGCGGAGCGCGAGCGCAAAAAGAAGGCGAGCAGGGTAAAGAAAAGTCGACGCAAATATCGGGATCTAGAGAAAGGGGAGGAGACTTCGGAGAATGTAGAAAACGCGGAAAACGCAGGATCTCGGGATAATAACAAGGACGACGTATAAAGTTGCCTACGACGTGGCAACGGGTAATGATTAACTGAACACTCTCAATCAAGGTTCTCTCGGTCCTCTTGGGCGATCCAACACAACCCAGGGGACCCCTCAATTCGTCAGCTCTCTTGGACGATAAATCCAAGTTCTTTCCGTACTATTAGCAACATCTGTTGTACCAATAATCCCGACTGTATATGGGTCTATGTAGAAATAGGCTACCGCTTGCGAAATGCATGAATCTTGATTCATAATAATATGCCTGTGAAGATTTTTTGAGGGGGGAACATATAAGATATTCACGGTGCGTCGGGATAATCAAATTAACCATCATAGCCAACAAAAGATTCAAGTGGTCTATTGCCATTTCAAATAGGTACACTTTATGCAATATAGCTGCCAAGTACAGCCTTTGCTTCCGCTCCTAATCGTTCCTGGACAAACGCAGAAATGCGTCCGTTGTGCTTTTTATCTGCCTCCTTTAGATACTTGCCAACCCAGATCTTCAGATCAGCCCCTGTCTCCGGCCAAGGATCTCTAGCCTGCGGTCGCACGGTGTTAAGGGCGGTAAATCCAACGCCAAACGCCATGTCTTCGACATCATGCTCGGCAATGACATCGTCCTTGCTGGTAGGAACGGGTGGTAGTTCCAGAAGCTTGAGAAGAGCTTCACACGTGAAACCCCAACCCTTCTTGTACCGACTCGCAAAGGCTTCGGAATTAGCCAGAGTCTTGGTAAATGACAAAACGGCTGTTTTGCGGTCAAGCGGGCGCGCAAGCTTTTGTGTATCTGGCAGAATAACGTTTAGGTAGATTGGTGTGAACAAACTGAAGCAGGTTAGTCTTCGTAGGGTATATGATCAGGAGTCCAGATTACTGACTCAGCTTGCACTTTGTCGACAACCTGGATAACAAAGTCGGCGCTATAGCCCTTGGCATCATTTGCACACATGAAATGATAGAAGCGGACGAATCGGAGGGTAAGGTTTTCGGTCTTGGAATTCTGTAGGCGAGTGAGAATGATCTGCATGATATCGGTAAAATACGCCTCCAGTGTGGTTCTAAAAAGAGTCTTCAGTCAGATACACTCTTCCTTATCTGGAAAGTTCGACTTACGATGGGAAATACTCAATCACAGATTCCAGGAGGTCGAACCCATAGCTCTCATTGGCCTTGGTGGCCAACAACTTTTGGAAAATTCCAAGCGTGGGTACGATCTGATTGTTCTCAATGATGTACTGCGAGCCACGACCGATAATAGACGACAGGAGTCGCACGAGAGCCGGAATATTTCCTTTCGATTCCCACATGACTGGCATAAGGATAGGGGCTATCAGATTCTGATAATAGGCAGGCAGTGTTCCGGACGGGTTGGCCTCAAGAAGAGCAGCAAAGAGCTGGAAGATATATGGCATAAACTCTAAAATATAATTAGATAACGTAGCCATAAAGAAGAATATTTTCAATACACACCTTGAACATCTCCTTGCAGAATTTCAGCGAAAGGTGGGTAGAGAGCTTGTTCGAGCTTGTCGGGATTCGCGGGTGCCGCAAAGCTATAGCAGTTAGGGGAGCACATCGAAGGAGTAAACTTGACCCGTGATAACATACCGAATGAAAGCACCCAGAGCCTCAAAGTGGAAGTAGTAAAATCTCGGGTTGCTAGGGTTGCTGCTGATAATTTGAGTAATGTTGACCAGTTGTTGGAGAACAATGTCAGTGTAGGGGACTACACCGTCCTTCACGACAATCAACACTCTCATAGCACATCTCATCAAAAATTCATTCTCCTGTACTTTCTGGGGTGCAGGGTCCTTTTGAATTAGTGCAAAAATGTGTGTCATCAAGTCTTTGGCTAACGGCCTGATAGTATCCGGCGAGATAATTGGCTGGCCCTGACCATCTGCTAAGTAGAGCACTCTTTCGACTGCAATTGCTGCATAACTATAGACGACATAGTCCGAAGACCCAAGGTGATTCACCAATAATGGAAGCACCTCCTGCCATTGCTCCTTTGTTATGATGCTGCGGAACAGGTACAGATACTTGATAGCATCAACCTTGAGAATAGGGTGTACACCTTCACCGGCAACCAGATCAGCAGCGAGATGTTTTTGGAAATAATCGGTTATACTTATAAGTCCGTTTGTGGCCGTGACTCCGTGGCTGGCAGTGGCAACTCCCTTCGCCGCAATCGCAGAAAAGAGATAGGTTGCAGTATCCTTTGCTTTCCAATTCAACGACGGGTTCTTTGTGGACTCATTCAGGTAGTGCTCAGTATATTGAAGAACAGTCTTGGTAACAGACTCCTCAAATTTTTCAGCCAATTTCCTCAGGAAATCAGTCGCGGCTCGTCGTCGGGTGTCACTGTCCGACCCTTCAAGGTCTCGTCGAATAAATTCGATCGGTTCATCTTCGAACAATTCCTCATCTGATTCACGAAGGCTGACATTCGGCAAAATAACCTTTTCGATGACTTGGGCAAGAGTACCCTCTGCTTGGAAAACCAATGCATGTTCGGTCATTCCCGCAATCGAAGTTAAGAACTTCAACGCGCGACTAACCAGAATATCATACTTAGTCTCTTGCCCAATTGTAGTCAAGAAGTTCCAAGAGCTTTCCACAAACTGTTGAACGAAGGGGTTAAACTCGTCCATATACTTCTGCACATAAAGTGTCAAGACTTCAAAAATCCCCGCCCGAGCGAATTCCAGCTGACCAGCCTCAGAGTCATCATCAGTGTGAAGCAATTGATTATCGTATGTCAGGTATTTCAGCAAAAGCGACGCGATCCCATTCAGATTTTCTTCAAACATTGGAGGAAGGTCGTGACAGGAAAGATCGTAAAGCAGCTTGAGCATGAGATTGAGCTGTGTAAATCCTTGAACAAGCTGCTCTTTGTTGGACTTGTTCGCCTCGAGGTAAGTGTCCAGGCCCTTAAGCCACAATTAGCATCACATGTCAATACACTCTAATATCTATTGGAAATCTAAAGTACGTACCTGGAACAGGGCTAAGAAAGGGTTTCCGAACTGATCCAGAACATGGTTAATTTCTCTGTAAAGTTCATCAGATCGAAACAATGGCCTCCATCTCTTGAAGATCGAATGTGCAACTTGTAGTACGCCATTGTTAGCTGACGGGTTGTCGGGTTGAAGTCTCGAGACAAGGTCCTAAGGAAATGAGTTTCACTGCGCCACAAAAAATGCCAAAGCCGAAACCTACTTTCACGAGTGTATCCCATCTCTCCCAGAAATCACTGTCTGCAATCACACTGACAGCTTCTCCCAACTGAGTTTGGATACCCGGTGGCACGGAAATCATCAAGCTAATGAGCTCTTGCTTGATGGTCGTGACCTCCGACTGCTGGAGCTTATAATTTCCGTCCTCATCGGCCCAGTTCCGCTTGATAAAGTTCTTGAAACATAGTGCGCTAGCCAGACGAGTATTGTAGGGATAGGAAGTGGACGCAGTGATCTGGAGAAGTTGTAGGGAAAAGCCAGGTTTTCTTTCTTCCTGGCGAAGCGCAAGTTCGGCTAGTGGATGTCAACAATCTCCCCCAAATAAAGCGAATAGATATCGAAATGATCACAATACAAAGAGAGGGAGAAAAATTGACTTCTGTACACACCCTGTTTATTTTGTCTAGGATCCAAGCTCGCCTCCAGGAGCTGGGCAACAGCTCCAACACCATCCGCCATGGTTGGAGAGGGGTATGTGCTGAGAGAAGGTGAGAGAAATGACGGAGATGTAAGGGGTTAGAGAAGGGGAAAGAAAGTATGTAAAATCAATTTAATTATAGGAGATGAGGATTCAGTTCCAACAACAGAAGTGCTTCCCTGTATATATGCAAAGCGAAAGTCGTGAGGACAAAAAAATGCGGGCCCAGCTCGATTATTATTCCAGGTCGGGCAGTTTGTTTGGCGGTTGCTTTGGAATTTCCAAGGCGGTGAGAATGTTTTGCCGCGGGGTGTTTCTGCCTGGTCATGTGATAATTGCGGATCAAACTTTTCCCGTCACTCCGCCCAAATCATCATTACCTATCAGCACTTTCGGAGGGGGAAAAGCGGCTTGGCACGTCGTGAACCTGGAGATACCTCGTTCGTTCGTCCCAGCATTCTTATACTATATTTATTCCCCGAGAGTCGCCAGTTAATAGTCTCCTCTCTACGTTGTTCTCCTTCCCCGTCTTTGCTTCATGTGCTGGTTGCCATACATAGCCTCCGTCATTGCGGGTCTATCTCTTAGCACTTGATTGCAAGCCTCCTCGTCATCTCCCGGCCTTCCTGGATCCTGATGCTGTGGAATCCTCCTTGATCTGCCAATGGTAAGTGGACTATTTTTCCCACTCCAAGTATGAGTCCTCGAGAGGTCCGGGATCTTGGTCTATTTGGCGATGTCCTTATTATCACTGCTCTTATCGTTAACCAGCTTTTCTCCAGTTAGTTATATAATCCGTTGACTGAAATCGATTCCTATATATCCTCTCCCGTCCACTGGGACGCATGTCTTCTGACGATGCTTCATCTTCTTCTCGATCTAAATACTCAGCTTCTAGTTTCGCGGACGTTTTCAAGTCGTTAAGCGTCTCCCGGTCCAAACCCCTCTCCGCAGTCCCGCTATCGGATAGCAGTGACTCTCTCCAGCAGCACACGGATGGACACACAAGTAATCAGAGTACGATAGGGTTCGACTCAATGCATCGTGGAAGCGTCATATCAAGTTCCTCGGATGCTTCAGGAACCCGGGATTTCGAGGCCTCTCTTAAGGTTTTGGCGCAGAGCCAGAACCTCAATCATGCTGCTGACGAAGCTGAACAAGTGGCAAAATCTCTTCAATGTTATAGCCCAGAACAAGCCATTGCTCTCTGGGAAGCAGGATCGCATCTCATACACCATGTGGGATCTCCAGAGGTTCGACGCAGCGGTTCCCGCCTCTTGGAGACTATATCAATTCGCCAGGATCTTTCCCCCGCAGCTCGACGGGTAGTCTTCGAATCGATTTCAGCCTCGTCGGAATCCGATGTTATCCCAGTCCGGGCTCAGTCACTGATATCTTTATCAGATCATGGCAGGCGATTAGAGTTCTCCACAGGATCCCTCTTACCTATGATTTCATCATTTATAGTCCCTTTATATGAAGTGATTTCCTCTGCTCGACTAAAGGCCAGGAAAGCCAAGGTCGGCAAATTCAATGGTCTTGGCTATGAAGACACGATACTAGACGACCTCTTGCAATTCGCCGTGGATTTGATCACATTACAACGCAGGTCGCCTGAGAGTGGGGAGGTCCAGGAGCTTCTTGACCAAATCTTTACTATCTGCAGAAAGACAAGTGTAGCTGCCGATATCAAGCACTCCCTGGCCGTATTCGACGCAGTAATTCTGTATACCAATGTTCCGGATGGAAGCTTTGTTCCAATGCTTGAGCTACTTTGTAGCATACTTGCCTCGGTGAAGTCACTTTCGGGCCCAACGTCAAGAGCTGTTAGGAATCTGGCAAAGTCAAAGCGACGGACTGAGATGGTGGATACTCTTTATTCATTTTTGCTCGAGTCTTCTGAAAATCAAAGCCGCAATCTCAATGTTCTCCGCGGAGCCGTATACGTCTTTACCGAACTCGTTCGCGCACACGGCCAGGACGGAATAGTACAGCTTGAATTCGAGCGTCTTATGGACTCTCTCCAAATCGTCGTGAGAAAAGACGATGGCCGGTTAGAGGCAGATATTCTAGAACTATGTTTGAACACTCTAGATGGTGAATTTGCCGAGGTTGCCTTGAAGCAGAGCTGGTTAGGATTTGTTTCTGTCCTGAACTCCTGTTCTCTCAAAGTTATCCAAGAGCCTGAATTGGATTATGTTCCTGCTCATAGCCCCCAGTCACCGCAACTGAAAGGAATCAATGTGGACGACGTAAAGCCCAATATCCTTGCCAATATCGTTCAAATTGCATCCGCCGTGGGATCCCTTTGGGACAGCTTGAGCAAGCAGCAGAGACTAGATATCTCAAACTTCTTAATGAATGTTTGTCAACATATTGAACCTACTCAGGCTGAACTTGTCCTCAATACCGTGAGAGCCGAGAGGCTTTGTTCCCCTGAAACTTCTGGATGGGTTCAGTGTTGTCAAAAAGTCATCAACTGCTTTATTCGCGCTCGCAATAAGCCAGCCGAAATTCGAATCATAGCCCTAGAAACCTTGAAGGAGGCTTTTGTCAGTTACGAGTCTCTGTCCCTCTTTCAAGAGCAAGGGCTTTTGAAACTTATGCTCAAGAACTTCAACGATGAGGATAGCGCCCTTTTTTTGGAGGGTCTCGTTTTCTTTGTTGTTGACACTTTCGTCGCTGTTTCCGATGACTCCACATTTAAATATCTAGTCGATACCATAAGTTCGCCCATGACCAAAGATTCGGATAAGGATGAGGTCGATTCGCCCTCCATGTCTTCCTCGGAGCGCCGTCTGTCAAGCTTTGCACTGGAAGTGTCCCTTGGCAACATCTGTTGTGTGGGACTGGTGAGAATGTTTTTAAGATCAATGAATACGTCAGCTAATAAGGCAGTAACGGTGTACGAAGCCCTTTTGAAGATAGGGGAATCGACAGACCGGCCTTTAGACTCCCGCCTAACATCTCTCAAAATGTTATTTAGACTTCGATGCGATTCTTCTGGCTCCATTACAGTCGTGCCACTTTCTGAAAACGACTTCAGGATGAGTGTTTCCGGTCGCATTGTTGACTCTAGCTCATTGTCGCATGCTTTTGAAGACCCAGGTGGTGATCACAGCACAAACAATGATTACGGTCGGCCAACCCCCCCAGGGAGACAGTCGACAAGTGATTCGTCAACTAGTGCCTTATCCAGGTCCACAGGGCGCAGCACAAGCATTTCCCAACGGGTTCCGAGATTGTCTCATCCAGTCTGGGCATACACTACTCCCCAGGTCCTTCCAGAAGAACCCCCAGACGAGTCCAGTCCCTTTGTGTATGCATATGCGACACCCGCTACATCAACTCATATCGACTCTGAGAAAACCCAAAGGGCCGCGCTGAAGGCAAACGTTTGGCTAGAAACCATTATTATGTTGCTACAACGTGAAACGAACTGGGACCTTTACAGCTACGTTCTTACGCACTTGGCGCCTCAACTTCGGAACAAGGACCTTTTCAGTAACGCTGTTCCTCAGATCAAGCTTTTACGAAGCGTCTTGTGCGATCAAGTGAAAAATGATTCCTTCCGTGAGCCACCGCCATCTACTGGCGTCAAGAAATCCGATGTGGCGGGCTACATCTTTGATTCTCTCTGTGTATTAATCAGCTACCATGAGCATTTTGCAAAGAGCGAGGAAGATGAACTCGTCCGGTCCTTTATGATGGGTATCATTGGCTCATGGGGAGGAACTTCTCGTGGTTGTATTCATGCCCTCTCGGTTTGTTGCCACGAAATTCCCCTCTCTGTCACGAAGTCTTTGAATGGAATCCTTGACAAGATGTCCAAAGTGATCACGCTATCCAACCTTGCCGTCCATATTCTTGAATTTTTGGCACTTCTTGCACGACTACCAGAAGTGTACGTCAATTTACGAGAGGAAGAAATTCGCACAGTCTTTGGTATCTGTATTCGTTTTTTGCAAACATCAAGGGAGCACAGACTTAAGGCGTCTGAATCGCCTACGCGGAACCTCCAGGGTTCTGCAAGACTAGGAAGCGTTATCCGCGAGACTTCAGGCCTTCCTTCTGCCGAGGTTTCTGATTCATCTCTCCAAGAGGCTATGTCCCGGTATATCTATGCCTCGACACATCACGTCATGGTATTCTGGTTTTTGTCATTGAAGCTGCAGGATCGGGCCAAACACGTCAATTGGATAACCAGCAGGCTGATCTTCAGAGATGACAATGGAAAAGAGATGGTTGAAGAGCAGAGTCAAGTTTTCCTCGACCTTATGCAACGCGCTGCATTTTCAGATTTGGGCGACACAATTCCTTTCCCAACATTTCCACCGTCTCCCGAGGATGGGCCAGCCATCAAGAAATCGTGGGTTGTTGGCATGAGCATAGTCACAGTGGAGACCGCTGGGGTTTCCGGTTTAACCCAAATCACCAAGAGACAGGCCTCGGGGACTACCTATGCAGTGTACCAACAGCGCACCGCACCTATCCACCCCCATCAAGTCCCGGCCACCCATGACGCCCATTTTCATTCGGACAACATGCATACGGCTGTTCTGCCTAGCCATGTTCTACTCCAGTTGACGACAACAGCCTTCCCTACACCTACCGTGATGCAACCCATTCCTCTTGCGGATGATGATATGACTCGTCGAGCACTGGATATATTTGATCGAAATGATATTGTAGATGGGCATAAAATCGGTGTCGTTTATATTGACAATGGTCAAACTACAGAAGCCGAAGTTCTTTCCAACACTAGTGGCAGTGCAGATTATGAATACTTCCTGTCAGGCCTCGGAACCAAGGTTCCCCTCAAAGGTGCAAGATTCAATACTCAAGGGTTGCATGCTGAAATCGACGGCGAATTCACATACGCATGGCGCGATCGTGTCACAGAGATTATCTACCATGTGGCAACTATGATGCCTACAAACTTCGACACTGATCCTTCGTGTATCCTGAAAAAAAGTCACATCGGCAATGACTTCGTCAACATTATCTTCAACCGGTCGAATGCCCCGTTCAATTTCAATACAATCCCTTCCCAGTTCAACTTTTTCAACATCGTTATTAGCCCCGTATGCCGACTCGCAGAAGAGGACGGAATCACGATTTGTGGACCAATTCACCCTGAGAAACTGGTTTACAGTGTGAAGGTAATGAGCAAGCCTGGATTCCCAGAGATTTCTCCTGCTGCGTCTCCCAAGATAATTTCTGGAAAGAACCTCGCAGCCTTTGTCCGGATTCTCGCATTGAATGCCTCTGTGTTCTCGCTTGTCTGGAACAGCCAGGGTGAACATATTTCATCCTGGCGCAACAGATTGCGCGAGATTAAGCGGCTTCGAGAACGAGCGCTAGGGTCCCAGTCTCAGGGTTTGGATACCACGGAAGCCACATATCCCACTCAACGGCGCAACACCAAAGCAAATATCCTTTCCGAAGAAGTGCCATTCCGCAGCAACTCCGCAAGAACTGATTTTGCCACCGATTGGAACGCTGCAGCAGATGCCAATATCCTTCAAAATTTGGATTTCTCCCGATGGGGCCGATAAAGGATTCCCCCATTCTGCATTTTCAAGCAATGACTTACGACTGGAAATGACTCACCATGGCTAAAAATGAACTTGGCCATTATGAAAATTTCCATCTCTACAATCCGTCTCATCATATATCTTTTTCCTGAAACCACTATGAATGTATATCTTTAGTTTATCTGCTTCCGCATGTGACGACACTACCCCAAATGGTTCTACCTGTGAAAGCCATCTACAGGGAAAGTAAAACAATACTTTCTACTATTTCCTTACCTCTTCCTTTCTCTCTCTCTCTCTCCCTCTCCCCTCCCCCCCCAAAAAATGTCACCCTTTCATAATACTCTTCTACTTAATCCACGCACCGGGTGTGACTGTACCATCAGGCCTTTTTTTTCTCTTTTGAAGCCTCAGCATTTGCTCTAGAAAGACCCCCTCCCCAAGAGAACTGATATCTTTTACAGTGCCTTGCCTGTGAAAGTTTTGACAGAGCTCTGCAGCGTTCCTTACTGGGGTTTTTATTTACTACTCCTCCTATTTGCCATATTTTGGTGTACATTATCGTACAATGAGTTTGTTAGGGTGGGTGACAGACAGAAGCCAAAAAAAAAGAAGGATCAAAAATGAGGCTGGATTAGTGTGAAGAAGGACTACTGGCAAGAAGGAAGAAAACAACATGTATGTGATAATAAAGGATATGACGAGGGGATCCCAAAAGTTTTTTTTTTTTTTGTGTTTTGTTCGTTCTGTTACGACTGATGACAGCGTTTTATTTTATTTTATTTTTTTTGTCTTTCGTCTACCAACCTATCTATCTCTCCACCTATCATCTAGCTCTCACAAAAGTAGAATACCTGGTCTATTCTATTCTATTCTATTCTATTCTATTCTATTCTATACCGATAACTATATTTATTACTTGAATCAACCAAGCAGTGTTCCCTCTTTTTTTTTTTTTCCCCAAGTCAAGTTCATATGGTCCTGGATCATGCACCAGGATCAACCTCGGAAACTTCATACCATTTTTCGAAGATTCCGATTTTATTAACGCCATAGATAGAAACACGACAGACTGACAGTATATGCGGCAGACAGCAGGCAGGCAGGTACCTAGTTTGGTAGGTAGGTAGGTAGGTAGGTACCTCGGTCGTTCTTAGGGCAAGTTCAATTCGAACATGCTCTCTCTCTAAGCTACTACAGTAGTATATAAGTACATATAGCTACTCCGTAGGTTCCCCCCCCCCCCCCCAACGCCATTCTGATATACGTTTCGTATACACCTGATATATCTGTTTTGAATTCTATAAATACATTGCTTTATTTACTATATACTATATATGAATAAAATAACAGAAACTGAACAAATCACAAGAGGGGGTTTCTTTTTTTCAATACAACAGAAGTTAGATGGATGAATCTTTGGCTTCGGAGAATTCATACATCTCAAGGATCCCCCAATATTACTACTAACTATAAGAGTAGTAGTATAAGTGTAAGTAAGCGCTTCTCTTCGCTTCGGTATATATGGAGAAGGGGAAAAAAAAAAAAAAAAGTATGTAAGAAAACGAAGGGTGAGCCCTTTCTCTCTGGAAGGTGAACAACATCCTCCTCTTATTATCCCCTTCTCTTTTTTTGGCTCGGGGGTTAGCCACCACTACCAGCCAAAAATTTCTCCAACACTCAATGTGCTCCATCGCACACCAGCTACGGAGAACAAGATTAGTACGATATCCACAACACCGAGAACAGCTGCGCCCAGCATGAATCGCGGGCTGAAGATACGATACAGCATGAGATGGCGACGGAGATGGCCAGCCCACATCGTAGTTGCGAAGTTGATGGTGGCAAAATATAGAATATAGGTACAGGCCGCTTGCGCAACGTCGGAGAGGAGTTTGGTTGCAGGGTTCTTCGGCTTTCCGGATGATTGGGAGCCAGTTTTGTCGTGGAGTTGAAGAGGACGTTTCCAGAGGGCTGTGAGGGGAACAGCAATTGCAGTGAGAATTTGAGCACCAAAGGTGTTGAGGATCACTAGGATGGGGGACCAGGGATATTTGATTGTGGATAAGGCAATGAAAGCCGTCTCCCACTGAATGCTGCTAAGAGTAGCTTGGTGGCCGGTCTTGAAATAGTAGAAGGAACCGAGAAGACCTAAAACGACGGGACCAATAGCGGAGTTTCCCATTACCAACGCATTTGTATCCAAAATTTCGAGCAAGGAAAGGATTTGCCAGAGGAGGAGGCCCATGGCGCCTTGGCCCATAGGCTTTTGCATCAAGATAATACCGAGGCAGAAGTTGATGACAAGAAAGAAAAAGCGGGTTCCATAGACATTGCCAAACCCCAGGATTGTGACTGTCGTTCGTCCTGGTTGCTGTGCTCCAGGAGATGACGGCCTCTTTGTTTCTGGTTCAGGGCCGCTTTGGGCGACACTGACAGTAACACATGGTTTCGAGTATAGAAAGGCAGTTGTACCTGCAGCAAATGCAAGGCCAAGAACAAGCTGAGCTAAGAACACTCGGATCGATTTCAGAGTTTCCTTGCCAAGGGGCAACCATTCATTGTCGTCAAATTCTTCAAGCGTCCAGAAAATAGAGGTGACGAACAATCCAAGACGAAATCCAATTCCAATCCAAAGGCTAGCCGCTCCTTCATAGGATTTTGACCCAGAGTAGAAGGACTTGACAACAGTTGGGAGGAGAAGGGTGACAATAAAAGGAATGGCAAGCTGCCATGGCGCAGAGGTGGAAGATGTGCTAGACGCATAGTAAGTCGAGCGACAAAATGGCATCTGCTCCTCGCGACAGAGACGAGACAGAGACGCGACCCTCCCTAGAATAACGAAGATGATTGAATGATAAACTCCTAACACTCTGTCCGCAGTTGACTGTTGGCGCATTGAGGACACGCCGGCAAAAACACCAAAGGTGGAGAGGAAGAACAAAAGGATCTCATCTTCCCAGATGGTGTATGAGTTAGATGCAAATCCGATAGACTGACTGACAGTAAAAATGACTGCGAGCCAACCCCACAACGAGTTCGGTAGAGGCAGAGACAAGCGTTGAGACGAGCCGAAAATTGTCCATGAAGCGCCAAAGATGCTACCAACGGCAGCCATGAAAGCCATTAGTTCAGGTGCTTTAACCTCAACTACACCGACAAATGCGAAAATAGCACCAATCACTGCACCCGAAGCAGATCCTGCTCCGATACGAGTAAGCAAGGTGGACGTAAGTTCTGTTCGGTCCGTCTGCAGCCCTCGGGCATAGAAAACCAGTAGGACGATGCCAGCAAAAAGGATTCCAATGCCTTGCATCATGCTCGGGACATCAAATTTCGCCCATAATCCTCGACAAATGTGGAGGGTATGGCGTTGGTATTGTTTATAAGACTCGTAAGCAGAAACGAGGCTTGCAACATTCGGCTTGCCACTTTTCGAAAGAGTGTGCCAATCGGTTTCTGCCGCATCCAGGAACTTTAATGATTGAAACTCTTGGCCGTCATCGGCCCCACGAGTTTGCGCGTATGCATACTGGTATCTTTTGATTTGAGCAGATGTCAAGCGGTTCACAGCAACCAAGTTCTTCCAGTCATTCCCACTAGGGCCAGAGAAAGCCTCCTCAATGGGGGAACCAAGGTTATTGAACGGAATCGGAATCCCAAGAAGCAGCGAGAGTGTGGGAACAAGATCAATTTGAGGGACAAATCTTTCCCGGGCATACTTGGGTGGCAGAAGACTCGCAGAGCTGGTGCGGCCGAAAATACCCTTCTTTGAGTACATCCACAGAGCCGCATCGACTTCGTCATTCGATTCACCTCCGTGATCTCCCTTCGAATCCATTCCATGGTCGCCCATTACAACGAGTAGTGTGTTATCATCAATCTTGGCCATAATATCACGAATGGTCTGGTCCATCTGATTGAGCTTTGATGCCATGGCGGGGTGATTCGGACCGTAGCGGTGTCCGGCATGATCAACGCCAAGATAGTGGCCAAAGATGACGTCCCATTTAGTGTAGTTTTGTGGTTCGAGGAGAGGAAACAGGTGCTCGTTAACGCCGTTGTCAACCGTGTGCAAGTCCCAGACATTAAAGGAATCGAATGGCCTTGTCAGCTCCGGGTCGAAGTAGCCCGGGAATAGAGCATGCCAGGTGTCGTCGCCAAGCTGGACGAGATTCTTCCCAGCTGCGTGTAGTTGAGCAACCAGGTTATCTTCGTCGATGGCCGTTCCAGCGAAATTAGATCCGGCGTCGATAAAAGTCGGCAGAGTGCCAGTAGTCAATCCCTTCAGTCTTTGCAGTGTTGTAGTCGGTGGATCCGCGATAAAGGGGAGCAAGAAGGCATTTTTCGGGTGGTTGACCGCAGTCTCATACAGTACCGGTATGTTATCGTGGAAGAGGTGAGCACTCTCAGTCTCTGCATTTGGGACAAATGGCACGGTGAAGTCGTATCGCAGAGCATCAATGATAATCACAATAGCCTTATCAAATGACTTCTGGTGCCAGCATCCGTCGCTTCCCGGTCTCTTTGAAAACGACGCTGAGTCGGTAAATGGAAGAACATCGCACGACGACTTGTTTTCCAGGACCATGCGAGTAAGGAGAAATCCCTTGGTGAAGAAAAATATGCCCACAACGTGGAGGGACCTATACTCAGAATCAACGTAATTAGGATTTGGCGACTCGAGCAACGAAACTAAAACAAAAGGGTGGCCAGAGATGGAAAGCTCACAATATCCACACGAATACACCAAGCAAGCTCAAGTGTTTCCGTTTAAATTCCTGCTCCAACTCCTTCACATCCTCCTCCTGGGACTTGTTTGCCTTTGCTGTTTGAGATTGCATTCCGACGTTCCCGCTGCCTCTGTGCTTTCCGGAGGTCCTGAAATTTTGAAGACCGCGATGGTGAATCTTGAAACGACGGTTTTTTTGGGGGGGGGGTACGTTGTTTAATCCAGAGCGTGCATGTCCCGCGCCTGTATTGGCCGCGGATACCACCACAGGAAGCAACTTTTAAAGGGTTCGGGGACACTCCTCATCCAACGCGGAGAGCATAGAAGAATTGTCGGTGTTCTCTTCGCCTGTCGCAGGCACGAAGGTGAATTGTGTCTCGTATCGGAATACAAGGCTTTTGGTAGCTCAAACCAGGTCAAGGGGTTTTCAGGGCTAAAGTTAGAGTCATTGAAATCAGGAAAAAGGTTAGTTCTGCCCTTTTCTTTTTTGCCTCCGGAGCTCCCGCGTTCAGGAGCTGTCAAACGGTCTTCCTGATGAATTAGGTTTAACAAATAGAGCTGCGCATGCTCACAGTGAAAACTCCATTATATACGAGCTGGTAGAAATGACAGAGCAGGAGAAATAGGGGATCGATGCAGAGCAATTAATTGCAGATGGTGGGAAGCGTTGGACGGAGCACCTCCCACCAGCTTCGGTCTCCAAATCCTTCCCGTGACGTGGGGGAATCGGCGTTTTCGGCAGCTCAACCTGCGAATTAACGCATTTTGATTGGTGGACACGGTCCGGATAATCAAACCCCCTTTCTAAGCGGGTCATTGCCAATTTTGGACATCTGTTTACTTCATCAGGAGCTTTTTTTTGCTCTCTTTCTTTTTTGTTTTTTTAACTGGAAGGACACTACTCAAGCCACAGGGAAACAATAATAACCTATTCACAGTATTCAGAAAACTCACAAGGACTAGGTACATCTTGTGGATCAATAGGTACATTCATTGGGGCTCACGCCTAGGAAGGGGCCCGTTCAATGTACAGGCTTGACTAGCTACATACATTATCTAACAGTAAGTCACCAAAAGGCAGACCGAGAATTGTAAGGGGAACGTGGTTAAAAAAAAAAAATAATAATGGTAAAGAAGAAAAGGGAGATGAGAATGATAAATAAACCTTCAGCAAGAACGGTACGTAACTTCTTTCCAGCCCTAGTGACGTGGCAGGGTGGAAAGGAAAAGCGGTGACCAAGCATAAGAAACGAACGCCTGGTGATAAAAGAAGGGGAAGATAATGCAAAACCCAAGTAAACTAGCAACCCTTGCTGTACACAGCTCAAACTCGGGATGTCTAGCGGGAAATTTTTGAGGTTAGTGGTCGATTGGTCCGGGCAACGATGGTGAATATGAAGAAAGCAAATCTTATAAAAAAACCCCCCCGAACATATTTATCTGAGCGTGATAAAAGATTAGAACGGGGCGATCTGGGTATGTGCAAGTCGCTAAGACGCATCCAAACGGGATGGTCCAGATGTACAGGTAGAAGAACGAAGCAGATCTTTCCCCAGTTGTCATTATGATTTTAGAAGGTCGTCGAAGTGTGAGGCGGAGAAACGAAGAGTGAATGAATGTAGTCGATTAAAACACAAATCCGAATGGCACGGCTGCATAGTCCTTTAAGAATATCGCTTGAGATCATCCTTCTCCTTCAGTCCGCCCATGCGCTCGATATCCAAGGACTGGAAACGTTCGGCATCGCTGGACTGGTAGGGCGGAAGTTCCTCGTGGTAAGGCTCAAGGCCAACACCACCAGCTTCGCTAATCCTCACCACCACGACTCTACCCGACTTGCGTTTACCCGATTCGTCTTCCTCCTCTGGGAATGTGATTCGAATCTCAGGAACAGGGCTGGGAGGCGGGCTCGACGAGTTCTCCATCAGGCTGCGCTTCTCATCATAAACAAATACGGATTCGTTTTTTCCATACGGTGTTGCCGTGATAGTAAGGCTGCGGTGGTGGTGGGTGGCGCACTGTCCATTGTGGATAGGAAGTTGTGACTGTCGATTCAAACGCTTGCGACGTAGAACTAGAAGGGCGCCGACAAGAGCAAGACCAAGCAAAACAAGCACCAACAGAGAGATCAGAAGATCGACCATGGCAGGAGAGAGTCCATCACCGTTGTCGCTCTTGTCATCTCGCACCACAATTCGGGGAAATGAATGCATTTTGATAAATGGGTCGGATAGATTGACGGTCGGGACTCAAAACACGGCTTTGAGGCGTAGATTCCTTGTATACGGGAATGATGGGTTTATAGACTGGCGGGCAAATATGGTTCAAGAATCGAAGATGTGCTGTCAAGCGTCAACATCCCAAAATCGAGTTCGAAGGAACTCAAAAACCACGTACTCCAAGTCCCAGTAAGTCTCTTAAGAATGAATAATAGGGAGATACAAGTCCAAAATTATTCCGAGACTATTGGGTCAATCACAAAAAAAAAGAGGGAATGTATGGGGTCGGTTGGGTTGGGTAGTTCGTCCGGCGGTCGGTCGGTGTGGTCGGTTAGGAGGGAGTTGGGCGATTCGAAAATCAAGCCGGCTGGGTTAAAGGAAAGAACGGACAGCAAGGTGGACAGTTGAAAGAGTGAAACTGACACCTGCTTAGGGATCGAAAGAACGTGGTAGATGAGAGGGAATGAAGGAGGAAGAGGTGACAAAAGGAAGAAAATGGAAGAGAACGAAGGAAGGAGGGAGGAGGAGGAGGGTTAGTTAGGATTTGGGGGATGAGGAGAAAGGGAGAGAGAGGGAGAGGGAGAGAACCAGGAACGAGGCGCAAGGGTGTTTAGGCACCTCAACTGACAACCAGACAGGGCTAGAACGCTGCAGACTAAACTTGGCCAACTACGTTCAGTCTAGAGGGAACAAAATATCACCAGCGAGTCCAATAAAGAGACTGTTTGTTTATTCCTTTCTGCTCTAGTTGGATTTAGTGTGTTAACTAGTACCAGTTATAATTTCCCCATCTCCCAGCAGAGCCTATCAGGAATTTATTGTTCCTGAGACAGCGTGAACTTACGTCTCCCACTCTCCCGCTCTCCCAGTCTGCCTATTCGCTGTGTTCCTGTCAGTTCCTCCTTAATTGGTTTATTTTAATCTCGATGGAGTTCGTAATCTCACTCTACCTATACTCTGGTAGGTATGGGGTTGTTGCTAATGTTAGCAACTCACTCCGGAGTCCGTCATCGAAGGAAGGATTTTTTTCTTTCTTAGGGCTCCGCGTTGACCCCTGGGCGGATCAACAGAATCAGGCCATGACGATGGTTTTATTATTAGTACAACTCTGATGGCCCAGTAGCTTGGTCAACCTACGGAGTTATCCATGTTTTTTATTCGCCCTGAATTCAGAAAATGAGAGACCGCTGTATTCCCATTCCCAAGTCGTCGAGTTTCCCTGACGATCCACTATCAATCCTCCGTACACACTACACAGTACATCATCTAGGGATCCAATGCAGTCAGTAGGAGGTACTTACTTATGACAGTCCTCCCAGAGTGTTCAATGAATCAATTTAATCAAACCCAAGCACGCGGAGTGACAGAGACAATAACATTACTTGAAGGTTGAGCTACACTAATTTCTTTTGTTGTCTCACTACCCCTTGAATTACGAGATAACTACGTTGTTGTCCTTGCTGGATTGCGGATTCTTTTGCCAAAAATTAATCAACTACCATGACACAGAAAACATAATTTGCGTCCTCACAGCCAGGGATCACAGACAGCTGGGAAATGTGTTATGTAGCAGCGCTGGCGGTTTAGTCGGTGATGTTGTTTCCAAAAACCTCAGCATGGCCATGTCCTCTCCCACTCGTCATGTTGTACGGAGTAAATGTGACTTGTCTAAGTACGGCTGCGGTGGAGGCGGATGCGCTAATACCCGTACTATTTAGTGACGGGCACGCTACGGAGAAGTTTCGAAGAGGAGTCGACCAGAAGAGAAGAATATTCCTGAATTCTGATAGCAGCGATTCAAACGAGGCAAAAGCCCAATATAGCAGTCGTAAATGGCAGTTTTGTATTAGAACCTTCCTCAAATACGTCTTACAGTAATACATGTCTACAGTACAATTTTGCCCTTCTGTCGAACATAGTCGAATTGTTCTCCATTCATGATAGGTGATACTATAAATAGTATTAGGCGGCTCATATGACAGTTATGGCTAGCTCAGATACTACCAGGAATTATATTAAGGATTTCAAACACCACAGAGGCCTCTAAGGTTTGAGTAATTAAACGCTCGGGGTCCATTGGAGAAATGTATTGATTAGATGATATTAGGAGATGCAAGCAAGCTTTGGTTTTAAGGACTAGTGAAGAATCACCTGAACTAAGCAGTACTTCATCAGGGGTAACTAGCCTCAAATCCTCGCTATGCTCGGCGGCTTGCATATTAGTATGATAGCTACTATATTAATGTAAGTATGGAAGTTAGAATTAAAATAGGTATTAAAGTAGATATTAAAGGAGGTATTAGCAGGGAATAAAGCAGGTATTGAAGCAGGTATTAGCAGGCATTCAAGTAGGCATTCAAGTACTCATTCAAGTAGGCATTCAAGTAGGTATTAGCAGGTATTAAAGCAGGCATTCAAGTAGGCATTCAAATAGGTATTAGCATGGTAATAGCTTATAAAAGTAGATAATATAGAAATCTCCATAGCTAACAGGTTAACCAACATCCCCAGGTTCTATAGCACGGAAAAGATGGCCCTGCGGGCCATAGTTCTTCCGAACCGCCAGTGCGCGTAGAACTCAGCACGGTGTACGGGTCATACCACGGGTGTTTGAGGGGGACTTTCATATATTATTAAAATCTTCTATTCTGGAAACGAGTGTTCCTTGATTACTCTGCTACAAATAAATAGGAATAATAATAATAATAATAATAGGTCTGGATTATCACAAACCAGATTTACATTTTATATTTCTTGAGGACTATAACCAAATATCCTTTATATAGTGAAGTAGGATGCGACTCCCATCAACCCATAGATATGAGCTCCTGGGCCCTAACCCTAGGGCTACGCTAAGCTTAACGTAGTTAATATACCTGGTTTTGTAATTAAAAACTACGTACCAAACATGTAAGAGTAATCATGGCTTGAATAATACCTGTAATAAATGGCCTTGAAAAGTTGGCGGTGTACCTCCAGCCAGAAAGGAGCTGGGGCAGAATTCCCATCTCCCGTCAGAAGAGGGCATCCTACCAAGTTACATATCCAACTTGTTTTTAACTTATTTCCAAGAATCGAAAGCCGCATGTTTAAGAGTTTAACAGTGAGAATATCTAGATTACTATTGTAGTTAACAATATTGACAAACATGTAGAAGCTGAAATGGAAGACACTCCCCTCCGCATCCTTGTCATGGTCTCGCGCGTAAATGCTTTCTGGGGGAGTCTTGGTCTTCTCCTGAAGACCTACTCACAAAAGCTTTTTGCGAGGTCAAAAGCAATGGATTTCTGAATGTCTCTTACAAGCATCCTCCAATGAAACTGTTGGCGAAGAGAAGGTGGTTAGCACATGTCTTTCTTGTATTTGATATTGCGAATACCGACTACGATCCTGAGAAGGGCCACCTAGCAGATCAAAACAATCTCCCTGTTGCAATAGTTCGGTTTGGTAAACATGTCCAAGTTTATCGAGCAAGCCAGCCCACCCAAAAACAGGTGAATAATGATATTAGCCGAGCTCATAACCTGAACGGCATTGGCAGTATCCCACCCTTCGTTGAAGATCACGCCTCTGGAACTCCGCATTATCTAAATCCACGCGAACCGCAACTGCTGCGACCTCAAGTTCACAGCCACTATATTTCGTATGCTACCAAACACGCGTATATCGCGAAACCCTAATATGACTCTGGTGTAGGTAAACTGCACGGCGCGCATATCTCTATTTGAGGTGTTATGGTTGAATTATAGCAGCAATAAGATGACATCATGGTGGTGAGTTGCCGTATCTACAGAGTATCTTGTCACACATATTACAGCTCATGTGGCCCATCCATCTGTCTGGTATTGTACCCTTTGATCTCCATACATTCAGCGTAATATACACTAACCGTATATGGATTAGAGAACTTAGCATATTAGGGTTCAGGAACTGTCAGTGTATGTGTTTAGGAGGGAAGGAGAAGTCACATCCTACTGTATTGGTACTTCAGCCACGAGAAATGTTAAGCCCTGCTTCAGTTGTAAACCTATACTATATGTACTACCAAAAATGAACACCCAAAAATATCAATCTACGCGATCGCGACGTAATCCCGATCATGTCATCGTGATCTAATCCTCTTCACCTAGAGAAAGCCTTGCCTCACTCTCCGAAGCTTCCGGGTTCAAGGTTGCTACCTAGTGCCTCATCTAGGTAGAATTCGCTAGGTAGGATCCAGCTCCCAGTCTTCCGTGGACACCATCTTCCAGGTAAAACCTGTCAGTATCTCGGCATTTGCATTCATACTTCCCGAATTTGCCTCCTGGATTCCGACCTGGTGTCCGAATATACTCTTGCTCCTGTCCGAAAGGCGCTGGCGGATGTAACCAACGCCCAACCTAAAAGGTAGTTGTGAAAACTTTAGATAGCTGGGTGTTATTTAGGTGGTAGTCGTTAGTACTCTGTAGGCTCTAGGCTATATCACTGAGTATTTGGTTGGGTTGGGTCCCAACAGTCGGCCGAATGTTATGTGCAGATGCTGTGAGGAAGGTTTTCAAAGCATAGAGTTTTTTTTTAAAAATTCTTGTTAGCTTTTAAAGTGTAATGTTATACATGGATATACATGGATATATATGTCTATATATATATATGTCTCGTACACCTGGAACATACGCTGGATGACACTTCCGGAATATATATATATGTAACATACATATATACTATCAGGTACACGCTAATTATCTTGAAAATTCATCTTTAATGATCCACAGGATTCGCTCATAGGATACCTAAATGTGATAAACTCAAAGTGAACTTGCTTTTTACTACCTACCTCCACTAGGCTCAACAAAATATGGATGAGGAATCCATGGTATGATAGGACCCGTGCTGTCTGTCACTGTCAAGCGTCACTGTCACCAACAGACCCGTGGAGCCTAGAATAGCACAGGAGCATACAATCATCCAATTTATTTTTGTAGGGTATAGATCTACAATCGCACGCAATACAGAGAAATGCTGGGGCAAGCAGGGGAGGAGCAGAATGGGTGGAACTAATTTCCGCAAATGATATATTTTTCCCCAGCATTATCTTGATAATACTTAGTGTAGGTACTACTACCACTACTTCTTGGTAGCAGTACATCGGGACATGTATTTTTTTATTGTTTTTATTATTGTTGTTGTTGTTGTTGTTGTTGATGCTGTATCATTACCACTGTAATAGGTTGGTGGTGTATGTAAACCCTAATCTAAGGAAGCGAGTATGTATCTCTCGAATGAGAAATTAAATGAGCTGGAATAAAGAAGAGAGCCGTTGAGAAAAGCTGTTTATCATCGCAATTGGTGTTTGGTCCCGGTAACCCAGGTAGCCCGATGATACTACTAACTACCGGTGCTCCGTAGTCTACTGCAGCTACTTTGGGGAATGTTGCCACAGAGTAAGTACACCAGAGATACTACTGGTAGGACCAGTACTCGTAGCCTCTACTGCTTTACAGGATTCATACGCAGTGAGGAAGTGGGTCAAAACGATGACAAGACAAGGAATCCCTTGATTTCCGGGGCGGATGAAACAAAAATCAATGTTACTGTCGCGACGCAAGGGGGGTGGAGATGCGCCATGCGTGCTTGAGATGATAGTCGAGCGGCTCCATGCTACGTACCGGAGGAGTGCACGTCTGTCGGGAATGGATGTATTCGGAACAAGCGGTAAGGACAAATATTACATTCAACAATATCCGCTTGTCTTGCACCGCGATGATCTAAACGGTGTTGTGTGGATGGTTTAGGAGAGGGGGATATGGGTTGTATTCGATAATATCTCCAGGGCAGCCGATAGTTTGACATTTAACACGATGGCAAGCGGTAATGTGATACAGTACAATCTAAATGAGTATGTTTTGATTTAAAGCCCCTGAAAACCAGGGCGAGTCGTCGTTGACTCGTCCTCCTGCTGAAACTTAATAGATAGAAGTTGTTTATAGAGTCACGCGACTGGTGTTCAGAAACCACGAGCGGTACTCAAGTCAGGTTAAGGTCCAAATTGATGACAGTAGAAGAGTATGCTCTCCACACTTCGAGGGAAGAGGAATGCTAGACGTAAGGCCGATTCTATAAAGACCACTAGTGCGGAGGCAGTATAGGTGAAGTGGTAATACAGTTCGGGGTAAATTAGTATTATACTATTAATTGCTCTGCCGGAGTACCTTAGTTATGACGAGAAGAATAAATAGGCTAGTTTAGTGGATCCGATCGCTCGGGCTGGGACAGTTTAATTGTACGGATCCTTTTTAGACCTTCTAGAGTCTGGCCGGAATATCTCGAGCTGGGATCAAAACCCAGAGAAAAGTGAGTGAGTGAGTCGTACGTACAGTAACGACATCTTGTGTCCGTGATGCTCTTCTGGAGGAGGAGTCCGGGATTGTTTCAGAGCCTGAACGGCGCTGGATGGATGGTTGGAGGTTGAGTCCGAGACCAGATTCTTCTGCTTGAGCTTCGATCAATGTACATTGTTCAAGATATTGTCTCAGTGACAATTTTTTTTATATATATAATAATTCAATTGTTAATTTTACACTATATAAAATGGAGTGAATGCAACAGATGACGCCAATGCAGATTATGGATACACGTCAAGACTGGAACAAAACCAAAAAAAAGCCTTGTTTTGGCGGTCAGATATGGTTGAGTTCCGACTTGGCTGATATTGCAGGGACTGACATATGAAATAGGGAGTCAGAGTAACTGTGGCGAGTCACTGTAACGGGAGAGAACCAAGAAATGATAGAAACGAAGCTGTAGAGACAAACTCCTCCCCCCTCCTGCTAGCAAAGTTTCAGAGAAAGGGTCCTGTCGAATTGAAGCCTAAAACAAGGAAAGAAAGCGGCGGGAGCGAATTTGGGCGGCCCCAGACTCGGAGTTCAGGAATGGTCAGGAATGGTCAGCATTTGGTAAGGTACGGAAACCCTGCCTGTAGTAGTTACCACGGGGGTCACTGGGGGTACCTGCCCTCAAAGCGTAGGGCCCATACTGAAGCCAAGTATCTGGTCCAGATCGACGGATCGTCTTGTACTGTACTTCGTAATAATAACATGGACGACACGCAGCATCTTTTTTCCAGCAGCTCAAAAGTCAACCCTTCATCTCATCTCTATCATTATTCATTTCTGCCCTCACTCACCTCTTTTCCAGCGGCCAAAAAGACTTCATTCATATATTTTCTTTTTCTTTTTTTTTTTTTTTACCCTCTTCCTCCCTCCCCCATTTTATTTAATTCTTTTTCTTACTCTTTTTTTTTTTTTTTTTTTTTTCCTTTTTTCGAACCCTGGATTTTCTCTAATCCTCTCCACCAAGCCCATCACCCCCCCCTTCTTTCTCTCTCTCTCTCACTCTCTCACTCTCTTTTTCTCTCTCTGTCTGTCTGGCTTCGCCTCTAGGCTCGGGCTTTTTATTGCTGCTTCTGTGCGACCACTCTCTTCCTCATCCATCAGGGTTTTTTAACCTTCTGCTTCTGCCCTCGCTCGTTGTCGATTCCATCTCTATTTATTCTCCCATTATCCCTCCGTATCGATCTGCAACGCTCCCACCTGGCGGGCATTTTCTTCCATCCCCTCCATCCTCTCCTTCCCTCCCGTTGTGGCGGTTGACAGAGACCTGCGATAAAGATCGATCTGCTCCAGCCGTTTTGGGTGTCATGCTTGCTTGCGCCTGTGTCACAGCTGGATTACATTAATGCCGTGCTTTGTCTCTCGTCCACATTCCCACCCTTCGACGCTCCACTAATAACGTCGAATCGCTTCTCGATTTGCGCATCAGGCACATTCTCCTCCCATACCAGCTGCAATCTCATTCAACCCTTCCTCCCCTCATATCCCTTGCCGCTACGACCCATCCAAGCTCCAAACGCTTGTCTGGTTCTCAGAGACCTGCGTCCTATCCTCCGTTATCCCTCTCCTCCCCACAGCGGCATATGAGGGCGTTTTTTGAGATTCGAGCTTCCTGAACATGCACGGAGCGTGGTAACGTTGCGATTCTCATTTGACGATATCGGCCCACGGTTACTTGCTGAGCTTTACGTTGGCAAACGAAAGGGAGATATTGTCGTCACCTTGCGTTGATTTTTTTCCCCTTCTCACGGGTTTCCTCTATTTAGCATTTTTCGCTTCCTGTCGCCTGCCACTCTTCCTCCCTTTCATCCCCCTTTGATCCCCCGTTTAATCCATACACTATCGCACTCCGTTGTGATCAAAACATAACCTGCTCTTCGGATCATTTTTCATTTATTTTCTCTCCCCCTCCATATCCCTTCTCTCCGCATTCGCTTGAGGCCTCTCCCTTCTTTGGTGAGTTTACCTTGTCCCTTGCCCGAAAAAAAAAAGAAAAAGAAAAGAAAACATCCACGCGTGTTGATAAGCAAAGCCCGTGATCCCTGTTTGACTGACACTCGTGCAGTTTGCCATCATTGATAGGGATACCGTGTCTTTGCTATCTATATACCCACACCTTCGTCCCGTTTCGCGTTTCGAGAAGACGGAGAGAAGTTTAGGGGTACGACATTTGTGATCTTTACGCAGATATATAATCGATAATATCTCAGGTAGTTTGTGTATGGTGGAATGGCCGTCATGGCAGTAAATTCTAGCACAGTACACAATGTTGGTCTTTTTTTACGTCCGCGATCTCCTGAGTCATTCACTAACATGCCTTGAATAGGCACGATCGAACAGAGGGTCCAATATGGGCATGAATGGTGAAAGAGCCCGCGGAACCCACGCAAGCATGGGCCAGGGCTTCGGTAACAACTCAGGCTGGAAACCCAGCAACATCTGGGGTAATAGCTTTGAAGGTATGTTATACATATCGCGTTTTCTGATTAACTGCGGAAAATTCTGATGCGCTGCGTGCTCTACAGATCCACATAACACGGAGAGTGATTTTGATGCACAGACTGGCTCCGGCTCTCTCCTGGCTGCCGCCGACACTGATGCATGGAATACTACTCGGTCAACTCTGCCTTGGAGTACTATCAGCACATCATCTGCTGGGTTGCCAAGGGCGCGAAATTCCGCGATGGCTACATCGCCTGCCCAAAGTCGCGCTCCAGACAGAAACGGTCCAGCCTTTTCCGATAGCACCGATCCATCCTATTTCAGTATGCCCAGAGGATCTGGAATGACCTCTTCGAGCGGGCCTTCATCCAAGTATTTGAATACGGGATCTGATGGGATTTCTCCTTCCGGCGACGGAATTTCTCTGTCAAACCTGGCTAGTTTTCGTAACGGAGAAAGGAGACATGTTAATACGTCCACGTTCAGTAGCCCTGTGGGAACAGCATTTCCAAGCAAACCCACATTCCCTGGTACTCTCGATAATGCCAGATCCGATGAGATACAGGCATCAATGGGTATCTCTCTTGCTCAAGGGCTTCCTGAAACTATGCCTCAACAGCTTAGCCGCAGCAGCTATGCCCATTCCTCCCATAACTCAGCTTCATTTGCTCCACAAAGACCTGGGCATGTTTCATTTCCCTCATTTCGTTCGGACAGTCGATACGGAAGTAACTCGGTTGACTTGAGTGGAAATTTCGATAAACTGCAATTAAATGAAGCAGGTTTTACTGGCCATCCCAGTGTCAGCCGCCCTGCATATGTATCTCAGACATCTCTGGACGGCTCGATGCATCAGTTGAAATACCAAGGCTCTGCCGATGAAGCGAAGTACCAGAATGCAGGAGGTTATCCAAACGACATTGTTTCTGGAGAACTCCCCATGGCATACCAGGCGAGCAGGTCGCGTTTTGGCGAGGCTGGTCCTATTTCACCAGCAGAGTATTCTCGTCTGGATAGCCCTATCTATTCTCCTCTTGGCAGTGGTACGATGGCCGGTCCGCACTATCGGAACGCCTCTGGAACTCATTTCTCGGACACTCAGGCGGCAATGCTGGAACACAAGTTCAGAGCCATGCATCCTGAGGCCGACCTAGCCCATCAACCGGCCAATCCGCTTCAAAGACCGATGTTTCCAGGTCCTTATGACCTTGCGAGCTATCAGGCTGCGCGCTTGTCAGCCTTGTCAGGATTTTATCCTGTCGCGCATCTCTCTGCTGCAGCTCTTGTTTCCAGAGGTCAACGTGAGCAGGAATCATCTCAAACGGTTCGAAGTCCTGTCCTGGAAGAATTTAGAGTCAATAGCAAAGGAGCCAAGAGATATGATCTCAAGGTACGTTTACTCTCCCAACATTATAGCGATTTTTATCGTGAGATAGCTTCCGCTAACATGAACGTGGTAGGATATATACGGCCATATAGTTGAGTTCAGTGGTGACCAGCATGGCTCTCGATTTATCCAACAGAAGTTGGAAACCGCCAACAGCGACGAGAAAGAGCAAGTTTTCCGGGAAATCCAATCCAACAGCTTGCAACTCATGACCGATGTGTTCGGCAATTACGTTGTGCAAAAACTCTTTGAGCACGGCAACCAGGCGCAGAAGAAGATTCTTGCCAATCAAATGAAGGGCCATATTTTGTCCCTGTCGACGCAGATGTATGGATGCCGCGTAGTTCAGAAGGTATGTGCAGCATTTTCTCGTTTCAAAATCTGATAGTATCTAACCATCCATAGGCCCTTGAACATATTCTCACCGACCAACAAGCTTCGATGGTCAAGGAATTGGAGAACCATGTTGTTCGCTGTGTTAAGGATCAGAATGGAAACCATGTCATCCAGAAGGCCATCGAACGAGTTCCTTCCCAGTATGTGCAATTCATCATTAATGCCTTCAAGGGACAGGTGGAGAAACTCGCCACTCATCCTTACGGATGCCGTGTCATTCAGCGGATGCTAGAGCACTGCGAGCAGCCCGATCGTGAATCCATACTAGGTGAACTTCATGCCTGCACTGGCCGGCTGATTTCCGACCAATTCGGCAACTACGTGATTCAACACGTTATCGAGCATGGCGAGGAAAAGGACCGGTCCGCGATGGTATCCGTTGTGATCTCGCAGCTCATTACCCACTCCAAGCACAAGTTTGCTAGCAATGTCGTTGAAAAAAGCATTGAGTATGGGTCCGAGACTCAGCGCCATCACATCATTAGCACGCTAGCCTCTGCACCAGAGGGTGGCGAATGTTACCTCGTTGGGTTGATGCGGGATCAATATGGGAACTATGTTATTCGTAAGTCTTACTTTCACTGTGCCTGTATTAACCCCCTACTAACAACCAATGCAGAGAAGATCCTCTGTACATTGAAGGGGGCGGAAAGAGAGGCCTTTGTGGATGTTCTTACTCCGCTGTTAGGACAATTGAAGAGAATCAGCTATGGCAAGCAAATCTCTGCCATTGAAAAGCTGATCCCAGACTCGACTTCACCTTCGACTGGCCACATTCCGAGCCAGATGGATTCGTCTACCACGCCTCCCAATTCCCACAAATCCTCTCCACAACTGTCCAAGCGTTCAGTCAATGGAACTGACAATGGCCATGTGTCTGTTGGAGCAGCCCCTCCAACTCCGCCGCCCACTGATAGCCAGAGTGATGCAGATGCCTCCTCCGACTCTAAAACCATGACCCCTCGTGCGGAGTCCGACTCTAGCAGCTTATGATCCTGCGGATCGGCAGAAGTCAGTGACACCGCCTAAGAAACGACTTTCATCTTCTCTCTTGCTTCTTTAACATATTTTCTTTCACTTTCAATGCCTTCAGGTTGTTTTAACTTATTCTTAATTCGGGCGTATACATACATGGATCTGCCCTTTTGTCCTTTTCTAACTTCCAACCTTTTTAACGGCTTAACGGCGCAAAAATATGGATAAATGGGTCATGGCGGGAGTCAGTTTGTCATTTCTATTTTCTTTTCCCCCTCCCGTTATACTTGTTGAACCTTTTTTATTACGCTTTCTTTCTTCTTTTTAATTGTGGATGCTTTTTTTTTTCTTCACTTCTGTGACTTGCTTGATGTTATGACAATGAGGATACGTCCCCATATCCATCAATGGTTCTGCTTTTCTTTTCCTTGTCCAAATATGGAGGGTCGGCGTCTTGCTTGGTTGATGAACAACGGATATGGGGGTATTACGCTTGACTTGGTTGGCCTGACCGGCTTGCAAAATGGGACCTTTGAACATATGGAGCGACCTGAAAATAGGAAGATTACACGGAATGCCTGGAGCATGTAGAGACTTCTCTCCTCGGTATACAGTCAGCTGGATTGAAAAAGCGTTCGCAACCTTGCTCAAATGGACTAGGATGGGGTTTCTTTTCTAATGTGTGTTTAACTAGTTTACGTAGCTTAGATTGTGACAAGGGCGAAAATATTAGGGACCATTATTAATGAGAAATGAGCCATTTCGCTATGAATTTTCAGCTGTTTCGTCCCGAGTTTGCAAGGTATACAAGTTTATGGACAGTCACATAACTACACGTGATAGCCCTGAATAGAGGTAGAGTAGCAAGGTCGTCTTAGATAGTCATCCAATCAATAACTCACTTCAACACCGCCGATAGTATCACGTGATGCACCGCAGCCTCCAACCCTCACTCCCGTTTTCATCGCCACGAGCACCGCAATAACAACAAAACTTCCTCCGGCGGGGTGCTTTACGGCTTTAATCGCTCTATCTCGAACACTGGGATATCCAGAACCACTTTCTACAACGGACGAAACCCCTCCCAAACCGCAACAGATCTCAAGCATATCCTGCTTCGCATCCACCTCACTCAAGCTTAACTCTTTCTTCCCCCCCCCGGGGCATAACCAACCCTTCACACCTCAAAAGAAAGAAAGGCGCACACACAGTATCAGGAATACGAAAAGAAAAAAACAAAAATGTCCTCTAACGTCGGCCTCTCCACTCCGCGCGGAAGTGGCACATCCGGGTACGTCCAACGCAACTGGGCGTTCATGAAACCGCGAAACACAGGGTACGGCGCCCCCTACCCGCCTGTATCCTCGGGGTTGTCTGCCTCCTCCTCTGGCGCGGGAGACCGCGCATTCAAGCAGCGGGTACCGGATCAGCAGATTCTAGAACACGATCGGCGGCGCGCGATCGAGGTGAAGGTGATGGAGGAGCGGGAGAGGATGGAGGAGGAGAACGAGAGGATTGAAGAGGCGCGGGGGTCCGGGGGCCCGGACGGAAAGGAGACGCCGAACGCGCTGTCTGAGGAGGAGATTGAAGAGAGGTGTGAGGCGTTGAGGGCGAAGTTGCTTAAGGAGCTTGATGAGGAGGAGGAGGAGAGGGAGGAGAGGGAGGAGCATCTGCGCAAGGAGCAGGGAGGTGGTGCGGGTGAAGAGAGGAAGGGGAGAGATTGGGATAGACGCGCGGAGAGAAGGAGGTTTCCGGGTGGCGGTCGGGATTTACCGCCGAAGGAGAGAAGACAGTTTAAATCGTACCAGGTGCACGAGCTTGCGGAGGCGAAGATCGAGGAGAGTGAGCGGTTGCGGAGGGCGTTGGGGATCCGCGAGGATAAAGAGACTGGGGAGATTTCTAGTACGAGGGGGCAGTATGGTGGGAGGAGACGCGAGAGGGAGGCAGAGAGGGAAAGGGAGAAAGGGGATCGATAGTTCTACCCTGCCTACTTTGTTGTTTCTCTTTCTTCTTGCTTTTCTTCTGCTCGTTTTGGCGTTGGGGAGAGTTAAAAACTCTGAATGGGAATGGACCATCATCTTTCTACTTTTTATCTACATAGGCAAGAAATGTTGAAATCATATGAACATGTATGTACTGTATGTACTGTACGTACATTCGTGGTACTACCATTTGGACATTGGTTGTATGTACAAAATCTAAGAAGTAAACTTTTCAATCACCCAGCCCTCTTTGGGGTCCTTTTTCTGTATAACCTTCTTGGCTGGTAATGGCCATCCTGTACTGCCCACCTCGCCTACTAACGACGGGATGACCCAGCACGAACGGCGCGGAGGCACCCCATCAATCTGTTCTAGCTTTCCGATAGGCTTTCCGTATTCGATGAGGGGCGTTCCCTGGGCCAATGCAGATAGCTGGAGTCCACTGGGAGTCACGAGTGGATACATTCTAATCTTGGGAAGTTCGCCCGATACCACAGAAGGAGCGGATTGCTGGAGATGAGAATAAATGATGTACTGGGGCATTTCCTTGGGCGAGAGTCGGGCAATAAGCGACGAAGGATGAACAAAGACGGCCTTTTCGTTAAGTTCCTGGGATGGAGAACCATCTCGAGATCTGAAGAGCGTCAGGTAGGGCACGTCGATTGCCCGCTTGGGTGTTCGATGCATCTCTGGAGGAACGGGGGCAAGGTCTGCACGGATGGCAACGTTGTCGATGAAACCGGCCGTTACAATTTGCTTAAGGGCTTTGACCTGTTTGTCTGTTGGCTCTGGAAGACGGGCTTGATACGCTTCAACGAGACCAGGGTTGTTGGTGCGAACAATATCTGTCAATTGGCGACGAAGTTGGGTAGCCTCTTTGAGCGCCTTGGCTCTCAGGAACATCTGTTCACAGAAAACGTCGCCATCTGTAGCATATCCATACGCGCAGATCGATGATAGATACTTGAGCGCATCCGAAGTGTCATCGTGCTTACTCAACAGACGATGAACTCGTGCATAGTCCTTATGGCGTTGTTCCCGGGCAGTGTCTTCGAGACGGTCCGCGTTCGTATACACTCCATCGGCTCCAGAGGATTCCTTTCCCGGAACGGGGTCGATTTGGTTCTCTGGGATAAACACATCACCCACCGCCAAAGCCGCGACTAATGCAATAACGTACGGCATGCAACCATGTTGGTTGCCAACATGCAGCATCTTGCCAAATCTAGGCGACAGAGGGTAAGTGGATAAGCTTTTGCCGATGGGAGTAATCCTCCCATCTGCCGAAAGAGCCCCCAGGTTTTTCAGGAGTTTTTCGGCTTTTGCAAGGCCCTGACGACTTGGTGGCGTAGGGAATGGGAAATTGATGACATTGTGAAGACCCATGCTCTTCATCTGAAGAACAACGCCTTCGATGGGTGTCCGTAGAATTTCAGGGTCGGTATATTCTGGAAATTCACCTTCATATATAGCAGACGAGTAAAGTCTATAGCAGTGGCCGGGGCCTGTTCTACCAGCACGTCCCGTTCTTTGGTTGGCGCTGGCCTTGCTGATCCAATCGATTTGGAACTTCTGAACACCCGTATCCAAGTCATACCGTTTTTCCTTTGCACGACCACAATCAAAGACATACTTGATGCCTGGAATTGTAAGACTGGTTTCGGCCACATTGGTGGCTAGGACTATCAACCGAGAGCCTTCTGGGGGTGGCTCGAACACTCTAAGCTGTTCCTTGGTAGGGAGCTGTGAGTACAAAGGCAGCACATGGACTTTGGTAGATGAGTCCATCGCTTCCTCCCCCAGGTTGAACTCATCATCTTCCTCGGGGTCATCTAGACCCGTAATCTCCAGGTCGCTATCTTCGTCCTCCTCATTGCCAAAATTCGAGATATCGGCGCCACCGAATTCCATATCTTCCTCCTCAAGAGGTGCATCGTTTGCAGAGATCTGGACTTTCACTTGGGTTGCTTCGCCCCTTTGTGTTGGTTTAAAGGCCTGCTTTAAACGCTTGGAAAGATTCCTAATCTCGTTCTGACCGGTCAAAAAGATAAGCATGCCTCCAGGAGGCAGCTTACGATGGCCTCTAGAGACTTTCCTAAACATCTCCTCTACATAGTCACGATGCGTGCGCCTGGAGAAATGTATAGTAACAGGGTATTGCCGGCCTTGTGCTTGGACAAGAGGTGGTGGCCCTTGGCGGAAAAGGCTCGGGTTTTGTGTAAAGTCAGAGATGCGCAGGGTTGCAGACATAATCACGAGTTTCAAAGGTTTGATAGATGAATCATCTTCGCTCATAGATTTTCGCAGATCAACTATACGGCTAACCATTCCAATGAGAATATCCGTATTGACGCTGCGCTCGTGAGCTTCATCAATCACAATGATGGAATACTTGCTCAGAGAAAAATCTTCGGCAATTTCTCGAATAAGGATGCCGTCCGTCATGAATTTGATCGCCGTCTTGCTCGAAGCAGTACTCTCAAATCGAATTTGGTAAGAGACTTGCTCTGAGAACTGACCAAGTTCATCGCCGACACGTTTCGCCATACTGACTGCAGCAACTCGGCGGGGTTGAGTAACCCCAATGATGCCGGGATTGGGGCTCTCAGGGTTACCGTAGCCAGACTCAAACAGGAACTGGGGGAGTTGGGTTGTTTTTCCACTGCCAGTGGCTCCCCAAACTACGATCGAAGAATTGTTATGGATAGCTTCCATGATTTTCTGTTCTTCTCCAACAACAGGTAGTTTTAAGCGTGCATTTTGCACATCTTCAGAACGATCAACCTGGACACTGAAAGCCTTGCGATAAGGATTCCCTTTAGTCACCTCGAGCTCTTGGGGCAACGGTTCCTGCTCCGCAGCATGATCCCGAACTGGCAGGCTAGATTTAGGAATGTTTGGTTGTGGTTCGGAGGTGATAGGGCCAGTTGTAGGCCTGAAGCCTACAGCTTCATTGATTTGCTGCCTCGCCCATGTTTTAAAGGCCGACTGACGGGGTTTGATGCGACCTGACGGTGTAGAATCCTCCTTGGCCTCATCGTCTTCATCGTCTTCATCTTCGTCTGTATCTTCGTCTTCATCACTATCGCCTTCGTCGCTATCTTCATCTGAAGAGTTCACCGAAGAGTTCTCAGAATCCTGGCTTTCTCCTTCCTCCTCTCTCTCTGAATCGTTATCAGATCCAGACTCTTCCTTTGACTCATCCTCGGATCCAAATCCTTCCCACGGTATGTCTTCTAGCGTCACTTTCGCAGGCTGGGCTTTCGATGTCCGCTTCCGTTTTTTAAGGATTGGAAATCCATCCGCACCTAGCTCGAGTGGGCGCTTCAAACCGCTTCCCGTTGCCGGAATCGCCACTGGCTGGCTTTGAGATTTTTTCCTTTCGTCAGCGGTAGAAATGGTTCTTTTCCGCGGCAAGGAATCGTCCGACTCATCGCTAGACCATTCTGGTTCAGGCCGCGATTGATCGACCTCCTCTCTAGCCGAAGGCCTGGAAGGTTGATCGTCGGAGTAATCCCGCCTGCCATTTCCTATTTCTTTGGAGCTTTGAAGACCGGTGACTTCAACTTTGGACTGAGCAAGCTTCTTAAGTAGCGCAAGATTTTCTTCTTTCTTCAATTTATTTTCCTGGGAGGCAGGTTAGAACCAAGAATGGGGGAATTTTGCTTGAAGGGACTGCGCATACAATATATTTATCAAGGCGCTTCTGTTTCTTTGCGGAGATTTTGCTGTGCTGTGATCTCAATTCGTCTCTGAGCTTTTGCTTCCTTGCTTCCTTCTCGCTCTTGGAGGCAGGCAGTATTTCAACCACATTGCTGTCGACCAGAGCATCTGCGGCCTCTTTCTGTCGTTGCTTTTGCTTTCGCTGACGGGGGACAAACTTCGGCATGATTTAAATGATGCCGGAATGCCCGTTATCTCTTCCTTGAGATAAAAGAAGACCGAAAAAGGCTATATGCAAAGTATAATGTTGGTGATGTCGAAGAATCTCCAAGAAAAAAAATCAGGCGGCGGTAGGATTCTGCCATAAAGCGGTGAGATCTATTCTCACCGCCCAGGCCTCCCCCTCTTGGAGCTTCATTTACCACCTGGAACAATATTCACAACAAAACCATGGTATATTTACACCTCTTGTCTAGAATACCCTTCTTTACGAATCTGCAGTCATGGCAGACATTTTCGACTCAAATCATCTCCAGGAGGCATTAAACCTTCCATTCCCCGCTGCCACCAATCAAGTTGCAGGGGTGGTTAATGGGATTCACACCGATGTTATGTGCATCAAATTTAGTGATAGAATCATGATCACCATATCGCAGAAAGGCCGGCTTGGACATTGGGTTGGTTTTCATAAGTGTTATTTTTTCTCTCAAGACTTGCTCCTAATGGATCCTCACAGCTACATGTTCCGCTAGAGAATAGAAATCCAGGGACAGAGGGGCTTCATACTGTTCCCGATTCTGGAGACGACAGCCTTCTCCCATTGAGCAACCTAACTGCTACTTCAGTCCTTGGAGGACGGGTCCCTAGCCAAGATATTGTTGGTCAGCTATACGCTCGTCAAATAGCCAGTGCCATCGTGACGAAAACGCCACATGAGAGTCGCCTGCTTGTTGTAGGATTGGGGTTGGAAACAGCTGAAGCTGACCGGGACGTTTTCTTTAACATTATTGATCTTGTACTTCAATGCATCTAAGGATTGCTTGTTGAAGAACAGCAGAAACAATAATATGACAACTTACAGATCAGAGCTGAACCCCCCCTGGCCGGATTCTTTGCTTCTCGCGGGCAGCTTTCAGGTATGGAAGCTTTAGGGCCTGGATTAGCTTGTGAATGTGCTTGCGTCCCTGCTCATTAAACCCCAGGAAATTGAATCCACCGAGGAATTCAAATGTTCCACCAAACAGAGCCTTGATCAGATTCTTTCCTCGAAGCCAGTCCTTTTCCAATTCCGGGTGGCCATAATTGTCAGATTGTACGCGCGCAGAGGCTTATCCATTCACAAAGTTGCGATGACCTCTGAGAGTAACCAGCGACGCCCCAATGCTGTGCTGGGGTCGGAAGACCCAAGCAATAGCGAAATAGATCCAAACGACCGCTGCCATACACTCTTGTTGCTGAAACACGGACATTCAACTCAAATCTCGTACCTTTTTTCTTCGAGCATGGCAAATTCTTAGGAATGCGCCTATGAATGTCTGCCGAGAGGGAGATGTAATTGCGGATAAAAACCTTGCGATAGCTCAAGGAATAGTACAAAGCAATCCAGGCTCCGTGGTAGATCGCATGTGAAACTCTTAAGGATACCTATGCCTGCTGCGCGGGTACATTTGTTTCCGATCTCCAGAATGGCACCATCTGTTTGAGCAGTTCTTCGTATATCTTGAATTGGATTTTGAGAGGGACACGATATAGCAGGCAGCGAATGTGACAAAGTCCAGTACGACTGACCAGTGTTTTTGGGTCGAGACAGTCAAAATCCCTGACAACCAGTGTCCTCCAAGAAATTCTCTTCCTCAAGATTAGGGTTCATTATCTGTCTAAGGAACAGAATCTAGCAAAGCTCAGAGGCGGAACAGCAAAGTAATCAAGAAGGTTGAGGATCTAGTGAACAAGACGTAATTTTTGCTAGTGTGATGAGACGCAGTATTTGAAGACAAGATAATACATAATTGTCTGCCCATTAGCTACAATTTTTGAATGTGGCAGTAGAATGAATACGTGCAACCCGGGACCCAACCATCTTTAGGTCGCCCCTCAAGGAAAGAGTTATCTCTGGATACCGCTGACGTGCTTCTTTATTCGCATTAGAATCAAATTTGAAGCCATCCCTTAGAGCGCGTTGCGAGTCACGTGTCAGCGATGAGATCCAGGGAGTATTTCATCTCCTCGACATGCTTGAGTCCTTAAATTCATCAAAATAATTTGTGATTTCTTTAGCTTCCATCAATATCACTTTAGTTTTGTGATTGGGAATCGCCGTTGAGGCCCCTTAGGCCCATCAACCGTCCCTATCCAAATATATGCAGTGGTGTTTTTCGCGTTCGTGGCTCTGGGAGTAAACATCAAAGCCTCCAAGATCAACGTCGTTCAAGTTCTATTTTCCGACCAACTACCGGACAATCATAGCTTCGATTTTCTTTCTTCCTCACTTATGCCATCCTTTTTACGCCTCAAAGAACCACCATTTTGAGACTATACTCAACCAGATGGACTCTGACAGCTCAGAGGATTCTGACCTGAGAGCAGCAATCGCTGCTTCTTTAAATGATGCCCAGGGTTCCGGCCATGATCAGCCTCAGAATACGAGTACAGATTTTGTTGATCTGACTGGAGATACTGACGACGATGATGTGATCCCCGTCTTCCCAAAATCTCACTCAGTTATTGGCTCCGATACAAGTCATGAGGCAAGTGGCAACGACGACGGCGAAGATGAGGAAGACGAAGACTTGAAAAGAGCCATCGCACTGTCTCTGATAAACTCTGACGGCCAAGGGCCCTCGATTGGGCTAGATGTGAAACCTTCTCCTCCATCGGACAGAGTTCAAAAGCCACCTCAGTCAGGGGTTTCTGGCCTGGATCGGAAAATGATGGAGCAAGAACGACTTGCACGACTTGCGAAAAGAAAAGCTGAGGATTCTACGGCGGTCGATGAACGCGAAACGAAGCAACCACGAACTGGAACTGAGTCAAACCCAAGGAAAAGTACTGGGGATGTCTCTAGCTCTACACTAGAGTCACATAATTCAACAAAACAGAGCACCCAAATTAGACGAGAACCATTACCCACACCATCAATTCAGTTTCCCGAAGGTGTGGTTAAGAAAACATTTGCATTTGGCTGTCGCAGGTTAGGCGATGATATTAAAATCGAGGAAGTCTTTCAAAAATCAGATCTCGAGCTTGCGGTCTTGAGCTCTTTCATGTGGGACATGGAATGGCTTTTCTCGAAATTCAACACCAGAAGTACACGTTTTATTATGGTTATGCAGGCCAAGGATGATGCTACGGTAAGTCAATATGTTAATTTGCTCCTGTTCTGTCTGCAATGCCTTTCTCTGTTTACTTTCACTATTATGTTCATGATATTGAAATATTCAGCCACGCTTGTCATGTTGCTTTCGTAGAGTGCTAACTATATGGAAAGAAAAGACAGTACGAATCAGAGACAGCTGATATGAAAAACCTTCGCCTGTGTTTCCCCCCTATGGACGGTCAAGTTAATTGCATGCATTCGAAGCTCATGTTACTTTTCCACCCTGGATATCTTCGGGTTGCAGTGCCTACCGCAAACCTTGTTCCTTACGACTGGGGTGAGGTAGGAGGTATTATGGAAAACGTACACACCCCTATTCTTTCTTATAATAGGTTACTAACCCAGGAAATCAGAGCGTATTTCTCATCGATCTTCCCAAGAAAGACGATAAACCCCCGGGCAGCGAGCCGAGCACACACTTTTACAACGAGCTGGTCCACTTCCTGAAATCCAGTACTTTGCACGAAAATATCATCTCGAAGCTCGGAAGCTTCGACTTTAGCAAGACAGAACGCCTTGCATTTGTACACTCCATGTAGGTATCTTCTGCAGCAGTCGAAGTTAAAGCAAAATCTAACTTTGTATAGTGGAGGCTCTCATTCAGGAACCGCATGGAAACGAACGGGTTTTTGCGGCTTGGGTCGTTCAATAGAACTGTTAGGTTTAAGAACTTCCAACCCGGTAAACCTAGATTTCGTGGTATATACATAAAATCCATACCTCCCCACTACAGAGCACGTTCTAATCCCAAACAGACATCATCATTAGGCTCGTTAAATGCGGAATTTATGAAATCCATCTACCTCGCTGCTCAAGGTAAGCCTCCTATTTCCACGCGGATATAAACCCAGTCAGCGATCTAAAAACCCGTAGGAGACGACGGAGCAACCGAGCTCGTTCTCCGAACAGCAAAATCGTTCCCTGCGCGAAGCCTCTCAGACCCCAAGCGACTCATCCAGGGCAACACGGCTGATGAATGGACGGACAGGTTCCGGGTGTATTTCCCTTCGCAGGAGACCGTTTCACGGTCCAAAGGCGGTCCACAGTGCGCAGGAACAGTTTGTTTCCAATCAAGATGGTACGAAGGTCCGAAATTTCCTGGGCATGTTCTACGGGACTGTGAGAGTCGGCGTCAGGGATTGTTGATGCACAATAAGGCACGTTACCTTGGTGATCCCTTACCTGAATCCATAAAGTAAAAAGAGAAAAAAAGATGCAAAAAAAATCTAATCTTAAGAATTGACTTGGCGTGATTAGATCCTATACGTACGACCTGACGAGCCTGTTCCTATGTCAGACACCTCCTCCCTCTGCTGTCGAGGATGGGCTTATATAGGAAGTGCGAATCTCTCCGAAAGCGCTTGGTAAGTGCACACAGCCTCCTCCGCCTCTCCTCCACTGTCTTCCTATATTTCCGAAAAGATAGAACTTAATACGTCCGCGCTTTATTAGGGGCCACCTCGTCCAAGACAGATCTACCAAACAGCCCAAACTCAACTGTCGGAACTGGGAATGTGGCGTGGTGATTCCAGTGATCGAACACAACAACACCGCTCAGCCCACATCGGACGCAGAGCAGGACGCGTCCTCGTGCACCAAAAAAGGGAAAGAAAGGGCAACTGCTGGAGATGAGTCTGCAGGGCTGCTGGACATGTTCCAGGGCATTGTACCCATCCCAATGCGTCTCCCGGGCCAGCGGTACGGTCCGTCTCGCAAGCCGTGGTACTTTATGGAGATGTAAATTATAATTAAATTCTTTCAGAATTACCCTTTCCTTACCTCTTTTTACATTCTACATCTTTCAGTCACTCGGAATAGATTACCTATTTGGTGCATAGAATATTCTCTATTATTACCGTAGTTACATATATATATATATGCATATATCGATATAACAAATTGCCTCGACCAAACATGCACCAGTATGAATTCCTATATATATGTATGTATAATCTAACCCAAACACAACGCTGCCAAAATCCACCCTGGAATTGCACCTGCAGATTGCAAATTAGCTAGTTAGTGATTCTATTCTATCTATTAGTAGTCACGTAACATCCCTTTCTTCTGCTGTCCTGCTTTAGTCTATAAACACACACACACACACACACACACACATCACATATTTATATAGATCGTCCCTCTCTCTCTCTCACTACAGAGCGAAACGAAGCATTAATTCTTTTGCCCCACTTCCTCGCCAGGCGAAGCAGTCGAAGAAGAAAAGAGTTTCCTAACCGCCCCCCTCACACCCGCCACAACCCTCCCGAGACCAGCAGACAGATAGCCCATTCCAAATGTCCACCCCTGCACCCGCACCGTGTAGATGAAGAAATACACCAGCCCCCAGTTCACGACCACAAAGGCCAAGAAAATCCCGAACGAGTGCCACTTGTCGCCGGCGTGCACGTTCAGGGTTCGCATGTATTCCGTGCCGTCGGCGTATGGGCAGTACTCGCAGTTTGTGGTGGCGTGTGCGTTCGCGAGGTACCCGGCGCGGGCGACGTGGTCGACGAAGGGTGTGGCGTATTGGCTGCAGGTGGTGTTGGGGGGCGGGTTGAAGTGGGTGGATTCGTTGGTGGCGCAGGAGACCTGGACGGCGGGGAAGACGGCGGAGATGACGCCGCGGATCCACCAGGTCATGGGGTTGACGTAGTACATCCAGTATTTCCAAAAGACGGGGTATGCGTTGTAGGGCCGGACGACGCCATTGAAGAGGCCGGTCATGACGAAGAAGAAGGGGAGGATCTATTTTTTTATATAAATTAGTAAAAAAAAAAAAAAAAAAAAAGGAAAGGGAAGTGGAATGGGGGAGAAGGAGGAGGGGGTTACGTTGGATATGACGGTGAATGAGGGGGCAAAGGCGCATATCCATTGTCCCCAGCTGGACTGGAACAGGAAAAACAGCAGCGTCATTAGGAAGACGTAACCGGCGCTGCTGGAGTCCGTGGGGAACCCCACGGGAAAGTACCACACAAGGAAGTAGATCACGCATGAGACGATGGCCATTGGGATTTCACAGACGATGTTGGCGGTGCAGAATGCAACCCAGCCGTAGATGCGGGAGGGGTATTCGCGGGCTTCCCAGAGAGAGCGGTTCATGTAGAATTTGGGCACGATGCCGTTCAGGAAGATGGGCGGGAGCAGGATGATCAGGTAAAGAGAGAACATGCGGTTCTGCATGCTGGCGAGCGAGTCGTCGAGCATCCAGAAGGTAAATCCATTGAAGACACCAATGATGACACTGGTGAACAGCTTGCTGTAGTAGTACGATGGGTCACGCCAGTACTGGGTGAAGATACGCTTGGTGAGAAGCGAGGTTTGGGTCCAAGTCGAGGCTGCGAATTCATACTCTGCGGCCTTGTCGTCGTTTAGGGGGATATTGCGGCGCTCCTCGTGGATTCGCTCGATTTCCTGTTGGACCTTCTGGAATTCTTCGGAGTTGCGCCACTCCGCGTTCCAGTCAATGATCTTGCCGTCACGTTTCGTAGGCTTAGCAGCTGTCTCAAGGATGAACTCGGCCACGTTCTTTGCGGGGGGGCAAACAGCGCCACGCTCAGCAAAATACTTGATCACTTCGCCGCCATCTTCGCCAACGGGTCCGAAGTAGAAAGTATTACCTCCAGGGTTCAGGGCCAGGATCATGTCAAACTGTTGGATCAGCATAGACGATGGCTGGTGAATGGTGCAGACAATGGCCTGTCCGGCGTGCGAGAGCTTCCTTAGGAATCTCACAATCGAGAAAGCAGCTTGGCTATCCAACCCACTGGTTGGCTCGTCAAGGAAAAGTAGAAGGCTTGGTTTGGCAGCCAACTCCACACCGATGGTCACCCGCTTCTTCTGTTCCACGTTGAGGGATCCGATGATGGCATCCTGAATCTCCTCGAGTTCCAAAAGCTCAATGATCTGGTTGACGTACTCAAGCTTCTCCTGACGAGGAGTATTGCGATCCTGGCGGAGCAAAGCAGAAAACTCAAGAGCCTCGCGGATTGTGGCAGTGTTATCATGCAGATCCATCTGTTCACAAAACCCAGTGCCTCGCTGGAAATCAGTTCCCAGAGGACGACCATCGACTAGCATATCTCCGCCCACAACACCCGTCCTCTGTCGCTGGGCCAAGGTATTGAGCAACGTGGTCTTGCCTGCGCCGGAGGCACCCATCAAAGCAATCATTATGCCAGGTTTGGCGTATCCACTGACGCCATTAAGCAGCTTTCTTGTGCCGTTTCCGTAAGGAACAGTGTATTCAACCTGGTGCCAGGTGAAAATGCGGTCACTATTGGAGATACGATTGAAAGTCTCATTGTTTTCAAGAACAGGGTTTCCCGGCAATGCAGCCTTTTCGCCGGCGGCATCCTGAGCATTTTCCTCGTCATCAACCTTGTCGATGCTTGCTTTAAGTTGCTTGGCTCTCTTAGACGGCTTGAATACCAAGGCGCCACCACCGCCTCCCACAAAGGAGACGAGCTCGGTGGCAACAATGGTAACCAAGAGATATAGCACCGTGAAGGCAATTAAGACTCCAAAATTCCGCCAGAGGTGGTGTCGGGTGAACTGGAATGCCTGTTCCAGATATTGGCTTCCCGAAACGCTTGTAGATCCCAGCCGAGACCCAGCAAGAGCACAGCCTTGGTACTGCGGATCAACGCCAGAACCCCGGGGCACCAGCATGGAAGGAGAACATTCCATGACTCGATCGGAAAATTCATTGCTTAAGACTGCTTCGTAGCTGTAGGGCAGCGGGTTCACAAAGAACAGCCAACCGAACCAAATGGAGCCGTCCACAAGAGCTCGCTTCGGAATCACATAACCAATGAACAAGACAAGAACGTTCAGTGCAATGCCACCAAAGCGGACAGCATCGTCGATGGTCGGAGAGAGGGCGGCAAACATGCGATACAGGGTTGTAATACAAAATGCAGTGGTGTAAACGAAGAGGAAATAGATCCAGAACTTGGAAGCAGAGACATCAAGCCCAGAGAGGAAGTAGACGATAAGGGTAAAAGGCAAGGTCATACAGAAGATCGTCGGAAAGTCTACAACCATTCTAGCAATTGAGACAGCAGACGGTCGGTAGAATGCATAATCCTTGTGTCGAGCAATAATTCCGCGTCCAGATACCGCCGGCATCAACTCGGTCAACTGCAGCCAACCCAGGAACAGGACGGAAAATAAGAGCACACCACCTCGAGAAAAAGCGCCACTGGTGTCCAAGGGTTCACCATAGAACAAAGAGGACATGATAAGGGCATTGCCGATGATGATGAAATACTTGGTGTAGAGAGAGGTCTTGTCACCCCACAGGAGCCAGAACTCGCGCTGGACGCAAGCGGCCACCTGTCGAGCAAGGGAAACGGTATAGCTAGATTTCTTTGAAACGGTCTTGCTCTTGGATTGCGCGACAGTCTTTTGAAAACGCTGCGTATCTTCTCGGTTAGTGTCTCTCAGTCGTCGTTCATAACTCTCGACGTCAGCCCCGATGCGCTTGTAGATTTCGCTCTGTTTAAACCCTGCCTCGAGCTCTTCTGGGGTCTTTGGGGTCGACGCTTCCCGACCTGGCTGGAACTGACGAGCATTTGGGTCGCAAACCGAGGTCAAGAAATCGGCGGTGGTCGATTGTCCAGGGCAGTAGAAGCCAAGGTTGATGAAGTATTGCCGAGCCAAGTGAGCAGGGCCTTGGTAAAGCATACGTCCCGAGTCAATGACAAGTACCTTATCCATCAACTCATAGATACTTTCACCCGCTTGGTAAAGGGTGACCAGAGTGGTTCGCTTACTGACATCAGTCATGATACGAAGGGACTTGGCATAGTCCAGCGCAGTGCTGGCATCGAGACCTCGAGTGGAGTTGTCCCAGCAGACGACCGTGGACTTGGTCGCCAATGTCTCTGCGATACTAACACGTTTTCTTTCTGCAAGGGGTCAGTCATGTTGGAGTACCGTCGTCGGTACAGCACAAGATATTCAACACTTACCTCCACCAGAAACACCACGAACAAATTCATTGCCCACAAGGGTTTCCCTTGTGTGAGTGATTCCAAACATCTTGAGCAGGGCATCGATGATGATCGGAATGCTGCCTTTGTCATGCTTTGTCGTCTTGTTCATGAGTGAGAATTTCAGAGTCTGCCCGACAGTCAGGTTCGGGAAATGCTGATCATCTTCTTGATTATAGTTGACTTCGCCACGGAAATTTTTATGCTGTTCCTCTGCGGTAAGCCCTCCATAGCTGACATCGCCCTCTACCGCGGCGAACGAGGCCCGATCATTGGCGATAGCTTTTAGAAACGTCGAACACCCAGCTCCCGGCCGGCCCAATACCAGCATCATCTCTCCTTCACGGACACTGCCTGTGAAATCATGGATTAAATCCCGAACAGGGGGGTTCTGGCCAAACCGCAGCTGGGGAATGAAATGGCAGATAATTTTGTACAGATCGGGCCCAAAGGTACCGACGACAGCGTCCGGGAGTGTTCGAACAAAGGATGCGCCAGTCACAACCCCCTTGACTGTGAGATTCTTAAAAACCACGCCGACTTTCTTCGCAGGGTCTCCCGTAGTCGTCCGTCGCTCCAGGTGGCCGCCCATCAAAAAGTCAGTAAGGTCAAACGTACCAAACTCGTCTTCAGTCTTGGAAAGAGTCTCTTCGTCAAGAGCCATTTCTGGATCTTGGGTTTGGCTCGCCCGGGATCGTAGTCGATGAGCAGCATCCCTGGTGGTCGAACGGGTCAATTCTCTGCGCATCTCCTCGAAGTCCTCCATCGCCCCGCGACGAGAGACGGGCTCTACGCCCTGTTCTCCCCATTGGCCGTCGGTTGAGACATCAGTGTTACTGCTTGAGCTAGAGATCATGGTGTAATCCGAGCCGGTGATCCGAGGAGCTTCCTCGGGGGGTGCCGATACCTGGGCCAGGCCCTCCTTATGAGGCTGGTTGGTGGCCATCTTGACCTTGCCCAGTCAAACTGCCGATTAATGAATTAAGTTTGCAATTGCAATTTCCAGCAATGCCAGTGGACGACGTGATGATGGAACGGGACCAGAAACTGCGACCAGCGGGGGAGAGGACGATAAATGAATCAATCCATCCAAAATCAATGATATATACGATTGGTATGATGGCGATGGATATGTACAAGTGGGAGGCAATGCAGCCAAAATAGAAATTCTCCCCCGCCCAAAGAAAGCCCAAGGATTACCAGGGGACAGATAAAAAAGATAAGAAGGGTATCAAAGGAATGCGATGAAATCAAACGAGGTGTGCATCATATTATAGACGCTTGATGTCTGACCAAAAATGGATTACTCACTCCGGGGAGGGAATTGGAAATTGGACAAGGTCAGCAAGGATTTGTCAGATGGAAAGTAGCCGAAGGGGATAAGGATAGACACATACATGAGAGCAGAATGAGGGTCCTTGGAAGAAAAGAATGCAGACGATGAATGCAATTTCCATAGGCTAGTCTTTGCTAAGGATGTGGTTTCAGAGCAAGACCCACTACTATAGTGGATCTTGCCAGTGATAATTCCATTATTAGAGAATAGGAAATGGAGAAGAAAATTCTCAACAGACTGCATGCCAGCGGAGATAAGCATCCGGCTTACGGAGTACCTGAAGCTTCGTCGTTGTCCGAATATAATCATTAAGACACAGAATGACTCATGATGCCAAGAAAAGGGTCGTTAACTAGTTAGTTAACTAACTATTATCAGTTCGGATGATTAACAATCCGTCTTCGGTAACAACGCAAAAGTCTCCGAGCCGCAATCACGAGTCATGCTCTGACTTTCATTTTCGGGGCGCTGCAGCTTCCATGATTCAGGTTTACCGCCTCCCATTCAAAATCTTAATCCCTTGAGATCTCAGGAATTGTATGAAACAAGTTGGATTTAGGTTTCAATCCTAGTAATAATCCCAGTAATACAATTTACTAATCCTCCTTGAACTCTGTAACTAAAACTAACTAACTATCCGTGCTATGCAGCTATAGCAGGCTACTACTACCATATGCAACTATCTTACCTCTCCTGACCTATCCTATACCTTATAATCCAGCATTCCTGCAGATTACCCTACTTAGTACTTCCCTATATCGGGGATAACCGCGTGGCTTCACTTTATCGAATCGATGTACGTATGTCCAACTGAGTCATTCAACACCCAAGTGCCCGATTCTACAAAGTAGGTACTTTATGATGAAGGATCCTACTAACGAGAGTAATTTTGTTAGAACCCAGGATTTGGCTTACTTTGAGTTCATTCAATTTATTGGATTGGATTAGTTGATCGTCAATCAACAGCTCAATGCTAAATGCAAATATCTATCCACAATGCTACCGACCCAAGATACTATCAGAGGCAAAGCAAAAACAACTGACTAGCTAGCTAGCTACCTACCTACCTACCTACCTACCTATGCTCAATTCTATGATATATAATGCATATACTCAAACATACTGTACAGCTACTTCGTAGTATTTCAATTCAAGACCGCTGTTTCCCGGCTGCCTGCACGATCCGCTTCTGCACTTCTTCTTTGGTCAGGATTTTAACGGCGTCTTTGGAAAAAACGTAGCTCAGGCCAGACCAGATAGTGGTTGCGGCAACGAGGTATCTAATTAGGTTAGTATCATGGGAGAAATATGTGCAGAAGAAAGAAAAGAAAGAAGGAAAAAAAAAAAAAAAAAAAAAAACATACAACAGTCAGGATTCGCATGTGGTCACCCACCATACTACTAACTGACCGGCAAGTGGCTTAAGTACGGCTGAGCGGACGGGAAGCCCTGTTTTCCACTTCCTATGGTCGTATGTGCTAATCTCACCCAAAATGTAGCTGATCTACCGCTGAAACATCCCAACACTTCCCGGAAAATTCAAATTCATAAATGAGAGGAGCAAAAAAAAAAAAAAAAATCTTTAACTTACTGAAATCCAATCATGGCTTCTTTGAGGTGCCATGCCTCGAGTAAAGTCTCCGGAACGACGGGCAGTGCGATCGCGCTTCCCACAAGCAGCAGCTGAAGGGCTGTGTTGGCTTTCGAGATATTGGTTGGCTTTACCTCTGCAGAAGGGAGAGAAAAGTCCCAGTACCGGGCCATGGTTTTTGGTGGCGGGAGGGATATCCATCGATAGTAGATCGCAGATAGGGCAAGTCCGATATCCCGGCCCAGAATGATGACCGCGAGCCAAACTATAAACGACGTCAGTCCGGATGGCCTTGTGGGAGTGCAAGACATAGCTTACCTGGTATCGATCCGTTGACTGCTAGGCATGCAACGCTGATTGTCATTAGCAGTTTATCTGCCATCGGGTCAATGATTGTCCCGACGACTGTCTGCAGGTTAAATCGTCGGGCGATATAGCCGTCGGCAAGGTCGGTGACTCCGGCATAGGCGAAGAGAGCCAAAGCCGCAGCGTGGTGGTCGTAAACCAGGAAGTATCCTACTAGCGGGGCAGCAACCAGACGAGAAAATGTCAGAATATTGGGGATGGTGTAGATGTTTTCGTGAGTGCGGAGTGGAAGCCGCGAGAGAACTGGCGATTTCTTGGACTCGGGGGATCTGGACGCGTTGTCAGTTCTATATTCCAGGTGGAACCTCAGACTTCAAACAAGCACAAAATTGCCTTTGAGGACCTACTCTGGAGCTTCAGGTGCATCAGTCGGCTTTTTAGCGGAGCCTCTCTTCTGCAGTCCGAACTGTGCCACACATTTCTGACGATCCCAGGCAGGTATGCCGGGTCTCTTCCGGGGTTGATTTGCAGCTAATGTGAAGAGGGATGACCCGCGGAACTTCTGAATTCGCAGGCTTTCAAATCCTTTGGATATACAAAGGGTTGACCCGAATGAATGAGACGGGATTCTGCTGAGCACCAGCAACCGGGGACACTGTCTGGACGCACGAACAGCGACCGGCAAAAGCGGACGTGCTGCCATTCTGGCTCGGCCCCAATTCGAGAGATTTGGAATAAAGAATTGCCCCGATAAATAGGTAGAAAACAATCAGGTGGGTGCTTCCAACTGCAGGTTCATTCAACCTGGTGCATGTCCAGCCAGACTCCCGGAAAAAAAGGTCTCGAGTAATGTTAATTGAGTTGATATATGAACAATAGGATATCCGTATAGCAATCCTACTCGGAACTACACTAGTCGCCTGCGAGCCAGGTCCAGGTTGCAAAAAAAAAAAAAAAGCGCTCACGTGGAGGCCCAGGTTTATAGACGGTGAATGGACGAGCTGCGCAGTGGCACCCACGGATTGAAAATGCAAAAGAGTGAGAGGTGATTCTATGGTGGAGAATGAGTGACAGAGTTGAAACTGACAAGTATACTGGGTAAAGTATCAAAGATGAAAAGTGAATCTATACAAAATCCATCCGATTTGAGGCTTGTGGCTCGGGAAGTGCGGTACCGGATAATAGTTAGTCCGTTGTCATGTGATGTCGTTGGATGACCAACAGGCCTGAATTAACTACTCCAGATTTGTCCTTTTGCTTCATTTTCCTGTCATGGGGTGATTGGTATTTAGTATGTGAACTGATTACTGTTGTCTAGTGGTTTAGTATAAGGGTGGTCTGTGGTGTAGCTGACTTGCGGATGTCCCGAAGTATAGTTATAGAGTGCAGCTTCACCTCAGTAGAACTTATAACCACCCAAAACAGTAAAAAGATGAGCAAACAAAGCAAGAATTTATTAATCGATTAATCTTGCCCAGAGCAGCTGCCTACTTGTTTCTATTTACTACCCAGATTACCCAGCTGTTTCGCTTATAGCTGGTGTACCTCATCTGACATGGCCGTGATAACCTCACCTGACGTGGGCATTCACCCAACAACAATCACCGCCGCTGTTTTGTCAGGAGGCAATAAACAAGACACTACTACCTACATCCCTGAAATAGTTCTTCCTCACCCACGTCTACCCATTCAATAACAATCCCCCCATGGACCATCGAAATCCAAACCAGGAGCTTAAGAATGACTATGGTGCTGAACCATTTCACGGCACCAGTCTTGAAACTGTCGGAAACCCCTCCACTACCTCCAGATACATCTCCTAGCAACCCAGACAAGGATACTCTCCCTGACACGACGGAACCAGGCACGGACCCGAACATATCTGATCCTCGCTTCCGCATCAACCGAGCCTGTATCTATGAGCGTCGACTCCCCGGAAATGCCTACATCACAGCACACGTCCAGCGTCTACAGCACGGGTTCTACTCGACCCCTGCCGTCTCAGACCAAGATCACGACCATGTCGACTTTCTCGGGGTGAGCTTTGTTTTTCATTCCCCGGATACGATCAGACACCGGTTTAAAGCAGCCACTATTCGCGCCTCTGTGCATGGGTATAAGCAGGAGGGATCCACGAGGCCCCGACGTTCCCGTGGGGGTCGTCCAAACCGAAGCCCGCGGTTTCTGATGCACGCACCGCATGTGCTATACGGGGCAGTATCCCCGGAGACCTTGCAGTGGAACTACAGCTTGTCTGGGTCGTTGGGGGTTGCGCAGCTGCCGCTGATAGCTAGCCTTTCACCCACCGGAGCAGTGGGCGGGAAGGTTCGACGGTATGAAATGATGAGAATCCAGGGGTCAGTGCGATCACTCAGGAGCCCCCGCGGACAGAAGTTCGACGTCGCCGCCGGCGAGATTGTTTGGACCCTGGAGGAGAATAATATCCAGCGATCGGGACTGCCGCGCGAATTCACCTTTGCTATGTTGATACAGAAACCGCACGCGGATAGCCGGGTGCAGTTCGTCCTGGAGATTGACCCGGTGATTCAGTCCTGGTTTGGTAGCTATCCTCGGTGGTGGTTGGCTCTTCCCAGCTACCGCGCCGTCCGTCGTCGTCGACGGCCGGTAGACTTTCGTGCGAGTGTAGGCCAGCGGTTTGCACCGGTCACGTCGCGCGGGGGGTTCAACTTTGCAACATTGGCAAGTTCGTTTGATGATTATGTCGATATGCCTGGGAGACGGTTCGCCCTAAGTGTACGTTACCATGAAGACCATTCCTCCCTGTCCCTGATGCTAAAAGAGAACCAGGCAAACGCTGATAGCGGCCTTGGTCAAGATAACCAGGACAATCCTGTGAGAGTCCAACCGACTCCCTCACAACCGTACCCGAGGGGACCAGGCTCCGGGGCAGGGACAGGGCAACCAACAACCGGTATCCCTGTTATGCCGGGCGTGGACTTGCGATTTACAAACTCCTAGAATGCCCGCGCAGAATGAACCACAGAAACGAAGGGTATCTCAGGCAGAGCGGATATGTATTCTTGCATTCTATTGAGACAGCCTGAATTCCTTAGCACGAGAGGATAGACACCAGCAGAGTAACAATCATTCTTACGTTTTCTTCAACGCCTCGACTGTACCAGGTGATGCTAACTAAGACGGTAGCCTGAACCCAAGTCCATGATATGATGCTTTCAGGCAGACAGTAAACAGTCCATCCTCTACGTAGGCTCGTAAGCTCAGCGAAAACAACAACATCATCATCATCATCATCATCTTCTTCTTCTTCTTTAGACCCATATACACGCATACACTCACATACTTGCACATCGCTGCATAGTTGCATACTCGTCATTACCCCTTCTCCCAATCCTCTGCATGAAACAGCATCCCCAAACTCGCCACCAGTGGCACCCACGCGAGTCATGCAGCCAAAACAAACCACCATGTTCAACGGCGAAATATCGGATTGAAATGCATACATACATACATACATACATACATAGTTAGCTGCTTGCTTGCACACGGTAAGTCGTCTGCAACACTCCGATACCCACTCCCAAGCAGCGGAGTTAGCTATGTATGTTACTTGGAACCGGAGCCGAGGGTTCCAATATTTATGCAGAGAGTCAGGCTGCCTTGCGTCTGGTGCGCAGTACCTACTTACCTCCTACCTAATGCTCTACCGAATATCTACCTAAGTCCGGTGAAGTAGTAGGAGTGCGCTGTACAGGGTAAAACGGCCGCAAGCGAGTCAGGTCCGGATCATGGGGCAAGGAAAAGCCCAATTAAGCGAGAAGACGGGAGCTGGTAGATAGATAGATAGATAGGGTGGAAGGAAGAAAGAAAGAAAGAAAGAAAGAAAGCGGCTCGAGAGGAGAGATTGAAAGGTCGTCAAGTCGCATTCACCCCCCTTGCATGTGGTATGAATGAAGAAGAAGAAGAAGAAGAAGAAGATTAGCAGTCCACTTGGGGTTGGTCATTCGGTTCTACCTGCGTCTCTTACGGAGGACTGGTATAGGTTGGGCTGATCTGGAAACACCTCTTGCTTGAACCTGGTGGTGTCTCGTGAATCGTAAGGTGATGGGAGCTATCTGATTATTTTCCCTGGGTTAGTATGGATGATTGTGGACGGTAGAGCTACTGTTTGTAGGAGGTATATTGCTAGGCATAGATATAAGTACGCGAGAATCACGTTTGTGGTGGATTGCATATGCCTGTTCACAACCATACCTAGGTATTGAGTGATACATCTACATTATTTGTATATGTAGTTTATGAATTTTCATGGGGGCCGATAACTTTGGAGTGTACATGCTATGCTATATCTGAACTCCGTATAGGAGAGGAAAGATGACATTCCCAAGACCAGAAGAACCCACTGGTATCCAGAATCTCACTGGATCAAATGCCACTCACTAGCCGAATCACTAGACACCAGTCGCCCCAATCTTTCAACGTCCAACTTCCAGACAGGATGTAGACAGTGGAACCACACCCCCTCCATCAACCTGATTCCACAGCCTATAGTACGATGGGATTAATTCACTAGCGTGGACCTTTTGCTCTCTGGTCCACTTTAGCCGCGTCTGCAAATTTCCATCCTCCTCTTAGGGCGGCTGTGTAGATCCAAGTAGCGCGAGTCCAAAACTAGATATTACTCCACTTGTCTGTTCAGTGCTTTCAGTTTCCCCTATCTTAGGGGGCTAGTTGAGATAACTAATATCTCAGATATTAAATGGGAATAGTCTGGGATCCTTTCGTATGAACAAGTGGCTCTTTCGTAACAAATCCGGGTGCTTTTTTCTCATGTAGATCTCTCATCGCTGCCAGAGAGTCAGAAATCCAATCGTCTACCTATCTTAGCATCCCTTGCTATTATATTATTATTATTATTATTATTATTATTATTATTATTACTCCTAACCGTACTCTGTAGATACGCCCCTGTAACTAATCTGTACTAGTAACTAGTTAACGAAGTCCTCCGTATTAGTATTTACTAGCTCTCATATCTACGAGAGATGAGGTTGCCAGACACCCCCGTAGTCACTTACTCTGGACGGAGTAAGTGTCTCGAGGGATTTCCGCAAATTAAGACCAAGTATCATCTGTGAGACCCGCGCAGACGCCAGAACCACGTTTTCTGAACAGTCTGAAACCAATCCCTGTCCGTTCTGTGGGGAATTATTATCGTCTGCAGCTGGTTACAGTCAAGTCCGTAAGTTACGCTGCGCTTTCCAGAAGAGTTAGAGACAGGTACTAGTTAGTAGTAGGCCATTACTCCGTACTCGACGGAAATCGGACCACCCAGCTTTAAGTACTGATTATAGATAGACTCGAGACTCATGCAAGGGATGAGAGAGTACGAAACATCTAGAAGCCTGCTCGAAAAGGAGTCGATTTGACTACCGAGGGCTCGAAAAGGATACCGCTCTAGTAGGGTACATATATTATCATATATCATACCGAGTAAGAGCGGAATGAAAGAAGCACCAGAAAGAGGTTCAGTTGAGTACGGAGGACTCCGTAATCAGGAAGCAGGAATACCCTGCTTTTTGAGATCTCAAAGTAATAATAAGTCGAGCTATATTATGGATCATGAAACGAACGAACAACCCAAGGCTCGACTCTCGAGCCCTCCAGCGGCTGAGACCAGGGCGAAGGGAAAATTAATTGGAATTCTGATTGGGATGCGCCGAACGAAGACCCTAATTTGGATCTAGGATAGTGATGGTTGCGATCACCGCTGCATTATTCGAGTCACCTGTAGTACCCTAACCCCCGACGGTTCAATCCTCCAAGACCGAGAGTGCCAATGGCATGATTCCTGCCAGTGTGTTCGCACTGCCCTCTCTACCTAGGTAAACTAGCGTGCTTTCGGTCATTTTCTCTCTACTCCGGCTAATATCAGTGACCTTCAAGCCAACCTAGGTACCTAGCTAGTCATTGTTGATTAACCACATGGGTTTGATTGATTATTCTGCTTTTCCCTTAGAGCCACCTACCTAGGTATTTATGAGTTTTTGAGAGAGAGAGAGAGAGAGAGAGAGAGAGAGGTTTCGCAGTCTCTCTGATCTGCGCACGGAAGTCTCCCGGGCTTTCATTCCAACTACCCCATCTTGAGATTAATATAATTAACTTTCATCTGGGACTTTTTTTTTTTTTTTTTTTTTTTTTTTTTAGCTAGCTCATGACATCCTAGTCCTGATCTACAACAGTAGCTTAACCTCATCTTGCGAAAGGGATGGATTGAGATAATGGTAATCGTAATGGACTCCGAAAACGCCACAATACCGGCAGGATTGGTCGCATTCACATACTGGAGATAGATAGTCGTCCGAATGAAACAGATAAGGTGATCCCAGCTAGTGCACTAGCGACGACGGCGAACACTACAAACGCCAATCATCCCTAGGTGGTTACATGGGATGCATACATAGGTACTGGAGCTGCAGCCTTGGTTCAGGTTACCGGCCGAGAGGACGGGAATGGGAGAATACTACTACTACTAATAATAAAAGAAAGGAAAGGAAAGAAAAGAAAAGATCTCTCAACTAGTTTATTATGGTGATTACAGGGGAAGCGTCAATGGGGTTGAGATGTTCATCTCAACCTGCTGGCCATCCATCCATCCATCGATGCTGCAGGCCGTGCACTCAGTCGTGGTCACACGTACATGTTTAGTCGAGCGCACTCTCAGGGAAACAGAGAGATTATACAATCTCCCTCTCCTGCTCTCACCCTGACATGGAGCCAGTGCTCAGACCTAGTACAGAGTGGTGTTAGTGAAGGATGGAGGTTGAGTTGAGAATCCGTCTAATGACGAGTAACGAACTTAGTAGACGACATACTTTTCCTCCCGTCCCATCTCCCCAAATGCTTAGCCCGTTGATATCCTCTAATCGTAACGAGCCCAGAGGAACGCTATCCTAGACTATTGGCAGTGCAGTGGATCCGCGATGGTTTTCGGGTCCCCCTCAACTGGGAGTCTGGGACTCTCGAAGCGCCCGACTGATCACCTAACCTTGGAAGGGGGCTGGGCAGGCCATTTCAAAGCTGATTATCACGATTAGATTCTTCTGATTCGTTGGAGGACATGTCTGAAGGAAATCCTTTGATTAAATTATTTATTATTACACTCCTTTCCCCCTCCCCCTTGAAACCGTGCGGACGCTGCCAAGTTGACAACGAGATGTCTCTTCCGTTTCTCTCCGGCTCTCCAGGACGGTGAGACTTGAGTATGCGTGTACCCCATAGTAAACGCTTGGACCATTTTACGATCTTAAATTTAATCTTCTGGGAGGAGGAGAGGAGAGGAGAGGAGAGGTATACTACTCTGCGTCTGTCCTCTGAGAATTCCCCTGTGAATGAGATAGACCACCAACACGATATATATATACTCCATAAATAAACTACCCTGGAGCTTAGGTGAAACACCTGCAACAACACAATGGGAAGAGGGGGCACAGGGACAGGGGGGACGATCCAGCAAGGATACCTTTTCCGTAAGCATTGTGATTTGTGCCCATCCTGGTTTCAAAATTGGCCAAATCATATCACTCCACGAGCTGGTGGCGTCAGGACTAAGTGTCTAGTGCATGTCGACTAGCATATTTGGGAACCTATCATCAGAAGGGAATACGACCCTTGTCGTCGATGCTCACTTGCGCCAGCGGTCAGGACGGACTCAGGACCTCCTAGTACCTACCTCCTAGGTACCTACCAGAGTAGGTAGTAGCTAGCAGGTAGGTACT